CAGCTTCCTTGACATAGAATTGTTTGACAGGTCACGGAAGCCCAAGAATGACGAATCACATGTTAGGGCGGATTCAGGAACGCAAAGGACTCTTGGGGTTATTCCATTCGATAAATATGACATCCTAAATGGCAGCAATTATGATCAAATGCGAATTTTCATGGCAAATAAGTTTCCTCACGAGATAACCGCCACACATCGGCGGCAGTGACCAGATCCTCCTAAGTGGTAGCATTTGGGCTACAAACACAATGAGATAGACGAAAACGGTGAGAGGCCAAGCCTCAGCCATCCGTCGTTGAAATCAGGCACCTTGCATCAATCCTCAAACCTGTATTTTCTTTCATATTTCCGATCTTTCCCGAGAGAATGGTGAGATTGTTCGACCGCTTTGCCAATTGGAATATCGGACCGGTGAGCTAAATAGACATACCTATTGCAATCAACTAGTGGGTTGGGATGACGATACAACCTGCCGGTTGCGCCTTATCAGGCAAGGGCTTCGGATCAGATAACAAGCCTCGGAATTGACACGATAAGATAACCGAATTACCGAAGCCTCAACGGATTTTTGAAATGGGGCCCTGTGGGTCTTCGATAGCCGAAATCCGAACTAATCCGGACCGGGCTGTGTAAAATTGTCCCAACACTGTTGGAGGTTGTCTACGAAAGTACTCAAGTCAAGTGCTATACGTACGACCTGGTGTGTCTCCTAGGCCACTGACGTGCTCAAGTGGGTTGGCCTTGCTCCGTCGCGACGGCTTCGGATCGAGACGGTAGAGTGCAGGACAGGTCAGAATTCAAGTGGTGTGACCGTTCAGTCAGCCAGTGGTAGAACCGTTTGCACTGTGCATTAAAATGTAGCGTCGCATTGGCCATCAATTGAGTCAGATATTACAATCACAATACACTATTGTATCTCAAGATTTCATTGTATGTTGGTGTGTAAACAATCACCACAACTCGAAAATCCAGGGAAAAGAGATCATAACAACAGTCTCTAGAAAACGCAACCGTAAAAGCCAACGCCATCATGCCACGCAACGATGTGATTGATGATGAGGTGCACGGGGTTGACGGAGAGCACAACGATTCGTCCACACTAACAGGATCCCATGAGAACCTGGACGTCAAACGTCCTCAGTCACTAACTGGCGAGATTGCGTTCATCATCGTGGTCTGCATGGCCCAACTTGTGAGCCAAGCTGGTCTAGGCCAGGTGATATCAATTCTCCCTGTTCTTGGGGAATCCTTTGGTATCGGCAACAACATGAGTCAGCTTTCGTGGTTTCCGGCAGCCTACTCTCTGACTGCGGGAACATTCATTCTATGTGCCGGTCGTTTGGGTGATTTGTACGGCCATAAACTGCTCTTCACTGCTGGATTCTTCTGGCTTGCGATATGGACACTGATTGCCGCGTTCGCGGAATCCTGTGGGCCTGTCTTTTTTTGTTGCTGTCGGGCTCTTCAGGGGATTGGCCCTGCATTTCTACTTCCCAATGGAATGGCTATTTTGGCAAGATCATATGAGCCGGGCAAGCGCAAGGAAATGGTATTCAGCGCCTTCGGGTCTACGGCACCCAGTGGATTCATCTTTGGAGGTCTGGTTTCCGCTCTCGCCGCCAAATATCAATCGTGGCCTTGGGGATTCTGGTTTATGGCTATTTTGGAAGCGGTCTGTGGTATTGTTGCCATATTCTTGGTTCCACGCACCCCAACACCGCCAAAGGAAACAACGCATAGTCTATGGGCGAGAATGGATATCGCTGGATGCGTCACAGGGATTTGCGGCCTCATCCTTTTCAACTTTGTCCTGAACTTGGCCCCCGGAGCGCATTGGCAGGGCCCATACATTTATATCCTACTGATCGCTTCGTTGGTATGCTTCACCCTATTTGGATACATTGAGCGAAAGGCGACTTTCCCCTTGATTCCATTTTCAGCAATCACATCAGACATTAGCTTCGTTCTGGCCACCTTGGCATGTGGATGGGCTGCCTTTGGAGTCTGGGTATTCTATGGCTGGGAGTTTGTTCAGAACTTTCGAGGCATCTCACCTCTATTTGGCTGTCTGCAGTTTTCGCCTGCAGCCATCAGCGGGTTTGTTGCTGCCTTCACAACAGGGTTGATCCTTCAAAAACTGCCTGCCAGTGTGGTCATGATGATCTCTGCAGCGGCCTTTTGCACAGCCGACATTCTCTATGCCACCATGCCTATCAAACAAAGCTACTGGGCGCAGCTGTTTTTGTCGATAGTAGTGATGCCTTGGGGCATGTGAGTTACTTCATGACTATATTTCGTATTGGTGTCTGTATTGACTGACTGCGACCAGGGAAATGTCTTTTCCTGCTTCCAATATTCTACTTTCCAACGCGATGCCCCAAGAACATCAAGGAGTAAGTCCATTTTCTATTCAAAACCTTCCAAAAGGCCTTGGAGCTAAGTCTCTTGATGCTGTTTGATGATTCAGCTTTGAGAGGGAGAAAACACCTAACATTGTGATTGCAGGTCTCAGCCAGCTTGGTTGCAACCATTATGAATTATGCGATCTCTTTGGGTCTCGGATTCGGTGCAATAGTCGAAACTGGTCTCAACAAGAACGGAACAGATCTCTTGAGGGGCTATCGGGGAGCCTGGTACTTAGGCGTCGGACTTGCTGCATTTGGCATCATCCTCACGATTTTCTTTGCTCTTCATGAGCACAGATATTCTATTCGAACGAAGAAAAAAGTTGATTTGGGGGAGGAGTAGTATGGACTGACGTACTTGTTGAAAGATCTGGTGTCTTTCCACCTGCGTCTCGAACGTTACGCAGAGATATATCAATGGAAAATAGATAGTCACCTCTTGTCGATACAACCGGGTCTGCATTATGTGATTTGCAGTACCCCGCTAATAATCGACGCAACGCAGCGGTATATTTCTAAATTGATGATGGACTGGGCGGTGGTATTCGATGACCAATTTAGCATTCGAAGTGGGATACTTGAAAGTCGTGACCAGGTTCTAACTTCGGTAAAAATTTTCACCACATACGATTTCTTGACCACGAGTTACGACAACCACAACTATGTAGTTATGGCGCCACCGCGGACTGTAACACCCGAGACATGGTTGTTCTCATGTGTTTTTCAACTCCCATGAAGTCCATCTGTTAAGTCCATCTGTTTAAAGAATCAGAATCAACACTCTTTTCGTCTTTGAATCGCGTTACTCCTTCTTGATTCCGTTGCTCTCATTGGCTCGTCAATCCTTGGTAATGCATAGCATATACAGGATATTCCTGTCAGATCGGCTTGCCACTTGGCAGGGAAACTTACTCTCCTGTGACAGCAACTAGGAGAGCATAACCACGGATCGGATTCTAGCCTACCGTTCTGTTACCAGAATTCGCGTGTAACTTCAAATGCCTCACTGCCTCGACCGTACCTCCCAAGCAACAAAGCCGTATTCCATCGGACACTGACGGCCGTCAGAATTGGGCTTGTGGATCGTGTCTGGACTTTGCAAGTCTGTCCATTTCTACTCTAGGCCACAAATAGAACCTCCTTGATGTACTTTCATGTGTGTCGTCGCTGTGATCTGCATCGCACCCCGTACCTGCGTCTGTATACTTCGCGCATGATGTTTGATAGATCTGTCTGGTGCTAATTATCTCCAGGGTCTTTCAGTGTGATAGTAGCGTTGCAAATACTGCGATCCTCACTTTATGCGTGAAGTAACTTCAATTGTAACAACTTGTTGGCAAAGTACAGGACTCTGGCGTTTCTGCCCTTTGATATGGGCTGTGGAAGACTATATGACCTGATGGAGGATCAAAAACGATGCATTGAGCATGAACTCCGACTCGATCGCAGATTTCACAGGGATTTTATTGCATCTAGAAGAAATATAAGAGAGGTCGATTTAAGCTATCTGAATGCCTCGCTCGCCTGGCCCCAATAACTCGCCGGTCTTCCTGTCTAAAATTAGTGACTTATTGCGATACAGTGCAGTTACAGTGTGGCTCCTCTAAGCCTCCATTCTTAAGACTGACCACTCACCGTGGTACTGGTTCTAGTCGTAACACTCGTACGGACTCGGCGAGCTTAACATGATCGCGAGAAAAGGCAATACGAACGGGCGTTCATTATCGATATTATGTTCCAGCTATCTCGCTATTTCTACGGTCGTCTGGTAGTTTTCTAGAAGAAAGATAACAACAAGAACACAAATAAGGAGTCGCCGAGCGAGAAGCAACACGACCAGATTAGATGCGATAACTTCGCCCTAAGCCCCATATACGTTTTCAGGTCAGATCATTATAAGCTAATTACGGAGGCTTAGCAGCTAATATATCGCAATATCTACTTTATTCCTTATATCGTTGAATATATGGAAAACTTTCACAAGCAGAAACCTATGAGAATGCGGGCTTTAAATCTCGAAAGGGTATAACCTAGATGTTGAGTCCCTACGTAGAACAAGGGTGGTTGAGAAGCTATATACAGTTGTAAAATACATAGAACGGCCAGTAAATAACATAATATTTGCTCTACTATTGTGGTCAATGTTTTACTCTATACTATAGATTGTGACGACCTCTAAGACCCGCGAGTGCCCCAGCAGATAACTTCTACCGAGGCTATAGGATTATATAGGCTACCACCAGCACCGGAAGCATAAGTTCGAAATCAATTTAATCGTGCATGAGGGAGGAAATGTTTGATCCTACTAGTGCAGAAGTGTGACTATACGCGAAAGATCATATGCAATCAAATACGTTAAACACCTAGATGCCTGACTAGAATGATATACCTCCATCAGACATATAGATATCAGACATATAGAAAAGGACATTAAGCAGCAAAACTTTCCACAAAAAGACTTTTAACAAAAAGGAAATTCAACAACAAAACATTCAACAAAAGAAACCCAACGAAGAGACAGTGAACAAAACATAGAACTACATAAAACGGCATGCAGAAAAGATATTAAACTACATCAAATTAAAACCTAGCCTAAAATCCACTTCGCTGATCGGCAAAACCGGATTGCTCATTTGATCGGTTGGCTCTGGGATCAAGTTTATTCAGAGGATCAGTGCTTTGATTACCAGATGGCTGTCTAACGCCCGAGGTCGAGCTGCTACTACCAGCCGCGTTACCACCGAAGCTCGGCTCAGCGGCACGCTCGTCAAAGCCTGGCTCATTTTGCAGATTTGTCTGGCAGGGCATGGTGTGGGTAGTAGCGGAGTGGGATTTGTGCTCTTGCGTAGAAGTCTCATGACTTTCCTGGCTATTCCATTGACCCTGAGACTTGTAGTTGTCGGACGGTCGGGACTGGGATTTATTTTCTTGAGTGGATTTGCTATAATCATCTTCGATAGATTGATGATTGTCGAGACCCGAGGTGCGAGGCTGTCCGGGGGAGGATATGTTGCTGGGGACGTAGCTGTAGTTTTGGGGGTTGGTAGGGCCAGCGTGTTGAGCGCGGTTGTCTATGTATGGATCTTAGCACATCTTTCTGGCTATAAAAACAAAAGAGATTTGATTCGTCTTACCCAAATCGCTATCCACACGAGGATCCATTTTATTTGTCAATTTAGAATCATGAGGACCAGCATTTATATTGCCTTGGCCAGCACTGCTTGTGCTGGTTAATGTATTCCCGCCCATTCGCGTCGATCCATGATTGCCGGGATCGGAGCGACCGCCTCTATCCCCCTCCCGGTGGTGGATGGATCAGGTGGACTTTTGGAGTCTACATATACGATCAGCATATCATGGAAAACATACAAAGTACAATGAACAAGATGTCGGGGCGACCAACCAGTGAACTTGGAGTCGCGATGATAAGTACCAGGACCATCGTCAGACGGGGCGCCTGACTCGTAAGGATTGTTGGAGCCCATGCCAGAAGATTCATTCATGCTAGAAGATTTATGCTGGTTTGGATCGTATTCTGTGGTGGGAAAATTGGAAGACGCGTTCTCATCATGAGGAGCTTGAAAGCCATGGGCTGTAGGTGCGTCCTTGTTATGATCAGTCATGGCATCCTTCACTTTGTTCACGAACTTCGACATATTAGGCGGCAATCCTAGAAATAAAAGATTAAATGTTGGTTTGTGATAAGAAAGTTAGTGGTTTCAGTAGATTCAAGCTATTCTATCTTCGAAGGAAAAGCCACTGGCAGCGGGTTTATATGTCTGTCGGCCATGTTTGCCTCAATGAGACTCATCCTAGATCGGATTTACCGGTACACAGTGACGCCATTATAAGAAAGTCAGATGATGATAAAAATAACCAAATGCAGATAGTTTTCTATCGCTTCGCTTCTTTTTCATTGCTATGACGTGCCATACAAGTTTTAAACATTGTTTTCCACGAAATTTAGTATAGCTATGAATGTCATCTGCTCATGTGTCGTCATCTCTCTAGTTTATAAAGCTTAACCTCCGATTTTATCAAGAGACATAGAAGAATAAAAGATGTGGGGGATGTGGGGGATGTGGGGGATACGAATCTTGAACATGGTTCTCCATTGTGTGGTTCTCCAGCTTTATGGTTTGGGATTCAGGTTTTGATGAAAACAAGCCGGATAGTATGCAGTGGCGAATCAAATTCAGTAATTAGGGATTGAGTTGATGTCTACGGATGTTGGCCAGAAATCTTTTGGCGGAGAAACCGATTAAAAAAGTCTAAATGTTCTACGTGGTTGACTTTGGACGTTGTGAACTCAGCCTGACAATACCTATGTGCTCAGATCTTGCCAACTCCCATCATTTGGTCCCATGTGACTGTAAACAGTGCAAACATAGAGAAGAACATGACATGCATAAGTTATGTGTCGGGTGAATTCCTAGAGAGCAACGTGGATCCCGGCAGGTTCGTCATCCCTGCCGGTCCGTCACCCCATTAAATCTTCATAATTTCTACACTTTTTAAACTCTAATTAAACAACCAAAACACCATCAAATTGACAATTTAAACCTTTGCGGGCATGTAGTATACCTATGCTACATATATTAGGTATCTGCTTCTTTAATCTCTCCCTCTTTTTCGTTTGCTTTCTATCTTCCTCCCGTAAACGCTTAATCTTATCTTAAGATAATGTATCTAACCACCGAGCCGCCATAACCCCCGAGTCGCCACCCCAGCCTAACCCATTAAATTTAAATGCATTTATCTCAACCAAAACGCCATCAAGTTTATTCAACTAAGAAATGGTCTATCTAGGCATGTCTCTCTCCTATGCCCTGGCAACATGCATATTCCATACCCCCTGGGGGCCGCGTCCGCGGTCGAATAGCTGGTTCCCCCACTATGTGAGGGCCAGGGGGAGGTGGTTCAATTACTCCGTGCCTGCATATTTAATTTTGAGGTATCTAAAACTGAGAGGCCCTCGACCGAGGGTATATACCTTCGAGATCTAGTCCGCTTCTGCTTCTTTTTCTCATTTTCGGCTCGTAACCCGCGTACTTCTTTCTCTAGAAAAGCACTCGATTGCATCTGAATTTGGCAGGCCTTTAGAATATAGTTTATCGCATTATTAAGTGGGCTCGGACGGCTCCGGGATCTCGTATAAAGTAATGCTTTAATTGATATAGCCTGCTTTAGTAATTATATATAGTTCGAAGGCGTTTTTAGTTCCCACTCGCTCTCTTGATGTGAAGGCATGCGCCCAGGCAACACACGTCTACCAACTAGGCCAAAAAGATCACTATGTCAGCCGTCGGCTGACATGCCTGGGACCGATACATATACTACTCAGTACGCACATTGAACACGTGGGTCAGCCACGCCGTTACAGATACGCACCCCTTGTAAATTAGAGGCTCACTACAGTGAAACCAGTTTAGTACAATCCCGGGTTAGTGCGATAATTCTTCACCGAAAAATTCAGTTTCACATACAAATATCGTAACTTTTCGTTACTATCATATATCGTAATTCTCCTAGGCCCTTCCTTACATTTATTGTACTATCTAGGCCATTATTCCCCTGATTAAGTAATATCCAGCCAATCAAATGCCTCATCAAGCTATTACGAACCAGCAAAAGATCTCTCTTAGAGAGCAGCACCGCAAGCACCCTTCGGCTACCCAAACCTAGCTAGCTCACTAATTCAATAAGACCTATAACCGTCGTCCTACCTAATCCATCCTATCCGCTATCCTCTCCCCTAAATATTGATATCTCGATACCGATCCGACCGAGCATACGATGAATGAGGCTATACATGCATTGGAAATGCTTCGTTTATATGAAGAGCAGCCGGATTGGGGCGAAACGCAATTAATCACTAGCTTGTATAAACATTAAAGGTTGACATAGGAAAAGAGATTAAATCCATGCCGCCCGGATGGGAAGTTGAAATACCCTATAAAACACAGTATTTCATCTGCGACGGTATTTCGTGTGACTCTGTTAAAAATGCAGTATTAGGTGGGCTACGGTATTTCATGAAATACCGTATTTCAGTTTATCGCTTTAGTTTTTCTTTTAGTGTTTTATCTTTTGCTTTAGTATTTTATAAAAGACAGTATTTAGAATAATGTCTATATTAGTACGGTTAAACTAGCTTATTTTATTATAGGGGAATAGGGAGCGGATGACTAGCCTTTTGAATATAAGGATATTGTTATGGATATTGTTAGGGGCTTGTTAAAAACACCCCCCTTCGGCTCAGAACACCCCCCCCTGCCTCATTCTACCTAATCCCTCAGGCATGAATTCTTTCTGCCAAACCTAATTTTTTCTGCCAGGTTTAACTCTACAGGTTTGAAATCTGATTTACATAGTAAAAAATGCACCTTTACAGTAATATTCGAAATCAGATTACCTCCATACTCTTCGACTTTAATTCCCAAACCCTAATTTAGTCACGCTAGTCCAGATGCGGTAACGTCTGTCGATCCCCGGGTTCCAAGAATAGAATCTGTATTTTACATGACGCGGGTGGAACCTCCCCAAGTGTAATTTACACGAAACTACTATACCTCGATACCCATCTATTCTGCCCTGCTCTTCTCTCCCCAGCCTGATGGATTTTCTGGAGAGTATTGATAATTAAAGAGTAAAGATGCTTTACCCGATCGATAAAGGAGGTGGTGATCTAGGATTGTGCATTAGTAGTAGGAAGTGGTTCTTGTTAAAGAGGCTGACAGTATGGAACCTTGAGCACATATCAGCAAATTTGAAATCCAAAACAATACTTCCTTCCATCCCATAAGTTGAGGATGCAGGTATCAGCCGAGACAACTAACGCAGTGAGGGTCAGGCGGGCTGTCAAGTGGACACAGCAGTTGACCGAGAATGAAAAACGAGATAACTGTACGTGTATTTGATAGTAATCTCTCATAAATAAACATAAATCATGATTCAGCAGTCCCTTAAGCCTATCGTTTATTACCCAACTCAAACATGGGAAACCATCGCTTCACAATGCGATCCAATTGTTCAATTACCACCGGCTTGACAAGATATTTATCCCCGCCAGCCTCTTGTGCGGCGGTTCTATCCGCAACGGTGTCTTGACCAGTCATAACCAGTACCAAAGCCCCTGCCCAGTTATTCCGCTGCTCCAGACTTCGTATTTGCCTGGTGGCTTCGATGCCATCGCATACTGGCATTTGCAGGTCCATCAAGATCAGCTCGATAGGAGAGTCATTGTTAGCAATAGAAGTTGATTGGCGTTGCGAAAAGATTTCCACAGCTTCCAGACCATGTTTTGCGGTCAAGTACGGCAATCCTCTTTTTTTACAGTACATCTCCATAATGCGGAGATTGATGGTGTTGTCATCCACAATCAGAGTTGTGGGTCGCGAAGAATTACTCAGCTGGTGGGAGTTTGGAACGGGTTCTTTCGAGCCTGCGGAGGGTGATACGTCCCGATCGGGCCCAAAGACTAGAGTGTTTTCTGATCTTGGGGTGGCAGCGTCATTTGGAAGTTGATGGGGCTCGGCATCCTTTGGTTTCGGCGCTTGAGTTGCCTTCGGAAGCAAGGGCAGGGCTACACAGGACTGCAACATGGCCATCTTCCCCACGAGGCGGTCCGCTTGCTCGAGGGCCGAGCCTAGCGAGAAGGTGGAGAAAGGCCCCTTAACATAGACAACGTTGCTAGCCGTCCGTTCAAGATGTATATTTGCATCTAATCCGCGAAGAAGACAAATTGCAACTGCTCCTGATGGAAGCTGGGACAGTTGTAGGTGGTGCTGTTCTAAACTAGGGACAGCTTCAAGGATGACAAAAGAGCCTTGCAGACAAGCAGACGGCGCAAAGCCATTGCGTGTAAGGAAAGCGATAAAGCGAGCACAGAGTGACATGGAATCCGAACCAGACTTCAAGTGGAAGAACCTTGAGGGTAGATTCTGAAACTTTGAGGCTAGCAATTGTGGCGGATGAGGAGAGGTGGTATATTCGACAGCTCGGAAGGTGGCTCTGAAATGAGACCCTCGGTGAACTTTCGAGGACATTAAAGCGACCGATCCCTGCAAGAGCGATGCGAATCTGGACGCCACGGTGAGTCCCATTCCTGCGCGTGCTGAGTGCAGATCGACTTTTTCGTACGGTTCGAATATGCGTCGTTGATGATCTTGTTGAATGCCTTGACCATTATCCTCAACATCCACAGTTAGATGCCTCGAGCCTGAATCCAGTGATATCGTCACTGATACAATTCCATCTGGCGTGTGCTGGACTGCATTCAAGATAAGTGGCAGGACGCTGTCTCGAAGCACATCGATATCCATCCAAATACCCTCATAGACAGGAGGCAGAACATGGGTGAAGAAAACAGAAGTTCGATACCGTGTATCTCCCAAGGTCAGGTTCATTACCCCGGTACATAGCTCCGTCTCAAGCTTTTCAACTGGATGCATGGCATAGTGGCGGTCCATTGTGGCAATATCAGCCCATCGATCGATTGTGATCATATTATTTACGATTGCAACCAGATCTCTGCCGCCCATTTTGATAATGCTCAAATATTTAGAATGTTCGTCCAACCGATTTTTTAGAGACTTTTCAGCTAGCCCTGGTGCTGCGAGTGCATCCTCGCCCGAGTACCAGGATTGAATTTCTTCAGCTAGGAGGTCCGCTGAACCGAGAATGCCATGGATCGGCGTGCGAACTTGATGGGAAAACCCCCGAAGAAACTTCTCCTTTGCTCTTAGCGCCTCGGATAGGAGTCTTTTGCGCCACATCTGGGAGATCAAGCTAGCACACGTCTCAAGGAACCACGAGTCGACATCATCGAATATGAAGTGAAAGTCCTTTGATGCCACCATAAGCAAAGATGAACCTGATACAATCTCGCAAGTAGCAGCAATGATGCGGACGGTGTGTGTGGTTGGAAGAGCCTCGTGATTAAAATTAGTGATTAGCGTATCTAGGTATTCCGTATCTTCCCACAGGCCGCCTTTCAGGTCTGACATCAAAATAGGCTTTCGTCCTTCCAGCTCAACACAATTCGCCTTCATCGGCTGTAATTTGATGATAGCATCGGGGTAGGTGCTCTGGAGGATTTGAAAAAAGGCTCCTCGGACACCACCTTGTCCAATTTCAACTGTGCGGCGGAGAGAAGTTCAGCCATTTGATGCCGGTCACGTTGGCGTCTTGCTCGCACCGCATGAAGGATATCGGAGACGACCCAGTCACCCAGGCGGATGAGTGCTTGCTGCTGGTCTTTTGTTAGGGGCTCCTCGCTTTTATTTGATGCTACGCAAAGTGAACCGAGACCGACACATTCGCCGGATTCGTGCTGCAGACGTAGCGGTACACCAGCATATGCGTAAAGCCCGCCCTGCTCGAGATAAGGACACGTCCGAAACCTCCAGTCTTCCATCAGTGCTGGTACATGAAATACGCTCTATGTAGTATATTTAGCAATCTATGGGTGGGCGGGAAGAAAGTCATAACTTACACCGGGAGGTTGAGTGACCGTATGGGCGCAGATTGTTTCACCCCTTGGCAGGATGCCTAAATGCACGCCTACTGTAGCCAGGCGGATATAAACATCGACATCCAGGATGCCGATGATCGCGAACTCCCATCCCGTGGACTCCTTAGCCAGATAGACTTTCTCCTGCAGACCGGAGAGTAAGTCTTCCGCCTTAAGAACATCGCGGGTGTAGTACCACAGCATGGACAATCTAAGTCTCTCATTGTGGGCCAAAGTAGCACGCGGATATCGCTCCACGCACCCAGGAGGCTTGTTGCAGACGGTGGATGTGGGCGCATTGGGGTCAAGGCTTGGATATAAAGTCGATCCGATCTCCTCGGACCAGGAGCTTATTGGCTTATCGAGGTTTTCCGGATCGAGAATAGGCCCCACAGTATGCGGGCGCGTGGTTGGGGTTTGATGCCTTGACGTGAGAATCGCTGCATCTGCCTTTGGGAAGAACACTCCAGTGGAAGACATTATTCCTGCGGAGCCGCTGACTGCATCGACCTGAAGCGCATTAAAATCTGATGAAATGCGCAAAATAAAGGGGGATGAAAAGGATTCTGGTTGGCAAGAGATTGCCAAAGCTGGCTCTGGCCCCGGCCTCGGTCCTGGCCACGTGATCTCATTTAAATTGCAAGCCCTTTTGATTCTCACCCCATGGCCAAGGACACACTAGCCTACATGAGGGTGAACACGGAATATCAATATTCCTGCATCTGTTTCAAGATCAGTGGCTTACTCTGATCAAAGTACGATCTCTTGCATCGTATAGCAATCGCATTGGCGATCCAAAGCGAACTCGACGTAGTGGATGATCTTCATGAAAGGATCTATCAAATTCGAAGACAAAATACGGTATTATAACGATGACTCATCTATTGTTACCACTGGATACAATACAGTTCGACAGGGGTCACTGGGAATAACTAATATTAGACTAGCGTGTTTCAGATTAGGGTTCGGGAATTAAAGTCTAAGAGTGTAGAGGTAACATCTGATTTCGAATATTACTGTAGTCATTCCCCAGCGATGGGCAGACACCTCTATGTGGTGCTGGGGACAAGTATTCCAGTGGTGGACCCAGACCACCGCTCGAAGAAACCAAGATCTGCCCGAGGAAATGGGAATGGTGGTGCTTAGTGGGCGGGTGGCCCCCGTGGAATACCCCACAAATCTGCCGACCACAACGACGACATAGCCAAGGTGTTTGTCCCCACCTTGCCGAGCTAAGATCGATGATTCGAAAGATTACAGCGGATTTCTCTCGAGTGTGGCAGCTAGATCTCACCTCCGGTCTACCGTGCTACCAGCGCAAGAGCAAGTTCGAACTCACCGCCCCTGCCTCGGACCCCGCCCTCCATGCTGGCGGAGTTGAAGAATGGCTAAGACTTTCCCTGGGTCTTATCGCGCCATGAACACCCCTCCAGCCACTACTGTTTCCTACCCTTCATCGAGAAGCCCCCCGATTGACCGCACCGGCGGTATAACAACGTGGGTTCGACGAATCCGTTCGAGCCCAACTTCATGAGTGTTCAACACACCTGACCTACTATCACACAACATCTTGGATGGATGATGATGATGATTTCATTTCCCTGCGTCTTACTATCTTTCTCGTTTTCGCAATCGTGTTTCGAGCGTCGGTGGTTACAACAGCACCCACCGAACCCGCCAACGCCAAGGTGGATCGCCCTCAGTCGCGCGCTTAACCGTGACAACCAATCCAACTCGGCCTCAGAGTTCTCTAGAGGTCTGAAATTCTCCGAATTACAGTCCTTTGCACCTTTCGGTTTTCTCTCCTTTATTGCGTATTTTGGTTCTGTTTCTCTGTTCTTGTTTTGTGCTTCATGATCTTGATTTTTGAAGAATCTACCACAGCCGCGCCGCCTGGGCAGCCTAACAACAAAAACGGCAACTGGGCCACGACAGGCCTTACCAGGTGAGGCTCAAAGTTCACCGTTCAGGAAGTTTGGAACAATCTCAGTGGATGAAACAAACATGTATTTAAACAGTTGTTGTAGCCTGCATATCGTTCGCGAGGGGTCAGGGTAAATGAAACTACTACTACTACTACTACTGTAGTCATTGACACTCCATTGTTTTGATCTCATCCAAGTTTGTCGTTAGGATACTCGCAGCTATTACCACCGGAGACCTCGGCAGATAATTACACTCTTGGAGTCAATCGGAAGGGCCCCAAGCCTTCACCGGACAGTTTGATCATGTATGACCGAAAGTTCGCAACTAGAGAAAAACATTTGAACTCATGTTTACCGCAATTCCAAGTCTGCATAATATATTCTCTCATCTTACAGGATAGATCGAGATTATTTTCATGACTTTACTCCCATGGAATCCTGCTCGAATCCTAATCCGAAAAACGCTAACCCATTCAAGGCTTGGCTCGTTTTCAAGTCTTAAACCGTGAGTGACGCGCACAATAACGTAGTAGACTGTTTCCTAAATTACTTACAAAACTTCCGCAAAAATACTGGCAGCTAGCAGGCCCTTTGCCCTTGCCTTCCCTCAAACGGTTGGCAGCGATCTTACTAAAGTTATATGTTCAATCCCATTTCGAGTATAGCATAGATCGAAACCAGTGTTACCATTTACTCACAGAGTCTTCATGTTTCTGAAATATTGATCCAGTAAGCAAACTAAGCAGACAGATATTATAAGTTAGTATCAAATTCCGCTACGTAGAGGGTGAGAGTGCCTCTGGCCTCGAATGGGGATAAACCATATTACTCGCCACAGAAGTTCTCAGCAGCAAAGTCATCGCTATCAATGACTACCTGGCGGAGGTTCGGATGGTTATAGAGACCACGAAGAGCGATACCATGCGAGGGCATCTAACTATGGTAGCTCTTATAGATTTGAGAAATTCGAGATTTACGCTTCCAATAAAATATGTAAGTCATAATCGACAAATGATTAGATTACTATTAAAAGCCGATTTGATAGTGTATGAAGTTGATCCTAGTCGACTAGGGGGTAGGCGTGGTTGCTTAAAACACTTTTAGCGGCTATCTAACTAGAGCTTGTTTTGATCTGGTAAAAAAATGATTTATTGAGCACATATCTACGAATTTCACTTTATTAAACGAAAATACGGTATATTTGGTTATTGCGCGTGCGTTAACAACAGAAGAAGGCTCGATATTGCTCTAGTATGGACCGAAAAGAACAATACTTCGAACTCCATTCTGCAAAGACGTTGATGATTTTGACTCTAGGTCTGTGTTAAGAGCTAGTAAGGAACCAGAAGGAGAGAGAACCCTTAGTAGGTTGACCACAAGATTAAAGATCCACTATAGCATGTAAGACGACCCTGGAATAATTGATCGCGTTATAAACAAGAACTAGATGCATCACGTATAGGCTAGGCGTTCTTAATCGTCGCGACGAGCATTCCTGCAACACTGATGGCCGACAAATGGGGTCGCCGTACCAGTACACTGGTGGGAGAACTTGGCCTGACAACGTTCCTGATATTGATTGGCAGTCTCTATGCTGGCCATGCGGTTCTGCCTACGAGCGATGCCGGTCGTTGGGTGGTCGTCGTGTCTATCTATCTATATCGCATTGTGCAAGCCACGACCTGGGGCATCAGTATCAAGGTGTGGGCACCGGAGATTCAGCCCCAGCACACGCGCGCCCAAGCGATCAGCCTCGCATATGGTTTGTCTACACACACGGCGCTGCCTTACTTTTACTAACGTCTTCAGGCGCCAATTGGGTGTGTAACTTCTTCGTCGCCTTTGTCTGCCCAATTCTTCTTGACAAGAGCGTTTCAAGCGCCTACTTTCTATTCGAAGGCTGCACTGCGCTCGCAATCATTGTGAGTTTCTTTTATATGGTCGAAACGAAAGGAAAGTCTTTGGCCGATATTGAGCGAGCGTTCAAGGCGGGACTACCGGGTGCGAGCACATCTATTCCCATGGCAAGACTGGTACATACACGTCATGAGATTAAGGGGGCATGAATGGCTTAACGAGGCATCTTCTCCATCATAAAGCATCTCATCTCGGGAAACGAGGGAGGATGAGAGACGGGATTCAGAAAGATACGATAACTCATATGGGCTTCCAACGTTCTTGTGCGTTACCATACCAAATCCTGTGTGTTCTAGGACTAGAGCTCTTAGTTATATAACAAAAATAATGCAAGTACATCATTGTAATAAACATTGCTTCTATAGCCTTCTCAATCTAATTCCCAGGTCAAAATGCTTCTTACCTAGGTGGGACATCGTTGGACCATGCTTTTATCAATTTTTGGCTACTTTTGCGACACTACCTACGGCAGGCTCAGGATTGAATTGCCTACTGCGGCATATAGTAGTATCGCATAATATTTCAAAACACTTGTTCCTCACGATCTGCACGAAGTTAAATGGCATCATAAAGATGCTATGTTCGGGCCGAACTTTGCATCAAACGCCACCGAGGCCGAGGGGCTAGGAATATCATTTCGTTCCAAAGTTTGATTACGTCTAATCCTAGGCCATCAAATCAACTTACTCCAATGGCCCTACCCTGAAGATACAAGACTCCTCTAGAGGGCGTTGTTCAAAGACATAATCTCAACTTGGAATCTTTCTCACTCATAGGACAAAAGTCCAAAATGACCATCATGAACGCAATCAAGGTGACCGGTCCTAGAACGGTGGAGATCCAGAGCGTGCCATTGCCGAGGCTGCGAGATGACTATGTCTTGTGCAAAGTAAACCAACTCGCAATAAATCCGACGGACTGGTCGCATCACGCCAAATGGCAAATTTAGTTGGGCTTGTCAGAAGGCATGCTGAAGAAGACGGCAGGGGAACCAGGACTGTAGGTAAAAAAAATGAGACGGTGGGTGGCAGGCCCAGAACGGCCACCTCGGAGCGGTTTTCAATCTTCCATTACACAAATCCAGATGACAATTGACATCACTCAAGATTCCCTTGAGAGTTTTCCGGTCCTCATCATTTCGATCCACTCTTATTAAGCCACCCATGAGACAAGATGAACGGTTAATTGTGAGTTAAAGCGAGACCAGTGAAAGAATTTTTGCCACTGTAGATGACAGTCTTGTTATGGCCGTCGAGATCAGAGCGGTAGACCGATCCTCCCATATCGACAAAGTAAATATGCTTGTTTACGTTATCCAAGGAGATACCGATGGCCTACTGCACATTAGTGATATACAGACGCATAATAGACATAATAATATATCTATGTCATGCTAAAAGTGATGGTGACAGGCCATACCTCATGTAGATGCCGGGTCAAAATGTCGAACTTAGGAGCGGCGGACACCTTGTTTTTACTGCCGTTGCCGACATAGGCTCGGTTAACCGAGTTGCCGGTTGGGTATTCGCCACGGTCTGTCCAGTAAAGAATCTCAGTGTCCGTGTCGATATCCAGATCGATGGGTTCGGGTAGGTTCTTGAGCAGCAGTTCAATGTCCGATCGGGTGGCTGCGGTTTTTCCGGCCGGAAGATTGATATTGGCGCAGAAGATTCTTCCTTGTCCTGCTTTGCTGGCACCCTTCTGGGTCCAGTAAAATTTGCCGTGCTTGGGGTCAACGGTAATCCCGACGCACTTAATTTCAGTTAACACAAAAAACAATTCGTGCAAAATCTCTAAGATGAGGACATACATGCATAGTCTGATCACTCTTCTCGGTAGGGTTGTTATAGTCCCCGGTCTGAATTAGAACTTCATGGCAACTTCCATCAAAGTTGACGCGGTGCACGCGCATGCCCTCCCGGTCAGAGAAGTAGACCTTCTCGTTGACATGATCAATTGTCAATTGTTTCGGGGTGTGTGCAACTCCCGCTGGGACAATGACCTTGCGGTCCGTGCCATCGAGGTTCGCAGACTCGATGGTACCATCATTTGCAGACGGGTTTCCCATGTTGCTCCAGAACAAACGACCCTGAGACAGACTGATATCGATGCCATCTGGGAACGGAAGGTTGTCTACCAGCTTCCGTACGGTATCGCCATTGGCGGATGCTGTGTAAATTTTTCCAGAGGAGAGGAAGTTGCTCGTCACGTTCTCGCCAACCCCTATGTCGAGCACGTACAGTGTCGGAGTAGCCAGGTTGTCATGCTGGCTGGCAGTGTCCTTCTTCGTGGTGTAGCCTGCAGGATAAAGACCACCATTTCCAGACTTGGCTCCGAGTTTTCCTTGGCTGACATAGTTCTTTCGCAACCACTCCACGGGGAAGCTGGGCAACCCTCGCTCTTTGATGTAGTTCTCTTCAATCAAAGCAACGGTGTCGAGACCCACCCCATCCATCGCAGCGCAGGGGCCAGTTTTGGCTCCAAACAGCTCCTCCTATATGATTTCGAGTGAGCGTACTGTGCTGGTGCTGTGAGATGGGGGAGGAAGTCATACAAATAATTCATCAATTTCCTTTGGATCAGTGACTCCCTCTGCCAGAATCATCAAAGTCTCTCGCTTGATGGCCGCCCATAGACGGTTGATGATGAATCTGTAACATCATCAGATTCTAGCATAATTTACTTAGATATATGTTAGACGAGCAAATAGGCATACCCCGTCGATTCCTTGCGTGCTGTAGCAGGAAGCAATCCCACTTCACGGTGTTTCTCCTCGAGGAATGGGAAAATGGCAGGATCGGTAAAGGTACTGGTCATGAACTCTGTGACTCGGACGGGCGGCATAGTGTAGTGGACGTTTAGGACGCGTTTCTTGTCCTCATCATTCAGCTTTTCCAACATAAACCGCGATTTGATCGAAGAGGAATTGGAACCCAGAATACTGTCCTCCGGGGCTTTCGCGGCCAGCTCGGCAAATGTGTTGATCTTGAGGTCCAGTTTCTCAGGAACAGCCTCGATGACAAACCAGGCATCTTTGACAGCCGAATCCAGGTTCTCGTATGCGGCATACTGGCCCAGTTTAGTGTTAGTGTTTCCAAAGGTTTTGTAGAAGCTGGCAATGTTGTTTTCGATGAAAATAAGGGCCGAGGCCCGCTGCTCAACACTAGGGTCCCGAATTGTGACATTGTATCCTCCCGCAGCCCATACGCAGGCAATTCGACGGCCTATCTATATTATGAGCGGAATTGACTCATTCTCAAAGAGAACCAGGTCCATACCAAGTACACCGGCGCCTAGAATGGCCACTGTGCGATTGCCGATCGTAGGTGGCTTCCAGGGCATCTTTGCCTCCAAATAGAGTATGTCTGACAAGAATTGACAAGCTTCGTTATTTGAAAAGATTGAGATAGGGAGGGGTGGGAAGAAGAGAGAATGTCAGGTTTAAGAGCGTACTTGATATGAAAATGATATGCCCCTAAGTCCTATTTAAGATAATGCCTTACACCGGATGAACCAAGTCCCAAAATAGTTGACAGCTTGCGAATTCTACATATGGTGGTTACGTCAACATCCGGCATCTAAAGGTCCCCTTTTTTTAAAAATGTTAAGAAGTGATATCATAGACACAAGAACAGCGAGGACTGCTGAGGGTGATTTGTGGCATTGAACTCGAACTCAGGAGAAGATGGTATTCCTCTAATTGGCGTAGCTGGATCGAGTCTACACATTCTAGGCAAGGGCGGTGATGACGTCAGTTATCTGTTTCCGGAAAACACTTTGTTGCCAAGGGCCCTCGGAAGAGATCGATCCTGACACTATTCGTGTTAATTGACACGGGCTCTATGTACGGATCTAACCTAATCGAGGTGAAGCGACTAAAGTGGACGGCGTTCTCCACGCCAAACTCCACTGTGGAGATCGCCTTACAATTGAATATCACTAAATTTGGCAGTTTCTAATGGTCCGTTGTCTTGGCGTCTTTGAATACGGCCTTTCCATTCTTAGCTATGAATCGATCCTTACGGCAGTTCAATCGTGCTTTCCTTAAGCCTACGGTCACTGGTGTCACTTCCTCCGAGGGCAAGTAGCTTAAGAAAGGCCCACTCCCCGGGGGATAACACACTTTCCCCTACTTTACCCACAACTTTGCTAATTCTACACCAATTTATCTCCCCTTTCGGAGACATCCTACTTATAGCCTTCCCTTCCTCGGAAACATGACGGTCCCCCAGCAGACGATCGCGATCATCGGCAGTGGCTAGGGAGGTTATATCCTGGCGCATACGCTGGATACTGGCAAATATAAAGTAATGGTGATTTCGCCCGAGGCTTCCGCAGCCATCACCCTACTTCTGGCCAGTGCAGCCTGCGGCCTGTGTTACTCGAAACTGGCCCAGGAGCCTATTCGACGCAAGCAACTCGATGTGCAATACGTTAAGGCCTGTGTCCAAGACATTCAGTTTAAGGAAAAGACCTTATTCTGTCAGCCTGCGTTTGATTCGCTTAAAGACGAGCAATTCAAGATCTTTTACGACGAGGTGGTGATCACTCTTGGCTGCTCGACCAATACCTTCAATACCCCCGGCGTCGATGAGCACGTCTTCATGGTGAAGAACGACAGTGATGCCAATATCATCCGCGACAAGATCAATGAAATCCTCGGATTGCCTCCCTACTTTGCACCACGGAGAACCAGCAGAGGCAGCTCCTGCACATTGCCATTGTCGTTGGCGGACCAACAGGAATTGAAATCGCCGCCGAGTTGACCGACCTATTTGTGGGCGATCTAATGAAGCTTTACCAACATCTGCGGGGGAAGGCCTCTGTGAAGGTTCACGATGTTGCGCCGAACATTCTAACTCCATTTGATCAAAAGCTCTCCAAATACGCCCAGGAGTCTCTACAGAAGCACAAGGCCGAGATCAAGGTCAGCTCGCATATCACAAACGTCACAACTGATACTATTGAAACCAGAAAATACGGCAAGATTGCCTATGGCATTCTAATCTGGGCCGCAGGGAACACACAGAGACCCTTCCAGACTAGCTCAATACTATAAAATCTACCCACGGCCTTAGACGAATCCTCACTGATGTCGCCGTCCAGAAAGCGGCATATCTGGCTCATTCGATCAATTCCGTCGCTGCCAGCAGAATAATCGAGCCATCTAAGTACCAGCAACATGTCCTGGTCACGTACACCGGTGCCGGTGATGGTGTGATCATGAGAAGACGCAGTCACGAATATACCGGGTATGGAGCCTGGCTGAGCTGGCGATCAGGTAATTCCTTCTGGACTCGTTCCTGGAAGCGAAAGTTTATGATATTTTTGGCTTGAATCATGGATTGGGTTGATGGGTGAGAGATGGTTCGTTTCCAAAAAAGGTCATCTATGATTACATACATTAATTGAAAAGTACTTAATGCTTTTGTGTATATTGATATAAAGAAGAGGGAGTTTTGGGGCGTTAGAAACTAACGTTCCTTGTAAAAAAGAGAAGACGAAAACAAATCCTCGGTATTAGTTGTGAAGAGTCATGAAGAGGACGTTTTCCGAGCATCTAAAAAACGGTACCAGCGATCCATGCGTTAACTTCCCGCAGATAGAAGCATCGGAGACATGTCGATCGGTGGTCTGATTTCGTAGTTTGGTTGAAAGCCACTTCTCAATGATGCTTTGCGTCAACCTCGTGTTCATTTGCACCCCATACCCGTGGAGGCCCATCATAGTGGCTTGGCCCTAGTATTCGGCTCAGCCGGAAATGGCGTTTCTATTGATCGGGTCGTAATTAAAAAACATGACGAGCTGAGATTAAAGAGTTCCACATAGATGATAGTATTCGGGTGAATCTCGAGAGGGTATCTATCCACTATCTGTTTCCCACTTACTACTTACGTTTAGATCCCTATCAATTGCCAGAATCAGGGATAATAAACTACAGAGTTTTTCGCGCAGAGTCTCACGGAATACCGTGTTCCATTAAATACCGCAGTTTATAGGGTATTTCAACTTCCTATCCGGGTGGCATGGTTGAATGCATCCATATCGATATATTTAGTCATTCGTCGTCACAATTCACAATCTTCAAACCTTGGAAGGTGTCACATCATACTCTACGTCCGTCCTAATGATGTATTTGGCGCCATTTCTAACTCCTGTGCCTTCATGTAACAAAGCCCCATTTGACTCTCCATGTGGGAATATCGCAACGGAACCCATAACTGGCCTCACAGGGTAACCGTTGAGTTTTCCCTCCTGAGCGGCTGGCATAAAGAAAGTTGTCTCTCCGCCCTCAAACTCATCATTGAGGTATAGTAGGAACGTGTACATTGAACTCTGCTTGTTCTCTTCAGGCGAAGAGTCGTACACATACGTGTCATCGGGCGTAATTCCGGACGGTGGCCACGCTCCGTCAATATGACACCGGTATTCGGCGCCGGGGACATATCGATAAACACGGAATCGTCGATTGATGCCTCGCACCAGACGTCCATTGATAGATGGTGGCACGTATTGCGAGACCCGCGCCCAAAGTAAATCATGGAAAGTGGTATCAATCACCCAATAAAAATTGTGAGCCAAGATACTCATGTCTCCATCCTCGCGAAGAGGCGCGTCGGGTAGAAAATTGACTGATTCACCGGCGGCGATAATTGCTTTACACTCTTCGGGAGAGAGTACGTTCATGGCAAGACCGAGACCCGGCACAGCAGGATGTGCGTGGTATTTAATGGAAGGACTAGTGGGAGCCAACGGGATTGCATTGGGAGACGTTGTATAGAGGATGGCGGGGTGGTGGTTTGGAGGTTTCCGCAATGGGCCGGGGGTCCGCTCGATAACACGCAGGGCGGAAGGAGACTGTGGTGCGTAGGCAAAAATAGACTCGTCGAGGACAGATTCGTAGATGGGGAGTGGTTCCGTCGAGGGACGCAGGTCCCAGACAGGCTGAAACGCGATCGGAGATATCGAGTTGACGACATTTGGGTTGGTATCAATGGGGGTGCTGACACGTAAAATGGCGTCCAGAACGCCCAAAATTTCCATTTCTCTTGAACTGCGCTCAATGGGGGTATGGTCAAGTTCTTGTGGCTGAGTAGACAGTCCACTGACGACATCCAGATCTCGCACCCAACGACACAAGGCTCCGATCTTAGGTTGTTGACCTCGGATCCTCATCTCGGCAAGGAGAATCTTCGCTTCGATAAATTTCTCATCGACGAGAGCTGCGGTTATTCGTGCTGTGAGGTTTGCACCGTCTACTGGAGGAGTAAACATTTAGTTATGAAAGTACGGTAGCCACTGCAGTAACGTACCAGTTGTGTTTACACCTGTAGTGCAGGCCTGACGAAATTCGTAGACCGCGACTCGAATATCTTTGCATGCCTTGGACTTGGTCAAGCTGGGATGCTGTGAAAGAGTCGTAAGCGTCTCAATGGTGATGTCGAGTTCTTCGTCTGAGACAATTGTCTTTATGTTTGTGGGCTCCTGTGCGACATCCGGTGGTGGTGTGAGGGCGGAAGCCTTTGGAAGCTTTTGGGGTATTTCAATCTGAGCATTGCGCTTGCGCTTAGCAGCTTTAGATTTCGCCATGATTGTATATGTAGTGATATAGTGAATTGATCTGAATGAAGGTGAAAAATCATGGCCAGGCGAAGTTTGGCCCAGATTTTGGCTTATGTAACTCGGATCTTCCTACAGGGCTCCGCGACGATTTTGCCGATTTGCCACTTTTACCACCACACTTAGTTACGGAGAACTGTATGACTACATATTTGGTGTATGCATTGCTTAATTCTAATGTCAAAAAAGAGCTCGTGGTGGAATCCTGTGGGATTCTGATAGCGCGAGCTCAGTTCATATATCGAACCTTCAGTGGGCGGGTGGTCCTCATACATTTGGGCCTGGTATGTCGATGAATATGAAGGTGTTCACTTCGACCCATACAGAGTTTATCTTGAACTGTTGCTAGATGTCTTACTTTGATGTTCTTTTGTCTAGGGCAACGTTCCAATCGCGCTTAAACTCAAATATCTTTTTCAATGATATCGAATTGAGCTTGTATCAGCGAAGAGAATATTCTACTTATTTTCACGAACAAGTCTAGTCACCATCAACTCGCTCGTTCAAATTAGCACGAGGTCTTCGGTTCCTCGATTCCTGGGAAGCGCTAGTAGCATACAATAAACCAACAATCAATCCCGTTCACACCTTTCTGACGTATTCTCCCAAGGTTGATTTAATGATACCATTTTTATGATTTCCTTATTTTTATCCAATAGGTATGTTTTCTCCACACTTCGAATTTTGAGCGGAGTCGAACATCTCAACTTCAATAGCATTCGTCAGACTTGTTCCTGACACAGAGATATATACAAGTTTCAATCTTATTGGAAATCCCATTGATTCATCCAATTATCCATAAGAGCAAGACCGATTGCCTCTAGTTGTCTGAGTGTCTTGCTCGCCTCCTGGGTTTTCGTGGTTTCGGTCCATGGGCCTGGCTCGTCAGCCATTGCAATTGCTTTAAAAAAGTCCAGAATCTTGAGTGCAGGCTTATTTCGAAGATCCTCTTCCGTTGCATTGGTGAATGAGTCCAGAGTTTGCAGCCAATGTTGCAAAGGGACTGGTTCAACTTCAAAGTGTTTGGTCACAGCAGGAACGAGAGACTGCCAATCCGCCGTCTTTGGGTTCACAATATGGAAGGCGGCACAGAGCTCCTGATCCTGTGTTATACGCCGCGTGCGTACAATATCCGTGATCACTTTCGCAGTTACATCCTAGCAGAATCAGCCGCTAGACATAAAGGGGTCGGTATCTTGGGGATGAACTTACCACCGGAACCCATTGCACAGATACAGATCCCAATGACAAGGGAATTTGCTTGATAGTCTTCGATGTTGCAATCAATGATGGTACCCACTCCTGTTTGTTCCACATTCCCTTCTTCGTGGTTGGACCACCGATCTGGCCTACCCGATGAATGCTAGTTGGCACACCACACTTTGCCGATGCAGTAGCGCAAATTCGTTCAGACACATGCTTTGATTCACCGTAACCTTGGCGAAGAGCAACAGTGGGATCGGTGAAGATCATCTCTGGGATAGAAGGCCCCTCCTCGGGACTATACCCTTCAATGGTTGAGATAGAAGAAACGAAATGAATATGCGCAGTCTTCTCACTTGCAACGCTGAAGTCAACTAACCGGCGAACCCCTTGAATATGCGGATCCTCAAATGCCTCAACTTGGTGGTTGAAGTTAACTTTCCAGGCGTTGTGAATTATGGTATCAACTTCCTGCAGAAGAATATCGTACTTCTCTTCGTCAAGCCCAAGCCGTTCTGATCCGAATTTAGCCTCAAGGAATTCCACGCGACGTGATAAATGATTCAATCGCGTAAGCCCCTTTTCTTGCAAACTCTTCAGCTGTCTTGAAGCAGCATCCGAGGACCGATTCAGGCAGTAGACCTTTGATACACTGAGATCCTGTAGAAGTTCATACAACAAATATGTTCCCAATGACCCAGTTGATCCTGTCAAAATGACCGCATGGCTCTCACCGAGGTCATCAGAGTATCTGGACACAAGTTCGGCTATGCGGATCTCTCTATCATGGTCGTTTTCGAGTATAGATGACGCAGGTGGCGAGTCTTGCCCCTGCAATAGATTTAAAACATATTCAGAGAGGTGAGAGATAGTCGGGTGCGAATACAACTGCTGATTGTTGAATGCTGCCGCTGTTACATCTGGCTTCGCAGTTTTCAGAGCACCTTGCAAGATTTGACCTAAGCGGAGCGTTTGTAGGGAATCGACACCCAAAGCAAATATGTCCGCGTTTTCGTCAACTGAGGCGATGGATAGAATATCTTCAAGAACGGTGGTAATATATGCCTTGATGTCTGAATTCGATGCGTCTTTAGAAATTTGTGTGATGTCTTTCTCATCTTGGCTCGCATAAAGAGCTTCGATCTCGTCAGTGTAGTCTTTCAACACTGATCGCCGCTGAATTGTTCCCTTCGGAGTAAGAGTGAATGGTTTCGAAGGGGAGGCTAGTCCGATGCGGTCCCTCATGAGCCGGGCGTGGGTAGGAGCAGCATCATTTGCTTTCTGAATCACTGGCCAAATCTCGTCTACCAGGGATTCCTTTTCACCCTTCCAGGCATCCCAGTCAGGCTCCAATAAAGCGCTAGACTGAAATCGACCCTGACCCAAGATAAGCGCGCGGGCAATAAGTGGGTGTGAAGAAATGAGTTCCTCCATGGAAGTTGGATTGAACTTCTCACCATTGCTCAACACAATAACATCATCTAATCTTCCCTGATACAGCCAAAGTCCCTCCTTTTCAGGATGTTCCGTGAAAATGTCGCCGGTACGATACTCCTGCGTTTCGGGGTACGTATGAAAGACAGATTGTGCTTCCCGGCTTTTGCCACGGGGCACCACAAGTTCGTAAAAGTTGTCGCCGATGTCGCGCATCTCAAGGCCGTGAGCTGGGTTCCATTCGAGGTATTTCCAGTCGCTTTTGTCTGTATGTTTCAATGTTGCAAATAGGCCACATTCGCTTGATCCCAGAACGGATTGAATATGAGTTATCTCCGATATACGATCGCCAACTTCAGACGCCAGAGGGGCGCCTCCAAAAGCTATCATGCGGAACTCTTTCAGAACACTCATGCCGGTGTGTGATGAACTGAGTTCTTCTAGGATAGATGGTGGAAGGATGGCTGTCTCTGGCTGCTTCTCTTTAACTATTTGAGAGAGCAAATCTGTCGTCAAGGGCTTGTCTGGGCTGAGAATAAAGGGAGTCGAGAAAAGTATAGGCGTGACCATATTAAGGACGCCCATAAAGTGGAAAAATGGGCTCACTGTGAAGAACAGCTTGCCTGGTTCTGCAACAGCTACGAGGCTGCTGTCTCTATCGTCTGGCAGAGGTAATAGTCCAGTCTTTGGTTCGGTTCAGATGACAGAGGTCAGCTAAAGGGTTAGTTGTTGAGGCATGACTGGGGGCTCTCACATTTTCGATCGCTTTGAAATATCCATTCGTCATCGGAACTGGCTTGGGTAAGCCTATATAATGAATATTCGAGTGATCAGCTTCGCAAGTCCCATATTTAGCTACTTTAAATTGGGAGACTAACCGGTCGTTCCAGAGCTATGGATATAAACCGCTACTCTTTCTTCCAAATCGCTGATCGGCTTGGTTATCTGAATGGCCACACCACTTTTGTTGCTCACAAAGATATCCCAGAGGCCAGGAACCTCCCAGGCTTGGATAGAAGCGTTCGTAGATTTCAACATATCCACTTGCCGGGAGCGCTCAGGGCTATACAAAATCCTGACACAGTTCGTAGCACCCAACACATGAGTTGAAGCTTTCTCAGAATTCCGAGGAGATAGCAATAGGGCCTTTGGGATTGTCAGGCATCGCAACCATCGAAGCGTATAAAATTCAGGGATTTACCGTGTGTTGCAGCCTCATGCAGGCAAAGACAAATGCAGCATAGCGGATATCATTGGAACCTAGATAAGCCAGTGTCAAAGGCTCGCTAGAAGATGAAACTTCAGTCTGAATCCAGAGTACCATATTCTGAATAGCATTTGCTAGATCAGCAAAAGAGACGTCTTTCCAGCCATCCAATATATCGGTCGAGGTGGGCTGGATGCAGTAGAGTCGATCGGGTTGTTCTGCGACAATTTTGTCCAGGGTCCACAGCACCGTGCGTTGACCAAGGTCGATTGATCCCATTTTGAGAATTGTTGAAAGTAAAGTTGAATGGGCAGTGGGCAATAGATAGATGTACAACAGCGGGCATCTTATAGCTTTCTTAATCCCTCGGATTTCACCCATATATCACGAGCGTGTGATACCTGCACCTGCAGATCTCGTAATATGCAACATGATCGCACAGGTCTTGCAGTTTAAGTCACACTTCTGAGGGGTTTGCATAACCAGTGTGGGGGAGGGATCGACACGACATGCATGTATGTATTGGACATCAATTCAAACTGCGGATCTTGATTTGGAAGAATTAGCCTGATCAGACTGGAGCCCCGCCCGAGAGCCCATCTTCTTTCAGTATGAGGCCTTCTGAAAAGAGAAGTTAACACTCTTGGTACTTGTTCACGGTACATATATGATTATGCCAGTTGAGGTAAGTTCAAGTGTGATATAATACAAAGACAGATGACACAGTGGTGGATTCAACTGCAGCTTGATATTTGGATCATATGGCGGTGTGAGCTAACAATGATGACCTGTGATTTTCAGCTTCTCTTACCGAAGAAATGGCCCTGATTGACTCATGCAGTTCAGAGGTAGAGCCAACCATTAGCGCCATTTTGAGTTAAGAAGTCTGCCAGCCTCGATGCGACTAGAGTAATGATTTGGTTCGGCATAGCCCCTTGCAAGGAATAGAGTTACCACCAAGCGTTGAGGATGCACATTAAAAAAAGCAAACAATCAGAAAAAGCGATACATCAGAAATTGACGGTGATCTCCATGGCACTTCAGCCCATACGTTCGTCCATCACATGCACGAAGTGAAGCCCAGTATTCAGCTCGTTAACCTCACGGGCGCACAGACCTTCTCTTCAGCTATAGTCAGCTGTGCCACATACCGCAAGGCTGCTATAGGCGTGGGGCTTGCAGAAGTTAGTACGGCTGGAGGATAAACATCTTTGCGTAGCGATTATTTCATAGCGAAGATGTCGATTTGTCTCTCTCGCAGTCATGAATTGTTCCAGGGATGCAAAAATTTCTTCTCCCCGTTGACTATCATTTCACACATGAGCAATACAATGCTGCGATATTCATATAACACGACTGGCGTGTTTTATTTGCCTGCGGCCAGAGGAAATCACAAGTTATGGAATCTGATTATTCCAGGGTCCTGTGGAGCTTTTGCTTGGAATTTTCCATCTTTTGATGTATGGTGCGTCCCTTTCTTTTTGTTTTGGTATAGCCTTCGATTCCAGCCAACATAATGTAGGACTTACTCATAGAAACGTGGGACATATCGACACCTTGCCGCTGCAGAGCATGGTGAAAAGCACGAAAGTTGGCGGCCGGGGGACGATAATGACCACTGGAGATGTTAGTTTTCTTGTTCTTGATCTAGACTTGTTTTGCAGAACAAATCAAGAGTATTAAACCCCGATTTTCTGTTACTCGTACCTCATTGGCGCCAGGCTTCGTAATTGGCCGTGCTTTATCTTAATCATTCCGGCCGCTGCAATGCGGGCACCTCGGAGAAAGGACGAGTGCTGGAAAGCTCCAGGCTTTTTTATGCCAACGTACAAACGAAAAGAGGTGTCTGCAACCTAAGGATCATTTAGTCCACGTCCAGCATTTTGATGACGAGAGATGCTCAGATGCCCGACTTACGAATATCCACATATTTTCTTTTTCGGAAGATCTGCCGAAAAGACGCTTGAAAGCAGCTGCTGGGTTTGCATGCGTCACCTTCTTCATGAGCTTGGCAGCTTTGTACTCCTCATCGGTGACTTGTTTCTTGCCATCGTTCGAAAGAACACTGCCGAGGCTTTGGACACCAGATGAGGATGATGAGCATGAAGAGCTGGACGATGATGATCGGCTGGTAGAGTCCACTTCGAATGTCGCTGAATTTCCATTGAATTGGGGTGCATCATCATTAACGCTGACTACCCCATTAAGACTGTCTTTGAAATGTGCCGTACTTGTCCAAACTAGCTCATTTGTTTTGGCCCATCGGAACAGTCCAGCTTCGTCCACTGTCACTAGATAATTCATGCGTTCTTCGCGGGTGAGATACCGGACTTGTTCTCTCTCAAGTCGATCGCGCGGGCATTGAGGAATTTCCACGCTCTTCCCATCACCATGGTCCAGCCAGTAAAAGAAGTTTTCGTCAGATGATGAATTCCGCCAAAATGTGTGGTACGCGCGCAGGTTGCTTCCATGCCGATGTTTGAGATCTACCATTTCGAGAAAATATTGTAGATCCATCATCTTCGCCGTAATTCCTGATGCGATTTCCTCGCTGTTTTCCGGTCGACCCTCTGTGGGAGGCGAAGGCTCCGAAACACGATCGTCATCACCGCCAGCTCGTTTAGCGACACTCACAGCTCGTTGCCAGTTCCGACGTGCTTGATTGAATCCTTCATCGTGGGGAGTCTCTCGAGATTGGGGGGGCCGATGTAGTTGCTGCCACTGGGCTTCCCTAAAGGCCTAAAGCAGAATAAATCAGTTACCAACTTTCACACCAAAGAAGAAAAACAATCTTACCTCCACCCATCGCGTAGAAGTAGTCAAGCCACATCCACGAAGTTCACGACGCGTTCGGTGGCCGCGATAAACCCTCTGGGAACGAATTTGTTAGCCAAAAGAAATAGTCAACGTCGACTTGTTGGTACCTGGACCATTCGCGCGGCCTGTGTGACGTCATTCGAAATGGTTTCCGTGTCGGAAACCGTCATTGTGTGATTCAAAAAAAAATGTGTGTAGGGAAAATATTAGGGAAATCAAATGATCTTATGCAATAACAAAAGATCTAGTAAAGGGTGAAGTGACAAGGCTGCAAGGCTGAATTGAAAGGCGTAGGGAAAAGATCGAGATCAAGATTTTGGTCCGCGGGGGAATTGTCTCTAGGGCTTGGAAGTACAATTCAATATTGTACATTGTACTCCGTGTAGAGTCAATTTGTGTATACAAAGTAGTATAGCCTAATAGAGCATAATTGAGCAGATATATATGAGAACGTAATATTTTTGTGAATAAAATTTTGTCTGGGTTGTGTTAAGCTACACATACTAAATATATTTTGATTTCCATAGGAATTTTTCACGAGAGAAAGAAGAAACACTCGGAGCTATCTCTCAGGAAGAGATAAATAAATATCCATCCTACACACGTGTGCTCCGTATGATCCGATACATTGCGATATTATTCCCGGGATAGGTCCCGAGTCTGACCGGGAAAAAGTTTCCACATTAAGATCTAAAATTCGCAATTAGACAACATTATACGATGTTTGTATGTAGCATCTTATTTCTAGCGTGGGAATGTCTCCCACTAGCAACTAGCTCGTGGTGGATTTTACTATCTAATCACCTTGGGGAATCGGCATGCATCCGATCACGGGAAAATACCCCTCGTGAGGAGTATGAGGGGATATATGCTATATATCAATATCTTGGGCTGATTTAGTTCCTTCTTTTTTGAATAGTTCTGTCTATCATCATCAAAGATTTCTTGTCCTTGGCTATATCAGTTTATTCAAAACATCATTATGGCACGTCTTCATCCTCTCATCGACAATGGCATCACTGCTGGTTCTGATAGCTTTCCCGGTGGAAAGCTCCGCTGCCACTGCCCCTCAGACCAAGTGGAGGTCACCTTGCGCAGTAATGTTGCTCATAATCATGCTTGCGGCTGCTCAAAGTGCTGGAAGCCAACCGGTTCCCTCTTCTCTGTCGTCGGCGTTGTGCCCCGTGACGCTGTCTCTGTGACGGCAAACGCATCCAAGCTTACAATTGTTGACAAGGACGCTACTATTCAACGAAACGCTTGCAAGGACTGTGGAGTCCATCTCTTTGGTCGAATCGAGAAAGATCACCCTTTCAAGGGACTCGACTTTGTCCACGCCGAATTGTCCAGCGAAAAGGGATGGCAGGAACCACAGTTCGCAGCATTCGTATCATCTATCATTGAGCAGGGTACCAGTCCTAAAGAGATGGATGGGGTGCGAGCCAAATTGAATTCCGTTGGACTGCAGACATACGACGTCTTGTCCCCAGCTCTAATGGATTTGATTTCCACTTTCACTGCACAGAAGGCAGGTGTTCGGTTTGCCAATCTGTGATATAGTCCTCTGGCATGCCCTAGGAATATGTACTTTGCGGTGGTTGGTGTTGACAGGTTGGGGTGGCTATGGAGTTTGTGACGAAAACATAAAAGTGAAGAGCGTATTGGGCATTCGTCAGTCTCAAAATATGAAGATCAATGACATTCAAAATGATGATCTATCTGTATTCTGTAGAAGCTAAATGCTTTCGATGTCCGATCCCAGGTCGATGGCCCGAGAATCTTCGACATCGATATCTCCATCTTCTTTCTCGAGACATAAATCTAGAGGCTCTTGCTTCAGAGTGATTTGAACTAGGTAAAATAAGCTTCTGTCCTCAATGGCGATAAGCTAGTTGAAGTAAAATTTAACAAAGAATAAGGGTTACTGAACAGTATACTCCGTAGCCAAACTCCTTAGTCAAATCAAATAGAAGACACTACTACTAAAAGATAGTGGCGCTGTGTACGCCAACCCTTCATAGCTGATCATATTCTTCAAAATATTTGTAATTAACATAGATTGACTATATTTTCCTGAGTGTCAGAGTTGCATTATTCTCCCAGACCGACAACAATTGTCTAGTCACTATTTATATTCGTGCTTTGAGCTTCTCTGCTGTCTCTCGTAACGGCCATTCATGCTTTGTCTTACTATGCACGCGTTCACCATCTTCAGGCATAATATATCGAGCTTCCACGGCTGGATTATATCCCAGGCCACAAACTCTCTTGACCTCCTCATCTGAAACGACATGGTTCACCTTTCCGTCAGCTCGCTTATAAATAGTGACAACCACCGCTCCTCCTAACCCAAGATTGTGTTGTAAAGCGACATCAACGTCAGGAACAAGACGGTTGTTGGCCCAGCCGCGGAGCTGCCAGGTGAGTTCCGCACACTGAGCTAACCCAGTGGCGCCTAGAGGGTGACCTTTGGAAATCAGTCCTCCTGATGGATTCACCACTAGGCCACGACCTCCATACGTGATATCGCCCCGCCGTACCATCTCATGCGCCTTCCCTGGTTCTGAAAACCCCAGCGCATCAAGCAAAAGAAGCTCGTTGGTAGAAAAGCAATCGTGAAGTTCGCAAACCTTGACATCCTTTGCTTCAACGCCAGCTTCTTGCATCGCTAGCTGTGCAGCTTGGCGCGACATACTGAATCCGACAAGATCTATGGCACTTCCAGAATACACCTCCGGTCCATCGGTGAGTAGCTGCTGGCCAGCCATGAGGATGGCCTGCGATTTCAGGTGAGGACGTGCATCCAAGAATCCTTGCGATACAATGACTGCCGCTGCGGCTCCATCGCTAGTTGGAGAGCATTGAAGCTTGGTCAAAGGGCCATAGATCTGAGTCTTGGGGTCCAAGATCTGCTCTAGACTGTAGGAAGTTCGAAATTGGGCGTATGGATTTCGCTGTGAGTGCTCATGAGATACACGAGCAATCTCAGCGAAATCTTCCACTTTAGCTCCGTATCTATTATCGCTGTCAGCACGATCAATGCCTATGGGGAGCTCAGGTGCGGGTGCATGGTCTGGGCTAACGTCTTACTTCTGCATGTACTCATTTCCAGCATTGCCAAAGTACTGAGCATTTCGGGGACTTTGGTGTTTGCCATATGTCTCCTCCATCAATTTCGTTGATGGACCCATTGGGCTAGGCCGATCATCCCACACACTTTTGATTGACCCTGGGCGCATTTGCTCGAAACCAACAACGAGGATGCAATCAGACTGACCTCCCCTTACTAGGGTGCGTGCAAGATGAAGCCCAGTCGATCCCGTGGCGCAGGCATTGTTAATGTTGTAGATAGGGATCCCAGTCATTCCTAACTGGTACATGATCCGTTGCCCTGAAGTCGTGTCGCCGTAGCAGTAACACGCCACACCTGCTTGTACATCATCATAGGTAATGTGTGCATCAGTCAGTGCCTTTACTGCTGCTTCATAACCTAGCTCGGGATCTAAATGTTAGAGTTATGGTGAGCATTCCATATGCTGTGGCGGTCCGAGCAATCTCACATTCACGGATTCGACGTGGCTTTAGGAACTGGGTCAACCCTACACCCAAAACGTAAGACTGCGAAGCCATGATGGGTTTGGACTTTGGTGTCGTGTTTGTGACACCCGATCACCATCCGCACTATTCTATATAAGGTGGGTAGTTAGCCGAGCTCCCGAGGTATATTGTCTTCCCCTCTTTTCAGCATGCTGAGTATGAAGCCGACTGATCAACATGATCTTCATTGGTCATTTGGCAATATCCATTTTCATGCAGCCTATTTAGCTCAGTAGATTTGTGTTGAAGTTTTCCAAGCTTTCCCCACTAACCGCAAATTCTGTGGCGGCTTAGGAGTCTATATCTACAAGACATTGCTTCCTATACCATTAGCTAGCTACAAGGGAAAATTGTGAAAAACTTCTTGACATAGCAGCTGCCGCCAGCTAGACATCTCGAGCTATCTGTTCCAAAAGCAAAGGTGGTGTTTCCGGTTACCATCAATAAAGAAAGCAACGAAACTCGCTCGCTCCTGAAGCACATTGGGAAGCACATGCTATATTTTCCTGTTTTGACGATCAACCCAGCTTGCTAGTGACTATAATCACTGGAGACGGGGTTAAAGTCTTTTATGCAGTTTAAAATTTGATCTCGCCGGAGACTTAAGACCATGGATCAAAAGACCATGGATCAAAAGACCATGGGTCAATTGACAGTGATGAACCACCCACCCACGGGTCATGGATCTCAGCCATCGGCATTTTGCAAACGAATTCTAGCGATTGCCCATCTCATACCGATCAGTAATCGATACAGTTTCGTTCGTACTCGTGATAATCCCCGTTTCCTTGGATCTAAAGTCTACACGTTGGGCCTACAATACCCGGGTCAATCCAAAGATCAAAACCAGAGAATATTTCCCCATCGGCAAGCCATGACCTTCTACCATTTGCATCTGACTTTTGCTGAAGTGTGAGACTCGCTAAGGCTTTTGCACTTGTAATTTGAGGACCCTTTTGCATACAAGAACTACTGGACAAATATCTAGACGCAAGCGACTGAATCAATATCGTTGACCAATATCGGCCAAGCCATAGATCAAAGGCACTCATACTGGATGTGCAATATACCCAACGCTATTGAAAACCACATTTAGTGCTGGTAGCTATATGCTTTCGCAAAGAGGACAGGAAAATCGAGTTTATCCAACCATTACCAACGTGTATAAGAAATCAAAGATTGGTTTAGGTTTCTTTTCCTCCATGTCATCACGATCCTGGTTTCATCAAAACCAGTAGTAAATACCACGATCCACGTCCTTCTTGAGCCTTTCGCTCACTTTCAGATATCCATCTTTTGACAAAGCCTGAAAGTCTTGGATAATGAGTTCGGCCACAATTCCCCCAAATAAAACACTGCCAGGAACATTCAAATGGGTATAATCGGTCGGATTCAAGTTGTATGTATAAGCATTGTCCGGCCCAATTGCATTCAGATACCTGGTGCTGGCTTTGTTCAAATCAATGAAGCTGGCACCGGATCTATGAGCAGCACTGATTGTAGCGGCTGTTTCGTTGGCGAGGCTAAGTATGATTTGTGGAGTGCCTGTTGAATTGTCGTAATTGCGTCGAGACAAGGGGGTAACGAGAATCGGCGTTGCTCCAGCATCGAAGACTTCTGCCACAAATCGTTCAAGATTGCTTGCATACTGCGACAATGAAATATTTGCAGCCGGCTTCTGATCATTGTGTCCAAATTGGATAGTCACAAATGGGCGATAAATGTCTTTCACTTGTTTTACAGTAGCCAGAACCACATCCCAGTCGCCTCCAGTGCGAAAGCTGACTGTAGTCGCACCATTATGCCCGAAATTTTGCCCAGTTGCATTTCGAAACAATGTTGTATTGAGAAAGCCGTCACCCCACCCACCTCCACCGGCGGATTGCGTAGCAGTGGTGCTATCTCCTGCTAGAACAAAAAATGGGGGCTTCGAGGGGCTCAGGGAATTGAGTTGATAGGCCCGAGAGGAAGAGGATATCATACCAAGAAGAACTAATGCGGCAGCTTTCAATATAAACCCCATTTCTGCTATCGATTATAAGAGTTGCTCTAGTTATTTGTGGGATTAGAAGGAAGGCTTGATGTGGACAAATTGTTGATTATAGGCTGGTATGTCACTGGACTTATTATAGTCCATCACATTACGCATCTTCCACCAACAGGAGAAATTGAAACGGTGCAAGGGGATTGTCCATCCACAGCAGGGAGGCGATTTGCGGGGTTTCGCGAGGCGGGTGATGACATTCCGGTCAAAGCAAGGGTATGCTCGCGTTGAAATACACCGAAACCTTTGCAGTCAGGGATATTTATCCATCGGGATTATAGAGGTGATTACGAGTTATACGAATTGGGTTTCGAATCTTGCCCAGTCCTAGCAACCTCCATTATAGGATGTTCCGGTCATGAAACCCTACGGTCGCGCGTTTCAGTTCAAGATGGAGATATAATCATCACTTAAGACTCTCATTAATCTCCAAGATAGTTCAAGCCTTGAGAACCGTTGATACAATTTCCGCTACAGCAAGGAGTTCCTCATCATGCATGTTTCTACCGACGAGTTGTACACAGCACGGAGCGCCCTCGATAGCATCAGCAATATCTCAACATCGAAATTAGCATTTCAAACAAAGAAAACGGAGACGTGATAGTACAGGCGAAGCTTACAAGGGGGTTGGTAGTGACAATCGCGAATAAATCCCACATCTTCTTTCTCGTTCGCTTGTCCATACGGAATGATGCAGCTTGGGTACTTGAAGGGTGAGCATAACATTATGAAGCTAGCGTGGCAACACTTACATCCATCACATTCCAGACAACAGTGTACGGTGGGAAGCCGAATTGATCATGTGGCTGAGCAGTACCTTGGTAGCCTGGCATGATAATAGCATCCAATTTTTCCCGAAGAAATAGGGAGCGGAACTCCTCCTTCAGACGATTCCGTTGTTCATTCAGATCATACAAAGCTTCCAGCGTCAGATCCGCATATTCATATGGCATGATGGCCTGGGGTAGGGACGTTGAATCTAACGCTGGAATAGTTGGTTCTCCACTTGCGGCAATGTGTTTGAATGCGGTTCGAGCCGGATCCATCGAGAACATACGAAATGCCAGTAGGCAGGCATCTCGGATAGGCAAGGTTTTGAGGGGAACGATCTCGTGGCCCATCGAGTCCAACTTTTTCGATGCTGCTGTAAGATTTCGTAGAACCGGTGGGTGCAAGGGGAAACTAGGGTCTTCTTGAACAAGTCCTAACCGAATAATCTTCTTCGGGACCACAGTGCGCCATGGAGAAAATATGACCGACGAGTCCAACTGCCATGGGTCTGCAGTAGTCATTAAACTCATGAAGAGCTCCAAGTCCCTCACAGATGTTGCCAATGGCCCAGCACAAGGCCTGATCCCAGTGAGTCCCCCACGAGAAGAGCTCGTTTGACCCCCATACGGAATGCGGTCTGCCGAAGGTCGCAATGCATATGTTCCGTTGCAAATAGCGGGAATTCTGATAGACCCAGCGATGTCCGTTCCAACTCCAAGTACTGATCCCCTCATAGCTATCAATGCACCTTCTCCTCCAGATGAGCCCCCGGCGGTAAGATTTGACCGATAGGGATTCAGGGTTCGGCCGAATATGTAGTTGTGTGAGTCTGCAGCCTGGTAATTTCAGCGGTTGTAGAAAGCCCAAGAAGTAGAGACCACGTACCATCATTGTCTGCGGGATATTTGTTTTCACGTATGGAATCGCACCCAAGTCGATCAAGATTTGAACTGCCGGGGAATTTGCGTCGACTGGACCATTCTTGATAAAGGAAGTGAATCCAATTGTGGAAGAAACACCGTCGATGTTGAAGCAATCCTGCAGATCCCTTTTGTAAGCCCAAATGTCTGCTTACTAGGGTTCTCAATGATCGGGGACAGCGTTTGAACCTTGAAACTGATAGGTAATCCGTGCAGAGGCCCGACTGGTGTCCCTGTTTTGGATAGTATCTCATCCAGCTCCCTGGCACGTTCTAAAGCACGTTCAAAGAATGTCTCGGTAAGGCATCGAGTCTGCGTCGTGTAAATATCAGCTTTTCTATAGCGTGGTAGGTGAAACAGGCAAGTCGAAAACACACAACTTGCTGTGCAATCGCGGCGCGAATGCAAAAGGCTTCGGTAACTTCGTAGGCAGACAGTTCCCGCCTTTGAATTTTGCGGAGCAAATCAGTCGCATCATACTGTTCAGTAATTTCAAGCTGTCTTTCTGAGAGAATTCCAGACTGATGTGGAATATCTAGCACATTGATGCCTGACGTCTCAGATATCGTGATAAGGCGTTCTGGAAGACGCCATGCAGCAGGGATTTTGGAAGCAATTTCGTTTTGCTTCTTGAAGACAGTGGCTTCCCATGGTTCAGTCGCCATAGCTGAAAAGATGATGAAAGATTATTTTCAAGGGACAAGGTAAAGACTGGTTGATGCTTGTTGAAACTTGGAAGGTGGCCAAGCCAAGGTTGGGGATACGTTACTGCGGGGGAAGAGCAAATGAGTATACGTGCGAAGGTGCATAACGGCCAGGGGTTGGATTGAATTATCTCTGGATTGCTGCTTTAACATATGCTTGATTCTGACCGCCTTTTCCACTGCTCTATAAGGAGTATTGTAACCATTATCAAAATCACAATCCATTGTATACCTTTCACTTCTTTTTCTATCTTTTTGCACCATGGTGTCTGTTAAAATCTGGTATCTTAAGGCCGCAATCCCGGAAATAATTCAATCCGACCCCTGGCCGCTATGCACCTTCGTAGTACAGGCACATGTCTGTATTCAGCGTATTCCTACAGTTATTCCACATTTGGAAAGTCCAGCCTATGCCTGGCGCCAGCCTTGCAGAACTCAGATACACATAGAAGGTCCAGCCTGAAAAAAATTACAATTTCAGCCATTGAAATACAATATTGTAAGTAGATTGATAGACATTTGTTTCCATTTTGTTTTCGACAACTCAATGTCGTCCATTCAACCGTAATAACGCGCGCTATACATAGACCGAAAGCCCACTATTTGGCTGTTGCATCTCTATATTTAGTTCATTGTGATCACAGCGCGGAATCTGACCGTGCCTTGGATCATAGCGTCTGGTTATTCATTAGCGAAAGAATCACTTGATTCAACTAATGGATCCCTACCATATGCATCATTCGCTTTTTCCAGCGGGAAGGTCTGGACCATACAATCGATCCCTTCCAACTCAGTAAATTGAATGGCTTCTTCTGAATCCATTGCATGGCCGCTTGGCCAGGCATGGACCGATAATCCTCTCGATATCTGCATGCTTATTAGCAAAAACCTGGAGGGTTGAAAGGAATGCGGAACCAACCATCAATCTGGTGTCGAAAGCCACCTCCCCGGGAACTAAGAACTGATTAACATGTGTATCTGAGTATTTTGGTTTGTCTGACGTACCAGCAAGGATCAACAGCTTTCCTAAGATGCCAAGCCCCTTCAACAAGGGTGGAATCACCTTCGCGTCGGGTGCCGTTGCCACAATAAGTGACGCTCCTCCGAGCTTCTGCAATTCTTCGGCTGGGTTCTGTCTACTACCATCAATATACTCATGTGCTCCGAGTTCGCGGACGAATTTTTCTTTCTTGGAATCTCGAGATAGCGCCACTACGCGGTACCCAAACTTGTTTGCGTATTGAATTGCCAGGTGGCCTAGTCCCCCCAATCCCTGGATTGCGACCGTTGAGCCAGGCGGAACATTCATCCGTCTCATCGAGTTGAAAACGGTCACTCCAGCACAGAGGATAGGAGCATACTTTGAAGCTTCAACATGAGCAGGGATTCGGACTCCTGCCTCGGCACGCAAACTGCAATACTCGGCATCTACTGGGTCAGTATTCATATCCTTGTATGCGACAGAGAATACACACATCCTCCATTCTTTGTTACACCGTTGATGATTCCAAGATTGCACATTTGATAATGTCCCTTGCGGCATGCGGAACAAATACCTGTATATCCGTCAGCTACCTCCGCTTCAGCCTGAAAGGCAATCAAACGAACCGTCGTGGCCTCCATGCCATGCTCCACCAATTCGATCTCCGATGTGCCACTGTGAGACATCATCTCCAACCGCAGCGACCTCTCCGATAATCTCATGTCCCGGCACAATGGGGCTAAAACATATCAGTATATTATGTTGCAATGTGTAGTAAAACATACAAGGAGCCACGCATGCCATATGACTGGGCAATATGATCAGAGAAACAAACACCACATGCTTCAACCTTCACCAACACCTCACCGGAAGCCGGTAAAACCAAAGGAGTCTGTTCGACAGTAAGAGGACCTCCTGCCTCCTTGAACACGGCATGTTTGTAGGAAGTTGGAAGAACCATTGTGAATTTCAGGCAAAGGATTTAGTTGCAACTTTGAAAAAGAAGTATGCGATTCCAATAGCGAGATTGTGTGTTTATATTTCCTTTGGATCTCGGCACATCGTAGTTTCAGTTGGCGCGAGTCAGCAGCCACCAACGGAGATATCTGCTTATGCCGAAGCCGACACTCAACTTCGGCTTCCGACAATGTCCACAAATCCAGACCCGGCTTTCAGATTATTCCCGCTCCCAATTGAAGTTTCCATGTTTTGTTAATATGAGCAATATTCTCTTTGAATGAGTCATGGTCACGTCTAGTCGGCCTGGGTAGATATGGCCGGGGAAACCTGGCCTTGTGATAAGTCCGAAGAAACTGAAAATTCTCCTGACACATTCAATTGACTCCGAGTTGATTTACATCTCAACGATTATATACGTTAAATCAAGCACCACACGAGTCGAACGCAGCCAACTCGGCCCATTGATGCTCAAGCTCCTGTATTATCCATGACGTACGCCACCCTAGCACTCTCTCTACTTGAGACAAGAATCTCAGAGATCCTTGCTGTTCGACAGAGTTTCGAAGACAGTATCCAACTAATGTTTGATTAGCAAGTGGCAATTTGAATAAGGGTTGGGCACGAACAGCGCTGTAATAAATGGGACGCCATGAAATACGCATTCTCTACGCTTTCATTGGATAGTGAAAGCCCGATAACCATAACAAGGTGGCTGGCGATGGTTTTCTGGAAACGTCGATCAGTCCAGTAATTCTATCTCAGACCAACAACTTCGGTAGACATACCTCTTTCGCGCGCTTTGACAGAGCGATCTCATAATCACTCATATGGTGCGATGGGGTGTCAGACAAGGTGAGGAAGATACATGCGGAATGGTAATATTGCATCCCAACCACTATCTCCAGGGTGAGTTCTCTGGGAAAGACGAAATTGTCCTTGTCGAGGACGTACCTGCAGGTGGAGATATCATCCATAACTCAGGAAAGGGCCTATCGGCGGCCATATTGGCGGCCTGGTACCGAATAGGCTGCCAAGTCGACGGCTTTGTTTGGCTCCAGTCTTCAACACTTTCCGATATATGGCGCCAGGTATCGCGGTCCACGATCCGTTCCGGTGTATCACAGCATAATTGAAGGATACGAGCGCAATAATATATGATCATATTAGCGTATGCCATATCATCATGGCGTTGAAACATCGACGAGGACTCGTAATTTTGCATATCCAGTTGGAGAGGCTGGTACTGCACCACGGATGAATAGATAGCTTGGCGTAAGAATTGCCAACTCACTGCTTCTGCAACCCCGCCAGAAGATGCAGAGCGGGAGACAAGGTTCACCAGGCGATTGGATCCAAGTAGATGAAACTTCTGGTCGGTATTATTTTCCAGCTCTTCATATATACGGAGGATCACAACCGCAATGAGCATGTTCTCATCGCAGTGGGTCTCAGCTTCATTCAATGCTGCTATGAGTAACTTCAAGCATTCTCCATGGTAAGCCGAAGCTTCCCAGTCACTATCTTGCGCCAATATTGCATAGTGTCGTGCTGAGAGGGCCAAAATCGCTTTCAATACCAACGAGTTTTTCAACGCTCGTCTCGGGACTTCGGTGCTGAAATGGGAATGAATGTCGCAAATATCGGCCTATGGCGATCAGCCAGGTACCCCTTCCAGTTCTCGCTGGCAACTCACCCAAGGGGCAATTTTGTGAATAAAATAGCGCATCAATGATGCCTCCCTTAAAGATAAAACAATGCCATCTTCTGATAGTTGACTCAAAGGACTGCTTGTGGCGACCTGCAATCGATTCTCCAGTACTCGTGAGGTGTGAGGATCAACTATACGTTCGTCCGGGCAGCGTTCTTGGGGTTCTCGACGGGGGATATGCGGTATATGCAGTGGGTCAGGGGTATTGCAGTCCGGTAAGATTGTTGTCTCGTCGCCAGCGGATCCGTCGGTCGCTTCAAGTACAAATGTCACTGGGTCTGATTAGTACGAGTGTAAAGATGCACATTCCGAATACCTACCAGGTTGTGACACATCTACCCAAATCTGCTCCTCGTCCCAGTGTAAGTCAAATCGAGTATGAGCTCTATTTCCTTTCTGAAAAACATGGTGAACAGGCTTGAACTGAAACCGCGGATCAAGTTGACAGCTCCGACCAAGTCGGGAACACGGAGTGCAGGAGGATGCACCTGTTGGAATCACGCAACGGATATGACGATGGCGACACCGTCCACAGCCTTTACCTACTCGCATATGGTTTTCAACTCGGGATGGCTGCCATCGAGATTCAAATAAAGCCTAAACTCCGAACGCGATACCCCAAATCTTTCCAATCTTCCCCGCATTTTGCTGATGTCAGCAAGAAAAGGTTCAAGGCTCCACCACACCTTGCAAGGTTTCTACATCCATGGCTTATCACTCGTCATACCAAGGTCTTTTGAATGTATAATACAAAGGGTCGATGTATCTTCTTCTTGTGACTCGGGAGGGTTTATGATGTCAGTCGTGCATGTCAATGGAAATGGAAATATGAACCAGCCTCGGAGGTGGACCGACCAATTCTGCTGCCTACGCCATTTCTAATGTACATCATGTTCACAGCACAAAAATAGTAACATGGCTCCTGTGCCTAGCATAAATAAACGAACATCCTTCTACTGAGGTAGGTCGCATTCATCTGTGAGACTTAATCACTATAGCGAAACTGCATAACGCTCTTTAAGCAAAATAAATTCCGTCGTTTCTTCGGACTTAGGGTCAAAAGAAAAAAAAAAAAACAATACCGCCCTGCAAGCAAGCTACTATCTAGTCCGAGTAAACATCTCCGATGTTTATGTGGGCCATGGGTCTCGGTTAATGTCACACATCAAAATCAGCCAATCAACACTTTGAAGCCCACCTATGTATAGCAGGGAAAAGTTTCTAGTGAAGGCCGATCGGCAAAGATTTGATGTCTAAATACTACTCAATAGGTAACTACATAATCTTATATGTTGTAAGGCCAAGGCCGAGAAACCGTCGACTCCGCCCCCTTTCACATTATTCACTTTAAAGACGCCATGCCCGTTTCCCTCACGCATGCCTTCAGGATTTGTAGTAGATCGCTAAGTCTCAAAGTCCCGAAACCCGTACGAATGACTCTCTTCAGCCTTTTCGTGCTTTTCAGCGTGTGTAAAAATGTACTTGCTGCCTCTGATAGTTGTAGGTCATCTATGCCTCATGCGAAGAATAGTGCTCACATCTCACAGGCTCAAGCAGTTTAACTATTTCGAGTCAAAGCGATGCCAGCAATCTGACCAGCTGCGATACATTCGAAGGAAGCATCACAATTTCTTCCTCCTTCAATGGAGCGCTCACTATCAACGGTTTAGAGCAGATAAAAGGCTCCCTCGTTGCAGACAATGTATCGGGACTCACAGCCATTATTGCCCCTGATTTGGACAGTGTGCAGGGGTCTATCACAATCAGCAACCTCAACTCACTGTCCACAATAACCATGGGCGCGTTGTCTCAAATATCCTCGGGTATGACAATCACCGGGAACCCCAAGCTCAAAACGATTGGATTTCAGGAGTTAGAAGAGATTGATGGACAATTCGAACTGATAGGGTCTTTCACTAGGTAGGAGAATGAGAGCAGACACTTCATATAAACCACCAAGATTCTGACAGATGTGCTAGCGTGTCACTGCCATCTCTCGATCAGGTGAAAGGACAAACAACAATCAAAAGCAGTGGTTCGATGTCATGCAGCACATTAGATGATTTGAGGACCAACGGTGTCTTCAGAGGGGGTTATTCCTGTTCTAGGGCCTCTTCTAAATTGAGTCCAGGCGCTAAGGGCGGAATCGCAGCCGGCATCATTTTGGGTGTTCTTTTAGTCTTGGTGATCCTGTGGTTTGTACTTCGACTGCGACGACAAAAACGAAGAGCCTCAACGGCGCAATCATACATACCATCCCCGGTGAATCCATCAACTATCTCTGTACAAAACGAGAAGACACCTTCTCTTGAAGATAAACCGTCGCCAATAGAAGTGCCACCACTGCATATGCCTCGCAAACCAGTTGGATCAGCAGTGTTTTTGGACAGTCACCCAATCTACGAAGCCCCAAATGCATCTACGCCAGTGCAAGCATATTACGAATTGGACGCTGGGCCAATCTTAAGTTCGCATCAACGACCAATCAACGCCGAGAATTGAAAAAAACCTTGGCCAATTTACAAGGATGATCTTGATGATGAATGGAAGGGCCGCATGACAAAAAGTGAACTATACTAGATTTGTGGTTGCTATCGCTCCGAAAAACAATTCATTTTACAAATAGCACGCGACTAGAGCTGTGTCATTCATTCATTTTAGTATCATTCGATGGTCTATCAAAATCCACAAATCTAAACGCCGAGAATAACCTTATGGTCAGCAGCCTTCTCTTCAGGCTCGCCGAAGATATCGATGTTCCAGCGAGGCTTGTTGGCGACATAAGGAGTGTTGTAGCGTCTCCGGTTCTGGCCGAGAGCGCTGACCTTTTCAACTTCTTCGGAGGTGAGTTCCACCTCCTTGAAGTTGTCACGGATGCGCGAGGGCGTGACCGACTTGGGGATGACACTGTGGCCACCGACCTGAGACCAGGCAAGACTTGAAATAATATTAGCTTTGGCTCGGCAATAGCAAAAAACGGACAAGGATGTTCATACATGACATGAGCGGGGGTAACTTCCTGGCCAGTGCGCTTGGTAACCGACTCGGCAACTTCCTTCACTTCGGGACGAGTGATGAGAAGGGGAACGTCAAACATGTTGTTTCCGAAAGCCTTGAAAATCGATGTCAGCATTGGAGCTCAAAGCTTGGAATCTTATAACACATACAGAGTAAGCGGTGATGTGAATCCCCTTCTGTTGGCAGTACTCAATTAGGTCATTGCTCTGGAGCACGGGGTGGCGCTCGATCTGGTTGGCGGCAGGAACGACACCGGTGCCTTTGATGAGTGCCTCAAGCTATTGAGATAATTAGCCCACGTAAGAGAGATTGTGAGCAAGAGACAATACTTACGTGCTCAATCTTGTGGTTGGAAACACCGACGGAACGAACCTTGCTCTTGGGGAGCTTGGTCATGGCTAAAAATATGTTCAAGGTTAGCTGCGCATATTCTTTCGGTATTTTTGAAAAGCGGCTTACCCTTCCAGGTGTCCACGATAGAAACATCATCGTCAATGGCCACATCACCACCATCGACGTTGCTGTTTGCAACGAGGGGGAAGTATGATTCACCCTTCTGGAAAGCAACGGGCCAGTGGACAAGGTACAGCTATGTCGGTCAGCAAAAGCTCTTGTACATCAAACACCATATGGTCATACATCGAGGTACTCCAACTCGAGTTCAGCAAGGCAAGCATCCAAAGAAGCCTCAACCACTTCGGGGCGGTGCTGGCTAGTTGGAGTCAGTATGTTTATAGTATAAAAAAGCTGCTTGAGGTAATTTACCTATTCCATAGCTTGGAAGTCTATCAAATAACACATTAGTGACTAAATCTGGGCAATATTTTCATCATGTATGAACTTACAATGAACAGGTCCTCACGCTTCAGACCAGGAACATCGTTGTAAGCACGCTTGATGCCTTCAGCAACCTCACGCTGGTTCTGGTAGCTGTAAGCGAGGGGTCAGTGGATTTCAATCGATATGGAAACTTGAGATAAGATGTTTTGCATACATAGTTGCCAAATCCTAAAGAATGTTAGCCCAGATTTCTTCTTCACAAGACAACATAATAAATGTTCGGTAACATACCAGGTGGCGGTAACCGGCCTTCAAGGCTTCATAGACAGCCTCACCAACCTGACCAGGGGCAGATTGCCAAGTACCGAAGCCCAGCTGGCTAAATGTGGGGTCAACAACAAGCTTCCGCCAATGATTGCAGAGTATACTTACGGGATCTGGTGACCAGTGTTGAGAGAGACCTTCTTACCGAGAGACATTGTGGTTTTTGTGAATCAAGAATTGAAATGAAAAAAAGATGAGCAAGGTAAAAGAAAAGAGAAAGAAGGAGGAAGACCTGTAAATTTAAGAACCTGGATTCATAACGCACTTCCTGTGGGGGGGGCCTTCGGGACGGTCGCCATCCCACCCTTTCTACGCTGCCCCGCTCGGAGCAGACCCCACCGAGGGGGACAGTACTGTTCAACTGATTACATAATCTATATATCAAAGACTGCTATGATGAACGGTCAATTGGGCCCTATTTATTATATATTTTATTCATATATCTTTTGTTTACTATCAATATCTGCAATATTTCCAGATTTCGAGATATATGCATCGACACTCGACAAAAAAAAAAGGAGAAAATGGACCAAATCATATATGAGGCTAGACTGATCCACGGTTCCAAGGTTTCCCCGCGTGCTTATCTAATGTGATGTCATCAAAGGGAGTGCCTAAGTGAGGGCATATCGATATAGCAATGGTGGGGTGGAATTATGTTTCACCATTGTTCTTCCTCGTTGTTCTTAAAAAAAAGTCTACATACATAGGTATATACATGTGTCCCTTTTCATACGCTTCACTTGCCTATGATTTGATCATGAAGCTCGGGAGGTGTTTAGGTGGTGACATCTTCGGGCACTTGATTCGGTTTAGTTCTTCACAACCCGTCTTGGCAACTCGGACCAACACCGGTGCGATCGCTCCGTTATGCCGAAGGTACGCCTCTCTCGAATTACATGTATTGTCAATAATGATGTGTTGCAGCTTTTTATGCGTTATTTTTGTTAAGTGAGAGAAATCATGCAAGAAGCCACGATCTTATTAAAATTGACATTGACGTTGACAACTATCCATCATATGACAAGGAGTTTTAAATCCATGCAGTAACCTTCTTTAGACCCTCTCTACAAGCTCATAAATACTTTCAGAAGGGCTGGGTAGTTCGGAGTACCCAGTCCAGTCACCGGATCCCAGCCTTCTGCCGCAGAAAAGCCATCAGTGTTGCAACCAGCATTTGTACCTTTGGTCACATCGAAGAATGCTTCCGAGTGAGCATAAAGAACCGGGTTCACAAAGCCCACTGTAGACTTTCCAGCGGCCAATCGTTCTTCATTGATACGGGTGAGGATTCCAGCAAACACGGGTGCAGAAGCCGATGTACCGCCGATTGACGACGGCGTTCCTTTATTATAGATGATGACCTTGTCCCCAATAGCAGCCACGTCCGGGTACCCACGACCGATACGGTTGTATATACCGTTGTTTGCACCGAAGCTGCTGTTGTCCACGCTCTCATAGTACGGATACGAAGGCGCTGCCTTGGCAAAGTAGTCGGCAACAGCTTGGGTTTGATAATCAGGCGCCTTGTAGATGTTACTGAAACCACCACCGGACGGGAATCTGGTCACAGCCTGCTCCTTATGATCTGCCGGTAAGCTGCCAGATTGCATTTCGGTCGCTCCCACCGCAGTTATATATGGACAGGAGGCAGGGAAATCTGGGGCAAAGATCTTGCCATTGGGACCAAGACAGTTGCTGGGAGTAGGATCGCCTCCACGTCCCGCCACACCGGAGTCACCCGAGGCAACTACCACTGATACACCCATCGTACCCAATTTCATAAACTCAGCACACTGGCGCCGCTGGTAGGAAATGGGAAGATCTGCCTCGGCGGAACCATATGAGATTGAGACCACCTTGGGTGGCGCATATATGCCACATTGCAAAGAGCCCTTGTATCCTCCAGCTTTGGGGTTAGGATAGGGAGGGTCCAGGGGCGAGATTGTGCTGCAATATGAGCCGTCAATGGCATCCAGGAACGTGTTGAGGAATCCTTGGAACGTATAATCATTCTCGTACTGCATGTCATCTGTTTGGAATAGGATTGAGTTCTGCGGCCAAATAATCGGGTACGAGATCTGGAAGTCAAGATCAGACTCGGCTCCTGCATTGAGAACTGATATGGGGGCCACAGCGCCATCAACTGCCTTGAGAGTTGGGTGTGTGCCTGTTGGGATTTTTCTGTTGCATAGTCAGTTCCGGTGACTCGATCTAGGGAAGCTCCAATAATCTTACGGAGAGAATGTCGAAAAGAACAAGTCGAGATCTTCTTGTGCATAAACATCTCCAATGCCTTCAAAGATTCCCAATTCGTTTCCCTTTGTGGCCGAGTGGCCTTCAGTGATGTTGTACATCTCTGTCCAACGATCAATATGTTACGACCTGGTCGGAGTATTTCCATATGTAACCATATCACATACCTTGAACACATTGTGGTGTGATAGCGAGCGAGCAATAGGAGGAAAGCCCGCTCAGCAGCCTCTCGATTGGTAGTAATATCGGCTCAAGAATTGGAGGAAGTCCATTCATAGAGCGTTTCCCAAATTTGTTCGCAGACCTCCGAGCGCCTGTAACCTCGCGCAGGGCGATTCCTGGCGTTATATAGTCGATATGCTCTTGCACAGCGCTCGGGACATGATATCTGTAATGGGCCCAAAGGTCAGCCAAGATTGAATCACATCATCATGCATTGACGCCCTTACTCTTGACACGCCACGTGCGACCGACCAGTTTCGGCATGGGAATAAACATAGTACTCTGTGTGAAGCAACTTTTCTAACTCTTCGGCATTGGCATCAAACTGGATCCATTGTTTGTTTACAGACTGGGAGATACGATCGCGTGCAATTCCAGCAGACTCTAGCCAGTAACGCACATCTTCCACACTTTTCTCGGACGGAGCAAACAGGTCATGCACCTCATCAGCAGTGAGATGCTTCCCGTAGCGACTCGAGTACGGGTTCGACCTGGACAGCCATATGTTAACTCCGGATTGATATTGATTGAAGAGTTCCATACAAATCCATGAGCAGATCGTGACCCCGATCAAGATTAGACTGGGTCAAGCCAATTCGTACAGGCAGGGACACCTTTGCGTCAAGTTTTCTGCCTTCGGTCCAAGAGGTTGGGATAAATTCGCGGCGCTCGTGCACTCGATAGTTGGGCTCAATTGGCACGGCGATAGCGCTGGCCGCTAGGGCACAAAGTACAAGAGAAGATTTCATGATAATCTAAAGTGGTGGTCTAATGAAGATAGCTTCAGGAATACCAGGAATCGAAACGAAATTTGCCCCAAAGCTCGGGAGAGGGACACTTTTCAAGATAGCGTGCCAGCGCATTTCCAGTGCCCATCGCTCCCCAATATCACATCGCACTAAGGATACCGTATTCCCATAGCGCACCCTTTCAGCAAATGCATACCCCAACACAAATCACAGTTGAATTCCACCATGTGATGGAACCCTGATAAGATTTCATGGTGGGTCTGGGTGTACATAGCTTTCATCGTCGAACACCGTTGATTCGGCCGTTTGCAATCCTTCAAGAGGAAAGATAGCCAGTCGATCATGCTAAGACCCCGGCAGGAACAAAGTCCGGGTATGATAGAGATTGTGCTTCTTGTGCCATAAACTTTAGACTGCAGCATTAGCCTCGAAAGGTACCTCACGGAGAGTATCAGTTCTTTGTTTCTTTGTATGAGGTTACTTTCATCGGTGACTTTCGAAATTGCCTTGGTAACTTGTCGATTCAATACCCGAGATTCACAAAAACTTCACTCGACGAAGTAACAATATTCTGCAGAAGAATTAATCCATCTTCCGCAAGGTTATAATCTCGGTCGTACTTCCTAGCCTATCAAAAAAGCAGCCTCGGGAACTAACAATGGCATTAATCTCATGTGAAATTCAAGGATATGATCAATAGGTTCTTGAGGCACAGGCCATTTTGTTGCCTCGGAAGAAATCAACCCCCTTTTTCGGAGGACAGTGAATGCAACCAACATTGAAGTGCAAACTCACTTAATAGAAACTAATCAATGCTTCTAGCTTCGTCTGGCAGGTGCAAAGAGGATATTTCACACCAAATGCCTCCGTTGAATCTTAAATCAAACATGATCCTTTCTGTGATTTGATAGCGCGTTGGGGATTGACGATCTTGATGCTAAATCCCTGAACACCCCGCACTTTCAGACGTTAAGGATAATCCAGTTGCCTAGGGGCCGCTTATCTATACGAAAACCAGCATTGCAAGCGTGCCAAATGTTCTTGACTCTGAAGCTTAGAATGGTGGGGTTGGGCACATAATAGAAGTCGAGGACAGATGCGTCTACATACCTGGAATGCCAAAGGTCAAGCCTACGCACTCCACATCCCTCATAAAAGTCTACAACAGTCAGGGTTGGTCGCTATTTCAACATTTCAACCCTCAACGTCATTGGTGCTACATAGAAGCAAGCAGGCTTGCGAAGCATCAATTCCATGATCCACCCACTACACGGCTGCTTGAACGTCGCATATGGGGGTATGATCTCAAGAGTGGTATTGATGAGCCAGATACAGAAAGCGACCCAACGCTGCATGGTTGCAACTTGGGTGGCAAGAACAGAGTCGCATGTGCCTGGTACAGGCATTAACTCACGCGAACACAAGATGATAGCTCCAGATAGACCAATCTAACTCTCGGATGTTCTTCATGGGTGGTGGCGGAACGTATTGCGACGCCCCTGGGGGTCGACTGCTGAAGTGCAGGTGATGCTGTAGGCTATTGGCAAAATGCTGGAAGCTCCCAACGTGAGAAAAGCGCCAGATTCAACCGGTGACTATATGAGTTCAGGTCTGGCTAGTCCGCCTATCCGGAAGAGTCGGATGAAGGGAAGGCAGTCATGTTTGCACGGCATCGACTTGCACTTTGCAAGTGAACCTTGCCAATCAGGCCTTTTCTTGGCCGAGCCCCTTTCTGATATTCTAGGCACAGGGACAGATTTATTTCAACTGCCGCGCTAGGTTCGAGTTCAAAGATAATCAGATAGCGACGATGTGGTGTTTGTGGAGTGGAGTCCAGGCGAAACTGTAGACAGTCCGTCAGGACCCGCACCATTTCCACAACAAATCCACCAACTGCTGTCGATGCAAAGGCTTAGCGATATAATCATTCATCCCCTTAGCCAGATATGTCTCTGCATCTCCCTTCAGAGCGTTGCCTGTCAATGCGAGGATGGGAACGTCGAGGTTGATTCGCCGAATGTGCTCCGTCGCTACCAATCCGTCCATGACCGGCATGTTGATGTCCATCAATATCAGACTATACGCGAGGGGTTTCTGCTTGACCATTCGCACTGCCTCTGCGCCATCCCAAGCGGCATCGACCAGTTGGAAACCAAGGCTCCCAAGAAGTTTCATCATAATAGTTTGATTGACCTTGTTATCTTCGACAAGAAGAATATGCTTGAGTGGGGCGATCTTCCGAAGCTGTTCAGAAGGATCTGATGAAGCGGAGGTGACCGATGGCAGGCTCTGTCTTGTTGGGGAGACTGATGAATCCAAACGCGCCATTTTAGCTGTCATCCAAAACACACTACCAGGTCCGTCTGGATTTGCGTGGAATCCGACGGCTCCATTCATCAATTCGGCCAAGCTTTTGCAGATCGACAGACCAAGGCCAGTGCCCTGATACTGCTTAGTTGCTGTGTCCGCAAATCGCGTGAAGGGGGTAAATAGTGTACTCGCAGCATCTTCGGGTACGCCGATGCCCGTGTCCACAACCTGTGTGGAGATCAGATATACATTAGGGTCTTTTTCATCTTCGGCGTAGGTTGCATTAATCCGAACGTGACCACTCTCGGTGAACTTAACTGCGTTGCTGACTAAATTTTGCAGAACTTGTCGAAATCGTAGTGGGTCGCCTTTGATGGCTCGAGGGAAGCCTTTACTCACGGTTGGCGTGAGTTTAACGCCGGGTTTCACCGCCGCATCGCAATTGCGGACCACCGCAGCTATCACATCGGGGATGTTGAGAACTTCTGTATTCAAAGAAAATGTTCCCGATGATAATTTGGAGTAGTCCAACACATCATTGATGACCTGCAGCAAGATAGAAGTTGAGTCTTCTAGGATGGACGCAAATTCCCGCTGTTCCTGGTTCAGCTCGGTCTTCAATAGCATGGTCAAAGCCAAGAACATCCCATTCATCGGTGTGCGCAATTCATGGGACATGTTGGCTAAGAACTCGGACTTAAGTTTGGCGGATTCTTCAAACGCATCGATCAAGCGCGCATCCGCTGCCCGGCGTTCAGTCAAATCACGGGTAACCTTCGCGAATCCCACATGGGTGCCATTCTGATAGATCGGAGTGATCATAACATTGGCCCAGAATCGAGTACCATCTTTTCGGTAACGCCAACCCTCGTCCTCGACTTTCCCCTCCTGTAGACAGACCTCCAGCTCGCGGGCGGGCTTCTGGGCTTTACGGTCCTCGCGACCGTAAAAGACCGAAAAGTGCTTTCCAACAATGTCAGATGAGGTGTAGCCCTTGAGGATAGCGGCACCAGAATTCCAAGTCGCAATATGGCCCCGGGTATCCAGCATAAAGATGGCATAATCCCTCACGGTATCAACCATAATTTTGTAGGCTTCGTTCAGATATGTCTGTTCGTTGATGGGATTCGATTTTCGATTGGATGTCCGCTGAGCTTCCAGAAGCATGTAGACGAAGGTGTCATTTTCAAAGATCGGGGTTACTTCGAGGGTAAAAAAGGCATCACATCGTGCCACGTGAACACACTTGGTGACCTGCACTTCGCGAGTTGATATGGCAGCACCAATGGCACCACTTAAGGTAGGGATGTCGGGGGCTGGAAGGATGGAGGGCGAAAGATCGTAAACGTTGGACGTCAAGAGCTGATCTCGTGACCATTGAAATATGTTCACATGACTGTTGGATACTTCGACTACTCGCAATGAGCGATCCAACACAATCGTAGGTTTACTGTTAGAGTTTTATTAATATGTTTTCCGTGTCTTCAATTTTTGCTTTCTGTCTTGTTTTCACCAAATAAACGAAAAGAAGAGATTTCACTCACGGTGTAAGTCGATAAATACGACTTAAAGCGGTCGCATCTAAGCCTTGATTCTCAAACTTCAAGTCGACTTCGTCTGGAGGAGTGATCACCATAATATTATTCACTGGACAATCGGCGAGTTTGAGGTGGAGCATCTGATCCACTGGCATCTCGCTAACGGCCCAAATGTGTTGATACTCATTCAAAATGTTGGAGAAGAAAGAATAGATCTTTTATGAAGAAGGTAAGACTTCAAGCAGTTTCAAAAATCAAGAAATCAAGTCAAGACAAACCAAGATGTGAGCCTTAGACCCGATTTCGGCGGGATTTGGAAAATAATCCTTGGCTAGAGAGCCCGAGCAGGATGCAAATTGAGTGGACGGAAGGGATCCCCGGTGGGGGGAGGGGAGGAGATTCCAGACCAAGGTGGAGTTGAAAAAAGAAGAAAAATTCCTAGAACATAAAAGAAAGAGAGAAAGAGAAAGAGCATATTATTATTCGAAGACTAACAAGCCCCTAAGGCAAGCCCTTAAAAAGCCCCCTCAAACCAAAATGCAAGCCAACGACGTAATCATTTGTAGGGGATTTAAGGGGACTGAGATTTGATATTGTCTTCATCTTTAGAATCTCGGATCATTATACGAAGAAGATTCTAATTATAGACTCTTTTCACTATTGCAATTAACAGAACTATCTCTTTATAATCTTTTTACAATTATCTATTACAACTATTACAACTATTCGCATCTACGTACTTCTGACCCAAAAATATCAGGTGGCAAATTCGATGAGGGGCAAACGGCATTGTTCGGCTCTTATGCTCTTTTTGATGTTCATACGTACATATGCAGTTAGTAACATCCACGCCTACCCATGTACGTCGATGTATCAGCCGCACTTACTGCACATTGGAATATTATATTTATGGCACATTTTTCAAGAGTTTGAATTTAATGCATGTTTTTAGGTTAAAAAAAAAATTCAAAGTGAGTAAGTATAGTATGGACTCCGTAGGCTAAATAAATATATTCGATACATCACGGAACTCTGCCGTCCGAATTTTGACCGAGTTGATTTTTTGAAAAAAAATTATATCAATATATATATTATGTACGTTTTACAACCAAAAAAAACAGGATTTTGCTACCTAGGTACGCTGTAGACATCAAGTTCTACGTTGTAGTAGACATCAAGATATACGATCAACGTATTCTCTTAAATAACATTCTCCCGCTCTGTAGTTTCTACCATCTTCACTACCGCGTCTGCAACTCCATATGAGAAAGCATAACCACCTCCACCGAACCCGTATGCAGATAGTACTATACGGTTACCTTTGCGCTCCGAATCAAGACGGAAACCTCCTTTTCGGGAAGGCCGGATTCCGATAATGTGACTGATAGAATCTGCAGCTGGGTGCTCCGGGACAATCTCAGGAGCTAATCGATGTGCGCGGGCAATCTCATCCTGCGCGATATCCATATCGACTTCGGGCGACCTAAAGAATGATGTCAGATTGGTGTCGTACAGCATCAGTCACAAGATTACTTACAGGTTGTCTTGTTGCTTGACTCCACCCAAGACAACTCCCTTGGAGAGTGGCCGAGGAATCACGTACGTGTATTCCTTGCCATTACGGAAGTAAAGTGTGTTACATTTATCCGTGGTCATAAAAACATTTTGTCCGCGCTCGGGGAAACAACTGTCGTCTCGCACATCTGTCAAGCTCTTGCTTCCCCATCCGCTTGCGTTGACGAAGACCCGTGACTCTGGAAACATGCCATACAGCTCTTGGAGGGACTCGACACGGTGCCGGATAAACCGACCTCCCAGAGACGTGACCTGTTTCCCAAGATAGGGCATATGTCTGGTTGGATCGGTGACAAGCGTTTCATAGGCCCAGGCACAATTGAAGTTGGAAGGGTATTCGTCCGGGTTCATTTCACGAAACTAGAAAATGCCGAATGAGTAACGTTAATCTTATCGGTACGAAATGATCATCACATAAGAAGCGGCGTACCTTGGAAACCACCGTCTTGCCCCATATTGCTGAGTCGGGCGCAGGCTTCTGTTCAAGATATTCCCGTGCATTGACAATGCTCACCCCTGACTCGGGATCATCTTGTGCCATCTTGAGTAGTACACGGTGAGTGACTGCTTGGAGATATCGTTGATCAGGAGTAATACCGCCAGCGGCATGCCATGCTGCTCCTGCCCAGGCCGATGCGTAGTAGATATTCTGATCTCCTGGCAAATATTCGGCGACCAGCACAACCGGAAATCCCTTCATCAATAATTGCCGGGCAGTCGCACAACCAATGATCCCCGCTCCCAGAACCACGATGGGTCTTTGGGCGAAGGGCAGTTCTTCTGGATCGATTTGGTCGCATTCGCCCATGGTGGCGGTATGAGCAATGTGAAGTTGGGATGAATGAGAACGATATTGTGTCCAACGGGAACATAAGTATTCGGGATGGACTCTCTCCCAATTGAAACTCCCCAAGAATAAAAGCCGACTTGTCGAAATAGACTCAAGAACCTTAATTAAAAAATAGCTTAAAGGATCCAAAAAAGGTATTTGCGTATTTGCGTATTTGTTTCAATGGTATCTCAGCAGTATGAAGGAAGTGGTAGAATGTAGGGCCATGTACCCAAGTAGATCCAAATTGATGAAAATGGGGGCAAACGATCCTTTTTCAACCCAATCCCAACCACAGCTAAACTTGATGGGCATGCTACTTCGATGGTCGTTTTACCGCAACTATTCCGAGCTATAACTTACTCAGGCAATAATAAAGTGGGTCACCAACGGCCTCTGCCGACCGCGACGCACCCGTCGTCAGTCATTTTCTCCCCTCCTGCATATTTTATACCCAATACCGTTTCAGAAAGCCGAATCTGGGGCCAAAACCAAGTCTATACCGAAAAAAGCCTTGGCTGGTTACTGCGATCTGCCCCATCCAGGAGGTATATGGTCCTCTTTATTGGGTAGTTCACAGCCTTGAGATTTTGACTTATCCTGCAGGTGTGTGATCCCTAAATCTGGAGACGCCCCTCATGCAGCCAATATACCTATCACGTTCTCACACACGGGTCAAACCGACATAGTGAACCGTTGCTATTCCCATTTCCTTTTTGGTGTCGTCCCGGGGACCTGGGTTCCCGGAGAGGACCGGGTTCACAATGGGGAAAAGAGCTGAAGAATGTCGGCGAAACTCATGGAGCCAGGTGGGTTTTTCATTTTATTATCAATTCTAGCTTTCATGATCATCCCACTGTGATCGAGACCGTTTTTGCGGAGACCATGCGGGTATGGCTTGAATGGGCTCCGATTAGGTTGAAACACTTTGCGTCATATGCATTAATATAATTATCTTTGAACTTTGTGGCTTGTTTCATTAACCGCTTCCATATCTTATAGTTCCCGGATCTACCCAGCGAAGAAGGAATTCTTCGTGATCGGGATGCCGAAAATATCTTGCCCTATGAAGCCGATGACTCGCCCTTCCCAGAAGTGCGGGCTGTTATTCAGCCAGTCAATGATTTAACCCTACCTGTGAATACGGTCCGCATGTGGACTATTGGTATCATCTTTACCATCGTATGTTCTATGCGACCGGGCGATTTGACGCCATGCTAACTACAGATACAGGTCGGGAGTGGGTTAAACCAATTCTTCAGTCTACGACAACCCAGTGTGACAATCAGTGCACTGGTCGCTCAGTTGCTGGCTTTCCCTATTGGATGCGCCTGGGCGAAATGGATTCCTCTCGGTCCGATGAATCCCAATCGGCATTTTAATATCAAGGAGCATGCTTTGATCACCATCATGGCAAATGTCTCTATTGGCTCTGCAGCAGCTACTCAAATCATCGAAGCGCTAGTCAAGTTCTATAATATGCCTTCTCAGGGTGGATTTGAAGTGCTATTATGTATTACCACCCAAATGTTCGGCTTTGGCTTGGCTGGTATGGCATCACGCTGGCTGGTCGGTCCAGCATCAATGCTTTGGCCTCAAGTGTTGTCAAACGCAGCACTTTTGACTACTCTCCACTCTCGTTCTAATGCCATAGCCGATGGTTGGCAGATTACGCGTCTTCGCTTCTTCCTTTATGTATTCCTTGGTGGCGCTATCTGGTACTTTGCCCCGGGATATCTCTTCACGGGTCTGAGCACTTTCACATTCATCTGCTGGATTGTGCCATCCAATGTGGTCGTAAACCAACTCTTTGGACAGACTACAGGATTGGGAATGTCAGTATTGACCTTTGACTGGGCACAGGTGGTCTACGCTAACCAAAGTCCCCTACTGGTGCCTTTCTGGGCTGGTCTAAATGTGATGGGATCCTTTGCACTGTTCTTTTGGCTTGTTTGCCCCATCGTTTACTATACCAATACTTGGTACTCTGCTCACCTTCCACTTCTCAATTCCAATACATTTGACAACACTGGAAGAACTTACAACACCAGTCGCATCATGGATTCGGACGGTGAGATCAACCAGGCTGCTTATCGATCCTACTCGCCTATGTTTCTACCGGCTGGTTATGCAATCACATTTGGCGTCGCTTTCGCCAATCTGACAGGCATCTTTTTCCACATCGGGCTGTACCATGGCAAGGACTTGTGGCAACAGTGGAAGGGCACAAGCAAGGAAGATATTCATGGTCGATTGATGTCTTCATATCAAGCTGTGCCCTGGTGGTGGTTCGTTGCAGTGACTGTTCTGATGTTTGTGTTGAGTATAGTGACCAATGAAGTGTGGCATACGGGCCTCCCAGCATGGGGCGTGCTTGTGGCTTTCGTGTTGCCTGTCGTCTACTTTATTCCCGTGGGCATCATCAAAGCTCTCACAAATATCAGCAGCAATCAACTCAATCTGCTGACGGAGTTTATTGGGGGATATGCCTTCCTAGGGCGGCCAGTTGCCAACATGGCTTTCAAGTTCTATGGATATGTCGCTGTCCAGCAAGGACTAGAGTAAGTATTTCTTCTCGTTTTACTTATTTTTTCGAAAAAACTAACTCTGTCTTAGATTTGTCGCCGACATGAAATTGGCCCATTATATGCACATTGCGCCACGACTACTGTTTGTCGCGCAGGGCCTTGCGACGCTGCTTGGTGCCATTGTTCAGTGTGGCGTCACAGTTTTTATGATCACCAGGATTGACGATGTCTGCACTTCTGATGCAAATGGCAACTTTACTTGCCCCCATGGAAAAGTCACATACTCATCTTCTCTCATTTGGGGTGCGTGGGTTTCATCTTTCTTTGGTCAAATATTTCTCTTCACAACTCTTGGCTAACCATGTTACAGGCGCCATCGGCCCAGGTCGACTGTTTTCTTCCGGACAGATTTATAGTAACCTGCTGTGGTTTTTCCTTGTGGGTCCTGTGGTTGTCATGATCACTTACTTTCTAGGTCGTCAATGGGAAAGCATCAATTATCTTTCTTGGCCTGTCGCTTTTGGTGCGATGAGCCTCGTCCCTCCAGCTACCGGCATCAGTTTCTCTTCTTGGTGGATCGTTAACTTGATATTTAACGGCTTAATCCGTCGCCGAAAACCCGCGTGGTGGTCAAAGTACAGTGTGTCTGTCTTTCATCCAAGGCTTTGATTCTCTTGCTAATTCTTCCCAGACTACGTGTTATCCGCCGCATTGGACTGTGGCGTTGCGGTATCAACAGTGATCATATTCTTCTGTATAACACTTCCTGCCGGGTCATTGAGCTGGTGGGGTAATACCGTGTCTTCTACCACAGCAGATGGCAAAGGTACACCTTACAAGGACCTACCAGAACGGGGGTATTTCGGGCCGGCGAAGGGTACATGGGAGTGATCATATTCCTTTCTTTTTTTCCTATCACTTTTTTTAGCGCGTACGTAAATATACATGCTGCTATACTTGTGTTGTTATCATACCTAGACTCTATACTCGTTGTGATTCAGGTGCTATCTGTGTTTTCTATATATATATAAATGCTTAATGTCTTTGAGAGTGTACATGGCAGGTATTAAAAACGGCGGTTCGGACCTCTTCTAATTGGGTTGGTGCCATTGGATTACATCAGATCCATGGATTTTATGCTTCTTCGATCATATTTTTATCGCGGTTCATTCTCGCATTAACGTTCACATATCAACTAAGTCTTGCATTTAAACCTTGACGGACCGCCCTCTCACATAAACCCTAACAATATTTCGATCGTCACCAGTCATAAGAAACTTCTCGAATATGACCTGGGTTGAATCCTCCTCTTCCACCGGACTCATCACGCCCGGAAGATCAAGATTGATGGAATGAATCTCAAGCGCATCGAACTCTTTGCCAACCGCGAAATTCCCAATCCGATCATCGAGACCACAAACCTGCGCACCACCCAGCGTAGCGAGAAAGAATCCTTCGTACAAAGATAGCGCAGGGTCTTGGCCCTTGGTCAACATCTGCTGAGCATTTGAGACAATGAAAGCCTGTTTCATAGCTTCCAGTATGGATGACGAGTAACCGCCGCCACTGTCAGTTCCCAGGCCCACTTTGATACCACGACGCAGGTATTCACGTATAGGTGCGATCATGTATTCTTGCATGGTGGTGTTAGCGATTGGGCAATGGGCGATTCCGCAGCCAAGCTTCTGGATCCGGCGGATTTCTTCTTCGTGAAGGAATATGCTATGGGCAAGAATAGACCGATCATTCAATAAACCATATCGCTCGTAAAGATCAGCTTCAGTGTCGAACTCTGGGAATAATTGTTTCGTGAACTCGATCTCATCCTTTGCCTCGTTGAAGTGTGTTTGGATTGGGAGATCCGGGTGTTCACGTGCGATAGCACCGATTCCATCTAGCAACTCGGGCTCACAGGATATCGCAAAACGTGGTGTCAGTATCGGTTTCACCAGATGATTATGTGGATCAAGGTTTTCGATGTGATCGATAAGCTCGCGCGTTTCGTGTAGAGAATCTGACACCGATGCATCCCGATACCAGTCCGGAGCATTCCGGTTCATGTTACACTTCCCCACGAGAGCGCGCTGTCCTTTCTCAAAACATACATCGGCGAGAATCCGAGTTGCGTGACCATGATGTGAGCCGTAGTATGACGCTGTGGTAATGCCTTGTTGTAAAAACCCCGCAACGCAAGAGGCATACATGCTCCTGGCATACTCAGGATCTTTGAACTTGGCTTCGTGGGCAAAAGTGACTTTATTCAGCCAATCGAGCAGAGAGATTCCTCTTCCAACACCCCGCTGTGCCCACTGTGGTGCATGGTTGTGGGTATCGACGAAGCCGGGGCAGATGAACTGCCCACGTTTGAGATGTTTCACTGGAAAAACATCGGGCGCATAGCCATTTTCTGAGATAACAGGGTTGATTTGGTCAGATTCCACGTTTGCTTGTAGGATCTCGATTTTTCCATCTTTGCCAATGAGCACGAAACAATTCTCCAGTATCTCAAGGTTATTCAGGCCTTGGGAATGGATGACTGTGCCATGAAAAGCAATGGGAAGTCCCGATGCTGGGGTAGGTATCTTGTTTGACGCATCCATCAGAAGGATAGAGAACTAGGATACTTAGTTCATTGTCAATAGAAGAAAAGAGAGAGAAAGTGAGGACTAGAACTGGAGGGATTGAGGGGCATTAATAATAACCCGCATATGCGCCCTCGATCTGATACATCAGAACCTGTGTATGCTCTACAATAGTATATAACTAGTTAGACAATATAACCACGCATGTATGTAAGTAATACTCTAGTCTACATACCTAGTAATGAGTTCGAGTCTCAAACCCCTTGCCATTCGAATTTCTTAAGATTAGAATAAAAATGATATCCCATCGTTTAAAGAGAGCTTTCAAAGTACAGAGAAGGAAAAAATAATGGAAAGTGTTAAAATATATGCTCACGGTCAAGGTAAACAGTACCTGCGCGGATTTGCTCGAGCCACCAATCTGCAAGAGTCTCAGCATGCTCCAAAAGGCCAAGATAATGTCTGCTAACCCTATTGAGTGGTAGGCCGATAGAGATACACCTTGGTCCTACACGAGATAGTGAAGAGCTCCCAGTAATGACATTGGCGGCTTTAATCTGATCGGCCACATATTGCATGATATCTTGATCACTATCCGTGGGACTGACATCTTCAAGGATGACAGTGACCCAGAAAGCATCATTATCGCAGGAATCCGCAACATGCCCACCGCCGCTCATAAACACACTATTTGGCATTTGAGTTCGCTTTGATGATCCAATTAACTGGGAAACTTCTGGAGGGTACTCACCTGTGTGAGGAGAACGGTTCATTATTGTTGTTTTGATGACCATACTGTTGACTTAATACTCGAGGGCACTCGGGCAATTTATAGGATGAACGCTGAGAGATCAAATAGTTATATTGAAGGCTAGACGAAGACCTTGTGTACTCACAATGGCATTGACAGTCTTTGACGAGATGCTCTATGTTCCATGTCAAAGGGCACACCAATACTCTTTGTATTCATTCATGTATAAAACACCGTTCTAGCTTGAAGCAACAAGCTCTTTGTGCAGAATGGATGAAAATATAGTAACGGGAATGCAAAATCAACCACAAAGTATCGTACTGATAAACTTCTCTGAAATAGATTGAAACTCCGTCTACCACCCCAGAAATGTCAGGTTTAGATACAAAAGAGAATCGTTCAAAGGGTATAGTATGATGCCATTTCCTCTTGGAACCAATTGTACGAGTAGAAGAGCTGATCTGCCATCTGTGGATCGATCATCGGGATTGCCCCGCTGTTGTCCACGAGTAAAACGTCGTCCAGAATGGGAGCCATGGGAACCGGAGGTGGGGGTGGTGCAGCCAAGGACATTAAGGGTTGAGGGGGTATAAGTGTAGGTGGAGGGGGTGGCTGTGATTGGTATTGTGGATGATGATGATGCTGCTGTTCGAGTTGTTGTTGTTGATAAGCCATTTGGCTGAAGACCATCGTACTCTGGTGTCGGAATGTCTCCGCCAACCGGTCTACCCCAGGTCGACGCTTTCCAAACTCCTCAAGGAGCACGACAACCGCTTGAATTCCACGGCGCATTGTTTGTTCCTCGGGATGCCAGGGGGCGGGCTGAGACTCGCGTAACGAACGAGCATTCTGCTCTAGGCACCACAAAATGGTAATTCCTGCAAAGTACAATTGACTCAGCGTCAACCAAATCCATTTCAGCTTGCCAATTGAGTAACTGTCCCAGTATGATCGAATGACTTGGATGCTGGAGTCGCCACAGCTGACGATACTAGTCACGTCCGGTGTCGGGTTACGGGGACTTGGGCGGTACATCAAAAGTAACGTTGTATAGTAAAGATAGTCATAATACGAGGTGGAGTAGAGAAGCGCGGACGGATAGACTGGAGCCGACATGCGCCACTCATCGACCTCTCGGCGGAATTGACCGAGAGTGACGACCACTTCCTGAGGGGATGGTCGCGGTAGACTACTGTAAACTGCACAGAAACGGTTAGATGCGACAAAGAAGTAGAACAATCCTGAACACTCACGATATTGGTAGATACGCGAAAATATTCGTCGTAGACGAATCACCTGTAGCGGAATGGTCATCCCACTCGCACCAGGTGCTTCGATCCCATCGTCGTTCAATTCACGCAGGAGGCTCACGCTGATGTCGTCGTCGGCGATGCCCAATGGTCGGCCCAACGTGCTCGCAATTAGACGATCCAGGTTGTAAAGACTCCAGAAGGCGCGTTTTGCCATCTCTTCCTCCGCGACGCTAGGATATGACCTTATTTTATGTAGACCAATGCTGGTCGCCAGCCTCATTGTCGCGCCCAGCACATGCCATATACTTGGCCCGGCAGTTGCAAACATGGTATATAGAGCCAGCCCTAGCAATGCCCTCACAGCAGGCAAGTCTTCATTCTGCAATGCCAATGGGAGAGTCTCCTGACTGGCATGGTAGAATTCAGCTGCTTTTGTGTGGTCTGCCGATCCAATCAGAAGCGATATGGCCATGATAATATGATATGAATTATGGGTCTCCGGCGATGGGACACCTCCAGTATAGATATGGCGTAGATGACCCATGAACTCCGGGCGGGACATGAATGGGTATTGGTAACCCATGCTGTCAAAATATTGTCCAGCTAACCGCTCGGCTTCCTCCAGCGATGACAAGCGCATGACCCGCGGCGCAGCCGAGGGTCGTGCTACCGACGGCCGGCGATGCTCCAACTGGTCGCGAAAGATCTCCCCGACATTTGGGAGCTCAGTACCTACTCCGGTCGACGCCTCTGAGGGCCCCGCAGTCACAGATGAGTGACCGCTACCAGTCGGACTCGGTACTGAGTTCACAGGACGATTGCCTCCGGTCGCAATCATCGCAGGGACCTGGTACCACCAATCCGGATCTCCCTCGCCGTCGACTGGGGTCCCTGTTGGCAATTCCGCCACTGAAAGACCAGACTTGCGGCGCACAACCTCCTCCAGCCATCGTACTCGTTTTTGTAAATTCTCCAATTGATCGCGGGGAACGGAGGCGCTAGCGACTTGGGGACCGGGCGGTGGGATAGTACATCGGACTCCGGCGCGAGTACAGGCAGAGCAATTGGGGTATCGAAAGTCACATTTTTTCTTTCTCTTGCGACAGAAGTCACATGCGGTCGACACTCGTTTGCTGCGAGAGGGGCTGGACGCGTCGATCGGTTCATGCGACGGGTACAAGGGTTGCGCTGGCCAAGTAGGTGACGGGGTATAATTATTGATCGAATCCAAGCGGAACTTGCCCAGCTGGTCACGGAAATCCTTATTCCCACTGGTCATGTTGTCCTCTATCCATCTCAATCACCGTCATTGAAATGATTTATGAAAACATTCGCATAAGAAGAGGAGAAGTGGAGGAAGAAGAGCTTAGCGGAGTTAATTCGCTTACCGGGGACCGATTGCCGACCGCCACCGACATCCCTCTGCACCTGTTGCCCCGGTGGTATATCATCTTCATCGTATACAACTTTTCAGTTCTTTACAAGTTTAATGAAATTTCCTTGAGTCTTTGATAAATTTATGCAATCTCTTTTGAATTGTCGAATTACTGAATTATCTGACGTATTTTTGAACACGAGACCTGATCTGCAAAGGCACGGCACGACACGAGGGAATTCCCCAGGGTATCATTGGCACTAAATAGAATAGAAAGATGATCTCAATACATGTGATTCGTTAATATTTTGCCCCTTGATCAAACGTATTCCCCGAGTTCTGCAGGCCAAGAGATTCCTCGCGTTTTGAAACATCTCAATCATTCCATTGGCCTCTCAAAGATCCTTCGGTGGATCGATCGACATACATCTATACCCGTGTGAAATCATTGGATCGTATCTTTTATACTAATCTTGGGACAACATTAGTGTGAATGATGTTATTTCGGGATACGATACAAACTATACCATTCCAAGGCTGGCTCGTATATCATCCCAGATATAAATCGAGCCTTGTTCTTCCAAATCTTGGAAACAATACTCCTTACTGACTCAATTCTCCAACTTTCAGGATGAAAATCGCCGCTTTACTCCTTGTTCTCGCTGCTGCTAGCGCAAGTCCCCTTGAGACTCGCGCCAGTGGTATTCAGGGGTTCGATATCTCCAGTTACCAAGGCACCGTCGACTTTGCTGGTGCGTATGGTGACGGTGCTCGCTTCGTCATGATCAAGGTATGCTAAGACCGAAGCCGACATATAATCTTACTATCATGCTGACCATACCAGGCGACAGAAGGCACCACCTACGTAGACAAGACTTTCTCTAGTCACTACGAAGGTGCGAGTAGCGCCGGTCTGATTCGAGGTGGTTACCACTTTGCCCACCCCGACAGTAGCTCCGGTGCCACCCAAGCTTCTTACTTCCTTGCCCACGGTGGAGGTTGGTCCGACGATGGCAAGACCCTACCCGGCATGCTGGACATTGAATACAATCCATCTGGTGCAACCTGCTACGGCCTCAGTAAGTCCGCCATGGTCGCTTGGGTCAAGGACTTCGGTGAAACCTACAAGACCAAGACAGGTCGATACCCCATGATATACACCACGGCCGACTGGTGGAACACTTGCACCGGTGGCAGCACAACTTTCAGCAAGGATTACCCCCTGGTGCTGGCTCGCTATAGCACTTCTGTTGGTACTATCCCCGGTGGCTGGCCTACCCAGAGCTTCTGGCAGAACTCGGATAAATATGCCTATGGAGGTGACTCGGATATTTGGAATGGTAGCGAAGCCTCTCTGAAGACATTCGCCAAAGGGGCTTAAAGCCAAATATCCTGTTGGGTACTTGTGTATATGCTGGGTTTCAATACTTATTAAGACTTACATGTTAGGTGACTCGCCTTTCTATGTATTTTATACAGTCAAGTAGTTTAGTCCTTTCTTCTCTACACATCGCAAAATACAAAATTCCTAGAGAGTTTCCTTAATAGGCTATTCCCACCATACAATTTTACGTTTTTACCACCAGTACTATAGCCGAATAAAAACCTATAGGCTTGATCCTGAACATCGAAACTCTGGGAAGGAGTAAAAGAGATATAAAATCTTGGAAGACGTCACTCATGATGGAACAATACATATTAAAGATGAGAAAGTTTACAGTACATGGTATAGAGCGGTCTAAAATAGGGCATCTTCAGGCATCACACCTTCGCAGTAGTTATGTATGCATAATGACTCATTCTTATTCATGTTCATTTCGGTGGCTCTGATTGGTTGACTCTCTATCTAAGGTTTTTTGATGCCACATAGATTTATGCTACAGTAGAATTTGAGAACAGATTACCCATGAGATATTCACGCTTCCTTTCCCAGCGCCTCACTCAGATAATTAATTCAGTCAAGGAAAGCCCCACAAGCTTTCGTGATGTATCTCTGGTAGATGACCGAAGTTACCGTAATAACAGTTCTGGTATCTAGCAGAACATACTTGCCCGAACGCCCGGTGGCCTTAAGCTAGAATTCGAAAACAGATGACCCCTCAGACACTCCTACTCGGTTTCTTAGGCTATAGCCGAAGCCACGGTAATCCTTACGACGTTAGTTAATATTGTGTTATAGAACGTGTTAGGAACTAACGTATACCGCGTATACTATGTGTTTTAGAGATGGCGACTGGCTTCCAATGGCGACTCGCTTACCGAATACGTTAGCATCTAATGAGTTATTATAAATTATGTTATCCTGTCGGATGTTCTAGGGAGGGGCGGGTGCAGAAAGCGGGGGCTTGGGCATCTCTCACTTCCTCGTTATCCTACAACTCGACATCAATTCATTGCTTGCTCAACTTGAATCCACATCCAATTCACAATGCAACCAATTTCTGAAATTGACTGGGACAAAGGTGATAAGGATGGGCTTGTCTCCGTCGGTTCCCATAAACTCTATCTGTCCGTTTCGGGGCCAGATCGCAAGCCTGGAAAGCCTATCGTCGTTCTCATGCAAGGCGTTGGCAGCACGATCGATGAGTGGATTGTAGTGCGAAAGCTTGTGGTTCCATTTGCTCGTTGGTTGAACTATGATCGTTCAGGGATGGGTAGGAGTGAAGGTCCCAACCAAGCACCACCAAGCATATCTGCAGCATCAGTCGCAGCAGAGCTTGATACTCTCTTAAGGAACGCCGGTATTGAGCCTCCGTTTATCATTGTCGCTCACTCCTGGGGAGGCTACACTTCTCGCGAGTTTCTGGAACTCAGGCCCAATGATGTCGTGGGCATGGTGTTCGTGGATTGCAATACTGAACGTTTCTTTGACAGTGGTGCGTGGGGATGGGACGTTTTCTATCCAGTCCTCGGTGGCCAAGATTTTTTTGAAACCACCGGTCTTGCAACGTCCCATGTCCTATCCGAGGAGGAGTGGAAAGCCGTCAAAGACGAGCAGGCTGATCCCCGACATCAAGCCACCGAGGCTGCTGAGTTGCAGGCGGTGCCGAATGACAGACGAGCATTGGTCCACAAGAACCAACTCGAAAAGCTACTTCTCAAGGATCATCCGGTCAGTGTCATCATTGCGGATACACCTAAAGATTTCCAGAAAATGTATGACTTTGGAGTGGCCGCAGGCAATGGAACAGAACAAGAACGAGCTCTGTTTCGAAAATGTCTCGATAGATGGCGCGAGATGAATGAGGATTGGCAAAGAGAGCTTTTGAGGCTTTCTCGTCTCAGCAGATTTGTTCGTCTGCATTGCAGTCACAATGTGCAGCTTTTACAACCACAGAGCATAATTCAAGAGATACAGTGGACAATGGATAGCTGCAGCTAACTCTCGATCTGCTAATGAAATCTTGAGATCCCGGCTTGCAAGCCGTATGTATGCATAATGACTCATTCTTATTTATGACAATTTTGGTGGTTCTGATTGGTTGACTCGCTATCTAAGGCTGTTTGATGCCCCATGTAACTAGATTTATGCTACAGGATTAGATATTTAGATCTGGCCCTTGCCAGTTTCTTCTGACTTTATTGAGGTAAAATCTAGGATAATCTGTCGGTTATGGCATACGCTTTTTACCACTCTTTCGATAATCTCGACAATTTTTCCATTGGTGTCATTTTGACCGTCCTATTGGGATCCCTCGTGGCCCTCAGATGGCGAACAAAAGAACCAACTATCCCAATTGTCAACTCGTATCGTTGGGATATGACGTTGAAAATAGCTCACGCGGAGTTTATCTCGAATGCCAGGGGACTAATCAAAGAAGGGGTGCAAAAGGCAAAGTCACTCGTTCTCCTACAAAAAGGAATGTACACTTACTAGTTATATAACGCTCCAGTTTAACGGCCATTTTGCATCATAACAACGATTGGCTCTCGAATAATTCTTCCAGCATCTTATACAGACTGGCTTAAAACATGTTCCGATTTGGATCATCAGAAATATGTCCATGATGTTTGTTGAAGATTCTTCTATCAAGGCCATATTGCTAACTCACAAATTCAAATCAGGAATACTTCGCCGCCTATCCCGGAATGGAAGGTCAGAAAGTTGTGACGGATCCCCGAAAAATCCTGATCAATGTTACTGAAACGAAATTAAATAATCAAGATAGTCGTGAGTGCGGGCTGCTCATCAATGTTTGAAACGCAGGTCTTACTGACATGACACCCTATAAAAGAGTGTGAACTGTTTCACGAACACATTTCGGACGCTCTGGGGGGGGCCTGGACAGACGATACTGGTATGATCTCCTTATCGTCGTTTCGTGTTCCCCAATTAACATCTATTTCAGGCTGGCATACGATTGACTGGTCACAACATGCAGTTAGCTTCATTGGACGCATGTCTGCATCTGTTTTCGTAGGGCCTGAGCTAGCACGCAATGAGGAATGGCAAAAGCTCATTCTCACTTCCACCATGAATACCTTTATGGGTGTCCGATCACTTCGTGCTTGGCCTGCCCTTCTTCGCCCGTTTGTGCATTGGTTTTTACCAGAATTTTTACCAGAATTTCGAAAATGCCGTGAGCAAATGCATCTTGCACGTCTTATGCTGCAGCCAGTCTTTGACCGCAGAATGAGGGAGAAGGCCCCAAACCCCAAGGACACAATCCAGTGGCTGGACGAAGTCGCCGCAGGACGCCCTTACGATGCCGCTGCGGCTCAAATCGCATTTGCAATAAGTGCAATGCACACGACTTCTGAATTACTCAAGCAGGCTATTTTGGATATCTGTATTAATCCAGAGCTGGTTCCTGTTCTACGAGAGGAAGCAAGGAAAGATGTTGAGGAAAGTGGCTGGTCAACCGCAGGAGTTTTCAAAATGCAACTTCTGGATAGCGCAATAAAAGAAGAGATTCAGCGAATCAAGCCCGGGAGCCTAGGTATGCGGTGACTTCTATTCCTTTATGATTCTTGTTACAGATTACTGATCCTGCTACCATAGTAAACCTTGAACGGAAGGCTTTGCGAGACGTTGTTCTACCCAATGGCATGACGATTTCCCGTGGAACCAACCTTGCCGTTGACTCTTCTGTGATGTGGGACGCTGCAATATATCCAGACCCTTTCAAATACGACCCATATCGTTTCCTTCGCCTACGGGAAGCTGGGAGTGCTACTGCAGCACTTGCATCTACGAGTCCCGAGCATATCGCCTTTGGAATTGGCAAGCCTATCTGTCCTGGGAGATTCTTTGCCAGTAATGAAGTCAAAATTGCCTTGGCAATGATTTTGCTGACGTATGATGTGAGAATTCCTCGAGGTATGAAACCAAAGGTTGTGGAGATGGGCTTTGAGATGTTAAGCGACCCAGACGCAAGACTAGAGATCAGAAAACAGCAAGAGTCATAGCAACTGAGCTTGGCTATCTCTCTGTCGTATCAGGATCGATTGGACAGTATCATTCTATGGTCACTTTCGATACACACCTATGCACTAATATACTTCGTCGTCATATGTAACTGATGCAGCAGATCAATGAAACTTCTAAGCAAGCCGTTAAACTCAATTCCATGGTTAGCAAATGAAGAAATTCATGCAATTCGTAAACTCGTTATGGAATGGTGGTATCGCCCGAAAGCCAGATTTTGTCACGAGTCGCCCATGCTCTATTTTCAATTTCTCGGCATTGGTTCTTCAAACCAAAACACCCACGTGCTTTGAGTGTTGATTTCAAGATTGTCACGACTTGATTGTAGTCCGACATGCTGCATTTTCTGTGGTGCAAATGCTAAGTGTGTCAATCCAGTATGATCTGCATACTCTCCAATTATGCTATCAGTGCTGGAAGCCTGCTCCCGAGGAAATATCAAACCCTGAGTACAGCATCCATATCCAATCATCACAACCACCCCTTGCTGGGGAAGAAGGGAGTATTTTCCCATCGTGTACAGCAGTTCCCTAAAGGCGGGAATGACTATCAAGCACACGGCTGCGATGGTCCAATTGTCAAGGTAAAGATGAGTGACAGGCCAGCGCTGGCGAATACCGAGCAAAAGAGCGCAGCTAGATAACATAACAAGCAAAAACCCCAGAGGCATGTTTCGATACCAGAAGTCATTGGATGTCCACGAGAGCGACGTTTCGGTATAGAGAGACGGAGGTAGACCCATGACCCATTATATGGGGTATGGGGTATTCCACGGAGACTATTCAGGGCCTTGATCAGCCAGCCATCTGCAAGAATGACATCGTGCTCAAGGATAAAGATGTACGGGGCGTCAGCTTCAAGGTATCGGTTGAAGTGGTAAACATACACACTGATTGCAGTCAGACACGAGAGTCAGTCGGCATTTCAACAAGATATAACATACAACCCTTTTATAGAAGTTACGTTCTTCTTCCAGCTTCTTCAAATGATGTAGCTCGTTCTCAGTGGAATTGTAAGTCAATACAACGTCTACCACGCGGTCTAGCCATCGTTGGCCCCAACTAGGATGTTTGCTGGAAACGGTACTCTCAACCAAGACTGTGAGGTGAAGGCATGGTAATCCCCCGGGTGTAGATCACTCAGTAGCAAGCCTGCGGTACCTTCAAAGTAATTGTCTCTGTCGCTATCCACTGTGGCGAGTGCGGCACACATTAGAGGACTAGGTTTGCCCAACAACTGATCACCCCGAAGTTGTTAATCTCATTGAATAGATTGTTGAAATTGGCAATGTAATGAATCGCTTGATGTTCTCATAGACTGTATTTTCACGCAAAAACATGAGAGATATCAAAAAACGCCGAATGAGAATCCCGCCAGAAGCATAGGCGGCAGTATCGAAAGACGAAAAAGTAAACGAAGGCGACCACCAGCAGAACTTTGGCAGCATTTTGTCCGAAAAGTTGATGCAGAGACAATTGGATTCTAATAGTGCCATTGATGGCTGATCATGTTGACAAAACCAAAGATGAGAAAAGAAAAGAAAAAAAAGATGAGACCGGGGCCGTATCGGGGTACAAATGAGGGTTAGTGGCATTTATTCTGACATGCCCCGGGGCCCTGTTCTGCTACTACTAAAACATGCACTTTCCTTCAACCCTCCTTTCTCTCTTTTCTTTTTTTCCCTTCAATTCGTTTATTAATCCTTTTTGTTGCTTTTCACTACCAAATAATGCATCTCATTCAATATGCTACTGAAGCAGATGGCCCAGCACTTGCTAAAGTCAATGTCCAAAGCTTCCAAAGCCGCCTTCTCCTCGGCGCAGTTTGGCCAGAGTCCGACCAAAACACGATACAGGAATTTAAAATCCATGTCGGAATGAGACATCTTGCAAATCCTAATATGCACGTTGTCAAAATTCACAACGACAGTGGGGAATTGGTCACCTATAGCCGCTGGCAGTTTCCGGCCTCACTTGGGGAAAGCCATGTCACACTAAGTGATGAGGCTGCTTTGATTCTCAAGAATATCGATGCATACACACCGAGGCCAATGAATGAGACGGTTTACAAAGCCTTCAAACAACTCCTGGCAGAAGCTCGCGAACGACACACCAGACCAGATGACATCCGTTGAGTGACCCCGCATTGCCGAGGAGGTATCTTACTTATACACTACAGTTCTTGACTTGTTAGCGACCTTACCAGAATACCAGGGGCAAGGATATGGCTCAGCAATCTTGAAATGGGGTATAGAAAAAGCAGATGCTACCAAGTCACGCATCTTCCTCGAAGCAACCCCCGCGGGGGTTCCGCTATATCTCAAATATGGATGGAGGCACTTGGAAGAGGTGACGATGGACCTTGCACAGTATGGAGGGACTGGAGTGGAGTCTTATTATATGATGATGCGGGATCCCGTTTTATAATTGCTTTGTACTCGCTTTATCCTTACACATGTCCATCAATTGGCTTATATAGATGGGATCTGCATCTTTTTCGATCTTACCTACCGAGTCAGCTAAGTAGCGTTCTTAATTGGAGTTAAATCCTACCAATTTAATTAATCACACTCATATGTATATGAACTCATGGATAAATGCAAAGCCGGAGTCTCGGGAATTTGTCACTTCCCCGATGCGGGGAGATTTTTAAGCGTGCCGAGCGACCTATATGTAGGTACATTGTCTCTTTCTTTTTTCTATTTTGCTTCTTTCGTATATTTCTCTCATTAAAACACCATGACTTACAAATTTGCAATTCTCGATGACTACCAGGGCATTGCGCCCGCATACTTCACGCACGAGTCACGCGTCGAGAGTTCTAGCTTCCCCGAGACCCTTGACCCCCGCGATCCTACACAACACGATGCTCTCATCCAACGACTCTTGCCCTTCGATATCATTCTAGCAATGCGCGAGCGAACACCTTTCTCTGCCAAAACAATCGCCGCCCTTCCCAATCTGAAACTTCTTCTGACCACCGGTACTCGCAATCTGGCCCTAGATCTCGAGGCATTCACGTGTGCCAAGGTCCCTGTCGCGGGAACCGAGGGCCGACCGCCTGGTGTCAATTCGACTGTGCAGCATACATGGGCATTGATATTGGGACTCGCCCGCAATCTCGCCCGCGATGATGCAGCTGTCAAGCGTGGCGCGTGGCAAGGCTCTCTGGGGGTCAATCTGTCGGGAAAAACACTGGGACTGCTCGGCTTGGGGAAGCTAGGCTCACAAGTAGGAAACATTGCGAGTCTGGCATTCGGCATGAAGGTTTTAGCCTGGTCCACAAACCTGACACAAGCAAAGGCCGACGAGCAAGCCCAGGCTCAAGGTCTTCCTGCTGGTACCTTTGTTGTCGCTGCATCCAAAGAGGAATTCTTCAAACGGTCCGATATCGTCAGTGTGCACAGCGTTTTATCAGATCGAAGCCGCGGCATTGTTGGCTCGGCTGAGCTGGCAAATATGCAATCCTCTGCATTTATTATCAACACTTCGCGTGGTCCGTTGATCGATGAGAATGCGCTCCTGGAGACATTGAATGCAGGCAAGATTCGTGGCGCCGCGCTAGATGTATTTGATCCAGAACCGTTGCCTCTCGATAGTCCCTGGCGAACCACTCCCTGGGGACAAGATGGGCGCAGTGAGGTGCTGTTGACCCCTCACATGGGATATGGAGAAGAAGATCTACTGCGAGGATGGTATCGAGAAACTGCAGAGAATTTGGAGAGATGGCTAGATGGAAAGGAACTATTGCGCAAGATGAATTAAGATAGGTTTAGAGACCCATATAGATGTAAATTGTACTCCGTAGTTGTGACTCCAACCTCATTGAAAATGCGGGGGTACATACTCCATTCTACCTACATATGTACATATGTAGGCAGTCTTGAATATTAACCAAGTTGCAGGTCGAATTTCGGCTACACAACTTGAGAATTCATTGAAGGATGTACCACTGGGAAGATCAAAGAAGTCAGGATACCCGACGTACAGGGTGCTATTATGTACGAATTGAATTCTATTTCTTTTCTCCGTTGGAGGCCGAGAGACATAATATACAATAGTGTACGGAGGACTAGGTAATTTGCATGTGGACATTCACCGAACGACGAATACGATCAACCACTAGACGATCCAAGTCCCCACGCGAGCCTAAAGATCCACGACTAATGCCAATGGACTTTAGTGGATGCGGGTTAATCGCTTTTAGGCTTACTCTCCGCGTTGTCGTCATGAGCCTCGGTCAAAGGAATGCGCATCTCTCTAAGCTTCCCTCGGTTGAAGGAATGTCTTAAATAACTCTAAAATCCCTCAATTCCCCTCCAATTCCCTTCGTTTAAATATATTTTGTACTCAAACTCCGAGATATTCTTCTTCTTTCTTCCTTTCTCTCTCTCTTTTTCTCTCTCTACAACATGGCTCCATCCGCAGATCCCATTTCCGTGTCCCCCGCACCCCTCGCCGGCTTCTCTGCCCCGACCCATCCCGAGCGTCTGCGCGTCGACCGCAGCACCAAAGCATTTGGAAGCGGAGCCACTTCACTTGTTGATCTCCCTGCGGGCGCCATTTTTGCCAAGATCACCACGGCTACTCCCGGAAAGAAGGCCTACACAAGCGTACAGACCGGCCGCGACAGCCACATCGAGCTCAATTCCGACTTGGTCTACTGCAATCACTCCTGCGCGCCATCATTGGTCTTCGACATGGGTCGCATGGAAGTGCGGGTCGTGGATGGCCGTCCTTTGAAGACTGGTGACGCCCTCACTTTCTTCTACCCGAGTACCGAGTGGGAGATGGATCAACCATTCCAGTGCACCTGCGGAGCGGGTGAAGGAGTCTGCAGAGGCTGGATCTCTGGAGCCAAGACCATGTCTAACGAGGAATTGGATGGATACTGGCTCAACGGCCACATCGCGGAGCTATTGGGCGAGCGCAAGTGAGCAATTGAGAAGGCAAGGGGCAGGCATCCCCAGTGGACGACAATGGACGAGGAAATGTGCTATAGAACGAAAACAAGATATCCGATAGAGAATAGATACCAGATGAATTAAGCAAATTATGAAAAACAGTCTATAACTAAATCCATGAAAGCATTCAAAGCTCTCACTCTTAACTACCAGCTCCCGCGATCATTGCAAATTGCAACATTCTCCGGCGATCCATTTCCTTCTTCAACATCATCAAACAAGTCGCAATCACAACTGCCTCATCTAGTTTGTGCAATTGCAATTCAACTTCATCGATTTGCAGCTCACCACCATTCCCCGCGGTACACTTTGACGTTCCCGGGGTACGAGTATCCACCCCGCGGACCAGCTGTGCAATCCTGGCCTTCTTCTCTCTGGTCTTCCCCATTTTCTCAATCGCGCGGAAAACAATAAGGTTAACTTTCCGACCGTCCGCCAGTTTCTCCTTCGCATATCCCCATTCAAATTGTCTTCCTCCAGGCATCACAAATTGCATAGTACGTGAAGTCCAATTTCCATTGACCGTCACCTGTTCGGACTCATTGGCCTGAAGCAAGTGCAAGACGGGATCTCGGTTCGGACCGAAGAAGTATTCAGTCCGGATCAGACTTCCGCTTTGGTTGGATAAAACAGCATTGCCCGATGAGATTTTATCACGGGTAGAGAGATAGGCCTTTGTTCCGTCTTCGTTGTAAATAGACACTTCAGTCTGACGAGATGGTACTGGAAGGCGGAAGGCGCCGATGCCCCGCGCATTAACAGTCAGAGTACGCGACGGTTGAAATAATGTCTCGGAGTCAGAGAGTGTGCATAGAGTGCTTCCAGACTTTACGGATAAGGCTGAAGCATAGGTCTCTTCTTTGACTTGAAGTGTAGTAGTCATAACGGAAGTGAGTTATGAACTTGATTGAAGTGCACATCATAGGGTCGAGGGCGAATTATATAGATCAAACGGTGAATACGACAGTTTCCTAATTGGGCGATTGACCCTTATTTCAATTGCTTGGCATTTCGTATTACTTCCAAGGTTCGCCCTGCTGAGCCACAGGGCCACTTTCACTGCCCATATGCACTTGATTTTCCCGTACCCGTTGAATAGCATCTAGGATATAACTTGGTTGCTTTGGGTAGTGTTCGTATTGGAAATGACATTGATCGTCATTCTATCACGGGTATCATGATATCGCTGAATATTTACACGAAACTCAGCCACCCTCTGATTCTCTTTTCGACTCTTTGTCACGAAGGTATGCATCTGATACAAGAGACCCATGAATTACTCGGCGTGAAACGATCCAGGGGAAAGACTTAATGTTCCCGGCCATCATTTGATAAATGGGGTGCGGGATGATGAGCAACTCCAATAACCAATCCAGATCGATCTGCATAGGGTCTTTTAGGCTTGCAAACAGAATCAACTATGGACTCGTCAGTCAAACACACGTCCATCACTGGAAATAGCCCATACCTTTTGCGTGAACGCAAAGTGAAAGAGAGATCGAGTTGCGGGATCACTAAGTTGTTTTGACCCCCGCAGCTTGAGAAGGTGCTGAATCCCAGTGACGTGGGTACTCATGAGGCTCTGACGCTCACTGTTGATATCTTCAAACAGCATGAGCATAACCATCGTCCCCAGCGTTCCATCTTGAACAGCATCTTTTACCGATTCCAGCGCCAGGTTCAACTGTTTTAGAGCTTGGCCATACCTCCTCCGAGCCTTAACTTCAAGAAATGACACCTCTGCATGATTCACCTTTGATACAAATGCTGCAGCATCCAGTGCTGCACCCAAGCTAGCCAAGGGCACCCCATCAGCCTTCTCATTTTGACATAATGTGTACAACAACGGAATGAAGTCGAGGGGGCCAGGACTACCATCTGGTTCTGTTGGTAAAGTGAACTGGTCCAGGAAATAGCAGTGACTGTGATGTTCCCATGAAGAGTCCTGCAGAAATCGAGGCATCGATAAATCGGCATCAGGTGCTCGAACGCCACTGGCAGGTGGAACAACGAGATTCCTCCCATTTGTTATACCCTCCAATCGCTTTTTTTCTCCTCCCTTTTGTTCTTTACGGACCAATCTCTCGTTTTGTTTTTTCCCTGCGAAATATGAGGGGTGCAGTTTTTTCGTACCCGGGAAACTCCCTGCCGTATACAACACAAATACCACAGGAAGGTTTCCTCTCATCACACTGCCCTCGTTAGGTTCTGCCCACTTCATGTATATTCAATTCCGCTCACCTTGACTTTCCTCTTTCTGCATAGAATACATCCTTGACTCCGACGGAGTCCTAACATATTCAATCGAATCTCATTGCGTCTTTGATGGAAACACAGATGGACGCAGCGTTGATCTCCCTGATCGCTTGTCGATCACCTTCCCAATCTGGAACTTCGTGATCTGGGAACACTGATCCATTTATCCTAATTGTTGATTGGCTGTGCTTCTCATAATCTGGAAAGGCCAAACTAATTTTGGATATGATCGTCACGCAGCAAACTCGGAAACAGAGACTTTGCCTTATCTAGCACAATCTCGAGGCCTCATTCATCAAGTGGGCTTGTGGTTTAGTGGTATAATACTCCCTTAGCATGGGAGTGGTCCGGGGTTCGATTCCCCGCGAGTCCATTTCTTTTTCTTTTTGGTCTTTCTATATGGATTGTTGTGATTGGAAGTGAATTTTTGAAATATTTCATTCAATGTGCGGTGGATGTGATGGATGTACGAAGTATTGTCAGAATATGTCTCGCTTATGCTTCTGTATGATTTATAAACATAATATTGAAGCCTACCATCTGGCTACCATCTCCTTTTGTCTATGTCTATCAATTGACAAAATCATTGCAACAACAGCATATACAACGTTAGATCACACTTGTGCCCAAATATCCTGAGCAGTGAGCAGTGTGCTCAACATCATAGTCGATCCAACTACCACATCTCCGGTGGGCCACCATCCCAGAAGCTCCAAGGGAATGAGCAGATCACATCCATCAACCAGCGCCTTCTTAAGAAGAGCGGAGGCAGGAGTCACATTGACCGGTGCAGTCTTCCCAGATTGGGCTTTCTGGTCCTTCTTGGTCTCTTTAGGGGACTGCTGTGCGGAGCCGAACAGCAGAGCCCAGATTACCCCGGCTATGGAGAAAGAGAGGGCATATAGCCAGAAAGTATTGGCCTGATCCATGACACGATCATTCCAAGAAACTGCATAGACGCCCATTGCATGAAGCTAGTTCACTGTTAGTGCCGAACACCAAGGGAACCGGGAAACGGGAGCAAACACACCGTTGTCAGGTCCTCCAAGACAAAATAAAGGCCAAAGCAGGTCCATTTGGCTAGGTCAATGAGCCCAGCTATGGAGCTGAACCCATCCTTACCCAGCAAAGCAGACACGCGCTGGAAGGAGTCAATAAACCCAAAGAAGCGGAAGTATCTCCGCGCTACACAACAGACCTAGTATCAGCATATTTTGTCGGTCGATTTGGGGAGGGTGTAGTCAATAAACTCAAAACGTAACTTACTCAATGCCAATTGCAGCTTGACCGTTGTTAATTGCACGGCCAGAGCACTGCTCACGGTGAGCGCTGCGACGACCTGCGAGACACATTGGATCAGACGGAGGGTCTTCTCCAGACCAGCGCCTGAATTAACAAAACGGGAGAATTGTGAAATCATCGCTGCAGTGCCGTTGCAATTCTATGGAAATAATGTCTCAAGGGATCGCGAAATTTGTGTGTCGAGGCTCGAAAGCGGGCTGATCCTCCGAAGCCACTTGCACTTGGAGCACTAGTTTGCTTATTCATCCTTTGCATGTTGGCACCACCGAGAGGAAGTGATGAAATGATACCATATATGCTAGGAAACTTATTGTTCACTCTCAAAATCCATTGAGGGGCATAATAAGCGTGGTTAGGGTTGACCAAAAGGGCATGTAGAGGAGATCCGTGGATATATCGCTCAATCCCACCACTAGAAAAACAAAATAACTACATCTACGATGGAACGTGTTTTACAAATGAGAAACAAATCAATTGCTACGCACAATGACCGGATGCTTGCAAAGTAGCAGGAATATATCAACTATTCACCGTGAGCAGCGTTCAACAATATTTTCAATCTGCTCTATCGCCCTTTGCCGCCCGAGATATCCTGACCCAGGCGGTATCCACCGACCTTCTCCCACTCCACCTTTTGACGGGTGATGGGGAGTTGTCTGCGGAGACCCTTGAATGCGCCCTCAGCTGTTTGGACAAAGGCTCTGTTTAGGGCTTCCTGGTAATCGCGCTCGGTCGCCGCAATCTTAGAGACAATTGATTCGGCAGAAATGGAAGGAATGTTAATGCTGATGGGCTTGGTGGTGTTGAGTGCTACATTGCCATCTTCATAGTAGTGCACATCGACCTGGATTTTGCCAGTTAGGGTAGAAGATGAGGAGGAGACGGGAAGTTGGTAAATTGCGCGGAAACGGCCGTTCCTATTGAAGAGACGGACGATCCTCCCCCGAGTGAGGGAATCGTCCAAGTGATTAGTTTGCGTCCACTGTGTCCACCGTGTCCATACTGTCCAGTGTAAAAGAATTTGAGCACTCACCAGAAGTTGTTAGGGGAGTATCGGTTAGCGACCAAGAGGATAGCTAAGGCGGAATCGTTTTCAATGGGGTAGACACCATAAGAGCAGTTGGGGTAGTGTTCGCGAGCGTGAACACCAAACGATTTAAGTAGAGACTTGCTAAAAACGCAGTCAGCAGAATATCCCATAGCTCAATGCCGAGGGGTTCTCACATCAAGTCTGCATTCTCAGATTCGAGGTGGTATGATTGTGCCCCGGAGGCAGTCTGTTGTCGCGAGTTAGCCCCGCAGGCTCTCGGTGTACCGCTTGGGTTGGAGAAAACCTACCTGTGTGGTATGGTCGACCTCGAATGAGGTTTGGCTCTCGGGATCGAAGTAGCGATTATCCTCCAGCGCGTTGAATTCACTAAGGATGACCTTTCCAGGGACGTTGTGTCAGCGGCATCGCAGAGAACTTTGTCTTGGGTGAAACCCACCTCCTGGCTTGATCCCGGCAACTTCACTGTCGCAAGCTGAGTTTCGTTGTATCGCTTGAATGCGGGCAAAAGGGAAGAAACAATATCATCACCCTCGGAGGTCAGGGCTTGCACATCTAATCGAGCGGCAGAAATCAGCATCACCATCCATGTGCAGGGGTCGGGATTGCGGGGATCGGATCAGGTAGTGAGCGCTAAGAGGGTGGTTTACCAGCGACGACATCTGAAAGCTACATAAATCCACGTTAGCAACCATAGATTTAGCCCTGGGTGGATGTTGACCAGTGAGCAAAGGTTCCTGGATCATTGTTGACGTGCATACCTCTCCGGGCGGGGCACCCTCGATGAAAGAGGATGCCAGTTCAACGGTGGAAGCCATGATATGAGGGTAGTAGTATCGATATATTCAAGGGGGTGCAAGAGACTTCAATGCAATTGAAATCACCCAGAGGTCTATGTGGTAGCTATTGTTGGGAGTTTGCGGAGACAACAGCTGAGCTGTCGGAGGCGGAGAGCGAGCGACAAGCACGTGGTTCACCAGTAGATATACGCGATAAGAGACATTTGGATATTTTGATATTTTGATAGAGATTGTTGTGAATCATTTGAAAGAGAATAACATTTGGAGGTATCTTAAAAACGCTGGAATAACGAGTGTGAATATCTTCTTCCCCAACGCCATATGCTTGAAAACCTCGAATTATAACCGCTGCCAATACCATAAATTCCCCCCAAAACAAACCAAGAAAAACCAGGGCCATTTCAATCAATGCTCATATTCATGAAACCGTCGCTGGCCTCAGTCATTCCCTGTAGGCCGACGCGTTTCGTGCCCCCATGAGGAGTTGTCCGATGACCAGAATCAGTACTTGATCGTTCCGAGAACGGCGCACCAAGGCCAGGCTTTGGCGGCGGACCCCATATGTTCGGTCCCATGTCATTGATATTATGTGAATGGGTCATTACCGGACTACTCTGAGCGCTCACACTAGGCGAAACAGCACGACGTTTGAAGAGATTTGGATCGAAGTCATCATCGCGACGCCGTTTGCGACAAATCTCTCCAATGCTCGGCATGCCCGGTGCATGCGGTGTGGAGGAACGAGAACGAGGTTTGAACGAATCTGCGGTGACAGAGCCAACGGTCGTGGACGGAGTCATATCCATGGAGATATCATCATCTGCCACAGATGAGGGACCTCCCTGACGCGCGGGTGGTGGAGTCCGGTATCGCCCATCAAACGAGTTCCAGAACTCAACGCCACCCGAATTGCGACTGGCTTGTTTATTGAAATTGGCTTTGGATGGCGTGTCCATGCCTGCCTTGGCCGCTGTCTCGTCTGTTGGTTGCGAATCGAGTGATGTAGATGGTTGCAGCGATGGAAATTCACCCAGAGCAGGTGTTGGTTCGGGTTCAGTGTCGCGGACCTGCCGGACGACTTCTGCCTCACGTTTCATATCGCTATCGACCGGAGCACCTTCCTCCATAAGAGCGGCACGTATACGCGCAAACGTTTTGGTTTTGGGCTGTCGCAAGAGTCAGCCTCATGTTGTTCACAATGGAAAGCACAATGGCACAAACTTACTAGTAAACTTCCCCGTCGGGTCACGGCACGACGAATGACTCCCCATGGTCCGCCGCCGCCTTCTGAGTTTTGTTTGGGAATAGGACTTCCACTTCGCGTAGTGCGGCTCTCACCGTCATCGCTCATATCGGATAATCGTAGGTCGCGGGTAACGAGACTGATGCTTTCTCTACGTGCATTCACGTTCGGTCGAGGCGCAAAGTAACCTCCGGTGGAGTGCTCCACGCTCTTCATGATGGGCGGAGAGTGAGGGGTTGGACTAGGCTTGGAACTATTTCCGCTCGCACTGCTGGAGCTATGACGACTGCGACCTTTACGGAAGCGCGCACGTTGGAAGCTCATCAAGCTGGCAGCAGCTTGTGAATACCCTCCCATCCACTCGTTCCCTGGGCTTTGTAAATTGCCGGCAAATGGACTTGGCCCACCAATGCGCGTCGCCTGTGGTGTATTGATAATCATGTCATCGCGATCACCCATCGTCTCGTCTTCCTCCTCACTACTACTTGTATCCGACTCCATCATGTTAACACTGGACATGGAGCTTGATATGGCAGTACGTTCGACCGGACCTGATGTAGAGAAAGGGGGATTGGAGGTCGCGCTCGGTGATCCGCGTCGTTGTGGTATCGCCATGCCCCGCCCTCCAACGGTTGGAGATGAATCTGGGGACGATTCGGCGAGGGTAGAATGGTGAAGGTTTGTACATGCGCGGGAGAAATCTAGGCCTCGGGATCGTCGAGGGAGAACAGATCCTGGTGATCCATAGGTATGGGAAGGGTCGAGTTTTGGAGAGAGAGGAGCACGGTTTGTGAGTGATGGCGACACGGTGGGCTTGGAAGACAGGTTCAGCGATAAGTTCGAATGAGGCAGGCTTGATCGTCTCGGTGTTGCAGGAAGGGCAGGAGTCACATTCTCGTCTTTGCTTAGTGGCCGGCTTAGGTCGCCAGTAGATGGCTGAGTGGCAGATGTGGGTTTGGACGCATCAGATAATGAACGCGTCTTTGGTGAACGCGGCGAATGTGAATGCGATGGTGCAAGTTGACCTAAATCAGATGAATGAGGTTGGGAGAGTTGTTGGCTAAGTTTGCTCTCATATGCGTGGACCGATACACTGCGCCCGGGCGCTGAGGGTCGCACCTCAGCCATTAGGTCACTCTGATCTGAATTAGCGATATAGAGTGTAAGGCGCAAATCGACAGGGCATCGCTGAACGACGACAAAGTTGAATTGTAGACTTAAGCCCACAATTGAGGCCCTGGGAGCACTGGTAACTGTGCCTCCTGGTAATAAATACAGAACTCTTTGATTGTTGAGAGAAATACATACGTACATTGCTGCAAGTCGCTGGTCTTCAGGCGGTTAACGAGATCAGATGATACACTAACCCGATCCGGACATTTTTATAGTCCTACGTAATATTGAATACCTATCTACAGATCTATATAGATTATTACACTGTTCATGGTTAAGTGATTTTAATCTCTTTAATTAAGAATCAATTAAGTAGTTGATTATTCTGAGATGTGATTGAGTTTTGATCAAACATCTTTTGCTTATTGTACATTGCATTTCAGCCCTAATGTTCATCTCACGCCAGACTCATGGCATTACTGATAGGCACCACATGCCATTCCCAATCGTTACAGTCATTTTGTGGGGAACTCCCCTTGATTAAATCAGAATCACGGGTCTGCCATAATTTGGTAATCACAGCCCGTGTTCTTGCAATGTTGGAGATTGTTGAATCAGCCATTGTTGCCAACGAGTGTAGCACAATCGCCCGCCCCGAGGTCGAGTCGGTTTCAGAGCCCGGGAAGATTTCGTCATCAGATGGGTCAAGTTCCACGGCTGCCACAAAGACTGGCCATGTCACATTGGCTAGCGACTCGCGGTCGAGAAGATTTGATATGAGTCGTAGAATCTGGCGCACATAACTCTTCACCAATGGCGTGGTGGGATCAGATCCATATAGGGCGCAGTGTAAATACAACATTGCTGCAAGCCGTTTTGCATCTGCAACAAGTGCAAGGACTTCATCATCACCCTCTCCCACCTCCTGGACCAAGTTCTCTAGCTGCCGCTCGAGAGAGGCTGCACGCAAGAAATAAGACTCTTTGTCATCTTTGGAAGTATATTCTCTCCTGGTTCGGCTCATGTCTGTAATCTTGGCCAAAATGGAGACCAATTCAGGACTACATCCCATCCAAAGGTCGATGTTTTTTTCATCGGGCTTCCAATAGTCTGTGCCAAACAATACCTCCTTGGCACAGGCTGTTCGGCCCATGACATCCTGAAAGGCGAAAAATTGCTCCGCAAAACTTGTCACAGGGTCTGAAGGTGCCGTGGATTGAGATAGTGCCGTTTGCTGTTTCCTTCGAAGTCGGATCAAATCATTGGCACCTTTGAGATGGATAGTCCATTGTTGGTCGCATTTGTCTACTATTTCGTATAAACATAGCATTATCATAATGACGAGAACCTCAGGATCCATAGAGCATGTCAAAGATCCTTCAGACGAAAGACGTTGGCGAAGATCTCTTAGAGCCTCCGATTTGTAGCGGAGGCCGATCGCACCATAGCCCGGATTGACTCTTGACCAGTGACATGCCCCCAATGCCTGAATCGCTTTGAAAAGCGTAGGAGAAGCAGACAAACAGAATGGCAAGATCACCGACGCAAATGGTGACGAAAAGGTGGAGCTGGCGGCGGTACGTGGACAAACTTGTTGAAGATAATAGTCAAATAACTCCCCATGTCCCGACTGGGAGAGTTCGGGGAAAAGTGCGAGCGAAGGGGGAAGGCTGAGGTTGTAATTCGTAGTGAGCTCCGCGAGATGTGGAAAATGTTGCAGCCAGGACCATAATTGATCAGTGTCGTCTCTGGAGCTTTGAGCCACCGAGATCAGCGCATTGAGTTCGTTGAAATCAACATTGACCTCATCTGGATGTTCGAATGTGGAAAGGCTGCTGTTTATAAACCCCCAAGAGCTAACAGTTGGCAATGGGCGCCATTGATGCACTTCATTTGCAGAAAGCGAGCCAGGTGTGGGCTGATTACCCCCGGCTTTACTCCAAACACCAGCACGACCAAATGCCATCCCACGACTGGCAAATTCGGATTCCCATTTCAAGACCAAGTTTTTGGTGCATGGCAAACCCTTCTCCCAGCAGCGTGTGCAGATGGGCTTTTTAGTGTCACATCGGACACGGCTTGTTCGGCATTCTTTGCAACCATCGCGAGATCGGGTCTTGACCGGACCCGTACGGTCGGCAGCTTTTCTTCGTGGCATTTTATGAATCAAGTTCACATGGTTAAATCCACCCTGGCCATAAGGATGAGAGATTACAATGTAGGAAATATGTATCAAAGAAGATGAAGAAGCAAAAAAAAAAGTGGTCCCCGCAAGTGGCGATAAGGGTCTATCGTTAGCCACCCCGCAAAAGCCGTCAGTTCCCTTAGATGGGTGAATACATGCTAAAGTATCTAGATATGGAGTATATTCTTTTAATCTACTAGAACTAAATAATGAGCAGTATAGATTGTATTTGTGATTTGCTTGAATGCCCGATTGATCCATTCAATCAGGCCTTCTTTGGAAGCAGGTGGTTTTACTTGAACAACTGGCGAGTTTTGATTGTTAATCATCAAATCCAGGTGAGATTTAGTCTTTCTTTTTGTGTATACTCAAATATCATGCTTCTTCTTCCATTCCGCTGCACAGTCCCCATATGTAATGAATTCAACACCTTCCCCCTGTTGCTTGAGCCAGGAGATCATTCGGTCAATCATCCCAACCACATGTGCCATGCCACTTGTGTCTGGATGTAAGACCAAAGGAAACACAAAGCCTTGCTCAGAACCTTTCTCAATAGCCATCTCAAGGGCCTCATTGTATAGGAATTCAAACCGTGATTTCCAATTTTGTTCAATGATTATCGGACTCACAAACCCATGCGAGTTCTCTGCGGCTGGAAGGAATTGCATTGGTGTCATATCCTCCATGTACCAATTACAAGGGATTTCAACCAGAGTTTGAGAAGTTCTGGCTGCAGGGGCAGGGATAGGCTTCATCCAAGTAGATGCAGATTTGGAGGGCGAGAAGTCAATGGGCTTGGGCTCAGGCATTCTAGGCACAAAGTACAGTGACGAGTCATGATGTGTAAGAGACGAATCTATTTGAATCTTAGAGTCGAGTAGTATAACAGTAATATGTTCCAAGCATACCATATAAGAACCCAAGTTCCTCTAGTACTTGGATAGTGTGTGTTCGCAGTTGATAGAGAGGCGCCCTCCAACCTTGGGGTTTCTTTCCCGTCAGATCGGTTGCTAGCTGCACGCACTTGGTGATCACCTCCTTTTCTTGAGATTCGGTCATTTGGGTCGAGCCCTCATGCGCATATCCGTGACAACCAATTTCCGCGCCCGATTCGACGATTGCTCTAGTTTCTTCGGGAAAGGACTCCATTGAATGCCCCGGCACAAACCACGTCACGGATGAAGATATTCCATGTTTTTTGAATAATCGCAATAAACGTGGCACTCCAACTTGAGCAGCGAAGAAACCACTGCTATAATCAGCTAAATTAGTCGTAGCCGAGGCACCCGTTCCCAAGAAACCCGACACGGCATCGAAGTCCACAGATAGTAGAATTTGAACCTTTGGCTTAGACAAAGCCCCCTTTGATCTGTCATAGTGAATGTTGGAAATATTTCAAAAGAAGACTGACATGAAGTCGAGAATGAAAAAAAAAGGAGTGAAGGTTCACACCACGAGACGAAAGGGAAAGACGACCCGACGCTTTTTGCGGGTCACAAACCCCGCCATACATTGAGCCCTACCTGCTTATTGTAGACACGATAGGTAGTTATGAATTTCACAACAAAGTTTGTTGACCGCGCACTGCGCAACCTCCTCTGTTTTTCTGTAGCTATGAAACCTGGGAGATTTAAATTTCTTAGATTATATACGAAAATGAATCTCCTTGTACTATTTTTACGTAAAATGGCACCATTATGCTCTAAAAAGTGCGTTAGAAAGAGGTAAAAACAGGATAAGAGATCGTTAGGTATGAACATTGAATACATTGTATCAGGGAAATAGGTGTTACTATACATCTGACTGCACACGAAAGATATTCCTAACGAGAATCAGAGGGTCATGCTATAGGTTTCCCTATCTAACGAGCTTCTGTATTAGTGGATCACTTAGGGCTTCTTGCCTCCACAACTGCATCGCGAGAGTCAGTTGCTTGCCTCGTGCAGCTAGCTCGTCTTAGACAAACTGCCTTCCTTCAAGGAAGCGCGGACGGGCCCTATCTGACGCTACGGTCTAAGACCGCAGCGACAGGTAGCCTGTTACGGCCAAACTACACTCTTCTTGTCACTCTTGACTGCGTTAGGTCACCGATACAATTCATGATATTATTTATCTTACTATCGTACAATCTAGCCAAGTCAACATTACTCGACCTGTCCAGCCCGTTTCGTCACAGCATGGAGATTCCCAAAAGGACATCGCCGATGCCTTTGGCACCAGTAAATAACATCACAAGACGGTCGATAACACACCCCCATCCACCAGTAGGAGGCAAGCCCCAATCCAGGGCTTCGAGGTAACTCTCATCGACCTCGCCGGGCTCATGAGCGTCCTTGCTGAAACGTATCTGATCCTCAAATTTGCGGCGCTGTTCGAACGGCGAATTCTCCTCTTCGTATATATTGATCAGCTCCTTGCCCTCAATGAAGAGCTCGCCTCGTGCGGCGACGCGTTAGCTGGTTACGGGGTGGATGAAGGATTTAGAAAGTGGGGAGAGGCATTTTGGTGGGTTGATGATGAATGTTGGGTCGATACATTGGGGCTCGACGTATTGACTGCAGAGCTTGTCGAGGAGGTGAGGGAGGGATGGATTTTCGGGGACAGGGAGAGAGAGGTCGGTAAAGATTTTGCGGATTTGTTCGAGGGCTATAGGGTCTTCGAGGTCGGGGAGTTTGCGGTCGATAGCTTCTTCGATGCCGGTGATGAAGTCGATGCGGCGGAAGGGGGCTGTGAAGTTGGCTGTCGTTGGGTTGAGTGTGCCTGTTATGTTTAATTTTTGGACTGTGACTACTGCCCCTACGAGCAGTTCTTCAGTTATGGTTATTAAGTGGTCAAGGTTGGCGTGGGCGTGGTAGAATTCGCAAGTCGTAAATTCTGCGTTATGTGTCTTGTCTAAGCCTATGGTCTGTTAGCATGCTAGGCAATGTCTTATTTATATATTACGTACCTTCATTTCGGAATGACGGTCCAATCTCAAACACCTTGTCAAATCCACCAGCAATCATCCGCTTTAGCCATAGCTCTGGCGCAATTCTTAATGATAGCTGACGGTCTGAGAACTCTGTGGCAGACGTATAGAACGGACGAGCAACGGCACCGCCAGCCACACATTCAACAATCGGGATATTAACCTCCATAAAGGAGCGTTCCAAGAAGAACGAACGCAGGCACTGGGTGAGAGCCGAGCGAGCCTTGATCATATCCATCGTAGGACTATCGGCCAAGAACTGGACATGGCGAGGGAAAGGCGAGACCTCATGCTTGGTATTATGAACTGGAATATCATGGAAACAAGTCGACAACAGCATCGGAAGCTCAGTAGCATCAACAGTGAGCTCACCTCGGGCAGTGCGGTGCGGTTTACCGGTTACAGCTACAGTCGCAAATTTCGAAGTCTCGTCCACTAATCTTGAACAGCGCCACCAAGGAATTGTTAAACGCATACACGGAATTGAATGATGTAAGTCATCGGACCTTCTGAATATAACAACTCATTTAGACTAACAGATTTGTAGCCTTCTGACCAACGGATGCGATTTGAGGAGCAAGCCAACCAAAAGGCTTAGGGCGATGATGAGGCCCAGATGATTGATGAGACTTTCTGTCGGGCTTTGGAATATGGCTTGCCGCCTACTGGTGGCTGGGGCATGGGCATTGATCGTCTGACGATGTTCCTGACCGATAACTATAGTATCAAGGAGGTCCTGACGTTCCCCATGATGAAGGATGACAAGACTGCGGGAGAGAAAATGGATGCGACAGAGGACAAGGGTGTGGCAGAGGATGCAGGGGTGGAGCTCTAGGCTGGACAGGGCATCTTTATGTCATAGAATTCTTGCATTATTCAGGGGTCATGTATACAAACGATTGGGTCGAAAAGCTTATTGTGGTTAGACAATATAGGTTTGGAACTTGATATTGAGACGCAGAGTTGCTTTCACAGTCTGCCTGAAATATATAGAACAGAATGTATTTGAGCAGCTCAGTGAGTCTGAGCCCAGCCTGAAATTTACTCAGTGAGTGAGTCTGACTCTGAGCGCCTTCGTAAAAGCGGCCGCAGCTACCTAGGTAAGATAGGAAAGCCCCACCAAGCAGAGGAAATATGTTACGTACAGCTACCCAGGTAATTCGGATCAATCCATGGATGGCATCTTGTCTTCTTATATCAGGAACAACACTTGAATGCAGTCATGGCTTCATCAACAAGAATGCTCTTGTTGTTCTCTTGAGTTGATGTGGCAACATCCAGCCCAGGGTTTGCTGTGAAAAAGTTGACCGGCTTGAGCCCGACTACCATCTTTTCAGACGGCATCACAGGCCAATCCTCGATTCTCGGATTGTGCGTGGATCCAAAAGTGTGCCATATGACAATATCTTTGTGTCGGACTGTTGATTTTGAAGTATCATGTTTTCGCTGAGCGATTGTTGAGTGAATACCCTCTCCACCGAGGGACTGCATAGTATGCATGCCAGACGGAAAAAGTTCGTCATCTTGATACCGAGTCACCCATACTGCATGAGCCCCGAATTCAGATCGCTTGGCGTGGAAAGATTCGGGATGGGCAAGTAGTAATTGGCTATAGCATGGCGACAACTTGAATCCAACCGGCGTACCGGTGATAGGGTTGGTTTTTGCCTCGTTGATAATTTTGAATGTACGATTCTTGGTGAAATCGAGATCCAGTCCACCTTCCTTTTCCACAATATTTGACTCTGTTGTATATCCAATTCCAAAAGAATTGCAAACCGATGGGTCGTTGAAAGGCAAAGGAACAGACTCTTCAACCTGCAACGAGTTTGCAACACCATCAATCGCAGGATCGATGCGAAGAGAGAACAAATGCTGATGATAGGGCGCGAGAACACCAGGGGCAACAATGGTGCCATAGCCAACTTTGTCGCCAATGTTGATTGGAGCGGTTGATAAAATCCCAGTGGCCCGGACTTCGTAATGAATCGAAGCATCTTGACCAAAGTGGAAAGCAAAGATATACTCATAGTTACTGACAGTGATAATAGTCTGGAGAACCAAAACACGAGACCTGACTACTGCAGTATTTCCTGTGCGGAAGTTTGTGTGTTTCCACAAGATCCCATCATCTTGCTCATGACAACAAACAACATTCGGTAATTTCAATGGTTCTCCCAATGAGGTGTTGTGCCAGCCGTCAAAGTACTTGATCAGACCAAGACAATCACAACCTAGTTGTAGATTGTTTGCGTTGATTCCAGCACCATCGTTTCCAAGATCAAATGCTGCCTTTCGAGGGTATGGAGCCCGAGGGTCACCATAAGGTACAAACATCTCTGACAAAGACAGCCGATAGATTAGACTACGCCCGTCGTAACGGATGTCATGCAATGTCAGACCTTCGCGATAGTTAAAGCCCACCCGCATAGTCCATTTCTCCCAAGTCAACAAATTCCCATCGGATTTGAAGGAAACTCCTTCTGGTTGAATAACCTGGTAGGGTTTGGTGGATGCTCGGGGTGGCGGTCGCAAACTAGGGTGATATTCACTCATGTCGGGTGAGTGAAGTTTGCAAAAATCGTATGGTCTTGGTTCTTTGTGAACACTGTCACTCTCAGAAGAAGGAAGATAATAGACCTTTGTGACATTGAGCTGCTCGGAGACCTCTGCACACAAGTCAAGTGGATAGGCGTAATAGTTGGCCTCGGGATTATCCACTAGTCTCATATAAAACCAACACTGTCAATCAGGTTTAGCCAGGACACATAATCTACTCTCCTCAAGATGTTGTTACCATGCTTGTCCGTTCCGACATATCGTTCATGCCATCGGTAGCGTAAGCCCACGCTTCGACCACAACCGATGCACCTGGAGGAAGCTTCAGTCGTTCAACTTCAGACTGTACTCTCTCATCTGCCAAGCAAGCATTCTCGACAGCTTTCATATAAGCCGAGTCAATATATGAATGTTTTCCCACCAATACCTCCTGTTTAACAACAGCAGCATGGTCGAGATCAACCAGAAGCTCGATGAGTTCGGTTGTTTCCGAGTCACCACGAGCGATAACCTCAACACGAGAGGTCCGCAGAGGACGGAGAGATGTTTTCTGTCCAAGATGCTCCTCCTCAAGGAACACTATCATGTCTTGCTTCGGAGGCTCTTTCAAAGTGATGACGCGGAAATTTAGGCATTTCCCCGGGAATAACTGTCGCACAATCGAAGCTGCCTGGAACATGGAACATCAACAGGAGGGTATGACAACGCTTAAGGCACGATGCCTACCTGAGTGATTTCCTGAGGACTCAGAGGATCAAAAGGGTGCATGTCTGACATTATATATATTCAAGGCAAATGATAACAAGACTCTCGTATAGTCATCAAGGTTATAAATATCTGATATTTTCTAGGGAAAAAGGAAAAAGCTATAGGATATATAAACCAGTCATAGATAAGCCAAGAGATTCGGAGAATGCGCGATATTCGCTAAGATATAAGAATAACCGAAACGATTGACTGACAATCGCTAACGTCAAGATTAGCCGGAGCACCGAGCATCTTCACCTCCAAGGGTTAAGGCTCAGACGCAATCTTCTCCAACAGATAGCAGAACTTTAGTTTTCTCTCATTGGTTTCAATGTCTTGTTTTGTTTATCCTGTGAGAAATGAAATGCAGAGTTTATAGTGGACTCTCGATGTGATCGTACATGTTGGGATGCCTACATACGCGTGTAGCTGTGTATACTAGCATTTAGGCTGCGGTCGGGACTTCCTGATGTCAGTCACATCAACCATTGAACGCCAATTTATAGGCATTTAGAGGCATCCATTTATCTCGAAGCTGGGATCTATCAGACTACAATCCTCCTTATCTCAGGACATGACCTAATGCAATCGTGGTCCACGGGTATGGTTCAAGCTACGGAATACTGAACGTCTGGCTATCGCGAGAGAATTTGACGAAGCTATGTGAGCTGATAACTACATTAGCATGTATACAATGTTCCCATACGTCAACATTAAAGAAGAAGCGACGTCATTCACGATCGAAGCTCTCAGCCACAAACTTTTGTCTTCTGCGCAATGGTCCTTTTTTTACCATACATATGTAGTCTCTGTGATAGTAATACAAGTAATTTAATTTTTTGCCAGACTCAAGTCAGACATCTTCAGGCAGCAATCTTAGAAATAATTGAATCCGACCCCTGGCCGCTAAGCCATAAGAGAATTGTAAAACCAACTTCGTAAATCTATAGATATCAAATTTGTAGATTATAGCTGGTTTATTCTCTGCATATAGACATGTAGTCGACAGGGCGTATTGGGCTAACCCACCTTTTCGCCCCGCACTGCTTCTCCCCGAAACAACGAACAACTTTCGAAAGTGTTTACACGATGACTTCAATTCGTACTGTTTTAGCTTTCCAACATGATTCCGGCCTTCATACACTTGAAACTAGTGTTATAGGCGTCTATCGGTTCAATACACTCGAAGAATCCAATCGCCAACTTTTCAAAGACGCTGGCGACCAACACGATGTCATTGTCACCGAACAAACTATCTTTCACCCCCAAGGCGGCGGTCAGCCCTCGGACACAGGCGTGATCAAAAGCCCATCGGGTAATTTCACGGTCACTGCCGTTCGCATGGATACCAATGGGCAAGTGCTCCACCTCGGTCTCTTTGGGGAGGGCTCGTCAATCCGCATCGGAGAAACCGTTGTACAATCAATCGATGTCGAAAAGCGTCTTCTATACTCTCGCCTGCATACTGCAGGTCACGTCCTAGGCTCAGCAGTCCGTGATCTGCTAGAAAAGGAGATTGAAAACTTCGATGAGCTCAAAGCCTCTCACTTTCCCGACTCAGCCGCGTGTGAATTCCAAGGTTCGATCGAGGGAAAATGGAAAGAACCCATCCAGAAGAAACTGGATGCAATCCTCGCTGCCAAGCTACCCGTGCAAATCGAGTGGTGGGATGAAAATGATTTCCGCTCGCGTGGTCTAGAGCGATTGATTCCTGATCGCAGTTTAGTACCAGCGGGTGAGAAGTCTCGCGTCGTCAATATTGTCGGTGCTGAAGTGTATCCTTGTGGAGGTACACATGTCGACACGACGGATTTGTGTGGCCCTGTGACTGTGAAGAAAATCTCGAGAAAAACTGGAAACTCCCGAGTCAGCTATGTGGTGAATTGATTAATTGTGATGGGGTTGAATTTCCAGTATAGAAAGAAAAAGAAGTACCAAGATGAAGAGTTATATAGAATGCGAGTCGCAACATGTACTTTAATTTAGAGAGTCAAGCCATTAGATCGAAGAGAATTGCCACTACAGCCAATATGTTCTCGCAGTATATAACTACATAATCAATAGTACATCTATATTACGTGGGATTACGAGTTTGGGGTTCTCTTTTTTCATGTCACCAAAGACCGGCATTAAAATGTCTTTTCAGAATGCATGTGGAAATTTCAAATCAAAAACATGGTGTTGATGATTGCTCATTTCATCGTGGTGAGCTCGTATCCTGAAGCTGATAGCCTTCGTTTGAGGGGCCAGCGCGTGAAATAAAAGGCCGCGAGAGAGCCTGCTCCTCGTCATCCAGTTTGGAAAAGCCGTCTGGTCCAGCAAGATCAGCCTTGTCGTGGGGAACATCGCAGAAGACTGATCGCAGCGACGGATAGTAGCGGCGGTACGAGAACCAGGCAATCGACATGCCTAAAAGCCCTCCACACGTCACATCGTATACGTCATGTCTATAATCGTCCAATCTCGAGATGGCGATCATCAGGGCACACAAAAGAGGGAAGAATGCCAGCAGACAGCGGCCAAGATCAGTCCGAGGTCGGAACACGTGCATCTGACCACAAAGAAACCTGCCAGTGCACCATGGTAAGATGACAGTCCACGCGCATTTCACAAACAGGGAATGACATACATAGATAGGTAGCCTAGGCCACCGAAGGAAAAGCTACTGTGTCCACTAGGAAAGCTCCGCCATCCCTCTTGTAGAATGTGCTGGTTGGATTCCGTACAAACAGTCCATGCGACCAGCGCATTGTTCGGCGTACCACGAGCTGGTTTGCAACGCGACAACAAGTCTGGACGTGGCCTTCCCACTGAGTTTTTTATGATATCGGTCAATAGTGAGGTCAACATCAAAGCCACGAATAGGCCGAGTACCGTCACTTGCGTCTTTTGCACACCAGCGCGAAGCATCGCGGACCATGCTAGTATAATGAGAAAAGGAATAACGCCGGCAAGGATAACAGACCACACTATAGCTAATCAGTATGGTATGAAGTGTATAATCGCAAGTTGACTTACAAACAGGGACTCGTTCGTGGACAGCGAATGGGTATTGGATGGATTTGTTATCTAGAGAAAACATGCGATGAAATGGGTTCACGAACAGTTGAATCTGTTGAATTATTAAAGAAATATCCAATCAATCTGGAGCATATGTCGTAACTTACTAAAACCCATCCTATCACTAGGAAGGCTAATGCGATGTAGTCAGCGCCGTATGAGTGTTGCGCAAATCGCGCTGCAGCGCCAGTGAGCCCAACCCGCTGAAGTATTGGGGTTGGGGCATTCCCGGAACCATTATGAGACATCCTGAGAAATCCTGAGAAATCCCCGGAGTCTTCAGAGATCTTTCAGGGGATCAATTAGATCATGTTTGCGGAGGTTGAACGACTTACGCGGAATGCACGGACCAAGTCACCGCCTCCGCCAAAACACTTCCACTTCAACACTCTACGACTTTCTTAAATGGTACAACGGTTCACAGTTTGCAAAATGGCTGATGAAAGTCAACAAAGAGCTGTCAACACAGCATTTGCACCTCCACCGCCATTATGGAAGCACTTTACGCCTGAGAATATCGAGAAGGTGGAGCAGATCAAAGCCGAAGCTTCAAAGGGTGAAGATGGACGACCAGACAAGAAGAAGGAATGGTCAGCGTCAGAATTGCGCGCCCTAAATCTTCCTTCAGAGCTGCGTTATTTTGTACCCCCGGATATTCCTGAAGAACAGTACAGTGTCTTTGGCGAATTGCAAGCTGTTGGTTCCCCCACACCCCAAGCTTTGAATCCGACAATGCTGACTTCAATATAGCTGTCTACTGCACTGCCATCGTTAAAAGAACAAGGCATCGAACAACTTTATCCAGAACCCTCCGTAACAACAGCTGAACAAGACTCACAACCCGCGCCTCTTAACCACGCATACTATCTCCTCAAGATCAGCAAGTCCCTGCTCCTCAATTTTCTCGAGTTTGTCGGCATTCTATCGGTATCACCAGAGCAGTTTGAATCAAAAGTGGAAGACTTGCGCAACCTGTTCATCAATGCGCACCACCTACTCAATCTATACCGCCCCCACCAAGCTCGGGAATCACTCATTACGATGATGGAAGAACAGCTCAACCACAGCCGGGAGGAAATCAAGCAAATGGACAAGGTCAAAGCGGAGGTTGAAAATGTTCTAGAACAACTACAAGCGGAGGGTTGCGCTGTAGGCACCAACGAGTCAGAAGAGGATAACGACCAGGCCAGAGCCTTGAAAGCAAAGGCCGACGAGCACTCCCGGTTGATCTGGGATCTACTGGACAAAGAGAATTGAGGACAGTGATGGATATTTCTATCTATCAACCCACCGAATTTGCGACTCTGGACTGAGTCGTGAAGAATTCCAACCCTTGTGTTCAAACGTGATGGGCTTTGGTTCTAAATGTCCACCACGCCCTCGAACGGCTGAACCAAGCACAAACTCACCTTGGTATTTCTTTGAAATCTTCCCGACTATCAAGAAGATTCCCACGAGAGTATCATCCGAAGGTTTTTGAAGGAATCGCAACCCCTGATTTGCCCGCTGCATCACCAAGCACACCGCACCATTTCCGGAAACTAGACCGCAAAACTGTCTTGGGGACTTCAGCCGATGCTCTAACTACCATTTACCATCGGCGACCTCGGATAACAACGCTGGACTGTTTGGGACCGACTACCTCAAATTGAGCGAACAAGAGCATGCCAACCGGCCCTGGATCTTCCCAGAGGGCTCTTACTGCGTACTACGGCCCTGGAGTGCGAAGCAAAATGTATTGATTACTGTTATGCTCGTCTACTCAATAAATCCAATTTAATGACAATCATTACTTTATATTAATATTCATATCCATGTCGTCGTTAATTCTAGTGGTTTTAACCCATTTCCTCCCGCTCTAGTCTATTCGTAAGTATCAAGCAATCTATTGGCCAGCACGCTGCTCCGCCCACGCCTTGTCAATGGCACATTCAGCCAACCGCTTCAATTCCATGATAAATTCAGCAACCACCCTGAAGTGTTCAAGCTCTGTATCAGGCAATTTCCGCGAAAAGATCCGCTCCATCATAACCGTGGCGACCTTCAATCTGTCTAGATCCTCGCGTGAGTGTGGGTCTAATGGGTTTTGGAGAATGCTGCAAAAGATGGTGAGCAGCGCGGACATGGGATAGAAGATCAGAGTCCTGAAACAATTAGCTATGGCTTTCAACCGTCGAAATCAATACATACCAGAAAACTCCGTCGACTACTACATGCTCTGCTGCCTCAAGGTAACATAGGCTCGATCGACTGGCCTCGACTGAAAGGGCCATGCTCGAACTCACGCCGTCCATCATGCCGCTTTGACCCTGGACCCATGCTTTGCACCGGCCGCTCGCTTGATGAATGATAGTCATACATAAATGGTAATTCAAGCGTAACATGACAGAGTGCATGCTCATATTTGAATCCGAAGTTTCGGAAGAGAAAGACATTGTTGGGCGCCATTTCGGGGGCACTGAGAGCCGCCATTCTTCTAGGCAGTCGTCAAGTTCACGGATAGACTTGAGCAACTCAGCATCCGACTTTTGCAGGCTGCTGACTGAGTAGAGTTCTCGATGTGCTTGTGCTTTGATGATGCTAAGTCTCAAATCGAATGGGAATACCGGACCAAGGTACGGCGCCTCGTCGTCTTCGATATCCAGAAATGCTCGATCGAGATACCCAGGTGGAAGGGTTAGATCACAATTTTCGTCAGTTATAGTGGGTGGTTGGCCCGTTCTCAGAGCAAGGTCTTTGTCGAGAGTGTAGCAAATCCAAAACAGATTGCGCAGCTGTTGATGTCTTAGCTGACTGCGTGAATCTCCAGCGAGCATTGCGCCGCCATTGAGATTCCCCCCAAGCATGAAGATCAATCGGGCAGAGACCGCGGCATAGTAGTTGGCTGCTCGCATATTTCCAGAGGATAGTTCGAAGACAGTCTAGTCACCGGTCAGTGCTTATAATGATACAACCAAAGTGATTCACTTGCCAACATAGTGAGAGCCTGGGCAGAGTCTAGACTAGCAGGCTCTTGCAGCACTTGTGGCATCAGAAACTGTGCCCTAGTAGCAAGTAAATCATGGTCGATTGGGGGCATATTAATTGCACCAACAATATCATTGACGGGAGGCAAGCGAGAAGCAAAAACCAAGAAAGCAATGACGCAGACACGGGCACTAGCTTGACCATAGGTGAAACTAAATAGCGATTGTCTGTAAGCTGTACTGACAGTCTCCTCGAAAAGTACCGGGTCAACAACGGGGAAAACGCGCCGCATGACCTTGGAGCGTTTGTATGCCTCCATGTATACTCGCAAAGTCCCCAGGTCAGGGAGCTCAAAGGGATTGAGAGAGTTCATGTTCATGAGCAAGGTATTGAAGCTTTGCCCGCGCTCTTTATCCCACGGTGCTCGTGCAGGGCTGAGCCTGTCGATGGAGACTTCTTGCCCGGTACGAGTTTTGATCCATTCCTGTCCCTCTGGAAATAAAAAAGGTGTCCCAGTAAGCAAACTAATAACACCGAGCTCTTTGCCCGCAAAATGCACCCGCACGGACGATGAGTCTTGGGGTTGATTAGTATTAGGAGAGTTGCTCGTCGTTGTAGCAGCCTCAATAGATTGAGGTGAGTCAGGCACTAATCATGGTCAGTCTGGGTACTTCGAAAATCCAGATGACACTGTACCAGATAGTTGATCTGCCATCAAGTTCTCTGCAAGTAACTGTTCGATTCGACTGATTCGTTCCGATAGCCCTGAAACTTTAGGACGTCTACCTTGATCAGATATCTGAACGAAACACTGGAGGATTCGCGTTTACCCTTCATCTTGAGGTCCTTTTCTTTTTCTCTGCACCACTCTATCAAATGTGCAGGGGATATTGTGGTGACTGCACCAATTACACTGGGGAAGTGTGGCATCGCATTTGATCTGGAGCAGGTCAGCGATGAGGAGGTTTTCAGGGTTGGAGATGTACCTTTCTTTTATAACATGAGTCACAAGCTCTCGCCGTTCGCCTACGTGGCTCTGAATCAGATGCAGAATTCATTGGAAGAACTAAATATCTTCAGCTCATTAAGCTCATTGAAGCGAAATCATTCCGCTGAGTTCCGCTGACAAAAAAAGGAAAGTTTCCCGCTGACTCATCAACTCACCTGGAAATTGCTACACTTGTATGCAGTACTCCATACGGAGTATAGTTAGCTGTAGGTTGATGGTCAAAGATTCGACATTTATTTCTGAATTTATGCGCTCATGTCTGAATACTATCTCAAAATGAGAACTTACTGTTACATTACCGAAATCAGAATGAGTTAAATTAAAGGCCCAAAAGTATCACAATCTCCCAATCTCAGAAAGTGTTCCGCATACATTGTCCATGCTTTGTTGTACTTTGTTGCCCTTTGCTTTCCCATCTTCCCATGAAATCAGACTGATTTCAATCTCAGATAATCCACAAGACGGGTATGTCAAGGTGAATCATGACGGAGAGTAGCTCACATCACCGTGCAGATACAGACATCGCACTCTTCATCTCCACAGTCGCATCCGAAGCACGGCTTTGTAACGGGCTTGATAGGCTTTGTAATAGAGCTTGCAGAGCTAGAGGAGAGGGTGTAGTCGAAAGGAGCTGAAATAGAAGTGACGGCCATAATGTTGATGGACGGATGTAGATCTATAAGATCCCAGCAAGATTAGATCGAAGGTCAACTTGATGTCCAGAAAAGAGCATACCGTGAAGAAAAAGGGCTCACCAGGTATCTAGCCTTGGAATGTTGTAGGGCTGAGTCCAGTGGGGTTTGGAGGGAAAGATGAAGAGGGAAGAGAGTTGGGTCCGAACAGGCAGCCACATATTAAAGACTGCTTTCCCACTTTACTGAAACCGCCGAGAAATCCTAAGAATGAGATACGTACCTGGGTCCGTTCATATGGATTTCTATATAGATATTGATTGAAACCTCCAAACTAAATCCAAGGAAAACCAAGTGTAGCGTTGCGAGGCCAATGAATTTCAACAGCCTAACTAGACATCGCCAAATTCCGCAAATGGGTCCGAACCTCCGACCCAAAACCCAACCCGCAAAACCCATGCATGGGTGGGCGGACCTAAACCCATACCCCGCCGATTCCCAACCCATGTCCAACCCATACCTATATGGCTACCCATGAGGTCCTCATCTAAATCCATTCCTGCATTATTTTCCCAATGAGGCAGTGCTAAGGCGCATAAAAATGCTATATCATTATGTTAGAATACGGTTTTCTACGGTTGTTTTAGTCACTGTATGAATCATATAGCAATTTAGCTATTGTCTTTGCGAAATTTGAAAAATTATTTTCGTATATCACTTTTCTAAGGCTAGTAATGCTATACTTGACCAAGGGAATAATTGGGTACGCTCCTATGTGTTAACGGTTAGATGGGTGTACATGCTCGCTGGGGGCGGTGTGGGTGGGTCGAAGGTAGGACGAATGGCATAGACACTTCTTTGCTCACGCTGTTCCTCTTCTACAAATGCGAGCTGGAGCTCTTTTCTCTCCTTAAAAACGTCTTTTCCGAAGCGTTAGGAAGATATAATAAATTATCTGCTCATGGTCTTTGCACTTCTTGCAAGATTGGTCAATATGGTCAACCTTCGTACCTTGACCTCTCTTACATATTTGGCGCAAGTCGCTTCTCTAGGAGGCAATGCGCAAACTCATAGTTCCCAGCTTAGGGACATCGTTCCTCGGCGTGAGGTTCTCTACGTTGGCGGACGATACACGAACATCACGGCAAGTCTCGTTTCCCACAAGGTTTACGCGTACCTAAGACTAGAAAACAGGACAATGTAACCAATTCTACATCAGAGGCTATGATAGGGCAAATTTACGTCGAGAAGCTTTCCCCTAAGCCAAACCCGGTGAACCCACCACTTCCCATTATCTTCATTGCAGGCGCCGCTCAGACCGGTACCAATTTCCTGGATACTCCAGATGGACGGCCAGGATGGGCATCCTATTTTATCTCCAAAGGTCACACAGTCTACCTCTCGGACCAGCCTGCACGCGGTCGCTCCTTCTGGTTTTCTGGACAGGGAAGTATGGGGTACATTGGCTCCCCCAATGATGTCTCTGATATTTTCACCGACGTAGCAAACAACGACAACCAATGGCCACAGGCGAAGCTTCACACGCAATGGCCTGGCACCGGTCGAATTGGCGACTCAACTTTCGACGCTTTTTACCGGAGCCAGGTGCAGTTCCAGACCGACCGCTTCATAAGCGAAGAGCAAAATGCGCAGGCATATTCAGCTCTAGTCGACCTCGTAGGCGACTGTTATATCATCAGTCACTCGCAGGCGGGTGCATACGGTATTTTCAGCCAAACACTATGACTTGCTAGAGTAGTTAACGATTGAGTAGGTTGGAGGGTCGGAGACATGCGTCCAGACTTAGTCAAGGGTATTGTCCAGCTCGAGCCGTCTGGTCCACCGTTTACGCTCCGCCCGCCGTTTGGAAATGACCCGGCTTTCGCTTTCGGTCTCACTGACCTCGCAATCGGATACGAACCGTCTGCAGGCAAGAATGCCGAACATATTGAGACAACTATCGAGCCAGCAATCGACGCCGATCACGACGAGTGCATCATGCAGAAGTCCCCAGCGAAGCAGTTGACGAACCTGGGCAGGATCCCCGAACTTGTTGTTACCGGCGAAGCATCGTTCCATGCGCCATACGATTACTGCACCGTCAAGTATCTGGAGCAGGTTGGCGTAGATGTTGAGTACGCGGATCTAGGCAAGGAGGGCATTCATGGCAACGGACACATGTTCTTCATGGAAAAGAACAACCTTGAGATCGCAGAGCGGGTGTACGAGTGGCTGAGAAAGCACTAATCAACACATAATAGACAATCAATCTCCTGGCTGCATTATTCCATGATGTCTGCACGTTTCATGAAGGCCATTGATCGCAGCAATATAACTAGGATTACAGGCGTTGCCTCCAGACAACTCGTCGAGAACTAATCAGATTTGTGGCAATCTAGACGCACAAAGACTACAAAGGACTACATGATCTACTAGAAATTTCAAATAGAATCAAAGTATGCAGTCATTGACAGTATGTACAGCAGCAACTTTTGAGGGGTTCATCAATCATCGCCACAGTGACCGGGGTATCGTCTAGTCATCTCGGGCTTCCAAGCCATCCGTCTATCCATTATATCCTTTTTTTGTTCATCATCAATCAATAAAAAATGCTGCTTTACAGCTGCTCCACCCAGGGAGCGGCACCGGACTGCATCTGGTTTAGCCACTTGACGAGCTCAATGAGCTCGACACGACGCTCATCCTCCAACTGGTCCTCGTCGCCGGTAAGAACGGCCTGGAAGACAGGAAGAAGGCTGGGGGTGAGCTCGAGGATGGTGGCATCCTCCCACTTGTACATCTGGCAGATCATGCGGTACAGGGGCTCGTTCTCCTCGAAGTCGTTCTTCAGAGGAAGAATCTTGACAAGAGCGGGGAGAACGTCCTTAGTGGGGACACTTTCGCGGTAACGCAGGATCATACGGCTGACACAGCCGGTAGCGTTGTCCTGAAGGCGCGAGACGTCCATCTGGAGGCAAGACTCGAGGCGGCTGAGGATGGTAGGGATCTCCTTGGAGATCTCGGCCTCGGCGTTGGAGTGCTGGATCAGGCGACCAACAGCGTAAGCAGCGTTGGACTTGGTCTGCGGGTCCTCATCGGCAAGACGGTGTAGGAGCAGCTTCAGGAAGACTCCAGTGAAGGGGGTCACGGAGGCACCCATACCGTTGATGCACTCAGCGAGAACACCGACAGCAGTGGCGCGCTCGAGAGACTCGGTGCTACCAGCGTAGCGGAGGATAGTCTTCTCGAAAACCTTCCAGAGCTCAGCGAAGCTCTGACCCAAGGCAGCAGCCATGCCGGAGACGACATCCAGGGCGGTGTCAACGACAACCCAGTCGAACTCCGAAGACTCGTCACCAGCCTCAAGAGCCTCGTCCTCAGGGCCGAACTCAACCTGGCAGATGTGCTCCTTGGTGATGATATCGGTAACCATCTGGATCACATTGTGAAGCATAGTCTCGTTGGCAATGAGAGCGGGACCGCAGAAGCGAAGGTTCTCAGCCATGTTGCGGTTGATATCCGCGACGGTAGAACTATTTATCGGTCAGCAATCGAGTCTTTGAATCGATGAGTGACGAAAAATGAGGCAGTAAGAATGGTTCTCAGAATGTAGACTTCGCCGTTTACATCAATTACGCATTTTGCGCATCAAAGTGAGCTGGGTTAAGCGGAAAAAGTTCATCATAGAAATGTTGGGTAAGGGGGTAGAGGAAGAAAAATTGAAAACATACCGATCGTCCTCCTCGGTCCACATCTTCACAGTGGCCGTCATGAGAATTTCACCGAACTTCTGGACCTCCTTGGCAGGTTGGACCTGAAGGGGAAGGCCAGGCTGCCACTTGGCCATCTGGCCGGTCTCCTCAGCGATGGTGAAGAGCATGGCGTAAGAGCGGTGCAGGGTGCTGATGGTGCTCTTGCGGACACCCTCGTAGGGGTGCTCACACAGTGGCATCACGTGCTCAATGGTCTGCTCGAAGTATGGCAGGAAAGAGCTACGAGTGTGGGTGACGAGGTCACCGATGACCTCAACGGCGATCTCCTTCTCAAGAGACAGAGGGGTTGTGGCAGTGAGGTCATCCCAGTCATCCTCATCCTCGAGGTCAACATCCTCGATCTCTCCGTCGTCCTCTTCATCAGCACTCGCAACCTTGACCTTGCGGCCGTTAAAGGTAACCTCCTGGCCAACGAGATCCTTCGCAGCGCTGCCGAAGTCAAGATCGAGATCGCCCTCTTCCTGCTCAATGCAGTCGAACAGACCCTTCACGACACCGTCAAGGAAGGGAGAGAAGTGCTCGCCGTAGACCTTGGCCATGGCACCCCAGAAAATGTAGGTGCTCTCCTTAAGACGAGAGTGACCCAGGTGGAGGGCCTCCTCTGTGGCGCGCATGAGAGGCTCAACGTAAGGTTGGTAGCGCTCGGGGCCAGCGGCAGCAGCCATTTCACCCATGGAGTCGGTGACACTGGCTCGGAGGTCGAGCTCATCCTCGGTATCCTTGACAGCGGCGAACTCCTGAAGGAGATGCATGGACTGGTCGAAGAAGGAAAGGAAGGAGTCGCCGGCAGAGGAGGCGAGGGAACCAAGAGCACCGGCAGCGAGAGCCTTGATCTTGAAATCGGGGTGCTTGAAGAGGCTGTGCAGGATGGGCACAAGCTCAGCCTGGTAGGGAGCGACATCCTTCTCATCCAGACCGTCAACGACGGCGTCAATAGCGCTGATGCCAGCCTTGATAAGGTCAACTACGGGGCCCTCCTCCTCATCCTTGTACTCCTGCATGGCAGTGGCCAAGTTCTGGAACAGAAGGGGCATGAGGCGGGCATGCTCAGTGCTGAGATCCTCAACGAGGTCCTCGGCGAGACGAGCAACAGCGTGCAAGGAAGCCTGACGGACCTTGGGGTCCTGATCAGCGAGGAGCTGGAGAACCATGGGGAAAATCTCCTTCATTTGAGTGCTGATGAAGTCAGGGGCACCCTCAACACACATGCCGAGGGCCATAATACCAGCGCGGCGGTAGTCAGGGTTGGAGTTGTTGAAGTACTGGCCCAGGGCTTGAAGCAGGGGAACAACAACCTGGCTAGGAGGCAGGCTCTGGGAGAGGATATCAAGGAGACCGAGCGCAGAGCGGGCAGGGGTGATATCATCATCACCAATAGCGGTATCACCCAGCTCGGTGACAATCTGAAGAGCGGTGCGGGTGAGCTCCTCACCAATGCGCATGCCCTGAACCTTGAGCTTGCGGTACTGGACAGTCTGCATCAAGAAGCTGATGGCCTGGGTGCGAACATCCTCATCAACCTCAGTGTTGGCAGCGATCTGGTTCATCAAGATGACCAAGTCCTTGAGATGCACGGTAAGCAAAGCGGGATCAAAGCCAAGCAGGTTTTGGAAGACTTCGAAGCACTGCAGAACATGGCCTTCTTCTTGTCGCTCGATGGAATCCTTGAGAATGGCAACGGCGGCAGGAACAAGTGCCTGGAAAGCCTTGACGGGAGCCTCATCCTCCTCGGAGTCGAGGTGCTCAGCAAGCTTGCCCAATGACATAAGAGTGTTGATACGGACTTCGGCACTCTCAGGATCCTGGATAGTCTTGTTGAAGAGAGCGAAAAGTTCACCGAACTTCTCTTCGAATCCTTCGCCGATAGTGTCCAGGATGGTGAAGAGAATGTAGAGGGCGACAGCACGCTCTGCGGCATTGCCATTGTTGCCAGCCTGCAACAGAAGGTTGGGCAAGTCGGCCCACTCGCCGTCCTTCAGATCAATCTTGGCAATAGCGGAGATGATCTGAGCAATGGAGTGTTGGACGAGCAAAGAGCTCTCGGCCATAGTGGAACGAAGCAGCTGCTCGCGGATCTGGGGCTTCTGGTTGTCCTGAACCTTCAGCCAGAGCTTGGAAACGAGGGAGCGGGACTCCACGGAAGCCAGCTGGCGCAGATTTTGTTCATCGTGTGTAGTGCAAATCTGAATCAGGAACACAAGGGCCTCGGGCTTGTTGTAAAATTCCTTCTGCAGAACTCCGGTTGCCTCCTTCAGGTTTCCCAGGGAGGCTACATAGTATTAGCGACAAGTTTGGCATCGTGAGCATGGTAGGTAAAACTCACGATCCAGGATGATCTGCAGCTGCTGCAAGAACCGCTGTTGATCCATGATGGAAGAATGTGCAGTTTTTCAGACTTTTCTCTTTTTCTTCCGATCCCAGGTCTCTACTCCGTAGAAGAGACTCAGGCAAAAGTAACGAAGATTGAGCAGTCTGTCTCAAGACAAACAACTCAAAAGGGGGTATCACAAAGCAATTATGGACGAAGAAAAGAAGAAAAGAAGGAAAAGAGAGATGGAAGAAGAAAAGAAAAAGGAGAGTGGTGGGGGGAAAAGAAGAGAGTAGAAGAAGGAAAAAAAAAAGTTAGGAGTGGGTTGACTTCCCAATTTAGTTTAGCGCGGGAACAATTGTCAACACACGGGAATTTTGATTTTGGGCACCGAAGGGAATTCTTCTATGACTTCATTTTAAAGGACTTGAGATTACATGTGACCGTTCTGTTCGAGCTGTTCAGAGTGTTCAATTATATGATCCTGAGTGTACTGTAGCTTTTGTTGAGGTACTTGGTAGGAATGAATAATGCAACTTAATGCAACTCCGATAAACTCCAATGTAGCTAGCTTCATTATGCAAAGGCCTCCACAGTATAAAAATTTCAAAAAATTTCAAATTACGTTTCAATTAAAAATCTCAAAATCCTGAGAATGGTAAACGCCGCCTATACTCCAATTCTTTATGGAGATAAATGTGCTTCCGCCAGTAAAATAACGCCGGTTGGCAGCCAAGTGCTGTGTACCGATCGTCCACTCGACCATTTCAGGACCCACTAAAGGCCCAAGTAAACGAGACGGCTAATAATCGTCAGAGTCATAATCATCGCGAAGTAGCGAGGAGCGATAACCGCGCGAAGCAAGATTAGCCTCCAGGCCACCATCGGATGCAGGGTCAAAGTAGCCTAATTCCGTTAGTCAGATTCAAAAAGCAGAGAAGGGGAACAATGTCACATACCACCGCCACCAAAGTAGCTGAGAGCTACAGGTAAAAAGATGAGAGCATGGGCAGCAGCAAAAATGACCAGGGCAAGCCACACGCGGAAGTAGTAAATCTCGAAAATCTTGCTCCGAGTGAAAGCCAGGACACAAACCCCGAGAAGTTTCGTGATAGTGATGCCACTGAAAACACTTCCACCAACATTGACCAAGGCGGTCCATGCTCGTGCGTCTTTGCCGCGGTATTTAGCAGGTACATTATCCATGATTGGCCGGGCGGGGAACATGAATGCTCGGGCAATATGAGCACAGAACTCGACGCCAATGCCCACGCAAATGACCAGATTGACAAGAGAAACGGCATTCAGAGAGACACCGGCGATCGCCATAGTACCAATAATGTCGACTACAATCATGACCACTGTGGTGGTGACGACCGCACCGGTGGCGATTGACCCCAAGATCACAGAGGTCAGAACAAAGATGATAGCAACAGCTGACCCGAGTAGTGTGCCAGTAAGTCGTACGATAGACACGTACTGATCGAAAAAGATGTAAAACTTGGAGTACGGGAACACATCGATATTGTGCTCGCGTGAGATATCATCTGAGATTCGGCGGGCTGCAATATACGCCTGGATGAATTCATCCTGATTGCGAAGCGGTGTGTGGCTGGTGCGGAAGTGGCTGGCATTGATTGTTTTGCGGGTGTCGTCAATGACCAAAGCGTTGCTGTAGGGAGCCTTACCACCGAGGGGACAAGAGGCATCGGTAGGAGCATCAATCCATTTTTGGACATAATGGATGAATTCAGATCCTTCCGGCATCCCGGAAAGGGAGATGTTCCATGCAGGAACACGGTCCTCGAAACATAGCTTGCCGTCCTCTCTGCAACAGTCTTGCTGAGGGTTCAACCAGTAGAAGAAGTCATCGATCCAGCTGGCCGCGGAGCCTGCGAGATAGGAAACATTTGGACGCTTGGACTCTTGTTCAAGAATAAACGGCAGGGAATACTCTTCGCAAGTGGTGAATCGTCCACAGAGTTGTTGCTGGTGCTCTCGTTCAGTGGCATTCACATTGCGGGTCACGAAATATACTGGGGGACCTGCGCCAAAGTAGGCATCTAGATCGTTAAAGTAGGAGATCAGGTACGAGTCGCTGGGAAGCGCAATGCGCTGATCTAGCCCAAGAGGTACCTCTGGGATAAGGGCCAGGCCAGCAGTCAACAGACCCAAAAATAAGATGACGACACCTGCCTTGACTCGACGATCCAGAAGGAAGGGGGCGTAAACCCGACGAATGAAAGACTGCAGGCTACTCTCTGCCTCCTGATCATCATATTGTTCATCGGAGAAACCAAATGAATTCGCCTTTCGGACAGTGAGACAGGGAATACAATCTGCTCGAAGGCTCTGCACACGTCTTTGGTTCAATGCCAACACGGAGATGAACATGGTCACCTGCAAAATGGCGTTGATGAAGACGGCCCCGGCAGCGTAAGCGGCGAAATTCTTGACAGCGGGCATGCCGACAAAGACACCTAGCGCAAAGGCAACAGTCTCTGTCAAAGCAGACAAAAATATACTGGGACCAATTCGACTAACTGCTCGGGCGACTCGCTCATCGATCTCTTCGTCGGGATGGCTGATATTGACTCGCTCGAACTCGTGGACGATGAGGAAGATGTTGTCCACTCCAACGGCTAGAACTAAGAATGGAATGACTTCCGCAATGATCAAGGTCACCTTGACGCCAGCTGCCGAGAACAGTCCAACCGATGCAGAGACAGACATCAGAACAATGGCAATGCCCACAATTCCCAGAGTAAACTTAGACTGGACTAGAGCATTGGAAGGGTTGGTCAACAGAGACCTCCAGGTGACAGTCATTGATCCCAGGGCCATCGACACGTAGAAGAACATGATCAGATAACTGATTACAACGATCTTCGCGTCTGTGTTGGTAGATTTGTTCAGCTCCTGCTCCAAGCTGACCTCGGCATTGAAGGACACGCGAAGGCCTCGCTGGGCAGCTTCGGCTTGAACCTCCTTAAAATAATTTTCGAAGGTGTTCTCCCATTCCATGGCCTTTGCTTCTTCTTCGGATCCTTGTGCGTGATTGTTCACCACCCAGGTCACAATGAGGGCCTTGGCATCCAAAACGTTACCCGTTTCCTCGTAACCACCAATAATCATTTCAGGCCTCAGGGGCTGCGAGAAGTCAGGGAGACAGCTTGGATCTCCAGGAGAATCTGTACACTGCGTCAAGCGGTCCTTCCAAGTATCCGGGTCAAGATTCGAGACATCCCCTCCGAAATATCCAGTAAGCGATTGCACGACACAGGCATCTCCAGTAGGCTTGAAGCAAACATCATTTAGATTGAGTCCCTGTTCGAGGGAGATAATGCGCCGCACTTGAGATTCAACGCCGAACCACCAAACCAAGGTCTCATAATCCAAGAGTGGGCTGGAATCATTCGATGGGCGGTTGTTCACCAAGAATGCTTGTTCGGCCCGGTAGAACGGACCAAAGTTCTGATCAAAGAAATCTTTCTCCTGGGCTGCAGCAGACGATGGACTCACCCAGAGACGCACCGGGTCTGTTTCAACAGTGAAGCGTAGCCAGCCTAAGCTCAGCAGAGCCACGATAATGACGCTGGACGATATTGTAATGGCTGGGAATCGTGCGCAAACACCACCAATTCGATGAAACAACGCCGACAACACAGAGTTCAGCTTATAGACCCCTTGCGGCCGCTCCATATATCCCCCACGCCGCACGGTTTCTCCTTCGTCCTCATCATCACTGGGTGTAGGGTCTTGAAGCAAACGCACGCGCTCTGGTTTGCGGAACCGGCGTTCCTTGTATGTGACATAGCTAGCGAGGGCGATGACAAACAACAGGAATGCGGAGTACACAATGATGACAGCAAAAGACATACATGGCAGAAGTCCCACATGGCATGCCTCGGGGGGAGAGATGGCGGGCAACTCTGGGCAGACATCGGGGCAGTCAACACAAGAACAGCGGAAGTTCTTGTCTGGATCATTACAGGACTTCGGAGTCATGGGCAGAGGTTCCATTCCTTGCGGATCAGGCCCAGTAGGCTCTGTGTGGTAGTTGATCTGGAACGGACTTCCAAGGAATTTCTTATCACCTAAGAACTTCATGAACTGCGCATAATCTTTTGCGCCACCACCGATGAAATCGATGGCCTTGCCGCCCGAAGCACCGTTTTTGACGTTCTTACAACTATCGTAGAAGCCGCTCTGGTACTCTTCGGACCAAATGTTGTCTATCTCGGTCACCAATCGCTTACCAGATTTTTCTTCAGTTTTCGTGACATTGACGAAGAGCGACTGGTCCGGAGAGCATGTGAAGGTACAGAAAATGTTGAAGAAGTTGTCTCGGCAGGCAGGACAGGACGCGATGATTCCTTCGGCTAGTTTGAGGTTACTCCCGAGCGCATCGATCTGTGCAATGATCATTAGCATGAAATAGGATATAGAGTGCAAAAGTTGCTGCACTATAGACACCCAAAGTTGGAAAATTTCTTACCTGTTCATTACGACAACACACTGGGCCTTCGCTCCATCTGCTACCGCACAGATTCACCAATTTCTGGCGCACGGAGTCCTCTGGTTGCTGCGCTAGGTCATTATCGGGACAGGGAAGCTCTCCACCGAAAATAGACTGCTTCCCGCAATGACCACGAATAGCACAGCGGCCCTTTTCGTGGATTTTGGTCTCACCCTGCGCGCTTACAAGCATGGGCGCAAGAGAGCTCAGCCCAACGAGCGCAGCAATGGCCCCTGGTAGCCGCATCTTGCAGGAAGGGCAAGTGCAAGCAAGGGACTATACTTCAGTGTCCTCAATTAGAATTTCTAGGAGGGCGATGCTCCACTAGTGATGGTTGGCCATGCACTTGTCGGTCCGTGTGGGGAAGTGTTGCAGATCGAGCTCAGGAGCTGGAAGTAGAGAATGGAATGTGTCTTAGATTGGAACGATAACAGAGACTGATCTGAAACGGGGGGTAATTTTTGAAGTCACTATAGTAAAGAATGGGATACAATAGAAAGAAAGAGCAAGGGAGCAAAAAGCAAGCTTTCAAGGTTGAGTGACGTGAAGGCGGAGACCAAGGATACATCCGTCCCCCGCACGGTCGCGCAACGAAATGAAGTACCGCTTTGACTGGCACTAACGTCAGGCACACTTCACTCGATTGTGGCTCGAATCACATCTGATCTTGGCAGAGATCAAAACATGATTTCTACAAATAAAACAGAACATTCTACACAGTAAATTGTTATTATCTTAGATTCTCATAATTCATTTGGGGAAAAAAGTAAAAACTACAAATAGCATACAATGACCGACTCCAAGCTGAACCGAATCTTATGAACAGGAACTCCGAGTCTCCAGACAGAGACAAATATGACTGTATCTGCGTCGCCGATCTTTCAGTTAGCGACGAGAACAAATATGAGAAGAGCATGAAAATCTTCCAGAGGTATCATCAAATGAGAGAATTAGAAAATGACATAGCCATTTGCCCGGGCAGTACCATCACCACGGGCGTAGCAACATGTATGCAACCTAATAGCCATCATCCTCGGCTTGTTGGTAGATGTGGCGAGATCGTGTCGGGTCGTTTCGCATGGTTTGGCCGGAACCTGTGAAACCAACTGAAAAAGAAAAGGAGAGAAAGTTAGAGTCACCATACCTGCAAAATCAAATTCATAGGTCGCGACATACCTCGTGCATTCACACCCTCACCAGTTCGGAACATGCTGTCCTTCTTGCCAAACTTTCCCTTGCCCTTAGTCTTGGCTGCGAAATCCTTCCATTTATTCTTTCCTTCCTCGAGCTCCTTGTTCGCCTTCACCTTGCGAGGGACCTTAGCTGGACGAGGGGGTCCGTCACTAGCCATACTGGGCTCGCTGCGAGCCTGGGTAGCAAGAGCGGGGTTGATATCTGCTGCGGCGGAGATCACACCGGGGGGCGCGGGCGAGGGAGACGCCGAACTGCCTGGGGTTCCATCAGCCTTGCGTTTGCGTGAGTCAGAGCCAGAAATGGGTCGGATGTCCTTGGCCGTCAAGTTTTCCACCGTCCCATATGACTTGAATGAGACCAAGTACATTGGGTTGGTTGAGGAGCCTGTCATGGATGTGATTTTGGCCGGGTAGAATGCATTGTCGCCGGAGACCCAACGGGCAAGAACGGTATCGTTGACTGCAAATGAGGCCGGGGCTGTTGGGGTGGGTGCCTCATCAGTGTGGTCAGGCTTCTGGAAGCTGTTATTCTTGAAACGGTTCTCCTTGGGGGCAGGTTTCGGTGGCGCAGCCTGCTGTTCGGCTTTTTGTTCGGCAATGGCAGTTTCGGTAAGGCTTATGAGTTCACCAAGTTCGGTCTGGAGACTCGCAAGTTCTGTATTATCAGGGTCGGACTGCAAACTTGACACCACAGTTTCATACTATCTGCACGTTAGTGGCGAATTCACACGTGTGGGTAATTTGCGACCAACCTGAAGCTTGAACTCCTTTAGTTCTTCCTCCTGAGCAGCAATGTCGGACATGATGCAAACTCAAGTTAGTTATCCACAAGAATTAATAAAGAGAAAAGCTGGATTCTAGGATCTTGCAAACACAGTATTAATCAATGTTTGAAAGAAGTTTGGAGAAGCCATCGCGCGGAGAAGGTCGATGCCGCAAATTCATACTGCCAATTGGTCACGTGGACATTCACCGCCTCGATGCATCATATGTACTGCTCTGATGTAAATGTTGCTTCGTATACATATGTATCCATAGATTGTTTCGAGGATATTGTCGACTTGCTTCGAAATATGAAAACCTACCTAGGTAGGTAGATAGGGCTAATTCCAAGGATATGGCGTAGTGAAATATCGTTTATATCATTATGTTCCTCATCGTTTTGACATTATATATATACGTATGAACCGAGGTTTATTTCGTTGTGTCAAGGTACTTTTCAACTTTTCATTCCAAAATGTCAGGGCATACTTTATATGAGATATGAGTGTTGTAGCTGTGCTGAATGCTGAAAGATTCTGTACTATTGTACGAGCGAGGTACGGAGTACAATATATATCACGCACGAGAATGTATGCAGGGCCGTTTGATATGATAAGAATGTGAGCCAATGTCCGATAACCCACTTTGGATCGGCGGAACATGCAGGATGAAACGGGGCCTATTTACCCCGGAGCCCGTCTCGACGATTTCCCCCAATATTGCATGTTTTTTTTTTTTTTTGTTTGCCTTTTTTCCTTTTTGTTTGGAGATTCGATGGTTGGCCAATTTCACGGGAACGCAATAGAAATGAAAACGTCATTGATGGGCTGATAACTCATACGCTCATGAGATCTCGGACCGGTTAATCGCAACGTGGGGCTAGACCCGACAGTCGGAGTAAGGCCTAGAGAGCTCTTATATTGCAGTGTAGCAGTATGAGTCACCTGCAGAAAGTAAGTGAAACCTAAAAAAAAAAACGCGGACATCGGAGGATGATATCCACATGAATTCAAAAGAATTGAACCAATCCTAAGGTTGAAAAACCAAGAAAAGAGGAAGAAACTGGTCGAAGGAATGAAGAAGAAAGTGGAATTTCGCAGCTGATTTCAAAGCAAATGCAAATCCGTCCGAATGGCGAGGATCTGCAACCAATCATATTGCCACAATACTCACCGCCTCTTAATGATCGCCTCTTCCCCCCTCTATAGCCCTCCAGTCATACAGTCTCTTTCATCATTTCTTTCGATTAACTCACTTGGGGGCGCTTTACCAATATTAAAAATTCATCGAAATATTGAAATATTGAAAAATCATTGAAAGTCATCCCTCTATTCACAGCCTCCAATCGGGTTGAGCCACACTACCGCAATTTGACTAGCGGGGTTTTTTTGGTCCATCGCCTCAGGCCCCTCTTGAGTGAGACAGAGAGAGCCTCTTGAAACATCTCCCTTCTTCCCTCCCAATATTGCCTTAATTTTCCCCCCATTGTACCTGAAATTCGGCCCTTATTCCATTTGGACTGATATCAAGGATACAATCACATACCTCCAGGGCTGTGATCAATTCTGAAGTCGTCCACATAGGTAATACGAGGATTGAAATCCGTCGTCTTACGATACCCCATTTCCTCGATATCTGTTACGGGCAGGAGGCCCGGGTTGGATCTTATTGAAATCCATTCGTTTTTGACTGCTATCTAATCTCTTGCCACTGTTTCTTTTCTTCTCTTATTGGATTAAACTCCACCATGGGTGATTACGATCAACGATACCAGCAAGGTCTGTACCTTTCTCCAGATCAGCAAGATCTCTTGCTTGCTGCCCTTACCTCCAACAATCCCAACTCCAAGCGACAAAGCGGTACCCCCCAGATCAAGACCGATATGAGTCCCGAGCAATCCTTGCATGGCTTGAGTGCCCCTCCATCGGGCGGTTTCGAGAATGCCAATACCTTCGGCTACGATGACGAAAGCCCTTTCTTGGATTTTACCCCCGAAGTAGACTTCGACTTTCCCGACTCGGCGGGTCTGATTGGTGACCTGCCAGGTTCGGGCGACTATGATATCGGAGAAAAGCGAAAGTCCATCGATGGCAAGTCGGATATTGAAGGAGAAGAGACCGGAAAGAAGCGCAGGGAGAGCGAGGCCAAAAAGCCTGGCCGGAAGCCACTGACTTCGGAGCCTACTACGGTATGCCACACTCGTTGCATGCGGCTTGCAGGGTAGAGTCATGAAACTAACCTATCGATCAGAAGCGCAAGGCCCAGAATCGGGCCGCTCAGCGGGCCTTCCGTGAGCGCAAGGAGAAGCATTTGAAGGACCTGGAGGATACGGTGGAAACGTTACAGAAGAATTCGGACATGGCAGCTCAGGAGAATGGCTTGCTACGTGCCCAGGTCGAGCGATTGCAGGTTGAGCTTCGTGAGTACCGAAAGCGCCTTTCTTGGATGGCTTCGGGATCTGGCAACGGTATCTCGGCCCTCAGCTCGAGCTCCATCCCGAATGCCCACTCCAAGGGCGCTTATGGTCTCCAAAACAACGAGTTTCTTTTCGACTTTCCCAAGTTCGGCGACTTGCCTGGTGGTCACCTTTTCAACGGACAAAATAAGAATGACCAGTCGAAGTCCAATGCCAGCCCTCGGGCACCCGGTGTTTTGGCTCGTGACAACTCGAAGGGTCCGTCGTCTCGGTCAAACTCGACTGGGACTGGGTCGGGCTACGCCATGTCAAATACTTCCAAGTCCAACGGCACTCCCAGCAGTGCCAGCTCTACCAAGTTACCTGATTCCGGCTACAAATCTTCTGCGCCGACACATGACAACTCAACCTCGGAGAATTCCCCGGCATCTTCGTCCGACTCTCACCAGAGTCAGATGCTCTCGTCCAACGGGACTTCGCCAGAACCGAGCCTGAGCTCTCCAGGTGGAAAATACCGCGAGTTGGGACCAGGTGACTCCTGCGGCGGACACATCACCACTGATGGCGAGAAGTCTTTCTGTGCGCAACTTGGCATGGCTTGTGGCAACATTAGGAATCCCATCCCAGCCGTCCGGGATGGCAAGTCCAAATCCCACAGTGTCTCTAGTAATCAGCATAGCAACCAGCCTACTCCGACTGACGCGGCCGTTGCCGTAGAAGTCCCTGATCTTGGAATCGATTGGATGGCTCTCCAGAATGGCGGCCAGTTTGACCCGGTGCTATTTGGTGACTGGCGAGAGCCCCAGGATGCCGTGCTGTCTCAAGACTTTGGCTCTTTCTTCAATGACGCATTCCCTCTGCCGGATCTGGGCAGTCCATCCCACAACTTGAGCGAGGTTGCCAGTGACGCCCAGCCCAAGAAGAGTCTTGTTGCCCAGATTGACAGCAAGCTTGAGGAAGATGAGGTTGTTCCCGGTGAAGATCAGTCACAGATGCTGTCCTGCACCAAGATCTGGTACGTTTCATCAAGCCATCCCAATTATAATTACGAAAGTACTGACTTTGTTTCTCCTAGGGATCGTCTCCAATCCATGGAAAGATTCCGCAATGGTGAAATCGATGTCGACAATCTCTGCTCCGAGCTTCGCACCAAGGCTCGATGCTCTGAGGGTGGTGTTGTCGTGAACCAGAATGATGTTGACGACATCATGGGCCGAGCCAAATAGTCACCTTTTACGACCACGCCCTTGCCTCGATTCAGGCTTAATTCACGATTCACGGACTACACCACTCATACTCGCACTTTGATTTATTACGCATACCCACCATCGATTGTCATTTATGGAAGGAATCCTGCACGGCGTCATGAATACAACTCGGATAAAAAGAGGGCGCCTCGACTTGCAGGGGAGGAAAGGTATTCACTTCGATGAGTATCTGATACTGAATAAAGGAAAGAAAAAGAAAAAAAAAACATCTTGGTGCCAACGGTTGGCAATCTGTCTCTGCCCTATCTAAGGACCATCATATCTTTACTACTTTTCACACAATTCTGTCCTTGATTCTCACTTCTACTTCTCCGTTTTGTTCAAATCGTTCCTACAGTAACTTGCTCGCGATTTGCTTGTTTCCTGCTTGTTTTTAACACATTGAGCTCGGCGAATGGAGATGGGTCTATCACAGTCCATCTAAGATTTAAACACGGAATGGCAACAATGCCCGGAAAGGGACTCGGGGATTTTGATATTTTTGCGGAACACGATGGCTTGCACTGCTTTGCAATGTCTGATGTATTTTTTCTCTTTCTTTTTTTGTAAACAATCTATTCAATGGATCTTCTGGCAATTGTCTCTCAAATCCCGTAAGATTGAGTAAATAATTGATTCCCGCTCACTCTACTCCATATAGCTTCGATAGATTCGAATTTATACAGTTACAAAGGAAATTACGAATCCAAAAGTAGAATCTGCAAGGGTATCGATATGGTGTCCACGGCAATAGAACTAAAGTACAAAAAAAGAAAAAAGGGTGAAAGGGTGTAATCTTTTGGTTTTTTTTCTTCTTCTTGCGATGTTCTCTTCATCCTGTCATCGACAATTCTCCGAGGGGGGTTCACCATAGGACTCAATTCCAAAGTCCAGACTAACACGGATATTCATATTCATATCCTCCCAAGTCGCCAGACGCAGGAGGAAAGAAAGCAAATAAGTGTTACCAAACTCCGTAAGAAAAAAATAAAATGAAAGAAAAAGGGGAGGCACATGACAAGATAAAAAGAAGACACAGAAGAATTAGAGTATCAAAGGGGTAAACATGGAGTAAAATCAAGGCTACTGCAAATGGACGACAGCCAACAAAATATGAGACGGAGAAAGTTCAGCGTCACCGTTTAGGCGTCGCCAGAGGCAGCGGGCTTGTCACCTGAAGGGGCAGGAGAGTCGGTTGAGCCGCCGCTCTTGAAACCACCGCGAGCTCCACCACGTCCTCCGCGACCACCACGTTCACTACCGCGGCCACGGCCGCCGCCACGACCACTAAATCCACCGCGACGGGCACCTTCACTGTCACTGGCACTGGTGTATCCACGCTGACCGGTGCTGGCTCCACCCCGGGTGCTGGCTTGCCAGGGACCGGCATTTCCGACACCACGGTTCTGGTTGCTGCGTTCCTCGAAGTACTTGAAATTGGTCTTGCGGGGTTGACCAGCGGGTGTGGACTGGACCTTCTTGAGGTCGACGGGCAGACGATCCATTGCACCCTTGGCCTCCTCGGGGGATGAGAAGGTCACGACATGAGCGAACTTGCCATATTTTTCGATTTTGAGAACCTTAGGCTTATCTTCCTCGGGGATGAGGTCACGGATAGATTGCTCATTCTCGGCATTGGCTACGAAAAGAGCGCTGCTTGGCTTCTTCTCGACACGGGGCACGGGAGACTCGGTCTTATCATACGAGCCAGTGCCGTTTGTATCAGCAGCAACGACCTTCTCTTCTCCGGCAGGCTGAGCAGAAGCAACCGCGGGAGGAGCGGGGCTAGCTGACTTGGGAATAACAGGAATAGGCGAGGCCCGAGGTCCCTTTTGGCCCTGGGGGATGGGGGCACGAGCGGGGGGAGCCTGACCGAACTGGGGAGCCACAACGGGAGTTCGGGCAGCGCCGGTAGGAGCGGGTGAGGCAGTGGTAGCCGGAAGACCGCTGGACACAGGCTGGGGAGCACCGCCTGGCTGGGGCTTGCCAGTACGGTGAGCGAAGTTGAATCCCTGGGCCCGCATCTCTGTCGCGATACGTCCGCCCTCGATTTCCAAGACCAGGTATCCGAAAGCAGCATCCGCCAAGTTGAAGTTCCACATGTTCTTGAAAGCACTCTCGTCGACTTGGCCGGCAGCGTTACCTGCAGCAACGGGACCACCGAATGGGTTTCCGCCATTAGCAATGGACGGCATTTTGGTGACAACATCCAGAGCGTTCTCAAGCAAAGTCTTCTGTCCATCGTTAGAGGAGATAGCAGACTCAACCTCGCCTCGGACAGTCTCCCACACATCGGTGAAGGAGGCCTTGGAGGCAGCAAGCTTGCCGCGGTAGTGGTCCAGGGAAGGGTTGACAGAGAACTCGTTGTACGAAGAACCGTAACGGAAGTGAAGACCAGCTGAAACGGAGAAATCGGCCTTCAGTGTAACGGAAAGCTGGTTCAGCATACCCTCACGCGCGGGGGAAGCATGGGTGACGAAGACGCGAGTTTCGGAGGGGTCGTAAACACGGTTGGCGGTATCGATTAACTCGCCCATCTGCAATAGCGTTGTCCACATGGTACCTTGCCCGCCGGCAATTGTTGTCTTTCCCTCGCCATTATCAAACAGCTTGTGCATGACCACGGCACCTCCAAGACCCAGCAAACGTAGCTTAACACCGCCGATATCGAGGAGGCGCGAGTTGGCCTCGTCAATAATGTGCAGCTTGTCCACCTTATACTCACCAGAGCGGAACTTCTCCAGCACCCGTACATCTTCGCAGGCACCCCAAACTGTGTAAACTGGGACGTCGAGAGTGATGCGCTTGTCGAGAAGCATGGAGAGTTCGGAGAGGGGCAGCTGCTCAGGAGGGAAACGCTGCTTAATAGATTGCTGGGGAGGAACTTGTGCGATGGCCCGCTTCACATTCTCGGGAAGGAGGGGAGAGTATTGTGCAACATGCTTCAATGTCCTGTTCATCAATTAGAAGTTAGCTGATGCTCTCTTGATATATTTTGGTGTCCCGGTGAGACCAAGTTGCGTTGGGCAGCAAAGACGCGCTGGGATGCTTAGTGAGGAACTTACTTGTCCGCAATCCGCTCGAGTGAGGTATCGTCGTAGAAGCCAAAGTCACCCGTGTGGATGATGTGGTCTGCGCGGGCCTGCTTGGCCAGCTCATTCAGAGACTTCAAGTTTCCTACAGCACAAGCTCGATTAGCATCACTTGATAAGCATAAAGTGGTATCAGAGGATTCCTACCTCGCACATCCGCAATGCATAGAATTCGAGTAGGTCCATTTTGAATCACTCGGCCATTGTTAGGGAGAAGCGGAGTGGCACCGGGGACAGGGCCCGCAGCCGCACCGTTCTGCAGAGGATAGCCTTGGGGACCGAAGTTGGGGCGGGGCTAAATAGTAGAGACATGACAAGATTAGCTAGGTAACTCTCGGAGATTGCAGGATGTGATTCATTTGGCGCATTCAGAAGCTTGGGCACCTCATCGCAAATACGAGGGGAGACGGTCAGGGAGCCACTTACAGAAGCCATGGGGGTTTTCCGGTTCTGGTCGAAGGTAATGGAGGAGATGGTGATGAGATTAAGGAGGGAGGGAGAAACCAGGACAGAGAAAAGAGAAAGATGAAATCGAGGAGAAGGCGAAGGTTCACCTTTCCTCTCGATGAAGCAACGCGGACGTGACCATACAGAATTACGTAAGCCGCCCCTGGCACTTTCCCAGCTTGGATCTACAATCATCAACACCCTTTTTAGATTGCACATGTACATTAGTTGTTTTCTATGCACGGGGTGGACTTTTTATTTTGTATTTGTATTTTGATTAGTGCTGGCTTATGGTTTTGTAAAGGGAGTTTTCAATGTTTCATTAATAGGATATGGCCTAGATTGTGCATTGTGGTCGTTTCTATATATATTTCGCATGAGAGGTGACTTACACCAAACAAATTAATCCGAGGTGCCTCACAACTAATCGTTGGTACTTATTGTTTATCTGAATACTGTGTCTATGCTATTCTGGTGCATGTACTATATATGTGTAAGCTAGGACAACGATCAGTCGCACGCAGAGCTATTGTGTAACTTCAGCATCAAAGCTCTTCAGTATGCTTTTCAAATAAAAGACGCGGTTTGGCATGTTCCTGACTCGCAGATCCTGACAGGTGACTCGATATAGACGGTATAGATCGAGGACCCTCAAGTGCCAGTAAAGCAAAGTGTCCGCCAACGGTGGGACGTGCTCGACACAATATAGGGACACCAGGTTCATTGTCATGCTCAGAAGTTGCAACATATCTGTCAGAAAATGGCCAATTATGTTTCCCGTTGGTCATAAAAGCCCACAGATCTTCGACAAACTCGTCTCGTGTACTCTTCTCAAATGTTCCAGCCAGCCACATGTTCCAGTCTGACTTGGCCCAGTCTTGACGGCTATCAAGAGGCACACCATATTCGCCCCGAACAGATGCGAAGAAGTCACTACCCATCCGATAAGCAGCATCGGGGAATGTCTTCAGACCGAGCAATACGTCAGGGAAGAGATTATATGGAATTTTCCAAGTTTCTGGCCAGTCAGGATATTGCAACACGAAATGCGTTTGGTCTTGGTCCGTTCCCAGACCTTGTTGGAAGAAGATATTGGCATGATCATCACCAACACGAGAATAATATTTGTCTCCACTCATTTCCCCGTATGCCTTGAGACTAACAGCAGCTTTGATTGCCAAGTTCGTCTCGTTGGCAAGGGGGCCAGCTGCATCATTCGATGACAACTGATTAGCGATATCGATGCTATTGTCCACCAAGTAGTCGGCATACTTCTGGAAGATATCCGTGTATTGTGAAGTCCAATTGGTATCACCAGTGGCACGGGCATATGCCGCAACTAATACGAGCAGATTCCCGCATTCTTCGATAGGCATAGGCTCTGCCTTTTGATCGTCATGGCCAATGGCACGAGGATAATGACTGCCAAGGTCATGGATTGTGTATGGCAAACGCCACCGACCAGCAGCAAGGTATTTCATCACAGGCTCTAGCAACAGGCGGATGTAATCTGGATCCATGACATAGTAGATTGGAAAGGCAGGCATGATGACATCGATGGTGTTGATATTACCATCACTGGAAATCTCCTTGATGAAAGCCAACACGACGTTAGTGTCGAGCGAACCTTTAGGAATAGTCAAGTCGATGCCTCCGTATGCTTGCCGAGTTGACAAAGCAAGAATATCTGCGTATTTTGGACCCCCGGCAACCACAGACAAGGTGACCAGCTCCTGGTCCAGCTTCAAAGACTCCAATAGTGCGCTGGGATAGTCGTCAAGAAAGAAAGAGATTGCGTTTGATGTGGTCGGATACTCTGCCCGATAGTAACCAGTATAAGCCTCTCCCAGATAATTGATGGCCGCTTCTCTTTCGTATCCGACTACGAAGTTCACCGAAAGTCCACCAGTGACTTCGCCAAGATCGTGGGCCAGTGCGACTACACTGCCATCTTTCCAGCTGTTGTCGCCCGATAGCTCACCTTTCTCGACAAAAGAACGTCTTACGTCCTCAGGGCTTCCAGAAAGAGCGGACAAGCTGGTAAAACGGGTCGGCCGAGAGGCTAGAATTGCTGAGCCCCATAGTGCCATGTCATCTGCTTCTTCGTATAACGGCGCATCTTCAACCGTGAGCAAGTAAATAGCCAGACCATCTATCTCTTCAAAGTCACGGTTCGAACGACTTGCTCGGCCAGTCCATCTGGCATCAATATCTGAATAGACTTGAATGTCATATCCTCGAGACTCAGACACATGCACGGTCAAATAACCTGTTATAGTCAGAACAGCAAAATATACAAATGGCTAAATTGCGAACAACCCACTAAAAGGAAGTGACTGCCTAACATAATTCGAAGGTGAGACAGGCGAAAAAAAATCCAGCGTAACCGCCACAGGGCCCGCGACAAGATCAAATGTAGTATGGGTAGCCGTAAACTCCGCACGGCGCACCTCAGCAGGGCGGATATTGTTCTCATCGGGCTCAGGCACGCCCATCAGACTATAGGCCTGACCATTGACGCGGACGATCACCGACCAGCCTAGTTCCTGACCCGCCCAGAATTGAGGCTCGGCAAAGGGCAGTCGCTGAACTCGGTCGCTGGGCATCCATGTTGACAAATATGGGTTACGAACTGCTAGTGGATAAGATGGGGGGAGAACAGGGTGATATGTTAGAGATGTTGTGTCGCTGCCTGTGAAGAAATGGAGCACTGATGCACAAAGGGAGGCCAGCCCTAGTGAGTTTATTCCGAGCATTTTTGTTTGAAACCAGTCACCCTTGCATGTGTATGTGGTCAAGCCTCATGGATTGAAGGAACATAGCTAGGAGAAGTTGATGCTCCTTCTAAAGGACGAAACTAAGCTTGGAAGGAGGAGTAAGAAGCCCCCTTCGCCGATCATACCGCGTCATTTTACCCCACATATGTGACATTCTTAGACAATTATAGACTGATCTGCTTGATCTTCTTGATAAATACGAAACAAAGACCCATTTATTTTTTGCGGGGCAACTACTGACGATCTTAAAGCGGGGGCTGGTTAGTGTCAAGGTAGACTAGGGGTATTATACAGCATGGATTGTATATCAAATGGGCGAAAATATAGACATAAAATCTGTGTGATATTCTGTAACATTGATCTAAAGTCGTTTTTGTTCCATTTCTATTTACAAGGCCTATAGCTGGGCCTTCTCGATGCGCCGACCAATCTCATCGAAGTGGATCTGCTTTCCTGACACAAGTGCTTCCTGGAGGTATGAGCCAATCTCAACGGCCTTGACTGCATTGCTAAGTTTCATGGGCAGAGGTGTGTTGTCCAGACAAGCAGCAGTGAAGTCATTGGCCTCCTGAACAAAGGCAGGGCTGAAGCGACCCATGAAGTTATGAGGGATTTCCCGAGTGATACCACCGTTGTGGTATAAGTTCACAAAGTTACGCTGGGGGTTACCGTTCACAGTCAACTTGCCCTCGGTACCAATGATCTCGGTGGTGTCTTCCTGACCGGCAGCCATCATACGGGAGCAGTAATAGTAGGCGATTTTGCCATTCCAGAACTCAACAATGCCCACGGCATTATCGTAGTCATTGTACTTCTTCAGCTCGGGCTGGACAGCCGTGATACCGTGGGCAGAGATGCTCTTGGGAAGAATCTCGTCTCCAAAGAACCACAGACTGAGATCAATATCGTGCACTGACATGTCGACAAAGACTCCACCGGACCAGGCAGCATACTCGACGTAGAACCCAGAGGGATCGAACTTGTCGCAAGTCTGACTGCGGATAATAGCTGGACGTCCAATAAGGCCTTGCTCCATCTTGGCGTGGGCGTCACGGTACGATTCATCGAAACGTCTGGAGAAGCCGCACATGACCTTCAAGTGAGGCCTCTTCTTAGCAGCCTGGACCACTGCTCTGCACTTTAAGCATATATCCATCAGTGACTGTAAGAAGTAAAAGAAGGAAGAAAGTCATACCACTTCGACATCGGTGGACAAGGGCTTTTCGCAGAGCACATGTAGGTCTTGCTCGATAGCCTTGATGGCCTCTTCTGCATGAACAGAAGTAGCAGTACCGATAGCAACCGCCTGAAGACCTGGGTGCTTAAGCATTTCATCGTAATTGGTGTATAGTGTCACGCCATGAGGCTCCAAATTTACTCTTCCCCATGCGATCTCGGCTTGGTCTGGAGTGAAAGCTGCAACTAGTTCTGCACGAGGGGTCTTTTGAAGGAAGTTGATGGCATGCAACTTTCCGACTCGACCAAGGCCGGCCATCCCAACTTGAAGCTTTTGAACAGGCATTGTGTGCATTGAAGTCAAAGGTGATTGAATTTATTGATTTCTGACCTGATTCCCTGGGCCCTCGAGGGGGTTTAAATAGCTGAGCAATTAACACCATCTGAATATTCAACTTGCTTGAAGAATAATTGAAGGTAAGAATTCCCGTACAAAACAAGATGTGATTAATGGCCAACGGAAAGAATTTCTTCTTTCGTTGAAAAGGGAAAATGGCTAAAAGCCGGGGAAATCGACTTCCCCGCAACTTGGAGACGGAAAGAATCCCCTCTTTCAACAACCCGGAGTCGATGTCTTCGGCAAAGAGAAATCGTCTAGTGGCTGGATGGTAAGTATTTCCGTACGTCTAATGTTCTTCGTTAATTGTGTTCACACAGCCAACGATGTCGTGGTAGGTCTTCAATTTTAAACTGGCCAATCAAGTTACTGACAGAGCACAACAGTACGACATATCAAATGTAAGGAATCACGAGGTCCAAGAATGTACAAGACTGATTGAATATAGGTGATATTAACGACCAAGATTGTGAGCACTGTCAACAAGCTGGCGTCGATTGTGACCGAAGCAATGTCCGATTTCGTAATGGCTTGTCTCTACCTAAAGAGCCCGAACTTGCATTTCCAGAGCAGGGCTGTTGGCCGCAAATACATGGCAAAGGTACATGAGATCTCAGATCTGCTAGTTGTACCGGAATTCTAACCATTTTGGGTCGTTCTAGTACGATTCCATGATGAAACACCTGAGATCGCCAGTCTATATTCAGCTATTCCTGTTCAGTCTGCTTTCATCGATTCTGATTTTAGTCTCGCATATGAAGGGACACAGGAGCTCGAGAATGCAGATGACTTACATCATGGACCATATGCAGCAACTACGGTCAATGTGTTACATCAATTTTCCCCGGCATGCATTGCATCCTTGTCTTCTCCACAATCAACTCTGTCTAAAGCTTCCTCCAAACCCCTGCATCCACTATCAGACAGGGAGGCCGTTTTAATGAGGAATTTTGTCGAGAATATGGCATTGTGGGTGTGTATATCTTGACAAAACCGTGGGCATGTACTGATCAGACATATAGGCTGATATCACAGACCCCCTAAGACATTTTGAAACAGAGGTTTCAGTACGGGCATTGAAAGAGCCTGTTTTACGCTATGCAGTTTTTGCATTCTCCTCCCGCCATCTTGATAGACAGGACAATAGCGATGCAACGGAAGCGTTACAGTATCATAACGGCTGTGTTCAATTGCTGATTCCAGCACTTTCAGGACCGCGGGATAATATTACCGAGGAGATACTTGCTGCAGTCGCCATACTCCGCCAGCACGAGGAAATGGACGGTAAGCTTTTTGGGAACACCCACAGTCATCCAGATCAGTCATCCAGATCAACCCTGACAATATACAGGGGAGGATAATCAGTTCCACTTGACCGGCACGACTCATATTCTCAATACAGTATCCACCTTTGGATCTTCAGGTGGTTTAGGCGAGGCTGCGGCTTGGCTCTGTCTGCGTCAAGACATTTATATCTCGTTGACCAGTCAACAGCCTTTACGGACTAACCTGCAGAGTTTCCATCAATCAGATGTGTTTCAAAGAGATGACGACTTCGCATGGTCCAGCAGAATGGTCTTCCTCTTGGCAAAAGTTGTACAAAGCGCTTTCACCGACTCCACAGTCGCAAATAGCATCAAACAAGAGATTGAAGAGTGGTACTCCAGCAAGCCACATACATTCGACCCCATAAGATCAGCTCAGCGAGGCCAGGAGGTAGACAAGCGGTTACCGACCATCTGGATGCTGCTACCCGTTCACGGTGAGTGATTACCCGAAGATTTAGGCCGCCGGCATCAAACTGACATTAGTTCAAACGTCTAACAGTAATTGGCATACAATATTACAACATTGCCAAAATAGTGTTGGCGCTTGCCGAATCATCGAGGGCGTCTTCGGCATATGAGAGTATACGCCACTCTCGAATAGTGGAGGTTCGCCCGAACACTTACGTAGAACAACGTGCTATCGGCGCTGACAGAGGATCCAGAAAAATGTCCGGAATCATCTCCTCACCGTGCTGGGATTAGCGCAGTCAAACAGCAAGGCCGAGAACACGTTGTTTACTGCACGACACAGTCTAGTGGCATGTGAGTGGTTGAATCGTTTTTCTTTCGAATTTCATTTTCATCTAAATTCACAATGTATTGATTCGGCGAACAGGGGGTTGGGTCCTTCGGCATCCCCTAGATCAAAGGGCAGCGGAGTTACTATTGCAAGCCATGCATGCAAGGACTGGATGGAATATGGATGGATTAATCCACACATTACGCGCACAATGGCAGGAGGTGGGTGAAAACTGAGCCCTACTTATAGTGTTTATGTCCATCTCAGCCGATATACGGAAGAGCCGACAATCAAGTGGATAATTAAGCCGATGTCTATGACGAACCTTGGAAGGGCTCGGTACGCCTGACCTTAGCAGAATTAGGCGAGACCCATGATCAAGTTTTCACTCACTTTTTCACCAAACAAGAGAAAATAGAGATCTAGATGAACGGGGTCATTCGAGTTAGACCATGAACATAAAGCTGAAGACCAGGGAGTTTGTCGAGAAGTCAAAGGGGGATACGTAGGCTCGCCCCACCACTTCTCCATTTAATTCCACTGGGCCCCTTACGATCGTCATTGCATTCCATTACCTCCTGTCAGGTTGACAATTGTTTTTTTCTCTCCTTCTACTTTTTCTTCTCTTCTTTATATCTCAACTTCTCTTGAACTTGACAACAATTCCAAGTCTATAAAAGTCAAGCAAAACGCCTTGTCATCTTCGTGTCTCACCCCCGCAAACCGATCCTGCGCTAGTGGACCCTCTTCCCCAGCATTGCCGATAGTGCATCACGCGCTACTTTATATTCGCCGTGAATAAACGTGAATAAAGAGTCCGAAGAGTCCAACGAGGAAGATTCAGAGTCAAAGTCAGACAAGAGTTGAAACGCACTTCTCATCTTCTCGTATACCTATATACAATGCAAAGTTCACCTTCACTACGGAACGCCAAAGAGCGCGAAAGCATAGCCTACTCACAAGTTCCGCTCTCCGATCCTACGCCATTCTCCGATTCGATCTCATTTTCCGACGCAATCTCCTTCTCCGATACTCCACTATCCAATCAAACTCCCTCAAATGCTGTTCCACCTTCTTATAACGACGTCAGCGGTCCGGTCATCATAGACCAAGATGGAAAACCTAAATTCCTGTCGCCAGAGGAAGAAGTTGAACGACAACGACGATTGGAGACTGTCGTGCGAGAGAAGATGTTAGGGCTACCTCGAACGACGACCTTTGAATGGCATCAAGGAACATCGGCTTCCGAAGAATTACAACTACCACCTTACACTCCCAAAGAAGAGAAGAAATGATTCTAGTTCTTGGCCACTGTTTGGATGTTTGGTTATGCGCTGTTGTCCATTTTGGATTTTTGGATTTTGGATTCTGTTGAAATACCCACTGTACATGGAGTGTATACGCCCGCGGTCGCCACACTTGGACTGCTAGTACCTGCATATGTACAATATGTACATATGTAGGTACCATTGTAAGATTTGAAATGCACTGAAGAGTTCCCTTTTGGATTTTTTGAATTAGCCGTAACAACTATTTGTACAAGAAATGTGTATATGCAAAGACTAGTTCCGGAACAGTCTCAACCCACTTTCCTCCCGATCAACTTCTTCCTCGGCGTCACTTTCACTATCATCGCCTTCGCCAAGAAGACCGCTCGCCGATCGGCCAAGCAAGGAGGCGAAAAGTTCGTCGCGTGCGCGCATGGTCCACGAACCACGGTCTTCAGGGGCCATGAAGTTCTGCAGCTTTTCATGCACAGTGTACTTCATCTTGCGGCCCTTGGAGGCACGGGTATCAATATCACGCTTCACCTTATCGTTGCGCATACCGGTGACAGGGTGAATGGGCAAACGTGTCGGCAATTGGTGGAGGTTGTCAAAGCCACTGGTCTGGCCGTCGGAACCGGCCATGCGCTGCTCAACGAGATCACGAAGAAGAGACTGGTAGAAAGTGCTGTCGTCGTAAAAAGGCTCCTGCTGATCAGGGCGCGAACGCTTGGAAGGTCGTTCTCCGACCTCGGAGGCGACTTGAGCGTCTAGGACGGCTGTGATGGTCTGTTGCCGACCGGAGGCAGAACCGAGCAATTTACCCCTGGCATTAGGGAGAGTCGAAGAAGTACCCCGAACCTTGGAGGACCACTTGTCGAGAATGCTGCGACGGTGCGAGAGGGATTCGGATTCCAGGTCGTTCATGCGTTCCCAAAGGGAGGCGGTAGGGGTAGTAGGGGAAACAGGGGAAGGCCTCTTGCGCTTTTTGCTTCCTTCCTTCGCAGTAGCGTCTGCCAGGGCAGTGCGCAAACCCTCGAGGGTTGACCATAATGCCATGGCCGCCGACTCTACGGACTTGATCGCTTCTTCGTCCACAACCTCCTCTTCCTGGTCGATCGGGTTTTCTCCAGACTCGTTGTTGGCTCCCAAAACAGCGTGGATACCGTTCATAGACGTCAATCCACTCTGCAGCTTGATACGCGCATTGAGAAGCGCATCAAAAGTGGTACGTTGCTGCTTCACAGCCTTTCCCTTGGTGGCATCGGCCTTGGCCGCGGAGGAAATAGTGGCGGCAATAGTTTTCTGATCCGTCGCCATTAGTCTCCGAATCTCATCCCGGTCGCCGGACGGAGCCTCGCTATGTTTGACAGCTGGAGACTTCTTGTTGGATTTCTTCCTTGGCAAGTCCTCCTCGGCATCCTCGCTCTCGTCATCTTCTTCTCCTTCTTCCTCCTCATCGGAGCTCTCCTGAGCCAATGCATCATCATCAATGGCGGAATCGTCGGAGTCGAATCCGGAGATATCGTCTGAGCCTTCATCCTCCTCTCCCGATCCGCTCCCCGCAGAGCTGTCGTCGTCGTCATCAGAGCGAGCAGCGAAAGGGTCGTCATCGCTGTCTGCGCCTAAAGCGTCCCTGCTCACACGGGCGCCGTCATATTGTTTGCCCAGGGCAATGGGGTCATCGTTGCGAAGTTTTGCTTTGCTTTAACTATAATTAGCGTCATTGATACCAATATACCCATAATTACTTACCCAACATTTTCATAGTGCTCTCGTCCTGTAGTCACTTCATCATTATCTCCATCTTCCTCGTCACTTGACTGTGCTCCATTGTCGATATCTTCGGGATCGAAATCTATGTAGCAAGTCAGTATCAATGTCTCCAGCAACAAATCCTGGTAAGTGAATCAATCGTCCGTACCTTTGGGAGTAGGGTCTTCAAAATCAGCAAGCTGATCAGCTAGCGAGCGAGTACCACGCGGTTTACCCATTGTGTTGTGTTTGCTAAGAGAAGAGGGCTGGCGAGCAACTTTTTTTTGTCGGTTTTTCCGGATAACGGATCAACTGGCCTATTCAAGACTAGTGCCCGTAGGCGGTCTAAACCATGCGGGCAAGGAACCAGGCGGTCAGCTTTTGAGACGGCAGTATCGATATCTTGCATCGCATCTTTTGTACAACTACTTCCTGCATTGATCATTGTTGTGTTGCAGTTTTCTCATCTTGTATGCCGAATTGGCTGTTTAAAATGTTAGCATCACCGGTCAGGATGCGACAGCCCTGCGCGAGGCTGTTCTCCACTTGCCAAACTCTTCGACATGATAATCCTTTGGTCAGTGCATCCTGGAGCTTTGTTAATTGCTTCGAAACACAAGAAGCTCCAATTATGCCTATAGATTGCATACTCTAGATCTTTTTTGGGGTTCGATTTGCTGACTTTTGTTAGGGACTCCCCAAATCCGGTACCCCGCCCACATTCCGTTCGCGCCGTGGGCTCCCCGAAAAGCGCAAGATCCGCGATGTCAAGAAGGTCGTGGCGGTCTCGTCAGCAAAAGGAGGAGTGGGAAAGTCGACAATAGCAGGCAAGTGAAAGTTGATTGTGCAAATTCAATGAGATTCCATGCGAACAAAACTGAACTTTACTAACGGAATTCTTTACCAGTCAATCTTGCACTCTCATTCGCACGCCGCGGAATCAAGACTGGTATTCTGGACACTGATATTTTCGGCCCTTCTATCCCAACTCTCTTGAATCTGTCTGGCGAACCTCGCCTTGACGAAAGTGAGTTTGCCTATACCTGTCGCTGTATCGTCATCACGTCCAATGCTCATGAACCTCTTTACATCAGATAACTGCCTCGTTCCTCTTACAAACTATGGACTCAAATCCATGTCAATGGGCTATCTCCTCCCCCAAACACAAGCCGACAGCACAACAGGCGAGGTACCGATGGACTCTACGCCAATTTCCTGGCGCGGACTGATGGTCACAAAAGCCATGCATCAACTCCTCCACTCCGTCTCGTGGGGTCCGCTAGACGTCCTAATCCTCGACCTGCCCCCCGGAACAGGTGACGTCCAGCTGACAATCAACCAAGAAGTGATAATAGATGGCGCAGTTATTGTCTCAACACCCCAGGACATCGCTCTCCGCGATGCAGTACGGGGTATCGGGATGTTCCAGCGCATGGAAGTGCCTGTCCTGGGAATGGTGCGCAACATGGCATATTTCGCCTGCCCACAATGCGGACACGAGACTCGTATCTTCTCACATGGTGATAGCCACCACCACACGCACGGCGAGAACCACGGAGTCGTGGCCGAATGCAAGCGTCTTGGTGTAGACTTCCTGGGCGACATTCCTCTTGATGCTCGGGTATGCGAAGATGCAGACCGGGGCGTGCCGACCGTCGTCGCGGAGGAGAGTGCTGAGCGCAGTGCTAGAAGAGATGCTTTCCTAGGGGTTGCTGAACAGGTGGCTCGGAAAATTGGGTTGGACTGGCGTTGAATATGTAGCGTGTAATCATTCTCCAATTTGTATCATATTAGACTACAAATCCAGTGGCTGGTTGCTGGCAACCTGTGTTACTCGGTGTTGGGTTCAGTAATCGGTGGAGGTGTTATCACACATTCAATATCTCTCGTTGCGAAACAAGCGGTGCTATTGTCAAAATTGGGGTATAGATTGTATTCGTTTTTAGACTAAATTCGAGTGACAAAAGATGGCCAACAGTAGGCTCATAGGTTACAGTCGAAATCGGGTATATCGAACATAGTAGAACAGGAATCAACAAAGAAAATGGGGGCTCGTGGTATGAGTTCCAAAATTGGACATGATTGGGATCCAAAAAAAAGAATAAAAAAGACAGGTGATGTTGAATAGTAAGAAATGGCAAACGTCTACAGCCCTTCCTCGGCAGTCTTGAAAACCTCCCTGTCAGGCATTTCAGGGCGATGGGACATGGAATCGCGACCAGCCGCCGAGAAGACAGAAAGAGTATCCGTGGAGCGACGGCCATTTTCTCCAGCCATGATCTGAGTGGAAATTCCTCTCGCACCCAGCAAAGCGCGGGTACTTGCGTTATCAGACGCCGTGTTTAAATAGGCGAGAGACTCCTTATCGCCACCAACAGTACTGCCAGTGTCGGACATAAACTCGCTTCGGCCGGTGGCTGATCCTGCAGCTGACGACGGCCTAGTATATCTGCTTTGGGCTAATGAGATGTCCGATTTCATTGGCAGGGATCCCGCGGCGTGGAAGAGCGCCCTTGTACTCGCGTTATCGTCGGTGAATTTGTTATTGTTGCCTTCAGGTAGCACGAGAATTGGACCGCCGGTGGTTTGCGATGATACCCGAGAGGGCGTTTCGACATCAGATGTGCGTCCATTGGTGGAATCGCCGCTATTCTGGTGGTCTTTCTCATCCCAGGAGACCGGTGCAGGGCCAGCGGTCGGCGATTTGCCCTTGTCTTGGCCAGCATCCTTCTCGTTTTGCTTGTTAAGCGCCGGCATGCTAGACCAGGCTCCAGCCTGGCCAGCGTCGACGCTGGCACGGGTAGATTGTCTACCTGACTGCTGCGCAAGTTGCTGCTTCTCCATTGTGCGCTCGTCATGTTTACTACCCCAGCCGCTCCACATCATCATGCCGTAGTTCTTCTTGGCATGGCGCTTTGGTAGCACACCGGGAGCAGCACGGCGGGCAGCCAAGGAGCTTGGAGGGGGGACCTCGCCGTCAAAGTCTTGGAAGCCATGGGCTAGCTCTTTCATTCGGCGACTCTGAACGCGAAGCTTCTCCTTGGAGAATCGGATATCCCATTCTTGCTTGGCGTCCAGCCATTTCCGAATAAGTTCAGGATTGATACTTCCTACCTTTGAGGGTGGGATCTGCAGAACTGGGTAGGATGAAGGTGGATCAAGTGGGAACACTTGTCCTCGCTTATCGATTCGATGGCGTATCATGTGCTCATGGAACGCTGGCAGGGGATCCCCAGCTTTGCCAACAGACGAGGGTCCTGGATGTTCCGGTAATCTATTCATTGCAGCCTGAGGCCCCGAAGCCTGATCGCCCTCTGAGCTACTTGATGTAACGGGTGATAAAATAGGGTCGTCCTCAATTTCAACCTCGCCATTTTGTGCACGAGCCAACGCCCAGGAACCAAACTGGGCAATCGAACGGAACATATACTTGGCTGGCTGGGTAAAACTCAAGGTCGGAGCCACATGACATAGGTGATCCCAGACCTGGAGTTGAACATAAGTCGGTTCATATTTGTGCAAGATCTCCCGAGTTGGATCATGTTCATCGAGGTACACATCGCCGAGTGGATATGCTGTTGGGTTTGCAGCTTTGTGGGCGATATAGAACTGTTCATCGCGGAGCATCTCGCCGCCGCCACTTAAAATTTGGAGGGGAGGAAGACCACCTAAAGAGGATTGAAGTACTGGGGAAACCAGAGGGTGGGACATCAACTGGTTGGATGTGTACATTTGGATTTGGTCCTTCAGCTCAATTGTCTTTCCATCCAGAACAACATTAATATTGTCGGGTTCGGCATGCAAGGTACCAGGATCCGGAGTCTGTTGTTGGCCGGGGTAGGCAGGTTCAGCTGGGGGCGGGTTTCCTTCATGAACAGTGTAACCGGAGACAGCAGTTTTTTCAGCAACACTGTTGGGCGCTGGAATGGCATTCTTGACATCGTCGGCGGTGACTTTGTCGAGCTGTGACATCTTCTTCATTTTTAAGATATCATCAGCATTAGGAGGAGGCCAGGCTGTGGAAGGTTTATGACGGAAACCATATGGGGGCACATAATCCCCTGGGTTTTCCTCCACAATACTTGGGAACGAGTGTGTCAAATCAACCCAAGGAGAGATCAATATGGCACCAGCGGGCAAAGGAATACCCTGGTCTCGCATGACGACCAGCATCGAGAGAGCCAGACCTCCGCCCGCAGAGTCACCAGCAATAATAATCTCCTTCGGCTCATAAGACTTGAGCAGCCAGAGATAGGATGCCATGCAGTCATGCAGGGCACATGGGAAGGGGAATTGCGGCGCTAGTCGATACTCCGGCGCAAATACACGTCCCTTCAACTTCCGGGCATGACGCTGCATCATATACCGATGGGTATCCACACTTCCGAAAAAGTAGGCACCGCCATGGATATACAGCATCACACGGTTACAGCGCTTGTTGGCCTTCTTGGTCTCGTTATAGTGATTGCGCATCTCAATCCACTCTCCCTTCAGGTCCTCAGCCGGCCCGCGCCATTGCCACCATTTTACTCCTCCCACCCGTACCACTCCTTCTGGACCGAGCTGCTTTGAGACCAATTCTGCAGCGGAATATAGGAATTGCTCCGGGATTGTGATTGTTTCGGTTCTCACCCAGTGTGGGCTGGGTACCCACTGGCGGGTGAATGCTTGAAGGTCTTCGACGGGATGCTTGGATGCATAGTATAAGAATGAGCGGACAATCTGTATACCCTCGTCGTAGGTAATATGAACGGTAGGTTTGTCGTGCAGCGCTTTGCGATTTAGGTACTGATAAGGTCACGCACCATCAGCAAACCGACTCTCGTAGTGGTTAAGCAACGACTTACATGACTGATGAGAGTATGCAGAACAGTTGGAGTCAATGCCGCACCTAATGCGACCGTACGTAAGGGCATAATGTGTCTCCTGCTCTGTTTCTTCTAGAGTCTCCGTAGTATAAGCGAAAGAAGAATTGAAGAGCCAAGAATGAAATCCGACAAAAGCCCACCAATTTACTTCAACGTCATTTAATGAGAGACGAAATAGTAAGGTTGAGACGTCCGATTGGCAAGTATATAGAAGAAAAGAAGAGTAGAAGAGAAGAGTCGCTCGAATAGAAAAGAGGAAGAAATACAGGGGCATTTAAATGACGTCAGCGATACAAGCCATCGCCGATCTTTACATTTGGTAGTTCGTCTTTTCCTTTTATTTTCCATTGTACTTTCATTGAATATGCCTTTGATATTTTGATGCTGATCTCTTATGGAATACGTCTCCTTGGTCTTCCAATGCAACTGACAACACCAATGTAAACCACACCAATGATTCCAGCAACAATACTCGTCGCAATGATAGCCCCACGCGGCCCTTGCGCAAGCTTAAAGCCGAGTCCGGCATTGATCACTCCCAGTGCCATCATCGTCCTTCCGAACCATCGGTGCATATAAGCAAAGGAGCCTTTTCTACCCGTTTTTCGGAAGAATCGATGTTGCAACAGTCCCATGATGGGTTGAAAGAGTACGAGACTGGAGACAACGATCATGCCGATAATCGCGTGATAAGAATCAATCAGTTGGATCTGTCGTGCCAGTGAAACGCCTACTCCGAGACCCGCAATAGCTACTGCTAGGGTAAAAAGCTGGAATGTGCCGTGGATGTTCGCTGTCCATTTGGATGGGAAGGCGTGAAGTCCAAGTGCGAAGAAAGGGAACATGATCACAAAGGCCAGGACCATGAGCACAGCATGTGCTATCTTCTTCCTCTCGACCATGTCTCCGAAGGCCGCATCCCCCGCGTCTTCCTCGCCGGACGAGACAGATGCTTGGACAAGTTGAGCGAATGGGTTCTCGGAGCTACCGCCAGTCGCTTTTTTCATGTCGACAGACACAACGCCGCTATCATCATGTTGGATGATATCTTTGGACACGCTGGCAGAGTTCAGTGATTTTCCATACTTCACTGCCCAAAGCCATGGGCTGGAGGTACTGTTGACGTTCTCTGACCCCCTACTCCATTTCATGCAGGTATCACATCGGACACTGGCGGTAATAACCCCGTCATATACACCGCTACCATTGAGGATTGTGATCCGGGCGTCCTGGTTAAACAAAGGTTGGATTTCGCCAACACCCGACCGCGGAGAAACCGTCACGTTGTTGTTGGACGTATAGACAACAAACATATTGGCGCCTGCCATCTGCATTCCTTGGCCCAAGGCGAACCACTCGACTTGACGTGTTGAGTTCAATTGAAAAAATATAGGACCGGATCCAGACCTAGCTGTGTCTTGGGGCACATTAATGCTATAGGTGATATCATCGTGGCCACGAGGATGAAAACTTTGGACTTGGGCCAATACAGGAACGGCCCAAAGCCAAGAAAAGATACGTCGAACCATCATGGGGGGAATAAAAATGATAACTTTGATCTATTGGGGAGAGACGTACTGATTAAATAGTGACAATTTCAGAATTTCAACTCAATGTTGTACAATCCGTACAATCTGTAGTTACATCAACCGGGCTGGGTGAGAGGCCAAGACCTTGGTATGGCAGAGATTGTCACATTATTTACTCGCCGCAGACGTTGAAATTGGTGTTACCTGTCAAAGAATGTCTTGGAATCGAATTTTCACGAGATGCCTATTGGAGAATAATGTCCTGCCTATCTTTTGTACTCGTTCTCGTTCTCGTCCATTTGAAGCCAAAGTTGATAGATACGAGAGCTGCGCCTCCACGTTTAGCTCTGGAACCCCAGTCGATCATCCGTGGCGCATCAGTCAGAATGGCTCGACGCTAATTTAATACATGAAGCTTAGTAAATTAGCTTTGTCTAGCTTTGTCTAGCGTTGCTCAGCTCTACCTAAATGTAGAGTAGTCGGATTTTTTGACTTCTGTCTATATCCTTCGTACCTAGGTATGTGGGGTTTAAGCGTGTCAATCCAATTGGAATTCGACGTCTAGGAATATCTCGAATTTGAACAAGCTACTTAAGCTTCTGGCGCATTAGCCGTTCAAGGCTAATGCCCCGGAATCATTTGTCAAAAGTTTGGGTCTATTGCTTAGCTTGTGGCTATGCCATGGATGTGTGTTAGGGAGAGTTCTTCGTATAGATCATTGTTCTTCATGGCATGAATATAGAATGGTGGCCACGCGGGGTAATTAGATATAAATAAGGCAATAGAGAAGGGTGAAATAAATATCAATCATTTCTATCAAGCTTCAATTTATCAAAATCAAAGGTTTCAGGGGTTTCAAACAATGAAAAACGCGCTTTTCTTTCTCCTGGCGGGTCTCCCGTTCATCAACGCCCAATATGGAAACTCGAACGATAATAGTATGACCACGACTGTCTCTTCGACTACATCCTCAACTGCAGTTTCAGCGTCGAGCACTGTCCATAAAATCGATGTTGGTGAAGATGGCTTTACATTTAGCCCGAACACTCTAACCGTCTCCCCTGGAGAGAAGGTCGAGTTTCATTTCTACCCGCAGAATCATTCAGTGATCCAGGCTTCTTTCGACAACCCTTGCCATCCAATCAATGACTCTAGCTTCTCCAGTGGATTTGTCCCAACTACAAAGGAATCGGTAGATTAATCCAATTCTCAAGTGTCGGGACCAACAACTAAATTTAACAGACCTCCGTGTTTACCATAACCATCAATGACACAAGTCCCCTTTGGTACTACTGTGGCCAAATTGGCCATTGCCAGGCCGGAATGGTTGGGGTTATTAATCCACCGTAAGCATCTCGCCATTTTAATTCAAATCTCCGGCTTACTCATGCTCTGTCAGCTCGAGTGGCCAGGACACCCTTGACTCTTTCAAGCAAGCTGCGTCAAATGCTAACCTCAGCACCATCCCCGCAACAATCCAAGGCGGCTCACTCGGAGAACTAAACGAGTCCCCCAGCAGCACGGCCAGCAAATCCGCAAGCGGCACGACTAGCTCGACTTCTAGTCCCACTAATGCAGGCAGTCAAATAGGCACTGCCCTTGGTATGGGGATCGTTATGGCATTGTCGTGCTTTGTCTCCTTGTCTATGATTTAGGGAGGAGCTCTGTGTTACAACAGGCCGGATGAGAATTTGGCATTATTCGATATTCTGTCACTTCTAGTTGCTCGTTCTCACTTTTGAATATCTTGAGGTTGTTATATTCAAATTGAAGTTGAATTATTTAGCTTTGGAAATATTCGATTTCCCGCTTGACCTACTAGTAATAGAACAGATGTAATGAGAGACTAAAGACCAGGCGCCAATGTTTCTTTCCAATATTCGCATCTTAGGAAATGCTCCCAATTCCCGACGATCTTTGCATTTTATGCAATTTGACACAATTGCCACTAACCCCTTGAGGCAGGTGTAAATTTAGACTTTGTCCGCAGCAAAGGACGACGAACAGGAAAGCCATTGGCAAAGACATGGAGATTCCAACAATGATATAGAGGTGTTCTCGTGCTATATTTAACCCAGAAAATTCACATGTACAAAGGTGTACAGCGGCTAGGGGTCAATTGCAATTTTCATATATGCCCAGGTAATGTATGCCAACTTAGAAAGTTGAGCGCTCTGCCCCTTCGTACACTGACCTTGGAATTAAGTTTCATACCTTAGGCATCATGTAGGAGAGCTCAGGAGCTGAGTCAAAACACTTGACTTATCTATTTCCTTTGCTCGTCAACTCAGAATGCAAGTCACAAGAAGTCAATCGAAGAACCCCGTCAGCCAAGATTCGAGCTCAGCACAGGAGGATAGCGAGTATTCCAAAAGTGTGCGACAGGAACATTCGACGAAAAGGCCGTTCGTTGAATGGTTTGATCTTGAATATTCCGACAACTTAGTCTGCAGGTAGACCAACTGGAAGCTTATTCTCAAGGAGGTAAGGAAAGTCGATAGCTGACGCCAAATCACATAGACAACTCCCGTAGAAGATGACCAGAGACTGTGTATTATCATACGTAAGATACGATATAGATCTCACCCGCGACAAGTCTAACGTGATGGACAAAGATGAGTGGCAAAGAACTCACCGAGACGAGTTTTGCCAGTCAGATATAATAACACAAATCATAAAATTACCTGATTCCGGTTCTCCCGGCAATCACCGCAGGAGGCCTAACGATAAGGCACTCTTAATCTATCGGTTTATAAATATTACTTGGAAATCCGTATAATATTGCTTTTCTAAATCTAGTCGTCCTAATATAGTCTATAAGGTCTAGACGGTCTATCTTCCAGCTAAGGATATAGTTGCTATGTTTAAATTCGGACCCTCTTCACAGATTTAAAGGATGGTTAATTACCACTCTCTACATTTCGGACAATCAGACCGTATAGGTGCGGTTTTATCACAGGTCATCGCTTTTGTGTTAGGCGAAGTCGAATACACAAGGCGACGTTGTAAACGGACTACGTGGTTTATGAACTAAAAATTGATAGAGGAGGAAATTTATCAAGAAACAGCGTTTTCTAGAGCAAAGAATAGAGAATGACGGACAGTGGTTAGTTCATTCATTGAGGAGCTACAGGGTCTCGTAATAGTGGGATATGAGTCCTGTCATGCTAAGTTTGAGGAAATTTGACAACCTCAGAAGAGCACCATGGATTTGCATAAAATAAAAGCCATTGAATGCACCACAATGTAGCGGCATATTTCAGACACAGACATGTGAATCTTGATCTGGAGAGTATGTGAATCGCGTCAAATTTTAGATTGCAAGTCCTTTATTACCACGCTTATCTTGGTATAAGTGTCTAAAGTATTCAAAATCGCCAAATTTTATCCTCACCTGTCTCGAGATCAGTGATAAAAATGATAGAAAATATGCCGCCGAAGTGTTACAGGAGATTCCAGATCGACAAGTGGAGGGTTCAAACGCCTATTTGATGCATTCCTTCCCTATGTCCAGAACAGACTTACCCTTGTTATATACTACTATCCTTAGAGACAATTATTCAGGCCCGACTGACTCGTCGTAATATAGTTAGTAGTTATTCAATAATCTTAGTCATAGGAAAGCCCGAATAGCTTCCAAGATTTATACATGATTTGTGATAAAGAAAACGAAGAATATTGTCTCTCAAGGGCTATAATCAGTGGATGGAGGTATTTCATAGGTATAACCTCTGAAGATAGGAGAATATAAGGATGTAAATAAAAATGTAAAATGAGATGTTTTGAGCATTAACTGAATGGACGTCCCCCCAACCAAGTTTTCAAGCTTAACGTAAACCCATCATGTCACGAGTCATTTGATCTAAAAACATGCAAGCTTCGGACGATCACTGGGCTAGGTGGGCTAATATGCGGTGTCGTTCATTGGCCACAAAGTCCGTGCAGATCTCAGGGTAGCGAGGAGTGAGTTATAGTCTTGGCTTTCCACACGGTACTCCTCCGTCGTTGTCAAATTTGCAAAATATAGGAACATCAAAAAATACCCCAAAGGTACAGCGGGATGTTGTCGATCCCATCGTGTCTTTCTTGGCATCGCAGAAGGTCCTCGACTTCAAAGGGATGAGTACTACAGAGCAATGAGTATAAATGCACAGAAGCCCCGAGACTATTTGTTGAGAGCTTTGTATTTTTGTTCAAAAAAACAAAAACGAAAATGATCGGCAAAGTTTCTCTTGCAGTAGCAACCCTGGTCATCGCCCAAGGACTACCTGGACTCGGCAAGGTGATAGAGGAGCAAGACACTGTCAGAGTTTACACATCTACAACTCTTCTCCGGGGTGAGCTGGCTAATATTCATCTTGATTGGCTTGATCATGCACCGAATGCAATCAAGGCAGTCTACGCATCGTGCGACGGCCAAAATTTGACCAAAAAGGAGCATTTCATCGGACGATTCTCGACACAGAATCAAACCCCTGAAAGACTGGCTTGGGCCGTTCCAAACGACGCCCCGACTCAACAATGCGTCTACATCTTGGAAGTCGATGACCGGGTTGCAACTCCAACTGTTCTAGGCAAAAGCAGTCCCATTTCACTACAAAAGGCACCCAACAAACGATCGACAGCATTTGCCAACATTCCATTACTGAAGGATTTTGATTCGTTGGGAACATGGTTCGATGGAGTGGCTAAAATCAAAGAAAAGGTTGAAGAAGAGGGAGGAGTAGCTTCGAAGAGCTCATTCAAGAATACCTCAATCGCGATTGTTGGAGGTGGGATTTCCGGACTTGCCACAGCTTTGATGCTGGACAGCGTCGGCATACACAACTGGGAGATCATCGAGGCCAGTAACCGCGTTGGAGGCAGGTTTCGAACGAAATATGTCGCAGATACGCAGGAATGGGCTGAAATGGGACCGATGAGACTTCCGTACTCAGTGACCTACAAAAGCGACAACGAAACACTGTTGTATTCCGACCATCAATTGACTTTCCAAATGGCCGAGATATTGAACACCATGAATAAGAATGAGTCGAAGTGGAGAATTGATTTCATCCCCTGGGTTCAGCACAGCCCCAATGAGATCATTGCACAAGGAACTCGCCGTCATCCGGATGGTAGAATCCCAACCCGCGCTGAACTTGAAGATGATCCAAGCCTGGAAGATGCACCAGCAATGACCAGTGCAGAGTACAGCAATACCGAGAATCAGATGAACAAAATCCTCAAAGACCAAGCGACGCTCAAATCCATCCAAAAGGACGTCTGGAGAGCCCACAAGACTGCTATGGATCAAGGACTCGACGACTGGAGTGAACAGGCGATGATGCGCCATGCCTTCAAGGCCAGTGAGAATGTCACTGATGAGATCTTGACATCTTCTGACTATGATGTATTTTGGGATGAACTGCACCATAACTCCAATCTTGGGCTGGATGGGAGCAAGGGAAGCATGGGGAAGACAGAATGGGTCTGCATCGACGGAGGATTCAACCGCCTCTCCGATGCATTCCTTCCCCATGTCCAGAGCAGACTTACTCTCAACCGAAAAGTCAGAAAATTAGAGCCTGTCCAGGATCAAAACGGCAATACCCGAACTCGACTGTCATGGTATCCTAGCGTCTCGAATCGCACATACGAGTCCAAAGACTACGACTATACGATCATGGCAGCGCCATTCACCATGACCCGATTCATGGACCTACCCAAATTCTCTTCTGTGCTGGACCGCGCAATCAGCGAAGCAGGTCTCCGATTCAAGTCTGCCTGTAAAGTAGCTCTACTTTTTTCCGAACGATTCTGGGAGAAAGGCGACCGGCCCATTTTCGGCGGTTACTCCAAACCAGAGAGCAAACCCGTCGGCGCCTTGTATTACCCAGTCTATGGACTCAACGAGTCGCGTCCAGGGTTGATAATGCACTACCGAGGGGGAGACTGGAGCGACCGATTTGTGAGTTTCTCGGATGAAGAACACGTCCAGACGGTTCTGGACGCGGTTGTGAGTCTTCACGGCGAACAGGCACGAGACTTGTACACTGGTGATTATGAGCGGCTTTGTTGGCTTCAGGATGAACATACGGCGACTTCTTGGTGTCGGCCGGATATTGAGCAGCATAAGCTCTACATTCCGGCTTATCATCAGACGGAGCATAATACCATTTTTATCGGAGAGCACACTGCGCCTACACATGCTTGGGTGAGTTCATCACTGCATTCTTCTGTTCGAGGGTCTATTCAACTGCTGTTGGAGCTGGGCTTGGTGGATGAGGCGAAAGAGCTTAACCAGAAGTGGATGGGAAGATGGATCAAGTTGTGAGATTATAGTCGAGATCCAATCTTGGAAGGCTTTTATAGTGTTCAAAATATCTTTTCAAGCATGGATTTTGTATAGAAAACCTGACGTCTCCGTGGAGACTGATGAGCCAACTACCCTGACCAGCGTAAGGTTTTCAACTTTCTCTCTACCAAGAGAGTAACTCGCCAGTTTGCGTGATGAAATTTCCCGACGCATTGTCTCGCGTAGCGCCATCGATAACACTCAGCATCCCCTTCACGCTGTCTTCAACAGTCACGGGCGGAGCACCAGAATAACCCCACTCTTTGGCAGCGAAATCGCCAGCGCGCGTCTGTACCCATCCAGGATGTAAAGCAAAGGCAATCAGTCCCTCGGCTTCATTCTGCGCGTGAAGAGCCTTGGTAAGCCAATTCGATGCCGCTTTACTGGGACCGTAGCCACCACCTGGCAACGGTTCTTGTTCACCAATCGAACCGACTGAGGAAGAAATGACCGCGAGCTTAGGGGAGGAACCTGACTTCTGTAGAAGAGGCCAGAAAGCCTGGAAGACTAGAAGCGGGGCGATTGTGTTCACTTCGAAGGATATGCGCAGCTCCTCTGCCGAGGTTGAAAGGGCCGGAGTCATGGGGCTGGCAAATCCGGCATTGCAGATGAGGACATCAATGTGGGTGATGGTGCTGGTTGTGGCAGCGAGGGTATGACGAATATTTTCTGGAGAAAGGGCAGATGAAAAGTCCAGTTGGATTATGTGAAGAGCGCTGTTTTCACCCTTCGCGACACCTTCAATCTCTGATTTGAGGCTTGTGGCAGCTTCCAGGTTGCGCACTGAGGCTATCACAGTAGTTGCTCGTCGTTCCAGCAACTTCTTGGTCAGTCCAAGACCAAGGCCTCTGTTCGCACCTGTGACGACGTACACTCGATTCACTGTGGGTGTCATAGTCAAGTATGGGGTTGTTGCTGAGTGCCGTGATATGGAAATTCTTTTCCAACAACCTTATTGTTCGAGATCGAATAATTGCTTGCAGGGAGCAACACCGTATAAGGGCTAGAATGAGAAAAAAAACAAGGCCCCCTCCTTTTTCAACTTAGGGCTGACTTTTGCTTATGAAATCCCCATGAAAGTCGCGTGAACCGGACCAATCAGAACCAGCACTCGAAGTATCACACTCACATGATGTACGCTGTATACATTCGTAGGCATCCATTATTGAATCAATACATGTAGAATTATTCGCAGTATATTTTTCGAGCTTCAAGGAAGCTGATACTGGAAGGCCCCAAACGTGCTTGATGCAGTTAGCGCTGATTTGAGGGCCGTTGTAGTCATTATCAAACTTATCAGTCGACATAAACAACCCCAATCTTTCTCCAAGTTCCCCGGGCTGCAATTTATGCACGGAAGTTGCCGTATCTTTGTCTCTTGAATCCGACGAGTTCCGGAGAAGCCACTGCCAAGGCCAGTTGGAGACCATTTCCGACCCCAAAGGAGGGGTCGCTAGGCTCTTATCTTTGAATCGGGGCTTAGAGCCTAACTAGACGATACCGGTACAATCAGAGGCTCCACAAGCCAAGAGATTGTACATGAGAAGATCTTGGCAATATGATCTCGGTGGATGTTATTAAAGCTCGAGGTTCTCTAATTTTGTCAGATGCAATATCTGCAACAGGGGGAGTGAACATGGCTCCTAATGGACTCGGCCCTCGTCTATGGGGTGTTTCTGCCTCTATAGCACTCTTCCTGTCTATCCCGACTGTTTTTTCTACTACGACTGCTGATAATGGAAAGCTACTTTCCCTCAATGGAATTAACTACTACGGTGGTAGTGAGGCAGTCTCGACTATAACTACCTCGGCAGATTTCAATTCGACTCAATTCGATGACATCGTTCCTATAACTGTCATTCGAACAGACGAAGCGGTACTTACTAAGAAAGACTTGAAAGAGATTATCTCAAACTATTCAATCACCGACGATGTGTTCCAAGTTGGCTTTCTCGAGAGTGAGTATCAATCAATCGGTCATCTCCGGTATTAAACCATCTGGTGCTAACATCGCGAAAGCGGTTTTCCTTGTTTACGAAGGACATGGTCGCGGAAAAGCCGAGTCTTCCGTCACACAAAGCTTGAAAGGACTTGGTAACAGTTTAATTATGGCCTCTCCTGCTTATCAGCCCCACGCCCACATTACTCCCGCAAAACTTCGACACGATGTACCCCAGGGGCCGTACTTCTACTCGCCACAGACAGGGGAATTGTACCAGGCTTTTCGTTTGTATGCGGATCACCAACTAGCTTTTACTGAAGCTGCTTTAAGCGATGGGGCTGGAGGGTTCAAGCCTTTACCGGGGGCCGTATCGGTACGTCAAATGAGGATTCAAGATCTTATTCACGGACTTTGGCTGATCTGTTATAGGGTGCAATGACCAAAAGTGTCGCTGTTCCATCCAGGCTATACTATACACCCACGTCGAGCAAGCCTCTTGCAGGTGTAAGTCTTTCTTTTGGTATCGAGAGTGAAAGAAAACTGACAAATGCAGCTTCGTGTCGGAATCAAAGATATTTTTGATTTGAAGGGACTCCGAACTAGTGGTGGAAATAGGGCCTTTTACGACCTATATCCTCCGCGAAACACCACCGGTCCCGCACTTCAAAGACTAATCGATGCGGGAGCTGTTGTGGTCGGTAAAATGGGGACCGTTCAGTTTGCAAATGGTGACAACCCTACAGCGGATTGGGTTGACTTCCACTGTCCATTTAACCCGCGAGTAAGTCTCATTGCTGAATTGGAGAAAATAAAGTAACATTTTCCCAGGGCGATGGCTACCAAGCTCCCGGTGGCTCGTCTTCAGGGCCCGGTGCAGGTATGGCCTCCTATGACTGGCTAGACATTGCGATAGGAAGCGACACTGGTGGCTCCATGCGCAGTCCTGGAGGAATGCAAGGACTCTTCGCTAACCGCCCCTCTACCGGAGCTGTGAATCTTGATAATGTGATTCCTCTGTGCCATGCACTAGATACTGCTGGTGTCTTTGCCCGGAATGCTGCGACCTGGTCGAAGGTCATGCATGCTTGGTATCAGAATTTCACGGACTACCGAGAATACCCGAAAAGGTTGTTCTATCAGAATTCTTCGTTCCCCACTACCAACACGACCGCTGGTGCGCTCATTGAGAAGCTGGTTGTGGAGGTCGAAGATTTCCTCGGGGCAAAGAGAGAGTATGTCAACATTTCTTCGCATTGGGAAGAGACTCAATCCGCTGAAACACCGGCTATTTCCAAGTTATTGAACACTGTGAGTTTTAGCCTGTTGGAAACTATTCTCACATACTAACTGGCATAGACATACGCTTCCCTAGTTTCCGTTGACCAATATCGCTCTTTGAGTCTTCCATTCTATGCCGATTATGCCGTAAAGCATGATGGTCGCCGACCATTTGTGAACCCAGGTCCCTTGGCGAGATGGGCTTGGGGGCAGGAAAATGGAGGTGATGCTGCCTACGATGAGGCCTTGAAGAACAAAACCATCTTCAAAGACTGGTGGGAGACCGAAGGATTTGGTAAAGCCAACGTAAAGACTTGTTCCGAGGGCATCTACATCTACCCTTATAGCAAGGGAGAGACGCAATACCGAAATGCCTATTTCAGGTAAGTCGAGGAGTGGAAATACAAAACAAAAAAGGCCAGCTGTTAACATTTCCAGTGCCCCAACCACACCTCCGCTGGGATTCTCGGATGGTCGTATTGCCGTTTTGGCCGGTGCGCCTGATCTAGTTGTACCCGTGGGTGAAATCCCATACAACTCTACAATATCCCTCAAGACGGAGTATATGCCGGTGACGATGAGTTTTGTTGCGGCCAGGGGCTGTGATTTGATGTTGGTTAACCTCATCGAGGATTTGGAGAAGGCTGGTATTCTGAGGCCCGTGAGCACCGGACCTAGGATGTATCCGGCGTGAGGCAGGGTTCCAAGCTCTGGAGGCATATTTTTATTGTTGGTAAGTGTCAAATTGCGAGATATGCTACTCTAGAGGTATCAAATACAAGCAAATTCTATTTGTGTGAAATATCTCGCGGTCCACCAGGGCCTTCTTCAAGGCCATTCCTTCGCGGCGCATCGGGCCGCCAGCGCCAAAATGGGCGCATGAAAGATGAGCTTTGGTCGGCATTTTCCAGGATATCTGCTGCATGCTGTGACACAATATTTAGTAGCTATTCGGTTGATTTGAAGGGGATGTTACCTACCTCTCCCAAAACTGGTAAAAATTTGGCACCGTGGCCGCTTCCGCCTGTGCAAACGAATACAGAATTTTCGGCATAGGTTGGTACATGGTCGATCTGTGAGATAATGTTAGCTGCGGAGTATAATTTTCAATTTTCACCAATAGAACTAACCACGAAGGAATTGTCGAGCGAGTCGGTATACCAGCAGAGCTTTGTAGAAAAGAACGGGGTATTCTTGAACTCAGGCATAAATATAGACACGAACTGCTTCACTGCGCGAAAAGCAGGGTCTGGTATGACTGTACACTCTTCCACTGGCAGAGGTACCGACCACTGGCCATCTTGTGCGAAAGAAGCATCCGGGGGTGCTGGCTGAAAGTTGGTCCACTAAAAACAACATTATCAGTAGAGCTTGCGATATAGAATGGATATCAATTACTTTGATTCCGCGGAATCCAATTTTCACAAGACCTTCGGGAGTTCTAGGTAGGACATAGATACTTCCAGTGTCCTTGCCAGAACTATCCCGTGAGATGCTTTTCCAGGTCATTACGGGGAACCGTTCCGGTGAGTACTTTTCCCATAGCTCGGCATTGCTCTTGTCAATCTTGAAAGTCGCAAGGCTACCCGCAGATGACTCGATATGATAGCTTAGGTCGGGGAGGATTTGTGTCGAGAATGATCCAGCTTCAACAAAATTAGTAAAAGCAACGCGAGAATAATATGCGACTAACCGGCGACGACAACAGTATCAGCGTGATAAATTGTTCCATTCTTCGTTTTTAGTCCTGTGATTTTCTCTTTGTTGGGCTCAACACTGCTTGCGACTTTGATCAACGCCTCAACAGTTCCGTCTTCTAATCCAAAATGAAACTTGACACCCTTGTCAGCTGCCACTTTTTGGTAGTGGGCACACGCGTTGCTGCATCTCACAAATCCAGCCAAAGAGTCCAATACTGCTGCATAGGACTTGTCGAGAGAGTCTGGCATCTGGAAATTGAGTAACTTATCTTTCCACCCGAGTTCCTCTGCACGTTCGCAGTCCGTGGGGTCACTCTCAACGAACTGGGTGTCTCGCAGACCATCACGCTGCAAATTAGCCAATGTCTCTTTTTCCAGCGTTGCTAGTTGATCTGAAGGTTGTATACGAAGCATTCCATTGTTCACGAAGAGCCGTTCGTCGTCTGTGTCACCATTTTCAGAGAATCCGCGCTTTTCGTCTTCTGATACCCATGCCTTCCGGCTCTCCAGTGCCAGACGCTGGTAGTGAATCTCTTTTCCATATGAAGCACGGAACTAGGTATTGTGAGCACACCTCTACGGTCATCTTGATTCACCTACTATTTTGTTGTGGTCGGCGGATGCAGCTTGCACATCGAAGGCTGCGGGGTCGTATCCATTGACATCGTACTCGCTCCGATCAAACACGTTGACATCGTAATCTGGGGCTTGGGTTAGTGAGTTCCTTAATGTAAAGGAGCGATCTTCTTACTTCTGTCTCGCAGTGCAATGGCCAGCGAAAGGCCAAAGATTCCAGCTACCGCTTTGGTCAACTGTCGAACGTGTATCCGATTATAACCACCTTACCTCCAATAACGGCAACTGACTTGGAATGCGTCATAGTTCAATTTTTAGCTTTTGTTGATGATTGATTTGGAGTGGTTGATTCGGTCGTTGACTTTTCAAACAAAAGGACCCCTGGAGTGGAATCTCCGCTTGTGCCCGCGGGGTCCCTGTCGTTAGTTTCCTGAATCAGCAACTTCAAATTTTCGTTCTCATCGTATACAACTTTCACTGCATCCATTTCACATATCGTTTAGGTCATTAGGTTTTCTTTCGTTATTTACTGGACGGCCTGCCTACAGGAGCTGGAATCGTAGAATTTCTGGCAAATTCAGCCCGTTTCAATCCTCGTAGTTGAATATCTCAAAAAATATGAGGCTCTTGGTGGTTTCCACAGAGTTGAGTCTAAAATCTGCCGTCTTGATTTGGAGTAGGGGCGGCCGTAGACTTCCGGATATAAACCACCACTTTCTCCCATGTCTTTTTATCAGGTCTCTCTTCAGGTACAAACTCATGCAAATCATAACCTTCCATCATTTCCCTAACCGGAGCTGAATCAGGGTCAGTCCTAACTAACATGTTAGTTCTCAAGCCTACAGTAAAATAAAAGCACAAATAGCAGCCTAATTACTACTCACGCGTTTTGTTGCTCCTCATTTTCAACACGATACCATATCAAGACGGCAGGTCTAGCGGTGTCCGCGATTATTTCCTTAACAGGCACATTGGGCGCCACCGAGAGCACAACCGAGCACTCATCAACCTCAAGCCAGCCGCGCGGATCATCAATCATCTCAAATTTGATCCCTGCGAGAACCTTCTGATCGATCGGGGTGTTCATGGGGTCCTGGATGTAACAGGGGACATCCTTGTTCTGGTCTCGCTCTTTCAGCCAGCTCCTCACAGTGACTAGCATCGCGGTCTGGAAAGCAGCATGGTCGTTTTGTGGCAGGGCTAGGCTACCGCAGGCGAGTCCGACGATCTTGTTGATATCATGGCCGCCGGCAAATGAAGACAAAATCGATTTGAAATTCTTGCATGCCTCGCTTTCTTCCCAGGCCAGACTTTTCTCTCGAAAATCTTCAATGACCCGGATGATAGCTTCGTCATCGAGTATTTCCTTGCTGCTGTCATCTTCTTCTACCCGGTGCATCAAGCGCAAGGGGGAGAAAACTGAGTCCTCAATTCGGTAAGATGTGTCTAAGTCACGTTCAAGGGCTGTTCTGGATCTATAATTTACCCCGATGCCTTTGCTAAACGGCGTTAGCTCATTAGATTCTAGCTCGAGGTGAATATCTTACTAGAAAGATTTTGTCTTTACTTCAGAGTCCCCGCTATAAAGCCAAACAAACATCCCCACTCTCACCTTCCATCTGACGGGAGCCCCGGTCAGGTCCTTGATGGTGATGATATCGCCCGCGGTGTTCTTACTCTTCAGATCGTCCAAGAGTCCTTGAAATGCCTTCTTGGTGAAAAAGGGCATCTTGGATTCGTATAGTGCGTTCAGACGGGTACGTGCCTGCTGCTTTGCCTGCTCATTTGCCTGCTCCTTTGCTTCATTGTTTGGCGCCGCTCCATCGGACTCCACCAACTCCCCTAAGTAAGGCGGATGGAGTGCCCAGATTGTATACGACTGGGATGATGTCGAAGCCATGATAGCTTCACATTCATGATCGCAGTTCTCATCCGTGTCGGATTCAGGATCATGTATATCATCCATGTCGATATGGATGGATATTTGGCGTGTTCAAAACTGAAATTTGATAGATTTGCGGAACAGAAATTGAAGAGCGGGAATCTTGTAAGTGTTTGATGTCCGTGTGACTTGAATCTTTAGCGGGGTTGTGTATTGGAATTTAGCCCCTATCACACCTGCGGCGCGCATCACGTTCAATTGGTCAGGTAAATTTGAAACTTGTCGGACATCGTGGGTGTGTTGCATATTATTGGTGGTGTTATCCGATGGCTTGCTCAAAGATAACTGTTGTTCAGTGTAGGTATTGGACAAGAGAGTGACGTTTATTTTCACTACCTAGATAAACATGACCCTCTTAGGTTCTCTAGTATATCTTCAGCACGTCGTGCAATGTCATATATGTTCTTATATTAAGCCGGGGATTTAGGTCTCTGAGTATTGATTCAGCGATGAAGCTTCGCTAGATCGCAATAACATAAGAAGTGATGCTAGCTAGACATCCCGACAGGTTAGCTGTTTAGATACATTCCTTGATCGCATAAGTATTGACATATTAAGGTATCGATATTAAGTATATACTCGATAGCAAGGATGTCTATTTGAATAAGTTTTACCCATGCCACGAAGACGTGATGATAGCACGAATGTGATGCCCGAGGAGGGTAGTTGATCTGCTTTACTTGTTTGAAGTTTTGCTATATGCAAATAAGCAGCGGAAAGAGTCTCGTACTTTGTAATCATACCCTGGTCTACAGAGAAGAAGAGAAGTGATAAGAAACCGTTCTGTCATCTCTGAGGAAGAAAAGGCCACCCATCTATAGCTAAGGGCACATAGCAAACATGAATAGTCATCACACGCACAAACGGGCGAACGCCAAATTGCGTCAGAAAGACATTGTCGGAGCGAGATGGATAATATTGGGCTCGGGTGCATAGCTCGGTCAACACAAAGATCTCTTTTAAAAACACCGAGATATCTGAGGCTTCAAATATTCGGGGTCAGTATGTCGAAATTATGGAAGTAAAACATTTGCCAATTTATATGGGCATCCATGGATGTGTCAATTGATTATATGATCACCTGTCTCTGCCTGCTCTTTCCTCAGTCGGCTAAGAGCGCTCCTTCCTAATTTCAGAGACCTGCTGTTCCCTTTCCTCATTCTCTTCTCTTCTCTTCTTCTTCTTCTTCTTCTTCTTCTTCTTCTTCTTGTCTTCACAGTTCTCTGACCTTCCACCATCCAAGGCCACAGCTGTTATATTCTCCCCCATATGTACCTCGTCTCATGACGGTGGGTGCTTCTTGTATCCCCTCGTCAAGCCCCCCAGCACTTGCAGCACCTTGCGTATTCTTTACCTCACCCCACCTCACCTCATGCGGACCCATCCCTCAAATAAGGTCGGGCTATCACACACCTTTTTCATATACTGTGACTGCTCTTGAAGATGGTTTCGCTTCATTTCAATATCCTCGACCCTGAGAGCCATCTCACTCAGTGGCATCTCCCGACAACCTCACTGAAATCCAACGCGACAACTACTGCGGCGCAAACAGCCCCAAAGCGGATCATCATTACGCCGCCAGTTGACAATAGGGCTGAATGACTACCATAAACACGAAATCTGAAAAGAGCACATCCGACGGCAATTTCCAGCTGTGCATGAACACCCAACTTCATCTTTCATTCGCCCCTTGTAGTAACAATATTAGGGTCGAATTGTGTTTATCACCGGGAATTGCAACGTAACGTGATACTCATACGTCTAAATTATACGGCGGATGACACATGCAATCAACTGCGCCTGGGACAATGCAAAGCCGAGATGGTTGGGGGTCCATGGCACAGAAGTGGGAAAGGCGATGTGACGCTCCATGATGGATGAAATTAGATCATGGGATAATATAGAACATGTCAACAGTTCAATCGCTTAGCCTTATGGCTATCAGTGACCCTGGAAGAGCCCAGCATTAGGGAATAATGCAACTCTCTCTCTCTCTGTGATACTACCTAGATATGTTGGTCATGACCAAAATCGACTATAGACAAATTTCTAGTCTAAGCCTACCGATTCTTTCCCCACGTAAATATCACAGCGATTGATTTCCCATTTGTACCAGGGATTTCGGAGTTTCCTCGGTACTATACATTTAGAGTGCGCCAAAAGGCCTAGACACGACACTTATGCATGCACAGTCTAGGCCCCGCGAACTGTGGGGATTATGACGCAACAAAAATAACGGGAGAAAAAGGGAGTTAATCGAAGCGATAAGATCCAAATTCAAGGAACAATCTTTTTCTTCGTTTTTTCACTATTTGTCGTTTCTTGCCTTTGATATCCTCAGCTGATTTCCCAATCACCAAAAACATACCTTCAACAAAACCTTATAGGTATAGACGAAATTTAGTCGGAAAAGCAGGGACGGGTCTGACAAAGACCAGGCAAATGCGCCATGGATTCATCGGAAAAGCAGCCGCGGGAGAGCCATGAGAATGATCGTCGCGCCCGAGAACTGTTCAACTATTTCCAGCCCGACAATCCAGCCCTCCTCCCGACATGTGACTCAAAATTCGACACAACGCAAATTAAAGCAAGCCCCAACCTTGTTCTTACCTCTCTGACCCAACTCGCGGCGCTGAAGTTGGGAGTCCAACGCGCAATTATCAGGTATCAGCGTCTCCACCCAAAATCATGAATCAGGAGCTGATTCAATTTAGCTTGATCGGTCGCGAAACGTTATATGTGGTCGCCGAAGCAACACGCTCTTTGAACTTGGGTGACACTAGCGTTTGCGACAATGAAGGCGATCGCTTGTGGATGGGGTGTTCGAATGGTCCTGTTGCCGGAACCTTGTGTGAGGTAAGTTATGCGCGAATTAAGCTGACAAGATCGCAATAATGATGGACTTTGGCTGACCAAGTCTGGACCATAATAGAAAACAATAACACTGCACCCAACCCCCGAAGAAAGACATCGTTTCTTTATTGTCGAAGATTTGAAAGAACATCCCATCTATTGCAAAATTCCATGCGTGGCCGGCGCCCCGCACTTTCGATACTATGCCGGTACTCCTCTGACGACTGCTACTGGTATCAATATCGGCAGCCTCTATGTTATCGACCCGCGGCCAAATTTACACCTAAACGAGCTCCAAAAACAGACACTTGGTGTCATTGGGGCTGCAGTCATGGACTATCTGGAGACATCTCGTCATTTGCTGGAAAGTGGGCGTCTAGCGAACCTGCTAACGGGCCTAAATTCTTTTGTTCAAGGCGAGGACAGGATTGAGTCTATCAATGAACCCCTTTCGAGAACACCAAGCTCATCGGAGCTAGATCAATCACGCACACCCAGCCCTCTCACAATCCCAACCGAAAGACTAGAGAGCGATCATTCGCAAATTACCAGGAAAACAGGAAGAAATAAACCGCATTTGGAAGACAGCCCCAGGATTACTTCAGACGCTACATTGACAACCAACAGCGATCACAATACGTCATTCCAACAACCCAATGCCTCGATCAATCGCTTGACAAACAAGAACGGCTTGGTATTTGCACGCGCAGCCAAAATCATGCGAACGAGCCTGGACCTTGGAGAAGATGGTGGTGTCGTCATATTCGACAGCAATGCCACTCCTGGGTCAGACCCTGACGAAGATCCAGTAGATACGCAGGCTGTCACTCGGCCCCTTGCCAAGATCTGTGCAATTTCAAAAAAGCACACCAGCACGGTCAATGCCCAAGATCATCCGAATTCTTTGCCGAGTTCTCAAATGGATCGGGGTTTTCTGAAGCGTATACTACGCAGGTTTGGTAAAGGTGCCATTTGGTATTTCCATGAAGATGGAACCGTTTTCTCGTCAGACGATGATACAAGCAAATCAGAAAACGAAGGAGATGATCAAAACCCCTCTTCCCAGAGCCCCAGAATGACCCAGCCGCGGCATCAGGGTGTATTACGAGAAAAAGACCTTCGAGCTTTGAGAAAATACTTCCCTGATGCTACCCGTATCATATTTACGCCTTTGTGGGATTCATTTAAGTCGCAGTGGTTTGGTGGCTGCTTTTGCTGGAGCTCAGCTGAAACTCGCGTTTTCAGCGCTCATGTTGAACTAGGTGGTGTTCTCGGATTCGGGTCTTCGTTGATGATGGAGTATAGTCGTATCCAAAGTCAAGAATCGGACAAGAAAAAGGCAGATTTTATCAGCAATATCTCGTGGGTCATTTCCAGGGTCATTTCCGGGGACACATCTTCTTGCTGTCCTGTCACGAATGTTGCGTTTATTTCAGCTGGCATTGGTCACTAATCACATCTTTCGGTAGACATGAGCTTCGAAGCCCGCTACACGGAATCCTAGCTGCGAGCGAATTCCTCAGCGAACAGGTCGGTTCCGACTTCCCCAGAACCCTACTCGATACCATTCGTGTCTGCAGTCAAACCCTTTTGGATACGTTCGAGCAGATTCTGGATTTCACGAAGATCAACTCTTTTCAAAAGAAGCGACGAGACCAGAATGACCGCTTGTATGGAGACCGGGGCGTGGCAAAATCCCATGCATTGCCTGAGTCTCTACACATATTAAAGGTTACCAACATTGTGGCGGTCATTGAAGACGTTATCGAAAGTATTGCGTTCGGTGCAACTCATTACAAAGGAGGACTATATGATGATATCAGCTCCGTTCCTATCAAGCACGTCGATGTTTCCATTGATGTAGCCCCTGGTGACTGGGTCTTCGTCTTGGAGCGAGGGGCTTTGCGGCGTATAGTCATGAACATATTCAGCAATGCGCTCAAATACACCCAGGAAGGCTCCGTGTCGGTCCGTATTGAGCTTCAAAAGGGCCTAAAGGGTGCAGGGAACCCGAAGACTGACGACTGCAACGCTCTTCTTTTGACGGTCTCGGACACTGGAAGAGGAATTTCAAACGAGTACCTCCGCTCCGGCCTTTTTACTGCTTTTTCACAAGAGGACCCTCTAGCACCGGGTACTGGACTCGGGATGTCTATTGTTCAAAATATTCTCCGGTACCTCGGCGGCAACATAAAAATCAAGAGCCAACTAGGCATAGGAACCACTGCTGAGATTTCAATACCGCTCACATCCCCCAGAAGTGAACATGAAAAAGACTTTATGATTACTCAAGAGCCTTCTGTTCAGTCCACGGTAGATGACCTCCAGTCTCTGAAGCGTGAAATCAGAGGGAAAACAGTCTCCTTCCTTCCCTGCGAAGGTATCTCATCAAAAGTGATTCCTTCAGCCTGCACAATCACAAAGTACTTGACGGAATGGTATGGTGTACAGCTTCAACCTTGGACCCTGAATGCCCATCCAGATCTCATTATCATTGATGAAAAACAAATCTCGCGCCTGTATCCAACAAAATCATCCAAAGTTCTAGTTCTTTGTCGGAATGCGCAACCATCGCAGGCTATCATCCAGAGCTTGGAGCCACTATGTGAGCGTGTTGAATGGCTTAATCTTCCTTGCGGTCCCCATAAACTAGCACGGTCAATCCAACGTTGTCTGCAAAGTGAATCGGTCAAATCGCACAAGGCCCAAAATGAGTGCCCGGATTTCGGCGATCAACAAACTAACCCAGTTGTGCCCCTTGCAACTGCAAGTGCCAAAATGCCACTTGTGACCCAACGCCAACTTTCCTCAAAAACTGACACGCTCCTCACTACTCTAAAATCCCAGGTGACAAATACTGCGCAAAAACAAAGCCAATCGCAGCCTGAAAACAGAGAGACCCTGGTTGAACAGACTGTTAACCCTGTCGTTGGATCTGAAGCACTTCGGATTCTTCTGGTTGAAGACAACGCTATCAACATGGCGCTCCTTCAGAAGCTAGTCGCTCGGCGTCACCCAAGCATTCTTCATGCCGCCGTAGATGGTCAGAAGGCTGTCGAGGCAGTCAAGAAATTGTCTGAAGGGTACCATCTAATATTCATGGGTAAGTTGCTCGTATACAGCATATTCGTGCACGGACGCATTCCTAGGGACCTGACTGACTATTGCACTTAGACATGTCAATGCCTGTGATGGATGGCTTCGAAGCAACAGAGGCCATTCGAGCGCTTGAGTCGGAACGCCCGTCCATACCACCAGCCAAGATCATTGCCCTAACAGGTCTGGGCTCGGATGAACATGTGGCGAAGGCTTATGCCGCAGGTGTTGATGTTTTCGTCACAAAACCTGTTTCTTTTAAAGAAATCACTCGGTTGATGGACGATGTGAAGAACCACGCTCCTTCGACGAACCAACAATGACTCCAATCAGGTTGACATTATGTGCCGATTTGCTAATGAATACCCCATTGTTTCCATGTTTTTGTATATGTAAAATGAAATGACAACATGACGGATCTACTGATTGCTCAGGAGCGGAGGTTTTGATGTCCAAGTATATATGAACAGCGATTCTTATATTGGGACCATGAATGCCACCATCATTATTGCTTACTTCACATGAACTATATCTACCATTGAAGCCGAGCATTGTGGATGATCGGAGACTCATGAACTCCACGGATCTTCAACGAAGTTCACATGCAGACCATTAGAATTGCCGATCTGTTCGGACAGTACTTATTACGAAGTACCTTATGCATTGGGCATCGCAGTCGTTTTTGACATAATGATCTATGGGAATTTGAAATAGTAGCAGAAACACATAATGTCCACACAACAGCTCAACCATTGACCGAACATGCCACTGCAAATTTTCCGAAATAAATCCCAGCCTCACGTAGCCTGACGAAAAAAAGAAGACACAGCAAAGTTCGTATAAGTGGGTCACGGTCGCTCCCCGAAATGAAGGTCCACTAAAGACAGGCACAGATCGCTTAACTAACTACTAATACATACAAGGAACCCAGCGGAGGATAACTCGACCCGAGAGAAAACTCCACGACTCCACCTGCTAAGCACTCACTAATCAAACTATACCGGAACAGACGGGGCTAAAATGCAAAAATCAGTCTGGAACCGTCTCTCTTTTCCACTCGGCGAGCTCGGGATTATTGTCCTGAGTGCAGTTCCAACAAAAGAGCCTGTTGATCTTGATGATACAATAAACATGGGACATGGGAAATACTAGTGGTCGCCTAATTAATGCTCGGTTGGTGAAGCAAGGTTGATCATGCTTCGTCGTCAGGGGTTGTGTTAGCGGCTGTAGTCTCCTGTTCCTGATTCTCCACTGCGGCTGAGTCTGGCTGCTGGGAATTGCTTGCAGTAACACTAGGCCGGTAGCGTTTTGGCAGGTATTTACAATGTATGGTGATCTCAACACTAAACCCGTCGAATTTTGCAACATTAAAAGCAGAAGGCCATTCCATTGAGGAGAATTCACTGCATCTCAAAATTTCACCCGCCACGTAATTCAACATGATGAAGTCATAAATAAATTAAGAAATATTTGTGGAGTAAGTATTACCCGTTGAAGAAGTGAAGTCAACAGGAACTGGTGATATATACAGAAATGGTATAACGAAAAGAGTGTGCGAGAAAGGAAAGATACAGTGTCATCGAAAAGGCATCCAACATCTCAAGAGGATCGGCGTTCGCGTCTGCGCTCGGCGTGTTCATCGGATTCATATGCAGAGACAGGTTCGTGTGAAATTTCAATTGTCGTTTCTTGATACACACCGCCGAAGTTGGACATTTCCATATCGTTCTTATTGACGATGTCCTCGGTCGAGTCCTCGAACGGGCTGGTTGCCTTGACATCGGCGTGGTTCCCGTTCTTTTGGAATCGAGAGCCGAGCCGAGATCCCCTACTGCGGAATTTGCGTGATTTAGAAGGACCGGCAGTCGAAATGTTGGTCTGCCATTGGGAATCAGTGCCGTCGTAGTTGTGGTCGGTGGTACTGTGTTCGGTGTCGAGCAGCAAATGACGGCGGGTCAAAGTGTAGACCATCACATCGAAGAACCCAGACAGAGCCATCAAGCAGCCAGCGACACCGAAGTAGGTTTTGCTAGGCGCGTCGCCTCTTGCGGTGGCCATGCGGCCGGCGGCGAGAGGGAGCGACAGAACAAGATACACAAGCGGATAGACAACCATATAGATGACGACACGGTTGAGACGTTGCAGACTTTCTTGTTGGCCACGGCGGAGGACCTTCGCCTGTTTCATACGTCGTCGGAGGTAGAAGAACATAATGGCGTAGAGCACAACGGTGCCAAATTCGGAAAGGAAAATCCAGAAGTAATGGCCCCAGAGACGGTCGTTCTCATACTCGGGGCTCAGCCAACACTGTGGGCGTAAGTTAGTTTAGCTATCATAAGGACAAATAGAAAGGAGTATGTACCCAGTTGGCTTCAGAAACCACAAAGACATTCTTGCCATACAGGCCGACAGGAATGAAACCCAGAATTAGGATGAAAGCCCATAGTGCGACGACACACCAAGCAAAGGTACGAAATTTCAGTTGGCGACCACGCATAACAATTGCGCCCGTGTGTAAAGCGATGGCTAAAACGAATAATCCACTTCCAGGATCAGCCGTCATAATCCACCATCCTTGTAGATAACAAGCCGCTTCGCCAGAGCGGACACTGCCAAGCGACACCCAATAGAGACATATCATGAAAGCGATGGCTTGTTGTAAGTCGACGAGAAGTAGGTTGTAAATGAGAACGACATATTGATTCTTGGCGAGAGGATGTTTATAGTAGCGTTGCCAGTAGATGAATCGGTAGGTCAAGAAAGAAAGCAAGGAAAGAGAGGATACCAGGGATAGGAGCGCAATCACTCCCATAGCAATAAAGAGCGATCGGTCGGAGCCTAAAAGAGGAACCTCCTCGTGAAACTCCCATTTGCGACGAACGAGAGAGGCATTATCCTCTAACGCTATTGAGCGCAGTATGTGGAAAAGCATGACGAAGAGGCCACAATTGATGAAGCACAATCATAAAGAAAAGCTCAATGTCTAAAAACGAGGGGCCACGAAAGTATATAAGATCCTAAATCAGGACCCACGACCAGGGAGCCGGGGTGTGTGTGTGTGTAACGGACTCCATAGCGGACATACCTGCATGGTGTTCTCCACTCCCAAGACGTGCAAAAATGCTTCTTGAGTCTTAGCAGCGTAGTTCCATGGTTCACAACGATAGTCGAAGCTAGTTCGTGTGGAGTAATTAACAATTCCCCATTTGGGGAGCATCTCGACTGAGGCTGAATATGTATGGCGGATGGGGAAGACGGAGACTCCACGCCGGCAGCACATGGGAACTGTTTACCGAACCCTAGCATGTACCCCTTACCAGCTTCGTGCATTGGGGTGCATTAGGGAGGGAAAACTTAATTGCAGAGCAGGTTCCGAAATAATTCGGCGTTGATCGACGTCGGAAGCAATCAATAATTTAGGTTTGAGGCGGACGAAGCCGCGCATTTCGCGCCTGAGCACATCGAACTAGGATATTCGTAGTTAGATTCGTGACGCCCGGCGCTGCCATTGATGGAGCCTGTGGATGCTCTGTTCGTATTGGGGTTCAATAGATCCACACTTGGCGATCGAGTGGACACACAATGCAAAATGGCATTGCACCACGATTCTCCAGTTGTGAACTTGGCTTTTTGAAAATCGTCCATACGGGGGTAGACTCAGACGAACGTGTGGCATGCATCATCGATCCTGGTTTTTGTGCCGCAACAACCAGATAAAGGCCCATACGTAAAGAGTTGGAGTATGTAGATCCGATCAATGGTGGAAATCAATGGTCCCGAACTGTGGCAACCTCCGAAATGGTGACAACACGGGGTAAACCGTTCTGGAATGTAGTCCCGGATCCGCTTTGGACAGTGCATCAAGGGCCAATTGACACATGGGTGTGGAAGTCTATTGTATGCACGTTTTTTTGAGATTTCAGGATTTCAGCTTGATCTGCGGCTTTCAATGCTTGACCCACACCCGATGTGCTCTGCTTTGCTTCCTCGTCGCAGGGATAGGCTGGAACATGTACACCGGTAAAGTTCTGAGGGAATGGGAATAGATTTACAGGACTCAGGGGGAGATCATCGGGTGATCAACTGGAGATCAGGAGGGGACGAAGTCAAATTTGAGATCTATTGTAGAATGGACCAATTGAAGTGGCTAAACATAGAGAACAAGCAATTGGTCCATAACATTGTTGACAACTCTTTTCACCTCTATCACGTAAAATACATGCTGTTGCATTGAGTAACATTAAGTTGCAAGCCAATTCAACAATCACGTCTCCGTGGCGCAATTGGTTAGCGCGTTCGACTGTTAATCGAGAGGTTGGAAGTTCAAGCCTTCCCGGGGACGTTTTTTTTTTGCTTTTCTTTTGTTTTCCTCAACATTAATTTTAACATCAACTAGTAATAATATTCCCAACTCCTCTCATTTTATTTTTGTTACATTTTCTCATCTCTTCTCAGCTTATAAGATGACATTGTGATTCAAGCTCAGATGAAAATCCAATGTGGCTGAGCCAAATGCAACCTCGAATGCAATCACCCACCATAACGTAGTATGTATGCCACTTGGGCATAATATACATATGCACAATATTGTATAATCTCGCGTGAGCTACATGTGGATCGACAGCGCATCGGGTATTTTTATCTGCAGATCGTATGAAAATAGAATCCAAGGTATGCTCATGTCTCAGTTTCTGCATACATTCCTGGTCATCCCCACATTAAACCCTCCGCCCTATTGCACCAGTTTCGTTGCTCGTCTATTGCGGGAGTATCTGCTGATAATGGGCCTGGAATAAAGCCTTCCGATTTGAGTTGTGTCACCTGAGAATCTAAGACCTGCACCAAACGCAGTTATCAGAGATGTTAGGAAATAGATATCTTGGCTGGAGGCCTGTTGAGGCCGAAGATATATAAAGCTCGTCCCAGAGCAAGATATAGTTATTCATCCAACAAGCAAACAATTCTACAACACAAAGCAGATTTAAAACACTTTCAAGTCCCCTCCAATCAACTGAATCAATTCAATCATATCAACAATGAAGTCTGTCATTGCATTCACTTCCGCCCTCCTGGCAACCCTCAACTTTGCTACTGCTGCTCCCGCTGCGGGTGTAGCACAGACCGTATCTGTCAGCTTCGACCCCAAGTACGATGTTGCAACATCCTCTCTCAACACTGTTGCCTGTTCCGACGGCACCAACGGCCTGGTAACTGCAGGTTATACCGACTTTGGCTCGCTGCCCAAATTTCCCAATATCGGCGGTTCCCCCACCATCCTGGGTTGGAACAGCCCGAACTGCGGTGCTTGCTACCAGCTGCACTACTCAAATGGCAAGGTCGACAATACCATCAACGTGATTGCCATCGATGCGGCGCCTGGTGGCTTCAACATTGGCCTGCAAGCCATGAACCTGTTGACCAACAACCAGGCTGAAAGCCTGGGTCGCATCGACGCCACTTATGTCGAGGTGGATGCTAGCGTGTGCGGCTTGTAAGGGCTCGGATTTATCTAACAATGTGATCATGAAGGACTGAAACTGTACACGGAAAAGCTGGAAACATGTTACGAGATGAGGTTGGACCGAGTGTGTGATTTTAGATGGGCCAAACTATATACAGAATTCCTAATATACAAAGGTTCAATCAAGTACCTCTAGCATTTCTTGTACGCGACCAAACTTATCCCGGGGCTTGCCCTTGAGCTGGCCACGCTGTCGTTCTGCGGAATCGATCCGCTGCCAGTCCTGCCAGGACGTAGGCCGTAGACCACGACGCTCGGCCTCGACCTTCACACCGTCCCAGCCTAGCCCGGTGCTTTGGCCCGGTGCGTGAAGCAAGGAATTTGAATCAGCGATTTTCGCCAAATCCTGCACGATGCTGTCTGCAGTGGTGAATGCATCTGTCATCGTTGAAGCAATCACGCCCGTCGGACCTCGCTTAACCCAACCAGCGCAGTACAGGCCGGGCAAATGTGAAATGAGAGATCCATCCGGTAAGCTTTCAGGTTCACCCTTATTTGTGAGACTTGTTAGGCGACCAAAGCCATCATTGGGGAGAATTCCTCGCTTAGTATCGAAATCAATACCAAGATCCTCCAGCCCAGGAAGGGGAAGGGATTTGTAGCCAACGCTGCGGAAGAAAACGCTAGCTGAAAGATCGACTTGCGCCCGCTTTCCGCTAGACAAATGCTTTGGGAATACCTTGGAGCTGGGGCTGTGGGGATCGGCGGGGTCGAGTTCATTGCGGGAGAACTTTACATGGGATAGGTGGTATGGGTACTTGGGGGACCACTGAAGAGAGTCGGGCGCAAGCAAGAAATCCAAGGACCATGACTTAGGGGAAGTTTCGGGATCATTGCTTGATCCTTTGGCTAGGAGCTGCATGAGACGCTTTTGCGCCCGGGGTAACGCCGAGACCACTTCCGCCGGCGGAATGACGTCCTTCGGAATTGGATCGAAAGATACACCTGGAAGCTGGAGCATTTCTCGCAGTTCCTTGATGGTGAATGAAGCCTATGTTCAAGTGGTTAGTAATTAGAAAGAATTACGAGTCAAGTGTAGCTTACCTGGAGGGGCCCCCGACGCCCCACAACGCGCACCCGTTTGATGCGACTCGTGGACAGTTTCTCTATGGCGTACTCCGCAATATCAGTCTTCTGGAGCGTATTGACGTCAGAAAGAAGGATTCGTGCAACGTCAAGTGCAACGTTTCCTTGTCCGACAATCACGGCGTCCTCGCCGCTCAGGTCGGGATCAAGATCTCTGTGCTCGGGGAGACCATTGTACCACCCGACAAAGGCACGCGCTGCGTGCACACTATGCAGAGCATCCTCTCCTGGAATTCCTAGCTCCTTGTCTTTTGTGGCTCCGTAGGCGAATAATATGGCGTCGTAGTGAGGTTTGAGGGCGCCAAGTGGCAGGTCGTGTCCAAGGTCAACATTTCCTACAAAGTTGAATCGCGACGATGTGGCAACCTCGGTAAATTTGTCTTCACAATTCTAGTTCAAAGTATGCATGAGCGTCTGTCTACATTGACTAATGGTTGACTCGTTGAATAGTGGTTTGCCGCGACTCACCTTAACCTCGGGATGATCCGGGGCGACGCCATATCTTGCCAAGCCGAATGGAACAGGTAGCTTCTCATACATATCCACTATCGCGTTTTGTTGCTTTGCTAGCAAGCGATAGGTAGCATAAAAACCTGCCGGTCCAGAACCCACGACGGCCACACGGACGGGTCGTTCGCTTTGCGAGACATCACTGTTGAACCGTTTCGATGTAAACTGAGAGGCAAGCTTCCTATGATATAGGAGAGGCCTGCGAGAAAGCCTGACACTGCATTGTGCACATACGAAGCCTTGATGTAAGTACATGATGCATGGTTGGAGAGATCGCGGAGGTGATCGGAGATAAGTCAGATCGTACACGTGACCTCTTATCGTCCGTTGCCCTGACGACAATCTTGTTTGCTGTAGGCGCTTCTGATGTGACGCCCTGGCAGCTAAGCTGACAGCCGCATTCCTTTAACATTCCTCTCATCTACTTCGCGTGGATGCCACGAGCCTTCAGTCGCTACAATGGGGAGATCGTCGCCTCCATTCCTTTACGATCAGCCGGCTACCTATAGTTTCAAGGGTCCGACGGACCGTGGTTTCAACCCTAGGGCCGCGACGGAAGCGAGTTGGACTCGTCCAGCCGAAAAACCCAAGACGAATGGGCCACTGGTGAACTTCAATCGCCACCCAGATACAGTATGTGAGATCATGCGGATGTCCAAAGTGGATTTGCTAATGGTGGATGCAGTGGGGTTCTTTCAATACGGCCACCTCATTCACGCCGATGAACCCAAGGACCAAGGTTCGGGTCAAGTATGCGCGGAAAACTCAACTAGCACTCCGTGTGCTCACTCTTTTGGGGGCTCTCGGCTCTCTATTTTGTGCAATTGTCATTAAGGGAGCTGCTGTGACTGTCATTTGGATTATTCGTGCAGGCGTGAGTCAACTGTCTCTAATGCAAAGAAAATTCCCTATCGCTAACTCACATACCAGCCAATTGTCGCAATTCTCCACACCATATATGGCATCTGGCACAATTCCCGATCTGCCCTTACTCGACCCGCCGGTTCCCAAGCCAGCTATGGTTTATTCGCCTCTACCCTTGATTTCGGACTTATCCCATTTTATGTCTTCACCGCGTTCATGGCGTATGGAGAATGGACATCCAATGCCTACAACTGGAAAACTCTCTTCAACGACAGCGATATCACAGCGAAAATTTCGGAAACTACTTTCATCTTGGCTCTCGCAAATGGGGGGTTGCATCTTATCTCTTTCGCCATATCCATATTCTTGGCAATCACCTTCCGAAAAATCTCCCACCTACCGCCTGATATGAACCCCCTTGAAGACAATTTGACCGCGCGTCCTCGTAAGAGCCGTAAGCAGGGCGAAGTGGACGAGAAGCATCTTAGCCAATCGACTATGAACTCTTTCGAGGATCCGCTTATTGGATCTCCCCGTAGCGTGCCATTCCTGCATACACGTGAGCAGTCTCTCGGTGGTGGTTCCAACCGTGGATCGATGAGTATGGTGGATGAGCAGCGGAAATCCTACCCTGCTGTTACTCATCAACGCCTATCTCATTTGGAATCTCCGATAGAGCCCTCCAGCCCGGAGATGCTTTTCCACCACCCTGCAAGCCAACCATTTGATTTGACTTCAACATCACCAATCCCTGCTCCTGAGTACCGAAAAGTTGCCTCCCACGCCCCTGAGATCATTGATGCCACTGCTCAAATGCGTCATTTGTCATCCCGCACCGCTGACCGATCGGAGACTGTCAGTCCCTTGTCTGATAACTGGGTGGCTTACTCGGAACGATCTATGTCACCCGAAGCGCAGCATGCGGATGAAACTACTCTTCGTCAGTCTTCTTCTGTTTACAGCAGAAAATCCGACAGAACAACGACATCCACCGGCAGCGGCTTCCGGGATTGGTTTGCTTATGGATCCAAGCCTGCGCCTAGCATCGGTAGTGCTATCCCAGAAGATGTCCGCGGCGAATATGCGTCGCTCGCTATGCACGAGTACTACGGCCTTGATGATAACGATCGCGAACAAGATGTGGGCGATCAGCGCATGGACATTTTCCCAGACCCAGAGGAGCACAACGACGACCTTATCGACGAGCGCGATGGCTCTCTTCCATTCAATCCCCTCATGCTCAATCCGCCTACCCCTCAGCCTGTCTTGAACCAAAAGACGGAGGACACCGATCCTGTGCGGCGCATTGCCTTGAGTGACCAACCCAACCTTTCATACAACGAAGTGACACAGCCTGTGTCTGTTCCACACGAGAGCCCCAAGCCATCCTCTCCCAGAACCCGCTTCTATGGTGAGCTGGATGTGGATGGCAAGCCCGGACTGGGGCTAGACCGAGAGCCAAGCGTGCAGATCGCCCGCAAACCTACCAAGTTGACGAAGAGGCAAAGCAAGAAGATGTCTGCCTACGCAGCACTCAAAAAGGATGATAGTGGCGACGAATCTGGGTACCTGTCACCCAAGATCCCGACCTCACCTCGCGCCATTGAGAGCGACCGCAAAGGTCGCGTCGTGAGTAACACCGGCGCAGACACTGCCCGCCCAGGAATCGTAGCTGGTGTAGGCGCCTCTCTGTCCTCCTACGGCAGCTACATCGCTGGTCTAGGCGTTGGACGTCGCCGTGACGTGAGCGGAAAAGTTGCCGAGGAAGGGCGCAGCGAACAGGTAGTTGAAGAGCGGCCCAGCCAGAATCACACCCCAGGCTCGTCGCCAACTCGAGCAGCAGGATGGGCCCGCTTTGCCGGACTGTAGTTCTGGGGCATCTGGTTTCGTTTTATGTTTGGTGTTTGGGGGTCTGTATTCATGAATGGCATGTAGCGACTTGTTTCTGATTGGGACTCTCTTTATCCCGTTTTCATTCTATTGGGAAATATGTATCGAACGGATTATCTTGTGTATTATTTTATCTTTGTATGTAGCGCTAGATTTCAATTGAAATAATAATTGAACAACAATCGAATGAAAGATGGATAAGTATCTTGACGATCGAGAGATAGCCTTTTGTGCGGCTATTGTAAGAGGTGTAATCTCGGTTGTCTTCCAGACGTTAGAGCGAACATGTGGCGAGGCCCCATGTGAAAGCAAGAGCCGAATAATGTGCTCATTACCACAACCGACAGCCGCCAGAGTCAATTGGCCGCCTGCATTATAGTAGTCATATCTATCGTGCCCAAGCCATCCCTCAGTCAAGGTTGGATCGACCCCGCGTTTGACCAACAGCCGTGCAATAGGTTCGTGTCCATGAATGCAATCTTACCTCTTTTGGATTTGATGCCACGTTACTCCGCGACATCCGTAAGACGTAACTTAAACACGATTCCTTCTAAGGAACCTTAGCAAAATATTTTAACCTTCTGATTCCTCATACATTTCTGGCCCTATAGAAGAACAACAAAATTGTCTAGTTACCTTTAGCTGATTTGGCCCTCACATCCAAACCCGCTCCGTCAATATGCCCACCAACAGCGCCTCGCCATGCAAACTTCGCGTCGCTATCATAGGTGGCGGAATCGCCGGTCTCTCTGCTGCTGCATTCCTCCGCAAGAACCACCATTTCACTATCACTGTCTACGAGCGTCGTGATGCAGACTCTCAGGAGACTTCCGCGGCACTCGGCCTCGGACCTAACGGCATCTCTATTGCCAAGCAGCTCGGAATCGATAGAAAAGAGATTCGTGGGGTGGTGGGCGCCGGGTACCGGACATATGACATCCACGAGAAGGAGATAAGCAAGTCCCGGATTGGGGATGGGCAGGATGAAGATTCTGGAATGTGGCTTGTATATCGACAGGATCTCAAAGACGCTTTGTTGCGGAGAGCCACTAGTGGGGATGGTGATGGGGAGGCTATCAACATATTATACGGCTGTCATATCGTGGACGTTGATCCAGAGGCTGGCATTGTTGAATTTGCAGACGGAACCTCCGTCGAAGCCGATCTGATTATCGGTAAGTAGGAAACTATGAAAGTTGAAGATGGTCAGATGAATAACCTCCTCCAGGCGCGGATGGAATTCGTTCAAAGGTCCGCGGAGCCGTCATCCCAGCTACGCACCCAGAGCCTGTCTCGTGCGGTCTTTCAATGTATCGATTCGTCATTCCAATGGATGTCGTTATGAACACCGTTGCGACCTACGGAAATGTTCCAGCTATGTACAACTACAACGACGGAACTTTTATAGCAGTTATAGCTGCTGGAGATAAAGGCAACCGCAACGTAATTATGTATCCTTGCCAGGGGTATAATCTGATGAATTGTGTCTGCGCGGTCCCGGACTCGAGCCTTAAGAGCCCAGGTAAGACTGAATACTCCTGGAATACCAAGGGGAGTGTGGAAGAGCTATTGGAGGAGATCCATGATTTCCCCGAGTGGTTGAAACAGGTCTTTAGGTGAGTGATAAGCACAATACTTCCTCGAGCTAGAATTGGCTGGGCTTACGAAAACCACTCAACCAGTCGCACCCCTCAAGTGGCGCTATTCCAAGTACGGGACCAGGAGCCTTTGCCCACGTATTTTAAGGGCCGAACCGTTTTGATCGGCGATGCTGCTCATGCCATGGTGCCTTATCAAGCCCAAGGCGTCAACCAGGCCTTTGAGGACGTGGAGGGTCTCAGCGTTCTATTTGCAAACACCTCCGACCGTAACAGCGTTCCCGACGTCTTGCAAATTTGGGATAATATCCGCCGGCCACGGGCATCGGAAATTCAGACAAATTCGCGGGCTTCTCAAGCTAAGATTGCGACAAAGAAAGCTGGTGATGCTATTCTGTCGGTCAAACCTCATGTGGGTATGAAAGAAGCTCTTAAACAGCTGGAGACGCGATAAGATATAAGGATACAGCCTGACCTCAGGGTTTTGGAATTTGCCTTATAGAATGAAACAAACATTAGGGCTATTCGAATCAAAGGTTTCTTTTTTAGAGGCGTCAAAGGTAACTATCACTTGTCCCATCTCCAGCAATAAGTAAAATGGGTTGGAAATGTCTCCAGCCCTCACACTAAGCCGAGTAAGGTAGATTTCGTGGTCCCGTATATACCCTCCCTCTCCACAGCTCTTTATTTGAGGGCCGCAACTAACAGGACATGGTGGCCGAGAAATCTGCCTCGTGCCATGGACTGAGGGATACACTAAGGAGCGCCCGTAAAGCACTTTCGTGTAAAATAACACATCTAGTCGTGTTTTAACAATGTATTGTAAGATACACCTTACAGTCTAGAAAGCGGTCTGAGCAGCGGGACCTTCGAAGGCTATCCTATCAGATCTCACCGCCATCTGAGATATTTTCCGGAATTAAGCCGAAGAGTGGTAAGGTTTAACTGATTTCGAATATCACTGTAACTAATCATGAAGTTCTACACAGTAACTAGTTATAGAGCGATCTATAACAGGGCATACTAGAGATCAAATGCATCTGACCCCTGGCCGCTAGACACCTTCGCACTCGGGTCAAAAGTCATCAAGGTATTTTAGTTCTTGTTACGGTCGCAAATCAAGAATCAAGACGAGCATGAGCCACTAAGACACTGGATCGTCGATTATGCATCCTCGGATACTGCGTATACTCGATGCACACCTTGGAAGATCTGAAATCGAGAATGCGACTATGGCATTGAACCCTAACATTGGACCCTTTGGACCCTGCTTTGGTTCACGCTGTATCTTAACGGGGGTGGGGCCCATTCGCGGGCCATTTTACTAGTAAAAATTGTGCTTCGGAGTCTTTCTGGAAATGTACAGGTTCCTGATGCCAAGGGTGCTAAAGGGTTTCATTCAACTAGTGTAATTCTCTGAAGCTGGTCCATTGGGCGATTGATTTCTCCTCTTCAAATACACGGTTACACTCATATTTACAGAAACTTTTGTTCCTCAAATTATCCTCGGCAGAACCACAGAACCACAGAACAACGATTCACGCGATTGTCTCCTCTATATCAAGCAGATGGCGGGATTGTTTCTCTGGCAGTTGATCTGCGTTTCATTTTCCCTCTTGGTTTTCTCTCAAGCGCTCAGTGATGGTGCTACGTCTCTCACCACCAACAAGATCTGCAACGATGACCCCACAAATACCTTTCATGACGGTAGCCTAGTCCAACGATTCTTTAAACCAACCTTCCACAACAGGCCACCAAACCGGCCATATCCAACTATGTCATCTAATACGAAGCCGTATTGTTTCTGCGAAAACAACAAAAATGGTCACTATCGATCTTTCGATGTTCAAGAGTGGCGAGAAGCACTGAAAGCTCTCTGCGGCTATAGCACCCTGAACCCGGATGACGGGTTCCGGAGCTACGTATCGCCCGAAGGGCTCGTGGCATGGGGCGCCTATGCGCAAGACCAGTCGGGTTGCTCCAAGAAATCGTCGTTTGATTTCACCGAATCCTGCATAAAGTGGATGAGTCAGCTTGTCGAGGCGTGTGACGGATCGGTACCTGAGGAGGGAGCTTATGGTTACGGTGGCGGGTTTGTTCAGCCGGGAGCCGATGGATGTATTGAGTACTATATCGCGAAATCATAATGAGTTTCCCTAGCTTGTCAATCTGCAAAGAACTCAGAGACTACGATGTTATCCAAGACTTGCAATGGCATATAGATTTTTTCAAGTCGTCTCAAGTAGGAAGCTTATTGTAAAATTGTCCAAACTTGCATTGAGCCCGTAACCAATTTTTTTAAAATTGCCTCAGCATTTGCTTAGGAGGATGGGGAAAACCCATACCATGGCCAACAATAGTGATATACCGGTTACTTAAAGGCCAAAACCCCCCAAATCTTGCCAATCCCATCACAGTCGTGGCTTTGCAGCCAGCCAGGATATTTGTCACAATGGTCTTTACCCTCCTGGATGAATAGTAAAATTCGGTTAGCCAAGTTTACCGTGCAATTAGCTTAGGATATTGTATGTAGGTCATTCACCACGAGTCTGGTTCTACTTCGAAATCTGACCCCAAGGACCAGTGGGAGGGCAAACGTTAAGATCGAAGCACTCGGGCTGGATAACAACGATACATTCAGTCCTGTCAAAAGTCATGCCAGGAGGACAGCTCGGGCGGCTTTCGTGAACGCAAGTGTCGCCTTCAAGAATCAAACCCGGTAGACAAATTGGCTGGGTCTTTGACGCGCAGGATGTTCCATCGAAAGCCATTCCGGGAGGACAAGCGGGTCTGTGGCTTGAGACACGTTTCTGGCCATCATATGTGGTACCGGAGGGCACCATGGCTGCTGCTCAGAGCCACATAGATTTCCACTGAAAGAGAATCCCAAGGGGCAGTCAGGTCGGTCGCTAATGACGCAGGCAGAACCATCAAAAACCAGTTTTGGAGGGCACGAAGGTGCGTTACCAGTAACGCAGTACTTGCCATTGAGTGTGGATTCTGGCGGGTAGGCCGGGTGCTGGGGGCATACACATACTGCATTGATGAGGCTGGAACCAGGTGGACATGTTCAGCGCTTCCTGCTCACACGAGTGCCACCCGCAAGAGTGGTGACTGGAGTACGTACAGGAAGGTGGGGTGCTAGAGATACATCTCTCAGTTTTCCCCGTCAAATGTGGACTCTAGAGGACAATATAGCAGATCATTGGTCACATAGACCCTGCCTTTGGATGTTGTACCTGGGGGACAGGAAGGACTCAAGTAGTTTAGCACTGTCCGTCTCTCAGGACGGTTTCAGGGGGCCATGCAGATTCCACTATCGGTGTGAAACACATTTATAGCCATGGTAGTGAGTTTCGGGGGGACATGCCTTGGGATTGGTAGGGACAAAGATGCAGGTTGGGCCCTCCCAGGTAAGACCAGTCACAGAGAATTCATATTAGTAGGCAACATCTTACTTTAAAGCTATCAATTCTGTTATCCCCTATGACTCTCATTTGTTACTAACTTCCTGAGCCGTTTGGAGCCGGGACTTCGGGAAGCTGATATGGACTGTCCAAGGACTGCCATCGTATTGTAGAGATGACACAGAGCCTATTTCATGACGATTTCATCTCCCAGCCCGAGGGAGGAGCCTGCAATGCGGGAACACAGCTCACAGTGCGCTCCGATACCTGGATACTTCGGTAGTCCTTATATAATACGGTTCAACTATAGTTCCATCCCCTCTGCTGCGATAGAAGATCAGCCATAGTACATTTATGTCATATCTGCTCAATTTGTCGAACGTTCCATCCAATCGCAACACCCTATTTGGCTCGCGCAGCTCGCGTGTGAAACACGGTAACTTGTTGCCACTTGATACTATACTTGTTGCTCTCGGTTTTCGGCATAAGCCCGGAACTTCCGGCTGTGACTCGAATTCCGCACATGGTATGGATCCCACCTAAATTGGAAGGGCCCTAAGCTTTAGGTGCCACTGTAGCTGAAACCAGCCTAGAGCTAACTGGAATAGGCTCCTTCCCCGATGAACTCCTTTCCCCGTAGGAAAGTGAGATTGCGTATCCCGAGAGATATACATCGCATCCTAGAGCCGAGTGCGAGACAGGATCAAAGAACATTTTCCCTACACCACAGTGTTGCATATCATCCCGTTAACAATACGATGGTGTCTCGTTTTATTTTACTGCATCTTTTTGCCTTTTCCATATGGCCCCAACAACTAAACCTCTTCACATCGGCTAGCATCTTGAACCCATCCGATAGTAATGCCGCCCATTACGAAACAACCACGATCTTTGAGTTTCCCAGACCAACCTGGATCGAGAACGTCGCTGTTCGTCAGAATGGCAAGCTCCTATGCACTCTCTTCGACCGACCCGAGCTGTACCAAGTTGATCCGTTCAGTCAGCCTCCCAGAGCGACTCTCATTCATGAATTTACCGCAATGAATTACACCAGTCTTTCGGGTATTGCGGAGATTTCGCATGATGTGTTCGCAGTAATAGCTGGCTGCGACAACCTTACCACGCTTAAGACAGTTCCAGGATCTTATAGCATCTGGAGAGTTGACTTTTCAAGAGCGTCCTTCAATAAGAACCACACTCCTGCTGTGTCAAAGCTAGTCGATATTCCCTATAGTGGAAACGGGATGACTCTTCTTCGTACATCTCCGCCTACAGTGCTCATAGCAGACTCTACGTCCGGAGCAATATTTAGAGTGGATCTTTCAACTGGTCATTCGGATATTGTCATCTCCGATTCCGCAACAATGACGGCGCCGACCAACTCTTCAAACCACCTAGGTATCGATGGGCTCCGGTACCATGCCAAAGACGGCCATCTCTACTACAGCACTCCTGAACGGGGCCTTTTCTGTCGTGTCCCGATTTCAGGTCTTACCGGTGAGGCTACGGGGCCGATTAGCGTGATTGCAACAGGAGTAAGTGGCGATGATTTCGCGATTGGTATTGGTGGGATAGCATATGTGACACAAAATCCTGCGAACACGGTAGTTAGAGTCAGACCCGACGGTGCAGTCAGGGTCATTGCTGGAGCACTTAACTCTACACTTGTAGCGGGAGCAACGAGTGCTATCTTTGGTAGAACTTTGTTCGACGCAGACAAGCTATATGTTGTCACAAATGGTGGACTAGCCAAACCAGTTGATGGAAATATTGTCACTGGAGGAAAGGTTGTCAGGATAGATAGACTTGGATTCGAACAATGTTCGCAGCTTCTATGATATGGTGAGCTGCCACTCTGCGCGAGCATGACCGGTTTCGAGAGTCATTCGTTAAGATTTCCTTTAGCGACGAAAGATCAAGGTGCGTTGGCATAACGCAGAGGGGAAATTCGGGGGTATTCAAGCCAAGGGACAATATGCTTGGGGTAACCTCGGTCGATGGGTCAGTCGCGTCGCCCTGGGTCGTGAGATTCGCATTCATCTCAAACCGAATAGCTTGAGACAGAGAGTTGTGGCAGCGATCGAGGAGGCGGAATAGCGTGTTGGGTCCCGTTCAGCCTCTACCTGGAGGCGCTCTGCTTGTTCTCGCGCCTGTCTCTCTTCCCCTTCACAGGACTATGGCTCTGCTCGTGCCTGTCTCTCTTCATCAAGCTGACGTTGTAGCTCAGCCATTGTTTCTTCCATCGCTTTTTGAAATCAGTATTCAGCAGATAATCGGAAGTCCTTCTGATATAGAAAGAATCGGCTTACTTCTGTCATTCTTCGTCTGTTCTGTGGAACAAATTCTGTATGCTTCAAGTTTTGGGGACTGGACAACACGCAGTTACCCGCCAGCGGACCCCGTGGAAAACAAGGAGACGTACCTAATAAATTGCGGTCGAAAAGCGTATTTGAACGAAGCTCATCTGGCAAATCAGCCTATCTCCTCAGCTCTCCCACGATCCGTCAACCTCAAAGAACGCGACCTAAGTAGCGTCTTATCATATGCCTCACAATTTCCTTAATGAGTGAAATATCTCGTTGCGCCGTTGACTACACTTCATTAAAGTTTAAAAGCCACAATCAGGTATCTTAGGTACAACACATTGTATGCCTCCTCTTTTGACATGCCGAGTTTAAAGCTCTGCTTCGCCGAACCGGTTGTGTTCAGAACTGGTAATGTTCTAGTGGGCTTGCCTTTGCGGTAATGTGCTCTCCGCTAGAGTATTTATTATCTGTAAGGTTGAGTGACGTCATTGCCCTGGCTCAATACAAAACGTACGCTGGTATTCCAATGTGTTTTGGAGATGGGCTCGGCACAAAAGTGACGCTCGAATTAGCTTTGATCCGAATATGCATCATCTAGAAGCACTCAATCCCTTTCAATTGCTTCCTCGCGCTATAACTTCCATATAGAGACAAGGAAAGCTATTTTTAATGTTGATAGCCCATTCCACTATTCATTGCGCGCGCGACACCCATACGCTCCTTAGATCGTATCCGGCCCCAGGATTCATAGTATGTTTACTAGGCACGCTCTATCCCGCTTCGATCGATCAGAATCATCGTTCCCAGAGTACCTACGACTCCCAGGAGTGGATAATGTAGCTCCGAGGAACGAGGAGTGGGTTTGTGAGGGTCTCGCGTATACAAAGAAGTGCATTGTATCTCGAAACGAACAATCTGAATCAAAAATAGCTATACATGTAGGTGACTCTAGATACAAGACGCAGCGTGATGAAGTAAAAGAGAGAAGCTTGCTCGCGTTCAGGGGAACCTATATGTACCATGTGGGTCCCGCGTAGATCATATCTCCATCCATCGCGCTGGCACTGAAAAGATGTGAGTAGTCCAGGAATCACACAGCCTTGATATAATGTTATAACTAAACAGGGGCAACTTATAGTATTCAAAAAAGATTGCTACGTAAAAATGTATATCTCAAATAGGAAAGGTCGCAAAATTATATAAAATCGAGGTCCTATAAGGTTTTTCTGACGAACGGTTGAGGTTCCCGAAGCCCAGTCCTCGCAAACCTCATGCCGCGGTCTCGTTAGGATCGGTGTTACCTGACCTGACCCTATTTGACAGGACTGCCAACTAGATAGTCTCCTCGCCCTCTTCTTCTTTCCCCCTTCTTTAGCAGTAGTTCGCACTTTCAATACCAAATACAGTTGTATTGTTCTCCCTTCTCCTGGCTTCATATCAAAGTACTTGTGTTTTGGCGTGTAGCCAGTCTCCTCAAAGAACGGCAAATCAATGTATGCCTCCACGTCACACATCAGTCCCCGATACCTGATTCCAGTACCAGGTCCAGCCAAACCCGCCGGCCGATCCACGAGAATCATTTCCTCGGCTCGGAAGCCAGCATCAACCAGGGGGACGGCGTACGAGACCTGATAACCTCCACCGATAATCATAACTTAAACGCCCCGCTATATTTCAAAGGTGAACCCTTGGTAACGACATAATCGTAGTTGACCCAATGGTCGCGCCCCAAATTGTCCCCGATAAAAGGGTCTCGGAAGTCCATGTTACTGATCCATTCCCTCAAGCCGAAGCCGCTTTTGGCGCTCTTCCTCATCCTTCTTCAGAAAGTCGAACTTAGACATGATAGTGAAAAACGAAGGAGATGAAGTTAAGGGCTATCAAAATAGGCTGGTATGTTTAGCGGAGGAGACTGTGTTACCTTCTGTAGGAGAATTTTGTTGAAAATGATCCTGTCTCCCTTTGTATGTGTCTATGCGTGATAGTCCATGGAAGCTATGTAAGTGGATCTCAATATGCCATGAAGAGATGCATGAAAATGCTTGCGATGACACTAAACCCTAAATCCTCAAACATCGAGACCCCCAGAAGCTCCGAGAGCAAGCGTAGCCTGTCAAATCCTCTTACACCACACTCCAATCTCCGTTCAACTTCAAGTCTGGAACCACGATACCAAGCTTTTCCTTCTCAACTTCAGCTTTCAATGTCCAGTCATGATATTGGTGCCCCACCGGCAGGTTCGTGCTCTGGAAGGGGGTGCCAGACTCCAGATGCGCGCGCGCCTTATCAAAATTTTCTGCTGCATAGGTTTCGGAATTGTGAGTCCATATCCATATCCATTTACCTTGACGCAAAAGATCCTGAGGATCCTTCGTAAGCTCATTGGTAGGTTTGTGAAGTTCACGGCGGTTAGTGAAACCTGTGCGCTGGACGAGTGTAACTCGCTGGTATCTGGATTTATTACTTGTTAGTGTGGAGGTCAATTCCATGGTGTCATGGTGTTTGCCATATGCGCGGCGATTTGAAGAGGTTATACACAATGTACTTACCTCAGTAGCCCGTGTATTTTAGCTGCCATTGCAGCACCTTTATTACCGCCTCGGCGGAGGCACTCAGCTAATGAAGCGCCATCCTCCAGAGCCATGCAGGCTCCATTTGCCGACGTTGGGACAAAGCTATATGCGCTATCGCCAACTTGGATGATGTGCCCACCTGCCGATGTCCATTTACGCTGGGGATTCCGCATGGACAACTTCCAGCGTACAATAAAAATGGGGGGGCGCCTTGGATAGTATTAGTGAGTAGAGTGTCCCAGGATTCCACATCGGGAACACCAGCCAGGACACGCTCGCTCGGTACAGTTGATGACCAAGACTCTACAGCGGAGCCTGCGTCTTCCTGGAATGAAAATTTGTTAGCGCTTGGAGGGCCCATGACCGTCGAGTTGGAGCACATACCTCTTCCCGTGTCACAATCAATGAAGTTACTGTCTTTGAGAGAACAAGAACAACGTGGAGGTTGTGTCCGTTATAGATCCGCAATTCGGGTCGCTTCTGCTCCTCCAAGACCTTTTGGAGAGAGGGGATCTGTTCGACGCTCTCCGCAGGAATAGTCATGCGATAGCACGTGTAACCTGTGCTCAATGCCCGGACAGGTCCATCCAAGACAGCGGTATGCGATTTGGATCCGATACCATCTGCAGCTACCACGATATCGGCTTGGAAGCGGTGGCCATCTTAGCTATTCCAACACCAGACACAACATCCTCCTCGTAGGCAACAACACTGACATCCCAGGTGATAGGGATTCTGAGTCTTTCGCATTGTATGTACAACATCCAGGCAAGATGAGCACGAGCGAAAACGGTGCGAACCTTCAAAGGATACGCTACATGCTGAGCGGCTCCTGGTCTGTTGTACTCGAACTCAAACGGCTTCGCAGCTGGCTCACCGTTGAGGTGGAAATACGCGGTTTGAGCGTCAACTGAAATTCTGCTCCACTCTTCGAGCATACTTGGGTACTTTTGCAAATTAGCCCAAGCCGAGGGCCCGATGGCCACAATATCACCTATGAATAAGTCAATAATGCCAAATTACACCAATCCAGCTTTCAGTGGTAACATACCGGCTGTTGAAAGGGCTGACTCCTTCTCGATAATTTGGACTTCATGCCCCTTTCTCCAGCACTCGATAGCAGGCATCATTCCCCCCAAGCCTGCACCGACAATGATAATATCCAAACCGGTGCTTGGATAGCGTAAGATTCCATCGACGATCACATTTTCCTTGATATCCATATTGCTTGATTTGTCGGCGAGATTCATTTCTGAGGTCGAGAATGTGAGCGTATTGAATAAGAAGCGTATTCAATAAGAGATATCAATCCCTCCTTCAGGGGATGTGACTCATATTTATAATGATTCTTTGCTATACGAGGTCACCTTTTCGTTTGCATACATGGAAGGTGGCCACGAACGGAGCGAAACAGTTCTTTGTGAATAATTCTCTGTTGTCGACACGGAATCTCGGATATCGCAACTCGGATATACAATATATCAGTTTCAATTAGTTACATACTAACTAACTTATTAATTTCCCTTAGGTCAACGTGTTTCACCAGCGAGCTGGACACCCCAAAACATCATAGTAGATGCGATAAATCACAAGTTGATATTTCAACAACACTAGTCTATAGAGACTTGCCCTCGTAGATTCCTGTGTCCTGTGTGATGCCTAGCCTTTTGATGGAGGTTAGAGAAAGTTCAATACTTTATGATCGTGAAGTGTATATTTCTAGTCCTTAGTGCTGTACTTTTCGGTAATTTTTGAAATGATGATAGTATAACCTCCTACTTCGTTTAAAATTGATGTATAGCACTAATGAGGGTTATCAATAACTATCGACAAATAAAGAAATAACATAAAAACTTGGTTGTTGAAATACAAAAGATGGATATATCGTATTTACTATGGTGTTCTGGGGTGTCCAGCTCGCTGGTGAAATACGTTAGTTAACTAGGTACATAAGATTACGATAGATCGGCATGAGACAAACTCTGAGATATGCCATTATCCTGACCAGTCAACTGTCGATGACTTGGCAAGTTCACATAAGTGGGTGTTCCTATCCCCAATCGGACCAGCACAGCGGATATGCGGTGTTATGATATAAAGTTGATGCAGTATGAAGGGCCGAAGCTGAACTTGAATCAAGTAAACTAAGCCAACATGCCGTGTATACCGAGCTTCCAAGCAGAGAAGTTCCGTGATTATGCAGCGGGGTCACGTAACTAGCACTTAATATTACGGGCCACGGCCCGCTAGCCGTCATACCGCCCCTACTTTGAGGAATATCGTGGTCTTTTCGCGTTTTATGGTTGATGACTCCCCTTTGAGAATACCAATTATATTTACTGAACCCTTTCCCTTTAGCGGACCTGAGTTTTATTAGAGTCCACAGTATCTTTGTTTGTCTATTTGGGCTTCTCTCCCTCAAAGTACCGATAAAGATTATGAACTATATTAGAGTTAACTAAGCTTTATATCGAATTACTAAGTTGAATACATGGTGGAGATAGGGTAATCGGGTCGTCGAACGCGGCCACCAGGCGGTGTCCGGGTTCCCGGGCGTAACCTTAACCAGACCGTAAACTCAATTTTATCAATTCACACACCTAATTCATTGAATGCAGATAGCTTCACCTTCTATATCAATACAATAAATATCATAAATCCATTTCTGAGGCCTTTCGTCATTATGATCTGACCTCATTACCCCTTTATCATCAATTTCTCCGTCTTTAATTGCTGTCAGGACCTAAGTGCTGCAAACATTTAAATTAACCGATATCTTAAGGCGACAAAAAATGCATATATTGTAGTTTCTCTTCACCAAAGGAGAGATACTAGATCCATGGAGTGTGTGCTGTATTTGATATAACTATACAGTGCAACACTCCCCGGGGGGCCCTCTATCATTATTCTGAGATAAATTGGTAGCTTATTCTTTTATGATCTGCAACTCCAGCAGCTTGAAAATCATGTTTCTCAGCTTAATGTCAGATCTATTTAACACAGTGAATTGAATTGAATAAAAATGTACCTCGGCAGGGGCTTGACTACATAAATGTCGGACCTGTCGGGGCCCGACCCCCGATCCCCGAGCCCCGATTAACGCCGACCCAAGCGAGATTCCGAGCGAACGACGCACCTCCAAGGATGTACTGCATGTGTGCATGGAATGTCGATTTAGCGCCCTACCTAGGTAGCTCCTGGACATTACAAACATCAGTGCTTTAATATGCCAAATTCTCAATCTTCCACTACGGCATGTGGAGAATGCCGTAAACAAAAGGTAAGCATATAAGGTCGACTCTGGATTTAGCCCGACCAGGCAATTTTTGAATCCAAACTCATGTAACCCATAGCTCAAATGCTCTCGAGACCTACCAGTATGCAAACGATGTACTAAGCATAACATTGATTGCCATTTTCCTTCCCCACCTGATCGCAAGGCCATAGCAAAATCTCGCGCGCCTTGGGGAGCAAAGAAACAGTGTTTTAAGAGTGTCGAGACCTCTCCATCACTACGTTTGATGAGCCCTACGATCGTGAGTAAACCGTTAGTCGATAGATCTTGCATATTCTGACATTTCAACGTGGAAGTTGTCTCATTTTAATGATGCAGATCCTATGTCTCTTCCTTCCATTCCTCTAGGCCTGCACCTTTTGGAAACGTTGTTTTCGCACTATATATCTGCGACTGTTATCTTCAACAAAAGCAAGGTGATCAATGAGTATCTTGAATCCAAGCTGCCTGAACATGCCACTCAAGCGATGTTTGCGCTGGCATCAATGTGAGTGTCACTTCTAGAGTGAAACACCAACCGCTAACTCCCCCATCCAAGCTTTCTAGAAGAGACTACACAGATCAGGAGTCATGAAGCTAGGTCTGAAACAGCTCAAGTCTTGACCAGTCAAGCCAAAGATTGGGCTAGACTCGCTAGTCAACATTGCTTACTTGAAGCCCATCGACCTTCTCTGGAAATCATCCAAAGCAACGAGATTCTATCTACATATTGGTTTGCCAAAGGAGATGTGCAGAGAGCCAAGTTGCATTCCCGTAAGAAGACCTGCTCGAAATTGGCGGTATCAATCGCTGACGACGATCACACCAGATGCCGCTTACCTTGCAGCAAGGGGCCTCGGATACCAATCACTGAAACCAGAAAGGCGTGGCTCGGAAAGCGTATCAAGCTCATTGGTTAGATTGCTTGGTTCACGGTGCTTCTGGAATTGCTGGGTGATTACGTTCATCATCCTTGGCGATGATCTTTTTACAGTATTCCCCAGTGACTTTGCTCTCGCAGCCCCCAATATGTCATTGGATACGCAGATTAATGGTTATGGCATTGCAAAACGGGCAGAGAGTCATGAACATGGGAAGTTCTTGGATTCCCTACAGCTTCTCCATATATAGTGAGCATTCTTTGCCATTTCTGCACAATCAAAGCTAATGAAGTCACAGCCACGACATTCAGATCTTGCAAGGGAATGGATTGCACCCAGAGCTTGACCAACTTGTCGGACTGCAACGACGGTTGAAGTTCTTTTGGGATGATTTCCCTGAATTTCGCTACAGCGGATCCTATCAGGAGCTCTCTCAGCCTGATATGATCCAAGATTTCTTCATTCAATCCATATATAACCTCTCTATGATGTCGTTGCATTCATTCTTTATTCCTTTGTTTACAGGGAAGTCCACCCACGCAAGTCTCTCCGCTAAGCTTCTTCATAATTGCACAAAGACAACCATTCATCATGCCGATACTTTCGTTGATATGATTCATGCAGCAATTTCTGCCTGTCAAAAAACGTTACATCTTCCGCCTTTCACTGGATATTGCAGCTTTGTTGTTGCTTCGATATATGCTAGTCTTTTGAATATTCAAGATGCCAGTATATCCAAGCATGCTAGGAGTCAGTTGATCTCATGCCTTGTCATTCTGGATGACTTGCAAAAACACTGGATACCACTAAAAAGACTTGTAAGTTTGAGCTATAATCAACCTATTTTGACTCTGGCTGACCTGAATGCTCGTTTAGTGGGAGAGGATCTCTCAATCGGTGAAAGATGAGATTACCGCCTACGACATCACTGAAAGGCGCCGTGCTCTATACAACCGATGTCATGAGGGCATGGTGACCCTAGATGCCAGCACTGATATCAGTATATCTGATATCATGCAACCCTCCCATGCCGTTCACGGACTGTATCAATTCCCATACATATCACATCAAGCAGGCACAGAGTGTGAGGTGACTATGCAGACCCATGGTGACATTTTCAAAGAAGAGGCACCTCTGGAATCACAAGAGAGAGGAGCTTTATTGGATGACTCGGGCTGGATCGAAAAAAAATCTCAAATGTTCATGGATAATGATAGGGCAATTTTGTTTGAAAATAACTGGGATGAAGGAATGCTCACCATTGATCCAAATTTGGTGTCTATAGGCTCGAACGTCTAGTCAAAAATCAACTTGAATCAAGATTAGTGAACATATATAATAGAATTGAGGTATTAAGCGCAACACGCAGCGGACTTTGCAACAAAGCCAGAGATCGAATTTACAGCTGGAAGCTGATGCATGAATTCAAAAAAAATTACAAAAAAAGATACGGTAGGATAATGAAGTCCGTGCTAATATGTGAGCGATCGTCGAGACTCGGGGCGATAGATTCGGTCCGATAGATGGCGGACTTTTATTAAAACACCAACACTCTCCAATGGACGCAAGATGCTGAATCAGTACAAACTATTTTCATACCTAATCCACCAGGCTCATTTTTTTGCAGTTACTGAATTTATTTATTATTCGTCAGAATGCCGAACCATATCCGTGACATCAGGACCGTTGACAGCGAGTCCTATCCATACATTTTCGAACAGAATGTTTCCATTCATCTGAAAGACAGTGGAATTGTTCGTTGCAATGTATACAGGCCCAAAGGTTCAGACCCGCAAGCCCGTTATCCAGTGCTGGTTACATACGGACCCTACGGCAAAGATGTCCCGTATCAAAGGTGCGGCGCCCATAGCTACGGACGTAGACATGTTTCTACTTTTCCAAACTGACGAATTCAAGATTCCAACCACAAAGCTTCAACGAGTTGAATCCGACTCATCAAACCGCCCACTCCTCCTGGGAAACCCCAACACCCAAATATTGGACCGAACACGGATACGTCGTGGTGCGAGCCGACGAAGAGGGAACTGGCCAGTCACCTGGAATGCTCAACCCGTCGTCTGCAAGGACAATTGATGCATTTTGTGAGGTGATTGAATGGTGCTCAGAGCAGAGCTGGTCGACCGGCAAAGTCGGCTTATTGGGCATCAGCTACTTTGCCGCTACTCAGTGGAGAGCGGCAGCGCGAAACCCCAAAGGGCTGGCCGCCGCCGTGCCATGGGAAGGGTTCTCAGACATCTACAGAGATTCTCAAAGACATGGCGGCATTCTCTCCAGTGGCTTCCCTCGCGTGTGGTGGCCTTTTCAAGTAGCCTCCAATCAATATGGCTTACCAGGCCGTGCTGCCAGAAACTGGGGTCCTGATACCATCGAGGGTGATCTGCCAGAGGAGGAACTGTTAGAAAATACTGTCGATATACTCTCCCGGGGCCGCCTCAACCGCTACCGAGATGATTTAGCTGCGAAGGAATCCGAGTTCAATCTGGAAGACATTACAGTTCCAATCCTGAGTGTTGCCAACTGGGGTGGCATCTTGCTTCACCTCCGAGGAAACGTGGAGGGATACACCTGGGCAAGCTCTGAGTTCAAGTATCTCCGCTTCATCTCTGGTCGTCACGACTTACCTTTCTACTATGAAGAAGAGGTGGAGATCCAGCGAAGCTTTCTGGATGCATTTTTGAAGGACGACGATCGACGCGGCTGGTCAAAGAAGGGCGTTCTGCCTCCTGTAGACATGGTTGTTCGTAAAGGCGACATCGGATTCAACAACCCCACAACAGAGAAAGCATTGTCCAGAAGATATGAGATGGGATGGCCAATTGCTAGGACAGTATACACGAAGCTGTTCCTCGCCCCTAACGGGGAAATGCTGTTCAATCAGCCAAATATCTCGATTGCAAGCAAGCAGAGCTACGAAGCACCCGGCACCGGGCGTCCCTCTGACATGCTCACATTCAAAACGCGACCATTCGAGAAAGAAACTGAGATTACCGGGCATATTGTTGCCCGGTTGAATGTTTCAGCCAGCCAAAGAGACGGATCGATTCCTTCCGACCTTGATTTGTTTGTCAGTCTTCGACACATCTCATCCAAAGGCACCGAGATACTTTATACGGGCACAACCGGCGAAGGCGCACCGGTGACAAAAGGGTTCCTCAGAGTCAGTATGAGAAAAACCAATCCAAACCACCCTAGGCATCGCTCATGGCTTCCATACCGTGAATACCTCTCGACCGATGTTCTACCGGTATTTGCCAATGAGGTGTACACTGTCGATGTCGAACTGTGGCCTACTAACGTGGTCGTTGATGCTGGCAATCGCTTGGCTTTGGAAATTAGCTCAGGAGATACGGCGGGTACTGGACTGTTCACCCATGATGATCCGGTTGACAGGTAAGCCCCAACAGAGAACCAGGCACGCTCTCACAACTAACCGGGAAATCAATCGCAGGGCGCAAGATGTTTTTAAAGGCGAGAATAATATTCACTTCAGCCCATCTCACGTCAACTATATGACAATCCCCGTGATCCCAGGAGTTAGGGGTTTCTGAATCGAGGTTGGAAGACTGCCTGGTTAGATGAAGACCCCATCACGAGAAATTCAATAGCCTTACGGGGTTCGGTCGGTGTAGAAAGAGTAATTAGGAGAATAGCACTTTGCTTTTTTGTTCAGATGGATTTATTGATCAAGAAAATCACAGAAAATATAACATGATCCTCATGCGCAAGTTAGGGTATCAAATAGGAAAGGCACAATGAGTGGTAAAGCAATTGACGGGGTGAAATAGCGCGTACATGGTGTTGATATCATGACTCAAAAAAGGCTTAGACAAACGGTATGTCCGCGATAGTTTGAGAAGTGCAATGGAACATCCCGAACTGTTAGAAGACCTCACGAGGGAACACCTTCGTATTCCCATCCGCCAATGGCACGCTTTCTACGTCGAGAGTTTCGGCGATTGGCATTGCACTTGACAAAGAAAGTCAAAGCCGCTATAACGAGAATGATGATACCAGCGACCGCAGCAACGAGCACAGTTTTGCGCTCAATTTGCTGCGGGTCAGATGCATAGGGACAAGCAGCCCCATAACCAGCCGAAACCCAGCATGAAGTCACATCAATCGAGTTGAAGTTCACATATACTTCTCGAAGCTGCGCATTTGAAGAAGAAGGGTCAATCTTCGTGTTTGGCAACGAAAGAAGGTGTTCATAGAGATATTTGTTTTCCAGACCGGTGCGCGGGACAGCGAAGCTCGATCCTTCTGGACAGGTTTCTGAAACATTGGGGAAATGTGCAGGTGAATCTGACAGGAGCCATGAGAAAGGGGAATTTCCAATTCGACAAGCGGCGCGCCGTTCCTCTGTACAGTTTGTTGACCGCCAACGGCCGTCAAGCGATACATCCATGATTGCACAACGATCATACTTAGGATCCCCATCGCCACCCGCATAGTTCGCGTCGTGTGGTTCGCCAATCGCCCAGGCCCAAGAAGCTGACAGGGAGACATTGCGGTAGTGTTCAAGTTCGGTGTCGGCAGTTGACCCGAATAGGGTAGTGTTAAGCATTGGCGAAAGACCGCACGCTGTCATATCGGAGATGATCTCGGATGTTGAAGCCATAGTATCATCGGTGGAAAGACCGCCAGGAACTGAAATACCACTGGATATTGCCCAAGATGAGTTGGCCTGGGCTACATCTGTGGCACCAGATTTATAGCGACAGCTTGATGCAAGCGTGCCATTGGCGGCTGTAAAAATATTCGTACCAGCTGTCAGATAGCCAGGGGGAAAGATCATAGTTGAATCTGCAGTCAGGTCATAATCCACCAGTTGAGTATCAATAGTGCCGTACTCTATGAGTACTCGATCCCGTTTCGCCAGCTGAATGTATTTTGATGATGGCCATCCATCCGGGGTGCTCTGTTGACCCGCTTCGTCTTCATGAACTGTGAAATACTCTGTAATGGGCATATAGCTCTGATCGACCCGGTACCAAGAATCATTGAGATTGCTTCGGTCGGTGGCCAGTTGGGCAGGGCTATAGATAAAGTCGGCGAGAGCTGTCCCGAGTAACGAACCCGCTAGCTCTGATCCCGAGGGCAATTCCTCTCCGGTGATGGTAGAAGCGGGTTCATCTGGTGTTGAATCACTTGCGGCAACGTGAAGATTGAGAACGAGGTATGACGTATACACAGTCAACTGGGAGTTGGTGTCTTGGAAATAGCCAACAAGCACCTCAGCCAAGGTGTATGGATCTAGATTGTTGGTGCATCTATATTGCCCCAGCTCATAGAGTATATCTCCATTCGAATCTTCATATCCTGTGACAGTTGCTGGGTCCGCACTCGTTGCCGTGGTTGTAGTCTCGGCAGTGGTGACCGTCGAGGTCTCCGAAGTCTTGCTCACAGTAGACGTCTCGGAGGAGACAGTTACATCGGATTGGGCCGGAACAGACACCGGACAGAAAGACCAGCTTCTGCGGGTGACCGACCAGTACAGATCGACAACGAGCCGTCGATACCCGATTGCTAGAAGGTTGGAGAAACATTGGGCGGCGTCCTCCTGATCATATACGAGATTTCCGAAGCAAGCGGCGGATAGTGAGACAGTGGGGTTTGTCACGAAATTAAGTGGAATTTGTCCGGCCACATCGCGCTCGCTCTGGACGGTAATGCATGAGCGCAGGCACCGGCGCGCGGACTGGAACTGGAGCACGTACCAATAAGACAGCTACCCAAGTAGCATCTACCAGAGTAGCCGAAGAATCATACTGGACAGGCATTGAGTATGAGGAACATTAAATCAACATTCAAAACCATAGTTGCGCATAAAGATGCAATAGTTGTACAATCTGCGAATGTCAAGGAAGTTCTTAGTTCGCGAAGTCGGTAGGGCGGAGCGCAAATCAGCCGAGTCAATCTGGCCACTTCTCTTTCTTTCTTTCACAACTACACCTCCCAACGTTATTCTTTTCTTCTTTTCTGCTTCATTCAATTTAAATAATTTACCTTCAATATGGCCATGCCAGGCCCCAACCCCCAGCAGATGGCGGCCATGCAACAGCAGTTCGCCGCTGAAGCCGCTAAACGAGGGATGACACCCCAGCAGTTCGCTGAAAAGCAACGTGAACAGCTGGCTACCGATGCTGCGAAGCTTGGTCTGACTACTGAAGAATATGTCCAGCAGCTCCGGATGCGGGCAATGCAAGCCCACCAGCAGCAACAGCAGCAGCAGCAACAACAAGCTCAGGCACAACAGGGTCAACCCGCAGCGGAAGGACAACAACAACAGACTCAGGCGCCCGCGCCCCAACAGCACCAGCACCAGCACCAAACCACACAGCAGGTCCCTGTGAACCCGAACAACCCTCCCGACCCGAAGGCGATTGCCGTGGCCAACTGGCTGCGGTCGCAGAACCTCAAACCACGCACATGTATCATGGATGGACAGCGCAAGGACATGTTTAAGGGTGAGACATTGTCAGAGCCCCAATATTTTGAGAGCAGAGAAACTAACATAGCAAAAAAAGTCAAGCGAGCCATCCGAGCTATTGAATCCCCCGCCTATGCCAAAGCCGCCGCAAAGAAAAACTCCCTCCTTCCTCCTGTGACCGACCGCGCCTCTGCCGAGAATGTATTCAAGCTCTTGCCGCTTTCCCTCTTGGCTCTCCGAGTCAGCAAGGTCGACCCGCACGCTGGCCATGACCACGCCAAACCCAAGAACCGTACCAAGGGACTGTGGACCGTGAAGATTGAGCAGCACCAGGAGACTGATCCTATGATGCATTATGTTTGGCTGTACGATGGCCCACAATGGAAGCAGAAGGCCATGGCCGCTGCTGTTGTTGCGGGTATCTTTGCTGTTGTTCTATTCCCTCTGTGGCCTATGATGCTGCGCCAGGGAGTATGGTATCTGAGTGTTGGTATGATGGGACTGCTCGGTCTCTTCTTCGCCATGGCTATCTTCCGTTTGATTCTGTTCTGCATTACGGTCTTTACTGTCGCGCCGGGTCTCTGGCTGTTCCCCAACCTGTTTGAGGATGTTGGATTCTTCGACAGCTTCAAGCCTCTATGGGGCTGGCAAGAGGTATGATTTTTCCATATGGACCGTATGCCACTACACTGAAACTAATGATTCCCGCAGACAAAGAAGAGCAAAAAGTCCAGCAAATCCAAGGCCAAGGTTGGGTCTGCCTCTGCAGTCACCGAAGCTGCTCCCTCAGTACCAGCACAGTCTCCCACTACGTCCTCTGCAACCAAGACCCCTGCAGTCTCAACCTCCGCCGAGCCCGCTGATTCTGCATCCTTGGCGAGGCGAAATATGAAAGCTCAGGTGGAGGAAGTCGAGGAGTAATGTTTCTTTGTTTCGAGCGATGTTCAAAGCTGAAGACCTAGATTGGTCTGTCGCGGGTGCTTACTTCAAAATCATCTTCATGAGAATCTTATTTCCATATTTCCATGGTGTTCAGGTCTTATTTCTTTGTCTATGAAATAAGGTCATATCAAAAGGCAGAATAATTTGGCTCTGAATTATTAATAGCTTCTTTGTGCATGTTGTATACTAGGTGGTGAGCGTAGGCTTCTTATGCCATCTGATAGGAGACTCGAACAAAACAAAATTTGCAGGGTTTTGAATGCAGAGAAGGCAATCCGGTAATATCTGTACCTTATGTTGTACAAGCTAAGCACAATTAATGCAGACCATGTACGGAACCCTGTACAAAAAGATCAGAGAAATGAAAGAAAGCAAGCAGTAAGCCAAAAGAAACCCGAATTCCACGAGACATGCACATTCAACCAAACAAAATATAAAACGGGGTATATATACAATAACAAATAATGCCAACAAATGCGAACTGAAAGTAAGAGTAGATATAGACAAAATAAGACAGTTTAGAACGGTATACAGGAGACGGATATGACTGATATGTATGCAATGGATGCAAAGGTGTATTTGAGACATGCACATATGCCGAAGAAAATAATAGCAAGAAGGAAACGTGAGTATAGCGAATGTATCTCAGGGTATTGTCGTGAGAGATATCGTAGCAAAGGAGAAAGAGAGGGTATTGATAGCGAAGGGAAGATCGTGGCCATAAATGCCTAGTGACTAGAGCGGGGTCCTTTGACCAGTTTCGAGTGCCGAGCTGTGTTCTTTGAAGGCAGGGACTGTGGGAGGGGCGCGTTGCCGCTTCTGCGTCGGTCTTCGACGTGATCGCGCACTGTCTGGGATCCGTAGAATCGTGATGTGGGAGAGGTCGCGGACCAGGGCCCAAGGGCCTGGGCCTGTGGCGTGGTGGGCGTGGCGGTGGTAGGGGTATCAGGAGCAGAAATGGAGAGAGAAACAGGGGGAGCGGCGGTGGGATTTCCTGAATTGGCGAGCGGGGGAAGTTTGGGAAGAGGGCAGTTGGGAGGCGGTGCAGATGGAGGACCGATCGCAATACCCAGTCCTGGCATGCTCTTGCGACGCACCATGCTTGGGGAAGCCTGATTATCGGGGTCAACTGTTGAGACTCGGCTGCGCGCAGGTTCTGCTGGACAAGAGGCCGCTTCAACCTCTGTCTCGCTGATAGTCTGAGAACCCACACCAGGGCGGCCAAGCAGACTCAAAGGACGAGAATGAGGATCAGGTAGAGGTTTTGACGGTGGGGCCGTCCTAGGCTCACGGGAGAAACGGTTGGGGCTTTGCGAAGGCCGCACAGCCTTGGCCAGGGCATATTCGGAATTCGAGGGACGCAAGATGCGCCTGGGCTCGGAATTCTCGATATAGCGCGAGCTGGCTACACTGAATGTCGGAGACTGCTGTGGAGAGGCGAATGTTGACAGACTTGGGTCGTTCGAGCCCCGCCGTACAAAGGCATGCGATGAAGTCGGGGGAGAGGCATGGACAGGGATTGGCCCGCCCCGTGGGACAAATTTCTTGCTGAATGAGGGAACACTGAAATTTGGGGCTGGGGGTGAAGCACACCGGACTAGTTCTTCGGGCACGGTGAGGGGATAGTTGGACTGTGGTTCCTCAGTGAAGTCGGTGATGGGCGGAGGCTGTGCAGGCTGAGATATAAAAGTGGATTGACGCCTCCCTTGGCTAGCAGGGGGTGGACTACGGGCGAAGAATCGATCAAGCTCTTCCGGCAGAGGCTCATCGGATCTGAAAGTGCCATTGGCCACCGGTGGGGAATTGGGTATATTTGAAGAAGTGAAAGACGAAGAGCGCACGTCGGACGCGAAAGAGGCGGAACCGTTGGTAGGGTTTGTGGCCTCTGTACGACCAGTTGAGACCGATCCTGATCGCGATTCAATAACCGAGCGACGTCCGGCGGATACATATGAGCTGCGTCGAGATTGCCATGTTGCCCCACCGACAGACTGACCGTCGTCCTCCTCGGTAGGGGATTGGAGAGTCTGCGGCTGAAGGAACAAGCTGGAAATACGATGGGGATCTTTCTTCACCATCTGACGAATACTGGTTTTGGATCGCAATTGAGGCATCGTATCCTCATCCAAGTGTTTTTCCTGCGTGAGTTTGGGTCCACCCCGTCTCTCGATCTCAGCTCGAACCGCGACCAACCAACTGATCATAGCTTCCGGGTTATCAAAGACCATAAGGAAGCTGCGCGAGAAACGGCGGTGGTTGGACTTGTGGAAGCCAAATCGCGAGAAACGAGGCTTGGGTGGCTCGGGGACGGTGGAATCAACGTCGGCTGTGGGATTATGAGACACTTGAAGCACCCAGTGTTTCCCGGGGATGGCATCGCTAGCGAACGCGACGGAGTGAGGACCCAAAAGAAGCATCCGCTCTGGGAGACGATCATGTTTTCCTTCGCCTGCATACTGAAGAATATAACCAACATTTGCCAACACATATATCTTCTGCGTCCATTCCACCTTGTTGATGGTACCAGATAATGTCCGGAGATGCTTTCTCTGCTTTTGTTCGCGCTTCTTGCGAGCGGCATCGGCAGCCTCATCGAGCTCTAGCGCATTGACAGGAGTATCCTCGGCCGAGGTTCTCGCGGATGTCGCATGCAAGCGCAAGATGGAGTCCGCAGAGAGAGCCGGTGCGGCCAGGCAATCATGCTTGGTGGATTGGGGGTATGCTTGGAACAATGGAGGCGGTTTCCAGCCATATTTGTCCTGGGTAGGTATTGAGGGATCTGGGGGTTTTGAACGGGCAGTTTTCAAAGTCGCTCGAGATCGCGGGTCGGTGGGGGAGGTAATAGTCGGATTTGAGTCTATAGTTCGCGGGCTCAAGAGGGAGGGCGACATGGGTGTTTCGGTGAAAATAGCGGTTTGGGGCTCGGGCAATTGCGCCTCATCAATTTCGTTTAATTTGGGGTTTGGTGCGACACGCGACTTGTCACGACCAAAAAGATTGCGCAAACTGGATTTTGAAGACTGGCGCTTCACTGTACTTTCGACTGGGCTTCGCAGCGGAACCGGACCTTCTGTACCATTGGTACCGGGATATTCTGTCGGCCGAGGTCGCTGTAAACGAGATTTTGCTGCTGGTCGGCTAAAATTCGTTTGAAGCGGCGCAAGCTTGTGCCCTCTACGCTCGCCAAAGGACTGGGCTTCGTTCATTTTGTATAATCTGTAGAGAAGGGAAAAAAGGAGCCAGTAGGTTTAAAGATCATCGGAATGACGAACGTGGACGAGCCTGCAGGACCGTTGGATCCCACGTCATGGCAGGTCGCACGAGGTGAATAGCCGAAATGTAGCAGAAGAATGACCCTTTCGGGGAGTTGAATGTATTTTGAGAAAAACTGGAGGAAAGAAAAGGAAAGAAAAGAAAAAAGAAGCACAGAATTTCAAGGGGAACAATTCACATCCAGGCTAGTTCCCAACGGTGGGGGGGATCTACTACAGACTTGGGGATGAGGAAATTAACCAACATATTATTAGTTAGCCTTAGGTCTAGATGCCTAAATTGCCTAGCATTTTTTCACTTTCTTTGGAAAATTAAAATTAAAAAGAATACGATGTGATAGATATGTCAAATATCCCTATACCTCTGACAGGAATTAGCATCTACATATAGTAAACAAATATTGTACATAAAAATACAAAACAAGAAAATGAAACCAGCAACTTCGCTACACTCAAAATCCAGATCTCGAGATGCATCGAACCTCTAGGGTCCACATTTAATCCCCTGACCAGGCTCAACTGCGCCCATTAGAGCAGCACCCTTGTCACAATGCTGCGCCATAGACACATCCTTCTCCGAGAATCCACGCGGACGATGGGTCGTCCAGTGCACATCGACGGAGCCAATCCGCTGTAAGTGTCAGCTTTAATTTCCTTTTCTTTTCTTTTTTTACCCTAAATACAAACATGTACAGAGTAAACCTAGACAACACTCACAATAGTCATAGTAGGATGATGTTTCTTGGACGCGCTCTCCGCCGCAACGGCATTTACAAAAGCCTAGAAAAAAACCAAATGTGATCAGCACCTCGCAAGCCAATGCGCAGCGCAGCACAGGCAGCCCACGAGCCAACATACCACGGCCTTAAAATAGCTTTTAAAGTGAAACGTTTTAGTAACACCCATTCCATCTCCATCCCGCGCCCAGCCCTGTTGGAGGAGGGTCTCGGCGGCGCGGGTGAGCTGCTGCGGATCCTCGCCCTCGGCGAACTGGAAGCTAGACATTTTGCGCGTCATGAAGATGGATGCGGGAGAGTGCAGAGTCGGTCTCAGTGAGCGTGCACAGAAACGCAGAGAGGCGAGACTATTCATGTTGGACTGGAATTGGTTGAAGCTAAGCTCTGGATGGAAATGTTCGAAGCTGTTGTAAGCTTGGTGCACGGGCCAATATCTTATTAATTGTGCGTGAGACTGCATTGTGCTTACAGGCATATTTGATGTTCATTATTAGTCGATGTAAATTGAATATAAATTTACTAAATATATATGTCTGTATGATCCCTGGAGGAGTTGACAATTTAAAACTTCTCCGTTATTTGGAATTCTTCGATTCAGTTGACGCGATGCTATTGAACTGGTCTGCTCCGTGCAGTGTACCCATTTATAGTTCATGTAGCTTACTGTCTTTTTATTCTTCTTTTCTTTCGTTTTTCTTTCGCAAGAAAATTCAATCCATATAGCGTTCCTAACAGATAGATTAGTTGATTCTATACAACTCTCACCGAAGGTTTCCAATCCGAAAAAATGAGATTTAGTCCTCGGCCGACGAGTCTCAGTACAGCCCGATGCATAAACCCCACACAAACAAACCAAGAACACGCGACGCACCAAAAGCAGAATTGACAGAATCAAAATTGCAATTGCAATGCCCATAGAACAAAAGCATGCATCAAGTCGAATGTAGCATCGAAATTAACATTGACGCTAAGTAGCTAGTGTCTGTGTTGCGTCCGAGGCAGAAGTCAAAACCAAGCCACAATGCGACCCGGCCTCAATTCACTGACCACTGATCAAGAACATCGAGAGAACTGCAAGAAGCCAGGTCTAGATCCAGACGTCGATTCTGCAGGGTTGATTGGTCGTCGGCTTCTCTGACTACATGTTATATATCGTTGTGTCCGGATGCGGAAGTCTAAATTCCATACTTGGGCACAATTCCAGGACTACCAAAATGCTACATTATTCATACCGTATTCTTGAAGCCGGGTCGATGAAGATCCCCCATATGGACCCTGAGATGGACCTCATCTGGGGCATATCATCTCCACCGTAGATCATTGCTCGTCTAAGAACAAGGTATCCTCAACTTTACACATAAACATATACATATACATATACTTCACTAAGAGGCAAACTCCACAATTTTGTTTGGAAATATTTAGAATAGCAATGATAATGGTATAATCGTATCTGGCATCACTGAGTTGCGATCACCCCTAGCATACATAACACACTCCAGATCATGAAGTCTTTCAGTTGAAGCAAGAACAAAAAAAGGACAATTAGTTTAATAACCCGCGCCCGGTTCCCTTCCATATCGAATCATTCCCATTTACATTGAACGAACAGGGAGACAAAAACAAAAACCAGATGCTGAAAGGGGGATATCCGCCGAGCGCGGGGGCAAGAATGAAAGCTAGCTACGCACAGCGTAAACTCATGCCGTCGAAAACATGCACAGAGAAGAGATGAAGATGCTTGAAGGTTCTTATGACAGGAAATTAATCCAGCCACTTCCACTGAAGATGAGTATCCACAGGGAGATCAAACGTCTAAGCATTGACAACACTGTTGCGGCGTGAGTTGACGCGCGAGTTGGCCTGCGAGTTGACCCGTGAGTTAGCGCGGCTGCCGATAGTGGGACGGATGCGGAGGTCTTGCTGGGATCGGGCCCAGGAGTTGGCGCGGGATGATTCGGGGATCTTGGATCCACGTCGGCTCTCGATGTTGGTGTGCAATTGTACACGAGCATCCTCAAGCTGCTGGGCGAATGGAGAGCGCTTGCGCAGAGCAGGGCCCTTCCAGTAGATGATGTAGACGGCAACAACAAGGGGTACTGAGATACAGAAGAGAATAGTGGAAGCATATTCGAGGTGCCTTTCGCCGCCGATGTTTTCGAAGAATGGTGTGGCCGGAATGGTGAGAACACCAGCAAGGAAGTCACGCGACCACCCGTTACCACCGGTCGCGGATGCAGAGTATGGTCCGTAGGCGCAGATCATGTAGTCAATGGTGGCCATGTAGATAGCGTAGTTGGCGATACCAATGATGGCAGCGAAAATCATAGATCCAATCCAGTGAGTTGTGGGCAGACTGGTCCAGGCGAAACCGATCAGACCAATCGGGAGGCAGGGCGCAGTGTAGAGCAACCACCACAGACGGGACTCATACTGAGCACGTTCACTCTCTGGGTGATCGCGGCGTTCTTTGATGTTGCGCTTGATGACCGGGAAGAACGAGAACCAGGCGATAAAGTAGCCGATGACAATTGGAATGAAAGCCAGACCCTTCTCCCAGGTGTTGAAACCCCACTGATCATAGACGAGAGCAAGAGATTGAATGAACATGAAAATCAGAGCGTCACTGAAACCACTCAGCAATGAAAGCACCAGCACAATGGGCTCGGTGAGGAACATTTTGAAGGGACGGATCCAGATGGACGTGAGCTCATGGAGAGGGAAACGCTCGCGGAAGGTCATGCCTTCAGTAGGACCGTAGATGTGAGGATTTTCACCAGATTTGCGCATGTCCTTGGCGATGCGATCCATCATGACAGTGGTTCTGGTCTCGGGCACTAGGAAAAAGTGCATAATTTGAACCGCACCACCGAAGATCAGCTGGATCCAAATGGCCCACCGCCATGGCAAGAAAGCCTCAACAAAACCACCGACGACAGGTCCGAGCACGGAACCACCAACGGAGGAGAAGACGACGGCGGCCACGGCGTATTGTTGCGCATCGGGCTCCCACAGATCGGCAACCATTCCCAGCGTGACGGAGCCACCCGCGGAGGAAAGACCACCCAGGGCACGACCAACCATGATGGAGGCGAAATTGGGGGCCAAAGCGACGGGGAGTTGGAAGATGTTCACAAAGAGCAAAGACGCCTGAAGAATAGGCTTGCGACCCAGCTCTTCACTCCATGGAGCCCAGAGTTCACATCCGAAGGCGTAGAGAACCAAGAAAATCATAGCACCGCATCGCGCGGCCTGCATGGAGACGCCGAACTCCTCAGAAATTCCTCCGAGGGCATTCGAATAAAGGGAAGTGTTGAAGTTCATGGAGACTTGCACGAAAAAGATCACAGCGATGATGGTCCACTTCTTTCTTTCGCTGAATGAGTATCCGAGTTTGTCATAGCACATGTCCTCGGTGAGCACCATCTGCTCGAGTGGTGAAGGCGAGGCTTCTTCACATTGATCTTCCTCTTCTAATTTTTCAGTAGCAGCATTAACGACAGCTTGGGCGTGGGCAGCCTCCGCTGCCTGCACGGTGTCCCTCCCATGTTTGTCGGTGATCGCCATGGTGAAGGTGACGTAAGTGTAAGGCAAACCAAACTGGGTATAACCAGTAAAAAAATAAGCCCCTAAGATGGGAAGTGATAGATGAGAGAAAGAGAGATAGGAAGAAGAAAAAGAAAAATAGAGAAGAGGAAAAGAAGTCGATTTAAATATGAAAACGGTGGAAATGGCAAGTTGCCAAATGCAGGGAAGGAGCGAAATCCGAAGTTTACTAGTTCCACTTGTTTTTTCTTTTTTACCTTTTTTTTCTCCAGATATTCGTTAATTACATACAATATAAGGGTAGTTCTAGGTACCATTCACATACTCTTTCTTGACTTATGGTACTTTCCATGGTTACTGTATTGACTTTGTAATCCGGGATGCCGACTTTCTAATCGTTTCCCCATGGGTGAGAACATACCCACTTTTCCACTTTTTTTCTTACATCCCCAGTCAATTCCCCAGACTTCACACGACACTGCGTTGATTTGAATTAGAAAACTCAAGTTATCTTGGTAATATTAGTTCACTCCTGTTCGACATCCTCTCACATCCTCCTCAATCCTTGGGTAGAACGCGATTCCGGAAATGGCAAGTCCCTAGCCCGCAATAGGGTATTGAATGGACCCACACCTGGAGAGAGCCATGACTACGATTTTTTCCGTTCATCTTGGCCGAAGCCGTTCTGGGCCGATTAAACGCCGTCTCGGGATGTCTACATATACTGCATTGAGTCAAACATTCTTCGGATCTTGAGTCTATTGCGGTCTACCAAATCAAGTTCGAAAACCATATGGTGCCCCACGAAGTAAGGGGACCGACCGTGCGGCCGCATGGGTTCCCCATATACTGGGGTATATTGTACGAAGAATTAATATCAAAAATCATCATAGTAACAAATAATAAATAATAAAAAAAACAACCACAACGGAATCAAAAACTGAAGTCCAAACAAGACATTTGCCAAGATTCCCTCAAATCGCTCAATACCTGCTCGCCCTGGAATCTGACGTCAGTCCCGCCAGACTGTTCGTGGATCATAACGGGATCCCAAGGTCTGACCATACAATTATTATGCAATCTGACGGCTCAAAGCACTGGAAAACCGCCATGGCGCCCTACTTTGCGGCCGTGGCGTTCTAGCCGATCGTCATCAGGGTAAGGGCCCCATAACTCTTAAAACTGTTGTCGCTCGGACTCCGCTTCCCCTATGGGTCGTTCCTGTGGATGGCTTTTTTTTTCTTACCGGGCAGTTTCTTTACAGTACATGTATTTGGGGAAATTTCCAGATCATTGAATCCTCCGATCTGCAGAGAATATATCCTTTTTATGGTTTGTCTTTCCAGAACGCCCGATCGAAGGCTGTCAGAGACTTGTCATCCCTTGCAGTGCGCCCATGCAATCCTTTGGGAGTTCTCATGCGCCCTGATGCGGCATCCTACGCCCCTTTCTTCGCTTTTCGGTGGAAAAGGGCCCAGAAACAAAGTTTTGATGGTCCGCCGAGTCACATCGCCGAGGGTGGACCGCATCTCGTCCGGAAACAACCAGAACCGCAATAGGGGAATGCCACCTGACATACATTCATTCCTGCACATGGCAAAAGTCTTACTGCTGGGAAGGATCGACAAGATCGTATCTTAGGCGCCACGCGATACTTGGACGATCTTTCCGATAAATGTCTACAATACAATGTCTTGTATACAGAGGAAAATCCACTACCGTGGAAGAAATATAGAGAACCTATGGATATACTTGTCCGGAGACTCCGGCGTATTTGTATCTGTGCCGTTGTAACAAGGGACCATCAGAAGATGTGTTGTGGCTAATTCGACCCTGGTACATTTGGTCTCGACCATGTTCCGGCGAAAAAAAGAAAATTGTCCTATTTCGTACATGCCAGCCATTCGGAGCATAAACAGATTCGTTTTAAAAGGTCTCATACAGTGAAACTCCTAGAGCATTTCCATGGCATCTTTCCTTCTATAACTACAGAAAAGATCCATTGAGTCGCCTCAGGCATCAATATTCATTTCAACGTCAGGTGACCGTCACCGACCCCGCGAAATGTAGTCACCCAGCTCACCGCCCAAGCTTGCACGCCTGACGTATCATACGTTGCAGATGGAGCTTCTAGACTCACACTCTTCTCACGCCATCCTTGTTACCTGAAGATGTCACCAGATCTCAACTCCCTTCCTCCATCTCGTTCCACTTCAATCTCGTCCCGTACTATGTCTGCTACACCAGGATCCGGTGCACCCGCGAACCCCAATGCCTCCCCAAGGCAGTCCCGTGGCTCGAGCATAGGACGACTATCGGTTTCTGAGCGACGTAGATCTAACGCCGGACATAATCTAAACCTGAATGAGATGCAGCCCAACGAGCCCTCCGCCGAGCATCGCAGTTCCATCGGACATGCATTCCGTACAGTCAGCCCATCCAGCCACGGCGGAAGCCCCATCTTCGCGACGGCGGATCCCCATCACCAGCGGGCACCATCTTTGGGAGAGTTGCATCAAGAACTGGAGCAAGAGCAGGAAGCACAAGTGGTAGGTTAACATCGCATCATCTGAGGGAGTATAGCGCATGACCATGAGTTAACCACAATGTACTGTAGAATCGTCTGTTGCAAATGATCCGCAGCCAGCAGGCCCAACTGAATCAATACCAGCAAGGCCAGCAGCAACCAACCGCGCAGTCATCAGGTGCCATCGACGATACCCCGTCCTCAGAGCGGTCGGCATTCTTTCCTCCTGGTCCACCAGCACCTTCAGCAGGCAATAGACTTTCGATTTCTTCATCAGCCTCGAACAGACGAGCATCGCGACCTTCGAGCCAGGCAACGTCACCAAGCTTGCGACCACTTGATTCGCGTGGACCGGAAGGCGTGGAACCTTTCCCCGGGTTGCGGGATAGCACATCTCGGCGGGGAAGTCGGGATGAAAGTGCATTTTACCAAGCCGAAGCTAGCTCACTAGGCCGAGAGAACCTCCTTCTTCGGCAACGGATTCGGGAACTAGGTAAGAGATACCGTTTCATTCTCTGCTCTAATCATGCAGAGTGCTCCACCCCGATGGTAGATATTTATTAGGACATCCGTACTGACCTTACCGTGCAGAGAGACAAATTGCAGAAATATCGAATGCTCAATCTGCTTCGGCGACAACTACATCGGGTGCTCCGCCCGGGCAAGCGGGTCCCGACGTCTCGGACCCGCCTGCCGTGGGGTCGACGCGAGACGGTCAAGACTGAAAACCATATTGACTACGAGCTTCGGCCCGTTTGACGACATTACCAGGCCATGATTGGCACATCAGGCGACTCGGGTGTCTGGCTCGGCGTTCTATTGATTCAATACACAATGGAGACAAATCAGAAGAAATCCCTCAATCCCCGCAACTTCCGTTGCAATCTTACAACCTTGGCATCTACCTTTTCGTGAAGGACTATCGAATCTTTTATTTCGGTACGGAATCGATTCCATCGTGGGCTGGCTCAGGTGTGCAGTGCCCATCTCATTTCGGACTTTGCAGTGTCCTCGGACGGTTCATTGTGCCTAGCAGTTCATTTTCACAGCTTTGAACAGTGGCTTGTCATTCGCATGGAATATTTGGCCTCCTGGTGTCAACGACCCAGTCCATACTTGTGGCTATGTACAAATACAGATGTGGCGGAACAGTCCAATTCAACGTACCATTCACCATCTAGCTAACCCCCTTTCGTTTTCCTTCTAAGGCGAATTGAGTAGTTCAACAACCATGTATTTAGTAGGCTGATACAGTAGTCATAGGCTTGTACAACAAATGTGGAGGCTGTCATCTCGACAAGACCCGCATCCACGGCACTCACTCACTGGCCCTTCCAGGTTGTCCAGTCCAAAAACTCAACAAGTTGCTTGAAGCTAGCAACCGTCTCATCCAAATCCTTTTCATCCAACAACCCCGACGCCAAAGTGGAACAGATCGATCTCGAGATCGAAGAGACAACCCGACCACCAACAGATTGCACAGGGGCGGAACCAGGAATAAACTCATTCTCACACAAATGAATAATCTCCCCCTTCGCCCCAAAGTGACGATAATCAATAAAAGGCTCCAACAACCCCTCAAGCCTCTCATGTAACGCCTCAGCAGACGAGAAATTCCCAGCAGCAAGAGTCTGCAGCTCGTCCGAATACCGGAATACAATCATATCAGCAACAGCCTGCCAGTCGAAGGAACCCACCGCCGGCTCCAGGCTATTAACCATATCATTGATATCCCGCCGAATAGGTTCCAACAACTCAGTGGGAATATGATCGAGCACAGGCCGATCCGAGCCAGCAGGGAAAAGATCCAAGCCATAGCTAAACGCCGAAACGAAATGATCAAAGTCCAAATGCACCTTGTGGCCAAGTAACTGATCATACTTCGCAGCAATGGAACAGCAATCCCCTCTGACCGGACCCCTAAGCCCACCACCAGGACCGCCACGACCCTTCCCACCCTTCCCAGGCCTCCCCTTTCCCTTTCCTCCCCTCGGCCCTCCAAACCCAGGCCCATCCTGCGCTCGAGTCTGCGTAATTCCAACAACCTCCAAATCCCTTTCAAACCGACAAAGGATGATCTCGAAATCGCCCTCCGTCCTCACAACCCCATCAACCCGCTCCCCCCACACCTCCTCAACCATCCGACAAGTTTGGAACGCACGTTCCTTCTCCGCAGGTGGACCGCCAACAGGCGGGCGCGGCCCAGGCGCAGGACTGTGAATCGTATCGTTGAACAGAATGCGGTCTTGCGATTCGGCCGAGCCGCCAGGACCCGCGGACATGCCGTCTATATACAGGAGGCGGAGATCGCGCGCAGCAGCGTAGGTGTGCAGGTAGCCATGCGGGATATCGTCATCAGCATCATCGTTAACATCGGCATCGGCATGACTATCTGCGAGAGAATTGAGCGGCTCCTGCTCGTCCAGCGATCTCTTCTCTCTGCGCCAGCCGGAGCGATGCGCGAAGCCGAGTGAGTGCTGTGGCTTGAAAGCGAGCCATTCGACGCCGACGATGGGGTCTGCTTTGCCTGTTCCGTGGTAGAAGCGGGTTCCCTTGGGGACTGAGGCGAGGTGGAAGGCCATGCCGTAGGGATTTAGGGCTGATTCGTAGTGTCTGAGGCATGATTGGATGGCGTTGAAGATGTGGTTTGCGTTTTGAGGCTCGGAGGCATTTGCCAGGCCGAGGGATAGGACCCAGAGATATTTTGATGGGCGCATGCTCAAGATTCGAGGTGATTGGGGTGTTTGGAAATGGGGATTGAGGAGTCATCGTTTTGGTGAATGTCCTTCTTATTCATGGACGCGTCACTGGGGTGTTGGTGTTGACCCACGACCATATTTCCGATGGCTTTTGCTGGTTTTAGTTAGATTTCACTGATTGATAAAGTGAATCGGGCTTGGCGATTGGAGCATGGGAGTGTTGAAGGTTTGTTAAGTGGAGCTGCGGTTTTGATTTCCCAATGTGGGAGATTGTTGCGAGGTCCTCGGAGATATAGATCTTATTCAAGTAATGACAGAAAATAGAGCTGATGCCCCTGAATATAGCAGTTGCACATATGAACTTTATATTCTATCTACAAAGGGCTGTGCTGTACAGTGGAAGTTTTCGGTACCCACGTTGATCTTCCAGTGGATCTTGCCATTTTATATGCATACATATGTAGGTACGCATAAATTTTTGATAGCAGATCAACTCGAAGCTCATTCCCATGGTAAGCCCCATGGACTGTGATTTTAGGTCCTTATGGCTTATTAGTTCACCATTAAGCAACGACACACGAAACTGTGCCGTACAGATAAGCTGTGGCGGTTGAGAGAGTCTGGTCGCACTTTCACCATTCTCTTGACCAATGACACAAAATAAATTGATCTGCTCATCAATTTTTGGAATAGGTTACATCTTTCACCTCTCACAGTAGCCTAAATGTGCCAGACTTGACAGATGCATGCGAAGCCAATGGTTCTTCTGCACACCTAAATCGAGAAATCATCTCCAACCTTCATTCATTAGTTATATGAAGAGAGATTCCTGCTCATCAGATCGTTCCTCTAGATATACAAATGCAGAATATGGCAAATTGGACGGTGAGCTTGATTTGAACCTGGCATGTTCTTACGTGAGTAGTTTCCCAGAAATTCGCGACTTCCAGCAAAAGTAAATTACCTCTTTAAACACCACATTTTCCACTCTCCGTGCCAATATCTCGACCGTGCCCCCGTCTTTTTCTTTTCTTTTGAAATCAAACTAATAACAAATACCCCTGCCTCCCTCGCTGTCGCCATGGCTGATGCCCCGCCACTCCCTCCACCTCTCGTAAGTGTAAAGCAAGCATATACTGCACTTGTTCTGCGTGATTTCAGTACCCAATGCAATGCGATTTTCTTGACCGTGTTGCTTAAAAGCTCCACCCTACATTTATCGTTGGAATGTACACTGATAACTGCTGTAGCTCTGGTGCTCCCCGTGCCGGAAGTCCGGCCACGATGAGGCCGGTTGCAAATGGCTGCGCCGGACTATTTATTTTCTCATACTTGAAAATCAAACTATTTTGCTGTCTTGATATGTCCTTACTGGCTTGTTCATACTGGCACAAACGTAAAGAGGAAGGGAGGGAATCCCCATCTGACATTTTGGTCGAGGCAGAAACTATTGTTATTTTTTTTTATTTAAGAAATTGTGAAAGGGGAGCAAAGGGCCCGGGTGAAGAGTAGGAAATGGAGTATTTGCAAAGGTAAGTTACTTTTGCTGATAGTCACAGCTTTCAGTGTTGCTTTGCCCACAAGGGCAAGGACTATTTCTGCGAGAATTTCAGACAGTTCCTTCATGACTCTTTTGGGAGCCTGAGGTTCTCTGATGTCAGTATTCCATGGAAGCTTCTACTATGTCCCTCTAGGCAAAGCATGATGTTGTGAAACCCCTCTCCCCCTCACCCATGCTACAAGCCAATATGGGGTCCCACTGGCTCCGTTTATCTTGGCTTGTCTCTCTGCTCTTTATAATAGAAAGAAGTAGATTTATTAGATTTAAGTCATGTCAACTACTTCGCCAGAGAATGACTGATATAAAGCATCACCTCGAGGCGGTTCTTGGTGCCCGAAAATCCAGTGAGGCAAGACGAGAGGGAGAGGCCCAAGAACATCCTAGGCCACTCTTCTCCTTCCAGGGTTGATGTATCAGCTGACGGTACTTATGTGTCCATGGATCATCTACGTACAAGGATAACCATACCAGGGTCGAAGGAAAAGTGAAGTCATGCACTCACATTGCCGCCCTCTTCTCCTTTTCCCATTGAATCACCTCATCTTTCCGTTCAGGATGACTGAACCGCAAGTCCAACCTCACACCTTTTTAAGGTGCCTTTTGAGACAATTACAAAGCCTTGACTCTAAGTTCCCTTCTTCTGAAGAGGTTCAGGGACTGGGAATCCAAGCATTTGAGGTCTCTCTAACTCCGATTAATCATGGCACCCTTGAATTTGACCCGTGCTTCTTCAAACCACACCCAGATAAGCTTCTAGAGAAATATCCCCTCCTTGTTGATCATCCCGACGTGCCCCGGGAAGATTATGACTGGACTTTCATCATACCAACCAAAGACGAAATGAAGGATTATGAACCGTCCGAGCAAGCCGGAGAGATAGAGAGGGTTATCAGTACTCACGTGAGCGCGCCTAAACAAGGTCCATCCGACTTGATCGCGCTCCAAGACCTCCGCAATCAAGAATATTGGTTGTAAGTCGACTTTCTCCCCTATAGTTTTGAGCTAACAGGTCAAAGTCCGCGCCACAAAGTAGGTGATCCTCCTACGGCAGAGTGGAGTTGGGAAAGAGGAGACATGTGGAGCATGTGCCGAACATGCCGATATCTTGATCTCCCGTGCAAGCCACATTCGATTGCCTCGGTTCTTGTTGGTATTAGCCCCACCGTTACAGACCAGGGACTCTCCACATATGAACTGAGAGCGATTGTGAGCACGATACTCCTTCGAACCAATCACAGACCCTTCTGTCAATGCCCTGTTCATCCCGTAAGTGTCCCATACAGGTTTACGGCGTGATGATATCTTAGACCTGTATAGATGCTGCTTTTCTCTTACATGGACGATCTTAAAGGGAGAATCATTCAAGCTTCGTATGATGGAGCCGGGTTGATGATACAGTACTCCCAACTATGGGACTTTGCGGACACCGAAAATTCACCAGTGGAATTGTTCGTTCGATATCGATTGAGTGAGCCAGTCGGTGGTGATTCCCACGTCTTGTCCATGAGATAGGCTCTTGTTTTGATCGCTTAACCAGATGGCTCATTAATTGATTGCTGCGAAAGAGTATAGATTCTATTTTTGACAAGTTCCTGTATCAACCTAATTCATGTACATGGTTTTCATGCTTTTGGCATCTACCCCTTTGCTGTCAACTAGCTAGTTTTCGGTATTAGGATTGAGAAGTCACAGAAAGTACCTTCGAAAATCCCCCTAAAAGAGCTTTCAAAAGACAAAGTAGAAATGCCACCTAACAAATGATTTGATCTGTAATGTTGTATATCCTACATATTGTACCATATTGTACCTATATGCATACGCATGTAATCATGCTGAAGTGTAGACACTTCGGTATGCGCTTGCCCTCTGGATGTTCTGGTTTGAGGAAGGAGCGTACACACTTGCCCAGGTGAGGAAGGCCTTTGACAGATTCTCTTCTACACACTTCTTTCTTCCCTTTTCCTTCTTCATATTGCCTTTTCCACATCTCTTTCTTCAGTAGTGGGGTGGGTTCTACTCACATCTGTTTCTTATGAGGAATTTCCTCGATTTTGAAAGGTTGTTTAATCTTGTTTTTTTCAAAAAAAAAAAAAAAAAGGAACAGGGGCGAAAGAAAAAAAAAATTCCGACTTGTTGCTAGTTGTTTAACAAGGAGAAGTTATGTTTAGTGGAGATGACTACTTTTACTAGCCGTCTTACCATATGACCAACGCACACGACCGCGCATTAGTCTATTTCACCTTTTGCAAGATTGCCACCTAATGCAATATACATGTTGTAAGTAAACTTTGTATGTGGCTTGCATATAAAAGGTACTTTAAAGTACATATGAAGCATCCTCAAATATCATATAACACAAGGTCGATAGAAGTATATAGATTCAGCTATAGTTATGTTTGTTATAATATAATTATAATTATAATAGTTCTAGTGTATAAAATTAAGCAGTTTTATAGTTCTCATAAGTAGATAGTTTTCGGAGGCTTTTTCCGACCCTCCAAAATGAAATATTGAAGCATACCTACATATTCGAATAAAATCGATATATAAAGCATTAAAATATAATCAGCATTCTACTTTAACATTATAGGCTAATTTGATTACTCTGAGATATTCGAGGATGTTTGACATGTACTTATAAGTACCTTTTTTACTTAAACCACTTACAAAAAATACTTACAATATAAATATTGCATTAGGTGACAATCTTGTAAAAGGTGAAACAGACCAATGCGCGGGTACCCCATTGGTCATGGTAAGACGGCTACTATGATTCCTTCTCTTTCAATAACAGACAGGAGCCTTCTTGAAAGAATAAACATTCTTTGACATCAATAGTGGTGAGTATTGTAGGCAGTCCTGTTCATACAAGCCATCTCTAAACATTCCTGTATCTCATTTCATCGGCCTTTTTCCCGGTCTTTTCCAATGTGTTTTCAAGGTTCTCATTGGATGATATAAATATATCCCCAATATCATTAGACCCGTGGACCTTTTAGACACCATGTACATATTCAAGCCAAGAATGAAGTGGCTAATCTAGTAATCCAATTTGAATAAAATGTAAATATAAAACACCCGAACGGGCAAAGATTTATACATCTAAGGCGCTAGAGAGAAATCCAAAAGCACAAAAAAACCGGGTATATGCAACAGACTACAGCTTCGGCTTCTCGGGCTGGGCAGCGAGATCGGGCATGAGGAGGTCGCGAAGCTCGGAGGCCGCCTCGTTCAGGTAGTGGCTCATGCGGTCAGCGCCGAGACGCTTGCAGACGATGTTGAAGTTGATGCTGGAGGATGTCAGTATTAGTATTCATTTGTGATGTGAACAAGTGGGAAAGAAAGCGGAGCTTACCTGTTCTCGTTGATCATGTACGCGATTCCGAATCCATCGTCGATAACCTGGCTCCATCCGTATCCGTTGAAATATTCGGAGCTCAGCTGGGAGGTGGAGAGGTACCAGGAGGAAGAGTAGGCGAAAGCGGGATCCTGGTAGATCTCAGGCAGCTGCTCGCCAGGCTGGAGGAGCTTCTTGAGACCGAAGAGGTGGCGGTCGACACCGTGGCCGGAGCTAGCCTCTTGTGTGTACTTGGTGTGCTGGGCAAGGGCAGCACGGAAGAGCTTGACAACTTCCTCGCGGGGAGTGGTGTGGTCCTGGTGGGCCTTGCAGAAGGCGACGCTCTCGTCGGAGACAGTGCGGGTGGTTTCAGTGCGGCCTTCGGCGAATTTGCGGGTCGAGGCGGACTCGTAGGTTGGGCGGTTCTTACCGTACATCTTGAAGTAAGCGAGCTGGATGGTCATCTGGACGAAGGCGTCGGGGCTGCACTTGAACTTTTTGATCAGGCCCTTTCCGTAGCCTTGGTAGGCCTGGACGACGAGCTCGTGGGAGGCGATCTGCTTGCGGTGGTACTGGTGCGCGATGTCGATAGCCTCGTTGGAGGCGTCATTCAGCTTGAAGGTGATGGGCTTGGGGTCTGCGAGCTGGGAGCGCACGGTCTGGGCGGAGAGATCGATCTTCTTGTTGAAAATGAGGTTGTTGACGTGGTCGTTCAGGCGGTGGGTGGGGGTACCGTCCATCATGCTGTGCTCGCCCATAAAACCGGCGGAACCATTGTCGTTGATAATGAACTGGAGGGGCTTGTCGAACCAGCGGTTCGAGCCATCTCCGTGCCAGTACTGGTGGGCGCGCTCAGCGAGAGTAACGGGCTTGGCGTCATCCAAGCAGACAACGAAGCCAGCAGACTCAATGTCCTGGAGAGCCACCTCGTTGGCGGCATCGGCAGCAACAAGAGTCTTGCGGGCAGCAGTCCAGTGATCACGGTCCGCAACAGTCAGAACGCCAACCGGCGGCGCGGGCTGTGCGATCTCGTAGATGCGCTTGAACTGCTGCTCCAGCTCGGAGACGTTAAGCTGCTGGCCATCCACAACGAGAGGCACCTTGAAGAATTGGTTCTTGCGCACAACAACAATGTGCTGGTTTTCAGCAGCGGAGTACTTGCGGGGGAAATCCTCGCCGTCAGCGGGGATACGGCAGCAGTTGAACATGTACTGGTAGGAGCTCATAGCCTGGGGCTCCTTGCGCAGGTACTCAGGCTCCAGGGAGCCATCGTCAACCTTGGCCTTGAACTCGAGCGCAGCGGTAGTAATAGCAGCTGCGCGCTTGGCGGGGTCACGACGCTCGCGGTCATCACGGTAGGAGTAGAAGTATGATACGTAGGGGATGACGGGGTCACGATAACCGAGGTAGGCGGCCTGGTTCCACCACTCGGCAAGCCAGTTCTTGATCTTAGGGTCAGCGGCGCGGGCCTCGAGGCGCTTCTGCAGAGCCTCACCCTGGCCACCGGGGCGGATGAAAGCCTCGACGGCGCTCTTGGTGCGCGCGTACTCGGCCTCGGAGACAACCGCGTGCACGGACTTGAGGTATCGGCGACTGGTCTCTTCAAGGGAGGGAACGGGGAGTCGGGGAAGGGAGTCCTCAAAACGGAGCATGTTTCCCTTGGAGATGTCCTCCTTGTATCCTGTCATTCTGTCAGCTCCATTCTCGCGTGAGATCTTACGTGATGCAAGGTATGGGCGGTGGGCGAAACGCATGCGAAACTCACCTTCAGGGACGGAAGATGCTGCTCGTCGAGGAGCCATTGTGAGAGTCTGGATACGTGTCAATGGGTTGTTCCTGGCAGGTTTCACTGCTTTACACGGGGATCGCTTTGAATCGGGGAGGTCCGTCTTACCGATCGGGTGAGGAGAGAGTTGGTCGGAGGGAGCCGGTGCCTTGACAGGGTGGACAGACGGCTTCTAGCAGAAGCAGTGAACATCCCTATGTATGAAGAAAGAGATTCAGATGTAAGATAGAAGATGTTGCAAAGTGCAAATGAAGTTCAAGGACACTCACTGTTAAGAAGGAAACCGAACCTCGGCTCGCGGGGAAGAATTGGGGAACCGGTAAAACGCGGTACCGGGGGGTTTTGTCGAAGATGATCGGTCCCGTCCGAGTTGTTCTTCGCCACGGGAAACGAATGCTAATATGACCTGGAGAGGACTGTATGTTGTGTAAATGAAGTACTTTGATGTTATATTTCTGATAATGGCTTTTGTTTTCATCTCTATAGCTAAGTGACCTCTTCATGTCTGTGGAGATCTATCATGGCAATGTATTAAATACCGAAATACAAATACATTCTCCACACGTGTGCCTCGGTCCATTTGTACGATGCATTTGATGTCTCAGTCATATGAAATTATCACCAGATATAGGGGTAGTTATCAGATTCAAGTGACCTTCAAGCATCAAAAATTCCCAGTTGTACAGAAAAAAAACAAGCAGTATAAGTTACATCGGTCCGGGCGATCAATGGCGTTATGCGGTATGCGGGGAGAGCCCCTAGCGTAGACGTGGGCTAAAACAAACAAAAGACATAAATTAAACATGTGCATGAATACTCCAATGCACTTGGACAAGAAAGGTAGTTAGGTGAGATTATGTATATGGAAAATATATCAAAGCGACGCCTCCCTTTCATCCGATCCCGTTGATCCGGACGAGTATTAACGAACACATGAACAAGAAACGCCATGGACCATATCCAAAATACACCGGCCCACGGGCAAAAGTAAAGAAAATACCTAAACAGTAACAAAGAGATTTCCAAATCATATAGCAGTATCCATGTATCATCATGGACATAGATCGCACGCGAAACTCTCCTAAGAAACAGGCCCCACGGCAGCCGGTTGGTCTTGCCCATCAATAGAGCGAGGAACCTGCACACCACTACGGCGAAGCTCGTCCGTTTTTGCCATCGCAGGACCCGTGCAAATGCGACCGGTCTGCATAAGCGTGCGAAGACGTTTACGACGAGCCTCGCCACTGCGTTCTTCCCCGCGACCAACACCCTCATCGACCCAGTCCACGGCATGAACCTTGAAGCTCATACCATCATGGCGACCGTCCCATTTACGAGACTTCAGGCCGAAGAGTAAGGTCGAGTCGTATTGATGCACGCGGGGAAGGATGAGTAGAGTAATGTGCAGGTCCTTGTCTGCTGGGGGTATCGGGGGTAAGCGTGGGGTCTTGTCAGAGTCCGGCTTCTTGCCTTCGGCCTCGGTTGGAGGAGGCGCGTGGTGGTAGGTATCTTTGATCTCAAGATCGAGCATTGACTCGTCAACATCGTCGCCCCAGGCACCGCGAATGAACCCGGCGTGGATGGCGGCTGCTACGGGATCTGAGTCATCGGTATAGACACCCGTACCCCAGAGAGCTCGGCGCGCGCATATCTCCTCTCGGTGAGAGTGGTTGATGCGCCAGCGAGGGACGCGGACAGTGAAAGTGCAGTTCTCTCGCTGTTCGAATCGGGGAAGAGGCTGGGGGGTTGTTGTGTATCCAAATTTAGAGCTATCCAATGAAGACTTGGCTGTTGGTGCGCCAATACGAGGTGTGTAGAGCGTTGAGCCGAGATGACGGCGAGGTAAATGGGCCACACTAGACACTATTGGCTCTATGTTGACGGTAGTGCGAGGCTCGCGGATAGGAGAAGCAGCCGGGATGGTGGGCTGTCTAGCGCCGTGGTGGTGATGGTGATGGTGGTGGTGGTGATGTCCGGTAGAGGCATCTGCTGGGGAAGTTCGATGGAAGAAGTTTGTAGGACGGTGAAGGGAGGTCAAAGTGGCGGCCTCTTCATCTGCCTTGTGGCGGTGATGGTGGTGACTAGAATATTGTTAACACACTTCCTTGAACTGTACAAGGCCGGGAGGAACATACTGGTGATGGTGGTGGTGGGCATGGCGAGAGCGACGTGCATTACGTGCTGATAATACTCCGCGCGGATCGTTGGCCTCAATTTCCATCTGCTCTTCATCTCGCAATTTTCTCGACCGTCGGCCAGCTGCGGAGGATGGTCGAGCCAGCTTTGCCGCCTCGTCCATTCCATCTCCGTTCATCGAGCGACCTGTCAGGCTATCGCGTTTGAACGGACTAGCTCCCAGCGGCGTCGAGTGTCCGCTGCCACCAGTGGCGGCAGTCACGCCGCCAACGCCACTTCCAATACCCGAAAAGACACGGCCTAGCTCATTCTTGATGGCTGGTTCACCACTAGCACCGATGAAAGGAGCCTGGGCACCCTGGACGGCCTGGGGGAGAGGGGACGCACGGCCACCGCGTTTACCATCTGCACCAACAGCCAGCAGGCTGCGATGGTGCAGAAGCTCATCGCTTCCTTTGCGGCGTCCCTCATCGGCTAGAGCGGCTAGACTAGAAGATGCGGCGGCCGTGGATACAGCGATTGCTGGCGTGGACCCTAAACGGGGAGGCTGCGTTTGTTGTCTGTATGGATCGTGGGGCGGGGGCGTGGGGTGGTGGTTTGGAGACTGCAAGGGAGCCTGGGGTTGCCTGTTTCCCCCAGGTTGCGATCCCAAGGATTTGGTGTAGCTCTGGATGGCCCCAAATCCGAAATTTGACGCTTGCTCCGGGGCCAGGAAGCGCTTATTCTCAGGCGAAGGTGGGTGTGAGCGAGCGTGGTCCCAGGTTGAGCTCTGGTGACGCTCGAGCGGGTCGCGCTCGCCGTAGTGAGAGCCATATCGAAATCCAGGCTGGGACAACTTGGCCTCGGGCGCATGTGTTGAAGCACGTTCTCGATCCCGCTGTGCAGTCTCCTCCGAGCGACGGTCGCCAAACATGTTTCCAAACCGACCATGTTGTGGATCATGAGCTGCGTACGACCCAGACGCAGGCCGCCCGGACTCGAATGCACGATCTGCAGCACCACCTGGCTGAGAGATCGGGCTGTAGCCCGGCGGCCGTGTAGGTGCCTCCGCATGGGGCGGTTGGCTACTGGGTCTAGCGATGGGTCCGTTCAGACTCATGCGACGAGGCTCGGTGTACGGCGTCTCTGCTGTGGACATTCGAGGCGAAGGATGTGTGGAGTGTGGTTTTTCAGGATACTGCGATAACGATGACCGTGTTATTCCCGCAAACACCGATTGTTCGGCTCCCAACAGACTCGAACCGCCGCCCGATCCAGATCGGTACGCGCGGGAACCTTGGGAGCCTTGCGTCCTGGAGAACGGCTTTTCGGGCGTATTTGAGCGACGAAAGAAGGAGCTTTCGAACGGGGATGGTTTTGCCGGAGCAGTTGGCGGGGACATGGCGGCCGGGCCAGATGACGGTGGTGCATTATTGAATATTGATGATGGCGATGGTCGCGAGAAGAACGGCCCTGATTCACGCGCGGGTTCTCGCGCAGGTCGATCCGGGTCTGAGCCTAGCATCGCAGAAATTGACATGCTACTTCCCGGCCGGTGCGCCTGGCTGTTAGAGCCATCGCGCGACATTAGGGGCCCTCCAGGCGTGTGGGCAGATTGGGCAGACGGGGCTCGAGAGGGATAGGAGTGGGGAGGGGAAGGAGGTGGCATTTGACGATTTCCATACGCGGTGGATTGGTCGTGCTGTCCTGTTCAACGAGTTAATATTAGCAAATATTCACATGAGAAAATCCCTGATCGCGCATCTCTCGGTTGAGTGTCGAAATGTATCGCGACACGGACGGTTGCACGGGGCTCTCGGGCCCAGGTCGGGTGCTCACCAGGAAAACCAGGACTTCCGCTGCTGCCCTGTGAAGTACGACGCGCGGTATCTTGTGTATTGCTCATAACTGAAGCACTCAAAAGTCCTACTGTGACGAGTAAGCAAATGGAAGATGGCAAAGCAAGGGCCCGATTCAAGAGAACCCGTGACTCCGGAAGCTCATGCGCTAGTCCAAAAGGGGCAGGGGCTCCTCTAGTCACGCTAAACCTGACCTGAACTAGCGCTCCCGAGCTGTCGTCCAGTCGATCTGCGCCACCGGGGAAAATCACATCAGGGGGGGCAGACAGTGTGTTTTAGGGAAGAAAAGGGTTTCGGGGGTATGTGGGATATGTTGTCTGGGTACATTCATCTGAATAGAGGGGTTGTAGGATATTTCTTTGATTCCGATGCACATTATCATCGAAATAGAAACCAAAAAGCGGAGACGGCTAACCACGGCACAACTCCGATCCTTAGGAATTCCTCTTCAATCATGGGCATCGGAACCAAAAGAGACCCACGCGAGAACAAAGAGATTCAAAAGAACAACAACAACAACAACCGCAATAATAAAAATGAAAATAAAAATAAAAACAAAAAAACAACATACCTTCACGATATCGAACATCTTGAGGCTGCGAATTATTCCTGCGATGTGTCTGTGCATTGTTCCTTGTCTCAAGACTCCCGTGTCGACGATGTCGTTGTGTCTGACCTTGTCGGGAAGCAAAGTATGCGCTGGGAGCTTCACCCCGAAGCGAAGCAAGCGATGTGCGTGAAGCGGTCGATTGGTAAATTTGCGACGGGGAGGGAGTGGAGTTTGCAGAAGAAGGGTACGGTCTCGGCTTATCGGTTTCGGGTTGAAGAGACTCATGGGGGGAGTAAGGCGTAGAAAATTGCCGTGGAGGATCGACGCGAGGTTCTTGCGACGTCCCTAAAGGCGAAGGTCGCGGCGGATACAAACTTTGTAGTCGTCGATAATCCATCCCAACTAATTAAGGGGGTTTGGGCAGGAATTAGAGAAGAGTAAAGATCCAGCACAGGATATTATAAAAGAAGAGAAAAGAGAGAGAATAGAATGGCGGTGGAACTTATGCACAACAAAAAGAAAAGAAGAAAAAGGGCTAGAGCTGAGGTGCAGAATCAGCGGTTGATCGCGCGACCCCGTCACAGATAGCGCTCACGGGACAATGGGAACGTGCAGAAGGGCGGTTGTAGAGGTATCAATGGATACAACGTACATAGATCCCAGAAATGGGAAAGGAACAAATCGATGTTGGGCAGTTGTTTTGGGGGACGGAGAAAAAAACGGTGAGTGATGACGGTGTCTGCTTTAGCGCGATGGGGCCTCAGGGCCAAGACTCTTTCTTGCATGCGGGGGATGTATACAGATACTGCAATGTTTATATTATAATATTATGAGCAGGGTAAAAATTATTTTCCACTTTCCACCTCGGGATTCATGCCCAACCCAATGCCCAGTTCTTCCCACATCATCTGGACTTTTGACGTCTTGTACTACCTGTTCCTTGTGTACAAGGATGCATAGTATTAGGCCTTGTTTAAAACTTGCATATGCAGGCCATGTACCGACGAGGGTTATCCTGTACATCTATTATCATACCTAATTGATACCTAGGTGCATAGCAACCTAGTGGCAGGTTGCAAGTTGCTCACTCTTACACTCTCTTAGAATAGATTGAACTTGTAGTATACCCAACATATACATAAAAAGAAGACTCTGTCCACTATACAAAGATAGAACAAGATGCAAATGCATATAATTTCAAAGGAAACAAAGTGACGCAGTACGTCATAGAAAAAACAGAAAATTATTCAACACTTGGCCGTGAAACATCCTTACCGAGATGCAACCGACGCTTCCACTTCATTCCACTCTTCTTCATAGCGCGCTCGGTTCGCTCCCAAGGGTAGTTGACCGGCGACTCACCACCAGTGAAGATAAAGAAGTCATATAAGAAAGCACCCATGAAGCCACCACTCAGAGCACCGACCCAAGGTCCATAGAACCAGTACGGGTTAGTGAACATGGTACTGGGGTATCCGACAGCGAGCAACGCAAGACGGGGACCGAAGTCACGACTCGGGTTGAATGCCGCGCCGGTTTGGTATGAAAAGCACATGCTCAGACAGGTAACGACCAATCCAACGATGAGCGAGTTCATACCCGCGCCTGGGGGAGCGTTCTGGTCATCACCGAGAGCAAGGACGGTGACGATCAAAAAGGCCGTTCCCATGAACTCGTTGAAGAACGCTGTCGCGGAACCAACCCACGCCTCACGCGAGTTCGTCACAAAGCTGTTGATGATGCCGGTGTCGGCGTTTGAGACGAGATATTCAGTGATGGATTGGTAGTAGATACCATACGCGGCAAGACCAGCGCAGAAGGCAGCGAGGAACTGAGCGGCGAAGTACTCGGGCATCTTGGCCTTAGGGAAACCACGGAAGAACCAGAGAACAATGGTGACCACAGGGTTGAAATGAGCACCGGAAACACCACCAGAAATGTAGATGGCCATCATAGTAGCCAGGCCCCAGGCCCATTCAGTCGTGTTGGGGTTACCCTGGTTGTTGATGGTGACAGAGAGATCAGCACAGAAGCCCATGGTGAGCTGGACAAAGGCACCGAGGGCTTCGGCAAGCGCCTCGCGGTGGTGAGTACGGATCACAGACCAGGTGGTGTGGTTGTTGTGAACTTCGTCCTCCACCAGCTCCTGGACAAGCGGGTGCAAGTCCTCGGGGTAACCAGCTTTCTCGAGCTCGGATGAATCCAAGAGATCATCGAGTCTCTGACCGAGATCGATGTTCTCTGGGATAGGTTCCAAGTGCTCATCACCGAGTGGTTGTTCACCTGGCTCTTCTCCGTCTTGAGAACCACCCTCCTGCACAATTGACAATTGGTCCTGAGGTCTGTCCCAGTTAGAAGGCCGTCTACCCCGAACGGACGAGGTGCGCGACATACGCGATGTCTGTCTCGCAGATTGGCCATCACCCGCGAGAATTTTGTTCATGAAGTTATTCTCACGCTGCAGACGAGCATCTTCAACCTGGGCGGCCATTTTACGCGGATCAGTTGTCTTATCAATGCGACCCTGTTCAAGGTCATTGGCATCGACGTCCAGACCCAATTTCTGCGAGTTTTCCGCCGGACGCTGAGCGTTCGCGAGACTCTGCAAGAGCTCTTCCTTAGTAGGGACCATGCCAGGCCGCACCACACGGGGCAGCGGTTTAGCCAACGACCAGACCGGTCTGGCATTGGAAGGCTGCTCATACGAAGGGTTGAGGTCTGCATAACCGGGTTGCACGAAGGGCTCCTGAGCCAAGCGCAGCTGGGGCGTTTCATCCGGTCCAGCTAGAGTGAACGCGCCGCGAGTGCGTTGGGCAAGGGTGGTGCGAGGAACCAAGCTGGGGATGCTGCTGGCACCACTGCGTCTCGATGCAGCAGAGCTACGTCGCCGGGTGCTATTCTGGCGTTCGTCAATGCCGCTGACCCTCGAAGGTGAGATATAGTCTGCATCACTGGCAGCGCGGTTGCGACCTGGTGATTGGGGCTGAGAATCAGACTACAAAGTGAGCTGTTAGATATTGCCTTCCCTTCGCAATGCTTGCATCAAACTCACTCTCACTCTAGCCCCACGGTCGCCGTCTTCCATCTTGATTACGAATTAATAATGTCTACCCCGATGATGCACAAACAACAGATTTCAACAGATTTGAACAGAATGTTTTCCACCTCACAAAATGGAGGGCAATTCACAAGGCAGAACAGAAAAGAGAAGGAACAGAAGAAAAAAAACAGGAAGCCAGGTGGATCACAACGCAATTTATCGCATGGATCCAAGTAAACTCCTAGTCCCAAGGGAAATTGAGCAAGAATTGACCCAGTTACGCAATGTCGACAGGATCTTCATGGCACTCTTCATTTGGCAGCCACGATATGGGCGGGTGGAGCAGTCAACCAACATATCAGAAGCGAACGATCTCGGAGTTAGCAAGCCTTGACATCACTTGGCAGTTCCTGGCCTGGCGAGGTCCACAATGGCTCCGCAAAAGCTTGCCTGGTTATTGACCCGTTGTGTTCCGTACAGCTTTGGCTCCAACGTGGGTGTGTGCCGTGATAACCGTTCGAATTGCCATCGTGGGAATTGATAACTTTATGTGCTTTTATAAAAGTAGTATAAAACACATTCTGTGTCGAGGGTAGATGATATATTGTACATATGCCCTGCATGTCATTCGTGCGGTTTTCCAAGTTTGGTGCGTTCTTCTTTTTTTTTCGAATCCAACCAATCGCGGGTTTCCCCCATCATGCAAAATTCTCTAGCAGGTTATAAGTACTCCATACCAAGACTCGGGATTCTTGTCATTATAGAATCATCTGGTGAGGATGCCATGGAAATTGAACTGACAGTACCATCCATATCATTGACAATTGAAACTTCCACATGCTGATATGCGAACAGGTCCCGGGGGATTCCCGTCTTAGTCACGATGCATTATTTTGTGCAATTTATAATTTAAGGCATTTGTACTTACATGTGCAGTTATACATATGTGCGCTCTACAATTTATATTCTACCAACCCTTTTCACCCAAATATCCAATTTGCCCCTGATAAACTTGCACTATCACATTCGAATCCACTCTCTAACCCCTTAGTTAGCGCCACTTCTCAGACCAAATCCCAATACGTTTTTTATGTTTGCTTTTTCTTAACTATCAGCCAATGTTTCTTATGTAAACATTTTGAAGAAGTGTCAAAGTCATAATTTACCGTCAAAAATTGAAACAAATCTGTCTTCGAGCAATTGGAGCGATATGACGCTCCGCTGCCTTGCAAATAAGACGTGGTGGAGAATTGATTGGTTGCCATGCAATCATGCAGTCCACGTTGTACGGAGTACTCCATGATCACCGGGTGCTCCACCCCCCTTGCTTGCAACATTACAATGATCGGAGTTGCGGTGACAAGCTTTGTTTGATTCTACGTAATGTCATTTTGGTCTGATAAGAGTCTAGAACTGTGCCAATACGCCGTTCATTTGCAATTCTATGATATAAATTATAAAACCAAGGTCATATTAGGGAATAGATATCATTGACATAAAGAAAACTAGAATGGGGTATCATAAAATCAGACAGAACAAATCATACTATACAGAACGGCGATAGATATTGGAGGCCGTCCTTCGTGAAGTCACTCGTCGTAACTCTTCCTTCTGGCACTGCTGACCAAAAAATGTCGGAGTAAGAATGATTGACACAATCACTGTTGGGGGAACTCTCCCCGGTAACAACGACGGTGACTGAACGTTGAACAACATTTCCCCCATCCCAATGAGAGAGATAGCCTCTCTGGCGAAGAGTATCGAGTTGTTCGACAAGCAGTGGATATAGTTCGTGCAGCGAGGTCTTAGCATCAAGCATCAAAAGGAAAGTCCGAGACGAATCAGGTTGAGAGGAAGTGGGCTCATTATCATTAGAGGGCGATTCGGCAACATCGTCCAGTTTCACCAGCAGCGGGTCGAAGCCGAATCGGCCAAGGAGAACCCCAGAGTCAGGCCCGGCGACCGCGTTGCCGATTTGTAGCTCATTGTCATGCATCCAAACGGCCGTTCGTAGACCATCGCATCCCCCAGCGAGAGAGGACTCAAGCGCATGCGGTCGCGTGTCGAGTGTGGGGAAAGTGCAAGCACCAGTCTGTGGCCGTATATGGATTTGTGGAGACGAGAGCTCGTGCGGGAGTGATTTTGTATTGACGGGTAGGAAACGAATTAATTGGAACACAGCTCTGTAAAGAAGAATTAGCACAGTTATTTTCAGACTGCTCACGAGACCAATACTCACAAGCACCCTATCAGTAGACATCCAGCACGGAGGAAACTTTTCTTCCGCTTTCCAATGGACTCGTCTAGATAAGCCCCAAGCCCAGGAATGCACTCTGTCGGATAAGATCGTAGAGGGTGATCATCGAGAAGCCAAGGGTCATATTCGAGTCTATTGCTTTCGAGGTCAAGGGCCTCCATCAAGTATTCCTTCTCAGATCGAATCGCTTCCATAGCTGCAAGGCTCGTATAGGGGCTGAACCTGAGAAAATTCAAGGTATTAAGTCTCGCAGCGCAATAAGAGGAAATGCATGGTATATAAGCCCATAGCCAAGACGTGAGGGGACATCGCGCAATTGTGCAGCGAATTGCGAGAAGCACGCAATCTTCATTGGCGATTGCAAAGTTCGGATCGTCGAGAGTTCCCGCAAGGCGGTCTCACTTTAATCACACGCATTCTTGGGATCGAGGGAGGCTTCCCATATGGTTCCATAACGGTAAGCCGTAGGAAAATGAGGCTGAACAGGGGATATCATGGAGCTGGCGCGTGGTTATGATGGACCCCAGCCGAACCTTAGAAATCACACCCGATTACGTTATCCTCGGCACTTATTGCAAGCTTTGTCGGGCCGTTTCACCCAGATCAGAGGTAACAAGGATGTGATTGACTTGGAAGTCTTTAGATTAAAATTGAAATTAGATACGCTTGAATCGCTATGAAATCTTAGCGAAAGCCAACAGTTTACTTTCACACCTCACATGCTGCACTAACCTGATTTGGTCTACTCCATGCATTTTACAACCAATCATACTCGTTCCCTTCAACGTCTATCTGAAATGGACCAATCACACGGCCACAGCCTTGCATATGTAGGTATGTACTTTGTGTAGAATATTCTGTTTCCATTCAAATATTTGTATGACCTCCTTTTAAGTTGAAATTCATTCTTGAATTTCACAATCAGTCCAAATTTACCGCATGCTTGCTGTGCTTCCGAATCTGAGGACCATAAATATAGAGCAAGTACGGGATGACCGCCATCACCGCACTGATAGATCCCAGTATGGTCAATGTATAGTGGGCGCCAATTGATTCATAGATTGGACCTCCTGCAACCGTCACACCGCCAGCCACAACATATCTGGTGAACACAAGGAAACCCAAAGCGGAAGCAGAGTACACATCATAGGCATCGATGATGTACATATACGCCACAATGAAAATCGACATGATTCCATAGCCAAACAAAACAGAGGCAATAAGAGGAGACCATATCGAAATTGAAGACTGTATATAACGGATTAGTGATAGCAAAACAGATTTGAATAGAACTCACGTAGCTGGTCCAGCCCATCCAAAATAAACTGATAGGCACTGCAGGTGCACCACCGAGCATTGCATACCAAAGACGCGTCTCGGGAAGAATACGCCCTGTCTTTTGATACTCCTTCGCGGTCCAGGAGTACACCAGCGGAACAGTGCAGCCAGTCAAAACAATACCCACAAGCATGCCCGCCCAGGCGACGTTAGTCAGCCCTAACGATAACCCGTAGGTCTCGCCAAAGACGTAGGTGTATCCTTCCAAGAAAGTGAAAAGAACAATGTACACCACAGTGAGGTAGACAGACATCAAGATGATAATCAACTCAGTATAACTCCACAAGAAGGGTCTATAAATGGCCGTTAAGAGGCGGCGGCCAAGGGTCTCACTCCTCAATTCCATAGGTGCTTTGTATCTTAGATCACCAGTTTCTTTCCTCAGAACCGAAGCTTTCCAATGTAGTAGAAGATTTCCATACGTCTCCGGTTGCATGAGAACAACCAGGATGAGAATCGCGCCTCCCATGATCAGCATGAGCCATTCGAGCCAACGCCATCCTAAGGTGGTGGGCACGTAGCTGCCGATAATCTGTCCAACCATAGGACCAATGAATGCTGGAATGGCATAGACGGGGAATGCGTATGCCTTTTGTACTGGATTCCACAAATCGGCAACCGTCCCACCAGCGCAGCTGAGAGGCGTGGAACCGAAGAAGCCGGCGAAAAAGCGGAAGATAAGGTGGCTGTGGAGGTTCGGGGCGAGAGCAGACGCCATGATGAAAATCAAGAAAACGAGCATCGTGATCAAGTATACTGCGTTTCTCCCAAAGGTCTCTGAGAACGGGCCTGAAAGTAGCGAGCCGACTCCAAAGCCGACAAGGAAGAGGCCTAGTCATACATATTAGACAGTTTTATGGTTACAGTAATCACTTCGGCTGTCACTTACCTGTCGCGAGGGATCCGACAACTTCTGAAACATTGAAGTAGTCACTGTACTGCTTGACACCACAGGCGTCGATTGCTGAAGCCGCTGTAACTGCAAACGCAATTCCGGACACCAAAAGAGTCATAAATAGTTTGCGCGAGACGCTGTAGTTTGCAGGATTCAGGGGATCATCTTTTCCATCCCAGCCCACAATGATCACTGAATCAGTGGTGATTTCTTGCGTTGCAGCTGCTGACGACTCTTTGTTTAACGATGGGAGTTGAGGATTGCTCAACTGCGAGCTAAACTTGAAGTAAGCACAATTATCCAGACTAATCGCAATCGACATGCATATAAAAAAATCATAACTAACGTACCTGTCGTTAGAACCAGGCACATTTGTAGCACTGTCGACATATTTCTCGCTGGATAATTGTTCCCTGACAGCGTGCTGAATCCGCTTGTATTGGAAGTAGGATTCCATTCTGCCAGGTCACAGCAGTCCTTCAACGGCGTTCTAAGAGGAAAGATGCAAACAGAAACGATAAGCAGCCTTCATAGGACTCTCGAATTTTCAGCCCATTAACGGGCAATGGCTCCACAGACAGAATTTGACCCATAAAGACAGACGAAGTCTGGATTGGCAGCCCCACAAGCTGATTAGAAACCCCCTTTCTAGCCGTCTAATTCTTGGGTGGTTTTATTCCGTAGTTTGCTCTGCGTTGTACAATAATTGTAGAAACCATTGTCAAGAAGTGGTTTATCCTCGGCCTACGTCCTTTCCGGTGTCATCAGATGTAAAAGACCCACAAAATCAAAAAAGAAAAACGCACAAGCGAATTGTGCAAATTGAGTTCCGGTCCGACGTTCCTAAAGAACCGGACACCTTAAGCTTTTTGTTTCGGCTTTTCCGCGGCTTTCGGCAAGCCTTTTCTTTCCCCCTGCAACCCTTTTGTGGAGCCATTGTCAATGTCCTTTGGGTCTTCATAGTTGAACTTCACAATGCGTAAAAAAGATATTAGAAATGTTGAAATAATATCCTTGGCAGCATGATTGATGTATAATTAACACAACCTTCAAAATACGCCGTGTCTAAAAGGTCTCTAAACACGTTAAACACGTCGCATTGCATCAAACATAGGTTTAGTAAATATTTTAAAAATCATTTCTCACAACCTTGCTTGCGGCTTCTCATCTCCTGGAGTACCGGCAAATATCTTGTTCTGGGAGCTCTCCAGTCGGGTTGAAGTAGACTCGAACAGGCGCGGTAATCGAGTATGTCCGTAGTCAACATCATTGAGTATCATTGTTGCCAAACCCTCCGCAGCGAGGAAGATCTGCGGCATCCCATGCCCAGTGAACCCCGCAAGGATGTATTGATCTTTTTGTCCTGGGACATGACCCACATGTGGGAGTCCATCTGACGAGTAGCCCATGACTATTTAATATACCAATATCAGTATGTATCATTGCGAAAGGTCAGAGAGAAGGAAGGGAGAACATACTTCCCGTCCACACCCTATCGGTGTAGGCATGACTGGTTTCCCAACCAACAAAGTTTCTCTGCATGTAGTTATCCCAGTATCTAACAGCAGGCTCGAGTACCCGACTGTCATCACTGATATTGTACCAGCTGTCCAGATTATCGATGAAAGCAGGTCGGGCTCCTCCGACAACAATACTACCATCAGCGCGCGGAATGAGGTAATCATAATGCCAGTTGTTCCAGCGAAGTGTATATGTTTTAGTCAACTTCGGCGCCAAAGTACCAGGCGGAGAGATGATGCGGCAACATGTTCCACGGACAGGAATTATTTTCTCCTTGTATTGCGGAGCCAGAGAGGAGGTGTATGCGTTTGTTGCCAGAACCACCTTTTTAGCTGAGGTTAAGCCTCGAGCGGTGTTCACGGTCCAAGAATGAGTCGATGCCGAATCAGTGCACTTCGTGATCTCAGATACTGGGGTATGCGTTTGCAGATTCACACCTCGTGCAACAGCCTTCTTCAAAAGATGGAGCACGAATTTGTACGGCCAAATGTGGCCCGCTTCATATGTGAAACAGCCCTGAGCACCTTTGACTCCGGAGAACTGGCCAAAGATTAGTTATGAATATCAGAAAATATTTGAGATGTAATCACTTGTTCAGCTTCTTCCTTGCCAATATATGTTGCTTTGTTTGTGGGCTCACATCCATTCTCAATCAAGTTTTCGTATCCATCCTTGAGCCTCGCAGAATGATCCTGAGATAATTGGACATCAATTGCTTCAGTGACAGAATAATCGCAGTCAATATTCTCTTTGGCGACAAAGTCTTTCAGATACGAGACATGTTTGGCTTCAAAAGCCGCAACTTCTGCCGCGGCCTCAACACCATGCTCATTTGCCAAGCCAGCGATGCCATTATATATATCGGGCTTCATATGGCCCCCTATATGGACAAGAGATCTTTCTTAGCAGCGTTAAGGTTGAATCTAGATATTTTGATCTCACCATTTCGACCAGTAGCACCAGAACAAGCCTGCCTCGCCTCCAAAATCACGATTGAAGGAGGCTGAGATCCTGGACTGATTTGACTAAGAATATGGTGTGCAAGCGAAGCGCCTGCATATCCAGCGCCTATGATGACAATATCGCATTCGTTGGGAAGCAACTCAGTAGACCGATGGCTATCCAGAGCGTGCGGCTCTGTTCGCCAGAATGATGTCATTCCATTTGGGACAGGGAGGTGTTTCGATTGCATTTTTCGATGTCAAAGCTATTCGCGGGCTTGGTAGAAAGGTAAATTACATATGTGGAAATGCTATTTAATGTTCTTTGACTAGCAGAGGGCGTGTGTGCCTCTCCCGGCGGCTTTTCCACCGGCGATGGTTCCGGTCTGACTCCGCTGATACGAAGGCACCTGGGCAATCATGAGCTTTGAATTCAACACTACACACTGCGGGGTATCTTGGATATTTTGGATATCTGGCAGATATGATTAACAAAATGAGTTGTACTGACACTTCCAAATATTAATATGAAACCTAGCGAATACAAGAGATTTGCTGACCGTGCCCTGCGTGGCCTCCTTCACCTTTCTGTGGCCATGGGAATTGGTAAATTAACATTCATTGTTAAGACCAGAACTAGACCACATATTAAGTACTACTTCCTTGTACTTGAAAGAGAGGTGCAAAAAGAGGCGTAAAACATGGTGTGGAAAGAGATATAAAGAGAGGTAACAAAAGATATAAGGAATTCTAATTTTGATACATTGAAAGTCCACTCTGCTTGGCCTAGAGAAGGATAACGGGGATTTGAGCGAAAAAAGGAACATTAGAAATAATAAAGCCGAAACAGTATCTTTGGATATTGTTTACGGGAAAGTTATGTGTATATAACTATCCTTGGGATCCCAAAGCTTTGCTAAATAACAAAGCTCTTGAATGGGCGAAGCTAACTGCAAGCGCCCACCTCTCCTACTCATGGAAAGCTATACAAAAGAACTTAAGACGAGGCTTGATGCGCAATGATCTTGTCAGCCATCCCTGGCAACGTATCATCCATCACATCCATTTCTCCAAACAACTCTGAAAGTGACTCCTTCTCCCACACGGAGCAATATGCGCCCTTGAATCTAAACCGCTGATGTGTCAGTAATCGGTTATGCGAGTTGAGCTCTTCTGGACACGATACATACCCAGCCTTTCTAGCCGCAGAAACATCCCACATATGCGCCGCTGCAAACCACGGCGTCCTCCCATCATTCTTCGACTTAAGCTTCTCCAACAATGGGCGATAAGCCTCCAGATCGGGCTTTCCAACACCCGCATCATCACAAGAAAGAAGATTCTCCGCAGGAAGCTCCACGCCGGCATTCTTGAAATAGCCACCAACGCGATTGATATCCGCTGCCGTGAACGCCCAAACCGTGAAACCAGCATCACGAAGCTTCTGAACACACTCTGCAGCACCAGCACGGAATTCAAGGAGCTGGTACTCCTTCATAATGTATTCGAGGTCTTCAGGCGAGGCCCACTCCCGCGGCTCGGCGATGCCAGCCATCCAGAGCATACGATAGAAAAGGGCACGGAAGACCTCGCCGAATGGGACATAGCTTTGCGCGAGACTGAGATTGGTGTACTCGCGCTCGGCAGCTTCCATCCATGTAAATCCTAGGAGGCGGGGCTTGATGCCCTCTGCGCGCAATCGGTCCCCAAGACGGGCGTCGAGGGCATCGAAGACATGATCGTACGCCACCAGGGTTCCAACAATGTCAAACACGACGTGCTTAGAGGACATTGCTGTGGTTGGGGATTGGGATTTGTTTATCTTGAAATTGGAGAAGAAAAGCGATTAATCAAATGTGTGCCTCGGAGACCGATCAACTTCAAATGTTACTTCAAATGTTATCTTAGGATAAGGTGATAAAGAAGATATAGGGAAAAGATCAGATGAATAGAAACAATGAGTCGCTCATTTGTTGTTCTTTTAACTTATCTCTATGAATCATTCTATCAATGCCCAGATGTATACCCCGCTCCGGTTATGTCCAGTGCCGGTGGGAAGTCCACGATCCCACCGGGAGCTTGAACCAGATACTAGATAGACAATTGAGATATGAATTGAGTATAGAAGCATTGAGAGGTATATGTAGGGATGGTAAGGTCTCGATTGTAAGCAATTGAAGCCACCGATTGCCAACAGTATGAACGAACCTCCGATGGAAATTTCGAAACACGATGCAGATCTTAAAAGATGTGACGCAAACGATATTGAGCGAACAGCTACTGCAGGAACTGAAAAAAATGGCAGCATTACCATTCTCTCAGTGGGCGATGATGCTGGATACCATCGTTCCTTGACGAGGCGCCAAATTATGATGATGACCTTTGGAGCGGGTATTGGGACAGGACTTTGGGTAGGTACTGGACAAGCCCTACATTATGGTAAGTAAGAACATCATATTCCCTCCAACCTTAGATGAGATTGTCGCTGACTATGAGCAGCGGGTCCTGCTGGCACGGCCATCACCTATACCATCACTGCGTAAGACATAACATCCCAAGTCGCTTTATACACGGAACTGAATTGCCCTCCAAAGCATGATTGTGTATGCTCAGTATTCATCAATCGGCGAGATGACTACATACAAGCCTATCCATGGTGGATTTATACGACAGTGCGCCGAATACGTCGACCCAGCATTCGGCTTTGCAATTGGTGTCAACTTTTGGTTTGCGGTATGCCATCATCTATCATAAAATGAACTCCTAAACTGACAACTAAACAAGTGGGTAATGATTATTCCAGCAGAGATAACAGCAGCTATATCCGTCCTCAAGTACTGGCCAGAAACCGACGTGATACCACTGGCAGCATACATCACTATGTTCCTTGTTGTCATAGCTTTCGCGAACATGTTCCACGTTCGAGTCTATGGCTATATCGAGTATTATATGTCGTTCGTCAAGTGTCTTGCCGTGGTGTTGATGATTTTCTTCATGTTCATCATGACTTCCGGAGGGATCCCTGCAACAAACGGCCCTATCGAGTTCACATACTGGAAGAATCCCGGAGCCTTTAACAACGGAATCAAAGGCATCGCAAAGGCATTCGTGCAAGCGGCCTTCAGTTTCGGTGGTGGTATGTGATCTCGCGAGAACCTCATGAAACCCTACTGATTGCATTTTTAGGTGAACATATTGCTGTGATCGCCGGTGAGGCCAAAGATCCCCGACAGACTATCAAAAAGACAGTCCGACCAATCTTCTGGAGAATGTTCACATTCTTCGTGGTTAACATCTGGCTGGTTGGAATGTGCGTACCATCCAACGATACAGATCTTGTGAATGCAAGCGGAACTATGGGAAGTCCCTTCGTCATCGCCATTAAGCGAGCAGATGTATACGGTCTCGCTCATGCGATCAACGGTTTTATCTTTCTTAGCGTGATTAGTTGTGGGATCACCAGTGCCTATATCGCCAGTCGAAGTCTCACAGCGCTATCAGATCTGCAGATTATCCATCCATTTTTCGGAAAGAAAGACTCGCAAGGTCGTCCTTGGGTGTCGCTGGTTATTAGTTTGGGGCTCGGTGGTGGGCTTTGCTACCTAAACACCAACAGTGTAGGCACGTTGGTCTACGGTTGGTTTTCCGCGTTGGTAAGGATTTCAAATAGGATGAAGAGTTATTCGCGATGCTAAAACTTCTCTCCAGGTGGCTATCGCGACACTTTTCCAATGGGCCTCAATTTATATCGCTCATCTTCGCTTCCGGCAAGGTCTCCGAGCACAAGGCAAAGATCTTAGCACGCTTCCTTTCAAAGGCCTTCTTACTCCATGGGTCCAATACTTCGGGCTTCTTATCGTACTGTTTGTCTTCGGTTGTGAATTTTACTTGGCTTGTTGGCCTTTCGGAGAGAAGGGCTCGGTGAAGAGCTTCTTTTCTTCATACTTGGCCGCTCCTCTGTTCTTCTTTGATTACTTTGTATATAAGGTGAGACTCCTAGTCCATGATAAGATGGTACACACATCTAACTATCGCAGTGGTATTACAAAACCAAAATTGTCAACCCGATTGACATGGATTTTGGCCCTGCGAGAGCCTTCGATGAGCAGGATCTTGTGAACGCCATTGCTACCGAGAGCTCGGATCAGAAACCAGAGAAAAACGAAGCAAAGACATGGATCAAACGTATTCAGTACATGGTGCTTGGATAAAAGATAGGGAAGCAAAAACTGTAGCTCACGCGCTTGGCCGAATTGAACATTATCAAATTATTTGGACAATAGTGAAAGAATATTAGTATCAAAGTCGAGATCACCATTGGACCATTCAGGATCAAAAAAGCCTGGCATATCATTCAACTGGGGGTTCGTAAAACCGTCTGTTCCAGTCGTGAGGTGTGACAAGGGACTAAAAGACGCGAGCTCCAAATTACCACTCGTAGACCTGTCTTTCTTTATTGACTGGGTCCAGTCCTTAAATTTCGAATAGGCAGAGGTTGGACTCTGTCCATAATCTGGCTGAGGAGCGGCCTCATCAACAGGGGTGGCTAAAAGTTGATTGATAGCTCCTTCGATAGATTCAATGTATGAGATCTCAGATTCAGAGGAACTTCCTCCAACCATTTGACGAATGAGAGCCATTCCACGATGTAAGCCATCTTGAAGTCTCTGTGATTTGCCGGAATTGAGACTTTCTGCTAGAATGACAAGTAAAGCCGCTCGACAAGCACCGAATTCGTTGTAGGAACCGCGACATAGACCGACGTGGTCTGATAGGGATTGAAGAGTATTTAGAATGTCCAAGGCGCTTGCCACGCAATCGTCCACGAGAACTGAACGACGAGATTGGCCAGAATCAAGATCGGCAGTAGATGTGTTGTCACTCCCGGATCCCTTTTTATCGTTGATAAATATGAATGGGCGGCCCATGTAGACATATATCAAGAGATAGCATAGTCTCAAATGTGAGTTTTGCCGAAAGAGTGGGCATTGAGAGCATAGATCACGGCATTCTTCGGTGGCTGGTAAAGTGTCCCACCACCCCTTGATACTAGTTCTGAGACGTAAAAGTCGCTCTGAGTATTCTGAGAAAAGCCTCTTAGGACATCTCTTAAATTGTGCACTTTTCAGTATTAGCTCATTGTCCATCACACCGCTGCCAGCTATAATCACTCACAGTGCTTCGGAAACCTCTCCCAAATAAGAAATCAGAGTATGGAATGCCATCATATTGGCAAATCTTGGAGACTCAAACGTGGGGCAATCTGTTGGCTTATCGGCGTTGATTTCTGATCGTGCGATCGAGATGGGGCGCCCATGCATTATACTGACATACCTAAAACATGTTAGGCGCAGCCGCAGAAAGGGAGAATAGTGAGTAGCTTACTTCTCAACAGTATATGCCGTCCAAAACAAGCGGTTCCTCGTTTCAATAGTCCTTGAATCACACTCTCCTCCGGCATACTTGCGATGCATGCCATTCTGGATTGCCATCTTCATAGCAAGTCCATAGTAGGTGTATGCGAGGCCCCCCGTGGAAACAGGAAGTGAGTATGTCGCAAGAAGCAAGAACACCTGTACGCTTTCATGTGAAGCAACGAGGAGGACATCTGGAATGAGCTTGCATGCCACGTGATAGAAGATCAACCCGACTGAGTCTTCGGAGCACAAGTTGAGTTCGTCAGTGGTGTCTGCATCGGGCTTTGAAGCTTCGTCTTCCATATGTGCGACTTGGGTCCCAATCGCCAGAACAACGAAAACCGAGCATACCCAAGGGAAATCACTAGCTGTGTACGTCGTGGTGGAGCTATAGCAAAGGTCTACCTTCTGCTGGATCCATCTGCGCTCCATATAAAAAGAGTTAATCTCAACATATTTGAAAAACATAGTGATCAGGAAATCGGCGATAGGTCTCGGTGGGAGCTGCTCCATTGAATCGGCGATAATTTGTGGTGATGATTGAAGTTGAGTCGGTCGCCAGTATTCCTTGACCTTATCGCACATTGTCAGAAACATGAAATGAGAAATGAGTTGAGATCACTAACCGGCGCGTCAAGCTGGTTGATTTGGCAGCTCATCTTGCGACGCAACTTTTTGGAGAAATTCCAATGCGAGAATTCCCCCGAGTAATGCGCAACATTATTGGAGACAAAATGAACATCGAAAGACTCGTTGATATCCAAGGCAGCCTCCGGCTGGGTGTTTGTCGTCGGACTTTGCAATTTGTCTGCAATTCGACCAATATTTTCTTCATCCAAAGGCACATTTCCAAGAAAGTGCCGTGCAATTTGTTCCAGGCTCTGTATTCGTTGCTTATCTCTCGAAACGGAGGCGACGGGGGTGGAAGAAGGAGGCGTCATTGCCCTTAGAATCGGTTGACCTTGAAAGTGACATGGCCGGCCTAATCGCTGACATCTCCAGCACGGCTGTCCACCTTCACACTTCTCTTTCTGTTTTCTGCATGTTTCGCACCTGTCGTCTCGTCAGTGTCGGCGAGACGCCGATCAGTGAAATGCACTTACGCCAATGAAGCCCGCCTCCTCTCCCCCCGTTTGCGTTTGGTCCCCTGGACCACTTCTTGTCCTGGTGACATAGCTAATTTCAATGTGCAGACATAAAAGAGAGAACAATCTTGAGTGGAATATGCTTATCTCTCTTATCATGCGCCAATCTAAAATGCGGGGTAGGGTCTCGACCAATCAAGTTACGTGCACCTATTCGGTTCCATGTATATAGTCGGATGCTATTCTGACCTGGCCAATATAAATGTGCGAAACACTCTGTATTTTGTTATCCCTGGTTCTAGCAGTTTGCAGGGATCTAAACATAACTAATAAGCGATGAACACCTAGGTACATAGTGGATACCCTTCTGGAAATTCACCGACATATATAAATCCAAACTTTCTAAGTCGTCTCATTCATTTTCATCAACCAGAAATAGGAGAGCTTTTCGTGTATTACATTTCCCTTCTGATATCCAATCAGCCGTATATATGCTTGCACAATTGCACAGATAATCTAGGCCAGCTTGGAGTTAATCCAATCAAGGTAAGCACCGACCCGAATATCAATTTTAGGGTAGCCCGCCTGGGCACATCCTTTACCGTGGGAGATAACCCCGACCAATGTACCGGTTTTATCCGCCACCGGGCCTCCTTGATCGACCCCACAGGCACAAGCTCCCTTGCCACCGTCGTTAACTCCAACACAGATTTCATCATCTGTAACAGGAAAAATGCCCTTATAATTCGATTGGCAAGGTTGAAGACTTGCAGTTCTCACCCATGTAGTTCGCAGTGTGCTTGTAATGGAATTGGCTCTATCAGAAGTCGGTCCCTAGCCGAAAAGCTGAACTGCGGTGTTCTTCTCAAGCGTGTTGTTGTTTGCTGGCAGTTGTGCTGGCGTAACTGGTGTAGGATTCGGTCAAGGTGACCAATGCAAGATTTTTTTCGAGTGAGGTAGCATTGTAGTCGGGTGGAGATCAATAGAAGACAGAACAATCATGGTTTCACCACTGGCATGCCGAAGTGAATCAAGTCAGACTTTCAGACTTGTCGTTGGTTTACCCTCAACGCAACATGCTGCGGTAAGCACGTGTCTCGGGCTAGTCAAAGTCCCACCGCAAAAGATACTGGTTCTCGACAATCCGACAACAAAAGGACCCTGGTCCTCGGTTGCCTCTGTGCCACCGACGATGGCATTTGCGGACCTGGTGACGGTGAGGAGGAGAGAAGCAAGTGACAGGATATGCATGATGCAAAGGCTCTTCGTTTTCGGGAATTGTAACAAATGGTTATTTGGCTCAGTACTCCACAGATAAGGAAATAGTAAAAGCAGCTGTTGTAGAAAAGTCCAGGGGTATGAAGAGATTCAAATAACTTGCCTAGGTAGAGTAGGGCTTTTGCTTGCGTCGAAATATGTACGATCAAGTTTGCATCTTCCTCGATCTGTCTTGAATCTGGGCGATCATAGTCGATCCATCATAATATTGCATAGCTGATGGTTCTCATCCCCCCTTGCTCCATATCACCTCTCAAATAAATCAACCACTCAGGTTCTGATTCAAGTTGAATCAATAAAAAGTGGGTCTCGAGGTCTTCTCAAATCTTCCACCTAAACACTTTGGAACATCCATGGACCCTGACACGTTCCAAAGGGTTGGAAAGCAACACCAAGATAGTCTTCGCACAAACGGGCCAATTCAACCCTGCAGTGTATAGTTACTCAGTGATTCATTTCATGTGAGAAGTTCTACAAACCTTATCTAAGACAGATCGACGCGACTAGCGATATCATGTTGATCTTTCGATAGACTCACCTTTCCACAGATCATGAGTGGAGTCGGTTTCATCTATATAAACCAAAAGTGGATCATAGCTAATCACTTTGCCGCGCTCGCAGACACTTGACAGGTGAAATTGAACGAAAATGATATAGCTCATTCCTCTTCGGTCTAATAGGGCTGGATTGGTGGATTTATCAGGTGTCTATTTATTCTGTAGAATGACAGGATTTTATTTTGCGGGCATAATTGTGCGAGTCTAGATCTGACTTCAAGGGTCCAATTACCACTACAAAGTCCTAAGATCTATACAACTATATTCTGACACTGACAGTGAATCTCATCAAATTTGTTTAACGTAATGCAGCGTTTGCCTTTGCTCTCTTGGACTACATATCTACATTTATGTATATCTATCTGCTATGCCTCCTCAGCTATAGGTAGAGCCTCTCTTCAGACTAGAAAGGTTTCTCTTGAAGTTCTCCTGTTTAAAGATGAGATTTGTATTATTGGATGAAAGGGAAGCATGATTGTATTAATATGAATTTACTAGCCTTTTCTCTAAGATCATTCCATAGTTGTATGGATCTTAGTGTTTTTTTTATTTCATAATCCATGTATTCAGGTCGAATTAAACTCATTGTTACAGCCCAAATCAATTATGTTTCGATAACGGAGACCCTGTCTGGATTCAAAATTATGAAGCATCATTCCATTTCACTTAGATCCCCCGCTTCATGGGCCCAAGTTTACCCATCAAGATTTATAGACAGCAGCGGCCCAAGCGAACAACACCGAGCCAATTGCGCCGAAATCTTTTATGTTTAAGACTCACTCAGGCATTTGATATGTTCTTCAAATACTTAAGGTTGGCACAAAGCTGATTTGTTTTTCATTGCAAGATATAAGTTGAGATTTCACACGACACAGCCTCATCTGCATGCCCTCGGTGACAGTAGTACCAACACGGTTCTCCGTCTATGTGGGCACGGCTTGAGGCCACCCTCGCTCTGGATAGGTCACAAGACGGAAGTGGATAATGTAGCTGCTTCAATGGAAAAGGGTAATGGCCATGGATCTCTATTGTGTCATCTCGAATATTTCATGGGATATTGGTTCTATATTAGCATAAAATCAGCATCTCAGGATAGTGAGTTTCAATGGAACTTTGGCTCTATATGACTTGATCCTATTACATGACTCCTTCTTTGTCAAGAATTGTGCTGATTTCCATTGAAGACCAATATTTCTAGGATTTGCACATATTGCGTAAATCTCTAAGCATAGCATGGCTCATATATCGTAGATCATCATATCTGTATCACTTCCTCACAGACCGGGAGTCTGAGCTCCTTCCCCGATTCCCATCAACCCACCAGCAAGCCCATTCATCCTCCGATCCAAGATATCCTCTTCACTATCCAAAGAAGCAATACTGCGACCGCGAGGACGAACCGCACCCGGACTTACCGGTGCACTATTCGTCTCATCATCATCAAACGGATCCCCACGGCCCGCTCTCTCCAAGTATTGGAGCTTGGCCATGAAATCATCCTTGGCCTTGCCGTCGTCTCCTAGCGACGTGAAGCCCTTAAACTGCGAGGAAGCAAAGGACGAACGTGATCTTCTTCGGCGCGTGCGGTGTTCGGGCTTCAATGCCCCCTCGCTGCCATTTAAGTTGACCTTGCTCATACTCATTTCCAGAGGCTTGTCATCATCGGCGGATGATTCGCCCGTCAGGGTTCGATGATGATTGCGCCCTGCCATTGGAGAGGTGTCTTCATGATTTGCAGATCCAGACCATTTCAGAGATATATGTGGTGCCTCGTCGCCCACTGAATCAGCCATGAAGTTGTCTGTCTTAATCCCTTGAAACATAGTATCCAGCCACTCGGCGCTGCGGTGGATATATTTCCATGCGTCCGGGAAAAAGCCGGCCATTTGCATGAATCCATGGGACACGCCTGGAATCAGGGAGATCTCAACGTAGTTCTTCTCGTTGAAGGGGCGCGTGGATCTCTCTAATCCTAGGTCCTGGCGCTCACGGAACTGGTGCAGTTTTGCTTGACGAATCCTGCCTGCGAAGATTACTGTATCGTCGACGAGAGGGTCTCGCTCTCCGGTCATGATGTATGTCTTTGGGAAACGGGCGAGTAGGGCATCCGGAGCCAGGACAGGGGATAGGAGAAAATCCGTGTTGAAATCAGGACGATGGTGGGGTCCGATATATAGGATAATCATTGCACGTGTCATCTCGGGTGTGAGAATGCGATCATGGACATATGTGATCATGGACGAGACGGCGAGTCTAGTCTTGATCGGCTGGACATCGTCTTCCGCTTTAGGGGGAGACGTTGAGCCCAGCTCTTTGTTCTTCCTGATTTTCTTTTCCAATGACTTGGCTGCCTCGGTGGCTACATTGGGCTCTTTATTGTTTGCCTTCTCTGGGGGTGATAACGCAGTCAAATCCTCGACTGAGTGACCGGGAGATGTGAAGGGTGTGAGCTTGCGGTATTGATCCTGCTTTCGCTGGAGGACGCTGCGATTGGTTTGTCGAGAACTTTTATCTTGGATTAAAGACATCTGTTCATCGCTCATCCAGCTTTCAACTCTCATGTTCAAGGCGGGATATCCTAGCACAAGACCGTCCGGCGCCGGGAGGACATCCTCGCCACGCCATCCCTGGGACATAGAAGACTGCAAGATCATTAAAGTCATTCCAACAGCTAGGTTTCCACCAGCACTCTCGCCAGTAACCATAATACGAGGTTGAACCTTCCCCTCAAGGCCCATGCAACGTCCATTCGTAGCAACAATACTATGGTAAACATCATAGCATTCATGCAACGCATATGGATAAGCATATTCCGGTGCTTTTCTGTAATCGACGCTGATGATGGGAACCTTGAGTCGACCGGCCCAGGAAAGAAGTTTGTCCTCTGAATTCCTGGGACTCATGGCCACAAATCCGCCGCCAGGAACATCCAAAACAACGAGTGTCTGCCGTCTCAGCTCACTGAGCGGACCGTCAAAGTACAACCACGCATTCACAGGCTCAGTGTAGACAGACTGTGCCGGACGAGGTATTCTGATGGCCCGAGCTGGATAACCCGTCATCCGGGGGCGTAGTAATCTTGCCAAATTCCACAAGTACGGGCTTGTAGCTTTGTTCCAAGACACACGCAGATGCTCCAGCGTGAGAGTAGCCCGGACTCGACGGACTTTCTCATCGGCTTGTTCGGCAGCGATCAAATAGTAGACTGTGAAGACCAGCGACGCGATATCCCGGAGCCATTTTGGTTTTATGTTCATCGCAGTCCAGAATCCAGCATCTAGCCCGGTTGTGATCCATGTCGCTCGAAAGAAGGACCGCGAATACATGTTTGCTAATGGCTCTGGGCATTCGAGACCGACGATCTTGGCGAAGTTTCGGCTGAGGTAGAGCCACAGGAATATGATGACTGTGGTCTGCCATGTTGTCAACTTGCCCGTGAGTCGAGACGAGAGTTTTCGGATGAATGGTGGGCCATGTTTATCTGCTCTGTTCCATGTTCAGCGATCTCCCTTTGTGAGTGTAGTAGGTTGAATTCGCAACGGACTTCAGTAAATAAACCGACCAGAAGGAGACTACTGCAAATACTTGGATCTTGCGGAAGCGGGTCGAAGGTCTCCCCAAGACGTGGTCTGGCTATTCATTAGTTTAGTTCTCGGCAAGTGGAGGGAGTTGCATACCTATCATTTCTCTAAGGTATGAGTCTCGCCGGCTCCTGTAATCTATAGGAACCCAAGATAAGAATGCATGAAGGTTGATTCCATGTCAACGTAGGATTCATTAGGCCCAGCCACATCGCTTAGACCTGAACAGTCAATGAGAAACAAAAGAGTCGTCATTGGTGATCGCCGGATCACATGTGAGAATCGCATGTGATAGTGAGCTAGCTGATCACGAGACTCTCCAACACAACCTTGGGGATATCCACGCATAATTACGTACATATTGATCTTCTACATTCTCCTGTTTATACTTATGCTGGTGATCGTATATGCTTGTATATTCTCATGAAATATACATCTATGTTTTCTGTCGGCAAAAGTCCCGTCCATGTCCAACTTGCCAGTTGCATAACCAGACCTCCCACCCCATACTGAGAAAGCCTGCAATGCAGATGCCGCCCGAGTCACTGACAGTGGTAGCTCCGAGTGAAAACTCACGGTCTTCTTTCGGCACACGATCGGCAATCTCAGCAAAGGTGTTGACATATACCACGCCCCCAAGAAGCCCCTCCCAGAAAACAATGATGAACACAAGCCAGACACTCGGGATGAAGTCAAACATTGCGTGGAGCGTGAGTATCACTAGATTGAGTACCTGCAGAAGCGATGGAAGATACAGATGGTGGATGCGGTAGAATGGGGTCGAGGAGCGGGAGATGAACACGCCGATCTGGTAGATGGCATTGTAGGTGGGGTAGAACGAGCGGAAGTGCTCGAAGGGCGACTCGCGCAGGGGAAATAGCAGTGTTGGAGCAACTCCTTGGTTGATAACGTACTCGGCAATGTAGACGAGTAGCATAGGAACCATGCTAGTGAGCTGTCAGCTCTGGTAGAACGGGTTAACATGGACAATAACTCACAATGGGAAGAAAAGCGTCTTCACGCGGCGTAGATTTGAGAGAGCCTGGTCTTTCCAAGGTGCGTCCTGGGTGACGTGCATGGACTTCTGCACACTGGTGGAACCGTGCGACAATCCCAAAAGTCCCTCGTGTTCATCACGACCACCATCCATCTCATCTTCTTCAATATTCTCTCCGCCTTCAATGACGCGGTATCTATCAGAACCTGATTCAGCAGTTCTCAAAGGCGACTTGGGAAGCACAACGAAGAAGCTCAGCACCATCACAACCGGCAGACAAGCAGAAACCAACAAAGTGATATGGACAGAGAGCCCCAGCGCCGAAGTCGCCAGAGCATAAGCACCAGCTCCAATCAACCCAGCAGCACCAGTCCCACTCCCCCAAGCAGCCAGACTAAACGGCCCATAAAAATGCGTGAGACCCACGAAGCTTAATTCACCACCACCACTAGAAAAGCTAGCAAGAACGATACCCGCGAGCTTGGAGGATATGGATCCCCCATCTGTATAACCCGGGCTCATCGCCACGACCAGCATACCGACCGCGGAGAGGAAGACGAAAATGATAATACGCATCCAATACGGGACCAGGTGGATGAAGTACGGTGCGACGAGCTTCGTCGCGAACGACGGGATCACATCGGCGAGGAGCACGACGCCTTTGGGCACATCTGGGCCGACTAGATCTACTGCTGCGGAGAGGATGATCACATATAGTACATTGTTGATGAGGCCTGTGGCGTGTTAGCAGGGCCTATGAAGGGTCGAAAGCTGCGCACCAAAAAGCCAAAAAGCGACACAGACACGAGGGTCTGCACCGCTAAATGCACCGTTGAAACGGGTGCTGAATCGGGTCCAGAAAGATGGTCGCTCTGGGGAGAGTGCATCCTCGTCGGACGCTGGGTGAGGCATCGGTTGTGTTTGGGATCAAAACTACAGATGGAAATTTGATTAATCGAGGTCCATGGCTTTTAATCTAATTCCAGATCTGAAACAGGGGAGAGTGCAAAACAAAGCAGGAAATACGGGGTCAAGAGTGACGAGTGACGACTCCTTATCTTTTGAGATCCACCGCTTCCGTCTCTACGCGTGTGGCTGACACTTGGCTCCACAGTTCACGCGACATGTTTCCTTTTATCTTTAACGATCTAACTTCTATATAAACCCGAAAAAAGACAAACATGCTGACAAATTCACAAAAGGTATATCAAAAGTCGTAATAATATGAAATCACTCATGACTTAGCCACAACTGAATCAATAGCCTGCTCTAGAATACGTAGACCGGTTTGAATCTGGTCATCGGTAATAGTCAATGCAGGGACGAAACGAATACAGCCATCACCAGCAGTGATGATGAGCATGCCACGCTCACGGGCGGCGGTGATAATATCACCGGCCTTGGCAGTGTACTCCGGTGCGAGCTGAAGACCCAAGATCAGACCGCGACCACGGATCTCAGACAGAACATGGGGAAACTTCTTCTGCAGGGCCTCGAATCCAGAAACGAAAATGGCAGACTTATCCTTGACGGACTGCTGGAGTTCCGGCTCAGCGAGACGCTCGACAATGTGGTGAGCCACACGGCAAGCGAGCGGGTTACCGCCGAAGGTGGTACCGTGGTCGCCAGTCTTAATGTGTTGACCGACAGACTTTTCAGAGACAATAGTGGCACCGATGGGGATACCGTTACCCAGAGCCTTGGCGGTGGTCAAGATATCGGGGTGAGCAGCCTCGCCGGACGCTGGTGCGAGCGAGGGGTGGGCGTGGGCCCAGAAGGTGCCGGTACGGGAGAGACCGCACTGGATCTCGTCGAAAATCAGAACGGCGCCGGTCTCGTCACATCGCTTGCGGAGAGCAGCAAGGAATTCAGGAGTGGCGATGTTGACACCTCCCTCGCCCTGGATGGGCTCGACAATGACACCACATGTCTTATCTGTGATGAGGGTCTGAAGCTGCTCAATCTGATTGTAGTCTCCGTACTTGAATCCGGGAATCATGGGCGAGAAGGGAGTTTGGTACTTGGGATTGGGAGTGGCCGAGAGGGCGCCCATGGTGCGGCCGTGAAAGGAGTTGTTGAAGGAGACGAACTCGTGCTTCTCACCCGAAGGGTTCAGGGTGCGGCCAACCTTGCGAGCGAACTTGATGGCGGCCTCGTTGGCCTCGGTCCCGGAGTTGCAGACGAAAACCTGCGAGGCATCGCGCATAGCACCGGACTTCTTGGTCAACTCAATCAAGAGCTTGCTCAGGGCGCCGGTCCAAGGGTTGTGGTATAGGTTAGAGGCGTGGAGAAGGGTTTCAGCCTGTACATCGGATATCCAAATTAGCAAGTGTTCACATAATATATACAAGGGCAGCGCACCTGCTCCGCAATGATCTTTGCGATCTCTGGATCACAGTGACCAAGAGAGTTAACCGCAATTCCAGCAGTCAAGTCCAGGTAACGACGGTTCTCCATGTCCCACAGATAGCAGCCTTGTCCCTTCATCATCATGGGAGCAGGGCGAACATAGGTCGAAACCATGAATGGAGCCCGCTCATTGATAAAGGAACTTGTGAGAGAGTCGGGCGAAGGGTCAGGGTTAGGCAAAGTTGCCTCCTTCTATGCAATTGTTAGCTTGTGGCTCGGATTGGTACTAGCCATATTCACCACACATACCTTGGCCTGATCCTTCACATTTTGAGGGGCATTGGAAGTAGATGCCAATCGGCGCTGCACCGGTGAGTCAAATGCAGGGACAAATTTTGATGCACGGGGGAGACGGCGCGCGGCCAGACGAATAGCAGACATGACGGAATTGGAGGGGTATAAACGAATTGCTAATTCAGCACACGAAAAAAAAAAATTAACAGAATACCGTCTGATCGGATCAGCGAGATACCGGGGAGAAATAAAAAAGGCGATATCGGGCCCGGCGAATCTTAGTCACAGTGGAGTCGAACGGTTCCCCGTGTAACGCGTGCGACTCACTCTTCGATTGACTCACTGCATCAATCCCCTCATACAAAATGACATTCTCTCTCATTCGCCGATCAATTCTCTCGGCTACTGCATCCCGCAGCGCCATCCGGCCATTTTCCACAGGGCGCGCCTTGCGCCAGAGCGATGACAAGCCCATGCCATTCTCCGATTCCCCGGCTCCTCCTCGCCTCCCGAAGGAAGAACAGGAGATCTTCGAGCAGCTCCAGAAGCGTTCAACCGGTGCATTCAGCACACCCCAAGTCAACCAGTCCCCGCAGGCAGAAATCCAAGCCGATGGCAGTGGTGGCGAGCTCCACCCCGATGCGCCGAAGGGACTGAAGCCCGAGTTTGAGGGCGAGAAGAACCCGAAGACTGGTGAAGTTGGTGGACCGAAAAATGAGCCTCTGCGCTGGGGCTCCAGGGGTGATTGGAGTTACGGAGGTCGTGTCACAGATTTCTAAGTAACAACGGGTTGTACAAAAAAAGTTGCATACGTTGGCGTTCGTGTTGTTTGTGCCATTTGTGTCTCTTGGAAGAATCGAGAATTCTACAAATCGAAGTGGATGTATTGTGTATTGTTTTGTTTGACAGTGACGCCAGCAGTGTACATAGCATAATGGCTCGAGCTGACAATTCAAACATTCATTGAGGTTCACAGTGGATCTAGCATATGCGTGGAACCTACTAACACAAGCATACAATGGCTCACGGCAATGACCTATGGAAACATTGATCAAAGCTTTGCTTTTTCCTCCAACAATCGAGCAAGTGTTGCCTTTCCAGCCCGGCTTTCGTTAGCTCGACCCAACTCCTTGCTAATCCACGACCCAATCTTTGACATCTCTTCCAAGCTGATTCCAGTGTGCATTCCCAAGCTGTGAATCGTGTGCACAAGGTCCTCGGTCGCCACATTTCCCGTTGCACCCTTGGAGTATGGGCAACCACCAAGTCCACCCACGCTGCTATCGAAGATGCGAACACCATGCTCCAATCCAACGATCGTGTTCACCAATGCTTGTCCATATGTATCGTGGAAATGCAATGCCAAGTCTGTGTTGGCAATACCAGCAGCTTTGAGGGCCTGCAGGAGTTCCATGGTGCGGGGAGCGGTGCCCATACCCGTGGTGTCCGCCACCGAGACTTCATCTGCTCCCATTTCCAGCAGGGTGGCGGTGATGTCGGCAACCTTGACGGGGTTCACATCAGGGCCCTCGTAGGGACAGCCAAGTGCAACAGAGACATATCCGCGCACGCGAATGTTCTTGGTCTTTGCTAATGCGACAATTGGCTTAATGCGCTCCAGTGATTCATCAATAGTACAGTTGGTGTTGGCCTTTGAGAAAGCTTCTGTCGCAGCCGCAAATAGAGAAACCTCTGTCGTTGTCGCTGCCTTTGATGTCTCCCCCGTCGCGTCCGCAGGTACGCCCGTCTCCTCCATGATCTTGACCAGGCCCTCCAGCCCTCTGATGTTAGGGACTAAGTAGTTGTATGCAATTGTAGACTGTGCAGGCGGAGGTCTCGTGAGAAGATGCTCACAGATCTCAGCTGTACTTGCCATCTATTACCACAACCAAATAGTCAGCCTTGGCTGCTCCCTAGACGGTGTTGCATGATCGGCGACTTACCTGTGGTACCCATTTTTCGGGAACAAAAGAGCCGGCTTCGATGGTAGTGACACCTGTCTTAGCCAGACGACTGATCAATTCGAGCTTTGTTTCTTTTGAAATGGCCTTCTTCTCGTTTTGCAGTCCATCTCTGGGGCCGACCTCCACGATGCGGACATGGTCCGAGGTTAACCGTGACTCGGTCGCAAAGCGGCGTGCAGCAAATGGTGTACGCAGGGCGGAGAAAAGACGTAAATTGGGGCGAGCCGCCATCATTTTGTGAGAATGGCCAAGTTATACCTAAGTATAGCCAAAGAATAAAGAATCTCAATGGTGAACAGCTAACAGGAAGGAAAGAGCTTGGGGAATGGAAGAGTAGGAAGCCGAGATGCGGAGAGCGCTTTGCCTCTTTGGGACTAGTGATCACCCCACCTATTGACTCAGCAGAAAAAAAGAGCCCGAAGTGGGATGAGCGGAATAGTTCAACTTTTGATTTTTGATATATCTGACATCAAATTGGACATCATGGAGTCACAGCCCGTACCATCAACTGAAGATGGCTCACAAGCCGCTAGCCAAATGCGGCAGCCAAAGAAGAGATTCGTTGGACGACGAACAGCAGAAGCCCAAGCCCAGAAGGAATCGACTGGACAGAAAGATGTTGAGTCTACAGCGGTCCAAACAGGTAGATGCTGCTCATTTTCTTGGTCTAAGTGTCTGTACTAACCTTGAAATTTTGTAGCCGCACCCCGACGCACCCCTCGTACTCTCAACCAAGTGCCACCAGAGATTCTGAACGACCCCGAGATCAAAGAAGCAATCGAACTCCTCCCCAGCAACTACTCTTTCGAGATCCCCAAGACAATCCACCGAATCCGCACGTCAGGCGCTAAGCGTGTAGCCCTCCAATTCCCCGAAGGCCTCCTGATCTTCGCGACCACCATCTCCGACATCCTCACGCAATTCTGCACAGGCATCGAAACCCTAATCATGGGCGACGTCACCTACGGCGCCTGCTGCATCGACGACTACACAGCACGAGCCCTAGGCTGCGACCTTCTCGTACACTACGCACACAGCTGCTTAATCCCAGTCGACGTAACGAAGATCAAAACGCTCTACATCTTCGTCGACATCAGCATCGACACAACCCACCTATTAGCAACCCTAGAGCGCAACTTCAAAGCAGGCCAATCGATCGCAACAGTCGGCACGATCCAATTCAACGCCACCCTGCATGGCCTCAAGCCGGTGCTCGAACGCGCCGGCTTCAAAGTCATAATCCCGCAAATAACCCCGCTCTCCAAAGGCGAGATCCTAGGCTGCACGTCGCCGCAGCTCTCGGACACGGAGATCGACGCCATCCTCTACCTCGGCGACGGCCGCTTCCACCTTGAATCAGCCATGATCCACAACCCCTCCATCCCAGCCTACCGCTACGATCCGTACTCGCGGACTCTGACGCGCGAAAGCTACGAGCACGAGGAAATGCACACCATCCGGCGAGACGCAATCGCCACCGCCAAATCAGCCCGCAAGTGGGGTATCATCCTCGGATCGTTGGGTCGACAGGGTAATCCGCACACGATGGCGATGATCGACAAGCATCTCCGCGAGCGCGGCATCCCCGTCGTTAATCTCCTCCTGAGCGAGATTTTCCCGGGCAAGCTTGCGTCGATGGCGGATGTCGAGTGCTGGGTGCAGATTGCGTGTCCGCGACTGAGTATTGATTGGGGGTATGCGTTCCCGCGGCCTTTGCTGACGCCGTACGAGGCGCTTGTTGCGCTGGGCGTGAAGGAGAATTGGGATACGGCGAATAATGGTGTTTATCCGATGGATTTCTATGCGAAGGACGGGCTTGGTCGGACGAGGCCGCAGATTGCGTAGGTTGATACGTTCGGCTCCTAGAAAGTATATACCCCATCGATAGACTCAGGGCAGCAGGACTGGCTCTGGAGAAGAAGGCATGACAATGATATACATGGCATTTCTACACATTTTGGCTAGTAGACATCAGGCATCAAGAAACGGAGTATTAATAACAGCCGGGCTATCGAAGGCCCGGCGAAAGATATCATGGCATTTCATTCCCCAAAAATCAGACAACCGATCCTAATCAAATACAGAGTTTCATAATACAATATTGGAGGGCGGGGGTTTGCTTCATCCTTTCACGTCATCGGTACTGTCCGTGTTGAAATCACTGGCACTGCCACGCCGCAAGGAGAGAACATTCTTATTAGCCAGCTCATCGGCGGTGCGCTCAGCAGCGCGCCACCGAGTAACGGCCTGTTGAACATCCTCAAACATCTCTAGAGAGTCCTGGATGATACCGCCTTCGTCGCCATCGCCGACTTGAGTGCTCTCACGGGAGTCGCGGTCACTAGACATGGGAAAAGCGGGACCAAAGCCGCGCTGGGGGATGGGGTTGAACATGATAGCGTTGGCAAACATGCGAATCAATTCCTTCTCCAATTGTGCTGAGTTCACCACGCCTTTAGGGGGAACAAAATCCTCGGTTTTTGGCAGCATTAGCACGCCGTGTTTAGACGACGAGCCGCCCGGAGCGGGAGATTCTCCATCTCCTGGGGTGCTTAAAGACTCCCCTGCAGTAGCAACTGCTTTGCTTCCCTGGTGGATGGCAGACTTGATAGTCTTCAAGTCCTGTGGACGGTAGATGAGGTCGTGGTAGCCCGGAGCATCGCGTTCTCCAATTGGTTTACCGAAGATGGAGGCAAGCTTGTGGGTTGCAACATCATTCATAATCGGAGCTGCAGTACGGTGGAAGTTTCGCGTGGCCATGACATATTGAGTCGTGTCGAATTTGGGGATGTCAGCGGGGTGTGGCTCTAGCTCCAGAGCTTCACTAGCACCGCGCTTTCGTTTCGACCGTGCTTTAGGAGTTTCATCGTCAGCGACAGCAGTTCCACCCCTCCGACGGCCCGATGCTCGCTGTGTATCATCCGAGGGCGCAGCTGAACCATCCCGCGAAGCCAGGGATCGCCCTCGGCTCGGGGAAGAAGCCGAACTTGCGGCCCGCGTCCTCCGCGTGGATCCTGGCTTCTCGGTTTTAACAATAGGTGTGGCTTTGCTGTCGGGTTGGCCACGTCGTGACTTCTTGTCTTCTGAGTATTTTCTCGGTGGAGGTGACATGTCCATCGCGTCAATGGGTGATTGACCTCTTTCACTGATAGGGCTGACATCTTCCGGACGTGGCCGTGGAGGTGATGTTGGGGAGTGCGGGATGCTCAGGCGAGGAGTCCTCTTCCATGGCGTCGAGGAACCTTGAGTGTCAATGGACAAGCGTGGGTGAGAGGCGCGTGATTCGGAGAAGGAGGGGAATGTCGAACTTGGGGTCTGAGACAAGCGCGGTCGGCCAATAGGAACCGGGGTGTGCACTGCGGAAGGAACGGCACTGGGTGTATTTGGGCCGAGGGGTGGAAAAGAAGCCTGGACTTGGGCTCCTGGCAAAGGTGTGCTGGTAGATAGAGGAAGAATAGGTCGCTTGGCGGTGGCCTGTGCTGTTTGGGGTGTGGCCGTCCCTGGAGATATGTTGGGGTATGGCGAATGGGGAGCAGGATCTAGCTGCCACTGTTGGAAGGTCGGCTGAGCGGGGGTTCTTTGAGAGGCCGGTAGTACAGGGCCTGTCTTCGCTGCAACACTTGACGGGGGTGGTATGGGATGAGCCCGGGGTGCAATCTGTGAGGGATGTGATGGCGCAGTTCGCGCTGCGGCAGGTGTCGTAGGGGGTATTTTCTGAGCTGAGGGTGCGAGAGGTTGGATGGCCGCTTTCGCTGGAAGTGGGGGATGTGCCGGCTGCGGTTGAGCTCCTTGCCCGTGCGTGCCTTGAGGTTGAGGTGGTGGTGTTGGTGCTTGAGAAACAATAGGAGATGGGGCCACTGATGGAGATGGTTTGACCTTCGGCATATCTTGTGGTGGAGGGGGTACGTTTACTTCGATGCGCTGTAGCCGTTGCTCGGATTTTGGCTTCTCCTGGGCCACAGGAACAGTTGCCTCTAGCGGCTTGCCAGTAAGCTCTGGTACGTTTTGGCGCGGGGTCTCTTTCTTCACATCAATGCCCGTTGGTTCGGTCGGCACTGGTTTTGCGGCCTTCGGGGCTTTCGAAGGCGTAGCTTCGGCTACACCAGGTCTGTCCTTCTCATCCTCCTCCTGTAGCCGTTCTAGTTCCGCCCTGATTTCCGAGTATTTCTTCTCATCTTCTCTGATTTCCTTTGTTACCAGCTCTTTGTATTTGGCGTAGAGATGCGCCACAACGTCCGGGATGAGCGTGGCATGAGCTAATCCATCAGCCAATTCTGTTGGTCGTGGGCTGGAGATTTTGCGCTTCTTCGGATTGGGTGGGCTGGATATGGCAGTCGGGCGAGTATCGGCCAAAGTCGCACTGTCCACACTGAAGCCATCGCGCATCAACGTCGCATACAGATCTTCCAGGGCCTCTGGGGTGAGCCGATCGGCATCGAACTCTACATTGTCGCGTACAAGCTGGTTGTTGCGCAGGAGCGTGGAAATCGACCCAAAGCTTGTCGGTCGGGAATCCAAAGTCGCCAGAGACTGGAAGAAGAGAAGGGACTCAAACGAAGTGTATGCCGACAGAGGAGGCATCCCCCATTGCCCGTCCGGTCGGCCACTGGGGGAGAGGGTTTTGGGGATTGGGGCCACGGTGGTCGGCAATGAAGGTCACGGGTGTTCTTGCGTAGGCGAGCCTGTACTGACGAGGTCCACGGAGTAGCTAGAAATGTACGCGACAGGCTAGAGACGCAATACGCATTGCCCAGAAAATTCGGAAAGGAAAAAAAATGAACGGACGGCGACTACCACGGGCCACTCTGAGGAAGACGCGTCAGGGTCGACAAAAAGGTCAAAGAGATGGATACGATCAATTAAAACGATGAAATTGATGAGGTTCTTGGAATGGGGTCACCTTTGAAGGGGTGTTCATGATGTCCTGTTCGTACAGTACTGTATGGATCATGTGACTCCACTCCAGTTGCCAGGGAGGAATCTGCCAGAATGTACAAGTTTACATACTATAGATGTCTATATATGTCTATAGGAAGTGGTGTAGAAAGTAACATTTCTTTTTATACAGAGTAAGCTAGGTCTTTTTTCAATCACCTAAGTAGGTTAATTCCTTGTTGCCCTATTACATATCATTTGCAATTTCCTAGCCATGAAATTGAGGATTTATAGAGTACGATAGTAACATTTCCAGATATTTGCCTTTATATGCCTAAGTACATCCATTGATAAAAAGTTCAATGATCTATATCACCTGGTTACAATATTTTACAAATGCAGAATTGTTGGCTGCATGTTCGAGTATCAAAATTACATTTTAGCCCCTAAACTCCTCAAGTGACCCTAAGTGACCAAGTTCTCCATAGTAAATAACGAGAATCGCCCTATAAAACAATCTTTTTTGAACGAACCCCACGCTGTCAGGGGTGATTTGTCTTCCACTCGGAAGGTTCCTAGATTATGTAGGTCATAGTGAATATGCCAGTACACTACATATGTGTATGTATGTAGTTAAATGACGCCCCCTTTTTCTTGATATGTCAAATGTAGAATGTATCAATGTAATCGATGTAAACAAATGTAACTATATGTATGTAAAAGTAAGTAAATGTAATGAAATTTTAGCCCCTGAATCCCTAAACCCCCTTTTTCCATGGCCAAAGACGATAAATGGCCGTAGGTGTATGGGGTATTACGCTGTAATGATCTCCTTGCTCCCGATAGTGTGGGTTTAGCATTAAGATGATCAGCTCTTTCAATTTCTCAATTTCTCAACTTCTCTTTCCTTTCTTTCCCCTCTCTGGTTTCACTTTGAACCTCCCCAGACACTTTCAGATCCTTTTACCTCAACTTACGCCTTCCTTGCGATACTCTATACGGTACATAATTCCCCCTTCCCAATCGTGTGAAGTATAAGAACCTAACCTTTTGCCGCAAAACAGTCAGATTCCTGAACTCTGTAACTCTGTAATCCTCAGAGTACTCAGCGTTCTCAGAGTCCTCACTTTACACATCTTGCTATACACCCCGCTCGATCGAGGTTGCCCAGGTGCACATAAGCCCTCGGTCACCATCCCCCCACCTTACACTTGGGGTTCCAAACGTGGCCCACGCTTTGATTGAAAACATATTTGAAAATGTCCGACCAAGAATGGAAGCCCAAAATGCGTCCTCAATCGTTCGTTTACTTCGATACCTATTGTGGTTCTGATATTAACAAGGACATATTAGGACGATGGCGCAAGCATTCTCATCCGCCCTGGACAGCGCATTCATGCTTGACTCCGACATCGCGAACTTGTCGCAAACCGTCGATCAGAAGTGAGTGGAAGTCCGCGACTCGGTCGCGTACTGTAGCATTGTATCGCGCATTGCGCTAACAGATACAAGGAAACAACAGATGATGATCCAGAATCGAGAACTAGAGGAGCTTCAAAATCGCATCCGCGAGGCAGAACAACGCCTTCAATCCCAGAAGGCTAGCATTCAAGGCAGTTCGGGACCACAGGGTGAGCGCTTTTGATGGGTTGACCCTGTTCCGGCCATTTTTATATAGCCGGCCTGTTTGCTCTAGGGTCTGACTGTGTGACAGCTTCCCAAGGACCCACCGAGCCTGAGCAGCGGGCCAACAACTGAGAATCACCATGTCTTGGCAGTGTTCTGACCTTGGAAAGACTGAAACGGTTTTGAATCGAAGTCGATCTAAATGGGACTCGCGTCGCGTCTGATAGACGCGCCACTTCAAGGACCAGGGAAGATTTTGCTTTTATTCTTTTTTTTCTGGCACTTTTCTTCGAGAACCCTACATACGTATTTATGTATGGTCGGGGATTTGTTCCTAATGGCTTTCGTTTGCACTGCTACGGCGTACAACTGCGATTTCCCCGAGTCTTTTTTTTTCTTTTTTTCTCTTCAATTGACACTACGCTGTTATATCAGTTTAAATCGGACTGGTGGAATTATTCTTGGAATTATTTTCACAAGAGAATTTAGTTATTAAAGACTGTAGAAGCTCTGGAAGCTGTAGAGAGCTCTCATCTTGATTATCCTCTAAATGTCTATTCCAAAAAAAAATCAAAAAAGCCGGTATCTCTCAGAAAATACTTGGTTCTATAATATAAGAACTCCATCTATTATTACACACATGTAATATATGCTTATAGTCCCGAATGAGTTGTCCCTGCACAGCTGGCCCGGGCCTTAACGATAGCGCAAGTCTCGAACCAATCGACCAATATCGCCCAACCAATCAGAGTGTCTCATTCAGAAATCCACTCTCACCTCTGTCGTCATTATGCTGAGAAGCCTTGATTACAGCGCAAGTAGCGCAAAGTAGTGCAAAGTGTGCAAATCGACCTTTGCACGGGCTCCAATCTGTGGAGCTAATGCTGGAGAGGTTGCGGAGTACCTGGTAGACCCCTCCAAGGACTTATCTTTCCTCTTTTCCCGGATTTTTCTCTCAACTTTTCTCATAGCTGCTTATAACACCTTTCTTTCCTCTGCGTCTATTATTAGGCTGCTTTTCTTCTGCAATTGTCGTTTTACCTTGATAGTGACCGTTGAGGGCCCACATCATGTTGATCGACGGAAAAGAAGTTCTAACGGCCGAAGAGAAGCGCCTGAAGGAAGACCGTGAGAAGACCAAATACTGGAAGGTGAGAGTAACAAATTTTCACTACTTGAGTCAAATATTAATTCAAATAGCGCTGGGGACCCTATGTTGCTGAGAGACAATGGGCTACTGGTAAGTGGCTTGAACAGTCTCACTGACGAATACGAGGCTAATTAACTTTTTAGTTCGAGAGGACTACAGCGCGGATGGTGATGCCTGGAGCTATCTGACTTACGATGATGCTCGGTCGCGAACCTATCGTTGGGGTGAAGATGGTATTGCCGGTGTCTCCGATACACATGGTTTGCAGAATATTGCTTTCGCTTTTTGGAACGGTGAGGAGTAAGTTACTCTTCTTTTTTGCTCGCCCCAGTAACTCTTTTCCTTGTGACTAACAGTAATCTAGCGACTTCCTGAAGGAGCGTCTGTTCGGTCTGTCCAACCCGCAGGGTAACCATGGTGAGAGTATCAAGGAGGCACATTTCCATGTGGATAATACTCCTACGGTACGTCTCACATGCAATCCTGCTTTCGTCCTAAGCTTACCTGAATATAGCATTCTTACATGAAATTCCTCTACAAATACCCTCAGAGGAAGTTCCCATATCAAGACCTCGTCGATGAGAATGCCAAGCGTACTCGTCTGGAGAAAGAGTACCAGATCCTTGATACTGGTATCTTCGATGAAAACCGCTATTGGGATATCTACATCGAGACTGCCAAGGAAGCTGACGATGAGGAAGAACTACTCTTCCGTGTCATTGCGTACAACCGGGGCCCAGAGCCTGCCCATCTACACATCGTCCCACATGTCTGGTTCCGGAACACATGGGCCTGGGGCGACGAGAAGAACAAGGAAAAGCCTTCTATTAAGAAGGATGGTTCCCTAGTCGCAAAGTCAGAGCATAATAAGATCGGCGAGCGCTATATTCATTTTGCGCCGTCTCCTCCCGTCGGTTCGAGTGAGGATGATGTCCAGCCCGAGCTGATGTTCACCGAGAACGAGAGTAACAACAAGTTGCTGTGGGACACTGAAAACAGCACTCCTTACGTGAAGGATGCCTTCCACCGCCACATCGTCGAGGAAGAAAAGGGTGCCATCAACCCAGACAACGAGGGCACCAAGTTTGCTGCGTGGTACGCGTTCAACAACGGCGAGGGAGTCCCACCCGGCGAGTGCGCTGTCGTCCGTTTCCGAGTCTCCCGCAAGAAGGAAGACTTCGTCGATGAAGAAGTCCTAGATGATGTGATTGAACAGCGCCGTGCCGAGGCCGACGACTTCTACTACCACCTCAACCCCCTCCCCATGAGCGAGGATCTCCGCAACATCCAGCGTCAGGCCTTCTCCGGAATGATGTGGTGCAAGCAGTACTACAACTTCGTCTGGGACCAATGGGCGAATGGCGACCCCGCTGAAATCCCTCCCCCAGAGGGCCGAAAGGGCATTCGCAATGAGCAGTGGCGTCACTTGTACATTGACGACATCTTGTCCATGCCCGATTCATGGGAATATCCTTTCTTCGCCGCATGGGACACTGCATTCCACTGTATCCCGCTGGCGATGATGGATCCCGACTTCGCGAAGAAGCAACTCGACCTGCTCACTCGTGAGTGGTACATGCATCCCAACGGCCAGTTGCCGGCGTATGAGTGGAACTTCGGCGACGTGAACCCTCCCGTGCACGCGTGGGCTGTGTTCCGCACGTTCAAGATCGAGCGTAAGATGTACGGACGACAGGATCTAGACTTCCTCGAGCGTGTCTTCCAGAAGCTGTTGCTTAACTTTACCTGGTGGGTGAACCGCAAGGACTCTGGCGGCAAGAATGTCTTCGAGGGTGGCTTTTTGGGACTTGATAATATCGGTCTGTTCAACCGCTCCGAGCCATTGCCCACCGGCGGTGTCCTCGAGCAAGCTGACAGCACTGGTTGGATGGCCTTCTACTGTCTGACTATGCTGAACATTGCTCTGGAGTTGGCCAAGCACCGTCGCATTTATGAAGACATTGCATCCAAGTTCTTCGAGCACTTCTTGCTCATCAGCGATGCCATGACCTTCCGTAACGGAGATGACACTGTGCAGTCACTCTGGAACGAGGAGGACAGCTTCTACTACGATGCCATCTCCTACGGTGGCCCGTGGACCCAGCAACTGCCCATCAGGTCCCTTGTCGGCCTGATCCCACTCTACGCAGTCCTCACTCTGGAGCCAGAGCTGATCAAGAAGTTCCCCTCGTTCAAGCGCCGAGTGGACTGGTTCATCGAGAACCGCTCCGATGTCGCAGAACGCAACATCGCCAGCATGAAGCACCGCGGCAAAGATGACCGACTCCTCCTCGCCCTGGTCAGCAAAGACCGCCTAATCAAGATCCTCGAGCGCATGCTCGACGAAACCGAATTCCTCTCTAAGCACGGCATCCGCTCTATGTCCAAGTATCACGAAGAAAACCCCTACTCCATGGACGTCAACGGTCAGACCTTCAAAGTCGGCTACGTCCCAGGAGACTCGGACTCCGCCCTCTTCGGCGGCAACAGCAACTGGCGCGGCCCGATTTGGCTCTGCGTCAACTTCCTCCTCGTCGAGTCCCTCCTGCGCTTCTACATGTTCTACGGCGACTCCCTGCAAGTCGAGTGTCCAAAGGGCTCAGGTGACTTCATGCATCTCGGCCACGTCGCAGAAGAGCTCCAGCACAGAATGCAGCATCTGTTCGCGCGGGACGACGAAGGCCGACGCGCCGTCAACGCAGGCTCCGACCTCCTCGACTTCGACGAGCACTGGAAAGACAACCTTTGGTTCCACGAGTTCTTCGATGGCGACACAGGCCGCGGACTCGGCACATCGCATCAGTGCGGATGGACCGGGCTGATCGCCAAGATCATCCACGACACAGGCATCAATTGCCGGCTACCACAGACTCCGCGGTCTCCATTCGCTGCGGCATCGCACTACTTCGACGACATCTTTTCGCGGTCTGGTCGGCCGCGCGGATCTGGTCGTCCGTCGCCTCGCCGGTCGTCGACTACCCGCTCCATCGGTAATCGGAGTGACTTCTACTCTGGCGAGGCTACGCCTGCTGCGTCGACGGTTATGGACGATGAGGAGGATAGCCGTGGGCCTAGTCGGGCTATTAGTCGGCGGGGTAGTACTCTTGATCCTCAGGATGAGGATCATGTTAACCACTACGTTGAAAGCCAGCTGCAGCGTGTGCGTAGCTCTGCTTCGATTGCGAACTATGAGGATGAGTTTGAGACGAAGGCTGAGAAGGAGAATGGGGAGAACGGAGAGAATGAACCCTCTTGATCTGGATAGATCTGTTCATCGTCTATATCTATATCTCTATCTCTGACCGATTACTTGGATTGCTTGGATTCGCTCCCCATTCCTACTGGTGATGTTCCCTTTTGATTTCTATTGGACACAATAATTACGACCTCACTGCTTGGTCCATGTTTCTTTCACTATTTCCTATCTGATACATGTTGCATTTCCTCCCTACGACTCATTTACATTTTCGGAGTACTTGTCTAGATTTCTAGTGCTAGAGCATTTGATAGCTGAGCAAACAAGCTCAACAATATCATTAGTTTCAGTGGTCGACTTGAATCTATCTGAGTTCTCAGCATCGAACCTCTAACTCCTGCATTTTGTATAAAGCAGATCCCTTGCAACCTACAGGATTAGTCCTAGTGGATGAATTTGTGCAATTGACAGGTAATGAGAACAAAACAAAATAAAGGATGAAAAAGGGAATTGAAGAACTCCCCTTTCCCCTTCCACGAACGCTACCGTTCATCCGGGACGATATGCTATAGTCTAATCATCCCCCAAAACGCTGAGGCTAATTTACATTTAAACGGCATCAGTAAGAGCCTTGTTCATCTTGGCGATCTTGGAGGAAACGCTAAGGTCAACGGTGCGGCCACCGATCTCAACAACGAGTCCACCAACGAGGTCGGGGTTGACCTAAACAAAAGGTGAGTAATTTATCCAAATAGCAGAATAGCAGAAACCAATCAAACGCACCTTGGCAACAACCTTGAGCTTCTTGCCCTGGCTGTACTCGGACTTGGCGACGGCCTTCTCGAGACGGGTGAGGGTCTTGGCGTCGAGCTCCTGCAGGAATTATTAGATGACATTTTGAGGCGAAATGGCTGCTTGGGTGCATACCTGAGCGGAGGTGATGTTGAGGTCGATCTCGCCGCGGTGAGCGCCCATGAGGGTAGCGAACTTCTCGCAGACACCCTCGAGGGAGCCGAGACGGTTGTTCTCGGCAAGGGTCTCGAGGAAGTTCTGGATGATACCGGCCTTGTCGGCACCGGCGACCTTGGCGAGCTCGGCGATGATGGTCTTCTTGTCGGCGTTGGTCAAGGTGGGGGCGCTGAGGATGGTGGACAGCTTCTTGTCGGCCTTGAAGGCCTCGCCGAGGCTGGCGATGCCACGGGCAGTCTGGTCGAGGGCGGAAGACTTGGAGGAGGCAGTGTACTATTCAACGAGTGGTTAGAGGGATGGTCCGGGTTGGGAGGCATGGTGTGATGAAGATTCAAGGTTCAAGGTTGAACACTGAAGATGTTTTGAAGGTAGAGGGGAGAACCCTGGGAGGGGTCGGGGCACGACGGGGGTTGCGAAAAGTTGACACGGTCGCGTGCAAGACCGAAGCAATGGAGGTGCATACCAGAGCAGAGGCGTAGGTGCCATCAACGCCGAACAGAGCAACGGGAACGCGGGACTCCTGGGCCGTGGCATAGGATCGCAGGCCGTTAACGGTAGCGGCGCGAGGGGCGGAGAACTGGGTGGCACGGAGGCCAGCGCGGGCGAAGCGAGCGGACATCATAATGCAATTGGAGGTAGGCCTCGGGGAGGGAGAAGGGTGGGTGAGTGGAAGATATCGAGCGACGTTCGGAGTGCTGCTTCGTCAAGGTGCAGGTTGAGACGAGGTCCCGAATTGTTCCCGTTCACGTGATCTCGGGTTCCATTTGAATACCACGTGACCGCTAGGACTACAAGTCTTGGCATTCATATTTTCTGCTCAAGTGAAGCTCCGGTGCTATATTTGTCTTCAACATCAATCTCTTTGGTTTGAATGAGGATCTATTTAAACTTGTATAGAGGATATTTCGATCGTGCACTCTTTTCAATTACCCGTGGTGATTCTATAGTAGCTAAAATGACTTGAACATTGTAGGGGGGCTTTTGAACCCTCAAGACATACCATCTGGTCTATGGCCAATGGCTTATATGACTGATTTTCACTGGCTGGAAACATATCAAACCACATGCATGGCAAGAGAAGATGTGTAACTTTGGTGTCATGACTTATACTAGTAACTTCTACTGGCGTTTTATTTTGAAAATCAATCACTGAAAACTTGAACGGACAAACATAATTAACAAGCGTCATTGGGCTTGCAATTAAAGTAATGTTTAGACTTTTGATAAGGTGTACCTATTCACCTATTTGGGCATATAGTGATATAATATCACATTAATATAACATTGTAGACACATCGGTCATAATACGATCCACTTAGCAGGGATATAAAATTGCCCTTACCAGATCGGGCAGCCCAAATCCGGTTTCTCCAATGCAGTCTCGAGTCGATGTCCATCACCATTTCGCTTTCGCTCTCAACTGTCCGGAAGGCATCAGACAAGGTTTCTGCCCTTTGGTGGCTGATGGCGTAGTAAGATCGGCTCTGTTGCACTGGTGCACTAAGTGGGTTACCAAGTGATAGAAGGGTTTGCGGGGGGTAACAAGGGAAATGTATTTCCGCTCCGCTTTTATAGACGGTCAGAGGTTATCTTTCAATCACCAACTCGAGTCCACATATCAGTTTCCCCTCGTCAAGAAACTATGTCTTCGAGGGAGTCAAAAGTTCTTGCCCCAGCACCAGGGCCAAATCCCCCTACATACCCTATAATTCGGGCGAGAAAGGCCACCACAGCCTGTCAGGCCTGTCAAAAGCGAAAATCAAAAGTTTGCATCCCTCGTTTAACGATAATCACGGACCTAGCTAAACCATTGCGGTAGTGTACTGGCGGAGGACCATGTGAGCCTTGCCAAAAAGCAAACACAGAATGTATCGTCAATGCAGACAACGATGGTCGTCGACGAATCACTCTAAAGCGCAAAATCGAATCATTAGAGCATGACCGCGAGCTGCTCGTACGGCTCGTGGAAAGTATCCGCAATGAGAACAGCCAAACTCCAAGCGATGTTCTAACCCTTATTCGAAGTAACGCACCGTTGGATGAGATTCGCACATGCCTTGCTGATCGCCAGGACGCGAGCCACATGACTGGTAATCGTGATAGTGATCGTGTCAAAATTCCGAAGCGTGCTCCGTCAATATATATGGATGTCAGAAGAATCACTGATATGCCTCTTTTCGAGGTACCAGCAAAACCATGGACATCTGTTACAGACGACGATGCCTTTGTGTCACATTTAATCACCCTCTATTTCACATGGCAGCAGCCTACATTTAGATGGGTTGATCGAGACCTATTTTTAGCGGACATGAAAGCCGGAAAAACAGGCTCGAGATTTTGCTCACCACTCTTGGTGAACATTATTCTCGCTGTGGCGTGTGTGAGTATTCCAGGCCGTTTAATAAAACACCCCCTTGTCAGCGAAACGAATATCTAACTTGTTGATCTTGCCATAAAGTTCTATTCTGACTATCCTGAATCTTTTTCACATCAAGACGATCCCACCTGCACAAGCCGAGGTGAACACTTTTTTGCAGAAGCTGTAGATTTGCTCAAAAAGGAAGAAGGCCGGATTCCGCTTACCACCTTTCAAGCATGGGGGGATATGTACACTTGGTATTGCTTGCGTCTTTACTCACTTCCATAATCCAGGACTAACTTATCTTGGCAGTGCCTGCGTCATGGGAAAAGACAGACTAGGCTGGCAATATCTTGTTGAAACGGCCGATGCTATACAGCAGGTTATGAACAAGCGACAGAGGATGATATCAGATGCCGAGGAACAGAGTGAACAAATGGCAAGATCCCTCAATGTTGCGATCTGTGGCCTAACTAGCATTATACCGTGAGTCAATCTTGCAGCAAAGGATAATGCAAACATACTAACAATTCATAACAATTCACAGCACGAGCACCTTGAGCTTCCAAAAACCACCTCTGACCAAAAGACCTCCCTCCTTCGAGCGTTTCCCAGAGGATCATGATCCGAGTGATACTTGGACACCATACCCCTGCCAAGCCGAGTCCAGCCCGGCGCATACCAATTGCTTGATGAATGCCCATTCGGATCTTGCACTTGTGATATGGGACATCACAAATTACGTGTTTGGCGATAATAAGCCCCCTTCCATTGATGTTAAGGTGGTCGATACTTTCCACGAGCGGCTTGATGCAGTAACCCAAAGCTTCCCTAGCTGTATCCGCCTGGGAGAGACGCCAACAGTCGGCGTGATGGAACTGCAGTAAGTCAAGAATTCTTCACACCGAGACGTGTGTAATGCGCTGATCTTGACCTTGTAGCATGCGATATTATAATACAATTATGGTAATGTTCGGACTCGTTACCTCACACGTAGAGGAAAACGACACGGCCACCAAGGACCGTATCAAGCGTCTACGAATGTCTTCAGCATACCATATCGGCGCATTGTTAAATCTCCATCGCTCCCAGTGGCCGGTGGAGCGTATGCCGATGGCATTCATGCAATACTCAACTCTTGCTCTGTTCACATTGCTTGACGATCTTGAGGACGAGCAAAACCAAACATCGTTCGTGGAGAACCTCATTGCCCTCCGTGCGCTCGCTCGGCGTTGGCAAATGGCCAAGGGAATGCTACGGCTTGTGCAACTTACGGCTATCAAACACGACGCTCCGCTTCCCAAGGAGTCGGCAATTCTCTTTGAGGATTTTGAGGCTGAAACTTGGCATACAGAAGATCGGGACCGGTTCAGCAGCCACTACCCGAACTTTGCTGTCTCTATTCAAAAACAGAGTGAGGGGGGCTCGATGAATGAAGTCGATCTGGATCGGTTACTTGAGGAGTGGGATGGCCTTGCGTTGTCTGGGAGGACACCGGAAGACGACAGGGAGGGCTAGCAGTAGTATCACAGACACCAGGATCTTAAGTCGTGAGCTTCTCTTCAAGAGTGGCTCGTGTTCTTTCTTTATGTATGTATCTACATATGATATCTATATATGACATTATGCACACCAAGCTCTGCTTTGTGTTTTTAATCATTCACAGCTATACCACCTCGTCTCTTGAAATAACAAGTCTCAGAGGATATTTGTCTAGCGTCAGGCCAATCAAAATGTGCAAACTACAGTTGTTTATGGTCTGACCAATGTGATTCTATTTTTATCTTGCTATACAGTTTTCGAAGAATATATCTGCTGGTCTTTCTCCATGCTGTTCTTGATATCATGTTGAGTCTGTTCTAACTAGGTAATACCGATGTGGCATCACGGTGATGATTTCAATATCAGGTATTTTCGACCTTGTGAGATCTATATCACGAGGACGACATGAGCCACAAAAAGAGTCCCCGATATTCCAATCTATATAGAGAACGTTGATTACTGCCTGAGTCCGTTGCATTCTCCAATTGCTCATATCCGTTGTAGATACAGAGTCAAAAGAGCCTGCTGACTTAGGGCTTAACACCAAACTGATATTTTGCAAGCCCGCATGTAGATTGTTACTTCTACAGAGGTAAAATCCACCCCACATAAAAAGATAACCATGAATTCATCGATTCAGTCTGAGCGTAAAGGACGTCCCAAAACGCCAAAAACAACAATCAAACTAAAATATCGTACTGTATGCACCGCCCGAAACGCCTAAAGATCTCCTCGCCCCCGATCAAGCAGTGCTGGCAGCGGAGATGAGATCAGATGCAAACAGAATCCCAACTCTTCTCACGCCCAAGCCCTAATCACTGCGTAACATGCTATCTACCAGATCACCCAAGGGGCCCCAGTAGTCCTTCCCGCTAGCCAGCTTGTGCTCGTCGATGAACAGCACGTAGTGCTTGAAGCTGGTGTTGAGGTGGGGCTCGAGACCGAGGTGTACGACCACCGGGTAGTGGTGGCAGTATATGTGGGCGTAGACTCGGTATAGACGCTTGAAGATCTGGCGAAGGAGGCTAGGGAAGTTCTTTGGGAAGGGGACGCCTAAGTAAATAATCAGCTAAATGTGGCTTGGACAGACAGATACAGATATAGGACATACCGATTCGGCTGGGGAACATCTGCTCGTTGTCGACGTTGCTTTGGACCCAGGCCATCAAGTGCTCGATGTATTCCGGTGCCGACATCTTGGTTGGGCGCTTGTAATTCTCCGAGTCTTGCCAGAGGTACTCGAATCTATAAGAATTGTGAGCATAGTACAGAGATCAGTCAAAACAAGACCGTACTCATCTGTCGCCTTCATCTCAGGACATGTCTGCGGTGAACAGAACTCAGTTATTGAGCCGTAGAGCAAGTTGATCTGGTTGTAGAAATCGACAACTAGATCGCAGCGGGTTAGCAATTTGGATATAGTTCGGCCGAGGGTATCCCGTACTGTTAACAGCGAGCCATTCATTCAGGTCTTCGCCTTCGGGCAGCTTCACAGCCTTGCGCAAGCTACCACTTCCAAGCGTGGCTTCGGCGAATTGGCGCAGCTGGTAGCTGCTGGTACCCTTTGCCGCGGAGCGGGGCTTGAAGGGGACGCGGGTGCGAGCATTGCTGGGGGGTGTTAGTCCAAAGCAGCCTTGTTTGAGGGCGCGCACTGCGGGTGACAGATAAGAGGGAGGCTCCAAGAGAGGGAGATGGGAAGTGCGGGTTGTTTGATACTGGGAAGGGCTGATAGAGACGGAAGGGGAGTGGGATTGTGGGTGAGAGGTTGACTCTTCGGGGACAAGGGAATGAGCAATGGGAGGGGTAGCGGGGACGGACATGGTGGTGATGAACGAAGACATGGTCTCTCTGGCTTGCGACGAAGCGATCCCTTTTTGGTAGAGGTATGTTTGGCGGGGTTGACGCTGATCGCAAGGTTCCTACATTCCAATGTCAGAAATGGGTAGATTGAACTTCGAGGAATGCGAGTGAGTAATACCTTCTACGCGCTGAATATAGCTTTTGAATGAGACAAAATAAAAGTCGAGGGAATAGGAACGGCGCAAGGGGAGGTTATCGTTCAGCTCCACCATGTTTCGAAGTTGATAAGTGAGATCCGATCGACTTATCCGTTGCCCCAGTGACCGTTCATCGAAGTATACAAATGTCAACTTTTGCAATTTTTTCATGTTTCATACTACCAAACTACGCAGATTTTACGAGTTGAAATTCAATCAAGTACATTCGAGTCTGATGACTCATATCTGTGCAAACAACATGGGGGAATATGGAAAAAAGGGTAAATCAAAGCCAAGGTAGGCACATCTTTACATCAAGGCCCTTAGATTGGATACCCTACATTTTCTTCAGGTAGGCGTTCTCGAACAGTCTCTCCATACACAGTCAAAGGAATAGCGATCTCGAAAGATTCGCAGTTCAAATGCTCCATGGCGGACAATACAGTACCACGATCATCCGAAGACAAGGCTTCGAGCAAGCGAGCACCTGAAGGCCCAGGACCCGGATCGCCTCGGATACTAGATGTCACGAATTCAAATCGCAATTCCCAATCAAGAGTAATACCACTCGTTAGAATTGTGGGTGTGGCAGTGATGGGAATGGCAGGGCTGAAAGCCACTCGAGTGGCATGGAGAGTGTTCTCAAACAGAGATGCATGGATGCGACGCGTCGTCCGGTGTATACTTGCGTTGGAGCGAATGGCCAAAGTGGGTGTAACCTTTTCAGATGTCTCCAATGAAGCACGGACTGCATAGCATGGAATTGTAGCATCGCCAAAGTCCAAAGTGGCGATGATAGTTTCGCCAAGTCGGTGAACTGGTCTGTTCAAGACAGCCACTGCAATGCGTTGGCCTTCACGAGCGATATCAAAGCGATTGGGACTGCGGCGCGAATTGACTGCCTGATTGCTACGCAGGATTGCGAAATCAATGACATCTTTACTGGTGAGCATCTGCGGTAGTCCATCCACGCTGGCTCGTCTCGATGGAAGAGCACCTGGTGGGAAAAGAGTGTTGGAACGCGCACGTTGCTCCAAGATTTCGTCCACGTAGCCCAAGAAGTCTGCCGCGGAATGATGGGATTTGCTGATGCTTTGGTTTTTGGGGTGCACTGGCGCAACTGGATCGACCTTCTGAACCTTTGCTTCGTCGCGTAGAATTACGTAGGGTGACATTAGGTCATGCCCAAGAATATCTCCCTTTTCTGTGAATGTATTAGAATTAGAGGCCAATGACAAAATTTCGAGTGCAGCTTACCGTTAACGCCGCTGAAGACGCGGAATGGTATATTGATGCGGTTGACCTTTTGAGGCTCGTTAACCCCGCTAGGCCGCTGGGTCCCGATCACCAGATTATATGAGATTTTAATCGCCTTCCCTTTATGGCTCGCCGGGAGTCCTTTAGGGAGCGAGAAGGAGAAAGAATATGACTGTTCTTCTCCAGGTGCCAGCCGAAGGTCGACGAAGAGCAGCGACTGCGAGGTTGATAACAGTGGAATCGAGCGCTCAGATGTGACGCCACGCATTTCCCGAAGCCCATCCAACTCGTTGTTGGAGAGAAGGCCATTGATAGATTCTTCAATGGTGTTCCACTTGAGCGCTCCCCAGAAACCGCCGGTTTTACGAGGGCGTTCAGCAGTCGGAGTTGGTCGACCAGGCAATCCACCGGGACCTGCCTGCCCGCCAACGACACCCTTTCGCTTGACTTCTTCAAAAGCTGACTGGTTCACGAGTGAGCCGTCGACTGTGAACGACGCGCTGACCTGTGCAAACCCCATTAACAGCGCCTGGCTGTTGGAAAATTTAGCAGGAGACGCGGCCACGCTTGCATGACGTGCATGTCGCATGGGAGGGGGAGCCCGTGCACCCTGTGCAGAATAGGCTGTGTATTCGGACCCCAGAGTCTCGGTGGAGTGGTCGCTGACAGAGTAGAACTCTCCGCTGCTGCGACTACTCCCATTTACGCTCGTTGCTGATATTATCCGGGTCAATTGCTGGTGTGCGGGCCCGGTCAATGGTTGTCCCTCCTTCACGGTGGACCTTCCTCCTGTAGATGCGGTGCCAACTGTGGTTGCAGATCGTGGAGATGGGGTGCGCGCCCCGCGGTTGTTGGTTGACTCCGTTGACACCGTGGCCGGAAACTTGAAATCGAGGGGAGGGGGTTGAGGCCGTCGCGCAGGATTTCTAAGTGTCTCCACTAGACCTGTTGGGCTAGTTGCTAGGGATCCGGGACGACTAGCTCGCCCCAGATGGGAGGTATCAACTCGGAGACTGCCATTGGGATGCTCGCTTGGCGCCTCTGTTAAAGGAAAGGGGAAAGCATGTGTTGGAGTCCGCACTGATAAAAGACAACAATTAGTCTAGTAGTTCAAAGTAACCCTTGTTCAGCACGTACCTTTCTTGTGAGAGTCCTCGTAGCTATTGTTCCTCCTCGGTGGAACCTGAAGACTCGCCGAGCGCCCATGACCCCTGACTGGTCGATTATTGTATTGGTGCGGTGAAGGCGATGGGTCAGCATGGCCTTCGCTATCAATCGAAAGGATGGATACGGATCGTTTATGGCTGTGACCGGGTTGCCATGTGCGCGGTGTGGAGGGGGTGTTGCCGCTGTTCGGGGGGAAGCTATGTGAGCCGGCCACCGGGGTGCTTAAAGATGAAGCTGTGCGGTGGTAGGGCTTCCGTTGAGAGCTGATGGAGAACGACCGCCGGCCGGAAAAAAGGGCCTGGGGTGATTTGAAGCCGAAGAACGAGTCCGAGTTCGACTGTGAGTTTGTGTTCGCGACTCGAGAGCCTTTCCGCGAGTGTTGAGCTTCGCCATTAGGATTGGATTCGGCGCTTGTGTCAGCCACGTTCTTGAATGTGATAGTGCATTCCACATCTTCGCCCGCAAATATAGTTTGATCCTTCCATTTCACAAAGACTTGGATGTCGGATGGCATGGCGGTTGGATCAGCAGGGGCTCTCGAGACCTGGGAAGTGTCCGACACGATAAGCTATAATTAGGTTGAAGCTTGGTAAAATGTGCCGCCATTAGCATGCTGTTCAACTCGAATGAACCATGTTGGTTGAATGAAAGGTTGAAGATCATTAGGACGACATCCTTGATCTTAGCTTCCGAACTGCGGGTTGAAATGACATACCACTTTCGGCTCTTTATTTGTCCTCCGCCTCATACACAACAAGCACTTTTAAGAGCATCTATGGCTCGATTCACCTTCATCTACCATATTTTCTAATCGAGATTTCATCCAAAATACCAAACTCATAACAACTTAAGTGTGCACACCAGAAATTAAAATATTATGTATTGTACAGTGCCGCAAAATTAAATAACAGAATGGTTTGTTGTACACATGTGACAATAAGGATCATTTGTCATCATTATCTTTATACAGAACATGGAAGTCCGAAATAGGTCGAGTCTTCAGAGTCGAAGGACGCAGACCAAGTTCAGCCAGGCGACTCCAGATTCGGTCGTGTCGGTTCTCCCATCTCTTGCGCCGACTCTCCATCTCGTCTTCCGTTGGACGCCACTTGCTTTTCAAGATTCGGCGAATGGCTTCCGGGGACATCTCAAACTCCTGTGCAAGAACGGCGGTGGTGAACTGTTCCGGGGCCTTCGCATGAAGATGACGAATTCCATCCAGCGCGTCGGGTGAAAGCTTCTTAGGTGGGTTCCAACCGCCCGCAAACTTCTCTTTTAGTGCTGCTTTTTGCGTTTGCCAATTCTCTGGCTTTCTCTTCCTCTGCTTCTCTCTCTCTTCCTTTGCCTTTGCGTTCTCAGCTTCCCAGTTACGGGGTTGCTTCTTGGCCTCCTTTCGAGTTTCGTTGCGGAAAGCCCTGCGCTCCTTGTCGGTCCTTCCGGTTTTATGTTCTGAGTCTAAACGCTCTGAATGCTGGCCCTTGGACTGATGCCTGTGGGTGTTCCAACCACCATTCTTGCCCGGGGCATCGAATGCTCTTTTTGACTTAAAGTTGCGCGCAGGCTTCCTCTCCGATGGCACAGCATCGGTAGAGACCGCGGATTCAGGGGCTGTGGGTTTTGACTGTTCGGGTTGAGAATCATACAGACGCGGGATGGAGCTGAAGGATCGTTTAGGCTGGCTATTCCGAGGGAAAATAGGAGAATGAGAGTTGAAGCGTCCGTGACAAGGGATTATCGAAGAAGCGCCGAAATTACTGGTCAACTGCGAGCGGAAGACATTCCGTAGAACGACAGGTAGAGCCAAACTTGACGAGGCGACGCAAGTAGTCACCATTGTATATTGCCCTGTCGATAGGGATGGATGATGGAAAAAATAAACAAGTGGCAATTGTGAAGTTGACTGGAATTATTTGAACGGAAAATCGGCGGTGGTGATAAGATAAGGAAATTTGGCCTAATTTATCAGGGACCAACTTTTATATCATCATCCAAAGTTGTTTAGTTGGCCATTATACCTGCATATAATTTATGTTCAATTGTTTAGACGGAATATGGTCCAGTAGGAGTTGCTACATTTTTTTATGATTATCTGTGGCATCGTATGTTCATAGAAGCAAAACAACACTGATGTGATGGTGGCTGCTTTGGCATCTATGTCCTTACGTTAGTAGTCTATAGTATCAGTGTTGGCTTTCACTGGCACGAAGATTTACCATCAAGCAGCGACCAACATCTCGTGTTCATTGCATGTAATACTATAAGTTCGAGAAAGTTTCAAATGTTCAAAAAGAGTTGCAGACACGAGAAGAAAGAGCTAACGAGGACATTTGTTGCTAGGGCTTAAAACCCTTCGCGGTCATTCCAAAGGTACGGAATATGTACCTGTCACAGATCCAATGCCCCTCATCAATTCCAAGTGAGAGATACCTTTTGTAATCGCGTTCTGTTGATAGAATGCATTCTAATGGTGTTTGTTGTTGCGCCAATTGTGCATGTTTCTTCACGTCTTCCTTGGATATACATTTATGGATAGATAATCTTTAGCAAGATATCTATACTGATAGACAAGCTCAAGCAAAGCAGTCTACACATGTACATATGTATGCGGTGATGCTAGAGGCTACATACAAAGCAGGGATTAGGAAGAGGAGAGAAGGAAGATCACCTGGTTCCTGGCAAATAGTAAGCTGGTTTTTGTTCTCGAATACCTTCTTCTTCCTTTCTCTTTAGTGATGCTCTGTTGGTAAATGAATTATCCTGCATCCTACCCACTCCTGCTATGCTAGACCCTCATCAGGAAGCAACACTGTCAAATGGGTCCAGACTCCCTTCTGGTCAGATAAAGGTACAGTACATAGCAAGCACCCACCTGCGCAGGTGCATGATGAATATCGCCTCGTTTATATGATGACCACAAAGCAGCCAGAGGAAGACAGCCCTAATGTCCAGATTCGGATTGGAGATGTCGAATACTCCATCGACGTGACGAAAATACCTTATTTCAATGCATGTCTCAGGTTTGAACAATCTTCCGGCCAGGATTCCGCCGATTTACCAACCTACCCCGAAATGCCGTTCTTCGACGTGATCAATGCAGGGGTCAAACACGGCTTCCGTCGGTTTTTCCGGAGTATACCAGTCCAGCTCGATGACGACCGTTTCCTATGCAAGAAACTCTACTTTCTTTGCGTTGGTGTCCTCTCAGGACGGAACATGCAATCTATAATGCGAGATTTGAGGAGTGGCAAGAGCGAATGGAATATGGACGAAACGTACAGACCTGGAGGAACGAGAAATCTGGCACGAGACTCAGTGTTTCGGCTCTTATACCAGTTTATGCTAGGTGACTTTAAGTCGGATGTCAGCGATAGCAACATGGCCTACAACGCGGTTCTTTTCGTCGCCTCTCACCGCGAAATCTTCAAATACAAGACCCGGAATATGGTGAGGGCTGCGGAGGAGGAGCGATTCGATATGTCGGAGAAATAGCGGCGCAATCTTAACAAATGGGAAATCGAGACTCCTGTCCCTGGAGATTCGGCAGAGGAAATGACTACAGAGTCGGAGCATATGGATTTTGATTCGGATTGGTCGGATTGAACAGCTCATACCTTTTTTTTTGCTCTTTCCAATGTCCTCTTGATGGACAGGAAGTAGTATATGTAAAAAAGAATAAAACATCTCGATTATGACAAGACGGCCTATAGCCTCTCGTAAATGGTAAATATGGGTATCATCAGAAGGGAAATGATCTCCAAGAGACCGCAAAGGAATAAATAGAAAGAAAGAAGCAGAATCGTCCCCGCAATCAAGTATATGATGCAAAAATGGAACAGCCAAAAGATCAAAGGAAAAAATTCCAAGAGAATGCAAAGGGTTTAAAGCCCGTGTCAGGAAGGGAAATGAAGTCGGCATATAAGCCATGGCTTAATCACGGCCAAATCACAGACACCAGGAATGCAAGGCGCTTGAGAGGACGTAATGGAATGCAAATGTAAAATTATACTCATTCCTCTGCAGTGGCATCATAAGAACGGCTGCGCGAGACTTGTCGCACGCCTTTAGGACGTAGGGATGGAGTGGAAGGCATATGGCGCGGAAGACATGGCGATTTCAACGTGGACGAGCTGCTGGGTTTCCGTTCGGTGTCAATATCCTTCCCACTGCTATCTGTCTCTGTCTCGGCACTCTCGTCGCTACTGTGATCGCGTCCGGTGACGATGCGGAGTGTGAGACTGAGCTCGCGCTCGAGCTCTTTTGAGGACTGGATGCGCTGGCTGGAACCATTGACCTTTTTGCGGTAAGCTCGGAGAGAGCGACACAGTTGTTCGGTGGGCGTCTCCAGGTTTCCAAACTCGCTGCGTGGTGTTGTTTTGCCTCGATTGCGGAAATCAAGGGATGTACGGCGGTTGTTGGTCCTTGCACTGCTCGGCTTTCGGGAAGCGGAGCCTCGGATGGATTTTGGACTAACGGGGGATGGAGACCGGCGGTTTCTGTCTGTGGGTGTGCCTAGGGTTGGGGAGAGGCGGCTTGCGGGCGAAGATGTTTCTGAGACGGTGTGATTTTTCAGAGAAGACGGTGCGAGAGATAGTCTTGACATCTTCCGGAAAAGGGTTGGAGAGTGCTCGCGTACAGGCGTTGGGGTTGTGGGGTTGGGACTATCTGGACGTTGGAAGCCGGCGAGCTCACTGCGGGAGAGAACTTTTCGGAGAGGAGGCCTGGCGGCTGTCAACTCCTTGGTGGGACCTTCGTCGTCATCCCGTGTGCCATGAACGAGGTCTGGTGATATCTGTTGTTGGACAGAGAGGTTCCATATCATCAGTATACCGTCCATCCCAGCACTGATCAAAGTGCGTTTGGGTTGAGAATCCTCGGCGTCGCCGCGTTGTTCCAAAAGTAACGCATCAGTCACCCCTTCTGTGTGTCCGAATTCACCAGTGAGGAGCTGATCACGCTCCAAGTCATATACTCGTATAGATTTGTCGGTGCTTGACACACCGATGAGAACCTTTGGACTCTGGCCTGGGATCTCGGGTGCCACTGTTAAAGAGCTCAAGATAACCGCATCAGTTGTTTCTGAATCAGAGGCCTTGAAACAATGAAGATGTCTGCCTGAGGGGATATCGAATTTCGAGACACAACGATCCATAGTGGAAAGATATAAGATGTTCGAGTCATCTGGGCAGAGAGTCATCGATAAAGGGGAGGCTTTTTGAGTGATTGTTCTGGTAATGAGGTAGGCGACACAAGTTCCATCGTCTACCTCTCGCGTGGCACGATCTCTTATAAGAACGGTGCGATCTGCAGAGCACGAAAGCAGCTTTTCGCCTTCGTTTATGAACATCAACTGCCCAACAGCCCCCACATGATCGTCCATCGTTTGGATCAACTGCAACTCATTCTCGCGTTTCTCGAAGAGTTGCACCATTCGATCACGGCCTGAGCTGGCCACTAGCCAGGAATCATCCGTAGCTTGGATAGCCACGTCTGTGATCTCACCGCCATGGGCGCGGGCTTTGTTGGTGCAAGTCCAGTCAAAATTCGAAAACAATCTGTTATGATACAAGTCAGTGGGTGAGCTTTATCGTGGCTGTAAGCAACTTGCACATACCTCAATACTCCAAATTTGTCACCAGAAACGAACCAATCTGCATTTGTAGCAGTCCTCAGAACTTTGAGTTCGTTTGCGGGATTGTCTTCGTTTCCTGAAAATTGATCTAGATCGATCGTTTTCGATCCTCGACATTTCCCATGGATATCCCAGAAATTGACCAACCCATTACGGGACCATGAGAAGAACTCCGCCGAGAAGTCGTTGGGAAGTTTCATGGGACAAATTCCAAGAATCGGATCTCGATGTGCGGGCATCGAGGCCTCACCCTCCTCCTGTTCACCGTCTTCGAGTAGCGCATGAATTGGATAAACATGGATCTCACGGGTAGACTCGACTGTAACAAGATGGGAGTTGAGAGAGCCCATGCAAGTGATAGCGGGCACCTTGCTCTTCTTATCAGATACGCTTTTGTCAAAGCGTATAGGAGACATCGGTGTTGATGAACCAGACGACCGCAAGGTTTCAAAAGTGACTCGCTCGATTCGCCGGCCCCGCCCACCTAGCCAGATAGACTCCTGATCAAAGTCAACAGCCAAAGACGTGATGCTGAATCCGACTTGCTTCACTGTAATCATCTTCTGGGATGCCTCACGATCATCAAGGAAGCAGACTGCGCCTGAATCGGTGCCAATTACCGCCTCATGATCGGAGATACTGCTTACACAGGTAAAGGCATTGTCACCCAGTGCGCCTAATAGACAATTCCTGCCAGAAAGTGCCTTCGGGGCAGGGTTTGGCGATGGAGCCCCATCAACATTGAGCCGTGTCTTTGTGGGAGAAACAGGCCGCGTTATAGTTGGAAGGCGCCAGACTTTAACATGCCGCACACCAGTCCTGGTCAAAATATCAGTTTCCTGTTGCTTTCCAAATTTCCATTGATTTAACCTACGTGACCAAGCTTCGTCCGACCCAGCACATGTCCTTGATGGTCGAGGTGCACTTGTTCACAGAGTGTAATTTCGCCGCTCCGTTTTTCAAATTGATCATCCAGATAAAGAGGAATCCATCATTCGGATTGCCTAGTGTCGCCAAATACTGTGAATCGGGGCTGAACGCCAAACTGCGCACGCCAAATGTATGTTCGTTCAGAATAGAGAGAGGAACGTCTGGCAGAGCATCTTTTGCCGTCGAGAATATCAACACTCGCGGGTTGTAACCGGTCTCTCCTACCGCCAGGAATCGTCCATTGGGGCTGATCGAAACACTCGTTACGGCTTTGATTCTTTCTCTTGAGGACCACCCGCGCGGGCTACCGGTGTCACCGGTTTCGCTAGATGGAGAGCCATTGGAAAGACTTAGGTGTGGATTGGACCGAATGTGGGATAGGGATCGAGCCCTTGAGTCTGGGGTGGCTGGGGGAGTCGATTGGTTGTAAAAAGAGGTCGATGGGTTGACACTGGTCGCGGAGGGGCGGGCACGAAAGAAGCGTTGACTAATCTTGTCATTCTCATCTAGTTCTGCGAGTACTGCTGCAGATCCTGCACAGAGTGCAAAGCTTCTACTCTGGTCATGGCTTGAGAATCCATTGGGGGTTGTTGTGGTCGTGCCGATAACGGTTTGGAGGGACAAGGAGGATTGATGGGAGGTTTTGCTGGGAGATCGGATACCTGGTCGAAGAATTGGGGAATTCGAAGGAGTGATTTTCAAGGATGCGCCAGGTCCAGCAAGCTTGCTTTTCGCGTTGAGGGGGGTGGTGGCCATGTCCTCGGTTGGGTGTTTTGGTGATTCAAGGTCCCCTAAAATTGCGGGGTGTTTTCATATCAATTAGACGCATTCGTCGGGATGTACGTATAGGGGTCAGTCAGGTTATAATTTGTTGTCGGAAAGTTGTTGTTGTTGGAAATTGGTGGAAGGGTAAGGAGTGTGTGTTGTGCAGGACCCGGGATGGAAAATGGTGGGGGGAGAAGCTAAAGTGAAGCTCTGATTAGCCAAGTCCAATACTAAATATAGCCAATAGTTCAAATGTTCTAGAAGCTCACATTAAAATGCAAAAGAGTGTGGTAAAATGGAGAGAAGAAGGGGAAAAAAATAGAAACAGAACAAAACAAAAGAAGCTCATTCCGGCGCTAAGATCATTCCAGTCGATCAGAGGAATCTGAACCTTGGGTCGGGGGCCATGGTCGAACTATACTATGACCTCCTACTTCGTAAAGTGTCTAGATGAGTTTGTGCTATGTAGAGATTGTGGCTGCAAATGCTATATAATTTCCAATTGGTTTTGTTGTTTACTGCTATCTCTGTTCGTTTCTCGGTCTGACAAACTTCGTGAGATGAACGGTGGGTCATATACACACAGTTCGCGACTAAGGCTCGGCTAAGAGAGCTCTGGGGTCAGATCCGAGATCTGTAAAACTGATGGAAGGAAGAGCACTAGTAATCTATATTTCCAGAATCTAAATGGTTCTAGCCTCCTCTCAGTCACACGTGGAGTCCCTTCAATCTCGTGCTCTCAAAATTCAATTGCGAACAATGAGTATGAATGGTAGACTCTCATTTGGAGTCCTTTTCATCAATCCTTCGAATCTATCATAGATAGGTCCCATGCCCTGAGGCATAAGATTTATATAGCATCAACTAAGATGGATATGGGTTTAAAGTTAAGCTAGATTTAGGGAGTTAACGCAAATATAAGCATAAGCGCTAAGGAAATCCGACTTCCGAGTCCATGCTACCCCTAGCTAGTTCCATCCCACTCTTATATTTCTGTCCCCAGAGTCGAATATCGACATTCATCGTAAGAAATTATGTTATGTCTCAATTCAAAAATGAATCATAGTTCATAGAATCTTGCAAGTATTTCTTCAGATAGATCGTATTATGTCGTACCTCTTGATTCTTCTTTATATTCATTTTACCACCGTAGTGCCAACACAACATCCATTACCGCCCCATCCAGTTATGGTGATACTTCGACGTGGTTATACGTTGTCATAAGTGGTATGCATACAATAAGATACATATATAGGTATATAGGGGGCACTGTCCGATCTGCTTTCCCTGTCTTCTACTCCCATGAACGTTAAGATAAAGTTCTCAAATAATATGGAGATTAACCCGTCCATACTGTTATATTTCATGTCGTGAAGAACAGATGAATCAAGACTCCGCACGGAATGTATAATGTCCTTTAATTTGCCGCTGCATCGTTTGCTTATCAGGAACGGTCTTGTGGAGAAATATACGCCTCTAGCATATTGTGGAGCATTGTGGCAGCAGAAGGTCGTGCTATCTTTTACCAAACACGGAGCGACGGACTATGAACCGGCGATTGAAAAGTCGGGTAGAGAAGACTGTGGAGAGCAACGACATGGATAAGCTTATGAGGAGCGTCCTTGGGGCGACCAATGATGCAGGGATAATATCGGTTTACTTTTGGATTACATATATCATTGGAAGGTTTTTCATCCGGGTATGGACGGCGAGCTCGACTGCGAAGTAGAGGACAATTATATGAAGTTGATCGAATTGAGTGACGAGGAGGCGAGAGTGAAGTCCCACGAAGTTGGATTAAGCTCCGAATCAATATCAGATTGGCTCGAGGTAAATCTCTCAAACCAAAGACTGAGTTCATATATGCCACTTGAGGAGAAGAAGGGTTGCTGGAGAAATGAGCGAATGAAAAACAAAGTCACATGGGGATAGAAGAATGGATGAATGCCATATGAAACAGAGTAAAAACTTGTGATAGAGATATGTAAAAATATAGAACCTCCAATGTTGTATTAGGCTTGAGTTTAGAAGCTGTGCTTATATTGAATATACGGGGTTGGGAGTTCATTCAAATCATTAAACGACGTGTCAAAACAAATTCGAGTGCTCCTACAGGTAGATCCTCCGCTTCATCCATTCCTCAAGCAAATTACTCCGACATCGCTCAAACCCACTTCTCTCAACCTTCACCTCACCACCTCAATCATCTCAGTCAACACCCTCCAATACTCATACAACCCTTCTCTTTCCCTTCATCACAAACTTAGTTTCAGACCTCTCAAACTCGCACCATTGCTCAAATCCCTAAATCAATCTCTTCGCCCGTTCCTCAAGTGTCGCAACAAGTACATCGCCCTCAGGGCCGGGAAGAAGACGCGCAAGATCAATGGCCTTCTGCGACCAGTAGTAGCACTCCATGTCTAAAGAGTCGCGATAGAACTCAGCAGCCTTGTTGAAGGCCAAAAGAGCAACCTCTGTCAACTCCTGAGCAGGGAAGGGGTTCTTCCCGCCGACGATGTACGCCTCCGATCCGGTTTCGATCACGCCCAGATTCATTGCGGCCTGTGGATCGAATTCCTTGTCCGCTTCGGTCTTCGCAATCGTGTAAATTCGCCCGAGCACTTCCCAGGCGAGCGAGGGGTCAGTCATGGAAGGAACGAAATTTCCAGGTCTGATTTCCCTTGGGGTGTTTGAAGAGGCCACCAAGAATAGACAACGAAGGTAGCGGGGCATTTTCATGCGGTAGTAAACCTCGTTGACGTCATTGTTCTCAATCAGCTCCATCATGCTGTAGATGAATCGCTGTTGTTTTAGTGTTAGCTTTGATTCCCAGGGGGAAGATTGGGAATCGGGACATACCTTCATGACCTTCGCGGTAATCAGAAGCGGAGCGCCGCTTTGCAGAATCAGATCAAATACTTGAGGGTACCACTGGGGTTGGGGGAACCGCTTTTCGTTCCTACAGATCTCGAGGAGGTCGTCCCAAAGGCCAAGACGGATGGTAGCCTCAAAGTTGAAGAATTGCCCTTCGGCATAATGTTTTGCTTCAAGTGCGATCGTGTGCGGGGTTGGCATTTCTTCGCCGTCTTCCCAACCAGTAAGTTCTTCCATGACCTTGAAAGATGCATGCAAGCATAGATAGTTGTTGATCTGCCATGTCATCAGCTTTGCTTTTCACGGGATGGAACAACGTCAATCGTTCGCGAGGAGGCTATGAGGGCAAATCTTGTTCTGACTAACCTTTTCATCCAAGTTGGTCGCGCGGCGAGCTACATCGGCATAGGCAAGAATTAGAATATGATTGATCGCGAACAGATGTGGCCGAGGTGCTTTGGAATTGGCTTCGGGGCCTGCGAAATCACGATACAGAAGTGTGAACTATACATATGTCAGCCAATGTACCTAGAAACTGAATTTCTGCTGAGCAAACGTCGTGAGAGTATTTCAAGGCCTTGAAGAGCAATGAAAGATTGCGAAGTTTGACAAGTTTCAAGCCTACGCGGTATGTTGCTTGATAAAGCCATTGCACCTGAGTGACCGAAACGTCGCGGTCAGAACCTTCATAGCTGTGGTGTTCCTGTGCATAGTACAGAGCTGCAAAAAGCCATCAATATCGAAAATTGCTATGGCCTGAGGAAAACATACCATCATCCATCACAGTCTCAACGCGGTCGTAGAAGTCTTCGCTACAGGGGCGCTTTGCGTTGCAGTGGAACTCCAGCTCGTTCAGAACAAGGCAGATTAAAAATCTATTCAAAGTACGAACGTCAGCTTTCTTAGCTAGAAATTGAATGGTACCACTCACATATGATGTTCAGCAGCAGAGAAATCACTGTGATAAATTTCATCCTCAAACGTGGCTTTGATCAATACATCGAGACAGCTCAGAAACTCAGCGGGCTTTCGCAGTCTCTGGGCTTCCATGGCGCATGAAGTAAGACTCATATTCTTGTGCGGGATGGCGTGCGACGGGAATCGGTCTTCGAAAAAACCTTCGATCATGTTAGCCACGGTCTCCAAGTCTCAGAGTTTTCTTCTCATACGGGTACAATCCTGTCCGGACCGCAAAGCGATCTTGTATGCCAGGTACATTCTCTTGCAATCATACGCATTCTGGATCAGGCCACGCATCATCAGATTATGAGCGGAGGTGTAGTCCCCCACGTGCTCGAAGCACGCGATCAGCTTCCTGAGAAATAGTCAGATCGAATAGTGAAAAAGAATTCAAATTCTGCACTGACAACTGGATAGTGCGCACATATTCATCACTGCAGTTACTGGACATCTTGGGATCATTGCAAATGCGAAGCCAATCCACAGCAGATCCGAGCTTGTTCTTGGAAAGCGCCTCAGCAGTCATCTTGCAGATGTGCTGCAGATAGTGTTAGTCCATATCTCTCATTTATGACAGGAGTGTGCATAGCGTACTGTGACGGTGGCATGGGCCGCCCTTTTGCTGATCGCTGGAAATCCCCGATTTTCCAGTGCTTTGATCACGCCTTGGAGGGCTTTGATTCGCGTGGAGTGCGGCTCCCTAGATTTAGACTGATGTTCAACGAATGCAACAAGGCATCTCTCTGTCCATTCTCCGGTTGGGAGAGGAAGTAGGAGCAAGGTTTCCATTGCCTTCATTCCTGCATTCGGACTAACTGGCAGTCAGTATCACTCGTCCGTCTAAAAATTGGGAGATACATACTCTAGCTGGTTCAAATAGTAGACGAAATGGAAGATTCTAAGTCTGTCGTTAGATACCGTTCGGTCAAAACTGATCGGAGTACTCACGTTGTCATGTTAGCATCTGTAATGCGCATTCGCCCAACGGTATGTTGAAAGGCTAATATAATAGAGTCAGCAACATCTCGGATGGTCAAAGTGGTGATGATTACCTCGAATGGTTCTCTCAGTAGTTGGCTGGGTGATTCCTAAGGAGATATCAAGAAGAACCACAGCAGGGTGTTCCATGTACAACTAACAAAGTCAGTCACAGCTCATCCAGCTTCATCAAATTGGCATACTCCTCTCAAGTTATTCATCGCCTGCACAAAAATGACATGCGTTCTCGGAGTTCGGTGCTTCAAACAAGCTGTAGCTGCAAAATATTAGTCTAGCTCTCTCCAACTGCACCCGGTCACTTACCAATGTAGTGTTGAATGACGAGATTCCAGTCATGGTAATCAGGGAATGCCATTTCAGTAGAAATATCCAGACGGTTCAGTGCGTCATTTGCTCTCTGTAGCCAAATAAGGGCTGAATTTGTATCCGGCATAAATACAGAGTCCCCAACCAAGAAACAAGTCTCGAGGACCATTCGACAGTCCCGGGTCGAGACCGGAGTAGAGATATTGGTCCAGAGATGCTCTGCCATAATCAATCGATTCTGTGCCACATTCTGGAGCTGTGTCAGTTCTATATCATAATGTTGATACATTAAATGGAAAAAAGAAAACTCACCAGACGAATGCGGAGCAACCAGTACTTTGTAGTGAGACTGACGTTCAGACGGGAATCTAGTATCACGTAAGGTGGCTGAAGGGCTTCAAGCCGCACTGCTGCAACACTCAAAAGTCCATATGCGAGCTCAAGTTGGTTGGCCGCTGTTGACATTGTTAGAGCTGAGAACCTCATTGTATTGACGTTGAGGAGGGGAAACTACCAAGGCAGGTCTGTGCAGCCTTAAGAGCCCAAGACCATGAGTTGATCCATCCTATAGGCCATGTTAGTCTAATTACTTTTGTAGTCTAGTACTGACCAGCAACCTGGAACGTTAGGCGCCATGGCCTTGTTCAATAGAGCAAAGGCGAAAGCCATAGCTCTTGCAAGGATTCGTGCATCAGCTGGGATATGGCCACGTGCATTGATCAGCTGAGAGCAGCTATTCCATAGCGAAGTGCCGACGGTTTCCAGTCTTCTCAAATCCAAACCAGATGGCGCAATTAGGGTAAATGGGTTGTTGCGGAGCTCGTTGTCCAGTCTCTCGATTAGTCCGGAACTCAGAGCTTCAGAACTAAGAAGAGGCTGATTCAAAGACACAGTAGAGAAGTTTGTCTGTATGAGACACGTAAAATCTGGTGCAAATCACAAGTTAGTTGCATGTCTCAATCGGGAAGAAATGCAGGTGCACGTGCCTATCAACGACATGCCCGAAATGGGCTGGCCGTTGAACGCCATCATGAAAAACAAGAGTTCGATTCTCGAATGAATAAAATAAGCGGTGTTATCTGAAGATGGAAATTGGGAGGAAAGTAGAGAAAAAAGAAGGTTGAAAGGAAACAAATCCGTGGTTTGTCCGGCGTGTCAAACGCGCCAAATTGGGGAATAGATGCAGGGGCACGTGCATGACAACAACGTGCCTAGATTGAGCCCGTAGGTTCGGCATGATAGATAGGCGGTGATCCACGGATGTGTGGTTGATATGGGAGATTGAGGGCGGAGAAAGAAGAGTAGGAGGAGACTACTTCGTGACTTATCAACTCGCGTGAACCAAACGCTGCAAACGATGTACTCCTTAGGTCTCAGTTTGACTCTCGTTTTCTGCAGTGACTGATCAGGTATCAGATGGCAGAAAAGGGAAAATAGGATTCATATTCGATAGGCTCCTCGGCTTAAGTTCGATATACTTGCTACCTTAGATCGACTTGTAACTGAGATGTTTCTGTGGCCAAACCAGAGTGGTTGTTGTCACATAGAGATACATAAACCAACTGTACATTTTGTGGCAAAAGCCTCGGGGAATCAATTGAACAAGAACAAAACAGCATTGAAACATTTTTGCAGGCCGTGAAGCAGAAAATTCCAATAGACGGCTCTACCTACCTATCAATGGGAAGGAAATTCCCAACAATAAGCGAAGGGCTACATCATTGTCAGTCACAGCCCATCATTCCATGAGTGGACACTTACATGTTGTGGTTATCCCGTCTGATAGTGAAGGAAAAGCAACAGGTAATCCCATCACTGGTTGAGTTAGGGTTAGGACTCTTCAGTGTACAGCTGGTGAGCATAGCCTTTTGTGTGTTGTCGAAGGCAATGGCGCCAAACTTCTCCCAGTAGCTCACCAGCTGATCTTCAACGATGATCTCATGGATAGCAAGTTTGCCCTGTATAGAATTGTTAGCTTTTATAAAACAGAAACAGCCAATCGGAGTCCGAGAACTCACATCACGTAATCCCTCTACTGGAACATCAATAAGCTGTGCCATCTCATTGTTTCCTCGAAAAATCTCGCCGGTTCGGCGCCAGCAGCAGGCGGGGATAGCCATACTGGCAAACACGCGGTCGTATTCCATAAGACTCCGTTCGAACCACATCTCCACGAGAATGAGCTCAATATCAGTTAGACTCTGCATACGTTCTCGGAACTTGGGGCGGAACTTGTCAAGCTGCCGCAGAATCTTTTGCCGAGATATTTGTTGCATGTTCTTTTCCATGTACTGGTTCAGCCTGGCGTACCCCTTGACATAATTGAATGGTTTCAATAACCCAGCGTCATATTTCGCCTTGAGGAGCTTGTTCATTCGCTCCTCTGGGGGGTCGGTTCCTGCCGGGTCGGCGGCAGTCATGTAATATGTTTCCCGAGCTTTGTCGTTCCCGACTGCTGTAGGTTGTTGAATCGAGTCTCCTGGTAGTGCTGGATTCTGGGCCGGCGGTGGCAGCTGTGCTGGTGGAGGCAGGCCACCCGGCACATTCATGCCGTTCATCGAATTCATCAACGAGGTATCGGAGTAAATTCCCTGCATATCCTGATTTTGGTAGATAGCCCCGTCATCCAACAAACTGTTACTGAGGAAGTCTCCAAGGAGGTTATACTCATTGGTGACTTCATGTGCATTGAACATGTACGACGGGTGAAGAGAATGCATATCCTGAAACTGGTTCTGGCCACCTACCCAGTCGTTATATTGCATGACTTTCATCCTACGTCAGCTGATCCCAGAAGCGAAAAATAAAACTTCCCGCAAACTTACGGTTGTTACCCTCGAGTCCTTGGCTAGATGCGGAGAGATTGGTCGGAGGTACAGTTCCTGGATTTACGGCCGAGGGTGCGATTCCGATGGTGCTTTCGGGAAATGGTTGCTGGCCAGCAGCATCGAGATCAACACTCCTAGGCATACCTTGAACGTTGCCCAGCTCATTGTTCGACGAGCCCTCCTCGTCTGCGGCGGAATTGTCGTGTTCGCCACGCCCCCGTTTCGCAGTTTCTCTCGGCTCGTCATGACAGAGGTGACCAATGTTACGCTTTATACACCGAGTGCATGGTCGCTCCTTCATAGATTCAGAGTCAGCTGGATTCAATAATTTCCCGCAATTTCGCGCTAAGGGTTTCAAATGCGAAGGGTTGCGAAAGGGAAAGGGAGAGGTAGAGGCGTCGTACCGAGTCGCAGGTCATATGCTGTCCCACACGAACAAATCCCGTTAGCAAAGCCAGGTCCTTGGAATGATACGCAACAGCGCAGCAATGGCCCAGCATGAAGCGACCGAGCGCGCAATAATTCTGAGACTTGAGCTTACCGAACGGCGACAATAGACACAGGCTAAAAAGCAGAAAATGCTTGTTAGCAAAGAGGTTTCTTATCGGGATGCGCAACAGAATCGGCTGCGCCCAGATCCCTGTCGCATGCTGCGCAACGGCACCTTACCGTGATTCACCTTCCGGCGCTTCTTTGGGCTGGAGTGACTCCCCAGGCCGGTCGTTTCGGCCTTGGCCGCAGATGTTTGCGAGTCCTTGACGCTGGTATCCTTTCCTGCATCCCCAGTCCTCGCCTTCGCATTGGAGGCCGCGCCTAGCGCATTCTTTTCGGTCATTGCGCAATTATTCAGAAGAACCACCAGGGCCGGAGTGAAATGGCTGCCTGCAGTCCAGTGGTTTGGAGAAGGGAAACGTCAAAAAGTTCTTGGGGATGGAGAAAGCGGAGTCACCCCTCCGAACTGCTCCGCATTTTGCTCTCCCGCCACCGAGGGACGAGACCTCGGTCGAGGCATTACATTCGCTATACATTTGCTACATTATAGTTGAATAGCCTAGATATAAATCGTTAGTACTCTATCTGTGTTTCTGATAGTCTGTCATGTCTACCTTTATCCATTTCTTTGATGGATATACATTGAACCCTTTCTCCAGCCACATATCAATTTGCGAGAATATATATAAATTTAAGTAGCAGGTATAAATCATGTATCGAGTTATTACTTCTAGATTTTGAAACACTGCTGGTTTTAAACTTGGGAGCCAAAAGCTTAAAAGTGTACAAAACATTGGCATTGATGTATTATTCTTTGATTACGATCTTCCGATTATAATTTCCTCCATGCCGTGGAGCCTCGGGTTGTCTATCGGATGATCCTTGAGACATACCTAGGTAGAACCTCCCAGATTGGACCAGATGTGCATGGACTCGCCGCACTGCCGCATTGCCTTACATTTCTTGATCCAGCATAGTTGATGTCTACCCCTGCATGGACACAGAACCCATTATTGAGATGATTTCAACCGTGCACAGTTTCACCATATGCAGCTGGTGGTTGAATGCATTGGATTCTGAACACGCGACAAGGATTTTCAGGGTGTTTCTGGATCGCCAAGCTCGGCACTTCTTTTGCTTCTTCAGTAAGCGCGCATACCCTGGTCCGAGGTTTGTCATGTGTCAATAAGTATCGAGTGCCGTGTTGTGATAAGTCTGTGGGGGTGGATTACTGTCCCATGGCGATCAATCAATCGTTCGGCATCGAGTATAGATCCAATGCAGCCTGTGAACGAGTAATGGCATCACTGAGGTCGGCGAATGGTGCGGTATTGCTTTGCATGGACTGTAAATGGCCATGCAGCTGCTTCATGATACCTCGCACTTCAGGATCGGCATCCAACTGGAGTAGAGAATTGTAAGTTTACATGAAAAGCTGGCATGGGATCCAGAGTACATACCTCATCCAAAGTTGCTGGGCCTTCTTTCCCACCAAGAAGAGTAAACTCAGACGACGCAGAGCCCTCGGTTGAAGGAAGCGTATCCAGCTGCCGAAGCACCGGGTGTTCCTTGAATCAACAGTTAGCGCCAATTTTGGATATATGCAGACTCCATCACATACGTTCTTGGTCTGCCTTTTCCTTTCAACCTCGGCCCGTTTAGCGTTTTTGTCCATTTCCAGGAGTGCTTTCTTATCACTGGCAAGGAGCGCTTCTTCTTTAGCGATTTCCGCTTTCAGCAAATCCACGCTATCATTCATCGTAGCCAAGTTGGCTTCAAGCAAACGCTGGAAGGGAATCAGTATCGGGTTATCATCACAACTAGGAATGGTCGCATACATGATCATCCAATGCAGATTCGTAGTCGAAACTGGACTCCTTGGTAATAGGCGGGAAAGGCATTCGCGGGAGTCGTTTGCTTAGACTAAACGCAAGGGTAGGCGATCAGCATCTCCGAACTGTAGAACAATTGTTTGCGATGAGACAAAGTATGCTCACTTCCGTACAACCGCTTGTACTGCGCCCTGCGCCTCGATGCGCTTTCGCTCATTTTGATTCCTCACTATCACCGGTCGCTCGAGTGAGTGGAATATGTCGCGGACCTTTTCCTGGACAGGTTCCGGGAGAGGGGTCCATTTCGACTTAATAGTCTTCTCTGGGACGCGGCGAACTTGGGGTTTGAGATAGGCATAGCTCTCTTCTTGAGCATCGTCATGCTTTCGCTTTGGCATAATGGGTCCACAGGTGATTGCTGAGCTCGGATTTAAGGTTGGAGTCGACGCGTCTCACATGGCAAAACAGTCCTTGGAGAGCGGTGGACAAAACATAGAGATAATGAGTGGAAGTGGAAGTCTTGGCGATTACATCAATAACAATGGCTCTACCTACGTAGTTACCATATTGTATTTGTCCATATTTTAATGGAGAAGATCTATGGGAATATATCCCAAGATGACGACAAATCAGATTGAAATCTTGAAATCTTTATTGGTCAATCTCGATGACTTCAAATATCGAGTGGAATCGCCGTTGAAGCCTATCTGCGCTTAGGCCGTCAAGTCTTGATTATCTATGTGTATCGTGCGGCTAATACTTCGTATTTTTTAGAGGTAAAATAAATCTAGTAAATTGATGCTTGAACTACAGTTATCGCGCGAGAAATTCCGATAATGGGCGAATGATTCATTTGCATTATTTGTGTGATACCACAAACAAAGCCTAAAACGTCCAGTATGATCTGCCAGTAACGGCCTTTTGAAATTATGCACTAGGGTATCGATATGTGCCGAGGATAAGTCAGAAGGTGACTTGGTATCACCACGGCATGTAAATAGAAACAAGAAAAGGCTATCCGCCGGGGCACCATGGTGCAATTGCACCACCCTGGGTGAATTTGAAAGAAAGAAAAAAGGGGAAATGGGGGAAAGAAAAGGAAGAGAGAGGGTGTGCCGAGACGAACAAGCAAACCTTCGAAGAAAATTGGTATCATGATAATCAGGGTTTGTGATGTGAGAATATGGAACGCCGACCAGCCAGTCTGTACATACAAACCGCCCGCTGAAACGCTTGCAATCCAAAAGAGAGAGAGAGAGAGAGAGAAAACAAAGCAGGGCCATCCATGAGATCATAAATCAAGGTTGTGGTCGTGTCACAAAGATTATCATCGCGGCATAACCAAACCATTAATGCTCTTCAAATCATGTAGTTGCCCTTGAAGTATCTCATTGCCTCGGAGAAGGTCTTCCAGCCAGTCGGCAGCTCCGGTAAGCATGGCGCTTTTGCTGAATCCACCGCCTCTTAGACCAGGGACTAAGATGCAAAGATCTTCGAAGCCTTGGCGAATGAGATTTCGGCGCTTTTGCTCGGACAAGATGTGGTTGGTTCTCTTTTGCTCTTCGGTGAGATTCTCTCGTGCGGCCTTGGGCCCTTGTTGCAGCCGGGCTTTTCTAGACATATCCGTTGATACCCTTCGGGCTTTGCTGATTGATCCTCTGGATTTTCTCGATGAGGGTCTCCCATCGTCTTCATCGGAGTAATCTTCCTCCTCCTTGACAACCCTTGACCTTTTTCGAGGTTGTGAACTCTCCTCTGGCACAGCAGCACCGTGGAAGGAAGGCCGGGAAGGGGGTGCTCCTATCATCCGTTCAGGGCTGGGTGGCCGTGTATTGGCTGCACTATTTTGCGTTTCAAAGCATCCGAGGTGATCAAGTAAATCATTTGTGCGCTGCTCTTCATCGGGCTGATCGGGTGGACGAAGATACCCTTGATCCATGAAACTAGCATCTGAGCCCCAACGTAGACTTCGGACTTTTCTTGATGGATGCTGATCTGCAGGAATAGGGTCGCGGACGTCAAAGAACATCTCTGAGGTATGATATCCAGTTGGAACGTCAGCTCGGGATGCAGACGATGCTGAATCATGAATAGGTATTCCAGTATGTGAGTGATTTCGAGGTTGCGCCCCATTTTGAGGAAGTATATGGCCCGCAAAGGCTTGTTGTGCCAACGAGGAACCCAACTCTGACCCGTTGAGACCACTCTGGTAGAGCATAGACGCTGCGGCAAAGATATCCGAGCCTGCGGGATTTCCTACCATCAGCCCCCCTGCTGATTTTCCTAGCCCATGTTGCTGAAACGTTGGTTGTGAAAGTGAGGTAGTTGATCCTTCGAAATTTGGAGGTAGCTCAGCTGACCATTCGAAATTGGGGACCCCGGGTTTGTGTTCTTGGCGCATCCAGAAGTCATTCGTAAAATGATTCGCATTCATGGTGGTAAAAAAGTTGTCGAGCATGTTCGATTCATTATCATCAAGAAGAGACGGTCCTGGGGGAAGAGCAGGTGCCTGTTCAAAGGGAGTGTCCATAGGAGAGAGAAAGGAGTCTGTAAATCGACATTAGAGAAGAACGAGTGCATATTCATGCTTAAAAAAACTCACAACCAAAGGGACCGGATGGAGGAGATGTGCGCCCGGTCTGAACTTCCGTCCCATGTCCCTCCATGGTGAAAAGTAGTTGAATATGAGTGATTGATATAAAGGGTTCGCAAAGAACTTGGTGCTACTCTGACGTCAAGAGTAGCGCAGACCGATAGTAAACTATCATGCCTTAGATAGCAGAACAGACTCTATAGTATGCGATAGAGTTGATAAAGAAGGTTCGACTCCACAAACGAAGGACGCGGGGGGTAGATCAAGGCCACGGGCGTTGATCTGATAATGCGACGTAGTGAGGTAGGGATGGTCGCGATGAGAGAGCAAGGGTATATTATAGTGCGATGAAAAAGAAGGACAAGTGAATGTCAGAAGGAAGAGTCAAAAACCAAGAGAGATATCAAGAAGAGAAAGGTCATCAAAGCAACTACTCCCAGGGCTCTTCGGCCGTCGAGGCTCATCACATGCAAATTTGCGTTGACGTAACAGTACCAAAATTACGGAAATTACGGAAATTACAACCGTTCCGCTGTGGCTTGCTGTGGTATTTAGTGTGTTCCTGGGGAGAGCTATTGGACCCCCGGGGAACACCCCCGAGGCCCTCACACGAGAGCACTTTGCAGGTACTTGACAGGTACTCTGCAAGTACTTTTCCCTTCTTCTTCTAAGTAGCCCCTTACTTTCCTTTTCATCCATTGTATATGCACAACTTCGTCTACATTTCTCTTGACTTTTTTTCTTTATATGGTACTTTCGAATTTTATTTTCCTGTTTGCATTGGCCTCTTTCTTCAAAAACCTCAAAGCACATTATTAAGTCAGTGCGATTCCATCTTGTTTTCGGGGCGCCTCCTGAGATGCTCCAATTGGGCTTTTAATTAAATCATCCGTGGGCCTTAATAAATGTTGGCCCCGCTATACCGACAATCATCACCCCGACAAACCCCCTTCGGATGATCGTCTATCCTCACTAAATCGGTACACTTGACTTTGGATCTCTTGCGGGGGAGGCTTTTTTTTTTTTTTTTTTTCTTCTGTTTTTTCTTTCTGAAACTACGAACCGAGGTCCAACCACACCGAACCTCTTTCTCATATCGACCTACAAGACCGTTACACCGGATCAACGGTCGATCATCCCCAAAAAATTAAAACAAAAACGATCGTGCAGGTGTGCAGGTGTGCAGGTGTGCAGGTGTGCAGGTGTGCGGGTGTGCAGGCGTGCAGGCGCGCAGGTGTGCAGGCGTCAAATATCCCTTTGGAAATACTACCCAAATTTCGGGAGTTGCAATTGTAGGTCACGAACATAACCTGTTTCGCTTTTAGTCAATCCAATTGCCTTGATAGGCGAGGACGATTTTTGTGAATCCCATCAGAGTTCACATACTGATCCAAACCTCCTGATTAGTTCGGAAACTGTGATGTTGACATCTCCCGGAGGGTCATGACATGCAAGTTTCCGGCAACATGGAACCTACACATAAACGTCATGGAAGGGACAACGTCCGGATATTCAAGCCGTGAGTCTATGCGATCTATTAGCCTTATGGCTTGGTGCAACTGTGTGATCTAAGAAGCCCTTGCTGATTGTGACTGTAGCCTCCTTCGTGCCTATGCACTCGGGTACCTGTCTTCTGTCACCCCGAAACTCGCGTCTTATGTACGTCGACTACGTACTAAAGACTGGACAGCCCAACAAAAACTCCAAGAGGTATGCAGTATCGCTGGATTTCAATTCTACCTTTACTGTGGTTTATCAAGTCAAATCGCCCTTAATGCAGTGTTGTGGCTGACTTGAATTTCAACAGCTGGTTAAAGTCTTAACTGGACCTTTACGTGCTAACAGTTTCCCAACATCTTGTGCTGCCTTGGTAGGCGGCTCAACCCTACTGCCAATAGGATTGAATCGTCTTTGCGCATTGATCACAGCAAGGCTTTTCAAAGTTGACCTTCGGATCTCACAAGGGCTCGACCGTTTGATTCGATTCGTGATCTCTTTCCTATCGGGATGGTTCAGTTTCCAACTTCTCAACAAAAACCGCACCTGTCTACCGATAGAAGATGTCAAAGCTACCCGGGACTCTGCAGACCAGGGGAAAGATCCTGGTCGTGTACTGGCCAATCCACTGGAGCACCACCGCCCCGAATTAACAGGGAGAACAATGGACCTGACAATTTACATGGCCACCAGGGCAGCAGATGTGGTCGCGTGTGTCGCATGGAACCGATGGTCCCGTCGCCGCCGGGCCCAGAACCGCTGGACAAACATCGAATCCATTGTTCCTGGCCTATTTGACGCAAGTACTTTTGCCATGAGTTCCGCTATAGTCATGTGGGCATGGTTTTATCTCCCAGAAAGACTTCCCAGGGCATATGAGAAGTGGATTGGACAAGCTGCGCAGGTTGACTCACGTTTGATTGAAGCTTTGCGACGCGTCCGACGGGGAGTCTTCGTGTATGGAAAAGATACAGGCCAGGCGCCTCTTCTTCAGTCGATGTGCAAAGATTATAACTGGCCAGTGGAGTGGGGCGATCCAGCAAAGATGAATCGGATCCCCTGCGAAATGGTACACATGGGCTGTGGGCCTAATTGCGAGAAACACGCGCTGTATCGATTTGCCAAAACCTTCAAATTTGCCTGTGCGACCTATATCCCCCTGCAGATAATTTTCCGCCTACGGGGGATGAAGTCTGCAACAGCCCTCCGCCGAGCTCTCACAGATGCAGCCCGATCATCCGCCTTTCTCTCTTCATTTGTCAGTCTTTTCTACTACGGCGTGTGTCTCGCTCGGACTAGACTTGGCCCTAGGATCTTTGACCCGAAGACAGTCACTCCGATGATGTGGGACTCGGGACTCTGCGTCGGCATGGGATGTTTCATGTGTGGGTGGAGTGTATTGGCCGAGAAAGCGCGGAAGAGGCAGGAGTTGGCACTATTTGTGGTACCCCGGGCTGCCGCCACCGTTTTGCCACGGTTGTATGATAAAAAGGTATGCATCGGACCCTCGCATCCTCTGTCCATGACAGGCTTACACCCCCTTTCCCCCACCCCCTTCTAAATACCCCCAAATTGGCCTGTGACAGGTTCCAGAATAATCACGAGGTGCTGACGCGTTGGTGTTTCCCAGTATCAATACCGAGAACGCGTTGCATTTGCCCTTAGCGCTGCTATTGTTATAACCTGCCTTCGTGAGCGGCCCAGCATGGTGCGAGGAGTCTTTGGTCGCATCACATCGAACGTGCTGAATTAGACTTTGGCCAAGTGAGCCGCCTGAACTTTTTAAGCAAACGGTTGTATTTCGTTGGTCATTTTAGACTTCGGAATGCTACCATACTGTATTATCTTAATTAATTTTGCTGTATAATTATGAACGCTCTATTCGCCTCTAGTATAGCACCATCAGGTACAAAATAGTAATACAGTCATGAAAACCTATGATCAGTTGTTCTATACTTGTTCACTCTGTCGATCTTACCGACCATATGGGGTACGCAGCTGCGAGGGCAATTCCTTTTCAATTTCAATACAGCCTCCTACGCGATCTGGCTAATGAACCACTACAATCCAAAAAAATGATTCAACCTCGATATTACCCCAGGGCCATATATCGCTCGCCGTTTAGGGTAACGTGACTCAAAGCTTGGGGCTTATCGATAAGGCGTCGAGCCAGGGTTATCACGTGTTGCGGATCCTGGGCTCTTTCGAGACTCAACATCCGATCTCATTGAGTTCATATAACTATGTTTTCACGATTACTCCCCTCATGGGGGCGTTCTGCGCTGACAGGGACTATCCCACAGCGATCAATCTATCTCCGCAAGAGCGTATTTGAAGTAGAGCGGAGGCACTTCTCGAGGAATTTCTTGCAGCAGGAACAACGCAATTCGTCTGCGGCGCCTTTTAATACTCTGGAGTCGCAGAAACGCAATACTTCTACTATGTGAGTGCATAATTGGCATCCTGGGGTACATATGTGCTAATAAACCCAATCAGGTACTATACTATCAGTATCATTCTCGGAACGGTTGCCCTCGCATATGGATCCGTCCCTCTTTACAAAATGGTACGCCAATTCCCATCCCTCTGGACTAAATTCTGTATAAGCAGGAGCTTACAATTGCCCTACAGATCTGCCAGCAAACTGGCTGGGGTGGCCAGCCCATCCTCACCCACCGCACCGGCGACGGCGACACTTCCGCGCGTGTGACACCAGTCACCGACTCCCGCCGTCTCCGCATCACATTCAACGGCTCGGTCTCAGATGTACTCCCCTGGAAGTTCACTCCCCAGCAGCGCGAGGTCCGAGTACTACCCGGAGAGACCGCGCTGGCATTCTATACGGCGACGAATAAGGGCCCAAATGATATCATTGGAGTCGCAACATACAGCGTCACGCCTGGTCAGGTTGCGCCGTACTTCAGCAAGATCCAATGCTTCTGCTTTGAGGAGCAGAAGCTCAATGCTGGAGAGTCGGTCGATATGCCTGTTTTCTTCTTCATTGATCCCGACTTTGCTACCGATCCCAATATGCAGGGTATTGATACTATTACCCTGTCATATACCTTCTTCAGTGAGTCCATCTTTCCTATCGTTTTTATTGTCTATTCACCTGGACTGACACATAACAGAAGCGAAATATGATGACAACGGTGTTTTGAAGCCTATTTCGTCATAACCAATTCGCCTCAATGGCGCAGTGGAATTAATTATTCGCTCATCTGTGTGGTTCTGCATAGATTTGACCATTGAACAGTGTACAAGGAACGTCAGTGGTGTTGTGCCTGGTTTTTCCCGCATCCATCTCATCTCATAAGCAAATTTTTTATGTACTATACATATCGGAGTTTGGTGAAAGGTCATCATATACCTAGAAAAAAATACTAGCTGTATATATTGTTGAATTCATGCATGTATTCTTGTCAACAAAAAGGTGTTGAAATCAACTTGGTAACTATAGACCTATGGTAGTGTGGGCGCACGGACCAAGAATTAATTGTCTTCCAGGACGCGTTCACGCGTTGCCCTCTCCAGTCTGCATCCTCTATCCAAAACCCTCCCTTAATACCTCTATACAAAATTTCGAGCTCAAAATGGCTCTTCTTGTTGATAAGCTGCGGCCACGCACCCTCGATGCTCTCTCATATCACCCCGAGCTTTCTGATCGCCTGCGCTCATTGGTAAGAGATTCCATTCCATAGTACGGACAGCTCTGACGAGGTATCTTCAACAGGCACAAAGCGGCGACTTCCCCCATCTACTAGTCTATGGACCGTCAGGCGCCGGAAAGAAAACACGCATAATTGCAACACTGAAGGAATTGTACGGACCCGGAGTCGAAAAGATCAAGATCGACGCCAGAGTCTTCCAAACGACGAGCAACCGAAAGCTAGAATTCAACATCGTCTCCTCAGTCTACCACATGGAGATCACTCCCGCAGACGTCGGAACCTACGACCGAGTTGTCGTCCAAGAATTGCTCAAGGAGGTTGCGCAGACACAGCAGGTGGATATGAGCGCGAAGCAGCGCTTCAAGGTCGTCGTGATCAACGAAGCTGACCACCTCACACGTGATGCTCAAGCTGCTCTCAGACGTACCATGGAGAAATACAGTCCCAATCTGCGGTTGATTCTCTTGGCCAACAGCACCTCCAATATCATTGCGCCTATTCGTTCTCGATGCCTGCTGGTCAGGGTTGCCGCGCCTACTGAGAGCGATATTTGTTCTGCGCTCCATTTGGCAGGGCAAAGAGAGGGATGGGCCGAGTCGGAGGTGCTTAACCAGAGAATTGCAAAGGAGAGTGGTCGAAATTTGCGTCGTGCGCTCCTCATGTTTGAGTCTATCTATGCACAAAAGTAAGTTTATGATGCTCGCTTCATGGATTCCGTTCGAGTTCGAAGTCTGACATGCTTGGAAATCTAGCGAGAAGGTCACGGATAAGACTCTGATCCCACCCCCGGATTGGGAGGCCCTTGTTACCGTGACAGCGGATGAGATCCTGGCTGAACGGTCGCCTGCCCGTCTGTTGCAGGTCCGCGCTCGTCTTTATGATCTCCTAACCCATTGTATCCCGCCAACCACTGTTCTGAAGGTACGCCTGATCCACCCCATTATATTCTGTGAGGTACTAACAGTTCGATCTAGACTTTGACATTCAAGCTTGTCGCACGAGTTGACGATCCGTTGAAGGCCGATATCATTAAGTGGTCTGCTTTCTATGAACACCGCATCAAATTGGGAAGCGTGAGTACATGTCTGGTTTAAACAATCAAACTCTACTAATATACATGCCATTACAGAAAGTTATCTTTCACCTCGAAGCTTTCGTGGCTAAGTTCATGCGCATTTACGAAAGGTATTTTCGTTGAATAATATTGCAAGTATATCCAACTAACCGCATTAGTTACCTCATGGGCATGGACTTTTAGATCACCAAAAAATGGATGAATGACGATTTTGTACAATAGGTGGTTTTCGGTGAGCAAGCATGAAGCTATATTCTATAGCACTACAATTTGCGCCTTGCTCGAAACCCCGGGTATCCGCCTACTTCCCTATTTCCACCGGCGCATGATGGCATTGTTAAGAATGGCGTTTATTACTTGTCGTTTCTTCCGTAGTAGAATATTTTGCATATATCACCCATTTCCTCAAACTCACCCATGTATAAATCGATCCGATACAAAAACTGTAAGCGTTGGATCTAGAACGGAGAAAGCTTGTCCATCCAAGATACGTCATCACATATCACTGGACCGCATGTTCTTGTATTTCATCCGACAACTTTTCCATCATGTATTCCTTATCCTTTGAACGGTTTCTAGCATTTTCTTACTATATAAATATCTCACTTCAACGTCTTCAATATGTCAGATCCAAGACTTGTTGATATGGAACCCGGAGGAGAAAGCACTCAGTATGGACTCTTGACACTTTCACAATCAATGCTAGCTGCTAATTCGTGCAGATATGAGTCGATCAAGGAATTCACTAAAACTCCCCCAAAGCAGACGGGACAGTTGGGTGGTGAGCCACACGCTCGTAGCAAATGTTTTCCCATAAGCTGACCTCATCTGAAGGAGGCGAGAAACACACTGAAAGTGAAGTGAGCCCTAGTCTAGGAACAGATGTTCCAGCTTCAGAAGATGACGAGGACGCCCAAGCACAAAAACTGGGCGCTGGAAGAATTGGTTCTGGTAAAGGTAAATGCTGAATATATTTCCTTGTCTAACTCCAAGTACCAAGACAAGATATCCATCGAAGAAGCCCATACCTCGATAGCTCTAAAGAGACGCAAACAGCTGATGATAATGTACAGATGAAACACTTGACGATATAGCAGCCAAAGCCCGCAGACAGCAGGGGTATGGGCCTGGGTCTGGGGTGGGGGGTTGATCGATCCAAAAAAAAAAACAACAAAAGACATGACCGAGAAACAAAGGGAATACGGTATCATGCGGAAATGAAAATTTATTGGGTAGGGTCGGAGCTGGAGGAGACGCTCTTCGGGGGAGAAGCGAGGTCATCGGTAGCGAGGGGTGGGTTTCTGCGCGCGCGCTTAAGGGAGTCGAGAGTGACACCGTTTCCAAGCTTTGTAATTCCAACGACAGGAGGGTCGTCCTTGTGGACGAATTCCCAGAGACCTAGTTCGAAACAATCAGCATACGAATCCGAATCCGAGCCCCAGTCTCAATCTCAAGTAAAGAAGATCCGTAACGTACCTGGCAATTTGTGACCCGCCAATCTGAATGCCTCGCGAGCAACCTTCTCGTGTACATCGCCCTTCAATTCGAAAACAACTCGGCTCACGGGCAGTCGGACAGTCCAGTAATCAAACTTACCCTTACCCTTACCCATACGCTGCTCGTTACCGGATGTGTAGACACCGATGTTTGCGCTGACACGCTTGTACAACTTGTAATTCATTCCTCGTAGCCGGCGCTTGATAGTCTCTTCGGCGATCTTCAATGCAGATGCGGGCATGCGGCGGTCGTGGTCTTTCATGCGCAGGCCGAAATCTCCCCACACGACTGTTGTTCCTCGGGTGGATCCGCCAGTAGCGACGTGAGGCCGACCCTTGGGAGACTTGGACTTTTCTTGGTATTTTGGGACCAACCAGTTGAGGGACCGGGAGGTGGTGGAGAAGCATCGTGATAGAGAAAAGGTTGCCAGCGGTCCGGACACTGCGTCGTATTGTTAGTAAAATGATGTTTCATTGGGGATTGATGGCTCGTACGAGTCGGCCGTGTAGAGGCGGACAATGCTCCAGTGAGCATCTTGATCTGTGGACCCATTGTGAATTGGAAGGCGGCGATATATCTCAATGTTGCGGAAACCTTCAGTTACTCCGGCTCTTTTCGATCAATTGGCGCTAACCAAAAGTGGCTGAATCAACACGTGACTTTGTAATGGATATTGATGCCTCAGGCGTAAATATACATGAATGATCACTAGGGCTGACACAATACTACTTCGGCTTTCTAGTAATCTTTAGTTGAGTCCTCAATTTCAATGGCTGCTGTTCGGAGTCAAATTTATCAGGGGCGAAGAGGCACAGAAATCGACAAGCCAACGATGAATCCCAGATGCTGCATTGCTTCATACATCAATAATCTGAACCCTCAGACACAGCGGCCGCTTTATGAGGTTGTTGAAAATGTTTTTGGTAGAATAATTCCATTCTGGGACATGACACTCTCACACGGGAAATAACATTGTACTCGAATACCTTATGCTGAGACTGAATGACTCCTTAAACTCCTAGTAGAAGAAGAAGATCAAGAAGAAGAAAAGATTCCTCCCCGAGGCATACTGAAACTCCCCGAACCCGATGTCTTCCAACTTCCAGATGTTTCACCCCCGGAGATCAATTTGCGGAGCGAACACGCCGAGAAAGACTCAACATTGAACTGAGAGAGCCTTGGCATTTTGAAGGGAATCCAGTGAGATCTTAGCGTCAATGGCCATTAGTTATCGCGAAGATTACTAAACGACCTCCAACCTCAAAGAATGAACATATATGCGCAACTGCTCTGTACTGCTACGCAAGCAAAAAAATCACAGAAGTGTTAGCCTCTCCTTCCGCCAGCGCAGCCAAGAAGTAAGCATTCGGGATGTTGGGCACGACGAAAGCCACCATGAGCACCTTAATTAAGTGTTTGGCTTCGAGGAGGAAGTTGACAGCGTAAGCGAAACCAACGTCACTCAGGAACTAGGCGAGGTTTGATTCCAGAGGGCCGGCTTCTCACGTACCCAAATAAAATCCGAATTCGACTTTCTCCGTTTTCGCTCTTGGAAAAGTCTTAGCCAGGCCAATTTAAGTTTCTTCAGCTGGGTCTCATTGATCCACATCTCCTCGTTATTTTATCTGCTAATGTGCCTCTTCAGAGAGAAGACTGGTGGAAAGAGTGATCTAGCGCTGTATCTACAGCGTTTAGTGGGGTTCCCATAGAGTTACAGTGCATGATCACTGGACATTTTGATACTACCACGAAGATGGAGCGGGCAAGGAAATATCATGTTGAGCTCGTCGAGGAAATGGGATGTATGGGGAAGGAGACAAGTTTGGCTTATTTTAGCATGCTCATTTACATGTTTAACTGTAGTAGGACTCCTTTGATATGGTTATATAGAAGCAACTGTCTCCAGCCCTCTAGCACTAGTTCAGAAACTCAGCGTTATGTCCTCTCCTATACTATTTTACTGAGCATGGAGCCGTTAGAAGTATGCTTTCCAGTGTTTCTATCTGAAATCCTTTTCATAGAGATAGAGAATAGGTGGCAAAAGTAGAATCAAGTCCGAGCTTATAGAAGGAATTAAGAAGAGCCGTGCGTGACCGCTCGAGGTTTCGACCCCAACGCCAACATCAACACTAAAGATACATTTGGATTTGGATTTGGAGTGCATGATATCCCTGTATGCCGTGCCCATAATATCCTCAAACACGATTATATCAAATGCGATAATGCGCCATGTTCTTCTTTATCTCGTCGACAATCTCCTCGGCCTCGCCGGTACTTCGAGCCTCAAAGTCATAGCGCTTCTGCTCCGTAGCATCGTTTCCACGTACAATCATCACACGGAAACTCTTCGGATGCCTGCGGCTGACCTTGGAGCCGATCACGTCGCTGAAACTAATCGACCGTGTCTTGCCACCAGAGACGGTTTTACCGGTTTCTCCAGGCACAATGTGCATATAGTCATTTTCAAAGGTGAGGATACGGTGATTGGATGCCGTGAAAGACATGGGTTGTTTGCGGAACACGTGGTACCGGCGATAATACCCGCCGAGGTGGTCTTGTTTCTGAGAGGATGATGGTAGCATGCGTTGAGCGCCCTTCTTGGCCTCCTTCTTGGCCTTTTTGGAGGTTGCTGGCTCTGCAGTTTCCACCATCAAAGGTGCGTTCGGTGATGAACTTCCAGGTGAGGTTCCAAGAGCGAGAGGACCCCCACCGAAACGACGGCGGACTAGATCAAGCTCGGTGATGCTACCCAGTGCTTCCACGGTGCGGTCAAGAGGAGCGATCGTGTTTGATCCCATTACCTTTAACAGGTAGTTACCCTTGTCCTGGCCCCAGCGCTTGCATACAGAGTCCAGGATCTCGGCTATATAGCTGTCGGTAGATGTGTTGATAGTCATGACATGTGCGGAGGCCTCTGTGTTAACGAAGCGAATCTTCAATGTTTTGGCAACACCGAGACGAGGAGTCGCATGTGAGGTGGGCACAGCGGGTCGATCAGCAGGGGTAAGTGTGCTGTGGTTGAGCGCAGAAGAAAATGGCTGACCCAAAATAGGATTTGCTCGGGCTGGAGCAGGTGTGATCTGAGGAGGCTTGCTCTGCGCAGCGGGTGGTTGAGCCGTGCCCGGTGTTGCAACATTCGCAGGCTGGTCTGTCTCTTCTGATGCAATGTTTGAACTGAACTGTGGGTATAACTTCTCGTTCTCCTCGAACTCCGCTTTCGAGGCTTCAACTAGAGCGAACTCATCATAGGCCTTCCCTCTTGCTCGTTGTCGGACCTTGGGAGGTTGATTGTTGTTTGATGTGAAATCCGTCATTGGAAGGGTACGCCCAAGTGCCGGGAAGTCATATTCAACTTCGCCATCATCAACCATCCGTAGAGTCCACCGGTTTACGGTCAACTTTTCACGGTCTAGCGCTGGGCCTCGAGAATCCGCCGAATATTTCCATAGGGCCAAACCTATCGTCTCAGCGACGGTGACGGGTGCGGGCTGCTCCGCAAGTTTAGACTCGCGCGTCACCGGCAGATCTAACGGATCTTCCGGGTCACTGGAGAAGGGAGCGTAAATCTTCAAGTACAAAGCGTCTTCTTGTCCTCGCCCAGAAAGCACCACAAATCTGTCCACAGGATTGCTTGGTGCCCGCTTCCGAGCCTTGAGCTGACTGGTCAATAAACTGACTGGTTGAATCATACTAATGGGTCGTGGCGGTGGGAGGTCTTGTAGCGTTGGGGCCGGTGTGCGATTCTTGCGAGGTGAGCTATTCTGTGGGCCAGTTCCTGGTGGCAACTTGTTCATCATAACCATGGGCGAGGACATATTTAAACCGCCCGCAACACCTGCTAAAAGTAAGGAGCCAGATCCAGCTGTGTTATCAAAATCAGATGAAATTGCAGACACAGCGGACTCGGCGCCAGAATCATCCTCGTCTTCCTCGTGGAGTTGTCCGAGAGCCAGGCTTTCTGCCCCTCGACTACCAGTCCGTTCACGTCGCCTGCGCGGATAATTGACGATGAGATCACTCCCGGAGAAAGAGACTTGGGACTTGTAGCCTCGGTGGTCAGTTTCATTATCTGTTGATAGATCGCTGCTTGTAGTTGTGTCTCGACGAGGTCGTAGTGGTATCGATTGGTTATGATTCGCAACATGCTGGGTGGACGGAGATGTGATCATAACTTCTGGTCGCTCGCGCTGATCTTCGGAGCGCATTGGAGAGGAGTCGGCTCGGTCTCGACGTATGGGCATCTTGTGGAATTTGATTTGATCGACAGCACTGTTTCTGGTCAGATCAGATCATGAAGCGTCATCTTTGCAACCTGAATCAGCTGAATCGCCTACCTGCCCACATTGTCCCCATCATCGTCGCTGTCGTCACTCAAATCGCTACTATCGTCTTCCTCTGCTACCGCTTGTCTCTGAGCCTCTTGTGCCCTTTCACGCCGACTTTTCTTCTTCCCATTACGTGCATGATGCCGTCGCGCGGTCATGTCCGTGTGGCTCTTGCCTGTCACCATGCCTCCATCATCCTCGCCGTCCTCCGGGCCGAGGCCTTGCAGTTCGTACTTTGGAGACTTCGCATTTCGTTCCGCCAATTTGTAATATTCGGAAGATACGTTCGCAGTGGTTGGGATTGGTGGGGAATAGGTGCGCTTCAGGTGGGATGAACTATGTGTATTCGGGTACGCGGCGGCAGTTGACCAACCTGCCGCGCGGAAGCCAGGTGTATTCAGGACGGAGTCATTGACGTTGATAAGTCGGTCTCCGATTCCGTCTTTGATCGTCGAAAGATATGAGGAGCGCAGTTGCCAGATTGTGAAGCTGTGTTTGGGTCAGTCCCCGGAGATCAACAGCTCTATAATTACACATCCGACTTACTCTTCATTGTGAAGAAGGGACATCTTCTCGATTGTAAGGAAATATGCCCGCGGTTCGAGTGTCTTTTGTATAATCTGCAGCGACCGAGCTCACTGGGCCGATGGTTCTTACAGTAAACTAAGCTTGCATGCTCCTGAAAATGTCCCAGACAAGAAGAAAATGCGTATCATAACAGGACCAGCCTGTATCAAATGAGAATCAGGTAGAATCAAGTGAAAGTGAAATCAAGGAGTGATATGTGCCAAAAGCACATCGGTGTAAGGTTGAAGGGGAAGTCGGACTCCGCAGATCAACAGATCATTTCCCCGCCAAGGGGCTTTTTACCGCTTACACATAACTATAAGTATGCGGTTCACTGCACTTCATACCTTCACCTACAATGAGTAGGAGTAAGAGAGTACTTGTCCAATACTGAAATACTGTATTGCTCGTACCAAGTTGCTTCTGTCAGGTCGCATCTTCAAGAAGCCTTTACTGAATCCATCATCGGTATAGATAACCCGATCAATAACAGCTCACCAATGCCAAAAGAACATGAGAATTTTCTTTCGACATCGGACAGCCACAAAGATATCGGATTCGCACTCGAGAGTGAATTCTTTCGTCTTTTTGAATACAATATGTTTACGTCTCATCCACGTCATGTATATCGCTATCAACAATATCTTTGTTTTCTTCAATCGAAGTCGATTGGTATATAAACAATAGAATTGATACTTGAAAGAACAGATTGTAATGCACCATCATACGCCACAGAAACAGACAATGCTTCAAGACAAAAACAGTAATATGTTACAAAATCATGCCTTGGCCTTAGCCTTGCGACCCTTCTTCGGCTTCTCCTCCTCATCCTCATCATCATCAGCCGCCTTCTTGGCCTTCTTGCCCTTAGCCGGCGCCTTCTTCTTCTTGGGCAAACTAACATACTTGTCCTTCTTTAGATCAAGTTCTTCCTCATCATCCTTAATCTCATCCACAACTTCCTCCTCATCAGACTCATCGATCGCATCCTCAATATCCGGCTTATCCTTCGCCGCCTTCTTTGGAGCGAGGACACTGCTAGCCTTGATGAACGGCATAGGATGCGAGCGCGAGTTATACAGACGAGTGAAAGTGGCCTTGACCTGGGTCTCGATCTTGATATTAGACTCGTTCATCGGACCGAGTCCTAGTTCGAGCATGGCATCGAAGTCATCGCGGGTGAGGTAGTAGTCATCCATGAGATCAATGACTGAGTCAACACTGTCCTTGCCTTCTTCCATGAGTCGGCGAATGATCTTCTTTTGGAGCAGGGGCAAGTATTGCTCCCGAATTTCGTCACGGTTGCCGGTAGTGCGGAGGCGCATGTGGCCCTGGATTTCCTTGACATATCGAGACATTTTTCCTGGAGATAGTTAGAAGGCGGTTGCAGAATATAAGACTGGTGATAATCATACCTTGCTTGCTGTTGGCGCCCAGCCAGCTAGTGAATGAAGCCCGATCGGACATATTTCCGAATTGATAACTGGCAGGTCGTACAAAACTCAAGACTGCATGGGTGGGCATAAGACTCCACTGCTGCTGGGTTCCGTGGATCATACGGTCGACAAGGTCACCGTCACTGATACTTGAAGCGGCACCGTCGAGCAGCTCAAGCGACTTCAATCGCTGTTCCGCACCCTGGTACTTGCCCGCAAGCGTGGGCCTTGTCTTGAGGTAATTTTCCTGAAGCATCAAAGGACTGAACTCGTGGTCGTTGAAATAGAGCTGGATCTTCTGGTCGAGGGTAGTGGTGGAGCTTGGGGAGAACATCTGAGCACTGAGAATTTTGCTGACGATGTCCCAAGGCTTGAGAATGATGTTCTTCTCCCACGCTTTGGACATTTCCTTGCCCTGGTCGTAATCGAGTCCCTGTTGGTCTAGCCGCGCGGTGGATAACATGTTAATGACCTGTCGGATATCGGCGTGTGTTCCTTCAATGAGGCCATCGAGTACATGAGGCGGGATCTTGAGGCCTTCTCGGAAGCAGATGGTAGATAGTCTGGCCCGGATTTGGTCGGCTGTAGGACGTCTGAAGGGGATTTCGAAGGTGATCCCGTCAAACGGCTTCATCTTCGGAAGTCGGCGCTCGTTGCAAATAAGGATTATTGGAATCTTGGTCTTTTTAACAATGGCGGCAACGGCCCCCACGCCTCCTCGGTCACCAGCAGACATGCCATCGACCTCATCCATGATAAGTACAAGGTTCTTCTTCCCGCCCTCAACCTGTTTGCCTTGTCCGGCGAAATATCCTTGCAAGGATGTTGTATCCAACACACCCAAGGTGGAACCCTCAACAAGTTTCTTGCTTCTGGTATCACTGGCATTGGTTTCCACGACATCGAATCCTTCCAATTTTGCCACGAGGTGGGCTGCTGTGGTTTTTCCAATTCCTGGGCCACCATGAATTATGACAGCACGGTATATACCTGACCCGTTGGGGCCAGCCTTTTTGAAATCGAGTTTTGCATTGTCGTGCCAGCTTCGCAGCCACTGCTGAAGCCTCTCAACGGGGGCCTTGTTTCCACAGATCATACTGGTCGAGGTTGGGGCATACTTCGTAGTCCAGAGCTCAGTGGATGATGCGGGTTGTGAGTTGGGTGGTGTCTGTTGCGTGGTAGAGGCAGGCTTGGAGCCTTTGGGGGTTGTGGCTGGCTTCGTGGCCTTCGCAAGCTCTGCAGCCTTTCGTTTCTCCTCCGCATCAATTTCGGCAGCCATAGCACGAACCTTTTTCTCGTCGGCTTTCTGTTTTTCAGCATACTTTTCGGCTGCGGCTCCACTGCCACCATTGGCAGGCAGTCTCTTGATCAACTCGAAAAGACCGTCTTCGTTGATGGTTTTGATCTTGTGCTTTGCGATGGTCTCGAGCTTCTTTGGACCAGCATCGCCGCCGAGCACAACATAGCTTGTCTTGGAGCTGGGCGCACCAACAACCTTGCCACCGTATTTCTTCACCAACTCGGAGCCCTCATCACGACCGAGCGACTCCAGAATACCAGTAAAGACGAATGACAGGCCAGCAAGGCAATTTGGCTCACCAGTAGGCATCTCCTTGGTCCCGGCCATTGCTGGGTCCCGCGACTGTTGCTGTCCAAACTTCCATTTCTTCGCCTCGCCCTTGGGGGGCTCTGGAGCATCAATGGTGGGGATACTGTCGAAAATATCTTGGATCTCTTTGTTTTCTGACTTGGCCTCCTTTTGAGCTTTCTTCGGGCTAGCCTTTTGCTTCTTTGCAGCTGGCGATTCTGTGGTCTTCGGCTTCGGGGCTGCCTTTTTCGTTTGCTTCTTCGGCTCTTCGAAATCGCCATCTTCATCTTCATCAATAAGAGTTTCCGCCTTGCGTTTGCGGCCTGGTCGGGCCTTGGGGGCAGGTGTGTGGGGAAGGTCTTCCATAATAAGATCATCTTCCTCATCGTGGGCAGGCTTCTTTTTCTGCCCCCTCTTGGGAGCCGCAGCGACAGGCTTTACCTCAAGCATCTCGAAGTCACTGTCTTCGTTGCTATCGTCTCCATCGACATAAGCGTCGTCTCCTTTGCTGCCCTTCGCGTATTCTGACGCAAAAATGTCATCGTCGCCTAGTTTTTCATCCTCGATGATCTTTGTGGCTTTCTTTGTTGAACTGCGAGCAGTCGGTCGTCCCTTGTTTAGAGGCTCCTCGGTGGTCTTCCTGGGCTTCGGGCTTATGGCGTCCCTTTTGGTGTTGTCAAGCTGAGCCTGTTCCGTGGATTTGGTAGGCTTTCCCTTCTTCTTGCTAGAGGCGAAATAGTCGGAGGAAGTTGTAGGTTCTCCCTTGGTCTCTTCAGGCTGTCTGTGAGGACAATTCGTCAGTCTAAATTGGTGATAATAGTGAACCTCGGCTCGAGACATACGATTGACTCTTTGGCTTCGCTTTAGAAGCCGACGGTTTCGCAGGCGTTGAATCCTCTTCTTCGTCACTGTCATCCACGATTTTCCTGCTGCCTGTTTTTATGTTAGAGAGCTGTGATGCTAAAACGGAAAATTTGAGCGCATACGTTTCTTTCTGGAGGTTGAGGCATCCTGCGTTTGGGGTTAGCAATTAATTCCGACAGAATCAAAGATAAAGTGGCCAGGATCCTCGTCTCAAGCAAGACAACGGCTTACCTCTTTTTTGGCCGGAGGCTTTGCGGAAGCTGGGCTCGAGCCTTGACTTGACTTGCCGCCAAAAAAATTCCGAATATCCATACTGTAGCTCAGTCCGTTACATGGAATTTGATAGAAAGCAGACTAGGATGGCGATTGAAGAGAGTCCGAGCTGTAGCTGCAGCTGTTTGCTGAATCCATCGACGGGTGACGCGCGACGTGACGTGAATTTAGCCTCAGGCAGCAGCTGAGTCAGAAACCACTTAACGCGACTGCAACCAATCATGTCCATAATTCTACTATACTTTCCTCTTGGCTGTTGCTTCTGCCTACAATGTCGTGACTACAATATTGTATGTTGGAATTGAGGTATTTCTTGACATTGATAATAGACTCAAAAGGGGGGCACAAATTCCATAGGAAGGCTCGGTCAAATGACCTCTAGAAAGGCACTATAGACACTACTTTACCGAGGGGTTTCAAATGAGTTATAGGGCGCAAGAATATGAGGTTAGAAAGAGTAGGTAACTACATATCCACAGATGTAGGCAATTGGACATATGGTACGGAGTACGGAGTACAGAATTTCACATGCGAGGGGCCCGTGACTATTGACACCTGTTAATTCAGGCAGTGTGACTACATAAGCATTCTCGAGATCGAAAACAATGAACCGAGGGCAGCAAGATTTGAAAGACCTTCAAAGTCATAAGATATCTGCGCGTAAATAACAATGTAGAACGTACAATATAAAGGAAAAATGGCCGAAAACGTTCCTATCAAAACGATTGAGTTTCCAAGTAAAACATATGAGCGCATCACTTTGTAACGTCATCATCCGAGTTCTCCGCTTGATATGGTAAATTGCGAGAGTCATGACCGGATGATCGTTGGATTGAATCGAGAACAATTCTACCTAGGTATGTCGGTATGTACATTTCATGTATTCAATGAAATATTATATTTTGTATATTTTCTATACAGATAAGCAAAAATACGAGAATCGGAATCTTCTCGGGAGTGGCGCCCAGCGAAAAAAAACCCAGCGAATAGGCAAGAAATCGAATTGAAAAAAAAGTAACCAATTCAAATCAATTCAAAATCCCAGGATCAGAGCAAATAAAACTTCCGGATGAAAGGGAAAAAATAGAGTAGAATCCAGTAGGTCAAAATAAAGAAAGAGGAAGAAGTAAATTAATCAACCGGATGCCCAGCTAAAGATCAATGCGTCATTCTGGTTGCCCCTCCCCACTTAATCCGGACCTTTCCCTTCTCTTTCAACCCCCAATGGCCCCTGTTTCAACTCTCCATGCCGAGCTTAGGAGGTTTACTGAAGAAGCGGCGTACGAAGGATTCGCAAGATCTCGGGGAGGACTCCAGCGCACCCACGCAAAGCGCACCCATGCAAACACAATCAAACGCTTCGCCCCAGCATACGGGCAATAATGCCGCTAGCATCGACAACATCATAAATCAGGAAAATCAGGAAAACCAGGGCCATGAGCAACCAGCTCAGAAGCAGGAGCGCGTCACAAAGGGCAAGTACTCCCAGGAGGACTTCCAGCTCCAGCGCACTCTGGGAACGGGAAGCTTCGGTCGTGTCCACCTGGTGCAGTCCAAGCACAATCACCGCTTCTATGCAATGAAAGTGTTAAAAAAGGCCCAGGTGGTTAAGATGAAGCAGATCGAACACACAAATGATGAACGTCGAATGCTGAATCGCGTCCGTCATCCCTTCCTGGTCACATTGTGGGGAACGTGGCAGGATTCACGAAACCTCTACATGGTCATGGACTTTGTCGAGGGTGGTGAATTGTTCAGCCTCCTGCGAAAGTCACAGGTGAGTCGCTGTTTGATTTTCTCCTAGGGTGTTTTGGAGTAAAGAACTTATTCTTATTATTTTCTTTAGCGATTCCCCAACCCTGTGGCCAAGTTCTATGCTGCCGAGGTCACTCTGGCACTAGAGTATCTGCACTCCCACCAGATTATTTATCGTGATCTGAAGCCTGAAAACCTGCTTTTGGATCGCCATGGTCATTTGAAAATTACAGATTTTGGTTTCGCTAAAGATGTCCCTGATATTACATGGACCCTCTGTGGTACCCCAGATTATCTAGCACCGGAAGTTGTCTCCTCTAAAGGGTACAACAAATCCGTCGACTGGTGAGTCTGACTCCGAAACTCCCTGGCGCCGAATTCGTCTAACCCTGCCAGGTGGTCATTGGGAATCTTAATTTTCGAAATGCTGTGCGGGTTCACTCCTTTCTGGGACAGTGGGTCGCCAGTGAAGATCTATGAGAATATCTTACGGGGCAAGGTCAAGTACCCTCCATACTTGCACAACGATGCGGTCGATCTTCTCTCCCAATTGATCACATCCGACCTCACTAAGCGTCTGGGCAACTTGCACGGTGGCCCCAATGATGTCAAGAACCACCCATGGTTTGCCGAGGTTACTTGGGAAAGATTGGCTCGCAAGGATATCGATGCGCCTTACATTCCTCCTATCCGGGGCGGACAAGGTGACGCGAGTCAATACGACAAGTATCCGGAGGAGACGGAGCACTATGGCCAGGAAGGAGATGATACGTAAGTACCTCGTGCCGCGCTCCAGCTATCCAGTTACACTAACTAACCCGCATTAGATACGGTCACCTTTTCCCCGACTTCTAGGTGCTTGTATGATTTATGACACGACGAAAAGTCCACAGTCCGGGGGAGGGCCGGAACTGATTGACCCCGGCAGGAGTCGTGAAAAACCAGGAGCCATTATACCGAAACCCATACTTTTCTATCTGCACATCTTTTTTCCTTCTTTTAGCAATTGCAATTGAATGTTCTTTTCCTTTCTCAATTGTCTGCTCGATGTACAAATGGATTCATTGTGAACCCTCTATTCCCACTCCAACCACTGGGGCATGAAAGCCACACCCATATTATACACGGGCTACCAGGCCGCTTCTATCGTACAGTAGTTCGTTCACAGATATGTGTGTCTTTTGCTTTCGTTCATATTCCTTGCTTCCTTCCGAGCCGCGAAATAAGAATTTAGCCCAAGAGGCCGCTGCCACCCTCAGGCTGGCCGGTAGCCATGGCACCAATGGCAGCCGCATCCTGGCCGCCGAGGCGCTTGGTCTCGCTTGCGACGCGGGCGATGTACGTCTTGCTAGTAACGTTCCACATGGCGATGTACTTATCCATGCAGCTGGACAGACAAGTGTTCTCCTTGGACGAGAGCGAAGCACCGGGGGTAGGGACGCAGGCGGTGAAGCAGTGCTTGTTGATTTTCTGGGTGCTGTTAGCTGGGTGTTGGGGTTGCTAGACAGGGGTGGTGACGTACTCCGATCAGAGCGCGGGCGTTGACCATGGCAGCTTCCTGTTGGAGCTGGCGCATGACGGCTGCCTTGATCTCTTCGGAGGTCTGGGGAGCGGCGGGGGAGGAACCGAAAATGGACGACATTGTGAGATGGTGGAATTGGTGTCCGGCTGGTAGGTGTGAAATTGGATGATATCAAAGTCGGAGTTCGTCAGGATCTGAGAGTTGTGTACGGCAGGCTTTAGCGACACGTTGAACTTTGTAGCTATGATTGGTTGGCGGAGTGGGCATCGAGGTCTTTCTTCGGGCAGAATTACTATCAAGAATGCATTACTGCACTCCGTATGTTCGTGACAGTTTCTTATGATCTACGAATTCATAGCACTCAAATGAAAATTTCAGTTGTCTTTTCATATATCTTCCATGTCTCTTATTTGATATCCTTTTCTTGCGTCCTCGTGATCGCTCCGTCCGTTTAGGATCTTCACATTTTCTTCCCTTTCCATTCTCTACCTCTGTCAAGGGCTCTTCTGACTTATATATACGGCGTGTAACTAGAGCAGCTACCTATTTAAGCATGCACATATCTTAAAGAACAGAATAATTGAGATGTTTCCAAAGCCGAATCCATAACATTTGATATAGACACTTCAAGGTAAGGCGGAGTGGAAGGCGGTAGAGTATATAGTCCCTCGAATGCCACTAAAACCGTCCGTAGATGTGGCTAGTGACCTGCGCCACACCAGATGTGGACACCTAGCATAACAAGCTGTATACTTACCATCTCCCTGTCTCTGCGCCTCAGGAACTTCACCTTTATTCACTCTTTGAGTTCACCATTTTCAGCCTTTTTCTCTTCTTCAATTACTTGGGTTCTCGGGTCCTGGCGACACCGTATCCCCCTCAATCCCACCCCCGGTCTATCCTTGAAACAAGAACCTCCCCTCCAATTGGGCCCTAATACAACATGCGCCTTCCTTCCGTTACCTCGCTCCTCTGCCTTGCTGGCTTGGTCTCTGTACCAGTGGCCGCCTATGATGACTCGAATATCAAAAGCATTCCTGTAGGTTGACCGAGACCCCATGTCGACATTGTCACCCTAGTCGAGATCCGAGGTACTGACTCCTGCTAGCTCCGCACCCACAGCCTTTCTCCGGTATAGTCATACCCCCACCTTATATCTAGCTTGTCTAGAGCAATCGATAGCAAGATGCGCACCACGCATTCAGCGCGTCTTATGAGGAATAAACATGTTGACCGCTAAATAGCCCTACCTCGATTCGGATTTCCAAAGCCGCTGGTTCGACTTCGGAGGAGATACAGTGATCCGCGCTGACAAGTAAGGATGCTAAGGCAACCCATTGGAAATGTCTGGGCTCAAGGCTGACGTTTGTGATTAGATATATCCGCCTGACGGCCGACCGACCATCGCAGCAAGGATGGATTGCCTCTCGCGTGCCTCTGACTGCGACCAATTGGCAGGTAATTACGTGGTCTTGAAAACCCGAACGCGCGCAAACTCACGCATTTTTCTAGATCGAGCTCGAGTTTGAAATCCATGGCTCCGGGAACTTGCATGGTGATGGGTTTGCGCTTTGGCTTACCAAAGAGCGTGCGACTCAGGGCCCTGTTTTCGGTTCGACGGACAAATTCGAGGGTCTTGGTATCTTCTTCGACACCTATAAGAACAACCGTCCCGGCGTGTCGTTCCCCTACGTCATGGCCATGATGGGTGACGGACAGACTACCTACGACCAAGCGCACGACGGCAAGGCCAATGAGCTGGCTGGTTGCTCTGTTAGTTGATTCGCAAGCACTCAGAAAACATGACTAACAGTGATAATTAGGCCCGTGGTCTCCGAAGTGCCCCTGTACCGACTAAAGCCCGCCTTACTTACTTCCAGGACAAGTCCCTGTCTCTGGAGTTGCAGTACAAGACCGAAGACACCTGGACCGAATGCTTTACCCTCAACGCTGAGGATTCCAACATTGCCATTCCTTCCGTAGCTTACTTGGGTCTCTCTGCCGAGACCGGTGAGCTGAGCGACAACCACGACATCATCTCCCTCAAGGCAGAGAACCTCTACTCCCTGAACCGCGGCAACAACAACGGCGGCAAGGGCTCCTCCGACGGCCGCTCCAAGGGCCGCCCTACTTCTCCCAGACCTGCCAAGGAAAGCGGCAGCTGGACCTGGTTCCTGTTCAAGACTATCCTGTTCATCGGTGCCATCGTCGGTGCCTACTTTGGTTATACCGTCTACCGGACTAAAGCCCGGTCATCGCGTTTCTAAATTTACGTCTCATGGACATTTAGCAAAACACAAAACGCTCTCTCAACTTTGTGATTTGTGCTGGCTTGTGATTTTGCCCAGCTTCTTTCCAAAATGGATCTTGCATACATAGCCCCTGTCGACCTTTTTTATTTACTCCGATCTACGTTTTCTCTCAGCTTTCGTTCTTTTTTCTCCATCTTTGAAATGAATACAAGTCATGATCATTTAATCCCGTGCAATGGTATACAGTCCATGGAAGGTCTAGAAACAGCTGATATTGAAGAATGTCGCCAGACTTTCTAGGTGTAATGTATATATTGCAGCATCTTGATGCTCGGGGTATCATAACACAGGTATTAAAAAAAAGAAATAGACGCCGCCTTATGCCAGCTGGGGATATCATCACTCAATCAGAGAATGCTCAGCTATGTCGCTCTTTCTCCTCATTCCACATGCGATCAACAATCTGAAAGACCTCCGTAACACTGCGCATAACAACCTCATCAATTCCAAGTGCGCTATACCGATGCTGTATTTTATCAGGATGCCAACGAATCCGCTCCGTCTTCAGCGTATTCAACAACTCCTCCCCAGGCGCATGCCTCATAAACACTTCAACAGCAGCAGGCTCGACATCAGCCCTCTTCCCAGACCTAACAGGCCAGAAAATCATATCCCGCAATGACTGAGAAGTAGACCCCTCCCCAAGCTTCCTCATCCCCTCCCAACTCCCCAAATACTCCTCCCAAACACCACCCCAAGCCTTCCCCCTCTTCCTCTCCGCCCCACGCCTCAAACTCTCATCCATAGCCCTCTCAAATGCCCTCCTTTCCTCCTCCGCACTCCTCCCCTTCTCCTCACTCTTCTTCTTCATCCGCTCAGCCCGCAGCCTCTCCTGCTCAGCAAGCTGACCCTCCCGTGTGCGCTCCCACATCCGCGTGCGCACATACGCAACGTACTCTTCTTCCGTCATCTGCTCTAGTTCGCCCTGTGGGCCCGGCACATGCGGCACGCTATAATTGTGGATTGGTTGGCCATATACCCCCTCCCAGTACGCGGCGCCTTCATCGTCACCTAGCGCATCGAAGAGCGATTCGCGAAACGCGTCTGCTGTTGGCAGTTGGGGGTCGGTTGGTGTGTGGTTGTGCTCGTGGTTGTGCTCGTGGTTGTGCTCGTGGTTGTGCTCGTGGTTGTGCTCGTGGTCTCGGTGTCGGTGTCGGCGCTTGGATGGTTCTTCTGTGCGCGACCGGTGGCTGCGCTTGCGGTGTTGCCGCTTTTCGTCTTGTTTGGAGTCTTTGGGGTGTCTGGAGGAGCTCTTGAAGCGGAATTTGCCTTTGTGGCTTGCTTTTGTATATTCGTTGTATTGGGCCTCTGGGGCTTGTGAATCCCTGGGTCCCGAGGCCGTTGTAGGCTCCGGATTCATTATAGGTGTGTTTCTTGTAACGAGGCTTCTCTCATTGTGTGTGTGTATGACACAATAACTCGAAGCCAAGGTGGGAAAAGAAAGCGCGGAGATAACCCGTCTTAGTCATACCCTTATCTCCACCTATAGCTCTCCAGGCCTACAAACGTATCCCAAGTCTACTCCGTGCATTTTGATAGATGTTTTTTTAGGTTTGATGCTAAGTTCCCTTTCTAGTGGCTTTTCTTTCATGATCTTATAACATGATTGTCTCGTCTATGTCCATCATTGAAGCTTGCCATGGTGAGCTGATACATTCTAACAGTCAACCAAGCTATTTAAGTGATTTCATTCAAAACAAACAAAGTGACAACGTAGATCACTACATAGTTCTTTAAAAAAAATTACTCAACCTAAACGCGCGACTTATGGAGATTCCAGCTTTGTTTTGCGCAACGTAGAGATAGGCATTTTCGGGCGCTATGGTAAGGTATGAATGGTTATGTATACTAGTCACCCTTAGGAGATCTGGATATATTGGGTGTGGTTGGTGGAAAGGCGTGAGAATTATGGGGAAAAGTGGCGGGCTAGCTTAACCTAATTTAGACTAGTGTTTCTTATGAAAGATTATATAAGGGCATGCTTGGCACTAAACCAGAAAGGGAAAGCCAAAAAGTGGCAGAGGAAATCAAATACATACAACGTATATTGTACATATCTACGTACTCTCATCTTTCACCATGGCGCTCGTAGCCTACTCTGACTCTGAAGGATCGGATGCCGAGCAAGATACTACAGCTGTGCCCTCGATCGATCAGAAGAAGTCCGATTCCAAAAAGTTCCAAGTGGATCGCAACACGGGCAACATTCGTATCGCACTCCCTGAGATCAAACCCGAACCATCTGCCCGAGACGCCGAAGATGGCCCGCGAAAGAAACCCCGCGTCGGGGGAGGCCTTTCGGGGTTCAATTCCTTCCTTCCGGCCCCGAAACGAGCAGCTGAAAAGAAAGCGCCTGTGGCAACAATGCGGAAACCGTTTAGTTTGAAGACCGGTGCAGGCCCTGGATTCGATCGTAGCGCAGATGCGGAAACGAAGAATGACTATGCGTTCGATGACCTGGCTGGAGATGCTGAGGACATACCTACAGCTGGTAGCCTCAAACCCGACACTGCATCAGATACACCCCAAACACTGAAGAAAGAGGAGGAGGTCAAACTAAAGGGCAACCCAATGATGTTTAGACCTTTGTCCGTAGGACGACCTCAGAAGAAGAGAAAGACCACCAAAGTGACAGAGCAACCGACACCTGGTCCGGCTGCACCAAAAGCCGCCCAACCTCCACCTCAACAGTCTAAACAACCCTCTGCCCCCGCAACCAAACCAAAAGTCAGCCTCTTTTCTCTATCCTCAGACGAGTCCACCCGACCAGACACCGCGCATGTACCGCCAGCAACCTATCAGCCGCTATTTTACAATGCAGAAGGCGACGACGAGGACGAAGCATCAATTGACCCAGCATTTGCCGAATCTTCATACCTTGCGCCGACCCCTGCAACAGCAACAGTTTCGTCCAATCCCGGATCATCGCTGGACTCGATCGCCAACGACCTCAATCTATCGAAATCCGAAAGACGCCAGTTATTCGGCCGGAATGCCGTGTCTTCGCAGTCACAGGTGCGCACCTTCAACACAGACGAAGAGTATGCCTCAAATCAGGTCCTGGCCCAAGGCGAGCTCGCTGCTGCTGTTCACAACCCTGTGCGCTCCATTGCGCCTGGCAAACACACCCTTCAGCAATTGGTCAATGCGGCAAGCTCGCAGAAGGAGGCGTTGGAGGAGAGTTTTGCATCTGGAAAGCGGAACAAGAAAGAGGCGGGATCGAAGTACGGATGGTAGTTCTAGTTTCGAAGACATTCGGAGGGGGCGTTTATACATGCGCATTTGCATTGAGATACCATTATTATTGCTGTTGCTATTTTGCAGAGAATGACAAATTTTGTACTAGTGAAAGAATTACCTAGGTACCGGACTTCCTCTGCCACCTCTTGACGTTCCATTTCCGTTTGAGTGCTCAGAGCTCGCCGCTTTTTGCTCACTGAGCAGATCTGAGCACGCCTCTGAGGGGGGTGTCATTGTCAACACCCTTGTTGTTACCGAATTCGAGTATACCATCAGCTTGCACAATTTAAAAAACCACTGGGGCATGATTAAATTGATGTCCTAGCCCTGCTGTGCGAGAAAACCCGCACGTCTGGCACATATATGACCGGCGATATGGATTTTCTAGGTAACTGAACAGAGACCCCCTTAGGCATAGAGGTAGTCTCGAGGTGTCACTCAGCGGTTAATTCCAGCCACGTCATCATGCCCGGACACTAGGTTCCACAACGCTAAACTCATCGAGATCGCAGTCTAATCTGACCAGTGCGTTGATAGGTAAAGTCAGCAACGGACTCGTGTGGCCAAAGTCGACGTTCATCAAGATCGGTAGCTGCTCCTCAAGACTTCGACCAACAACCACATTGAAAACTTCATTGATCACATTTGCAAGCTCATCCTGCATGGAGGTATCGTATTTGTATCCTCGCCCAATGATCAGTCCGCGAATCTCATGCAGTATGCCACATAGAGCAAGGTCGACAAGGTTATTCCGGAACTTGGACACAGAATACGGCAGCTGTATGTCGTCGCCCATCGAGGACTCAAGAAAGAGAATCTTGTTTTTCCACGAGACAGGGGCGTAGGGAGTTCCTTGAAGTCGCACGACACAAGTTACAGTACCCCCGTATAGATGTCCAGTAGCTTGACCTCCCCGAAGCCATCTCCACGAGGGTGAATCGGTGGTTTCGCGTGGCTTGTCGAGCGTCTCATGACCGAACAAGAAGTCGCTATGTTCCTTCGAGCAGATAGGCGATCGAGGAAGTGGACCAACTGACGTGCCCGCCTCGTTTAGAACACGAAGAAAGTGGTCGACTGTGAATTGCATGGGCTTAGGAAAATCGGAGAAATCTGTGAGAACACTTGGTCCGTAAAATGTGCGCAAGCCGGTCCGGGCTTGAATTGCATAATGCAGGAAGGTGGTGTCACTATACCCGACGAAGATCTTAGGATTGGATCGAATAAGGGAATAATCCAGAAAAGGCAGCAGTTCATTAGCGTGTTCGCCACCAATCGTGCAAATAATGGCGGCTATCGTGTCATCACGAAATGCGGCATGAATCTCATCGCATCGAACGCGAATAGATTCCGTGATTGTGGCTGTTGTCTCTTTCGAGAAGATAATCTGCACCTGGAAGCCTAGAGACTCTAGGTAGGTTTTCCCTCGGGCGAGAGGAATCGGTAGGATGTCATTAAGGCGCGCGGAGGGAGAGACAAAGGCTATCTTGTCTCCTCTCTTCAAAGCTTTCGGCAGAATTGGGTCCATTGAGGTTGAGCCTGACATGAGACGAGCACTACGCAATCTTTGGTGCTTCCCACTTCTGATTGACAGAGATCTCCCGCACGTGGATCTGCCGTTCGTAGGTTGGTGCCTATTGCCGCATGTCCACTGTCTAACCTTTAAATAACAGGGTTGGGGGGACCGCTAGTCGTCGGGTAGCGAACTAGTCGTTGTCTTTACAGTATCTGCCGATCATCATTGGCCTCAACGTCCTCAGCTGATGTCCGTGCATTTTCCTAATCAGCACCCCCCCCGGAGCCCGGACAGAAATTTACTCTGTGAGCCTGACTCTGAGCGCCCTCATTGAAGCGGCGGCATCTGGAAAAGGACAACTCCACCCAGCATAGGAAATATGGTACGTATAGTAACTTCGGTATTGTAGAAAATGTACATTCAGTGGTGTATCACGTCTCTAAAATTTATAATACAAAAGAAAATACAAAAACAACGCCGTCAAATGTATCAAGAACTCCAAAAATAAAATCCAACGCCTTTTTTGTTTTGCAAGTATCAAGATGACACATCCACAACTTCTGCAAACCACTGCTTCAGAGCAGTAGCCAAGACAGAGGGCAACTCCCTCACGTCCCGAACGACAAGGTAGTAAGGGAAGGGGAAATCTTCAAGGTAGCGCTTCATCTTGAGCTTCATCTCACCACCAGAATCAGGATCGGCCTCAAAGTTAGCCTGCGAGAGGTCAAGGATAGAGCTACCCTTAACAGCATCAACAATGATAAAGACAACCATGATGCGTTCTTCAAGTGCAGTTCTCACAAGACGACGGATAGTATCATGATCTTCACAGATACCATCAGAGATAATCAACTGCAGCTGCCAGAGATCCGCAGATCCAGAACCAGGCGAGCGCTTCCAGCGAGCTTCCCGGAACAGAGCAATCGAGTCCGCAATCAGCTTGCGCACATTCGTACCGGTTTGCTGGTAGCTGAAGTGCTGGAAGACCTGGGAGCCCGCCTCAGAGGAGAAGGGCTTTCCGAACTCATGGGCAACACGAACGTGGTCTTCGTCACCGAAGCCAAGAACACACAGATCGCCCGCTTCCAACATGCTCAGACTCTTAGCGACAAGCGCCAGAGTCTCGAATGCAAGCTGTCCACTACCGCTCTCCAGCATGGACTTGCTGTCATCGACAGCGAGCATAATCTGATAGTTTCGCTTAGAGGGGATGGAGCGACGCATCCAGATCTTGTCGCGCTTGTACTGGGATGCGATGTAGGGGATGATGCGCTTGATGTTCAGGCGTTTTCCGGTGCGGAAGTCACCGCGCAGCTTGGTGGCCATCGTAGGGGCGAGGATGAGACGGAGTTGTTCTGTCAGCGAGAGGGAGAGGTCGTTGGTCGCGGACTCGTAGTGCGACCAGAGGCGACGGGCTTCGTCTTGCGGCGTCAATGGGGGAAGCGAAGAGGAGAGGTGGATTGCGGCGAGTTGGGTGTCGACTTCGTCGAGCTCCTCGTTCAGTGCTTCGGTGGCCTGGGCATCATCTGCGCGTTCGTGGGATGATTGTCCACCAGGGATGAAGGCGCCGGATGATTCGCCGTCGGCAGGGGCACGCTCGCGGTCGATTTGCATTTCGTCCTCGAGTTGGTTGTCGACGTCCTCTTGCTGGTCTTCCGTGACGTCGGGAAGAGCATCGTTTTCACCGGGCTTGATGTCGGATTCCACGCCCTTGCTTTGGTCGAGGGCTTGCGTTTGATCGTCGTTTGCTTGACCAAGGGCCTGGGTATCTGCAGCATCATCGTCGTCCTTAAGGTGCTCGAAGTCTGCATCGGCCATGTCGGTGTCTTCAGGCATAGCCTGGGTATCCTCCTCCTCTTGGGACGGATTGAGGATCTCCTTCTGACGGCGGTGCCATTGCTCGAGAATATCGCCGAGCTTCTTGAATGCCTGCATCTGAGGCTCGTCTGGCTTGTTTTCTTCGCCACCACCAGCGTCTCGACTGGGCTTGCTCTCCTCGCTGTCCTTGGCAGCGCCTGTCTGATCGTCGACATTGGCACTGGGATCAGTCGAGCCACTCTCCTGTTGAGCATCGCCAGATGCACCCTTTTCTTCGTTCTGATCCTGCTCGGCACCAAGTCCACCGGTGACAGCCTCGCTAGGAGCAACGTTGTCGCCCTCGGCTTCATTCTCATCGCGCTGTGCGAGGAAGTCATCTTGCTCAGGCTCTTCAGGATCCTCGCCACCAGCTTCCTCCTCTTGCTCGTCTGCAGCTTCGCCTTCGTTGGTTTCCTCAGCGTCATCTGCCATCTCTTCATCTTCGTCGCCTGGACCTTGATCTTCTGGGGCGGCCTCGCCGTCTTCTCCGGCATTTTCATCGCCGTCTTCAACCTTTCCTTCCTCCTCAGGAGCAGGACCGAAGTCGTCGTCAAGATCGTCCATTCCATCGTCATCTTCATCGCCATTGTCAGACTTGCCATTGTCATCATCAAGCTGCATTTCCTCGGGAAGCTCAAGAGTTTCTTCTTCTTTGGCTTGAGGATCGGTGACATCCATTTCTTCGCGGCCAACTGCCTCGCCCTCATCTTCAGGGGCCTCCTCGTCTTCTGTTTCTTCCTCTTCCTCACCCTCCTTTGGTTTTTCCTCGCCATCTTCACCGTCCTTGTCGTTCTTCTCTTCCTGAGCAGCAGCCTGTTGTTCGGCCTCCGACTGGCCCTTTCCTTCCTCGTTCTCGGTATCTTTCTGCTGTTCATCATTACCGCCGTCCCAGAGCTTTTCGTCCACGGCACCTGGGTCGAGGTCGTCGACGCTACCCGTCTCTTCGTCAATGTCATCATCACCTTCATCGCCGCTTTCATCATCATCTTCTTCCTCATCGCCCTCTTTGCGATCTTCAGCGTCACCTTCCAGTTCTTCTTGATCCATGTTGACGGCATCCTTGGAATCATCCATCTCGTCGTCACCGTCCTCCTTCTTGTTCTCTTGCTGTGCAAGCTCGGAGAGATCTTCGTCATCACCGACATCCTTGCTGATATCCTCCGCACCCTCTCCGTCACCCAGACCAGTCCCGCTTTCCATTTGTCCCTCCTTGCCTTGATCTTGGGAGGCCTCGGCAGGGCTACAGAAGCCTTCGGAGGCGACTGTATTGAAGGTTTTGGTCAAGATGTAAGATGTCTTACAGAGCTCGCGGTGGACCGCAACGAACCGGTCAGCCAGGTCTCGGCAGATTTGGTAATATCTGTTGGCGATAGGCAAGATACTGGTGACGAGTGCAGCAGCAATAGAGAGGCCACCGGCAGAGTGATCTTGCAGGCGGTGCAATTGATCTAGGACAGACTCCAATGCGGCGGTGATCTCAGTAAGATGGACGGCCTTGAGACCGCGAGAGAAGAACTCATCACTTCGCGACAACAGTCCGTCAAAGGTGATAGCAGAGGGCACATCCTTGAGCTTCTGGAGACCAATCAGCATTTTATCGATGGCGGTCAAAAGGCTGCTGTCAAAGGCTTGGATAGACAGGCTGTGTTCATTGACTTGTGGGTGAGCAGCCATGTTTGTCTTGACCCAAGGTGTGATTTGACCCAACGCGAAGGAAAGGTCAGGGCGGGCCACAGTCCACTTCTCCAAATCAGCGGCCAACTCCTGGAGAGATGATTGCGTCTGCTGCGCGATTTCAAGGTGCGTGTTGGATGCAATTCGGGTGGGAAGCACGGGAAGAGCTTCGTATGACTTGCGCAGGCCATCAAAGGATGCCTTCTTAGCGCGCAATTCTTCAATGAGCTTGGATGCATCGATTCCGGAGAACTTGGCATGCACCCCGACGATCATCGCAGCCAGTCCAAGAATAGGAGCCAACCAAGCCACGACTCTGGCCAGATCGGCACGCTCTTCAGGTGCAGAAGCATGGTCTTGGGTCAGAGAGGCGGAAGTTGCTGTCCAAAGGTTCTGCACCTTGTCAAGCGTAGACTTCAAGCTGCCCAGGCCATTGAGAGCAGGGGAAATGATCCCTCTCTGGCGACGAATTGTGAAAAGAAGATGCTCGATAGAGCCCATACTTCTGAAGACTTCGACATTGCTGAGCTCCTCAGAGTAGTTGCGCGCAGCCAGACGGGTTTTGGGAAGGAGATCCAAAAGTCTATGGAAATACCAATCGGCGCTCTGGACTGCACTTGAGGTAGCAGCGCCAGCTTCGAAAGCAGCGCTGGTGGCAAGAACCTGCGGAACAGTTGCTTGAGTTTCAATCACGCTAGTTCCAGCGTTACGCTTCACGCCCATCTCGTAAAGCTGCTTTAAGGTTTCGGCATAGAGACGACGCTTTTGCGACTTAAGGTGCTGAACGTCTTCCTTGTTGTCTTCGTTCAAGACCTTGGGAGTCTGGGACTTGAATTCCTTCATGCTCTCAATCACGGATACGATGAAAGTGTCAAGATCCTTGGCAATATCAAACTCGGCTGGAATCGCCGAATAGAGGTTCATCATGTTGTTGGCTGTGCCATCCGGCTTCTGGAATCTGAGCGCCCTGGTAGACCACAAGGCCTTGTCATTTTGACAGATGGCCATCGCCTCGGGGAATACCGCAGTAGGTCTGACTGGCTCCGCCTGGGAAATTGAAGTAATCTCCTCAGTGCTTTCTGGAAGGCCAGATTCGAGAACTGACTGCGCTGACTGGCCAAGGGCGGCGCGGTACTTGCGGACCACCTTGAACAACTTGAGGTGGGACCTTTTGGCGCTGTCCCTCAAAGCTGCAATGTTGACGTCTTTCCAGCTAGCCAGCTGAATCTGCTCCTTGATATTCTTTTCAAGAGCAGCACGCTTCTCGTTGAGTACCTTGTCCACTCCAGGTTGGAATGGTCGGTAGTGGTGGAGGAAATTGTCCAATGCAGAGACAATCTGCTTGAGGCATGGATAATCTTTGCTGAAGACTTCAAGCAAAGCTTGGAAGTTGGCAACTAGCTGCAGACGGCGAGCGAACTGACCCATAGTTGTAGACTTGAAGAATTGTTCCAGAGTGATAACCATGTTTTGGGTGTGTTCACTCAGGTCCTGCTCACCCGCCTCCACCATCATAATAGGAGCGCCAATTAGAGCCTCGTAGGCGATGAACCACCAGGCACTAACGTCATCCTCGCACTTCTCTTTCTCAATATCCAAGAGCTTGGCCCAGGTTGACAGCTCAAGGCGGCGCCAACTGATGAGAATAGCTGTGATGTCATCAAAAACGCCAACAGCTGAATATTCTCTGCTAGCTACAGTCTGCCACTCGTGGATCAAAGAATGAAGCTTCTCAACTTTCGTCATAAACTTGGCGACAGGCTCAGTGTGCCTAAATTGGAGAATCTCCATGCAGAATGAAAGGACATCAGCAAGTACAGCGTGCTCAGGCCAGGCCGTTTGGATTTGAGCAAAGCGAGCTTGGACAGCAAGTGTGATGGAGACCAGTTTTCTAGCCTCGCCAAAGTTCGAATCAGTGTAGAAGTTATAATTCTTTTGGCGATCAACAGTTCCCTCGTTGATGGCATCATCCAAAAGCAGTAGAACTGCAGGAAGATGGTTTTGTGGAGACATGGGCGAGAATGAAGCCTCGTTATCAGACCAAATTGAACCAAGAAGGTTGCCAGATTGCTTGATAAGTGTATTTAATGCGTTTCCAGTGCGTTCGTTTGAAACAATCTTTGCATGAAGAGAAGCAAGACGGATAGCGATAGCTTTGGGATCAATGCGGTCGACCTTTTCGGCGCCTTGAAGAGTCTCTTCTTCGAATGTAGGGAAAAGTGCGTTAAGTTCGGCTTCATTAACTTCTTCTTCCTCTTCCCATGATCCCTTGAAATGGTATAGCTCTCCCTTTTCAGCTTCTTCCTCCTGGTCTTGCTTGAGCTTGTTTTTCCACAGTTGATGGAAGTCGGCGAAGATGCGTTGTACAATTCCTCGTCCAGCACTTGTTTCCAGAATGGATGAATCCGCATCTTGAGCGGCCCAAAGAGCGGACAACTCCTGGAGTCGCATTTCAGTCGCGTTTTTGAGTGAACCAGGCAGCTGTCCATCATTTTGAGCAAGCACGGGGTGAATAGTGCCTCCCAAAAAGGGTGTCCGCTGGCTCAGAGTTTGGATGTCAGGTATATCAGCGGACTGTTCGGGCTGGCTAGAGGCCAGGAATACACCAAGATCCAGAAGCTGCAAGAAACGAACCACAGGAACCGTAATATCATCATAAGACCTATAGTGGGTGCTGAGACGGCAACTCAATTGCTTGATGTTATCACGCAGAAGCTGAATCATACTTCGAGACTCGACCGAACTCTCTGCGCGAATCATTTGCTCGGGATCTCTTTTCAGGACAGTGTTGATCAGGTTCACAAATTCGCCTTGAAGAAGGCTCAATTGGGAGTTCTGAGGACGATTGACCAAGGAAGGAGGGGGGCGGCACCTAGGTCACGGATCTCATCGTGCAAAAGCTCAGAGCGGAGATTGGATAGCTGGCTTGTGAATTTTTTCTCAAATGCAAGAATGGCTGCAGATTTAGCAGTGAATTCTTCAAGTCGTTGAGAGTGACGCTTGCGTTGGACAACGAGACCGAGCGAAGGGTCAAATGTCTTGTCGGGAACAAACAATCGGAGAAGCAGCACTGCCAACTGCACTGTTGCGAGTCCGGTGCTTTGGATGCTCTGCTGGTGGTTCGATGGGTTGGTTCTCAATGACGCAACAAGAGTTGGCAGAGCCTGCTCAGCAAGAGGCCTGAGGAAATGCGTGCTTGGCAAACTTGCATCCAATTCTACCGTGATTGGTGACTGATCTTCGCACAAGTTGCCATGCTGGATTGCTTGAAGAACTGAGATGAGATGTTCTGCAGTGCGAGGAGCAAAGAACTCCCGATGACAAGCCACCAGTTCGGCAGTAAGTCGTGCGATAGTACGTCTGAGGTCCATAGATTGATCTGTCGCAATTTGCTTACTGCTGAGGGTGATGGCCTTAGACAGAGCCTTTTTCTCTTCTTCGAGCATATCGAGTTGGCCCAATTTAGTTTCGCCGATGGCTGACAGCTTGTCCAGAAGTGACAGTGATACAATGCCACCAGTAGCAAGCGCAGACTCCGATTTGCTGGAAGAACCCGCGAACGATGAGAGCCTGTGAAGGATATTCGGCACATCGCTTTGGAAGTTTGATGCGTCCAACGGGCGAGCCGCACGACCAGCCAGAAGTGGAACAACTGTCTGAATGACCGTATCATTGACTGGGTTCTGGAAGAACGAGGAAATATCATGGTATTGACAAAGAGCCTCGAAATCCTGGGCGAAGTATGGATACTCGGTTGACTCTGACCGTCGAACTGCCCGAGAGAGCTCAGCCACGGTCTGCTTGATGCCTTGAACAAGCACATCACCATCGGCACCATCCAGAAGAATGAATCGTTGGGCATCAATCAATGAATCACGGACATGGCTTAATTGAGACAACTCCACGCGAGTTTGCAAAGCCAAAGTGGTGAATTCAAAGACAGTAGACTCCAGCTCGGTCAAAGAGTCCAGCTTCTCTTGCGAGATAGGCGTAACATGTCTCCACGAATCCCAGATTCTCTGCATAGAAAGACCAGTGGTCAGAGCCCATCCTTCTTGGAAACGATCAAGGGCCTGCGACAAGGCGATTTGGAGCGGCTCCAGGAGAGGGGAAGAGTCAAGTAGAGACCCACAAATCTTCCGGCCCATCTGCAAGTAAACCTGGAATTCACCTTCATCAACTTGGCTAACTTCCGTTGCCTTGTAAATGTCCCAGCAAAGGGAGATCACAGCCCGAAGAGCTGCGACGATGATAGGGCCTTGAATAGCGATTTGATCCAATGACTGGATGTAATTATACAAAGCTTGGCCACAATCAGACAAGAAGGCGGCGACAGGCTGAGTCGTATCTTTCATCAAGGCGGGAATACGCTGAGATGCAAGTGATCGCTCCAATCGTGTCATCTGGCTCGGCTTCAACTCTTTTCCGGATACGTCTGCCTGGATCAAACCTTGTCGGAGGCGATGAACATCGAGTCTCAACTCCTGGAGATAGGCCAGCACAACCAATGTGGTTCGGAAATCGCTGGTTCCTGCAATGGAAAGGAGTGGCTCGTTGATGAGTGGGTGAAGAGGTTGGAGCATTCCCCGGATACCAAGATGCGCACCTCCGAGGATGATCTCACCGCTGGCCACCTCAAGCGGCTTCCACTGGTTGTTGTCATGGAACAGAGAGGCATAGCGTTCCAAGACATTGGACGGTTGTGATTTGCCGCTAGCTTCAGAGTGGATGGCGACACAGTTGCTTGGCGACTGCTGGAGGTAGGACAAATCGGCAGGCGAAAGATGATCCAAACACACCTCAAGGGCATCCTCAAAGACAGAAGGTGGCAAAGAGGTGTCCAAGTTCCAAATATGGCGTAGTCGATAGATGAATGATTCACAAGTGTATGATGGACCGATGGTAGGTTTGATGTCAGACAATTCGCTTGGCAAGAAACAGATCTCTGTACAACGATTGCGCATGGCACGAGATAGCTCGCCATTGCGAGGATCCATAGTCAAGAAGAGTCTGAAGTTGGGATGGGGCGTGATGATCCTGGCAGATCCATCCTCTGTCCGTTGCTCATTGAGAATGAGGGTACCATTGGGCTCTGTTAAGGAGTTCAGACGATCCAGAACGGATGGGTTGCACAGATTGGCATTGTCAAGAATCACCCAGTGTCCATGTTGAACAGCCTGAGTGAGAACACCCTCTGTCCATTCGAACCCAACCTTCATTTTATCAGATTGCTGAATAGCATTCCACAGATTCTGGGCTCTTTCAAGGAATTGTTGATAGGCTGGATCGGCAGAAGATTGAACAAGGCTGGAAAGCGAAGAGATAACGTTTTCCATCGAGATATCTACAGACTGGAAGTGCTCGCAAATGCGGAGGGCGGAGATTACAACATCAGATACGTCCCCTGAGGCAAAGCAGTGGATGAGCTGGTTTCGTAAAAAGATCTCGATGTCGTGGACAAAGCCCGAAACTTCCCGGCGATGATCGATCTGTTCGAAACCACCAATCAAATCCATGGTATCGGTGTCGGAACTCAGAGCCAGCTCTACAAGATTGGCACCATTGACAGCTGCCAGCTTTCTGATGAGAGTGGTCTTGCCACAGCCAGCGGCTCCAACGAGGATACTCGGCCAAGAGTTGTCGATACACAATATAAGTGACTCGACAATGTGAAGGTCCTTGGGCAGGATCCTCATGTTTGGTTCGGCCAAGCGCTGCAGCAGAGGATCACGGGTCAAAATACCCAGACCAACTTGCAAGTATTCGGGGGTGAGGTTGTGGAAGTAGCTCTTAAAGCCAGTATCGGACTCCGTGAAGATACGGTCATAGATTTGGGCGACAACATTACGGTCTTCTTCGTTCCTGAACCGTTGGCTGATCACGACGTCAAGGAAGTGCTTTGTCTGGATCTGCAGGTTTCCTCGGTCGGCTAGTTGAAGCCATCGCTGGATGTCTCGCAAGTTAACCTCCCATGGCCCACCAATTGTGCCCAGTCGACGTTCTTTGGTGATGGCTTTGTTCAAAAGAGAAATGAAGTCAACCAGTCTCTCCGTCTGCACTGAAGGGCTGCCAGGGAAAAGCCTGGAGCAGATAGTCTTCAAATCATCATCAGTGAAGCTGTCGGCATAGACGACGGTGAAGCGGTTGACGAAAGACGCAGGAAGACCCTTTCTGCCTCCACCCTGGTGGTGAGGGTTCTGGGCTGCAAACAAAACGAAATCGGGGTGTCTCTTAAAAGTCTGGTCCAGCTCAGCGATATAAACCTGTTGACGATGGTCCAAACAGGAATTAAGACCCTCAAGAACAGATTGCGAGGCCAAATTCATTTCATCCAGCAAAACCCAGTCACCACGTTGCATGGCTCGTAGGAATGGCGCATCACGCCATGTGAACTGTCCAACATCTCCTCCCTCCACTGGAACATCGGAACCAAACAAGTCCGTGAGATCTGTTTGTTCAGAAAGATTGATTCGAGTAAGAGGCTTTCCAAGTGCTCTGGCCAAAGCTGTCACAAGTGTAGTCTTTCCCACACCTGGACTTCCTTCCATGAGGATAGGCTTTGAGGATTGCAAGCCACGAGCGATTCGCACGGAGTTAGCAATTGTGGTTGGAGCGTCCATTGTAAATTGCGGGTCAGGGTCTGCGTCACCAGCGGCATGTAGGGCGAATGGTCCAACGCGGAGGATACCTGGTTCCACGGAGACGCTGACAGATTCTCCGTAGATCTTGGAAGCATCGACATTGAACAGTTCGCTCAGCTTTTTGAGACACGATTTGCGATTACCCTCGAGATTGTTGAGAGACATGGCAAGCATTGCAGCTGGGTTAGCACCCAAGGTATCCACGAAGACCATGGCAGCACCCTGGATGATGGAGAACTGGATGTCAGCACTTTGAGAGGTGTTGACGAAATCGACCCAAGCGAGAAGATCACGGATGGAGAGTGATGTGGTAGAGGTGTTTTGGAAAGTCGTTTTGAACCACTTGGCGAACTGCAACATAGACCTTGCCACCTTCTCCTCCTTCAAATCCAATCTCATTGAAAGAATAGGCAGAATATCCTCGTCTTCGGACAATTGGGGTGCCCAGATTTCTGTCATACGATTGCGAAGAGCGGCCGAAAGCTCACGCTTTCCGTAATCGCCACCAGGATTCATAGTGGACAAAAATTGGAATCCACCATCTGCAACAACCATTGAGTCAACAGGACCCTTCTCGGCAAGAAGAATCGACCTAGCAGGTTCCAGAACACTATTTAATCTTTCAAGAACGGAGTCATCTGCCAAAGAAATTTCGTCAAGTAGGAAGAACTGGCCAGTCTTCATGGCAGTGATGAGACTTCCGTCAGACCATTCAAACAGGGCATTGCAACGAACAGCGTTCTTTTCAATCTTCCGCAAAAGGTTTTGGTCCTTGACTTGACGCTGCTCCGCAGTCAAAGCAGTGAATTCCCGCTTCAAATCATCGAAAGAAGCGTCAGTCTGCTGCCCGTGAAGAAGCATCTGGAGATCATCCACAAGCTGCTTCTCGATTGCCGCTCGGTTTCGGATAGGTCGTTGAGCACCAATCAAGTCACCAGTTTCCAAGTTCACGTGGGCATTGACAATGAACAACTCCCTTCGGAAGGCTTCTGCTACGGCCTGACAAAGCTGGGTTTTACCGCAACCAGTTTCTCCAACGAGAAGGACTGGCTCGTTGTTGCGAAGCGCCTTGGAGACGAGAACGAAAAGTCGTCTCATGGCCTTAGTCCAGACAATGCCGGCAGGAAGCTCGCTCATATCGGGGGCATTTTTTTCCAACTCTGCAGAGCTGTATAAAGTATCCTCGTCCAATTTGACCCGCATCACTTCCTCGATCACGGTCTTGACGGCAGCCTTCTCTTGAGGATTGCGAACACGTTCGCCGAGAAGCATATAACCATTAATTGCAAGCTGTTCTTTATCGTCGGCTTCACGAAGAGCCCATCTGAAAAGATCACGCAGAGTTGCAAAACTGTTCTTTTGCTCGAACAGTCGATTGGACTGGCGGAGCAAAGACAATTTCCGGTAAACAGCGACAATTCGAGTGCAGAAAGACGGAGCAATTTGAGAACGCTCCTTTAAGATGAATTCCAACTCGCTTTCAGGGATATCATCGAAGTGCAGCTCCAGGAAACGATTTCTGAACGCACGAGACAAGACCTTTCGGCCACCGTATAGACCAGCGGGGTTCTGAGTAGCAAACAGCATGAAGTTCGGGTGCGGGTGAACAACTTCTTGTGTCTCGGGGATGAAAAGTTCCCGGTTATCATCAAGGAGTCGGTTCAGGGCTTCAAGAACATCGGAAGGTGCCAGATTAAGCTCATCCAGCACAATCCAATAACCGTTCCGCAGCGCTTCCACCAGAACACCCTCTTGATAACGCAAGCTTCCATCGTCTGTGGAAATGTAAGAGCCCAAATACTCTTGCAAGTCCGTATGCTCGTGGTTGTTGATTCGCACAAATTTATTTCCAGATACCTTCGCCAAATACTCGATCATACTTGTCTTACCGGCGGATGTCGGACCCTGGAGGAGAACAGGGAATCGACGAGTTGAGCTGGCTCGAACCAAGTTCTTGAGGTTTTTCTCGATGAACGGGGTAATAATGTAGTGAGGTTGCTCCTCCGGGACCATATGACCACGGCGCATCCAGTAATGCTTGAATTGCACGTAATCATGTCCATCAGTTGGTGGACGAGGGGTTTGGCCGAGCAAAGACTTTGCGTTCTTCGCATTGCCGAAGATGTGAGTTTCGAGCAGGGGGATCAAAGCTCGCTCAGAGCTCAGGCTAAGCACGGTCAAGAAACTCATACTGAAACCTTCGAAAATTGCTCGGCGGAGTCCGTAGACATGGGCATGGTCAATGACATAGATGAGAGAACGGACAAGGGTACGAATGCTGAAATGGGGTCGTTGTCCAGCTCCGTCTGTGAGCTTGTTCTCGTTGCTAAGCTTTTTGGTGATCATGTATAGCTGTGCAAGGTCTGGAACAGCCCGCGGGTCACTGATAGTTAAATCACCGAGGTATTTTTGAATCAAGGCAAGCAAATCATCCAAATCGGTATCAGGTGAATGCACATAGAATTCGGTGAATCGAGAACGAAGTCCAGGTGGTAGGTCTCTCTTTCCGGCATCTGTTGCAGGGTTCATGGCACCGAAAATGCGGAATTCCGGGTGGCCGAAAACTCTCTCGACTTCACCAGCCTCAGAGAGAAGAACGGACGGTGAGCCCTCACTGCCATGGTGTAGAAGACTGGCAATGTTCTCAAGGGTGTCGGGAGAAGCCAAGTTCACCTCGTCAAGAAGCACCCATTCACCGTTTTTCAAAGCCCTCACAATTTTACCTTGGACGAAAGCAAATGCAAATTTGGCATCACCTTGGGCGACCTGAGCTTCAAAATCGTTGAGCTGGATAGTGAAGCTCTCCCATCTTTGGCGTAAGTGCTGGTATTTAGGAGAATCCAGCTTCCGCTTCTTCGTTGGTTGCTCATCCCCATTCTCGGCATTGGCATTCGGGGGGTTGAACACGCCTTGTGCGAGACGAACAGCTTCCTGCCACAAGTTCACCAATCGTACCCAATTTGAGGATGCAGCACTCTTTGATATCGATGACAAGAATTTCTGGTTTTTTTTGGCGGAGAAAGTTAGTTCGAACAATTGGGTGAACTCATCCAACATGGGAACTGCCATTGTACGAATGTTGACCGGCTTGAAACCACCCAGTAGATCAGTGCTTTCACTCTGTTGCGACAAGTTTACCACAGTAAGCTTTTGGCGCATCAAGGTTGAGAGATGCTGGATGACAGTGGTTTTTCCAATACCGGTTTCTCCAACAAGCAAGACAGGCTCCGCCATCTGGATCGAGGCAGCGACTTGTTCCATAAGTGACAAGGCCGCTCTTGTTGGAGCAAATCTTGAAGCTGCCGCAGCATTCTTCAGTGCAGATCCACTGGGTACTTTGATCTTTTGGCAAATCTCACGGCCAAGAACAAGGCTGTTATTTTTGTCTGTATAAGTAGGCGTGCGTTCATTAAGACAAAACTGTGCTCGCTGTGGGGAAATCAGAAGCGCCTCGGCTACAACAGCGGCAAGAGTGCTCTGCATCGACTTCTCGGGCAAATACTTGAGGAACACATCAACAACATCAAGGAATATCTCATCCTCGGTGCCCTCGGACGTGGGCTCATAGCCAGTCTTCGCACCCATACGTTGTAGACGATTGTGTAACCGACTGCAGAGCTTGATCAGGTCACGGAAACCCGGAGTACGACCCTGGGAGCCTTTGATGGCAAGGCTTCCATGGAACGCAGAGCACACGCGTCCGTAAACGTTCATGATGGTCGGCACACGAGACTCAAGCAGGGGGAACTTTTGCAGGATGACATCACGCATCTCATCCACGGGAAGAGAGTTCACTTGCACTCTCTCCCAAAGCCTACTTCCAAGCATTGAGCTGTTTGGTGCAATCTCCTCGCCAGCGATATTGTACGATGACTTCATGGTTGCGATGATCTTGAAGCCCTCGGCACACTTGATACGCTCCCTCCGACTGGGGATGGTCAACTCTCCGCGCTCGATGATGGGAAGGATAAGTCCCATTACTTCAGAGGGAGCGCGGTTGAGATCTTCAATCAAGACCCAGCGGCCTTCGCGGGCAGCTTTGGTCAACACACCAGGTTGCCAGGAAAAAGATCCAGAGGCAGATGAAGTGGCATACATGCCGAGAAGACTCTTTGCATCTGTCTGCTCGTTCAGGTGAAGTGTGACCATAGAATCAGCCTGGCCCATGGTGGCGGCAATCTCGTTGATCAAAGATGTTTTCCCGGAGTTAGGCAAACCAACCAACAGGATGGGCTTGTGTCCAAGCAAAGAGCCTGCAATCCGACGCAGGTTTCCAATTGCGGTTGGAGTCTTGACAACAGACGTAGAGACCAGAGGGGTATCTTTCAACCTGGGAATTAAAACTCCACATATCTCTGCAGTCTTCGTGGTGAAATGTTCCCGTGTCCTCTCGACCATTGCCAGGACGTCGGATTCCACCCTAGAAGATCTCTCATTCCGAATTGTCTGTCCAAGAGCATCCCAGCGTCGCTCTTCCCATAATCCCAGAAGACGGTAATCAATCATAATGCCTTCCCACTCTCCCTCGATCGATTCGGCTCCAGTGTTGACGCGGATCATCTTTTCGGTGGCCGCATCTGCGGCATGCATATATAAGGCAAAGCATCGCACGGCAAGGTATCGTGTAACTCGGTCCTGGGACTGGAAGAGGGACTGGAGTTGGAGGGGTGAAACAATGGGAGAGAAGGTTTCAAGATCAAACGAAAGGAGTCGGAAGAGGGCGAGGAGTAATAGTCGAATACTGGGTTGGTCCAACTGCAACAGTGTTAATTCCTTTGACACGGCCAGAGCCGCCAAAGGGCCAGTCTGTGATGAGGCATATTGACTGGCAAGCGACCGCAGATGAGGTGCAAATGGTAGAATCTGCGCAAATGCCGCTAATACGTGAATGTAGTCTGCATGTAAATCCGATTGAAGCCATCGAGCTGCAAGATCGACAAAGATCGGTTCGTAGAGCCTGAAAATGCTCTCTGTAAATTCGTTGTTTAATGCGCCAAGCGCAAGTGCGTGGAGGTGTTGAGTCCCCGATGCAGTCCGAATGAAAGTCGAGATTTCACTCGGGAGCTGCTCGAGCAGCTCGGACTCTGAAAGAGTCCTCTTATAGACCGGCCTTCGATCCATGTTTAATCCGGCCGTAAGAGGGACTCCAATGTGTAGTAATTTGAAAATGCCAAACGAAGAAATTCCGCTTCTCTCCAACTTTTTTTTCTGTCGCAACCCACCGCCCTATCTCCGAAGTTTGCGCCACATTTCTATTATTTACATATGTACTCCGTACTTCGTGTATAGTTACCTTAGGTACTGGGTATATATTTTATATTGTAATTGGGACCGGACAAAGACATGAGGGTCAACGTGGTATTATCACATTAGAAATCCAGATTACCAAGCACAACCCGCATCATGGCACCCTCCAGCGACAAAGGATCGATAATCTTATCAACATATACCGGCCAGTCGTCAATCAACTGCAAGAGAGGGTAGATATAGGGTCTTTTTCAGAAGACCAGAAAGTGATCCCTATGGGGAACGGGTCCTCGGTCGACACTGCAGTATAAGCTGGGCGATGGCAGCGCTCTCGTCCTATCATAGATGCATCGCAATTGTCCAGCAATCGAATATTTAATTGCCTCGGTGAGCGAAAGCCACTCCATCCCTAGAGAAATCCCGGGGATGTATTTCAAGACGATATACAGGTGTCCTGATCGCGGTACATGGTGTAAAGTCGTGGCGCTGCGATGTTGAGCTGGTTTTCCACAAAATGTAAAGTATATGCCTCAATTTTGGTCACAAGCGGGCTATGTTTCACTACATATTTGTCTCTGATTACAACCAGGCGCCCACCGTGATCTGATCTCTTGGGGAGGGTTTGTGTTGCCTGTTCAATCTCGTTTTGGTCAGGAAGAGGCCCTGGTAATTGACCAGCATCCCGATAATAAGGAAGGGAGAAAGCCATAGTTAGATGAGCGACATCTCACGGAATGGGTACACCTGCTTGACTAAATTTAGTCCAGTGATAAAATCATGTCACTATGAAAATTGAGATTTCACTCAGAAGCTACTGAGCGGTTCGGACTCTGAAAGAATCGTCGTATAGAACGGCCTTCAATCCAGTTTTAAACCGGCCGGAAGAGGGATTCTAATGTGTAGTCGGAACTAGACGAAGAAATGCCGCTCCTCTCCAAGTTCTTTTTCTGCCGCAACCTGTCCCCGCCTAGGCTTGTATCCACCGCCCTACGTATCTCCGAAGCTTGCGCCACACTTGCGCGTCAAACAAGTCAAACAAGGCAAACAAGGCAAACAAAGCTGTCCTTCTAACTGTGCTTTGATGAGATGGTAATATCGCGGTTCATTTATGTTTCATGATGCCAATGACTGGTCAAGGCTCAGGTGAGGGCCGGTCTTGGTCGCAATCAAGAGGCGATCAAGATGATCAGCCTCAAGTGAATCGGGAAGCAGAGGGACTACATGAACCGTTGGTACTCGAAGCTCCACCTTCTATTATAACGCTAACTAGATGATGCCTTCAGGATCTCCTTCAAACGAAAACAAAAACAACCGTCACGATTCAGTTTATCCAGTCTCCTATCCCCCATCGCTGGCGCATCAGATACTGGGTTTAGCTCTCCCGCCCCGCAAGGTGGTCAGAGTGGAGATGCATCACCGCTTGATCCTTATGCGCCGATGGGGCTCAATGGCGGAGCCGAAGGATCGAAAGATGGCGGACCGCTCGACTGGTATGTGGAAGGTCCAGGAAGACGTGTTGGCTACGACGACTTTACCGCCATCGATTGGATCTATGAGTATACCAAGGAGCGGCAGAGGAAACGACTTCTTTACTCAAGTGGACAAGGTTTATTAGGCCATGCTCGCCGGCTCCTTGATGCAAGCAATGTCTGGTTGGTGTTGATCGCGACAGGTATTGCTGTCGGAATCATTGCTGCCTGCATTGACATTGCTACGGACTGGTTGGGTGATTTGAAAACCGGATATTGCAAAAGCGGCAGTGGAGGTGGCAAGTTCTATCTGAACAAGAGTTTTTGCTGCTGGGGATTGGATGGTACGTCGACGATGTCTCAACCCCATCAATCTGCCATGGTGAACTAAATTTGGTAAATAGATCATTCGCAGTGCCTAGACTGGACACCATGGGGTAACGCACTAGGTGCAACCTCTAAGGGAGGAGCATATACCGTTGGTTACTTATTTTACGTTGTGTTCTCGGTAATTATCCCTCGATAAGTTGGGGTTTACGGCTCTGCTAATTATCTCTAGGTCTTCTTTGCTGCATGTGCTTGCTTTTTGGTTCGAAACTATGCCGTGTATGCTAGGCACAGTGGAATTCCCGAGATCAAAACGATTCTTGGTGGAACTGTTATCCGGCATTTCATGGGCCCGTGGACGCTGGCTATCAAATCGCTCGGCCTGGTAAGAGAAAATATATGATTTCAAAATTTGCATTCGCTAACCATAATCAGTGTCTTTCTGTCGCTTCTGGTCTTTGGTTAGGCAAAGAAGGTCCACTTGTACATGTTGCGTGTTGTTGTGCCAATATCCTGATGAAGCCATTTGATAGCCTAAAGGGTAACGAAGGTATGTCCCCAACTGTCCATCACGCGCCGCGCATGAACTCATATCGTAGCACGCAAACGAGAAGTTCTCTCAGCGGCTGCCGCCGCAGGAATCTCGGTCGCTTTCGGGGCACCGATTGGTGGTGTGCTCTTTAGTTTGGAGGTATGATTTTCACAATCTCTTGTCATTTACTGTGTTAACCTTTGCAGCAACTTTCATATTATTTCCCGGACAAAACAATGTGGCAAAGCTTTGTTTGTGCCATGGTTGCAGCTGTAACATTGCAAGCCTTGAACCCATTCCGAACAGGCAAGATTGTGCTCTACCAGGTTACATACACTCGAGGCTGGCACCGCTTCGAAATCATCCCATTCATCATACTTGGTATCATTGGCGGTCTTTACGGCGCATTCCTTATTCGTTTGAATACGACAATTGCCAAGTGGAGGCGAGCTCGAAACTCTTCTCGGCCGATCATTGAAGTGGTCATTGTGGCTCTGATCACAGCTTTGGTCAATTATCCGAATCACTTTATGCGAGCCCAAAACTCTGAGCTAGTTCAGTCACTATTTTCCGAGTGCAACAGTGTTACATATGACCGATTTGGTCTTTGTGCCACGGGATCTGCCTCAATAGGCGTGGCAATCTTCTTGGTTGTGGCTGCTCTGTTAGCATTTTTCTTAGCTTCCTTGACGTTTGGACTTGAGATTCCGGCCGGTATTATTCTCCCGTCAGTTGCAATTGGCGCTCTGTACGGACGTGCTCTAGGTATCATGGTTCGCATGTGGCAAGAAGCTTATCCAAAGGCTTTCCCATTTGCCAAATGTGAGCCGGATATCCCATGCGTCACACCTGGCTTATACGCCATTATCGGGGCTGCTGCTGCTCTTGGTGGTGCTACTCGAATGACTTTGTCCATCGTTGTAATTATGTTCGAGCTGACTGGCGCATTGACATATGTAATTCCGATCATGATTGCCGTGATGCTGTCTAAATGGTGTGGTGATATCTTTGGAAAGCGCGGTATCTACGAGTCATGGATTCGACTCAACGAATATCCTTTCCTCGATCATCGTGATGACACCACGCCACCAGATGTATCTGCTCATCGAGTTATGACAACCGTGGATGACATTAGCATTATCACTGCAACTGGTCACACCATTGCCTCCATCCGCAGTCTTCTCGCCAATACCACATATCGCGGGTTCCCCGTTGTTTCCGAAACGTCGAGTCCCATCCTCTTGGGCTATATCACCCGAAATGAGCTTTCTTTTGCTTTGAAATACTCCACTGCTTCCTCCACCCGCGACCTCTCCGATGAGACACAGGTCTTCTTTTCGCATCAACCTTTTGCGGACCCTGTTGATACCCTTGATCTGCGACCTTGGATGGATCAGACACCCATGACTTTGAACAGTAACATCACTTTCTTAATCGTCCTGCGAATGTTCCAACGACTCGGTCTACGCTATGTGCTGTTTGCCAACAAAGGCATTTTACAGGGCTTACTGACCAAAAAAGATGTTTGGTCGGTGCTTAATGGCGTTGAATTTCGCCGAGAAGAAGCCCTTCGAGATGACGAATTCCGTGATTTCCAAGAGCGCCATGAGGCCGAGGAGGTTGGTTTACTTGATGGGAATGATAGATCTAGCATTGGCAGTTCTTTAAGGCGGGATTCTTTGTGATATATGCTGCCATCTTTTGTATATGTATACAACCCTGTCTTCTGAAATCTTCTGCTATGTGTGAGGAAATATCACAGCGATTTTGTTTTCTTTGAATCAATGAAGTCAACAAGACCAAAAACAATTAGCATGTGACTGACTTTAAGAAGTAAAAAATTCACAACGACTGTAAAGAACTTAGAGTATTGCACAAGCACATAGAAGGTCAACCTCTAAAGTGTCAGCCTCTCCGACTTTCGAACTCCATCTTTCATTTCTCCACATTTTCCCTGACCGCCTTTCTTCCCGCCTATCACAGTACGCGATGTCTTCTCCCAAAGATTCTCTAATCAACCTTGAGCACGATACACCAGGCGGCGAAATGATTGACCCCTTTGAGGTGCGCATGCGCTTCACAACACAGCTGCAGCATCTCAGTGCCGCTGTGACCCCCGCCCAGAAGGCTGCCCACTATGCGCTCAAGTATCGTGACCTCGATGAGGATCTCCACTCATGCATTTTGGAGCAGCTAGAGCGAGTAAGAATCCCTAACCTTAAATTTACTTGATCTATATTAATATTGCCTGTTTTAGAACAATATGAACAATCGGGCAAACATCATGTACTTCATCGAACATCTCTGCGAACTAGCGATCAAAGAAAACCACCCCCCATACGTACGCATGATGCAGCGCGATATTCTTCGCGTGGTAGACTCAGTCGTCCCCCCAGATGGCACCGGCGCGGCCAACGTCAAGCACGTCCGCCACGTACTGAACGGTCTCCAGGCCAAGGAAGTCCTCACGGTCGAGCGTGTCGCTGAAATTGACGCCGCTCTCAAAGACCGCGAATCCGACCCCTCCCACCTGGATCTTGAGCACGAGGAAGGTACCGAAGAGGGCAGCAAGTTGAAGACCGAAAAGCCCCAGCTGCGCCTCGATAAGAAGCAAATCGAACAACGTATTGAGGAGGACCGTGAGCGCAACAAGCGCCTGCGCGAAAGCATGTGGGCCATGACTGGTAGTGATCAGGATGAGTACAATCAGATGTGGGATGAACTCAGCCCTATCGGTGAAGATGACTTTATTCGATCTCGCGAGGAGGCTCTAGAGCGCGCTGAGTGTGCCCGCAAGCATGTGGGGTTTTTCAAGAAGCTTTACGGAATTGTGGACTAAATTGCATTGACGCACTTTCTGCTGGGTTTTAGCATGGCTTCTGGAGTTCTCAATGACGGGTTTGGCGTCTATAGGGGTTGGCACGGTCTGTTTGTCTGGAGTTTTGGCATATAGCGCCCAAAAAGCTGATACTGATGTTATGTTAATATGTACATGAATGTAACAAGCGCTTAATATCGGAAAAAATTCCACGCGACACATCATTCTACCTGGATATTCCGCCATAGCTAACTCGTAACTGCATTAGATGAGGCTTTGTTCTCTAGCTCAACTGGTTCCATGCCATGTCCCAGTTCTCCGATGAATGCCAACACACTCTAGAGACTGTCTCTTTTGGTCACGATGCTGTCTACGACAAATTTCTGGATTGTGGCCATCCGGCTGTAATCACACTATTATGGGATCTCAATCAAGTTGGATACATACGAGCCGGTGAGGGAGATATTAGATTCCAATTTTGCGGCTTTCTCAATAAATAATGGTTTCGAAGCGGCAACACACTACCCAAATCACTCTGGAGTCCAAAGGGTTTGACATATGGCATAACGTAAACTAGATCCAACCAGGTAAGTTCCTCGGTGGATAGTAGCTCATGTGCACTATAAGACTTTTAGCCGTTTGTCGTCTCGTTTAGCCATATTTGTTCCTCGAAAAAACTTACTACATTCCCGTTGCAGGTTCCTTGGCCCGGACAGCATAGGAATGTCCCGCCGTTGCAATAAGTTCCTCTTTGTGAGCACCCAGCTCTTGCTTCCAGATTCGGGCCTGCATCTGCGACTGCATAGGCAGCTAGTGCAAGCAGAAAAATGTACAGCTTCATGTTCGAGTGATCTAATCGTGAAAAGGGTTTGAAGTGCGGTTGAGATGTTTGAAGAGACAATGTGGAAGGCAAATGTATGTTCGCTGGTGGGAGAGATAGTTCGTTACCCTCGCGGATATCAGGCCTTATATAGACCCGGCGCTATCACCATTATTTCCCTCAAATGCACAATAGATCTCCGCTCTTTGAAACCGTATGTCTAGCATGCTAGGGCCATGCATCAAAACTATCGAATCGTTTCAGGGATGGGGTTACATCGCAGGAAGATGATCAGTTGATGCTGTCAGGCCCCCTATCCGGGATAATTACAGCTCATCCAAATGCGTAGGTCTGTACTAGAACGGGACATTCTTTGCGCGGATCAATTGGCGCTGTAAGGCCCCTAGTTGGGACAAGTACAGCCCCTCTAAACGCACATATCGCAACTGAAATGGGACAATCTGTGTGTGGATCAGTCTGGACATTTTGAAATACCAAGCAGTCTTGACGATCATTTCCATGAGTACCCTGTGTACATGGCCCCGGTGGCAAGGGCGATAACTTGACCAATTCGTATACAGTGAAACTCGAAGAACTATAAGATGATGGCACTTTACCTCGGGTTATGGCTTGAGCAACAGCTATCACTTCTGCATTCTCAAACCATCAAATCTTCAAGACATAACTTCCCACGACAGATCCAACTATCTATCCCTTCCACACCATTCAAAATGCGTTTCTCAATGGTGGCATTTGCAATTTCCATCGGTTTGGCACTTGCCTCGCCCGTTGAACTTAACAAGAGAGTTGTAAGTCATTTCCCCCAATGTGAGATGACTCGAAACCAACACAACTGACCTTCATAGCCGACCAACAATTGCTTTACACTCTGCAGGATCGATGGTGGGGTGAGTTTTTTCCCTTATATGATGTAGATTTTTGGCTGACAGTATCAATTATACTAGAGTGGCGATTATTGTCTGAAGAAGTGTGCAGGAAACTAGGAGCTGGCACAATGTCAAGTAGATCAAGAACAACACTGCTCTGAGAACTGGAAGATTATCACGCATGGTGTCTAGAACTGATAGTGTGCTTTTCCTCAACCTGCATTGAATTATCTGTTGTTGAGGTCAAGCGACAGGCGTCTAATCCATAGTCTAGATAGTTGGTGATATCTCATTTTCGATTGTCAAACTGTCCTTTGATTTGTTCTTTTTTATTGCTCTATTACCTAAGAAGTTCCAGATTCCAGCACAATGATTGCTGAACAGAATTATCCTGACTTTTGCGTCAAGTTTCTGCATAGTAAGTCCCGGAGAAAACTGGGCCGAATACGTAATGAGAACCTGGGGTTACATGCATCTTGGCTTTGTTTCGTAGGATGGACAATGGAATATCGATAGACCTGGCCTCGTTGCGCTAGACTAACTGAAGTATGCAGGGAACAGGTCGTGCCACTAGAAGCTCTTGGCCCTTTGGCATATCACATCGAGCTGGGATATACACCCAAAAGGGAAGTATGTGACGCTGGCGCCAAGATTTGTTTGTCACTAGATAATTGATCCTGTCAGTAGATCAGGCTTCTACCCAGAATTTACTACCTAGATACACGACTCAGATAAATTTTCTATATAAATCCAGTTCGCTAAGTTTTGATCTTGGCCACATCGGTGAAGTCCCTCACGCCTGCATTTTTTTCCTTTGTATTTTCTAAATACTCTAGCAACTAATGCGAGCCTTCTTACTCTCACACATAGACAACTTGGCCCCATTTAGTGAACAGAACTCTTGTTAGGCCACCCGCCAAGCGACATTGGCAATGCTTTAAGTCGGGTCCAGAATGCTGCATATAGTCAGACATAAGGCAACTGTGCAAGGCTTTCATTGATCCTTGTACCGTACGGGTAATAAAGAAACCAGCATCATTAGGTCTTGAACCCACAATGTCGCTTCTTGCTTCCCTTTGAGTATAGCTTTTAAACTGGCATGGATAGAGAGGATCATGTAAGAATACATGTTTTTTATAAATGGTTAATTCGACATGTGCAGTACGAATCGTTGTGGTTTAGCCGGGTACGGTTCAGTTTATTCGAGGATGAGGGGACCTACTTTTGGCGGATCCTAGTGAATTCTGGGGTATTTTTGTGGTCAACCCCTTGCAGCATTCCATTGACCAACTAAAATCGATCGACAACTGTAGCTATCAATAGCAGCGGTCGTCCCTGGTGGATCCTCCATGGGCGCTTGACAAGATCCGATTAGCACGACCCTTATGATCTCCGCACCAGTTAGATATGAAGAGTTTTTGATGGATATAGCAGTGTTTACTATTCCATTGTTTGTAACGCCTCCCTAGCTATAGATAGCGAGCTTAGATCTCAGAATATCATACATTCTTTATCCACTATCTTACCCACATGGTGAGTTCATACCAGGTTTTAGAGCCAAAAAAAGAAGAAAAGGTTCATGTGATTCTTCGTGGCAGTCAAAGAGAAGACTGTGTTGGATGAGCGGTCAGCGCCGCAAATCACGGACGCTGACGACAAGTTAATCAAAATTCAACTTAGACTTCACTTTGCATGTAGATCCTTTTGTATCCCAATAATCATTAATCTGGGCTACAGCAATATGTTCATGGAGCAGCGCATGCTCTTTCAGGAACTAAATGGTAACGGAATTGGTCAAATCTATATAAACGTACACAAATGTACTATATAGTTGTTGTTACGTGCATGTCGTTCATCGCGAGGAGTCAGGGTGAATCTTATGATTCATGCAATTATTAAAGTGCATCTAATCGAGTATAACACGCTCAAAAGCGCTGTCTAGAGTTCTGCTTCAGTGTAGCAGCCCAGGTAGGGGGGAATTAATCAGATCTCCCATTTTGATAGGGAATTCGAAGAAAGAAGAAAAAGTAATGAAGAATGGGAAGAGGATTAGAAACTCTATCCCTCACTGATCTCTCACTGATTTCCACACCTCGTCCCTCTTCTTGTCTCTTCTTCCTCTTTATCACCCTATCCATCATTTCATTTTGATCTCATCCTTTCCCCTTTCTTCACAGTAGCAATATGGCTACTCTACAAAACCTTAAGACGCAACACCAGCTGACAAGCTTGTGGCTATTACCTAATGGCTTGCCTCGTTGAAGCGCAACTGCCAAACATGTCAAAATGCAGTCGACAGAGAGGTCAAACTCAATATGGCGATGCCAAAGGAGTGGCAGATGGAAGGACGACGGGAAAGCAGCGAAGATTGACAGCCATCGTACCGATCTCTCGTCAATGTCAGACTGGAAACTCTGCGGAGCGATCAAGGATCCCAGCAATATTACGGAAAACTGGAACATCTTCACTCAGTCCTCTTGGGACCCCGTCCATTGCCGCTTGGCGGACGAAGGCGTCATACTGGCACTGCTCACCTGCACGCCAATCAAACACTCCTACCGATTTAGAGACTGAAGGGGAGCAGAAGTCTGCCTGTGGGAGGATAGAGACTAGTTTTAGGTCTAAGCCTTGTTATTTCAAAGAGCAGCAGCACAAAGAAAGATAGGAATCCCGTTCAAAAACCCAGCAACATCGATCGTACTAACAGCCTTGGAGATATTTCTAGAATTAGAAATTTTCCAAGGTTTATATCAAGAGGGTCTAAAAGGCCTGCGCAATGAAAAGCTAAGTGTTGTGATACGAGACCATTCTTACTTCGGTCTAGTTATTGTCATCGCCTTTCACTCCGAACTTATTTATTGACTACCCCAGACTGTTCCTATAGCTCATGTGCCATGCAGTATCGCACTATCTCCTCCTACGATTCATGGCGTCGTTGTCCACTGCTGCCGAGAGCTTCTTAAGAATCAAACCTAGCAGGCCTTCACAAATCCTAACTTCAAAGGATCCCTTCTACGCGAACCTATAGGACCTTCGTAGAATTTCTTCTAAGCATACATACAGGTATGTAGCTTTAAGTAATTCGTCCCTAAAATGCTATTCATGAAGGCAATGTTACATCAACGATTCTTTCTAGCTCCTATAGCCTCTCCTGTTCTGTCTTACTTAGGGGTTTACGGATACAAATAGCTTCTAGCCCGTGTGATTATCCAGGTTTCTACTAGACCAGACCTATGAATTCTTCTCTGAAATACTACTTATGTATTGATCATCAAAGAAGCAATGCCTTTTGGAAACCTACCTGTTCGTCGACCATCAAGAGGCTATAATACCTTCCATCAACGGATTCTGATGTTGCTTGGGGAATATTTTTCTTGGTTATGTGATACAGTATCCATGCAATCAAATTGGATAGTTCTTTTGCGCAATGAAGTGGAGCGGTTTCAATATTGGCCTATATTATGCAGCCTATGGTATCGATTGAAAAGTGCTCCCGAGGTTATATATATATATATATTATCCGCATGTTGAGCTAATATAGTAATTCATTGTATACCTTCAGCTTTTCGTCGCTTTTGTGCGTTGAATTTGAATATAAAAAATCTGCAAGGCAAAATGAGTAGAAATTAATCAGACTCAGTAGATAGTTGTAAAGTCGAGTCGAATGGCGTTGATAGAAGCGGAGTTCCTTATCGTCTCCGCCCTCGGGAAATCTTGATCGCCGAGAGATTTTTTTATTTTTGCTTCACCTCTTTTGACTATTCGAGGAACAGTTCCCCTAAGGGCTTAATACTTTATTTCGGATTTCTTTTTGTCACTCTATGTTTGCCCATTTAGTGACTGCTGCTAAGGGTCTATTTACGCGACACCCCGAAGAACAACACTCTCACTCTGCTGATTCCATCACCCCCAATTCCAACATGGTGACATCTACCCGACGTGGAGATGTTGCGACCGACGTGGCTGCCAATGGAAAGCGCAAGGATCGACCCGCGAGCGCTGGAAAGCCCGATGGCCAGGACACCAAGAAGAAGAGAAGAAGAAGCAACCCCAGGGCTACCGACACATCTGCAGATGCCGCAAATGGCACTCTAGAGACATCCAACGTAAATGAGGCGAAAGCGCCTGCCGGCAAAAAGATCCGGTTCGGTAGCGAAGAACCTGAGCCGATCATCGAAACACAGCCAGAAGAGACTTCGGAATCACCAAAGGAGGACGAAGAAGACGAGGATAGCGACGATGATGCGCCAGAGACTATCGTCAACTCTGCTCAGCTATTGAAAATGAAGGAGCACGCTAAAAAACAAGAAGCAGCGAAGCAATTGTACGTTTGAGAAGTTCCATCTACTCGAACCTAGTGCTAACAATATCTACAGAGAGGAACAACTGAAGAGAGAGAAGCGACGGAAGCTTGACGAGCGCCGCAAGTTGCAAGCCAAGGCAAAGGAGGTTCCAGTCGATGACATGGCATCCGAGAGCACAGCTACCCTTCAAGGAGGCACAACTACCCAGGATGCACGACGGGCCGCTCTCCCCGCTTTGCTTCCCGATGATATTTTGAACGCCGAGCCCGCCATTCGCGCCCCCACACCACCAGCTGAAGACCTGTTCGCCTTGCCGAAAAAGTCAAATAAGCTACGATTTTTGGACAAGACCGACAAGATTCCCAAGGATGTTAATATCGGAGATGTTTCTATCCGTGTGCTCGATGCGCCGTCCACACGAAAGTCCTCAAAGCCCGCATTGGCCCCCAAGGTTTCCAAGCTTGGACGTAACGTCAAAAACGGCCTTCTTCAGAAGACTCGTACCACAGCTCAAGGCAATGGACTCCGAAAGAAAGCAAGCGGCCCGGGTGGATTTGTTCGCCGGTGAAATTGATAAAAATTTCTGTGCGACTATTCAAGGCGATTATGTCTTCAATTTCGTAGATCTTCAAACATGATTAAAAGTCGCATTTACTGCGACCTGTTAGCGTCAACTGGGCGACATGCTCGTATTGACTGATGTTCCTATCGGGGGATTTTCACCGTTGGCGCAAACCGAAAGTCGGTGTCGACTGGGCATGCAACCAGCCCCGCGTTTGCTGCAGCCATTTTGTGGTCCATCATTGGAAATGAAGGGGAAGTTTTTGATTCGAGTATTACTAGGGTTGCATGGCGTTTGGAGTGAAACCTGGTCTGCATCAAGTCGTGTACATAGAATACCAGGTGTCAACTGGGCGCAACTGTTGTAAAGTTAGCACCAAAAAGATATCCTCACATCAAAAGAAAGGAAATAAGCTAGATATGTATGCATACCTAGGTATATAATCAAGTAAGGTAAGTAGTCGAGATGAAACAGTTGTATACAAAAACGCCAAGGACTTCCAAGGAAGATTCCGATTAATAAGGCGGACACGTGCGAGAGAGACCGAAAGCTCAAGCTTCACAACTTTTCTTTGACCCTTTAAACCTTTGCTTTTTCACAAAAAACCCAACGCCAATGGCGTTTGTCGTCTAATTCTATCTTAATTCATTCCACCATGGCGCCATCCGCAGAGAATTCTCCTCTACTGCCCCAGCATCAAGTCTCCAATACGTCACCACGGGCAACCCGGCAGCCGCGATCAGTGTCATTCAATCCCCTCACGCAGATTAGCACGTACGGCACTGCGTCTGCGTCTGCTTCTGACTCTACGTTTCGGCCCTTGCAAACAGGCTCACCTCCCATCCAGAATGCCAATGCCCAGGGCCAGCGTCCGGGCAGCCAGCCCATGCTCTCGGCCTTGAACAGCAAACTTCGGCGTCGCAATAGCCATAGTGCCCCCTTCAGTAACATGTCCAACTCAGTGCATACGGCACCCAAGATCGGGCCGCAGCGAACCACTAAGAAAGCACAAAAGCTAAAATTGCTGCCGGATCCTGTGACGGAAGAGGAAGAAGGGTCTGATGGAGATTTCCCTCGGGATGTCTATTCACAAATCACTCGAATCAAAGACCCTGCCGCACGAAGCCATGCCGCACGCCTTGGAAAGGCCGATCGCGACCGCATACCTCGAGTCACAGCTTACTGCACGGCCAATTCGTACCGCCTCGAAGGCGTTATCAAGTTCCTCAAATCGCGGAGCAAGACTCGTGGAGCCAATCCCAAGCTTTATGACGAATGTGTCTACTCGCCTTTCGATTACCAGTACGAAGATAAGCAGAACGGGATTCGACTCTTCCAAGACCAAAGTGGTAACGGACACCACGAAAGGAGACCCAGCGAACGGCGATACTCGGACAGTGCGGTGGAAGTTGAGGACAATAAAAAGAACCGAAGGGATGACTTGATCGATCTGCACGAGGAGGCTGGTCACTCACTCGATCATACCGAGCAACTCGTCGTTAAAGATGCCCCCGGCATTGATACTACAATCCACACACCCGAGGTGTTCCTCTTCGACTATGGAACCGTCGTAATATGGGGCATGTCCCCAGCCCAAGAATCAAGATTTTTATCTGATATCTCGAAATTTGCGACTTCTATTCTGAGTCCCGATGACACGCAAATCGAGAACTTCAACTTCTATTATGCGCGCGAGTACCAGGCCCGCATCTACAACGACTTCATCTCTCTGCGCGATCCTCGAAACCACATGATCAAGCTTGCGATTTCTCATGCCCTTGCCCAGTCGGTCAAAACATCGCTGTTCGAAGACCTTGTATCCGAGACCATCACCGACACCGCGCCGCTACCAGCGCAGATTGCGCAAACCGGTAGCGTCAACCTTACCCGCCGCCAAATCAACATGCAGATTGGAGAGCTTTTCATTCTACGTATCAACATCCATTTGCAGGGATCTGTTCTCGATAGCCCGGAACTCTTCTGGGCAGAGCCGCAGCTGGAACCCGTTTACCAGGCTGTCCGAAGTTACTTGGAAATGGACCAGCGTGTCGGTCTCTTGACAGAGCGACTGGATGTCATTGCCGATCTTCTGGCCGTGCTGAAGGATCAATTGACACATCGCCATGGAGAATATCTCGAATGGATTGGTAAGTTCCCTTATCGCCATGATCAAAACCCATCTAACCACCATAATAGTTATTGTCTTGATTGCTGCGGAGATTCTCGTGGCTGCAATCAACATTGTCGTCGACCTCTATGCTGGAGTAGACTAGATCAACAAGAATACACTTTTCGGCCTCCACCTCTCTATTCTGACGGAGCTTCTTTTCTGTCGTTCATTGCTTTTTACGCATAATATATGCGATCATATCACACCGAAAACTCAGCACCTTATGGGCAGATCCCCGAACTCGCCAGGCGAACTCCAAACGGACCTAATTCATGAGATGCTCACTGAGAACAACCACTCACCTGCAACATCATCCTCGAAATATTCTCCCCGCACCACCTGTGTTATCTCCATCGTCCCCTGGATCGTCTTCGCCTGTACATGAAGGAAGACATTTCCAGATGATCACATTCTTGACTGTTTACAATAGTATGTCTTTTAGTATCGGAGTTGGTATGGCTTATGGTTGACCTGGGAAAGGGACGCTTGACTCCGGTATGTGTTTTACAATATTCGAAATCAAACCTGATATCTTGTTCTTTGCCTTATCAGAATTGTAATCATTAAGACGACCGCATGTAGGGCATTCTTTTGAAGACTCAAACAAAAAGATGCTTGTACGACAAGCTGGCGATACAACTGCCGCAGCCAGAGATGCCGCTCAAAAGACTTTTGGATATAGGGCGAATGGCGAGGGTGCTTTGGTATTTTCTTTGGAGGTTAAACAAGAGTCTCTGAACACCGTTTACTTTTAGAACAATATTAGTTATCATTCTTATACTCCAGAACTAATATAAACATAACTACATATGTAATTATAGTAGAATTTTTATGCTAATAGACTAATTCGCGGTAGCGCAATTAGCTATAGGAAGACGGCTACAAGGGAAGTAATTGCTTCAGCCATGCTTTTAGCACGGGATCTCCAATGAATTCATATCAAACGTGAACGCCGGAAGGCCGGGATAAGAGAACAAGCCCATTCATAGGCACAAAAAAACCATAGCATTAGCCAGCACCGCATCCGAATCAGATGCATAATAACCCGTAGACCGCAAGAAAATAAAATGAAGATAATAGAAGAGAAACAAGGGGCAATCCACGCCCGAAGAAAGAGCCAAGTCCAGAGACAAGTCAGTTCAGAAATAAGAACATCGCCAACTAAGGCTGCTCAACCTTGGTCTCCTGCTTCACCTCCTCCTTGTCCATATCCATCGGCGTAGTCCCAGCCTCGTGGCCAGCCTCCGCAACATCACCCACAGGAGTTTGATCAGCAGAACCCCCGCTACCCGTCTGTACGCGGAAGGAGTGAGTAAGCGATTCCTGGGTAGGAGCGGGAGCAAGGCGAGGCAAAGCAGCGCCTGAGGGGTCGGCCGATTCATGGTGTCCGTCGTGGGGAAGATCATCTTCACCGTCGAGGCCGGGAGCGGCAGACTTGCGCGAGCGCTTGACGCGCAGCGGACGTTCCTCGGGCTGGGACGAAACAGTCAGCTTAACGTGATCCAGAAATAACTGGAAAGCTGGGTATCAATTCGGCAGCCTACGCCAGAAGCGAGAAGAGCCGTGAGACCGAACGGGAGTACATACTGTGCGGGGTTGCTCATCAGAGCTACCCTCGGTATCATCCTCCAGATGTGCGCCACCTCCCTGACCAGCCGGGGTCATCATTGCTGCAGCACGAGCACGCAGCTCGGGGTTCGCGGCACCGGTCTTGGCCTCGTCAGCCATGCCGGTGACCTTGGTGAGACGCTCGAGCAGCATGCAGGTCTCCAGGCGCATTTTGTGGATGTATTGGGTGCTGCGGCGGTTACGAGTGCGCATGAGCTCATTTTCTGCTTCGACTTCGGCAAGACGCTTCTTGAGGGCAATGCACTTGCGTTTGTAGGCGATTTCCACGCTGGGAGGGTTGGCGGGCGGGATGGAGCTCGGTTGGCGGGAGCTGTCCATTTTGAACAGGGAGTGAGGATGTGGTAATTAGGCGTGAGGATTGATGGTGAATGGATTATGTGTAGGCCGGAATCCTTTGGTTGGGTCTTTGACGTGAGCACGATGCGAAGGGGGTTCCGTGAATTGCGGAGTGGGATGAAGAGAATGAGATTGGGCGATGGGGAATGGTATATAAGGATGGGTTCAATGTGTCACGGATGTGTGGGTGGACAATTGGCTCCTGGAATTGAAATTATTGAGAAGTATGGCCAAGCATAGGTCGGCCGCGTTGCGATGATCTCCGAAACCCCATTATTCTGCCATTTGATACAAAGGCGGTCGGCTCTACAAGAAGATGTGTTTTTTGTTTTAAACAAAATAAATTTATCCATTGACTCCCTGCTACGTAATGTGCACCGAAAAGAACAAGAAAGAAAATACCACCGCTAGCAGTCCAGTCTAGTGCCCTCCAGTGGTTGGAAGACCAAGGAACACCTTGAAGGAGTCGTAACTAAATGAGCGTCAGTACTGTAACTAACGAACTACACTGAATCGGGACAGAGCAAGCACTTACATGAGCCATTGGAAACCAGTCAAGGTTCCAAGCATAACAATTCGAACTGGTAGGCCGTTCCAAAGACCGGAAAATCCAATGTTTCCGTAGATACGGGACACGGCAGTCATTGCGCCTTCGCCAGCTACAAACAAACCAATTAGCACATTCACCAGAAATTCACCTGGCAATAAATCACTTACCCTTGCGATCAGCATTCAGCTTGCTGACCATAACATCTGCTGGATGACTGACAACAGCACAGAAGATACCAGCAATGTAACCACCCAGGAAACTGACACCAGTCTGGGTCAACTGGCCATACTCCTCCTTAGGCTTACCCATCTTCGAGTAAATAAACTTAACAGTCTCCTCGAAAGTCGCGAACTTAGTCATGGTATAGGGGATCTGTCTCGCCCAAAGCGGATACAGACCCTTATACAACCCACCGAAGCCCTCCTTCGCCACAATCTTGCCCCAGCCCTCCCGGAGCCCAGAGGCATAAGGAGGAAGTGTGGTCTGCATGCGAACCTTGATTGCCTCCATGGGACACAAAGCCATATCGGCGAAGAATTCAGCCGAGGCACTGGCGCCTAGGAAGACTAGTGTGCGGTTGGTTTCTGGGAACAATTGGTTGCCGTACAGGTGCTTAAAGTACTCGTATAGACCGTACTTTCCGGCGCCCTGCATAGAGTAGCCCAGGAAGGTGGGCGACCAGCCGAAGAAGACGCCGCGCAGGCCTTCTTTGGAGAAGATGGTGCGCCATGCTTGAATATTTGAGGTGTAGATCTTAGGGTCCACTTGGCGACGGCATTTTACGAGATCGAGGGGTGTGACGGCCGTGTGGGTAGGTCCTGGAAGGTTGTCAATTAGGGGATTCGATGATGCGTATAGCTATCACGTACCACAGGCTGTTATTGAGATTGTTAGTATGAATTTTTGAATGAGATGGAGGGCTTAGATTTACCGATAATACCACCAGCACCACAGCTGAGGAAATATTTGAGAGAGTTGGGTTCAATCTTTCCCAAGGGAAGCTTGCGGTCTTGGGTAGCCATGGCGTGTTGACAACCTAAAGGGTATCTAGGGAGAGGAGAGCAAAGGGAAACGGGAGAGAGGAGAGGGGAGAGGGGAGATTTGACCAAAGCAATAGATTAACTAGAGTAGAAATAGAAATAGAGATAACTAAATGTAGAGCAGTCAAGACTCGTACCTTGGAAACTTACATGTCGTCAGATTGATCCACATGCTGCGAACGGCGGCTACTTCGGCATTGGTGGGCTAGATTCACATTTCTTTTCTCATGCGCACATCCATTTGAATTTACTTACTATATATGTCAGAATTGTATATGTCTGCATATTGAAATTAATTATATCGTTTTCTATCTTCACTAGATGAGATTTTAGCCATCTAGATGTGTAACTATACTCATATATCTCCACATATGTACTATCTATACATTTACTACTATACTTCCTGTGACGTCATGATCCCCGGGAGAACCGGCATAAGCATTCATAACATACAATGTATGTACATATCTAACTAACTACTTGTAGTTATAAATATCTACTTTGTATGGTGGATAACAGAAGAAGCCGATTTACCCATTCCATTCATTATAGGAAATATACTGCGTTGAATTGGTACAGCCATTTCCAAGGTTGATTTCTAGCCATTGGACATTCTTATGTTTATCTACATATACATCGGATTTTAGGCCGCGCTCGATGGCTTTCTCTTTCCGCATAATCGGGCGTGTATCGTCTACGCATACTCGGCCTCAAATTCTGCAAAGTCTTGATCTGACTATCATCCTCCCGGATATTATCCCCACCCAACCAATTCTCCATAGCAACCCCAAGAGACCTATCCTACTCATCCTTCGAAATTGAAAACCAAGATGTATCCCTGGTCCACCCCTTGACAACTATATGCTGCCGGAATGTCCCCTCAAAGGTGGATTCCAACCGCGTCGCAGCCCGCCGCGACGACTTACTAAGTGAGTGACACTTTCACTCCAATCTCCGATACCCCGAGACCATGAAACGCATACCGAGCCAAAAGATAGATTGTCTCCGTCGCACCCGTCGTGCGCTACCGTGCAGACGAGTATATGAATTTTCCAATCACGATACAGAAGTAATCAGGCGCCAGCATGAGAGATAGAGAGCCAACCGCCTTCTCGAAAGTGGGCATATCCTTGCGCTGATCAATGATCGCGAAGAAAAAGGTATCTGTCGACTTGTACTTGGACCCGATACTAGCTTTGAACGTAATTGCGTCCGAATACGACCGGTCGAATAAACAGTCCCACAGAGATTGTTTGGCCGGCTCGGTGCTGCCGACTAGAGTGAACAGGTCATTGGCATGCTTGGCGTCGAGCTTCTCGAGAATTGTTCGGCCAGGGATGATTTTGTTTCATAGCAGGAGAGCCTGAGCCGGGGAGACGAGGGGTCCTTTTGGGCGTAGAACTGTCATATTTGAGAATTAGATGTCTGTGAGTAGACAGTTCAGAAATGAGAGCCGCTTTAAATGATATCCGTTTGGTTGCCGTTGCGACTATTACGGCTCTCATGGCTTTCTATTGGCCTAATGAGTCACTGCGATGTGATTCTATTTCAACTCCGGGAGCCCGTGATGTTCACGTTCCCCAAGGATGTGATTGGTTGTGTTCCTGGACTATATCGTTTCTTCAGAGCTGCCATCGGAAAAGGTATTGCGAATTGGGTGTGTGAAAAAGGGACTCGCTCTACTGATCACTACCGGTAGTAGCCTGTGCTACAACAGTGATAAAGCGCAGCATTCTGGAGGGAGTACTTTCGCATAGTTTGTGAAGCTCATCCAACGCACACTTGAGGCCAGCATGAGCTCTTTTAGGATGAGCCGCAAGGATGATGGTTGACTAAGCGCCAGTGTTTGAGGTGAGCTGGAAAGGCCAGGTGAGAAATTTTTGGAGCTCGTGCTGTGCACTGTAGCGTCTGGGGCTAACAAACATCAACTTCTTGTTCAGAGCTGATCATATACTGGAAAAGCTGTATTTACCATCCGAATCAATTGCTCAATCAAGATTCCGTTGGCTAAGTGGTTTATAGGGCGTCTGTGTATGGCAGAGGACGTAAAGCAGCCACTCAGAATGTATTCACAGATGCAGTTTCCCTGATTTGACTCGAAGTATAGGGCGCGATGATGCTGAAGCGTACAGATCTCATAGGTCCAGTCATTGCTCATTATACAGGCACCGGGACTTGACCCAACCCACTCTGGGCGGCCTTTGAATGAGTGGGCGAGGAAAGATATATAGTCGGCGATGTGGCTGTCTCACAGCCGTTGCTCCTGATTCATATCCAGCGGCGGGATGTCTTCGTGCTCACCGCGAATTCTCTCTGCCTCCTTAGCCAGAACCAGCGCCAATTTGATGCCAAGTTTAGACCCTATACGCCACAGCACTGTCCGGATTTGCGCGACTTGTGCCTCAGTTGGCATACCACAGGAAAGCACGTACCAAAGAGGCCACAGTAGACCGTACGCTTGCGCAGCACGTATCTGAAACGAACTGTTTGATTTATTGGGGCGACCAAGAGAGTCGACATCTGCCAAGGAGAAAGGGATACTGCGGCAAGTATCTGTTGTCATTTCACGGATGACAGCTCGCAGGCTTGCCTCGTCAAGGGGCTCTGAGTCCGTCTTCTGGCAATCTGCAGAAGAGTTGGGAAATTGGTTGTTGACCGCTTTGATGGTGGCAAGGGTGCGGTTCAAGCCAAGGAGAAGCTGTTGCAGCATCACGCGCACTGCGCGGTAATAGTACCAGATCACAGAATTGGAAATACGGTTATAGGTCAGAAGGGACTCGCCCTGTGCTGAATAGACGACCAGGGGGAGCCATCGGTCGGGAAGATTTTGGGGCCACTGAGAAATTTCGGCATCGCATTCACGGCCTGCGGCGATCCATGATTCAACAGTTGCCTCATCTGGGGGTTTTGGTGAAGAGCGCATGGCAAGGAAAAGTCGAGTTAATTTGGAGGCAGAGAGCATAAGTCTATCAACGGGGTTATTACTGTCCAGCATTCCGACCACCCATTCGGTGTCGAAGCGGGGGTTGTCCCCCAATGCGAGGATTTCAATATACTATGCAAATGTTAGTCCCTGCTGCGCAAATGTTGTATCTTTTCTTAATACGTACGGTATGTGTGTAAGCAAAATTAAACATATCTCGACCACGCTGGTGATCCATCTGCCCTTCACCACGGAGCTTCATCAAAAACTCAAATCCCGCTGTATGCGAGCTGAACAATCCATTTCGTTCGCCCGAGATGTCTTCATATAAGGAAAGCAAGACGACCGACGCAAAAGTCTCATCTCTGACTGCATGGGCGGGCGATGCCAATGCTTCCTGCAAGCCCCGCAAAGCCTTCCCGTAGCCCTGCCGTGCCTTATTCATGAGGGAAGGTGCATTCTTAGCATTAGCTAAAGTCATCAATGCCGTGGCGTCGACCGCCCACCTCAGACAAGAAGATGTTGATTCGCCGCTCGACCGTCCTATCTCACGTGCATATAGCGGAGGAAGATAGTCCAAGTGGCCGCCATCTTCATCCGCTTTGATGGTGTACTGGTCGAAGAAAAAGCACAACGCCCGCTGTTCCCAGCTGGCATCAGCAGGCGAATATAATGTCAGCAATGAATCGGAATCACTTTGATGAGGACTTTTGCGTCGGCGATGTACAACGGATGATGCCGAAGCATCCGAAGTTGGGGTGTTGGTTTGGCTGCCGCTTCCACTGGCGCTCGCGGTCCCATTGTTAGTTTTTACCAGCCGCTCAACCTTTCTAGTCTCATTGCGGAAAACTGCATCTGGCCGGTATCCTGGACATGGTCGGCCATATATTTTGCAATTTCGGCACTCTGGATGTGCTTCATCGCACTGGAGAGGATTTTTAGCATTTCTCTTATATTCAACCACAATCACTACAACAAAGGAAGAACAAATGAAAGAATCATATACAGCGGGGTAGACAGCCTGAAATCTACCTCCAGACATACCTTTATCTTCCGCTTGCGACACAGGTAACATCCGGTACTCGGCTTGCCCCCATAGACCATTTTTCATCCACAATCAGAGGGAGTTTGACACGCGCAGATAATTGTGCAGCCGTAAATGGGACTGCGTCACAAACACGTTGGGTTCTTCTTTGTTACACAGGCGCAAATCGGGTCGTGTGTGATCGATTGTAGTTCAAATCAAATCGGCTGCCTAGTTCGAGTGAACCCCATGCACATTTTAGAGATGCTTGTGTAGTAGTCTTCTCATGAAGAACTTAATATTATAGACAATCTTCGATTGAAAGGGGGTTTCAGGCATAGGAGAGGTTGGATTTACGTCCGAGACAGCCCCGGTGCAGCTGGGCATAATCGGGACAAATCCATGGATCCTGCCCAGGTGGATCTGATATCCGCTTAGTCATACGCATATATCTCAGAGTCTCAAAATCTAGTTTACACAATGTAGTCTACGTCTATAGTTCAAAAGACGAGCAAAGGACCTTTAAGCTCCTCGCTCTGCTGAGCATATTGCATGTATTTCCCAGCACCGTGAAGCTCAGGCATCGCCCAAAACGCTTAAGAAAACCGAGTGCAGTAGATGACCGGTCGTTCCCACACTGGCACAGTGAGACTCAGCCCATATGATGGAAAACACAGTGCAGGAGTCTGTTTCGACAATGTGTCGTCTCGATCTTTAGAAGCCTTGCGTTCTTGCAGCCTGTTTTAACTCAAGAATGAGCGATAAAAAAAGGTCATGCATACAGCCTGGACGGAAAAGCTCTGGTATAGATCTCGCAAATCAAGATCAAGATGGTGGGAATAAAGGATAGAGAATCGAAGGGAAGGCAGTGACCAATGAGACCTAAGCTTTTTGGCCGTCGGCCAAAGAGCTTTACTTTCATTGGTCGAGACAAGAAATGACCCAAGTGAAACCCCCAATAACCGAGAGGTGCACTTTAAGAAATATGGTCGCCTCTATCTAGATTCCTTATACATCGTGCCTAAAAAGACAGCTTGTGTTAACATTCTTCCACTGTAAAGATATCAGAGCATAGTTCGCAGCTATATATTCACGGTTGAAAGAAGATTTGAAAGCGCCTGGCAAGAATGAAAAGGACATGGAAAAAAAGACTGATAGACAGACTGATTAAAAGCGTATGGAGAATGCTGGTGTTGTAACGTGTAGCCAAGGATTCCAGACAGAGGGTTCATAAATACATATTATAACAAATCTAATTCGATCCTTATTGATTTATCTGTACTAATCCTCTTGATTTATACAACGTCTTTAACGCCTTCCGACCAAATAAATGTGTTCCTGGAAGTGTAAACATCGGCACAATCTGTGTATATGTATATCATGCAAATCGCCTTCGAACCGACATCCATGATGCATAAAACACTTGCGTTTCTGTCGCGATAGGATCTGCAATAGAGTATTCTTTTGATTAGCCCAACTTTTCTCCTTTTCCTTGTTCCCTTGGCTTTCTTTTGGGTGATTTTACGCGTTTGATAATATTCAAACTGCTGTCTTTGCAGTCCTTCTTCAAGCAATAATTCAAGGTTTTGGTCGTGTTGTGGTGTCTGATAACGTATGAAATTAAGAGGCGAGAAGGAGGTCGATCCAGAGGGCGAAGGAGATAGAGGAAGTACTAAGACGGACCAAAATCAATGGTCGGCTCAAAAGTGCTTTGCATAGAGCCTGGGCATAGCTTACGTAGATTTGCCGACGACCGTCTTAGACTCGACGGTCGAGCCTTCCAAGCAGAATACAGTAGTGGTCCCAATGTGATAAGTAGGGTGATCAGCGCAATAAGAGCTTCAGTGGACAACGCCATCGATATTTATATATCTAACAAGCAGTGTAAGCGATGAAGTAAAAAATAGTAATGCAAAGTGTTTTGAATTTAGGGAAAAGACCCTTTTCACGTAGGAAAGAGAGCAGTTAAATACATTTATCTATATAGGTCACCGCTAAATGGAAAGAAACCGGCCCGGACATAGTTTATTATGAACATTAACCAGACTCGTCGGAAAATAAATTGACTGTTCTCGTTGAAAACTATTCTCGTTGCAAAAAAGTGCCACTTGTTCTTATGTATCGGTGTGATGATCAATGTGATTGACGAGTGACACAAACTGATTGACCAATGACTGCCAAACAGCAAAAGGGGCAGTGTCGGCAGTGTCCGCAGCCTCAAAACTTTAGCCTCATCTCCCTCTATCTGTCCCATCTCCCTCCATCATTTCCCTCCATCTCCCTCCATCATTTCCCTCCATCTCCCTCCATCATTTCCCTCCATCTCCCTCCATCATTTCCCTCCATCTCCCTCCATCATTTCCCTCCATCTCCCTCCATCATTTCCCTCCATCTCCCTCCATCATTTCCCTCCATCTGCCCCATCTCCCTCCATCATTTCCCTCCATCTCTCCCTCCATCATCTTCCTCCATCTGTCCCATCTCTCCCTATTTGTTCATATTTTCAACAAGGAGCGTGAGCGATTAGCTAGGAGGTAAAAGCAATGAAGAAAGTAGTGCAAACTATTTTGGTTTTAGAAAAAAAGACCTTGCACGCAGGAAAGACGGTATTTTAGTACGTCTAGACAGGTGGAAGATCAAGATTAAGGTCCACGTCCAACTATGCAGCTTTGCCACTTCCACTTAGAGAAAGAACAACAACGACTTGCTATGCTAAAGTGTAGCCAGGCAACCTGTGGGGATGGTGGGTCCCGAGATCGAACAGATTGACTTGCCAAATGTTTGGCCCGGATTTACATTATTGGTCAGATAATGGACATTGGAGAGAGCAAAGGAGAAGAGCTTCGGTGGATCCGGTCTAAGATGCTAAGGAATAGAAAATAAGAAATTTATATATGCACGCAGTAGAAATGCGCCTAAATTGGCTTTACCAAAAAGTTTGCGTATTTTTATTTTAGCGGAAAAATAAGTGGTTGTTTTTTTCACGCATTATACAAGTAATCCTCGATTGAAGGCAATAATCGTATTGCTTGGCCCTTGTAGATTATCTTTTTCTTGGCCCTAGGCCATAGTCACAGCTTGCCATCCTCCAATTATGTCCCCCTTTCGCGGACCAGTAAAATGCCGATACTGAAAGCTCCGTTAAAGGAACAACGTCCTGTGGTCTTTGAGATTGGCCTCTAGAGTCATCATCACCTAGCACCTGAGCAGACCTAAAGTTCATTCCTTCACTCACCTTGCTTATATCTTACTTATAAATACTCTGCACTGCATCAAGACTGATAAATGGTATATAGATCACATTCCATGTTTCCAAAAAGGTATCATGTGCCAAACCACGAACACCGAAAAAGGTGATGATATAAACTATACTATGAAAAGAAGAAAGATGACGGGCAACGACCCGCAATTCCAAAGGATCATCACGGACGTGAGGACCGAAAAGGGAAATGAGAACAAGAACAGCCAAACACTTGCAACACCAACTATGCAACCGCTTGGTGCTCTGAACACCTATACGAGGAAGAGGAACGCCGGCAGCACGTTCTGAAGGCAAAACACCAACTGACAAACACCCACCGCGCTCAAAAATGGGAAATGGATATGACAAAAATTGACAAAGTAAATGGAGATGCGTTATCGTTAGATGGATATAGATCGGATCGGATCAGATCGGTAAATGCTAGGAGATTATGAGGGAGCGTCTGGCATCAGCGCGTCACTGTCATTGCCCAAGGGCATGGATGGCGGGGGAACGGAGAAGGGTTTTCGGCGCCGAGGAGGCTCTGATATATCGATGTCGTCAACAGAGCTGATAGCAGGGGTACTGGAGGCGCTCTCGATGGCGGTATCATCGTAATCTTCTGGTGGAGGGGAGAAGGACCAGACCTGCGATGGATTAGTAAAGTGTGATTGATTGTTCCCGTACTGGGAGATAACATACCTCCATAAAGGTGCGGCCGGCGCGGCTCGCCATGATAACAGCCTTTTCGTCCTCGAAGGCAACTCTCCACACGGCCTCGGCGGTAGTGGAAAGTTCGCGCAGTAGATGGCCGGTCTGCAGGTTCCAAACCTTGACACGGCCATCACTGCCACCACTAACAATGCGAGTCTTGTCGAATTGAAGACTAGTGACGCTGTTATCATGGGCCGCGAGACGATGAATGGGAGCCATCTTGGTCAACGACCAGACTCGGACGGAGCCATCCGAGCCACCCGTTACCAGCGTATCATCCCGCATCTGTAATTGTCCAACCAGGGACGTATGGCCTTGAAGAATGGCATGGCATTGACCAGAGTGCGGATCCCAGATCCGAACGCTGGTATCCAAGCTGCCTGTCGCGATCCGTCGGCCATCAAAGGCAATGGCGTAGATCTGGCTAAAGTGGCCGGAGAGCGTGCGCAGACAGCGTCCTTGGGAGATACTCCATATCCGCGCTGTGGTGTCGTAACTACCTGAAACGACAAGATCGCCGTGGATAGCAAGACACCGGACGCTGGCTTGGTGTCCGACGAGAACGTTGCGACAGGTTCCAGAGGCAAGATCCCAGATGCGGAGGGTTGCGTCTCGAGATCCTGAGATGGCAGTGTTGCGATCGGACATCTTTAGACAACGGACCGTTGATGTGTGGCCTCGAAGAAGATGGATCCCGGTGCTGTCAGGTGTTAGTTAGTGGCTCCAATAAGTTATGGAGGTTGCATCATACCCAGTAGCCATATTCCATACTCGAACTTCGCGATCGCAGCCTCCGCTGACTAAAACGTCATCCCATGGGACCATCGCCCATACTCCCATTACATGTCCCAGCAGGGTCTTTTGGTTGTCCCCGTTGGTATCATATACATGAATCTTCGCGTTATCCAAGGCCACCACGATGTACTTCGGAGTGAGGTGAAGACTTGTTACCACACCCTGATCAGGGGTGATGTGGCGCTGGGTGCAGCGACCGCCTTTATTCCACGCCGACTCAACCATGAATTTCTGCTTGAACTGTGAGCGGTAAGAGACGGGTCGAGCTCGGCGTCTTCGGGAGGGAAAACTAGTGGGAGGCAACCATTCTCCAGAGAGAGTGCGGGGTAGCTCTGGTGCACTCTCCGTAGACTGCCCATTTGACGCGGTCAAGCGCCGCTGCAGACCGCTGAAGGTGCGTGCGCCGAAGGCCGAGTCCACGGGATGGGCGGTGAAGGGGTCAACGAGATCCCCCTCGTCTTCTAGGACCCGACGCACCGAGTATGCGTGTTTCTCGCATAGATTCTTCCATGTGATGTCATCGTTTAATAGTTCTCGCCAACGTCTTGATACCTGCGAGGCCCTGGCGAGGGTTTTGGGGTCGTCGATAAAGGAGAGAACCTAAGTAGATTTGAACATTAGTATCTGAATCGTAAGAGTTGACTAAAACGGCATACCCTTAAACATAATTCATTAGGAAAAACCTGAAATGGATCTTTCCTCAATCGAGGACCAACGTAACTCGAGACAAAGCTCAACTGCTGGCTGTCGCATACATCCAAAAGACCCTCCAGGAGTCTCTGTTTTCGGGCGTTTGATAGTGTACTGAAGTGAAGGCGAAGGTTCAACAGGAAGCTATTCTCTTCATCGTCGGTAATATGCCAATTCGGAGGTCTTTGGTGAGGCGTTGGACTGGGCGCAGGTGTCGGAGGTGATGCGGGCGCTGAAGGCAGTAGGTTGGCGGGTAAGGGAGTACCGGCTTTCTTGGTACTGAGAGATCTGGATGGTGTGGTGGTGAATGAGGTGATGGAGTCGTGAGAGGGTTGATTATGGGTATCCAAGTGTTCCGATATATGCGCATTCAGCTCATTTCTCATGTCGCTGAATGATGCCCGATGGGAATCCATGGCGACTGAACAAGGGGGAAGACCGCCACCACTGAATATAATCCTCCCACTCGAAGATTTTATCAATGCGACGCACTAGATTTGGGGTTTGGGATACCAAGTCGGCATAGAGTGAGCATAGAGTTGAATAGTATGAATGTGTTTGAAGAGAGAGGCTGGCCGAGGGAAGGGGAGGGTGAGACCAAAAACTCTCGGAAGGTATCGCGATCGTATATCCCCTTTTGTTCTATACAACCTCTTTTCCTTGGCTTTCCTTGTTGAATCCAACTTCCAATGAAAAGAAAGAAAAAATTAGAACAAAATGGAGAAAAGGGACATTCCAAGCGGAGAAGATGTCGTGACCGTCTCTGACAAAGCCGCCAAGCTCTTCTCCGGACTCGATCCGATTTACTTCAAATGCATTCGGAGATCGTCCCTTTTCTTTTCCTTTCATTCATATACATTTGTAGTCTGCTTTCTTCTTTCTTCTTTTTTTGCCTTTAAGTTTTGCCTTCGAAATCACGGGATAATGAAACTTCGCTTATTGGCAAAGAGGCAAACGGGAAACATGAAGGCGTTAAAATGGCCAGGGTTGCGGAGAAGGCGCTGTAATCCGAGACAAGGCCAATGTCCATTGACGATCACCCGCCAGGGCACATTTAGTTATTCGCAAACAGAAGGCAACTTTTTAGTCCCACTGGATGAACATGCGGCTCGCAATTCTCGACCATGGGACAATTCCGGGGATTCGATGATTCAGACTTACGATTTCCGAGGTCGGGAGACTGACGAAAGTTGTCATCACCAGACTTTGTGATCGCCTTGGGGTCATCTGGTCCTTAAATAGTGAGCAAGTGACGCTACGTAGATGTGATCGTGAAATATCATGCAATTATGACCACAAGTCATCCCCAAAAGCGCATTCTTCAGTTATACATCTGAAACAATATTCCCCTAACTTCAATCTGTCTTAGCTAAAAATCTCCAAACTATATGTGGCAACAAATGGGTATAGGCCCAACTTCTACTGCGAAAAAAGAAATGTAGTGCGCTGCTCAGTGAGCATGCCCAATCTGCAAAAACAATGGCAGTATCATACCCAGCACAGATGCAATCAAGTCCCTCATGGACTTGTCCGATCCATCCTGGTCTCGGTCACCGTATCCGTTGACAGGCAGTTCACGCGATGACGAACCGGGTCCGTTTTCCTGCATCGTGTGCATCGCAACATACCTGAACGGGTCAATTGAAAGGAATCTTGGTATAAACCACGAGAGGGGAACTCACAAAAAAGTACCACCTGAGAAAAGGAGAAGCATCCCAGTCCGCCACAGAGTACCTGCCTCATCGGCGCTGGAAGATCCCATCATCTGTACAAAGAGGAAAGTGGCCAAGGCACCCAGAGGAGCCGCAAGACTGAACACCAGCAAATGCGCCCTTGCGGTGCGACTCGACAACCCCTGTTTGAGCAGAATGGACGTAAGTCCAAAAGACGCTGGTGCCTTGTGCACCATAATCGCCAAGAAAATGATGAAACTCAGCCCGGTATCCGAACTGGAAGCTCCAAGAGCGATACCATCTGCCGCAGCGTGAATGACCAGACCGGTCGTGGTCGCAAAGCTGTGTCCACGTCGCGAGTGGTTTGTATCCAGTAGACCTCCCTCGCGTGAGGGCGATGAGCCCCGTCGCAATCCGGACCCAAGATTATCCAGGGAGATATGGTAGGGGATGCGGTCGATTTTAGTAGGTGCCGCGAATTCGGGAAGCTTGTCGACAAGGTACATCAGGATGAAGCCGCTGACGAGGGCGACTCCGATCCACGCATGCGGGGAACTCTTTTCGTCTTCATGGGTTGTTTGCTTGCCTGACTTCTCGCTCGACGAGTCGTCGCTCCGAACGTAGAGTGTTTGCAATTTGTAGAGTTGGTCTCTCTCCAAAAGCGGACGCGGGACAGGGGTATCGGAGGATAGGATTGAGGCGGTATTCTCGTTCGAGTCAATTGCAGCCACTGTCGGTGCCTGGTACTGCCAATTGACGTTTGTAGCTCGATTGTTTAGTTGTTTGCGACTGAGGGAGTTCGCGCTGTAGAGGGTTTCGATACCCTCGGGGATGATCACGATCAACGATGTCCCCACCAAAACGCCCATGCCAATGGACGAAATTAAGCGCAGTTGAGAGGGAGTGAGTTTGAAGGCAAGAGGTAACGAGCCGACGACAAAAGATCTGTAAACGTAAATCAGAAGATTAGCCTAGCTCAAATTGAGGCAACTTCCAAAGCTAGAGAGGTAACTCACGTAACTGCCATCACAATGCTCAGAGCGAGCAGTGTGAATAGTCCCTCCATATTGATGAGCTTGGTGATTTACACTACAAAACCTCAATCATGGTGCCACAGGGCAGAATCAAGAATCGGAGGTTGCGTAAGAGGCCAAGGTGTGTCGGAGGATCTGGGTCGGGACCCACGTTCAGGTACCGCTTTCAATCAAAACATACCAGTCTCTACTATATAACATCACAACATCCCAAGGGATTATTCCTAAAACCCTTGCAAGGTAGGATATTCATAGAAATTGGTCTCGAACATGTTGTCGAACAAGTCAAGTTACATTCAGCAGGGCTGAAGGGCTGAACGGCTGCAGGTACAACCTATAACCTTGCATGCTAAATATTACAATGTTCCTTTATCCCTTTCAACTAATTCTGCTGCTGGCCTTCTTCTGTTATGCTCTATACCTACATTGGCCAATCAAAGAAAATTACAAAGTTCCATTCGTTTCATTCATATTATGCTAGGCCCTCAAAATTGCGCAAATTTTTGATTAACGGAGAAACGATGGTGTCGAAGATACGCTCCTCGAATTTGTTCTCGAGACAAAGAGCAGACCAAGACAAGCAGCTATTGACCACATCGGCATAGTTCGTCCCACTCTCCATGTATACCATGTTGACAAGCCATGACGCGGTCTTGAGATTGGTCACCAGTGTCTCCTGATTCCCATCCTCCATATCCAACAATGTGTGGAGAGACTTTCCAAGAGACAGTTCCACCAGCGCAAGCCCCAGCGGCAATAGACGATTATCCCCGAAACTGGAATACTTAGTATCATTGCGAGGCCCGGGTATTGTGCTCGTGGTGGAAATAGGCCATGATAGATATAGATTGTCCAATAGTACATTGGCACCATCGTCGCTTGTAGCGGCCAGGTAGACATCGGAGATGTCCCACCATGATTTCAACCAATTACCACGAAATTGGATCATACCACATGCTAGAGCAGTAGCAATATGAAGGCGGTCCCGTCGACTTATATGTGATAGTACCTCGCGGAGAGGTTTTTGTGGAATGCATTTTGGAAGTATCTTCATGGCATGCATGGTGTATTTGACAGAGGCATTTAGGTCATTCGAAATGGAACCTATGCTTTCCCGTCGCTCGGCATATGATTCGGCGGCGCAAAGAGACGAACAAAAGTCTTGGATCGGTGAAACACATAGAGCCTCTCGACGTTTATCTGATGTCCGTGCTTCCTCCACGGGAGGGATATCAAACTGAACCTTAGGCTTCTTCTGGTGATAGGAAATGGAATCATCATGCCGAGAGCGACTAGCAACTTTTACTATCTCTTCAACCTGCCAAGGCTCAAACATCACTTCTGTCCAAGTCCATAGGCACGTTGAATCCGCTTCCTTGGTATTAGAAAAGATCATTCGAAATTGGGATCCGGCGTCGAAGTCGCCGTCCGGGTACTCTTCAATACTCTGTAAGGAGTTTATTTGCAGCTGGAGGTGGACGCAATGGTGCTTCTTGCACTGACAGCGCCAGTAGCTTCCTCCAATGACTGCTTTAAACAGTCCCTCAGCATGCTTGCGCGCCTTTTGATACCGTTCCAGAAGATAGCTCCAGCTCCGTCTCCTCTTCTTGGTATCTTCTAAATGGAATGACTGTTCGACCAGAGTCTTGAGGATTGTATTGGTTCCGCCAATTTTCACAAGGAGATCGTCATAGACTGCCTTGCTGAGGATCTTTCGAAATTTCCACATACTCCAGGCTTCGGTGACGGGAGTCTGTTGAAAAAATACATTGGTAAAAGGCTAACTAGACGGTTATTAAAAATGTCAACTACTGACCTTGATGTCAGTTGCGCCAATTTCTAGCTTATGCGCTAGTTGTTCCAGCAACTCAGAGAGACCAGCCATATTACCCATGAAGACCTCGTAATTTCGGTCCAGCTTCCAGCGTAGTCGTTTCTGCAAGTCCGGGCTCTTCCATCCCTCGCCCTGTGGATCAGAGATCAGCTCAGAGACTTGATCCTCATCGTCCACGACCCCTTCTAAGGCCTCTTCCAGTGTGTTCATCAAAATCGTATGCTGTGTACGGAGGCCCGTTGAATAGCCTTGAAACTCCCGTCGGTAGCGCCTCAGGCCTTTGATTTTTTCTATGCCGCGGACGTAAGCATCGATCTGGTTCACAAAGAGCGGTAGAATCGCGAGAGCGAGCCCTGCAGCCTCGATACCAGTGACCATATCCGGTTCTTATTTTCCGAGTCTAGGCTTGTGAATGAGAAATGGGGTTTAGCTGGACGGTGCGGCTTACACCACCAGTGAATATACCCCGCACTAGAGCTGCAATGGAAGATTACACAAAATCTACTTCTTAGCAAATATCTCGCACCCGTATAATGCCAGAAGACTTGCAGCTTCATAAATCACCGCATAATGGTAGCAATATCGGAGCTGTTGCAGGGCTGTCTTGCCCAGTTTCTCTCATTAATCAACTCAGGCGCGCTGTCCGATCATATCGAGGAGGTTCCACTGCAAGAGTGGACGGACGAACTGGGCCGACTTCGCGTGTGGGCAGCAAATATCGGTGCTCATCAGACCCGCCAGTCCTCGCTAGATTACCGTCTTAGGGATGCTTCGCATATCAGTAGTCAGATAGTGAGGCTCTTGGAGCAATTCCAGGAACTACTCACTGACCTCAAGGATGTGCTCGAGGAGAAAAGCGATGATGAAGCCGAAGATGATAAATTCAAAGGCTTGGGGGACTCAGAAAACGAGAACTTCACAGAGATCCAAGAAATTCACCAAGGCCTCGCCGAGACGATCAACCAACTCTACCAGATGTCCATGATCATCCGCAAGCCAGCAGAGCATGATCGTCTAGTCGGGACAAAAAAGTGGATTCCGAGCCCTTCCAATTCTGGGCTAAGCAGCATGTCTCCAATAAATATCCAAATGCAGATGCGCTAGCTATCGACCGCATCAGTTCCGCGATGGCGCGACAAAGGGCGATCTTAAAATACCGTGAACGACATCATGCAAAATTGAGTCAGGGCATAAATTCCGAGAGTGATAGTAAATCGGCTATACTATCAGAAACAGTTGTGACAGATGTGTTTAAGGAGGTACCTGGCCAATTCAGCGACATGGCCTCTGATGCTGGTGTATCTGAGACTTCGTACGGAGGTACCCTGCTCGAGGGCACTGATGCAGATGCCCCCAAAATACCACCTATACCAAAGATTGGCATAGAAAACAGACCCTTTGAATGTCCATACTGCTTTTACATTATCACGGTTCGAGACAGGAGAGCATGGGCGCGCCATATTTTCCGTGATCTGATGCCGTACGTCTGCATCTTTCCGGGATGCTCGGTGCCAAACAAGCTCTACGGGAGCCGCCGGCAATGGCATCATCATATCAAACAAACACACGCTACCGCCACAAGCACGGATAGTACATATGACTGCTCTATCTGCAGACAGTGCTCTCTTCCCGCTATCACATTTCAGCGACACGTGGGTAAACACTTGGAAGAGCTTGCGCTTTTTTTGCTACCACGAACAGACTCAGACGCAGATGAAAACAAAGTGACGGATGAGAATCTTACCATCATATCTACAAACATTCATACATTAGAACAGAGTGTCGAGCAGCGCAATGACATGGAAAATGTAGCAAGATCAGCCTCCGACTCCTATATCAGTGATGACAATTTACCATTGAAAGGGCCACGGATCAAAAACAAACATTACCCATCCTCAGTCGGAGCGAACTTGAGCGACAGAGAGTCCCTAGGAGATCTGGGGTCTGACGTGGAGGACAAAATGCGCGCCTCATCGTCCCCTTACAGTCGCGATTACGACCTCGATATGAGGGAGGATCTAGAGTATGAGGAAGAGAAGGCTAAATTGTCCATCCCGGAGGCCGGCAATACATATGAGGTTACTTTTTCAGGTCATAATAGCGGCATACAGATCGGCTATAAAACGGATACTATCAATTGGAACGGCAGTCGCACGTAAAGGAGGGCCACCTATCGGATATGTCTACAGGATGTGAATCGAAATGCCATCATAAGAACCTTCTCAGCGTCGGGCGTTCGCTTGTGATTTATTTTGTGTTCTTCGGTGCGCTTTGGATCTTCCTTCATGAAGAAGTTGTGGTTTATAGCTATAATGTAGTTTACAGTGTCATGCACTAGACTTAAACTTCAATTCTGTCCTTTGATCTCTATCGAGCCGCCTCTTTCACTCGCTGATATAAGTAAGAACCTACTTGAGACTCGAATTTGTCAACCAAAGATGGGACTCGTTTCATAAGAGAATGTCCCATAATAGAAGAGCCATCTGACTCTTTTCGCTTCTAGGGGTGATGCTTCATCGATATTTGACACGAATAGGAGGCATAATTGACGACCCCTGGACCTGCATTACTTGGATGGCTAGTCCAGAGAACAGGGCTACCAGCTTAAGAGTCTTGTGGCGAAGAGGGCTGTAGCTTAGGAAGAGGCCGTTTAAAATCAACTGCAGGAAAGGTTGAGGGAGCTTGAAAGGATGAAGGAGGAAGAGGAGCATGAAAGGATCAATCAGGAGATTCGAGACGAACACACGCGAAGTGCGCGGGTGGCCGAGAAGAGGAAGGAGCTCTCTATGAAGGCCTCTGCCATTGAGGAGTGGCAGCAGCATGAAACGGAGCGCACCAAGCAGAAAAAGGAGCAAGCCGGGAAGAAAAATAAGGAGGTCTTTGAGCAGTTGTATACCTTGGGGTATACGGAGAAAGAAGTCGAGAAGATACTACTCCACAGAAAACGTAATGGACAAGAAGGAGAAGAAAAGCACAAGGAGCATGCAATGGAAGGGAAAAAGACAACTTGGATCAAGGTACGAAGCACCATCTGCCCATCGAATGAGGGTTTTCATTAACACTCACTCCCAGGTCCATCGCAAGCACCTGCTTCCTGAAACCTTGATCGCCTTCAACCTTCCCTGGGACTGGGACGAAGTAAGCCTTATCCTAGCTATTCCTCGATGTGGCCAGTGCTGACCTACTTCCCCCTACCAGCGTGACACCGACTACATCATTATCAAGCAATGGGTCGACGAGGACTTGCAAGAAGATATATTTGCCCACACCCGTCGCGTAATCAAGGGCAAGCTCGACGGCCAGACTTCCAGGCCAACCACCGGACGCAAGTTCGATGACCGGATGTATCTCGTGCGGAAAAAGAGCCCTAACCGTGAAAGGTTACTCGAAACCTTGGAAGATCATAGGTGATAAGTTTATAGAGCCGAGGTTGGGGCGAAGAAACTTCATATATCTAGATTTATGAAATCCGACTCAAAACAATATCACTAACTCATCCATCTTGTGTATGTATGCATACAATCATTTGAGTTATAGAACTCGGTTTCGTTCAAGCCACTTGAGCCACCGGTCGGGTCCACCTCATACTAATAACAATTACAGCAAAGTCGATCTAAGTACCCATACAATGCTCGAATTTTGGCAAACATTACATATAAACATATATACCCCGCGATCCTTATCGCATTCAACTCAAATCTCGGAGTCGCGACTAGCGTGCCTCCTTTGGCAGTCGGAATCCCATATACGGCAAATAACGCGATGGATGCCAGTAGACGAAAAGTGCGACACACGGATAAATGCAAAGGGCATCAAAGACATACAGGGGCCATTCATTCGTGTTCAAATATCCCGTCGTGCCTTGTGTGAACTCAACAAGTCGATAAACGGACCGAACCTGGAAAGGTCAGCGCTTGAATAATGACTAACAGCAACTAATTATAGGGAAACTGACAAGGATCAGGATAGTAGTGATATTTACCACTCGTAACAGGGTAGGCCAGTGCTTGTTTTTGGCAACACCGCCAATGATATGCTCCTTCTCTCCAAAGCTCTCATAACGCTCACTGACAGAGTTGGTAAAGCGCTGAGAGGTAAAGTTGAAGCGAATAGCAGCAACAGCGAATAAACCGAAAGCCACCAGCTGAACAATGACACCAATCTGGGCAACGTGTTTGCCAGTGTTGAGCTTGTCTCTAGCATCTTTATCTGTGTCATCGACCGAAGTGATCATAATCGCACCGCCCATTTGGAGCAACAAAGCGACGACATCAAACCCGACAAAGATAGGTGTAATAAACCGGGGCGGCACCCAGCATAGTTTGAAAGTTCGTGATTGTCGGGGAACAATCAAAAACAAGATGCGGCTGAAGATGATGTAGCAACAAGCCGCCATGAGAACGGGTGCAAGGATGACAAGACCGAACTGTACAGAATAGGTCGACTTGTCTGTTACTTTCTCGACTGAAAGGCATCGACTGATCCAGCCAGCTGCTTCCACTATTTCTTGGGTTAATTTCAACACAAAGTTTGGAAGGATAGAAACCTACTGGCTGCTGATACCACCATGATGCCCCAAATCCAAGCCCTATATCGAACCCATTGCACAAGCGTCAAAATGAACGCAATAGTATATAGTACGGCGGCAACTATTGCTGGTGCCAAGGAAGGGTTATAGCGATAATAAGATGCATGCACTGTGGCACGTTCAATTAAACCCATTTTCAAGATATCCTATATAAACCGCTAAGATGACCAAATTTAAATTCTTCTAAATCTCTCAGGATGTCTCCACCTTTATAAACTTGGAAAAGTCGGCCTAACAAAAGCCGATTACCGATTGCGTGGCGGAGCTCTGGTCTTCGTTTAAGTGCTGGGCATTTCCATATCAATCTTGGCGTCGAAAAACACGAAAGCTCAACCTCGCAGACTGGTTCAGGTTCATCGACGATGATATTTAGGCTCATCTACTTGGAAGGTTTCAGGCACTAGCGAAACAAATCGATTTTCAGGAGTTCATGGCTTTACCAAGTATAGTTTAAACAATAAACGATACACGATGAAACATACACTCGGTTAGGAATGGTCAATGCCAAGGCCCATCGGTCCAATTGTCTTCCCGTGTGATAGTGGAGTCTTGGCCCCCGGAGTCATTTCTACTGATCTCTGACAACGAATTCCTTGCCTATTTAGAAAATATGATACAGTCATACATAGACCATGCCTTTTTACGGTCGTCCCAGCAAAGGATGTTCGAGTTGCCGAGAAAGACGAATCAAAGTAAGTGGTTTGATTTGAATATTCGAGTATAGGCTGACAGTCAAGGTAGTGTGACCGTCTCGAGCCTCTGTGCTCTCAATGCAAGAGAGCGGGCAAAGCATGTGGCGGCTACCGGGATGTACCTTCTTTTATGTTCCGAAATGAAAATGAGAAGGCGGCCCGACGAAGTGCTGAAGCGAAGGCCAGGTCAGAAGCTCGTCGAAGATTGGAGGACGGAATAGCTCTAGACTCTGATATATCCACACCTGGATCGCGAGCCGAGCGTTCCCCGTCGGAGGCGTTGGTATGCAGGGGTAGGGGCCAACTGTCTCGCAGCCCAAGCATTCTCACCCTATCCACCCCATTGGAGGATCAAGGCCTACAATTCTTTATCAATCAATTTGTGACGCCGATGGCTGTGAGGAGAGATGGTACCATGCATGTAAGTAGTGTGCAGCCGTCCTCTTATTTTGGACCAATTACACTCGATCGGTCAAGTCGAGATGCCGTTGTCTCGGTTGGACTTGCTGCCATGTCCAATGTCAACCGCGATAGGGAATTGCGAATATTATCGCGAGAGAAGCACGTCCTAGCCATCAAGGCTGTGCAAGAAGCGGTGGGGGACCCGGCTCAGGCTAATCCAGATAGAATGTTCCATTTGATTGTCATGCTAAGCCTATACGAGGTACGTTCTTCGGCCCATGACTAGTGCTTGCGTCCCCAAAGCTCGGACTGACTTAATGCAATTTACTTCCAGATGGTGAGCTGTGCTCCAAACCAGCTTGATTCTTGGGCAGTCCACCTAGATGGCGCCGGTGCTTTACTCAAGCAAGCAACCGTGCTCAAATTTCTCGCGACCTTGAATCATCGGGCGCAATTGCAATTCTACTTTGTTTTCATAGTCAAATATTTCTCCAATACGAGCACTCCACCAGATTCATTGAACTGGTCTCCTGATGTCATGGGATCTGTGCCCCTGGAGCTGTTACCAGCCGTCAATCTTGTGGACATATTGATCAGATTCATGCATTTCGATGCGTCTTTGCGCCAGCAAAGTTCAAATTCAAGATCAATCATCGATTCCGCGTTAATGTTCGAGGACGAACTCCGCAAGTGGGAAGCTAGCCTACCAGAGAGCTGGACCTTCAGCGTCCAAGAATCGGACACATACCAGGGTACCTTTTACGGCAAATACCATGTTTACAAGGATCCATGGGTCTCGAGAATATTCAACCACTACCGCTGGGCACGACTACTAGCTAATGAGATCATTTTATCCACAATTTCGAGCCTGAGAAGGCCCACACCAGAAGAGCTAATCCAACGACAAAACTCATTGGAGACGATTTCTTGCATGGCACTTAAAATATGCATGGGAGTAGCAAGCCATGAGGCAATCTCCCAGCGAGGCCTTGCCACCGATGACCCATCGCATGTCCCGCCGCTGAACGGGATCTTCATGATGCTGTTCCCATTAGCAGTCGCCGGAGGGGCGGCCGGGATCCCAGACCATGTGCATGACTGGGTGATTGGAACACTTGAGCAAATAGGACGCTCTATGGGGATTCAGCGAGCTATAGGAATGATAGCCCGGGTGAAGAAGTCGCATGGAAAATGGAAAGAAGACCAGGCGCGATGGCAGGAAATGCATACGTTCCAGAAAGTTAGCAGTTAGATACCAGTCGATCAAAGTCAGAAATCAGCGATTATAGAGCCACTTAATTTTCACTTCACTACGATCTCACAGCTCATGCTGCCACCTTCTACTAAGATATCTTTCGATCGTCAGCGTGTTAGCCCTGGATTGCTATAGTACTCTGTCCGCGCTAGTCCAGATTAGGTAATACTCGGGCGCGTCTCACTTCGCGTCACTCGAGACCTTGGAACTTCCCTAAGACCATTTGACCTTCAAATTTCACAGCTACACTTTCAAAATGGCGAGCGAAGCTGGATGTAAGCTTATGCAAGCTCATCGTCTTTGGCTGATTGGATGAAAGCTAATTGATATGCACTTTAGGGTCTTGCGACGCCAATGATGCGGTTCACATCACCGTTGTCCAACCGGGCGACAAAAAGCCCAAGACGCTCTCGGCGTTCCATCCCCAATTCACGTACCCCATCTTTGGTGATGAGGAACAGATCTTCGGCTACAGGGGTTTGATTATCCGCTTGCGCTTTGCAGCCCATGATATGCGCCCTCATGTTCACATTTCCTATGATGAGAAGTTCAAGACGATCGGTGACACAACTGCTCTCAACCTTCTCGATACGTTGAAGCCATTTGTACAAGAAGGTGAGATCCTAAATTTGCAATTTGAATGATACAAGCTAAATCCGGATTTGCGCAGAGGCTTTCGCCAATCTTCCTGACTACGAGAAAGCCATCCAGGACGACCCAGATGCGAAAGACTTCAAGCCCCCGGGTGAATTTGTCATTGGGTATGAGGTTGATGATAGGAAATATGAAGTCTGGGCTGGATCACTCTCAGACCCTGCAGTGCGCAAGATCCTGGATCGCATGCAGGTTCTGGTTTCTCTTTTCATTGAGGCCGGAACTCCCTTAGAGACCGATGACCCAGAATGGACGCTCGATAGGTGGATGGTATACTTTGTGTAAGCGATGCCTAAATGTATTGGTGCGATATCAAACTAAATGATGTTACAGGTATGAGAAGGTGACACCTCCGACCCCGACGGCGTCGTCATATTCGATCGTTGGATATGCCACCACATACCGCTACTGGTACTACCATCGGGATCAATCTCAGACTCCTACCGTCAAAAACGACGAGTTCCCGGTACCAGAAGTGAACATTGCCGAGCTTCCAGCCCGGATTCGGATCGCCCAATTTCTCATTCTCCCTTCACACCACCGCGCCGGCCACGGAACTCACCTATATACCACAATCCACGCCGCCTGCATCGCAGACCCAACGATTCTGGAACTCACCGTCGAAGATCCTAATGAACAATTTGATGCGCTCCGCGACACAGCTGATTATTGTCTACTGCGACCAGAGTTCCTAAAGCACAATGTGAACCTCAACCATGACCCCAACGGAGCGTATTCTCAAAGAAAACGCTCTCGCAATGTTCCCACATCCGCCCTCATCCCTACCAAGCTCCTCTCCGACATTCGCAAATCCTTCAAAGTCGAACCCACCCAATTCGCACACATCCTGGAGATGTACCTTCTCGGACAGATCCCCAAGAGCCATCGATCGGCCGGTGGCACCAATCTCGCGCGGCTCTTGATCAAAAAGTATAAAGCGGACAATGAGGAAGACCGGCGCTATTACTGGTGGCGCATGTTGACCAAGCAGCGTCTCTATAAAAAGCATAAAGAGCTTCTCAGCGAATTGGAGCTCACGGACCGGGTGGAAAAGCTCGACGCCACCGTTCAAAATGTGGAGGAAGGTTACGAAATTACATTGGATGCGCTCGAGGGCCGTCTCCCGGATGGAGAATCAGACGAGGAGGCAGAGGCTAATGACGAGGCCGCCAAGGTTCCTACTGGAAGCCGGGACAAGCGCGTGAAGCGTAAGCTCACTGTTGAAGATGATGAGGATGAGGAGGATGGCACAGAAATGGCCAAGCGACCAAAGGTTTGATCCTGTTGCCAACTCACCTGTACTATGTAATCTATCTTCGGGGCATGCTGGATGGAGAAATTGAGCCTTTGTTTTACCCATATTGTTGACTTTGAATCAAAGATTGGTATATTCTTAGACGTCAATATCATGTTAGAACTAGCTGGCTCTGTCGCATGATTCTTCTGGTCTTGAACACAAATTTGATACAAATTTGATACAACTGTTGAGGTCACTAAAAGGACCAGCCGATATCCAAGTCATATTGTACCGCGTTAGCATGTACTTAGCTGCTGGGTACTCACCCTGAACATTGCTTTTTATCGGGCTTTGGGTAATTTCAGGAGAATTATAACAACATACTAGCAGAAAGGTATAAAAGACCTCTCCAGAATGTACTACAGACTCGTAGATGTATAACTCGGCCAATCCACATTTGGCCTCGGCGCTTCCCTTTTTCCGGCTTCCTCATCGCATCTGCTGGAGCTTGCTTGAACCCATTGCTACTCTTAGCATCTCAAATAAACAAAAAAAGTCCTTCGATTAGGGTCTCAATCCTCGATTCTATCTTTAATTCCCAGATTGTGGATATACGCTACGCCCGCATTCTTTCAACGTTGTGCGCCAACCGACTGACCCTCCCACCTTCGCCCACCTCGCCGATCGCATTTCAAGATGGTGAGCTCTAGCTTTATAGCTATGTCCATACCCCTAAGCCTGAAGCAATATTAATCCAAACTTCCCACAGCTGCCTCTCGGTCTTCTCACAGCCGCACAGGGCCACCCTATGCTGGTAGAGCTCAAAAACGGCGAAACACTGAACGGCCACCTCGTGACCTGCGATAACTTCATGAACCTGATTCTGCGCGAAGTAGTGCAGACAAGTCCCGAAGGCGACCGCTTCTTCAGACTACCGGAAGTCTACATCCGGGGCAACAACGTAAGCCCTTGACTCAGATCTCGAGCCCCGCTCTGTCGCCAATATATATACTAACAGTACCAGATTAAATACCTACGAGTGCCCGAAGAGATTGTCGATATTGTCAAGGAACAGCAACAGAACCAACCACAAGGCCGTCGTGGCGGGCGAGACGGTGATCGTGGCCGCGGCCGTGGTGGTGGTCGCGGTGGACGCGGTGGTCGGGGCGGACGTGGACGGGGCGGTAATCAAGCATAAGCCTGTTACGATGATTTAAAGAAGGCAAATGAGATACCCCGAAGGAGACGGTAAGGTCGCTCGGAGGTCCGGTGGAACGGTTTGATCGAGCATGGCCGTGGCGTATCTGGCTCTGTAATTTCACGGGATCTGGGTCACTTGGTCGATTTACAGCTACCTTTTCAATTATACTGTTCAAACTCCCAGATCTAGCCTCTTTCTTTCTCTGTGAATGTAGACAAGTCTCGCGGCGGGATTTCGGTGATATCACGTGATATCAAATATTCCATCAAATCCGCGGAGACTAGCTTTAAAGCATTATACAACAACGGACATGTCGCGGCGGGCGTTAGTCCTCGACGGACTATGGTACTCTCTATGTCCGTCATTTGCAGCGCTGAATGTTGGACGCTCGAAATTCCCTAGATCCAAGGGACGAACCTCGAGAGTAAATCCGCTATCCTCGATCGCTCCGACAAGCTCGCCTGCACGCCATTGCTACAGCACAATTGGCGACAATACCAGAACCACATATAATGCACTATATCATAACGAGCGGAGAGATGGAACAGAGCCCGCGAATAATTATCACGACGACCCTCCGAACGATGGCTGGCCCGGGGAAGAGACAAACACGCGGAGCCCACGACGCCATTTGACACGAACACATAAAGTGCAAGCTGATCTTTTGGGAATGACGAACGAGAGATTAGAAGCACGACTACAAGATGTGGTGGACAGGAGGCCAAATATTCGACACATTACGCAGATTTTGCGACTACTCATTCGAGATCGCCATGTGCAGCCTAACGCCCGGCACTACAAAGCGCTGATTCTCGCCAATACGGATAATGAGCGCGGCTCGCCGCAGCTTGTGCGCGGGTTGCTGGAGGAAATGGAGAGCAATGGCATTACGGCAGACTCGGGTACCCTGCATGGTGCATTACAGGTTCGCAATCATCTCGAGCGTGGAAAGTTCAGCTGAGGCTAACGACTCAATATAGGTCCTCGCCGTGCACCCGGATTACCTCCTCCGGCAAGAAGTGCTCAACAAAATGCGAGACCGGTGGTTGACAGTCAGTCCAGCCGGGTGGCATTTTGTTGTTGCGGGACTTCTGCGCGAGAACCAAATTGAGCTCGCGCTCGAACACGTCGCATTGATGGAGCGCAAGGATATCTTCATTGAGAATTGGCTACACAGTATAATTGTCTACGTGCTTTGCGACCACGGCGAGTTGGACGAGGTGTACAAGCTCATGCGTGCTCGCGTCGACCACGGCCACGACATGACGAAACAGCTCTGGACACATGTGTTGACTACGGCGGGCGCTCATGACCATTACGCGATGGCTCACTATGTGTGGCGTCGCATGGTTGAACTGGGTTACATGCACCCGCTCTTTGGGGTATGCGATGACGTTCTGAGGATGGCGGCCAAGGCTGGTGACACAGAGCTGGCGAATTCTGTGCTGCGGTACATCACGGAGAGTGGGATTGCGCTGGGCCGCGAGCAGTATGAGCGGCTTGTTGAGGCGCACGTGGCAGCCGGTGACCTGCCTGCTGCGTTCGAGACCCTGTGCACTATGCATGAAACCCGGATCCCGCTAGTGGACAGTTCGACCGAGAGTGTTCTTGCGTACATGATTCAGTCTAAAGTGGATCGCCGGGAGGTGTGGCAGATGCTCAAACGTTTGAAGAACGAGAAACGGAGTATTCCCCTCGACTCTGTGCGCGTTATTGCCGAACTCTGCAAACATGATGCCCACGAGGATCCATCGGTGGTGGACGATGGCGTAGGGTTCTACAAAGAGCTCTACACATTATGTCCGGAAGGTGCGGACGTGCGAGTCTACAACGCGCTAATTCGGATGTGCCGCACAGCGCGGAACCGCGAATCAGGCATGTTTTTAGTGAAAGAGATGGCATCACTAGGCGTGATCCCGAACGGTACCACCTTTGAGTCCATCATCCTGATGTGTTTGGATGCCGGGAATTTCCGATCCGGGTACATGTATTTCCAAGATTTGGTGAAGCGGGAAGCGGCCTTGAGCGCCGAGACACAAAGCGAGATTCGGGCGATCTGTGCCGGGTCTGTGGACGAATTTGCGATGCGACTGCAGTATCACCCTTATGTCCGTGATGATGTGCTCCAACTTGATGAAAAGGTTCAAGAACAAAAGGAGAGAGAACCCAGAAATGAAAAATTCGGTCGCCACCCTGTGCCTCCGGAGGTTCGAAGGATGAACATGTCCGCCGAGGAAAGACGAGATTACAACAAAGAACGTCGGAAGCGGAAACGCCGCCTACTTGCTATTGAGCGAAATAGGGCAGAGGAGGGTTGGGATGAATGGGAGGTCGATAATGGATCAGCCAAGACCGAATGAAACTGGTTCATCCTTAGGAGTCGTTTCAATCACAATTTTTAATTCCCCATGCAGCCAAGCTTCGAGAGCTACAAGCCACATTTCCAGCTCAATATATCGCACAAATTTCGGTGTATATATATATATATATATATATTTGTACCATCAATGTCTCAATATACCACTTAGTTAACCATTGTACCTAGGTATGAATATATTTTGCCTCCCACGTCATTTGAAACCGTCGATTCCCTCGTATCGCCGTTTGAACTGTTGAAAATTCTGAACATTGTATGGAGTACCATGTTTCTACAATGGAAAACCGTTCCCCGGTTGGGTGGCCTCGATTATCAGCTATAAATAAGTCTCCACTTCTAACTGTACATGAAACATACTTTCCATGACGATCATGGGGGCCATTGTCGGATAGTAAGACTTTCAAGATAGGTCAAACAACGATCGATTCGAGAAGGAGGTAGGCAATTTATCAAGAACTCAACAGAACTTACTTGATATAGTATTTACAATGCACACATGTAAGCTACGTAGTTACATTCTTCAGAAATCGCCCTGAACAGATGTGATCGGCGGTGGATTACCGTGCCAGGGGACAACTGTGCAGGGAACAACTGGTAGGGGTCAACCGGTGCCTGCGCCTCTTGCTTTTCTATATAAAATTCCCCCAGCCTCTTTCTCTTTACTTTTTTAACAACCATTCCAATCTCAAAATATTTCACCATTCCACTATTTTACATATTCTGTATATTTGAATATCCAGAAAGCATAATCATTAATCCACATTATTCTACAATGCAACTCACCATTCCCCTCATGCTCGCCGGCTTAGCCACAGCCCTCCCCTCCGCCGCAAAAGTGAACACAATCAGCCCTGAAGTCATCTGGAGCGTGTCAAACTTCACAATTGGCTGCTCCCAAGGTGGCTGCATTTTCGAATATGACATTGCCGGCCGAGCAAACTCCGAAACCCCTCCCTTCAGCACCCACTGCAGCGGCGCCGAGAAGAAACGAGTCTACTGCGACGACAAGAACATCACAACCACCGTCTCGCCGGCTGGCAACCCCCTCTGGACTGTCGATGTTACCCACCGCTGGAATACCTGGCTCGATCCTACCTCCCTCGCGACTTGGTACCAGTCCGGCGCGAAGAATGTTACTGTGCCCGACCACAACCCTATCAAGTTTGTTATGCAGCCTACTGAGGAGTATGGTGTTGCGTAAGCTGAATGCAGCTTTGGTTCTTTTGGAGGAATTGGGGGAATTGGTTATTTTTTAATAGTTTTGGGGTCTATATGGGTGGCGTAAGACATGTCTCCTGATGTCTGAACTGATTTTGTTCTCTTTTCCTATGAAAATATCCTGGTTTATGTACTTATGAGTCTGGAACTGTACAAAATGAAGCTTGATTTACTATAAGAATGTGTGAGAATGAGAAGTAAACAATATAACTAACTACATGCACGGAGTAGCGTGATAAGTTATCGTCTATCTTGATTGCGGCAGTGACATCATATCACTGCGCCTCGATCGTGTGCCTTTTTCCAACTTTGTACTATACTCCTTAACATATACCCTTGGCATATTGTTAATATTATTCTGGACTCCATTGAAATAGGAGGAACTCATGTGCAGTATCTAAATTACCGCTCGCAACGAGCTAATATTCCAATGGTATGACTCCTAAGTCCTGGCATTTTTTTCCATACTGACCTAAACTAGTCATCTATCCTCCGCCAGATCGTTGCAGGTCCAAGACAACAACATCCAGAGGCAGGACTGGATCTTTGCTATGTGACAAAAAGCTGTATGATACCTCACCGATCACTCCAAACCCGCTGCTGACACACTCGCAGTGATCGCAACCTCCGGCCCATCAGGAACATACCCACAGCGCGCATACCGCAACCCTCTAGATGCACTAGTCAACTTCCTGGACACAAAGCATGGCGCCAATTGGTGCATCTGGGAGTTCCGCGCCGAGGGGACAGGATACCCAGACTCAGAGGTCTACGGGCGCATCCACCACTTCCCCTGGCCAGACCACCACCCGCCGCCGTTCGCGCTGATCCCCAATATCATGGGCAGCATGCGGAACTGGCTGCAGCACCTGGACGAAGAAAACAACAAAGAAAAAGGGGACCGAGTAGCCGTCGTACACTGCAAGGCCGGTAAAGGGCGCAGCGGGACAATCGCCTGCGCCTACCTAATCAGCCAGGAAGGGTGGAAGAAGGAAGATGCACTGCAGCGCTTCACGGACCGGCGAATGCGTGTCGGCTTCGGGAATGGCGTCAGCATCCCCAGCCAGCTGCGATATGTTGGATATATCGACAAGTGGGCGAATCAGATGGAGAAGCAGTACGTCGAGCGACCGGTTGAGATCCTGGAGGTGCACATCTGGGGTCTGAAGGACGGGGTTAAGGTTGCCGTGGAGGGGTATGTGGATGAAGGGAAGAAGATCAAATGTTTCCATCTCTTCCGTCGGAACGAGCGCACTATCATCGAAGACGGGAAGGAGAACATGTCCGGCGAGTTCAAGAAGGCCGCGCCAGAGACCCCAATCTCCACAACAACCCCATCCTCCGCAACCTGTTCATCATCGGATGTATCCGCTCCGTCGCGAAGCTCGACACTCACGCCCGGCACCGTCCCAGCAATGATATTCAGACCTCACAAGCCCATCATCGTACCCAGCTCCGACGTGAATATTGACTTCGAGCGCCGCAGCAAAGCCTCCTACACCGGCTTTGCGATGGTCACCTCGGTCGCGCACGTCTGGTTCAATCCGTATTTCGAAGGCGGCGCGGATCATGACTCCGGCGTCTTTGAGATAGAGTGGGACGCCATGGATGGGATCAAGGGCAGTGCGAGGAAGGGGATTCGCGCGTTGGACAAGCTCAAGGTCGTATGGCGGTATCCGCCGCCAGAGTCTGTCCCTGACAAAGGCAAAGGCAAGGCCAAGGAAGAGGTATCTGCAGAGGGGAGACCGATCAGCGAGCCGAAGCCCGGGGATCCCATTCATGAAAGCGGGCCGGCTGATTGGCGTGGGCTCTCGAAGAACGAGAAGGAGAACCGGCAATCTTCGGAGACGCCGTCGCAGAAAAGTACTGCGGCAAGTGTCTCGGATAAGACTAAGGAGTTGGGACATGTGCTGGAGAAGGGGCTTGGACTTCGAAAACAGACGGATGATAGTAAAGATGTGAGTCTTGCTGGGAGTGATGAGGATACGATCGTCATGACGGATGAGGAGGGGAGAACGATCAGAGTGAGGAGTGAGGAGGGTAATGGAGACTTGGAGGGGGTGAAGACGAATTATGAGCAGAATGGAGGGAGTAAGAAGGATCAAAGTACGAAGTAGTATGTGTATATATTGCATTTTGGGTATGATATATCATTGTATAAGTATGTTTACGAAGGTTTTATTCTAGCAGGGGCATCACAAGGTCAATATTCTACATCTGTATACAACCTTCATCGTAGAATGATTAAATACGGCACGGCAAAGTACATATGCATGCATGGATGTATGTATTCTGACAGCTCGTTTGTTCTGCACAAATGAAATATATCGCCAGACGCCGAGAGATTATAGAGAAAATCTATACAGGCCAGTTTATCTAAACCGAATGATGAGTAAGAAAAGGTGATGGAAAGAACAGGGGGTATGCAAAACAAGAGAGTAAAAGAAAGTAGCGTATTATGGCTCCAAGGCTCATGAAAAGGCGTTGTCAATCATGACAGGGTAGACATCAGTCAGATCAGAAGTAAGGGGAATCACAATGGGATAAAGCCCTCCATCTTCTTCCGATGCTGTTCCGCCTCCTTCTGCAATCGGTCCGATTTCTTGCGCTCATAAACAGCGCGAACAACCCGACGGGTCTGTTCCTCGCCCTGCGAGAAATTAGCCTTTGCAAGACCGACGACCGAGTCAATCTGCTCGGGCGTGTAGATGAAGTTCCAAGTCGAGAGGAAGTCATCGACGGCAGGGTCAATGGAGTTAGGATGGGGAGCAAGAGGCTGTTCGGGGTCCTTCGTTTGAGAGGCGTCCTGTCTCAAAGACTGGACAGCTGCACGAGGACGGATTTGCGGTTTTGGGGGCACGTCTGGTGCGGATGGGTTGGGGATTAGAGGGAAGTAGATGACGGCAATGCCGGCGTCTGGGCGCATAATGTGGAAGTCTGATTCGGAGTGGTCATCGCTGTGGGGGTCGAAGAGGCGCTTTGATGGCGGGGGTTCCTCGTTTGAGGTTCGTTCCTCTGTGCTACCGACCCAGACATTGCAGTAGCTGAGGTCTGTGCCGCCTTTTGGCTTTTGGCCAGTCGCTGTTTGGTTGTCTGAGCCGTCTTCGTCTTTGGCACCGGAGACTTTCTCATCCAGTTGTTTTTTGGTGATGTTCTGAGACTCGCGCAGGGCGGTCTCGGTATCCTCGACGCTTGACTCTTTGGGCCATCCGGCGCCGACTGGCCAGCCCTTGACACCGCGTTGTCGGGCGTATCCGTCGACAACGGAGAGCCAGTTCTCCTGTTTGACGTCTGCAGAGGCGTCGAATGCGACTATTACGTCGACGTCACGCCCCGGTCGAATGAGGGGGTAAATTGGGAGGTTGTTACTCATCCCTGCGTCCATCAGACGTAGGTGATCGTTGCGGAAGATCGACTCTGGGCAGGAGTCTGGCAGTTGGTCCTTCATACCGATAACAAAATTGGGTATGCCGGCAGGGTCAATGGGATGCACCTTGATTAGATCTTGGTTCTTGCCTTGGATAAGAGAATCGATCCCACCAAATCCAGCCAGACCTCTTACCAGAGGTCGGATCTCTTTGTAATAATGAGATAAGGTGGCACAGAAGGCACTGCCCCAGACTCCCATCAAATTAGGAATCCTGACCTCCGGAATGGGGAGGTTATCAGCTGTCACCTCAGAGCGGCCCGCGTTGAAGTGCCGTCCGAGTGCCCAGGTGGGAATGCCGGCATTGAGTTCCTCGCAGAAAAATTCGTAAGGAGTGAACTCAAACCACTGAAACCAAGCTTCTTCGCGTGATTCTTTCACCAACTGCTCAGGCGTTGGGTGCGACTTGGCCTTGTCGTTTGCTTCATCGAGAATGGGAATCTCGTGTCGCACTGCCGTATAGATGGGGAGAGGATGAGACCCATTGACCAAATTAGCTCGTTGGTTTGACAGCTTGAAATCCGCGTCCGAAACTCCAAGTTCTCCTCGGGGGACCAAGAGTCGGGCAGCGAGCAGCATTCCATAAATATCTACCAAGCCAAAATCGGCTCCAGGGTCGCCTTTCAGTTTTTCCACAAATCCACTGAGGAGAAACTTGTTTGTTGGAGCGGTAGTGAGTAGCTCAAGGGCTGCTGGTGGGAAAGCAATATGCACACCGAGTCGACTCTTCAAATGGTCGACAAGCTTATCGAAATTCCTCTGCGCAATGGATGAATGGTAGAGAGTTTGGAGCCAGCAGCTGCCACTGACACCAGCTGTGTAAGTAACGCAATCCCACAACCCTGCTTCCTGGGCTGCTAGATAAGACCCAGTGCCTGCAACCAGTGCGCGTAGACCACCTCCTGATCCACACATCGCAATGACAGGCACATCGTCAGGATGAATATCCTCCTCTGGGATGTTGAGATAAGACGACAATGCCTTGGCGACCTTCTTTTGTCGCTGTCGCCTAAACTCTTTTTCTTCGTCGCAGAGATTACCGCTCACTCGTACCTCGGCATCGCGAAGAATTTCCGGGTTGATGTCAGGGTCCTGAGCCTCCTTCCAAATATCGTCTGCTAGCGATCCAGGTGCCAGAGAGAGCTCTCGTTGGAGTTTCTGGACAGTAGCTGGAAGGAATTGCGTCCAATCGGGGATGATGTTTGTAAGGCTACCCACATCGACCCAATCGCCGGAGCCAACCGTTTGCTTCACACCATCAAGCTTGTGGATGATGTTATTCCAAATGGAGCCGTAGTCCTTACCATCTTGATCGACACAGGCATTGGACTTCCCGGAGTCTTCATTGGTACACCACGTCCGTGAAGTAGTAAATCGAGCTTTCGAATGTCTAGGGTGAGACCATTCACCCGCAGTGTATGCAGCGAGGGCAGCTGGGGGTACTGTCCATTTGAGGCTTGCGGCCCTGGCAGCACCCATTGCGATTATTGGGCGTTGGGCAAACAAATGAACCTGCAGCTGCATCCAGTGAGATCCATTGAGAAAGGAAAGTTGACATTTTGCCCTTTTTTTTCCCCAAGCCACAGCGCGAATCCGGACCTGGCGATCAACCCCATGACGTAATATGTCTCTCGCCTCAGGCACCAGCCTAGGCAGCTGTGTGGTATTACATAATCTTGTCGACTGCCCGCGGGCTGTTTCGGGACTAGTGCGAGTGCGAGTCGGACCAAACACCATCTGGGGCGGACTTGCTTATCACTGGAAAGCTTGGAGGGCACATCAATTCCATTCGCAAGAGTGGCTCGGTGAAATGTGACACGGTTTCTTGGGCTGCTTTCATCGATAACTTTACCATGGTGGCTCCAAGGAACACTGCATATGCTGAGGAGAGCGCCGAGGTCGAGGTGCTCTATGCCAACCTCGAAAAGCTCAACCGGCTTACCAAGAAGATACAGGGATCTATGGTCCGCCTTGAGACGAGTGGAAAGGTCGTTAAGGAAGCCATTGGTCCTATTTACAGCAATACGCAATCTCTACAAATTACCAACAGCAACATCGACAAGGTCAACGATGCCATCGATCGCTTGCGCCAGCCTCTCGATGCGAAGAATCGCGAAGATGGTACCATTCGCGCGGGGTATGTGCTTTGTGGCTGCGCCCTCTTAACAAGTCGTATTCTTGCTGATCATCCCCTAGTCCTCAGAACTCCGGTCTCAAGGCTTATATCATGGCGATGAAACGTGTTGAAAAGGCGCTGGTCGACCTCAGCACGACAAACTTGCGATCAAACCAACAAGCGATGACCGATTTCAATGATCTCTTGAATATTGGAAGTTTGAAGCTTCAAGAAACGTTGCGGGCAGAATTGAATCAGCACGTCACTCCTGTCGAGCCCCTACACTATCTTACCAAAGGTATGCGTTGTCTTTATCTGACCATTTGAAGCGGGGTTAATGCTTGGATTGATGTTAGGCCTTCAATTCCCATCTATCCCTGAAGATACCATCGCTCATTTGGCGCAATTGTGCTCGGCGATCGGCTCCGCGTCCATTCATGGACTCCAGCGCAGCAAGGGGGAGAACCCCGCGATGAAGATATACGCCGAAACACGGGGTCCATATATCACAGCTAGCTTGCAGAACCTCGCCATCGCATCCATGAATACCGTGAAGCGACGACCCACCGATGGCCCTTACAAGCAAGGTACCAATGGTATTGGTATCTACTCCAATGCGCTGGAGGCTTTCATCATCACAGAACACGGCATTATTCAGCAGATGTTTAGCGGCGCTCAGCAAGGTCTGGTGTTACAGGCCACATTCCTCTCTGCAATGGGCGAATACTCCAAAACACTGCGTGAGCTCAATCAGTATATCAAGGCCAATTTGATGACGGACTGTTTCCTGGCCTTTGAAATCATCGAAATTGTAATGAAAATGTCATATGATATTGAACCAAAGGCTGCGGAGCTGAAAAGCCTTCTGGTGGAAGCGCTGCGGCCTGTACGGGAGACTGCCAAGTCATCCCTCTCGGAATTACTCGAGGAAACGAAACGCAAGGCTTCTACCGTTCCACTCCCACCAGACGGTGGGTCAGTACCTCTTGTGGAGGAAGTGATGAACTCGTTAGCCACTTTAACTGGCTACGAAGATCCCTTGAGCTCTATTTTGACATCTTTGGGCGATGGAAACTGGCATGCCAAGTCCAAAGCTTCAGGCTCTGCGCCGCTGGATGTAGGGCCAGACACCAAAGTTCTTCTCTCGCATTTCATTCTGGACATGCTTGAGGCCTTGATGACCTCTCTGGAAGCCCGCGGTCGGGCATTCCACCGATCCAAGGCAGCACTTGGTGTTTTCTTGTCTAACGTATTCTGCATTGTCGACCGATCCATCCGACAAACCCCCGAACTAGCGCAGAAATTAGGCGCCCCTGACAGCATTGCCAGGATCGACACCTTCCGCAAGCGCGCAACTTCTACCTACCTAGACGCATGGAAGGAAACATCGCAATACCTCCTCGATGTACAGTACACGTCCCGTGGAGCGCAGCGCAATTCTGGCGGCAACGTGGATTCGAGTGCCATTGTCAAGTCTCTGTCCTCCAAGGATCGGGACGCGATTAAGGACAAATTCAAGTCATTTAATGCAAGCTTCGATGAGATGGTATCTCGGCACAAGACTCTTCACATGGAGCGTGAGGTACGCACTGTGTTGTCTCGAGAATTGCAGACTGTCCTGGAGCCCTTGTATGCTCGCTTTTACGATCGATATGTGGAGATCGACAAGGGACGGGGCAAGTACATCAAATACGACAAGGCAAGCTTGTCAGTACAGTTGGCACAGCTGTCTTAGGGCTCTTGAGATAGGCAGAGGAATGCTGTGTATACAAGCTAATACCTAATTCAAACCTGGTATTTCTTATCATTGATTCACCTGCCAGTAGACCAATGGACTTAGCCGAATATCAGCATATGTATAATGCTCTTAATTTCCATTTTGCCTCGGGACTTTTTCCTTCTGGGCAGTAGAATCGATCTGCGTTCTCCAGAGCTTCTCTCAGCAATGACCAAGTAAGGGCAGCTGATCCAAAGGCAAGAGCGAGAGAGCAAAGAAATGCAACTTCTAGTTTGTGTCGACAGTGACAAGGAATATCATGGGCCAGCTGCACCATCGCTAGCAATACAGATATAAACATCATACTTCCAGAGCGCAGCCAAGGCCTAGGAATTTTGCCAAATATCAAACGGGGCTAAATGAGGCTCAAGAAGCGTGATAAACAATGAGAACAATATATATATGAGTTCCATTTCCGTGCGGGATCGACCTCACCTCCTCGAGAAAAGTCAGAGGGGGAAACTTGTGTGGAGTCCTTTTCAAATCCCACTACACTGCCGGCAGAACGTTGGAAAACAGAGCCCTTTGCTTTTGATGTGGGAACATATACTTCCAGATTAAGAAAGTGGATCCAACATCACGTGATATTTGCCTGTAATCTCAGGCAAAAGTCAGGCAGAAATCTATTGCTCACCATCCTCCAATCTCCCCACAGACTTTACCCACTTGCTGAATCTCATTTGATTGATCGTCATGTCAGACAAATCTATTGTACTACCGCGTCCTGGAAAAGCAAGTCCTGGCGTCGTGCCGCACACAGTTCAAGCGCCATCCGAAGACGCATTCGTCGCAACCTTCGGTAGCCTGCTACCACAAGCATCATATCTACAGACGCCTAATGGCAAAGCCGCATACTACGAGCTGCTACCTTCATCTACTCCCACAGACCACGAAGGGCCAATTTCCCGCGTATTATTCGTTCACGGTGTACAGACACCCGCAATCGGGCTACAGCCACTAGCAAATGCGCTATCTTCGCGCTTCCCACTCGCCCACTGTGTACTTGTTGATCTATGGGGCCACGGGCTTACAGAAACTCCTGTTGTACCCCACGAGCCGGCAATTTTCCATGGATTGCTGGTGGCTTTGATGGAGCAGCTTGGGTGGGGTAATGCTCATCTGGTTGGTTATTCATTTGGCGGGTCAACCACTGCGACTTTCGCCGCTGCGTTCCCCGAACGTGTTGCTTCCATGGTACTAGTTGCGCCTGCTGGTCTACTGCGCGCCGCCAACTTTACCGAGTTGGAGAGGACTTATTTGCGTGGGGGAGAAGGATTAGAGGATCAAGCACGGGCTTGGATCTTGGAGTTCTTAGAAGGGGGGCAGCTAGTTATTCCTTCTGATTGGAGGGAGAGAGTTGATCGAGGTGAAGTAGTTGCGGAGGCTGTTCGAGATTGGCAAATGAAGGAGCATGAAGGTCATGCTGCAAGCGTAGTAGGTATCTTCAGAGATGGCGGTGTCATGGACAAACATGCTGGATTTGCTGAAGCAGCGCAGAAGGGCATTAAGAGTCTGTGTATTCTAGGGGAGTTGGATAACTTGTGTACTGTCCAGGATCTTCATGATGTTGGCTTGCACAATGTTGCTGTTGTTCCCCAGGTGGGGCATGGAGTGGTGAGGCAAAGGGTGCCAGAAGTGGCTGGACTGATCGAGGATTTCTGGAATCAGCTCTAGTCAGTAACTATATGCAAATATAGTCATAGTCATTAGAATACTGTTTATAGAAGAAGAAAATACTATATAGAAAGAGATCCATGGATATACACTCCCCGGCCCGGGAGATGGGGACCCCACTGCGTTAGTCATCCAAAGTTCACGATAACGTGATAAGCCCCGCTAAAATCTAAAAGCCAAAATTTGCTGACTTTTCCAGGCTTGTCTTTTCGTCCTGTTACTTAATTCCCCAATTGACGTTGGTTTGAAGCCTTTGACAACTCCAAGATGTCCGGAAGCAACGATGTCTACCAGACTCCCCTCAACTCGCGCTATGCGAGTAAGTTCGCCTTCACCCCTCCATGGAGGGGCAACCCCGGAATTTGTATAGATGCAGACTAACCATACTCAATTGATCAGGTGATGAGATGAAGTACCTATTCTCCCCTCGCAAGCGTTTCTCCACATGGAGACAGCTTTGGACCTGGCTCGCGGAGGCCCAGAAAGGTACGGCATAGACGTTGAGCCACAGCCGACATCGGATGTAAATATTTATATTGACTGAATCATGGCTACAGAGCTCGGACTTCCTATCACTGCCGATGCTATCGAGCAGATGAAGGCCCACCAGACTATCCAGGATGCCGAGTTTGCCGTTGCCGCCGAGGAGGAGAAGCGCCGCCGACACGATGTCATGGCCCACGTCCACGCCTATGGCCTGGTTGCCCCTGCCGCCGCCGGTATCATTCACTGGGGTGCCACCTCTTGCTACTGTACCGACAACGCCGATTTGATCCTACTCCGCGACGGTCTCGACATCCTGATCCCCAAGCTGGCTGTCGTCGTCGACAAGCTGTCCCAGTTCGCCCAGCAGTACAAGGACCTCCCCTGCCTGGGTTTCACCCACGGCCAGCCCGCCCAGCTGGTTACCGTTGGCAAGCGTGCTTGTCTCTGGATCCAGGATCTGCTCATGGATCTGCGTAACCTCGAGCGTGCCCGTGACGACCTGCGCTTCCGTGGTGTCAAGGGTACCACCGGTACTCAGGCTTCCTTCCTCCAGATCTTCAACGGTGACCACGCCAAGGTCGAGAGCCTCGACGAGCTCGTTACTGAGAAGGCTGGCTTCAGCTCCGCTTTCATCATCTCCAGCCAGACATACTCCCGCAAGATCGATGTTGATGTCGGTAACGCTCTCGGCTCTTTCGGTGCTACCTGCGAGCGCATTGGCATTGACATCCGTCACCTTGCCATGCTCAAGGAGGTTGAGGAGCCTTTCGAGAAGGACCAGATTGGCAGCAGTGCCATGGTGAGTCTAGCGGTGATGTGAACTGGGATTCTTTGGCTAATGATTTTGTAGGCCTACAAGCGTAACCCCATGCGTTCCGAGCGTCTGTGCTCGCTGGGCCGTCACCTGCAGAACCTCCCCAAGGACGGTCTGGACACCTACTCCGCTCAGTGGTTCGAGCGATCCCTCGATGACAGTGCCATCCGCCGTATCAGCATTCCCGAGCTGTACCTGACCGCCGACGCCTGTCTCATCCTCCTGAACAACGTCTCTTCCGGTTTCGTTGTCTACCCCGAAGTCATCAAGCGCCACGTCAACGATGAGCTCCCCTTCATGGCCACGTAAGTATACAGCTATCGACATTCATTGATAACGCTAACTCAATTTTACAGTGAGAACATCATCATGGCCTGTGTTGCCAAGGGTCTCTCCCGCCAGGATGCCCACGAGGAGATCCGTAAGTCCTAAACCTCCTTCCACACCGAATTCACCATTCTAAACATAATTGCAGGTGTCCTCTCCCACCAAGCCGCCGACAACGTCAAGAAGCAGGGCAAGGACAACGACCTGATCGAGCGTATTCGCCGCACTGCCTTCTTCGAGCCCATCATTCCCCAGCTCGACACCCTCCTTGACGCCAGCACTTTCGTCGGCCGTGCCCCTCAGCAAGTCGAGAAGTTCACCTCCACCGAGGTTGCCGCCGCCATCAAGCCTTACGCAAAGTTCATCTCCGAGGGCAAGACCTCTGCCCTGCACGTTTAAGCTGCGATCAAGGCATTTGGGATGTGTGTATATGGGTACTGGAAAAGTTTTATGATAAAAAGATGGAAGAGGAACCCCCTCTATAGACGAAATATGAAGCCAGGAGTTGTGTATATTGAAAATGGAGCTTTTATGTCCAAACCGGAGAAATTCTTCCAAAGCCGAGTACTGGTAGCACACACAGTATTAGGAGATTGACGTGGGATGATTTCCCTCTGCCCCACTTCCCTGCTTCCCCGATGCCCCGCGCTGCAAATCTTCTGTGACGCATTGGGCAAAAAAAGTTTAGATGGGAAGAACTGTCTACTCATGGGGATTGATCTCTAAGATCATATTAGTATGTGCTAACATTGGCTGATGAGGAGCATACCAACTAGCATATAAAAGGAATAGATACTGAAGCCATTCTAGAAGCTAAAACTGAATTGAAAGATATAGACGAATATTCAACGCTTTTGCCAGATGTATGATGCAGAAAAGGCTATGCATGGATATTCAACCCGAAAGAACTGACAAAGCCACCCAAATAGAAGGAAATAGAAGAGAGGATCGAGACGAAGAAAATGCATGATCAGCCAAACTACCAGCCCCCGCGGGCAGCTTGGTAGCTCGGCCAATCGGAACTATATGCAATGAAACGCTGACGTGCAATCGTGAGTAGAAAAGAAAAATGCAGAGACTACAATAAAGAAACAAAACTCGCGCTAGCACTCGCAGCATTAGACAATTGAACCCGCTCAAGCAGACACAAATTGCACAAAAGCAAAGGCCGCAAAAGCCGAAAGAACAGATTGACAGCTCCATGCGCCGCGTGCTGCAAAAGACACAAATCCTCGGCGAATCTCCGGCGCCAAGGTCCATAGCGCCAGGCACACAGGACATTATCTTCAGGCGATAGAAACGCAATTGTCTGCTGCATCCATGCCCGAACGAGTCTCGCTCGCGAAACCGCAATAACAAATTTGAAGGCGCAAACGCAAACGAAATTGCAACCCCACCTAACCCCTCCAGCAGACCAGTCCGAGACGCAATCCCGCCACCAATAAAAGTACTTCTTAGGGTTTGATGGGCTTTTCGGTGGGAATGGGTTGGTAGAAGAGGTCACGGACTAGCCAGACGATATAGAGGACAGCTAGAACCCAGAGGGAGGCCATGATTTTGTATGTTGAAGAGCGCCATGTGACGCGGCGGATGAGGCGACGGCCATTGGGGCCTTCGATGGGACCGCGAGAGGGAGGGGGAGGGTGGGCGGATGGTTGTGGAGCGGACATAGAAAAGGGATAGGCGACTGCTTCATTCATTTCGCTTTGTGATGTTCGACGGCGAGACATGGTGGATCCGGAGGATATATGCCTCGGGCCGGTGACGTTTCCGTGTCTTTGTTTTTGGGGGGGGAGGGGCCTGTGTCGTATAGGTGTTGGAGGAAGTAGGAAGTATAAAGATGAGGTTTTCTGTTTTTTGGTTGTTTTTTTTTCTTTGGACGTTGGATTTAGGGTTGCAGAATAGGATTCTTTTCGAAATTTCTGGATTTTTGACAACGCACAAAAAAAAATGAGGAGGGGCTAGAGAATCAACCAGTCAGAGGCAGCAATTGCTGGACAACAGCATGAGCTCGAAAAGGGAATATTGAGTCTCCAGAAAGCGGATCTTTTAGCTGCCACCGGGCGAATAGGCAGCGGTTGACGGAACGTGGCCCGTTGCATGTTATATGAAGACTTCCCTTTCTGCGTTCAATGTTGTTTGTTGTTTGTTGTTTGCTGCTTATTCTCTCGGAGTTTCTCCTTTTTACCCATAAAAACATAAAACACGATTCTTCATTCTAAAAGACCAAAGATAAAGGGTCCAATTAAGGTGAACAAGAAGAGGGATTGCGCCAGAAAGTCCGAAACCGATAGCCGCGATGCTAGTCAACTTTCTTTATCGCCAGAAGTACTAAAAGGGGGGAAGAAAGGAACATAGCACAAAAGTACGAAACTGATGTCAAAGCCCAAATCAAGGGAATTTGGACCAGGTACTCGGGATGCACGGACATGGTGCTATGCCCTAAACCGGACATATTGTGAATGTATTGTGAGACTAATGAATTTTAACCTTGACTGCATTCTATGATATTGTATTTATTGCCCCTTATTGGATATTCAGAATATTTAGAAGCTCTCGTGATAAGCTCCCTACTTGGTCAGCTTCGGTAAATTTACATATGAGATCATCGTTGGGTTTGAACTGTGAAACAAAGGCCTGTTCCTCCTCATACTTCCACGAAATAAAAACCCTGCAAATATCGGTCCATTAAAAGAATATTTCAGCGCTAAACTTCCTCGCTCTAGTCTGATCTTCATAGCAAGAGCATTATTGTTTGAAAATGTTTAACCGTCCAAACGTCCGGACCTAAGGAATATTGAAGTGGAACGAGAGTGGGGTCTTCTTCTCCAAACATTGGAGCATTTCTCTCCATCTATGAAGTCATCAGATGGTGACCTCCTTGCATTTTATCTGGATGAAATATCAATATATAGAACACCACTACATGGAATCTACGAAAGGCACTCGATCTCGGTCAACGATATTGTGGTTTCCACCCGGGAAGGCTTTATAGTCGCAGGGTCCCAGGATGGACTGGTGATAGTCTAGGATACGGCAAAGTGGAAGGAGAAGTATCGGTGGGTCCATTACGAAACAATCAGCTCGATTGAGTTTTGGCCAGTGATGAACCTCTTGTCGTTGACTCTACATATTTGGTTCCCATATGGATAAGTGATACTGAAAAAGACTTTGTTAACGACCTCGCGGAAATACAAAACCACAGTATCTGTATGAGATCGTCCCCATCTGGCAAAACTATGGCTACGATCTGCAACGAAGGGATCAGAACAACAGACCTCCAGATCTGGAACTTGATTCACATATTGTCCCACAAGGCCAGCGCCGTCGGCTTATCAATGAACGGAGAGTACATGGCCGCCATCGCTAATGGCAAGAATTCTGTGTTCGAAACTCAAAATTGGACAATGGTCTCAATGCATGATATTTCCAGCTCCCCTAGTGGCTTGTCATTCTTCCAAAGCGGACAACTATACAATGGAGATCTAGCCCGTGGTCAAGTGAATCCAACTTTGCAAAGAAGTTCGACCCATGCCCATGCTCTAGTCTTCTTCAGATATCCAGTCTAAGTGATGAAATAGAAATTGGCTAGAGGTAAGCATCCAAATGGACAGAGAATCTTAGTTCTCGAGTGCCACGCATTATCCGGTACATACACATGTACAACGTAAGTTGTGCATATGCCATCCATGGATATGTAGGCTATAATGTATAAGCAGTGCAACGGAAGCCGTTTGCCTACATATGCAGATAGATATCCCCGTTTTTAACAGTATAACTCTCATAATATGGCTGCCCTATACTCTGTAAACAGCTAACTAACAAATCCTAATGTAAATCCTTGCCTAATCAGGTTAGCGATATAATATTATTAAGTTCGGACGAAAGGTAGACGATAAGGTAGAACATGCAGCGTACTATAATTCAGTCAATGTATTGTACTCCTTGCATATATTCTATAGATACTAAACAATCTATTCTCTTAAACATCCAAGCCATATATCTACGATTGTTATATCATACTTGATATAACTATGTAAACATACTATAGTTATAAATTTCATAGATCTATGGTATCCCAACACGTGACTCGGTTGAAATCGGCAATTCCCCAGCTATCGAGAAATTATTGTTAATACTGTATAATGTAACGAGTTAATATATTCTACCAAGTCACATTACTGGATAATCCTCCGATTTAAGGACAATTCCTCTCTCTTTTCTTTACATTGCATGATCTACATGTGAAGTGATCTTGTGACTCTTCCTCCGATGTCCGGAGCTAGGCGGAGTACCCCCGGACCACCTCCAACCTCGGCAGATGAAAACGTCCCGGAGGTTATTACTCACACTTCCCTCCTACACACGACCACTTACCTCCTACACACGACCACTTACCTCAAATTGATCCCTCTTTGAAAAACAACTTATTTTTCAAAGGCCATTAGGCCTATTTGCCCGCCATGTGGAAGCCTTCGGAGAGGCTGATGGAAACCATCAGGCATTATGCCAGCTTCCCCGCAACCGGTGTCTCGCTGAGGCAGATGGTCCAATTTGGTGACCGACCCTCAACAGGTATGGGTCATAGATTATATACAGTTGGATATTTCTAATTGTACATAGGGACTCTATTCCGCGCTTCTCAATTCCTCTCTGAGGAGCTCCCCATCCGTCTCGCACATCGCGTCCAGGATTTGGGTGAGCTCCCGGATGGACTCAGTGAAATGCCATCAATCAAGAAAGTCCAGGACTGGTATGCACAGTCTTTTGAGGTATGATTGTGCTCTATGAACTTTTGGCCAGGTTTATGTACTGATCCAATTCCAGGAAATCATTGCCCTTCCTCGCCCAACTCTGACTCAAGAAGTGAAACAACGCCTGTTGCGCCCAGGCCGGATCAACGGCGGTGTTTCAAAGATTCTCTCCGAAACGACTCAAAACCCCAGCGTGCGCGAAGGACAGTATCGGTCCTCGGTGACGGCGGGTAATTGCAACGGCATCAACAAAGCACCCGCTGCCTCGGGTCGACGTTACTTCTTCCCCGCAGATGACCGCGGAGACTGGCCCCCAGAGCTTAACGATTACAATCAACGATTTGCCAAGACTCTACAGCAGATTAAGCGTCGGCACGACGGGGTCGTGACCACCGTCGCGCAGGGTATCCTGGAGTGGAAGCGTGTGCGGCAGCGCATGCAGATCGACTCCACGATTCAGTCCTTCCTCGATCGGTTTTACATGTCCCGAATTGGTATACGAATGCTTATCGGTCAACACATCGCACTCACTGAACAAACGCATGTCAAACATCCCAACTATGTCGGAATAATTTGTACCAAAACCAACGTTCGCGATATCGCACTCGAGGCTATTGAAAATGCCCGCTTTGTCTGCGAGGATTACTACGGTCTCTTCGAAGCGCCCAAGGTGCAGCTGGTCTGCAAGGAGGATCTGAACTTCATGTATGTTCCCGGACACCTATCGCACATGCTCTTTGAGACTCTCAAGAACTCGCTGCGCGCGGTGGTCGAGCAGCATGGTGCCGACAAGGACGACTTCCCCGTGACCAAGGTCATTGTTGCCGAGGGCAGAGAAGATATTACTATCAAGATCTCCGACGAAGGCGGTGGTATCCCCCGATCATCAATCCCTCTCGTTTGGACCTACATGTACACGACAGTGGAGCAGACCCCCAACCTGGACCCGGACTTCGACAAGAACGACTTCAAGGCCCCAATGGCTGGGTTTGGATACGGATTACCAATCAGCCGACTGTACGCCCGGTACTTTGGCGGCGATTTGAAACTGATCAGCATGGAGGGGTATGTATTTTGCCGGCTCCGTATTTCCGGTTAAATCTTTACTAATCGATCCCGCAGATATGGAACAGACGTGTACCTCCATTTGAACCGTCTCTCTTCCAGCTCGGAGCCTCTGCAATGACAATCACCTGTCATGAGAGACGGTCGGGTCCGGATCACTACCTCGCACCGCCTGCACCACCCCATATACAACGACCCGGAAATCAAACCTGCACCGTCTCGAGGACTGACACTGATGAATGCTCAGGCTCACTATAAGCGCATACTAAACCGAGAGGTCTCGGAGCGTAAGCAAGTTGGCGACATGGAGAGTCTGTTCCACTCGGAGAAGCGGAGGAGAGAAGAGGAAGAGATGTAACACGGCCTTCGGCCTTGCTTTGGTTAATTCCTTTCCTCCGGTTTTTGGCTCCTTCGACAGCTGACGAAAAACGAAAAATGCGAAGACGCACTCAGCATGTCCGACTGGGTACTATCGCTCTGATGATTTCGGGTAATATCCCAGAGATGAAAGAGAGAGAGCGAACATGAAAAACAAAATCAGAAAAGGCATTGCTTTTCTTGACCATCCTCTTCATGATACCCATTCTCTCTTCCTTACTGTTCTCTCTTTCTCTTCATTTCTCTGGGCTGGTGACCCTGTCGGTGATTTTGGTTTCTCTGTATAGTACTTTTATTTTTAGCGAGTCCTACATATTGCAGTACATATTGCAGTTCATCTATCTCAAGTAAACAAGTAGGATTTACCACCTTGTAGCCAAGCGATAATAAGTGCATCATAAATCCACAAAGTCTATAGGGAAAAAAAGCCAAGGATACAATTCAACTCAACAAAACGCTAAACACAAACAACCACAGAGATTCCCAAATCAAAGATCCTCATCCTCATCCTCTTCATTCTCCCTAACACCCCTCGCCCCCAAAGAAGACCTCCCAGACCCAGAAGCAAGCCTAACGCCCGACGCAACCCTCCTCGGTGAATTCCCACCAGACAAAGACCCCGCCGACCCAGATCTCGACCCACCCTGCGAGCCACTCTCCGCACGCCTCAACAGAGCCGGCTTATGCCAGCCATGACCCTCCGCAGTCCCGATAACATCACGATACCGAGCACGCACAAGGGAAGCCTCGCCGCCGTTCCCATCAGCGGGGATATAGAAGCGCGGGGCGTAGAGATCGTCCGCGCGCTTGGCGTCGCTGGGCGCGAGATATTTGGCCATGAAGCGGCGGCGAGTTTGGGGGATTGTCTGGGATGGGATGTTAGCTTGAGACTAATATGTAGATGTAGATTAGATGAATGGGATAGAGTAGAGGTACGGACTTCGTTTGCGGAGAGGGCGTAGGTTACTAGGAGTTCTCTGTCCATTAGGACGCAAAGGGCGGCGTGTTTTTCATCGCGGAGGTGCGAGCGCATGCGCGCGTCTTTCTCGTATTCCGTTGGGACTTGCATTATGTCTTCGCGGCCGCTTTGGTTGTAGGTTGTTGTTAGGGGGTCTGGGGCGCGGTGGGAGAATCTTTCTTATTTGGGGGTTAGTTGGAGTGCTGGGTGAATGCGGGGATTCAGTGGCATCTGATATCCTGGCGAGAACTGCAGGATGTGGCGGGGTGATTGTAGAAGACTGATGGGTGTAGCACGTACCTGTATCACCAGTGATTTCTCGGTGTCCTTGGGGCGTCCAGCCTCCGAGTGGAGTGTCCATATCAGATTGGATGTCGATATCATGTTCATCGGGATCCGAAGATTCAAGGTCATCCCCGGCATCCCAGAAATCAGCTATCGATGTGGGGTTGATCTGCATGCCGCCATCGGACTCAGATTCAGAATCCATTTTTGGGACTGGATCTCTTGGACCGGTGTAATGAGCAAGTATTGAAGAAGAGATGTGTTGATGGAATAGAAATGTCCCTTTAGAGCTGGGATGTAAAGAAAGTTGGAGCTTGCCAACAACTGTAGTGCTGCTATTTTTTGCCTACTACCAGGCAGTCTGTACTCTGTCCTTAGGCAGGTCTGCAGAATATCAAATGTATCTAAAGTAGATGTTAGTTGAGATGAAAGTAGGATATAGGGATATTGAGTTCCCTCTGAACCCTGGTCAGATAGAGAACCTTACGCCTGAAGTGACTCACATGCTTTAGATCGCTCAAGTAGCAATTGAGGCACAAAGCACATACATGATGTGTATGTATGTTGGATCCTTAGAGTGTCGATGAGACAGGCTTCCTCTTCTAGACTGGACCTATACGAAGGCGGTCAATGGGATATTATGTCATCTGGTGCTGTCCCAAAGTGGTTTAGTGCGTTCAAGTAGGTGATGTCGGAAAAAACCACGAACAATGACTTTCACTTATCTAGATGAAGTAGAAAGTAGAAAAGAATTATCAGATCCGGTACTTGTAGGGAAAGAAGATGAAAAGGAAGACGCAGGCAGAAGACGGTGCAGAGTCTTACATGCAACGTCCAACTGCTCTTCTGCAAGAAGACTACAAAACGAGTGAAAAGGGCTGAAAGGCTTTAGTGAATGAATGATAGATTCCAAGAAGAAGTATAATGGAATGCCCAAGACCCCGACAACGCCGAAAAACAATGCCGCTAAAACGACTGACAGTTTAGAATGGAAAGAGGGAAAAGAGAGGAGTCTAATTAGAAGGACATTCGTGCATGTAAGAGTTTTTGGGCCAGTGGTAACCAGCATCATCCCTAGAAGAGATCGTCAGCAAAGTGAAAGAGGCAGCATGAGCAAAGAAACATACCATGTCGTAAAGTTCGCATTATCGTACGCCAAGCGATGTTGCTCAATATACTTAGTAGTCTCGTAACCCGGAGGATCACAGGTAACACTTTCATCATCCGGGTCTTGGTAGATCCGGACGTAATCAAAGCGGAGTAAGGCGGGCATGTATTCGCGGATGGTGTGGTTTTGCGGGGCGAAATTATCAGCCATACCCATGTTCATCACCAGAGCCATTGGTTCAAGTGGAATCATGCGCTGTCCGATGTTGCCGTTGGGTCCGATGGCCCGGCCGTCGAGAGTCCAGGTCTTCTTGGGCCCGACGAACCAGGTCACTTCGCCTTCGGCGCCTGGGGTGTACTCAAAGGAGTAGGTTTGGTATTCTGTGCCGTTGTACCATTTGGTATTCAGGTTTGTCAGGGCGGACATTGCTTGTTGGTAGACGCCGCCTCGGTAGGCGTTGATTTCAGTAACTCGGTCATCGTAAACGGCGGCGAAGTCTGATGATTTGGTTAGAAAGTCATCATGAATACTCAGAGGGGTACTTACCATAGTCTGGCAGATACCACAGGTCGAATGGTGCAGTCTGCAGACTCTGCGACGCACTTCCAACGAAGGGGCCACTGTTACCATAGAGAGGAGCCGTGCTACCTTCAATGACATCGATTTCAGGAGCACTGCGAGCTTTGCCCGGGGTCGGATGATCGGAGCCAGGACATGCACATCCAGGCAAGCGCATACCAGGAAGCCAATTGAGGCCATCCGGAGAGCTCTGGTTAGGAGTGATACCAGCATCACATCCGTCATGGTAGCTGTACGGCCACATTCCGTCTGTGGTAGCAGCGTAACCAGGGCGGGCGAGATTTCCCATCGCCCAGAAACCAGGCCAGAAACCCTGGATGTGCCCATCACCAGGAAGAGACATACTGGCTTCGAGGCGGCCTCCTTTGAAGCAGAGCTTGTTCCAGCTCTGTACCATTCCAGAGCGGTACTCGAGGTCATGGTTTTCAAAGTAGTCGAATCGAAGCTGGAGGGTTCCATCGGCTGTGGTCACTGCATCCGGATCGTACCACTGAGAATTGTAAGTATTGGGATGATGTCTGGAACAAACGCTATACTGACCTCTTTATCGGCTGTCACGCCATACCACAGGTCAACAGCTTCGAAAAATGGATCATCGTCCTCAAAGAAAGTTCGACCGGGCACGTTGAATTCGTCCGAAAACTGCAACCAACGTCAGCAACCTGTTTTGCATTACTTTGTCGAAAATACCCACCACTAGCTTCATTTCCTTGCCATTGACATTTTTCTTTGTAAGTGCCTCTTTTGGTGTGTCAGGGTCAATCAGGCTCTTGCGCAGGTTATCCAACAAGGGTCGTTCCCCAACATCCAAGCATAATGTATCGGAAGGATGGCATAAAGGGTTTGGCTTCAAGATGTTTTCTAACCAAGTTCTGTAATAATCAATCAGTCGGCTAGAACGGTACCAATGTCTGGACAAGTTCTTACATGACAGGGTATCCAATGAAAAGCACCAAGATGCCCAAGGTCAGGACCAGCAGACCACCGAGGTTCATCACACCTCGTCGATTCCAAATATCACAGTCGCGGTCCTTATCCAACGGATCCGGGTTGTGCATGTAATCATCCTTCTCCACATCCTCAGGAAACAAAAGTAATCCATCAGTGGGCATGATATTGAACTTCTCCGACACAGTCTGTGTATTCACATCGTAGTCCTCATTTCCAGAGTGCATTGAGGGGGCCCTTGAGTCCTGGAACGGGTCGAGGGGGAATGTACTCTCATGGCTGATAGAGCTGATACTCGATCGAGCCGCAGACCACCGGTCCGGAGATCGCGGTCTATCAGTTTCACTCACGCCAGCGCCTTGTGTGGGCCGCAACTTTGGGGGCAGAAGAAACTCCGATGACTCTGGTACAGCCGATGAGCCGTATGGAGACATGCCCTGTGCGCCTATCGGCGTCGGGCCATCGAGAGCTTGTGGCGTCAAGGGACGAGGAAATGTCCGGGAAGTGAGAGGCGCGTAGCCCTCTTCTGGCTCCATGACAGGATCTTGTCGACCCGAGTTCAGTCGGATGTGAGGTGGCATTGCCCTGCCCTCCGATGTATCAGAGCCATGGTCCGACATTTTATAGTTATTTCCGATATCCCGGTTGGTTGGGTTCCGATGCGTTCCTCGAGCTCTGTTCTGGTGCTAATCTGTACCGTTCGCTTCACTTCCACCACTAGGCTAGCCTTCTCGCATCAGTTGTATAAGATCCGTGTTTTTGGTGTTGATGTGTTGATGATGTCTGATCCTGTTGTCGTTTCAGTTCCGGTACGCCACGATTTTGCTATGGATATAACCCGGTAAAGACTGATGTTTGACGTCTGGACAGTGCACAGTTGATGAGTGCCAGATTTAGCGAAAGAACGGACAGGACAGGTCGGATGTCATCCAATGTCCCTCGGCAGCACGATGAAAAAGGCAGAGTCTGAACGGAAAAGAGAGCCGAATCCACGAAAGAAAAGATGAGCCTAGATGTTCCGAGGGGTGTTGTTTGGACACATGAGGATACTGGAATGACAGAGTGCCAAGGGGGTAACCATTGGTATGTCTATACTTCTTTCCTGGGGTTTTGGGATAGAGTATGGATCAGAGTAAAACAGCGCTCTGGATGAAGACCCAAAGATTGTTAGAGCTGTGTGGTGCTCCCTTGTCCGTTTGTAAAGATTCAATTGAGTTGATTTGGTTGGCTTTGCGTGTAATATCGAGCTTTCAACGCCCTGTGTAGGCCTGTATAGGGCTCCCCAGGGTGCGGCATTCCCGTTGCCCCCAGGACAGGAATGGTTGACCATGAATGCTGAGTGGAATCCGGGGATCGGCATGATCGTGAACTTGATTGAAATCATAGAAAATAATAGCAGCAATACTCTTTGTATAGCAGTAATCCTCTATGACTTGTGAGTTGATGAAGTCAAGGGCGAATCGGCGGGAAGATGAGACATGACCAGCCACTAACACTTTCACTTCCAACCAATCCCTTGGTAGTTCTATACAGCATGGTGTGGCTGATACTAAAATTCTGATACTACATGCATTAAAACACCATTTACATCTTACAGTCTACGTTGTAGTCAAACTAAACCTGTCATCTATAGCAATTCCGACACGCGTCGTGGCGGGGGAGCCCCAAACACCAGTTTCCGGTGCCTGAGCATGTCACAGATCACGAAAGAGCAGCTGTCAAGTTTAAAGGGAAAGTGGGACTAAATCCCTGGTTATCCATTCCTTACCAAGAACATTAATATCACCGAGCAAGGCAGCGAGTATTCCATGTGGAGATCTCATGCGGACGGACAATCCGTCCACTGCGCCCAAATGGTTTCTTTACAAGTTTGCCTCTGTAGAATAACAATTACACATAACAGCAGAGACTAATCATTTTCTCATCGATCAAGCGACATACCACTCTGATTTGGTTGCGCACAGGTAGCATTTAGGACTCGACAGCCTTCGCACGGAGCCCGACAAGGCGACTTTCCGGCTTATCCAATGCCAGAACCCAGTACTCGACTTTTGTACTGGTGATTTCAACCCGATAGACCTTCAGGTTATCAGATTTGTCACTCTCAGCCGCAGCGCGCACAGCATCCAAGACGGCGGAGTACTGGTTCTTGGGGTCGAAGGAGGAGGGGGACAGAGTTGAGATAGAGAGGTTGGTATCTGGGGAGATCAGAGAAGAGAGCTCAGCTAGAGTAAGGGCGTAAATTAGCTCAGTGAAAGGAGTTGAGGGGATTGTTTGGCAAGGAAATGTAGGAGAAAAAAAGGCACAGAAAGGCACACTACATACCAGTACTAGGCCAGGCTCCCTTTGCGGCTCCATCCCACTTGAGCGCGACAGGCTCAAATGGCTCGTCCGTATCAGAGACGTAGTAGGCATCGACAGATTTCAGGTTCTTGGGGACTGAAACGGAGCTGTGCACGGTCTCGGTCTTAACGGAGGCCCCTTGCTGGGATTGGTCCCCGCTCACGTCTTTGTTGGCCTTATCCAGGAAGGACATGTAGGCGTCGTCGGAGGACATGGTGTGTGGGGAGGTTGAGAAGGGCCTGGAGGGGTTCGAGATGGGTAGTGAAGATCGGGTCGGAGGTTCTGCGGGGAAGAGGCTGCGCTTGTTGAGGTTGGTCCTTGGACTTATTGTAGGAAGATGGTGAGAAAAACAGTGCTGAGTAGGGTTGTTCGAAGTTAAGGGCTTGTAATAGGTGTAAGATGCGAATAGAGAGCGGTTTCTTGCTTGGGCTTGGGAAAAGTGTGGGATGACGCAATGGATCTTGGTTTGGCGCATGGCGTTTCACGACGTTAGACTGCAAGGTTACTGGCTTCAAGCGATTGGGAAGACAAGAATATTCAAAGGCTGCAAAATATGTAATATAACCTTGAAATATATGTAGGAATCAAAATGAAAAAAATATATATATTCGAAATCCCGAGTGCTTATGGCAGCCGATGTCAAAATATACATCCACAGTATATGGCATATTCTATCTGAATAAACATAAATTTCAAAACCTCAGTTAGGATTCATACAACCTTTGAAGAGCAAGTTAAAAATTGATAAATAATAACTTGATCGATTTGATTGAATGAAATATGAAAGGCCTTCATGCACAGACCTAAATAGACGCACGATAATAACATCTTGACATCGGACTACAATACCACTCGAGTATACATCTACAAGTAAGTTGTGAAGGATATTCGCTTTTTTATTGAATATGAAACGTTGCACTATCACCAATAGCCTTAAACATCTTAAACAGTCTCGATAAGGTCCTTCTTGAGGGTACCAATGAAGGCCTTCTTCTCCTCGGCGGTCTGGAAAGCACCGTGACCGAACTTGGAGGAGGTATCGATCCACTTGAGCTCGACCTTCTCGGTAGCCCTGCGGGAAGTCTGGGGGTACAGGGTCTTGCGGAGGGTCATAACACGCTTCTTGACACCGGGGACGGAACCCTTGACCATGACGAAGTCGTTCTTGACCTGACCGTAGTGGACGAAGCCACCCATGGGGGTGATCTGCTTCTTGGAGATGTCGAACTCGGTGGAGGCGTTACCCTCATCGGAGCCCTTGCCAATACGGAAGACCTTGTGGTTGCAAGAGGTACGGTGGTGGTAACCGTCCTGACCGGCACGGGCCACAGTCCACTGGACGTGGTTAGGGTGCCAGGCACCAATACAGGCGACCTTACGCAGACCCTTGTGAGTCTTACGGGGAAGCTTGGTGGTACCCCAACGGGAAGTAACACCGGAGAAACCGTGACCCTTGGTGACGGCGATGACATCAATCATCTCGTCCTTCTCGAAGATGGTGTCAATGTCGATGGTCTTCTCGAAGAGGTTCTTGGCGAAGTCGACCTTGTCGGCAACGGAGCCACCGTTGACCTGGATCTCCATAAGGTGGGCCTTCTTCTGCTTGATGGGGGTCTGGCGAATCTGGGTGTGGGCGAGGACACGGACAACAGTGCAGTACTTCTGAATGCGCTCAAGCTCGCGGGTGATGGAGGCACCGGAGGACTCGGCGTGGGACTTGGCGTACTTGGTGAAGGCCTTCTTCTTGGACTTGTACCAGTTCTTGTAGAAGCGGCGCTTGACCTCGTCGCTCAGGTGCTCAGCCCAGACGGTGGTGAGAGAGCGGAGACCACGGGGAGTCTCGATGTAACCAACGACACCGACGGCAACGAGCTGGAAAGAGGAAAAAAACACAGGTTAGTCGCTGGTCGAATTTTTTTTCTTCAAACCCACAACCGGGGAAAAACCTACAGGAGGGGTCTCGATGACAGTGACGGCCTCGACGATCTCCTTCTTGTGCATCTTGGCACCGGGACGGTCAAGGTCACGGACGACAGTGGTCATACCGGCCTTGTAGCCCATGGAGGCAGTCAAGTGGACGGGCTTCTTGGCGTCATCCTTGGGGAAGCTGTCGCATGGAAAAAAAAGTCTCAGCACAAATCCAGATCCAACAATTTCAGAGAATAATAACTGACCTCTTCACCTTACCACGGTGACGGGCAGCGCGCTTGCGCGGCAGGTAGGCGAGGGAGCCTGGAGATAGAATCAGTATATTGAACACACAGAGGCCGAATTTCGAAATTTCGATATCGAGGAAAAAGGTATTCACGAACCGTGACGAGGCGCTTCGTACTTCCGGTGACTCCTGTAAAGCGAAAGCAGGTCAGCAATTGCTTTCAATGTCGATATAGTATATCATTGTTCAATGGGTACTCACATCTTGACCCTGTTGTCGTTAGTCGTCGAGGTATTGGGAGTGACGATCTGAAAGTGTCGAAGATGATTTTGCAGGCCTGGTGTGTGGGCTAACCTAAGCGAGACTCTTGGCGTGGGTGTGCTCCATTTGGGTTTAGTGCTAACACCTGAGGCACCCCACAATCAAGTGAAATTATCTAATCTAGCCCTGAGTCGGTCACGTGCTGTCCTTTCCAGGGGATTTTATGGGTCTTGCTGCTGCCAAGGCAAGCGGCCGGCAATATGCTTTTTAGCAACTATCCACATTGTGGACTGGATTGGAATGATGGAAATTGAAAACAGCGTGTTTTATCGATGAGAGGATACCAAGCTACAGAGACTACATAGTGACTCTGCATGTATACCTTGAATGGGCCCGGAAACAGTACGGAACAGGACATACAATATAGGAGGAAGACGTTCAAGTGGCACAGTAAATGAAATTAGAGAAATATAGTCCTAAGTGTCCCCAGACTTTCTAGAATCAATGTGGGAGAGCCATTTAGAATACTTGGAATGCTTTTTCTAACACTCTACATCCAAAGGTAGACAGGAGCATGAATAAAATAGGAGACACGTTAAATTTACTCTACCAAATTCCAGAGTATCGAACAAATGACTTGCTTCAAGGGGTACCTATAGCACCATAAGAATTCACAGTGAAAAGAGACTAAGAAATCATAAAAAGAAGAGAACGAGAAGACATGACAAGTATTCAGCGCACGCGCTCGAAACCGACAGTCATCGTAGCTCGCACATTCGTACCGTACATCACATACTAAAGGATAAGAACAGAGGGAGAAGAGAGCGAGGGGGTTTGTAAAGTAGACAAGATCATATGGCCAAGTCCGGATGGGAAGCTTTTAAGCTGAAGGATCGGCCTTAGGGGGTGTGCCGGGGCGGGCACTAGCTGTGCCGTTGGCTGGGTTGCCGGTAGCGCTACCGTTGGGGCTACCCTTGACAGCAGCAGCCTTCTTCTCTTCTTCTCCTTCGTCATCGTAGTCCTCATCGACATCCATTTTCCGCGCTGGAGGCTCGTGTGCGGGAGGTGCCTCGGGGCGAGACGGGTCCTCCTTGACAGAAGTGTTGGCGGAAGGAGGACCAGAAGGAGGACCGTTGGACGGGGGAGCAGAGCCTTCAGTCATCGGGGGAAGGCTAGGGCCGCTAGCAGCGTGGGGAGGCATATCTTGGATCGAAGGCAGGGTAGGAGGGTGATGGGCAGCCTCTGATGGGTGATAGTTCTCATTGGCACGACGGGCGTCCTCGCGACGGGCTTCTGAAGAGCTTCGCCGTTGCATCTCGCCAGGAGAAGGCATACGACCGGGAGGGCTCGGGCGGCGGGAGTTCTGGTCATCAAGACGGGCGCGGCTTTCGTCATTTGCAAGCTTCTTGATGGGACCGGTATCAGCCTCCCATTCACGGCCACGCTTCATGGCAGAAGTGGGGCGATCTTCGCGATCACGGGCGGCAGCCTCAGCAGCGGTAGCGGCAGAGGGAGGCGCTGGGGCACCAGAGGCGATGGAGTTACCACCTGGAACCTGTGGGGGGAGGGCAGGGCCAGTGTGGAACTGTTGGTGGGGGTATGCGGATGGAGGAGAAGAGGGGCGCTCATCGCGAATGGGGCGGATTTCAGAAGGAGGGCTGAAAGGACGACCCTGGTAAGGAGGGGGAGGAGCACCGCCTGTGTGACCAGCGTGGCCAGGAGGACCAGGCGGACCAGGAGGACCAGGGGGAGCGGGGGGAAGGCCGGCCCTTGGAGCACCAAATGCGTTGCCACCGCTGGGGGCTCGTTCATGGCCCGGAGCAGGTGCGTTTGCGATTTGAGGCAGGGTGTGAGGCGGAGGGTAAGGAGTGGGGTCACCCATCTTAGGCGAGCGAGGCGCACCACGGGGATCTGGGAACGCACGACCAGGCTCCTGGCGAGGGCTTTGCGCGGGGGCGCCGGGGAGACGGGTATCACGCTGATCAAGACCGTTGGACGGAGGACCTTGGGCCTGGGACTGAAGCTCGTTGATACCACGGTTCCAGTCAGGAATCGATCTTGGAGGAGCAGGAGCTTGTGGAGGAGGACCAATAGGAGCCGGGGCACCCCATTGGGGAGCTGGAGGCGCACCAACACCAGGTGCTTGATAAGCCTGAGGATGAACATCCTGCGGCTGAGGTGCAGGCGCATTGGACGGCTGCTGGCCAGCAGTGCCGGCATTCAGTTGACTCTGTAGAAGTTGCAAACGAGCCTTGATGTGAACATTGCTCGGATCAAGGTCTGCGGCGCGTCCGTATGCATCGAGAGCATCGGCGATCTGGTTGTTGCAAGATTCATACAAGGTACCCAGGTCGTACCAAACTTCCGAAATGTAAGGATTCAGGCGGATCGCACGAGAGTAGGCATCGAGCGCATCGCGGTATTGGTTGATTTGGTAGTAGAGAACACCAATCGAGCACCAGAAGGTAGGGTTGCGACCGTCGCGGTAGACGGCTTGCTGATAAGCTTCGTATGCCTTGGGGTATTTTGCCATTGACATGTAGCAGCGACCGAGGAGGTACCAACTTTGGGCATCAGTGTTGTCTGGCGGAGAAGATTGTTAGTTTTGATCGAATTGAGCAAGCGCGTGAATTATGCTTACCAGCGTTGACAGACTTCTCCAAGAACTGGATGGCCTTCTCCTGGCTCTGGAAGGCTTGGCTCTGCTGGTGGTAGAGCCAGCCAAGCTGCTGGAGAACCTTGGCGTGATTGGGATCCCGTTCGAGCACACGCTGGTAGGCAGATTGAGCAGACTCAAACTAAAGAAATAGTCAGTTTTAGGTCGCACGAAAGAATGAGAGCATACTTACGTCCTTCTGTTGCTCGTGAACATGACCAATTTGGAACCAAATGTCTTCCTCTGTCAGGGGGCGTGGAGGGTCGCTGACGATGTATTTGAAACACTGCAAAAAAAAAAGTCAGTCATAACTCGACACCCATACCGTGGTCAACATACCTCCAAACTCTGGCTAAACTTCTGCTGTTGCTTGTATATTATTCCCAGGCGGAAGTAAATTTCGTTGGCCTTCTCGAATTCAGGAGCCATGCGCATCACCTGCGAGAAAGCTTCTTCGGCATGATCCAAGGAGCCATAGCGATCGTATAAAATACCAATTCCGTACCATAACTTGGGTTCCTACCAAAAATACTGTAATCAGCAACCAGTCTTTACAGAGTGTCAGCGTAGTTGCTTACCTTAGGATCGCGCAGGTGGTAGAGGGCTTGCTGGTAAGAGGTGTATGCCTCTTGCAGATTATCCATCATGAGATGGCAGTGTCCCAAGCTGCCCCAGGTCTCTCCACTGCTGGGATCCAGTTTCAAGATATTCTGCAGATACTCAATGGCCTTTGGGAACTGCTCCTTTGTCCGGAGGATGCACGAGATGGCGTTCATAGCTGGGATAGACCACTGGTTGTGACGCAGAGCTTGTTCATAAGCATTCATTGCACCCTCCAAATCGCCCATCAGTTCGGTCAAGCTTCCTACAAACACAAATGATTAGCATTGGCTGAATTGCGAAGCCCAAGCTACGAATGCCTACCTATTTGAAGCCAGACCTGCTCATTGAGTGCGGCGATCTTTTGAGCGGTGGTGAGAGGAGGAACACCCTTTTGACCTTGCACTGGGATTGCTGGCATATGACCATTGGCCTGCGCGTGCGCAGCAAGATGCGCAGCGGCATGGTGCGGAGCCACACCCGTTGTGGGGGATGGTTGAGTGTGAGACATGATTTCCGATGATGATTATGATTTAGGTTGAACCGTGTCGCGACCAAACTCTTGGACAGGTTTGCGACACGATGATGCAATCCAAGTCTACACCAGAAGACACTGGTCAAGCTCACGATGCGCTCTAATCGCGATTTCCAATGGAGGTGGGCGCCAGCGACAAAGGCGGAAAAAAAACAAGGTCGCGCAAAGAAGCAGAGGATGTCCCACGCGACAGTATCCGGTAGTGAAGATGAAAAATCGAATGAACCTTGGCGTTCCCGAAGATGGAAAAGAGTGGCGCGAGATAGCAGTGACGCAAATCTCGTAAAAAGTCACAGCTATGGGCTTAAGAAGGTAAGTGGTGAAGAATAAGAGATGAAGATATTGGAAAGTGGATAAGGGGAGTCCAGAATTGAAGAGGATCAAGCCAAAGGGGGAAAGAGAGGGAAAGAGTCGAGGGGCTGGCGATGGCTCTTTCCCTAAAATTCGCCAAGATACGCTAGTGGTTGCGTAGCTCCCGGCCGTCACGACTGATTATTTAATGAAAGCTGACCTCTCAGGAACGGTTTAGCGCTGTGGAGAAAGATCTGGAGGCGGTTATTTCTTTTTTCTTTTCTTTTCTTTTCTTTTTTTGCTTCTGCTTTCTGCTTTTTTTAAAATTAAAAAAATGTTTGTTTCCGTTTTCTTACTCATCGGATCCATTCCACATTAACGGTGGATTTTTAGTTCATGTACGTGTCCTTTTAGTTACCCACCATGATATCATGAAAGCAATTGAGCATTTTAAAGGGTATGGTTACTCAAACGTATTTACCTCTACGTGTAATAAATTATATAAATTAATATCTTATTTTTCAACTTAGGAAATAAGGAAATAATTCTCTCACAAAACCCGAACACAAGCCCCCGGTAAAAGACGCCGAGTGGCGCCCTAGTGGGCCCCTCGGGGTGGGCTCCCCCGTGGTTGCGCTATAAGGTACGTTAGTGCGACTGTTCTCCGTGCTACTCCGATTTTAGCCTAGCCCGCAGGGCCTAAACTCACCCGGCATGAGGCGCTGGACCGTGCAGCGGCATTGGCCTTCTCGGTAAGCTCCCAGATCCCTGTCCCCTCCCCCCTTTTGCGTACTCCGTACTTAATCCTCCGTGATAACCGGAGACCAACTCCGGAATCATTTATTATTATTCACTTACCTTTCAAGGTTTATTTTTTTCAACCAAAAAAATTCATTCATTGGATCCGGCTTTTTCCATTGTTGGATTTTTAATTGGTATAGGTCAATGTCTGCAAGACCAACACAGACAGACCAAACCCGGAATCGTGCAGGGTGCAGCTGTCGAGTGACCCTTTTTATTTTTTCATTCTTTTTTCTCCGGATGTACCAAGTAGCCTATACACCCCTTTATGAATTTGACAAAGTACTCTACAGGGTTGAACTTGCATACCATAGAACTGACCCTGGCATTTTGCCCCTTCCGTCATTGTTCCCTTCCTGGCCCAGAATAGCTTAGCGTCTTTTACCTCCGCACTATTTTCGAATTCTAATTTTTCTTAATTCTTCAGCCACAGCACTAGCCACATACCAGCCACATGTTCCGATCTCGATACCCTCAGTGGAGTGCGGATATGACAACCTGTCTGAATCAAATTCATGCAACCTTACAAGTTTACAATTTTGTATAGTGTAATGATTTTTTTCTATCCAATGCCCTAGGTCATGTCGTCACAGAACATGTGTGGATGCATACCGTTTTGCCCAACTCTTTTCTAAACTCCACTTGTGCGTGGAGACGCGCTCATTTTCTGTCAAACAGGGTTTGCTAGCCGAGCCGCCGTCGTCTCTGCCGTTGCATGGCTTTGTGAAACATACTTTCTCCAATAACCTCGGTCTTATATAAATACCGCTTCAGGTCTTAGATTTCAATATATAATTATATGTGTACAATACAATGCATCCTGTGCACTGACTATTTTGACTTGTCGACCGACCGAGTCAAGAAAATAATATATTGTTATGTTTTGGCCCTACCGCTTGTGTTTTGTGTTCTAATTCGGCGAAATATTCCGGTGTTTTGGGAAACAAATGGTTCCACCTTTATAATGAAATCCCATGTACTTCGTACTGAGTACTCCACACATGTATATGACTAATGTCACCTACTACAATGTAGACGCAAATTTCGGGGGCATGCAAAAGCAAAGCACCTCGGGAATCACGGCAAGGCCCCGACCAGAGACAGATCAGCCGCGCGCATGCCACTGCACTGCGGTTCAGCGGTCCACAGTGGAGACGGGGTCGCTCATTATTTATCCTGATGGAGACCATCATAATAAATAGCAAAACTCCCCCCCCCCTGCGACGGGTCTTTGCAGGCGCCATGCCTGCGACACGGTGGGTATGACCGTGCGACTCGATTCCAGAGTTAGAAACGAGGGGGGTTGGGGACTTAGCACTGACACTTAAGGGGTTTGGATCCCTCCTTCAGGGCGCTCCCGAGTCCACCAGTAGGAGAGGGCAAAGCCCTTCCTTTTTAAGTTCTCCTCGGGTTGTGGCTGTTGCCTTCGACGCCGAATTTCACCATTCGCGGAGGATATTGATCACCATACCCAGTCGTAAGTCAGATCATAAGGTCTGTAAAAGAAAAAAGGAAGTAAAAGTAGAAAAGAAGAAAAAAAAGAGAGTTTCAAGTTATGTCTTGCCAAGACTTGATAGTGCAAAACGCAGGGATTGAAGACCGGTCCAGTTGGCACACAGATATCGATTTGTGCGACCTCGAGATGTAAAGCCAAAATAGATGTGTCTTTTTTTTGTTGCACCCACCGATAAGATAGCTTCGGATCGTGGAGAGATTGGCCTACACGGTTTCCAATTGGGCTCGGTGATGCAGATGCGTGGTTCAAGGACGTGGGGGGACAGCTTCTTGTACTTTCTTTTGAGTAACCTAGTCGTGTTACATTTGTGTGGGAGTGCAGTATAAGTCCTTACATCCTAAGTCTAGGTGCTTATCATTTGGCATGTGCTGATTCATGCGATCAAGCGGGTTTGTCTCATGGTTGCATGCATACCCCAGTGTGGACTCAAGGCTAGGGGCCTTGGGACATGGGGGCTCCTGCAGGCACCGCGAGGCTAATAATGATTGGCGGTTATTGAAGTGAGCTGACTCGGCTAGTTGGCTTTTGAATCGAGCCCATCTCGTTTTGATCACTTGTGGCTGCAAGCCGTTCAGCCACAAGTGAGGACCCAGATCATAATATTAGGCTGAGGTAAATAAGCACTTTGGTAGATAGCCAATTTTATTTCTCTTTCGGATAGAACTCCTAGACACATTCTATATGATCGCCTCCTTCTGTTATTTGGTGTACCTGGATTTGTTGGCAGTTTTGAGTGAAAACTCATCGTATATATGTTTGCTGCTATATACGCTGTACATGTGTAGATTAACAATGTTCACTTTCCATATGTACCCCTATTCTCAATCACTCACGCAAGAAATTTACTCAATATCCCGGCTAGCTAACACTTGAACCTCAATGCTCTTTTTTTTTTTTTTTGGGAGAGTTCTCTTCCTAGATGCTCACCTTCCTAATAAAGAACCAACACGTGATCACCTAGATATTTTGTACCCAAATATTTTTTCCGATGCGATGCAATTAATGTATAATGATGTAAATTTATCGATGAATTAGAAGCTAATAGAAGCCGATAAACTGTCAAGTATAGTGCCAGGGTTTACAATTATGTATGTTGTACTACATCCCCTCACGAGCTACCGCTTTTCTATGAGAATTATAGCTACCGTTATTATTAAGAAGCAACCAATGACTGTTTCGTAATACTTCCAGAATGGCCTCGTTGAAGCAAACATTTAGTCTTCTACGACATCAAAACAGAGCGCCACACAGGACCCAGATCTTCATGAAAACAAGAGGAATTAACTCAGGATATTCTCTGAAACATTGGAGAATTTAGCGATTCAGTGATCCTTGCTCTCGACCGAGTGGTTCTTGCGCACTCTGTTAGAATAACTAGAAGCACCAGGGAGAGGAAGGCAGTTACAAGGTCGATAATAATGATTGAGGACCTTGATGTGTTTCCCAAAGTTTCTTAGATAAACAGTCACACCAGAGAGGGCAGTATCGAAGTTCAAGCAAAGCTGGAGATAGAGGATAGATGGATGCTACATTGAGCTAAAGTCAACAGGAATAAACCGGCGACAAGAAATCAGCTTGTCTGGAGATTTTCATATATTGAGATCCGGTACATAGGTGAGTTATTGAGCTCGTAGACCCCGACAGCCGTCAGGGCCAAGACTCGAACCGATGTATGAACCTCATTATGGAGCGCTGCTCCAAAAAAATCACCGTTTTAAGTGCAAATAGAATATGGAATCGGGCTTCGACTCCAACCCTGTAAAATAGCTCGGGGCTCAGGCCGACGAGGCAAATCATTGGTGAGAAGAATTGACAAAAGAAAACGTCAAAGGTCCCGAAGGAAAGAGACAACTCTGACCAAAACTAGAGTTAGGCTTGACAAGATGAATTCTGTGGAATCTCCGAGTCCTTTCGGTATGATCTAACACAGACTTTGTTATTCCCAAAGCACATGTGATATTGTGAGTCTGGGGACCGATAACGCTTCACCAAGGGAAATGAAGAGTTATAGAAAGTAATATCGCCTGATGTACGGAGTAAGTTGCGAAACAACCTGTGGAAAAAAGGAAGCCTAGGGTGAAAGTGCCAGGTTAAGTAATTCCATATAGGTATAAAGGTGCATAGTGAATATGGTCAATGTACGGAGTAAGGCTAACAAGCACACGACTGTGAGGCAATCTGCTGAGGGGAGATATCCCGGCATTATATGCACTTGTCATTCCGGGAGAATTTCTGGCAAATAGGGGGTCTTTTCCCAAGATGACACATCGGAAGATGATGTTGTCGATCGGCTTGGAACTATTGATCACGAATGTGATAATCCGAGCGCATAATATGTCAAGGTTGTATCATGTGCTGTTGTGCTGGTGATAAGATCCCCCTCTTTTGTGAGCGATGTGATTGATCTGCATCTGCAACCTAGCATATTATTGTTGAAAGCAAAGATACGGGATGAGTGGTCGCAGTCTGAAACCGAGGAAATACACATGTGACTGGGCGTTGAAGGAAGAGCAGGCAACTATGGGGGAAATTGCTGCGCACAAAGTACTAGACGAAGGAAGAATGGCCAAGGAGGCAGGGACAAGCGAAGTTTGGGTGCCGAGCAACGAACACGCAATCCACCACTCCTGACCGCTAAGCCAAGCAGAGGATACGGCTTTGCAAACAGTGCCCAGAGATCCAGACAGGAGAACATTAAATGCCAAGGGGTAAGTTGGTAAAGGAGAAAGGAAACTCTAGATTCTGAAGCGGATATTGAAGATGTTGATTCGCTAAAATAAGCCGACTCATCTCAACGGGACAGCGGAATGAAAGGACCAGAGAGCCAAGACTTCTTCCAAGGCTCTTCCTGTCAGGGTCAATTATTGGGGTAGCCAAGGATTATGTATCAAGATGTCGGTTTTTGAGGTAGATCTTTAATTTGCTGCAGCTAATGCAGCCCCAGGACAATTATCGAGAACGTTTAGGTAAGAGATATTGAACAGAGCATACTCAGTACATGTATAGGTATCCGTAGTATGTGTGACTATGAAATATATTTCTCCGAAGTCAAACGGAGTGTGTCAACGCCAACCTCTCGGCGTCTGGGCGCTGACCCTCGTTTCTTGGATACTGTGCCGGCGTCCCCATGATTTGAATTTTCACGAAATATCTACAAAAAGCTTGTGAGGTGTTTAGGCAATCGCATTGGGAAGTATTTTTCAAAATTATGAGGGTATATCACATCAAATTTATATAGATCATACAAGGGGAAATGAATGACTGCAAAAATACCATCACGTGCGTCACATTGATTACCGCCAAGGCTTAAGGCTTCGTCCCAGCGCGGATCAACTCGTGAGTTAACCAATGAGACGACATGGATTGTCGACTCAGCAACCCCCGATGCTTTCTTGGCGGCTTGGCATTTGGTAAAAACTCGTAACCGACGGCACCATTTGACCATGACAGAAATTCAGCTTTCACAGCTCACGGTAGGACAACTTCACATCTTGTCCGACACAAAAAAAAAGATGTCCGAGCATCTTCTGAAACACAAGTGTTTGGTAGAGGGAGTGATCAACAGCGATCATGATATCACTCTACGTACACTATACAAGGCTCGAGTCAATGCCAAGGGCTCGGCATCTGGGCGCCTTGGCGAGAGGGACTGCAAACAGCAAGAAATGCTCCTCCGCTGTCTGGCACGGCCTTTCCTGGCCTTCCCTGGCTTTTCCGCTCTTTCAAGCTGCGGCTCTCCGTAGACTTTTATAAGTCTCTCTTCCGCCCTTCCTACCCGCCCCCTTTCCCTCTCCGACCTGTGAAGTTCGGTGCCCCCTACACCAAAAAAAATACTATGGGAACCATGCGGTGAATTCTACATATGATAAGTCGCCCTCCGTGCGCCTGATTTGTACAACTTGCCTCGTCTTCACGTTCTGTCTCTTGCTACGTCGTCAGCCATGCGGTCCCCGGAGATGTCATATACTCCCGCCTATTATCAGGAACAAGGCCCTCTTGGAACGACACACCCTCGCAGCTCGATCGTCACCCCTCCACCAGCCGTTCGCCGATCCCAAGAACAATCCTCCGTACTAGGCCACCCCGTTGATGGATCTCGACCTTCGTCTCCCTTATCAAGCCACGACGCTAGCCCCGGCACCTCCGTCTCACGGGGGTATCGTGTTTATAACCAGACACTGGGAGGATCATCTTGGCCGGGGTCAGATCCTCGGGAGATCGACTCCCAACCCGCCGGCTCAACTTCAAGCGGCACACATAAGGAAGATCGAATCCGGAGCAGTATCGCAGATCGACCGTCATTAATGTCTGGAGGACATTCCAACCCTAGCATTACCCGTGCAAGAAAGCGAGTCATTCCAGATGACGAAATTGTCACCCATGAGGGCCACGATGCCCTCTTGATGCTGGTATGTGTCTATGCTAGCCATCAAAAGAATCATACTGACTAGAATGTACAGTTCCGTCTCACGATTGTCCCATTATACTCCTTTGGCGCTTCTCTATATGCCATATTCGCTTTCCTCTTCGCCCTCCTCGTCTCACCTCTTCGCCTATGCTCATTCTCTCCATATCTCCGCTCTACAACCTTCATCTCACAGCTTTGCGACCTCCTCTCCCCATCTCTCCACATCCACGAGCGTCTTGTTTGCATTAGGCCTCCATCGGTCGAAGACCGATCATCTTCCACCCAATGGATCCGCTCAGAGCCAGACTCTGACCAACCGTCCGTGACATCGGAGCCAAGCGAAGTCTACAGTGTCGGAACCTCCATGGCCGTTTTGGTCCTATCGCCATTCCTTAGCATTGCAATTATTCTTTTAGCATGGATCGCTGCATTTTTCTGGGTTTTTTCCATGATCCTGGGTAATCCAGACGGCACGGAGCGCAAGGACGATGGCCGCACTGCTGTCCTTGGAGTCTGCAAATGGTGGCGGACATGGCTCTGCAAAGCTCGCAAATCATGACGATTCCGGAGCTCAAGGGGTGATACACCGCTCGCTCCCTTCATATTGAAACATCCCGCACTGCACAATACCCTCTCGAGGTGTACTGTATAGACCGGGGATACGTGGAACGACCTCATTATACTTATCTTTTACCCTTCACATGCTGATATTACTTCCGTCATGGCGGCTATGACTATACACATTCTGCTCTTTTGATGCATACGGCGTCTGGGATTGGCTATCTTTCTTTTTGCACATGGCGCCTGGTTGAGCGCACAATTACCCTCGAAACCTTTTGACATGTACCCCCCTTGTTTTCTTGCCTTGCAGATCACCGAGCTTGGTTTAGGAATCTCCGACCAGACTTGAGGGGTTTGACCTTGTCTGTTGAGAAGATCCCCGACCTACTTGGAACTGTACTTGTATGTATGAAAGTTGTGAGGAGAAGATGTATGTATGCACTGCCCTCGAGTGCGAATGATACCCGGGTTTTTGCTTTTAATTTTGGATATTCGAAATGAGCGCCGTATTAACGCTTGTTCATTGACGCTATACCAACATTGTAGAGTAATTATAGCAGGACTGGATTCAAAGAGACAATTTTCGTCATGCCCCACATCTCGAAGACTCTTTTCGCTGCCGATCTGGTAGAACACTATTGGGCTAGCGGCTTCTTGGTCCCCGGCTTTCTCCGCCTCCGCGTCAGGCAACTTTGGAGTCCTAGTTTATTCCAAGTTATTCCAAGTTCCTAAAAATACCATCATGCCGAATACACATATATCATGGATCCAACACAGACGCCTGGGAGCGACCATCTCAAGATCTCCGTTGCCGCACCCCCGCTATGGACTTATATAGCCGGGGACACGATCATCGGCAGCGTGAATGGCTGCTCACATATCGGTGCATCTGATGCCATGGTCTCCCTTGCATTAGTAGGCCAAGCAAAAACGCTCATCGAAAGAGAGGGTTGCAACGTCACAAATAAATACTACGGTGTGTGGGAGCTTTTTGAGTTCGCGCCACAGATCCTACATCGGGGGCCCATTCACATACCCGAGGCCAACAGCTCAGAGAAGATCAACATACCTTTTTCAATTAATATTCCCGAAACGGCTTCATTATCAGCCTTTCGAGACCACGGACAAGCGGAGAGTTTCATTCCACTTCATGCAGGCTTTATCGCACAGCACCCGTTACCAGGTACTTTCTCATCGGAATGGTCCGGAGCAAAGTTGTGCATCGATTATCATCTCCGAGCTCAACTGCAATATAAACGCCATGGTTCATGGCAGGTTCAACGCGCCACAGCTCCTATCACACTAGGACACCCGACAGTAGACCCGAGCACTATATGCTTTGCGCTTCAGCGGAGATCTATCGCGTGTAGGGTACGTGGCCATGACCTACGTCCATCGATGCAGAGCGAGAAGCTGTCTTTGACGCAAAAAGCACAGAGAATGTTTCGCTCATCGAGAACGCTTGGGCTCTCCTTTGCTGTCGATATGCTTATGCCACTCCATATTCAGCTTGATAACCCAGCACCAATCCCGCTAATTCTCAGGGTTGTCCCTCAGCAAAATGGGAGTAGTGGTGTTATCAAGGATGCTGTGCAGCCTGTCAAAATCAATTGGATGAGGTTGAGCATTTTATCCCAAGTCGAGATCGTCTGCAAACCAGAGGGTTCGGGCTGTTGCAAGATAGCCAAAGACGAGAATGTCTTTACCCAGCCTTTAGGGTTGAAGAGAGTGTTTTCGGAGCGCAAAGAACCCATCGTTACCGTTTCTGGACCGCGCGACCAACAAATTAATATTGGGAGTATACTCCACCTTGTTCTTAGTCATGATGGTCTCAGAAGTGGTGACGAGCGGCTCAGCCGGTCCGTTAGCATTCAGCCGAGTTTTGTCACGTTCAATATCAGACTGAGTCACAAGTTAATATGGGAAATGTCTCTTGATATTGCTGGAGAGACGAGGACATTGTCGGCTGAAGCAGGGGTCATAATACATAATAGTGCTACGCGATTATGAGGAATTCTTGTTGTCAGAAACCTTGATAATCATAACTTGATGTGGCAGTGAGAGCCAATTTACCAAAGAGAGGGAGGGGGCTCAATCCTAACCAGACTTGACATACACAGAGGATTAGGAAGAGGCTTCAAGTATGCTAAGAAAGACATTTAGAAAGATACAAAGCAAAGAGGATACAATAATATGCATTTCATTGTGCTATCAACATGTCATCATGTATTGCGGTCATCAAAAGTATTCGACCGATTGAACCGCAACGTATCCAGTAGATACTTCATGCAATGGGCCATCAAGGTCATCAGCAGAGTCAGGTTCAGTAACAACCATACCACCAAGGCCTTGGGACAGTGCCTGGAATCTGGACTCCATTTCCAATCTTCTCTTGTCCTCCAGCTGTTCTTTGTCCGTTGTTTTCTTTAACTCCCTCTCGAGTGCGCGCACGGCCTCTTCTTCCCTGGCACGATCTGCCCAAACCTTCAAGAGCTCCGGGTATCGAAGACACCATACCACGACATCGCGTGTTGCGTGCGCATCCTCGAGGGCACTGTGGCCGCGTTGGCCGACTTGGATGTCGTAGTTGACTAGCTCACTAGTGAGGGTCTTCAGGCTCCATGTGCGGGTGAGTTGCTGGTTCGAGTGAAGATGGAGGAACACCGCTTCACTGGTAAAAATGGCCGAGTCGACGATGTTCCAGTGAATGACGCCCAGAACATCGAGATCATTGTTGAGAGAATGACCAATGAGGACCGTCTCGCTATTCATGAACTGCCAGAGCCTTTCACGTGCTCCTTCCCAGCCTTTTAGTGCTGTTCCTTTCTTGACAGCCTTGTTCATGGCACTAGGAGTCACGCCGCTGAATCGAGAATCCCAGTTCACCACTTTCGTTTTCGGTTGCACATAATTGTCAATGAGCACCTCCCCGGTCAAGAAGTCAATTGCGGTCAAGAATGCAAGCTCCCGCCGCCCCTCCTCGACTTGTACCATCTCGCAGTCAATGACAATTGCTCGCCTTTTCGGGAAATTGTCTGTGGAAAATCGAGGTACTTCTCGGAAAAGGCCCCTCTTAATAGGACATTGCTTAGACGGGCGCTTGTGACTTTCATTTATATTAGGTTGAAAGGTATAGCCGAATTTAGCCAGCCGGGTATCTGAATGACAACGTGCCGACAGGTAGCGAAAGATCAGATTCTGTTCCAGTGGTTCAAGGACGACATGATAGTTTTCATTCTGATTTTGAGTAGAAGTTTGGTTCGAGGGCTGAGAGGCTTCACGTTCAGGAGTATCAAGAAGTGTATCGCCGAAGCTGAACGAATGCACATCACCCGACTTGGTATGCCCTGAGAAAACGGAACGCAAGGGTGACTGTCTGCGCGTGCGGTTTAGTATTTCGGCTGGCTGGACAGGCATTGGCTTCGAGCGATCTTTTGCCTTCACTTTCCCGTTCTTCTGAGGAGGTTGAGATTGTGCTGACGTTGAGTTCGACATTGTTTCCATTGGCTTCACAGACATAAGGTGTGACTGATCCTGAGCCTTCACAAATTTTTGAGTATGTTTCAGTTTTAATTTGCTTAGCTTGGAATCAGGGTGACTTGGTGATTTCTCCTGTTTCTGCGGTTGCTGAAGCTGATTTGACGAATGCTTTGAAATTGAATCCATAGGCTTGGTGTGATCCTTGAATTTCTCTTTTTTGAGGTCTTTTGTCTCATGTTTTGTTTGATCTTTCAAATGGGTACGCTTAGGGATTACATCCACAGGCTTAGGATGATCATTGCTCTTCTCCTTTTTCTGGTTGCACTTTGACGCCGGCTCTGTTTTCATGGAAGTGGAAGGTGCCGTCGCCTCATGTTTCAGAGAGTGCAACAGCAACCCCATGATAGCATCAAAAGATCGGTCACATGGCGTACATCTAAGTGGGTGGCCCTTGGCCTCGAAATGAACCTTGACAGCACCGAGACTTTTGAAGTTGCCTTTTTGGCATTCAGGACAGACAAATAATTTGTCAGTTGGCTTGGCTGAGACCATGATAGTCACTGAAAGATCACTTGGATCCAAAAGGGACTAATCAATCAATACCGACAGCTTCAGTCAAGGATAACGGGATACGACTGCGGGAGTGTGGACCAATAGCCAAATGAATGCTAAAATGGTGTAAAGTGTAAACAAGTCGATAACACGCAATTCTGCCCAATTCCACCGGACTCAAATTGTCGCCTGAAATATAAGGCGCCAAATAATATTCAAAGGAAGTAAAATATCCCGCCCCCTCTAAGGGGCCAATTTCTTTCGCGATGCCTTTGAACGGTCAGTACATTCAAAATTTTAATCGGCGAGACACATTTCTACGTGCTCCTGAATTTTCGCTGAAACGGCCTGTAAGAGACCAAAACTTGAGACAAATGAAAGGGTTTTTCAGAGTGAAGTCCAACTAAACAATACGGAGTGGTGTGAATGTGTCAATCATAATGGTGAAATGGAAATATAAATATGAAAATACTTCTCTATTATAGAAATTAACTTGAACACTTTATGCTACATTGGGCTATTCGCACATAGCACTTCTCATTGCTTATACAGTTTGAAGATAATAGTCGCGGAAGAAATGCTTGTGAGAGAAACGAAAAAGACAAAGAAAAATAAAAAGGACGATGATCCTCTGTGCAGTTCCTTCAGACTCATATCATTCCTGCCAATCCTCATCCTGGCCATCCTCATCCTGGCCATCCTCATCCTGGCCATCCTCATCCTGGCCATCCTCATCCTGACCTTCTCCTTCCTGCTCATCAGATTCCTCTTCATCTCCACCACGCGTATCGCCTGGGTGTCTCTGGAGACTTCCCAGCGTGGAACTAGAACCAACTGGAACCTCGCATGGGCCTCCAGACTTATTTATGGAAGATGGGCCGTGGTAGTCATCGTTGTGGTCTGAATCATTTCTTCTGCGCTTGCGAGGTCCAATTGTGGATGATTCGTCCTCAGAGCTAGAGTTTTGTTGTTGTTGTGGACTTTCACCCCTCGTTGCTGCCGAAGAAGTCCCAACTGCCACTGGAGGGACCCCCGATGTCTCTGCTGGCAGTTGAAGCTGGTATAAATCTCCATTGAGGACGTATACTTTATCTTCCGGCTTCAAGGAGATCCAGTGATCAGGTTCGATGAATCGAAGAAGTCTGACACAATTATAGAGAAAATTCCCAAGTGCTTTTGTGTCTGGCTCCTGGGATCAAATCCAGGGAGTGAGTCCGAAGCTTTTCGCGCCAAGTTCTCGAAAGCGGGAGACGCTCGCAATTGGACCTTCCAGAGGCAGCCATATGAGCTCGTGCCACAGGAAAATAGACATCCCGAGAAGGGCTCTGACAGACGCTTGATCCAGGGCCCCGTCGTTAAGCCCAAGAGGCTGCCACATGGTGAGAAAGAAAGATTCAGTGTTAAAAAAACCCTTGGAAGGCTTCCAAGTGAATGGGTCCATGTTGGAAGGTAGAAGAACAAGGATGAAAAATACCGAGTGATCGGGTTGTTAAGAAAGTTGTTGAGAACGAGGAGGAAAATTGAGACGGACATTCTTGGATCTTTAATAGTCTTAAAATCCTTGATATGCCAATGAAGTCAAACGGAAGATTGCACTGATGGTTTCATTATTAGTTGCTAGTCCCATGAATTCGAGGCAAAAAAGAACAAAGGATATGCCTTTCAAAGGAATGAGTGAGATCCTGTTTCAAGATTCACCAAAAAAATTTAAGAGTTGTAGACTTCCTACGGCAACAACTCAAAGCTTTGGTGTCTTTTGATTTGAGAGAAAAGGATGTATGTAGAAAGGTGAATGCCAAGCTTGAGGACTTTTCTCTGACATGATAACCTTGGAAACTAGCCTGGCCGTTCCCGGTGCAATATGTTCACTTTATCACATTCTCAGAAGTACTGCATCACTATTTTTACAAGGATAGATCTGCTTTAGTGAGCGAATATCCTCTATGTTTTGCGTTGCGCGGCTGCGTTGAAATCTTGAATAGTGCAGGGTGGCTAATCGTACCCGAAAGAAAATCCGCGGAAATCTCCCGTAGCTTGCCCTTCAGTGTCGGCTTCGCGATGTTGAAGACTGAGAGGGTCTGTACGATGATCCAAAATATATTCGTACTCGCTAGAGTATACCTAGGGCAGATTCGGCGAGCAAAAACCCAAAGACAAGCAAATGTGGACCTCGCTCTAGAAGGCGACCATCTAAAGAAGCCAAGAAACGTTGTGGCTTAAAGATCAAAGGGTCATGGTAGATGTCTGGATCGTTTGTAAATGCCCTAAAAGATAATCGATCAAAAGCTGTTGTTTCCTAGGAGATTAATCCATGAATGACATTCTAAGTACTAGCTAGGAAAGATGATCCTTTCGGAATAAACTATCCCTCACATATATCTTCTTCTGTTAAAGTATAAGATGGGCTTATTAGAAGGACTAGGTGCTATCGAAGCACCTCTTTGACTAGAGAATTAATGTATAGGAGATTTTCTCGATCGGTGAATCATGGGAGCTGGTTGTTTCCAACCACTCTGTCGAGTTCCTGTTGGGCTTCAATTTGCACTTCGGGGAACAAAGCTACAGCAACAAAGAAACAAGAACTCGATAAAACAATCTCACATTTTGTTAGCTTCGTTACATGACTTAGATCATTTTTCTCATAGTATCTACTACTACGTTATATAACAAGTATCAATATAAAGTGATGAGAGGATTATCAATTCTCAATGAATTACAGATGTGTATTAGGAAAGCTATATAAAGAAGTCTATGACAATTAAACAAACCACCAATATGGCGAGGGCTCTTTTCGTTAAATCTTAACACTTGATACCATTGGTATCGTTGGTACCGTTGGTGTGGACACCATTGATACCATTGACACCGTGAACACCATTGGTGCCGTTGGTGTTGTGAACACCGTTGGTGCCGTTGGTGCCGTGAACACCGTTGGTGCCGTTGGTGCTGTGAACACCGTTGGTGCCGTTGGCCTTGTGCACACCGTTGGAGACGCCGTTGGCGGTGTAACCATCTAGGCCATCCATGACCATCTCCATCATTCCACCCTTCAACAAGCTCTCGTAAACAGTGCTGACCCAGCTTCCGACAGACTTCTTGCCTTCGGTGGGGAGACCCTTCTGGGCGTTGTACAAGGGGTCGTCCTTGAGACCGCGGTGGAGAGGCACGTTGAGGGTTGAGCGCACCCAGTTGTATAGCTGAGCAGAGCCTTGACCAAGTTGGGCGGCAACCTCCTCAGTAGGAATGACGGGGCCGGGGTAGAACATGCCTTCAGCGGCCTCGGAGACGATGCTCTGGAAGCTCTTCTTGAAGGCAATAATATCGGCGACTGAGCACTCGTGTTCACTGGTGACGAGGAACTCGGTGATGGGGGTGGTAACAGACTTGACCACGGAGGTGACACGGTCCTTCCAGCAGTTGGTGTTGGCCTGGTACCAGGCATCCTCAATGATGGGGAAGAGCGAGGCGCTGAGTGTCTCGATCTGTGAAGTCGATAATCCGAGTCCGTTCAAGGCACCCTTTGGCGTAGTGTCGGTAACCATCTCGCGGAGCTTAGAAAGGAAGCGCTTGTGGTTTGCGCGGAGGTCGACAGCCTGGCAGGAGACGAAGAGGTGGCAAGCACTCATGTGTGCAAGCAAGTCAACGGCCTCCATAGTGCGGCGGGCGGAAATGAGTGCCAGGGAGTTGATGCCCTGGTTGTGCATCTCAGCGGACATGACGTGAGCAGAGACGGGAGCAGCGAGTGCAGCCAACTCAGACATGTAAGCCGACATGTTGATATCGATACCCTTCATGGTGTAGTTCTCGCGATCGCTGGCATTAAGGTTGGCCTCAAGGCCGTTATTAGTGACGGGGTTGATGATCTCAGTGACCTGGGACCAAAGCATGCGGCCAATCATCTGAATGGACATGCGGGCCTTGTCCATGGCGGAGGTAACGGAAGCGGCTTGGAAGTTTCCGCCGGAGTAGACGGCTCCATCGGCTTCATCGTCCAGCTTGCTGGTGTCCACGATGGGGTTGTCTGATGTGGAGTTGAGCTCCACTTCCAACTGTTCTTGTGCGAGGAGGAGATCCTCGAGGTAAGGACCGACCCATTGGGGGGCGGTTCTGGTGGAGTAGCGGTCCTGGCACAGACCTTCACCAGTCTTCTTCCTTGAGGTCAAGCCAACAACAAATTGGGAGCCCTTCAGGAAGTGACGGATATTAGTTGCGACCTCACTCTGACCAGGGTGAGGGCGAGTGTCGTGGCAGAAAGGCTGGGCCCACTCCACGTTTCCTGCCAAACATTCAGACGCAAATGCGGTCAACATTTGAGACAGCACTGCGAGCTGCTGGGTATCATAAAGCACCATACTGGCAACGGCGACGGAAGGAGCAGTGCCGTTAATGAGACCAAGACCCTCCTTGGGGCCAAGTCCGGAGGCGGAGAGTCCGCTCTCCTGCAATGCCTGCGAGGCAGGCACGACCTTGGTCTTTGAGCCCTTGCCCATCTGGACAAAGACATCGGGGTTTCCTGTGATTGCACCAGCAATGTAGGACATGGGCATGAGATCTCCAGAAGCGGAGATGGTACCCCTCAGGGGAACCATGGGGATGATATCATTGTGGAGCAAGTCAAGCAGGCTGTCGAGTACACACTTGCGGATGGCACTGTGGCCTCGGAGGTTCTGATTTGCGCGTGTGACGATAGTGGCGCGAATCCAGGAAGGTGGCATAACACGGGAGGGCTCGCGCTCCCAGTTGTTGGCGGGGTCTTTATCGGCGGCGGTGATAATTCCACTCTGGATGAATTGAAGCAGGTGGGTCTGCAGGTCAATGTGCTGGTTGGTTCTGGTGTCGGCACTGCCCCCGAAACCAGTGTTGACGCCATAAACGACCCAGTCGTGAGTAAGATACTCGGCGAGGGTATCTACGGAGAGATCCAGCTGCTTTGCAAGCTCTTCGTCCGAGCTGATTGTGGGTTTGACACCGTGGCGGGCGACAGCGATGATAGAGGCAATATCGAGGTTGTTACCGTCCAGGACGATTTGTTCCTCCCTGCTCTTTAGGTCTCGTAGCCGTCTCCATATCCCGAGAGTTGCGCTCGTGTGAGCGGTGGGCTTAGGGGGCATCATGATGAATTATAATAAGCAAGATTATATGTTTCGATATAGCTCTTGGATGACTTCCTCACTGTTCTCCAAAGTCCGATCCAAGTGAGAATGGTAACAAGAGAGAGAGAGAGAGAAAATTAGAAGAGAAGATGAAATGAAAAAGCAGAGGGAAAAAGTAAATAAATGTAACAAAAAGAAAGCATGATCCACAAGTTCTGATACCTCGTACAATAAAAATTGTATCGAACCTTTCAAATGCGATGTCGATCAGCGGCTGAGGATCTTGGTCACAGTGGAGCAATAACTTCGACCATCCCCACTAGCTCCATATCATGATCGATTGACTTTTCCACACCGTATTTTACTAATTTTCTTTTCTTTTTAAATTCTCTGCATCACATTGTTATCGCTTTCATTGGTTTCATTCCCCTTGCAGCTTGTCAAAAGGTATTTTTGAAATGTCAAGGGGGGCTGCCATTATCTTCAGTGTTTTGAGAGATAGTTGGATCTCTTGGCTGGATTTGTATCCACATCATCGCCGAGTCCCTCCGAATTTGGTGTCGCTAGTCACTGCCGATCGATCTTAGACGATTTGTCAAATACAAGTATTAGCCCACACCCATTTAATGAATATCCACAAGCACACCCTTTTCTCTCGACATGGCTGAAACAAATAGGAAACTGCATTGTTCAAGCTGCCAGTGTATGTTTCGAATACATTATCACAGTACTAGCCCTTTGTTAAATGCTTGAATTTGACGTCAGATTAAGCTATGTTAGCACTCATGGGGGTCTGACAACTTCGGAACATGAGCTTCACAGCTGCGGCCCGCGTAACAAAAAATTGACGCGCTACACACACATTAGATCACAGGCTTGTGACTGGTTGGATGATCAATCGAAACATTCGATTATTCCTCCGTCGGGAAGATATTGACAAAGCAGCTCGGCCGTCCGAAAAAGAAGTGGGTATCGTAATATCATCTCATTGGACTGGACATTTTCCACGAGAACATTCTGTTCAGTGGGTTTATTATACTCGTACCGGATAAACAAAATTGTAGTACTGTGCATGTATGTACAATATGTATAGTGCGGTACGACCTTGCATGATCAGCACACTGACGAACCTGACCCACCTATCCCTGAGTTAGTTCCGACCCGCCGCTTTGGCTGAGCTGAGTGGACTAACTCAAACTATCAATCTGATCGGTCGATCGGTGAAAATGAATCTGAGTCCCGACCTCTGTGCTATTGTTGTGGCCTGTGGCGTGATATGAGATACTGCCTGAATAGCAGAATACCTTTGAACGTGGGTGGTCCAATGCCGCTTATCTGAACATCCGCTGCCCAGTGTTGTATACCATGGAGCGTATCCAGATACAATTGATCACTGATCGACCGAGGGTTGACAGTCGCCATGGGGGCTTTTGAAAAACCAACTCAAAGTGGACATACTACTCGAATTTTGCCATTTGCCTACAACGTATACATGCGATGAAGATCAGTGTGTCTTACTCTCAGGTGCGGGCGTATTCCTCTATGCGGAGCAATAGGAGACCAAACAAAACAAATGGTGGCTGCAAAATATCCATATAAATGTGGTCCCATGGCGAACAAAGCTGAAATCACTGTGCCGCGATCGTGTACAAGGTGGGTCTGCGATCTGGGAAATTTTCGCGTTGTAAAAGGTACGGGAACTTGATTCCCCCCTGTTCATGGTTCTTTTCGGGTTGACAGTGGATATAGTGGAGACCTAATATGGGTCCTCAAAACCAAGTAAAGTTCATGTTTGCTCAGTACCTGCAATATTGTATTGATAGACATGATAGATACATCATGCACTCCGTATATTGCATGATAGCTTGTACAACGAGGCAAGCTCGTTGTTATCAGGGGTAATTGGAAAAATGGTGCGTTAACGCCCGAATGGGCTTTATTGGGCAGCTCTTCGCATTCGTTTCTGCACCCCTTATTGTCGCGGATTTATTTTTCCTGTCTTGAGGTGGAGACACCAAAATCTACTAGCTTGCCAATTGTTTCGATGGAAAAGAACTGTGGACCAAGGCCAGTGGACATGATAAAGAGTTTGGCGCATCGATTTTGCACTGAGGGCGTGGGATCATCTGGCATCTTCGTTCCCCAGCACAAAGACCAACTGTAGATTAGACCAACCCATTTTGTCTTATTGAAGCTCCTTACACTATTTCTATTTCGTTGATTCTCGAGCCGCTATGTCGTGATTTGCTAGGCTACCAGGAATAGTTCTGACCGCGTTGTCCCATCAAATGTGACATGCGAAAGTGCCAACGAAGCGAGGAGCAGCTTAAATCAATAAATATGCACGTTGTACATTGTGTCTAGCAAGATACGTGCAATCCCATTGGAGGCTTGGATGACCAATGGGAGGTGAGGACGGCAGCACATACATAGACCCAACCTTGGAAGATAAGGCACTGAACTTTGATCAAATGCCCAGTTGTTGATCAGATGTAAGCACACCAAGGCTATACCAGAAGAAGAAAGCCTTTTTAATACTTGAGAAAAAAGATGCGTCGTTTAGGCAACAAAGGTTTATTTTGTGGGCTGTTGAACTGGCTCTACAGCTGCACGAAACCACCAACGCTGTACGGAGGATAGTTGATATACTTGCATTTGATGAATTGCCAAAAGGATCATTCCAAGATCTGTGTGACACAAAATTGTATACTGTAACGAGTGCATCCCAAAAGGCCTTGAAGCATTGTAAATGGGTTCCTATGTGGGTATTTTGTTGATATTCCATTGCCATTCTAACCGCCAACCAACCCAGACAAGCGATCAAAAGTGGGACAAAGGAAAAATTCGATTTAAGTTGTATAATATGTAAAAAGGGCTGTAAAGGTCGTAAACAAGAACCCTTGGTTTCGACCTGAACAGGGCTGTTCTGCGAACATACGATATTGTATGTAATTAAGTGACCCGCTTTACTCACATTTACTATCTTTCCACAGTTCTGAGTTCTCTAGAGACTGAGCATGTACTCCGTACAATGGTCCTTCATGCCTTAAGATGTGACCCATGAATGTAAATTGATAAGAGAGCCTTGCAAGTGGCTTGGAATCGAATGATCACACATGGTCCAGGCGCGTAGACATCCCCTCGAGAGAAAAAGCAAAACACACGTCAAGCTCCTGCGGTAAAGTCGGTGTCGAAATTCGTCGATGGCTCACATTTCGTGACAATACACATATCGCCCTTGAGTATTTGTTTCGTTATGATACCACCCGAATAGAACTCTCGGTCCGAGGGCAGTCCTACTTCGGCCGGTCAGAAGACCCCACAACCAAGGCTTACTGCAACGTGTGGGACTGGGATCGACTGTGGATAGTGAAAATCAAAGGCACGGCGAAGCTTTTTCCACGCGAAGAGGATGCAGAGACCCTGATTCTGGAGAAATAAGCTGATTAACACGCAAAACGTTGACGACAATGGGCTTCTGACTGAAGTCTCGATAGACCCGCAAGAGGATGATACTGTTTTCATGGCTTATTATCCATTATCGACTGTTCAACTTTTTTACCGATTGTCGTACAATACAGTACTCCAAACTCCAAGAGGTCGACCGGCTCGGACCATTTGTTGATCTCTTATCATATGAAGATGAATCCGGAATTTGTTGAACTGTCGTCTTCAACAAAGATGGCTTGGGATGAAGTTCATCTTCTCAAAAGCCTGCCTCCACACCCCAAACTAGTACCATTTGATTGTGTTGTTCTGGAAGATGTGGAGTCTCGGGTGATTGGTTTCACCATGAAGTATATACCAGGTGGAACCCTTAAAGATCTTAAAATTCCTTTTCGGTTTGAGTGGATACAGCAGCTTACCCAACTCCTGGATTTCCTGAATATAGAGCTGGGGATCATGAATCAAGACATCGCGCCCCGGAATCTTCTCAATGATCCCGACACCGGCAGAGTCCTTCTCTTCGATTTTGATAGAGCTGCACACGGGAAGAAATGTTTAATGGATGGTCGAGATGATGTGCTTGGCATTGTGTCAACCATTTACGAGATAATTGCGAACGATATACATTTCACGAGTATGCCGCATTGGGATCGAACAATGGAAATGGTTCAGGGTCTCCCGAGTGGCCTTGTAATCACAAACTTGACTCTGACGTATCGAAGTTTTGCAGCTTTTTGAATGACTGGGTTGCAACCCAGCGAGTTGACGGGGATACGGAAAAGTTTCTCAATGCACCCAATCGACTTATATGGCCGGATCTACGAGACCCGCCTGAATACAGCGTACCTTTCGAACTTGGCAAAACCTCGGATGGGGAGGCAGCTTGGCGGACGGGTCCACGGACCAGACGCACTGCTATGAGGAAGGGACAATACTGCTTTCGTTGGGAGAGACCACCGCAAAGCAGGCTACTGAAAATGGCCGAGAAAGGAACCGGAAGTAGCAGTGAGAATATTGAGCTGAAAGTAGATTGTCAATATCAAGTGCCATGTGTGGTTTTTCTAAAGCAATGTGAACATCTAAGACCGGTCGCTGGCCTGGTTTAGTACAACTAACATATATGAATGAAGGTGGCTGGAGTGTTCAAGAACCAGAGTACTAGGATGAACATGCAATATTGTAGGTTTTTCCCTCTTCCCCATATCTTTCAGCCATCTTTCAGCCATCTGTGGTATGGAAACTAAAGCTGCCACTGTCGGTTCACAAATTTGAATATCAGAATGAACATGTATTTTACCAAAGAAATAACACCATCTTATGCACATTGCTTGGCATTGGCATTGGATCCAAACCCAGCAGGTAACATTATCTCAAGTGAAGCACCTGGTTCAAATGATTATAAACCATGATCTTTGAGAGCTTTCGAGGTTCTTTCTATACAAAATGAAAGCCGGTTTCCAATAACATAGAAGCAGAGCCTCTCCTACGAGAAAACGAAACACGAGAAGATAAAGACAAGGCAGTTCTAGCAGAGATTCTCGAGCACAATAAGTCCTGGCTGCGCTAGCTATGGCAAGAAGATGAGGCAAAACGCCATAGAGCTATGCATTCTTCGAAAGTCCTCGGTAGATATCCGAGGATCCTAAACTCCAGGAATTGTATGACTTAGAACGAAATATTATCTAGTAAGAATAAAAACCAAAAAGCGAAATTGGAGAATTGGACAATGAGACATCCTCAACTGTTGTCAATCTTCGCAAACGACCAGCTTTGAAAGACAGGTGGGTACAGGAAAGGTCGGAGATCGAATCTATGATCATCCGGGCTATGGTTTTTCGCATTATAAGCCGGCGTAGCAACCGTCTGCTTATGGCGTTTGGTCTGATAAGAGTGAAAGAATTTATTCGCTATATCAACGACCTCATGTGGACTGAGCTTTCCTCCGCCACTCCATTCTTCTAGAAGACGAAGGAACATACCATATGGACCGAGATGTTTTAGTTTCCTCAAGGCACTATATCGGGACAGATATGCGTAGGTCATTCCCATGTCAACCTCGTCCGACTGTGTGTGTTCGGGGTTATCGATTCAAGTCAGTGGTGGGTGTGGCATCGATGAAGTCTTTCAGAATAGGCATGTCGAACTGTGTCGAAGACCATGAGTTAAGCGAATAAGATCGACTTTAAAGATGGATCCGATTGGGTTGATGTCCGTTGAAGAACAATCATAGTTAGTGAGGTAGCCGCGGGGGCATTCGTCCACGTTCGAGTTTCCAAGGACTGGAAGTGAGCCACCTCCGGTCGTTGACGGACTTCACATAATCCTAGGCAAGGTAATATGCGAGTACCATTCGGGACCGTGCTTGGATATTCTGTAAAGCCAGGTTCGATATGGTTGAGCCTCCATGGACTTAGAAATTAGGCTCGAAGCCAGTGGCCTGAGTTGAAATATTCCTCGTCGAATTGAAACTATTCACATCGGTGTGATATGATCCTATCCGATCGGACAGAGCTTTGGCACGATCCCGAGTTTCTTTGCTGCTCTGATTTTCCATTCCCATGTAGCAAATGCAAAGTACCTGATTGCAAAGCTCTTCAGCAGCCCCGGGAAGGTTCTCAGAAAAAGCGGCAATAGGCTTAGTATCTTCGATGACCTGTTGATTACCTCCATTTATCGCCGCAATGACAAAACGGCACGTTGAGTATACAAGCGTGGCTGTAGCACAGCTATCTATACCACTTGAGAGCGGAATGAAATAGCCTGCAGACTTTGAGCGCCTTAGGTAGCCCCAGAGCAAACAGGCAGGCCCGAGCGTAATAACTCCTCCAGGTCGTGATATCGAGTTGGTCTAAGGGGGTATACACCTGAGCTGCAAATCAACATCATCGTCATCGCGCGATAAAGCGAAATCCAGCTCGATGCGCTCATATTGCGGGGCTGGGCTGCCACGGCTTGGAGACCGCGCGAGGGAGCGATTCTATAAGCCTGCACGGCCGATTGATAGCTGCAGTGACGACTTCGACCTCATTGAGCGAGAACTGACTTGACTGCCTCACGATGTTGCCGTTGACGAAGATCATTGCACAACCATAGTAGCACAATCTATCGCCATCGCACCCAATTTGATTAAAATGCAGGTAGACTCCACCATTTTCGCGAGTAGCCTCAGATATTAAAGCAATGCGCTCATCTAGCTTGCACAGAGAATGATGGCTCCCTCTGTTATATGTGCATATCTCGACGCCGTTGAGTGCCATAGTGATATGGGGGCTGTTAGGTGTGAAAAGCTCCTCGCATGTTTCGGCCGCAAAGGTTGTGTCGATGGTGGAAAGTACCACATCTCCAATTCGAGCGGTACGTCAACCTTGTTGCTCCTGGAAATGCGGCGGGAGTTTGTGGTCTTCGACATGTCCAGGTCAGTTCCACGGTGCGAAAAGGCGCATTTCGCGAAAGTTTTTATCGTTGGCAAGATATAACTTGAGCCGGAGGCACAAGATATTCCCCTTCAAATAGGGGCCCTTAAGTTATATCTGCAACCCTGGTGAAAGATAGAGAGGCCAAGGTCGATGACGATAACGTGGAGTGTTTGATCAGTCAAAATGGAATACAGCGAGTCCCATGAGTTTTCGCAAACCTCATTCTCCAGGAAGTGATCCAGACAGCCTTAAAGACACATGATCATCTCACGAAAGACCAAGTACACACCATGACCTGAGATTTCAAGCTAGGGTCCAACACATAAGGTTGCGCCGGCTTCTTTGGCTTTATGAATGCTTTCCTTGATTCTTCGGTGGTTTCCAGCGAAGCCAAGACTTCACTGATTGAGTGATCATGTGGCCAAAGTAATTAGAGAGCCATTGTTGTTTCCTGATGGGCTCAGAAAGCGGGGAGCAACATGAAATATTCCAAGGTCATCGGAGGAGCTTTGTTATCAATAAGATAGGGTGGTCAGCAAAAACCAACTGCGCCGTTTCTTTGATCCATTCTTTTTCCCATACGGCAGCCACGTGATCATGCATAACTATATAAGTTATACACATATGATTTAGGATGTGTATTTTCTAATGAAACTATGTGTAATGCTCGTGGAAATTGAGCAGAAGATCTGAACGTTGAATTGCCCCTTGTATGTCGTACGAGAGCGACAAGTGGCTATTTTTGTCGTAAATACTTTGCTGAGGTATACGTATATTTTCTTATAGGTAGAAAAAAAAACCCCATTTGGAGTTGCGCAAGTACTTTATAACACGATATTGTACTTATTTAAGTTCAAGCAACAATTTGAGACACCAAGCACTTGGAGATATAAAAATAGCGGGAGGCGTGGAGACCGTTGTAGGGATCCTCCCTAGATTGTCGACGCCTAGACCCACTTATCTAACGCGTGGCCTGCTTGGCCAAGGGCTTATCTGTGAGCAACTTTTTTTTTTCTAATGCAACTTTTTATTTTTTGTACTCATTTACCCCTTCAGTTAGATTTCACGCAGTTCGAACCCTTCTTGCTTCTTGACGCGGGGTGATTCTTTTAAGCGATACACTTCAGGTCACGATGCACGACTTTTATGCTGACGATCAGGGACGGTATCAAACTGCGGGACACATGTCAGAAAATGGGCAATTGGCCAGTGCACACCCGCCTGCTTACGGATCATGGAATGGAGATGCCAGCCCATACTCTAAATGGGACCCGCGAGGATGGTCCTTAAAGAACAAGATCTTTCTCGCACTAGGCATCATTGTCGTGATCGTGGCGATCATTGTGGGCTCAGTCCTGGGAGTGAGAGCCAATCGCTATCCCAACTACTCCAAGCTGGACTACACCTTGCAAGATACCTTTTCAGGATCGTCTTTCTTCGATAACTTCGAATACTTTACGGGAACCGATCCAGCCAATGGATTCGTTCAGTACGAGCCCTGTGCAGACATTGTTTCAAATCCATGCTAACGATTTATGCAGATATATCAGCCGAGCTAATGCTCAATGGCTCAACCTCACTTATGCTAGCAGTGAATCGGCCGTCCTCAAAGTGGATACGACGTACAGTGGATCACAGGCCGCTAGCGGACGCCAATCCGTGAGGATAACGTCGAACAACACATACGCTGATGGTCTCTTTGTTTTCGACATTCTACACACTCCTTACGGATGTGGAACATGGCCTGCTTTGTGGCTCACGGACCCCAGCAATTGGCCCGAGCATGGAGAAATCGACATCGTTGAAGCTGCGAATGGCGGAACATTTGGCAACCAAGCAACCCTCCACACATCCGATGGGTGCTCGATGGGCGTGAAGCGGAAAGAGACTGGATCCGTTCAGAACAAGAATTGTTACTACAAAGAGAATGATTATTCGGGTTGTGGAGTGACTGGCACTGACAGTACCTACGGTCCCGAATTCAACAGCAATGGAGGCGGAGTAAGTTTGAAACTGAATTGCTACAGATGGGCGCGAAAGACTGATCATTTCTATTAGGTCTATGCAATGGAGCTTCGCAGTGCCGGAATCCGAGTATGGCAGTGGGCACGGTCGAATATCCCATCTGATATAACCTCGGGAAGCCCCGACCCATCTACTTGGGGTACGGCCTTTGCAGATTTCCCAAACACGGATTGCAGCATCGGGTCCCATTTCAAAAACCAGAGTATCATTGCTAATATCGATCTGTGCGGTGATTGGGCTGGTGCGGACAAGTATTACAAGACTCAAAGCGACTGCCCCAATACTTGCAAGACGTTTGTCCGAGATAATGCAACGAGCTTTACCAATGCTTACTGGGAGTTTAAGAGCTTCAAGGTTTACCAATCTAGCTGAATCCTTTTGAGTTACGAAGCATGAGATGGAAAATGCGCATGCAACTGGTTTTTGCCTGCGCCTTTTAATTATTTAGCGAAGCATTTTGCTTTTTATGGGGGGTTCTTTTACGTAGGGCGGATTTTACCTTTCTGTTCAAAAATTGGTGATGATCCGTGTCATTTTACGAGTTCACAAATAGCTAGATGGCCACGAATATGAAACAGCTTTATTGAGTACCATTTCTAATTGTATCGTCATCAAAGCACTTCACTTGTTATGAGATTTTTTGTAGTAACTTGAAGTTTGTTATGTCCAATCAGGAGCTTTGAACAATTCACATGCTTATATACTATTGGACCTTGCCCCTCGAGTCAACCGGCCAAATCTCCTCGATGATGCCCCCGCGATGCGCATAATAAACGTCATGCAGATTAACCGTCGGGTCGATGTGACTGGGTACCATCTCAACACGATCCCCAACCGAAAGGGGTGGTACACCTTCTTCCCAACTGAGTGAGCCATGCTCATCACCAAGAACGCCATAGGAGTATCTCGGGTCCTTGCACTCGGCCAAACCACTATCCGTGGTCAATGACTTTAGTCCACTGTCGATCGTCACTGAGCGAGGACCTTGTTTGCTCAGGACTGTGGATAGAATGGTGAGGCTGTTCGAATAAAACGTGCCCACAGCATTCCGATAGTCTGTGTCCATGAAGATGAAAGAGCCAGGCTGAAGCTCGGTCACGCCAGGAACAGCGGCGCAGAATTCGGCAGTTCCAGTGCCCCCAGTAGTGACCACTTCGATGTTGAAACCTGCTTTTCGTAGAACGGTCGCAGTATTGGTGAGTGTCTCCATTGACTCAAGGCACTGACTTTTGCGATCCTCGTAATCGTGCAAATGCTGTAAATGGCCTTCATAGCCGTGAAGACCGATAAGCTTCAAATACTTGAGGCCTCCAACATGCTGTGCCAGGGTCATGACTGGCTCCCCTGGCAAGACACCAGTGCGGTGAAGCCCAACATCCAGATCAATTAAAACGGAGATTGGTTCATCAATGCCAGCGCTCGCCAAAGCGTCGTTGATAGCCGTCGCGCCAACATCGCTGTCAACGACTATCCTAATCTTCCGGTGTTTGCGATACAAGTCCACCAGCCTCTTCACTTTGGCAGGGCCGATAACCTCACAGGTAATGAACAAGTCATCGAATCCAGCGTCGGCAATGACCTCTGCCTCGCTCACTTTAGCCACACAACCGCCTTTTGCTCCAGCCTTGACCAATTTGCTGGCCAGGATGGCACTTTTTGTTGTCTTTAGATGAGGCCGAATGTCAAGACCCGTTGGTAAAAGCTTGTCCATCAGCTTTTTGATGTTGGCTTCGACGAGATCGAGGTCTGCAATCATGGACGGTGTGTCCAAGCTGTCAATCGTGTCACCAACTTTGGGAGAATACATGTTGAGCGCGAAGTCGGTGGTTTTGGTTTGACTTCAAGATTATTTTGCGCGTGTAACGTGGGACTTCGCACGAGGGATAGGTCGCAATTTATAAGTTGGGAAATCGACGCAAGGGGGAAGATGTGCCGTGCCTTGATTGTGGATGCGCCCCCGCACTAAAGATGGGTTATACGATACGGCAGTGGGGGTGGATTCGCTCTATTGCGGGGGGTATTGTGATGTTGCATTTGCCAATTTGAAGGTTTTGAAGTCGGAAATTACCTGCGCTCAAAGGATGAGGGGTGTGATTCATGGTTGACAGCAGAGCGGCTCAGGAACAATGGCGTCCCGAACGTGTTCCGAGCCTAATCCGGTCCGAGGTGGTATCGGGTTCACTGAGCGACACAAATAAATTCTCATCTGAGATCCTAAGAATTAAAGTGGATTCATTCACACTGATCTGAGCTTGTGAAATGCGGTGGATTGTTTTGGAAGTGCAAACCAAATGTTAGCACGATCTTAGTTTCTCAGGCTAACAACATTCGGAATGTGTGAAACCGCCAAATTTATCATTTTCGACTAGTACATGGCTTGAAGGTTGTCAGCACAACAATAGATATACCCAATGCGCTTTTATAGTTTTGTATTTGCATTTTCTACTGCAGGAAAAGATCATGCTGCTGTGAAATCTTATGCAAAGATATGAAAAGTCGGATATCAGAGATAGGCGTCCATCACCTCTCTCGGATCTTGATGTCTTTCCTGGCATCGCAGCTTGGTCGCAATGCCCCTTTGGCCACTATAGACAGACTCGAAAGACACTGGTAGACACACGAAGAAAGCATACCCAAGTATAGAGCAAGAACAACTTAGGATAAAGTGATATGTTGGTGTCGCCAAATTTCTTAGACGGCATATATGTTGTATTCATAAATCATATCTCGTCACAAGGTGTGATGTTGCGGAAGTGGGCCCAATGTTCTCCCTCGATGTTGCGCTCAGTGTGATAATGTTTTGACGGACGGTGGATCAAAGTCCGTTGCGTTGACTGTATCATCAAAGTCAGATCTGTTTTCAAAGACACGGTGTGAATGAAATACCAATTGAGATCATAATAAACCCGAACTCGTCAGTTTCCTCCAGCCACCTTTCTGCTCTTGGATTCATGACAATACCCGGTCGGATCTTGCCAAGCTCACCTTGCAGATATCCCTGGCCATTCCAGCGCGACAACCAGTGGATATACCTCGTGTTCCATTCTTGTTCTGTCTGTGCCTGCCAAAGAACCTTTGCAGCTGGCGCGGGCATAAACCCCAGATCCGTGCAGTCAAAGCATGGTACTTTGTGTAGGACAGAGTATGCCCAGTGAAGTAGATACAGCGCAAGCACCGCACGACGCTTCGACGTGACATGGAGCCATGCTTCCCAGGATGGTTGTTTCTGAGTACGCTCTTCCTGGAGATAAAGACCTGCGTGGACAATTTGGTAAACTAGCAGCTCGACTTTGCGAAAGATGATATGATGGTCTGTCATAAGGCGCTGTTGGCTTCCTGCCGGGGAGAGGAGGATGATTGTGTAGATGACCACTGATTGCAAGACCGCCAACAGGGTTGTTTCGTCAAATTGCTCGGAGTGATCCACGATGCTGTCTAGCTCTCGGAGGATTGTTTTACGGACCATCTCCTCTGCGCCTTCACATTGACCGTGCCACATTTTGGCTAATGTTATGCAGTTTGCCAACGGGGCGGGCAATGTCTTATTTGGTGTGATGTGAGTGGAGTGGAATATGGGTGGTAGCTGAAAGTCTTCGGCTAGCATTCTTGGCCAACTCCGAAGAACTCGGAAGATGAGCTCCATGCTATGATTAGCTAGGGCTGCTGAATTGGTGACTTCCTCTGCTCCAAGGCGAGGTAATGGGCCTGAGGAGAGCGGAATCAACTCTGGGGGACTGCTATCACTGCTATCATTCAAAGAGAATGCGTCCAGGGTGAATTCACGATGAGGAGAGCGTAGAGCGAGATTTGCTTGCTGTGTCAAGTCCCAGGAGCCCAAACCTGAGAAGAATGAATCGAATAAATTTGAATCGATAGTTTGTGGAGAACTTTGCGTATTGGAAGCCAGTGAAACTTGTGATGTAGATACTTCTGCATGGGTTTCGTTGACAATGAAGCTGTTGTTCTCAAATCCTGCGCTTCCCGTGAATGCTGTGCCAGTATATTGACAGCAGATGCTTCTCATGGAACACCGCGAGCAACTAGGACGCTTAAGATTGCATCTAGCTTTATCTGCAACGCACTGATGACAGGACTTGCGCCTTAAGTTTTGAGGTTGGGATTTATTACAGTTGTTCTTCAAATGGCGGATGAGTGAAGACCCTGCAGTAGAGTTAGTCAAGGCCGTAACGAGGGACCGAAGACGCACTATGGCTGAAATGGGTGTCGCAAAATGGACACCCCGATTTTTTCTCAGGTATGGCTTCCATTGTGTTGCATAGATGCCGGTGGAGAGCTGGGATGTGGAATGTAGTGTTTGAACTCGGAACTCCGGGTTCCTTCAGTGTGCTGGTGGGGTCCGAGCCAAGGAAGCATATAAATCCGCGTTATTCCACCATACCAAAACTAATTCATCACATTGTTTTAAAAAATGACTATCAATCACGTTTTTGTTTGGGGATCTGCAGCCAAGTTTGTGGCCTTGCGATCGTTTTATCGCACAGTCCTGCAACCAATTGGCTACAACGAGATGATCTGCGTCAAAAACGATGCGCTCATCGGATATGGAAGCGACTATCCCTACTTTTGGCTAAAGAAACTGCCAGAAGGAAAAGATACCCTTCCAACGCATATTGCGTTCGATGCTCCAAGTATGTATGTCTCTGTATGAGATACTAGACAGACCCACTAATGCGGCTGAGCTAGGCCCTGAAGCTGTGGATCAATTCTACCAACTCGCACTGTAAGCTTACCATTGCCCATTTCTCATTTTGATTGACAAAGCAGCTAAAGCGATTCAACAGGGAGCATGGTGCACGCGACAACGGAGGCCCAGGGATAAGAAAGGAAATGAGTCGTCAGCCGTATTACTCCGCCTTTGTGCTCGATTTGGACGGCAATAATATTGAAGTCGTGTGTCTTAAAAATTGAATTGTGGGCCATAGACTCCGGGGTGGAGTAGATGGTATTCATACTCAGTTGGTCGTCGGTATACTTCCAAAGTCTCTTTTACGTTGTATGTAACATCTCCGACAGCTCTACGACTACATTCTGGTCTAAGGTAGAAATTTGAACTGTATCGCTCGATTGACTCAATGAACTCGAAGACATAAGAGAAGAAGAAGAAATAGAAACAAAAGGAAATAAAGGAGAAAACACCAGGAGGAGCCATTCACTACCGCCATCGCACTTGCCTGATTCGAACACCTTCTTCTTGTGGAGTTACATTAATAGCTATGGTAAGTGATAGCAAGCGCTCGGAGGGTTCAAATGAATAGAGATAAAGATCTTTGTATAAAGGGTCCTCGTGTCCATATATGTCAATAGACCATGTAATGAAATCGATGAAAGCAAACGGGATATGCATGCATGACCCAATGGGGATGCATGAGGATGCTGCTGCGTACCTCTAACCCTTTCGGGTTAGATTTGCCTTTTTCAGGGTTGGCACAGCACCCCATGCTTTATGACCTGTCTACAAAGGCAGAGTTAGTAACCCTGTCTAGCATCACTCACCGATATTTTCGCCGCCTCTCTTAATCACCGCAGCCTAGCAGACATTAGTCATTTCGACTTTGTTCTTGCGCATAATCGACCCCGGGACTCGCCTGAGTACTTTACCTATTGGGGGAATCTGGTCTATGATTTTGCTGGGTATGTTTAGAGTTGGTTTTATTATGATAATGATCTGATCCGAAGTTTGATGAACCAGTTTTTTTGCTCGCGTAAATTGTCTGGGAGAATCTTGGAATATCAGAGCATGCCGGCCTCGGTGAGAGCTACTTTAGTTTCCTCGACATTACCAAACTCCAATACGGGCTTGACGTGTTATGGTCTTGGTGATTGTTAATAGTCGTATCTGCATGGACTTGGCCTGAGGTGCAAACCCGTGATACGGGACGTCACTACTTTCTTGAGCATTGCTAGAAAACCAGCATGACAATTGCTTGTTCGAGGACAACTTACGACATAACATGGTCACTGCAACCCTAAATTTGAACGCTGATGATGTCCTTAATACTGTTTTCGGTAATGGACTCAAGGAAATCAACGAGGAAACTTGGCCTAATTCAAACGGCTGAATTGGCGAAGATTCGCAGATATTGAGCGACGAGCTGCTTCATGGTTTCTTCAAAACTCGTAAATTGCCATCCAAATATCCTTTCCGTCGCCTGCCCATCCAGTCTCCATTTGATTGCGGTCAAAGAGCCCTTCAGAGGCAATCTCCCACTCGCAACATCACCATGAAAGAATTTGCGACAAACGCGAGAGACGTCCCGATCCCAAACTACCCCATCTGGGGTGTCTGAAGAGAGAATATGCTCAGAGTTTCCGGGAACCAGCCGGGAATCTATCGAGTCAACATGTGCTCGAGCGACATCGGCAACGTGAACTGGCGTTCCGACATAGGGGAATGCGGAGTTGAGCGAATCACTCAACGCGGGGGCAAGGACCGCTGCTCGGGTGCCCTGGAGGACACTATCGATGGTCGCACTTGCATCCGTGTTCAGACGATCGTCTGGTCCAATGACCACGGATGGTAATAGATTAACAAAGTCGAATTTTGGGCGCTCTTTTTCAAAGAATTCCTTGGTCGCAATTCGAGCGAGGGCTTTGGACGCCCAGTATGCTTCCATTGAACTTGAGAATGGACCAGAGACACTTGTGTTAGTATCGGCCACTAAACATACGATCGCGGCATGAGTTACTGAAGTGCTTGAAGTTGGTGGATTAAAAACAAACCTGTATATAGACGCTCGCTGTCAGGGTTCATGTTCCATTCAATTGGAATCATCGTCACACCTGCTGATGTGTTAGTCTCCGGAATGCGAAATGATGGGGTCAATGTGCATACAAGAAGACGTTAAGACAACGCGACTGATTGAAGGCTGACGAGTGGCTGCCTCCAGGACACTGGTCACCATCGAGATGGCTGGCTTGACAATTCCTGCATCATAATCATCGGTCTACCGGAAAATTGTTGTGAGCGATGAAATGAAGCAAAGGACTTTGAGGGAGCATTACCTCAATTGCTAAAGGCGATGCGAGATGAATGATGACATTGATTCCATCAAGGGCTTTGAAAAATGCATCCTTCTTCAAGAACTCCGGGATGACAGTGAATTCCAGCTGTTCGCGATCAAGGCTTTGCGCAATAATTGTGCTTTTGTTCTTCAAATCATCGACATTCTTCTCACTTCGGACTACAGCCCGAACACGATACCCTCTTTCGAGGGCAATTGTTAGTGTTTTGAAGCCAATATATCCAGTCACACCTGTGATCTGGTCGCCGTTAGCATGGGCTCATAAGTACAGCACTGGCGAAGTGCTTACCAGAACGTGTTCGCTTCCAACATTGTGCGTAGTATTCGACATGATTGCAGCTTTTGAGGAAAGTAGACATATGATTAAATTAGCGGAAGCAATGTCTTTATTTATATTCATGAGGGTTATCGAAAAGACTGCCTCCACTATGCGCTTACTGGCACTCGGAGTTCCGGGTTGGCGGGTGAGGAGGCTCTAGGCTGCGCCACAGCATAAATATCATAAAATAGCACTAGTTATACCAAGTCTTAATGCGCGCACAGATAGGCCCCGATGAGAAGAAAGCCATTTGGCAGGAGTGAACACTTCAAAAAAAAATTCAGGGCTGTCAAAGATTTGGAGTCATGACTTAGACACATCGCCCAATTATCGTACTTTAGTTTTCCTTTGAGTATCGGACCTGGGGAACATAGCATATGTTCATGTGAGCTTATGACTACTGTTACTTTAGCGATCTGAAGGATGGTTTCAATCCTTTATTTGTCCAAATGTCTTTGAAAACCGAGTAAATTGTTCGAATTGCATCGGAAACGGTCCGGAACCAAATATAACGAAATAATTCGAAGGATACGCGGAGTAAAAAAACAATACATGTATCAATACAGGTAAACAATACACATGAAAATCAGAGTTTGAATGCCCCAGAAACACCAAATTAATTCATCGATTTTTTTGATACCACGTTGTGAAGACATGGAATTTAAAGAACTGCCCATCGAGCCACATGGCATCATTTGGCAAGAAAACTTCATCTCTATCGAACATGAGCAAAAGCTCATCTCCATCTTCCTCAATGAGCTAGAATGGGCCGATCGCCCTGGTCGATTATCACTACACTACGGCTACACATTCGACTATAAAACATTTGATATAGACCCCGAAATCCCATACAAGGAATTTCCAGAATGGTTGCAGCCCCTCATCCCGACAACCGAAAACCGCCCACCAGACCAAGTCTGTCTGCAGTATTATCCTCCAGGCGCAGGCATCCCCCCTCATGTAGACGCACACAAACCATATGATCAACTCTACGCCTTGTCACTTGGTGCACCAGCCATGATGGTATTCCGACGGGGCGAGGAGCGCGTCGAAGTTGATCTGACGCCGCGCAGCATGATGCAGATGAGTGGGGACTCAAGGTTGCATTGGACTCATGGCATCAAGAAGCGCAAAAACGACACTATGCCTGATGGGTCCTTGAGGCCGCGCGAGAACAGGTGGAGTATCACCTATCGCTGGCTTAGAAATGGGGAATGTGAATGTGGGAATTTGGACCTGTGTGATACTGCACAACGGCGTAATGGAATGGAGAAGGAGAAGAGGTCTGTGAAGGCGTTGGTTGAGAAAGCTGAGGGTGACGCACCCGTTGCATAAATTTGAATCGTTGGTCTCGCTGAACAGGTTTCATGTCGAATGCATCTGCCAGGGTACTCACCTTTGGCTGGACTTTTTGTATATAATATTGGAGCAAAATATACCCACGAATCGCACCCGCTGACTCCCATAAAAAGATCATCGTGTCAATATCCAGAAGGCTTACCTTGAATCTCACGGCCACATTATTGCCTGCATCACCCCAGAAATTGAACAGATTATCGCCGTGTCGGAATCGTATTACAAGTTTTCCGAGCTTGAGACTCAAACTATAATCAAAGCAACCAAGTGGCATTTGCCTTCACCTAGGTAATGATCTATTGGCAAATCAAGAGCTCCCACTCGATATCCATCACCGGGTGTCATCATAGATTGGTTTCAATCGAGCCTCGGATGTTTTGAACAATCTCGGCAACCCGGTTTCCTCGAAAGAAATCGATTTCTGTGCCATATCGGCGGCAGCCTTACCAGAAAGGAAAGCCACAGGCATACCATGACCATTGAAGCCAGCCGCGATGAATTGTCCCTGCTTTCCAGGTACACTTCCAACATGGGGCAGCGAATCTGCACTATATCCCATGACTAGACCACGAGACCAAATTAGCGCAAATTAGCTATGGCCGCTACTGGAAGTGTACACGTACCTCCAGTCCAAACATGTTTCACCTCAGCCCCGCTATCCGCCCATCCCAGGAATGTGCGCTGCATGTACCCGTCGAAGAAGTCTACGCCGACATCGATTAATTTGCCATCATCAGGATTGTTGTACCACTGTTCGGTATCATCCCTGAAAGTATGGGACGCTCCGCCAGCAATGATCGTGCCGTCATTGCGAGTAATTTGATAGATATACGCATTGGGACCAAGGCGGATGGCATAGGTCCCGGGTAGCTCTTGGTGAGGTGCGCCGGGTGCAGCTGCTATCTGTGTGCAGACCCCTTTGCAGGGTACGATTGCCCTTTCATACTGCGGCGCTAACGCGCTGGTAAATGCGTTGGTAGCAAATATAATCTTCCGGGCTTTGATAACTCCCCGGCTAGTTGTGACAGACCAGAGACCGTCAGCAGTAGGAGTATCTGAAATCTCAGATACCGGGGTGTGTGTTTGAAGATCCAGGCCGTGGGAAACTGCAATATTGACGAGCGACGTGACGAGCTTGTAAGGCCAAAGATGTCCAGTTGGGAAGCTGAAACCTCCCTTGGCGTCTCGGACATGAGCAGTCTTGGGAAGTTTATGGTCAATATCAAACAATAGATCCACTGCAAAGATGTTCGCACGTACCTTTTGTGTATCGGACTGAGCCATGTAGTTGACATCATCCATAAAGTCGAACCCCTGGGCGACCAAGAGATCATAAAAGGCTTTGGCTTTCTTCAGCTGGTCTTCATCAAGATACATATCATAAGAGCGCGTGAAAGTGAGTTCACAGTCAATCTTCTCCTTGCGAACTAACTCTTCCAACAGCTTGAGGTGGGATATTTCGAATCTCACCACCTCCGCTGCAGCCTCAAGGCCATGGCGTTCAGTGAACAGTGCGGTGGCCGAATATATATCAGGTCTCAAATGGCCGCCTATACGCACGCACAAAGATTGGTAAGTGGACTTAATATAAGAAATCGGATTATGCCATGTTTGGGCGTGGCTCACCATTGCGCCCGGTGGCGCCGGAGCAAAGACCACGGGCCTCAACAAGGGTCACTCGGGGAGGAATTTTTTGCTTGTTCTCTACAAGGAGGCGATAAGCAGCCGATGCGCCAACATAACCGCCACCGATGATCAAGATATCTGTTTCTGTCGGCAACGGTGTCTGGTGGTCATCGAGGGGGTGGGGTTCGGTGCGCCAAAATGGTTGGGTAGACCCCACTGCTGGCTGAGGAAAAGGTTTTCCTTTCTGATTAAATGACATTGTTGATTTGGTTTCAAGCTATGAATTATTTGCAGCGTGCAAGTGTGATTCTGTTTATAGTCAAAGAGGGGAAGTGACTCACAGGTTTAGATACGGCATTCCTATCCCGAAGCTACTATCCGGAGTTTGTCTCGGATTTCGGTATGACAACAAAATCGCGAAATCGTTGCTATTGGGCTAGTATATACAGGGATTTATCTTGCATTGGAAATTTGAGGACCTGGAACTGTTTCTCTAATTATCATTGGATCCCTCACTGGGAATCTTCTCTCATATTCGTTGAACTCCGAGACTCCGCAGGCTGCCGTTGTTGAACTTCAAATGCGTCAAGGACATACGAGCACATCGACTGTGCCTTCGATGATTGTCTAGCCAGATATTGAGATTCATTTAATCTTGCCTTCACAATCTGTTTGCGTGTCTTGGAATGGATAGCCGAATGCAAACTTTTCGCCAAACCCTGACCAGGATAAGCTACCAGACCCAACGCACCTGCAATTGCGAATTAGTACCTGAAGTCCAGAGACCAAAATTAAAGGATAACAGTTACGAACCTGATGCAGCTTTTGTGCCCATGCCAATTGGCCCTTTCACAAATCCTTTGATCGCTCCCCTGATACCGTCTTTCTGGCCGCCCTCATATGGCTGCCTGAAAATATCAGTGAGGCCATGTGAGAACCCATGCGTGAAATTGTCACTGGCAGCAGCAACTCCGGATTTGAAATCCTTGATATTATCGTAGCTCTTGACATCTTCACCATAAAGCCGGGGAACCGCCCTAAGGCCTTCGTTGACAGCTCCAGGTATGTCTACCAACACACCCTTGTAGTAGTATGCGATGATCCTTCCCACGCTCTTAGCAGAACCCCCAACGGCATTCCCAGCGACCTTCCAGTCTTCTTCTTGTAGATTAGATCCAGAAGTACGGGATAATCCCGCGGACGGGCGGCGTTCGCCAGCGTTTTGGCCACGCGCAGTTTCAATGACAACAAGTTCTGGTTCGCTTTGCTGACGGGCGCGGCTGAACTCCTTATATGGCCGAATCACAACGTCGCTCGATGCCGTAAGGATGTCCTTGTACATGCCGAGCAACGAAGACGTTCCGCCTGTGATCGGGTCCCATCGCCGCGTCTGGATGAAAATCGGGTTGCTTTCAAACCTGTCAAACAGTAAAAGTCAGCTTAATCAGGGTTTTTTTTTAAAAAAAAGTCAGTGTAAATATTCTTACGATTTGAGGTCGTTTGAATCAAGAAGCGAGTTTTCAATCAGTAGTCCTGCTGCTATTTTGGACATATTCATGGATCCCTTAGGGCCCTGTTTTAGCCGCCACACTGCCGGTTCGGAATCGATGAAATGGCATTTCATCTGGCTGACCGGAAGATTGCGGTGGAACGATGCGACAGCTGCAGAAACGCCAGCTTCCTCGGCCATTTGACGGGCAAGTTCTCCGGCTGCAGATAGTGTATCCGGATGCAAGCAGAAGCGAATGGCTTCTGCTAGATTTTCTGCGTTCAAAGACCGGTGGGGAATCGGCATTGGTCCTATCCCGCGGGAGGCAACCATGTTGCCCCAGAACAACTGACTGCATGACATTAGCAATATATCGTCGAAGCAGCTGGCAACGACTCACTCTCCGAAGAACGGCACGATGAGGGACGGCCGTCCGAATCGTAAACCGCACGCCGTCGTTCCCGCTCCTCCGTGGTGTACAACTGCGGAAACCTTTTGGAAGAGCCATTCATGCGGGCAATCTCCTATATAAAGTATCTGGTCGGTTGATTCTGCCTCGCCGAGGTTACTCCAGCCACGGGAGATAATAGCACGTCCTCCCCAAGATTTGACAGCATTGACGAGGGTCGCAGTCATAGCCGGAGGATCTTCGATTACGATACTCCCGAAACCAATATACACCGGCGGAGGACCATTTCGAAGGAATGCATCGAGATCCGAAGGTGGGTTGAAGTCCGGTGGAGAGCGGAAGAAAAATCCGCAGACATCAAGGTGACTGGCCCAGTCAGCTGGTTTTGGCATCAATGTAGGTGACCAACAATATGTGAAGGGCACCTTCAATGTCTCCGCTAGTCGGGGGCCTTCTGTGGCTGATATCTCCTCTAGATCAATAGACCTTCTCCAGTCATTGATAACACCGCCAAGGCTATTCAGATGTCAGCAAATAATAGCTAACATAGGGGAGGCACTCATTACCCTTGCCAAGTGAGCCATTCGACAATGCCATAGGATAAATAATTAGCCATTTTAGGCTCCGTTGTTGAGTATTTCAAGTTCGCTAAAGGATGTGGAAAGGATCGTGTGCTAGTCCATGGCATGGTAAACATTAAATGCAGTGGAATACCAAGCGCCTGGGCGCAATGGATATGAGCGAAGCTTGGAGGGTTCGCAATAATAGCATCGGCAACAAAAGGCGTTTTTGTTACGGAGTCATCTTCGATACATGACCTCCAGCACCCTCGAAGCATTTCAGCTATCATGACCTGCTTGCGTTGAATGTCGCCATCCTGAATAGACTTCATCTGTGGTATCAACCCTGGATTTTTCACCATATAGGCCATCAGATCAGAGGGATCACCACCAATGCAGTAGAATTCCAGTCCGGAATCACGAACAAATGACTCAAAGACGCCATGTGTGGCCAGTCGTACTCGATGGCCGTGGCGTTGAAGTTCGTTGCCTAGCGCGATAAAAGGCTGGACGTCGCCGCGACTACCAACAACCTGAATGACAATATTGAGTTCAAGGCCGCATCCTATTTCGGTAGCTGACTCCTCCAGTTGCTCAGGATATTCCTCTGAATCCAGGAATGGAATCAACTTGGAGACCTCCCTACCGACTTTGGAATCTAGGTCGATCTCGATCCGACCATCATCTTTTCGATGTTAACATGCTGCTTCAAGTTCTATCAAATCATTTTCGCATACTCTTTACACTGGTTCCATCTTGAGTCCACGCATTGTGTTCAAAGCCGGAACTGCGACGTTGTTGTGCTTCCATAATGGTTGAACTGAGTATGTCCTATGACATCACCGGGTGTGGGAGCACTCGTAGACAAATTCAAATGCCACAACGCGTTGGTATATATTAACACGAGTCACAAAGGCAATGTAGTTTGGAATATTTACACCTGAAGGATATAAATGAAGTATCCCTTGCAAGTCGGAAAACAAATAGAGACCATGGGTAGCTGGGTCACTTCTCTGGGACGAGGTGGATCTCAGATGTTCAAACCACGTGATGATTAACCAATCAAACCCCATTGATCCTTTTGCGGGGCTATGACGATGTGCTACTTGGCGAAGCCTAGAGACACTCCGTGCACGTATACTGCAATTTTGAAGGTTTTAGCACTGATTTTATTCCGAAATATACAATATGTACGTGTTAATTAACCAAAAAAATTGACATAATGATTTATTTGCATTCGTTTATCAACAAATGTACTTCACAAACTGTGAGTCCTGCTCGAGGAATGGCCATACCAGGTCATTCAGTGCGAGATTGACATCAAGAGCATATGGGATGTCGCATTCAGTCGAAGTCCCACCATTGAATTTTCTCCGATGCAGTCGCTCCTCGGTAGAGAGGATCATTGCCAAACCATCAACCAGATAACTTCCACGGAAAGGCAGGGAAACCAAAGAAGGCGGAACGGGTCTACCGTCTTCGCGAACTTCGAAGTCAACAGCAATATAGGGATTGTCCCTGGTCCATTGACTGACGGCAAATCCCCCTGCGAGAAAGTCATTACTGCACTTGACCCGACTTTGGTCAGGCTGCGCGGCAATCCATTCGAACTCCTTCTTGGCGTCCTCCATATCGACAGATCGAATCGCATAATGGATGATATTTGCAATGTACCAGAGATGGCCTCTCATGAGGTTCTCATGTGAGGCATAGGTTGAAGGGCAGTAGACGGCGTTGGGAAAGTAACGTGGCGGTAGTTTCAGACGGGTTGGATCCCGCATGTCCATTGTTGTCCAGAACCCGCGCAACGGCTTATATCGGGGCCCGAGGGGAGAGATTCCGCGGGCCTCTAGCACCTGCATTTTTGCCTGATAAACTCGCTGATAAAGATATGCTGAGAGAGCCTCAAATGTAGACACCCAGGTGCCGCTTTTCGGGTCGGGATCGGTTGCAGCGCATTTCAAGTCGGCCAGTTCTTGGCCAGAGAAGCGCAACAAGCGGGCTGAAACTTTGGAGGTATCTGAGTCAGGTAAAGCTGCATTCTCCGTATGACCTTGAAGGTAAAAGTTTGAAGGCTGGAATGAACGAGCCTTGCTCTTGCCGTTGGGGGAAAGGTTGTGGAAGCCTCGAAAGTGTGAGCGGATCTCGGGAGGAAAAATGAGAGTTGGAGGAGAAAAGTCGCGTAGTTGTCTGTATATCTCAGCGAGATCGCGTACGAGCTGGAGAAAACCTTTGGCGTCGCAGACCTGATGATTGACTCGAATACCAAGACTGACTCCCCCACAGCCAAATCGGGTGTGCTGGATGGCGAGAATGGCATTGTAGGATATTGATCCAACTGTCGAATGAAAGATGGGAAGAAGGGAATTTCCCCCTCCAGGAAGGTGGGGCACTATGATCCGGCCTGACAGACTTGATGAGGCAATATTTCTGAGTTTCCTCTTGCATTGTGCCTCCCAAAACTCAACTCCAGTACCAAAACGGACAATTTCTGCAGCATGAGTGATTGAGTTTGCTTGTAGTCGACCGGTCAACTGTGGATAGTCATCGAGGAGGTGAGATACTGCTTGCTGTAGCCTGTGTACCGGAATGAAATCAGAGTCCCGTGACGATGTAGGCTTTCTGTAGACAAAGAGGACTTCAATGGTCAACAGGGGAGACACGAGATAGTCCATCGGACCTAATCTGAATGGAGACTCAAGTGCGGTTACTATTGCTTCATTGGCGCAGTTCAGTGTGGCTCGCGTGACAACGTGGACCTGATCGGACATGATTGCTGGAATTTGACAAGAATAATACGAGGACTGAAGATTATTTCACGCGAGTACAGAGAGCCACGTGAAGTTCAGCCATATGTATCATAACAGACCTATAATCAAGTGATTTACATTGGATGCAACATCATGTTTGATTCCTCCAAGATCCACAACGAGACCACTATTGAAAATGTAGTTGTTCTTGGCTGTCTTTGGCGAAATAGATAAATAAGGAATCGAATGATAGATTTGGGTCCATGTTGAAACAGACTTGGTTGTGAAAAAAACCAATAACATATTTGGCAGGCTCTGTCTTTGTTTGGATTGCAACAAAGAACCTCAACAGCAGTTGGACTTGATCTTCGCAACCAACATTTCAGAAGCCACGCCTGACCTTGCTTTCCGACAAGATGCTACCATGGTTGCAAGATGATTGTTTCATTGGTTCAGGTTCCAGGTCATGGTCAAATCCCAGGCTAGAACCCAGTGATTCAAGAATTCAGTTATGGTAGTGTCCGTGCCAAGGTGGGGGAGAACCTTCGTTGGGTCCAATACATCCCCAAGGAGGATTACAGTCATTTGTGTCTTTAGTGAACCAGTAAAAATTCTCTTGCAAAGTGCTAGCACCAATCTTGAACAGCATTGCCAGTTACTCAAAAGCCCTAGGAAATCAGAAGTTCGCTTCTCACCGTTGAGGCATCTGCAATACGCCAAATCCAACCAGTTGGGTACACTATAGATTTCATCCTGAGTAAGATACATTACAAGTTTACAATGTCAGAGGGAGTCTCACACTGAGCAGCCACTATCGCCATCAGCACTGCTGATGCCCAGGTTTAATGTAGGAGCCGCCGACACAATTGTTGAACCAATGAGACCCAAATGGCACGTATAGACTTCATGGTATCACTATCAAAGAAAAACAATGGGTCTCGCAAATATGGGACGAAGTAATTTATAAGAAAGTATATGGAGGGCAAAGGGTCGACTTTGAACAATGCGTAGGTGCAGCTAGGGAGCTACACCAAATGGACTTATGACATATTCGAAAATGAGGCCTAACATTGAATTCGAAGCAGATCATTGCACCTTATATTCCGGGTAGAAGCTGTAAACCTGTCTTTTTCCCTGTATAAATATTCCGTTACGCCATATTTACTGGCTTCTGTGAAGTCTTTACCAGAAAAGATGCCTAAGTCATGTTGTAAAAGCAAACAAAAAAGTATACGTGGCGTGCCGTACCGTGATCTCTCGTATATTATGTAGGTTTTGTCAACCACCCATTGCTTAGGTACCCGGAATGAGGGTTGAAAATCAGCCTTAATTATATAGATGAGATTGTAACAATTTTGCTTTCTTTTTCAGACATCAAAGATTGGGCCTATACCATGATCAAGAGCGATGATTCAACTAAACTACGACTGCCACGAGATGGGTGGAGCATCGGATCCGATTGAACCAATCATGTCATACTCGGGCGCGGCTCCGATGCAGTTCCACTTTGAGGCGGCTCCGATCAAGTCGACAGTATTCTATACAGGAGCCGCAGGGGAGTTATTCATATAAATTTGTTCGTGCCTATTGTCATCACTCATTCAAATCAATGCTATCTTTCTTACTATTTCCCAACATACCAAACTTCATCATGTCAAACCCTTCCATCGTCATTGTGCCAGGCGCATGGCATAGACCCGCCCATTTTCAAGGTCTCATTGATGAGCTCGCGAAAGTCAACTACGATGCGGTTGGTGTCACCTTGCCTTCGGTTGACTCCAATCCGCCCCTTGCCAGCTGGGAGCAAGACGCACAAGCAGTCCGCGAAGCTATCATGGAAAGATTAGATGCTGGTAAGGACGTCATCGTGCTAGCCCATTCATTCGGAGGTATCGCTATGTCCGAGGCTGCGAAGGGGCTCGGAAAGAAAGGGCGAGCGGCCCAGGGTTTGAGGGGGGGGCATTATCAAGCTCGTTTACATGTGCGCGATGGCCTTACCCGGAGGTCAGACCCACATTGGTCAATTGATCCCCCAGACTCCGGAAGAGGAGGAAATGGAACGTCAACGCCAGGAAATGGTGGCCAAGCACGGAGAACTGCAATTCAACGCGGTATGCAAGGACTCTGTCTCAAGCAAATGCTCAGACTAATGATTAACAGGATGGAGCCATTGTGCTACCCAAGGAAAATATACACCTCGTCTTCTATAACCGATGTGATCCCAAGGACATCGAAAGAGCGGTGGGACTGTTGGGCTCATTCCCACCGGGTCCGTTGTCCGTTCCTGTGACGTACACCGCATACCGTGAGATTCCGAGTACCTACATTGTGTGCAAGAATGACAACGCATTGCGATTGCCGTTCCAGCGAAGAATGATCGCGCAAGGCGGAGGTTGCTTCGACGTGGAAGAATGCGATGAGGGTCACTCTCCATTCATGAGTAACCCGGGGTTCATTGTCGACTGTGTTCGAAGGGCAGCTGGAGAGAAGGTTTAGCTAGAAAACTGTGGCTTCGATTATGAAAGATTTTGCGCTGAAATCAGCTGCATTCTGGAGGTGTAAATATATGGGTGACGATGTGTTGCGACGAGGCGGATCGCCTCTCTTACAAATGGAAATTTAATTTATGCCTGAACTTTTAGGCAGTTATTTCTTGTACGGAACGGATAAACTATATCGCCGATATACGGAATAAGCCTATCCACACTTCCATAACTTGTTGTATCATCATGTAAATGCGGAATGCCGGGAGATGCCAATTCTCCAAAGGCGCTGAAATCCAAAGTCGAGTTAGTCAAGCGACAGCGCCGTCAGAACACGAGTTGTGATCGATGCAGACGGTCAAAACGACGATGCACTGTGTCACCCAGTGTAGACGGAGTTTCTAGCAAGGTTTGCACAAATTGCAAACGGCTAGGACACCAGTGTACATTCGAATTTGCTGAGTATCAGTCAACATCTGTGTCAAACAAAAGACAGAAGCGTCAGAACAATCACCCAGACGGATCAGCCCAACGGACTTGGTTGAGCGACTATGACAGAACAATTATCGGAGCCGCTGATAGCCCAAGCAATGCATTTGATGCCACATTTCTGACTGAACAAGAAGTTCTCTCATCCTGGCTGAATATTGATTTCGATGGTTATTTGGAAGGTACGCCATCGTTCGCAACCAACCTTGAGCCGTCCATTCCGTCCTCAGAGCCACATTCTAAAGGCACATCCATGGCAAATGACGGCCCAGAGACTCAACTCACGCTTCAATCAACTGGCTTTCCCATAATTAACACGAGCGGCTCATCCCACTTTTTTCCGAAAATTGGACTTTCATTCAACAGCCCCATCCACTTGTTGAACAGTGGAATAGACGTCAAGATTCTCGGTGATCGCCTGACAAGAATTTATGAAGCGATAGCGACGGCTAGCTGCTCGAGATTCCTGGATTATGATTGCAATCTCTATGCATCTAGGAATCGCTACCGGATAGGAGACAGCGAGTCTGGTAGCTCAATTGGATCGGTTCCTGCCATATCTAATGTGGATCCACAAGCCACCTCGTCCAGCCATGGTATTTTAATCCCAGCACATGATGAATTTGGACAAGAGATTTCTCTGCTAGGGAGTGTTCGTTTTCTTGATCATTTTGCCGATCTATATGGTAATCGGCTGGGCTTGACCGCACGGAAGAAATCGGATGAAGTTTTGAAGGCAGTACTGCGAGTCTTTTCCATGCAATGGCTTCCAAGTACACCTTCTACGGCTGAACCGACATTCCTTTCCGGGGGTCCTTTCCTGAATCAAGATACCAGGCAAAGTGGGAATGAAAACACCTTGGATTCTTTTGTTGATGCTTGGGTTCGGGCGCGATCTCTTTTAAATGATGCGCACAATGTTCGATCATTTCGAGTCATTCTCGCAACAATTACATTCGTTGGCATTGTCACGCCGATGAAGATAGTTGAAAACGAAGGTTTCTTGCCGACTGGTTTGCTCGATACTGGTTTACAAAAATTGGCTCATTTGGATCGACTTGTCACTAGTTATTGTGCCAACCTTGGTCCATCCTCCATCTATGGATCCCTCGCGGAAACGAGTTTGAATATCATTCGATGGGCTGGATATATCCGTGATACAGGAGCAGCACTATCAATGAATCACAAGTCCAAACTACCAGATCAATGGGGTCCTTCAAAGGGTGAGTAGTCGCGTTTGGAATTCTCAATGTTTTATTGCACCACTAAATCCCCACAGCTGTTCCCAACAAAGAGGCCATGGCGGTCTGGGCAACTTGTCGCAATATCGTCGAGCTTAATATGAATGTCCAAGCGATCTGTCGGAAAGCTAGTGCAGAGACAATGTGTATCTGGAGACAGATAATCAAGATCAAGACAAGCGCTAATCAGCCGCAAGGTACTGACAACCAACAGTCCCTGTCCACCATTGAAGCAATCAACTTAGCCGTGGCCGCTATCAACGAATTTAATGAAACATATCAGGCCTTCATCCTACATTGCATCAATAATTTCAGCTGTCTTTCTACGTGTCCCAGAATATCCATTGGTGAGCTTCATCCGTTGCCCTACGATCCTGAGCTGGCTCTGTTTCTCAAGCATACTAACCAGTGATGATATAGTATCCCATGTGATGTTTTGGAACCTTGGCATTTTCCTTTTGGTCGATGTGTTCCAAAGTGCGATCAAAGATCTCGACGACTCCATCGCGCTACAGACTGGGCCAATTATCCGTAAATTCCAACAAGACGCGGTCTCCTGTGTCGCACAAGCAGTTGAACGCGTCCTCCATCTACCCGCCGAGGAGGCTTTTAACCTCCAGAACGGCTTTGGCGCTGAAGTCCCAATAACAGCCTACCATGTCACCCCAAGCCTGGCTGTCACTGCCCTTCAAAAAGCGATTGAAAGTGTGATCAATCTATGTCTTCCCTGGACAAATCAAAGTGGTCTAACACCGGCCGATGGGCAAGTTCTCATACCGGATGGGATTTGGGATCGTCAAATAGACATTTTGATGAAAGGTCTCATGTCGCTTGATGTGACCATTGGCGGATCACAAACCTCTGTGCTGGCTCTTCGGGAGTTGATGAAAAAGCATGGAGATATAGTATCCGAATGCTGGACTTCAGGATTCGACACTTGACATGTAATTATGGTAAACACAGACTCTCCCCTCTTTTATTCTTGAGTTCCAGGCAGGATACTCACGATCGCTCGTTTGAAGTGATCTGGATTTATTCATGAACATAGTGTAACAAATGAGTCTATAAATTGTTAGGCTCCGGGAAATGTAGATGGGAACTGAAGGGGAAGTGGAAACAGTCTCCGTGTAGAATGCACTCCAGGGCTGGACCGTGAAAATCTAGTACTAAAGAGCTGAAAAACACTCAGATATGCATGCATGCCCTGGTGGCACTCGAGCGAAAGAAAATTTTCTCCTCTTTTGCGTTGTACCACGTTCCAAGGTTCTTCCCACAGCGGCCCTAGGTCCTCTGCATGGCTTGAACGCCGATACCTCAGTCGAAAAGACACTGGGCGCTATAGTTTTGCGTCTCAATCGATACTTGATTTGCATTCTCATAATTTGCGATGGTTTTATTTGAGTTTATTTTTATATTTTATTTACTGACAGGCTAGTTCAGACCATAAGCGCCCTTTCAGCTAGGCCGAAATGCATTACCCCTCCTCTTTCAGCTCCCCAGCCTCCAAAGACGGCATAATCTCCTGCGGCACTAACGCAAAGGCATGTTGGTGCCAACATAGATTTAGAGCCATCACAATTTGTCATCATGCTGAGACTGTTTCCTGATCCATAGGATTTCATATCTGGGAATCTTACTTCCGAGAGGATCTGTCGACTTGTTGGTTACTCTCCTCGCCTCTTATTCAAACGCCTCTGGCCACATCTTGCTATGGCATCTATTTCTCCCAAATCTGGCTATGTGGGGAGCCTCACCGAGTCTGAGGGGCAAAAATTGCGCGCATTCTGGAGAATCTTGATGCAATCATGGAATGCGAATACCGCAACCCCCGAGGAAGCCGCCGAGAAAGTCAAGTCCAACGACTCGGCAAAAGGGCACCGAAGATTCTTCTCCCTGGGCCGGGCCCTAGAACCAAAATTGTCGGAAGAGGAGACTTCCGCCATTCCCTCCAATCTGCTTACCACCCTGAATAGCCTGGATGCGGGTCCAGCCGAACTCAAAACTATCCAGTCACTGATGTTGAAGCTTCCCGGCGATAAGCTCCGTAGTGCGCTTTTGACTCTCCTCAAACAAGACCACCCCGATGCGCTTCTTCTCCGCTTCCTCCGAGCCGTGAAATGGAACCTGCCCAAGGCATGGATTAAGTTGGTCGCGGCTCTCAACTGGCGAGTTAATGAGTACAAAGTTGACGAAGAAGTGCTACTCAAAGGAGAAGCACATGCGGTGGATAAATCGCAACAAGATGGAGATTCGCCAGAAAAGAAGTATGGCGAGGGCTTCATTCTCCAGGCCACCTCGGGAAAAGGACACTTTCATGGGTGTGATAGATGGAATCGGCCCATCGGTATTGTTCGAGTGCGAAAACACGACCCAAGTGCTCAAACTCAAAAAGCACTCAATGACTATATTGTCCAGTGTATTGAAACTGTACGCCTTCTTCAGGTTCCTCCTGTAGAGACCATGGCGATAGTTTTTGATCTGACATCATTTGCACTTGGCAACTGGGAACTCGCTGCGATCAGTTTCATCCTCCACGCCTTCCAAGAGTATTACCCCGAATCTCTCGGAGCCATGATATTCTACAATGCGCCATTGATCTTTGCTGGTTTGTGGAGACTTGTCCAAGGGAGCCTTGATCCAGTTGTCGCCGCAAAAGTCCACTTCATCAGTAGCGCCAAAGCTCTTGAGGAAATTATTCCCCGAGAACAGATTCTGAAGGAGCTCGGTGGCGAGGAAGACTGGGAGTACGAATACATCGAACCTGCTCCGAATGAAAACGCAAAATTAAACGATATAGCGACTCGTGACGACATTCTTGCAAAGAGAGAGAAGCTAGGTGATGAGCTTTTCACTCTTACTGCCGAGTGGATCGTAGATTCGAAGACGAAATCTCTACCTAGAAGAAACGAAGTGATTGAAGAACTTCGCAGAAATTACTGGGATCTTGATCCATATGTGCGTGCGCGTACGGTGCTCGACCGTACTGGGGTTATCAAAGGTGATGGAACAGTTGATTTCTACCCCGCTGCAAAGCCCAAAAATGAACCCACCGAAAAGCAGCTGATAGTCCCAGAAGTTGGGACTACAACACAAACCCCTGTTGCGGCGTCGTAATATTGGGAATGCTGTAAGACTTATGCTCACCTGGGGTTTCGCTCCACGATTACGCCAGGACTGACTCTATCTTATCATACCCCACCACCCTATTTAGTCCGCGATGGATGGTTTCCTCTCTTCTTTCGCAATAGAATCACTTTTCTCCAATACCCCTTCCCGTAGCCTCATTTAAAATAGCTGTTTCGCACCTTTTTCGTTTGATATCTTAGTTGCTTTTTTTCCTTTCTATGATGCACTCACCAACCCCGCGGTAGGTTATTTGTTCTATCATTGGTTTCTACGGGCACGTTCCCTTGTTTTTCTGCATGTCACACTTGAAGATCCTCTATTTCCCCTCTTTACTTTACGGTAGTTTTTCGCTGTAAAGGACTAGACACGCTGATCTTTGTGAACTGTCAGGCATAATATGCATGGTTCACATCAATCACAATCTCCTCATGTCCTAGTTTAGCCAAAATGTCAACATTTATCAAACTTTCACACCACACCACCAATGATTGCCTATAATAATAGTAGCGAATTAGGGAGCCGGAGAATATCTGCGCCGATCGCTACTATAGTTAGATCAACGGTCCGCTCCGTGCACCTTAACTTATTGGACCTAATTTGTACGTATTGCTTGAACCTACTTTGCTTATAATCTAAACGCCTCCACCTATGTACTGACGTCAAAATAGTGAGAAGAATGAGATGTTTAAAAAGTTCCCGAAGCGAGCTGTCATGGTCTGCAGTCTAGGCCGGAAATGGAACACAAGTCCGGTGGTCATAGTCCAATAAGGTCCTTCGCGGTCAATCGCCGAACATTGATTGCACCTGGAGCTGGACGATTACCCACTCGGTCATTCACAAGTCTACCCCGCGAGTCGACACTGAACATGGTTTACAATGCCATTCCTATGACTGGGTGGCCAAAGTACGGCAGGGCCAGTACAAATACCAATGCTTCTCACCCGGTTGTTTGGTCCAACACACCCAACTTTATAAAAGAGACACAGTCGGGCTTGTCTTCACATTATGGCACCTCTACCTTTCAGCTTGATTCAGGATTCATTTTACGGCCTCATAGCCGGGGTTGTTATCTTTATATTCTCAGTGCTCAAGGCCATCCAAGGCTTCCAAAGTATGGCAACCCCTTAATACCTTTAGCAGAATATATCTGACAAACTGCAAGGATGGAAATTCTCTCGACGACATGGCTGCCAGGCACCTGTTCACTCAGTCTCTCACGGGTTGTTCGGCATCGGGATGATCCTCGAGATGGTCAATGCTGGCCGAGAACACAATTTCGTGGAACTTGTTCGCAGCTGGCATCGAAGCTACGGCGATACATTCAAAGCGAGACTGGCCACTCGAAACGTTATCTTCACGGTTGAGCCGAGAAATATTCAGGCAGTCCTTGCACTGAAATTCAAAGACTTTGGATTAGGCGAAATACGAAAGGCTGCCGTACGTCCGGTCTTTGGCGAGGGAATTTTCACTGTCGATGGGAGCAAGTGGGAGCATTCCCGCGCTCTTCTTCGCCCCAACTTCTCGCGCGCCCAGATCACAGATACGAAAATATATGAAAGCCACGTTGCGGCTCTTTTGAGGCTCATCCCCCGGGATGGGTCAACTGTTCAGTTGCAAGACTTATTTTTCAGACAGGTAATTGTAGTCTTTGATGTTTTCTCCATATATCTCACTAACTCATTCAAGACTCTTGATACAGCCAGCGAGTTCTTGTTTGGGGAGTCTGTTCACTCACTCCGGGAGGAAACGTCCGCCGAAGCCGCATCATTTGCCAAAAATTTTAACGTCGCCCAGGAAGGAACTGCGATCCGTTTTAGACTTGGTCCTTTGATGAAATTCTATCGGAACAAGGAATACACAAAAGCAACCATTGAGGTGCGGGATTTTGTTGGAAGATTTGTTCAGAAAGCCATTGATTACCGCATTGCAGTCAACAAGGGTGAAAAGGTCGACCCGGAGATTAAAAAGCTGACTGACAATCAATACATATTTGCCTACGAGCTATCAAAGCAAACGCTCGACAAGAAGGAGATTACAGACCAGCTGTTGAGCATTCTATTGGCCGGTCGTGATACAACGGCCAACCTATTGGGTACTACATTCTTCATGTTGGCAAGAAGACCTGATATATGGAAAAGGCTTCGAGCCGAAGTCCTTGCCCTGGATGGACGAAAGCCATCGTTCGAAGAGCTGAGAGCGATGACATACATGTCATGGATCTTTAACGAGTGTAAGCCATAGGCTCTGCTTGGATTTGAAACACGCTAAATATGTTTCAGCTCTGCGCCTGTATCCCATCGTTCCCTTTAATCTGCGATGTGCTCTCAAAGACACATTTCTTCCGGTGGGCGGTGGTCCAGACGGAAAATCTCCTGTCTTCGTACCGAAAGGCGATGAGGTGATTTACAATATATACACAATGCAACGCGATACTGAAATATACGGGGCCGATGCCGACGAGTATCGACCAGAGAGGTGGGAAAATTTGAGACCGGGATGGGCATATCTCCCCTTCAATGGCGGCCCCCGCATTTGCATTGGACAGCAATTCGCACTCACTGAAGCTGGATATACGACTGTTCGAATCATGCAGGAGTTTGAGAGAATTGAGAATAGGGACTCAAGCCCTTGGATCGAGGAATATCAATTGACAATGTCGAACGCTAACGGAACTCTTGTTTCTATGACGCCAGCTCAGAATTGACTCAGCATGCTTCTCGCCATGTACGTCGTTTTTATTGAACATATCTCATCGTTTCATTACACATTAGGTTCAATGCGATCTTTGGGTAGATACATAGCCGCTGTATACCCAGGGTTTTAAAGTATTGGAGAGGAACTCCAAGTTGTGCAAAGGAAAACATAAGAAAAGACCTATAGAAAGAGACACATACATACATTTCATATAAAAATGAAAACCAAGTGATTTCTTAGTGTCGCCAGACTCTCTAAACGAGATTAGTTACCGATACCCGAGTCAGAAACAAATATAGCATTTCATTCACTTCGATTCTTTTCTGAAGAACACCTTTGACAAGTTTTGCATAATCAGAAAACATGGAAATATAAGCAACTTTTGGGGGAATATTTTCAAAGCCAATCGGCGATCAGCAGTTAACACCAAGTTTTTTTTTTACAGAAGACAACAGATTTCAGACAAAAGATCAAAGTGTTCCGCGATGCACGTTCCGCATATGCGCGACCAAGTTATCCTTTCGGTTGAAAGATCTCTGACAGTCTTCCTCGGTGCATTCGAACAGGCCAGGGCAGACATGCTTTGTCTTGATGTGTCGCAGCAGGGCTGCTATTCCTGAAAATTCACCGGAATAGTTGCAACCTTCCCACCTGCACTTCAATGTATTTGAGCCAATGCGGCTAGACAAAGGAAGAAGAAAATGTTAGAAAGAAGTCTCCAAGAGAAAATCGGGTGAAGAAAACTTATGATAGCAAAGCATACTTGACGCCCATGGAGACTTTCCCATGCGATGTAGGCCACTGGGTTTTACCCTCTTGACCGGCGGTCGATTCATGTTCTTCTTCCGTGGTAGACATCATTGGAGAGGTCACGTCAGATAGTCCACTGGGGAGGTCGGTTGCCGGGATCTCAGAAATAGCATCATCGCCCACTGAGGAGAGATTGTCGTATGAATCATCGGTCGTATCAGGGAAGGGATCGAAGGAAGATGGTGTGGGTGGGGCTGGAGCTGCAGTAATTGCAGAGATGGTAGGCGACGGTGCTTGCTGGTGGTAATCATGTTGAGATACCTCATCAACAGGAGAGTCCTGATTGGCGAGATAATAAAAAAGATCCAAATCTGGATCCCACTGATCGATTTCTTGGGAGAGGTGGCCCAAGCGATCGTCTTCAAAGGACCCCGTCATTGTATAGATCGTGGGTCGCAATAGCGGGAAAAACGGTACAGTGTCTCATAGGAAATATAAAGGGACTAAAGCAGGCTACAAAAATGGCGGGGAAATGACGGGTGCGACAAGCTTATTTATTCTGTCCAGATAGTCTCCCAGGGCGATAGGTTCATGGCGACATACCTGGGTGCCTTGAGACAGAATTTTCTTCTGCCAGAACCCAGCTTATGCAGAGTTATGATTGGCATACAAGAGAGGCTTGACTCGTGGCGCAGGCACCAGGTCCATACATAGTATCATCAAGATCTCACTGGATGGACGCATGTCTTCGAAACGGGCTTACATGAAGAAGGGGCTAAAACCTGGGCTCCCTCCAGGATAATCAACTGTGGCTGAGTTTTCATTAGTTGGTAGAATCGCTATCGGTCCAAAGAGAGCTCGTTCTTTCAAGGCCTGAGCGTTTTTCTATCGCTGCCCGCGCCTCTTTGATTTTGGTATTTGACCTGTGTGCATGTACCAATGCTGTCATCGATGGGGGCTGGGTTTAGCCAGTGGCCCTGCTCTAAAAGAGCAATCACTTGATTTCGCCAGGTATTTCAGTCAAAATAAAATCATTGATAAATGTCAGAAGACTCAGAAATCTAACTGAGAAAAAAAAGACTAATGAAAGGCATAAAAAGTGAGGCGGAGAGAAGTCCATGGATTGCGGGGGGCAGTGCGCCTGATCTTTTCAGGCATCATTTGTGGCCTAAGGCCCCGATCATCTTGAGGGCCTCAGAGCTGCAGCCTATATGCGTTTACATTCATGTTCACTGCTAATCATCACTTAAATCCTCTTCATGCCTGGTGGAGCTTTTGAGAAGAACAGTTCACTTGGACTTTATATCATGGTAATCAAGGTATGCAAAATCTGCCTCTTTTCATTCCGCACACACTTTGGGACCTTCAAGATAAATATAACGACAGCGGTTCCATGGTGGACCTAGGACCGAGATATTTTGCATTGGATTAGAAGTAACTTCTAAGCCAGCCCAAGACACAAGACTTATCTAGTTGTAAGTGTCTTCCGCATCACGGAGAGTCATGTCAAGGGCGTTTTTGTCCTTAGCAGCATCCTCAGCGCAAGTGGGAAACAAGTCGATGGAACCGAGAGCATTTTTTTCAACGCCGCCTTCAAGGGTGCATCGAACAGCAGCAATAGACTGGGTAAACTGTGCCTGGCTCAAGATACCGTGCTTGCTTGACGACTTCCAAAAGCCCCTGATGGACTTGCAAGAACTAGATCAAAATCAGAATTGATACCACACGAAAAGTTCAAGTCATTAGACTTACGCCTCGGAAGGTAGTGCAGATTTTCAGTTGACCGGGGTCGCTGTATCCAGCCTCCTGACGTTTCTAGTTGTTCTCACGCTTCTTGCTGCCATCGACAACCTCGGCGCGACCGTCCTTCAAGCTGCGCTCCAGAGAAATAGCAGAGATATCTTGGTTGGCAAGAGCAATGATGTCTTTAAAGCCCTAGAAAAATTTCTGTAGCTTCAATTTAGTATGGCCAGAAGATGACCTGTCCCAGTCCGAGGTTTCTATCACCCCAATTGAAAACGTAGCGTAGTGGGCCAGAGCGGACCGCATTGAAAGTGATAATGCCGTTTGCAACTTCCCTGGTATCCGCAGATTTCTGAGTAATAGCATCGATGTTGGATGTGGCCTGAGCAGCGGTGAAGGCAGCATTGGCACCAAGAGCCAGAGCCAAAACGGATGTGAGGGCAAACAAGCGCATTTTAAAAAAGAATTGAAAAAACAAGAAGATGAATTGCAGTCTTCTTTTTGTCATCTATGGGAGTTGAATAAACTTCTCGGGGGAAAGCACGACTTATATAGCTTTGGGTGTTTAGATCTGCCACATTTCGGCTTGTCAGATCTCTCATTTCATCCATATATGCATCGCGCAAGATCTTTTATCGATAGCCGCGTCGATCATTGTTCCACCCGGGGTCACGTCCATTCCTCATGTTCTATAGAGTACAGCAACCCAAGATGTTGATCATTATTTCTTTTTGCTTAATTTCTCGATTTCCAGATACTAACCAAATGCCAGTGTACTATATCGTAGCTCATATCTGCTAAATCACAAAGTGCGACTGAAATGGGTTGCAAGTAAGATATCGCACGCATTCCAGATGGTTTAACTAAACTCGATCGACATAATTTATTGTAAAGACTATAGTTAAAGGTTCTCATCCTCTCCTCGACCAACGGTCGCTGCAGCTCTTAAACTGAAGATGTGAAAAGGTTGAGTGGATTTCATTCGCCCAGGCCACTGTTTTTAGTGTTTCGGCGGTTCGGGCGGGCATTCCCGTGCAACTTTGTGGGCCTTAGGGGTACCTTACATGAGCGAGAGCGAGATAAAATTTTGATAATTATCCTCAGCGGCATGTTTAAATTCTTTCAAACGCATATGATCCATTAAATGCCTTTGGCAGTTTATCTTCTTCATTCGAGCTCTAGACTTTCCATAGGAATTTGCTAAAAAGGAATCATCCAGTCAATATAAGTTCTGATGGCCCTGCTGCTTTACCCTTTTCATATAGCACTACCCTATGCCATGATTATCTCTAGCTACAGTTTCATAATCATAGAGTCCTAGCCTTAACGCGTTTTTATAAAGAGATTTCATTTCTTGACTATCAACAAGACCAACAGCTCAAAACAAAAGGGTCTATGATCGACGATATCCAATCTTTTATTTCTTGAAATGCTCCTTCCACTCCTGATTATACTTTTCAACTATTTCGCTAAAACGAAGTGCTTCAGCAAACCTTTTCGCATTGTATAGATACAAAAGCTCGGTCATTGCCCGATGGAATCTATGTTCAGCTTCGTAATTTGCCAACATCGGTTGCAACGGGGATCCGATCACCGCAGTCGATTCGGCAGCAGTATACTTTGTGTGGTCTGTTAGAAAGGCTAAAATTTTCCAGGTTAGCTTGTTCATAAACAAACGTTTGAAAGCTTACCTATGATCATCGAAGTAGCAAACTCCAACTCAGTGCGCTGTTTGATATCATCGAAGCCAATATTCCCTTGGTCTTTCATGTGGACCTGAGTTCGGTCGCCATTCTGGAGCGATACCTTCCGGTATTGCTCGCGCAGTGTCCTCCATTCAATCTTGTCAATTTCGAGCTCAGTTGCAAATGGCATTGTGCTCGAAATCTTTTGTCGCCAGGGCAGTTGCTCAAATATCATTGATAAAACCAGTTACTTACACTGTAGGGCCCAGCAGAACCAATATATACTAACTGGATATACTCACATGTGATTGATGTAGATAAAAGGTGTTTGGAATCGGCTTGTGTTGCGGAAACAGGTAAGGGTGTGCTTGGCCCTTTGTTCAACTCCTTCAGTTTTAGCACCCAAACAAGACCCTATTCCTCTGTTCAGAGCACCAATAAGAGCACTTAAAATAGCATGTCTTGAATCTCTAAGAAATGAAGACTACTGAATAAACAGAAACTTGGAAGAAAGTGGAATTTTGCTTTTTGGCATTTTGAAACATGCCGAAATTGGTAGCGGCTTACTTCTTTGTTTTGATGGTTTCTTTTGAATTCAGGTTGTGTTCATCAACAGGTACTATGCCATAAGCTTAATTTGCCTTTCCTCTGATTCTCAAGAATTCTCAACTTTCTTTGATGCTAGTGCTGTGCTTTGACCAGAGAACAACTGAGAGACATAAAGAAAAAATGGGACATGTCGCACGATACCGACCTGGACCGCAGTGACGCTACTATGAAAGGGCTCAGTGGCACATTGGGACACACTACTCTCGTCCGCATTAAACCTGAGGGATTTTTTGACTTGTTGGGAGACAGAATCTTCATGGGCATTAATCATGCATATAGCCGCTGCACGGAACCTTGGAAAACAGGATGTTTAACTCATCCAAGAGTGGATATCCAGGTTTTTTATTATTGCACTATATATAGTAACAATACGGATACAGTTGCGTCTTTGATGAACCTTGTGTAGTTGGTTTCGGATGTCTTTAGCTTAGGATAGTTGCTCTTAGAGCCAGGCCGAATCGTTGAATCAGCCACAATAAGATAATTGAGTAAATTGGTACTATCAAAGATGCAAAAGACTTTCAATAATAAAAGCCAAGCTTTCAGAGAACAAGGAACGTTCTATGGCATAGTCTCGGCAATGTTGAACTTTCCAAATTTGGAATCGGGGCTCTAAAATCTGCAGCTCAAGTAGATAGAGACTTGCGAAAATTTGCGTCAAGATTATTGAGTAAGCTGACCACTAAGTCTTCAGTTTAACTTTGTGGATATTTGCGCCTGAACAAAATACGAGACTTGTTTAGTCCAGCCTTTGAAATCCGGGCATGTGACCCCAGCTGAGACCTAGAACCCAGCTCAATGATGCTTCCGCCTATCGTCTCTATGTGCCAGTATAGTCTGAACCATTTGTTGGCCCGATGACACGAAGACTGGTGTTATATTATACTTTAGGAGCCGCCGACAATCCATCTATGGATGATTAGGCCGAGGAGTCATCAGCTTGCGCCTATAATAGAGAAGATAGATAGGGAGATAGAGTAACATTCGACATGTTTTGATTATCAAATTCTCACACACATACATCTTGTTCAACAAAAATGTCTATTCCCACTTCGCTGGAAGGCCTGCAACCTTTGCCCCTGCGGGCTATCGATGACAAGTCGGTCTTTCCAAAGGGCCGTTTCTTCGTTTCTACGACAATTTCGGGCGACGATGGCAAGCCACTTGTAGTTGGTCAAGCTTCAGCAACAGTTCGGAAGACTTGGTTCAAATCGCCAGTTCGTTCTTCTAGCTTCGTCTGTTCGGAAGATAGTGCTGACAATACCCCCATTATATAGCCTCTCAGCCAGGCCGCTATTGAGGCACTTCAAAGTGTGCAGTTGTTTGCCGATACTCATGATCAAGGATGGGTGGACGATCGTGCACTGGGAAATTGGACTTGGTTGGAGATAGCACTTTATGAAAATGAATCGTCGGATAGCCCCAGGACACGAGAGGGCGTTGAGTTGGCGTGGCAAAGTCACAAGAATGACATGGGGTCGAAGGAGTATGGTTGGGTATGAGACTGACATATCATTTTGTCAAAGCTTGGTCACTAAGATTGCAATAGTTGGCTGGCGAAGTACTTCCTGGCAAGCACGACATGATGGGGTTGCTAGAGGTATGTATCGTTCTAGGTCCCGTGTTGATGAAAATGACTGAAATCAATTCCAAGGTCGGAAATTGTATTGGCATCCGAGTCTGTGCTCTTTACTCCGGTTGGGCGCTCTATGGCAGGGCAGCATGTCTGGTCCTTGAAATGGGAAAACCTACGATTATTGATCAACCGCCAAGCTTTGCTGAAGTATTTCAGAAAACTGTCGCAGTACAACAGCTTCTAGATTGTGTCAATGCCAATAATTCGACATATTCCCCAAAAATCAAAGCTGCGTGGAATTTAGCGGAAACCTTTGCTGGAAACGAGAAACGCCCTCTTCGCGTTCTAGCTCTTGGTAAGATACCTATCCAATCCAATTTGTTCATGATGAAAGTCGCAGTGACTAACCTGGATTATAGACGGGGGTGGTGTCCGGGGTTATTCTTCATTGATGCTTTTAAAGGAGGTCATGGACCGAGCTGCCCCTAACAAGAGACCGCATGAGGTGTTTGATTTGATCGGAGGTACAAGCACAGGCGGGTAAGTTTCCATCGCAAGACTTCTCAATTGATTATCAGCCCAAAGCCCACTCTGACTGAAAATGATAGATTAATTGCTATTATGCTTGGCCGTTTGAAGATGAGTGCCCAGGAATGCCTTGATACTTACGATTCCGTAATGAAAGATGTTTTTGGCTCTGGCTGGCTACACAAGCATATTGGAAGGACCTTAGACTATCTGACCAAGGGTGAGTTTTACTCCGCTAGACAGTTGGAAAAGGCCATCAAAGAGCTACTTCGTAAGAAGCTTGGGCAGAAAGCAGACAATGTACTGCTGTTGGATGAAAGCAATCCTTGCAAGATGTGAGTATGCAAAATTCCTTGAGCTTCCCCGCTGGGTTCTTGGATTTCTCGGCTGATTGGCACCACGTAGCTTTTTGATGGCAACACGTGAAGAGTCTGCTAGTAACCGGGGACCCGTTTTCCTACGTTCCTATACAAACGACCTGGATCCACCGGGATCTGACCTTGCCAACATCAAGTTATGGGAGGCTGCCCGAGCAACTTCTGCAGCTCCAGGGTACTTCAGGCCAATTCAAGTGGGTCGAGTAAAGTTGGTAGACGGCGGACTGCTTGCAAATAACCCACTCGGATGGTAAAGCCCGCATGTTCATATACACCATATTTTGCACTAACACTAATTCTTTTCTTCTTTTTCAGGTTATGGACCGAGATTCTCAGTTTTTATGGTCCAACTCGGGAAACAGACTGTTTCCTGAGCATTGGCACAGGAATGGGAGCCAACTTGGCAGTCGCACAGCCGGGCCTTGACTTTCAAAAAGCAATGGAGAGCTTTGCAGTTATAGCGACAAACACCGAAAACACTAACATCCTGTTCCGTGTACTCGTTGATGCCTTTGCTCCTCACGCCCAAACAAAGAAGTATTATCGACTCAATGTCAGCAAGGAGCTTCCCGAGCCGGCAGACTCGAAAGGAATTCTAGGCTGGCTTACCCAAAACAAACCATTGAAAGGTGTTCTCAACAATTTTGATGACCCGGGATCCTTAGATGATGTGGATGCAATCCCGCGGTTGAAGGAATGGACAACTGAGTGGATTAAATCGCAGCGAGATATTATCGTGTCATGCAGCGAAGCACTCGCAAGACATCTTTAATCCTTGGTACTTTGAAATCATAACCTCTGTACGTTGGTTAAATTGCCTGCATTTGTGCCTCGTTAATGTGAGGCCCGTATCTTTCGACAGCCGACAGAAGCTATTGCAGCAATGTAAAATGTGGCAGATTCATATCTTCGAGGAATAACTAGAAAAACAAACAAGAAAATTACCCTAAGAACTTTTGAGCTAGAATGAAGTTAGATCAGGTCATGATTCTCAAATCAGATTGATAGTAGAATTTGACGTGAAATTCACGAAAATGGCCGTCGGGATCAGCGAATGAAGAAAACCAAGTACAAGGAGTTAGGCATGCCCCTAATAGACAAAGTCTGTCAAAGATCAATCGTCTAGACCCAAGAAAACTAGAAACAAGCAATTGTGGGCGGACGATGATACTCTCGCTCCCAAGCCTGATCACGCAAGTAATACCAAGGAATAACCATCATACCATCAAACGAAACCTGCATCCATCCTACATCTTCCATGGTGTACCCCTCAATCGCCTCATGTTGCCCGTCAAACCTCTCCCCCTCCTCGTACGGGTCATACTCCTTCCAATCCCCCCGAATCAGGCGCACAAACCTTTCCTTATCAGCGAGAACCGAGTCTAACACATCCTGCGTAGTCTGAATACAGTACAAGTATCGTTTCGACATTCCCGGGCCTTCCCGGGCCGATGCCTTCTTCCTGCTGCGCTGCAGTGGCCGCCCACCGCTTGAAATAGTCCCTAACCATCGCCGTAGCGGCCCCGTCGAAACTTGAATCCTTGAACACGGTCACAACCAGATTATCAATTAGGAACGTGCGCGACGCGACAAAAGGTGCAGTGAACTTTCGGAATAATCTGGGTACACTCCTAGTAGAACTCATTTCTATGTGTGAGAAGGAAAGTAAAATTTCAAAAGATGGGCACCTAGGTAGGTATATGTAACCATTAATCCACAAGCCAGGCTTTTCAATTTGCGAGGTTCCAAGGTTAGTTTGACCATTTTTCTGCTTGCTACAATAATCTTTGTTCGGCTTGCGATCGGCCTGACAAATTGCCAATATCAATTCTATCGTAATTATCATTATCTCTGGTCATTTCCTGTAGCCTTTGGATATATCCCGGTGATATGAACTTTGATAGAGATGCTATATTTCAAAATAGCCTTGGCAGGAGCATTCATCTCATCTATCGTTTATACCGAGTCAACGTCACCGAAAATTCTGTGGGGGTGGTGTACAGCGGAAGCTGGCCACGTAGAATGGCTTGCTGAACTTCTGTGTCTTGATTCCATCCTGGCTATCCTCGGGGACTTTGATAATCCACTTGTCGCCATCGCAACCCGGCTCCCTAATTCTATTAACAATGTTTCATTCACGGAGCTAGAGTTGACTTACGTGTAGAATGTGCATTTGGGGGACTTGACGGTCATGGCTTGGACTTTAATACTAGTCACCTTTGCCTCACTTTGCTTTTAGTCAATTTCAGAAATTTTCCTCGGGAGAAAAGAACCATACGGATCGTCGGTATCCTCGCAAGCGAAGGTGGGAGGTGCATAGGTGTTTTCTCCAGCATCATCATTGATCGTGACCTGTATGAATGTATCAGTATCAACATCGTTTTAGAATGTATTGATTATTCAAATACCTCAGAGGCTGGCCCACGAGCCATTGCAGGGCTGATTGATGCAATCAGAGCAAGAGAGAAAGGGAGAGAGAGCTTCATATTGAATCGGATGAGGATAGAATAAACATGATTTGGCAGCAGGATGTTCTCTTCTTTATACCTCAAGGACTGATGGCAAGCGGCACAAGCAACATAGAAGATCGTCGCGCTACACCCAATCTCTTTACCCTTTCTCGTATTCACCGCTACTTTTTCAGCTGAAATTAACCATGATCAGAAATTCATGCTCAGTTCTTCAGGTACAAAAGTCTGGCTGGCTGAGAAAATGCATAATAATGATAGATCGAAGTAGAGACCAATGAGAAGCTCGATCAGGTTGATGATATGATGATCATTGCCTCTTTGGATCTCTTGTACAACATCTGGATCTGCCCTTGCTTAACGATGCAATCAAGCATATGTATGCCAGACCGATCTTTCTCTTGATGTCATAGTACCAGTACAACAAAGTTGGCCATCATTCTGCCTTCTATAGCCTACTTATCGGTAGCTGGGGCATTTCTACGCCTCAATCTTCTTGATATTCCCTTTTTACAATTAAAGATATTAGCAGTGAGATAAATGGAAGTTACCCTGTCTGGCTAGACATCAAAAAGCCATTTGTCCCCGATCAGTGCGTCACCTATGACAGATATGCCCTACTTCTTCTAGGAGTAATGGACTCTATTGTTGCTTCACGTCACTGGATTTGGCCCCGGGGCAAGCATCAGCTCCCACTTATCTTTGGAGATGGGAAACTCCCCTCTAATACCAGGCCTACTACAGCAATTCGACAGACCACATGTAGCTTCGAATTCGAAGGATGGTCTCATTTATCGACTTCGATCTACTTGAGGCAAGAGTCGATCATTACTTCTTTTTTACAAATGGACTGCGAGGTTTTTTGCTGCTGGTGCATAACGTGGCAGTATATAAACAGTTTGAGAATCAAACATTGGGAATCATTGGAGTTACCACGGCATCGCAAAGAGCTCCATGAATTGATCATCTCAAGCGCTAAGGATCAACGACAATCTTCAAAACTCACCATATCCTCTGTAATTTCAAGGGGAGTATTGATTTTGAACCTATCTCTCCTCTTCGTCCTCTTCGTCCTCTTCGTCCTCTTCATCCTCTTCATCCTCATCCCCACTCTCCTTCAAAGACCACAGTAGATGGTCATTTCCATCTGGGTCGTCAACATGATCAGCATTGGGAATTGTCTCCTCAATCCCCTTGAGTTCTTTTAGTTGAGACTGCCCTGACTTATAAAAAGCCATCAGCGCATTCATCTGCTCGTCGTGTTCCTTGTTCTCGCCCTTCTCGTATCCCCGGACACACAAGTACTCTAGACTGTTTGGTAGACAAGTCGCCACATTCAGCCCTTCCCTCGGGTGATCAAATGATACACTGACACCTTGAGCAAAGTATAACAAAAAGTTCACACCCAAGCTCAACCGTTTCAAAGCCACAAACTCCTTCAGAGATCCACTGTTCTTCCAAATCAATGCGAGAAATTGACGCGAGTCTTCTCCGATTCCTTCTTCATATGGGCTCCCATATTGATTCAAATCATGCTCTCTATCTTCCTCATCAAGTTGAAGGAACGCGTAGATGCGACTCTCGGTGTCAATATCAATGACCTCTATGGTGTCCTTATGGTCACATAGGGCTTTGACAATTGCTTTGGGATTGAAAATAGGGTACCCTCCATCATTGCTTGATCTACCGCCAATTGAATATTGGAATTCCTTGAGTGCTTTGCACGACCATATCAAACCAGCTAGGGGGAGAGATCCGAGTGATGAGTGATGGAAGAATATTCTGCTGATGTTGGATGATGCCTTTTCAAGATCGTATTCTCCTTGTGGATAATCTTCCACTGCATCAGTACTGATTGATTCAATGGATGGAAGGTTATTGAAAAATCTCAAGAAGGCATGGAGGTCCATGCCGACGTAGAAACGTCCATCCTCGAAGGTGGAGTTAGTCTTGCTAATCATATAAACACTGCGGAGGTTGCGGAGATATAGCGTATTCTCTGGGTTTGCATTGGCCTGGCGGAAAACCTTTTCAAGCGGAAACTCAAGGCTTGACATTCTAGAATTAGGGTCTGTCGTGGCCAATGACACAATGTTTGGCGATGCCACAATAATCATGGCTGTCAATGCTTGCGTAACAAATGTAGCATTAACATCTCTGCTCCTTGTTTATTAGGTCAATGCTATAACCATATTTGAGAGATCGATATCTGATAAAAGCCTCGCCTCACCTCTCATAGTGGAAAACCTCGGATTCCAACCTCTGCATAAGCATATTGACTACTCGATCCTCTTTCAGACCTACAAAGCCAGCCTTTCTGACTGCGCCCCGAATAAGAGTTATCTCGTCGCTGCTCAAATCCCGCATGGGCTTTGTTTCTTCGTAGTCCGTATACCAGCTTAAGGGTTCATGGCATTCAACATGGCGCACATACAGGCCAAGTGTCGGCCTCTTCAAAATTTCCATCAGAAAATCGAATGCTCTATCGATACTCTGCTCGCCTGAGGAGACGCTGATCCGGTGATACTTTTTGCGTGTTGCCATGTCACAAATGGAGTGGAGAGCGCAGCATTGAATTGACAGAGCAGCCACATCACGGTTGGAAATAAGGTAAGAGATGATTTGTTTATGAATTTCAAGGGGTAAATTGAGAAATGACATTATGAACCTCTTTTTTTTTTTTCGCGAAGGGGGAATCCAGACCTATAATTTGAAGCGCGGTTTTTCTTCCCCGGGAGAGGATCAGTTCAGGCATCAGCTGTTCTGCCTGAAGCTAGTGTCTTGGCATTATGAAGCTTTATAATTTCAGTATCTTCAATTTGCTTCAATTTTTAACATGTTGACATAATTGATCACAATTTCGAGCTGCGGTAGTCAAAGAAAGGTCACATAATCTGGAGGGGTGAATGGAGTCGTCTCCACGGAATCACTTTCCTATCCGAGTGCGGGGAATGATATATTAAACTCTCAAGGCTTCCCTGTGTTCTTTCTGACTCTAAATACTTTTTGTCCATCTATCGCTGTTTCTAAATTCAATTATGCCTCATATCTTTCTGTGGGTTGATAATTTCTGATTGGTAATATTTACGAACTAACCATTCAAACTATAGAACTGGTGCCACGGGCTACATTGGGGGCGAGGTCCTCCATGTCCTGCAACAAGCGCATCCCGATTACGAAGTCACTGTACTGATCAGAGATGAGGGAAAGGCTGGCAAGGTCTCGGCTGCTTATCCAAATGCTCGCATTGTTCTTGCCGATTTGGACAATGTCGACATTATCGAAGAAGAATCACGCAAAGCCAACGTCGTCATCCGTCAGTCAAAATGCCAATTCAACTGATAAGGTTTTTGTTTGCTAATTCTCTTTGCTCAGATGCCGCAAGTAGCAAACATATTGAGAGTGTGAAGGCGATCGTAAAAGGCCTAGAAGCACGTAAAGATGGTATGCCATCTATGACCGACGGACGCACTTGCTCCACCTTGGAAGAGTCTTGTTCGCTAACTTGACACAAAATCTAGGGTATTACATCCAAGTAACCGGAGCTAGCGTTCTGTCTGGCCCCGAGGTAGATAACAACTCATACGGTGAGCCCTCGGATCAGATTTTCGATGATTTGGACAAGGTCGCAGATCTTCGAAACATCATTCGAGCTTATAAGAGTCGCCGGGTGGTTGATAATTATATCCTCGACTTGGGCTTAAGTGGCCCTAAGACTGCTATTGTCTTCCCTCCTATCATCTTTGGTACTGGAAAAGGTCCTGTGAATCAGCGGAGCATTCAAATTCCGTCACTATCCCGGGCCGCGCTGCAGCAACGTGTTGGTCTATATCTCAACAAAGGGCTAAGCCGATGGGGTGTCATCCACGTCTCTGATTTGGCGACGCTCTTTGTGAAATTGGTGGAGCATGCTGTCAATGATACTCAAGTTCCAATTTGGAATGAGAATGGCCTTTTCTTCGCAGAAAGTGGCTTTGAGGTTCGTCTTTCACTTTAGACGTTACTGTCTCTTTGCTAACTTGACATCTTGTTTCAGAGCTTCAAGGCTATTGCTGAAATTATTGCCAAAGAAGCACACAGCCTTGGCTATATCGACGCTCCTGACGCAGTGAGGTCCATGGATCTCGAAGAGGCAAATGCAGTGATACCAGATGGAATTGCATATCTGGGTACCAATGGGCAAGGGCAAGCTTCGCGGGCTAGAAGATTGCTAAGTTGGCAACCGAAGGGGGACTCTTTCCCAAAGGGAGTGCATGAGGCCATTGCTGCTGAAGCAGCGCGCCTGTAAAGCAATTTCTTTGTAATAGTCTTGCATAAATCATGGCACTCAATCCAATAGATAGAACTTCATCAAATATACAAAGTACTTGAGACAATATTTCAGTTATGTTAAACGGACATACAAATTCAACAAAGATCTCCAGGCAGCTAAAGACTCTTGAAGCTGCCCATTTGGTGCGAGATCAATTTGATAATTTTTCATCTTCCAATCCTCAAGGTATTTATTCATAGCGAAATACAAACCTCCAGGGCTGGGCCAGATGAATACCTTAGTCATCACCGCCCCGCCGTCAGCCTCACCGCTTCCACATCTGCCGGGTTTTATTTTTTTCCTTTACGATTTTTATTACCGCCAAACAGCCCTCTTCCCATTCACATAATACATTTCTTTGACTTCTCCACCTCGTCGTCAACAATCATCATGGCGACTCTGGCGGAGAAGCTTGAGAAGATCAAGTCTCCCAAGCTGCAGAACCAGCACCATGTAAGTCTCGTATTTCCACTCCATAGCTAATTGGTACTAATGCCTTCACAGACTGCTGTGGTGCTCTCTGCAGTTGAGGATACCCTTCGTGATCAAAAGGCAGACTTCTCACCAACCGCTTATTTTGCCGCTCTTCTTGCACTTCTCTCTCAGTCATTGTCGGCTTCGCAAGGTATCGTCAATAAGGACCTAGCCACATCCGTCGTCTACCTTCTCGATATCACAACCGTCTACGTCCCCGCTCCAATCCTTTGCGCCAAATTCTCACAGATCCTCGAAAGCCTTGCACCTGCGCTCTCTCTGCCCGAGGTTGAAGCCCCACTTCTGCGTCCCTCCATTGGTTGCCTCGAGTCTCTGCTCATCGCTCAGGATGCCGCCTCATGGAACCTCCCCCACACACAGGTCGGCCCGCGCCGCGCGATGGCTGGTCTGCTGAGTCTTTCGGTTGATCACCGCCCTAAGGTGCGCAAGCGTGCCCAGGAGGCTCTCGTCAAGGTCCTCAAGGCGCCCCCGCCAAGCCCATCTCTGGACCACCCTGGTGCCGATATGTGTGCTCAGTCTGCGATGAAGACTCTGGGTGATAGCATTACCGCCGCGCACAAGCAGAAGAAGGGTCGCCACGATTCCCAGGCTAACAACCACGAGCCCCTTATCATCCACTCATTGCAGTTGGTCAAGACCATTGCTTCGGCATCCGGTGGTTGGCCCAGCAAGAAGATTGAGCCTCTCAGTGAGCTCCTGATGAACGCATCCCGCTCCAGCAACGAGTACATCACCATGGGTGCTTTCGAGGTATTCGAGGTCATTTTCGAGGGAATGGCGGACGAGTTTTCCTCTTCAAAGCTGCCTCGTCTTTTGGACGCAATCTCCGAACTCAAGCCTGCGCAGAATGACTCTCAGCTGCTCCCCCCTGGATTGCGGTTCTGTCACGCGGTTACGACGTGGCTGCGCAAATCACCCCCGAGGATACTTTCGAGAAGCTGCCCGATCTCTTCGCCCTTATCTCCGGATTCATGGCTTCGCCTTCCAGCAACATTCGCGTCTCCGCGTCTGAGTGTCTGATCTCTTTCCTGCACAACTGTATTCCCAACAGCGTCATTGTGGAGCCTTCTGTCTATGATGAGAAGACCTTGGAGAAGCTGGCTCGTGCGGCCGTTGAACTGCTTTCCGTGAAATTCCAGGCTGCTTGGAGAGAAGTGTTCAATGTCTGCTCGGCTTTGTTCGATTGCTTCAAGTGGCGATCAAGCCCTTACCTTGTCAAGATCGTCAGCACAGTTGGTGAGCTCCGCAGTAACGGAGGCTTCCACGGCAAGAAGGAAGCCGACGCTGTCCTTGGTAGTGCCATCGAGGCAATGGGCCCCGAGGCAGTTTTGGAGATCCTTCCCCTGAACATTGTCGATCAAAAGGCTGGCCAGCCCGGTCGTGTTTGGATGTTGCCCATTATGCGCGACAGCGTAACTAACACCAACCTTCGCCACTTCCGTACCGAACTTGTTCCTCTTAGCGAGACACTTTACCAGAAGGTCGTGAGCTTCGGTGCTGCTGAGAAGTCCGTGGAAGTGAAGATCTTTGAAACCCTAGTCCAACAAACTTGGGGCACTCTCCCTGGCTACTGCGAGCTTCCGCTTGATCTCGTGGAGGCATTCGACCAGAGCTTCGCTGAGCTGCTGTCCAATGTCCTCTACAAGCAGACTGAACTGCGCGTTGATGTCTGCCGTGCCTTGCAGAACCTGGTCGAGTCTAACCAGGCTATTCTGTCTGTTGAGAGTGAAGAGGATGATCTCATTCTGCAACGTCGTATCACCAAGGCTGCTGCACAGAAGAACCTTGCTCATCTCGGCGGTCTTGCGAGCAACCTACTGGCTGTTTTGTTCAACGTCTACAGTCAGACTCTTCCCCACTACCGGGGCTACATTCTGCAGTGTATTAATGCGTACTTGAGCATTACTCCTGAAAATGTAAGTTTCACCTTTACTTTTGGATACCACAATCCAATCACCACCAACTAACGCAATATATAGGAGCTCAACGAAACTTTCAGCCGTGTTACTTCCATGCTTGAGTCTTCTTTGGCCACCGAGCAAGAGACATCAGCCAAGGGTGCTCAGCCCCAAGGCTCAGCCGACAAGATGCCGCCCACTTCCCACACATTGATTGACCTGGTTATCGCCATGTCCATCTACCTCCCCCGCTCCAGCTTCAGTGGTCTGTTCGCCATGGCGGCTGCTATTCTCAACAGCTCATCTGCCAACCCGGATCAGCAACTCATCAAGAAGGCCTACAAGCTGATTCCCCGTCTTGCATCGACTGAGACCGGTCGGGAAGCTCTCCAAGAGCGCAGTGGAGAGTTGCAGACTCTCATGCTTGCCACTACTGACAGCACCCCTGCATCTGGCCGTCGTGACCGTATGCTTGCTATCTCCGAGTTGATCAATCACCTGCCCACCTCAGATTTGCATTTCATTCCGGCAATCCTGTCGGAAGTCGTGTTGGGCTGCAAGGAGAGCAACGAGAAGACACGCACCGCAGCCTTCGATCTGTTGATTCTGTTGGCTAAGCGCACAATCGACTCAGAGCGCAATCCCCCTGGCACTGTCATCCGTCGATCGCTTGTTCCCGGCGTGCCGGACGACTCGCCCGATGCCCCCGCCACACTCGAGGAATTCTTCACCATGCTCTCTGCCGGTCTTGCTGGCTCGGCGCCTCACATGGTCGCAGCATCTGTCACAGCGCTTTCTAGGCTGTTTTTCGACTTCCAGACACAGCTCCAGCCCGAGATGCTCACCGAGATTGTCGAGACCGTCGAGCTCTTCCTTACCTCCAACAACCGTGAAATTGTCCGCTCCGTTCTTGGCTTCGTCAAGGTGGCGGTTGTTGTTCTCCCCGATGACACCCTTCGGCCCCGTCTCGCCTCTCTCGTCCCCAACCTCATGGCTTGGAACAAGGAGCACAAGGGCCGTCTTCGCAGCAAGGTCAAGGGCATCATCGACCGCCTCGTGCGCCGCTTCGGTGCTCCCCTCCTGGAGGCCATCGTCGGCGAGGAAGACCGCAAGCTTGTCGTCAATATCCGCAAAGCCCGTGAGCGCAGCAAGCGCAAGAAGAAGGAAGGTGCCGAGGATGAGGACGACGAAGGCGAGGAGAAGGCCACCAAGCCCCAATCCGGTAACGCCTTCGACAAGGCCGTGTATGGCTCCGACTCCGACTCTTCGGACGGCTCCGATGACGGCGACAGCGATGTCGAAGTCGACGACCAAGCCCGCATCAAGGGCCGCGGCGGCAAGAAGAAGGGACAGAGCACCCAGTACATCCGCGAGATGTCTCCTGAAGACAACCCGCTTGATCTGCTCGGGTCCAATGCTCTGGCCAGCATCTCTACCACCAAACCCAGTCAACGCTTCCTCAACACAGGCCCCGGCTCAAAGAAGAAGCACGCTGCCAAATTTGATGCTGACGGCCGACTTATCCTCGGTGCGGATGGTGATGTCGTTACTGACGATGTTGAGATGTCCGGTGCCGGTGACGGCGGTGTCAACGCCTACCTTGCTGCCGTGAGCGGTCCCGACGCTGTCCGTCGTGGCCAGGGTGGTAAGGTGAAGATGGGCCAGGCCCGCAAGAAGAATGCCGGCGACAGCATGGATGTCGATGACGAGGACCTGAAGCAGGACCTGCGCGCTTCCGGTGGCGGTCAGAGCTCTGGTCGTCGTGGTCTCGGTGCTCCCAAGCAATCTGGTTCTGGAGGTGGTCGTATCGAGAAGCGCCGCAGTCTTGGCAAGGCTCCCAGGGGTGGTGGTAACCGCTCGGGATGGGGTAAGAAGAGGTAAACTATTTACCAATAGGTTATAGTACATCTTTTATTTAGCTCTCGGGCTGGGTACGTATTTTGGTGGAAAGAGGGTGGCATCTAGCAGATCCTGGAGTTATCGTTCCGTGTTACTGATTTTTTGTTTCTTTCTTGTTAACCCTCTTGTTTCTGCCATCTGGTCTTCGGTCCCTGTCGTGCTTGGTTAGTGTTAGACGTTTCTCATAATACCCTCCGCTGTGGTTACCCGTTGGCTGTGGGCTTTTCCGTTCTGATGCAGAGTTCTGCGTCTTTTTCATGATACGATTACGACTCTGTTCAAAAGTTTGTCAAGTCAATGAACATAGATATTGTTAAATTTTTCTCGTTGGTATAACGTACGTTACTGGGTTTCAACATTGCCTTTTAACTTTCATGTCATTCGCATACTAGTTTATCGTGCAAAAAAATTGTGTATCAAACATCAATCAGAACTTCATGAGCCCGAAGCCGGCCATACAACAGCTCAGCACCATTTCCATAGTCCCATAGGCTGTCAGTAGACCCATATGGGACGATCGTGAAGGAGAGGTTGCTCCAGACTAGACGGTCTTACACCGATCCCAGCCTCTAATCCTGGCAAACACCATGGACAAAGCCCGTACTATACCGCCGGCAAGATGAGAATCCACCAAAACTCCAGAGCCGATGCTATCCAAACGCCGTCGCAAAGACATCTGTGCTAAGCAATGGACCAGAAGTCCTTCGTAGCCTACATCTCATTCCATATTCAGGAATCCATGCACTCATGCCGGAGCAGCTCGACAGCGTAGAGAATCCGATCAGACGACCAAACAAAGCATAACCCATCATTAGAACAAGATCTCGCCACTATGCTCGGGCTCGAAGCCAAGAGCCTGCAGCTCGTCATAACGCTTCTTATCGCCCTTTTTCCGCTTATCCTCTTCCTTCTTCTTCAATGCAAAGACTTCCTCGATAGGAGCCTTGGTCATGGTCGGCGGGATGTCGTCTTCGCGGTCGAGATCCTAAACGATTATCCGTCAACGAGAGTCCCATAGAACAAAAAGCTTGCCGCGGAATAGGAGTTTTTCCAACTTACCACTTCACCCAGTAAGAGTACATTCTCTCCGCGAACGATAAAGATACCCCGCGGAACATCAGCGTACAGCTGGCCGGCGTAGACGCGCTCGATCGTCTCTTGGAAAACAAGGTTTGCTGCATGAATGTAAGACAGAGGACGAGACAGGTCGTGCGACAGGCATACCAAATTGGTCCCAGCTCCGTAGGACACCGATGAGTTTCCGCCCGTCACGGAGGATGAGGACGAGTTTCTCTGAGAGCTAGTCAGCCGATGTGTTTGAATGGGGGGGGGGCAATTCCCCGCAGGTGACCGGCGGACGTACTATCCGTTAAATCGAGAAGCTGCGCGGCAGTGGTGAACATCTGCGGAGGTAATTGCGGCGGGCCGCCTGTTGGCTGGGGGCCAGCTGGACCGAGGGCATTCTGATTCTGATTCTGGGGTTGAGACTGGGCGAATTGGTTCTGTGGGCGGGGGCTGCGTTGCGCATTGGCAGGGCTTTCGTTTAAAGACAGACGATCCATATTTTGTGTAGATAAATTCGTAACAGAGGAGGGGTAAGAGCGGAATTGCGCTACAAAGGAAATTCAAGTTCCAATGTTAATTATTTCTCAGACTGGTTTCCGCGATGAAGTCCAGGAACGTCGCAAAGCCGTCATTCAGGGCGGTGAGGTTGCGGATCTATACATCTGCCTTTTGATATTCGCGTACAATCTTCTTCTCAATTTAAGTCTCACTCAGAATGCAGAGTCGATAAACAAAATAACACACAATTGTAACATTTCTCAATTAACCCAAAGTACAGGTATACAGGAAGCGAAAAGGGGGAATATTCAAAACCAAAAACACAAAGACAAGACAAAACAAAAACTACTCTAAACAACACCAACGCCCCTCTGCTGTCCACGCATCCTTTCCTCCCGCCTCTTACTATATGGCGCACAATATGGCTCATCAGCAGAACCAATACTCGCTCTAACACCATCCTGCGAACGATGATAAGCCGGACTCGACGGCGCCGGAGGCAACTGCATAGCCTTAAACTGGGCATCCGTGATAATCCTCATCCCATACAAATACCGCATCAGCTCGAAATCCGGCCGACTCCCCGCCAACCCCTGCCCATTCCCGTAATGGTCTTCGGCGACATGGTCGAGCATCTGGTCCCACGCAGAGGATGTGGATGCGTCACTTCGAGACTCGGCGTCTTTGTCGTCCTCGTCGACGAACGTCGTATTCGCGCACATGGGACATCGCGCCGTCGGCGGCGTCGGGTGTGCGCGGAAATGGCTGAAGATGTGCGTTCGCCATTCGGCGGGCTCGTCGAAGGACTCTTGGCAGTCGAGCATGTAGAAGAGACAGGCGTATGGGCGAACGCTCGATACCGATATCGGTAGCGATGGCGACGCGGATGACACTGATGGTGTAGTGGCCCATGACAGTCTGCGCGATAAGGCCTGGTCGGGGAGTAGTGGGGTCATGCCGGATTCATCAAGGACATAGATTCCATCGCGGCCAGATCCAGATCCAGATCCTGGTTCGGATCCTAGTCCTGGCCCTGGTCCAAAACTATATCCGGACCCCGGTCGAGTATCCACCGAGGAGATCGACGATGGCGATGCGCTAGACAGGTCCGGCACGGGGGAGGACGAAGTCATGCTTGTGACGATCACTTCGTGCTTTTGTCTCTGCGGTCTGTCTGATGCGCCGGTTGTACTGAGGCTTAGGTTGGACGAGCGGTCTCTTATATTGGAAAGCCCGTCATGCGCAGTGCGCTCCGACATACTCCGCAAATCTAAAGCTGTAAGCGCGTTAGATTCGGTTTACATAGTATAGAGCGGGAGTGTGAAGAAGGGAAGGATTTTTTTTTCTAAAAAAAAAAATGATAATGACGAGAGGGGAACGGAGTATAACGGAATCGGAAAAGGTCATTCATACAGATATCAACGCACTGTTCTGCCTAAGAAAATATCCTCAGATCTGCGGAGTGTCAGCATGCATGACATCTATAGTCCGTTTGCGCATACCCAGCCGCTGTGCCGTCTCTCTCTCTCTCTCTCTCTTTCTCTCTCTCCTCGCTACAACATTTAGAAATTCAAAGAACCAAAGTGGGACTCCTGTAACTTCTGGAATAAAAAAAAATTCCTTCGTGCGGGCTAAGCAATTGGAGGGGTGGGCGGGGGCGTTTGGGGCTAAACGTTGGGTTGTGCAGTAGCACCGGTCAACTTCAAGGCTAATATAATAGGTGGGATTATTTTGAGGACTATATGGAAGAGCTTTCTACTGTTCAGCTCAAGAATCTTTTCGTATACTGAAACTGAAGGGATTAAATATAGATAGAGGATGAAAGAGATGCAAATGCAGTGTCTGGGATACAATGCGGGTACAATGTACACGGGCCTGTAGCACGTTCGGGTGCTGCAGGGAATATGGATCGATCATACGGTTGAAGGTGTTACTGTTACTTTGTTAGGACTTTTGTCTTAGTACTGTATATTCATGCTGTATATTGATTTACGCTACTTACGTATTATCATAATCATATATATTATACAAGCCATAATTTATATTAAGAACATTAAATATAGGGTAAACATTGTAGAGTCATACGATATCATGCTAATGATCTTGAATATTTACCGGGCTACGTCAGCTGCCGTTGTTATTCAGGACAGAGTCGATGTGGATCTAGATCACTTTAATGCATATAAATTAATATCCTATGTACTTCTGTATACATACATATGTGAGGTTTACCTAGGTACTCCGTAGATACTCTACGCTTATAGCCATCTATCGCTTGTTGGCCTTTATCTACAGCCTAATGATATTTCTACCAGCCTCATTTCTATGTTTGGAATATACATCAGAATTTTCACTGGGCGTGAAATCGTGGATTCAGAACGCCTTATTGTACTTTGCAGAGATCAAACACTTCAAATTTAACATCAGCTATGTTCAGACTTCCCAGATGTTCTTTGAACATAGTTATAGCATGTGAATATACATTTGACAAACAGAAAGCAAAAGAGACATTAGATATAAGCTGGATTATTTAAATTATATCCAGATACGAACAATGTAGACATCGAGGGCACATGTTTTCTCATGTATACATGTGTGTGCATTCCGTACCAGATTGTCAGATTGCGGGGATATCACATGTGAATAAATACTCTAAAGATTAACCGCAATGATAGTAGGTGTGAAGTTTCTTCATTTTTCTCACATAGTGAGGAATTAAGTAAGGTAAAGGAACAGGTCAGAAGTGAACGAGACCACAGGCCTCAGAGAGGAGAATCACAAGAAAAAAAAGGAGGTCTTTCGACACAGAATTTTGGACTCGAAGAGTAAAGGTGAGGAAAAGAAAGATCTCCAAGAGTGGAAACAGGCAGTGAAAGTAAAAAAGATCCCAATCCATCTATTTGGAAGCGCCTCAGATCAGAAAAGCAAAATAAAAACAAAACATCCATCCGACACCGTTGATGCCCGCAAGCCAGAGTAAAAATGCACAAGTCTATATCGTTTCGTGGCGCACATAACAAAGTTCCAGGCACATAAAGGATTGCAAGGAGGAATCAGAACCGGTCTGCCAAGTCCCCGCCAGCAACAGAATTGTTAGCTGACGAGTTCATGGATGAAAACCCACCCGTGGGATTGAGCATATCCTGCACCGCAACCTTGGGAACTTGAGGAACAGGCAGCTTGCGCTGTGTACCGTCGGGTTTCGACATGATATCTGCGATTGTGGGACCCATGTGACCCTGCGTAGGGCTGTAATAGTTGGGGCCTTCGGCTTGCGGTTCCATGGGAGCCAGAGCAGGTGTGTGTTGGAGAGAAAGGTGGCGGATGGAGGGCAGGTGCAGCTCACTAGTGCCCATAGGGCGTATGCGAGGCGAGTGGGCGGGAGTAGCGAGGGGAGTGTGGTCAGGAGTAGGAGATAGGGAATCGTGAGAGAAAGTAGGAGAGGAAGGAGCAGTGGAGTTGGGCGAGTTAGGACGGGAGCGCTTAACGCGATGCCCATATCCATCGTCGTCGTCGTTGGAATGCGAACGGGTCATGTTCTGTGAAATCGCATATGCGGAAAGTGAGGGAAGACCGCGGCCAGTTCCGTGGCGGGATCCGAACATCCCGTGGCGGGAGCCGTGGAATCCCATGTGGTCGTCGCGTTCAACTTGCGAAGCTGCTGTAGCGAGCAAGTTGATATCCATCCCGGAAGAGGCGCGCTCAGTGTTTCGAGAGTAAGGGCCCAGATTTGAGCGCATGTGGTGGGCGTAGTTGGAGAAAGAGTGAGGAGGGGAAACGTCTGGCGATCCAACCTGCGAGACAGGAGCCGAGCGAGTGATAGGCTTGCTGGGAGGGGGCATCATATTAGCTGCGTTGACCATGCCGTTGTCCTGACCAGCTGCGGCCGCAGCCGCCGCTGCAAGGTGTTGAGCCTTGTTGCTGCGGCGAGAGTTGGGGTTGTTGTGAATGCGCGAATGGCGAGTGAGTTCATCGGAGCGGCTAAAACGCTTGGTGCAACCGGGGAACTGGCAGGCGTGGGGCTTCTCTCCGGTATGCGTCCGAATATGCCTCGTTTGGTGCTCCAGACGGTGGAATGCCCGGTCGCAGAGGGGACACTTGTAAGGCCGGGGCAGATCCTGGCGAACCTCCTCGGTCGCGGGACGAGCACCCTTCATGAGAGGCGGCAATAAGCTAACGGAAGACGCCATTGAGGAATTTGAGTCGCCGGGTGTCGAGGGTGTCGAGTCGGGCGAGGTATCGTGGTTGAGTAGATTGGAGAAACCCACTGAAGAGGCCGGTGGTGGCATGTGCAACTTTGAGGATAGACCTTTTTTTTTTTGGAAGATGTACCGTGACTAATCACCAATGAGTCCCAATTTGAGGTATGAGAAGACCAAGGTCGGATATGAAGGAAAGTCCTATAATATCCGTATTGCGAAGAGACAAGAGGGGGAAAAAGAAGAAAACTGGAGATGACGATCTGGGGAGTCACAAATATAAAGAAGTCAAAGATGGAGGGGGAAGGGAGAAATCGGGGGAGAGAAGGGGCAGTGTCGGAATCGGACTTGGGGAAAAAAAAAAGAAAAAAAGAAAAAGAAAATTCAAAGTGAAAAATTCGAATTAAAAAAATACAAAAGAAAAAGAAAAGAAAAAAACCAAGTTGAGACTGTGGGGGAAAGGGGGGACTGGGGGAGAATTGGGAAAAAATGAAAATCTTGATAAAACCTAAAGGGGAAATAGGAAATTTTTGAAAATTTGAAAAAAGGAAAAACCGAAAAAAAAAACCGAATAGAGACCATTATATCTCACAGTGGAGTTCTTTTATTTTTTTTTTACACCGATAAACCTCACGCAGTTATTAAATACTAAAATAGCCTATTGAACTAGTAATAGATAGAGCCATATTCGAACTATAATATACTATAATATATTATCATACAAACTACTCTATAATAAAATATTGTAACTGAACAACTGTGCAAATGTACAAATGTAAACTAGGGACCGGCCCGGTAGAAAATACAAATTATCAAAAAATGTGGGGACTCCCTTTTTTCCTGAAGAACCGTGTGGCGTGACAAGTGCGTGTCCTTAGACAATGGTATAGTTATACGACTCTACCATATCGTACAATAAACAATATACAATGACTACGTATGTATACGATATAGTTTAGGTAGCTCTGCCGGTTTGGGTTTCCGGCTATCGCGCATCTAGTGAATATGGGACTGGGGGCTTATCATACATCATATACTATTCTCCTTCTCCAGACTTGATCTCGGCCCGTAATAGATGATGGCATGCGGAGAGATAATGACGAGCAGTATCCTTTGCCATTCATTCTTTATTATTCTTTCCAAGGTTATTATTCTTTATTAATAACATCTAATAACATTAACTCAAAGTCTGGGGGTTACTGTCATTCTCGGCCGGACCAGTCCAGACCCATGTACAATGTGTACACCTGCACACTCTGGGGCATCTGATCCTGTCACGGAGTGACGATAGCGAGGATCATCGATGATGTCGACACATGATTCCCCGTTGAATATTAACCGTAATCCTTTAGTCATGTCATATTCTAAAATCATATGCGAAAACGAGCAACTCAATCCTATTCATGCAATTTATAATTTTAGACTTGGGGCAACGTAAGAACAAATTTTGCCAACGGATTTGCCATCCGGAGGAATCATATTGATTTGGGAACCCTCAAAACCCTGGATCCCCAACACCCCTAATTGAGGTTCGCCGACAATCCCCCGGATTTCAGGGAAGGCTATTAAATATTCTTTGTAGATTCGATTAAAATATTCGTATAGAATATACGAAATATCATGATTTCATCTATTTATCCAACCGAGTCAATCCCGACCCATGAACCTGGAAAAGCGAAGGTGAAAAGTCTTGAAAATAAAAAATTTGATAGCGATAAAGTGGATGAACGCTGATAGGCGCGGATCATCCAATTATTGATGGGTTTTGATGCAGCTATCATGCAGCCGCAAAGCCGCGTATCTCTAGAAACACCAGTTCAGATGCGAATGTCAGCCCCTGCACGATGAGCACCTGGCTGCATTCCTTGCGCGAGTCCCCACCTAGATTCCAAGCCCTCGAATTATCGATATATACGGAGTACGGAGCACACATGTCCAAACCCCGGATATTCCATTGTGTTCTATCTGTCTTTTATCGGTGGCTATGCTAACAATAATACTAGGCAACTGAATAACCCGGAGTTCCCCCGGGTTTATCGATCACCCGGGTCCCCAGCTCTGTGGAGAAGCCAAGGGGGGACCCCAAAGGCTCCCAAGTTTTCATAATAGTACTATTATTCTGTGATATCGGGTAAACGGGATAAAGAAAGATACGCACACTCGGCAAATCCCCCCCGCCGAGTTCGGTCTTTAATACCCGTGTTGGCGCCGGGGTATCTGGTTGGATGATAACACGGGGAACGCCCAAAATTCTCTCTCAACTCTTATCGCTTAGGCGACTCTTGCTTCTTTCGTACCATATAAACGAGGCAACTGGATAAATCCAACTTGTATACTATCTACATCTACAGATCGCTCGGCTGAAGACACTGTCGGAGCGGTGGAGCTGTATATAGCCGTGCACCAGGGGTCATCCTCCTTTAGTGGCAGATCTTAAGCATGAAATCCCCGGACAGCAAATTCAGCCGATCCCCGCAATACCCTGGACATATGAGCTGATTGCCCCGGACCTGGTCCCATTGGACCAAAGGCACAAGACTAAAGTAATAAAAACAGCAAAGAGAAGGAGATAGAGAGTATCGGTCGCAATTGCTTCCCAGAAATTAAAAATCGTTTGGAGTTATTCCCGCTGCCTTTACCGAATTAGCGCTTTGGGGAGACGGAGGTTTCTCCCCCGAAGAAATTGCACGAATCCCCGGCCAAGATTTCCCTTAGATAAGTCTAGATTAAATCAGGAGATATGGTCCGGATTTGGCATAGGAGTTCTCCATTCTCCATTCTCCTCCACGGGGAATGGTGTAATGGAGAAGATTCCGGATTTGGAGTGGCGATCGTCAAATAGCTTTGCATTTTAATTTAGTATAATTAGTATAATCAATCATAATGAGACGTTGTGTAGTGTCATAAGCCAAACCTTGGAAGCAGGTACCAATTCGAACTATTACCCGCTTTTTGCCGAATCATTGAATAATACGTGTATAATGCGCCTTACTGGGGTTGAAACCAGGTCCGATATGGTGTGTTTCAGTTTCAGGTGACGAGTTCGTACATACAATCTTGGAAGTAGTGAGATAATGTATTACTCTCTACAAGATACCTGTCTCTGTCGACTGAACAGAAACAGACAAATCAGAATCCAGCTTCTGTTTCATATTCTTTCCCCGTAACTCGTCTCACTTTCCTCATGTTTTCTGAAGATCATCCGATTAAGATCCACCATCGAGCTAAGCACCGTCGGAAGCGTGGGGGAGCACCGGAGTTTCCAATTGCCGACAAACACGCAAGATGATCACGACACACAATATATACCTAGGTACTACCCCAACTATCGCCAGAAAATTCAGTCGGTCTAATTTTTTTGAATGATCGCCCTTCAAAGTTTGTAGGGCCGATATACCCGGTGATCAACAGATGCTCTACCCCGCAAAGGCGATACGCCCATCAACTCCCCGCAGAAAAACCAAACGATCTGCAACTGATATCGCAGGTCTTCAGAGAAAAACTCTGCCTTGATCGTCACGATCGCCCAAAGGGAGGGGCGTCCGATATCGCTGTCTGGGTTGATCCCAGTCTTATCACGCCATCCGGGGAACCGCCCATAAATCTACATCGTATAACATTCGATGTCAACATGTGAAGCCACCATGTACGCCCTGTACTCAATAGCCTCAAATTTGGGCGATACGCGTCCAACATTCCATGTTGATCAAACCTGCTATCTGGCATGCAGACCCGTGCATAGAGTGGGCACGTCGATCCAAGAAGGGAAAAAAAAGCAAACAAAGCCAGGGCCAAGGCATGACACAGATACCATGCAAGGAAAAGAAGAAAAAAAAACTAAGTGAAGCGAATTACGCGAGAGCGCACATAATTGGGATGGAGATCCCCGGGCTGATAACCGGAGCCTCGCTGTCCTCCGTGTTGCGAGTCCCTGCCCGCAATGAGGACAGATATTTTTAGTCAAAGGACGTCCGCCGACCAGTGAGATCGCCGAAGAGTTCACTATCATCTCCCCGCACATCCCCAGATCATCCCCGGGCGTCAAGAAAGATAGGCTGATTAATTTAATTAATATTCCAAGGTTCTGAGATAAGATGTCAGCTTTGAAGAGTCTGGATGTTCAGCACATACCCCCCACTTTACGAAAAGTAATGATCTCCAGGGCTGTACGAAGTACAACCATTGTAGTCATGACGTGATCTTAAGGCCTGGAGCTGAAATGGCAAAGTCACAAAAGGATTGGGCGCCCGGGTTTCCAATTCTCTTTGGTGCCTACGGACTGAAACCTCGAAGCGCCACTCAGCACCCATTCAGCACACAAAGAACCGTGTTGGAAAAGAAAAGGAGGCAATCTGATTCCGAATCAATTTACGGTATGTCCTAAAACGTAGTCCCTTGGCTGGGTGACATTTGGTCATGCTTGGCAAGTCTCGATGCGGGGGGAAAGAGTAATCCGGGGTAGGTTTGGGTTTAGGGCAACATTCCACAGTCAAGAATGGACCTTCGGGTCCAGTTACTCTGTACAGTGTGGGGGTGTACTCCGTACGTTGCAATGCAATTATTGTATACTTTGTGATTCATGCCCCTGAAGAAGAGGATGTCAAAACGTAAGAATAACATCAGTTCAAGGATCACAGTGCAACCTTACCTAAGGGATTATCTAAGAGATTTTCCCGATTCAGCCTTCCGAGGTGCACTCCGTATGTATTTAGGTTTTACCCACAATAGGTGTTCGTTATACACACTCACTTTCTCTATTACACCCACGCTCTCTCCGAATTCCCCAAACGCCAAGGCGAGTGATCCGCGATCCACAGCTTCTGGAATAAATATCCCCTAATCCAATAACAGGCTCAACTGGACTCACACTGATTTCATCTGCGGGGCCGTCATTCCGGAGTCCGTGATCAGCCGGCTATTGGTGGGAATCTTTTCTTTTTCCGGCCTATCTCTAAATTGCTCTTAGAGATTGTGATTATCTGGAGAAAACCCATGTGATAGTCTGGGGGAGATAGATAGATTGGCGTTCAAAGGGGGAAAACAAGTGATACCGTGTCCAGTTCTCGGTGAAGCACGAGGTGTTTTTTTTTCTTTCCATATTTATCCACACTCCACTCTGAGCGATTTATGGCTACGTATTTCTGTTACCCCATACTCTCTCTTCTACTCCAAACATCAAACAGAGTAGCATTTATCCACTTTTGTAAAAGTTTGGGACTTCGGAACACAATGCCCCTTGGGAGATGTAGATCCACTTGATGATTAAGTCACGTAGGACGCTACAATCAGGTACCATATGCAGTAGATCAGCTAATCTGACCAGGATGAAGTCTAGAACTAAAATCCCGATTCTAGCCTTGTCTTCAGCTATGAGCTCAATTTATTAAAGTATGACATTACCTACAGGGATAAACTTAGAGTACAACTAAAGTACCAAACTATTCTCAATCCTACAGTGGGATCGAACGAATCAAACATTATTGTACACAAAGCCAGAACGGGAAGAGTTCCTCCCGAACTTGTCTAACACGTGTTGGGATTATTTGTTACCCGCTCAATTGCTAATTTTCATTTTTTTCAGCGGCAGCTCCGGAGGAGTCCGTGTCATCTCAAATCGGAAGCGGGGATTACTAGCACGAGTGGCATAGTTTCACATGTTCAGATGCGAGAATCATGTGTTTATCCATTCTTTGATCAGAAGCTCGATGTACATAGGCACTTGGGACAGTCTATGAAAGTTTGATAAGAGGAATGTAAGCCTCGGTATGCAATGTGATTTTAACTATGTGCATTAAGTCACGACCTAATGAAATGGCGTCATGGCTTTTATTCCCCTCCAGATTACTGATAAGATCCATACATGAGGTAGTTATGGAGTAACTACTCCGTATGTACATATGTAGTTAATATGAGCTTGAAATGGCACATACAAAATATTGTAATATTCAATCTATACATAATATTTCCAACATGTAAAATACAGTATGTAGCTTCCTTTATAGCTTACAGCCTAGACCAATCTGCTGCAGGTACAGACCACAGAGTATCAGCTCCTAGGGCTATAAGGGCCATCGGGTGAACTCGGATGACCAGATTGTGCCATTCTAAGGCTTGTGGCATTCTATGCGGGGCTTAGTGCCGATGGAGTCTACCGATTCTCCACGATGATCAGGGGGCTTTTTATTTTCGGTCGCTGTGATCAAGAAAAGGAAGGTGTGCCAGGTCTTGGCTTTTTTTGCCGTGTCGCCTCATTACAAAAGGTACAAGTACCGATGGTCGCTAGTTAAGACCCTAGGACTTTAGTCCTAGATGAGGCGTGCAAATTCAAGGAAGTAGACTTTTCACGGGGCAAGTACTTCAATAGTAATGATTCAAAAAAGGGGCTTCGGTGAGCGGGCGTCTTCCGTGAAATTTCTTTTTTCCCCCAACGCTTGTACGCCAGTCTCCCGTCTCTGGAGCCGGTCGGTTTGCGTAACTCGGCGAAAAACTTCGGCATCCCTGTGCCGAGTCGGTCTCTCTTGTGAAAGAACCTGCCGGTCTCCCATTTGTCCTTTCCCTTTCAAGCGGTATTTACTGGTACTCCCCACACTGTCCGTACCTATTATTATCATTTTTACATGTATGGAGTTGTAATTGCGTAAGAAAAATTCTCTTCCCGAGATTCTTCCGAGGCTCGGAAGTTGGAGTCTGGGGTGACCCAAGTGTTGGATATTGGATGCTACATTCGGACATACTACCCATGCAGGTAAACATCCTAGACACTTCGGGGTAATGCTTGTCTAAGTTAAATTTCGTGAAAGAGCTCGGGATACCTTCTCATGTCTGTAAGCCATGTAAGCCATGAAAGCCACTCGGATATGGCCGTGGGAAACATTCTGCCGTCTTCTCCGGAGTTTGGTATGTCCAGACTACTCCACATGTAGCGGTGAGGCCATAGTGTGGAGTGTGATAAAAGTTTTCTGTCAGTTGCCTTATATTGGAGTTTTCTCCAGGGCTCCAGGGCTCCAGGGGCTAGGGCTCTATATTTTTATGAGTCATCATACGATAATTGAAGCTGGTTAGTGTGCATTATTTGCTGTTTTGACTCCAAAGCAAAAGATGCTGGCAAATAATGTCAAAATGTTTGGAACACTGCAAAAAAAAGTTATGCCATGAGAAACCCTCTCGCCTTCTTCAATCAATACCAGTGTAGTCCTCTTAGGGCTTCGAATTACATACATACATATTCGCCTCAGGCACTCCGAATCTAGAAGCGGAAGCGGAGATGACGTTTCTGCCATGATCGACCGAAATCTGAAGTGTCAAATCCAAGACCAATAGCGCCATCCATCCAATTTACACTATACAGCAAGTCCCTGTATGATTTGACTCTACCGGCAACCCCCTTATTCAAATTCCAGACATTGAACATTCCCACCAAGCCAATACGCTAGCCTCGAGCTCCTAAGCAATGGCACCCCCGCGCCAGCGCACCACAGCAATCATGGACGACTCGAGGTCCGAAGCCTCAAGCGGCACAAGAGACTATCCAAAGCCGAAGTCCCGCAGACCAGCAAAAGACAAAGCCTCCGTGACCAGTGCGCCCGTCGAGCACGACGACCAACCAAGAGTACGAACTCGATTTTAAATTGTTGAATGGTGTAATAAGACCTAACACATCCTCCAGCTCCCATGGACAGATCTCCCTCTCGAAATCCTCCATTCATACCGCCACGTCCATAAACTTCCCACTCCCTCCGCCTTCGCAAGCGACTACTCCCGCATCGTCCTCTCTCAGGGCGTCGGCCTCCGCTCCCCTACCTCTCTCGCTGCTCGCCGCGCACAGTCCCAACCAAACGGACACAATCACACCAGAACCGGGGCTGTGACTGACTCTTCGCTGCGACGGACTGTTGGCCAAGACCGCGTGAGCAAAGACCAATTTGCGCTCGTTGTCCGGAGACACTTTAACAGTGCGGGTCTTTCGGAGCAAGAGACCATTGCGCGGTTTTTGTATACTGTTCGTGAGGAGAGGAGGGGGAGACAGTTCCGATTGCGGTTCCAGCCATAAGAGTGGGGGCTGATGTCTTTGATCTCTGTTCTTGATTCGTTGGCTCTGCCTTCCATTGCTTGTGGTTAAGAGCTGTAGAATTATAGAGCTTGATTTGAGTTTATATTAGAGCTGTTCTTTCGCTTATCCCCCCGCCTGTGTCTGTCCTGGTTGATGGGCTTCGTGCGGTGTGGTGGACATACATTACGTGCGTGGCTTGTCTGGTTACCTTTTTTGAGGGACTGGTGGCTAATTCTCGTCTTTCGATGTTGAGATACCCATTGGCGTTCAGTGTGTTTATGCTTGTGATGTCTTCCGTCTCGGTTCGGATCTTTATTGCTTATTTGAACCTGTATAGCTTACATATTATATAGTTATCAATGCATAGCTGTGTTCTAATGCAATGAAATGCATTCTGCTGATAATTTATGGCCGTCTTCGATTATTTATACATGTACATATCTTTGGTACATACTATTATATAATATAACTGATATTCCATTGTACCTCCATGACAAAATTCTGAAGGTCTTGACCGTTTAACACCATACGTCACACATATATAATTGAATCACAGATGATTTCGGCGACTTGGAAACGAACACCCAAGGTGATACAAACCTTTGAACACCTAAGTACATTACAAACTAAACCTTAGTAAGTGCCCAGGTGGCAGCACTATTATTGATCAACTACACAAAGCATCAAACTGCAACCCCATGTAACACATGTGCACTTCGAAGGCCAGTTCTCGACAGCCTATATAACTTTTGAACATATATTCACATATACTTATATGAAATCTTATTTGGAAATGCATGACTTGGTACTTGCTACTAAATAGTACTTATATAGTTCATAGCTCATTTCCATAATAGCATAGATTCTTTCTGTAAATATCAGAAGGGGAACAAGAGGGACATCTAGCCCGGGTTCAAGAACCCAGGACAACTGCCCTCTAAAACAAAGCAGCTCAGACCATAGTAGAAAGAGAAAACCCCGCAAAAAGCAATGAACCAAATCGAGGGTGACCTCGGAGAGAGTTCTAGATCTCAGTGAACGCCAAAATATGCCATCGCCGGTTCAAATCATATACCTCCCTTTTTCCTACGCGGCGAAAGCCACATCCTCCATGTAGCCAGGTCCATCGTCTATCATTTCCAAGCGTTGAGACCAGCCCAGGGATCGTTGGGATTTGGCTGAGATTGAGGCTGAGACTGTGAAGGTGCCTTGCGATGACCATGTGGCCTGACCTGCGCATAGCCACCAGGACCAGAAGGATGCACACCACCAGAAGAAGGCGGATAGCTAGGATGTTGGGGAAGTGGAGGCGGCGGAGGTGGGATGTAGCCCTGTTGAGTCATGTAGTGTGAGGACGGAGGAGCCACACTGGGGGCTGGTGTGCTGGAATTGGAGTAGCCTCCGTATGGAGCCGCATTTCGAGGGAAATATTGTTGGCTCGGAGGTGGAGAGACGGGGGTCCGGGAGGGATATGCCATGGGGTGGTAGCCATCAGATAGTGGAGCTGCAGCACCTTGCTGGAAGTGCTGCTGTGGCGGATAAGGGGCGCCCATGTACTGTCCGTAAGGTGCGGATGGGTGTGAGGAGAGGGTCGCGCTATGCCCTGGCATGGCGGGCGGGTAGCGGGGTGACATCTTTGGAGATGGGCCAGTGGTTCCATATGCTGGTGTCTGAACAGGGGGTGGTGGTGATTTGACCTTCGAGGGTGCTCCCCCTGACACAGTGGATGGTGAGGTTGATGAGCTCTTAGGTTCCGTAGACAAGCGCTCCATCAACTGGCGCAGCTTCTCTCTCTCACGATCTTCCTGCTCCGAGACACCGGTGACCTTATCGCGTTCGATTTGGCTGAGAAGCTGCGCACCTTCTGATCGGCGGTTGTTGATGAAGGTTTCGACGTTCTTACGGAGACTGTCGACATTCTCGCCCATATCATTGTAGAATATTCGCGCTTGAGTTATACCTGACGAAAGGCCATTGAATGCTTCGTAGATCTTCTTGTATCGAGAAATTACGGAGTTGCGTTGGCGTGTGATGGATTCATACTTTGACTGCTCGGATTGAACCCTCTTATCTTGCAGAAGCTCTCCGTATATTTTGGTGAGTTCTTTCATCAAAGATTGTTGTTTATGGTTCGCCTGCAGAATTCTGTTCTGATGGGGCCGAAACTTCTCCAGCTCGGCATCAAAGAGCTGCGTTTCTTGGCCAGTAATCGATTTCTTGTTTAAGATCAAGACATTTGAGATGTCATCGTTGTGGACCTGGAATTGATACAATTAGACAGTTGCTATTAATAAAAATTCAGGATTCTCACCTTATCCTTGAGATCCTTGAGCACTTGAGACCTCTCTCGCTTTACAAGATTAAGTTTCTTCAAGATCTCTTCCACCTTGGCGATCTGTTCTGCGACAGAGGCACCACCTTCATCATAGACATCATCCAAAAGAGTACCTTCCGCAGGACTGGTGACGCCACTCTTGTTTTTACTGTGCTTTGAGCCGACTTTGAGCAAAGCTCGTTGAAAGAGCACATCGGCTTCACCTGTTTCCCCGGCAGATCGCATTTCATCGAAATCGGTCTCATACTGCCGAAGTGTGGAAGAAAGCTGAGTATCACTTGTGCTGGCCTCGTTAATAGTGTCTCGATAAGACCGAATATCTCCTCGGAGCGTGGTATTAAGTCGTGAACTGGGTTGCTGACTCCAGTCTGCTCCATACTTGGACCTCATCTTTTCACACACGCTCTCTTCAAGATCAAGTTGTTTCGAACACTGATCTAATTGGGACAGCACTTCTGGCTTACGATTTTGCAGCTCGTCAACCGCCCTATGGAATGGTGTATGTCCAGCAAGCTCAGAGCACCAGCGACGGAACTCTTCGTCCACTGACATCTGCTGGTTCATGCCACCTTTCAAGATATTGAGACTGCCTGGTAGTTTCAGATAATCCAAACTGGCCTCAAACTCGCCATTAGCGGTCTCAACTTTTTCTGTTTCAGCGCGAATCAACTTGGCTTTTTCTTCATCATAGAGACTAGCGGTTTCAGTGACAGACATAGGCACCAGCTTCTGGAAAATATCGGGTCCAATAATTCGCTGGATATCTTGCCCTTGATATAACTCGCTTACTGGGATTGCTTTGGCCGCAGGCAGTTTAGAAACAGCTGAAAGAGCAGCCTCATTGGGGACTGGCTGGTGATAGATGAAATCATTATCTTTGACCATAGTAGCAAGCTGAGCTTGTACGTTTGCTTGGTTGTGTTTGATAAGATCCAGTAGGGCGGGCCCTGACTCGGCGGTCATATGAGAAGTCGCTGGGGCTGTCGAGGGGAACGTTTTTGCCCAGCTCAGAGCTGTGAGAGCTTGCTTATCGGCCATCTGTAGGCGCGCAATAGCAACACCATGTGATCCATTCTCGCTATCCGCCACTGCTTGATAATAAGACGCCACCGATGCCATGTGTGCTGCCTTGCTCTGTACAACAGTCGTCCAGACTTTGTCAAACACATTCTTGCCAACAAAATCTTGCATTGTGTCAGCTGCCTGGGAGAAAAGATATGATGCTTGGCTAGCCAATTTAGCCAGAAACCCAGGCTTCTTTTGATCCGCCACTTGCTTCTCGAAAAACACTTCCTGAGCTTGAGCTAATGTGACGTGAATCAATGTTTTGACAGTGTCCCGGTTCAGGTCAGTCGATGGCGCATGTAAGAAGTTTTCATTGATGTATGTAAACATTCCAGCGGACGCCTGGAAGGAATGGTAGGCTGTCTTTACCCCCGTATCGTCAGCCCGGTTTTGGTTGGCGGCATGGCAGGAGAGAACGGCAGATATGTTGAAGATGATAGATGCCTTTTCGTAGGCTAGGGAGTATTGAGACGTAGGTTTCTGGGTGAACGCATCGTACCTGAAGTGTAATATATATTTAGCCCAAGCGAATTATAAGCAAAAACAAATCACCCACCATGTAAACGAGATTTTGATATGGTTCTCATCGACAGGGAATCTGAGGTCCAATAGCTCCAGTTGGCCATAGTATCGATACAGCAAGTCGCGACCGGTAGCACTCTCCTTTCCTGCGCCTCTCATATCCTGGCGAAGGCGGTTGAGAGTGACGCATTCTTGGTTATATCGCTCGGGGTCTTCGCCGTATGTCTGCCGAATGTAATCCTTGAGGGGTTGAACCCAATCGATCTCATTGGTCTGCTTCAGCGGACATGACAACATAGGTGACTGAACCATGGTGGCTGTCGAGAGCCGTATGCTCCCATCCAAGAGCAAAAGAAATGCGGAATAGAGGCAAGACAGGGATTAGAAGCTCCGTGTGATGAGGGGATCGGAGTCCAGGGTTGTGTGTGGGGTAAGGGAGGCGGAAAGTGGGCGCCAGGTGGTAGGCCAATGACGTCGGTCGAATAAATATTGGTGGGCAATTGAAATGAAGGAATGTTAGAACTGGTCTGATAGAAACTTGTTCGTGAGAAAAGAACAGAGTTGCCTGAGAGGGTTGGAAGACGGAAAGGTGGGATGTAGTGTCCGTGATGACCTTGGGAAGGCGCCAACTCCCAAAACAGAAACAGAACAGAACAGAACATCTATAGAACAGCTCAATCAAGACTACAAAAAACACACCTGTGAAGACAGTTGAAATAAATTTTCAAATGCTTTTTTAAATGCTTTAATTTTCACAAAATGAAACATGACAAGGAACAGGATATACAGTCAAAAGAAGTGGAGAGCTTCTTGGACGCATCTATCACTCAATAATAATAATACAGTATTCTGCCCCATAGACCTAGGCAGAACAGGTCCCCAATATCGCCGACGCTATGACATGGGTGAGGTAAATACAAACGGATAATAGAGTACATGATGATTTACATTTTCTAGGACTTCTTCGAGCTGTCCTTACTGTCCTTGCTGGCAGTATCCTTGGAGTCCTTAGAATTCTTGGGAGTATCCTTATTGTCCTGGGTTGACTTGGAAGAATCGCCGTTCTTCTCTGTAAGACGATGCCAGACAGATTTCAGGAACCCTTCATTTTTGTTCGCTTCATCGCCGCCCCCGGAGGCAGACGTCGGACTATTTTGGAAGTCAGTATGAGTGCCCATTTTTCGCTAAAAACTAGATTATCTTACCTATCCTTGCCAAAGTTCATTGTCCGTTTGGCTGTCTTATCGTTCATCTCGTCTGCAAGGACTTCCAGAATAGTACGCTGGTTTCCAGTCAAGTACTTCGGCATGGCGACCTTGAATTCAACCTTAAGATCACCATTGGGAGTGAAGCCGCGTGCTGTTCGACCACCAAGCTTCTTCATACCCATTCCGGACAGGGTAATCTTGTCACCGGTGCCAGTGCCCGTGGCCACTTTAACCTTTACCTCGCTGTCGAGAGTTGGAATTGTCACCTCACCACCCAGAATGGCAGTGGTGAGAGGAATGGAGGATGTGTAGAGAATGTCGGACCCGGAGCGGCTGAAGCGGTGGTCGGGGGCGACTCGGATGGAGACATAGAGATCACCAGGCTGGGTTCGGGCACCGGGTGGAACAGCAGCTCCTGTGGGCGGGTTGTCACCTTCACCGGTCACTCGCAGACGCATACCATCTTCAACACCACCGGGAATGTCGACCTTGATAGTCTTGCGTTCCCTAGTCACACCGTTTCCATTGCAGGGGCTGCACTCTGATCCACGGGGAACAGACATACCAGCACCCCCACAGGCCTCACAAGTGGCGGCGACTTGGAAGCCTCCCTGCATCATATGAACACGGGTACCGGTACCATTGCACTGACGACATTGGGACCGCTTGGCACCAGGTTTCAGACCGTCACCTTTACAGGTTCCACACTTGGTCAATGGTGTGACGATTATTTCCTGGGTCGTGCCCTTCGCGGCCTCCATGAACGAGATGTTGGTTTGCACCTCGATATCTTCACCAACCAAAATCTGTTCCTGGAAGGGGTTGCGCCGACCCCGGGGCCCGCGACGTGCACCTCCGGTAAAGGCGCCAAAGAGATCTTCGAAGTTGATGTCGCCCGAGAAGCCTCCGCCAAAGCCACCTCCTCCAAATCCACCACCAAATCCGTGGAAGCCACCCGCACCAGAGAAGGGATTGCCGCCAGCGCTTGGGTCGAATCCGCCATTCTGATCGAACGCAGCCGAACCATACTTGTCGTAGTTCTCTCGCTTGGTGGCATCGGACAGCAATTCGTAGGCTGTCTGAGCTTCCGCAAACTTGTCTTTCGCTTGAGCATCTTTGTTGGTGTCCGGGTGGTACTTTTTGGCCAATCCGTAATAAGCTTTCTTGATTTCGCCGGCGGATGCCTTTTTGTCCACGCCGAGGACCTTATAGGGATCGGCGATTGCCGAAAGAGGAGAGGTAGTATGGAAGGTCTATTCATCGAAAAGAAGAAGGCTGATTTAGCAAACCGAGTCATGAAATCTCGCTGGATGACCTACCCTAGCTGATATCACCAATGGATCCTTTCTCTTGCAGACGCCCTCTCGGAGACGTCTAGCTGGGGAAGCGGAGACAGTCGCATGATATCCTCTTGTTTTGTTGGATGTAGAAATGCCATTGTTGGAAGTGGTGCATTGTCGCTGGGTTCGCAACAGACGCGCGGGGATAGCCGCGGCCTTTGGGAATGCCGCAGATGGATTCATGGATACTAATAGCCGAACGACGGTTGGACGGCAGTTGTCGATGGCCGGATGAGAGGATATATGCGAGAATGGAGGAATAAAGTAAAAGAACGACGATTCAAACACAAAAAAGCCACAAGTTTAAAGCACCAATGACCTTTCAATACTAAGATGAATTACTCTCCTGACCACAGAAGCTTCGAGTTCTTCGGCAGAGAGAAGTTTCTCGGAGAAATGTATCACCGGGCGATGATGAAAGAGTTGCTTACCGAAGCAAAATGGCTCCACGGGTGCTCCGACTACGGATATCCAGCTTCCACTTTGCCCTTTTGATCTTATTACTTACCGCTGTGCCTTTGGAGCTGTGTTACGGATCGTCACACTTCTTTTAGCACCGTATTTCTTACCTCAACCCCATTGCCCGACCTTTCATCCGATAATCAAGGAGCATGCTCCGCGGCCAGACACTCCCCTGGAGAGCTGCGCTCCACCAAACGCCTCGAGCTCTCCTCCGACGGCCCTTTCTTGCGTCTCCAAGATACAATGCCACCTTCCGATCTACACTACGCTCGGCTCGGCTTGGTAATTCCATTCCCTCGTCCTCCCGCGCCTTCTCTGTAAGCTCCATCCGACGAAGAGAGAAACCCCCACCAGAGGACCCAAAAGACGAGTCGGAAGCGAAGGAAGAGAAGGAGAGCGGCCAGGATGATAAGGACACAGAACGGGCACCTGAGTCCCGGAGGAAGGTAGCCGACTCGGGCAAGAATGTTCCTTCCACAGACCAGCCCTCCACGCGGAGAAAAGACCGATCATCTGATAAGGAGCAACGCGGAGTAGAAGAGGAGGGCAAAAAAGATGCCAATTCAGCGGATGGAAAGGGAAATAACACACCATCACCTATCCCGCCAAGCGATAGCTCGACCGACTCGAAACCCAGCGGTGCAAGCAGCGGCGGTAACAGCGGTAATGACGATGGCGGGAAGAAGGGTAAGAAGGCATCTGGGGATAAGGCTCTCCAAAAGCCGGCAGTTCCAGATGTTTACCCTCAGGTGATGGCAATCCCCATCGCCAAGCGCCCATTGTTCCCCGGCTTTTATAAGGCGATCACTATTCGCGATCCTAATGTCGCCGTCGCGATCCAGGATATGATGAAGCGGGGTCAACCTTATGTCGGAGCATTTTTGTTCAAAGATGACAACGCCGACGGTGACGTTATCGAGAACTTGGACGATGTCTATGATACAGGTGTTTTTGCTCAGATCACCGCTGCATACCCTCTCCGTGGGGAAGCCAGCGGTGTGACGGCAGTCCTCTACCCCCATCGCCGTATCAAGATATCATCACTACTTCCGCCTAGCGAGACCGCCAAGGGCGCTACTCCCCCGCCTCCACCTACTTCCGAAGAGAAGACGACCGAGAAGAAGGGCGATGTTGTGGCCAGCTTCGAAGAACCCGCCCCCGACGCTGCCCCCAAAGACCACTACGAACCCACCTCTTTCTTGAAGAAACACCCCGTCAGTTTGGTCAATGTGGAGAACTTGATTGAAGAACCATTTGACAAGAAGAATGCCATCATCCGTGCAGTGACGAGTGAAATTGTCAATGTATGCAAAGAAATTGCGACCTTGAACCCATTGTTCCGCGACCAAATCTCGGCATTCTATACTGATCAGTTCCCTGGAAATCTCAGCGACGAACCGGCTAAATTAGCTGATTTCGCTGCCGCGGTTTCTGCGGGTGAGCTGCATGAGATGCAAGAAGTCCTTGAGACAATGAACATCGAAGAGCGTCTTCCCAAGGCTCTTGTAGTTCTGAAGAAAGAGTTGATGAATGCTCAACTGCAATCTAAGATAACGAAAGACGTCGAGGCCAAGATTCAAAAGCGCCAACGCGAGTACTGGTTGATGGAGCAGATGAAAGGAATTAAAAGAGAGCTTGGTATTGAGTCTGACGGAAAGGACAAATTGGTCGAGAAGTTCAAGGAGAAGGCAGAGAAGCTTGCCATGCCGGAGGTTGTAAAGAAGGTCTTCGACGAGGAGATCAACAAGCTCGCCCATCTTGAGCCTGCTGCATCGGAATTCAATGTCACTCGTAACTACCTGGACTGGCTGACTCAAATTCCTTGGGGCCAGAAGAGCGTGGAAAACTTCGGCATCAAAAATGCCGTGAGTGTCTTGGATGAGGATCACTACGGACTCAAGGATGTCAAGGATCGTATTCTTGAGTTCATCGCCGTCGGCAAGCTTCGTGGAACCGTTGAAGGAAAGATTCTTTGCCTTGTTGGACCTCCAGGTGTCGGAAAGACCAGTATTGGAAAGTCAGTAGCTCGCGCTTTAAACCGACAGTACTACCGCTTCTCTGTCGGTGGTTTGACCGATGTTGCTGAGATTAAGGGTCACCGCCGAACCTATGTTGGTGCCCTGCCTGGCCGTATCATTCAAGCCCTCAAGAAGTGCCAGACCGAAAACCCTCTTATTCTGATCGATGAAGTGGACAAGATTGGCCGTGGACACCAGGGCGATCCGTCTTCTGCTTTGCTCGAACTTCTCGACCCCGAACAGAACAACTCCTTCTTGGATCACTACATGGATGTTCCCGTGGATCTTTCCAAGGTTCTGTTCGTCTGTACCGCTAACGTGACCGACACTATCCCCCGGCCACTGTTGGATCGTATGGAGCTCATCGAGTTGTCTGGCTACGTTGCGGACGAGAAGATGGCGATTGCCGAGAGATACTTGGCTCCCGCTGCTCGTGAGTTGACAGGTTTGAAAGATGTTGATGTGAACCTCGAGAAGGATGCTATCGAGGAGCTGATCAAGTCGTACTGCCGCGAGAGCGGTGTCCGTAATTTGAAGAAGCAAATCGAGAAGGTGTACCGGAAGGCAGCATTCAAAATTGTCCAGGACCTGGGCGAGGAGGTGCTGTCAGAAGAGGCGGCCTTGACTGATGAGGGCAAGGCCGCTCAGGAGGAGTCCAAGGAACATGAGCCCGCCGACCCTGCGCACGTTCCGATAGAACCTGAGAAGTCAACCACAGAGGTTCCTCGACTGGCCCTCAAGGTGCCCGACACTGTGCATCTTAGCATTGGTAAGGGAACTCTGAAGGATTATGTCGGACCGCCAGTCTTCACGGCCGATCGTCTGTACGACCAGTTCCCTCCTGGTGTTACCATGGGTCTTGCATGGACCAGCATGGGCGGAGCCGCTTTGTACGTCGAATGTATTCTGGAAAACGCATTGAGTCACAGCTCCCGACCGGGCCTTGAGATCACTGGAAACCTGCAGAACGTCATGAAGGAGTCAACTCACATTGCATACTCGTTCGCGAAGTCTGTTATGGCCCGGCAATTCCCCGAGAACCGCTTCTTCGAAAAGGCGAAGGTTCACCTGCACTGCCCTGAAGGAGCCGTTCCAAAGGATGGTATGTTCGATTCCTATCTAACAATTTTGTTCTGAGCCCATAGCTAATCATCTTAAAAGGCCCCTCTGCTGGTATCACTATGGCCAGTGCCCTTTTGTCTTTGGCTCTCAATCACTCTCTTGAGCCAACCGTTGCCATGACCGGTGAACTCACCGTAACTGGCAAGGTTCTGCGCATTGGAGGGTTAAGGGAGAAAACAGTGGCTGCTCGTCGGGCTGGTGCCACCAAGATTCTCTTCCCTGCGGACAACACATCTGACTGGCTAGAGCTCCCTGAGGTGAGTCATATACTTACTCCCTCTCCCTGGATTGACATGACTGACTCCTTTCTAGAACATCAAGCAGGGCATTGAAGGTCACCCCGTGAACTGGTACTCCGAAGTGTTTGATATTCTCTTCCCCAGTCTCGACCAGGAGGCTGCACGTACGATCTGGCAAAAGGCACTGGCTAAACCTGAAAAGGGTAGCCCGGAAGCTGATGAGTGATTATCTGATTTGAGTCATGTCGTATATACCTGTTGTTTTTGTTCTATTATTTTGTATAGCTTTTTGTGATTTATTACATGGCGTCTTTTTTTCCAACATGGAATGCATGGTCTGGAGTTGAAGGATGTTTACTACATAGTAGACCTTTTATTTCCTACCTAGGTAGAGCCAAAACAAGATTACTCCACTCATTGTTTGTTCTTTGTTAACTAGAGTCATATAGTCTCATACTATATTATATAAATGAATGAATATATAGCATATATGCATGTAATGACTGATTATAGCCCAGGTTATCATATATATCAGAAGGCTGAAATAGCAGGGCGTGTATGGAGCCCCCAATCAGGCATGAGTTGTCAGGCCGCAACGCATCCTCGAATATTTTGATCTGTGCGCGTTTCGATGAATCATATCTTCACTTTTTTTTTCTTTTTTTATATTTGCTCTCTCTCCCTTGTATCCTTTGAAAAAGGGCTTTTGATTGATCTCCTGCAGGGTATTTTTGCCTCACATTTGAAGCCTTGCAGCGGAAGCATCTCATCACCGCTATCACAACGGCTGCAGGCGGATTTTCTTAAGGGAAAAAAAATAGAGAGGGAAAAAAATCACTTATACCTAAAAAAAATACTCCTATCTTGACCGACTTCTCTCTTCTTCTCTTCCTCTTCTTCTCTCTTTTGCCCCTTTGCACTGCCTCTATTCAAAGTCCTTGTGCTGGGCCGGTTTCCCAGCCTCGCCCATTGCAACCCGACGTTGTGCGACACACAACTTGAAGCCTTGAACCCTCGACGTGGTTTGAACTTTTACAAACAAAACAAAAAAAAAACAAAGCTCTATATTGGAACTGGTGGGACGAAATCGTGGTGTCAAGTGTGACGCCAGAATTTTCTGCCCCCTTGAACCTGTTTCAAAACTTATGGACATCGTTTCGGCCAGCGGGGTGTTCGAGTCGTTCCTAGTACGACAGAGCGACTTGCCGTATGGCCATCGCCGTTGCCAACTGTAGCCAGACGCCCTTGGCTCTCGAAGGTCCGCCAAAACAGAGCATGTGGCAGCGATTGGGTTGGCGAAAATTGCTGGGCCGCGATGATCGAGACACGTCTGGGGATAGTCAAGATGAGACTTCCCCCGCCCTTCTTCCGACAACTCACGGAATAAACATGACAATTTGACACGTCGAATCTCGCGAAAGGTTGGCGTCAGTCTTCCGCGAAACCCCAAGCGACAAAGTGCCGATTTCGAACGATTAGCTCCTCAATTTGAACATCGTCGTGCTCTCTCCGCCATTTCCGCCGACCGCCGCCCCTTGAGCGCACAAACAGCGTCTCCACCGCCCACCGACCCCAGACAATCCGCACCCGAAATTCAGTGGCTCGGCCCGCCCACAACCAAAGTCGACGATATCGAACCAGAGATCGAAACAAATGCCGAAATTGACATGTCCCAGGATTGGGATTATCCCGACCCCGACCCCGAACTCGATATGGATTATTCAAAGTCCCCCGATGTAGAGGAAGGAGAAGAAGAAGAAGAAGAAGAGGATATAATTGATCTGGATGCGGAGCTAGAACAACGGTGGATTTTGAATCTGAGCATGCACTTCAGAGATCGTTCGGAACGTGAGAAATTCTTTGTGACGTATGCGGAGACTCCAAACCGATGGCGACGAGTCACGGTTTCTTGCGACTACCGCGATGCACCACCAGACTCATTGGAAGGGGAATTAAAGGGGCTACGATATCAACGCGACAAATGCGCCCGAATCTACGAGTCCATTCGCGAGTCCCTCCTCGGAATCCGGTTTTACGACACTGTCACGAATTTGAAGCTTGAAACGAGTGATGGTCAGTTGCATGTCTACGTGACGGAAGACGTGAACGAAACGATTCCGTACCCACCAATCTCCAGCATTGGTCACTTGGTGGGAGCTCCAATGATCCCCGAGCACATGCTACACTTCGAATCTCATTTGTCTGGCTTTGTTTACAAGGTTAATTTCGGTGGCCGGTTCTATATCAAAAAGGAAATTCCAGGCCCGGACACCGTGGACGAGTTTCTATACGAAATCAACGCATTGCACGCGCTGAACGGCATCCCGAGCGTCATCCAGGTGGAAGGAATTGTGATTGATGAGGAGCGGTGCGTTGTGAAGGGCTTACTGATTAGCTACGCCGAACAGGGTGCATTGGTCGACATTCTATACGAACAACACGGAAGGACAGAGTTTGCACGACGCGAACGATGGGCGAAGCAGATCATCCAGGGACTCTGTGAGATCCATGAATCAGGCTACGTGCAGGGCGACTTCACACTCGCGAACATTGTGGTGGATGCGAACGACAACGCCAAAATTATCGATATCAACCGCAGAGGTTGCCCTGTTGGCTGGGAACCGCCAGAGATTGCCGCCAAGATTGAGAGCAACCAGCGCATCTCCATGTATATTGGTGTCAAAACCGATCTTTTCCAATTGGGAATGACTCTGTGGGCATTGGCAATGGAAGATGACGAACCGGAACGACAACCACGGCCTCTTTACCTCGGTGAAGATGCGAAGGTGCCGGATTACTATCGGCGAATAGTACAAATATGTCTGAGTCCCAACCCACGACACAGGCTCTCCGCAAAGGAACTTCTCTTCATGTTCCCTCCAGATATTCGCTCGGCATGGGCACCAGCAGCTCGACCACTGGAGATGAATACCAATGATCCCAGACAATACCCTTTCCGAAACAACTGGCCCCAGCCTCCACCTTCCGAATTCCCCTTCGCTGCTCCCGGTGGTATGATGCGGCAGCCCGACCAATATTACACCCAAAAGGACTTTTCAAACAATGCATATGGTGGTATGCAGCACTCCGACTTTGAAAAACACGACTTCGCAAAGCGCTCGACAATTACCCTTACAGAATCCAATGAAGATATGGGCTTCCCATCTCAACCATCATCTTCCTCTACCTTGAACCACTCCCCCAACAATGACGAGTACTACTCTCGCTATTCTGATGATCAACCCCCACAATACCTGCCGTCCGAGAACCGGGACTTTGAAGCCCCCTCGGTTTCGCACGCTACTACTTTGAGGAGCAATGGCTTCCAAAACGATCCCGTGGAACTGCCCACTCCCACCGACGAGACTCTCTCTCGTCAAAATGCCCCCATGAATAATCAGCAATCCATCGCTCAAGACATATCGACCGGATCGACCAATGAGCATACCCCAAATTTGCCTGGCTCAGCGAACACTACTCCCACTGTCAACCAAACTCCTCCCAAGCCTTCAAAACAAGACAATCTGAACCGGCCAAGCAAAAGGGCCGCCAATAACGAGGATCTCCTTACATCCTCCTGTTTAGCTATCAATCCCGCTCTATCTTCACACGAAACTTCCCACAGCACTCAACCTACCCCTTCATTGATGCTCCCACCTTCCACGCCACCGATGAAACGAGATAGTTCCAACCAACCATCTGCGAAGAACGCCAATACCATGACCCCATTCACCGGACCCTCAGCTTCAAATTCATCTACTATCGGTTCGGGATCACCCCTCAGTCCCAAATCAGGTAACATGGGAGCTTCCCTAGGGCTGGGCACCAAATTCCCAGCAGCTTCACCTTTTACCAACATGCTAAGGCAATCTGGAGGGCAACCCTTCAAATCTGCAGATGTCAATTTTGCACCACCCACACCATCAAACCTATCCTCTTTGAAACCCTCGACCTCCTCCATGCAAAAGGCGGCCTACGTTAGTTATTCAGCCCAAACTACCCCCATCGAATTGTCACCCTCTGAGCCAACGAAAAATAAGGAGGTCGGTCAACCTCGCGCAAAAGCCATTGAGATGAAGCCTACTTTGGCAATTGAGTCAGACTCATCGTCTTTGCTCGGCTCCAGCTTACCTATAAGCCCTGCTACGCGTGATTCAATGCCAATTGAGCAGGCTGTTGACCACTCCAATGCCAAGCCGGTCAAATTGAAGCCAGTGCTGAGGAGTGAATCAAAATCGACACCATCGCTACTTCATTCGGCACTACCCATAAGCCCCGCTTCGGCAAATTCGAAGCCTCTCGCGCAGCTTTGCGGCATGGATGTCAAGCCCGTGGATGCCAAGCCAGCATCGGCAATTTCATCACGATCAACATCCTCGCTACTTCATTCAGAGCTACCTACAAGCCCGGCCTCTGCGAATTCGAAGCCTATCGCGTGGGATACCAAAGAGCCCCATGCCAAGCTTGCCGATGTCCAGCCCACATTGTTAAGGTCGCCAGACTCGACTGCGTCTTTGATCGATTCTCGGCTGCCTATAAGCCCTGCTACGATAAATTCGAGTTCCATTGCAGAGGCCATGCATCAACCATTTGTTCCGCCCATCAATGTGAAGGCTACCTTGACAAAGCCATCGGACTCGGCACTGTCTCTACTTGGATCCAAGTTGCCCATAAGCCCTGCTTCGGCAGATTCCGTCCCTGTTGCAAAGACTTTGGCTGAGTTCTCAAGACCTGTCAAATTTGAGTCTGAATTGGCAGAGCCGTCAGACTCATCGCTTCTCAGCTCTAGCTTGCCAATAAGCCCCGCTTCGCCGGACTCAGGGTTTCCTGCAAAGGCTATGAATCAACGCCACTCAAACAACGCAGTTGTCAAGTCGGCATGCAAACAGCAGTCGGATCTCTCATCGCTACTTAGCTCCAGCTTGCCGATAAGTCCTGCCCCGGCAAACACAGGACCTCCTGCAAATGCCACCATTGACAAACCCATATCGGCACAGCAGTGCGATCCGTCAACTCTCCACGGCTCTAGCTTACCCATAAGCCCTACTTTCGCAAACTCCATCGCCGGCACAGCTACCGAGGTATCACCTGCTGTTCACCAGCCCCCTTCAGGCAAGGTACCGCATCCGATTCGACACAGGCCTGCAACCTACTTCTCTCGGACAACCTCCTAGAACCAACTTATGGAAATCCACTCGGAAATCCACCCTTGAATCAACGCAAGATCACTAATATTGTTACATCAATCTTGCTGAATTGGCCGCCACCAACGACGCCACGACCTATTTCTCCGAACGAGCCCTATATTCGGGGCCGAGCACTCGATACCCTTTTGATTTGCTCTGCTTGTACAGTTTATGCCTCGTCGTTTGCCTCGTGTTATTCGGCTTTTGGAAGCATTTGCGCCGATGGCGGGCGAAACCCTGGAGTCCGAAAAGTCTTTCTTTTGTTGTTTGCATTTTGGCGGGTTTTAATTGGTTTATGTTCTGGTTGCTTTTTTCTTGTGTTCTCTTTCCTTTGTCTTTGTTTTTCTTGTTTCCTTGCCTGTTTATTTATGATTTGCTTTCTATTCAGCGGAGGCCCTCGTTCTGCGTTCTGGTGTTCTCACCCGGAAGTTGATGTATATTGATGGGATCTTTTCATACCTCTTCTTGTCTGACAGGGCTGTATTATTTTTCTTCGTTACGTGACAATGCAATCTTTGGCTAGGACTAGCTTTCACAGTTTAAAAGTATATAGGCCCGACTTTGTTTCTCTTTGCTTGATTATACCATAATGCATGCAGTGTTTCATTTCATCGGACAAGACTGGCTCATTTCGTTAGACACGATTCAAAACTCTCCTGCCAAGGTTCTGCGCTTGATCCTAATCCGCGTCCGATCAGTACAATCTTGCATTGAAGTGGCTTGGACTTGTCCTCGTTGATTATTGGCTCTGCATCTCGGATCTCGAAGACATCCCGTACAGCCTGAATGATCCTGCTGGTCCCATCATTAAGAATTAGAATACCCTTCAGGCGGTGGACCTCAAAGTTATCGGGTTGAGGCTCAGATGATTTTGACACAGCAGGTGCAGGGAACTTCGTATCCCACAGAACAGAGCGTAGCCAAGCATCCACGCAGTCGACCTTATCTGCTGGAATCGGAGGTGTTACGATGGCAGTGGTAGAGATTGCCTAGTAACAGTCAGAGCCAAAGCATAATATATAACGTAAATAGGATGACCCACCGGATCCATATGGCTATGTCCCTTTTTACTGAAATCCAGATCGGCCAAGTGATCATAGGCATGCAAATCCAACACAACGCCTTCAATCTGCGGCGTCCGACTATGATCCGTAACATGAATCTTAGCAACGCTATTGATAGACGTAACCCGATCCCGAACAGCCTCCAGTTCCTCTTCGGTAACAAGATCAGTCTTGTTCAGAATGACCACGTCCGCATGCGAGATCTGCATGTGCGCCATCGACAAAACAGGGCCACTGCCATGGTCGTGGTTCTGGTCGTGCGACTCGGCTTTCTCTTCAGGCGCCGGTTCATCCAGCAAGCGAGTGATATTCTTTGCGTCAACGAGAGTGACGATGCCATCGAGGTAGATGGAACTGCCGAGTCCTTCGTCCATCCAGAAGATCGGGGCGATGTTGCCTGGGTCGGCAAGACCGGTGGTCTCTAGTAGGATGTAGTCGAAGGTGCCGCGGCGTTCCATCAAGGATTCAATGGCCATTACACCGGAGTCTTTGACTGAGCAGCAGATGCAGCCATTGCCGACTTCCATCCATTCAGTGACTTCATTGCCACCTTCGTTCACTGTCATTGGTTTCTCAATATCGGTTGCTTTGGAGGTGTGATGTCAGAGTCCTGCCTTTTGTTTCTTGGTTTTAGAACTCACAATCACCAAATTCTGCAGTTGGGTTAGCAAATTTTATATATATACATATATCTGTCTGGAGTGGGATAGACGAACCATTCATAATCACAGCAATTTTCTTGCCGTGTTTTTCTGTCAAGATATAATTCAGCAGCGTCGTTTTTCCTGCACCCAGATAACCTAGCCCAGTTGTTAGATCCAAGCTTCATAATCTGCACAGATGCAGCGTGTTCGATCATACCAGTAACTAGGGTGATCGGCACTCGAGTTGTGGGTGGTTCATCTGTAGGAGCCTGCTCTGCTGAGATGGCCGCGACATCAATGAGATCCGGAGGAGCTTCCTCGTCTTCAAAATCAGCAGACATGTTGATTAGATCTTTTATGTCGTATGTGTGTAAGCGGAATTCTAAAAATCTTGGACAGTAGGCTTCGAGCTCTTGAATTCATTGCGGAGAATGACGTTACTAAACTAGAAGTTAGGCGCGGGATTTTTTTGCTGGCAGAACTATCCTTTGCTCCAATTCGCATATCATTTGACGATGCTTCACAATTTATGTATTTTGAGTGTATGTTACATACAAAGAAGTGCTGCAGATATTGGAAGTATGTCTATCGTACGCCTACATGTTCAAATAGTCCTTCATTGGCCAAAAGTAGGTGTTCTAGGGCTGGACTACGTAAACAACCCTACAAATGGACCGAAAAATGGGTATACAAGGATGGCAGATAAACTAGATATCCAGGCTCTTCACTGCCTTATGGACTTATTTCAAAACTCATGTTTCCTTTGTAGTTATATACCTGTTAGCTAAATCGAAGCACATCTATAGATGAAGGCGGTATAGGCGCAGTTAGGGCCGAATGGCTTCGGGGCGGTCAAGCCGGTTGTTATGTTGATTGATTATGGATCTTTCTTCAGCTTCGATAATCATCGTTCGCACTTTTCTTTCTTTGACACCATTTAATAAGCCTTGAAACCATTCACTCCTTTGTCTCTTCGGTTTCTCCCATTCAATCTAGCGCCTTCGTTATACCTTATTCTACCATGACCGCTGCGGGAGTCTCTCCGTCCAGCTCCCCGCGGCTTCCTAGCCCTCCTCCTCTGACTGAGGTCCAATTTGGGCCTCAGTCGCCATCACTCAGCGACTCAAATGATGCAGAGCTATTAGCTACTGCGATGGGGGAAGATGACGGCTCGACGCGCAGAATCCGGCCTGGGACCAGAGCTACCGATATGGCATTTGGTCCGCCGCTTATTCCCCTTTCGCAGGTGAGTTGCGCTTCACTAGATTTGTGTTCTTTTTGGTGGCATATACTGACAAAAAACAGCTTGATTCTCCTTTCCAGCTCCAGGAACACCTCAAAGCCCTATACCACCACTTTACCAAGCCCGAAGGATCTGACACGGTGGTCCCAATTAATCGCCAGGTTGCGATACAGCTAGCAGAGCCTCCAGAAGGAGTTGACCGATCGCTCTGGCTATATGAATTGTGTCGCTTTCTTACTATGAAAGTTAATAACCTAATCATCGCCTTTTTCGCCGAAAGCCCGCCCTGCTCGTCGCAAACTTGCCCCGAAATGCGTGCATCAGAGTGGCAGTATCTTTGCGCGGTGCATGACCCACCTAAATCTTGCTGTGCCATTGACTACTGCTGTCACACCCTGGATTGGGCTACAAACACTCTCACATCGCCGAAATATTTCCCCAGCCGACTCACCTTGGGCTCCGAGGGTGCCGGAGGCCCCCAGGCCAGTATGAGACATCTGACCAACATCTTCCGCCGTCTTTACCGCATTTTTGCGCATGCATGGTTCCAGCACCGTGATGTGTTTTGGGAGGTGGAAGGCCATGATGGTCTCTATGTTTTCTTCAAGACCGTCTGCGACTCGTACAGTTTGATCCCGCAGGACAACTACACGATTCCTCCTGAAGCTGAGGGCCCTGATGCGGTTCAGCCTGAGGAAGAACCCACTGATGACAAACGTCGGACCATCCTGCGCAAGGATGAGGATCCCTTCGGTGATGCTAAACTCGGCACTGCAGCAACTACCCGTCGCCACAAGCACAGTCCCTCAACCGGATCCCGGGTCACAACAATCACCGAAGGCGCAGAGGATCTGGAAGAGAGCCTGGAGGATCCATCGCCTTTGAGTAAAGCCCTTGCACAGTCCCCAGATTCACGCCCTGTTTCTGTGATTGAAGTTCCCACCAATACCGTCGTTCCGGCTGTCACTGAAGACACAGCCGCTCAGGAGGGAGTTCCATCTGATGATTCAATTGTGCAGTCTAAGGAGGAAATTGAGACCGAGGAGACACCGGAGCCTCAGGAACAGGCACTGCAAGAAGCTGCGAAGCAATCATCTGAAACACCCGAAGAGCCCCAAATGGTGGGACAGCCGGATCCCGAGAACCCAGAGGATAGCAAGACGGAGGAGGCTCTAGAGGCTGCTGCTACTGGTATTCCAAATGAGGCGCCGCCTTCTGAAGATGCTGAAACGAAGATCAGACCGGAGCAAGAGGGTGCTTCTTCTGCTTCGGATACCAAGCCCGACCTGGAGAAAGAAGAGTCTTAATTTTGACTTGATTTCGAATATTCCGGTCCATGTCACTCTATGATGATTCTGAATTGTTTCAATGTTTTCTCGTCTCGTTTACGGCCCTGGTTTTGATCAGGGATACTATGTCGCAATTACCTTTTGTTAGATACTCTTTTTGTAATATAGTTTAGGATATTGTTTATGACCAATGTCGATGATACCCATTACCCATTCTCTTGATGTTTCCACACATATGAGATGAGGCAGTGTAGAACAGCATTGATTCAAAATACCTACATTGTAAGCAATAGATCGGAGAAAGAGCTGTCGGTCATGCGTAACTCAGTGCGCGGAGTACGGAGTTTAGCTCCAAATTTCCCAGATCGCCCGATAAGCTCTTATCAGTTCATCGACATCATTCGACAACCGGTTTCACTTTACCTCAATATTCCACACCCGATTCCTTGAAGATGTCAGCTCTTAAAGGAGCTTCGGCGCCAGTATACTTCGGTTCATTCATCGTCACACCACAGGTACACCACCCTCTACACCACATGTCTCATCCAACACCAAGCACACGACAGCAGACCTGAACCCAAACCACAACACCCTAGACAAACAATTTACTCACACCAGACACCAGGTTTTCCATTCAACACCCCTCTCATTCGCTTTGGTAAACCTCAAACCGATCCTTCCAGGCCATGTCCTCGTTTCGCCGCGGCGCGTCGTCCCCCGAGTGACAGACCTCACACCCGCAGAGACGAGTGACCTGTTCCTGACAGTGCGCCGGGTAGGCCGCATGGTCGAGCGCGTCTATGGAGCCTCGAGCTTGAACATTGCCGTGCAGGACGGCGTGCATGCCGGCCAGAGTGTGCCCCATGTCCATGCACACATCATCCCGCGCAAGCCGTCGGACTTAGATCACCACGGTGGCACAGATGCGATTTATGATTTGCTTGATGGCGACGAAGGGGATTTAGGGAGGGCGTTTGATGCTGGCGCTGGAGCTGCTGTGGGGGATGGGGTCGAGGCTAAAGGTGGATCGGGTTCAAGGAGGTCTAGATTCCCAGTTGTGGATAATGATAACAGACATCCCAGAGGTGAAGATGAGATGAGGGCAGAGGCTGAGTTACTGGCGAGGGAGATGGAGATTGAGCCAATTGATTGATTTGGAGCTCTATCGCTGTGAGATATTAGGATCGTGGATAAGGTCAAGGTAAAAATATATACCTAGGTATCTATCTGCAACAAAGGTCTTCTCTTTCACATTGGCTCACCAGCAAGCCATTCGAAGCACTGGTCTAGCCGCTGTCTATAGTCCACTTCAATAACCCCAAAGTAGAGCAAACACAATAACGGTTAATACCTCTAGCTGCTATATTCTCTCTTGGGTTCAGACACGTTTAAAGACAAATAAACCGACAGCTGTCGTAATAAACCCAACCCATGTTTGGTAGAGTCATGTATTTCGTAACTCGTTCTGTATGGTATCTAATTCACCGAAAGAAATGTTCAAAAGAATAAGAATGAGGAAATAAACGCCAAAAACACAAGGGGTTCCAAGATTATGGCACCAGGGTAACCGCTCCCCGATAACTCCCTCCCCCCAGCACATGCAGTCTTACTCTTGCTTGCGTCTTTCTGCAATGATTTCCGCAGCCCAAGCTTGAATCTCAGGCAAGCGAATGCGAGATGCAACATGGGTGAACTCAGTGAGGTCGACCTTGTTAGAGCGCTCATACTCCACCATCTGCAAAAGCAGCTCCATCTTGTCGATATCGTGGACAAAATGGGCTTCCAGAGTTACATCCTCCTCGTATTCTTCGAAGACGCTCTTAATCTCTGCGCCTGAAAGTGTGCCCCCAGGAACCTTGCCGAGGAGGGTCTTCGTGATATAGTCCATGACAGCGCCTTCACGACGGGCCTTCTCGGCCTTGGTGATGTGGTAATCGACCGGTGTAATATCGCCGACAAGGGCTTCAGCCATGTCATGAATAAGGGCCATCTTTGTGCAGTGCGGGATGTTGATCTTGGTTGCAAGAGACGGCGGGGCCATCATCGTCATGATCGACATGCGGTACATGTGGTCGGAAATGGATTCGCCGTTGATTCCGAAGCGGCGCCAGCCTTCGCGCTTAGTGGTCTTGAGACGCTCGATCAAGTGGAAGAAAGGAACGGGTGATGTAGAGTTCTCCTCAATTGGGTGGGGGAGGGTAGAGAGCACTGCAGGAATTAGCATTGTTGGGCTCGATAAAGAGACATTTGAGGCTTACCGGACTCAGGGGTCCACAAAGATTCCTCGGAGCCCATGACTGAAGGAGTAGAAAGAAAATGAATGACTTGGAGAGAAACAGACAACAATCAAAGAAGAGAAAGGGAAAAAACAAAAGAAAGAGGGACTGATAGGCGCTGCAAACAATGCAAACCCCCGTTATCTATCTTTACTCTCCGCCGTCTGTTTACTAAAGTCTCCCTCGACACAGAATGGCTGCAACTAGGTCTGTTCGACCAAAACCCCTGGACTGGCCAAGTCCCTCGCATCTCGATGTGTTTTTAAATAATCTCAAGTTGCTTCATCTGGATCAGCGCGAGGACTGGCCCGGTATATCGCTTCGCACATTATCCCCGTCATCCCAAAACCAACGACAACGAACCCGCTTGGTAGAATGGTCACTGTACCATCTCTATGCCATTTGGGATCCGGAAGGTGCCCAAAATGTATGAAAATCCTATCGCCAGCTTCTGGAACCTACTGACGTCCCTTAGAAACTCCGGCCCTTCTTTCCCCCATTGGAGCCTCTACAGTCTGTCAACCTCCGCGCGGCGTTATTCCGATGCCTCGGCGAACTGAAGAAGAATGGTGATCTGGGACGAGAAATCATTATCCGCAAAACTATGCTGGATGATTGCAAAGGCGAGAAATTCGAGGAGTTACTCGCTGGCTTCTCTACCACTGTTCTCCGTAAACTTGTGGCCATGCCTGCGGATGAGATGCTTTGGAACCCCGCCATGAAATTGGCGACTGCTACTGCCATGACACCGACGGACTATCAAAATCTATTGCCCCTCATTCTCGTCCATCAAGCATCCCTTGCTACTGCGGGTGAACGCCATGCCCGCGTTCGAGTTGATTATGATCGTTTTTCACAGCTCCTAGACGACAAAAAGGTCGACCTGACCGAACGTGCGAACAAGGAGCCGAATGAACCTGGTGATTTGCAGGGTGATCCCGAGTATTTGGTTCGTGAGCTTCAAACCAGATGGCTGGGAAATGAAAAATGGGCCACCGCACTCCTTGAAGGTGGGTCAGAAAGTAGCACCGACGCTTTCCTGGAGCTCCCTTTCTCAAAGGCCTTGTCACGAGCGACCGACTCGGCAGATGGTAATATTAACAACGGGCTTAAGCAAGACTTAGTCCTTGACCTGGAGGCCCGGGTCTTGCTGCAACGGACTCGACTCCGCAAGTGGCATGAGTATAACAAGACTCTTTTGGGTGAAAAATCCGTGAACGTGGTTACAACATCGCCTAAGGAAGCTGCCATGGTGTTCCGGGAGCACCAGACTCTTACAGTCGCCAGTATAGCCAAAACTGTGCGCCAGCCTGGAGATCGTGGGCGGGTGTTGAAAGGGGCGGACAAATTTCTCTTGTCATCTGTAAATGAAGCCCTCACCCGGATCAACGGAAATTCCTGTCGCAATCCTGGAAGACCAACGCCCGCAGTGAAGATGGATGCCCAACCCCAAATTGGACGTTTGGCAGAGATTGGCCACTCGCCGCCAACAGTGGCAGAAGACGACCACTATGCCCCAAGTCCTCTGCCAAATTTGGACCTTCCAGAGTCCCACCTAGAGCCCCAGGCTGCCTCGGAGTCTGAAACTGGATCAGAAACAGAACCAGAACTAGAGATAGTCCATCCATCCCCTCCCATTGTCCGTCTCTCTCCAGACCTCTCCGCGTCAGAAGAGGAGCCAACTCAAGAACCTATCAAGCGCCCGCACACCCTAGTCGAGCGCACTCGCAAGTCGATGTCCCTCCTTCCGCCCCAACATGACGAGCCATCTGGACAACGCCGTAGACCCAGACCTTCTTTCCCGGTCAATCAATTTGTGACACCGCGCAAAGCATCAGGTCGTTCGATCGATGAGATCTCTCGCGCCTCAACACCGCAGGATCAGCTCTTCGAGGAAGACGCCGAGTACGCTAGTGTTTTCAAATCTAGGCCTCGTGTAGCGCTTAGTCCGATTTCCTCGCCGGCTGTGCATGTGAGCCCCTCATATGAGGATGAAAGTTTTGCTTTGGATGATCACGATGAGAGTTTCGATTGGGGAGGTGTTGAATCACCTTCGGCTGCTCCACGATTTAGGTAATGGCCCGTGATCAAAAGTTCAAATGCATAGTTTACACGCTGGATATGAATACGTGAAATGCCGTACTTGAATTTTCGGTAAGGCATTGATTAATATACGGCTTAAGATACCAGCTTTGATGATATATAGAGCGTTGATAGAACTGACTGAGACCAGAGTAGAATCAGGTCGTCTATCTCGGTATTCTTGGAATAAGAAAATGATTCGTAACCTGACGGCGAAGAGGGAACAGATCTACATTGTGGAGAGAGATTTAGAAAGAGAGACAGAGTATGATCTACTTGCTGTATTTACTTTGACAGGCAGTGAGCTTCCCGATATCCCGATGTCGGCTTAGAAATACACTTGATTGCGGGGATCGCGGAACCATTGTGGGAAAGTTAAACCCCTATCAATATCTTTATTCCAACCACAATCCTTCTTCTCAATCTGATACTTTCTCCCAATTGAAGAAGCCAGACCCTTGCCACAATGTCTACCACGGGCCAGACAATTGCATTTATCGGATGCGGTACTTGCTCAAAATCATCCATGGACCGAACAAAAGCTAAGAAAAGATAGGAAACATGGGAACCGCAATCCTGGAGGGATTGCTAGAAGCGACTGAAAATGACTCATCGTCACCTATTTCACGCTTCCTGGTTAGCACAAACAGTGAAGGCTCTGCGGGTCGAATCCGAAACAAATTTCGAAATGATGCACTCAGATTGCGTGTCGAACAGAGTCATAACAAAGAGTTTATGCAAGAGGCAGACATCATTTTATTGGGATTCAAGCCTCATATGGCGGAGAGAATCCTGGGCGAGACTGGCGTGAAAGAAGCACTCGCCGGAAAATTCGTAATTAGCGTCCTAGGAGGGAAAACACCTCTAGTCCTTGAGAACTGTATCACTCAAGACTGTCAGGTTACGACCAGGCCTTGCGTTGTTCGGGCCATGCCAAACATGGCAGCTCGGATCCGGAAGTCTATGACTATCATTGAGAAAAACCCCGAGCTTCCAGCTCACTTGCACGAAACTCTGGTGTGGATATTTAGGACAGTTGGAGATGTCAAGGAGCTAGATGCAGATTTGTTTGACGTGGGTTCTATGTTGGTTGGATCATCAATGGCGATTCTATCAGTTGGCCTGGATGGCATTCTTGATGGATCCGTGATGGAGGGAATTAGGAGATCAGACGCCCTGCAAATGGCAGCCCAAAGCATGCTGGGTATGGCTGAGCTATTCCGCTAGGGCGAAGACCCGGCTGGATTCAGAGAAAGCGTCTCATCGCCAAGGGGCTCTACCATTCATGGAATAGTCACTGTTGAGACAGCGGGGGTAAGGGGAACCTTTGCGCAGGCAATGTTGAGCGGCGTGAAGAAGCTGAAGTCTTGATGCGATGAAATCGCGTCATCTCTGATTTGTGATGCTTTACAATCAGTGTTCATGATACTTCGATTGCACAGATACATAGACAGAAGACAAAGACTTGGGAGTTTATTATGTCTCAGCCATTGAAAGAACAACACTAACTGACATGAACCTTGGAAGAGAGCCAATACTATTCATTACCGAGCAACATTGCGCGGAATCAAATTGCGTTCTTACCAGTGAAGTATGAAAATGATGGACCATAATTATAGATAGGGCTGCGCGAATACTTCGAAGATTTATTGGGTCACATAAATGTACACAAAATTGGTATCTTGATAAAATACATCGATTGATAAACCATCGACAGAAGATCCACACATAATGTTTCGTAGATACTCTCATCCGCGACCCCGAGCCCTGCGTCGCGTTGGACGAGGTGCGTATTCAGGTTCTGAGTCTCCGTTTTCATCCTCGTCATCTTCTTCACCCGAATCCGATGCAATGGATATGGGCAGTGATTCTCCGGTAGGGGATCCCGAGTCCAGTTCCTCAGCATCGGAGTTCAGATGCATCTGAGACGGGCCTGCAGGACTCTGCTGCTGATCGTGGTGCTCGACAATCAACCCATCATCCGCGTCGTCTTCATGACCAGGCAGAAGAAAGCCACCGCCATGATCAACGGGATTGTAAGCCTCCGCACCGTCCATCTCTTCATCTTCACCTTCCTCTCCTTGAGGCTCATCATCTTCCTTCTTCTTCTTCTGGACAGCAAATGGATTATGCGCATCGCGCTCACGATCAGCATTCGGATCCCGACCACCATATTCATCCCTCACACGCTCCATAATCCTTAGTCCGAACAAGAACTTACGCCAGGTCTGCAGAATCTTCTTCTCGGCCTTTAGTTCCTCCCTCTTCCGCTTCTCAGCAGCCTCAACCTGCCACGCATCCCGAAGCAACGACTCATTCTCGGCAGCAACAACAACACCCTGAATAACAGGAACTGCCATTTTCGACCCGAACTCAAACCCAGTCACAGCCTCCGCATAGTCAATTCCAAGCTTTTTACAGACCCGCACGGTACCCGGTAGAGGAACATGCGTAGCACCAGCCGGAACCATACTAGGGACGAAACAGTCGATGTTACCGTACTCGTTTTTCGGAATTCGACCATTTTGGATAGGCGGCGGGATTATATATTCCGTCTGGTCACGGGAATAAAGGCCTTGGAGGGGTTTCTCGCCAGTCTGGCGCTGCATCTCGTCGACTTCACGTTTGCGCATGAGTGTAACAGCACGAATGGGAACATGCTTCAGTGGTATGGCGCCTGGCACAGTCTGACGACCTTCTTTGTGCCAGCTTTCAGCGGAAAGGCATTTCAGCACGTCTTCGCGTCGAAAGACGGGTTCTTCTTTGGCGCGGGCGCCTTTGCCTGCTGTGAAGGTTCGCACAGATTCGGCACCCGGGCGAAGGGCTTCTTCGCGGCGGAGGAAGCGCTCTAAAACAAATTCAGTTGATGTGCGTAGGCTTTGGAGTGTGTCGTTCGCTGAGGTGGTTTTCTTCTTTTCTGGTTGATTGGGTAGGAGATCTCGGGCTTCCTCGAGCTTGTCGACGGCTGTTTTGCTCTTTCGGGCTCGCTGATAGCCACGCATCACCATACCAAACCAGTCAAATGCGATGTAATGGCCCTTTGGGCCGATAGGAACTTTTTCCAGGGGGATCCGGAATCCCTTCGTTTTGCCGGGCCAGGTTCGCCGTTTCAGATATCTTGTTGTTACTTCTTTTGCAGTACCATCTGCTGAATGAGCAACGACATAGCAAATGACTTGTTTTGCTCGATCTGCCTTTGCACCTCGTGGCTCGAAGTTTGCTTGTAGATCTGTGTTCGCAAATGGCGCCACGGGATTGGAAAGCACAAGCGGATCAACAGAAATGATCTCGTTTGTAACGGGTGACGCAACTTCAGTCCAATAGATTGGGAATGGCAGATCCTTATCAAACTGTTTTTTTGTATTCTTCACTGGCAGCTTGCTATCCGCTGCATCAGTCTCCGGCTCGGACGTTTCAGAATCCATTTCAGTGTTGGGCTCCTTTTTATCTGATTCTGCCTTAGAGGGTGTGTAGGTCTCTCCCTTGGTCCAACCAAAGCCTAGTGGTTGGAGACTAGCAACAAGTCTAGCCTCGATGCCTAGGGCCCGAACAAGGGCCGTGAAGAGCTGCGCACCGACATCCCGCGAGCCCTGCATAGCGTCGGCGGTTGCGCGGAACTCCTCCAGACTAGCGATACGCTCACCATGGCGCTGTGGATCATGTGGCTCCTCACGGAAGTCAGTAATTGCAGTTTCAAGGGCAGAGACTGGCCTATAGCCGTACTTTCGCAACCCAGGCGCCGTGATGCGGAACTGCTTTCTCCAGTAGGCAACAAGCACTTTGATTAGAGTAATGATTGGATCACCACGACTCATATCCGGTTTGCCCGGCTCAAGGCGCTCTGAATCGGCGCTCCAATCCTTATTCCTCTGGGCCTTTTTGCCTTTCTTTTTACTCTTGGGTGGCTCTGGTTTGGGCTCTGGAAGTTCCAGGCCAGAGGCGATCCGCCATTTTTTGACTTCTTTGTGGATTCCTTCGGGTAGCTTTTTCCGTAGGATATCATGAGTCTGGGCATCATTGCTCCAGGCGTTACGAATGGCATTATGGAAAAGCAAGCATTGAACATGCATACAATGTGTCTGAATCCGGATTTGACGTTCGATTTTGCTGGGCCCTTTTTTTCCATCCAGGACATCAGAAACGTGCGTTTCATTCTGATCTAGCGTCAATTCTAGATCTTGGAGTTCCGGGGCTGAAACTGTTGGCGTTGCGCTAGTTTTGGTATCCATTGCATCCTCCCAGTCGACGTCATCCTCCTCTTCATCTTCAGACTCAGACGCCTTAGCTGCATTGTCCTTGTCGAGAAGTCCATCGGGTGCGTCGCTCAAAGATGAGTTAGAATCGGACTCGGAATCGGAGAGGTGGAACGGAGCTGGCGCGGGAGCTGGAGCTGGAGCTTGGGCATCGGGCCGGGCCTGGCGCTTGGCCGGGGGCGGGTCCTCGGAGGAAACACGCTTGCGGGGGAGAAATGGTGGCATGCGGGAAATTGTAGAAATTGTCGAAATAATCAAGATAAGGAGGGCGCCGAATGTCCGAATGTCGGAGATGGGAGATTCGCGAAGGAAGGGTGTAGAGTCGTCATCGGCCGTTGCCGAGGTTTGCCATCTTCTAGTTATGGGGTTCTGTGATTCTCTGAATAGTTTGTACTTTTGCATTCTCTTTCTTTGTTCCAACACCTTCCAATATTAAATTTCTATCTTACACTTTAATAACCAAAAATCAAAGCCATGACAGCAGCAGTCAAACGGTTCTTCTCTTCTCCCCGCTTTGCAGTGGCGGGCGCAAGCAATGACACTCACAAGTTCGGCTACAAGAGTAAGGAAATAAAATATTACACGCACATCTCACTTCCCTAAGACTGACCATAACAAGTCCTCGCCTGGTATCATCAACATTCCCTACCAGTGACACCGCTCAATCCTAGAGCAGCGCAGATCAACCTCCCCTCGCGTGCTTACGATACGGTCTCCTCACCGGCTAGTTTGCCCTCGCCCCAACAGACCTCCCTCTCAGTGGTAACTCCACCAGCTATAACCCTCCAGGTCCTAAAGGAAGCTCACTCAGTGGGGATTCCTGCAGTCTGGTTGCAGCCAGGTACTTTTGACGATCAGGTACTGGATTTTGCTCATAGTCACTTTGAGGCGGTGATTGCAGGAGATAATGGAGAGGGCGGCGAGGGATGGTGTGTACTTGTTGATGGTGATGAGGGATTGAAGTCTGCTGGGGTTGAATGGACTAGTCAACGTCTATAGGATTAATTTCAATCTACAACAATCTACAAATTGATTTTAGAATCCAATAGAATCCGAAATAATGAAAGATCATAAGTTGACTAGTTATGTTAACAATACCTTGCAGGATAATGGAGTAAAGAGAGAGGGAGGGCTTACTAGTGACCACCAGCCTCTCTGTTTTTCTTTCTTCTTTCTTTCTTCCTTTCTATTTTTTTACTCCTTGCACACTCAACCCTTTTTTGGGAGAGAGATATCCTCCTTTTTTCATCTAATCTTTTTCTCCTTCTTTTGATTTTTCCCATAATGCCCGACATGCATACTATCTTCCAAGCCTCTCCCCCGAAACTCGACCTCTCAAATGCCCCGTCGCAGTTTTTTCAAGTACCCGCCTCTACAGCCTCCGAATCACTGTATTCGATCTCAGTTAGTCGCAAGCGACCTCGCCGAAACACAGAGAAATATCCATCTCATTTCGAGTCTGGTTTCACCTCACCCATGATCCACAACTACCGCTCACTAAGCGGTAATAACTTCACCTCCGCTGAGCTGGATTACCGTCCAAACCGATACCGTGAATCGTTCCTCCCACCTTGCTTCGATTCAGGCGATGAATCAGTCACTCAAGCCGAAAATAGCAGTCGCAAGCGCAGCCGCCGCGACTCGTGCATCGTTTCACCGAGCGCCGATAGCCCGAGCCTCTCCACACCAACTGGATGGGGGCGAACCGTGATCAAAGCTGTTGGAAAGGTCCTCGATTTGTGCTGGACGGGAGCTTTCCGCGGATTCTACGCCGGAGGAGGCCAAGGCTACGATATGCCTGCATCAACAACCCTCGAATCTAGCTGGCAGCCCTCGACGAGCCCATCGAATGAGAAAGAGATCTACAACAACCCATATTGCTCGACACCCGTCCCGGGACAATATCCCGAGGATGAAATCGATCGGAGCTGGGTCGTTGTTCCTGAGAGTGCGGATCCTTTTGTGGGTGGAAGCGATCTTCCTAGTCCTTCTCTACGATCACGACGGGCTTTCCAAGTCTCCAGTCCGCGCCGACGGCCGGCTGTCATGCCCAGGCTTACTAAAAAGGCTTCTTATGCTGGTCCTCAGTCGCCAACTAAAAGTCAGGGCTCACCATCTCCGAGATTGAGAGATGGTCCTGCGTCTACGGATATGCAGCGACAGGCTGCTAAGATGCGCCGCAAGGAACGAGATGAAGATGCTAGCATTCAACGCTTGAACAAGCAATTGCAAGCTATGATCCGGGAGGGAAAGGAAGCTCTCGGAACAACCGTCGTAGTGGAGGATTTCGACATGTACGACTCCGACTAATTTGGTCTTGATGATTACTGGAGCGTCTTACATCCAGACTGTTTGTTCTGGATTTGATTTTTGCGTTTAATGACCTGATACCCCAAGGGCGCTCTTTAACTGGGAGGTCCGAACCGGAATTTTCCGGTGTTCATCTGATGCCACGATTTATGATTCCCGGCGTTTTTTTATTTATTCTGTCTTTTTGCGTGTCCAATCTCTGCAGCCTCGTCTGCGTGTCTCACTACAAGGCAGGTCTTCCTGCGGGTTTCTTTGTCCAACCTACGAAATTGTCTGTCAATTATGCATAACAGAAGCTTTGTTCCAATTTACGTTGTATGGTCTAATCAAGAATGGCATTTGACATTGTTCGAAAAACCAATAAGTAACAACTCAATAACGTTCCGCATCACCAAGCTGATTCAGACAGCTCGACTCGCCTCATAGAAGTGTCAAAACAGTGTGTTTGACTGAAGAAAAGAATAGAAATAAATATGACTTGATACCAGCACATTCCGCTTACTGGGAAGCACCTGGGGCAGGATTACGTCCCTGCTCAGCATCAAGGCCAGGGCCAGAGTGAGGACCAGCACCGGAAGCGGGATCGGGGGGACCGGAGATGCTGCCATCGCCAGCAACCTTGGGGTCGCTGGCACCTGGGGGCTTCTGGGGAGTGCCAGGAGAGAGCATTTTGGTGATCTTTCCAAGAGCACCGCCTTGCAACAAGACGTCTGTCAGAGTGGAGCCCTGGATGGGAGGGGCTTGACGGGCCTCGTTTTGCTTTGTATCGCGGCGCATCTAAGACGGTTAATTCGGAATACTGCTTTCGCGTGAGGAGATACGTACAGGGAACAAGCCGATGCCGTGGTGAGCGTTACCCTTAATGGAGCCGAGGCCCTTAGGGCCCATTAGCTCAGCAAGAAGGTTGTTGGACTGCTTCTCCTCCTTGCCCTTTTGGCTCTCACTGCCCTTCTGGCTTTGAGCACCCTGCTCGTTACTCTGCTGAGGCGAGTTGCTCTTAGGAGCGGCAGATACATCACGGCGGGTCTGTCATCTTATGAGTACGGTGTATAGCTGGACAGTTGCCAGATCTCAGGGAAGGGGAAAAAAATAACTTACAGGCATAACAGAGCCCTCGGCAGCCATGCCAGAGTCAACAGCACCGTCAAGAACATCACCCAGAGGTTCGAATGGGGTAAAGTCATCCTCATCGCGCTTGTGGCTTTGGGTCGTGGGCTAATAGCAGTGTTAGCATCTTGATATCGTTTGAATTTGTTCTCAGACCTATCACGTACGTTACCGCTGGTCAGCGACTGCAAGATGCCAAAGACGCCCTTGGCATTGCCACCATCCCGGCGAGTGTCGATGTGCTTGGCTGGGGCATCAGTCTCCTGGTGCGAGGGCTTGCCCTGCTCCTGATTGACTGTCAATTTCTTGTTCCTCGCTTGATTGATGTTCTACGTTTCGGGGGTAGGTATACCTTTCCAAACAGATCGCCGACAATAGGGAGGCTACTGAGACTGCCCAAGTCACGCTTTTCGTTCTGACCCTCATTCTGACCCTCGTTCTGACCCTCATTCTGACCCTCGTTCTGGCCCTCATTCTGACCTTCATTTTGACCCCAGTTCTGTCCGTAATTCTGGCCTTCATTCTGACCCTCGTTCTGACCCTCGTTCTGGCCCTCACTTCGTTTAGTCTCAGAGATGCCATTGTTGCCTCCAGTGTGCTTATGCTGGTACTGCGTCAGCATTTCGTTTCCAGTTAAAATCAAAGTTGCTTGTTTCAATTAATCACCTTGCCGAAAAGGCCACCAACGAGTGGCAGGCCACTCAGTCCATCGCCACCCAGGCCTCGACGTCTGTTGCTCTTTTGCTATTGCCAATGTTGAGTCAATACATGAAAATACAGTCTGGTGGTATGTCAGAAGAGAATGTAACAACATACGTTGCCAATGAGGGATCCAATGATTGGGAGATCATCGATGAGGTTGCGGTGCTCAGCCTTGTATTCGGAGTCACCACGCTTGACATCATGCTTCTATTGTCGCGGTCGGTCATTTGCCAATAGTGAACGAATATTGGAAGAACTTACGTTTCCAAGCATAGCTCCAATGATGGGGATCTCCTCGATGAGATTCTTGTGTTCAACCGAACCGTCCTCAGTGTTACGAGGGACAAGTTTGCCGATCAGCTCGTTAATACTGCTATCAGCGCCAGCACCGATCAAGTTACCGCTCCCATCAGGGTTAGGAACGGGAGCAGCTAAGCTGATAGCCGCAAAGAGCGTCAGAGCGTAAGTCGTCTTGACCATGTTGTCGACTGTATCGAGATAGTCGAAAGTTGGTTTTGAAAGAAAGTAAGTGCCGACGAGCGACAGTCGAAAATAAGAAAAACAAGTAGGACGATTAAGAGTCTTCCGGAATGCGACTAGCACGAGGGATTGTCTACTTTCTTTATTGCTTCCTCGACTGATCGCCTTGGTGACATTCTGTCATAATTGGGATGAAGGGGCGTCCTCGGGTTTTGTCCCTCAATTGCCCGTGCGACCATAATAAAACCCCTGGCAGGGAATGCTGCTCAAGTTTTGCTGTCTCCTGACGGGGTGGCTGGCTTTTCTCCCCTCCGACAGGAATGCTCCGATGCTTGATTGTGGTTGAATCTCCCCGACGATCATGGTTGTGCCTCCCTGTTGCGCAAGGGGGGAAGGGCTCAGAAACAACACTGATGATTATATCTCCCTTTGACTTTAGCTCCATGAGCACCTTGCCCTAGAAGTTAACTGGCCATTTGCCTTCCTCAAGGGGTTTATTTCGTCCTTTGTCCTCCATCTTAGGGCTAGTTCAAGTTACTTAGAAAATCTGACATGCACAACATTCTCGTTCCTCAGCTAATAAAAAGAAATTAAGCATAGTAATTCTGCGACAGATGCACCATGATTGCATCATCTCTTTTCCTAATACTCTCCATGGTCGACAAACAGTTCTCCTACGCTGGTGTCTTTATGCCCTTCCTGATGTGCGCGTATCCTCTCAGTGCATTTTTCGGCAATCTTTATCACACAAGGCGGCCAATTGGCCTAGTGGTAAGGCATCCGTTTCCGGTGCGGGAGATCGTAGGTTCGAATCCTGCATTGGTCGTTACTTTTTTTGTTTTTATTTGCTCCTACATTTAAGTAATTACCTACATATTTGTTTGCCCTTCCTTCCCTTCCTAAGAAAGAGAGAGAGAGAAAAAGAAAAGAAAGGCTGGTTCAGTAAGAAAGAGAGAGGTAGTCGCTATCCTAAAACATGAGAATGCACTATGAACTATAAGAAGTAGGCGGCGAAGAAGGACTCTTCTTCTAAACGATGATATGAATACAAATAAGGTAAAACTTAATTTAGTTGGTGTATATCGCTTTTCATACCCGGCATATATTCAGGGAAATGTATACCCTAATCAGTGCCGGTTAACAGCCTATGCCCCTCCCTCCGTGGAGAGTTTGGGGGCTCATCCATAACGGTGCTTGATTGTAAATATCATTTATTATTATTTGACCGAGGGACCTAGTTTATTTTATAGTGCTCACTTGGTCTTCATAGCTAGCTGCTGCTTCATCCATAGAACTAGCAAAAAATAAAAAGTTCAAAAGAGCGACCAATGCAGGATTCGAACCTACGATCTCCCGCACCGGAAACGGATGCCTTACCACTAGGCCAATTGGCCAACCAAGATGGATGGATATAAAAATAAACAGCGTGCGGGATATTATAAGCGACAGTTTCAAGTTGCAAATACGCATCAGCCAGTTGTGCTCCTATCTGCTTGTTTTGAGAAGCTAAGGGATTGTAGGACATTTGGACCAGAGATCTCACATATTACACAAATCCATACTATGTATAAGAAGAAGTACGCTTTCGCCCTAGGGCATTGAAATATATACTCTATGTGCTACGCACTTCAATGAATGTGATGGTTTATTTAAATTTGATGGCAGAGAACAAGTCGAGTTGAACAGTCAGGTACCGGACCCGAAGGTCATCCTAACAATTCTATAAACAGCAAGATAACCAACAAAAGATACTCAGGACCGCCGCACAGGCGATCTATCAAGCCTTGCGGAGCCTCGCGACGAATGTATCTCCCAATCTGATGTTATCTGAATATGCCCAGGAGCAAGATAACCTACCTTTGTCATGGAAGGCTGATGAACCGTGACAAGAGGCATCTCGGGTTCATCTAATCGCATACCCGATAGAGCTGTTGGATTCCAGTACCTCGAAAAGGTTTGTGGATCGGAAGTAGAATTGTGTGACGGGGATGAAAGAATGGTGGTTCTAAAGATCATTTCAACAGCAGGTGATAGAATCGGAAGACAAGCAGCGATTATGCCCAAAAGAGGCGCGATGCATAGCAGGAATGACTTGCTCGCGGAGCTGAAAGTCGGGTCTTCTGAGTCGAGATCGAACTCAAGTTTCGTGCTAATCGCAATGATCACGATAGCACTGCCCAGGTGGTGCATTTGGTTAGCGAGGTTATCTATTACATCCGTACATATATCAAAAAGACACACCGGGAGTAACTCACACTAGCCCTAGAATTTGCATTCCGACCAAACTAAATTTCCTAGCCCTTGATAATGGCATTCTCCATGTCAAAGGAACGGGCAGAGCCAATATAAAGAAGCTCAAAATCATCTCACTTGCATTGATAGCAGTGTGCAGCATTTTCCGGCCACCACAATGACCTGGAGCATTGTCAAGCCAGAGTCTCTTTGGCGGCCTGCAGAAGAACGCGGTCACAGTAAAGCCAGCAATCCAAAGAGCCAAACATAGGCCCATGATAATATATGCCAGCAAATTGATAGTATGCTGACCAAAACTGCGGACGTAGTAGTGAAGGATTGACACTTGGATCAAGAAGACCACAGTGATCCAGAGAAGATCGCCCGTATATGTGAGCTGGCAATGGAATTAGTTCTGAAGGCTAGGATAATTCATATAATGGTAGACTAATTGCACGACTTACCTCTATGAATTGAATCATAACCTCAGTCCCTCCAACTTGGGTTACTTCAGTGGAGTGTAGGCCCAGCCCGCACAGCACGACCAGCATGATTTCCACCACATAGCGACCGACCATGAAGAACTATATATGCTTATTGTTAGTAAAATTTGTCGAAATACTATGGAAAAAGCATGATGTCCTAAAAGAGGAAAAACAAGAAAGAGAAGCTTAAAAAAGGCAATTAGATGGACAGCCCTACCGTGGCGCCCATAATCAACCAGTCATTCACCTGCGACGAAACCCATTGCAAGCGTCGTGACCATAATCGTAAAGCCACCGCAATAAAACACAATGCCAGAAAAATCGACTGAATAGCAATGTCAGCTGTTCCCAAGGTATTATGACCAAGGGAGTGAACGAGTGTACCCGAGGAAGACGCCATGGAGTATGCAGTTTACGCCAAAGAACCTCTCAATAATAGCAGACTTTTCATTCTTAGGACATCCATCAAATATATGCAGTGCCACACGAGAACACGACAATTGGAAAAGAGCACAAGGGCGGGGGTTAGGAACCGAAGACCAATGCCCTAGGGGAATTACAACATTTACATCTACAAAGAGTAAGATCGCCCGGTTCACGAGCAATGACCCCCCCCCCCCCCCCCCCCCCCCGGAGACTCAATCTCTGCTACACTGGCAAAACATAGCAAATTTTTAGGAAGATCGTGCTCTAATACTTGCCCTTGCAGATTGCGTGAACGGTGTGCGGGGGTTATTCTTATAGTATACTATACGCAACACTTTACAAATACCGTTGAACCTTAGATCTTGCTTGTATACTCCGTACATGTGGTAGCAATGCATGTGAATACTCGGCAAGGGCTTGAGATTTGCATATTTCTCGAAATTGTGATCCCAATTTATCTCTAACGGCCGCGTTTCATATCCCGAAGCTAACAAAGCCAACGCATCATACTCTCTCCACTTCCCGTGCGGGTCGATCTTCACCGTCTGTTTTTCGTGCTGTTCTGATGCCGCACAGGTACAGCATACAAGATAATGACGCCCAAATCTTCGTTTACTTCTAGGCCGTTCGAATGTTATTCAAATGCTCGGATCGCCTATTCCAATGTCTTACACCTCCACCTAGGTGGGCCGGGGACCCTATGTTGTGTAATATGTTCTCTGTCTTCTCTGAACTCGAGAAACCAACAATTTGTCAAAAACTGAAAATTTTTGTTTGAAGCGAATCATGATCTAAGACAGGCACCATATGCGAAGGTGTACAGCGGCGAAGCGTCGGATTAAATTGGTTCTACCATTGCTGCCTAAAGGTGCCTGAGCTAAGTATAACAGATTATGGTATTAAAAAAAAGGTGAAGAAGAGGTGAAAGAGATACGAAAAGAGATATATAAAAAGAGATATGAAAAGAGATATGAAAAGAGATATGAAAAGAGATATGAAAAGAGATATGAAAAGAGATATGAAAAGAGATACAAGAGATCATAATCTGGATAATGGTTATAGTACGCCGTATGGAGCGAAGGGAACAGCAGTCAAAATCAGGCATATGTTCAGGCAGCAATCTTAGAATCAATCCAATCCGACCCCTGGCCGCTGTACACCTTCGTACACCATGCGAGAGCCCGCTACACAAAGCAAAGACATCGAGGAAGCAAATAGACGAGGAGTAGCCATCACCTGGCAGACAAATTGATGACCAATCAACAGTAGCAGATCTACCCAGATATGCCAGCAGTACCACGAAGCATGTATCTGATATTCCGGCAAAATCCTGTAAATTAGCTGGATTTCCAATGTGAGGCTAGCGATATATTTACCCACAGAACAAACGTGAAGGATTAGACCCGGCGTTGGAGAACCCAGGCACTATTGGGCTGGTCCATGTCTCCAAGGTCTCGCTTGAAATTGACCTCGAAGGAATGCTACTCTCGTGAATAGAAATGCAACTTTTCGGAAAAAGAAGAATCAAGCACTGGGTGCCAACCTGGAAAGGTTGGCCCAGCTTTATCGAAGAAACCCCTAAGCCAATCAACGGTGTCCTTATGTGGACACAGCAAATGAAACTTCATGACTGCAGGCAAGGCATTAGAGGTGTGTTTGAACACAAAATAGTTAGAAAAAAGCAACTGCAGAGGCCACTGTTCAGTTCATAGGCATGTATGTGCCTGAGCCTCTGCAGTTGGACGTTTTTGAAAGTGCGTTCGTGCCTAAATTGTTTCCTTTCTCCTTGATATAGAACACCACTGTAGCAATGGTCAGGCTCACCAACTATCTGGCCCAAACAGATATTATCAATAGTGTTAATCAAAAGTAGCTTATCACGAAATGAGATAGTCAGGCAGGAACATAAACCAACTTCACCAGCATATGGCATACAAACACCATGTTTTGAACAATTCCGCCCATGCACTGTTTGACAAGGAATACAGTATGGTTCTTGGTGAGGCTCTAACCTAGATGTTGCATGTCAAGTCCAGCACTCACAGCAATACTTACAACGGTCATTCTCGAGTCGGCGAAGCAATTGAATTCTATGGAGTTTGTATCACTTGATACTGCCAGACATTGACTTGGAATGTGGAGCGGGATTGTATATGACATATGGGGAATTTTTGTCAAGAACGGTTCGAAAGTGTGCTGCGAGATAGAGAGGAGAGCGACAATAGATCATGGAGTTCAGTGATGTGCTCTGGGTTATAAATGTATGATAAACGGTTATCAGCACCATCAACGACCATGATGCGTGCATAATGACGGCCACAGTTGGCCAAACGAGCAGCAACTTGATGGATGCCCATCGCGCAGTTTTTCGGGATACATTTGTGTTGTACTGAGTAGAGTGCAATGTAAATTATATCCGAGTCCATCGTGCATTTCAAATAATACATATGGAGAGAATTAAATAGGAGTGGTAATCAGGGCCGGACCCTGATCTATCGGAAACAGAATCTGTCTCAACAAGGGCATCTTATTTTCCATCTGATGGACCAGCCTCCACAGTAGCCAAAGCTTGAGGAGTATTAGCTTGATTCTGAGACTGGGTTACAAAGAGCATACCTTAATCGCTGCCCTAGAGAAGCGATCGGGACGACAAACACACTAATATATAGGACTGTGGTAGTCAAGTTAGCGTCAATTTTAACGGTGAAGACCTCTCCGGCAGAGAGAAACGAGATGTTGCGCTTGGGGCTCAGAGACAGGCAAAAATGTGTACCTAGGCGGTTGAGAGAACAAGAGAACGAGGGGGTTGAACAGAAATGTAAGAGAGGTCCAGAAGTTTAAATTATTGAGGGCACTAGTATGATCCAATACCTAGGTAGTCACGGATAGTCTGAAGGATACGACTTGGGACCGTTGACTAATTCCAAGGTTAGTCTTAGTATGGGTTATAAATGTACGGATAACGCGTGCATGAAGACCGCCGAATTGTACACATTTTCGGGATTATTGTGTTAAACATTTCGATGTAAAATTATATTCGAGTCCATCATGCATTTCAAATAATTCATATCACTTCTGATGAGAGAAGAATATTGTCCATAATAGCACCTTTCTGTATTCCATAGCAGCAGCGAGCGTATGAGCAAATTAGGTGCTCTTCTTAGCAGCCTCCCGCTCAGCCTTGCGGAGAGCACGCTTGCGAATGCTCTCATGCATAGACTTGTTCTGCCCAAGAACAAACTTGCCCATGGTGCCAGTAACAGTAGTCAAGAACCAGGCCATGATACCATGGCTCCAGTACGGCGAAGAGCTGTAAGCGTAGGTAGGCGAACCACCACTGCGACCAATCTTGCCAAGAACAGAGCGAACAAAAGTGCGGGGGTTGGGGATCGAAGCAGAAGCGCGACGAATCTTAGACATAGCAGAGGTAATCAGGTAAGCCTGGACAAGTTCGACATCAATGCCATAAGGAGCGAGTTCACCGCCCAGAGCAGTGGACCAGTGCTGCAGGAAAGCCTTGCTGCCGGAGTAAGTGGCCAGGAACGGGGTAGGAAGCAGACCACCGAAAGAGCCCATGGTCAGAACCAGACCGCGGCGGCGCTGCATCATTCCGGGGACGACGAGTTGGGTAACGCGCAAGGTACCGGTGCAGTTAATGGTCACGATATCGGCCATCTCGGCGGCGGGGGTCTGCGCGAATGGAACGGGGATCGAATGGCTCAATCCGACATTGTTGACGAGAATAGAAACGTCCAGCTCGGAGACCAGCTTGTTCAGGGCTTCGTAATCAGTGTCGGCGTTGCGCGAGAAGTCCATCGCCAGGGTCTTGGTCTGCACTTGCGGGAACTGCTTGGTGATGTCCTCTGACAGGGTTTCCAGCTTCGAGGCTGTCCGAGATACGAGCACGATATTGAACTTCGCCTTTGCCAATTGCAATGCAAACTCTTTGCCCAGACCATCTGAGGCGCCTGTCACCACAGCCCAGCTACCAGGGGGACCGAACGAGCGGAGCTATATAATTCTTCTGGTTAGTTTCATCCTCACGATTCACAAGAATTTCCATAGATCAAGTTTCATACCGGTTTTCCCGGAAGCACGAACAGGCTAAGAAGCACCCGCACGAATGTCCAGACTTTGCAGGCAATGACCAGCCCACCAGTCGCCAGGAGGAACAACGCGCCGAAAGTCGGCAAGCCCGGGGCGACATGGGCAGGCCATTGTGAGAGGCACTCAGTGTATTTCGATAAATCCATAATGAGCAAGAAATGTTATGGAAAAGAGGTTGACAGAAGACAAAAAAAAAATGGAGTACAAAGTGAAGCTTGTTGGGGAAGATCAACGCCAAGAGTCCAAAACATTGAAACATCCTCGGCCTTTGACAATCACAAGAAAAACAATCTCACCCATCACAAACAATTAACTCCAAAATGTCCCAATTCCTCACCTACCTCCCCCAATTCGAGGGCATCCTGCCCAAATGGCTGGTCTTCGTAAGCCTAACCCCGCATACAATCTCTCAACTCCAAACCCCTGCCAAATTACTTTGGTGTCTAGAACCAGCTGAGCTAACACCCCTAATAGGTCTCCGTCGTGTCCGCCCTTAACAGCGTGCAAGCCTACTGCTCGCCGCAATATACCTCCCAACTCTACAGCAATGGCCAGGTTCCTGCCAGCCCGCTCTCCGGCCGCGTCTTCGGAACTTGGACTTTCCTGTCTGCTGTCATTCGCATGACTGCCGCTTACAACATTGACAACCCTGTCGCGTACAACCTCGCTATGTGGACTTATGGAATTGCGCTGACGCACTTCGTTGGAGAGTTGATCGTTGGCAACGCTACGCTCAAGGGCCGCTTCTTGAGTCCTTTGATTGTTGCTTCTGCTTCGCTTGCTTGGATGATCACTCAGCGTGAGGTGTATCTGGCTTAGACCAACCTTGACATGAGATTGCTCCGAGTGTTGATTTCGGGCTTTTTATCTGAATGCACTGGCTCGTCGAACGGCCGAGGGATGCGATATTCAAAGTCGTGTACTGAACCGCCACTACCCACGGTCCCCTGCAAACCAGCTCTTATAGAACTAATGTATATGCATGTATTTTAGAAAGTATTATACCGTCGGCTCGACTCCAGCCAGACTCCGCATTTTATTTTGCTTATTCATTAAACCATTCAACCATCAATCTTCTTCCTGTACAGCTCACCACCACAAGCACGCAGCTTAGCAGCTGCCTGCTCAGGCGTGATATCACGCTGAGGCTCCGCCATAAGCTCATAACCGACCAAAAACTTGCGCACGGTAGCACTCCGCAGCAGAGGCGGGTAGAAGTGCAGATGCAAGTACGAGGCCTCGATTTCCTCCGCGGTGCCATCCAGCGGCGCTTGGTGAATACCCATACTGTAAGGGAAGTGCGTCTCAAAGAGGTTGTCATAACGACGAGTCGTTTCCGCAATAGCCTCAGCAAGCAGCATTTTATCGGCTTCGGACAAATCAACCAGCGCGCGCTTGTGCGTGCGGCTGACGATCATCGTCTCAAACGGCCATGTCGCCCACCACGGACAAACAACCAGGAAAGCCTCGTTCTCAAAGACAACGCGCTCTTGCTTGCGGCTTTCCAGAGTCGCATAATCTTCCAGCAGATGGCTGCCGCCATGTTGCTGGCGGTATTTGCGCAGCTGTTCCATTTCTGCGGCTGGTTCCTCGGGCAGGGAGCTGGTAGTCCAGACCTGGCCATGCGGGTGAGGGTTCGAGCAGCCCATGGCCGCGCCCTTGTTTTCAAAGATCTGCATGTACCGGTACTGCTCCTTGGGTTTTGTGGCGCTTGCTTGGGAGGAGGAGGGCTGCAGGGTTGTTACGGGAGCGTTCTTGGCTAGCGGGGAGGTGGGTGAGAGGTGGGCTGTGTAGATTTCTGTCCAGGCGTTGATCACGGGCATGATTTCGCGTGGGCTGAGATCGGCTAGGGTAAGGTTGTGCGCGGATGAGAATGTAAGGACGTAGCATTTGCCGGTCACAGGCTCGGCCTTGAGGAAGCGCGATTCGAGTTCTGGGCTTTGTGAGTTTGGTGACGTTGTGCGAAGGCCTGGTTCAGCTTACCATCCTCGTTTGTGGGTTCGTAAGGAGCCTGTTCTTCCTTCACGGCACTGTAGTCATTCACGAACACGAAGGTGCTGTCGTATTTGGGGTTGGTGTCGCCCTGGGCGCGCTCGTTTCCGGGGCAGAGGTAGCACTTGGGGTCGTAGTTCGGCAGGGTGGTCTTGGAGGGACTTTCCTGTGCGCCTCTGTATTTGGAGGTGATTAGATAGGCTATTGCGCATTTTCATTCTTTTGCGACAACACTCACTGCCAGGGACGCTTGGTTCGGTGAGGGGAGACCAAGATAGAGGAGCCCCGAAGGGGGTTGTATCTCCGGTGAGAGATGTCGTCAAGTACGTTTTCCATAGCTATGTATAGGAACAGTCACAGAGTACCTTGGAGGTAAGAGGAAGGAGAAAGAATAACCAAGAAATAGCGAAGGGTCTTCGGGTTGGACTCCGGTGGGGAGGCGGGGTCCGGAGACTCAAATGCGTAATGCCAGCTAAGCGAGCAATGAATCCTCGCCTAATATATGTCTATACAACTACTATTTACGCTAACATCGGAAGAAAGCACAGCCATATATCCCAGGCATATGTAAACTACTATAAAGCCGGGTATACATCGTCTTGGCGCTGTCATCTCCGTCTTCTCGGTGAGCCGTAGAGGTATCGCTCGGGATCCCGCACTCGGTTTTCCGGGGAAATGGTATGCGGCACTTTGTCTGTGGGGGAGCCATAGCCTCGAGTTTGGCTCAAAGAGGCATTTAATCACCGCGCACGTGTGGATAAATCCGGAAAAACGAATCCCATTATGTTCCACACAGTAAATGTGGAGTGAGAAGGGTGGACTACGCACCAAAGAGGAAATTTATGCCCGCTAGCTCAGGTGGTGACGTCGCTTCTCTATTCCACCACAGCTATGTGTGCATCTCGACTTTGTATACACCACAATCTATATGTGTGTGTTTGATTCTATTTTGAGATCAGACTAGAGTACATCTGCCTGATTGAATTGATGTTCTCGAAATCAAAACCGGAAATCAAATCCTGTGATAATGAACCCCGCCAACCCCGCGGTGACCCTGGACTCTCTACCTAACGAAGTAAGTCTTCCTAAAAGGGCATTAATTGCAATTTCTAAAACCTTTAGGTATTTGTACAAATCTTATCTGACTTCTCCACCCGGGATCTTCTTCCTCTCACATCCATCAACCACCGATTCCATGCATTAGTGCTACGAATCCTTCATTACCGCCTACTCCTTAATACTCCACTGAAAGAGTACAAGCTACTTTTGGAATGTTTTCACCCCAGCTCAAAACTCACCGAGCCACATGTATTCTGCAAGTACCTTGGTACAGATGGGCTGAGCGAGCGCCATGATGGGACTGGCTCACTGTACGAGAATGTCGATACAGCACACCAATTAGGTAGAGTGACGGCGTTATATTCGCGCTTTCGACCTCTAGTAGCCAACGAGGAAGAAGAAGAAGACGCAGAGAGGATTGGATCCCATTTCGATTTGACAGGTAGGATGCTTCTTTTCTCGGGGGTGGGGTTCGTACGGGCTGACAAGAATGGGGGCAAAGGCAACAAAGATGATGAGGTGATACGGGAGGTCACGCTAGATGGACATGAGGATTTTTCCCAATTATGTGTGGTTGCCAATCTGGTGCAGGTCAGACCGGGGACCTCGTTGCTGTTGAGTGCGTTTACTATTGAGGATGGTTTTGTCCGGCTGTGGAGAGACTGGTTGCATCACCAGAGCAGAAAATTGAAGAAGGCTTCTGAAATTGCCAGGGAAGAGAGTCATGAAGAAATCCAGATACCACCTGACTCGGACGACATTTTGTGGGCAGATGTGGGCAAGACTGTTGGGTTGAAGTTGCGTGTTAGGCCAAAGTCTTGGAATCCATCTTTCCCCGTGTTGATACACCAAGATGATCGGGATGATGATGCTTGGGTTGGTTATGAGGTGATCTTGGAAGGTGAGTTGACATATCGTGTAGGAGGTATCATGCTAACTTGAGTTGATAGAATTGCATATTCGTTCCACGCGTCTGCTTTTGGTCGTCGAGCAGTCAAAAGAAGAGCAACAGAGTCACCAAAAAAATGCTATTGTTATTGGGGCACCGCCACCAGCCTAAACTACTAGAAGACCGTTGTATTGATTTGAGACATGAAACAAACACTATCATTATATAGTCAGGTTGTACATTCTTCATAAGTTATGTTTCAGATAGAGACTTGGCCGACTTCCTTATCCTGTGCAGCAATGGCCATATCGAAGTCTCGAAGGAATGCCCAGAGAGTCTTTCTGCGCCAACCATTTTTCTTCCAATCATTCGCCGGCAAGGGGAACAAATCGACAATTCCTAACAAGCTCGGATCATGCGCAAAGATAAACCAGATATTACTATCTGCATCTGCATCTTGTGCTTTCTCTATAGTTCTAATAGTCGTCTTGGAATCAGTCCCAACCATAGTGGCCGGGGTAAAAAATGCCCCATTTCGACGAAGAAGCAACTTCTCATATGCCTGAGCCCCAGGACAAGGCAGCACAGTCGCAGGAATCGCATTCTGGATATCAAAGGGAAGAGGCATATGCTTAGATGGTCTAATTTGACCACTATGATGACATAAATCCCCTCCCATAAAGATGAATGTATCCGGGCTTGTGGTGGTTCGAGCCAGGGCACTCAGATGGCCCACTGCATGGCCAGGGGTATCGACTAGATAAAAAGAGCCATCCCCAAAGAAATCATAGGCTCGGAATTGGCCCACTTCGATAGAATCGGAGAAATCAATTTCTCGTAGATTCCTTCCACTATATAAATAGTGAGTGTGGATCTGCGAAGTGGCTACAACATAAAACTCACGCGAAATCACTCTCACGAACGGGGGAGTCGGGAGCTGAGGGATAGCCAGGACAAAAAGCATCCTTGAACCCGGGACCGACAATCAAATCGGCTGAGGTTGGAAATTTCGAGGGATCACCGATATGGTCGAAATGCCAGTGACTGCATAGTCTTCATTAGCTTCCATTTTCCCACATGATGAACAGGGGTTAAACCTCACCTCCAAATGATACCGGAGATTTGACCGGCTGGAATATCATTGTTTTTCAATATATCAATCACATCATCTTTAACGGTAATTTCACAGTTTATGGAGTCAATTATTTGGAGGATAACTGGCGAGAATGAACGCCAGTCTTTTGGTACCCCGAGATCGAAGACAAGCTTTTGACCAGAAGAATGTTCAATTAAAAACGACCATGCAGGCATCTCGGGCATATATTGCATTCCCTCCATAGGCGGTTGCATGAGAAAGGCCAGTGGGAGTTTGGCCATCCGGGTGCTGGTGTCAATGATGCGGACTTGGACAGTCTCAGTGCCTGCTGGCACAGGGAAGATAGGGTTTGTCATGATTAAACCAGAATGGGCGTTTGTCAAGGCTGTCTGGTGGTAGTATGGCTTGAGAAGAGTAATGTTGTTAAATTTGACTGTTAAACTCGTTGAATGCGGGGTTGTGGGATTTGATCATTGGCGTGATCAAGCAAAGACCCGCAGGGCCTGGAAGAGATGGGCATCCTACGGCATCCTGATATGTACGTGATATATATTTGTAAGCCACAGTTCCTGACAATTATCCTGTCTTAAACTGAGGTATCTCGATATGCTTTTAAAGAGAATATAGCACACTGCCCGCGGGCCCGGTCCGACCCGTACCAGAGTCGATCGCATTGAATTGTTCGTTGTGAACGATCCGACGAGACGATTCAGTCCACCGAGCTGCTGATCGATGATTCGCTTCTCCTCGCTAATAAGAATATTGGAATAAGCTTACGATAATTAATTGCTCGAGATATCAAAACGCCATTCGAGAGACGATAAGATGCCTGGGATCCAGAGGAGTTGCGGGATGCAAATGTAGGTTGAGGAAGTGGAATATAGCTCGCTTCAGTCTCCTAGATCCGGATCCTCCATCGTTGTATGTAGGATATTTGGCCGGTAGGTCAAGCTTCGTGCTGAAGAAGTTCAAGAGCTCATCGTGCATTAGGACATTTTATGCCACCCAATATTGGCGTTTTACTCTGGTTTGTGGATGGACCCCGTAGATTGCTCATCACATCTCACATGAGGCTCTTAGATGCTGCCTCGGACGCATCTTGTGCCCGGCGAGAGACCACTGCGCCAATGTTCTCAAGCTGTGCCATCTTGAGGTTGTTTATGCTTGAAGCAACGCAAGAAGTGCGAAAGACACGACGAGTAGTGAAAAATTAGGACGGAGGTGGAGGACGAGGGCGTCCGTAATGGCCGTAAAATGTTTGCTATCACCGACCATTCTTTATTTAAATATTTCTATGCCCCAGACTTTCCGATGCCGAAATAGCGATTGAATTTGCGAACTCTCAGCTTTGGTTATCCTCGGCTGACATAGAGAATTGAAGAGCGCAAGGTTGACAAGGCATTACATCCGGTGTTGATGTGGGGATGATAAACCATCAAATAGTAGCCCTACTTAAACTCAAACGCCGGAAAGAGACATCCGCTTATTCACAAAAACTCATTGCTGTTTAGCACATAATTATTTCTTTTCCATCACAATCTAACATACGTCTTTACTCCACAATAGTGCATTCAATTTCGGGAGGCAACGCCCTGGGTAGCTGAGCCACAGCAACACACGTTTACGAGCCGGCTTTTGAGTAAAGAATGTCTCATAGGTCCTGTTCTTTTGGTAAAGTTGGATATCTGAATGAGGAATACCTGTCACGTCTATAGCAAGGTTTCATTCCACTTCAGGCCCAAGGCTGAACAGCCTTCAGCAGGTTCAGGTGGACCTGAGAGTCCCCACTTCTTTTCAATGCCTCATCAAAGATATCCGATCCCAGACGTTGGTTAAAAAGAAGGATGCTACCCCACACAAGGTCAGCATAGCTGACAGTGTTTCCCAAGAAGAAAGGGCCTTCGTTCTCCTGCAGCAAAGCAGTCACTTCGCGAAGTGCGGGCTCCGCTTCATTCCATGCTCGCTCACCACCTTTCTCCCTCTCCAATTGATCTAGTGACATGCCAAAAGCTTGTTCGCGAGTTGAATTCCAGTAACCAACACTTTCCTCATTGAGGATTTGGCGTGGGACCAAAGGTACAAATATCGGCTTGATAGCGCCCATGTATTGGGACCATAGACGCTCGACCTTCTCGAGATAGATTGAGTCCAAGTGAAGCGAAGGAAGCGGTGCCTGGCGCTCTATATAGTCTGCGATCTTACGCGAATCCATCACGTAAGTTCCGTCAGGACAGGCCAGGGTAGGACAGGTGTATGGAAAGCTCCCTTCGTTGGGTGTGACACTGGAGATGTTAGATCGAGTCCCGCATCCCGAGAAATCATCTTTGGACCTACTGATTCTCTAGTGTAGACTTTATATCTGGGTACTCAACCTGCAAGCCTCATTAGCAATTGTCCTTGCGAGCCTGATTTAATTGGATCTGACGCACCCATTGAGTTTGATAATCGAGTCCCTTGAAGTTGAGAAGAAGCCGAGCTATAGCACCGTGTCGCTTAGTATGCATGTGCTTGTTGGAAATGTACAATTACAATTGTTGTTGTTGTTGCACTCACTCTTCCATGGATTAGGGGACCACGTGGCACATGGTGCCTTGCCGGATGGTATGTCATAGAGTAAGTATTGACTTGGAGCCATGTTGAGATCACGATGCTGAGTTGGAATTTCAGGTAGAGATGAGATGTAGGATTGTGACCTTATAATGTAGTTTGTTTAGGCGGGGTGGACCACTTTTCAGATTACCAATCCGGCCTATGATAAACCCGAGATTGTGGGGATCCTCACCAGACCCCGAAGGAATGACTCACTCTCCATAAAAGCCCTGGAGTATCATAGGTATACCCCCTGTCCAACAGGTAGCCTCGCTGGTCAATTGGGAGCTCTAGGCATATAATGATGACTGACATATGATTTATGCCGATTCATTGGCTATGACCGGACACCTGAATCTTTCATTGGGCTGCTGAACATCATTTAACTACGATACGAGATTATGCTGATCTGGGCTTACGAGCTTTCCAATGACTCTAATTAATGAACTAACTGACAAAGATAACTAGTTCTTGCACAGACCGAGTCGACTAATATCAATTCCGATGGCAACTCATGTTGACTTTAAGAATCTGTCATGCCGTACGCACCTAACTTGTTCAAAGCGCAAGTTAAAATGCGACGAAGAACGTCTGTATGTTCCTTGATATGCAGAAGATTCCGCTGCTTGCAAGTTTCATCCTTTGCCCAACAGGCGTCCTGGGGGGCTCTGCCTACACGACATGTTTTTCTCTTTTATCTGTTGGTTGCAGGGGTTGGTATTGGCGCAGGTGTTTTTACTGGTGCGATTGGAGATTCTGATCAGTGAGTTCAATTTGAGTATGAGTGGGTAAAACTTTATCTCGCCAGTGGCCACTTTCATCCATGTGTGCTTTAGCTGCCTCCTGGGTCTTGAACCCGATGCGCTGGCATTTGATTGGGGACATTTGTGTCCCAGGGAGCTCATGTGCTGCCACATGATGGAGAAACGAAAGATGTGGAGAAAGAAAGAAGGATGGAGAGGAGATGGGACTATCTATAATTTTTGTGGTGCTGAAGGCCCTTGCATTTTAAAGTGGGCGACGATTCAAATCGTATCGTCGGGAGCAGATCGTATCGTCGACAGCACGTCTACAGCGAATTAAGCGAGTCGATTAGATCACATAGTTGCACGACCAATGGCGACATCCGTGTCGATTTATGCTAAAGTGTTATCTAGGCTGGAGGATATCTAAGTTGTTTTGCAAAGTACATAATCTTCTCAATTGTTCATAATCCAGTAAATCGGAGCAGATGAATGAAATTGTTTGACAGCAGAACTATGTGAAGTAATTTAATTCTCATTCGCCAATAAGGCCCGCTCAATCCACCACGACAACGTGGGGTCGAAATAATATTGTTCAAAAGATATTCTTGAATCTGTTACAATATATTTAGTCAGACATACTATAGTAGAACTACCACTATTGCCTACTGTGATATGCCAAGCCGTTCAAGCTTTCGGCAAGCCGTTCAATATCTGGATGGCGTTCGGCCCGGAAAGTAACACTTCAATGTTTTCAAGGTTTCTTCTCCACTGCAGAAAATTCTGACCACTCGGCAACTAGATGCCGAGATGATTGATACACTACGGCAATTGTGATTCGCTGAATTGATTAATGATCAAGCCGAGGCTGTTTCGGTTACTTATCAAGGTGGGGATTGTACTTTTTTTTTTCTTTCCTTGCCTTTTCTATGTTTCTCAATTTTGCAACATATTCTTTGATCATTTCTCGATTGTTGTATTGATTCCGTTGATCTTACTGTTTTGAAATTATAGCCGCGATCTCCAATACAACTCCAACGTCATTGTTGCACTATCTGACTCTCAACCCCATCAGGGCTCTCAGCCCCAACATGACAGCTCCCAAAGCCGGGGACGGGGAGGCCACGCTGCCTTCCACAATCCCATTCTGGCGCTTGATATTCGACCAAAAGGTTGTTACTGAAGAAATCTTTCGGTTCACATATGCAGGCTCGGGCACCGTGGATGATCCCCATGCCGTGGTCTGGATTCCAGCTGATCCCCGCAATCCCATGAACTTTCGACCAATGAAGAAATGGGCCATCACCATTCTGGTCTCCTTTGTCACCCTGGCGGTGTCATTAGTGTCATCTGCCTTTTCGGGTGGAATGGCGCAGATGATGGAAGAGTTCGGCGTCGTTGAGGAGGTCGTGATTCTGGGTGTATCACTCTTCGTGCTTGGTTTTGCCATTGGACCCCTGATCTGGGCACCTCTCAGCGAGATATTTGGTCGTCGGCATATCTTCACTATCTCCTTCATGTTCCTGACAGCATTCAACGCAGGCACCTGCGGTGCACAGAACATCCAAACCCTGATCGTGTTACGTTTCCTAGCTGGCTCTTTTGGCTCCTCGCCCTTTGGAAACGCAGGCGGTACTATCGCGGACATGTTTCCTGCCTCTCAGCGTGGTATTGCAATTAGTCTTTTCGCCGCAGCACCGTTTTTGGGACCAACGCTTGGCCCTGTCATTGGTGGCTTCCTTGCTACTGGTGCTGGTTGGAGATGGGTAGAGGGATTTCTCGCTGCTTTCTCCGGGCTGCTCTGGATTTGCATTATTTTCTTGCTACCAGAGACTTATGCGCCAGTCCTTTTGCGCCGTCGCGCAGAGAAATTGTCAGCTTTGACTGGTAAAGTATACCGCAGTCAACTTGATATCGATCGCGGCCCTATTCCCATGGGCAAGACATTGAAGACCGCACTCTCGCGCCCATGGATACTCCTCTTCCGCGAGCCAATCGTTCTCCTTTTCTCCATCTACATGTCCATTATCTACGGCACACTCTACATGCTCTTCGCCGCATACCCGATCGTCTTCCAAGAAGTTCGCGGCTGGAGCGAAGGTATAGGCGGTCTCGCCTTCTTAGGCATCCTCGTCGGTATGGTGATAGCAGTAGGCTACACCTTCCCAGAAAATTTCCGCTACGCCAAAAAATGTCGCGAGACCACCGACCGATTAGCCCCCGAGCTTCGCCTCCCCCAGCTATGGTTGGCGGCGTGGCACTCCCAATTGGCCTTTTCTGGTTTGCCTGGACGAACGCGCCAAGCATCCACTGGATGGCCTCTGTAGCAGCAGGCGCGCCCTTTGGTTTCGGCATGGTTCTCGTCTTCCTTAGTGTCTTCAATTACCTCATTGATTCATACACGATCTTCGCTGCGTCCGTGTTAGCCGCGAACTCCGCCCTCCGCTCGCTCTTCGGCATGGCCTTCCCCCTCTTCACTACCTACATGTACCAGAATCTAGGTATTCACTGGGCGTCATCAATTCCAGCATTCCTATCGCTTGCATGCGTGCCTTTCCCATTCATATTCTACAAGTACGGTGCCCGCATCAGACAACGGTGTACCTACGCAGCCGAGGCCGATGCATTCATGCGCCGGCTTGCTGAGAAGAACCACGTCCGCGAAGAGCCCAAGACGGATGAGAAGACGGGTGCGGATCGGGTTTCTGTCGATATAGAGAGTGACAGTGACACCGATACCTTGTCTACTGTTCCTTCGCGAGGAACAATCGCGCGCCATGCCTCCCGTGCATCGCGTGCGTCTCGCCAATCCGGTCGCTCTATGCATCGCACTGCAACTGCGACGCAGTACGAGGAGAATCCGTATGACCTGGATTTGGTCAATACTCGCCAGTCGGCAATTAGCCGCAAGGACTGAGCAGACTTGTGATGTTGATCTCAGCATTACAGCCACACTATCTTGGCTCTAGGATCATTGAAATGGTATCTGAGCGATGACATTGGGGCCTCTCAAAGAGAGCCCATAAGCCGATCATAAACCGATCTCTTTCGGTCTGTCTATCCCAATAGACCCAGAAAAAGACCAGGCCAGGCCCAGCGTTGGCTCACCCCCATCGCACCAGACTCAAACTGGATTCTATCAATTCCCTGGCCACGAACTCGGGAAAAACCAGATTGGTTTGCCTCGCAAAAATTCTTGGATTCCAAGTCAATATGGGTTGACTTGGGACACAAGTGCATAAAGCATCAGCGATTTGTTAATACCACGTTATGTATATACCCTTAATTTAATGCATAAAATAATTTCGCATTTATTTGATATCTGATCACAATATTTTTCCTAATAAAACCTAAACGTACGACCTACGTGCAGTTGTGTGTGCTTGGGGAGAACTTGATCACTCATCATTTATCCGGGGCCTCGGCCCATCTCCACCTCGGCCTTCCACCTCCCCTGCCATATACCCTTGATAAACTAATCTTCGACCCTCGTTGCTGGCTTTACTGGTAATATTCAAGCACAATATTTCATCATTGAAAGCCAATAGAAACCGTCATGTCCGGCAAGATTGACGCATACGTTGACTGCGGTATGCCAGGACCCCTTTGTCGTCCCGTCTTCGCTGACTGATTTGCATAGTATCGCCATATTCATACTATGCAACACTATATCTGAGGAAGAACCGCAAGCTGCTTGAATCGCACGGCGTTGAAGTCGAGTATTTATAGCCCTGCCTTCTGTATGACACGGGCTAATTGCCGAACAGATTTCACCCCGTCTTCTTAGGCGGTATCAATGTGGGCTCTGGTATACATTCTCCTTCAGCTGGGCAAATCCCATCCCTAGACATGAGATCACCACTGACAACATAAACAGGGAACAAACCTCCTTGGACACTGCCTGCCAAAGCAAACTATTCCAAGTTTGACTCAGAGCGAGCATGTAAATACTTCGGAGTTCCGCCAATCAAAACCCCCGAGTTCTTCCCAATCCTTTCGATTATGGTATGTGGGTTCGTTTCATAGAACGAGGTATATGCTGATCAGTTGACCAGCCACAACGATGCATGATTTACATCAAGAGTCAATTCCCACGCGAGAAATTTGAAAACACCTTCCTCGCATTGTGGGAATGGATGTTCTATAAGAATATTGACATCAGCAAGCCCGAGGCACTGGCTGAACTGTTTCAAAGCAATGGGTACTCAGATACCGAGATCAAGGAAATTTTGGCCGCGGCCTCGAGTCCAGAGTTCAAGCAGGCCTTGACGGCTAACACGCAAAAGGCCCTTGATAAAGGCGCTTATGGAGCGCCTTGGTTCTGGGTGCGCAATGCTGAGGGCAAAGAAGAGCCTTTCTTTGGGAGTGACCGGTAGGTTTTGAGATTCCACATAGCAGGCTGAAAGCTGACTTGAAGTAGATTTGCTTTTATGTGGATGTACCTCGGGTTGCCCTTTCAGGACGTTGCCATCGTCGAGAAGTCCAAGCTTTAGGTCGTACTAGACTTTTTTGTACATTTCGTGTTCGCAATATCACATACAAAATTCTCATAATCGCCTTTCTGTAACTCTTTCTTCTGAGAGGTTTTCTCGGCTGTTCCTTTTACCACAGACTGGCGCAATGAATCCTCAAGCGATCTTCATTAAGAACTCAGAGCTCGGCCAATGTAACGTCCGTCTAGCCGTTGCCCATGAATTCCTCCTACGTCCAGAATATGAAATGCACATCGCATCATTTCCATGTCTAAAAGAAAAGGTCAACGACCCGAATGCCCGTGCCATCAATTCACCTCCACAAAGGTCGGAAATGCAGTATTTCACCCGCTAGACGGTCTATAATCCACAGAAACGATCGTACGACAAACCATGCTGTCTTACGGCGTCAATCCAAAGGAAGCTGTGGAGTGCGTGCTGCAGTCACCATGTACAAGAACGAGCTACCCATCTTACTCTCGCTATGAAATAACGTGGAATACCTGGCAACCTACGCCAGCTGCGTGAGAGATTCAGCAGGTAAAACCAGCCCTAGTGGCGATGGACATGTTATTCGGCTTAGCCATCGATGCCTGTTCCACCACCAAGACAGAACCCTGCCTGTTAGGTCCAAATACTTTTCTCGAACATACCCCGGGGCTGAGACTTATCCAGCCCTGAAAATACCCCCAGTATGCTGCTTTATCTTGTTCTTCTCCCTTCCCAAATTCACCATTCCCTCCGAAATACCCCTCAGTCGCTCTGCGAGAACAAATTAACCAGATCAAGAACAAACTCGGGCTTCGCATACTCTCTCTACTGGACCAAAATCCTAAACATCTACCTAAACCTCCGCATAATGTGCATGATCCTCAATTCCAAGCGCCTCAAAAGCCTCCGCGAATACAGCAACGCACATAAGATCCCCGGTATAAGCCCACCCTTCGGCCTCTCTATCCCATCCATCATCCCCTCCCGCCCAGATACAGATTTCCCCTGTACCATCCCAGAATATATCACCTGCTGAGGACCAATATTACGACCCATCAACTCAATCTCAGACGAAGTCCCCGACCTGGCGCGGTGGCTCGCACAGAGACCTACCGTGCTGGTGACATTGGGGTCGCTTGCTGTGTGGGATACACGGCGTACGAGGCAGTTCGCGGAGGGTATCCATGTGCTACTTGGGCGGCGTAGCGGAATCCAGATTCTGTGGTATTTGCAGACTGTTTCGCCGATAGTGGGCTCGGCGCATCACGGTCCCCGTGTCGATGATGGCCCGGAGTGTATTCGGGATTATGTTGATGGGGACCAGTTCCGCGTCCTGCCTTGATTGCCTGTTGACCCGGTTTGTATTCTGCAGAGTGGGAGTGTTATCTGTATGATACATCATGGGGGCTCGAATTCCTTCCATGAAGCTATTCAGTGGGTGTGATTCTCTACTTTGGGCCTGATATTGTTCGCTTGTCTAAAGTCCTCTCTAGAGCAAATGTCCCCCACGTCGTCCTACCTGTCTGGTTTGATGCGTATGACTTTGCTACTCACGCTGGGTGGTTGGGTATTGGGGATTGGGGAAATAGATATCTTGCGCCCAATGTTGATGGTGGGGAATTGGGTAAGGCATTAGTGCGAGTAGTTGCTAGCGACGAGTCAAAGAAGATGTTTTACAAGAGCAGGAAATTGCTGCAAAGTTGGGGGAAGGGAGGGTTGTTACTTGTGAGAAGACTATTGAACTTTTGGAATTGTAGATATGGTAGGACACATTACCTTGCATTCATGGACTCATGAACCCTAAGAGCAGTAATCTGCTAGAATATATTGTATTTACAAGGTGTCTAAAAAGCCTGGAGAAAGATTTGCAATGGCTAAGTAATTCTGCTCTATATCGATCAAGAATGCATATTGCGACAATAGATTGACATGAAGACAAGCACCCGTGGACGTAGGTAGTAGCTCTGGTGTCTAGCCAGGATCCATTTGTGGAGACAAGAGTGTCGATATCTCGGCCTTCGGGCTTAGTGACTCACTGCTTAGGAAGAATACAATTCTGGGTCCACTAGAGGCCGAATGTCTCCAGCTTCCACTTCAAATCCGAGACATATAAGTCTCCAAGTATGTCCAAGCATGCATGTCCAACGTCCAGACAGAAACCGGATAAGATCTAAACCACCTCGTCCTACCCCACGTCTGCCCCACACTCAATCCCCATAAAGTGTCTCAACGTCACGACTTGCTTTCTCCTTCCTACCTACACCCAATAAATCAATTTTCCAGATAACCCGCTACCAGAATAATGTCCAGCCCCCGTGTCGCATGGGTAGGCCTCGGCAACATCGGCCGAGTAAGTCACCCGAACCGCGCCCACCTCACCAATCCTCCTAACAAGACCAGGGCATGAGCCTGAACATCGCCGAAAGAGGCCCTCAATCAGGCCCTCTCCTCCTGTACAACCGCACGACATCCCGCGCAACCACTCACGCCACTAAACTCGGCCAGAAATCCGCAGTCGCAGACACCCTCACAGAAGCAGTATCCCGGTCCGACCTCATCTTCACCTGTGTTGGCGACGACGCAGCCCTCGACGCCATTGTCGCCGCCATCCTAGACGACAAGGCTCTCCCACAGGATCTGAGCTCGAAGACCTTCGTCGACTGCTCGACCGTGCACCCTGATACGTCACGCAAGACGGAGGCGTTGTTTGCCGCGCGGGGCGCGGGCTTCGTTGCGTGTCCTGTGTTCGGGGCGCCGAATATGGCCGACGCCGGACAGCTGATTGTTGTTCCTGCTGGGAAACAGGCTGCGATTGAGAAGGCGCGGCCGTTTTTCGATGGCGTCGTTGCTAAGAAGACGATTGATCTTTCCGGTGGGAGTGGGGAGGATATTGATGTTGGGCGGGCTTCTATGCTTAAGGTTCTTGGGAATACGTTTATCTTGAATACCGTTGGGGTGTTGGCTGAGTCGCTTGTTGCGGCTGAGGCATCTGGATTGGGGGTTGGACCGTTGAAGGAGTGGTTGGGATTGTTTGCGCCGGGGCCTTTTGCGAATTATGCGGAGAGGATGACGAGTGGGGATTATTATACGCGGGAGGAGCCGCTCTTTGCGGTTGATCTTGCGCGGAAGGATTTAAGACATGCTTCTGGGATTGCTAAGGAGGGTGGAATGACCATGAGGAATGTTGAGGTTACAGATTCTTTGTTGAGGGATGTTAAGGAGGAGAAGGGGGAGAAGGGGGATATCGCGGCTGTTTATGGTGCTGTTAGGAAGGGCGCAGGTATGGAGTTTGGGAATCAGTGAAAGATGCTCATTGAGTTTTGTAATCGGAAACTTGTATATATTCATGGATACATACATGTATGTATGCGATGGGATGATTGTTTAAACTTAACCGATTGTATACATGTTGATACGAGTAAAGTTGGAAATATTAGGAAGACAGAAAGATAGAAGTTCGAGCGATGACTTGCATGCTATTAAATGAAAGTCTCCGTAGGGATATGGTGGAGACTGAACTAAAAGACTCCAGCTGAAGTAAGAGTAGAGTTAAGTAATTATACACACAGAAATTTTTGATAGAAAAAAGAGCAGACAAGAAGCCACACATCTCAAAAGGGCGGCATCCTTCCAGCAATATTACTAGCTTACTCCCGGATCTCAGTGGTCACGTCGTGGTGCTGGTGCTCACTAGCGCCAGCCTCACCCTGCTTGGGGCCGTCCAGGGGGTTGGGGCCGTGGAGATCGGCAACAATTCCTTCGGGGGCAACCCAGCCAGCGGACTTCCAGGGCTTGACGTGGAGGACGTACATGGTGTCGACCTCCTCAAGGGTCCGGCCCTGGGTCTCGTTGACGAAGAAGAAGACAACGAGGATAGCGAGGAAGCAGCAAGCAGCGAAGACGTAACCGTAGCGGAAGTCGATGGTGTTGGAGATGAAGGGGGTGAAGAACGAGATGAGGAAGTTCCAGGTCCAGTTGGCAGCAGTAGCAACACCCATGCAGACAGCGCGGTACTTGAAGGGGTACATCTCACCACAGATAGCCCAGACAATAGGACCCCAGGTGGTGGCGAATCCGACAATGAAGAAGCAGGTGAACACAATCATAACAACACCAGCGGGGTGGTTGGTAGGGTCGGAGTTCAAGATCTCGTGGCCGACAGAGGCCCAGATCAGGAAGCAGACGAACATCCAAGCGGCACCGTACATCAGACACTTGCGGCGACCGTAGTGCTCGACAATGTAAAGACCGGGAAGGGTCATACCGAAGTTGACAGCACCGAGGATGATGGAGGTGACGTAGGAGTTGCTCAATCCAATACCCTGGAAGATACTGGTTCCGTAGTAGAAGATGAAGTTGGCACCAGTCAGCTGCTGGAGGGACTGGAGGGCAATTCCGAGGATGATACGGTAGAGCATGCGGGGACCAGTGAAGACCTCTTGCCAGGGAGCGTCACCGTTGGCGAGCTCCTCCTCAAGCTTGATCTTCATGTCGGCCATCTCCTGAGCAACGACGCGGTGGTTGTGGGGGACACCGTAGAGCTTGCACATAACATTGCGAGCCTCCTCGGTACGGCCGTGACGGTAGGCGAAACGGGGGGACTCGGGAAGGAAGAGGGTACCAATACCGAGGATAAGAGGCCAGGCAAATCCAATGCCCATGGTGATGCGCCACGAAGCATCGTTTTCGAGAGTCTCAGTGCCGAAGTTGACAATGTAGGAGATGAAGATACCGAAAGCGACGAACAGCTGGAAAGCACTGACCATGGCACCGCGGACCTGGCGAGGGGCAGACTCAGACTGGTACATGGGGACGACGCTAGAGAGCGCACCAACACCCAGACCAGCGACCCAACGGCCCAGGGCAATTTGGTACCACTTGTCAGTGGTAGCAATCTGGATAATAATACCGACGATGTGGAGAAGGGCCCAGAAGGAGATCGAGAATTTGCGGCCAATGCGGTCCGCGATGGGGGCGGCAACCAGGGCACCAATCATAGTTCCGATAGAGAGCTAGATTTATAAAATTAGTTTCATGTAAGACAGCCTGTGGAATTTCAAATTCGACATACCAGACCAACAATGAGACCGTTGCGGACGTTACTGAAGGCATATTCACCGGTGGCAGCATTGTACTCAGCGAAGCGTTGCTTGAAGTCAACCATGGTGGTGAAACCCGAGATTTGACCTATGGACCGTTAGCGTTACATTTTCTTTATGCCGATGTTGTGTGACACCATACCAGTAGAGTATCCGAAGATGAAACCACCCATTGACACACACAAGCCGAGGATGAAGGATCGCCATGTGAGATACTTGACAGGGCTGTCATCGAGTGTGAGGTGATCCTTTTCAGCAGTAGTCGAATCGGCACGCGAGGGAGTTGCGGCCTGGGAAGAGAACTGAGATTCAGGCTTCCCAGGTTTCAACTTGTCCATGAAAGTAGAAACACCCATGATGATCCACTTGGAAGATGGATAATGGGGTGAAGGAAAAGATAATGAAGAATGGGGAAATAAAAAGTCGAGAAAAAAAAAAAGAGAAGAGAGCAAGGAAGAGAGCGAACTAAATAGTCAAGAAGTCTGGGCGGTTGACCTTGTACCAGTGGCAGTCATGACCCGGATCTAGTGTCCCACGTTTTCTAGCCGAAATGGGGATGTAAATTTTACGGGACTCCACGGGCAAAAGACTTTAGCGCAATGTACTCCGTGTTTGGAGGGTTCTTTTGGTGGAGAAAAATGGTGGAGGGCAAGGGGTGGCATGGGGATCTCTCTGGTATGCGTCCACGTGAGCCGAAAACGTCTCCTTGACACATATTACTAGTTGTTGTTCATTTCTAAAAGAGGATTATATTTGCATTCATAACTTCTGTATTGTTATAGTAATAGTACGATTGAATGATGTATGTACATTGTTCAATATCTGTAGATTCATGGAGGGAATTGCATGCTTTCCAACAGGTAATGAAAAGCAAAAAAAGCAAAAAGAAATACACCAGGAATCACCCACCCTTCTTACCACTATTCTAGAAGCATACGGCATTTAGTTAGACTGGAACCTGCTGATGTACGAATGAGAGTGCAGTGCCTGGCCAAGAATCCGTGGATACTCCAGATCGGTTGAGTTCGATGACGGATAAACGGATCTTTCTACGTCAGGGTGACCATGATACTAGAACTTCAGACACTAATAATAATATCACTCATATAAAACAAAACGAGTCCGGGTGATCCTTGTCGGGAATTGGTGCCGACATTTTACCGTGGAGTGATTTAGCTTGTATACATCGAAAAGCCTTGACACATATAAAAAGTACAATATTATACCATTTGCCTACAGAACCTATAGTAATATGGTAGAACAAGGAATCCAAAGGCAACTGAAACCGGGTGGATTCCCAAGAAAGAAGGTGAAAGCAAAGAAAAATAAGAAATTTCAAATGAAAATAAAACTAAAAATGGTTTACATAGTGGGTCAATATGCGTGGATTTCTGCACTCTACCCGACCCGGTTGCAGGCCGCTGATCATAAACAAAGAAGCTAAGTCTAAGGGGTAAGTTGATTTGATTGCAGTCTGTGGCATAACTAATGGTGTCAAAAGAGCCTGAAAACACACGAGGGATCGAAGTCCCATTTATATCTTTTGCAATGGAGCAAATTCCCAACTCGAAACGTCTTGATAAGGACCAAGTTGGATTGCAGATAAATAAAAGTTCGACCCACCTACCGGTGAGGTTTCGGTCGAGTCCCGCGCAGAGAATTCCGATCTGTTGGGCTATTCACGGGCCCCGAGAGATCCACTTTGCTCAATCGGCACACCGAGTATGTTGCACAGATTTTTTATCCCGACACACCTGGCCGAGCCGATTACAATCCCGAGTCGGGATCGCCGTGTCGGTACAGACTGGCCATCCCGAATGTCTTTCGGTTAGAGGCGACCTAAGGATAATACTCAGTTTGAACAGTTATAGTTAATTCCTAAAATCAAATACATCACTACACAAATCCTATTATAATTTATTTATTGTTCAACATGCAATATGTTTGTTGTTCTCGGCCACATATCGGCATCCCTTGTTACGGAAACGTCCGACCCACAACGCCCCTTCCGTGATCTGCGGTGAACCACTTAAGGAAAAAAATCTCTTCATTGCCTTCCATGACTAAGGCATCAGACCACATCGAAAAGTTTATGAGAGAAAAATTTGTTCTCTAAGTGGATAATAGTCTTTTCACTAATCTCCCTTAAGTTAGCCTCCGAAGTCTGGAAAATGGGAAAATACCATGGGAAAATACCATGGGAAAATACCATTGATCCAATCGCCGCTGATTTTGTGTTACCATCGGCCTCTATGCGTGTGTGGGCTTTTTGTAATGCAAATGTTGAATTAATTCACTCTGTTTTCTTCGGGGAAGGCCGGGTGAAAGGCTTCGTGTTGTGAAAAACGTATTGATCCTTTAAAGTAATGATGGCCGTTCGCCTACAGCTATCTGCAAAGCTATGTAAATAAATTTAAACCTGCAATACAAAAGAGGGAAACGCTGATACTCAAAATGGCTGTCTCTAAAATAATCGAGCAAAAAATAATAGTTTGCATAGGTATGAGGATCAGACCTCTCTCTACCATAATGATAGCAAGAAACCAAGATGAGCACTGACATCCCAGACCATATTAACTTCAACTAAAGAACACCAAACACTCCCCATTGACAGCTCATGATGTACAATGTAGACCATCGATTAATCTTGCAAAACCCAAAGAGTGGCTCTGCAGATACTCACAATGACGTAGGCCGGCACTTATACAACGTCCCAAATAGGAAACCCCATCTCCAGTCCACTGCACGGGAAACAGGGTCTCCATTTTGCTTCTTGTCTAGAATAAGACAATAAATCACGCTTTTGTTTCGCATTGTATGATGCCATCATGTTGTCTCCCGCTCGGTTGATAGCCGACAGGCACATGGGAAGCTGACGTCCCACCTGGAGACATGGGGATTGTGGTTGGGGTCTGGTCGGGGATGAAATTGCATGGTCCAAGTCCCATTTAACTTTGGGGATAGCGCTCGGTCCATGTTTCATCCCTGCGCTCTGTAAGATTGTTGTAGGCACATAATTGTACTATTGTTATCTCTTTGGGCACGCACTATACATTCACACCCAGGTAGGTATCCATGGTTAGCAATCAAGGCTTAGAGAGGAAGTCCCTGCCTCCTTTAGGCTTAATCCTCCTTTCTTTTCTCATTGTGAAAATGACTGTTCAAACCTGTCACACATTGCAGCACCAGGTGACTTTGTTAGCTTGTGCCACATGCATGCCTGAATAGGCCTTGCAAACAGGTGATTGAGAGAGTGGCAATATCGTATGATCTACATAGTAGACTTCTAGCGAATATCTGCGTCGAATCCGTCCATGATGTTCGTTACTGTGCCGTATTTCCATCAATCGATACTTCTGTCAATCGATACTTCTGCAACAAGATATATATTCTGGCGATTAGATGGATAAGTATCCCTGCTTAAATGGGGTCAGGATGATAAACAATGGTAAAGTGGTAATGGGCTGGAAATGTATTTCTCCTTGTGACTTCCTTTAGGGCCATACATACGTACCTATATGTACCGGATTTTAGGCCACGGTCGCGAATTTCCCGATCGGGGTGGCACAGGAGAATAAGACATAGTCGTTATGAGTGGACGGGTTCCGATGCGCGCGGCGCTCAAACATCGCAATCGCGTCCTGCACCGCCTGGTACAGGCGATCATGGCAGTCACGATCTGTCACTGGGAAATCACTCTCCATCACACTGTCGATCAGATCAACACAGAGGGTACTGGCGGCATGTCGGAGCGCATTGGTGAAGGCTTCATCCCCCCAAAGGAGGAGTTGCGCATAGTGGTCGTCAGCTACAGGGGGAGGCTCGCCGCCGTCGATTTGTGGCAGTGGATCTAGAGTCTTAGACTCTAGCGACAGCAATTAACCGTATTATTACTTTCTCTATTCGATTTCCCGAATCCAACCAAGTCTACAGACCCTCGTAACGGGGTTCTACAAATCTATATAGTTACTGCCCTAGTTATCTAGTGCTTAAAAGCTACCTAGGTATATATGTTGGTAAAACAGTGTGATTGTCAAATCCATCCTATGACCCACTTCTAGTTTGATAAATAGTGTAAGATAGAAAGGTAGGAAGAATAGAAAAGTGAGAGAGACGACAAGCGGCGAAGACAGGTCTTTTGATCCCGGGTGTATCAAAGGGAGTTTACCTGAGTAGTAGGGTGCTCAACCCAAAAGGTAACATAACTTGAAAAGGCAATTCACAGGCCCGCCACTCACAGTTTATGATTCCTCTGGTGGGTTGCAGAATAGTGGAATCACTTCAGTAGGAGTGGAAAGGCGGTCATTTCTAGCCTCAAACTAGCCTTAAGCATCAATATCACATGCCCGCCATATTCAAGTTGTAAAACTCTTTTATTATCCTTGTTGACTTATCTACTTTTACTACTGTAGCTATAGCAATTAGTCTGTCGGGTTTTAAATACATGTATATATTGGAAGACATTCCATCCCCGTAGGTTCTGCACATATCTCACTCTTGAGAGAGGCGATAAGAGGTATCGCTCGACCAGTTCTCAATTGTCTGGAGACATGCGCATAGCTCAATTATGACAACCCATTTTCCTGCTGCTGAGACAAACCTTGCGGTGTCCTCATTTTCCAGGCGATTAACCAGATACTCTCAAAACTGTTGTACATGAGGGGCAGTATGTACACTCTTCTTCAATCAACTCTCCTACCGCGTGAGCTCGGTAGTAAGTCTATTCAGTCGAAGAGCTGCGGTATGGCCCAATCCTTAGGTTACATGTTCCTCGGACCCCGAGACTCCGTCCACTGCCTATATATGTCTTCGCGGTGGACATGTTCTCAAGAAGAACGAGACAGCTGGATTTATAGGCCAGATAGTTGGTGCTGCACTTGATCGACCATGTGGTGCGTTTGCCGAGTTCCGTTTGAACTTGCGAGATCTTGATTGCCAATTTCTTTGAGCATGTGGACGATGTTCATGTGCCTATCTGTGCTGTTTGTGCCATCGTAGAGCTCAAAAGCTTCGGCGTATAGATCTTCGTCACCACTTCTGTAACCAAGTGCATCTTCTTTGATGCTCTCGAAGACGGTCAAATTGGTGCCGTCAATCATACCGGTGCCACTATGCACATCTCCAGAGATATGGTAGCGTGCCAACATGGTATCTCCGAATCTTCCGTCACGGATAGCGTTAACGTACTCGCTGGCCCATGGTTCCACGATCGGGAACCCATTTGTCTCGTTGAGAAGCACCTCATTCAGGCTGAGACCGAGAAAGAGCCGCTCCGCAAGCTCTGTAGAGCTCACATTGAGCTGAGACGGTGAAATGACTCAATACCAGGCTTGCGAAAAGGACAGAAAAACGCATATTGGGAGAACTCGGATTGAAGAATCGGCAATATACAGTAAGAGGATGGTGGTGGCAGAACGTCAACCGAAAACATTCAATCCTCACCAAATATAAAGGAGATTGTCTCTTTCTACCAATCCTATTTGGATATATAGCGCTTTCAAAATCTCGCATTATCCTCCAGACATTTTTTCTATCTCAGCTGATTGTGTCGAGTTGAACACCCCACCCGTGCCTTACCAGCTAGCTAACAACCACTGTTAGTTAGCGTCTCGGCACAAATATCATTTATCGGGTGACTTTCGCTATGTTCTGACTAGCGACGCGGGAATTGGGCCTCGCCTTCTTCCAAATTCTCGTGAAAAGCTTGGTTTTTGTGTTCTTTGCAGCTCTCTATTGAGTGAAGCAAAGGGCCACACGACTGCCAAGCTGTGTCTACGTACTACACATGGTCACTTATTGCGTGGACTCCAGCGCTGAATTTCGAGCTTAGCACTATTGAGTAGACTAGTTCTCTCCTCAACCAATAAATCTATCCATCCTAGATTAGCCCGTTTGATCGCGTTCTCTATATCATTCAACCGATCGTATTCCAATATCGTACTGTCCCATCTTGCTTCAACGTTAAGTTTATGATGAATGGTATTCGGAGCAATAGACTAGAGCACCCCCGAGAGTTTTAGGGTGGCAATGCCTACTTTAGATTATTTGAGCTATTGCTGGCAACAATGAGAGTTTTGTGGCCTGCAGAATATGGAATCATCATTGAGAGCTTATGGAGCTAACTCGGGGTTAGGAGGTTGGTGGGGTCAATACTCTATGGTGTGCTACAACATATTAGTATCTCCTGTCAAAGCAAAAATACGCATACATACACCGTACTTAAGCCTAGCTAAGTAGGTGTGCACCTTTTTGGCCTAGCGGTCACGAAAACAGCGTTTTTTCTATGCGACATCTCCCCCTAAATCTACAAATATAACCGTGTCAAACTCTGCTTCCCTCACTTCATGCCTGAGCCCCTGTTCTCTCATTACGCTTTCGCCCTACCAGATACCAGCTTATACACCATTTCTTTCTCTTGGTTCATTTCGGACTCAAGGTATGTCCATCCTATCCGTCTTTCATAAAACCTTTCAAAGCGAATTAGCAAAGGAAACTCCCCTGGCGTTCAATGAATACCCAGCATACTGAGCTTGTGGAACAGTTGTTCCTAGAATTCTCTTTCCAAGAAGTGCTTCAAAACGAGACAGATGGTTTCCCTTTTGTCGAGCCCTGGGCTAGCGAATACGTGAATGCCATTCAGGATAGAAGATACGGCGGTGCTGTGTGGGCACGCTACCATATTGCAGGCGACGTACATGGTGGGGTTATTGAAGGCACAGACAAGACTGTGCTTGAAATGATCGAGGAAGATGCCTTGGGCTACAAGGTGGGCGATCCGGAGGTATACGACGTAGCTCTCTCCTTCTACGCCAAAACTAAACCAACGGATGGGCATCCTGAAGTGATCGAAATTACTATGCGCATAGGAAGTCAAGATGTGACTGCGATTCGGGCTCAACTTAGAGCCGAGCGCCAGGCGGAGGCTCTTGCTGATCTCTAATAATAAAAAAGTCATAAGACGTCTTGTTCTCAATCAAGTATATCATGAAAAACTGTCAGATCTCCCATCCGTAAAATTCAACCGAGTTACAATGTAGTATAGTATAGAGAGTATATAATGCAGAAGCATGACGATCGGGGAATAGATATCTAATCTGGTGCAAATAAGCAAAGAAAGCAAGAAATTACTGGAGCAACACTTGATCCTCCTCCAACCTCAATATCTTCCAGTCTAGGAGCAGCAAGGCCGGCCTATCACCCGTGAGCATTTCTTGGTACTCATTTTCTTGAGATGTCGCTACGAAGTTATTGGGAGAGTCCTGAATTATGGTTCTAGCTAGCCAATGGAGATGTATAACGACTCAGTCTTTTATTTTGCCTGCTGAAGTGGCCATGTCTTGCTTCCATAGTAAGCTCCTGTTCGGTACGCTTATAAGGGCCGACTTCAATCTTTGGTAGATTCGACATATCTTCAAGGAACCGCGCCCTATATGGGGGGAGTAATGATGTACAACTATCTCGATAATCCTAACGATAGTCAGCGGTGATTTCTGAATGCCGATTATGTGGTTCCGGTGCAGGACCTGGCCGACGACCTCGAATACCTAGATCTAATTTCAGACGGGAATTTTGGTGCCATGAGGATTAAAGTCGCCGTGTCTCGGTCAAATTTAATAAGCCCGACATAAAAAAATGGTCTAAGCTATCTTTAAAGTATATTAAGTCGTTGAATTATAATTTATACTATGGCTGATGTTACGGATATTTGGTGAGATTCCTTCATATAGATTGTGAACGATCAATCGTGAATTTGATGTACGTGTTGATGGGCAAAGAGGCTCAAGTCCCAATACATAGAGCCTTGCAGTTAAGCCCACGCACGTACCACGCGGCTACGATCTGCACCTGACGAGCCGCCGGTGAGAAACGACCAGGATCCACTGTCTCGACCTATGGGGATGACAAGGTCCTATGCTACATGGGACATGCATATGACAATGCTTGATAGTGAGGACCCTGAAGATCACAGGCCAAAGCTGTACCAAATATAATCTGTATTGGTATATGCGAGATCATCAAGTCAAGAACTTTTTATGTCCTATTGACCAGGAAAACAACTTCCACAAATCGTTACTGTATGTAAACATCCACAGCGAAGAGTCGTGGAAACCAGAAATGCGCGTCAAATGAACATTTGAACGAAACTCGAGAAAAAGAAGAAAACAAACGCCCAACACCATTTTGCACCCGGCATCGAAACCAATGGACAATGATTAAGAATGGGTCTCGTTTCGTCCGCGTCGACTGCTTTAGCAGTAGGGATCTTAACGACGGTCTGTCTTGCCCATACCACGCTTTCCGGAGAACTATAGAAAATGGTTAGTAATGATAAAAGACTGCGAAGGGGGTTCGGTTTATAACATACCAAGTGCTTGGCGAGAGAGGCAGTGGTGTGACGATCAGCCTCACCAGCACGAGCCATGCGGTTCATCTTCTTCTGGCCCAACTTAGCCATACGCTCAGCCTTGTCACGGTTGCTGAAGCTGGTAACACCGTCCAGACGACGATCAGTAGCCGGTGTGTTGCGAGCGAGGCTCTTAGCGCGAGCGAGGGCCTTGTGTGGGTTGTCATCGACGTCCATGGCGTCCGCGTCGGCAGTAGCCTCACGGGCAGTGGTACGGCCACGAGGCCGGGATAGGGCGTCGTTGCGGGCACGCGAACTGGCAGCATTGATATCGTAACCAGCGGAGTCGAGACCTCTGGTAAGCTGGGAGAGAGTCTTGGACTTGGCGCTGCGGGGGATTTGGGCGCGGTTCTTGAGAGACTTGCGCATCTTGGCGTCGTTGCGCATGAGAACACGCTTCTCGCGGATCAGATCGGCCTTGAGACGGTTGTCGGCATCCTCTGCATCCTCCACGCTCTCGTCGGAATCGTAGTATCCATCCGCCTCGAGCTTCTCTTCCTCCTCCTCGAGAGCAGCAAGCTTGGTCTCGATATCGGGGTCCACAAAGTCGTAGATGTTCTTGCCGTTCCACACCTCGGGGATGACGTCGTGGTTCCAGTCCTTGTTGGCGAGATCGTAGTCGCGCTTCATGTCGAAGCTGTAGACACCAGCACCGCCGTTCTCCTCTTCGATATCGCGCTCCAATCTCCGGCGGTTGGGGTCATTCTTATCGTATTTCGTGAGGTTCTTGACGGCCTCGGGAATGAAAGTCTCACGCACACCGCCCATAGGCTGAGCAACGTGGATACGGGACAAAACATCACCAAGACGACCACCAGGGGTGGCAGCGGTGGAGCCAGACTTGAGCTTCTGGGCAACACGCTCAGCGAGCAGCTTGTCACAAGCGGCGTTCTTGACGGCAGTCACACCCTCGGTGGTGGTGCAAGAAACCTGCAGCATCTCGACATCCTCAGCCTTGAGGATATCCTGAAGCTGCTCCTGGTACTCGGGCTCCAGATCCTCGGGACGGCGCACATCGATCTTGTTGACAACAATGAACACAATCTTATTGGCGAAAAGGGGCTTGATGCTGTGGAAGAGTTTGATCTGGTCACCAACGGAGTATCCACACTGCTCGGAAAGATCCATGAAGTAGAGGATAGCGGACCGAAGATGGGCAACAGCGGTGATAGACTGCATTTCAATGGTGTTCATCTCCTCCAGGGGGTGGTCCAGAATTCCGGGGGTATCAATGGCTTGGAAACGAAGGTACTTGTAATCGAAGTGACCCACGAACAAACTCTTAGTGGTGAAAGCGTAGGGCTGAACATCGACATCGGCGCGGGTGATGTTGCGCAGGAAGCTGGACTTTCCGACATTGGGGTATCCACAAATCAGGAGGGTACGAGTGTTGGGGTCAATCGAAGGCAGACGACCCAAGTGCTGGCGGACCTGCTCCAGGTAGACGAGGGGATCCTTCAGACGGCGAGTGATGGTGGCCATACGACCAAGGGCAGCACGCTTAAGCTGCTTGCACTGGAACAGAGACTGCGCATACTTGATAAGACGGACGTAATCGCGAGAAACGGTTTCAATCAGGTGCTTGGCGGTCGAGACCTGACCAAGGGCGATACGGAAGTGGTCGGCATCGTAAAGAGTGTTCATCAAATCCTTGTCTGGTAGATATTAGACCCCACTCGAACAGCCATGATCGCCACTGGAAAACTTACGGAAAGGATGGATATCAACCAAGCGGGGGAATCCATCGAGAATGTGCTGGAACTTCTCACAGAAAGTCTCCTGAGTGTACTTGACCTTTCTGGTGTAGAAACCTGGTGAAAATTTTCAAATCAGCGATTGTGCTTTATCGATAACCGCGATAACTATTTTTTTCTGCATTTTGCCGCCTCATGTCGAGTCAAAACCAAAGTGATTGGAGATCGTACCTCTGATACGACTGATCTTGAAACCAGCACGAATCTGAGTGGGCAGCTGACGCTGAGTCCGACTCAGGACAATATCCAGGAATTCCTGGTGTGTGGGCACAGGCGCAATCTATTAAGCGGTGAAAACAGGTCAGCGGTCGGTCTCGTTGAAATAAGGCGCAAGAGTTCAGTCGACAAATAACTCACATCTTTCCACGTAGTCTTCATGATGGGCACTGTCACGAGTCAAACAAATACTGACTCTTCAAGTAATCCCGTGAGTGAATGGGTGTTGATAGAGTGGGTTTTTCTCCGCGAAAAAATTGTTGCCGTCTTTTTTTCTGCCAGGCGGAAGACGAATGCGGGGACAGAGATTGGTCGAACTTTCATAGACGAGTCACGTGATCCGAAAATCGGCTGAAGAATTCTCAGAACGAATGTGAACTTGATTGTATATACTATATATTTTTTTTGTTTGAACAAAAACCATCATAACCGTGTTTGCGGGAATCATTCAACGCCATGCTCATATACATCGCATTGTCGTCACCTATGGTATACACAAGCCATTGTAACCAATCCAGGATGCCCAGCCGTTTCCGCCCAAATCCATAACAGTGAAGAATGGCATCACAATCCAGCCACCCAAAGAAACTCCATTGCTTTTATCAAACCCCTGTAGGAAATACCCCAAAGATGAGCCAAGACGTGAACCTGTGTAATAGGGGGCATGATAAACCCATAAACCACCAGTGGCCTGATGTAGTCCACGCCGAAGAAAAGATGCAAAAGAAAGACCTTCAAACTTCTTCAATCCTCCAAAGGCTCGGGGCCAAACTCGAGGATCTTAATTTGAGATTAGTAGATGTTTTTTTTGGTGATGATGGAAGATTACATACCAGATCAACCCAGCCGCCACCACCGAATTGACATTTGCTAGGGCCACGGGATTCGAAGCCAAAAGACTGGTAGAAAGGAACCAAGTGCTCATGTGCAATAATAGCGATGCGGTCGGCAATCTGGGCCTCTTGGATGCGTTGAATGTATGACTTCATGAGCGTGCTTCCGACCTGCTTGCCCTGGTGCTCTGGGTCCACTGCGAGGGAATGAATGGCAATTGTGCTGCCTCCTTCTTCATGACCAACAGCCTGACCGTCCTCGAATGACCAGCGCTCATTCTGCCAGTTGACCGGAAGTCGCATCGACCGGTCTGTCACAGAAGGCTCTGAGGTGCGAGTGGCAATGATGTGCCCAACAAGAATTGGACGAGGCTTGGTCTCTCCTTCTGCGAGAAGAGGAAGGGTGAAGAGGCCCAGACTCAGCTCCGGGCATCTGGTGAGACGGTAAATGAACTATCAAACATGTTCGGTCAGCAAAACAAGCTCCCTTCTTTTCATTTCATTTCGGCATCGGATCAAAGCAACCGGCGATGAACACATGATGGGTGATCGATTCCAATGAGGTGTGGTCCTGACGAAGGTCCACAAGGGCAGCCATACCTTATCATGAGAGCAACGCTCCTGCTCAGGGAAAGCTTCCTCCACCTTCACACAATCATCGACGTTTGATACAGAGAGCAATTGGACGAATGGATGCATCTCATCCAGCTTTGTGCGGTTGTGGGTGTGGGGGCGGCGGTACCAGTATGGGTAATCTTGACCATTGTCCTGATCAACTGATACATAATCCTCATCCACCTCTTCCTCATCATCATCATCATCATCCAAAGGGAAGCCATTGGCCAGGGCAATGCCAGCACGGCTCATGATACGGGACAAATCGCTGTTTTCGTCCGCATTGGAGAGCGGACGAAACCCGTTATCTTGGCCGGGCATGGACTCGGAGGGGTAATTGCTTTGATCGGACATGATTGGAGATTATAACCAGACTCAAAAGGGGATTTGGATCGGTTGGATTCGAAATCACCGAGACTAGAATGCCTAGGATCAATTGAAGTACAGGGGGGGGGCCCGGTTCGGTCGGTGGCGCGAATGGAGATCGAGGGATATGAATCTAGAACGGTGGAGATTAGCCTCATGCAAGTAATTAGAGATCAAATTTCCAGGTGAAGAAACAACCTGAGAAAGTCAATACAAATGATATTAACCACAGCTGTTCTTTTTAATTGAAGGTGTGTCTCCTCCGGAGCCAATATTGGCAATTCACAGATAGAATTTGTGTCGACAGTGTGCGCAAGGAGGGGCGCGATCGGGATGAGGTTGAAGAGGAAAAAGCACCATGCACTTACTTGAGCTTGTTCATATGAAATTGTAATTGTCTATTTAAACGTAGACAATTATCAAGATCACGATCAAGATAATTTTGTTCCTGGGACGTAAATGACACAAGAGTTGGGAGGGAGGAACTTTTGAGTGGCGGGGGAATTCCACCGATAAAGTACAGAATACCTATCAGTACCGCTCTTCCACTAGTTGCTCTATTAATCTGTAAAGTACCCTTCGGTACCGCGACCTTTTGCCCCAAAGCGGTCTAAGAAGTCAAATTCCTCCATGCTTCTAGAATTTTTTATCTGCCTGTACTTCAGAGCTGTAAGTGCAGACTATGTATAGAAACAGAGAAATCTAGGACAATTTAGAAGAAGTCTAGAAGCTAATGTACTTTGACCATATTCTACTACCCATATTGGGTCTCGGGCCTGCACTTGACAGGTCCTTTTAAACCCTGGATCCACTAAGATCCTTGTACGTAGTCGTAGGAGATGTCACAAGCTTTCTTTGCTTTATTTTTTTTTGAGACTAAGGCCATAGGAAATAATAATGAAATTTATTAAGCCCTAAATTAGATTACATATAATCGGGTCGTCGAACGCGGCCACCTGGCGGTGTCCGGGTTCCCGGGTCTAATTGCCACCCGGGTCTAATTGCCAATTTACCAATTCCATCATTGAATTCATTGAATTTAAATAGCATCGCCTTCTGTATCAACACAATAAAGATCATCTATTCAATCCTGGGCCCCTTCTGCACTATTATCATCCTCAATTTCTCCTGGATTTTCAATGTCGCCGTCCTCAATTGCTTTTAAAATAGCTGCATCCCGCCATGATTTCTTAGATCGGTTGAACATCTGCAGCCTTTCTCGGTCGGCGCGGTCAGATATTTGTTTTTTACAGTCCTTAACTAGGCGAGGGCCTAGTTCAGGAAGTCTGCGCTTTGTTTTAGCAGTATTAGACTGTTTTTTCCGTCGTAAAATGCGAACATTGTCCTCCGCAAATTGAGCACCAACTTCGGCAAGAGCGAGTCCACCTGCTAAAATCCGAGAAAGACTATCCCGCACCTTCGGGGAAATTGTAGCATCATTCTGTATATGCTTCACAACCTTATTGCTCGCTTTTCGTAGCTTTTGGACAGTTGTAGGTGGTGAATTTGGTAGTGAACTTGATAGTGGTGGGGGTGTAGTTCCGGCAATATCATGAACTATAAACCCGGGCATTTCAGGGAGATCATTGTCTACCAACTTCAATTTTTCAAGGCCTTTGTCTGAATTGACAGGCCAAATTCCAGTTTCTCGGAACCCGTGTCGAATTGTCCGCTCGGTTAATGATCGTGTGCGCACATCATGAATACCCGCGAAGAAATTGGCTTTATGTTTCGCATCACCACCCCAAAAGGCAGTCTCGTTGTTGTATTGTTTGTAGTAATGCTTTAAGACCGAGAAAGGTGTATCATCGAGAGGTTGGCAACCATGTGTTGTATGTGGAATAAAGCAGTAAGGAATAATGCGTTTTGTCCAACAAAATTCAATGAAATCATAGGTCAAATGTGAACTATGATTATCCATTAAAAGAAGACGATATTCCCCCTTTTTAATACGCAATGATGTAAATTCATCGAACACCTGGAGCCATGCAAAACTAATGATTTCATCAGTCCAGCCATTTGGGGTTGGACAAATTGTGTAGTTGTCTGGTAAATTGGTGTCGATAAACCAACTTTCCATATGGAATTGTCCCTTCACTAAAAACCATGGCGGCATAACCCAACCCGTAGCTGAGACACATTCAATACCGGTAAGCGATTCAGCTTGACCACCGGTACTATTATATGAATTGCCCCGGGCTGAAACAACCTTTTGAGCCTTCCCTTCGCCAATTCGAAACCCGGTTTCGTCGAAATTATATAGATTTCTCGGGCTAATATTGTAGTTTTTGAGCGTAATTTGTAGACGATCGTACCAGGAGACAATATAACCAGGATCTGCGGCCTGAAACCGTGCTTTCTCCATTGGTTTTTGGGTAAGATGCTCAAAGCGTGGTGGTAGGCGAGCGATAAAATCGTAAGCCCAATTCTTTCCAAGCGTGCGAGCGGGGTTATGACGCCGAACAATTTGTAAAGCAGTACCTTGAATTTGGGCTGTAGATGGTGGAGAAAAAGCCTGATCTAAGGTATCAATCCATAGAATTAATGCCTTTTCTTGCTCAGGATGTAGTGCTTTATTGGGTCCGTCACGGTTGTTTCGAGATGTGCGACCGTGGATACGTCCTTTCAAGGTGCCGCGCGAGATGTTGAATTGCTTAGCGGTAGCTGTGATGTTGGGTTTCTTACTAGCATGGTATGCTAATAAGGCATTGGCAATGCGAATCTCCAATTCTGAAGACATGATATAAAGAATTGGGGGTGTAGTGAATGATTAAAGAAGATGGAATTGGTAAATTGGCAATTAGACCCGGGTGGCAATTAGACCCGGGAACCCGGACACCGCCAGGTGGCCGCGTTCGACGACCCGATTATACATATATATACGAAATGATGCCTCTTTATAGTCCGGAAAGAGATGTAAAAAGAGATGTAAAGAGCATGCAAAAAGATATGCAAAACCAGACGTTAGAAGAGAGGTACAAAGCGATATAAAATTTGAAGGGGTTCTGAGGAAACTGTACATATATGCATGTGTAGAAAGTGACAGAAGACCTCCGGGCGGTAAAACCCTCAAAGAGTAAACATCTGCTCTGATTAGTTCAAAAGAGAAATGGCGGACGGTTATTGGACTCAAAATGTGAGCATTGGAAATATTGTTCTGGATATGGTAGAAAAAAACTAATACCTCGGCCTAATAGACGTTGTAAGGCTTTCTTATGCGGTGGACCTAAATGCCTCTTATCAATCTCGGTGATGATCGACAGGCGGTGAACACCCGATGCGTCATTATTTTCTTTTTTTTATTCTTGACTCATATCTTACGACTCTTCACTGCTGTGAGATTGTTCCTTAAGGTCGCATACACTCTTGGGACCAGTGGCAACCATGAGCCACCGAACATTGAGCTGGTCTCGAACGGCCAAGGCCTCGGTGAAGGTGATTGATGGCCAAGCTGTTTGGATACATATCGATCACTAACTGACAGTGTATAGCAGCATGTCGCTCGTCCCAGTGACCCCACTACGGTGCGCCCGGCACAGTCGCTCAATATTCGACACCAACAAATCGCCGAGTTCTCCGGCAGCAGCGAAAGCCAAGATCGCCTGGCCCACCGAGCAAAAGAGAAATTGCTTGATCGGGTAGGTGATGGACGATTATTGTTCTAGAGCTCCAACTAACGAGGGTTTGGTTTTGACTAGGAATTCTTTCTGAGCTTGCTGAGTTCCGCATCGACCAAGCGTGAAGCAAAGTCCTACCTAGCTCGGCTCAAAGCTAGCCCTGCCAAACCGAGCCAAGACTCCATACCCGAGCCTCCGAAAGAATCTGCATCGGAATCTCTGCCTTCTGGTGTGAACCTAGGCTCGTTCTATGGTGCCTCTAGGGCTGTTTACGACAGTCCTGTTTTCCGACAAGATACAACTCCTACCCCGCGAGCACAGGAATTACCCGAAAGGCTACACCTGGCCCTGATCAAAATTACCACACCACAGCTGCTCAATGATGATGTGATCAATGGAGTAGCCAAGACACTGTCACAGCTGGTCCGTCTGGGGATGGCATGCTGTGTGGTAGTCGATCCCGGAAAGATGGATGACGCTGCGGTGCGACAAACGGCCATTGAGCAGTCAAATCGGATTTCGGCGGCAATCGATGCGCAGCCCGACTCGAAATCTTTCCGTCTGGACTCGGCCTTGTCTATTTCTGAGCGGGGGTCGGGTCAACCCATAGTACTATCCCGGAAAGTACTCTTGAGCGCCCTTCGGGGTGGCCATGTGGTTCTTATCCCTCCCATCGCCTATCTCGAAGACAATCCCCGAGCTATACCAGTGTCAGCCAATGATGTTGCACTCGCACTTACAAAAGAGTTTGCTGGGTTATCAGTAAACCCAGATCCAGATGAGGATCCTACAATTACAGTCGAGCGCATTGATGCTCTCCAGAAGGAGGTCTCACTCGACCGTGTCATTGTTCTCGATGCACTTGGAGGAATACCGGCCTTCAAAGGTCCCCAGTCATCCCATGTGTTCATCAACATGGAACAGGAGTTTGACCAAATCAAGGAGGAGCTCTTCCAGGCACGGGGCTTGGCATCTGGAAACGACAATGACCTTATGAAACAAGTGAACGTCGAAGCTACACCCTCAATTTTAGAAAGTAACCCTTTCTCTAAGTTTGTCAACCAGGAGGTAGTTTCCCCTACCCCGCCTGGACAATCCAATGAGCTACCTGGCGTCAGGATGGAGAGGGCGCTAGATGGACATCTAGAGAATCTCCGATTCGCACAACAGGCCTTGGCTATGCTGCCATCAGCATCTTCGGGCATCATAACCTCCCCACAAGAGGTATCCAACTCATCCAGAGCACCCGAAGAGGTTGCATCTGATCTCTCAGCCGTCGGAACCCGTCGACAACGCAACCCCCTAATCCACAACCTTCTCACCGACAAGCCTCTTCTCTCGTCTTCACTGCCCCCAGGCCGGCGTGGTGCTTCCAACGGCGGCATACAAAATCCTATCAGCCATCTAACCTCCCACACGACATTCGTAAAACGTGGAATGCCCCTCACAATCCTCCCAAATCCTTACACAAAACCGTGGACGGCCCACAGACAACCACGACTAGGTCTAAATGACCCATCCATCGACCTCCCCCGCCTAGTCACTTTAATCGAAGACTCCTTCGACCGCAAACTAGACGTAAAAAACTACCTGGACCGAGTGAACAGCCGAATTGCCGGCGTGATCGTCGCAGGCGAGTACGAAGGCGGCGCAATCCTCACATGGGAGACACCGCCCGGTGTGCCCGACGACGGAAGTGAAGCCAGCAACGCCCGCATGGTCCCATACTTGGACAAGTTTGCCGTGCTAAAGCGAAGTCAAGGTGCGGGCGGTGTCGCAGATGTGGTTTTCAATGCGATGGTGCGTACATGTTTCCCCGAAGGGGTTTGCTGGCGCAGTCGTATGGATAACCCCGTCAACAAATGGTACTTCGAGCGTTCTTCGGGTACTTGGAAGTTGGCTGATAGCAACTGGACTATGTTTTGGACCACGCCCGGATTGGTTGGGAATTCTCAGCGTTTCCAAGATTATGAAGCTGTCTGTCGGGCGATTCAGCCTAGTTGGGCTGATAATAAAAGTGTCGTAGACTGAGGCGCCATGTATTTAGAAATCAGGTTCGCACATATCCATTGAAATCACGTTTGTTTATACTTTTCGCATTTCTTCAATAACACCAAACATTTTGGGGTCATTCAGATCAATCCTTGTGATATGTGCTTGTTCAAGCTGATTTAGCGACAGTACTCATAAATTCAAAAACAAAGGTTAGACGTTTCAGCTAAAAGATCTCGCTAAACCTCGCTGGTTGATTCCCCGGGATTCTCTAAACAAGCGAATATCGTTGATCCTCAAATAGTGGCGCATCTCTATCAAATGCACATGCAGCCGATGCAAGGGCGACATATGGCCAGTTTGCATCACGTCATAGGTCCATTGCTGCATATATTTTGTACACGTCACTAGTTCAAGCACATAAGAAAAGCAAAAACAAGTATCCGTGGGGTTGGTTAAATTTAGGAGCATACCGGCCCGAGATCGTGGAGCTCTCAAATTTACAACATGCGGATGAAAAGAGGATCAATTTGTGACAGAAACAGAAACTGGCAATGAAAGTGAGCACACTCTGTTAAAGGAGGATTTTATTGGCGATGGACAGTCTTCAGTTTGATGGCCGCACTGGATGGAAAACGTCTATATCAGTGGCCTTACAGGTCTGATATCTTCCAGGTAACCACTAACATGGATTTCTCTAGGTCAGGTGTGGAGATATGGATAGCTCCACCTTTGAAGCATCCTGGACAGGAATTTCATTCACACTTCAATCTACTGGTAAGGGAAGAGAAATCGTCGAGACTAGAATATCGCGAACAAACTTGCAGTTTTCCCACTTATTCCTCATCGTTATCAGGCTTGTTCGGTTGAAAACCATTGTGATGGGTGGCGGTAACATGGTTTATGATCGGTACTATTGTCGCCCGGGATCGCGAATGGCTTTGTGCGTATGCTCATTTGATATCTGTAGATTAATTGATCCGAAATCCTCGTGGATTTCATATCAAAATGTACGAGTTTACCGAGTGCCATCGGTGACGAATATCCTGATACACGACCAGGGCCCAATATGATGGCAAATTCTACAACATACCACCTGAGATATGCTTTGAATGCGTTAAAATGGGTTGCGATGGGATTGATTGGGTTATTGCTATGTTTACCGCCGGAATACCACTGGTGGCAATGGTGATAGGTGCTTTATGGGTCCCTCTTCAACTTTGCACGGCTATTTTTACTGTTCTCTTCGCGATATGCTCTGGAATCAGTATTACTGCAGGTAAAGCGGTCATACGGCATTTCAGTATGGTCTTTATCTCACGAAATGATCTTTAGGTTATCACCGCTTATGGGCACATCGAGCATATTCTGCGCATCCGTTATTGCAGGTTGCCTTGGCCATGACGGGTGCAAGTGCAGGGCAAGCCTCGATTAGAACGTGGTGCAGAGATCATCGAGCCCATCACCGTTATGTCGATAAAGATAAAAATCCATACTCTATCAACAAAGGGCTTCTATATGCACACTATGGTTGGGTTATCATGAAGCAGGAGCTGAGACAAACGGGCCGTGTGGATCTTCAAGACCTCTCAAGTGACCCCATCGTTACGTGGCAACCCAAAAATTATCTGTTTCTGCTCTTTGTGACTGCCTATGTGTTCCCTGTCATGGTGTGTGGCCTTCTGTTCAACGACTTTGCTGGCGGATTCGTATATGCTAGCTGCATACGGTTGTTCTTGATTCAACAAGGAATCTTTTGCGTCAACTCACTCGCATACTGGATCGGGGACCAGCCATATGCAGGTCAAAACTCGCCGCGTGATTCTTGGATAGTTGCGTTAATAAGATTTGAGGAAGGATAACACAATTTTCACCATGAGTTCCCGATGGATTACCGCAACGGATATCTGTGGAGCCAATGTGTCCCTACCAAGTGGTTCATTTGGCTCTGCTCCCATATTGGTCTTGCTTGGGATTTGAAAAGAATCCCAAAGAACGAGATTCAAAAAGGACAATTCCAGCAAGTGGAGCGCAAAATGGACTTTCAACAACAGGGCATATCATGGGGTACCCCATCAGATGAACTGCCAGTCCTAGATTTCTTGCGATTTGTGGAGATGGTTCAAGAAGGCCATTCTTTGATTCTCATGGATGGAATTGCTCATGATGTCTCGCTATTTATGGACCAGCATCCGGGTGGAGCGAACTACTTGCGGAACTATATTGGCAAAAATGGTACGAAGGCATTCCATGGTGGATGGAACCCATGCTCATTCGAACGCGGCCACTAATTTACTTTCTACGATGCGAGTTGCGCGGGTGACAGATGATAGCCATAAGAGTTAGATGTTAGCTGGGGAAAAAGATTCTAAAAAAATAATGGCTCCAAAACATGTCCGTGGCAATAATAATATCAGCAGTAGGCATAATATGTAATATCAACAAGATGCCACATACCCCGCCTTGGTTAATCTCTTTTAGGTGTTCGTAAGGCTGATCAGCGGAATTGCGGCAACATCCGAGCGTCGGAAGGGATGATAGGGGAGATTGTGCACTTCACAGCCAATGAAAGACGACTCCTTTGGCTTGTTTTCCTACCCAGCGACTCATTAGTCTATTTTAACAGTCATTTAGACCATTTGAGTCATCTAAGAACGATTTGCTTTCCACTGAGATAAGAAATATATACCTCGATCTTCTATTTCTGTTACCGCCCAGCAGCCACTGCCGTATTATCGTAACATTTCAAAGTCCACTACATTTGTTTCCCACCGTCTCTTCTCTTTCTTACGACCCTGATCTGATCCTTCCTTGCTCATGGAAGACCGTGTCCAAGACCTCGAGCAAAATGAGGTAATAACCACACAAGAAAATGAAGAAAATGACAACCTCAAGACGAACCACATAGGGGAAGACAATGCCAAAACCCAGGCAGTCATCTCGGAGCTTGACAATAAAAAGCGAGGGCTCAAACAGCGACATATTCAAATGATAGCCCTGGCTGGAACTATCGGTACAGGGCTTTTTCTTGCAACGGGAAAATCCCTAGCAAGGGGTGGACCACTAAGCATGTTGCTGGCATATGGCATTGTGGGAATGTTAATCTGCTGCGTGGTTTTCTCAGTAGCCGAGCTGAGTGCCCTGGCTCCTCTTTCCGGTGGCATTATACGACATGCAGAATGGTTCGTTGACCCTGCACTGTCCTTCGCGCAAGGCTGGAATAGTGTCTATGCGAATGCCATCTTGCTACCAGCGGAGATGGTGGCCTGTGCTGTCATCATAGACTTCTGGTCCGACATCAACCATGCCGTGTGGATTAGCGTCCTTGGTGCACTTTTGATCATTAGCAATATGTTATTGGTTGCTATCTATGGAGAGTTGGAGTTTATCTTTGCAATGATGAAGATCGCTCTGATCGTTGGTGTCAATATCCTAGTGAGCAAATCCTACGGCATAAAAGCAATCGTTTGATGGGATTTGACTGATTTTCACAGAGTATTTGTATTACGTCGGGTGCAGGTCCACAGGGGTATCCTATGGGCTTTCGTTTTTGGCGAGACCCTGGACCATTTGTACAATTTCTTGGTATTCCAGGCTCATGGGGGCAATTCCTTGGTTTCTGGCGTGTCTTGAGCAGTGCGGCTTATGCATTTTCCAATGTCGAGAACATCTCAGTTGCAGCGGCTGAGACGCAGAACCCACGCCACAACATTCCCAAAGCTGCCAAGCGAGTATTTTGGAGAATCTTGATATTCTATATGATTACAATCTTCATGATGGGTCTTATCGTTGCATCAAATGACGAGGGACTGATGTCGGATTCTGGTGATGCCGGGGCCTCCCCATTTGCAATTGCTGCCACCAACGTCGGGATCAAAGTGGTACCTTCAATTATCAATGCTGTTGTTGTGACGAGTGCATGGAGTGCCGGGAATTCAGGTGAGAAACTCCGATGTTGGCCACAATCTCACATTGCTAATAGATTATAGCAATGCTTGTTGGAACTAGGACGCTATATGGTCTCGCTCAAGAGGGCCATGCACCGCAGCTCCTCACCCGTCTCAACCGATTCGGGGTTCCTTGGTTATCGGTTGCCGCCGTCGGATCTTTCCTTGCCCTAGGCTACATGACACTTTCATCGGCTGCGTCTGTCGTTTTTGATTGGCTTCAAGAGCTAGTCTCCGCTGCTTCCCTAGTACACTGGATCAATATCGAAATCATTTACCTGCGGTTCTATTACGGCTGCAGGAAACAAAATATCAGCCGCACTGAACTTCCGTGGAAGAGCCCCTTCCAACCTTACGCAGCTTGGTTTGCTTTGATCGGGTTTAGCGTTATTCTGATTACCGGCGGATTCTACATTTTTATAGACGGCAACTGGAGTCCTCAAACCTTTGTTTCGTCATACTTCAACATTCCGCTCATATTCATCTTATATTTTGGAAATAAGTTCTGGCAGAAGACCCGGCTTGTCCCTCTAGATGAAATCCCAATTCGTGGATTCCTCCATCTTGCGAATGAAAATCCAGAAAACATCCCGCCCCCAACAATTGGATGGAGAAAGTTGAATATCCTTTGGGGTTGAGAATGAAGGGCATAGAATATATACAGGGAACTCTAACACTTTCCAATATATGTTGATTACTTATCAATCGGTCGCATCGCATCTGTGGTAATAAATGAGCTTTTGTCGAACTTCTAGCTACTCATTTTACTATTTCCACTTCATGACTTTATTGCGGTGCGTAGGAGATCACAGATTTAGGTATCAAAGCTGGGGATGGGAGGAAAAGTACGGAGTAAAGTGATGGTATTCTAACTATACATTTTCTTATATCTAATTTGAATTTGATTGGCCATATGCATAGCACCACCATCTGGACCCACTACCAAAAACATGGATCAGAGTCTCAGCACACGGTCATTTCATCATCTTGACTGCAACCAAAGAGCTCAAGTTCACATTCGCGAAAATGCCGAGTTTACCAAAACTGGTATGCATACCTGGATCTTGGCATAAACCGACATGCTATGACAAGGTCACCAAACTGCTTGAAGAGCAACATGGATTCAAATCTGTCAGAGTAACCCTCCCGTCGACATCAGGGAACCCAGCCGCAACCTTCAAAGATGATCTTGATGCTGCCCGCGAAATTATATCCAAAGAGATAAATAATGGGCATGATGTGGTAGTTGTTGCCCACTCCTATGGCGGAGTGGTCGGCAACAGCGCTATCAAGGGATTCACGCTGAAAGACGTCAAAAGCCAAACTCAACTCTCAACAACGGGACACGTCATTGGAATTATTCTTATAGCCTCTGGCTTTACTTTGACGGGACTGTCATTCATGGATCCATTATTTGGCCATCCGCCTCCTGCCTGGCGTGTCAATAACGAAACCGGGTATGCCGAGCTCGTTACTCCACCAAGAGAACTGTTTTATCACGATGTTCTTGCCGAAGAGGCCGAATATTGGGTCTCCCAGCTCACCACACAGAGTCTCAAGGCTTTGTTCGAGGGTGGCGAATATACGTATGCTGGTTGGCAAGACGTGCCTGTCTGGTATGTTGGTACGGTTGAGGATCGCGGGTTGCCGGTGTTGGTGCAGCGGATACAAGTAGGTATGGCAAGGGAGTTAGGTGGTATCGTTGAGCATAGGGAACTGCAGACGAGTCATTCTCCATTTCTGAGTCAACCACAGGCGACAGTGAACATCATGGCAGAGGCTGTGAAGGCATTTTCAGGACAGCCAGACGGGAGAAAATCGACAAATGAACGTCGTGCACTGATAGAAACGCCAAAAGCTGTACTTTGGCAACCTCTCACATGGTTCAAATTTGGATTGCCGTTGTTATTTGGACGCGTGTTGGGGAGGAGTTTCCTGCTGTTTCGTGGGGGGAAGAGGCTATGGAGGTCTCGGTTCGGTTTGCGTAGTGTTTGAGATCGTGTTAAGTGAGTCATTGTGGATATAAATGGGAATCATGTTGGTGGCCTGAGCCTGCGTTGCGTGTCTTTGCCTGTCTAAGCAGGATGTCGATGATGGGTCGTGAATGAGCATCTTGTTCAAAGATGTCTCAGGGTTTGTTTCGCTTTATACTTTTTCGATATGTCTATTTTATCCTCATTGTTATTAATATATCTCGTTAAAGGTGTCGTCGTGCCATCCTCTTTGCCCGTTCTACATATCTTGTTTACCCGTTCTATCATATGCAGTTGAGCTCTTGGTGATCACATCAAATCCCTTGGGTGTCGACAGAACCGTAGTCGTAAAGATGATAATTTGCACAAGATTGACTAGCGTCCACATGATAACTGAAATAACCATGTGGGAAACCATGGAAACTGAAGAACCTAAGGATAGGTCGGTCACGGTCAAGTGTTGTAGAGCATAAGAAAAGACATGGAGAAATGATGCATCACTCAGCATCATGACGCTTCTATTACAGGCAGGCACCGCAGGCTTGCTTCTGAATAGTTCCAACATACGACTTTTACAAAAGTCAGCGTACGTTCCACACCCGACAGGGATGCCATGGTCAACCCACTATACCAACCTGCCTAGTCCAGCTAAGTTCCGAGCGTCAACACAAGAGTTGCAATCGGCCTCTCGAAAAATGAAAATCCCAGTGGACCAGGGTCGTCGCTGCTTAACCAAATCCACCAATGTACGAGGGCTCTGCTCGCGAGATATGGCATGGAGCCATTCGGATTTGTAGTCAAGGGCTGCGGCCTGGGATAGAGTCCGTCGGTGTCATACTTTGAGCCAATTGAGTTGTGTTTACTCACATGAATTCCAAACCAATGATTCTCACACACATTGTCAGTATCCCAGCCGATCGCAATCTCAACCGCTCCGTTGATCAAGATCCATGATCGATGAGTCCAGCCTACAAATAGACGCTGGAAAAGCAGTAGAGTCAACTAAAACCGGTCATAATCTTCGGCCGCCCGTGCTACCTCTGCGGCAGACAAGAATATGTTTTCCAAGTGATTTACGGAAATATGGCGAATGCCTAAAGAAATTTAGCCAAATTTCTCTGCCGTTGGTGGAATCATACAATGCTAAGATCTGCCGTGGCTCTTTGGATGAATTCCAAGGTCGTCTACAGGGCTTGGTTATCCATTTCCGAGCTCGGGACTCTTCATCCAAGTGTAGCTACTAGTCCCCCTTGGAGAATTTGTATTTCAGTCAAAAGTGCTCCTGCGTACGAGCTTTCTATTCAGCTTTCTTTAGGGCCACGTCTCTTGGGACCTGGCCATCTGCAATATACGATGGGAGTTGTTCGAAGCCGTCATAATTTTCGCTGTCGACGAGAACAAAGAATTTCACAGAGCGGTGCTTTCGCTGCACTAGATTATCCCAACATCTGGTAGAGTTGATTGCGATGTGTACGTTCGTACCCTTGGTCAGACAGACGTAAAGTGTTTCCAGGTGCCACGTTATTGGCTCATGAGTCAACTTGTTTGGTCGCATAGGTTGGCACAAACCAACAAGGTTTTTAAATATGGGCATTTGCAGGAGCAGTCCAGAGAGGACAATATGAATGATTGAGGACTTGTCCGACCATCTTCTACATAACAACCGGTCACACTGGTCAGATGTTTAAAACCATAAGGAGTCAGTTTCCATCTCACTAGTAGACATTAAACAGACTTGGAGCAGCGTGGTCATTTTATTGTATAGTGTCGGGCTGAACTTGAGAGGAAATACAATGTAATTTTATTCCAGGATTCCGTAGATCCGATTTGTGTGCCTCTTGGGATGCCATGGATGTTCACCGTCGTTTTGACTACGAAATTGATAACGAGCCCTAAATTTTCAAACTTGGCCGATGAAAACTGACAAGAACGACTCGATGTTTGTAGACTAAAAGATTGAGAGATCAAAAGGTTAAAAGAACATTGTCCGGGTCGATCCCTTGGATGGAGTTTTATGTACGGCGGACATAAGAGTAGCCTACTAAGATAGCGAACAATGATCGCCTGTCTTGACTCATTTCTTGGTTATGATAGATCTACTTTCGAACTGTTTATCGATTTTTTTGGTATTTAAAACAATATTTCAAACTTCTATGGTTTTTGTCTAATTTTCTTCCGTTACTTCTTTTTGTAACACATCAGTATCTCTTTTTACCTCTTTTTGTGTCCCTTTATATACATCTTTTTATATCTACATATACGCCTACTTCTATCTGTGAATTTACTTTTACTAGAATTTAAAGTCAAGGAAGAGTGAGTGAGACTGCGCAGGGGAGGTCAACCAACTTGGTTCTGTTGAATTCACAAATCACAGCCAAAGATTATCTTATGTGGGACAGTCAATCGACTGACCAAAGAGCCAATCAGTGCAAGTGCGGGTGCTCCGCGGAATCACATCTGTGTCCCGTCGCACATGGATCTCACGCATTAACTCTGCTGCTGTCCTTGTGACATTCTCTGTACTGCGGTGTTATTTTAGGCAATATAATTTGGGGAAATGGTGGCTGAGTAACTTAGTAGATTTTCCACGGTTAGTGAAGTTGATATATCGGCAGAGAACAATGGGGTGGATAGAAAAAGCACAAAGACAAATTAAACAGACTCATTCTGAGGAGTATATATGTTGTTGATATTATAAATAGTACAAATGAGGCATCTTGGGAAAGCCACAGGTAGCCAACAACCAGGTTATGGTTGAGCCTGAGCCTGAGCCACAAAAGGCATCCGCAAAAGGCTTTCCTTTTCTCTAGTTTTGCAAAGATCTTCGAGAAACAGAACCAATGATACTAAAGTACTGATTATGGCAGCATCTGATGAACTTGTGTAGTATAATTTGATTGCGAAAGTTTGTGAAGCCGGATTGCCGGAAATAGAATGCTAAGTAACAAGGTATGGAGGAAAGACCAAATAAATGTGCCCCTCTAGTTCCGAGTCCCACGCGGGATATGCTAGAGACGAATACGCTTTCATTGATTAGCGTGGCTCTACACGTGAGATTTTGCATGTTGGGAAACGTTGGTTTCCATTGCAGCCAACAACAAGCCTAAAGCGAAGATCCGAAATGTGGGGTAATTGAGAAGTATGACAAAGGCGTTTGGGTTCAAGGATCTAAGAATCGAAGTCCGTGGCAATTTTCACATCGTTGACATCAGGTTGTCTTCTTGGTTGATCCCGGAGATCTTCGGTAGTAAGGTAAGTAATGGCTTGTTATATAAAGCCACCTGAATGCAGACGTTTTTCATCTTTATTCATCATTCTATCCGAGCGATACAAGAAACAAAAGCATCACACGCCCGTGCTTGACTCGTTATCGAAACAATAATGAAGAATTTCTTGGGAATCTTTAGCATTCTGGCTATCGCCAGCCCCTCGTTCTGCCAAAGAGTTTGCACCGCAGACGATGTCAGGGTCTCACTTCTCACGGTCGAATATCTTGCAGGTCAAATGCAGTCATTAGTAGATATTGATCACAGTGACATCGACCCCTCTGGTGTGAGTTTTAGCCTGACTCCAAAACTGTTACGATTGAGCAAGCTGACTATGCCCATCATCTAGCGTATCTATAGAAACTTCATGGTCCAAACCAATCATTTGATCCAGGATTTGCAGTGCAACATTATCGCAAGCCCAGATGAGCAACTCGCCATTTGCTCCGCTTATGAAGGCGTGAGTAGAGCCCAAATTTCCACTGTATATTGAAAGCAGTTCATTTAACAATTGAATCTTGCGACATATTTAGTTCGCTGCCAAAGAGCTAGCTTACCTCCATGTGTCTGAGGAACCCGAGTTCTATCAGAGGAACAACAATGGACCCAATGGTGTCAAGGTGCACGGGTACATTTTGCAAGCAGAAACTGCTTTGGAGGTAATGAATAATTCAGTTCGTTGCAGTCATTTCTTCTAACTCAAGATATAGAACTACACATCCCAAATCAGAAATGCGGTTCCTTCGTGCACTGATCGCATCGACGCAGCTTATCAGCCTCTGGGTGTGCAGCTTGCTCATCTGCTGCAGTCTTACCCTGGAACAGCTTAGTCGAAAGGAATGAGCATTACATCTAGGCCACGCGGAAACAGGAACGAAATTTGTTATTAGAGCTCTTGTTCCAGAATCCACCAGTCTGCCAATATTTATTCTTTCAGTTTTGATCAATATGTTTCTGGCAAGTCCAAATCTGTAGGCCTTGATGTAACCAGTGTTTCCAAGTTGGCGATATGCCACCATTGTTCTGCAGACATGGATCTAATCTCACTGATCAGATATGTTTCACCAAATGAACAAGATTAACACTCCAGAACTATTTCACATTAGTATCTTTGGTAAATACCCCATCGTTGCTGGATGGTACTAGCAGCCTCGGACCCTTCAATTCCCAGTTGGTTGTCTAAGGCCTCGATTCAGCTAGTCGCTTTTGTCTTTGCTAGTGATCGGCAGTGGCTAGTCAAGATCGCTGCTTTTTTCTCCTTTTTTGTCTTTCACGTCTTCAGCAGGGTTTACTCTAGAGCGCTTTGTTTAAGCCAACCTTGGAAGTGAATTCTAGTACGATTGCACCTCCAATTGGGCCATAAATAAATGAAACAACCCTTGTCCATCTCACCTCAAGCAGGTTTCATTTCATCTGTATCTGGCGCAAAGCCCCACATTATCGAATCGCACAAACTATTAATCTCGCCCGTCATCCAGGGGTTCATCACAGTCAAGGTGTGGCGTTTCTGCTAAGCGGCAGGGAGATGGAGAATCCGAAGCTATTCCCATTGAGCTCAACATCGGCAGATCATAAGTGGACTGCTCTTCATAGAATGATATGTTTGGCCAGATGGACAGGACCGACGCGCTAGGATCGTGTTTTGCCTCCACATTAAAGAAAAAAACATCCAATAAGGAACACGATTGGCTAGTCCTGTGTATTACATAATATCTATTTGTCACGTGTATATCATGAATGGCTCTATGAAAATTTGCATCGTCCACCAAAAAAGCGGGTATTTGGCTTGTGAAGACGTAAAATCTCTGATCGCAAAGCCTCCACTTCTATTACTAACCCCTGAACTCGAATGGCTGTTCCAGAATATTTCTAGGCCAAACAATCTATCCTGTGGAGATAAATTTCTACCCAAGAGTGCTGAATATTGACGAGCTAAGCAATAATAATGTTCACCAGAAAGTTTCTATAGAATCATGGATCCAAGGGGCGGCGACGTCCCACTTTGTCCCACATAATTAAATCAAAAGCTCACTAGAAGCTAGCAAAGAAGCGTATACATCCCGTGCAGGCCTTCTGTGGCTAGATCCACTCAGATTAAATAAAACCTGAGACAGCTCAAATCTTCCAACTCATTTTCTTCCTCTTCCGAGGTCATTCATCATGCTCAATCGAGTCCACTCTAATACAGATGCCACAGGTGGCGGGAATCCCGAACGACGCATCCCGCCGTCTGATGTGGAATGCAATGATTTGAATTCTCAAGAAGAGACTAAAAAGGCAGCAAACGATGATCCGTTTGGATCTGAAGACGTTGCTGAGGTAAAATATCGCACGATGAAGTGGTGGTATGTTTCTGTTCCTATGTATGGCGCTGAGACATAATATGAGACTAACAAGTACACACAACAGGCACTGTGGAATGCGTGAGAAGACCACTACTCTGTAACTATAAATATCACTGCTGACATATGTTATCTAGTTATGATTGCGGAGAATGTCTCCTTGGGAATTCTTTCTATCCCGTCTACTGTCGCAGTTCTAGGAATGGCTCCGTATGTATTGCGAAATATTCACCGGCTTCAGTTATACATGGCTTACTCGGATTAATAGTGCCGCCATTCTGCTTGTCTTTTTATCAGCACTATCGTGGTATACCGGCTTCATCATCGGACAGTTCAAGCTTCGATACCCACATGTCCACAGTATGGGTGATGCCGGAGAAATCCTATTCGGTCGCTGTGGGCGTGCAGTGCTGGAGATTGCACAACTGCTTCTGTTGATCTTTGTGATGTCAAGCCACATCCTCACAGGCACAATTCTACTGAGCACTATCACCAACAACGGGGCCTGTGGCATTGTCTTTGGTGTTGTCTCATTGATCATCTGTTTCATTGGTGCGCTTCCACGTACAATGGCCAGAGTATATTGGTTGTCACTTATCTGTGAGTATATCCTTTTACAAACAGGTTGCTCTTTGACCGCTGCCGAAATTTTGGCTAATCAAGTCTCTTATCGTTTATTGTTTCAGCATTTGCAAGTATCTTTATCACCACCATAGTGACGATGATCAGCATAGGAGTCCAGTCCGAGGATCCTGTTGAATTCCATGTTGTTCGACAGGTCAGCTTTTACGAAGGCTTCCTAGCATTTACCAACATCATGTTTGGATTCAGTATGTTTGGGCTTTCCTTCTTTCAGAACAGAAGCTAACCTCCAATCTCCAGTTGCACATGTGACCTTCTTCGGCCTGATATCTGAAACCCAAGATCCAGAATTCTTTCCAAGGTCATTGGCTATGCTTCAAATCACAGATACCGTAATGTATCTTGTAGCAGGTTTGGTTATCTACCGTTTCGCTGGTCAAGGTGTTGAATCGCCTGCTCCATCTTCCGCAGGCCCGCTTATGAAAAAGATTTGCTACGGTATCGCAATTCCAACGGTTCGTTTATTTCCACTACCCTAAACCCCAGGCCGGCGTAGCTGATGAAAAATAGGTTTTTATTGCTGGTATAGTTGTTGGCCACGTTGCTTGCAAATATGTTTATGTCCGGGTCCTACGCGGTTCGAGTCACATGCACAGAAATAGCTTCGTGGGCATAGGATCGTGGGTTGGAATCGCAGGACTCCTTTGGATCATTGCGTGGATTATTGCCGAGTCAATTCCTGGATTCAACAATCTTCTCAGTTTTATCGTATGTCTTTCCCATCAAAGAGATGATTCGCATCGCTAACGTTCTTCAAGAGCGCGCTATTCGGTAGTATTTTGAGTTGTGCGTGTTTATTTCTTCCTTGTCTTTCGTTTGGTTGGAAAATTCTAATGAAGTAACAACGCAGATGCCCTTCCCTCTATGTTTTGGTTCTATATGAACAAAGGCCTATATTTCTCAACGCCGTCGAAGACTTTTTTGACTATTCTCAACCTTATAATCTTTGGAATAGGCTGTTTCATGGTTTGTTTCTACCTCTGCCTTTCTAGATTTACTCAAATGCTTACTTTCCTCAGTGTGGAGCTGGACTTTACGTCTCAGGCAGAGCGCTTAGTGAGACTGCTTCACACAGCAGCTGGTCATGTTCCGTAAGCTCTTGACATTCATGACTACTACTGTATCGTTTCATTTATATCGATGATTCCGACAATATATATCACACGCACCATGCTAGTCAAATCCTCGGAATCCTGTAATAATTAATGACATTCATTGCCGTCAATCGCTATTTGTTTGTGAACACATCTTTATGCCCAAGTGGGCACACTCTCTAATCAGAAATTTGCTTCGAAAGCTCATGTAGATCAAATGGTCAGATCTTGGGCCTTTTGAAACTCACGTTTTGCTTTTGTTTCTGGTCGGCTTACTCCTACAGTGAGCTCCATAATTTCATTGGGCGTAATAATGTGGTCGATACACATTAGCAAACATGGAGTTTGTGACTTAACGAGGAGGCTAAGGCGCATGAACAGGTGCTCAATGTCATTTCAAATGTGTATTGAACAGCGTTTTACTACTTTTATAAGGTGTTTTCCAGGTTCATTGTTGTTTGGATGGGTTGATTATCGCATATAAATGAATGCTGATTGTAATGGAGCTAATCAAAGACAGTGGTTCCTTTCTTTGAGCCACCTTTCCGCCCCATGGTTTTTTTCTCCAATATCCAAAGCTACCAGGATTCGGCTGACGCAATTATAGCCCGCAATTGTTGTCGTGATCTCGAGAACCTGCTGCGGGTTGAAAAAGGTCTTCAGGTCTGCGAACACCTCATCAGGGACTTTGATAGTCTTTGTCATGGCGTCCGTATACCTCAGCACAATCCTTTCCTCGGGACTCAGAGCTGAGGAGAAACAATTGTCTGCGAAATCTGCCTCGGGATCTTTAATAATCTCCAAAATATCATCATTCATTCCGCTCTTCTGCAGCAAGGGAGCATGTTGTTCCCATTCGAACAATGCACCATTCACTACCGCAACACGGCAGATAGCTAGCTCCCGATGTATAGCCGAGAGGGTCGTTTGGGCCCTGATCGCACCGAAGAATGAATTCCATCCTTCTGCTATAGGGAAAGAATGCAGGAGGGCCAAGTCGAGAGGAAGAAGGGGATTTGGCTCTCGTCGAGCTTGGATATCCGCCAGAATCCGGGCTTCATCGGGTGAGCTAGTTGGTGGAGGGTCTTGAACATATGGAAGGCGCATTTTGCCCTCTCAATACTCTAGAGGCTAGGGTGTATTGACAGAATATTTGGAGCAGAATCTTGGAATTTTCTTTCTGATGTTAGATAAGACGAATGACCTAGTCAATGCTGTAATTGATCAAATACCTCTGGGGAATATTCTCGGCGCCAAAACGCAAGCTCCAGATCGATTCAAAATTGATTGTTCTTTCAGAGGCTTCAGGGAGTCAGATGAGCAGGTGAAGAAAGAAAGGACAGCTGTGTGCACGTCACAGGGCTTGATAAATAAAGCCCAATCAGAGCTGCGCACATACCATGCACATCAATTAAATAAATTTTTTCCATCCCTGTTACTTAATGGCTGTCCATAGAGGCGGTCTAACCATGTGAGACCCAACGTCACGCATATGCCACTATTCATTGAACGATCTCGATCGTTTGTTGGACCAAAGACGGAAGATTTTCATGATCCGAATCTGCGCACTCACCGAGATTAGATATAGGCTTATGAATATTGTATTATGACCAGTCAGCTCGTCAGGCTAGACAGATCGATCGGGCGCAGATCGGGCCGGGGGTCAGATAGAGTATAGATCGTCAGTGAGGTACATTATCAGCATTGTTTCTACCACACACTTTGGAGGATCATTTCGATATGAGAGCTCGCTTTGAGCGAGAACGGTGGGGCTTTGTGGAAATCAGACATTCTGCAATAATTCTGTATAATGTTGTACACAAAAGCCGTTGAAGCAGTATCATGTTACGGGCCCTGCCACACCCAATTGCTCGAGGGGTTATTCGAAAACGGTGGGCCACCGTAAGCGAACTAGTCTCGAATTTTCATAAGCTAGTTTCTAGCCCCAAGCTAGAGAAGATGGTTCGTGTGTTGACAGTGACCAAAGATTGATGAACTTATTTGGTCTGAATCACCTCGTGTGGTCTCTTCTTATTGACTAGCAATATGCCTTGAAGACCGAGTCAGAAAGCGATATTCAGTTTTATGTGAAGCTGGGATAGTTACTTCTTTCTCGTCATGTCACCATGTGATTCCATACGCAACACATCATGATGTTAGTAGTTGATTGATCATACCTATACCGTAACGTAGAAAAGAAGAGATGTGCATGTTTTACGAGGGTCAATCTAACCGTGCGCTGAAGCTCACCGCTAGTTCATTCCACCATTCATCACCCTCGCCATTCATCACACTCACCATTCATCACCCTCACTATTCATCACCCTCGCAATTATTAAATCCTCAAGGTTTCTCTCCATCAAAATCCAACCGAACTATTATCAGTTAAGTTTCCATCTAAGGTCTGCCTCCAAGGCCGGAGATATTCAGCTCATATAGCGAACTGTATTTCTGGGATGCTTCGTTTTTAGTAGATTTACGATGTACATCTAAAACAATTTTTTACCTTCATCTTTCTGCCCAATCAACATCTTCTATTACTCTTTCGGCCAATCAGAGCAAATGTTCAATCTTTGAAGTTTTGTAGTGCGCTCAGGCACTCTGCCTCTGCCACTCTCTACCCGATCAAAAGTAGAATTCCTTATACATACAACCCATGTCGTCGACCGCAGGTACTTCTACACACGGTTGTCTCTTTCCACATTTTTTTTTGTATCTCTGTTAGGGTATAAATGTACCATTTTGAGCAGGAATAGTATAAGGAGGGAATTTTTAATAAATTGTTTATTCAGGAAATTAGTTTGATTATTGTTCTCTATAGATCAATGCAAATTTATCAAGCTCCGTGGCTATGAAAAGGTGAAGGAGGGTAATTCCCACAGGTACAAGTCCCACACCGCATCATGACCAAAAGTTCAATTGACCAGTAGCCGTCTTCTCATGACTGAACCATCTACTTTTGTCTTTTAGGTATCTTCAACGCTGAAGACTGGAGAGCGCCCAACTAAGAAGCGAGGGGTGATTGGTTGGAGAGAAAGAAAGAAGAAGAAAGAAGCCAAAGCTAAGAGAGAGCAAGGAGACAGTTCAGAATCATAGTAAGGTAGCCCTAGCGTAGTTATTCATTTTGATATATCCATTTAGTCAAAGGACTAGTCCATCTATTCTGTAGATAGGCCAATCATCTTACAATACTGATTTAGGTCAACCTCTGATTACATAGTATATGGCTCCTGATAACTAGCAGGATCAACTTACCTCAAAATGTGCTGGGATAGCTCTGATCTCATCCTTGAAAATGATTTGCGTGAAGTCGCACTTGTTGTCGTTTCCTGGATGGCCTATCCACCTTGTAAGCATCCTGCTGTTGAAAATAGGGCGCATGGCGTGGATTCCACCAACACCCGTCATAATCGTGAGCCCTTGCAGTTCTTAATGGCGGAGTTTGATTATTGTTTTATTTTTCGGTACTTGATACCCAGTCGTGACGTTCGGGGGTTTTAAAATCTGCACTTATGGGATCAAAGCCCGTGATGTAAGTTTTTGTCTCTGTTTTTGTTGCTTCTTCTAAATTAACACAGTCAAGCCCATAATATTGTGCAGTGAGGCAGTTTGTATCACGGCAACGTGCTTTTACCGGCAATGTTTTTAGTGAATCTCATCTGTCCCCTGTATGCGAAGTCTATCACAACGAATCTTAGCGGCAGCTACCTTCCAGGGTACATCACCAAGCAACAATTTATTTTGAAATCCAGCTTGGTCATCCAAAGCTCGAGCCGCTGAGCACCTCTCCGTTAGCCAACGATTATTCATCCAATGCCAACGCAAGGATCAAAGAAGGAGATCTTGTTGATCAATCCTTTCCGTACAGCTATAAATCGATCGCCAGTTCTTGGATTGGCGGCTTTTGGATGCAACCAATAGACATGCCAAAGATACACGGTCTCCATTTATTCGAAAACACTCCTTCCAGATTGATTGGTGCCAAAAGATTGGTGCCATTGCTAGAATTGCAGATCGAAGAGCCAGAAAGTCGACAATAGGAAGGTAGGGCGCGATTTCAAATTGGATTTCCATCGGAAACAAGCTAAAGCGATTGATCCTGGACTTTTTGCCATAGCCTCTTCCCAAAAACTGGATTTTCGAGAGCTGTTTCCTTGCGCCTCCAATTCCAATTGTCTGGATGGTAGCTCGTTCGAGTGGATACCATGGCTGCTTATGGATATCAGGACTAGGACAAGTTATATTTATTAGATTAGTGTTCATCTATATGATGTTCCTAACAATAAGAAGCTCACTGTGGTATCTTTCTCTTCTTGAGGAGGGTCTATTCCTACAGACTTCGAAAGGTCTGTCTAGATTGACCTCTTCATTTGCAAAGTGCTTGATCAAGAGGAACCGACAACAAGGATGAACAAAAAAACCTTGGTTGGCTTGCTATTGGCCATAGCCCTCCAGCATTTAGACTTCCCAGCATCAGGTTCACTGTCCAGGATGTTGTACCCGCTTTGGAGCGGGTGGAAGTAGACCGCAAAGACATCTGACAGTTGGGTTCTGTTCGGTATCAAATACACTATGAGCATCAATCCTGTGTAATTATTTCATACCTCTCTCTAATCAGCTTTATACTTACACGCTCGAAAGCATGCCGTTCAAGAATAGTTATCATCAGTAGGGTATTCAGACGATACGCAGCATAAGGACATGAGAAGCTGGAATTATTGGACTTAGGCTGTGAATAAATTTGAGCAAAGGCACGAACAGTGGTCATCGGATATCGAGCCTAAAATTTCCAAGTTCGTGGAACCACGGAGATGTGAGTGGTTTTTCATCCAACATCCGATATGGTGTAGACGGCTCTGAAATTCCAAAGTCGTTGTGTTTTAACATGCGCATTATAGCTAACTCGGTATATTGCTAGGGTGGGCGCCATACTAATATATGAGTTGGTGAGTGGGCAGCTCCAGTTCTTCCTTACTTCACCTCACCCTGTGACAACCTTTTACATCCAACCACAGACCACATCTTGGCTACGGAAGTTGTAGCGAGGTAGTCTACAACTTTCCGTGGCAAACGATATTTTTGTTCACACGCCCTTGGTCGCGATTTCTCAGAGGGACTCATAGTTGTCTGGTAAAAAATATCATCGAGGCTTTTGTATTGTATATAGAATGATTAAGTGTTTTACAACATTGATCAAGCGGTCAAACTCCAAGTTCTTGATATATTATGGGAGCCCATTCTCCTAGAGCAATGTCAACTTCATTCGTGATTAAGAACGTGCGATCCTCGGACGATAGTGCTGGTTGTACAAAATAATCAAATAATTTGAACAAGGATCCTTTAGCGGGTGGAGGGGAGACCAGTGGAACCAGAGGCACCGGACATGGAGGGCATGCCAGATGAGCCTCCCATAGAGGACATGGACGACATGTCAGGGAGGGGATCCATGCACACAACGTCCTGACCGGCCTAGATAGTTTGTTAGTTATCAATTCATTTGAATGAGATTGTTTATGCGTCATGGCATAACGTCATGGTATAACGTACCAGAGGAAGTGTGCAGCACAGAGCCGAAACTGCAGGGGCACCACAGAGGCTCTTGAACTCATCCAAGCTGGCGGGCTCCTTGGAAGGAGCCTTGCATTCGAAAGCGGCGACGTCAATGACGTTGGTCTTGCAGCACTGTAGGTTCTCGTACATGCCGGAGGGACAAGCAGTGTAGGAGGAACGTTGCTGGAGCAGAGGGTGGGCCGATGCGGTCAGGGCGCTAATGGCGAAGAGGACGATGTTGGTAGCGTACATGATGGTATTATTTAAATGAGTGTAAAATGAGTGTGGGGTTTCGAAATGAGTGTGGAATAAATGAGTGTGAAAGATTTGAGAAATCAAATCCAAGGTTGGGGGAGCAAAGAGATATCTATTAACCCTTTTTTTTGTGTTAGTGCGCTAGGTAACCTACATTGAGTTTGTTGAATCGAACTACTGTAGGTACATGGAATACGGATGGAGAGTTCATGTTGATCTACCCACTAAATCCCCACTTGGGAACCCTGATGCGGATCTAATAGTACGGCAATGCAATTTCAGATTGAGCGATCGGCGAGAAAGAGGGCCAATGAACAAGGGGGAAAGCCTAAAATCCAACTATACTGCAGTGGACACAAGGGACCAATGTTTACTTGTACGGAATACAATTATACTTGATTGTTGTGTATTTGCTTTGTTCTCCATAAAAGATACAATTTGTGTATAGAATGTATAGAATATCTCAAACTAACTCGTTAAAGCCTTGACTAGCGCGTATATGAACTAGTGGGTCCAAAATGGCCCCTAGGGGCCCAGACGCGCCGTGTTATTACGCTTGCGTTCCCCCTAGCGATAATTTCGTTAACTACATCCCCATAACGCGAATATCATTAAAGGACTCTATACGCAATGGTGATGATGCGAGTGTTCATTCCTAGATCTTCGCTTACTTATCTACTTTCCACTCATTATTTTCTTCTTTCTGTGCACCCCAATTCACCCCCTGCTTTGTTCCAAAGCAGACAAGACTCCCCAAACCTTTGCTGCCTTCAAACTCACGACGAAGCTTTCATTCATCATCTACTCTCAAATAACATTGGAATTCAGCGTAATTTAGAAACAATGACCTCAAGGCTCAAAAACAGAAAATTGGGGCTGGGTTTTCTACCGCACCACATACGAAGATGACCCCATCTGGGATGTTTTTAACTGTCAACCATACAGTGCGTTCGCTCATTAGCCGTGACTCCAATCAGAACTCAATGACACTATGTTTGACAAGTTCGAATATGTCTACATGGACAACAAGGCAAGTTCAATGGAGCTTCCAGGGAGGAGCTACGCACCCACATCCTAGAACGGGTGGCCGATAGCTTCTCGCATGAGAATCCACGCGCCGATGAGAATCTTCTTTCTGACTTTGATCATCCCATTCCAATACATCGATACTTCTTCGAAATTGACCAAGATGCATTGCGCAGCCTTGTCACTGGAGATTATGAGGGCCATGCGAACTTCGTTGACGGCTTCTGGTTGGCAAGTGACCATCGCTCAGGCAATCTTAAAACTGCCGCGCAAACAAATCTTGAACAGCCGCAGAATCGAACGAAGCCTACTGAAGTCTGCTCGGATGTTGACTGGATGAAAATGGACAAGCGCTTTTTCTTAGACACTCATTTCTACGCTGCCATCAGCATGGTAGTGTCCGCTATGTGGCCGTCCTTTTACAACCGCCCTCCTATCATTGTGCCGCATAGTAAGCTTGTTTCTATGTGAAAGTTTCACGGGCTCGACTCGTAGGACGTGACTCGTGCGACGAAGTAAGCGATTATGTGGAACAATGTGAAAGGATTGCGACCCAGTATATCCATATTTTAAACCTACGTCCACGGTCAGAAAGTTTGGAATCTAGCTCACGGAGAAAGCAAGCAAGAAAGAGTGTTCTTGTGGTTTCATGTTCGAGAAATAAACAGTTTACAATACACAGTATAGCGGGGTGTGGGAGGGGTACGGGGTTTTTCATTGACTGCATAATACCCCTAGGGGGATATATTCACTAGATCCTTTGCAATAATTTAGTCTCCATCACTGATTAGCATTGGATATTTCACAAAACAAATATTAGAAGTGAAGAGGCTTTCTCCCATGGACGGCGACTCTGCTCATAGTCAGTAACAGGATATAGGCCATTGAAAGGGATGAGATGGTCTGTACGTTTGAACGTAGGCATGTAAACTCTTTTCTCGTAGTTCCCGCTTGACCACAGCATTATGAATTTTAGCCACATCCGAACTCCAGCCTAGCACCTGCGTGTACAAGCGCAGCGAATATGAATCGATGGCTTGTTGCAACTGCACTGCCTGGTACTTTCCTAGAGCCTTGAGATAGGGATCGCGCGGCCAGGGTGAGAATGGTAGCGTGTAAACTGACAATTTGACATCTTCAAAGCCGGCTTCAATCATCCAGTCCTTTAGCTTATGGTAGATGTTCAGCTCCCGGCCGATCTTAATGCCAGCCAAGTTGAGGGCCTGCTGCCATTCCATTATTGCGGAATCATCTTTAAGGGAGCCATCGTCGCTCCGAGCCCACACGGCACTCTCGTGCGATTCAAAGTAGCCACCGGGTTTGACGTGGTCGAAAATCCGGCCGATAAACCCAGGCCAGTCAGCCACACATCTGCTTAGTGTTTAGAAACTAGGTCACTCTCTCTGAGATGGGGGACTGATGGTAGGGACACACCCTGCTAGGCATCGTGCATGGATAAAGTCAAAGTGATTTTGGTTATACTGCCACTCATTTTCGAAGTCCTCCACGATGAACTCGATATTTGGGGCCACCCAACTGGGCTGGATAGGACTGATGTCATTTCCGATAACGTGGGCGCTAGGGAATTTTCTATCATCCGGGGTTAAGTCCTGCTGGCATATAATGACGGATAGAGGACTTCACGTACTCGGCAATGTCCAGAGCCCAAATGCCTGTTCCGGTTCCCAGGTCAAGAATGTTCTGTGGTGATGATGAGATAGGGGCATTGTAGAGCTCTCCTCCTAGTAGCATCAGCCATCTGTACCACTGAGGTTAACCACTCGTCTACCAGAGATATTTTGCTTTACGGACATATGGTGTGTCTAAAAGAAAAAGTTCAATATGTAAGCATGGAATGACAAATCACTAGTAATGGTGCCTTACTATATCCATTCGATCCTGCTCCTCCTCGTCATTTGGCATCCTAACTTGGTCAGTCTGCTCAGCCTGGAGCCTCTAGAGGAAAGTGTGAAAGTAATACATATAATTTCCCTAGTCATTGAAAATTAGTATCAATGGCATAGGTTCGACAAGAGTACTTACTGAGCGGGAACTGCAATATCGCCGACCATTTTCATACTCGAATTCAAGCACACTCTCTGACAGGGAGGTGAGATCGGACAGGTCATCGTCGAATTCGCTATTAGTATCCTAAGATGATAGAGATTTAATTTCTGGGTCACAATAATGAGCCAAGCACTCGAGTCTACATACGTCGCTAAAATTGTCGATCGCAATTGGACCGGGCACGTTGACAGGGGTCTCAGCGTTAGTTAAGGGTGCGGATGGGGCTGGTTCGGATGGCGCTGAGGGCGCTTCGTGGGAATCGGAAACCATTGTGATGGAAGGATCAAAATGACAACATGGCAAGAAAATTTATGGAGGAACATGCGGAATAAATAACTCAATTTCTAACAAGCTCGCTTGTTCTTGTCAAGCAAGTCGACCCGGGGTCTTCAGGAGGGGTTTGCGTTTGTATCCAGACTGTCGGGTTCCCAGGAGGTTGGAATTTCTGATCTATCGAGTCCATTTCCTAATTTGGGACACAAATCAATATGCGGAGTAAATATGGAGACAGAGATGAATTGACTAAGGCTTGAAGTTCTCGATTTCATGTAGTATTGATGTCATTATAGAAATAGCAGCTATGTCTAGACTTGGAAGGCGTGAACAAAAAATAATTAGATAAGCTATTTGTTGGTTCACAAGTGGATAACACGGGAGGAAGGAGAGACTGATCGGCCCTTCCATTTTTCCACAAAAATTCCAGAGCTTCCTTGTTATTGTTCAAGTTGCCAATTACCGTTCCTGGTATATACATATGTATGTCCAAAATCGATAGGTGTCTAAGGATCTTCATTGATTTTTCTTGGCGCTTATTGTATTATTACAGCATTGCTGTGTATGGATTCTTGAGGCGATTAGACCTATGGACAGAGAGAGAGAGTAGGATAGAAAAGCGAGCTTGGTTGTTTATGATCAAAGAGGGAAGCCGGGGAAATAATCAACCAACTGATTAACTAAAGTGGAAGGGGTTTACAGCCTGAACCCTAAGGCAGGAAATCAACTCTCACCAAAAGGGAGAGCATGCATAGCTTAATGGGGATGCTGTTACTTAGCGTCCATAGCTGAATTTGTCAGAGTCGTAAGGTCCCGTCACTCAATCTCCTTCCTGGCTCATGAAAGGGGCGCCAAATGGTTACGGTTACTGTCATATCTGTTCCACCAACCTAGATTTGATCGTTGGGGCAGTAAACTTAAATTAACCATGGAATCCTCCTCAGCCTCAGTCATCTTCCAGCCGCACATACACCGACAATCGCCCCAGCTTAGGTCTCCAAGGTTGGTATACAGTCTTAGTCTTTTCCAATCGCCTCATAGTTGCCTCCCACGTGGACGGCCGTGAGATAGGTTCCCAGCAGCAGAACACAGATGGACATAATCTGATCGAACAGGCTGCTCATACAGAGCGTTACAAAGTGTGCGCTGAGAATCGCCCAGAACATAATCTGTAGAAGGCAGTAATGCCGGGGATTGGTCAGTCGCGTGTCGGTCAGAACGCAGTTCAACACCACGTTCCGAGGTCCTAGAATCGTCACTGTCTTGCCATTAGGAAGAGTTAGAAACACTTTGGAATCTTCATCTGCATATGGTGCAAATTTCGATGTTTCGGTCGATGAACGAGCGACGCTAGCTGGCCATTTGCTGGCCCACTAGGACCGCGGCGGCTATGGCAGCCACATTGCCGATGCCCCTTAGATCATTTGTTAGTATAGCCAGTCTTAGCACAAAGCCGATTGTAGCCTATCCGATTGCAATGCTGGTGGGCTTTTCAACGGTTGGCCGCGGCTGGCCATCCGTCTTGAGTCGAATGGTCGTGGCAGTGTAGGTAAGCGGGGAGAACGTGAGCCACCGCTTAAAACAGGCAGCTACATCCGTCGCCATGATGCCGTCTGTGATGTTATACAGCACAAAGCCTGCCTCAGGGGCGGCGAAGTCGTCCTTGGTGACTGTGCATGATCCCATAATAGGCAACCAATTGTGAGTCAAATTCCCAATGGAAGTGTTCATCTCCTTGATCCCGAATATGGCGATGGAAACCTAGAGCAGGGAATTCGAAGGGTGCCCATTTCAAGAGGTGGGCGAGCGCTTGGTTGATAATGCTGTCGTTTCGCATCTCTTTTCATGTCTAGTCGACAGTGGTCAATAATATATGTATTCAAGTGACTAAAAATCAAGAGCGGTGCCACAGGAACTTATATAGGAGTCGCAAGATCTTCAGGGTCGTCAGTCGAGGATACGCAACGGCTACCTCCTATTGTCTGAGAGCTGTTTAACTAAGCACCCTACCAGAATAATTAACTCCCAACAGTTCAGCGTCGTAGGTCAGCACAGTGGCTCTCTTTGCTCTTTCTGCATGAACTGCCCAATAGGATAGTTAGGGGAAAAAGATTTCTCTCACTGTGTTTCAGCCCCACTTGTCCTCAGGTACACAAGCAGGTACCCATAGAGTATGTGTCTCGTTTAATCGCCTTTCTCGGTGGCTAAGACAGCTCGCAAACATGGTGATTAGCCGAGTGCTAGGTAGCCCAGACAAGCGAGTTTAGGTCTAACTGATCAGCGAGTGGTCATGCATCGCTTTAGTTGGGTTCAACTAGCACATATTGTGAAAATGCGGGAAGCTTGTAAGATCGAATAAAAGATTGTTTGCCCTTTTAATGATATCTCCCGTGATGGGCAGCGCTCCTTCATAGGGCGCCATGTTATGTGCAAAAAATCGGTAATACTAAAGCATCAAGAGGTATGGCTTCTAAGTCGAGAAAGGAAAGATTTTCAATGTTAAATCGGAATTCATCGAGTTCCCTTTCAATAAATCCTGTTTGACTGGGCTCTTGGAGAGGATGCGGGAGGAACTGAATTGGGCCGAGAGTGATCAAAACTGACCGTCACAATCGCTATGTAAGGTTATCGCAGGTGACCGGGGAGCTCATTAAGCTTACATGCGAGGTAGCAAGCTTTCTCTACGGCTCTGGTGAAAATCTCTTGGATGAAGGAGATACACGCGGCCCCAACAACGGATTGGGGACGAACCGTGACCTTTTTGAAGCGGAATATACTCGGCCCAACGTCAGTGTCCAGGATCTTAAGAAATAAGGAATCATTCATTGGGGATAGATAGGGCCTAGCAGACCTCGAACATAAGGTCTAAACCCTTTTCATTGACTTAAGGTCATTGATACCATTTGTGTATCCAACAAATCCTATCAGTATGTATCAAGACATGCCTAGTCAAAACTTTGCAGTTTATTTTATCGTTCGCATCATGCTGAAGATACGCTAACACAAAAATACTCATTCGCTTGTAAGCCGGAGCAGTCAGTCTTCGCCGCCGGTTTCCAGGTGTAAGAAGCCACTGGAATGGCTTGAAACGGAGCCATAAAAAAGATAATTTTGAGGGACAGGGGCTCTGCCACTTACAATGTGGATCATATTTTTTATGCCTGGGAGAAAGTGCTATACCTAGGGAACTGACCTAACGGGCGATAGCTTAAAGGAGGAGTGGACAGACAAACTAGACGAGCTAGGCGGGCCTACATAAGAATATGGAGACTGCTACGGCACCCAGAAAATAAATAAATGTGGAGGACAGGAGGACAGCATCTGGGAAGAAAGAACAAGAGGGGTGAGTGAAGAAGTAGTCCTGGAAAGAGTTAGCCTCCCCCGTCTAGGTGAAAGGAAAGGCATCGTTGATCTTCGCCTGCTAATCAGAACGCACAATGTGACAAGGTTGACAAACAGGGGCATGAAGATAATTCACTCGTGGTTAGTGTCGATCGTAAAATCAACGGCTTATTTCTCGCACTATCTCACTAGCTTTAGCTAGGTAGGCTCTAGGCATGTCTGTCTTACCACACTCACACTCTACGGCAGTATGGGGCCCACATCGTATTTTCCAGAGTTTTCACCGCTTTCCACACCCCCAAGCTAGCATTACTTGTTCGTACAAGGGTGAAAAATTCTTCATTTTTACTTCGTATTCCGTATAGCAAGTAGCATTCTGATTTACGTAGTGAATTTTGTCGCTCGTTGAATTTTTAATTGATTGCATGACGACAATCAGTTAGTTAGTAGTTCTATAATAGAAAAAAAAAAAGAAATAATAGCCCGACGTGGGGAACGATCCCACAACCTTTAGATTGTATCTTCTTAGGAGTCATAGAAGTCTAACGCGCTACCATTGCGCCAGCCGGGCAGGCTTGTGGGAACAATTCGCAAAAATTGTATTATGGACTTAACGCTGTCTGCGTTCCCTTTTGTTCGACTGTGACTTACATGTACACTAAGCCTTGCAGCCGCCTGCTCACCCTAGGGTAAGCCATGGCACAAGATAAATTACTCTCCACTTAGCGTGCCCCTAAAGCCTAAGTTGGAGTCATACCATCCTCATTAATATCAGTTTGAACTAGCTCGTGAGCGAGTGCAATCAGTTGTTCATGCAGCCGGTGCCCGCCCTTTGATGATGCGGTGCAACACTATTCCTTACCACCCACACCCCGGTTTTATCGGGAGAGAAATTCTTCCGGGTGAAACTGGAGAATATCTTGACGGCCAGGTGTTGTGAGTGGGTTCGTTGGCAATATAAGGTGCTGGAGGTGTAGGGAAAACACAGTATAAAGACTTCAATCTAGATCGATTTTTGCGCAACAGAAGATGTGGCAAGGCGCAGCTGGGTCTTTCGAGAATGCATTGCTTGGCTTTGATTAAGCCGAGCGCGTTCAAAAGAAACTTCATGGGCCTAATAGCAACTATGATGGAGAATACGTCGGTCAAATTTCGCTCTATTTGGCTTTCTATTGTATATACCCGGATGTACACGCTGGAGACTGACATTACAGTAAAAAAGAATTGTCAGAACCTCGGAGTGTTCCTGTGGGGTACCGTTCTACGTAAGTTATGCAATCCATCAGTGAAGAAGAAGAAAAAACTGATCATAAATAGGGCAATCAAGGAGTTGGAATCCGACAATTCGAAAAAAACATACGGCATCCCAATTGTTTTCGAGAAACCGCTGCTGAAAAGCCTCAAGCCTATGTATTACCCTACCGCTTGCAAGACACCTCTTGGATTAGTGATCATTGCAACGCGCGAGATTATCACAAGGACGGTGAAGTCAAGCCTGTTTGGTCACCCAATTTGGATGTTACCAAGGATATGAAAACCGAGCTCTTCAACCATTATGGCGTTTACTTGAAGGAGTGCAAAACGATCCAGTTGGTCTCTGACAGATAGAACTGGACTGCACTCGGCACTCCAATGTCAAGCATTCCAAACTGATAGACAAACATGATAATATAATTCAACCCCCAGAATTTGTAATAACACGCATGGGCACAAAATTGTATGGTGCCCATCTACGGAGGAACCAGCTCTAGTGTAAGATGTAGTGAGGGTGGAATGGCCACGATATGCCGCGGCATGAATTAGAAATCTCGTGGTGTTCTCATATACATATGTCCGCATTATAGTACATCGCTAGCGTAGGCACTATACTGATTCAGACACTGGCGGTAACATCGATATAAGGATCAATACAAAAACAGTTTTGAAAGCTTTTTGACTGTTCGGCATGAAGAAACATTTGCTTTGCTGCAACGTTTGGGCCTCCTATTCCCACAGGGTGACTTGTCTATAAGAACGTTTGACTTCAAGGTCAACCTACAGTCTATCAATGCCGTTTTTAATAGGCCAATATTGCAAGCGCCAAGACGCGCGTCACTAGCGTAAGACCATAAGATGGGATGCCGTAACCATGGGAATAATTAGTTTTAATAGATATGAACGTGTGGCGGGTATGCAAAATCGACAGGATGAGCGCTTCGCAAGCTTCGCACAAGCTCCCTACTTTATGCAGGATCCTGATGCACGAAATACTCATGTCTGACGGCAATCCCTGGTCCGGAAACCTGCACCGTATCCTTCACTAATCCGTCCTCGGAGTCATTAAACGAGATGTCATCTACGCCGCGGTCAACCTGACTCTGTGAGGTGGAGACGGTGGTGCGCTGCTTGCTGGCGCCGCCAGTATGTATGCCAGAGTGCGAGAGCTCGTAACCGCGGTGGCCGCTGTAGGTTCCCGTGCGAGAGTGCGAGCCGAATACTAGGGTGCGGAGAACGGGGAGACAGGACGCGATGATGGCGATGGCGGTTTCGATCATGGAGACGGTACAAGTGATCATTTGTTCGTTGCGGTAGGAGTAGATTGCTCGGATGACTGGGTATATGCCTTAGAGGAGATCATATGAGAATAAGGAGGAAGACATACTGCTGGTGATGACTACAAGGATACCCAGGAGAAAGACGGAGATGACACCCCACTTTTGTTTCTTAGGCATCTTGAGTCTCGCAACTTGCGTAATGGGAAGGCAGATGACTACTTTGGGTTAGGAGTGATTGAGATCAATTGAACTTGGCGCCTTACTGAAGACATCACTGAAGATGTTGACTGAGAAAATTAGTTGATAGACAAAGTAAGTCAAGACAGAGGGCCATACAGAGAATCGTGAGCCAGTAATTCACTGTTGATGGTCCTGGGGGGCATGTCACTGCAAGATCGTCAGTCCCTTTGTCTGTGAGGTAGTTTATGTAGAACCATCCTCACATTTAGGATTTCTTAACGCCTCCCACTGCCGCTGAACCGGATAGCACTTGAAAACAATATCAAAAAACAGCACTAGCCACGTCGCAGCCAAGAAACCAAGTGTGATGTTATACACAATCTGATACTGGGTGCGATCTGCCAGGCGCTTGTAGAAGATCACCATGCTGGACTTGATCAGCCAAAGCGAAGTGACGTATAATGTGGATCCCGGGATGATCATCTGCTCAATAAAGGATTAAAGATTTGATTGCATATTTCTCCGATCTCAGGCTGTTTCACCTTCATCATATTGATCTGTTCATCCACAGTCGACTTCGCCATTTCAGACATGCCTGTGCATTGTCAGTGGCGTCCTAGAAGCTAGCTCCACCAATCCTCTAATTGGAACACCTACCTTGGTTAAACATATAATGCTGGATCGCCAGGTCTCCGATTAGACACAAGGCAGCCAGAGAAACGAACAGGTCGTCGAGGTAAAGTCGTTTCAGAAGCCGCACTCGGACCACAAGGCGACAGACCAGGAAGGCGCATGCTGCCACTGTGCACACATACCAAGCAACCTACACAGAGACCCTGTTAGCAAGCTAGTAGGCTGCAGTGGGAGGATGGAAGAAAAGGTATCATACCACTTGTCCCTGGTCTAGGCGTGCCATGTTGGATTGCCTATGCTTCAGTCACGAACGACGGAGAAAGGAAATTGCAAACTGAGAAGCGAAGCATCAAGAAATGTGCCAGCCTTCGACGCAGATAATAATAACATCATTTTAAATTCTACATTGAGACAATACACTGAGACACTTTTTGCTCTACCCACTGCCAAGGCCCTAGCATAGATCGTTTACGATTCTTTGACAAACAGATTACATATAGATTAAGTTGCTTTGCAATTCACCTATAGTTTTGAAAGAATCTTTCATGGTGAGGCTAGATCTAGGTTTGAAAACAGGGTAAACGCCGATGATTACTATATTGGGAATAATTTCACATCAGCTCCACCTTAATGCCCACTTAGTGATATGTGATGCCAAACGCACACTAGATTAATTCTAAACTAGGCAACATTGCCGCCCATCGGGTTTGTTCGGATGGAGTTAGAGACCGTTAGCTAATTTTTACATTTTGAGCCTTCTAGTCTCGAGTGTTGGAACTTCTTGCAGGTGACCCCTCGAGAGCAATACGGCTTAATTTATTCAAAGCCAGTGGTCCGCGACTAGCAACGCCACAATGCCTTGATATTGCACAAGCGCCCGTGTGCATACTCCGCAGATACTAATATATTTTTAAAAAAAAATCTAAAAAAAAAAGTTAAAAAAGCCTTTCATTATTCTATGTAACGAAAAGAGACGACGCAGTCTACGGTCGCACCAAAGAGGCAACCTGATACTAGTTGGACCAGTTGTAACTGAACCTTAAGCAAAAATGACCAATCACAGCGAAGATAGCCTTTTTTGCCTCTGGACAGACACGAGCTGGGGAAACTTCGGAGAGTCTAATTTGTGGCTCACGCCCTAATGCGGCCTTAAAGCTCGTATACATGTGGTAATTTCACAGTGAAGAAACTAACCGTGGCTTAATACCACACGCCTAAGCTAGTTAATATAACATAGTTATATTTTAATTACTTGAAGTTATGTAATGGATAAGGAGGTCGTTACAGAAGTATACAAGTGAGTAGGACGGGCGGTGAGATAGGGCGCAACTGCTCTCTCCACTGGGCCCACCAGTAGTACTGCCTAGCTGTTCACGAACCGCGGTACCTGCATTAGGGTCCTTCTGTGATATTGATGAAATTATTGAAACTACAAATGATTTTAGATATAATTCTCTATTAAACAGAAAAAAACGGAATGTTACTTAGGCACTCTCGACCAGCAGAGCAGTGTTCCACACCACAGGGTAGTTGGGATAATTGGGCTTGTAAACCTTCTGGCAGCGACCGTTGTAAGCGCCAGTTGTGCTCTTCACAATCTTCTTCTCGTGTCCAGGCACACCCACGCGCGCAAGGGGACCATCAACAGGCTTGGCACGCTTCCAGCCAGGCCCAGCTCTGGGGTTCTTGATCCAAGCGACAAACCAAGAGTTCATGTAGTCCGCCAGCTGCTGCTCCGCGGCGGTCACGTCATCCAGCAGGGAGAAGCACTCCTTGCCGCCGTGGAAAAAGGGCACCTCGCTACCGTGCGACGGTCCGAGATTGGGGATCGGCAGCGCGTTCGAGTACTTGCCGAACCAACGGTAGATCCAGGTGGGTTGCTCGGCAGCGCGCATGTCCAGCAGGTAGTCGGTCGCGCAGAAGAAGCGCGCGTCGCCGTAGGAGGCACCGCTCATCTGGGAGACAGAGGAGTAGTCGGCCTCGTCGTAGCCGGCCAGGAGCTCGTCTGCGGGCACGAAGGTAAGATCGGCGTCAAACGTGCGGATCCAGGACGAAAAGTTAGTGTTCTCACTGCCATAGACGTAGCCGAAGATCTCGCCCTCCTGGTCGGAGTTACCGACGATCAGAGGCAGTGATTTAGGGTAGTATCCCTCCGCGAAGCGGTCGGCGTAGTTGGAGAAGCGAGTGATCTCGTCCACCGCCGGTGAGAACCAGGTGTTCAAGGTTGAGTTGAAGTCGCTCGTCTGGAAGGCATAAGTATCCGCTGCGCGCAGGCAGTCCAGAGTGTAGTCATCAGCCGTGCAGTCTAGAGTCACGCCAGCATCCAGCATTGTCTGGACCACCTGCTTCAAGGCGACTCCTGCGGCCGCGTAGCCAGGACCAGATTGGGCGTTGGCAGACATCTCGATCGCACCAGCAAGGAAGGTATCTGGGTGGTTCCAGAGATAGTGATCAACGTGGACTCCACCGGATGAATGGCCGCCCAATACGATGCGGGACTTATCGCCTCCGAAAGCTGATGACGAGGTTAGGCAAAAGACATAAGGTGGTTTAAGAGAAAGAGGAACTTACCCTCAATATTGTTGTGAATCCACTCCATAGCCAACTCCACATCCATGATGCCAAAATTCTGGGACTGACCCTGCAGCTCAGGTGCATTGGGTGAGGCATAGATGCTCTCGCGGTAATTGAAGTTGACGTAGATAACATCCTTGCGGGCGAAGTTGAACCCTTGCCATTGGGCATTGCTACTGCCGCCGGTGACCATGGCACCGCCATAGATATAGACAAATACAGGAAGTTTGGCACCCTTTTCCGGGGTCCAAATATTGAGGCTGAGACAATCCTCGCTCTGGTCGGTGATTGCTGTGCCCGACATTACCTGGGCACAGGATGGCCCATAGGCAGTGGCCTCGAAGCCACCATTGGGGAATGAGCCGATGGGCTTAGGTGCCTTCCAGCGGTTCTCGCCAGCAGTGGTCTCGGCAAAGGGAATGCCTAGAAAGACATTGGTATCATTCTGGGAAAAGCCCTTGACGATCCCTTGCTCGACGGTGACGCTGGGAGAAACAGATGGTGGTCGAGAGCGTGCATGGGGCTGTGCAGCCACCAAAGCCACAGCCGTAGCCGTCAGGCTCAAAATGCGGAGGAAGGAACCCATGATCGTGACGAGAGGGAGAAAGTTGGCCGTTGGTGTTAACGGGGGAAACGCCCATTTAACTGGTGAGCAACGGTAACGTTTACGGAACGGTGTCGATATTGCACTAAATTGAACCGTGCCGATATTGCGCTAAACTCGCAAGATGTCTTGCATGTTTCGTCCAATCATGTCAATGCCTATGTGGATGCCGGGATTTTTCCTGGCCTGCGGAGTACATCATCAAGCTATCTTGTGTCTCATCCAATCATCCTAACCACTGTGGAGTACAGCCACATGTCTACCATGTGGCGCACTAAGCCCGTTAACTAACTATTGATTTCTGTCGGCGAAAGAAAAGCCGGTATACAGAAGTATTGGTTAATACTCCACTATTCGGCGATTCGACTTATCTAGACCAGGCCCTATATAAATTTTTAGAAAGCTAGATAGAAAAATACAGATAATTCAATGTTTTTAATGCCATTGACTAGACCCTATACATTTCTCACCGATTCCTTCAACAGTGATAAGCTCCGTTTACATTTAGCATTAAATCAAGAGCACAATAGCCGATACGCAGCTTCTAGAACGGGCTAGTAGCTCCTTTCAAGTCCTATTCTCATCAGCCATCTACCACGCACTCATTTTTGAGCCTTGGCAGTATTGCTTTCTTGATTAGAAGATTGATGCTCATATTAGACGTGAATACGTCGTGATATAAAATCGAGAAAAAAAAACTTATTGCAATATTTGTACAGTCGCAAAGAAACTCAGAGAGAGTCCAAGGAGTTTTTAACCAATAGACCTAGCGAAACAAAACCTAATTGCTCTCTTCGGTCATCTTGGACACGAGCATATCTGCATTATCATATTTAGCATTATAAATCGCCGATCACTAAACACACTCGAAAGGATCTCAAAGACATACTTTAGCATAAGTCGGAACATATAAATATCCATGTTATCATTTCGAAGTGCTTTTGCAGCCCACGACTGCCCTTCCGCTCCAATGCTCCGAGCAATCTCCCGACTAGCAGGATCCTGCTTGAAAAAGCGCACTATCTCGGGGATTCGTTGGCATCTTTGTTAAGCGGCACATAGTGAACCCACGGGATGAGCACTCCATCATGCCATTCACGGAAAAATGTCAACTTCAGCGGAACGCTTTTGCTCCGCATAAATGCATAGAATCTCCCGCTGTACGCGTGGCCATCCATGTCCAGTAAGTAACGGTAGTTCTACGCCTCGCTGTGGTCTTCGCGGTCAACGACATCGAAGAACATCGACTAGTCCATACAGTCCTCGTCACAATCGACGATGTCAACAAAATGGGCGTTGAAATATTCCCCGATCTCTGTCTGATTAGCCTCTCGAACCTCCCATCCTTCGTCACCACCTATGCTGCACGTAGACATTTCCCTCCGTTATAAGGTGCGTTATTCGGATTTCTAGAGAAGCAATCACTCGCTGTCATTGTAGATAATGCCAGGATCCGCCGCGACTGTAACCTCCAGTAGTGGTGCCGCGCCAGTGAATTTAACCTTTCCTTAACTCCCATAGGATATCGGGTTCTGGCTTATAGCCTCCGACCTCCTTATAGAACCAGGGTAAAGGGGCAGGAATATCCTAGAACAAGGATGGATATAACATCGAGAACATTAGCACTAGCTCGTTCGTAAGCTTAAATACATTCGGCCGCTCGAAAATCCTAAGCCGATTATATAGGGAGGGACAATTACAAATATCACTAGAGGCGGATTAATTGAATATAAATCCCAAAGGCTAAATTACGAAAGAAGTAGTATTATCTCGCACATTACCATCGAGGTCTATACTCGGGCTGTCAGGTGGGCACGATAGGCGAGAATAAAGCTAGGTTTTTTAGCGTTCGACATTAAGAAAACTAGTAATAGAGATTTCTAGAATAGGTTGCGCAGTAATGTTATGATTCGAGAAACCATTCGATAATAGGTTGCGGTTCAGTTCAGCATAGGCTACATAGCCTTTTAGAACTAGACTGTGTAACGCCTCATAAGGAACAACGACCCGCGGCTCATTATGGACGTTAAACTCGAAATCCATATCTAGAAGCTATTAAGCAAATTCGTTGAACTGCTTTATTACTACGTCCCGTTGAAAGTTTCCCTGACCATTACCAAGATGAATGGGTTCACTATTACGAATAGAAATACCCATCACCACGTTATCGAAGCCTAGATCCTCCCTAACCCGCGAACGGATCGTACTCGGGGAAAGCCCCCAAATTGGCAGCATGGATGATTTCACTCAAGCTCCATCAAGAAGCTAGTAGTTGAATTGATCCCAGGGCCCTACCCGAATCTTTTCAAAAGAAATGGTTATGTCTACTTGTGTTGACTGGAATAAGGTCATAAGCCACGGTCGAATTGGACGGACTGTAGGCAGCATAATGTTGCGCGCAGTCGTCCTCAAAACTGCGGAGTGCTTGGGAGGAGGGAAGAGGGAAGAGGGAATTGCGGCGCGAACTCATAGGGTTTCGGGCTCAGTGGGCCTTGTTGGAGATATGCAGGCCGATCATGTCGATCAGCGTCAAAGAAGCGCGGCACGATGGGGCCAAAATGCCACCTGTTCAGCCCGTGGATAAAACATTGAAATCAACAAGGGACACTTTTTACATTTGCTGAAGATCTCTAAATCAAGATATCAAAACAATTCATGCCAACGCAATGTATCTGTAAATAACATCAAAAGCAGATATCTGGCTCGACGATGAAGACTTCGGGGCGTGAACTATACGCGCCCGAATATTCTTTTGGCTGATCAGTGGCCCGATATTTCAGGCATTGGGCCATCCTTGTTTTCAATTGATCCCGGTTTCCAAAGATATCATACTCTCCAATCAACCTCGCTTTTTCAGATCTGACCTTTTTGCTGTTATGCGCCTTAGCTTCATCAAATTTTACATTTACTATATCAAATCGATCTCAATCAAGATTGTGATAGCCAGATGTCAACATTAGCAGTTTTGGATTGTTGACCGCAATTGCGAAAGTACGTTGCTCCACGTAGCCTACGTAACCGCAATGCAACCAGGCTGTCGTTATTTCCGCAGATGCACGTAACTGACTCGTGCCACGGCTAATGGATCGCCTATAATCCAGTACATTTGGAAACACAGCGAACATCTCCAAAGAAACAACATGGCCAGCTCCATTTCGTGAATCTTTACAGTCCTAGCTTCAATGAATTTAGTAGCGAGATACCGGAGAAGGCAAACGCCCAAGTTTTTCGTCGATTCTGTCAGACTTGTCACATGGTAGCAAGCTACAGAATACTCCGTACTATTTTAGGGCCTAGATGCCCCCATTATCCCTGTTGGGTCTCGAGGAACTGTGGGGACAGTGCCAGTGCTGATTTGGGTCACTAAATGCGGTCCAGTCGCGGCAACAAGATCGGCAACAATGGAGTACGCCATTCAGAGTTAACTGTGATCTCGTGCAGTTTACCAAGTACTTCTGAAAGGGAAGGAGGAAGAGGAGAGAGCTGCAAACAAGTCCTGGATTAAAGAGTAGGCGATCACCTGGTCTATCTCTCAACAATAGTTGGGATTTTCTGAGCTCACTGTATCAAGAGGCCACGGGCGAGTGAGGCCTGATTGATCATTTCGTCTACAACCTTGATAATTGTTCGATTAAGCTATCAGATATCTTCGAAACTCTGATTCTTATTGCGGCAGGTTATAACTATAGGATTAGCGCAAACTTCCTTAGAGCCCCGATGATCCTAGGCAAGGTGTACAGCATATCTTGCGCCAAAAGTGGATCAGCTCCTCTCTGCCTATTACCCCTTTCAACCTACCAAAATGGGCACAATTCGATCATATACCACTGCAATCCCCGCTTATGGATATACGGCCATGGAGTGTCACAGAATCGATCCTTCCATAGCAGCAAATACATTTTCAGACGAGCCCAGGAACGAATGATGAAGGATGGAACATCCTTCATCATTCATAGCTCTGGAATCATAGGTATCTCCGTGCGAGAAGAAGCTTCTGCGAGTGGTATAGCATGCATACACTAACTGACTTCACCACTCAGGTCTCCCCAAGCCAATTCCGTTGACACACGGTTACATCGAGGTTTTCGACTACCTACTTAATATCTCTCTTCCACCACTGCAGATTGCTTGCTTTCACTATAACCTGACATCCGAAGATCTGGTTCCCTCAACGGCCATGTTCTACCACATTATATATGTAATCAGTGGATAGCCCAAGGCATCCCTTTCGTCTATGTTCGTAAGATAGTGATGACGTCTGCCTTAGGTTCACCTCGCTCGCTTGTGCGTGTCATTACGTTCCAAGGTTCCGAGGTTGATACCTAGGTGTATGTTCATAGTTAGTCATACCTATAGTGACGCAGCAAATTTCCCTTCACTTCCACTCACGCCTCAATACATCTGAAATCAAACAACTCATTCTCGATCACCGATATGAGTGACATTGTCGATTTTGTTTCTTCAAATGCCCCAGACCTGCCTAGCAAAGAGCAACTTGAAATGCTTAGCACTAAGCAAGGTCGCAGGGACAATCATTTCATCCACGTCCACAATGGCGAAAAGCTTTTTATCAAAATGAGGTCCCTCGTTGCGAATGGAACAATCATCAATTTCATCAATTTTTGTTTGATCGGATTAGGGCAAGCACCGCTATTCGTATTCCTGAAATTTATGCCGTTTTTGGTGCATCAGATAGACTATACCTGATTATGGAATTCATTCAAACCGACCAGATTGCATCCGGTATACAGAGAGCAAGAGCTATTTCTGATCTTGTTTCTATTGAGGTCCCCGTTGATATAGCACCGGGTCCCGGGGGCGGGGGGCGTATCCATATGAGAATTTTTTTGGGATGATCAGATATCGGACGTTGACTATCCTTCTATCCAGGATCTAGAGAGTCATCTTAATCGTGTTGGTATCCCCAAGTTTGAGACCAAATAGTTTTACAATTAACGTGATCTATCTTTTAGGTTTCAAAGGTCTTTAAACTGCCTAACCGAGAGCTAGACCATATTGATTTCAGCCACGAGAGAAGTTATGCTGTTACACAGATCTCAAACGATTTTTTGGTTGATACATACGGCCAGCTCTGGGTTTCCGCGTTTCGCCAAGTCAATTTTTTTCCGGAGACTTTTATGTACTTTGCCCTAGGCAAGCAATTAGGGGGAGGCCCACACCCCCCTGAGTACTATGGTGTGATCCCAATCACACCTACTCAAAACCTCAAAGGACTTTCCGTAGCAAGACGATGGTTTCTGCACGGTAGCAGTCGGTATTGTGGGTAGAACTTCCCCCTTTTTTTTTGAGCATTCTCTTGCTAACCAGTTTTGCCCAATAGATGTCAGAGATCTGGATACTTCAAATTTTGCACAGACATGATCACTTATGGGAAATGGGTATCTGCTGAATATTAGATGATCTGAGGTGACAGACCTTTTCTCTTAGATAGCTTCTCTTCCTCTCTTTCTCCCTTCTCCCTTCCTTCTCCCAATTTTGTCAGACCAAACCAGATTGTATTACTTCTTCCTCCTACTTCTTCTGCTTCTCTCTAATCAAGACAACTGAACAACACATCCAAACCCGATGTGTGATAGATGCTGTCGTATTGCCTATCGTTTCTGTCGTCTTGTTTCTGTTTCTTTCCTCTTTCTTCGCTATCATAGCTCAACTGAACTTGCATTCAAATTCCTAGATAGAGATGAAGAGGACATCCTATTAAGTTCTACTTTTATAGATATGATGGACAAACGACATCAATACTAGGTGCTCCTAAATGTTCAGAATTGATGCTCATTCCATTATGGAGCCCTGAAGCGTCATTGCAAGTCCTGGAGGAATTCCTTGCTGGAGTATCAGCGGCTTACGCTGTCAGAGCGATCGGCTGAGGTTTATTGATTAGCAAATTCAAAATCAGGTCTGCCGGACAGGGCCTTGACATACAGTAAGATTCAGAGAACTACAGTGCACTCATATTCACAAAGACAAGGCTCAGTGACATTAACGCTCACCCTTGGCTGGGCATTAATTCACCAGCTTTTGATGGCTCTCATCTGTTCTGGCTCAAAGTAGAGCTCAATAATCTTGTTGGCTTTCTATAACCCTGCATATAAGTGTCCACAAGTTCGTGCTAGGTATTTGAAACAATCAAAAGGAGGATGTTGGTACATATAAAGCAATAGGGGGTAGCATGCCATCAGTCACGGCGCGTGAGTAAGACCGAAAGTTATCAAATATCGTATCCGTCTCGCTCCCTTCATCCCAAATGATGGTAATAGCGACCAAGATACGAGAAACGCTCGCATCAAGTAAGCTAAGGCCAGTGAAAAAAGCCACATCGGAAGTGACTAAAGAACTACAAGCTACTGCGTAGAAATAGACCAGGTCAAACTATTGCGTTCTGAGCTCAGCTTTGCCACCCTGACGCATTACGTGAAGCGAGATACTCCATGTGGAATCTTAGGGAGGCTGTTTCTAACGTGTTGGCTCTGTCGCTGATTGATTTCTCCGCAAGCGTGAAGCTAATCGAGATCGAGCATTAAGGTGTGGTGTGTCTACTGTCTAGATAAATATTAGGGAATAAGTTCCAAAAAATAGATTTATTCAAGGATGTTCAAAAAGAAAAACAATAGTTTGGTGAGGCATTTGAGTAGCAGCCCAGCTCTAGCTCTTCGAGGAACATGGTCATCGAGCAAAGTTGCTTTTTTATTGCAATTTTAGCGGGCAACGCGCTTTGCTGTCTGCGCGAAATTAAACGGAGCTAGGTCCTCTTGACCCGGACAGCCCAGCGCACACATGCATAAAGCAACAAGGGATGATGACCACCCCTCTTCTCGATGCTACCTACCTATGGACCATTCATAGTTCTCTCCCGCCCACCATTTTCCACTGGGTTACCTGCATGCCCTTCGACCTGTGGTCATCCTCGAAAATATCTCGAAAATATCTCTCTGAAGGCTCTTTCACTTAAGAGATAACTGGGTTATGATCAATGGCCTTTCCTTTTAAGAAATTTCTTTGGCTTGAGGCTCACCTCACGATATTTTTATGCGCGCAGTCGCATAAATTACTCTTCAGACCGTCTGGCGGCCCTGAATGTGGGAGGCTTCCACATGGACAAATTTGGAATTGCTTGCATTCTTGCATCGGGGCAGTCTGGTCCGAGTTAGCTCTACTGTTATAATCTGCACGGGTAACTATCCAATTGACTTCCGTGGAGTATTTAGGTTCTAACGCACAGGAGATAAAAAGAATAATCGATTCTTTCCTTTTCCCTTTTTATTCTGTGATTGCACTGACCTTTGTACTTGAAAATCTGGAATTCCTCTGTGAATTCTGTCCAGAGCTTTTGATCCAGGACTACGGCCCATCGGTACGGCTTCAATCCACACCAGATCCAGAAGCAGTAGGCTGGCTTGACTGCTGATGAGCCTCTCCATTCATTTTGCTCAGCAAGTGAAAGTATCTCCAAGATCTTTTTTTCTTCGTCCGGGCTAAGTTCAGGCGGTGGATTTCCGTTCAAAACGGCTTCGAAGAGGAGTTGATCGAGAACCGGGTCCAGCACTGTGAGAATAATGATCAGCTTCCCTTCACTAACCATATCACAAGGTGAATCAATCTCACCTTTTGCTCGAGTCATAAAATCGTCTGCAACTAAGCTTGACTGCTGAGGCTCCGACGTATGGAAATCGAGCTGCATTACATTTGCCGTGTCTGCAGAACAAGCTTTGCAGCCTCGTGCCTGCCTCACAATGCTCAACTCATTTGAGAAACACATTGTCACTTGTTACAAGCCCACACGCAGAAAAGGTAGTATCTGCACAGAGGTCTGGCCTTTCCCAGAGAGCTCAATATTCTGCTGCCAGAGAAAGAGAACGCTAATGGAAACGCATGACTGACCGAGACTGGTTGCTTAGCCAAAAGAACCTCTTTTTTTTTTGTGCGCCTTGGCCAGGTTGGGCTAGTTTCCAGTTCCTCGATATACGTCTTGGCAATACCAATTTCAGAACCTTGCTTGTCTTTCTCTCCTCTATTTTGAGCAAAAATTACTTAAATTTGTTACCACCCTTTCATGAAACTGACCCTTCACTTTAGCACGCAATTTGCACTTGACATTGTGTCCCCGGGTCTCGTTAGTTTGGTGTTTGGCTCAGTTGCGTTTTCATATTTGCTTTTTCATGCCAGGAAGGTGACCGTGATCAGCAACACGTGAGGTGACTCACCCCTGAAATTGACAGGTCGACAGATCCTTCAAGGCTGTGTGATGAAACGGCCAGGTCCCATGTATCACATCAATCCTTCCGAGTGTTGGGGGTACGTATATCTTTTGCACTACTTGGTAAGAAAGATGGACAGGCGGGATCAACAAAATTAAACAACTTTTTTTCTTTCTAGGAGGCTGACACTACTGCAATATCTCTCTTCATTTGGCAACACAGACTTTGAAGGCCTTCTATTTCTGTTGTTCTGTGGTGATCAGCTCCAAAACTTATGTTGAAGCTTGGTCCATGTCCCAACTCAGGGCTCGCCTCAGTGGCCCAAGCGCATTTTCCAGCTCATCGTTTTCTCCTGCCAGGTCTCTAATAACACCCTGGCTTGACAGCGTAAAAGCCACCTGGATTGGTCGGTCGGGGTTTCTGCAGAACCAATTCCACAGTCTGTTTACTATACCAATCTCCTCGGGAGTCAACAATTTTCCTCCCCTGGCAATCAGTTTTTGCAATGCTCTGTGTCCCAGCCAAACAATGCCCTGTCGAAGCATGTTTCGGTCTTCCTCTTCCGGACGCGCGAATAAACGCTGCCATGCCAATGCCGGCAGAAAAAGACGCTTTATCCAGATGAACGTGCTCAGGATCACTCGGATCTTGTAGGCGTTCTCTTCATGGTCATTGGGGACTTCATAGATATGCGTGTTGCGATTCAAAACAGCGCGGTCAATGAGATAGATCACGATGTTCAGTTCAATATCACCATACTCCTTTGCGATGTTTGAGTATTCATCCCGCGCGCCATTGCCAAGGTGTTCATTGAGCAATAGGTCAAGAGATTCGGGGGTTCTCCATCCACGAGCATCCAAAAAGATTGTCAGAGCTGTAGAAGATCCTGTTTTTATCTTTTCATCTTTTGCCCAGTCTGTAGCGTGCTTGCCAACCCACTTCTCCAGATGTCGGCCGACGTATTTGTGGTCGCTGAACTTTTGTTTATACTTTGCATCTTGCCTGGCGCTCTCTTCTCTTGTTATCTGGGCGATGTTTTGAGCAAAGTGAATGTTTTGAAGTTGAAAATTGAGATAGTTGTTCAACGCTCGGCTCGGATCTTTAGATGTTTTATACCGACTGTCATGTTCATCTTTCGCCCACTGCGCCATATACAAAGACTGAACTTGAATCTCAACCCTCGGCCTCACTTGCGTCATGTGGAGGCCACCCAGGCGCCCCTCCTGCTTCAAGGAGACACGATAATGTACTGCTTCGTACCCACTCTTTTGTTTCATAGGTTTCTCCTGCTCAACCTCGAAAAGCTCGTAGATGATACCCCTTACGCGATCACAATCTTCCCATTTTTTGAGGATAATGCGAGCCCCGGCAAGGTCGACGATGTCCTCAAATATATCTTTTAGGGACTTGTATAGACCTTGATTGCGCTCACGCTGCTCAATCTTTTTTCGCAGGCTTTCAGGCTTCTTCCCGCGGCTTTCAACTTCATGGGGTATGTCTTTCTCCAGAAGGGCTCGTCCGCATATGTCTGCAGCTTTTTTCGCCATCTCAGTGTACTTATTTTGGTTGTATTGGTTCACGAACACGGTGATCAAGGACTCTTTCGTGGGACTCAATGTGGCCATTGTTTTCAGCGACTTCGAAAAGGAACCGGGTTAGCTTGAACAAATAGGTGTAGAAAATCTGGAAAGTCAAAGATCCGAGGCTTCATGAAGAGCAAGAACGGCCCGTAGACAGCCTGGAGAAACTGTGGTATTTATCTACGCATAGCTTACAACTACTGTGCCCAGCGTCCAAAACCCAAGCATGATTGCTACCTCACCACACCTTCACCCATATTCGATACTGAGGTAAAATGTCAGTGCGTCAATTTGGCCAGCTAAAGATTTTTTTTCTAGTAGGAAGCCATCGCTGATGGTGTGTAGGTGACCAGGGTTATCAAGCAGAGCGGTGAAGAAAATGAGGGATAGATGGTGTGTAGGTGACCAGGGTGATCAAGCAAAGCGGTGAAAAACATGAGGAACAATTCGCTAGAAACCTCATATACGTGTCATTCACCTGCAAGTCAGCCGTAATGCGTGGCAGACTTAGGGAACAGGGAGCCTTCGTCTTGGTCGAAACCATACGTTCATGCCAAAGATATGAAATGCGTCTCTAATCTCAAATTTCCATACGTTGGCCAGTTAGCCCGATCCAGAGCTAGAGCCTCGTAGTGGCCCAGTACTTCAAAAATCCTTGTTTGTGCCCGGGACAAGGGTGTTCAAGATCAAACTGCATGTGACGTGGTATTGTAATGTCTACTTCTAGAGTAGCTTCTATAACCCTCCTGAAAAAATATCGTTACGAGCGCTAACCTCAGTACCGCCAGATGTTGCGATAATCTAGGAAAGTTTGTCGTCCTTCCAGGGTATTACGGCATACCATATATACGAGAAAAGCTCTAAAAGCCTATTTTGATCTTCGTATAGATTGCGCGGCAATTAATTCTATCCATACGGCCCCTAATTAATTTACAATAACTAAGTATTGGAAGAACAAAGGACTATGATATATCTAAGCCCACACCCTTGTTCTAATCCATGGTTCACGATATAGAAGCTTGTTACATCCAACATCCAATATGGTGTAAGCGGAGGTAACAATGGAATAGCAACGGTGGCGTGGATATTCACAAAACTGTGGTGTCCATGCCGAAATATTCTAGCTAAATAGGTATGGCACTAACTTATTCATAGTCTTTTGCTGGATAAGTCTGAAGATTGGCGTGACTATATATGAGCTTTCATGCCGTTTCAGCCTTTTGACAGCTGACATTGAATCTTTTGATATAGGCAACGCGCAAGGACCTGTAAGACCCAAGCCTGCATCAAATTGATATTCTGACTTCATGATAGAACACCAAGTATCATCTGGGCAACTCGTGTACGGATTGAATTAGGATTATTCCTAGACTATATGCTCTGGCTGCCTTCGGAATACCTTCGATCTACGTCGGTATTTTTTGGGGAGCTTAGTCGATCAAGTAAGAAAATTTTAAGCAGTAGTTGTGAATAAAGTCACTGGCATCCTGTGACTCTTTGTAACATACATTTATGGCTTCTATTCATCGCCGGATTTGGTCTTCATATGGGCATTTCTTGTTCTGTTGGTCAATAGAACTGTCATATCTCGGACTCGGACTCGAAAGTCAGTCCGAGTTTTTGCGGACCTTCGCTGATGATCTTTTTTTAGTTGAAGCAAGCATATGTAGCCCCAAATAGCAGGACCTGGAAGAGATTACTGACACCTCGGCTCGTTGCAACGATATTGAAGTAGCCAATGCGGGATACCGGGATTGTTCCTTCTGTGAAAAAAAGTAAAGTGGCTTAATCTTGATCTTTCCACCACCTTTTCGCAGTGGTCGACTACCTCGTCGTTGATCTTCAGTTCCTTTGAGGACAAGATCGTGTGAAATGTGCATAGTACTGAGGTGTAGGGCGCAACTGAACAAGTCTGTCACGCCAAAAGAGAAAGGTGTAAGAAGCCCCACAGATTCATGCACTGGTACTGAGATTGTTGGATGTTTTTTTCTTTTTTGTCTGATAAGACGTCTAAGAGAAAATATCAATGCGAGCGTGATTCCCATAAAGATCAAAATGTTGAAGGCAATTCGGTCGTGCGCGTTATTTGCTGAATATTTTGCCGCAGGTCTTTCGTTCTCTTGAGCAGCGGAAACTTTTCTAAATGCCATGGTTAACTTCTTTTCATGTTTCTTCGCCCTCTATCTTATCCTTGGCCTTTTCCAAGGGCAATGTAGATAGAAAATCCTTGTCAAGCTGTAGCTCGCGGGCTCCATATCGGAGATCCGCGCGAATGATATGAGAGACGTATTTAGCGCTGGCTTGTTCTATACCCCTGAAGTCAAGACCTACCCTAGATAGACCTTGATCAAGCTTCCGAGTGTCAATCATGCCAATTTGGCTCTCTCGAGCAGACTCCAGGAAGCACCAGCAGCTGTGTTGGAGAGAAAACTTAAGCAAATATAGAAAAGGGCCCATAAGAGGTCATAGGTAACATGGCCTTGTTGAAGCAGCGAAGACACACTTCGTGAAACAGAGGCAGTCGCCTCCGTTTACCATTCGACAAGCAGATTGAGGTGCTTTAGACATTGCGCGTTGCAGTCTGATCGAGCCTTCAATTATTCTACTGCTTGCTTCAGTTCAAGAAGGTAATGGAAAATGGAATAAATGCTCTTTTGGCGTGAGTTGAAATCACATACGGATAGCTTCTTCCCTATCACACTGATCGCTCTGACGTCTTGCAGCATCTTTCGAAGATCATCGCACAGCATCTTGGACTTCATGTCAATAAAGCGAATCACTTGCTCGGAGTTTCGATCTTCGGAGAGGTCAATATATGGCCATTCGGTAAAGGACATATATGCACACCCACGCGCTTGTGGATGACAAAGACATACGATATCTGGTATGTACTTTTAAGTACCTTTTATATGTGTAAAAGACATGCAAAGGATACTTGCAATATGTATATTGCATTAGGTGCAAAAAGTGAAACAGACCAATAGGCGGGTAGCCCATTGGTCATGGTAAGACGGCTATAGGGAAAAGGGGGTGGCGGAGCTCAGGAGTTCGGTGATACGAACTAATAGTAAAAATGCCTCACCTGTAGAGACTAGGGAGGAGGAGGGCGAAACAGAGAATGGGAGATGGGTGGATTAGGGGGGAGGACAGGGTACTATAGAACCACGCACGGGGACGTATAAGGACAAAGAGCGCTAAACCAAAAAGTCTCATATTAAACTTAAAGGCGCAATTCGTTGTCCCCATCCGATATGGTGTAGTGGCTAACATCGTCGTCTCTCACACGACAGCCGGGGGTTCGATTCCCCCTATCGGAGTTCTCTTTTTGAAGGAGAAAAACTTCATCCCTATTCATGAGAGGAATGAGGAACCAAATTTTTGTCATCATCAATTTTAGGTCACAGCGCCTTTGATACAGATAAAAACAGAAGCCCGAAACAGCAAAAGAGATGATTATTAGTGGATAGAGTGAAGTGACTAAATGAAGGTACATAAATAACTGTAGTCACGTATAGCCGTAGGTCGAAGACTTAGAAGGCGGTGTAAAGCATCTAGAACTCCGGGGTACCACCGCCTTTAAAGTCCCGATAGGAGCTGCAATCTAAACTTGGCAACACACAGATATGACACGATGCCTATCTGCATCGAATGCTCTTATCCTGTCTCTCATCTTTACAGTGCCTACAGTCGCGCTGATGACCGGTCCCAAGGAAAAGGGGTGCGATTAACTCAGTGCCCGCGGTGTCAGCGTTTTGCCGACAAATATGTTGAATATGACTTTGTTGTGCTCTTCATTGATTTAGTACTTATCAAACCTCAGGTGAGCTCCAGATGCACTTCGGTAGAAAAATTGACTCACATGTCTGGACACAGGTGTATCGACATCTCCTCTTCAATCGACTCGGGCGAGACGACAATCAGTTTGATGTGGGCAATTCAAATCAAGGCCAGGAAGCACTAGCTAATAAGATGGTTTCTAGCGCTCAATCATTCGACTAGGAATTTTACTACTTCTTTTCGATGTTTATCTCACCTGGGCACGTATCGAGAAGGACCCATCACTCGCAACAACCTTCCTCTCACGCGCCCCCGTCATTGTCCAATATTTGTTCTTCCTGAGCTTGAACGCTGCTGCAACGCTGGCGCACCACCTCACCGTTCGCCTCCTTGCCTCAATATTAGTTCCCAAGTCTCGCCGATACAGCAGGCCAGATACCAGCAACCATGCCAATCCTGGCGTAACTAGTGCAGGGGATGCCACTCCGTTACACTCTGGTCCATCTACACCAACAATTAGACCCTCACCATCGACAGTCTCAGTAAACGCGCAGTCACAGTCGCTGAACCCCTCAACCCCCCTTGCAAGCCCACTCAAAGCGACTCCGACGCCCATCTCCCACCCCGAGGTCACCTCTCCACAAGACCCCTCCACACCGCAAGGCCAAACAATCGCACCACCTCGACCAGCGCCACCCCTCCGCCGAACGTCCACAGCCCCTCTTCAAAACATACAGCCCCTTCCCCCTCCAACAGCTGCAAGCCCAGCAGCAATCAGCACCGCCCTACTAGTAAGCAGCTGCGCGAAGCTATTTCCCATCCTTCTAGTAATCTGGGGCGCGGACGGGAGTGGCAGTCTCTCCGATATTCCAGCGCACAGTCATACAGCAGCGCAGATCCGCGCCCCAACGCAGCCAGCTACCATGCCAAGCGCAGTGCATCAAACGTTGTTCGCCACGGCGCGCAGTACATCATTTATCTCTGCGAGGTCGGCTATTTCTTCTCCTGCGTCGGCACCGGCACATTCTGCTTCCTTCCTCGAGTCATGGCTAGCGGCTACTACTTCTTTGCTTCAAAGCTCCGGGCCGACTAGTTACTTGACTAGTGTTTTTGATTTGCTTTCTTCGCTGCTTTCTCTTGGTGTGGTCGATACCCATCTTGTGTTGTTGAGTAATATCGAGGCGCTCTATATCCTGCTTGGATGTGGGTATCTGCGTGCCGTGGCGGTTGCGGTTGCTGGTCAGGTTGCTCGGTGGGCGGTGCAGAGAGTGATACTGGGAGCGGTCGGAGTCGGCTAACGGCTTTCGCAATGCACAATGTACATAGATAATTAATAAGTAGTAATAATTGATCAAGCTTCATTGGTTGGTTGCATGGATATGTTTTTGTATGTTATGTTGATAACCTTGAAAGTGACTAATGTTGACAGTGATGGAGGATATATATCCCCAATTTTGGCAGAATCTATGGATACAGACAAGCATGTCATTTCCCTTAAATCCGACCAAATACCTAGCTACCTGAGTAATCCTCATGACACAAATCCCTACTGCTAATACCTGGGTACAAAAGCCTGCAGTTCCAAGGTTGAATCAGTAGACAAATCCAAAGGATATGAAGGGATTAGATGACGAAGTATTATCCAAAAAAATATTGATAGAACGCTAGCAAGCATAGATCAGATGCCCTAGTAAAAAGCCATATAAAACATGAAGAGTCTGGACCAGACGTCAAGACACTGAATCTTTGCAATGGAAACCAATCCCACAAGCCCAGAACCAAGCGCGGGCAGTGAGATATAACCAAAGACCATGTATCTGGACAGGACCTTGGTTCATTCCTCACGACAGCCCAAAGACAGCATGAATCATTGCCCCATAAACGAGAAGTCCTAAAAAGTCCAATGACAAAAATGGAGAAAAGACGAGAAATCACAACAAGAGCATGCCTCTATTGCGGTACACGATCGGGTCGGATGTCTGAGCGCTTTGGTGCAATAAGGGGGTGTAACTGTGAGAGGAAGACGATGGCTATATGAGGTAAAGTTGTTAGCGATTTCTTTTGGAGATATAATAGAGGCATGAACAAATGAAAGATAATACATACCCCACATCAAGTAGCAAGACACGAAAGCGAGAATGAGTGTACTGCGGAAGAGTCTAGGAATAGAGTCAGTACTTCGACCGCCGTGTAAGTTGACACCAGCGGATTGTTGCCAGCGTCCGTATTGGATCAACTCACGTTTGGTTATCACCCTTAGGGCTCAAGAACCATGCTGCAGTGGAAAGGGCCACAATGATGATCAGGCCAATGATCAAGCTCCAACTATATATATCAATGTTAGCGAATGTACCGTCCTCGCCATGTAGACCGGGTTCCTGGAGGGGTCGAGGTGGAGCGGGTTGGATTGACGACGCGAGCACCCGTATTGAGATTATCGTCGACCCATGAATCGCATATAGATACGTCCCATCGGTGAAATAACATAGAAATGAAAAGAAACGTACCCATTCGCCATTTTGTGGATTTTGTTTTATTATCTTCGTGGTTTCGGAGAAAGGCGCAACGCAGAGCGGAGATCCTTCGGCGTGGTATGCGGTAACGGTGCGAAGAACCGGGCGATGGATATGAGAGTTCCAGGAATTTTGATCGTTCAAGCACCAGGAAAAGACAGCACAAGTCAACTCAGGAGTCCGGGGCCTTTGGTGACGCGGATGGACAAGTAACCGATGTTTCGGCTCGGCGTGATACGATTGGCTTCGGGTTAATGATAGAATTATTGGATGCGTAACGGAGATGTTCGGAATTCCTCCTTGCGATTTGTTTGAGCGTCAGATGTGTTCGAGTGAAAACGACCTGGCTAGTTGGAGTATCGCCGTGATGTCGAAGCTACTGGAGCTAGCCAGCCGTTGGCGCCTGAGGCACCAGGTGCGGGCGGTGGGTCGATATTTGGCAAATGATATCTATGCATCTATATGGAGCTGGCATTATTTTACATTTGCTACAGTGTACGCCTTAAACCTACTTGAGATAGTTTTTAAGTCCAAACGTTAGACTTAGTGATAAGTTGGGAGGGCACAGCAGAAGCAAAGATGGTTAGATACAGAAGACAAAGCCATGGCTTGGAGTAACAGACACAATCGGAACCAGGTAGAGACAACAAAATGAAAATTGAATTGGCATAATGCTTATGCGCCTTCACGGATCTTGCGGTAGCTGGCCTGTACACAAGGTGGTTAGATTTGATAGATTTCGAGGTTGGATGTGACTAGGAATTTACCTCCTGCTCGACCTGCAGCGCATCGACGGTTGGGGCGAGCTCACTTAGGATCTCATAGGACTTCTTGTGGAACTCAAGTTGGGCAGCGATCAAATCGGCCAGATTGCGCAGAGGTTCGGGGGTATCAAGCACCTGATGTGGGGCGAGGTCAGTACAAGGGAAGGAACATAAAACAGTAATAACAGGCAAAACAGCAAGGAAGAAAAGCGACTTACGTTCTTCATCACGCTCACGGCCTCCTCGGTCTGACCAACGAACTCATCCTCGGCTTGCTCGATTTCCGCGCGAGCATCCTCGCTCAAATTATCGAGATCACCGTGGGCCGCAGCCTTCTTGCTAGCCTTAACAGAATCAAGCATCAAGCGAGCGTTCTCAACGTTCTTGCGTGCCTTAGCAGCGAACATAAGGTTGGTGTTGAGAGTGGTGTTCCAGCCAGCCAGGAAACGGGACTGAATCTGAGCATCCTGAGCGAGACGAGCCTCGCCAACCTTCTCCTCAGCCAGAGCATACTTCTCCAGCGCAGTGGCGAGCGGGTCCTCACTCTCGGAGCTCTGCGCGAGGGTCTGAGATCCAGCAAGGGAAGCGCGGGCAATGGCGTGGTTGAAGGTTTTAGGCTGGGGCTTTGCGGAGGGCGGGGCAGTCAGCGCTGCTTGTGCCTCAGCAGGTGAGCCGGCCTGCGAGAGGAGTTGGACCTTCTCGTTGATAGTGCGGCCGAGATCATTGAAGGACTCGCGGATGTTGGGAGGGTAGTCGTAGGCCTCGTTGGAGTATTGGGAGCTGGACGAAGATATCGGTTAGTGGCTGCAGTGGCTGCAAGGGGGAAAACGCTCGAAATAGCACTAAAAATAATCCTAGAGTTACTCACGTCACCTGCAAGAGCTTCTGGTGGACAAGCTTGAGCGCATCGACGCGCTTTTCGAGCTCGATGTATTCATCGGGGAGTTGGGTCTTGTCTTCGGCTTGGCCCAGTTGTTCCTTGATCATCTGCTGGGTACGCTGCGCAAAAGGCGTGAAGCTCGCACTGTCCGTCAAAAAACCACAAGGCAAGAAGATGTTAGCAAAGGGACCGGTCATGGATTGAAATGGGTCCGCGGGATAGGGGATTCGGGTACGACGCTGTACTCACCTGAAGTTCTTTCCAAATGCCTGCACTCGATCCATGATTGGTGATCTTAAAATTCTTGAGTTTTAAGGAAAAAGGGAGCAAAAGGTAATGAGGTGATGGTAGGTAACCACATGCACGAGCCCTGGAGGGTCGAGGCTGCGTCCCGCCCTTGCACCGCCTCAAATGCACCGCCACTTGTTATCTTACTACCTTGTATAACTAACGTTACTCCTTTAGGGCTAGATCTCTTTGTCCGCTGTTCCGACATTGTTTTCCCGTCCTGCTAGATTTTACCTAGATATATATCATTTTTTTTCAAACCTTCGTACCTGATGCATGTCTTATGTTTCATAATCCGTCATAATGTATATCATTGGCAAATTCGGTTAAAAAATACACAGAAATTCTGGGAATTCTCCGTCTCTGATCAAGTCAAGGTCATGTCATCGTAAAATACTGACCAGGTACCATAGCCCTGGAAGAAAAGCAAAAAAAAAAAGATGGAAGCAGCTCAGGTCAGCGTAGCCATCATCGCGCGCATAATGCGAGAGTTCGGTTCTAGAATATATGTCAGAACAACCACAAAAACTGATCGAGTTGCAGCAACCATACCTCTGCGCTGCTCCCTCCGAACATCAGTAATCTCCTCCCCGTTGCCTCGATCATCAATGAAATCTGTATCATGGCGACGGGTAATCTCGATTCCGCCGCGGTTCACGCGAAGACGTCTCATATCCGTTTCGAGTTGATAATCGTCATCATCCCGCGGACGGACAAGAACCAAAGAGTTAGCCGGAACAGACTCTCGCTCTTCAAAGTGCAGGCGTCTATGGTCATGAGCTGATACTGCCCGCCGGGGTGCGATCTCCCTAACTTGTGATACTGAGCGGTGACGGGAAGGCGACACTTCGAGGATGCGTGCCCCGTTCGAGGGCGGGGTAGGTGCCTCGACCTGCAGGTACTCGACCCTCTCGCGCGACCGTTCTCTCATGTGAGCGTGAGGGGGAGGAGACGCGGACATTCTAATGTATTCAAACTCTATTGTTCGAGATGTCCGATTAGAGATGTTGTGCCTAGCATGGAAATTGGAATGCGATTGCAACCCACCTTCATCCTCAGAGCGACTATCATAAGAGCGCCTATCATAAGAGCGCCTATCGCGACCACGAGAGCGCCTGTGGGATTCCCGGTTGTATTCGCGGCTCAAGGCGATCACTTCGTCGATCTGTTCCTTCGACAGTGCCTTTAGAATGAGAGTCACATCAACCTATCCGGGTCAGTAGCCGATGAAGGACAGTAAAGTAATCAGGACACCAACTTCTTCCTTGAGCGGATAACCTAGCTGTAGAATAGCGTCTCTATTGGCCAGGTGACGAGGGATACGAGTCTTTCCCTTGCGCGGATAAGGCTTCTCAACATGCCTGCGAACACTGCTGCTGGAGCGACGGCGGTGATCAGCCATATCCCGGTCTCGAATTTCCCTAAACTCCTCATCACCATAATAGTCGGGCTCAGCGATTCTAATATCCTCATAGACCTCGCGCTCACGAAAACGACCAGGGGAAGGGAGGTGACGAGGCGGTGCAGACACACGTGGCGAGCGGAGAGTACGCATTTCCATTTGGTGCCGGGGTGTGCGATCGAAGGTATCTAAAGACGACTGCCGCCTAATAAGCTGAGGACGGCGAAAGGAGGGGCTATCGTCAGGGCGCGGACGGACGTCACGACGCGGATGGTCATGCGCCACTTCTAGATGGTCATCTTCGTAGAGCCTCCCCGGGGCGCGCGCAGGGGGTCCATATTGTTGGTATTGCTGGTCCTCGCGCAGACGTGTTTCAAAGCGATCTTCGACAACGCGGGGTCGTTCGGCGACTGGGGGACCCCGTGAGTAACGATCGTATCTATCGTGGGAGTCCAGGGTCCCTGTTGATGAACGGTAATCATCGTAACGAGGCATGGAGTATCACACGCTGAACGAAAAAAACAAAAAAAAAAAAAAAAAAAAAAACAATGATATGACGGAACCGTGGATGATGGAGCGGCTGACTTCCGGACCGTTCGAGGGAACCGCGGGTGACGAAATATGGTCCGAGAGAAAAAAAGAGAGAAAGAAAAAGGAGCTGAAACAAGGTAACGAGAACGTGGTCCGATAGGAAGAAAGAGGGAGAGAGAGAAAGAAAGAAAGAGGAGTTAAGCACAAAATGGAAAGGTTAAGTCAGCCTTGGATGAGAAGTGAGGTAAAGCGCTAGGCAACTCACTAGGCAGAAGCGGATCAGTGATGACATTGGATCAACCCTGAAGAGTGGGGGAGGAGGGGGGGGGTATATCAACGCCACATGCGTGCTATAACTACGAACTAGCTTCATGCAACTACTGTAGTTACATATGTATGTTTAATAACTATGTTCTGCCTAATGTAGGTACTATGGCATTGTGTACAGCTCATCCAATCCTAAACCTCCAAATTCGCAATGTCCTCCTCCAAAATCCCCATAGCCCAATGCGCCCGATCGGGTTTAACCGTCACAAATCGGCGATCGTCAACCTGTTCCTGCACAGCCTCAGACTGTGGCGTATTAGCTATGCATACATGTAATGGTATAGTGTTGGGATCAACTAGTGAGTTATTTGATGTCTGACGCCTGTGCTTACCTGGTAATCTCGTACCCATTCTCGTTCCCGCTCAGTTTCAAACGACCGTTGGTAGGGTGGTCCCCGACCTTGTTTTGCAGCAACGATCCATGCTTTCTCACAGCCACCTGCAATAGCTTCCGCGCTCTTCCAACCCGTCAGACGAGAGATATCGCGAAGTTTCGATATGGTCCACTTTCGCTGTACAGAATCAATATACTGTACGGCCGCAAAGAAAATCGGCACTGTCATTTCGGTGAGTGAAGAACCCAAGTTCGGGCTCAGGCTCCCAGCCTCGAGATTATAGCTCTGTGGGTAGTAGATGCCTGCTATAATTTTACCAATTATTTGTGCAAATTCAGCCGTCGTTGGAGCGGCCACACCAGCTGCAATCATGATGGCCGCTGGCATAGAGGGGTGGATTCGGTTGAGTAGAAGTCGCGTGGCATAAAAGAATCCCCAGATCACAGCAATAGTGTGAGTACGATATTGAAGGGCGGGACCAAACGGTGTTGCAATCTGTGGCGCTACATCCACTGGCAAAGGCTGAAAATCACGGCCAAGTGCAAGTGCAAAGGTGTCCATGGCCACCAGTATCTCTTCCCATTCTTGCTCTGCTTCTTGGTAGCTCGTATCCTGGACTTTTTCATCCTCATCTGGTGATGACCCCCGTGGTCTATTTTGAAACCCGTTGGGAAGGCGCGGCGGAGGTTGCGGGGGCACCATCCCGTACATCGGGGGGCTGTCGGCTGACGAGGGCCCAGAGTCGGAGGTTGGCGAGCCCCCGCCTGACCCACCCATAGACTGGCCTCCAGGAGCTCCTCCTGGTGGCAATTTAGGTGGACCAGATGCATTGCCGCCAGGGGGTCCCCCTGGCGGTCCACCAGTACTCATGCCATCAGGTGGCCCTGGCCTTTGACCGGCGGGACCTCTAGCGAACCGACCCATGAATTTGAACATTTCAGGGCCTGGTCTCCAGTCCTTTCCACCTGCTTTTGAGGCTCTCAGCTTTCGCTTCCGGTCACGGAAGCCGAAATCTGTGACCCGAGCGAGCAACAGCCACAAATGATCCGCAGAGCCATAGATGGCATCTAGTCGACCGATACCCGCTCGGGGTGGGCACTGGCCCCATTTAGAGTAGGGCATCCTGTAATGGAACATTAGCAAATGATATCATTATCGCTAGGGGCAGGTATTGACTTACAGTAACTTGTCGCCGCCAATAAGACTCTGGAAGGCATCTTGCTTTGAGTACCACCAGTATAAATCGCATTGAATTCGGAAGACCTCGATGTCCTTCCGAGTGAAATGCCTTTTAGGAGGCAGCGTACCTGCCTCTTCGACACCCCCACAGTAGTCGTAATTGACTGCACGACCCAGGAGGGAGCCGATGAGATCCTCATCCAGATTTCCCTCTTTCTCAGAAAACGGATCATCCTCAGAGACATCCCCGGGCATACCCCACCACGATTTTGACCAGTCAGACCGTCGTCGCTCACCAACTCTTCTCCGATGAGCTCGGAGATCTCTCGTCGTTCGAGCAAAATCGATCTCTCGAATCAGGTGGGCAGATCCAGCCACGTGATTATTCCATTTAGAGTGATCGGCAGATATAACCTCGTAGTATGCCAGTAGAAGTGTGGCAGCCAACGTGCCGACCTGTTTGCGTCGAAGTGGAAGACCGACCGCAGAACCGACTCGTTTCAATGCGTAGTGATAGTGTTTGAGTGACACTGTTGTGGGAACTTGTTGCAGATATGCGATATGTAGACTGCTGACTGCAAGTATTGCCTGAAGGAGAGCAGGATGCTCCAAAGCTTTGAGGGCAAGTGTATATGTCCACAACCCCTGTTGAGCGGATGGGACTGCCGCGCCCAGAACAATTGAGGAGTCGGTAGGATGCCGTTCGAAGATAGACAAAGATGGGCCGGTGGAGTGAATAAAGTGGGCGAATATGCGAGCAGTTTTAGGGTTGTTCAAAGGCGAAGAGCCCAGCGTAGGACGGTAAGATGCAAGAACATTTGGCTCGTTCAAATAAGTTGTAAAGGAGCGAAGTTGTCGCTCATCGCGATTTGCAGAAGCCATGATGAGACTCAGCTGGTTGAAGCCCTCGGCCTGCGATTGATCGCCCATCTCGTCATCCGAGTCGACGTCGTAGTAGTCTTCACTTTCATCCTCCATATAAATCACCTGCGGTTGTGATTGGTGGGGCCTAAACTGTTCATGAGATTGTGATTGTTGTAGTGATTGCCCAGGCGGGGGTTGGTAATGGTATATGGTCGGCAGAGGCTGGGCCATCTAGGAATTCATACTCAGCATAATAACGGGGATAAACTGAGAGGCTGTGGTAGTATACCTGGGGGAATTGGCCAGTCTCGCCATCTCTGTTTCCAAATGCTGCGCTTAGAGCCGGCACTGGAGACAGATTGGAGGCATATTCTTCGGCGGTTTGGCCGATCGGACTGCTGATCTGCGGCACGTTTTGCATTGTTGGCTGTGGTCTCTGAGAGGCGTTTGGTTCAGACGAATACACCGGCTGCTGTACTTGCGGGTAGTCATTGATCGTCGGCTGAGTTGGCCCGTTATCAGGTGCAACCATGGACTGGAAGTGCCACATCTCAGTCGGCGGATGGATAGGAGCAGCTGGATAATAAGATTGGGGTGCATTGATCTGTTGAGTCTGACTCTGAATCGGTGGAGGCATTTGGGGCGGAAAAGAGTGATATTCTCCCATTGTGGTTGGGTCAACAGGTCTCGGGGCAAGCATTGGATGCTGAGCTGCAGCGGCCGCTTGCTGGGGAGGAAGTTGAGAGCCATAGTCATTGTACATTGGCATCCTCATATGGTGTTGCATGTGCGTATCATGGCCGTGGCCTGCACTGAAAGACCCGAAGATACCTATGGGGTTCTTGAACACGACTCGCTGGGCATAGCCCTCGCAGATGCGTTTGGATTTGACACAGTTGGTGCATATTGGCTTCTCCTCACCGCACTTGATGCGGCGCTTGCGACATGCTAGGCTTGGTCAATGGAGAAATATCCCTCAAGCGGGGTTCGAAACATACTCAAGCAACCGGTTTTGGTTCGTTTCTTTGGTGGTCTGCGGGGACCTGACGACTGCGCGGTTGAGTGCTCCGCAGAGTCGCCAACACCCGCTGGATCTTCTTGAGTATCATTCATGAAGTATTGACTCAGTGGAAGAAAGAAATAACGGGCATTGTGGGGCAAGGCAGATTAAGCATAAACGAGAGAGGAGAAAATATTAACAAAAGTAAGAAACAGGGCTAACGGGGATTCCTCCAGGGTAAAGCTGCCGAGGATTGCAGATCACCCGAGATCCAGACCTCTCCATACCTAGGTATTTGATGTTTTGATGTTGGAGTGTTTTCAAATGTTCAACTACATGTATATACATGTATATAATAATTCAAAAAGCTAGGTTTCGATGAACTTATTTTCTACAGTGTTGCAAGAAGATTTATGCCTTATATTGTACAAAAGCACCTGGTCTTTTCTTCTTGTGACAGTTAATGCATAATGTCGATCCGGCCATCCTTTTCGTCTGGAGTCCGTGTGATCAATCCAAGACTTATCTCTTGTTAGGGGGATTGACACTAATTGGCTATTAGGTAAATATTTAAGCGAACACTTAAGTTTACAATACTTGGGGAACTTTATGCCTGAGGCCTAAGTAACATATACGGTAACAGTAACGATAAGAAATAAAATACCGATAACGAAATTTTGAGCTTTTTTTTCTTCTTTGGAGATCTGAAACATCACTCCTATCTCACAATCTTGAAAGGCACTGCCATCCTTTCATCATGTTCGCTGTTCCAGGATGGTCACTTGAGAGCTCTGCTCTGAAGTCACAGACCCAAACACCCCCTAAGAATGAGTCCCAACCGTCCAAGGATGCCCCGAACCCCGATGCGAAGAATAATAAGCGCAAGCGTGCCAATGTCACCGCGGGTAACGTGGATGAGATGTACCGCAGACACATCGAGGGTAACACCAAAGCCCCCAAAGGTGAAAATTCCGGCGCAGAGGGGTTCTTGAAGCCAGAGAAGAAACAGAAGAAGGAGAAGAAGAAGAAGGAGGAGGAGAAAGTAGAGAAACAGACCACCGAAAAGACCACACCCGAGGAGTCAACAATTGAAATTACTGCCACCGAAGCTGACGCCGACCAAGTCGAGGATAAAGCCCCCAAGAAGAAGCAGAAGAGAAACAAGAAGAACAAGGACAAGGCCAATGCCCCAGACGACAGCACCCAAGCAGAAAGCGCTACCACTGTCTCAAAAGAGGCAACAGCCCCCGCTGTCCCTGCACTGCCACCTACATCGAACCTGACTCCCCTCCAGCAGGCGATGCGACAAAAGCTTATCTCCTCCCGGTTCCGTCACTTGAACGAAACGCTTTACACCACGCCTTCGGAAAAGGCTGTCGAATTGTTCAATGCCAACCCAGAGCTCTTCGACGAATACCACGCCGGATTTGCCCGGCAGGTGAAAGAATCCTGGCCATCTAACCCAGTCGACGGCTACATCAAGGCTATCCGAACCCGTGGTGCTATCCCGCTTCCTAAGCGCGGAAAGCCCAACAACCCAGCCAAGGGCTACCCGCTGCCCCGCCGTCCCACCGGTCTCTGCACCTTTGCCGATTTGGGCTGTGGTGATGGACAGCTTACACGCGCCCTTACTCCCTCTGCCAAGAAGCTCAACATCAAGCTCTACAGCTACGATCTGCAAGCGCCCGATCCGCTGATCACCAAAGCTGATATCTCTAACCTGCCATTGGAAGATGGGTCCGTGGATGTGGCTATCTTCTGTTTGAGTTTAATGGGAACCAACTGGGTTTCCTTTGTTGAGGAGGCGTGGCGCGTTTTGCGTGGTGATGGCAAGGGCGAGTGCTGGGTCAGTGAGGTCAAGAGTCGATTTGGCAAGGTTGCTCGCAAGAAGTCTCAAATTGGTGCCCAGAGACCTGGCAGCAAGCTTGACAAGAAGAAGCCTAAGAAGAAGGGTGGCAAAGACGACGAATCCGATGTTGACGAGGCTGATATCTTTGCCGAGGATTCCAGGCCGTCGGACAACAGCGACGAGACTGACATCTCGGCGTTTGTGGAAGTCTTCCGGTCTCGCGGGTTCATGCTCCGCCAGGAATCTGTCGATAAGTCCAATAAGATGTTTGTGAGGATGGTGTTTGTCAAGCAGGGAGGTGCGCCTACCAAGGGAAAACATGCGTCGGCTCTCAGTGCGCCTGCGCCTGGTAACAAGAAGCGCTTTGTTGACCGCAAGCCTGAGTCAGAATCTGGCATGTCGGCTGAGCAAGAGGCTCAGGTACTCAAGCCGTGTGTTTATAAGATCCGCTAGAGTGTTGCATAAGGGTCTCTTATATGTCCATGTACATAGTCCAAAACTACTCGCATCATTACCTATGCCTCAAAAGCACATTATTACTGACGTCAATCCATACCTACAGAGGCGGGCCAGCATGTAAGCGATAGACGGGCATGGTCATTATTTTTCTATTGCTCCAAACATAGATACCAGTGTTTAAATCAAGCCCGAGGAGCGCATTCAAGAGATATCTCTAACAGTACTCGCCCTTATTGGTTGCCACCCAGCTGTGTGACGGCCTGGCCCATCTCCTCATCATTGTAGATACGGAAACCCTTCTCCTTAGTCACGCTAGCCAGCTGGACGTTCTTCGAATCGAGCTTCTCCTCCATGACTTGCTTCAACGTCTTGAGGACCAAGGTCTCAGCTTCCGCTAGAGTCAAGGACCGGTGATATTCATTCTGCAGCTCCGCTTGCGCACCCTCGCTTCCGGAGCCGATAGCCTTAGCGTCGTAACGGTAGAACGTGCCGGAGGGTTCAGCGTGGTATCTAGCAAAGAAAGGATGAAAGTCAGCAAAGTCAGCAGCCGATAAAATTGTAGCACTTACAGTTGAGGCCCGTCCTCATCGAAACCGGCAATTAACAGTGCAACACCAAACGGTCGGCTCATGACACTCTCCTCGTCGTCGCCGCTTTCACCGAATCGCAGAGCCAAATCGCAAATCGCCTGCGTAGTACTCTCAACCCGCAAAGGCTCGGCGTAGTGGAAAGCGTGGTTCTGGCACTCAACGCGGGCGTGTTCAACCAGGTTCCGTGCATCGGCCTGCAGACCAGACATGGCACAGCCGATGTGCGAATCGATTTCAACGATCTTCTCAACGGATGACGCTTCGAGAAGGGTAGATGTGACGCGCTTCTCAACACCAAGAATCACACCTTCGGATGTTGCTACCTAGATGGCTGTCAGCCGAAGGGCTCCGGAAATCACATATACCCCAGCTTGATGCGTTATCAACCCAACATTTGCTGCTGCTCGTGCTGCACTGAGAGGCTTGATGCAAGCATGGTATAGATTAGGGCTTGTGTGGTATGACATACTCCGATCGCTGTGGAGCCTAGTTTGATAGCTTCGAGAGAGTATTCAACCTGGAACAAACGACCTTCGGGGGAGAAGGTGCTATAGACGAATCATTGTCAGATGAGAAGTTCATATGAGAGAACCTATCGAGCCCAGGAAACATACTTGATTCCACGGTCTGACCAGAGCTGTTAGTTGATTCCGCGGTGAGGGGAGACGTTGATGAAGCTTACCGTATTCTGATCGTGCGATGAACATGTTGTTTTATCTGATGAAAGGTGACTCAGAAAAGAGGCAAAGGAGCAGTATAGAACGACGATGAGGGAGGTGATTAGTGGGAATGGAAGAGGAGCAGAGGTGTCTGAGTGAAGCTCGGGAAGGAAGCTCTCATACGCAAGAGGTGAGTGCCTGGGTTTCTGGCCTCAGGCATCAACATGCTCAAATTATAGTGGAGTTGTTTGGATACTCGCATCCTTCCCTTATTACAGTGGTTCAAGTGCGTTTCTGTGACGATTTCCTAGATTTCACGTCCGTGAATCTCCCATTCTACATGATTAACACGTTGCCCTCGCGGGATTATGTCTGTCAATGACCGCGCATATATGAGCGCTCCACGACCCCGCGCTGTCTCCAGTCGCGTTGATGCCGAAATCCGCGGAGGGTCGCCAGTCCAAATCGAAAACAAAACCCATTTGCGCAATAGTTCTTCGAGTCAAAACCATAGAGCATCCCGGGATCAGAAGAGCATGTCGGAGAAGCGCTCAGAGCGAGCCGTCATCACAACACGGGAGAAATCAGTGCGAAGGAACCCGATCAAGGAACCTATCAGCGCGCCTAACAGAAGCGATTGGGATAAGACTCGACCCAGGAAACCTGTCCAGGCTGACGGCGCGAATATCAACGCGCGAAATGAGGAGAAGGACCCAGCTAATTGTGAGTGATCCCCATGTCGTATCTGCATCTTGCCCTTGTCCTGGTCATAGATATGCTGACCATTTGTTTTCTGCCAGTGCCGTGGAACCCTCAAGCTTCGTTGATACCTCACTCGACAGCTCCTCTTGCATGCCGAATATCAGCCCCTCCTTTAGCCTCGACAGCTCCACAGACCCTTCATCCGCAACCACTCCGAGAGCTGCCATCCGACGCACAAGAAGCGGCGATCCTGGAGGATTTGCTGTTTGTGTTTATGGGATTTGAAGGTCAATATGTTCACTATGCCCATTCTTACGATCCATCGGTTGAGAAAGACCGCCTCACCGGCCCGGTGTTCCAAATCACCCCAGGCCTGGACCCAACCTTGCGAGATCTCACCCAATCCATGTTGAAGATGGCGACGCACTATAGTGCCATGGAGGCATTTGTGGAGATTCAGAGTCGTGCTGAGTGTGGTGCTGTTAGTCACTCGCTGTGCGCATCGATTCGAAAGCTTCTCAAAGACTACCTTATCCTTATTGCTCAGCTGGAAGGTCAGCTGTTGAACAATCCTACATTCACTCTCCACTTACTTCACCTCCACACAATGCCAACTAGCCAATGTCTGGCTCAACTATATTCAATGGGCCAGGAACTGTTGCTTAAAAACGGTCTCTTGGACGAAGATCTCGAAGAGTCTATCGATGACTTTGATGAGGATGTCGACAATATTCTGGAACAGCTCAAAGAGGGGGGAGATCTGGTGCCAGGGTCTATGACTCGAAAGAAGATGTGCAAAGGAGGAAATATTCTGGGCCTGCTGACGGGGCGCCTGGCCTCATTCTCGGGAGATCCAACCACAAAGACCCTGCTTCAGACCTTACTACGTGATGCCAGTCGACCATACATGACTATGCTGAACGAGTGGTTACACCACGGGGGTATCAGGGATCCCCACGCCGAGTTTTTGGTCAAAGAACAGAAATGGATTAAACGCGAGAAACTCGAAGAAGACTACACAGATGAGTATTGGGAAAAGCGTTATACTATTCGCGAGAATGAAGTTCCACCCCAATTGAAAAGTGTCCAGGACAAAGTCCTTCTGGCAGGAAAGTACCTCAATGTGGTACGTGAATGCGGTGGTGTCGACGTGAGCAAAGAAGTCAAAGATGTCCCGCAAACGCTCGACGATCCTCGATTTTTGGACAATGTCAACTCTGCCTACACATACGCCAATGCTTCCTTGTTGAATCTTCTTGTTACCAAAAACTCCCTTACCACACGATTCCGGTCTTTGAAACATTACTTCTTCCTGGATCGTTCCGATTTCTTCTCCTACTTCCTCGAACTAGGCGCCTCAGAACTGCGAAAGCCGGCACGTGCTGTCAACGAGGGCAAGCTTCAATCACTATTGGATATTGTGCTTCGGCAGCCGGGTAGTGTTGCAGCACTGGACCCGTTCAAGGAGGACGTGAAAGTGCGCATGAACAAGATTGGCCTCACAAAGTGGTTGATGCAAGTCGTGAATGTTTCGGGTGTCAATCAGGATGGCTCAGAAGCTGAGAAGCAGCAAATGTCCGCCCACGCAGATGAGGATAAAGATATCCTCGGATTTGATGCACTTGAACTAGATTATTCAGTTCCGTTTCCTTTATCCCTTGTTATCAGCCGAAAAACCGTTCTACGATACCAACTCATCTTCCGTCATCTTCTATCTCTACGACACCTTGAGACGTTGCTGGTCACGTCTTGGGCAGATCAGAACAAAACTCCTAGCTGGCGTCATAAATCATCTGATCGACGGCTAGAAATATGGAAACGGCGGGCGTGGAACCTTCGCGCGAAGATGCTGGTCTTTGTTCAGCAACTTTTGTACTTTTGTACGGCGGAAGTGATTGAGCCCAATTGGGTGGGTCTGATGGACCGTGTCAACAGCGTCAACGCGGATGCGTCGCAGGTGCAGGAAAATGATATGAAGCAAGTCAACCGAACAGTTGATGAGCTGATGCAGGATCATGTGGACTTCTTGGATACATGCTTAAAGGAATGTATGCTTACTCAAGCAAAATTGTTAAAGGTAAGTTATCCAATTGTTGATGGCGATAATTACTAATGACACAACTGTACAGATCCATTCTAAGTTGGTGACTTGTTGTACAATGTTTGCCTCTTGGACTGCAGCATCACTTTCCCGGGCCTTGGCATCGGCCGATCCCGACTTGGCTGGAGGTAAAGTTCCTGGTACCGATGCCAGAGGTTATGATCCAACTCGTATCGGGAAACTCGAAGATACTCTCAAACGATACGAGGACCATTTCTCACGCCATCTTCGTATCTTGATGGACAGGTAAGCATCTAGCACATGTTTATGATCATGTGACAATGTTTCTGACATACCAATGCAGCTTGAACTACTTTGCCGCAACTGAGAGCGTGGTGCTCCTGAAGCTTGCGCACTCTTTGACCGCTATCAGCAGAGAGGAAAGCAAGGAAGACTGAAGTATCGTGACTCTCCTTGCGCTTTTTCCTTCAAACCTTGACATCGCTGTCGCCGCAAAAAATGCGCCTGGCTGCTCACTGGCAGCACGACAAATTCTTTGATGAGTTTGTCACCTATCACGACTTTACGACGATGGGACCGTAGTTCGGGTCGCGCTCAATCACGCCCTTTAAGGTTGTATGCGCCATTCGAGATCACCACCCCGAAGTATCAATGTAATTGAACCGAGTGCTAGACGGGCTTTTTAATGATAATATGAGTAGCATAGCGAATTGGAACTCGGGTTATATCATCTATAAAACTTGTATAGCTCGGGAAAGCACCCAACATATGATTGTCGCATACACAGCCGGCGAATTATCGCGTCGCTAAGCCCCTTCACACGTCAGCCGGATGCGGTCCCTCGACCCCAACTCCGATTTATTATCTACTTCAGAGCCTCTATTTAAAGCAATTCGTTCAGCAATTCAACCCTAGTGTATCACGATACCCGAGACCCAAGACCAAATAGATCGCATCGACAAAATGCCAATACCCTTCACATCCCTACGCCTAACCCAAGACCACCTAAAGCTAGCCCTCAGCGCTGCGGCTGTGCTCGCCTCAACCCTCGTACTTCCAGCCGCTTACCGCGACTACAAAATATTTCAATCGTACGGACCAGGTGGTGTCCCAAACAACGTGCTAGGATGGGTCGTTGTTCGCGCGCTGTTCCAGCCGTTCGGGCGCGAGATGTTTGGCACGGACGAGTATGTACGGAGGATTGAGGCGGCGGAGGGACACGGGAAGGGCGATGATGGATTCCTTCTTCTATCTGATGAACAGCTTGGGAGCCGGCAGGGTGAGGAGCGGCCTATTGTGGGGCCGCATGTTGTGCCGCAGAGACAGCTGACGCAAGTGCCGGGTGAGGCCATTATGGAGGTATGTTAGCATATTGCATATGAACAACACCCAGGGAAAACCTTGAAAAGGAGGGTTTGATTGCTGATTGTAACAGAAATTTCGGAAAAGTTTTAATGCCTTTGCGCATCGCAATTTTCATCTTGTTAAGCTTGCAAAGTCAAACCTGGAACGTCATACTGATGGAATCTTTCTTGCGAATCACCTTCCTTCCTCTGGGCTTGCGGAGATCATGAAGCGAGAAATTGCGCATATTCATTCTAGTAATGATCACTCGGTACATGTTGTCCTTGCGCCGGCTGATTGTATGTTTCCTGGTTGTGCCCGCGATTTGCTTGATTCTTATGTATTAACATTTGAATCTAGGTAAAAGAATCATTGACGCAGGTTGGGGCCAGCGGCATGCTTTGTCCGGCTCATTGGCAACGACTTTTCTTTCACTTGGTACACAGACCAATCTCCCTGCGGAGTATCTCTTGATCTATGCACCGCGAACGGAGACAGAGATCGAAACTGTTATTCAGATTGTCTCGGCAAGTATCAAGTTCATGACAGGGAGGGAGGATGTGCGGTAGGCCTCGGTAGGCCTCGGTGTGCTCTTTGCGCTGATATTCGGGAGAGATGATCCTTTGATGTGATTTCTCCGGCCTGATATACACGCTTTTTGTTCTCTGTGTAGTTTGATATACCCCACTCTTGTCGTTATCATTTTCTGCTGTCTATATGAGCCTATGGCCTAGATGATCTTCCATAATAAGTGCTATAATGAATCGCACCCTGCTCTGAATAGTGACATGGGAAAAAGGCGTGGAAAAGGTACTATGTGAGCGTGGTGGGATAACTATTTATATGACACTACGCTCAGAATGGAAAATGAGTATAGATCAAATGGTGAATTATAGGTGGCACTTGCTCAGCAGAGGAGAATGATGATAGTTTTTCTTTGTCAATTCGAAGCCTGCTCTGCCTTGTATAAAAAAGAGGAGCCCGGCAGAGCTCATCCATGCCCTACCAGGCAGAAGCAATCAGTCCAAGCAATTGACAACCATAATAGCCTCGGCAAGTGCTTGGCTTCTAAAGCACCCCGAGATTGCACGGGAGAGACTTTTGTGAGAGTGCTTTAGAAGCCGAACAATGACAGCCGTCAACAAACTGGTGATTGGTCGATGCAAGCGCCATATACCCCACGATGCAAGTCTAGGCAGGCACAATATCTTATTTTTCCTCATCGGGAAATATGCTCCTGCCATATTCCCCGGTTGGGAAGAATACGGGCCACCAAGTGATTCGGCAAGCTGAGAACCGGGTAAATCGGGATCGCCACGGGAACCCGTTATCGGCCAAATTCCGAAGATTCCGCGAGGGATTCCGTCGGCATCGCTGATCCTTATCTATATTGTAAATCTTAGGTAGGTTTAGGGATTCTTGATTGGTGTGCTACTTGGATCTGACAGCATATCGCAATCTTCCAAGGTTGGTACCTGACAGGACACTAAGCTTCATCCAAAAGATTCCAGCCCTAATTCCCCGGTAGATTATAAGTCCCTAGGTACATAGACATACGTCTCATGAATAAATATGGCGAATATCATTCGAGTCGTAATTCCCTTCTAGTATTGCCGGGACTTCATCTTACCCACTTTGAAGAAGTGGGAACTGTCGTTCCAGTCCCTGATTGATAATTCATTACCCACAGAATGTAAGCCATGTATGTAAAAGACGCATAAGATCCAGGCATATTAAAATCCATCTCTCCTGATGATTAGCCCAATCGTTGTATTTTGTGATTGGAACATGTAGTTCGTTCCCAGGCTTCGAATGCTCCACCGTGGAAGCTCGGCGTACGTGCCGGCTTCCACTATTTCTGGAATCTATTCATAGGGACAGTTGAAACAGTAGCTGGTGCATTAGTGATAATAATGAACTGAAAACTGTGTATAAAACATTATAATCCGATAATGGGGCTCTATGAAATACCGAATCTCTAACCTATTCTATCGGATCTGGACTCGGCACACGTATACCGTTTGCGCGATATATTGCGGACTAGAATACTTATACAAGTCCTTATCCCAGTTTAACAGGCCTGTCAGTCTATAATAATTTCTTTGACCAATCTCCACTCTTTACAACCTTCCATAATGGAGCACCATCACGACCCCGATGATACCTCCCCGTCCGAGCCTTGGTTCGAACAGAAAAATGAAGGCGAACAAGATCCAAATCATGATAATCAACCTATTCAAAAGCTCAGAACCCACGACTTCACTAGTGTAGAGACTTTGAATGTACCCCATGGCAACATTCGGGGATCTGTCAGTGCCGAAACCCTAAACGCCAATGCCGATACTCCCTTGCCTCCCAGGAAAACCCCAGAATGGAGCATGACACCCCAAGTCATTCGAAATGCAGAGCGTGATGCCGCTGCAGGATTTAAAAGACGCGAGTTGGGTGTCACATGGAAAAACCTCACCGTCGAAGTCCTTGCTGCCGAAGCCGCCGTGAACGAAAACATGATCTCACAATTCAACGTCCCCCAATTAATCAAGGACTTCCGCCGAAAGCCTCCTGTCAAGCCTATTTTGTCCGACAGCCATGGATGCGTCAAGCCGGGCGAAATGCTACTTGTCCTGGGCCGTCCCGGTTCAGGATGCACCACCCTTCTTAAGATGCTATCAAATCGTCGGGAAGGATACCATTCCGTGGCCGGAGACGTGCGTTTTGGAAACATGACGCCCCAGGAGGCCGGCAAATATAATGGTCAGATTGTGATGAACACGGAAGAAGAACTGTTCTATCCTCGTTTGACTGTCGGCCAAACCATGGACTTTGCCACGAGACTGAAGGTCCCTTTCCATCTCCCAGAGGGCACTAAAAGTGCCGCCGACTACACAGCTGAGACAAAGAAATTTCTTCTGGAGTCAATGGGCATCGCTCATACGGCCGATACAAAGGTTGGAAATGAATTTGTCCGTGGTGTATCCGGTGGTGAGCGGAAGCGAGTGTCTATCATTGAGTGTCTTGCTACTCGAGGCTCTGTTTATTCTTGGGATAATAGTACCCGTGGACTAGACGCTAGTACTGCACTAGAGTGGGCAAAGGCTCTTCGTGCCATGACTGATGTCCTTGGCCTTTCCACCATCGTCACGCTATACCAAGCAGGGAATGGAATCTACAACCTCTTCGATAAAGTTCTTGTCCTAGATGAGGGAAAGCAGATCTACTACGGTCCTGCCGCGGATGCGAAGCCCTTCATGGAAGATCTGGGATTCGTGTACACTGATGGAGCAAACGTTGGTCAGTTTTTCCATTTGTACAAACTTGGAGTCTCACTAACAAACAGACAGGTGACTTCCTTACTGGTGTGACTGTTCCCACAGAGCGAAGAATCAAGCCTGGCTTCGAGAATAAGTTCCCCCGAAATGCCGATGCAATCCTCGCTGAGTACCAAAAGTCTGGAACTTACCAGCGCATGGTAGCAGCTTATAATTACCCCGACACCGAGATCAGCCGCGAGCGCACAGAAGCATTCAAAGAATCTGTTGCGTGGGAGAAGTCTAGCCACCTTCCCAAAGGAAGTAGTCTGACAACCAGCTTCTGGGCTCAAGTAATCTCTTGCACCAGAAGACAGTACCAGATCTTGTGGGGCGAGAAATCCACGTTCTTGATCAAGCAGATTCTATCGTGTGTGATGGCCTTGATCGCTGGTTCTTGCTTCTATGACTCGCCAGACACCTCAGAAGGTTTATTCACGAAGGGTGGCGCTGTCTTCTTTTCGCTGTTGTATAATTGCATCGTGGCTATGTCTGAGGTCACCGAGTCCTTCAAAGGTCGCCCGGTCTTGATCAAACATAAGGGCTTTGCAATGTATCACCCGGCTGCATTTTGTCTATCGCAGATCACGGCCGACTTTCCCGTTCTGTTATTCCAGTGCTCGATCTTCTCTGTCGTCATCTATTGGATGTCTGGCTTGAAACATACTGCTGCTGCCTTTTTCACCTTCTGGATCATCTTGTTCACGACAACCTTGGTAAGTCGATCATGTGCGATACTTTGTAGTCAGCCATTGGACTGTGCTAATTCCTGCATTTACAGTGTATCACCGCATTATTCAGATTTATCGGCGCTGCTTTCAGCACTTTCGAAGCTGCCTCCAAGATCTCAGGAACGGCAGTCAAAGGCATTGTCATGTATGCTGGCTACATGATCCCAAAGCCCAAGATGAAGAATTGGTTCCTCGAATTGTACTATACAAATCCGTTCGCCTATGCTTTTCAAGCCGCCATGTCCAATGAGTTCCACGACCGCCATATTCCTTGTGTCGGTAACAATCTCATCCCAAGTGGTGCTGGCTACGAGGATGTGGGATCTGCCAACAGGGCTTGTGCGGGTGTAGGTGGCGCTTTGCCGGGTGCCGACTACGTGACCGGCGACCAGTATCTCGGATCCCTTCACTACAAGGCCAGCCAAATGTGGCGAAACTTTGGCGTTGTCTGGGGCTGGTGGGGATTCTTTGCCTTGTTAACCATTATCTGCACATCCTACTGGAAGGCAGGTGCTGGCTCCGGTGCTTCTCTTTTAATTCCCCGCGAGAAACTCAAGAAGCATCAAGCTGCCATCTACGATGAAGAGTCACAGAACAGGGAAAAGGCTACTCACCATGAGACTACCGACGAGCCTGTTGATGTTGATGAGAATCTCTCCCGGAACACGTCTATCTTCACCTGGAGAAATCTAACTTACACTGTCAAGACTCCTACAGGCGATCGTGTGCTTTTGGATAACATCAACGGATGGGTCAAGCCAGGTATGCTCGGCGCCCTCATGGGATCTTCAGGAGCTGGCAAAACAACACTGCTTGACGTGCTTGCTCAGCGCAAGACAGATGGTACGATCAAGGGATCTATCATGGTAGATGGCCGTGCTCTCCCGGTGTCTTTCCAAAGAATGGCAGGATATTGCGAGCAGTTGGATGTTCATGAGCCCTACGCGACCGTAAGAGAAGCACTCGAGTTCTCTGCTCTCCTACGCCAGTCTCGCAACACCCCCAAGGCAGAGAAGCTGAAGTATGTTGACACCATTATTGATCTTTTGGAGCTCCATGATCTGGCAGATACTCTGATTGGCGCAGTTGGCAATGGGCTTAGTGTCGAGCAAAGAAAGCGTGTCACAATTGGCGTGGAATTGGTTTCGAAGCCTAGCATCTTGATCTTTTTGGATGAGCCTACATCTGGTTTGGATGGACAATCCGCCTATAACACAGTCCGCTTCCTGCGAAAACTGGCCGACGTTGGCCAAGCTGTCCTAGTAAGTCGTCAACATATCAATCAAGACGTCATAGTACTGACTTTGTACTTTCTAGGTCACTATCCATCAGCCCTCAGCGCAACTTTTCGCCCAATTTGACACCCTTCTTCTCCTCGCCAAGGGCGGAAAGACGGTTTATTTCGGCGACATTGGTGACAACGCAGCAACCGTGAAGCAATACTTCGGCCAGTATGGAGCTCAGTGTCCTACCGAGGCAAACGCTGCCGAGTTCATGATCGACGTGGTCACTGGCGGTATTGAGTCCGTCAAAGAGAAGGATTGGCACCAGATCTGGCTCGACTCCCCCGAACAAACACGCATGATTACAGAGCTGGACAGCATGATCTCGGACGCTGCTGCCAAACCCCCGGGGACGGTCGATGACGGATTCGAATTCTCCATGCCTCTCTGGGAGCAGACCAAAATCGTGACCCAGCGTATGAATGTTGCGCTTTTCCGGAATACCAACTACGTGAACAACAAATTCTCACTTCACATCATCTCGGCTTTGCTGAATGGTTTCTCTTTCTGGCGCCCTGGCCCAAGTGTGGCTGCCTTGAATCTGAAAATGTTCACGATCTTCAACTTCGTCTTCGTCGCCCCCGGTGTGATTAACCAACTCCAACCTTTGTTCATCCAACGGCGTGATATCTACGACACCCGCGAGAAGAAATCCAAGATGTATTCTTGGGTCGCCTTCGTCACTGGCCTAATTGTTTCTGAATTCCCCTACCTCTGCATCTGTGCAGTTCTCTACTTCGCCTGCTGGTACTACCCCGTCTGGAGACTACCTCACGACTCAGACCGGTCCGGGGCCATTTTCTTCATCATGTTAATCTATGAGCTGATCTACACGGGCATTGGCCAATTCATCGCCGCCTACTCGCCAAACCCGACATTCGCAGCGCTCGTGAACCCCCTGATCATCAGCGTTCTCGTGCTTTTCTGCGGTGTCTTCGTGCCATATGAGCAGCTCAACGTGTTCTGGAGATTCTGGATGTACTATCTTAACCCTTTCAACTACGTTGTATCTGGAATGTTAACCTTTGGCATCTGGGACGCCAAGGTGACTTGCAACGAGGGTGAATTCGCCTTCTTCGACCCGATCAACGGCACCTGTGCGCAGTACCTGTCCGACTACATGGCTGGCGATGGCTGGAGAATCAACCTCCTCAACCCGGATGCCACTTCAGCCTGCAAGGTCTGTCAATACCGGGATGGCAGCGACTTCCTCTCCACTATTAACATCAGTCACTACTATGTTGGATGGAGAGATGCAGGAATTTCGGTTATATTCGCCATCAGTGGGTACGCTTTGGTGTTTGGCTTGATGAAGCTGAGGACCAAGGCTTCAAAGAAGGCGGAGTAAGCTTCCGCTCGCCCACCTCGTTCACTCACTGGCCTCCTTCATTCTTTCAATCTCCCATCAGTGGAGACCTCCCCTTTCCCTTCTGTTCTTCCCTCACTCTGCATCGTTTGGTTCCATCAAAAGATTATATAGATTTTTCCATTGACTTCCCATAGAGACACCTTTTGTATATTTTCCTTGTCTGTCATGATTCCACCCTTGAAATTTTCCATATATTTATATAGTTAGGGCCATTTCTGGTCCAAAACGCAGTCCATTCGATATTAATCTTACATTTCAGACCCTGGATGGAAAGTGTACGAATTAATTAGGATAACTTGTAGATTATTGTGTGCCTATTGTAGAACCCAGGACGCCAACAGAAAAGAAAACCCCCCTCCCCCCCAACAGCCGGGATCTTTAAGTTTCAATGGTGACCCGATAGGAAGGACCTTTTGAGATCTACCGTTTTACAAAACTTACATACATAATGTATGTATGTTTGTATAAGTAACCATGTGATCGGTAGACTAGACGCAAAAAAATCAAATTATAAGAAATCCAAAAATAATGACTTGTCTCTACCCGAGATACGAACCGTGGCGCTGGGTTTCAAGCGGAGCCCCCGGACGGGTAAACCCCTTGTCCAAATCCCGACAGTGTGGGTGGCATCGACTGCGCTCTTTTGGGAATTTGTGTTTTCTTTCTTCTTTTTCCTTTGTGGGTTAGAAAGCTATAAGGTGTTTAGCTAGTCAATTTACTAGTAAAGAAACTACCCACATAATTAGATTCAAATCATACTACATACGATAGTACAGTATATATTACTCCGTACCTGCAAGTGCTATTGCGTAGAACATCAAGTGGGGACCCTATGTCTTTCGGAGATTTGCCCCAGAGCTTTGGAAGTTTTGAGTGTGTCACTAAATACGCAAATTAGTGGATGCAGTGTTGTCGCATACCTACCAGCAATATCCACATACGGAAATGGAGATGACTCGGTAAGGATATCTTTTCCGCATCGCGTGAAAGAAAAGGCAACCAAAGGAAGTCATGATGGGCCGTAACTCAAGGGCCATACTGAGGGGCAAAGAAAAAAAGTGACCGTTGCCTCCAGGCATCTCCGTCACGCGTACATATACGTAGCCCTAGTGGTTGTTAGTGTGAAAAATCCCTGTAGGTCTCAATAGTGTCGGTTCACGGAAGGAAAAAAAAATAGGACAAGCGGTGAGAACAAGAGCGAAATAAGAGGGGCAACAATAAACAGAAAATGAAACCCACAATCCCGAGGGATTGGATGCCCCAACGAGGATGATGCTGATCCTGTCCGTCCAACCCCACTCGTTTCCTGGTGTGGTGAGACCAAAACTTGGCAACGTAGGCACGGCGTCATGCTGGGGAATGTACTCCGTACCTTTTTCTGTATTGAAAAGTCTCTGAGTCTCCGGTCCAATTGTTGGTTAATGTTTCACTTTCATTCGTTCATCCTTTATTCAATTGACAGCGGGTACCGGGGATGATCTTTCTCCGTGTCGGAATTCTGGAATCTGTAATGCAGGGCGTGGCAGGCAAGATATCGGTGCGAGTTTCAATTTGGCCTTTGTTTAAACCAGTTGAATGATATTCAATTTGATTTTTTTCCTCTCCGGTGTATTTATGTCGCACCGCGGTTGGATTGTGGTCGGTTCAGCCTCATGCCGAAGTTCTGTACAATCTGGCCCAATCCATGTGTGTATTCTTCGATTTTTAGTCGAACTCTCCAAATCCTTGCTCGCTTGATAACACTTGAAAATATGTGGGGCCATCAGCAGACAGTAAGATTATTTTTTGTAGACTCGCGCTTTAATCTAGGGGGGAGGAGGAGGCGAACCCATCATATTTGGCCTCGAGACAGTTAGTTATCCAAGGATGTTCCCAGCGCCACGGCGAAATTCGGACTCGATCCACACTCTCGGGCGCTCTTGGACCCTCGAGGCAAAGTAGGTACTATGCGAGACGACGGACTGTGCATTAGTTGACGGCACTGCTACTTTCAAGGTTCATTAGCTTGATCTTAAGCAGCGAAAATGGGTCAAGCCTACTATGTACTTAACTTAGTATGTGTCAATCATGCCGGCGTTATTCGTAAATCATTCTTCGGCTCTCAACCGACCCGGCTTTTTTCTTTCTTCAGGCCCCAATTGATGTACCAATCCATCGGAATAGCACCAAGAGCCTCGGATCTTATCACACACCAGCAGATTTGCTGTGAGGGATGTGAAGGAGGATTTCGGGAATTGGGCCCAACCACACGAACGATCCGGAGAGGAGTTGGAGTCCGCTTGATCGTATTTGATTACCACCCACGCAGACCCCGTCCGTGTCAGTTATTCGACCGTGAAATCCCCTGTGTCTGCACAAACTGCTTTCTGCACCACAAGTTGCGATCTTCGGAAAAGCATTCGAATTGGTCCGTTCGGCTGGGCCCCGTACATTTTAGTACGTACCTTGTATGATTGGAAGCCCCTCTAGCCCTCAATCGACACCCAAGCGTGAATGATCCTCACCTGAGCCGCCATCCTGCCCCAAGGGTGCAGTTGCTGCCAACATCTTCAAGCGGCACCCGATCGCTTGTATGAAAATCAGAACACGCAAATTTTCACTCTTTTCACAAACAGGACGATTTAATGCGAGTTCTTGGGCACGGAGAATTTCACCCCACCCTGACTGAACAAATCAGGGTATACGAGCTGAGATTTCCCTTTTTGTACCACAACATCACTTAGCCCAGGGTGACTATGGCGTACGCTAGTCCTCCCCGTTGTTTTCGTTATATGGCAATGCAGACTGACGTTTATATCGGCCACCAGGAACCCAGATTCGCAGACGATAGAGTTAGACCATGAATATCTCGATACTGTCACAGTCCAGGGCCGAGAGTATCAGAAATATTCGATCGATCACCGAACGTACTTTGGACCGGTCGATGAGGTAAGAATTATGGAGCCCTCGTCCTTGACTTTTGTCTCTGACTGTCAGGGCAGGAAGAAGCACAGCGACTGGAGGGCCAGCAACAGGTCTTTCAAATTATTTTCGACAATCGCCTGATATTCCCACCAATCCGTCCGCTTCAAAGGGTGTTGGATTGTGGCCATGGATCCGCATCCTGGGCCGTTGATGTTGCCGAGGAGCATCCTGAGTGCGAGGTGAGAGGTTCGTTGAGTGATGCCATCGGCGATCTAACGTCCAGTGCTTGACAGGTTATCGGCGTGGACATTGCCCCGCACATGAGCCCAGATGATGTGCCTCACAATCTATGGCTCCAGGTAAGTCAGTTGATTCCACACTATGCCACCGAGATGCATGGGTCAGGACAAAGAGAAGCCCCTACCACTTCCCCAAGCCCATACTGCATGCATGTTCCAGAGGATCTTTATTGTATGCTCATTGCGAAGGAATACTCTGTTCAAACGTGGGACCCCTCGAGGAACGGTCGCTAATATGTCGCCGAATAGGTCGATGACCTGAATCGCCCCTTCACGTTTCCCGCAAACCACTTCGATCTTGTCCACTCTAGACTCCTTGCGACCGGCATCAACCGATCCCGATGGCCGTCCTATCTCCGTGACATAGTCAGGTACGCACCCTCCCAAGCAGGGTGACTTTGCCGTCGCTCTGAGACCTGTTTTGAATTCAACTTCCAAAACTGACACCAGAGGCGTTCAAGGGTATTGAAGCCAGGAGGTTGGGTCCAGATGGTTGAGATATACTTTAATGTTCAGTCCGACAATGGCTCGATCACCGATGAGCATGCTTTGAGAAAATGGAGTACACAGTACCTCCGTTCGTTGGAAGATAGGAAGGATCTTCGAATTGGGTCGAAACTGAGAACTCTCTTCACAGAAGCCGGATTCGTTGAGGTGGACACGAAGATGATTCCTCTTCCCCTCTCCCCGTGGTCGACTGGTTGGTCTTTCAAGTTCATTCCTTCTGGACGACCCAAGTTGACCGATGCAATGCAGACCCAAGAATGAGAGATATTGGTCGATCCAACTGCGAGAATGTGCGACAACTTCTTCGATCACAGGCACTCTACCCTTTGACCGAACGCTTGCACATGTCACCAGAAAACTTTGCCTCTTTGGTAGACCAAGCGCAACAAGAGGCGGCGGACCCCACACTGAAGGCATATTTCCCATTGTAGGTTTACCAGCCCTGATCCAAGAGTGATTATCTGACAGACCAGATATGTTTGCATTGGCCGAAAACCGTGAGCCTTCGTCATGAGCGAACCAGCGACTGTGAGGGGCCGATAGGAGCAGCCTCTAGTCGCAAAAAGTCACACAGGACAATCGAGTTCGCTATCGACATGATACCACACGGCTCTTGTACCCAAAATACTGTACAGCGTTTGCGTTTCTTCGCGCCTCACTTGCATAGACATCCTGATTTAGCGGAACAATGGTTAGTCGAATGAGTCTTCTTGATCGTGCCGAATTCTTGCGATTTGTGTTGCGATGAGCTCTTGTGTCGATACGCCGCCGCGGCTGAGATCCAGTTGAAGACCCAGAGAGCCCAGTGTGTTTCATTAATGGGGGATCAAGCATGGTAGCACAGAATGAGCGAGCGGGCTTGGTAGCGATTGGCGCGAGAAAATACTCGTAGCCACCTGCGTAATCCTCATGAGCTTCCTCGCAGATAAAAATGCCCCAATGCACCAAACCCTGGCTGTGAAAAGCCTCGTATCCACTTGAAATGTTCGCCGTCGGGTCGTTCGCAGAACCCAGTGCGGGTGTGGGCTGTGGGGTCGTCAATGGGATCGGAAAGCCACTCTTAATAATGGCACGTACGGTTTGATTATATCGAGATGCCCTAATGGAAGTGGAACCGATTCGGAGAAAGCTTGTCTGCAGGGGGCGCAGATTAGACCGTTGGAGATCGAGTCGATGCCCGATAGCCCGATCTGACCTTACCCTTTTGGAGCATGATCGTACGCCCCCAACCCGAATGATAAAACAATTCGAACAGAGGGGTGCAAGGCAAAACTGAAGAAGGGTGAAGAAGAGTGAAGCTAAAAAAGGGAGAGGGGAGTGTTACCAAACTGACGGGAAAGAGCCTCAGGAAAACAACAACACCGGATGCCGTGGACCTTTTTTTTTGCAACGATGGAAGGAAGGGGTTCCTTTCTACTCTGTCACATACATCTTCGATTTATGAGTCTTGATCATGGAATGATTCTTGCTATCCATGGAAGAATATTACTACAACAAACATCACAATCGAAACCATTGCAGCTCAACATCGGGCAGCAAGATCCCCTTGGCCAATGCACAATGAACCCGTGGGCTATCACTACGACTATACTACCTACCCAATCAATGCAGTTGACCTTCAAAGAAAGGACTGATACGAGCTGCAGCTAGGAGCGCCAAAAGGACGCTAAACAAAGGACCGAACCCTCGACACCCGTTGGGAAGATATGCCGTAATTCCAATCCGGAACTGCGAAACTCGTTTAGGTCAACAGAAGGACCGGAATGTATCCGAGTGAGAAAGAGGTTAGATGCCATAAGCCATTGAAAACACCACGCCCGTCCAATGTCTCTTTTTTGTTTTCCGGGGGGTTTTTTCGGTCTACGGGCACAGACCTACCCGAGAATCTATCTATCGCGGCTGTGATTGATCTCCTTCCGATTACCTCCAATTGGATTTCACAGAAGATTGAGAGAGTCGGCTACAATTGAGTGTTGGTGCTTTCAGAACGGTATATTCCAAAAATGGAGATTTACACCATGATAAAGGCGGGTTACCAATCCATTTCCACAAGTATACAAGGTTTGCTGACCGCGTCCTGCGCAGACTCTCTCACCTTTCCATAGCCATAGAATGTGGTGAATTTAGGTTTATTGCTGTGAATCAAAACTGACAAACCAAGTCTATGGAAAACAGTAATGTCACCAACGCCCTATACAGATTACATATTACATGGTACCTTCTTATGCTATTACTACATATGTACATAAAACGGCACCTTTATACTTCAAAAAGAGATGTGAGATGTAGGGAGCTATAAGGAATACTACTCTGTAATTTTGATAATGAAGAATGGCAGAATAATACCTATGCCTAGGGCAGAAGAAAGAAATATTGTTTTTGATCAACTATATACCTAGGTATATCAAAGATGTATTGAAATTATTTCAAACTCTACACAAGAAACCTCTTATTAATCAAATATAGCACAAAATGAGCCCAGGAAAAGTTGAGTTCCATCATGACAATGATAGTCACCCCCCAAATCTAGATTTATCGCCTGATAATTGAGGCATCAACACATACCTAATTGGGGAAAGCGGGGAGAAAAAAAGTTGGCGCGGATTTTCCTTCTGAGCTCCGGAGAAAGTCAACTTTTTTTTTCTTAGCCACCAGCAAAATGCCTTCCACACACAATAAGGAGAAGTCTTGGGACACAGATGATATCGATAAGTGGAAGGTGAGAGCTCTTCATTCTTTTTGAAACAATTCCCAACGCTTCAGTATTAACAGCACTTTACAGATCGAAGAATTCAAACCCGAACACAATGCTGGGGGCAGTTTCGCCGAGGAGTCCTCGTTCATGACCCTCTTCCCCAAGTACCGTGAACAGTATCTGAAGGAGGCATGGCCTGGAGTGACACGCGCGCTGGAAAAGCAGGGTATCGCCTGCACATTGGATTTGGTCGAGGGTAGCATGACCGTCAAGACGACACGAAAGACCTACGACCCAGCATCAATCATCAAAGCGCGCGACCTGATCAAGCTCCTTTCCCGAAGTGTACCCGTCACTCAAGCGATGAAGATCCTCGAAGACGGCGTCGCATGCGACATAATCAAGATCCGCAACCAGGTCCGAAACAAAGAGCGATTCGTGAAGCGACGACAGCGTATCCTCGGCCCGAACGGTACAACCCTCAAAGCGCTCGAACTTCTCACCAGCACATACATCATGGTGCAGGGTAACACCGTTGCGGTGATGGGACCGTTCAAGGGACTGAAGGAGGTGCGACGAATCATCGACGACTGCATGGCGAACATCCACCCGATCTACCACATCAAGGAGTTGATGATCAAGCGTGAGCTTGCCAAGGACCCGACGCTGGCAGAAGAGTCCTGGGACCGATTTTTGCCCAACTTCAAGAAGCGCACGCTTTCCAAGCGTCGCGTGCCGTTCAAGGTCACCGACAAGGAGAAGAAGGTGTATACGCCATTCCCGCCAGCACCGGAGAAGAGCAAGGTCGACTTGCAGATCGAGTCTGGAGAGTACTTCTTGTCGAAGGAGGCCAAGGATCGTGTTCACAAGGAGGAGGTTGTCGAGCGGCAGCGACAGAAGCGCGAGGAGAAGATGCGCGAGCGCGAGAAGGACTTTGTTGCACCCGAAGAGGACGTGCCGGCCGATCTGGAAGACAAGAAGAAGAAAAAGGAAAAGAAAGAGAAGAAGGAGAAAAGCAAGCGGAAACGCGAGGCCGAGGCCGATGTCGATGCCGACGACGCTGCCGAGCGGAAGGAAAAGAAGAAAAAGAGGAAGAGCAAGTCCAAGGATGTCTCCTCCGACGGAGAATGAACTGCTCTTTGATTTCGGTATCGGTATCTTGTATCGGATTTGGCGCTTATGGCAGTGCATGGGTCTGGCGTTTGAATGTCTTGTCTCCTGGTCCTTCGTTGCAATGCAGCCTATACGCCACAAGCTGGTGTATATGTTTACAAAAAATTTTTGTTCAATACCAAGAAATGTTCTACTTCTCTACCTCTGTTCTGAAAGGTCGATTCAATAAAAAAGTATTGATTTGAATTTTTTTAATAATCGCGAACTTAGAATTACATTAGAACAACCCCACGACAAGTCCATGTTCTAGCTCTCCCTTCAATCTGCTGGGTTTTCATAGCCAGACCATAAGATACCTTTTTTTTTTTTGTTTGTAAATTTCGAGTTCGGATTATGAGATCTCATAACATCGTAGCACTGCACATGACAAAAAGATCATACGAGATTTTCTTTTGAAATCGTGGTGCATGGGCGTCAACCTAAGTGATCTAGATCTAGACCGCGTTGGCAGGACGGCCATAAGAAGAAGTGCGAAGAGCGGTGTGAGGCTCATCGGTGTGCTCCATTAGGACAGTCGACTTGGAATCCTCAACGCCGGGGCCGCCGATCTGTGCGAAGCCCATCTCATGAGCGAAGGTGTTATGAGGGATCCACTTGGCACTAGTCCTAGGTGTAGTCTCCTCCAGCATCTTATCAACCTGCTCAAGGGTAAGACCCTTGGTCTCAGGGATGACGAAGTAGGCGAACAGAAGACAGAGGAAAAGAGCACTGCCCCAGACGAAGAAGACCTTCGACTTCAAGTTTCCATAATCTTTGTCGACCAGGTATGGTGTGATAACAGCGATGACACAGTTCCATAGCCAGTTTGAGGCTGTGGCGAGGGCGACCCCCTTAGCTCGAATCGGAAGAGGGTAGATCTCTCCGATGACGACCCAGGCGCCGGGACCCCAGGTTGTTGCGAAGGCGGCGATGTAGAAGCAGACGAAAACAATGAGACACATGTTGCTGTAAGTAAGATTAGTAAATTCCATCACCTGTACAATATAATTTGATAGACCTACGCTGCGCGCGCCTCTGGGGGGAGAGCAACACCAACGATGGCAACAATGAACTCGCAGATGCACATGATAACCGCACCCCAGATGAGTAGGCTGCGTCGTCCAAACTTCTCGATCATGTAGAATGAGGCGGGAGTGGTCACGACGTTGACCACATTGGTGATGACCGAAATCAGGAAGGCATTGCTCATGCCAATCTGCTGAAAGAAGGTGGTTCCATAATAGACTGAAAGAAGTTGGTTAGGAGTGGTGCTTGGTTTGTAAGACATGGAGTGAAAAAAGCATACAAATGAAATTGATACCAGTCCATTGCTGGAACATCTGCAAAGCGACACCGGCAAGGACGCGACGGAAATTACCACGAGGGTGAAGACCCCCCTTGAAGCAATCAGCCCAAGAAGTGCTTGCAATACGCATCTCATAGTCGTAGTTGGCCTTAATCTCCGCCAACTCGGCTTGGATAGCTGGGTTGGATCCAGGCTGGCCACGAACTCGCTCGAGAGCACGCAGGGCGTCATCCATCCGATCACAGCGGACGTAGTAGCGAGGGGACTCAGGCAGACAGAAAAGACCAGCTGCGAGGATAGACGCCCAGATGAATTGTAGACCGATAGGAATGCGATAAGAAGAGTTGTCGGGTCGGTCCTTACAACCTTGATCGACAATAGAAGCCACCAAAAGTCCAATAGTAATAGCCCACTGGTAGGCGGAAACCAGAAGACCCCGAACACGGCGAGGGCTAATCTCGGAGACGTACAAAATTACGACAGAGGAAACGCAACCGACACCCAGTCCAGCGACGAGACGGCCGGCAACCAGTCCACCAACGCTGGTGGTTCCAACCTGGATGGCAACACCGACGGAGAAGATCAGACAAGCGAGGAGGATGGACAGACGACGACCAATCCATTCGGCGAGGAAGCCACCAGCCAGGGCGCCCAAGAAAGTACCAGCAGAAAGAATAGAAGTGATCAAAGACTTGCGAGAGGTTGGGATAACGAAACCGGTGGGGTTGTCTTTATCCTTGGGGACGGCTTCACCAAGGTGTTCCTTGACATAGTCCATGCCCAGGACACCGGAGATGTAACCAGAGTCATAACCATAAAGGATTCCTATCAAGTGGTTATAACAGTCAGTCACGTATTTGTGGGGTTTAATCGTGAGGCACTTCGAAGGATTTACCACCAAAGCTGGCAAAGCCACAGATCAGATACGCGCGCCAAGTAACCGGAGCCTCAATAAGGGCCAGGTCAGCGGTGCCAACAAAACCAGTCGCCATCGTTACTTGAAGGGATAACAAAGCCTATGATCATGTAAGAACAGGTAAGCTGAGAGGAGCATACAAGAATTCTCACAGGTGGAAAGCAAAAGAGTGTTGCAAGTGAGTTTGAAGAAGAGGAAGAGAGAGGGTGGAGAAGGAAGGAGGTAAAGTTGCGAGGTCACGATGTTTAGCAAACAGCTCTGGGGTCCAAGTTAGGGCCGTCAGCAATGAAGGCTTTCTTTGACACAGGTGACACGAAGAAAACGCGCGGCACAATCATCAGACTTGAAATCTTACACATGAAGCTACAGATGGATTATTAGACTGATATTTTGAAGCCCTCTTGCTGCATCTGATATAAGGATCAAAAGCAGCTGTCAAGAAATTCAAATAGAATTCTGCAAAGCTGCATATTTAGACTATCCGATATCGTTGGACTTTATCAAACCCTTCAGCTGCAGACCATTTGCAAATCTGATATTCTTTTTCTGACTTGATACTAACGATGTAGTGATAACCTCGTACAGAGTCCACGTTCTATCTCCCCTGAGTTGAGCCACTGTAACGCAGGAAAGTGAATAGTTCCATCGTGTACTACTTAAAATTATATTGTATAACTTTCAGAAACAAAGGAAATAAATTCAATTGTCGGGTACTATGCCGCCGAGTACAAAGGTGCATAACGGGCCAGGGGTCCGATTGAATTGTTTCTAGGATTGCTACCTGGAGATGCCTGACTTAAATCTGTCAGAAAATTAAAATAATTGGATCACTATCCAGAGACCATGGTAAAAAGAGGTATAAAAATGCAGTTTAAAAAGAAACGTGAAAAGAGATATAAATAGTGCTGGAAAGTGAGGTAAAAAGTGATATAAGAGGGGGCACATATTCAGGCAGAAACCCTAGAAATAATTCACTCCGACCCCTGGCCGCTATGCACCTTCGTAGCCAGATTGAATATCATGTCGTACCAGACTGGGCTCAACATGAAACTCAACAGTGTGCAACATTACAAGGTTCTCCTGCTGACCTTGATCGCGAATTTCTAGGTCTTTTGATTCGTTCACAAGAAAGCTTTCCTGCTAGATGCTGCAGGATGCACATATTACAGCTCAATGTATCAGGAAATTAAACCTTGGAAAGCTTGAAATCGTAAATGAAAAACGATATACATAAGTGTGTATGTCTTTACCTACGTACTCACGCCTATAATTGATCACCAGCAAGAAGTGATGATTTGAGGCCCTTCTTCCTTCATAAATTCATATGGTAACATATTTTTCGATTAATTTTACTTACCTAGGTATCTAGTTATTATGTTAAGCTCAGGGTAGGATATCGATAAATTATACCCTCAAGTATTCTTGGTATAGGGCTGCCAATTTCAAAGCTTTGTAAACGATTCTGGTCAAGACATAATAACTATGGGCTCTGGGGTCACCATATAAATATAATTGAGATTCAGATTAGAAATCATATTTGAATCAGTCACCAACTAACAGCCACATATATTGCATCATTTGGAAATTGATATTTTGTTATAATCATACTAAACTTCTGTTAAAGATTGTCTGAAAAATTACTTTATGAATTCGTGGAGAAAGATAGGCCTGAAATCGGCACTTTTCGCTGGTGATTATAGGAATAAAGACTTATTGACAGGGGATGAAATAGGAATTGACAATATCATTCTTTTGCATGCCAAGAAAACTATAACAGTGTTATCACCAGAAAGGACCTTCGATCAAATAATGTACAAAGCTATTCAAATTTCTAATGCTCTCAAATTGCAAAACTGACCTTTGCTAGCACAGTACACAGGCAGTCACTCGCATTAACCGAACTTTCTGCCGTCCTCCATGATATATATCCATCGGGGCGAATGAGACATGCGCCAGTTTCCGATACTCCAAAAGCTTGTTGGAATTTCTGCAGATCAGAATCAAGACGAACGGAATTGACTGTCACACGGGAGCTTTTAATGACTTCCGACAACGCGGACCCCCATTCATCAGTCGCCGAGATCAACGTCCAATTTTTCTGTCCAACAATATCCAAGAGAGGCACGTCCGCTCCATCTTTTGAGATATAGAAATGTGGCAGATGGGTACCAGGTTGGCCAGCCCATTCATCGGGCTTCATAGCCCGAGGCAGGGAAGCGTCAGATCCAACAAACCCGTCAGAGAGATATAGCTGACCGAATTCCATAGCATCATCATTGATCTTCTCGCCAGCAGATTTTGAAAGATCACGATGAACCTTATAATCCGCCCGTGCAAAGATCTGGTCATGCCGAAGGAGAGCAATAGGTCTGCGTTCAGCATCATAGGTGCTCAACAAATCCGGAGAAGAGAGACCGGATAACACAGCAGCAAGTTTCCAAGCCAAATTATGCACATCGTGGATACCAGTGTTAGCACCGTATCCACCACGATTAGGTGGGAGCGTATGAGCCGCATCACCAGCAAGAAAGACCCGACCAGACTGAAATGTGTCGGCGACAAGAGCCGTCAATTCCCATTGTCCGGTGGTAATAATCTCAACGGGAACAGATGGATCGCCGACTGCTTGATGAATTGCCGATTGGAGGGCTGGCTCGTCGCGGTCGACGTCGTCGCGAAACATAAGAGCCCATCGACCATCGTTATATGAACAAAGCAATGCTTTGAGGCCTGGCTGATCGATGTCAAATTGGACAACATCCTTCGTGTATCTCTCCAATGGAGCGCGGAATAGTACACTGCGCAAGTTCTGCATGAACCCGCGTCCTTGACGTGCGATTCCAAGTTGCTCGCGGATTGTGCTTCGATTTCCATCTGCGGCAATGAGATAAGAGCCATGGATGCGGCGTGTATTGCCGTCAGAGTCTTGAGATGTTACCGTAACACCGTCTTGATCTTGTTCGACATTCAAAACCCGTTGTCGGCGCCGGATATCAATGTGTCTTTCCAGCGCCAGCGATTCGAGTATCGGCTCCAACTTATCCTGTGCTAGGGCGGTTGCACGAGAAGCTGAATACTCCTTTTTAGACGCCAGTGGTTTCTCCTGCAAGGTCTCGGCTCCTGGCCTCTTCTCGGTATCTGACCATTTTGTATGTTCGAACCATTTTCCAGTCAAGCTTTCGACTCGGGCACGCTTAAGCACAAAGTTATCTGGGGCGGGATGTTCATTCTCAATACCAAGTGAATGGTAGATCTCCATTGTTCGAGCTGTAAATCCGATGGCGCGCGGATGGGCGGAGATTCCTGCGTGCTTTTCAAGGACGATTGTGGGCACTGAATGTGAGGCTAAACACAGGGCTGCGGATAAGCCCACTAGGCTGGCGCCGACGATAATGACGGGAGGCGTGTTGGAAGACGACATGACATTTGGCAAATGTTAAAGCGAGAAAAGTTAGCCTGAGAAACAGCGATCAATTAAATTGTTTCCTGTTAAGCCAGAAGAAGACAGACAAGCGCGACTCAAGTTTAAATATTGAGTGGTCGGGACCGAGATTTGGCTTGCGTCTCACTTTCGGCACCGAGATGGTACATTCAGCGCCGAAATACTAGTACACCACACTCATCGGCAACAAGTTAAGATCAACCCCTTTATCTTTAGAGATATCTGGTAGCATCCTTTTGATGTTCGTGATATGGAAGACCATCGCATTGTGAACGCAAACCTTGGAAGCAATGTACATGCCTATTCTTATAACAGGGTGTGATAGAATTTTTGTGAACATACTTAAGTAGGGATGGAGAAATACGAAAGTAACTACTCATTAGTTAGTTAGCATGAATCGCAAATGGTCAGATAGAAGAGACATACAGAACTGCCAACATAACAGAGCTGCATTCGTCAACGGATTGATTTGCAGCACTATGTCGTGAGACATAACACATGAAATGACATTCATATTCGCAACTTATAGAGTATAAACCTTGGAAGGTGCCATTTTCCGTAGGAATCGTATAAGGAGGAATCACCTACCTAGGTAGGCATTAAATATATACCCTATTTAGAGCGTTAGTGTCAATGCTATTCTTACCCAGGTGGGAGACTTCGTTTATTTATCTTGATCTACATCAAAGAATGTAAATTTACTAGGTTCTATCGCCACTGAAAGGTTAAAAGTACACAAGTGATAAGTGATTGGATATATATTTGACATAAGAGTTTACGATAAACCGACCCTAGGGGAGTTGCATAATCGAATCGCTACCGTTACGAAGTAAATCGTATGGATACGTAAAGATGATTGATTGCGATGATCGTCGCGGTCCTAATGACCGAGACTGATGACTAAGAATAAAGAGGTGACTCAGCACCGTCACAGCTACAACTTGAATGAGATTAGGTTTCATAGTTACAACATGCCATTGGCTGACATAATCCCTTGCATGAATTGTCTTGGGCATTTTGAGATAAGGATTCATGTTTATTAAAAGGAGTATTATGAAGTTGATTAGTTATCAACTTTAAATGTTGCAGATTTTATAGGTAATGAGGAGGCGGTGGGGTGGACATATCCGACCGAAACGGGTAATACACGTGGGCCTAGTTTAACATGATTCGAAATAATAAATCCGTTTTTTGCAATAGTTTATAAACGAAAGTAGGAAATAGTACATAATATAAGCAGGTCACCGACCATCAAATGATAGATCAAGGTGAGTGAGTATAACAACCCATCCAATCACTCCTAATCGCCCAACAAAATGAATGTGCTTAGAAAGTGAAAGCAATGGCCAGGGCACCAATCAGAGCACCGAAAGCGGAGCCAGTGACACGGCCGGCAGAGTTGAAGCTGGGAGAAGAAGAGGCAGAGGAAGAGGTGGAAGAAGAAGTGCCGGAGCCAGAGTCGGAGCCTGAGGCAGAAGTACCGGATCCGGAAGAAGACCCGGAGCCGGAAGAAGATCCGGAGCCGGAGGAGCCAGTAGAAGTAGCGGAGGAACCGGAGCCAGAGCTGGAAGCAGCGCCGGAGGCAGAGGCAGAGGCAGAGGCAGAGCTCTTAGGCTTGGGGATGGTAGAGGGACGACCACCGCTGGGGACGGCAGAGGAGGCAGCGCCAGCGGAGGAACCGGCGGCACCAGCGCCAGAGCCGGAGCTAGAGCCGGAAGCGGAGTTAGAGCCGGAACCAGAGCCAGAGACACCAGAGCCGGAGGTAGCGGTAGCAGCAGCGGAAGAGACGAAGCCAGACTTCTGGGCGAGGGTAGCAGTGGGGGTGCCGGAGGCGAAGGCAGCAGAGCTGGTAGCGGCCTTGCAGCTCAGGTCGAACAAGGGAGTGGTGTTGGACTCGGAGTCGGTTACACCGAAGCTGGGGTTGGCACCAGCATCGTCGAGAATGTACCACCAGGTGTTGGTGTTACCGAAGAGAGGACAGGCGACCTCGTCCCAGAACTGCTTGGCGTTGGCGGTGCTGGCAACAGCCTCGTTCTCGGTGGCACCGCTAACGGGCCAGCCGGTCTCGGTGATCCAGACCTCCTTGTCGCCGGCAGCGGCCTTGAGGTTGTTGACACCCTTCTGGAAGAGACCCTTGGCATCATCGATAGAGTTGGGCTCGGTGTTCTCGTAGTAAGGGTATCCGTCGAAGCCGAGCCAGTCGACAGCCTCGATGGCGGCAGCGTTGGAGCTGTTGGTCCAGGCGTTCCAGGTGTCGACGTGACCGATGGCAGCACCGCTCAGAGCGGTGCCGGAGATGGCGGAGCGGACCTGGTTGATGTAGTCAACAAGCTCGGAGGCCTCGAGACCGGGACCGGCATTGGAACCGGCACCAATCTGAGAGTTACGGTACAGATCCTCACTGCCGACGGAGATACCGACGACCAGCTTGGTGAAATCCTCGCCGTAAGTTTCGATAGCAGACTTGAGAGCGGCAATCTCGTTGGTCATGCCACCGCCGGAAGCCCAGAGACCGAGCAGAAGAGTGGTCTTCTCCTTGATGGCAGCGGGGATGGCCTCGATGGGGGTGCTAGTGGAGCCACCCTGGATCATAGTGTAAAGACGGGCACTGGTGAAACCATTGTCGGTTCCGACGAGGTTCTTGGCGGTGGTGAACTCGGTCTCGAAGTCACTCTGAGTTTTGACGCTGCCGTCACCTTTGGTGGCACCATAGTTGAAACCCTGAGAAACGGCCTCGGAGGTAGCGACGGCCATCGCGAGGGCAAGGAACTGAGCGGAACGCATTTTGAATAGAAAGCGAATGTTTGTAGCGAAAGTGGTTTAAGAGAGGATAGGAAAAAGAGTCTATGAAAACCTGGAGTAAAAGAGTGTATCCAGTGAAAGTTATAAAACGAGGTCAGATGAAGAGTAAAGATGCAAACGGAAAGTGAGAAGAAGGAACGGAAACAGTTTTGAAGACACACAAAGCAGGGTTCTAGGCATGAAAATTTGGTCTAGAATCCGCCACAGCGAAGACGTGCGGATCTAGTGGGTCGGGACACGTTTGCTTGCCCACTTTAACTCAATTTTACGAAAGCCGATTGGCTTGGCCACAAAATGATTGATTCCAAAAATATTCAGAGAACAGTGGATTTCTACGCTTTATTCGATGATTTGCCCGATCTCCCCGGATATTTCCATCCGCTTCCTTGCAAAGCCCGTTTCTCCGACTGCACAAACAGAGTGCCACTGGTCCATTCTTGAAAATCGTTACCCTAACTGACTTCGCTCCCCTAATGATTTTGTCATCAGTGGGTCAACAATGACCCTGCACACAGACTAGGACGAGAATGGATGCACCCTGTCTTATGTCTTGTGGAGAATCAGGTTGTCATTGCAGAGACATTCATTTTGATCAGGGGGTTTAATAATTTCCCATATATTATACTCTATTATTAGAGCCCCCTTTCCACAATATAAGCGCATATGTTGTACAGAGTACAGATGTTTGTTTTATTTTATTTTATAGATTGATAATCAGCGGATAGGGGCATACAACGCAGCCTTTGTGACAGAGCAAGCACATGTCGAGGCCAAAGAAAGAATACTCTCACAATACTTTGTTTCCATGTGGGCCCATTTGGCTTCCGACTCTACTTCTGCCACTTGTATGATCACTGGGTTTATCGTGCCCAGTGTAATCCAAGACTTATTTTAGAATCGATCCCAAAAGTCGGCCAAATATGGCGCGCATGCCACCCAACGCAAGAACGAGCCTAACGGGCCACAGCCCAAGTCCGAAGTGATTAATTCCGAAAGGCCGAATTCCTGTCGAGGTCCTCTTGATGAAATCGCCAACGCATGTTACTTTGACAAATCCGGTGGCCTGCCTTGTGTTGACCCAATCAAAATGATAATTTTAATGGCGATTGAAAGAAAGAAAAATAGCGTCTAACTCAAGCTCTGTTGCTATGGAGTTGTTGACTACCCTAGTGTGGTTAAGACCCAAAAAGTCGGTCACCTGACCGGCATACTAAAATGGGGGGTAATGTCTCAATATCTCATCTGATATCCTTCTTTCTTACATCAATCTGCAAGTATGTCAGTCACGAAGGAATACGTCGAACAGGTCCTAGATAGCATTGCCAGTCGTTACCGAGGCCCAGGTGGAGCCCTTGCTGTCCTCAAGGATGGCGAGCTGATCGGCCAACGCGTATGGGGGTTCGCTAACCTGGAGCAACGCATCCCACTGGAGGCCAAAACACTATTGCCCATCTGTTCAACCACGAAGCAGTTCGTATGTGCACTCTTAATCGACTTGGAACGTAATCCACCACCAAAACTTGCCGACAAGACCAAAGGCGATGTCCGCAAACAAATCTCGGACAAAGTCTTGGAAATCATAAGCCCAAAGCTTGCCCATAAGGGCGAGCTGACGATTGACCGACTGGTTAATATGCAATCCGGCCTGCGAGACTACTGGATAATGACAACATTGTGGGGTGCCCAGCCCGAGGACGAGTTCCTGATACACAGGGACGCTGCTCCAGCCTTCGAGAAGCAAACGAAGTCATTCCATTTCGAGCCTGGAACTGAATTTTCCTACTGCAACTCCAACTTTTACATTGTGGCTCGCGCGATTGAGCAAACAACCGGTGAACCGCTTGGGAAACTCCTTCAAGAGCGTATCATACGTCCAGCTGGCATGGAAACGGCGATTCTGTGCCCCAACACTGCCGAACAACCTCCACCGTGTGTTGGCTACGAGGGTGATGAAAAAAGTGGCTTCATCCCGGTTGTTAACCGCATCGAGTGGTCTGGTGATGCCGGGTTGGTGGCTTCGCTTACTGATATGATAGCCTATGAAAAATATCTGGATGGCTGCTATTCGGATCCGGAAAGCTGGTACCATACCGCCATTAAGCAACCAACATTCAAGGACGGTACTCATGCGCAATACAGTTATGGATTGGGCCATACTGATATCGAGGGCGTGAAGTCTTTTGGTCATGGCGGTGCCCTTCGAGGGTATCGAACGCACCGATGTCATGTACCCACCGAACGTTTGTCTGTCATCGTTCTGTTCAATAATGAGGCCGATGCGGAACACCTCGCTAAGGAGATTTTGCGAGATGTCTTGGGCTCTCCCAAGCCGGCAGCGGATCCGAGTCCGATTCAACCGAGCGAGGAATGGTTCGGCACCTTCCTTGAGGAGTATACCCAGCTGGCGATAGTTGTCACGAAGGCCTCGCAAGATGGAGAGGTCGTAATTAACTTTGATACCGAACCAAGTTCCATCAAATTATCTGGGCCCAAGAAGGGTAGTAACAATGAAATGGTTGCAGCCATTGACGGTGACTCTTTGCGCATTGATCGCATTGATAGCGTTGGAGATAAGATACTTACTGCTCAACGAATTGTTGCAAAAGAACCAAATCGCAAGGGGACAGATCTCCCAGGAGTCTACTACTGTGATGAAATCGAATCTACTTTTCATTGGATTGGGGAGGCAGGCACATTTTACGGTGCTTTTGACGGATACTTGGGAAAAGGACACGCAACTCCCATGCGATATCTTGGTGCCGACGTGTGGGCTCTCAGTTGCCCACGCAGTCTGGATGCACCAGCTCCGGGAGATTGGACTGTTGTTTTGCGTCGGGATGTGAATAGTGCTGTGACCGGGTTCACCATTGGTTGCTGGGGGGCCCGGCGCATAGAGTTCATTAAGAAAACCTAGGTAGTACGGAAATATCATACGATGCCTGTTCCTGAATAATTCAGAATCGTACTCAGTGTGTAATAAAGGATATATATGTACAATATCAACACCTTCCGTCGCTTGATAAAATATATTTCGGAACACTTAATGCTCAGAAACGAAGATACCGGCCATACCCATGCCCTGTTGGAAAATGTTAGTACGCTATGACAATTGCAGTGAATCCGATGGAAAGTACTTACAGTTCCCACACACATGGAGGTCACGGCGATGCGCTTGTCCTGTCGGCGCAGCTCGGACAAAGCAGTGACGACCTGGCGTGCACCAGTAGCACCCAGAGGGTGACCGAAGGCACTTCGTGACGTTAGTAGTGTATAATGAACAACGGTTGAAAGATAACTTACATCGCACCACCACGAGGGTTGACCTTGGACTCATCCAAGCCCAATTTGCTGACACAGTAGACACCCTTTGATCAGAATGTTAGTATTGCACAGAGTAACTTGGAGTGGATGAACCAACCATCGAGGAGAAGGCCTCGTTAATTTCGAAGATATCAACGTCATCCTTGCTCAAGTTGAACTTGCTCAAGATCTTAGGGATGGCCAGAGATGGTCCGATACCCATAATGCGAGGCTCGAGACCAGAAACGGTAGCACCGCAGAACTTGGCAACGATAGGCTGTCCAAGCTCCTGAGCACGGGACCGCTTCATCAAAACCAGAGCAGCAGCACCGTCAGTGATCTGACTGGCGTTACCTCCGGTAGTAGCGCTGGGAGCCCACTGGGGGAACGCAGCACGGACCTTGCTGAGAGACTCGGGGGTAGTACCGTAACGAATACCATCATCACGGTCAACAACAATGTCCTTAACTTCACCAGTCTTGGGGTCCTTAATTTGAGTCTTGACGGGAACGATTTCATCCTCGAGCCAGCCAGCCTTTTGGGCGCGCTCGGCCTTCTGGAAACTCTTCGCGGCGAACTTGTCATGCTGCTCGCGCGAGATGTTGAACTGGTTGGCGACGTTCTCCGAAGTCTGGCCCATGGGCTGGGAGTTCTGCGAAGCAATGGGGTGCTTGGCGATGCGCTCGGACATCTCGGGGGCGCCGCCATCGGCGTTATTGCTCATGCTTTCAGCACCAACGGCCACTCCAACATCGATCGATCCAGCGATGATTTGGTTGGCGATGTTCTGGATAGCGAGGAGACCGGATGAGCAGAATCGGTTGGCAATGGATGCAGCGGCCGTTACGGGGTATCCTGCTGCCAGGACGGCGGAGCGGGCAACATATGCGGAACCGGGGCAGAGGACGTTGCCAACGCAGACATCTTCGACGAGGTTCGGGTCGAGCTTGGACTTCTCGCGGACGGTCTGATTTGGATTAGTTACCGCGCGTTGGTTCTGATCAATGGAGAAAGTACCGTGAGGAGGGACACCAGGAGGTCATCGACGGTGGTATCCTTCAGACCACCCTTACGGGCCTTGGTGAGCGGCGTGCGAGCGAGATAAGTGATGACCTGTAGGGGGTTAACTTCTGGAATGTCCGAAATGGAGATCACGATCGGTAACATACAATATCATCGGCGTTCTTCGCGAGAACCTTCTGGCGGGCCGAGCCAGGAGCTGCCAATTGGTTGGCGACAGAGTTCAAACGTTGCTGTGGTGAAGACATTTTTAGATAGGGATGAAACGAAAAGCAAAAGCAAAGCTGTGCACAGATTTTATCCCCCGATGATCATCGCGATCTATGTGGGTCAAAGCAAATGAACCGCGGCATCTTTGGAGGCCGAGCCGAGTACAAACAAATCAAACAAAGCCCTTATGTGTTCCTCCGAATCTGGACCGAATGGAAGTGCCGCGTCTTCGGCACAAACATTGTATCATACCGTTATCCTGTATTCCTCGGTTGCCATTTAAGGACTGTGATTGGTCTTTAGGCTGTATCACAACTGTATCAGAGACCCACTTGTGCATCGATGCCGATCATAAGGATCAGGCGATACGATGAATAGGGGGTGCATCAGAGGTACAGACCGTTCAAAATCAACAACATACAAAGTGCCAAATGTAGTAGATATAATCGTGGAGCAGATAGACTGACGGCATGCTGTTAGCGCAAAAACCCGGGGAACGTCTAAGCAAGTATCTGGGGCCGCGGGGGAGACGGAGCCGAGATGCGGATACGGGGGATTTCCCGTAACGACGAGTCTCACTGGCGCCATTTCATCTGTTGTTGGGCGGCCTGCGTATGACTAGTGTATGGCGCTTGACTAGCTTCGTCATCAAACGGCAGATCGAGTCTGGTTAGCTTCCGTCACCAGGGCCGTGCAGGTTGGGGATCTTTATATCTATCCCTTCCTGATTTTTCCAAAGTTTAACGATTCCTAGTAATAGGAAGTCAACGATATATCGATTCCCGCGAAAAGAGAGATTATTGGCCTAGAAACTGTGATCAATCAACAAATTATTGGGTCAACAGAATTCGTCGCAATGGATATTCTCTCCGAAATCGGCGTGCCCACCATGGCCATGGCATCGGCTTTGACGGTAGCTGCAGGAGCGTATCTGAACGCGAAGCTTGCAATTTCAACTGATTTGGCATCAATCTCTAATGACAAGGCTTTTGCCAATCGGGTAGGCGAGCGCATTGCTAAGCTTGATGGCTCTGCAACCATATATAAGATGCTCGAGCGAGTAGTGGAGGTTGAAGGACAAGGTGCTGCAGATGCTCTGTGGTTTGAGCAAATGACATGGTCATATAACCAATTGAAGGACCGTAAGTATATCACCTTCTGATGTAATCAATTTTCTGTAACCAATTGCTGACATGTGTTCTTATAGTGGTTGATAGAATGGCTGCTCTGCTGAAGGGCCGTGATGTCAATGCTGGTGACACTGTGGGTGTTTTCACAACTAATTCACCAGAGATGGTTGTGACTCTATACGCCCTATCCAAGTTGGGCGCGGTGGCTGCAATGATTAACACGAACCTCCGAGGTATGTCAATTTTTGAAGTGGAATCGGAACAGGCCACTAACGAATCTTGTAGATGATACATTCATCCATTGTCTCAACGTCTCTGGTTCAAAGTCAATTATTTCAAGCGCAGATCTGGCGCAGAATGTATGCGCGGATCTGCCACACCTCACAGTCAACATCTCGTCTTTCGATGGTGCAGAGACAGGCCCAGTAGAGCTCATCACGTCAGAAGTCCTGCAACAATTCTCCCCTTCAGGATTACCAGCAGCCAAACGCACACCAAAAGACCTCGCAGTCTTGATCTACACCTCTGGAACAACAGGAAAACCCAAAGCATGCGCAATCCGTAACATGCTCACCATAATCACCTCTACCCCCCTCTCAACAGACGCAGGCAACCGCTCAAAGTATTACCCAATGCGCATATACTCCTCTCTGCCCTTATTCCATGGCACAGCCTTCTTCACTGGTGTATGTGGCTCTGTTGGAAATATAGGCACATTATGTCTGCGACGGAAGTTCTCCGCTTCTCAGTTCTGGAAAGATGTCCACGATTCAGGCGCCACACGGATCCTATACATCGGCGAGCTATGCCGGTATCTTCTCTCCACACCACCGTCGCCATACGACCAAAATCACAACTGCATCGTAGCAACGGGCAACGGACTTCGCGGGGAGATTTGGGAGAAATTCCGTGAGCGCTTCAATGTGCCTGAGATCCGCGAGTTCTACCGCTCAACCGAAGGAGTTGCCAAGTTTGACAACCATGGTGTTGGTGCGTGGGGCGCTGGTAAGGTTGGCTTTTCTGGGCCCATTCGGCGGTTCTTGGAAGACGATACTTTCATCGTCAAGTATGATACAGACGCGGAAATGCCGTGGCGCGACCCTGTTACTGGGTTCTGTGTTCGGGCAGGGCTCGAGCAGGAGGGCGAGGCAATTGGCCGCGTGCGTGATCGTGGTATGCTGATTGAATACCTGGGTAATGAGGCTGCCACTGAGGGCAAGCTCCTGCGTGATGTCTTTGAGAAGGGTGATCTCTTCCAGCGGACTGGAGATCTCGTTGTCCAGGATGCGTCTGGGTGGGTACGATTCCAGGATCGGGTTGGCGATACCTTCCGCTGGAAGGGCGAGAATGTCAGCGCAGGCGAAATCCGTGACCATATTTGTCGGATTGAGGGGGTTCAAGATGCTGTTGTTTATGGCGTCAAGCTGAGCAGGTGCGTGCTTTGGAAATCTGTTGATGATGTTGCCTTGCTGATATTTTATTTTCTAGTTATGACGGCCAAGCTGGTGCTGCCGGTATCACACTCGAATCCCCGGCTGCTGAGGCCCAGTTAATGTCCACATTATATGATGAGCTCAAGAGGAAGGGAGTGCCATCTTATGCCCTCCCTCGACTAGTCCGTCTCACTGAGAAGGTCGCTACAGGTGTCACGTTCAAGCAAGCTAAGGGCGATCTGGCAAAGAAAGGCTGGGATCCTCGCAAAGATTGTGCTGGTGACATCTTGTACTGGCTGGATGGTACCAAGTACGCAAAGTTGGGGGAGCAAAGCTGGTCGGAGATTGAAAGTGGTAAAGCCAAGCTTTGAGTTGTCAAATTCCAAGGTTACATTTAAAATAGGACCTGTATATCTAGGGCCAGGGAGCTAATATACGGCTCTTTTGTGTCCGTCTCATGACTGAATTTGATATATATATGCAACTTTTCTCTTGTTGATTCCTCCAACGGGATATATAAAACCTCAAAACTCACGTAAAATTGACGTATGCACAGTTTCAAGAGTCACTCTTGGCGTGAACAATCCAAACTCACTGGCCACGCAAGACTGTCGTACCCCGCTCTGTTACCTGGGCACCGAATCAACCGAGGCAAGTCCATCTAGATATATGTATATATATGAACGCTGAAACTAACGGTCTTCATTCATCAACTGAACCAGCTATCCACAAACTGTCTACTTCTATCCAAGATGTCACCATCACCAACTGTAAAACCGAGAACGTATTTCCCCCTTGCTGGAGGTGCCAGTGACGGTTGGTCGAAGGAGGACCAAGCGACAGCTACATGCTACTGCGGTGCGGTGCAATTGGCCTTTGTAAGTTTGGCCTCCCACCTGGGCATGCACAAATCACTAACCCAGTCGATTCCAGCCAACTCAAGGCCCAGGGTTAGTTGACGCATTCGTTTGCCATTGCACGGACTGTCGCAAAATCACAGCATCAATGTTTGCATCCAATTTCATTGTACTAAATTCCCACCTAAAACATCTGCGAGGTCGTGCGAACCTGAAAACATTCAGTCAATCCCAAACCATCGCTTCTGGCAAGGCAATGACCAACTACTTTTGTTCGACATGTGGATCACTTATGTACCGTATTGGCGAGGCATACCCTGGTCGCAGCATTCTTCGCATCGGAACAGTTGATGATTTCACTCTGCACGAGACAAAGTTGAGACCTAGAGTTGAGCAGTATACCAAAGATCGCGTGGAATGGTTACACGATGTGGATGGTGTCAAGCAGGTCAAGGGCTCAGCTTACGCATTACCTGGAGTAGCTGCAAAATCTTTCCTTTGAATACGCGAGATATCAACGCATTGGTAAGAGTTCGACATGATGGACTTGATGCCTGAAATGGCAGGTGTCAGTTTCTAACTCTTGTTGGGGATTTTTTCCGTGCTTACATTATCTCGATGTCCATGAGGTCTAGGTAGCCAATGATAGGCCGGTAAAAAAAAGTGATGATAAGGAGATGTTAAGCGTTCGGTACTAGACTCGAATATACAATTTCAACGAATCCAGTTTATAGTGGAGATCGGCATTTCGTTTCAATGCGACTGGTTCCCCCTCCAGTTGAAGTTGGCACGGGGCTACGCGAGCTGCGCTTTAAATTGTGGCCGCTTTCCTGTTCCCTGTTTTCCTGTTTTATTATTATATTTTTCTGAGGTTCTCGAATTGATCCATCTCGAAATATCTGAAGTCATGGCTCAGGATCAAAATAAAGACCCTGATTACTCCACTGCGGAGGTGGATCGAGGTTCAAAGATTGACCAGCCAACTGCACCGGATCAGTTCGATGAAAGATACCGAACAACCCGGATGGAAATCTGGGCCTACTATGCGTGCGTTGATCGTTGAGTGAACCTCGTGCGGAAACTAAACACCCCTGCAGCTATTATATTGGAAATAACGGCTTGTCACTCTTCAGTGGGTCTCTTCCCGCCTTTTTCTGGTGTCAAAAAATGATCAAATCGACTTGAAACTGACATGATTATGTTCAGACTTTGCCCCAACTGCGTTTCAAAATTTGCTATATCAAGCTGCCCCTGCAGATGGGCTACTCGACTTTATCGGCCGCCCACGAACAGTAAATAGCATTGTGCTCCTGTCAAATGGAATCTCTTTCGCGATCCAGGTCGTTGTATTCCTGGTGATTGGCAGTTTTGCCGATTTCGGCTACTGGCGGCCCAACATTTTGATCGCACTATCCATTATCGCATATGCTATCGGATTTGCCTGGCTGGGTGTTCATACTTCAGACAAATGGCACGTCGCAGTCGGTTTGTATATGGTGGGTTTGATCGCCTACCAGACGACGCTCACTTTTTTTGGACTGCTGCATTCCCGGGATTGGCGCGCAATACCCTCGAACTTAAGGAGAAGGCCGATGCATATGTCGCTGGGACCATTTCCCGGGACGAATACGACTATGCGGATACCATGATGCGGAGTCGACTGGCCAATGTCGCTTTCTATGTACAGTCTGTCGCTGAGATCTTCATTCTCGCTATCATTGTTGGGATCATGTTTGGGTTGAAGGTGAACGACAGCGAGAGCAATAATAACTGGGGTTTGAGCGTGTTGATCGCCTTTGTCTCCGGGGTGTGGTTGCTTGTCTCAATCCCCTGGTTTGTTCTCGAGAAACGTCGTCCGGGCCAAGATCCTGGGAGACGGTCTATTCTCATTGCTGGCATGTGGCAACTGTGGCATGCTATGAAGCAAATATGGCATTTGAAACAGAGTTTGCTCTATCTTATTGGTATGTGTAATACTCTAGATAATCGCATTCTCAGGTGCGCATTGCTAACTCCTGGGTTGAAACAGGCTACTTCCTACTTGGAGACTCTCTCAATACTACTGTTACAGTTATTTCAACCTTGCAAAATAGCATCGTTGCCTATAATACACTTGAACTGACATATCTGCTTATTGTTGGAATTGCCGCACAGGTAAGCTGAGCTTTTTCGGACATTGGAAAGTCCAATCTTTGATTAACAATCCTGTTTCAGGCGGTTGGTATATACGTATTCTGGACGGTCCAGCAACGTTTCCGACTCGGAACCAAAACCATGTTCAATACAATTGCCATTGGAATCATTTTGCTTGACGGTTGGGGAATGATCGGTATTTGGACTGACAAATTCGGCTTCCATAACGCATGGGAAGTTTGGGTATGTTACTCTCTTTAAAGAATATGCGCTCCATCTAATGCAAGCTTTGTGTAGGTCTACCAAGCATTCTACGGCCTGTTCATCTGCCCCTGGTACAGCTACTCGCAGATCATGATCTCAGAAGTCACCCCACGCGGCCACGAGTTCTTATTCTTCAGTTTGTTCAGCATCATCGGAAAAACCTCGTCTTTTATCGGTCCCATCGTCTCGAGTGCAATCATCGATGCTAGCCCAACTGGCAATGTTTCCACCCCATTCTACTTCTTGTTTGGATTGAGTGTTGCTAGCTTCCTGATCCTGTTTTTGGGTGTAGACTTGAAGAAGAGTCAGGAAGAACAAGAACGATTTTTGTTGGACAAGTTACGACGACTGGAGGCAAGTGAATCATCGTCTTCTGATGACAGGGTCCTGACACCGGTCTGAATTTTGAACTACTTTCTTCAAATACTTCGCAAATATCGGTTGTTTGTTCATAATGATGAGGAATCTCCATGAACTTTGTATAACTTTAGAAATACTCGGTGCACGTGAAGACAGTCGATTGCTGATGGATGGCATCCCAAAATGCGTCTGTCAAACTGCATAAAACCTCATAGTCCGAAGATCCTGGGAACCAGATTAAGCTCAAGCTAGGATCGGCTATCCCGTCCCAATTCATGGACTATATATATCTCCTTTCTAAAGGTTTTCATCTCAGACAGCTAGAGTCTGGACAATGAAATGAAAACAACCGTTACGAGAGTGATTGTCAGGACTCCCTCCAAAGAGCCCGATGGCCCCAAGGTTGACGCCAACATGGTCCTTGTTGATGGAGAAGTTGTATTTTTCGAGGTCAATGACGACTTCCCTAGCGCTGGGGATGGCATAGTCCTTGAGGCCAATACCCGAGTGCCAAACTTTGTCGAGACATCAAACATGCTACCATCTGTTCTCCCTCCGTTTGAACTTGCATCGCTTCGACAAAGACTACACGAGCTTGCGTTAGCTGCAGGTTTTCAAAATGCTGTGCTACATATCGAGGCTAAGCTACGCAATTCTAGCTGCCATTATGCTCTCGCTCCTGACTCGGATGGATTGATTGATATGCAGCTTAAGACACCGGCAGCCACGACGACGAAGCCAAATGATGTTTTTCTTCTGGAGATCAATCCCCGAGCACCAGGATGGCAAGAGGTCGATGCCACCGCTCGCACATATGGCGTCTCATACTATAGTATCTCTCTTCTCAACGCCCTAGCCGACAAAGACCGTATTCTGGCATTGTCAAAGCCTTTCCAGGGAGGATCTCAGTACAATATGTAGCTTCTGTTTGTCTCGGCCCAAAAGGGGAAATCTACAAATTCGGTGATATTTGTACGAAAGTGTTGCAACAAGATCCACTGAATCCAAGCCAAGAGGAGCTTGGACCTCATGTCGTCCAATGTGCTAATCTCATGGAAGATGGCGAAGAGGTTCTTGACCCAAGAACAGAACAGATTTATGGTAACTTTATTGCCTTTTTCCTGGTTATTTCACGTGAGAGTCGCAAGGAAGCGATACGCATTGGGCAGGAGATCGAACGTCGTGTTAGGCAGCTTACGGACGGCTTTTGAGCAAAAAAAATAAAATGCAACCGTCTCCAAGGTCGTACGTTTGACAGTGCTTGAGTAGGTAGCTCTATTGGAATGATATAGCTGCAGCTATTGCAGAGACTCGAACCCCCTGTCCGATTTGACTGTCAAAGTGTAGAATGTATGGGACACAAAAGTCGATGTATTTTCTTGCCGGACCGGAATCAATGAAGGTTTGAAGAAAATGGCATCTAATCAGGATCTTCGATTGACAATTCCTCCCTTGGCTACTCTATTGAGGAGGTCATACAATCTACAATTCCCTTCTCTCTTCTTCTCGCCATGTTCGCAGCCCGTTCTACAAGAGTAAATCCCCGCACGGGTGAAACTAGAAGAAAGTGCTCTGAAGGCTATCTTTAGTCAAATTGATTCGCTTTTCTTGAGTGTTTAATATGTTGAATTAAGGCGCCAATGATAAACTACTCAGTGAGCCTGAATCTGAGCCCCCTCATCAAAGCGGCGGCAACCCGAAGAGGATCTCCCCACCCGTCAAAGAAAATCCAGTACGTATAGTGGCCTATATAGGGTTCGTGTAATTCCATGCTAGTTCAACGAGACAACGAATCTATAGATACAGCCATGTCAGAAGTTGCGTGGGGTAGAGAATAGTGGAGGTAAGGATTCTGCTACACTGATGATAGTTTCCAGTGAAAAATGTCCAGGGATTTCTGAATTTGAGGTATATATAGATTTCTTCCAAGGCGATTCCAAGGCGATTCCATATCTTTACCTAAGCTGTCATGAAAACGTCATCTATAAATGCAAGCGCCTCTTTGTATGCCTTAGTCGTGCTTTTCGACACCTCTGAGTCATGATCAAATGAAAATTCTTCTAATCCGTGTCGGCCATTTTCAACAAGGAAAAGACTCGACCTCACCCCGAGCTTGTTGAGCTGTTCATGATGATCGATGCTTTCTTGATCCGAAACAACCTCGTCCGCTGTACCATGCACAAACACAGATGGCGGGTACTCCTCGGTGACGAACGACTGCAAAATCCCAGGCTTTAATTCCACAGGGACTGTGGCATCTCGCAGCGAGTATTCAACGGCATTCAACATAGCTCCGAGACCAGGTCTACCAAAACACCCATCCAAAAACGTGCCATCCAGCTCCCAACGAACCGTAAGTGCAAACCGCTTAGACAATCGCTCATCCTCCTTCATATCATCGCTGATAACCGACTTATCTGCCAGCAACCTGGAAACATCATTCAAATCGACGAATTTGGCAATCGATGTAGGTGGTCGGGCAGCCGTCCAGTGATCAAGAAGCATATTGCCACCAAGTCCATACACAGAGAGCAAAACGGCAGGTTTAGGATTGGCGTAAACACAAGCGGCACGGGCCGAGTACGCGCCTGCAGAGAACCCGCTCACTGCGATGCGGGTAGTGTCAAGGGATACAGTCTGGGGCAGATGACTGGCAAACTTCTCCCCGGCAAGATATTTGAACAATGCCTTTGCGTCTTCAATTTGATCCAACGTTGTTGATGGATGGCAGAGGCGGTAATCGGCGGAAATGAAGATGTAACCTTTTTCTTGGCAGTGGTCTATGAGCATATTAGAGGTGGGCTCTTGACTCAGTGGTAATAGTCGACGACGGCTTCGGTTTGTTCTTACTATAGAGCCAGCTTGGATATGGCACACTGCGCCTGGAACCAGCTGTCATTCCGCCGCCATGGTAGTAAAGTATAGCTGGGAGAGCTCCGGTAGCTTTTGGAAGGTAGTAGTCGAGTTTGACATCATGCTCCTCAGCGCTGGAATAGACTAAGGTCTGGCCATCTTTTGGAAGCTTGAAGCTCATCGTTGTTGACCTTTGGTTACCGGCACTGGTAGGTTCAAAAGGATGTGTGTAGTAAAACCTGAGGAGGTTGGTTGGGTGTGACGTTCACCGGACAAAGTCTTTGCCGGAAATATGACAATATCACGATGATTGGTCTTTTGGACTCTCAATCATTATTATACAGCATGGTATGAAGTTATGTAGGTAGTTCTTGAATATTCATTCCTACATACAACACGCAACGTGGTTCTATCTGTATTTCTATTAAGTTGGTTAGCGGGGTGGGAGTCCTGCCATCAAGGACATGGGATATCTCATTTTGGGCGACCCACGCATAGTACTATAGAGAGATAAAACCCTATAGACTTGTTCCTGAATATCGAATGTCTATGTAGATTCAAAAAGAGACGTAAAAAGAGAAGTAACAAGAGACATGAAAGGAAATATTATAAGGGATGTAAAAAGGGATGTAGTTAACTAGGTTGTGATGGAACAGTATGATAGGGTATATTCAGGCATCATTACTAGAAATGAAATGGATTCGACGCCTAGCCACTGTACACCTCCGTAGTGGTGTAAAGTCTGGAATAGTATATCCAATGATAAGCTAGATGGGCGTTTATACCCCTTGCATTAACGAAGGAACACAGAGTAGAAGTATCGTCACGTCCCACAACGACCGCGATGTACTCCATACCCAACAGACGACATGGCTCTTGAAAACATCGGTTATCAACAAGAACTAAAACGGTCCTTCGGTCTGTTAGATATGGTGGGATTTAGTTTTAGTATTGTGACCTGGTGAGAATTGTCTAGAGACAGTTTAGTAAATTCATGTCTAACAAAACACAGTTGGACTGCATTAAGCGGCGTCTTCATCATTGGTGTCGAAGCAGGTGGGCCACCGGTCATGATCTTCGGTTGGATCGGGGTCTGCGCATTCACGGTACTGATTGCCTTGGCGATGGCCGAGATGTGCTCGCAATGGCCAGTCTCTGGCGGCCAATACTCGTGGGTAGCTATGCTGGCGCCACCGCGAGTGTCTCGGCAGATGTCTTATGTCACTGGATGGTTTATGTTGGCTGGTCGGTAGTGATTGAAAATTTGTTTTGTCCTGTTGCTGATACTTCTACTAGGAATTATCGCTATGGGTGCAGTCAATAATTCCCTTGGGTCAAATTATATCCTCGGCCAAGTAAACTTGATCTTCTCCGATCTCGTCATTGAGCGATGGCACACTGTCCTAGTTGCGTGGGCTGTGGGGCTATTTGCCCTTGTTATCAATGTGTTTGCGCCTCACGCTCTACATCGCCTATCTCGATTGATCTTGGTTTGGAACATGGCCTCTTTCATCATTGTGATTGTTACTCTCCTCGCAACCAACAACCACAAACAAGATACCAGCTTTGTCTTCCACGACTTCCGGAACAAGACCGGTTTTGGAGCCGCGATTGCTACTACCGTCGGCATTCTACAGAGCTTCTTCGGTATGTGCTGCTACGAGGCACCGAGCCATATGACAGAAGAGATGACCCACGCGAGCCGCGATGCACCCAAAGCAATTATCTTATCGGTCATCATGGGCGCAGTGACTGGTCTGGTATTTCTTCTCACTCTATGCTTTTGTATGGGGGATATTGAAACTACCGCAAATTCACCTACCGGAGTTCCCGTAATCCAGATTTTCTATGACTCAACCCACAGCAAGATTGGAACGTGTATACTGGCCAGTATGATTGTCATAATCATTATGGTCACGTCTATAAGTCTTGTTGCAGAAGGATCAAGATCTCTATATGCTTTTGCTCGAGACCATGGATTGCCATTCTCAGAACTGTGGTCTCAAGTTGAACCAAAAAAGAAGATCCCTCTACATGCAATTATTCTTGCTGTCCTTGTGCAGCTTTCTCTAAATGCTATCTACTTTGGCACAGAGACAGGATTTGAAACGGTGATCTCGATAAGCACCACGGGTTTCTGTGTGTACCCTTACTTGACAAAATGTTGAGACTCAAAATGCTAACATGACATCCGAATAGACGTTTCATATGGCCTCGCGCTTCTGTCCCGACTGCTCGGTTATTTATCCGGTCACTATACCTCCTTTGATGGACCTTATTCGTTGCCGCTCCCGCTTTCACTCAGTTTCAATGGAATTGGGCTTGTGTTTCTGCTTTTCGCTTCAATTACATTCAACTTTCCTCCCAAAGCACCAGTCACCTCGGACACAATGAACTATACCAGTGCAGCTATCGGGCTGGTGATATTACTCAGCGTTGTGACCTGGTTTACTTCTGCGGCCAAGCGCTTTACTGGCCCTTCCGATGTGCACGACTTGGTCATTCATGGTATAGAAAGCCCGTCAATGTTGCAAGTTGCCAACAATACAGATCCGAAAGTAGGCAAAGCAAACCTTGGAAAATAATGAGCGGTGACTCAGAAAGACAACCTATACACATTGCACGCATAAATCCAAAAAAGAAAAATAGTACACGCTTGATTCTGTAGGACGAGATTGCCACTGACCAATAAAATAGACCTAGCTAGCACGGAAATGCAGATTCACGATCATAATTCATTCTCGTTGATATTCGTAGGCTAACCAAATTAAAACAATAGCCCATGGCTAGCCCATGGCAAAATCGAACACAAATAGTAGTCGCAAGAAGCAGGGGAATATGATTACGATATCCAAATTTGAAACCGAAATGAATGATGGCAGCACCAAGAACCAAAGCCAAGCACTGAACAAGCAAAAGAACAACTTTACCACTCAAGAGGTTCGTTCTTGACATCACCCCGGTTGGTCTTGGGAACAGGAGCAGCCTCAACCATAGTCGCGCCACGGCGATCACGACGGAGGTAGCCACTGCCATCCAACCAGGGGGTGTCGAGAGTACGCTTGGACTCGAAAGAGCGGATCTTAGACTCCATCTGGAGAGTGAGACCAATGTCGTCCAGACCGTTGACAAGACAGTGCTTGCGGAAGCCATCGACATCGAAAGAGACGATCTTGGTACCCTGAGCATCCTTGATCTCCTGGTTGACGAGGTCGACCTCGACCTCACGACCGGCGCGGGCCTCATCGGCGATCTTTTGCAGAGCAGTCTCGTCGGAGACGACAACAGGAAGCATGCCGTTCTTGAAGGTGTTATTGAAGAAGATATCGGCGAAGGAGGGAGCGATGATGCACTTGATGCCGAAGTCGAGGAGAGCCCAGGGGGCGTGCTCGCGGGAGCTACCACAGCCGAAGTTGGGGCCGGTGACCACAAGGATCTTCGAGTTGCGGTAGATACCCTGGTTCAGAACAAAGTCGGGGTTTTCCTTGTCGTCGGTGTAACGCAGCTCGTAGAAAAGCGCGGTACCAAGACCTGTGCGCTTGATGGTCTTGAGGAATTGCTTGGGGATGATGGCATCAGTGTCGACATTGGCACGGTCCAGAGGAGCAGCGATACCCTTGAGGGTGGTGAAGGCGGGGAGGCCAGTGCTCTTACCTCCACTGGCGGTGGCGGAGGTGTTGGTGTGGGGCTGGTCATCAGCAGGTTGGTCGAGAACACGGTCGAGATCCTCCTCGGTCTGGGGGGAGTCTGGGGCGGGTTGCTGGACGTCAATCTTGGGAGAGGCCTTGCCGAGGACAGGACTGGCGACAACGTGCTCGCGGACATCGGCGAGCTTGCCGACAATGGCAGCGGTGGCGGCCATAGCGGGGGACATCAGGTGGGTACGGCCCTGGGCACCCTGACGACCCTCGAAGTTACGGTTGGAGGTACTGGCACAGCGCTCCTTGGGAGAAAGGATATCAGGGTTCATACCCAGGCACATGGAGCAACCAGCCTCACGCCATTCAAAGCCGGCATCTTCGAAGATCTTGTCAAGACCCTCGTCCTCGGCTTGCTGCTTGACCAAGCCAGATCCAGGAACAATCATGGCACGCTTGATGTTGGAGGCAATCTTGCGGCCGTTGACGACCTTGGCGGCGGCACGCAGATCCTCGATACGTGCGTTCGTGCAAGAACCGATGAAAACCTTATCGACAACAACATCTTTCATGGGGGTGCCAGGGACGAGACCCATGTATTCAAGGGCGCGCTTGCAAGAGGCCTTGCGGCTCTCGTCCTCGAAGTCATCGGGGCCGGGAACAACGCCGTTGATTGGGACCACGTCCTGGGGAGAGGTACCCCAAGAAATGGTGGGAATGATATCCTTTCCATCAAGGAAAATATCAGTATCGTATTTGGCATCAGCGTCAGACTTCAGGCTGGACCAGTACTTGACAGCCTTGTTCCACTCGGCGCTACCGTACTTGGGGGCCAGAGGACGGCCCTTAAGGTATTCGAAGGTGATCTCATCGGGCGCAATCATGCCGGCACGCGCACCACCCTCAATTGACATGTTACACATGGACATACGGGCCTCCATGCTAAGTCCACGGATGACGGATCCGCAGAACTCGATGACAGCTCCAGTGCCACCGGCGGTACCAATGACACCGATAATGTGGAGGACGACGTCCTTGCTGGTAACACCAGCAGGGAGCTCACCGTCGACCTGGATGCGCATGTTCTTACTGCGGCGGGTAATGAGGGTCTGGGTTGCGAGGACGTGCTCGACTTCACTGGTTCCGATACCGAAGGCGAGGGAACCGAAAGCACCGTGGGTGGAGGTATGGCTGTCACCGCAGACGACGGTTGTGCCGGGCAGGGTGAAACCTTGCTCTGGGCCGATAATATGGACGATACCCTGGCGCTTGTCACCCATTCCGAAATAGGTGAGGCCAAAGTCCTTCACGTTCTGTTCAAGGGTGGTACATTGCAGACGCGAATCGTTCTCCTTGATGAAGTCGGCGGCGTTCTTGAAATTTTTCCGTGAAGATGTGGGGATGTTCTATTGAAGCGACGGAGTTAGCAAATATCCATGGGCCACCATTGGGCATGGAATTGGACCTACGTGATCAACAGTAACCAAAGTGCAGTCCGGCCGGCGGACCTTGCGGTTGGCGTTGGTAAGACCCTCGAAGGCTTGGGGAGAGGTGACCTCATGGACGAGGTGACGATCAATGTAGATCAAGCAAGTGCCATCTTCTTGCTCATTGACGATGTGGTCCTGGAAGACCTTGTCGTACAAGGTCCTGGGTTTTGACTCTGCAGAAGGCATTGTGGGGAGTGAGTGGTAGAGAGCTAGGAAGGGAGTATATAAGGAAAAGGACGATGAGAATAAGGGTAATGCAGGAATGATAGGAGCTCTAGTGAAGAGCGAGAGAGTAAGTATCGAGACCTGGGGGATATGAAGAAGAAATGACTATTATTATATTTTCCTGCTTTTGAAGAATCCGCGATGTCGCTGGGGAGCTCTTCGAGGGGCAGCACCGATCTCGGCCGGTCAGCGGCGAATAGTGAAATTTTGATTGGCTGAGTTGGCGGCACAGTGGAGAGCCGATGTCGGTCGGTCTTCAATGTAACAGAAAATGTGAACACGGCTACTCGCGCTTCATGGCGGGTTAGAAAACCGAGTCACATATTCCTGCACTAAGTACTTCAAGCGGTCAAATTCAAGAGAATTTTGGAGATACTATGAGTGGACGTATCCATCTATTGGGAAGTAGAATTGACTCCAGATCTGCTGTATATCGATATACTAACTAGTTAAGAACTGCGTCTAAATAAATTAGGCATGACGTACGCCGACTCCGGACAGCCTTGGAAGTAATGAAACCACGTTGATTGGTTATAGACTCCGCCTCCGATCGGCCCGCATCATTTTGACTCAACGCTATACCCGTGGACGCCTAGTACAAATCTTGTACAGAGTTTATGCCTCGGTCTAGAGCCCTGGTAGTACTGTATGTATGGTTCGTCTGATATATTTGTCTACAAGTCTTTCGATAATATGTTCAAGCATCTCTTCATTTTTCTGAGCAATTCATCTTTGAACTGCGTATTTGGATCTCATCGGTCTAAAAGATCGCATGGTCTAAAAATCAATCTAGTTATAGTCATATACCAAAATACCAAATCCCGCATCTTAAGTTATCTTTCATCACAAATCGCAAGGACGGGAGGTCGCCCACTATACCGACGAAGACCCCAGATCGACGACAATCCTCTTCCCAGACACCGACCCACTTCGCAATGTCTCTAGCGCAGCATTGATACCTTCCAAACCACCTTCAGCGTGAACAATCTCCGGCAGCGTAAGATTTGTCGATTGCAGAAGATCCTCCAGCCAGCAGACCATTGCTTCACCTACTGCAGGAGCAGTGTGGAAAAGCTTAATCGGTACAGTGTGATATTGTATTCCGGGTATCTGTTCTTTAGGCAGACCGCTAAGTCCAAGCAGATGGGCATGGCCATCGGGATCTAGCGTCTTCTCAAGCAGAGTTGCTGTCTCCCTTCCGACTATATCAATAGCATATCGAAGTTTGCCACCGGTGATACCCCGAATAACTTCCACTGCACGATCGGGGTCTTGTCGATCGACCAAGAGATCTGCACCGGACTGTAAAAGTTTTGCTCCATGGCGGGCGGCGTCTGCTACGCAGATAACACGTAACCCTGCGAGCTTAGCTAATTGAAGAGTGATCAGGCCAGTGGTAGTTGAGGCTAGTCAGGGAAATATCAGTGGTAAACTTTCAAAGTTGTAAAAGAGCTTTTCTTACCTCCCCAGATAGCAACCCAATCACCACGTTGTGGCTTTTCTGAGTTTGATAATGAAGCAAAGCACTCTTCTCGAATGTCGGATGGAATATCATTTTTGTCAAGTCTGTTGATAATGCTGGGCAGATTGGGACCGGGGGACTGTGTAATGCGAGAGAAGTCTATTCCAAATGAGACTCCCAGAGCCAACACCGCGGCTACGAAGGCAACCCCTACAGAAGCCGAAGCGTGAATAGATGTTGAAGCTGGGATTCGGGCGGCGTTGAAGTCGGTAGCAATGGCGTATTCTTGGAACGCCGCCTTTCTGATATCTCGATAATCTGTTGATGGTACCAGAACAACATCGCCTACACGAAGACGTGATGATCCTTTGGGTACTTGTAGTACGAGGCCGGCCAGGTCACGTCCGTTGATCCAGGGCAGGCTGGGTATACCAAAGTTGAACGCCCTAGATAATTTATATTAGCAGATGCTAAGGATGGGTATGAAAAGCCAACTGTTTATGGTAACACTTACGGTCCTTTCCAGTCAACAGGGTTGAGACCGATGGCAAGAACCTGTAAATCAAATATCAATATCATGCATCACTATGCATCACTATGCAAGGTACGGTCAGTGCAAACCTATCATACCTTGACAAGAATCTCTCCTTCATGTAAGACGGAAGGAATAGCATGATCGTTCACCAGTGCATATTGTTCACGAGCCCCCTTGAGAAGCAGAACTCGTTGTGTTGACTCTTCCGACCGTGGAGAAGCAGGTTCGCTTTCAGATCTTGACTCATTAGAGTAATCTGAGAGGGGCTTTGAAAACAAGTTGTTATGGAAGGTAGTCGGAGTCTTGTGGAACTCTTCAACCTGGAGACATGTAGATGTGGTTGACATGATAGATATAGGGGCTAGTAATGGCATAACTCGAAGCTCACGAGGAAACACAAGTGAAACTACCTCATCTATATTATACTTCGCAGCAGTTTATACGATCTCTCGGGCGAGAAGATAAAGGCAAAGTACGCTTGCCTCATTTTAGGGCGCGGGGCTTTGATATCAGTCCCATAAGCACGTATGTAGGGTCGGGGTACCTCCACTGTCTTGGCTCTGAAATGGAATAATTTCGTCTCACATTTGCGCAATGAGAGCGTTCCCGTACATCCGAGTTCTGTGGTTAATTAATTGCTCATGGCGGGGCAGGAATGGCGTGCTGAAATCATGGAAAGCCTGGAGGAAGATCATAAATCTAGCCTATTGTTACATACAACGTACGTAGCTACTACTTCCAAGTCTAAAGATTCTGGGGGTCTCCATATGTCTTTGATTGATGGATGCATTTGATATTTTGATATTGAACAGCCCAAAAGAAAAGACATTTTGTATTTTCTACTTGTATAGCTACTTGAATATATGTGCATTTGTAGGTAAATTAATCGACATTTTGCAGATTCATTTGAAATCCAATTTTTTGGGGAAGTTCAATTTGCTGCTTTCGACTGAAACTGATGTGATCCGGCATTGTGATGACGAAACTTGAACAACATTCTAACTACTTGATACTGTAGTGTAGTGACCCAATTCCTACATGTGTATGGTATTTATAATGCAAACATACATTTTGCTGATTATAAATCTACAATCGAATCAAGCTGATGATACAAATTATGGGATTTCATGATGTATATTCTAGTTCACTTGAGCAAAATATTAACAAAACAAAAGATTTGCCAAAGATTTGCACATGTTTACTGGAATCTGGGTTATACAATTCTAAAGTTTACAATTATATCTCCAGATATCTTTAAAAGGTGATTCAATTGCCTCCCAGTCTCTCAGGGCAATTGAGATTCAAAATCAGAAGCGGTTTCTATACCCCAATCTTTCCAAAGGTCTAGATCCTATTATGTTAGTGGACGAAAGTCCATTTCTGTACCTACATTGGATGTAAAACGTTGAGCTTATCTCCTTCCATTATCAAATCTGAATAGATCTGATTATTTTAATCGTTTTCTAGCTCTGGATGTTGAGCCACAGTTATTGTGCCGCCCGAAGGAGCCGTGCGAGCACGTAATTCCACCAGAGAACGACAACATTGTGAAGAATCAAAGCTAGATCTTTTTGAAACTAGGCAAGGCTTAAATAGGGAATACCAAGACGATAAGTTTTCCTAATGTTGTCATATCGCGGAATAGATCACTTGAGGAAGTAAATCCGGAACTCTGTACTATAGATCTCGCACGCGGGCGCTATAATTATAAACTGTCGCAGCGCCTGTCAAAAAACACGTTGACAAGTTAAACTTGGGTTCTATTTCAATATGGTGGCCTCCGAAAAAGACATCGCGCCAAATGATGAGGAACTACACAGCGCGGGTTCTTTCAACTCGCCCCTTGCTGGCCCCTCCAAAGGTGAGATTGAAAGATTGTGATCCAGAAATCCAATAAAGTCTAACCGTTTAGTCAAATTCTACCGTTCGACGTTCTTCAATGCCTTTATCCTCGGTCTGTGCAACTTCCTCGCCCCCGGTATTTGGGGTGCCATGAACTCCTTAGGTGGAGGAGGCGAAGAAAAGCCCTATCTCGTGAACGCAGCGAACGCCCTGACTTTCGGACTCATGGTAGTATCTTGCTTCCTAGGAAGTGTCGTCGTGCGTTTTATTGGAATCAAATGGACTCTTATCGTGGGAACAATGGGATATGCACCCTACGCCGCGGGGTTATACACAAACAATCGATTCGGCAACGAATGGTTGGTTCTCTTGGGTGCTGCCCTCTGTGGTATCTCTGCGGGCATCTTTTGGATGGCGGAAGCAGCCATCGCCCTATCTTACCCGGAACCATATAATCAAGGCCGCTTCTTGGGTTTTTGGCTCAGTTTCCGCGTTGGAGGGCAGATACTAGGCGGTATCATCAACTTGGGGATCAATGCCAACCGGTCCACATCAGGCTCGGTTTCATACACTGTTTACCTTATTTTCATTGCTCTGCAGGCCCTTGGCCCCTTTGCAGGGTTGCTGTTGAGCAACCCGTCTCAAGTCCAGCGTAAAGATGGCGTCGCTGTTAAACTCGAGGTGACGAATAGCATTGGTTATGAGCTGAAGAGCATGTCGAAGCTTTGGATCAGTCGGAAGTTCCTACTTATCATTCCATTTATTTGCCAAGCCGTTTACACCGAGGCCGTGATGTTCTCTTACGAGGGATTGTGGTTCTCAGTGCGCGCAAGAGCACTCGGATCGTTTCTTTCCGGTGTGATTGCTCTAATCATCGGCAATCTTCTGGGGGCCTTCCTCGACTCCAAGCGTATATCTCTGAAGAAGAGAGCCAGATATGCGTTCTTTTTCGTGGTCGGTTGGCAAGGCATGTGTTGGATCTGGGCATCGGTAGTAACGACAGAGTTCAACAAGACGAAACCGACCTACGATTGGACCGACCCAGGCTTTGGAAGAGCCTTCGTGCTCTTCTTGTTCTGGGTTGCCGGATTCCAACTCAACTACATGTACTTGTAAGCTACGCTCGAAAATTGGCGGCCCATTTGGAGGAGTGCTGACTGAATGCCGATAGGTTCTTCTTGGTGGGTAATCTTGCAGACGATCAAGAGGAAGTGGTGAGAATTGCAGGCTTGTTGCGTGGAACAGAATCGGCAGCTCAATGTGTGAGCGTATGTATACACCAGTCTTTGTCGTGTATCCTTTGTATTAACGAGATATCTCTAGTACGGTTTGAGCAGCGTGAGCATCATGGCAGCCGTAGGTAGTATCTACCTCAACTTTGGCTTGTGGGCCGTCGCGATCCTCCCTGCCTGGCTTATTGTCAAGCAAGTTGGAGAAGCATTCGGAGATAAAAAGATGGAAAGAGAAGCTCTTGGGTTGCGCGAGGCCTCAGATCAAGACTGAGAGGCTTGAGCAAGAAATAATATTTGGGTGCAAACTATTGAAACGGCGCTGGTGGCCTAAGGGTGTTTGTTTCACGCTCTCTACGGTATGAAACTTTATTTTGATCAAAATATATACATTGAAAAAATCATGGTTTGGAGTTTAACATTCCCCCAGGTGGTCCATGGCAAGTTTAACCTTTAAAGCTACGCGACGAACCCAAATTCTCTGTTGTCGTGGTTGAACACGAGTAGCGCGAGACGGTGTCGTACAAACAGTCCTATAATTCCACAGACAGTTTGGACTCCAACCATGTGCCACGCCAATTGGTCTTCTCGCATGGGGCCCATCCACACCAACCAAAGGTTCAAGATAGTGAGGTTTGTGGATTCGGTAATGTGACCTTGTTCATCTGTGGTGATCCGCACCAGATTCGCTGTGTGCAATAGACGTAGCGCAGCATCTATAAGCAGCGATGGAGGACTCGTCCACTCCGTGGTGGAAGCATCCAAAAGCCCAGTAGATGGGCTGAACTTTGGTAATCGATGCCGAGGACAAGGAATAAACTTAAATAGCTGAGGAATCGAGTACACAAAGTTGAAAATCTGTGGGATGAACAGCAGCAGCAGGGTTTTGCTGAAGTGTCCTAGGATGCCAACTACGGCAAACACCATCCCTGCGAAATAACAGTAGGTATCTCCAACAAATACTTTTGAAGGGTACCAGTTATGGCACAACAGAGCCGCCGAAACCCCGATAAATGGGAGCAGAAAGTAAATCGACAACAAGTGTGAGTCGGTGGCAGGGTGTGGATATGGCGCGATAGGTGCAAGGTACATCGCATCATTGAATAATAATTGAACTGCGATCACCAGCGATTGAGCAACCTCGATACCATTGATGCCTGCTAGCATGTTGATAGCATTGGGACAGAAGATTGCCACGGCTGCCATATACATGTAGTACAACCATCCAAGGTCAACAGTGTCACCTAGGTAGGGTTGCAGCGGCACTGGAACAACGACTTGTGTGACACCAAAGTCAACAAAGTACACTATTAGCATGGGAATCGCGGAGAAAGCGGGGATCAAGACTTTGTGTCGCCAGCGAATGTCGAATAGATCATCACCAATCCCAAGAATGACGACGGATTGTAGAGATAAAAGACCAGAAAGGTAAGAGGCGAGCTGTTGCATGCACAAGTTAGCTCGATGATAAATGACAATGAGTTAGGACCAAAAGCTGACTTTGCCATGGGGAAATCGGTGCAGGAATCGACCGTTCTCAATATGTTGCGATTCAATGACAACATCGCGATTTCCACCGCCGGATGTGGCAGCTACAATGTCCTTGTAGAAGGCAAATGGGATGAACATAATAAGAGACATGAGATAGACCACAGCGCAAACTGCACCCATAGTCTCTGGGCTGTAATAAAAACTCAGTACAGGGCTAGATCTCAAGTGAAGTCATACATACATCTCGGGCCGACTTGGTTTTGCCATATCTTTGCCCTTCAATCCTGCCTTGAGGAATACGGGCCCAAGCCATCTTATCAGGCTAAATGCCGCCGCAAACACAATGATGCATAGAGCAATTGAAGCAATTAGTGGCGCTACATCACCTTGGAATGTAGTATTGAGGATCGCTAAACCGGCCCCCACGAGAGCGAGAAGACACCAAGTCTCCGAGCGAGAGAGGGTGCTTGAATGATGCATGGCGTGCAAATAAACCAAGGTGGCAGGAGTGACACCACTTAGAAAAAACCCCCACGAACAAACTGACTCTTTGCAGGAGAAGCCACCTCAGCGACGCGCAATCTGTCTTCTCAAAATAACTCGATAAGCTTATCGTGTTCTGCCAGATATATTGTTCCACCGCCATCCCGGCGGTCAAAACATCCCGTGATGCTTGCGATCAAGAAGGTAAGGCGACGACCATTTGTTTCAAATCTCATACGTGCAGATGCATAAAATTCAAAACATCATTGGCCCAGTCGTTTAATTCGTCAATTCCACAGTTTTGACAGTCTCGATGGGGACAGTGGAGCGCCCGGAGATGACGGCTGGATTTGCCGACTTCGATGCTGGCCATCGGGATCTGGTTACCGTTACCAAGTTTAACTTCTATGGCAACCGTATTGTCACGGCCTCTTCAGACCACCGGATGAAAGTGTGGGATCTCAAGGATGGTCAATGGCAATTGATAGACACATGGCGTGCCCATGATGCCGAGATTCGCGATGTACGCTTTTAAACAACCAAAAGACCACCCGAAGGGCGTCAACTCAGTTCATTTGCTAATTTGTCATTACAGGCAACATGGAATGGTCCTTTTACAGGGCAGCATATTGGTAGTGTTGGAGAAGACATGAAATTAAAAATATGGCAAGAAGATGTGACCCAGCCCCCAAATTCGGGACGGCGTTTCAGGTCGATCTTTCGTATGACCGCGCCGCAAAGACATCCATTTGTCTCACTTGACTTTCGCAACATTGACCTGGAATCCTGGCTGGCTGTAATTACCCGGGATGGCTACCTCATGATTATGGAGCCTGTCAGTCCTGATAGTCTTGCAGACTGGCAGGCTGTCGACCAGTTCCGAGTGTGTACGGCGCCCGAACGTGGAGAGGAAACAAGCTTCAAGGTTCAGTTTCATCATGATCCTACCGATATCACCCATACTGTCTTGCCAGACACCGATCGGAAGAGTTTATCGTTGATCGTGGCTGCTATGGACACCGTCAAGATCTATCGCACAGATGCAAACCGACGATTCTATCACGCAATCGAACTTAATGGACACAGCGGCCTTGTGAGAGATATTTCTTGGGCCAATGGTTCTGTGCGCGGGTACGATCTTATCGCGAGTGGTGGCAAAGATGGCTTAGTGCGTATTTTCGAGGTGTATACGTTCCCAGCTGGTCAAGCATTGCACAACACCAATGGTCGAAAGACTGATCGTCGGGCTCAATCACAATCACCGTCATCCCGGGCCATTTCACAGTCTGGGATTGGCTCTGCATTGGCCAGCCGTGTACCCGAGCCAACAATAGATCGTCAGGCAAGCGGTGATTCGCAGTTCCGACATTCATTTAAACAAGTTGCCTGCATCGACACGAAACACCTTGATGTTTGGCAGGTTCAATTCTCATTCTCTGGTAAGTGTTCTCATCTTTTTCCTCGATTCCTTGGGAACTTTATTAACCTGATCTAGGTGACTCTTTAATTTCCTCCGGGGATGATGGGACGGTCCGGTTTTGGAAACGTTCACTGTCTGGAGAATGGCTCGAATTTGCCGAAACCGACATGGTATCTCAGTGATATCCTCGACGGTTCCCTTCCCTATATTCCAGGTGCTCAGACGATATCATGAGGGGCCAATGTCCCTGGGGATCCACGAGATAGGCCTAGTGCAATATCGCTTCCCATTCATAATTTGGCCATCATACCATAACTTTTCCTTTCTGATCAAAGATACCCTTTACACCTGACTTCTGCATACTCCTGTGTTTATTCGGTGGTATTACCAGCAATGGTTAGTTGGATTCAAATTTGACGTTTGTTTGTTTTATCTGCTGAGGAAAGGGCGACGTTTGAAGATTCCATAGTTGGCCCGCCTTCACAACTCCGAGTCTTTCGAACTTCCACTATCAACATTTCATTCTCTTCACCTAGAACCATTCATTATCTATCTTCATTGTTAAACTACCATGGCTCTCGGCCCGACACTTGGCACCGGATTGTTCATCGGTGCCGGCCAGGCTCTCGCTGTCGGCGGGCCTGCCTCGCTGCTACTATCGTATATACTCCTGTCTTTCCTGACTTTCGCCATGACCACGAGCGTGGCAGAAGTATCCATTCACACGCTTTCGCAGCATGGAACATTAGTCAACAACGGCTACCTATACATACCAAGCAGTGTGGCATTCGCTTCGGCATACCTTCGGTGGTATTCTCTCGCCTTGTTCGTCCCATATGAAATCACAACGGCAATGGTCAATCTTGGCCTCTGGAAACCGGGCCCGGCTATCACAATCAGACTGTCGATCATCACCATCATCGTTGTGGGATCCAACTTCCTGCCCGAGAGAACTTTCAAAAGCTCCGAGCGTTTGTTCACTTGGATCAAAATCGGTGCAATGGCCACTCTTTTTCCCTCTCTCTGGCATTGGGTCTTGGAGGTGCTGATGGACATACTTCCTGGGGGTTCAAATATTGGAAACATCCAGGGGCCATGAATGAGTACCTAGTTCGCGGCTTATGGGGACGGTTCTTGGGGTTCTTCCAATGTCTCCTTGATGGCTCCATTGCTTTCTCTTTCGCCCCCGAGCTCATCACACACCGTGCTGAGATGCCTGCCTCACTTGGCGAGACTGCAATTCTGAGCGCCGCGATCCCAGGCAAAGTCATGTCCGATGTTCTTCAAACTGCTTTCCCTTACATCATGAGCTCTCTAGCCATGGGCGTTATGGCACCATTCAATGACACCCGCTTGACTAACAATGGAACGGGCTCTGGATTTTCACCTTATCTGATCGGACTAAAAGATGCAAAAATTCAGATTGTACCCACCCTCGCGACGATCGCGATTCTGCTCTCCTCGGTGGCTTCGGGACGATCTTTCTTGTACCTCTCTTCTCGCACATTGTGTGCAATGTCGGAGCTTGGACATGCACCCTCGGGGTTTTCAGTCCGCAATCGTTGGAACGTTCCCTACATGGCTGTTGCCATATCTGCCTTGTTCTCCACCCTCTCTTTCGCGTCCGCCAGGATCCCGAGTTCAACTGTCAACAGCTATCTCCTTCGTCTTGTCACGAGCGCCAGCTTCATTTCCTCGTTGGTGTCATGTACGATTTATCGCCACTTTCATCGACGGCTTAGGGCAAACCGAATGACCAGTCGACACAGCTATTCTGTCCAGCCATTCGGTACCCACTTTGGGATGTTTGTCAGCACCATCTTACTGTTTGGAGGTGGCTTGTGGGGAGGACCCAAAGGCAACGTGAATGGGTCCCGCGGTGCCAGACTGGTCATCTCATACATTAATATCGTTGTTTTCGGCCTCCTGTCTCTAGCGCATCGATTCCAAGACGTGATGCCTGTTGTCAAGGTTGAAAGACCGATCGACATGGGTGGACGGGCATGGGTCGGTCAGCAAGGGCCACGAGAGCCTCGGGTACAGAAGACGCAATCAAAACCGGGGAAACTTGATCCGATCCCAGAAAATGCTGGAGCCTTCGAGCTGCGACTCAGCCCGACAATGTTCCCAGAGCTTTGAATGGTGCAAGCTGGTAGAGAATGTTTCGCGTGGAGTGTAGTGCTGATGAACATTGTGTATGGAATTGGCAGTGCTGCGATTGATTATAGCTAGATGTTATTCTTACATATTGGAATGTTCTTCGTTTCAATTCCGGTTTCTATAAAACTCATTCCCTTCGATCAATTCCAAGGTTTGAATCTGACCGTTCACAAAGGGCCGATGGTTGCGCAGAGTCCATAAATCTTTGCCTCGGCAAGATATCAACGTTCAAGACCGACTAAGGTAGTATAATTCCAGTATTTTCAATATATAGGCCAGGATGATCGGCGATTCGGCTTGAATCGATTGTATACCCGGCATGGCGTTGTGTGGTTTTCATGTACATATGTAGATAGTAAACTAGAGCCTAAGGGAAAATATGTATATATGTAACTACTCCGTGTACCGAGATGGCCTTGTGTCAGTACAGTAACTTTCAATATTATACGAAAACCCAAATTATTGATCGACAGAAGATTTGATTAGCCCTGTTCCTTGCACATTTGATTTTTCTTTTACCCACTCGCTTTATACAATATTGTACTGTGGCAAAATGGCGCCAAACCACAAATATCGGAATCCTCCAAGCGGCTTTCCCCCCTTTTACTTTAAGTCATAATCCGAACATCTTCCACACACTTCCATCTCCTTTTAACTTTCGGGCTCTCGTTCTTTAAACCAAAAGACAAATAACACCGTGTTATAGGCCCCAGGGCTTTATAGAAGGCGAAACCCTTGTCGCACACCCTAGGGCAGATGACTTGCCCCTCTCTGACACCCGAACATCACGTTCCCCATCGGTCGATCTCCCAAAGCGATTTCCATTACCCGTTTCCCCATGTCACTTCTATGCTTCTTCATACTTCTTATACTTCCCATCCTTTTTTTGGACACTTTTATTCCCCTTTCCCAACCTCCTCATAAGACTAATATTTCTTGAAAACTCCTATATCATCTATCTCCCTTCCTCCCTTGCATGTCTACCGAATGTTCCCGGGCGGAATCTGGTGAAAATTCCTTTGTCTTCCACAAGCCCCTATGTCAAAGGTTGGGAAGACAACCGAATCATCAATTTCCTTCAGAATCTATGCTATGCACAGGTGTTTTGAATTCTCCGATCTTGTTCGCTTTGCAGTTAGCGATATGTCGCTTCACTGCATGAATCATATATTGGGATTCAGCATAGCCAGAAAGGGCTCAGAGGTTGTTGGCTTCTTCGGCTATTCTGGACCAAATCTCTCTATGATTCTCTTATCGATCAACTAATACTTCTAGATGCTAACCATGAAACCCTTTTGATCCTTACCTTGCTAGGGATGCCCATAGGCATCTTATGACATTCCCGTGACTCCACTGCATTGAAATGACACTAGTCTACAATAGGACTAGTGCATTGGGATTCATTACTGGAAACAGTCAATTTTGAAAATTACCATACCGGTAACGATGGGTAACTCAAAATTTCATCCGATGCCCAGGTTTGTTCGATGAATTCGAGGAACTGGAAAGTGGTGTTTCCTTGGTTGTTTCCGGGTCGAGCCTTTCCCCCAAGCCCCCTCCAGGGCTCTCTTTTCACGACGCTAATCCAGTTTCATTTCCACGCACTTGGTCTATTTGCTTTCCCCTAACCCATTCTCTCTGCCTTAGGCCCACGTAGCCTCCTCCTTCGTCTGTCTTCAGTTCACAATCGCCCTCTTTTTTCCTCTCCTTTTCCCTGCCCTCCTCATCGCGTTTACTTCCTTCTCTCTTACCCTTTTCTTTTTCTTTCTTTACGATACCCTTTCATCTTTCTTTATCCATCGACTCACCGACTCTCCCCTTCTTGCCCTCTACGCGATTTCCCTCAACCCTTTTCACTCCCTCTACATTCACGATCTCAGATCCTCTTTCGACCTCGACCCATCGCAGGCCCTCAACTTGCCAATATTTCATCGCCTCGAGTATCTGCGACATCGTCGCATCTCGCATCCACACTGGGACGTTTCCTGCGCTCGCCACCCCTCGGTCGTCCTCTCTCGACAGCACCCTCGCTCTTCCCAACGCGTTCCCTGCTCACCGAGAAGCGCTCGAAAAGCCATATTTCCACCAGAAGCCCTGATATGCGACTTGAATAGTGACAGCTGGGCTACGCCTCTGTCAAGAAATCAACATTTTGCTTTTGTCTGAGAGGGGGTCATCTGTCGGATTATGACAGATACCTCCTCCCTCGCCATCACGCACGCCACCACGGATTACCCTCCGGTCCGCGCTACTCGCGCGTCTCCTGAAGTCACAGACGGGGCCTCTGACTCCGCCGCAGCCGAAGAAGATTATACCATCAAATGCGTCTGCCGCTTCGAAGATGATGATGGTCACACAGTCTTTTGCGAAAGGTGTGACACCTGGCAACACATCATCTGTTACTATGAAAGTAAGGAGGATGTGCCGGATGTCCACAATTGTGTGGACTGCGAGCCTCGATACGTGGACCGGCGTCGTGCTGTCCACAAGCAATCAGAGAAGAGGCTCGAAGAGAAACGCCGTAGCGTGGACCCTGAGAGGAAACCAAGACGACCGGGCAACAAAGCCAACAAAAGGAAGTCTAAGGATACCGATGCACACGAACCCAACCTAAAACGACATGACTCGACTGCTCGTGACCAGCCACCAGCCAAAAAGCCAAAGGCATCCCACCGTTCATCTACCTCGACCAGTGGTCTTGCGAGTGCTCCAGCTCAGTCGCGAAACCGGCGACCCTCCACTGCAGTCCCAGTCAGCCCCACGACCTCTGACTCTCGTGTTCCCCTTTATTCAAACGAATTCCTCCATCTTTACGACCGGGATCATACTTTTGTTGAGAAGGACAGCAACCTGCTTCCTGGTGTATCTTTTGTCGATGAAATTATCTCTTGGTTGAGGGACCCGGAAATCTTGGCACGTGTTACCGAAGGGTTGAGTTCTGAAGACTTTGCTCAACATTGTGAAGCGGCCTTCGATTCTCCCTGGCCCACCTTGAGGACACACACCTATACAGACTCCTCCGTTGATATTGATGGCAAACACCCAACCTTCAAAATCCTGAAAACTGACGATCCAATACGAGAGGGTCAAATCGTTGGAGAGATCTTTGGCGAGGTCGGCCATATCGATCATTACAAGGCCAACCCCAGCAATCGCTGGAAGACGCTACAGCACCCAGAGCCATTTGTCTACTTTTCTTCGCAATTGCCTCTGTATATTGACAGTCGCCAAGAAGGCAATCAGCTCCGTTACATAAGGCGTTCTTGCAATTCCAATGTTTCGCTGAAGATCTACATCACGAACAGCCGGGAATATCACTTCTGTTTCGTTGCTAGGCGAGACATTCCTGCTAATTCGGAAATCACTGTGATGTGGTACCTGGACCCAGCTTTGATCAAGGATAAAAAGGCATCCAAGCCAAAGTACAAGCCAGGGCTTGAGGATAACACCGTTGAGGAAGACCTTCCGGCGCTTTGCTTCAGCAACATTCTTGCGGACTTCGGCGGCTGTCCATGTGGGCGCAATCAAAATTGCTCACTTGCAAACCTCGATCGTCGGTCGGACGCCGCTAGCAACAAAGCAACAAAGACCAAAGGCAAGGCAAAGGCAAAGTCTAAATCAGTGGCTTCACCAATGGACCCAGGTCGTGCATCTACTAGTCGTGCTGGCAGTGAGAGTACCAAGCATGTCGAAGACGACGATGCCATGACCGATGTTCGCTCGACCTCTGGTTCTGTGCGAGACAGAGTTACGCACAGTCGCGATGTCAGTCCGACGGATAAACAGACTTTGCCGGGACTTTCCAGTCGGGAGAGACGCAAGATCGCTGATGCCGAAATGCAGTTTCGACGGCTTGAAAAGGGAGCTCCAACTACCAAGGGAGCTGTCGGTACTAAACGGAAAAAGCGCGTCAGTGGCCCCTCAGCACAGCCCACCGCAACTTCGCGCTCAACCCAGACTGGGGAGCCTGGGGCCAAACAGAAACCCCAGCCGCACTCGCCCACTGCCAATTCCCCAAGAAGCGTGGCAACCGACCAACATGCCCCGTCGCGAAAGTCAGCGGCCAGAACAGTTTTACCCACATCTGAAACAATTGACCGATACAAGCCTTCTCCTTACCGGCGTGTTGGCCCTTATGTTGACGCTTCAACTCAGCTGTATGAAAACGATGTTGAAACCGAGTTCTGGCACCTAGAGCATCTCAGACGCGGATACAGAGTTGGTATCCTACCTGATAGCAAGATGTACTTGGCCCGGTTCGTCGCGGGAAGCAAAATGCAAGGAGACCGCGAACAACAGGAGAAGTACACTGGTGATAGCAGTCTCATCCCGTCTGGAGTCATCCCTTGGTGGTGCAATTATTTTCCTTTTCCTTTGGACGACAGAACTGAATATGATTTACTCCCGGAGGATGCTCGACTGATGGGAATACCACTTGACCACGGGCCCCTGAAGTTGCCTTTGCGGTGGTCTTTCTGGCAACGCAAGGAGCCAAGGAGGCCAACGAAGTTTGCTGGGGTGACAATAACTGGATTGCCTTATCCTCTTATCCCCCCCCAGATTACATCGAAGAGTCATCGGCGCAAGGTGATATCACGATGCAGGAAGCTTCGTTGCACAATGAGCTTAGCAATCCCCTCGTTCCTCCGCCTTGGCCATCCGCTGCCGCCCACACCATCAAGGTTCTCGGGGCAGACAACCACGGCAGTCCGCGTTTGTCGATGCCACCACCAAGTGCCTCGAACATCCAATCGCCATCCAGTCCTCGGCCAATTTCGGCAGGGAGTTACACAACGACCGCCAATCGTGATACAGCTTCATCGCATCCTCCCGTGCCAACGCCTGTATCCGCACCAATCGCCACTCCCGCCAAGAAGAAACTGAGTCTTGGTGATTATCTGATGCGACGTGAGACAATGGCAAACACCCCGGCCTCGGACAGCCCCCAGGCCCCTGAGAGGGCCCCGAATTCAACTCCTGTCTGGGTGACCACAACTGAGCACTATCTTGCAATTACCAAATTGCCGGATGATTGGAGTGAGCCACGCCCCAGGCCCCTCACCCCGGATGCCCGTGGTGACAAGAACGAGCCTTCTGACTCTCAAGAAGTTATTATGGAGGATGCGCCTGAATCAGCACCCACCAGCACGGAACCAGCACCTACCAATCCCCCTTCCATCTCTTCATAATACATTCATACACATGGTAGCCACGGTGGGCCTGTGATAAAAGGCAAATCCCCCGTGGATTTTACGTTTTTTTACGACCCAAAATTTCATTTCTTGTGTGACTTCTATTCGATACCTTACAGCGAGGCGGGCACAGGCGTTCGGACTTCGTATTTCATCTTCTTTCAACTTTTCTGTGCCGGCTTTTTCTTTTCTTTTCTCCGACTTTCGGACTCCGGATGGCGTATGGCGTGGCTTGGGATTGGTTATGGGAAATACCCTTGGTTGGGTCCGGGTCTTTGAGGTGTCTGCCTGTGTTGCAGCACTTGATCCTTTATGATGTGTCGGACTTAGTCAATTTTTATGTAATGCCACCTTCTTTAAGAAGGGGCTAGATAGCTTCTGTATGAACACTATTATTTATTGTATAGTTGTCACATTATTAGAGCCTTATAAGAGCTTGGTGTATTTTCTTATGCTAGCGTGAAGATGTTGCCCAGGTGCCAGGTACTATTATTACTAAGAGGTTTTTGCCTAAACCAGACAAATGAGAGAAAGCTAAGAGTCGGCAAGACACCTTACAGAGAGAGGTAAAGGGGCTCTTGAATTAGGCCAATTTTAAGCATTATACGAACCTATACCATGTCTCTTCAGAGGTTTATTTGACTACCCATATTAGTAGACTCGGCTTTTAGTGGTGTTGATCTGTGACAATACGTTGGCGGTTTAACACCCACTATACCGATGCTGTTTGCCTTCCTTGCGGCTATTGATATAGAGAGGTAACTACGAGGGAAGGTGCACGAAGGGTCCGGGTGTTTTACCTAGGTAATCTTCCGGCGATTGCTAGTATCTGTCTTATGCTAGGTCTCGATATAGCTTATTTTCGTAAATATCCTAGATATCAGCTTGTTAATTTAGGATAACTATAAAGTGGAGGTTCTGCCTGAAAAAGGTGGTCAATATCATGATCAGGGTATACCTAAGTGACGAAATCTGCTTGATAGAGGCAGGCAGGCAGCCCTTCGGCGGGATGTCAGCCGCCGTGCTAGCTTTTTCAATGCTCAAAACAGTCATTAAAAGTTATCATTATCATTGAAGTAATAGCCAAGGGAGCAACACTGTCTATTATATTTACAAATCACCATGCTACCATTATGATGTTGCAACAGCCTTTAGCCTAGGACCATCAGCGGAGCTTTCAAGCCACACATCCATCTTCCTGGATGTATTCTCCATTCCTTTCAAAGTTGGATCCGTTCTGAAATTACCGGATCCATCTATTCTTAGTTCGGAGAAGAGTAAAGCCAGTGGCGAGGACTTCCAAATGTGTTGTCTTCTCGTGTGGAAGACAGTAATGACCAAAAAGATCAGACTCAATGCCACAAGTGCAATGGGAAGAATCATCCATAGCCACCGCACTTGCACATATGATTGCATCGTCCATGCTATTCCCTGCTTGGTGTCATCGCAGACTTTGGATCGTGCATGGTTTGTAAGTGACGAGGCCAGGGACTGGAAGATTGAGTTTGTCTCAGAGTAGTTTCCATAATCGCCATACAGAGCCTCAACTGTGTCGGAAGACCACTGTGGCCTGTTGCTCGTGAATCTTGATCCTTGGCCTTCTAGAAGTGGAGAGAGTGAATTTGATAAAGAGAGGCTGCTTAGCCAGTTGATTTTGTAGATGCACTCGTCACTGCTTGTGTCATTGCGTCGAATGCCGTTCACGTAGCAGGCTTCTGGTGTGATGTCGAAGTTCTTCCCGAAAGCACCGTAGCCCGAAGAGTAATTTGACGTCCCCACGTTCGAAGTCATCGTTTCAGTCAACTTTCCACTATACACTGTTGCGTTGTATGTATTGACGCAGTAGTAAAGGGCACACTCCGTTGCGCTGACTTGGGGTGGCACTGCGTAGCCGAAGGAGCTTATCGAAGTGAAGTTGAGAATGACGGCCAAACCAGTCACATCCAGGTCGACGAGGGGGATATTTGTGGTAGCGTTCATGATGTAGTTCTGATTTGGGGCCGTTTGGAAATAGAATCCGTTGGACAAACTGTAATTGTATGCAGCCATGGAGGGGACGGACATAGGTGTTGTCTCCATTTTCAGAGAGTCGGTGATATTGGAACAGCGACTGCAGAACCCGAGGGATTGGTATGGCGTGAATGTACAGTTTCCCGTGGCACAATCCATCAACATATTCTTACCGTTGGGGCTTTGCTCTGTGAAGATGCCGGAGTAGATAGCACCAAGAGTCGAAAGAGGAACTTTATTCTGCCCAGGCCCAGCACCTTCTCCATAGTCGGTATACAGACTTGAGTTGCAAATTTGAATTGATGATTGACCTGGAGCATGGATTGATCGTTCTTTGATTCCCATCACCTGCTGAATAAAGGGGTCGGTAGCAGCAGTAATGACGAGAACAAGACACCCAAAAGTTACTAGATGGCTTTCGTTGAGCAGTGTTAGTGGGTCCATACAGGCGATGAAGAGCTCTGGAGATACTCACCGAGGCACGAAATGAAAGAGAGCAACGAAGGCCCCCGCAGGGCCTCGACTAGCAGCATCTAGTAACGCCAAATCACTAAGCTTATTTCCCCTGCTAAACCATGACCATTTGAGTTGCGACAATGCTTCGGTGACAATGAAAACCATGGCTGCCTTCATCACAGTAGATAACACAGAGACTAGCGCGTTAAGTGTAATGCCGTAGGGCCAGTCCGGCATTGGTTTCCCATCGTACATATACAGCACCACAATAATGGCCGCTAGAAAAATCACCGATGTGAGACAGCTGATGATTTCCAGGGTCCAACTGGACCCCCAGAATATTGTCTGAGATTCCAGAACCGCCTGCTGCTCTGCAGAAGATAATGGTCTTGTCTTTGCTTGGGACTTTGTTTGGGCCTTTGTTTGGCTCTCTGGTGGGTCATCAAGCCGAACATAGCTGAGCGGATAGTTATCCTTGTATTGTGCCATTCTGGTAATTGTCTATAATCATCAAGGACGGTCAAGGGTACATTCAATGGCTGTGTTCAACCAAGATCAGTCCGGGGAGAAATTTCTTGGGAACGAGGGAGAAAGCTGATGACCCAGAACATTTCCCAAAGGAGCGAATAAGTGAAACTAGGGCCGAAAATAATGGAGCTGAGTCGTGGAGCCATTCTTGAGGCGCAAATGGAAATCCATTACCCCCGAAGTCTTAGTGCCGGTTATGGGTCCACTAGATCGTCATTTTGCCCTAACGGGTGCTCGCCTTGTCCCTGAAAATAGTGGATCCTGCGCAATAGTTTAAGACATTTGTCCATGGATTTCTTGGAAAAGTGGAATGCTTAACTAACACGCGGTATTCAATTGGTTTGGCATTTGCGAGACACTCGTAGTTGGAAACATGCTTCTTAATTTATCTTGAAGACGACGTTCCTCATTCTTGCATCGATTCATATTATTTCTGCGTCGACTTCCGCTTCAGCTCAACCGCCAATCCTAAAAGGGATAGATGAATCAGAGCAGCCAGCATCGAGCCAGTTGCCGGTGACGTTGCGTTCTGCTAAACCGTTACCAAACTGATTATTAGTCCCCCATTGGGTGCCCTAGAATCAAAGGCAGACGAGCCCACCGTGGTGTTGGCGGTATCTGAATCTTTAAGATAAGCCAAAGGGAAATCCTGCATTTTCTCCGAAATTTGCACCTCATGTTCCGAGATTTTTCCGACATCAAGCATATAAGTAGCGAGGATCATGAAAAGATTAGACCAGTGAAAGGCACTAAGCCAGGGGACTGGACTGATATTGGTGGAATTTCTTACTCGATTGATCAATATTTGAGCTTCATGCAAGTGTGAGGAACACTCAACCGGCCTGCCCATAGGTAGCGGTACGTGTCGAGGCCAATTGATGCACGTAAAAAGCTATTTGAAGCTGCTAGGCGATCCGCTATTCCCTCTTCCTCGTTCATACGGGTGATGTTTTCGCTCGGGAATTCTCTAGTAGCACCGGACCGTAAGGAAGGTCCTGGAGCGACCTTGCCTTCAAGGTATCGCTTTATCTCGTTTGAGAATATATGCTTCTCATCGGCTGGAAATTCATTAGTAGATCGTCCCAAGTAAAGGAGGAACAACAAACGCAGATAGTTAGTGAAAGCAATCGCAGGTGTGGCGTTATAATGATCGATGTATTCCTCAATCTAAACCCACGACACCTGGCGCATACATGCAAGTGCAGCTTCGGCGTCATCGCCATAGTTGCAACCTAGCCCCTTAAGCAACAATGTTGAAGTCTTGATAGACATCACCGGCAGTCTCGAGGTCCAGTGTGGCTGAGGCTCCCAGTGGAATTACACCAAACTTGGCGGCTAGCGGTGTCTCGGGGAATGCAAGAATATATAAATGAGATAAGATGGCGCCTTGTGATTGTCTCCAGAGCTGTGTGTGACTGTCAGTTTCAATCAAAAGTAATGACGAGCGGGACGAACCATAATGTTGTCTGCATCGCCTCCAAACCGCCCGATGTTTTCGTGGGCCCATTTAACAGCAGCTCTCACACCCAAGAGGGACAATGAGATTTCAAATGGGGAGGGAGCCACCTTAGATCACCAATAGGTGGCTGCATTCAAGACATTGTTTTGTTAGCTCATCGATTCAGGCCTTGAGGACAAGAGAGGGAGATAATCGCTAACCTTTGCAAATGGGACGCGCAGGGACTGGCGGACATTGAGGTACGTGTCATTGAGCATGCCGATGAAAGTACCAGTTAGTGTTTCAACGGTGAGGTTGGATCAGCTATATAACGATCGAGGCGCTTCCCATGTCATGTTCGCATAGTGTGGTGGCTCGCTGAGACCGTGAGCCAAGGTAGAAGGGCCTAGCAGTCCGAAAGTGATGTGCTTCATTATCAGATATTGCAGCTGGAGTTCGATTCAAACAAATTACCCGACCAAAAAAAAGAATATTATCCGAGACCGAGTTTCAAGCCCTGCTTATGTAGCACAAGGCTACTTAACGACGCGAGAGAGACCTGGTCCAACGGAATCGGTGCTGCGGAGAAAATTTGGATCTTCCAATTTTACATCACTTGACAGGTGAAATGACAGGCTGAAAAGAAAAACCCAATCTACTCTCGGTAGTAAATTTAGATTCAGCATAGAGCCGGTTATCATTTGTTTGATATTAGCATGCGGGGATGTTCTTAGTGTGGGGGCCGTGAATCTGGGGAACAGTGCAAGCTTGACCTTTTTGGCAAATAAAGCCACATAGCATAATGCAATATTGATGATCTTGTCAATTTCGAGGTCAAAGCCCTCGGGGTTTGTTATGTACAATTCTATAGCAAGGCGATGGGCTAATATTGAGCGGAAGAGCTTACTTGCGGTGATAGATAGTTGATATTCAACATATTCACTCCGTATAAATCTGTATTCTTTTTCCCGCATATATCACGGATCTTGCTAATGTTTACGCATGTTTTGTTTCTCTAGGTTAGTTGTGGATAGGGCCAATTTGACTGGCTAAAATTGTATTCCAATGAGGCTCTATTCCATAAGGATCCGGGGTAGCCTTTAACTATGGCACATCATCTACATATATGTACATATATAAGAAGTTAGAAGAAAAGGTATAAAAACAAAATCTCACAATAAAACCAGATTGTGTACATGCAAAATTCCCATATGTAGGGTTCGATCCGATTAGCTTCTTTCTATCACTCAACATTGCCCGAAGCGCTCTCCCCTTAACGCGCCCTGGCAACGCAGTTGAATCAGCCTATCCCGTTCTTATCAATTACCATCCACTGCTTCCACATATATTTTGGACTCGCGGTATTTATGGTCATCCCTAATCACCCAACTGTCATTACGTATTTTGACTTTACCCGATCATACCCTAGCCTCCGCTGTGACTTGACGCAGCCTCAGCATAGCCTCTTTGTTGCCCAATTTGCCAGATGGCGCCCTCGATTTAATAGGTCAGGACTTGGTTTTCAAATTATTGTTTATTGAATGCTTTGTTCAGCCGAGCAAAATGAGTCACAAGTTGAGCCTGTGTATATTATCATCTTTTTATTCTCTTTTTGCTTCTCTTTGCTTCAAGCACCAGGCCACAGTGAACCCCTATACTCAACATTTGTTGGCCTGCTTGAAAGTTTGTGCTTTCTGAGAAGATATTCCAATCCGCTCGCTATACCAGAGATTTCGGATTCCCGCAATGGATTTCAAAACAAGAGCATGGCAATACTTGACTAACCTGGAATTGTGGATGAAGAGAGTATGGCATTACTCAAGCAACCTGGAGTGGACAGAGCGAGTCCAGCATGATTGTAAATTTTGCGATCATTCCAATTTCAAAAATATTGTCTACCAGGTCAGTCTATCTTCTCTTAGCCACAGACGAAATAACTGAACCCTAGCCTTGCAGAACAACGAGGTCATTGCAATTGAGACCATCCGACCCGCCGGACAATTCCACTGGCTCATTTTGCCAAAAGAACATGCTGTTCGTGATATTGAAAACCTCGGTGGTGAGCATGTTGAACTCCGTGAGTATATATCAATCAAGTCCAAATATTTGGCATACATGGCTTATCATTGTCCTTTTAATGTTTAGTGAAGAATATGGATGAGGCGAAACAGCATCTTCTCCGATCCCATTGCCCAGATTCACCCACCTCAGCCATTCATTCGGGTTACCATCGAGGAAGACGACCACTTTTAAGAAAATTATATTGGCCCGATATTATTTCAATCCATCACCTACACCTTCACGTCATTGTCAATCCGTCATCGTTAGTCTTGCTTCTCAAATACCCAGCATGGTTACCACTGATGTGGAAATCTGATGAAAAGGTGATGCAAGAAGTTCAAAAGCAGAACAAGAGAACTATTTGAATCTTCAGATAAATACAAACTTCCTTCAGATACCCAGTTCGGAAATTGGATAGTGGTATGAAGTATATATTGAGTTCAAATCAAATACATACATATGTACGTTTTTCATTTGAACATATGGAGTTAATTATACAACATTGGGATATATTGAATGTGTAGAGATATCCAAGTTTCGCACCTATTTAAAAATACCTTAGGGATGAAGTCGAAAGGCCCAAGGAGCGAGTGAAACCACCCAAGACTAGGTCACAAAGACAGACAAAGAGAAAAACCAAAACAGCACGCTCGCTTCTAAACTCCGCTCATCGAGCAAAACAATCTTGTACAGTCACACAGACAACAACCCCGTGGATTTTACATTATCAAGGCGCGGCCGACACATTGGAAAGCCCAAGCGAACGGCCTAGCGAACCACACAATCCAACTGCTCACGAGAACAACGTATCCAGCAGTGCGGCCAACTAACATGGCTGCAAAGCCAAGGATGAAAAGATAGACAATAGCTTGCAGAAGCTCTACCATGAACCGGCTGATGGCCTGGTCATCACGAGCCTTCGGCCAAGCACCAGTGGCCTGGTAGCGAGAAACAGCAGCATAAATGCAACTAAAGACACGATAGCAGTGGCTAGTCATACTGAGAGTATTGCTAATGACGAACTTGGTATAATAGCTGTCGGTACCCGTTCGGAGGGCCCTGTTCAGTTGGGTGACGGCGACAACAAGGATATTAAAAACAAGAGAAAGAGCCAGGGGATTGACACCATTGCCCTCAAAGTCAGCTTTATCTTGAGAGTGCATATCACCCAGATCGGCATGAACATCAGTGATATTGGACTGAAGATACTCTTTGGGAGTTGCGACCTGAAGCCCATCGAGCTCCGCAATCTCCATGATTGTACCAGAGGTACGAAGACGAGGCGGTGGTTTGGAACGTTCTTCCTTCTTCGGTAGATCTTGCTTCTTTAACGGAGTATCGGCCTTTTTTGCCTTCGGGGGCGGGGACTTTTCGGACGTCGCTGGTTTTGCAGGCTTCGGGATCTTGCCCACCTTGGATGGCTTTGCCAGTGCAGAGATCTTTTCAGTCGACGTAAGGAGCTTTCTCGGGTTTTCTGTGGAGGGTGGTTCCTCTGACAATGTGACTCTGGTGGTTACTGGCTTGCTTGATGTAGTTGACTGCTTGGGAGGTGATTGCTTCTCGGTTGGTTGGTTCTCAACAGTGGCCGGCTTTGCGGGTGACGTTGGACCGGTTCCGGGGATACTTGGTATTTCGCTTGCTGATTGAAATGACCGAAATGATTGAAATGACCTTTCAGATCTTGATGACTCTGAATTATCTCTTGACGGAATGGGTGACGGATTACTTATTGATTCCTTCCGATTCGCGCGCTGGAGAGATCCGGAGGCGTTTCGCAGTGACTCGGCCCGGTTGCGGAGAGACTCAGTACCGTTGCGTAAAATCGTGGCCAGAGTCTCCGTAGGCGACCTAACTAGCCCGGACGACTTTGCCAGCCCGGAGGTACGGATGAAGCCACGGATAGTATTCGACGCTGTTCCGGCGGCTCGGTCTGAAGTGAGTTCTTGTGTCCGATCTAGGCCTCGGTCCACGGGGCCTTGCCCGTTTCCCGTGCTCGAGAGGGTACTGGCTGGGAGTGTCTGAGATGTTGTCAGAGTAGAACCTGTTGGTTTGACCTTTGAATTCGTGCCCCCGGGCCGCAACCCCGATGGCGTGGAAATCATTTGGGCCTTTCCTCGGACGGCTTTGATCGCCTCGGCGGTGACCGCGTGACTTACGCCACCAGCACGTCGTAGCCCTTGTGGCTTTGGTGCATTGGGTTTCTTGTCGGGCGTGGGAATCATGGTGCGTGTGATAGTGGGTGTGATAATGAACACATCGTCGTCGCCCCGACCTTCCTCTATGCTCGCCGATCGTTCGGATGTACTGCTGGGGGGTGAAAGTTCTCCTTGCCCGAGTTCTGTGATCCTGTCCTCGGGATCGGTTGTTGCTTTGGGGGGTAATTCTGATCGTGGAAAATTGTCGATGACTTGGAGCATTGGGCAGGCTTCGAATTCTGTGAAATTTCTGGCCGCTCCTCTTGAAGAACAATTGTCTCCTCTACTCTGTGCATAGTTTGGCGAGCTATGCCTTTCTTCACTTCCTTCCATTGTCTGTGCTTGTTCTTTGAAGCCAAAGCCAATGGACGGGGATGTAGACTGGCATCGTCGGGAGAAGCGAACATGAGGATCTCGTCCGGATTCTTTTCCCCCGATATTTCCCTGCACCCTAAAAAAGAGCCGTCCGCGTTTTGAGGGTGTCGTTTCTGCTTGACTTTCGTTGGCGACTCTTCCCAGATTGTACTAATCCGATTGTGACCGATTTCGTCAGGGCTGTAGTAGTGAACAGTAGCTTGGCGGTGTTGAGCCGCAGCCGTAGGCTGGGCTTGGGGCTGCGGATCAGGCTGCTGCTGGTACTGCGGTTGCTGTGGAGGCGACAGCTGACGTGGTTCATCTCGCGACGAACTGGGCATATGAGTCTCCTCGTACGTTCCATCGTAGGCTCTGAACTCCGTCGGGATATGTTCTCGATGGCTTCTGAGACTCAATTTGCTTTCAGGGGAGGTGGTGCGACTAGGGAGTGAGTTAGGGTCAACCATCCTACCACCAGTTTGGTGTACTCTCTCGATGCTTTTCTGGTACTCTGATATTTGCTGCGCGGTCATGGTTGGCGGGTTTGGGTCTTTCGCAGTTGGCATATTGACGACAAATCGATCTTCCCAGTCTGTGATGGAGCTGTCCTCGGCCGATACTGGCGAGATTGAAGGATGGGATCGAGGGCTGGAATCCGCCGTTGTGTCTGTTCTTGCCGATATCTGGGGTGTGTCATTATCGGGGACATCCATGTTGATCCATTGGTCGCCCTGTTTTCGCCATTTGTTCTTGCTATCCACCGGGTGCGAGGCGGAAGTTGTGCTTTTCACTCCCTGCGCAGGGCTGCTCTTAGTAGCAGTGCTGGGACTCGGAATTCCTGAACGGGTAGTACCCTCTCGAGAACTTGTTGGGATTGTGCGAGTGGCAGCTGTAGGCCTGGTCCGGTGATACGATATGCGTGAGTTTGGGGATTGCTCAGTATCGCTCTCCTTGCCCCTAGTGCTTCTTTGTGACAAGGGAGACTCTTTTTCAAATTTGTCACGCAACTTTCTCAAATATTGATCGTGGTCTCTATCCGATGATCGAGTTTGGCCGCGTTGTCCTGAATGGCTAGGCGTGATTGGTTTTGGAAGACCAGTGGGACTAGGGGTTTGTCTTAGCTCATTGCTTTGGCTCTCGGCAATTGACCTGGGAACCGGAAGCTTGGTAGCTTTGGACTTTTGATACGTGTTGTCTGATGCACTTCTCGAGTTGGCATATCCATTTGATCTTGCATCCTGCGCATAGCGAGGTGGGGAGGTTGCCGAGAGTTCTGTAGGAGAGGCCTTGTAGTCGGCTCGATAGGCTTTGTATGGACTCTGCCGTGTTGGACGAGGGGACAGATTCACAAGGTGTCCGTCCGGCAACTCAACACGGGCTTCGGCCATATTTGGTTGATGGTGATCGTGGTTAATGGTGCTAGCGCTCCGACCTTAAAGAGTAGTTTGTCCTGTCCCATGCCGTATCGTAACGGTGGTTATATCGTCTTTCTATATGCTGAATGTGTTGTCTGTAAGTCGAGGTCGAGGTCGTTAAGTGTCGGTCACCGACTGTAGGACGGGAGATAAGATGTCTTGAAAGGACGAGCGGGGCGGTTCAAAGTAACTAGACGTGGGAGGATCTTCAGAGAAGGTCGCGTTATCAACGTAAGAATAGGGTGCGCTCGTTTGGCTGGAATGCTAGGGTCGGCGAGGAAGAATGCCAGCCCCCATGGCGGAATGCCCCATGAGATTGACCGGCCGCCATTCGGAATGGTGCTTTCTTGGGGAATTCGCATTTTGAATTATTTTTTTCTTGGAAGTTACGGGGATTGAATGCTGAAGTAGAAAGTGCGACGCGAATATCAAGTGTCAACCGTAGACAACTCAACAACTAGGAATTTCCTGAATTGAGCATTGCTTCATTGTCCGAGCTGTGAGACCATTCAACCAAATGATACTGAAAAAACGAAGCATGCCATGAGCCCTGATTTCGGTAACACACTTTCGTCCATCGATTTGCATTCCTCGGCGTGGTAAACGTGTACAACTCCATGCAACAGAGGTCAGAAAAGATGCATTGAGTGTGAACTCAATTAATGATATGTACGAAGAGTGCTCCCAGCATCGATGATGGGTGCGCGTGATGTGAGATCAACCGCGCACATGACGCATTATTGACCTGGAAGGAACGCAGTTTTTGATTGCAAATAAATATGTCATGTATTCGTCTTAGAACCGCCCCGTTTCTCGTCGAGTCTTGAGGCTATCTGATCTATTGATTGGGGCCAGGCCACCTTGGTTGGTGCTCCCTGGGACGCTGCTCTTCTTGAGCGGGCTGGAGCTTCGCATCAAAGGAGTTGTGCCTCGCTCCTTGTAGACAAAGTCTCCGTTATGTTGCAATCGGCGGTCAAAGGAAGTCGATGCTGACTTCCTCAATGGGGAGTTGGCGTGACTGTAAACACCAAGACTACCTCCGTCACCTGTACCCGCTGCAGCAGATCGGAACTGCGGCTGGCGCATTGATGTGCGGCTGTTTCCCCGAGTTAATGGTGAGCCATCTCGAGATATTGTTGGAGGGCCTTGAAATATAGACGAGATTGGGGTGGAGGTGGTTGTTTGGCGGACCGGAGTGAAACCTTCTGGATCGACGTGCTTCAGGTAGTTGGGATTGGGACTGGTCTTGTAACCACGGTTGAGTATAACAGTCGGAGTGTAAGTCTCAACTCTGTTGCATTCGTGTTCGGGCTTCGGCCCTTCTCCCGCGAACTGCGTGCCAACATCTCGCATCAAGGGGTGTGTCCGTGGCTGTACATATTTGATGTCGTACTCCTTAAAGACCTCTTTGTGCACCACTTTCTGGTCCTTGGCTTGCTGTTTGTAAGATGACGAAATAAACGACATTTGAATGGATAGAAGAGCCACCAAAACGATGGTTGTCACAATGGTGACACTGGGACGTGGATCGGATAGCTGTGTTGGTAGGAATAGCCAGTACACCAAGACATGCCCGGGGCTAAACAGGCAGAAGAGCCGCAGGCAAAGTGGCGAAGGATCCCAAATAGCAAGCTCCCAAACATCACGCTGCGCATCGGGGTGCGCTCTCGAGTGAGCTGATTCCGTAGATAGCGCTCTAGCGATGTATCGCAGTGGGGAAGGCATCGAAGGGCTCGAATCAACGCGCACACGCTGTGCAGAGGACGTTCCCGGGTTATTATCAATGGGATTTTCAAACAAGCGATAATGTCGCTTCTTCGAAAACGTGTAGAAAGCATTGACGATCGACGCAACAGCCATGAAATGAACGATGAATGAGGCCTGTCCGTTAAAGCCACAGCACATTAGCTTTCCGTTCACAGTAGTTCGATAAATGGCCCTTGGGGACAGAACCGAGGGACAAAAAAAACATACAAGCCAACCGCGCAGGGATGTGCCATCATTATCGCCAAACACATCGTCAAAAGCTTGACTGCCACTGGACCGGCTGTTCGCTCGTGCAATAAGGAATACCAAGTTGAGGCCGAATCCTATGGGCAGCGCCCAGTCCTTTTCCAATTGATCCCAGTCCCCTCCTTCAAACTCCTCCGAAAGCCAAAGCAAAAAGTCATATGGATTCAAGTAAGTGAGTATGCGCTCGCTGAGCGGGCGGCGGCGTACAAGGCGCGGCATGGTGACGGAGGTCGCCGAAAGACAGAAGCTGATACTTTACAGCTTCGTCCTATTCAATGAGACAACCTCAAAGCATTAATGGTAGGGGTTGACTGGGTGAGAGGGACCTTGTTTTGACAACGAAGTAAACAATTGAGAAACCTTGGAAATTGCATCAGCTTATGTAATGGTCCGGCGATAACCATGGCGATCAACGGACAGCTGGTCCATATCTAACGTTTGCTTGGTCCAAGTCAGACGTCCAATCTGATCTGGCATTGTCTTTTTCTTCGGCTTTTTAGCTTCTTCTTTCCCTAAATCTCATAATGGCGGCGTCCGCCGCAACAGCTAAGGTACTTCACCGTCTGATAGAGTAGCCCCTCCGATAGCAATGCTAATCTCATTCTCACTCCAGGACCGGCAGTTCCTCGCCGTTATTGGTGATGAAGAGTACAGAATCCTCGCTCAAAATCCATGACAGTAGAAGTGTTGCAATCGGCTAACGTGAACCAACCTCTTGCGCAGCTCCGTCACCGGTCTTTTGCTCGCAGGAATTGGGGTATGACCTTTCTTATCCATCGACGTCATGCGTATGCGACAACAAGAAAACAATTTGCTTATTTATGTGGTATTCTATAGCATGTTACCGAAGGACCAGACTCGCAGCGAAACTTCCTGGTTGTTGATTCCAAAATCGAGACGTCGGAGATCGAGCGGGCCTTCCAGAGCTTCACCCAGGAACGCAAAGACATTGCAGTGCTCCTGATCAATCAACATGTGGGTTGATTTTTCCTATCATTGCGCAATATATCTCGCACGCATCGATATATGTCCACTAACGTGCTTGTCGACCACAGATCGCAGAGCGCATCCGTCACAGCGTCGATACATTCACCGATCCTTTCCCCGCTGTCCTCGAAATTCCTAGCAAAGACCATCCCTATGACCCCGAGAAGGACAGTGTTCTCAAGCGTGTTCGCCGTCTCTTCGGAGAATAGATGGCTTCATATCTATCATTGTTCTGGTCATCTAGCTATGAAACAAATTATTCGGGTTTGCCATTTCGTCTCGAAGACATGAAGCGCAATTTCAGCTACAAGTTTTATAATACCGGGGCTGTAGACCATCCGGTGTCTGATCAAGAATGAGTTGGGGGAAATATGGAGATATTGAATAGGAAGATACCCAGTACAACTGACATAAGATTGCAATAAACCCTTCACATATGTTTGCCTTACAGTGTTCCTTATAGTGACATCAATTCTCTTTCAAAATATGTCTCGTGTGGCCGGCGATGTTGCCGCCAATGTATATTATGCTCATGTGTAGACCTGTTGATTTTATAGTTGGATTTAAGTTGGATTTAATTTCTTTCAGCCGGAACGTAAGCAAAGGCAGGAGTAAAATAGATGCAAAGACTGCGGTAACGAGAATATAAAGCAACATGATATCAAAAGGACTGCAAAGCGTCATAAGCTTGAAACGAGAGATGCGAAAATCGAAGGGTCATGACAAGGGCGTATGATAAGACAGTAGGAGACGGCGAAGCCCGTGGATCAAGCAAAGAGCCAGGGACATTGAAGTTTGAGCAAACCGAGAGATGCCACCCAGGCGGTGGATGCAAAACATTGTCTTAGGGTTTGATGAATCAGATGTGGAATGCGATATTTTCCGCCTTGAGGCAAGTAACCTGCTGGTCGGCTTGGTTGTAGACATCAGCAAGAACGGAGTACTTGCCCTGGAAGAAGATATGTTAGCGGAAAGACCTTCGAAACTCCTTCAAGATGACTTACCGGTGGGATCTGCTTAGGCAGTTCCACTTCCTTCGTCAACACCATTTTACCCTTCTCTAGCGGGCACTCCAAGTCGACATTCTTCAGTTCTTCGCACAGATCGACAGTCTGTTTGATTAAGGTAATGAGACCCCACTTCACTTCCAGGTTCACAGTAGCGCCCTTCTCAATTCTCTCCAGCAAGGTGCCTTTGGCGGAAATGATCAACTTCTTTCCTCTGTAAACAGAAATTGGGTCAGCAATTAATCCCTTCTCATGAAGATTACAATATTCAGGGCTGACGTACGGTAGAGGAGGGTTAGGTGACAGATCCACCGATTCGATGTCGAGTTTATAGGCTTCTGGTTTGGCACAGTACAGCAAAGGGTTGTCACCCTCGACTGGGAAATCTTCAGTGGTCCCGGCATTGAGGGAAACCTGTGTAGGGTCGAAGATGGAGAAGGCGGCTGCGTTGGAGAGGGGAGCCGTAAGTACCAAGAGGCTGGCAGCTGATAAGAACTTCATGGCTGCGATGATAGTGACTACGACAGTCGTTCAAAAGATAAGTGGACGTGATAGGTATATTCTCTATGTGCAAGAATATCACAAAGAAAGTAGTCAAGTATGGAAAATCAGTTGGTGTTCACAAAGTTGGAGGTGAGGAGAAAGCCTGCCTAGCTGGAGATGTCACTTGATGACGCCTCCACACGTGATCGCAGTAGATCTATCCCGTTTCAAGCACAGATCTTATCAGTGTACCTGCATCGCAAGATATATGCTATTATCTATGTGTTCTGTCCCTTTTGATTTTGAATCAACAAGTTATTTTTTATTCTACATACAATGCAGATATATCTTCGGATTTGTCTTGATGTTCATCTCTTAAAACATTCTGACCCACTGTACTCCATTTTCCTTATCAGGGATCGGCACTCTTACTTGGAATGTCCAAGTTGCACATACCTGCACAACATCTATATGAATTTCTTTATCTGTATAAGATGTAGTAGTTATCGCAATAGAGAGACCAGAACGAAGATAACAAAGTGCAGCAATGGAAAGAATATAGAAAAACAAGACGATTATGAGGAAGAATAGCAAGGCAGGACGCCGGAAGACTGAATCGACCCGTGGACCTCAGGACCATTCGCCATTATAGTTACTGCAAGTTCTATGAATCTAGGAAGGTGCATAGCGGCTAGGGGTCAGATTGAATCATTTTTAGGAACGCTGCGTGAAGATGCCTAACTAAATTCTAGCAGAAAATTAGAACACTCAAATTACTATACCAGAGACTATAGTAAAAGGATGTGTTAAAAAAAGATGTGAAAAAAGATGTAAGAAAAGATGTAAAAAAAGACGTGAAAAGAGGTATGAAAAGAGGTGTGAAAAGAGAAGTAGAAAGAGCAATAATAGTTGCTCTTAATTGTGACAATTGGTTACAGTACAGTACACCATGTAGAGTGGTGAAAAGTGGTCAAAGTAAGTTATAAGTTCAGGCAGTAATCCTAGAAATAATTCAATTCGACCCCTGGCCGCTATGCACCTTCGTAATATACCAAAACCGAAAGGGAAGAAGAGCAAGGAAACAGATTGGTGAAGAGTTTATAAGCCAGAATGGCAAAATTATGTTGAATTTTGATTTCTTTCATTCTTTTGATTCCTCCCTTCTTCTGGACTGTAAAAGAAACAGAAAACATGGAATAGTCCAGAAGAGAGACACCGGCACCGGGCCTGGAGGAAGATGAGGACCCAAGAAAGAAAAAGAGAATCCGATCGACGAAGCGCCATTGTTAAAAGAGACGGGGGTATCGGTACATTATGTTGAAATGAAAACGCTGAGGAAGAAATCGTTGAGAGGTCTTCAGTCGTGACGCCATAAGACATTGCAGGGTGAGCCCGAGATGTGTTGGAGTGGTGTTTGTGTGGGCTGTGGTATCGTTGAGATGAGTGATGTTGAATTAGGTATGTTGAGTGTTAAAAGTGGGTTGATGGGCATGGGACCAAAGGGTCTGGGGTATTGATATGGGTATGCCAAAAGTTCCAAGTTGAGGGGAACCATTTTAATTGGCGGCAACTCCGTTTTGTTCAGTTGTGCCGTTGGCCATGGGCTTCACTTCGACGTTGAGATCTTTGATTTCAAGGCCGTTGAACAATTCAAAGACACCGTTAGATCTGTGGAAGTCGTTGTCGACGATATTGACGAGGTACCAGTCGTCCATCACGCCTTGGATCAGCTTGCGACTAGGGCTTGCTGCCTCATGACACTTGGACCATTGCTCTCCCAGGAGGTAGGCTTCATCCTTCCAGGCCAAGAAACTGACTGTCTCGACAATGGTGGGCTGAATGATCTCCCGTCCCGCAAAGATACCCCATGTCAGGGCATTGGGGCTGTCAAGAGTGTTTGTCTTGAGCTCACCCTTCTTGTTGGTGGCGTGGTATGTCAAGTCATCGTTCTTTTCGATACGGATAATGAGCTCATCAATCAAGTTTGAGGGAACCAGAAGCTCCAAGTAGGCCTTTTGGTAAACGAAACCGTTCTTGGGGCCCCATCCGTAGACGGGGTGCGAGGACTTGACTCCGTTGACAGCAGGCTGAGAGTTGATTGTCAGGAAACCCCGCTGGTTGAGGGCGAGCAAGTCCTCCTGGATGTCATTGGCCTCTGTTGTGATTGGCGAGTCACTCCAAGGCAGGCGGTCAAGCTTGCCGGTCAAGAAACGAACAAAGATTTCGGATAGTTCTTTAATTGACTTTGGCTCGCCCCACAGTTTGATGTTCTGCTCGTTCGTGCCCTTCAGGCCCACACCATATGCGTCCAGTTCACCGAACGCGGGTGAGCGAGAATCGGTCCAGCGACCGTTGGGATATTCATCCCATGTCTGGGTACGAGCAACGTACGATGAGTTTCGGTTGCGCCAGAACACTGGCCGCACATCCTCTGACCTGCGGCCGAGACCAAGGGATGGCCGCCAAGGCAGGGCACGCTGAATAGGGGAATCATCGGAGGGGCAAAGATCAAGCTCCTCGAGAACCAAGCGAGTCGCTTGAGCCAGGTTCATGGTATAGAAATGCAGGTGCTTGATGCCGGCAGCGAGCAGCTGTCTGCACATCTCGGCGATTAGACTCTTTCCGATATCTCGGACCGCGGAATCATCGTTCTTGACCGGCTCGAGAGCTTCCATCCATTGAGGGGGGACTCGGATCTTAGTCCATGTGGATCGACGAATGAACGCAGCATAGGTCTGGATAGGCATGATACCAGGAATGATGGGAACAGTGATTCCCTTCGCACGGCACTTGTTGACCCATTCGATGAAGTTTTCCACATCGTAAAACATTTGGGTTACCACGAAAGTGCTGCCTGCATCCACCTTCTCCTTCAAGTGGTCGATCAATTGGTCCACGTCGGCGTTATCATCAGCACCCTCGGGATAGCCACCAACACCAATATCGAAGTGGTTGCCATACTTATCACGGATGTATTTTACCAGGTCCTTCGCATAACGGAATCCATTGTCGGAAGCTTCCCATGTTTCCTTGTCTCGGGGAGGGTCTCCTCGGAGAGCCAGAATATTGGTGCAGCCGGCTTTGTAGGCAGATTGAAGAGCTTGGTCGACCTTTTCCAGAGGCATATCCGTGCATGTCAAGTGCATGCATGTCTCCAATCCATACACCGATTGTGCTACGCTGACCATCTCGCAAGTCAGATCCGATAAGCGACCGCCAGCACCCCAGGTGATATCGATGAAGGACGGGCCCATTCCATGCATACGGTCCATTCGGTCATAGAGATTCTGTACACCCTGGGCGGTTTTGGGAGGGAAGAACTCAAAAGAAATTCCAGTCTTTCCTTCCGCCTCATTCTTCGCAAGTTTCTCTCGGATATGCATGATGTCGGTTTAATCTAGTTTCTGTAAGTAACCCATTTCACTGCAGATACAACCAAGGCCAACAATAGCCTTTCCTCAAGCTTGGTATCTGAGTTTCATCAATAAACATACCGAAGGTCGAAGTAATAACTGATTGGATTGTTTGTGGAACTGGAGCACCTGTGCAGATGAGACAGGCTATTTCTGCTCGCGTCTGAGAGCCTGGACGCCTGTGCACTGTAACACTGTCAAACGTCAAGTGCTTAATGGTTTTAAAAAAAGTAAAAAAAAGAAGAAATCAAGCACCGAAAAAAGAAGGAAAAAAAGAGAAAAAGAGAGAGAGAGAAAGAGGATTACTCAACTGAGGAGTGAGGAAAGGAGGAAATCCGGTGAACGGACACCAGTAATTTGGCGGGGAAGGCCGCCATCGGAGGGCACGTGTTTTGGTTGAAATTCAACCAAATTAGATGAATTGGAAGAATTTAGAAGAAGAAACAGATGATATTGTTTTCTATCTACATTTAAGTTTCATTAAAAGCCTATTACAATTGATGTTTCAACTCATAAAACTGACAATTGGTAGATTACTTAGGTTATTGTCGATTATCACCTTAGCCATATGTTCCACCGCCCTTACCCCTCCGTTCCAAACGGGGTCCGGCAAAATTTTCGTTATCAGTGGATTTCCTGATCTTTTGACAAGTTGCTTCGCTTTCTCTCATATCAAAATACACAATGTCTGCTGTTCCCCCTCCCTCTGCCGATCAGGACTACAAGTCTACTCTTCTCCCTCTCCTCATCTCCAACAATGTCCTCTCATTCGGCTCCTACGTCCTGAAGTCCGGCCGCGATTCGCCCTACTTCTTTACTTCCTCCCTCTTGCACACTGCACCTTTGCTGCGCGCTGCCTCCGCCGCCTACGCCAGTGTTCTCTCCGCTGAGCCATTCGTCACCATCAACGCTGACGGCACCGCTCAGCCCAACTTTGACATCATCTTCGGACCCGCATACAAGGGCATTCCCATCTGCGCCTCCGTCACCAACGAGCTCGCTGTGCGGGACTCTCTCTCCGGAAAGGGAACTTGGGATAACGTCAGCTACTCATTCAACCGCAAGGAGGCCAAGGCTCATGGCGAGGGTGGAAACATTGTCGGCGCCCCTCTGAAGGGCAAGCGTGTTGTGATCGTGGACGATGTCATTACTGCCGGTACTGCGCTCCGTGAGGCAGTCGGCATCATCGAGAAGGAGGGCGGTATCGTTGCCGGTGTCGTTGTCCTGCTGGATCGGGAGGAGCGTGTCAGCGACACTGAGTCCAAGAGTGCCATCGGCGTCGCTCAGCGTGATCTCGGCGGCAAGATCCCCATCCGCGCTGTCATTGGTCTGCACGATCTGATTGAGAAGCTTGGTGATAAGATTGGTGCTGCTGAGATCCAGCGTCTCAAGGACTACCGTGAGCGCTACGGTGCGCAGTAGATATAAGCTTGTGGAAACCGTCGATGAAGGTACGATCTATGAACAAAAACAAGATAAAAAGGGTGGATACCAGGATAATTAGGAGTTGTTCTGAACATATATGATATCAAGCATTGCCCAGAATCAGTCTGGGGAATGGTCACATTCCTGTGTGCAATATTTGACTTGTCCCTGCCTTTTTGCAATATTGTAGCAACAAGTATATGTAGGGCACACGTAACTAAACGGCAGTAACTCCCAACACTCCCTATCATATGATCTCTCTATCCTCAAACCGACAGAGTTACATAGGCGGTTTCTGGCCTTACCAGCGACAGGCGATTGCCCGAAGAATTGGTGATACTAGCCCTCAATTCGCGCCAGTTTCCTCATTTGCTACAATCGGGGAATATGGAGCTCTTGGTCTAACTGATAATTAGCTTCATCAGATATGTATCTGAAAATAACATATTGATAGCCCAAAGCCATACATTTTCAATCAACAAATCCAGCTCAGGTCTCGAAGCCTTCATACACTCCTGAATGCACTTGTTGCACGCGGATGCCAGGACCATTGTGTGCGAAACCATGTTTCACATGAGCTCAAGTAAAAGAATAGTGGTAGACTTGGCCATCATCGAGAGCCAATGGTCATACTCACCCCATGTAGGCAATTAAGATAGTGCGCGGCAAGCGGCAAGCTACACAACATATGTTATCGGTGTGCGATGTTAGAGTATTACGGAGGGCAACCAGTGGGCAGTACAGGCACCGATTGCAGGAAAATTGAGAGCATTTGATAGTATTTAGAGACATGTAGAGGTCGGACGCTGCGCTCAGACATTTGTACCTGTGAATCTAACAAAATTCAATCACTTGATGAGTACAAGGTGGGACATCTTTAGGTAGTCGTTCTAATTTTGTCAGTGAACACAAGAGACCAGACGTTGGATTAAGGAGATAAGGTCTAGTATGATATTAAGATCGAGCATTAGCCACATGTGCAGTAGGGCTATCTTAATACATTTTCAGACTATGGGCTAGATTAGATTCGAATTCTCTTAATAATCTCATCTTTATCTATCTGAAATGGCCCCCTAGATCCTAGTTGAGACATCTAATCAGTATTCTCTGCAATATATGGAAGATTCCGGGGGTCTCCTAGTGGCAGGTTGAGTTTCACAGGGCATTTAAGCACGGAACCGGGGATTAGGATCTAGACTATTCAACTGTTCTAAACCCATTGGGTGATCAGCATGAGTATCACTCAAACTTCGTGCTTAGCTTCAACGGTGGAGGTACAGCGAATGAATAGACATAACTTAATCTCCGCCAGCCTCATGTTTTGACGTTCACGAGTAATTATTGCTGAAACTCAAATAAGCAAATAATTGGATACTGACACAAGAGGTGAGAGTACCCAATGGGCAATCTAGATGGCCGATGCATTTAAAAGAAACGGGAATAGATGTTCAAACTATGGCAATTATTGGCACGTCAACTTTTGTGAATACAAATTAAGTACCGGGAAAAGGATCATAAGAATTTGCCTTTTGAATAAGCATTTCTCCCGATGACAATCAATACCTGCAATTATCAATGTTTTTTTCGGCACTAGATATTGTGGCATCGCGGTATGGTACTCGGAAGCAGAAATCCATGGCCTGGTTCTTCTTCATCTCTTGTCAAAATGCCGCATGTCTTATCAAGTTATAGTATTATGTGTGAGAACTATAGACTTGAATTCTGAGTGCTGAAAATATAATTATTGTTTCGTAGTTTTGACTATTGACTTGGTGCTACCTTTTTGTAATCACGCTGCAAATGTTCCTATATGCACCTAACCTAGCATCATATGTCATCATCCAATCAAACATTTCCCGAAGTTCATGTTGTCTCGAAAAATCTATTATCAGTTTATGGACTACTGAAATTATGATCTTATAGAATGATAGCCAGGAAGACATCTTGTCAGTGGGAGAAATGAACCAGAAAACAAAACAATGGTTGTTAAAATTGCCGTTCTCCAAGAGCTAAGCTAGTTCAAGACCTGGGATAGTTCAATACACGGTCGACTAACCTGGGAGAATGTCATTAACTGCACTGTCTTGATGGGCTCGACAGTGCATTTGGAGCAAACAGTTTACCTAGGTATTTAGCCATGATTACCAATCTCAATGTTTCAGATCTTTGAAAACTAAAGGTCATTGGCAATGACTCGAGATTTTATTACGGCGACTCAGCTGCCTCGTCCCAGATACAAAAGTACACTAGGATGATATGCATGTTGATCCGGATACTGGAGAGTACAGGAAAGCTCGGATCGGGTATACGTATGTACTCCGTACTTTCATGGATACCTACCCTAATGCAGGCGAGATAACAACTTCGGGGAAGTACTTCAAGATACATATCCCAATTAAATCGATCAGACATGTTATCTCTTTGTATGTTTTGAGTTGGATAGATTGTTATCTTCCTCGAACAGGATGATTTAAAGTTATGCCGGGTCAGACAACATGTCCGTTGCAATAATTGCATCTAGCTTACCAAGATGATCCTTGAGAAAATTTTGGAAGCCGAATCGATAAGTGCCAAGCACCAGTGAGATACTTAATTTACATAGATGGTATAATCCAAGTCAGCTACATTCTATGAGTGAAGAGAGGGATTGACCCTGGGGCCGATATAAGATTAGTGATACATATTCCGCGATTGCCTACGATCGTGCTGGACATTACCCATGACCTAGTCTCACAGAATATTGTGATACCTGCAATGCATGGATTGCTCGATTAGCCTTGTCGAGCCATGATCATCCCACAACGGCCGCTTCTCATGCAGAGAGCTCTGAATATTGCTGGGGAGCGCAAAGGATAGCGAAGCCTCGTAAGACACAGACCTCCACCGATTGAGTCTCAGGTCGTCTGAAAATAGCACAAAGTGGTGCCTTGAATGTCAATCAAAGCGCAAAAAAGTCCATGTGTACTCTGACTCCTTTGCCTCCTATCAGCTGCCACTGCGGCTTTCACCGTTCATTCCGAGGCCCTGGGAAAAGTTTCGAAGTGCCTCATTTTCAGTCTCAGGGACCGGAGGGAACATCATGAGACTTTGCTAGTGCACGATTCCAAGTAGATTAGGGCGAGGATTATACTCTTTCTCAATTTCAACGAGAGATCCAACCGCATTTGGGAGTGCTCTGTGGTTCCTCAAATGATTCTTGTCTTCCTTTATTTTTATTAGCATTTCTGGTTCTTTTTCCCTTTTCTCCCTTTTCTACCTAGGAGAGCTCCATTAGACTGGAGGGGCATTGGTCAAACTCTACTTCGTTCAATATGCTTGAAGTCCCTCGTTGATACTAGTGATTTCCTCTTATCGTTTCTCTTACATTCTACCAGAATCCTCTGCCACTTTTCAAAAGTTTCAAAAGGCAAGCAAGCCATTGGTCATTTCTTTCCTGTTAGTAGACTTTCGAGGTTCATGTTTTCCCTTACTCGGACAACAGATTCGTCTTGACTATCGGTCGATACATTGTCATATTCCTCTCACTCTAGTCGAAGAAACGTCATATCAACTAACAGGAAATGGTGAAACATAGTCGCTGTTTGCTTCTCTTGGGCTCTTAATTGGCCAACCGCTATCTCCCCCTTTTCTCATCTCTTTCCTCGACGTATGTTACAGTCTTGAGTTGTAACAGCTCCTTGTATTGATTGTCAACATGCATTGGAAATACACAATCGGCGTGGTTGCTTCATTGGTGATAACGGGAATCAGTTGGCCCTACGATGAGGCCCTCACTGATTATAATATTAATGAAAATCAATCGGCAAATACTCCGTTGGAGTATTGGGGAGAATGGCCCGACCACATCTATTTTCCATCACCCGAAAATTGGCGGTTTCCTGTATATACGCTTTTCCTTGATCGATTTGTGAACGGCGATCCAACAAACGACAACATCAACGGCACACTCTTTGAGCATGACATTGATTCCAATCAAATGCGGCATGGGGGCGATGTAGCCGGTCTTCTTGATACATTGGACTATCTACAAGGGATGGGCATCAAGGTTGGATTCATGCATAATTGACCCGTGAATGCATATCCGATTTAGGCTAATTCAAGCTCCAGGGAATCTACCTTGCAGGCCTAGTATTGATGAACCAGCCATGGGGGTCTGATGGGTACTCTGCGCTCGACACCACTTTGCTAGATCAGCATTTTGGGACCATCGAAACATGGAGAAATGCTATTACAGAGATTCATAGTCGCGGGATGTATGTCATATTTGACAACACGATTTCAACGTAAGTTTCCAGAGCCGAATAATCTCTAATATAGTGTCATAAGGATCTAATTATACGTTAGCATGGGAGATCTCATTGGTTTCGAGGGCTATATGAATACAACAACACCATTTTCTGTCAAGGAACACAAGGCTTCATGGAAATCTGACCGCCACTATGTCGACTTTGGGTATGGCAACAGTTACAATGAAACATGTGAATATCCGCGCTTCTGGAATGAGACAGGATACCCCGTGGATGACTACGTTACCAACGAGCTAGGCGGTTGCTATGACAGTGATTTTGATCAATACGGTGATATTGAGGCATTTGGTGTCTATCCTGACTGGCAAAGAGAACTCGCTAAATTTGCCTCCGTGCAAGACCGTTTACGCGAATGGGTACCTAGTGTTAGGGACCGGCTCATTCGTCATTCGTGCATGATTATTAGCTCTCTTGACATTGACGGATTTCGCTATGACAAAGCAACACAAGCGACTGTCGATGCACTGGGAGATATTTCTGGGGCATATAGAGACTGTGCTCGGAGCGTGGGAAAAGAAAACTTCTTTCTCCCTGGTGAAATCACGAGTGGAAACACATTAGGCTCCATCTTCCACGGGAGAGGACGACAACCTGATATGCAGCCTGAGACCTTAGAAGAGGCATTCAGAATCACCAACTCATCTGATTCTGCCTACTTCATTCGAGATCATAATCAACAGGCAACCGATGCTGCCGCCTTCCATTATTCTGTCTACCGCTCTCTTACCAGGTTTCTGGGTATGGATGGCAACTTGGCTGCTGGCTACGACGTCCCAGTCAATTGGACTGAAGCATGGTATCAAATGGTTCTCACCAACGATATGGTAAATGCCAACACCGGCAAGTTTGATCCACGCCATATGTACGGAGCGACAAATCAGGATGTCTTTCGTTGGCCGACTGTCGAATATGGCATCGAAAGACAACTACTGGCGCTCTTCATCACCACATTGCATATGCCGGGAATTCCTTTGTTGCTGTGGGGTGAAGAACAAGCGTTCTATATCTTAGATGCGACAGCGAGCAACTATATCTACGGCCGTCAGGCAATGTCACCTGCCACGGCTTGGAAAAATCACGGATGTTTCCAGTTGAATTCCACGCAATATTTCCAGTGGCCGATCAAATCAGGACGGCTGGGTTGCTATGATGAGACAGTAACTTATGACCACCGTGATCCCTCTCATCCTGTGCGGAACATCATCAAGCACATGTATCAGATGCGACAAGACTTTGGTGCCTTGAATGATGGGTGGTGGATTCAGCTTCTTTCGAATCAAACACGCAACGTATATCTCCCAGGGTCTGATGGAGTTCCTACGGAGACTGGAATGTGGTCCGTTCTGCGCAGCCCTTATCATCCGATGCAAGACTTGGGAGAGATGGGAAATCAAACTGTGTGGTTTGTTTATCAAAATGACAACACAACGGTAGACTACAAGTTTGACTGCTCTGATGAAAACTTCGCTCTCCTCGCTCCGTTCGACACAAACACCACTGTCAAGAATTTATTCTATCCGCACGACGAGCTGACTTTGCAGGAGGGTCCAGTAAAACTCGGCCTGAATGGCTCTGATAACTACAATGGCTGTCTCGAATTCATTACCCTTGCCCCATTTGAGTTCAGAGCCTACATCCCCAAAGAGAAATTTGTCTCACCCCGGCCTATGATAACAAAGTTTTTCCCTGGGCACGATGTTCCAATACTATCATCCGTGGCTCCCGACAAAAGCGAGTCCGTGGAAATTGGCTTCTTCTTCTCCACGGAGATGAACTGCTCTGTAGTCACGGACTCAATATCACTTGAATCAACTACTGAGTCAGGAAAATTTCCCTCGGTGGATATTGAAAGTGTCACTTGCGGAAGTACCATTCCCGAAACTACATATTGGACTGGTCAGATCCCATCTGTTTGGGCGTGGAGAGCAACCCTGACTGGCGTCTATAACGGAGTTCATAAATTGACCATAAACAACGCAACCAGCACCGATGGAAGAGCAACAAACGCCATCGACCATTTCCTAATTCGTGTGGGACAGCAAGATAACCCCATGATCTTCACCTCTGCAAATTATTCGAGGAGCTTGCTTCACGAGGGCGAAAACGGCACACTCTTTATTGCACAACATGCAGCCGGAGCAGACAAATATCGGTATTCGACCAATTGGGGTAGTACATTCTCTGAATGGCTTCCTTACGAAGGTGGCAACCACACCATTGAAGAATTGCCTTGGTCCGGAACAAAGAAACAGAGGTGGGATGGCAAACATGTGCGAGTCGAATACTGGAGTCGCTTTACTGGAAGCAGCGACTATGTTCAAGAGGGTGATAGTTCAGACTGGAATCCCGCTGTTCATCGTCGCTTCCCTCACCTGTTCTTCAATGGACCCTTTAACAAGTATGGGTACGATGCTGGCTTAGATAATATCGTGAAACAAGACAGCGATGGCATCTGGAAGTTTCGCTTCATGGCCGAGTGGCCTGCCCAGGGTCAGCTCAATGTCTGGGGAACCAATCCTGACAATCAACCAGACCAGAGTTATATTTATGGAGATTCCAATGGGGACTCTATTCTGGACCGCCTGCCACCCTCATCGCTCAGTGTGACATCAATCAATATCACGCAACACCCGCCTAGTCCGCATCTGGCTTGGATGATTCAAGTAGACGACTCGAACTTACAGTTCAAGCTTGTCCCCGCGGGATCTCAAAGTTTTCAAATGGCTCTCTTCTTCCTACTCTGGACTGTCCCTATCATCACAGCATCGACCTGTGCCTTTGTTTTCATGAAGACATTCTATCGGATCGAATTCAACCAGGTTGGCGTGAGTGAAAAGAAAGCGCTTATTTCTATGGATTTGGCCAGCAAATTCAAAGTCGGACACGTTGAAAATGGCCAGTCCAGAAACCCCCTTGTACGTCTTGCAGACAAGTCAAAGTTTCTCCAAAGCAGCTCCGCATTTGGCAATCGAACTGCCCATAGACGAAAAGTTCTAATTGCAACCATGGAATATGATATCGACGACTGGGCTATCAAGATCAAGATTGGTGGCCTGGGCGTGATGGCTCAATTAATGAGCAAACAGCTCGGACATCAGGATCTTATATGGGTCATTCCCTGCGTCGGTGGTATACATTACCCGATGGACAGACAAGCCGAGTCTATGTTCGTGATGATTCTGGGAAACTCATACGAAATCAAGGTTCAATATCATCAGCTCAGAAATATCACCTACGTTTTGTTGGATGCTCCAGTCTTTCGTCAACAATCTGCTTCGGAGCCCTATCCGGCCCGCATGGATGATATGGACAGCGCCATTTATTATTCAGCCTGGAATCAGTGTATTGCTCAGACGCTGAAGCGCTTCCCGGTGGATCTGTACCACGTTAATGATTATCATGGCGCAGCTGCTCCCCTCTATATCTTGCCCGAGACTATTCCTATTTGTTTGTCACTTCACAACGCCGAATTTCAAGGACTTTGGCCAATGCGGACGCAGAAAGAGAAGACCGAAGTATGCTCAGTGTTCAATCTTGATTTGGATGTTGCAGCACGCTATGTTCAATTTGGTGAAGTTTTCAATCTTCTTCATGCCGGCGCAAGCTACCTTCGCCTCCATCAACAAGGCTTTGGAGCAGTCGGGGTGTCCAAGAAGTACGGAAAGCGCTCTTATGCCCGCTATCCAATCTTCTGGGGCCTAAAGAAAGTTGGAAATCTACCAAACCCTGATCCATCCGACACTGGCGAATGGAATAGGGCCTTGCCGAAAGAAAGCGAAATCATCATTGATAAGGAGTTTGAGTTTGCAAGAGCAGACCTTAAGCGCCAGGCTCAACAATGGGCCGGCCTTGAGGAAAGACCGGATGCAGATTTACTGGTCTTTGTTGGCCGATGGTCCATGCAGAAAGGGATCGACTTAATCGCCGATGTTTTGCCTGGTGTTTTGGAAGCGAAACCTACTGTTCAACTTATCTGCATCGGTCCTCTGATCGATCTATACGGCAAGTTTGCGGCGTTGAAACTGGATCGAATTATGAAACTTTATCCTGGTCGAGTATGCTCCAAACCCCAGTTCACTATCCTACCACATTTTATCTTTTCGGGTGCCGAGTTCGCGCTCATTCCTTCCCGCGATGAGCCTTTTGGTCTCGTTGCCGTGGAATTCGGACGCAAAGGAGCACTCGGGATTGGAGCTAGAGTAGGTGGCCTTGGGCAGATGCCTGGTTGGTGGTATACTGTAGAGTCAACTACCACTTCCCATTTGTTGAAACAATTCAAGCTGGCTATCGATAGCGCCTTGAGTTCAAAACCCGAAATTAGAGCGATGATGCGCGCCAGATCTGCCAAACAACGGTTCCCAGTGGCCCAGTGGGTCGAAGACCTCGAAATTCTCCAGTCCACTTCGATTCGAGTTCATCAAAAAGAACGAGCCAAATCCCAGAATCCGTCTCCCGCGGTTGGTGCTTATAATGCTATATATGGTATGATGACGCCACAAGCACCATCGACAAGATCGGGGGCGTCGACTCCTCCCTTGCAACCTTCGAGTCGCCCAGGTACTATGGGCTCTCTTCAGCGAAATTCTATCATTTACAGTCGTGACCCAAGCCCTGGTGGCGAAGTGAGACCCAGATCAGGGCTCAGTCGCCAAATGTCTTTTGGTGTTCGCCCGGTTTCTGGAAATATCGAAACTCGTGGCCGACGGGACCTTGCTAAAGTTAGTGTTATTGAGGGCGACGACAACACCGGCAGAGCCTCACCAGAAGCTGAAGAGGATAGTGACGAGGAGCTGATGGCAGCTTGCTATGGAGATGATGACTATTCAATATTACCTGATGGTGCAGATTCGACCCGAGTCCAGACTCCTCAGTCTGGCGTTGCTCTCACAAAAGAAGCCCTCTCTGCCCAACGCGCAAGCCAAGGTGCTGTGATGGCTCGATCCAATAATACACCTTCCAGCTCTGCAGCTCCCAGTATCGTCGGCACTGAAGACACCCTTATTCCACCGTCCCGTCCTTGGACAGAACCAGGAAACCGCCTCAGCAGTGCGTCGGTGTTGTCTGTCGATTCGGTTATCGGCGAGAAAAAAGACTTCAAACTCCAAAAGGTCGACCCATTTTTCACGGACAGCAACGGCGAGTACTACAAAGTGTTTGAGAAGAGACTTGAAGACCTTAATGGAGCGAATTCGGACAACCAACTTTGCATTGAGCAATATCTCGAAAAGAGCGAAAAGAAATGGTTCAACAAATTCCGCGATGCACGTCTTGGTCGGAATCAAGGATCTCCGTCTAGTTCAGTGTATCGTGGCAAAGGTGGTAGTTCCCCATCTGGCTCAATCACCAACGATGACGAAACTTCTCACGGGAGTGGTGGTCACGAAAGAAAAGAGCCACCAACTGATGAGTTTCTGCTCGGGGATGACTACGTACCACCAACAGGCCTGAAGAAATGGATGCAAATTCGCATCGGAGAATGGCCTGTTTATTCCCTTTTCCTCGGACTAGGTCAAATCATCGCTGCTAATTCTTATCAAATAACCCTTCTCACCGGGGAGGTTGGCCAAACGGCTGAGAAGTTATATGGTATTGCGACAGTGTACCTGGTCACTTCTATTTTGTGGTGGTTCTTCTTCCGATACTGCAAGTCGGTGTTGGTTCTTGCTGTGCCATGGTTCCTCTACGGAACGGCATTTTTGGTCATTGGTATGGCACACTTTGAGCCTGATTCATACAGTCGCGGGTGGATCCAGAATGTTGGAAGCGGGATTTATGCTGCTGCTTCGTCAAGTGGTTCTATCTTCTTTGCTCTGAATTTCGGGGATGAAAGCGGAGCGCCAGTCAAGCAATGGGTGTTTCGAGCATGCCTTATCCAAGGCACGCAGCAGGCATATGTTATTGCTCTTTGGTACTGGGGTTCGACTCTAACAAAAGCTAACAATGCTGGAATCACGGATGTGCAAGGCAGCATTACGAATACTTGGAGAATGACGTGCGTATTAGTGCTGGGTCTCTCTTCTGGTACATTGAAAGCTTGCTAACAATGAACACAGCGCAATCTGTACACCTATCGCGCTCTTCTTGTGGGGGGTGGGTCTCATCGTCTATTTCGGCTTGCCGAACTACTATCGTCAGACTCCTGGAAAGGTTCCGTCTTTTTATAAATCAGTTTTCCGGCGAAAGATTGTGCTTTGGAATTGGGTTGTAGTCATTCTCCAAAACTTCTTTTTAAGTGCTCCGTATGGTCGCAACTGGAACTGTGAGTCTCCAATCCCCTCTTGATTACTCGGCTTTTGGCTCACCCTCTCTAGTCCTCTGGATCACGAACCATGCGACTGGCTGGCAAATCTTGTTACTTTGCATTGGATTTTTCGGCTTTGTCTGGATTGCCGTTCTCTTCTTACTAGCCAGACTGTCCAAATCTCACAGTTGGATCCTCCCGGTCCTCGCCTGTGGCTTGGGGGCGCCACGCTGGGCCCAAATATGGTGGGGAACATCTGGCTCCGGCCTCTTCCTCCCTTGGGCTGGAAGCTACACCTCTGGAGCTCTAGTCTCTCGCTCCCTATGGCTCTGGCTTGGAGTATTGGATGCATTGCAGGGTCTCGGGTTCGGTATGATTCTCTTGCAGACCCTGACACGAATGCATATCTGCTTCACACTCATGGCGTCCCAAGTGCTAGGATCCCTGGCGACAATTTGTGCGAGGTCTTTTGCACCAAATAACATTGGTCCCGGGCCAATCTCCCCGGATATTACCGCAGGAGCGGGTGCCTTGAGCAACGCTTGGTTTTGGGTTGCTCTTATTTCGCAGCTCGCGATATGGTATGTTATAATCCATCACTCATCTGCTATCTAGCTAATATCTTCCAAATCAGTGGCGGATTCCTGTTGTTCTTCAGAAGGGAGCAGTTATCTAAACCTTAAGATATGTTGATGGTTTTTGATGAAGGGTTGTTGATGGAATCAAGTGGTCGCGGACAACTTAGCCGTTCCTTGTGAAGTTATGTTCCTGCGCATAGTGTCGTTATATACTCTTTTCGTTTATTGTTGCACATTATTTGGTCAAAACACAAACACCCCCTTACTACGTAGTATCTAATATAATGGCAATTCAACCAATTTGTGTCCTAAGTTGAATTTTCAGGTTAAAATTTCTCGAGCATCAAGCAGACATTAATTCTAGAACTTCAAACCCCTTGGCACTACTGGGCTAGAATAGACGACAGATATATCACTTGCGAGTGTACATACGTTTTTACAGAGAAAGGAAGGGAACGAGGATGATTTGACTGTGACCAAAATGGTGATATGATCAAGGAGACAAGAGAAGCGAAGCGTTGTAAAACACAGTCATGACAACATAATTTGATTTCAATAGTGTAGATGATGTGATATCAAACCTAGCATCAATGCTACAGATGGGTCACTTTCTTTCATATTGAAGTCGAAGAAATTATTGGTCAATTCTGCGTCACGTGCCGTGGCAGATATTCGGAGCTTCGACCCCAACTGCGCGTTCTTCAATCCCAGCCCCGACGACTTTCTGCTCGCAAATTCAACCAGGGCCACTGCCCTCTTCGACACAATGGCGACCGATGCCGCGCTGCAAGATCCGCTCCTTTCACTCCGACGTGCGATTGCGTCAGGCAACCTCCCAACGCCCACAACTTCGTCCGAGCTCTCCGATCAACATGCCACAGAAGAACTGGCCAAAGCAACACATCTCTACTTCTCCCAGCCTACCCCTCAAACAATTTCTTTATCAACTATCACAAGGTTCATCTCAGAGGCGACACAATCCCCCGTCGATCTGCGCAGTATCCTATTCGCTTGGCAGAATAAAGATGTCGCCATTCCCGAGTACATCGCTTCGGCGGAGAAGTTTAACGAAGACTTGAAGCAGCAGACACAAGAAGGAGCCAAAGAAGAGAGCGTCCAGATTCTTGTCTTCGTCGAGCGCCTCGACCTAATCACCTGGTTGGAAGGCGCTTCCGATGAAAGTGAGCACATCAAGCCCCTCGAAGGTGCTGCTGCTGCCGCCGAGGCCGCCGCCGCTGCTGCGGGCACCGCACAGGCCGAAAATGCGGCAGGTATTGCTGCGGGTACTACTGGTGGTGTTTTGTCCGTCCCTAGTGGCGCCGCAGGGGCAGCACAACATGGAGCTCAAGCGGGCCGCCCACAGAAGCACATCGATCCTCAGCTACAAGAGATTTACAATGGAGAGCGCAAGACCGGTGACCGAAACACAGTATTGCGCGGAATCAAACCGACGGTGAGTTCTACTGGACAGCATGAAATTCGTTCGACGAGCTAATAGACAATTCTACGCGATAGGACTTTTCGCACGTCCGCAAGAGCGCTGAGCTATTCCTCGACCGAAACCGCAATCGCCCCGGTCAGCCAAGTGCCAAAACAAACAGCAAGAGTTCTGTCCCCGCGCCCTCGGCCGGACTGTCGATGCCATCAGCGCGTAAATCCAGCTCCTCTCACTCCCGCCCCGACCCCATCATCCTGATCTCGCCCTCCGCCTCCTCACTCATCCGCATGTCAAATGTGAAAACCTTCCTCGAGCAGGGCATCTTTGTACCACCAGATCACCCCACTCTCTCCAGCACAACAGACGCCAACATCGTCAAGCTCGAGCGCCCCCTCCGCATCAACAGCGACCCGTCCAACCCGAGCTCCAGCGCCATCGGCTCTCGCACTGGCGGTAAGCCTACCCGCCCAACGAAATTCATCATCGTCGACGGCACAGCCAACTTCAAGCCTGAGTATTGGAACCGCCTCGTAGCTGTGTTCACTACTGGCCAAACCTGGCAGTTTAAGTCATACAAGTGGTCTTCGCCTCCAGAGCTCTTCAAGCACGCTACCGGTGTATATGTCGGCTGGCGCGGCGAAGAGGTCCCCAGTCAGGTAAAAGGCTGGGGTCGTGGTGTGCATAACTTCGCGGTTGAGCGCTGGGATGAGAAGAATGGTGTGCAGGGTGGTGGGCGCTGGCGGGATCGTGAGGTCGTTGAGGGTATTTGGTCGGCTATTGAGGAGGGCATGAGGCTTCGTGGTTGGGGTTCCAAGTAGACTTCGCGTCTCTGGTACCTTCTCTGGCTTTTCTGTCATCCTGTGCTCTAATACCCTCCATCTTCCAAGTCGAATATGATGACCAACGGCATTCAAGGCGTGTTCTAGGCGTTGTGGTTGTGTTTCTCTCTCTTTTTCTCTCTTCCTCTCCCCCCCCCCCCCCCACCAAATTTTGTGTACGTATGACTTGGTCTAATTAGTAGTTTAAAATCCATGAGGTTTGAATTTGTACAAGACTTTTGTTTTTCGCTGCAACATTATATATAATCTTAGCTCCATTCGAGTCAAAGCTTCAAGTAGGTACTAGTTCTGTCATTTCGGATCTAATTCTATTTAGTTTGTCGTAGCACTGACCTGTTCAAACTCTCCTTGGATACATCTGGAATCCCAGAAAGATGCAATGTCAACTGGAGATCTCCCAAGATGCTCTTCAACACATGACGGACCCCATCCTCGCCTCCAATCGCCAATCCATATACATAGGGTCTACCAACCAGAACCATTTTCGCACCAAGAGCCAAAGCCTTCACGGCATCCGCGCCGCACCGTACTCCAGAATCAAACAAAACCTCAATGTCGTCTCCAACGGCATCCACAATCTCAGGCAATACATCCAATGACCCAATCCCCCCGTCTTGCTGTCGCCCACCATGATTCGACACCACAATACCCTGAGCACCATGCTCACACGCTTTCTTAGCATCCGCAACAGTCTGAATCCCCTTCAAAACAATCGGACCATCCCAATGCTCACGCAGATATTGGAGATCATTCCACCCATGACTCTTCCCGGGAAAAATTATATGCGCCCATTCAGCCGCAGCCGTAGAAATATCATCCTCAATGGACACGCCATGCTTTTTCCGGAAATACTCCTGGAAAACAGGATCCGAGAACCCCAATTCCACACCGATATTATCCGGCCGCAGGAAAGGATTGTACCCATTATCCAGATCACTAGGCCGCCACCCAAGAATGTACGTGTCAAGCGTGACAACGAGCACCTTATACCCGGAAGCCTTTGCTCTTCTCAGCAAACTAGCGGTGATATCCAAGTGCTCATTAGAGGGCCAGTAAAGCTGATACCAGCGTGGGCCGGTGCTATTCGCCGTTGCGACATCTTCAATACTTGTCGACGACGCCGTGCTCAAGATATAAGTGACATTCTCAGCATTCGCCGCCTTGGCAGCGGCCACTTCTCCTTCTCGGTAAAAGATCTTCTGCACGCCTACTGGTGCAAGCGCGATTGGGTAGTCGTATTCTTCACCGAAGAGGGAGGTCTTCAAATTCGGGAAGTTGGAGTCTACCATGCGGGATGGTACGATTGCCCATTTCTTGAATGCGGTGCGATTGTTCTCATTTGTTTCGCCTGTGCCAGCTGAGCCTCCCACGTAGCCAAAACTATCGGCTGATAGGCATTCCTTGGCTAGAGATTCCCATTGTAGAGGGTTGAATGTGATTTTGGGTTTCTCGCCTTTGAGACCGGCTTTGTAGATGTCGCTTTCGTAGGCGAATGGTGTTGATTTGTCTTGATTCATTGTGTGTGGTTTTGAATCTTTGAATAATAGTCAACAGAATCATCCAGCTTCAAGGTAGAGATATATGTGTGAATATTCGAACCCACACTGACGTTATTGTGTTCAGTTCCAAGTGCTAAAGCTATGACGTAACAAATCTTGCCCTCAGTCTACCATGAACACATTAGTTAAGTTATATGGTCCATTAGAAAGTTCACTCGACGGCCACGAGAAACCGGAGCATAGATACAACAGTCTGCTGCGAAGGGGCATAGCGGCCAATGTCCGGATGTATTTTTTGACCTAGTTGATGCCTAATTGATGCCTGATCCTATACCGGGCCAAGTGAGTTCGTCTGCCAACGACTCAAACTCCGCCACGTATTCTGGTACCGTGCTGGTCTAAAAAGGGGTAAAAAGAGATATAAAAAGAGCTAAAAGAGTTACGATTTTAATAATGCACAGAAAGTGTACGTCGACACAAGTTTGTCGAATGATCTATAAACTGCACTTTCCGCATATTTTATTGGCCAGATCAAAATTGAATTCATATACGGAATACACTCTCTCAATATGCCAATGCGTCGTTCATGTTATGATTGTAATATCCTTAGCTTATCATCTTTAGTATTACATGGATCTCATATAAGATTAGGTAGCCATGGATAAGTAATCGTATTCTCATATTTTCATCATGAAATGCTCATAGTCATCATCCCATTGCTTGCTGCCCTCTAAGACTAATCATAGCAATAGCGTATAGCAATCAACTCTATGCTGTGAGTGGAAGAATTTCAGCTAAAGTTATAGGGCCATAAATAATGCGAGAGCCCTCGGGACCACTTCGTTAGTAAGTAATATCGTACTGCATTATTAGCCAAGCCAGCCACGCCAGCTACGCCAGCTCGTCATGGAAAAACCGAATATCTACGAGGTGATTCCAATATATCTTCCTCATATATCCTCGGAGTTACCGATAGCCAAGGCTTACTGTATTCAAGGAGATCAGCCCCTAGCCTATTTCTTGGCCAAATTCTGCCTATTAGGTCGGTCGAATTATCCAACTCTACATATAGGGTAGATGAGGCTTGACCTATCGGCAGCACCGAAATGATTTATCTTCTCAACCAAGGTACCATATTACAGTGTAAGGGCTTAATTGCCATAGCTATTCGTCTGTTGTTCGGGAAATTTCCCCTTTATCTCGCTCTGGATTATTCTAGAACCGTTCTCAGGCTTTCCACATATATGTTTCACTAGCTAGATAGGAAATATGCATATTAATATAGCGCAAAGGCTGAGCTGAAGATTCTTCTATGTAAATGGGTATGCAGAAGAATGCAGAGCACTAAGTTGGTGCCGGTCAACATATTCACCCCATGGAACTACCTTGAGCAAAAGTCTCTTATTTAATACTGCGATTATCCCCAAAAAGTTCAAAGTATAAAAGAATCAATCATTATTAGACTTACTAGGGTTCTAAATCTTCGCTATCTCAATCACAGGTCCTTCTGTGTTGTCCCACCCTTTTTCGTGACACAATTGTCGTTCGAAAACTTACACATCATGCTCGTTCAGGCAGATTTAATAGATTCAACCAATCTAGCCCTACTGCCGGCTGATTTTGTTGGGATGGGCAGTGTCAATGATGCGGCAAAGCTCTCTTTACAGTTAAAAGGGAAGACTTTGTGCATACCAAGTCTGTGGAATATATTTCATGATTGGCCTACTGCAGTCAACCCAGCCTTAGACCGACTCCAACAGGAAATCGATGGAATACTTGGGAGGTAAACTACACCCACTACTTCATCAAAAAAACAACGGCTTAGTTGCAATTAATTAGAACCATCAAGAACGAGAACAAACTCCAGGGGCTTGAGTCTTGTGATTTCGGCTTATTAACCTCCTGGTATGCTTCCAATCACATTCCAAAGATGGATCGACGTGAGTCTTACTATATCGAATCACTAGTCTGTTTCCACACGCTCAATGGGAAGAGCTTCGAGTTGCTGGCATCTTTATGCTCTGGATATTCCTATGGGATGATGAGATTGACGGTGCCGGAACGATCGTTTCTCAGAGCGAATCCCACGCCAGCATCTACTGTCAAAATTCTCTTGAGTTTGCTCGTCTGGTCCTTGGGCTGGGCGAAATTGATAGTAAACAGTCCAATAAGCATAGTCGTGATCTCCAGAACTTGTCATGCCCTGTTCCTACTATGGTTTATTTCCAAGATGCTAGTGAGGTTTTGAGGACAGCCTTGAACTTGAGTGCGTAAGAGCACGACATACTAGGTCAAATAGCAATACTGACGCAATGCAGATCAACGCAATCGATTACTTAAGGAGCTCTGCTCTTACATGGCATGGACGGTGAAGGAGCTGGTTGTTCGTGAATCTGGCACAATCACGACACCAGATCAGTATATGGAACTGCGCAACTGGACATCAGGAATATATCCAGTCATTGCGATATTTGAGTAGGTTTTATCTGTTGGGTATTGAATGCTTGAAATATTTGTCTGATCGAGTCACCAGGTTCATCTCTCAGGTGAAGATCGACGAGTCTCTCATGGAGTCGGATGAGATGAAAACGATCTGGAAGGAGACATGCTATCTCTGCATGCTGTAAGATAAGGATATCCCTAGCTGAAAGTTGACCAGGACTCATGTCTCTTAGAATTAACGATATTCATTCCTTCCCAAAGGAAATGGTACGATGAAGACTCCATTCAGCAGACTAGGATAGCTTTAACTAATTTTAAATACATAGGCTTCTGGGTCCACATTGAATGCAATACCCATTTTATTCCACGCCGATGAGACCAAAGACCTCACAAACGTGATGTTTAACCTGAAGGAAAGTCTAGCCCTATCGGTGGACAGGTTTGACCGAGCGCGAAGCAAGTTGTCATCACAACTGACTGGAACAAGCTCGCACCCACAAGTGATGCAGTATATTGACACTTGTCGTACTACCGTTACCGGGCTGCTGACTTGGTCTTTATCAACCCAGCGGTACAGTTTATCGCGGTATAGTGTAGATGGACGAGTTGTGATCACACTCTGACTTTTCTACGTCCTCGGCGAACTCATACTAGGCTGATATAAGGTTATTACTACTTGCCCCAGGTTTTGATAGTCCGTACATATGTAAATATGTAGTTGTATAAGATGCTCTGAAAGAGTTGGCAGAACGCAAAACCTTAGAATCAACCTTTAAAGTAGGATATAACTAAGAAGTGGGAGATCAGTGAGAAACATTTAATTGCAAACGTAGTGAGCTAATACGTAAGATTTGGGGAATGCTATCCGGTGCAATGCGAAAGTTTTCTCTTGAAACCTCGCCCTACGGTAAAAGGCAGGTCTATTAACCTTTTGATAGCCTTTTTCATTGCCTATTTTAATACCTATTCTAATAAATATTTCATTATAGCATGCAATTTTCTACCCGGATCGCCTACTATAGCTGGTATACGCTAACAACTGAGACTAGGATAACCACAAATGGAAGCTATACCTCGGCGAAGTATATTGCCACTACCTGGTTGTAAACTCAAGGCGAGTTATTGGATTCTGACTTTATAGCCTTAGAAAAGCTTTCCTAAACGTTTAGACTTAATTCTCAAGACCATTCGATCTCCACACTCACTATTGTAACAAGCAACACGGCGTTATGGACAGCCTGGCTTGGAGCGTCACGAACAGCGCTTAACGTGGACGGCCTCATGATGCGCTTTACTCATCTTCTCATCGTGTGGAACTATCAAGGAAGTGAAGTCGGTAGTTACGTATTAATGGTTATTCGGCATCTATATTAAAATAACATCTATATAACTAGGTGGACATTACCAAGATGAAGGAACTTTTCAAAGAGAAATCCAATAAGTGCCAATTTCCTTGCGAGCAATGCAAGAGTGATAATAACGCCAAAGGTATGTAATCTTAACTACAATTTTTAAATATTTACTGAAATTACATACAGAATGCGGCACCCTCCCTCGTTACCCAATGTGTGAGCATTATGAGGAGTTCGAGATTCCGGAAGATCTAAAGCCTGAGGCTGATGATCTGAGAGTTTTTCAGAGGATTCTGATAATTCGGAAATAGCTGAAAATGCCGTTACTAGTGAACAGTAAACGTTTCTTGAACGTTTATTTATTGCTAGCGGTACCTGAAGTGCAAGTCTTAGTTCACATTTCATCCAAATGGAAGTTCTACAATACCAAAACACTATGCAACAAGTCGTGCTGTAAGTTTCAACACAAACACATTATGTAGTTCAGTAGATCATGAGATAGTTCACTGCATACTTAGGACCAAACGGAGCGCAAAGAAGCAACATAGTCTACTTTCCAAGACTATAAAAAGCCATAAGTCGGAGAGATCTATGATGATGTATGTTGATCCAAATTAAGCTCAACCTTCGCGGCGAAGAAAAAGCTTGGCCTCTACAATTTCATACGATTTTCTGTAATTTGATCTTCGTATACGTACAGCGCAGAGCCCCTGGACTCTGTTTGGCTATTTACCAGCTGGAATCAATAGAACTAGGTAGACGCGATAAATAATTGCCTAAGGCATTTTTAGTTAGTTCTTGGCTAGTGACATACGTGGAGTACGGCTATGGACAGGAGTTTTTCCTACTAGAGGGCTTGGGTTCAATTTGTCAGCTTACTGTAGGAAACTGTGGCCCCGGGGGAGTTTGACTATATAGTAGGGATCGGGTGAATATATTTCGATATAATGTTATATGTCAAACCAAACAGAACTAGATACAAGTGGATCGAAGTATGTGTATGACGTTTACAACCCTCGCGATCAAGGTCAAAAGTCACTATGTTGGCATTTGGATTTCCAACCACTAATTGTTTTGTACCTGGGTACATAGGTACCTACTATATACCTGTAATCATGCAATCCAACGTAGTACATGCAACCACCTCACCACCTTACCACCTCCGCCGCCATGGATGTTCAACCCCCCGCATCGCTCAAAGAACGGCTCTGTGAAATACAATGGGGATGGTATTCAATATCAATGGCAACAGGAGGCATCGCAGTCCTCCTCAACAAAACACCGCATCAATTCACTGGGCTTCCCATAATCGGCAAGATAATCTACATATTCAATCTCCTCCTTTTCCTCGCTGTCACATTTAGTTTGATTATTCGCTTCCTCACAAAACCAAAATCCCTAAAAGAATCCTTCCAGCAACCCAGCGAAACTTACTTCGCCCCAACATCACTCTTATCCATCGCAACCATCATCCTCGGAGCAGAATGCTACGGGTCCAGTTCCAGCGGCCCATGGCTCCAAACCGCCCTCCGGATCGTCTTCTGGATCTACGTCGCTATCTCGGTTCTCGTGGCTATCGCTCATAACTGGTATCTCTACTACCGGGGTATGGCTACCCGACAACCCTTCCCAATCGTCCGACTCCTCCCTTTCTTTCCAGCCATGCTGTCCGGAACAATTGCATCCACTCTTGCGTCTAATCAGCCCTCAGACCAAGCAGTACCTATCCTTATTGGTGGTCTCACGTTACAGGGATTTGGATTCTTAATGTCCTTGCTTGTTTATGCGGAGTACCATTACTATCTGAACAAACATGGGTTGCCGGATTCGTCTGAAAGACCGGAAATGTTCATCGCTGTTGGGCCATGGAGTTTTACTGCTTTGGCGCTAATCGGGATGGCAAAAAACGCGGTTGAAAAGTTTCCTTCAACTTACATTGTTTCTTCTGCGGATTCGGAGCTTACGGGTGTTGTCACAGCTGGTCAGATTGCTTTAGTTCTTGCTTCGCTTGTGGCAGTTTTCTTGTGGACGATGGCTTTCTTTCACTTTTGTATTGCTCTCATAAGTGTTTTGTCGTCATGTCGATTACTCGGAGGATCGGGCAACGTGATGTCACTTCCTTATTGGAGTATGGTGTTTCCTAATACTGGGTTTGTGATTGCTACTATTAGTATTGGACAGGTCTTGAAGTCTGAGGCGATTTTATGGCTTAGTTCGATAATGACCGTGTTGCAAGTTACGATATGGCTGGCTGTGGGCGTCGCGACGATACATGCTGTTTCGAAGCGTCGTATGCTTTGGCCAATGCCAAGTTATGATGATGATGGCAAGGACTCCTAGCGGGATGCAATTCGTCTTGACATCAAAATTTGTGCTTTGTATCATTGAGCATCTACCAATTACAAGTTGCTTGAACCATAAGTGAATGATATAACAGTCATGTCCATTGCAACTCATACAAGAATTGAAAATAATGATATGACATACACAACCAGACCAAAACTCACTCGCTGTGCCCGATAGAAAGATGCAGGGTGCTTGAGCAAAAATGAACAGGAAAAAGAGATAAAAGAAGATGAAATCATATGAGATGCTCAAATGGGAAGTAAACAAGATGAGTGTATGGATAGGCAGGAGAGATATAAGATAACCTTGAAAGAAATGACATGCAAGAAACGCCGCGTCTTATGCTCAAGTGAAAAGAAACGACCTCCACTCTTCCATGTGGTTTTTTTTTGTTTTGTTTTCTGTGTTTCTTCTGATTCCCTTCAAACCACTTTCGTCCGAGATCAGAACGAAAGAGTGAATGTGGGAACAAGAGGAAGAGGAAGGTAAGAGTAAAAGAAAAAAAAGCAATGCAGTCCGAATATTACAAATATTTCCAGTTCCGGCCTTCTCTATAACATGAGCCATCGATCATAACGTCTTTCGTTCGGAGAGGGGTAATCTCGGACGAGTGGATTAAAATTGGGAGGAAAATGGCAGCCAGACAGCCTGAGACTGCTGGACTGCATGCGGCGGGAATATGGTAACAAACTTCGTGGTCGAAAGCGATCGTGACGAGATTGATGAAATCGGGTCCCAAGGTCGACCGTGTATTTTATCCCCTCTGTATATGGAGAGAGAGGGGGTCTGTTTTGGGGCCACAAGCATGAGGGGCGCAGGTTGATTGGATTCGAATTGGGCCTCGAAGGCTCGAATGCTTCACCGCGTGTGTTGAATGTTTCAGCTGTTCGCCGGGTTGGCTCATGATGAGTCAGAATCGCAGTGGTACGAATCGTCTTCGAATGGGTTGCGGGGGAGGTCAATGCTTGTGGGCGTTAGTTGTCAGGCGCGGGCCGAACGGCTCATACTGCGTTCTGGGATGGAGGGCGGGCCTGGTGTGGGCGAATATGAACGCGAACCTCCCATGATGTCCACGTCGTGTTCTTGAAGAACGACAGCGTACTTAGGATCGCGTAGGAATTTCGGAACGGAATCGCTGGACATCAACTTGAACACGGATGTTTGAGCAAGCTCGAACAGGTGCACAACCTCCTGCAGACTCTTGAACATGGACTCGTCGTCTCCAACGGCCTTGGTCATACGGCTAGCCAAGCTGTTGCGGAGGGCGTGGTCGATGTTCAACTCGCAAGGAGATCCAGGGGCCAAGAATGCATTGTACAATCCATACGCAGCAGCCAAAGTTTCCCGAACGGAGTCAATCTTGTTGAATGTGCCCATCTTCTCGGCTTTGTGGTAGTTGGCAGTGAACTCGGAAACATCGAGGTAGAATGACAGGTTCTCTTCGCAAAGGGAGTAGCGAAGAAACTCGCGGAAAAGCAGACGCAAAGCAGGATCTTGAAGGATGTGCGTCAGTCGGGCGTTGTTGGAATCCCGCGGCATACCACGGCTGTCGTATGCCTGCGCGGTCTCGCGGGACTTCTCGCGGGCAATCCATCCACATACGCGCTGTCCACGTTCGGTAATTCCATAGATGGCGTACTTGGAGGGTTGGAAGTGAGCATTGGTGCCAATGTCAGGGAAGGATTTATCGTCTTGAATCATTGTGATCAAGCCGTACTTCAGGAACAGCTCAGCGATCAAGCAAGTCTCTCGGCGCTCAATTGTAGTCGAACAATCCATCAACCAATCCACCGATGCCTTTCCAGTGAAAGTGTTGCTATAGACCTTGCCATCCTGAAGTTTACGTTCCCGAGCCACCTTCACACCAACCAGACCGTTAGTGTAGTCACTGAGGGAGTCTGAGTCCGAGGTTGAAATGCTGCTCTTAACGTTGGGGCCATCCTGGCCAGCAAAACGGCGGAAAATGACTTCAATTGTTGCGCGATCGTGGGACAGCTTGTCAGTATCCGTGTCACGTTCCAAGTTGACCAACTGCATGGTGTTGCGTGGTGACTCCAAAACATCCATCACGTGACGGGCGGTGATACCGTTCCGCTGGCAGAAACGCTGCAGGATGTTGATTCCTTTTGGGGTAAGCTGGAAAAGAGCGCCCTTGAGCGGAAAAATCGGAAGCGCTTTCCCGTCAACTGATTCAATAAAACGCGCATCGACAAATCGTTGGCAGACGGAGCGGGCCATTTCCTTGGCCATGGAGAAAGTGGTGGTTGTAGTAGTTGTGACGATGCGGGAGGGGTCCTTGGGGTCGGGCATGCGATTGGATTGAGAGAACTTGAGCGAGCCCAAGTTGTTGATAGCCTCTTCGGAGGTGAATGTGTGATCATATCTTGTGAAACGGACACGGTGTGAATCTAACTTCAAGCTGACCATCAAAGTGGAGAACAAGTCCATGAAATCCTGCGCAAATCAGCCCAATTGTTCGTTGGAAATACCATTTCCCTTCTAATTCCATATCTTGAACGTACCTTTGTGAAAGGGCGCTCATCCTCTGTCATGCGCAATAACCTAGATGATGTCTGATGCATTTTGGGTGGTCCGCCGGGCGGGGAAGTTCTGTTTTCGTGGGGAGGTGTAGGAAGACGCTGCAGAGTCAGAGGACGCTTCTGTGGCGGATTTGAGAGGGCGTCGACCAAGGCCGGAGAACAAGGGCGAGAGGTTTCCGTCAATTGCACGTAGTTTTCGTCAAATGGCGGGGTCCAAGGGGTTGCGCCAGAGAACCTAGATCTCGACAAACTAACGTTGGAGTTTGAAGAACGTAGTGAGGTCTGCGTAGAGAAACTAGCGAAGGCACTTGAGGTCTTCTGGGCTATAGCAGCAAAAGAGCGACGATTTCGGCGGGAAATAGAGCCGACAACAGAACCAGTGAAGGTAAGAGGATCTGAAGTATCAGGAACTGAGAGAGAATCTTCTCGGCTGTGGCTCCTGGGTTGAGTTGGCATTGAATGGTTTTGAGTCTTCGGGTTGAACCAAACTGCTGAAAAAGTGGATTAGGTCAAACACGACCTGATACCATCAAAGGAAAAAAACATGAAATATTTCACAAGAAATTAATGTGGACTTTTTTGGATCTAGGGAAAATATGGAAGGGAGGGGAAAAAAGGAAGGGGAAAGAAATAGGAAATTATACATGCAATTTTCCTCTTCTTGGTTTTTTTTCTTGGGTTTTTTTCTTTTTTTTTTTTTTCTGACTCTTGATTTATTTTCAATTGAATTTCAATAGAATAAAATGAGGGGAGAAAGAGAGACTTCCGGGGGGGAGAGAGAATAGAATAGGATCAAAGGAAAATAAAATAGAATAATATTCAATTTAATAAAAGAAAAGAAAAAGTAAAGGCAAAATGGTAAAATAAATATAATCGAAAATAGAAAAGGAATTATTTTTCAAAAAAAATAAAAGAAAAAAGGAAAAGAAATGAAACTATATGCTGAAGAAACAGCCATTCGGCCTGTCATCCATGACCCACAGCCCACGCGTGAGGCCCGGAAAGAGTTTGGTTTGATGCATCCAAACAACGTGGGCCAAGGGATTAATGGTGAAGATCGGTGGATTCTGGTCAGGGTCTGGTATCTTTACCATATACCTATAGTAGTAGCACTTTGGCTTTCTTTTTTTTTCTACTATAAACATAGACAAAATTTGTGCATTATTATCTGTAAGATATTGATTATTATCTACACAATACTTTAGTTAAAACAAAGGGATTAAGACATATAACCTGCAGATATTTTTATTCACATAGTTTATAGGATTCCAAATCAACTATGGAGACAACCAAAGAAAATAGAATTCATTTAATACCAAAAGAATTAAAAGAATTAAAATACCTAATCTTTCCAGTCAATGATTTCATTCATTTTCACCCAAGGCTGGTTAAACCGAACACATCCGGGCAGATCGTACCATACTTTGTGCTCCGTAATCGTATTACCCAAACGTTATTATCATTTAACACCGGTAATCCCCCCTGTTTTTCGTCTCCCAATACTTACTGATTTGGGACTAGTACTCTACGTTGTAAAATTGTATCTTTTTTTTTATCTGCTATCTCGGAGTAATAACGGGCTTATCCAGATCTGAACCTTCAGTTATGCTTGTCTGTCCGATTGGTACCTTAAATGATCATCCTAATATGTCCTAGGCGTTTATATTGACTAGCTACGTACAGATGTACATATATAGGAGCCTACATAGGCACTTACAAGCCGTCGTAGGTATTGTATACATTGTGCGGGACATCTTGCAATTTACACACAAAACAGGCAATGATGTGAAGCTCAAGCCCACGTGGCAACAGTTTGGGATCCCGTCCTCCCCGAAATCTAATGTTATAAGGTTATAATCAAACCTTGAGAATAATGCAATGACGATGACTAGTGGAACCGTGGAATGCTGTCACCTTTGTCGAGTTGCAATTGAAAAAGATTTGGCTACGAAGCACATTGTAGCGATTTCCACCGCCCATGATTAGATATTAGGTACCGGAAAATAGGGCCGGAATAGTATGGGACCGGGATTATATCATAAACGTTATCTACGTAGGTAAACACATGGGTCCGGATTAACGCCGAGGAGGGGCAATTGAGAAACCGCAAACTATTCATACCTACAAGCAAAAATATACAAAGTATAACTATACGTAAAACTGTATCACATGTCGCCATCGGAGAAACCCCCTCCTATTCTCACACCGATCGTCTTATGGTGGGGCCAATACTTTGTGTTTCGAGTGTACTGTATAACTTAAACTACTTCGGTCCGCCTGCATATAGGCTTTGATCTTGAAACTACACTATAACCATATGACATGACATGACTTGGGTATACATTCAATCGGTAATGTAGATAGTGGGGGAGGGGCATTTTTTGAGGACCTTGGGTGTAACATAAGAAAGCGGTGAAAAAAAGAAAACGAAGAAAAAAATCCTGTAATCTCCCAAGGCTTCCATGGTGATTCCAAGCGTCTTCTTTTTATTTCGTGCGCATAATCCATGTGGTTCCACGTGTGCCCACGTGGAGAGAGATGCTTAGCGTCTGAGCGTTGACCTCCCCTCTTACTCTTTTGCGCTTAGAGGGGGGCGCAGTCTTCCGAGGTCGCTAATCCTTCCCCTGGATGCTTGTGTTATGGGGTCATCATAGGTAACTATCGCTAATAAATCCCATGATAATCCTAGGCGCGGAATCCACGGTCCTGGTTCGTGTGGCTCCCGGTTCCTGGCTAAAGCCAAACAGACAACGGGTTTCAAGTTCCCTTTTGTCGGGTCATGGAAAATACGGGGTTAGGCGTCAGATTTGCTACCGAGACTCAATAGACGCCAATCATGTTTCATCTCGATTGAGACGATCATCAATCGGGTTGATTATCAATTCGCTGGCGCCGCGAAATACGAGATTAATGCCCTTTGGCCCTTTGATGCAGGGGTCGGGCTTGATCCTGTCGCGTCGGGACTTCTCTGAGACGAGCTAAAGGTTGACATGAGAGCCTCATCTTACTTCAAATCCCGGTCGAAACACCAACACGGCACAAACGCGGCCCCAAGGATCTCACCTGCATGAACCATGCTATCAACCCGAGATAACAAATGCTATCGGACACTCTGTCTGGGACAAGCTGTCACAACGCGTCATCAAGCCCCCTGTAGCCAGTGCTTACCTAGGAACAGGGCTAACCAACCAAAGCGCCCGGAAAAGATCACGCGAAACGAAACCAAGATGTCAGTGCGAGTCTCATCCGCCCAGTGCCGAGCGGCCCTGTCTAGACCCTAGACAGGCAGCATGGCTCTAGAAAGGTACTTTTGTATGTACTTCTATTTCATCAAAGATGAATGAGCCGTTGTCCGCTCAGGCTCACGGCCATTTAGACAATTTGAGCAAAGATGCTCGGTGATTAGATACCTTCTACGGAGTATGTAATACGAGATCGGCCCCCCGCAAGAACCAATTGTTCAAGGTTAGTCAAATTGGATAGCGCAGATCGATTATCCTAATTCTATGGTGTGCAGTGCCCAATATTGTACAGGTCACAGAAAAGAAGAGAATAGGAGAAAAGAACATTCGAAAAGTAAACACGTCACGCATGCTGTTGCCGTTGAGATCTATCAACCACGATCCATCATAAAACACGATCAAAAGACGCCACGTGGATTGGCCAAGCGGAGATAAAACCAAAATATGCGTTTTCATGCACGCCAAACCTAACCAGTGGAAAGCCCATGTGGCGAACTTGGGGGCCAAAAAGGGGTCCCCAAAATCCAGTCGCAAGTCGAATCTTGGTTCAGCCCTGCAAGTCCGAGAAAAGCCGATCTTGGATGCCTTGAGGCTCTATATTGAGGAAAGTGATTGACGGTGCTAAGAAGGTAGTGTGATGGTAGAATGATACAATTAGCCGAGTATATGTGGCTAGCATAGCATGCATACGGACTACGGAGTACAATTAGGTTTATTTTACATGTTAATGTTTGCACATCAGATAGCCATGTGCGCAAGTGGGATTCCCGGCTTGAGACGCTAGCCTGAAATGGAGTATATCGAACAGCCATTCTGTCGCTTTGTCCCGCTTAGGCCTGTGGTTGAGGAAGTGGATCCAAAATTCCAAAATTGAGGCCCGCTAACAGATTGGCTCACGGAGGTTTTCCTCCTTAAAGTCTGAAGTTGCGGTCAGACATCCAACGGCAGGCAGAGATAGACGACTGAGACCCAGTGATCCTCGCTGTGTGTTGTTGATCTTCTGGCACATACAGTACTTTGAGGTGTAATATATCATGTATTTTTTGTTCTGGCTCAATACAATTACCCCTGTATTGTAAGTTATTTATTAAATTCATGTATTTGTTGCATACTACGTAATTATCAATTATTCCAATACTTCCAGGTATTTCCAACATCCCTGACTGCCACGCGACAAGGGAGATTCCTGCATGTTCCGAGTTTACCAATTCAGGGGTAAACATGGTAAGATCTATATATTCAGGCCCCTTTTGATTAATTACATACATTCAAAAGGTCTGATATAAAACCTTACGAGTCATGAAAAGTTGACCAGAAAGATCAAGGTCATATCAGTACAATCAGCTGCCAAGAACCAATTACCCTTTCTAGCGTTTTGCACCTGTTGATCTGCGCAAATGGAAAGCTTATGTACATTAGTTCACCCTGGATACCTTGCCTATCTCGACCATTTACGTCGCACAACACAGGCAGCAACTCACTTGGCCTCCTCCTTACCTGTTTGAGGGTCCCTGCATGTAGCAGGTGTACAGTGTACATACTCCGAACTGCATGGTTGTGTGCGGATCTCTACGGAATCCAGGGAACCAACATCCGACTAGCTGTTTTGCTTTTCTGTTGGAATGTGGCTTGGGTTATTGGGATTCAAACTATTCTCTGATGCTCCTTGGGCCCGGACCATGCTAAACTCTAAATGTCACCTGTTTGGGAGTATTTGTATTAGGACCAAGTGGCTGGAGAAGGCCTAGATGGATTTCCTTTGCCCCTTTGAGTGTACAACGTGTATGTATATACTTAGGCAGTTGATTTCGTTCTCCAGGCAACAGTCCAATCAACTATCCTCAGGGGTGGACGGGGCTAGATATTGTAGTGCCCCCAGACAAGACTTGTTAGACTGAAGAAGTCCCTGGAGTATGCACAATATTGTATCACATTGCATAGGCCAAAGCTGCCGGAGCTACAAAGGTGGGGGAAGCTTTTGCGTATGTAGCTGAGCTCGCCACGTGGAATATACCAGTCAACCATCTAGACCTCGATAGCTATCGCCCCTACCAAGACCACAATCACCAAATCCCGTGTACTTTTGCTAAGTATACTATGTATAGAAGAGATTAGGGATTACTGGCGCTATGTGGCTTGTATAATACCCGAGTACCTCTCTGCCGTGGCTCAGCCGCACTCGATCTGATCCCGCAGTGATCCTGACCCTGAAAGGGAGCTGATTGACAGGAACTCTCCTCGCGCTAGCGAAGACACTAGTGACTCTCCGGGGGTGCACGCAGCACATAGTGAACAGAGCCCCGTTTAATATGTTGTCTTTCCGGTAAAAAAAAGGGGGATGTCAATCCCTGTCGGAGATGATGTGGGGGGAGAGCTGATCTAGCGCCGCAGCCGCAATGAATTATTTTTGAAACTATCGTCAAACTTGTGGCTCTAATCGTGGATATTTGACTCGTTCGGACTAACAACTGAAGTGAAAATTGTCGGACATCCCGACCCGACCTAGAGGATTCTTTTGTGTAGTGACAATTAACATTTGATCTACAGAAAATCTAGCTTAACAAAGGAGTATCAATGTCAAGTGGAGCTCATAAACCAGAGCCCCAGAGAGTTACAGGCTCCAGAGCTTCTTTTTCGTATTATATAATTCACCTAGTATTTTGCACATTGTAAAATACAACGTACGTGGTTGATACACGTGATCAAATCCACATGGCCGGAAACAGCCTGAGGAATGCGATGATGAAACACGTCATTGACTTTGAATAAAACCACAGTGGCTTAAGTCAGTTCCGGCCGAATACGGCGAAGTCCGAATGTCGCTGTAGGAAGTATTCTAGAAGGTTTCTAGAAGACGCTAAGAAGACGCTAAGAAGCCGCGGTCTCGGGTAATCCATGGTTCAGCGGGCCACCATCGATTAAAATGGAGAATGCTCCGTTTGCTTTGCTTTTGTTCCTTTCGTTTGTATAGATTAAGGGGAAATAACTTGCGAGAAAATGATCCAGATTTCACTATTGAAAAAAACCTTGTTTTCGATTGTTTTTCTTGTTCCTGATCCTGATTTTGAGAACGGCTTGGCACTATTCAACATCCATACATTGAGCTATCAAAGACTGATATCAGATGAGGTATCAATCCGTGAGATCCAAAATAGAGATGTCTCAGTATAATTATACAGTAGATATAGTACACCAATGGACCTGTCACGGATATATTTGATCTACATAACACAAAAATGAGTTGTACTCCGTACAATGGTGCAAGAAAATTTTCCGTTTTACCACACTCCACCTCAACACGGCAGAGGGAGCCACATGGTAACAAAAGGACCAAGTCCACGTGGCGGATCTGCAAAGGAGAATGTATGCAGCTAGCGACTACAATATAAGATTATGACAACTCCGCAAATGACTTGCATTGTGATTTGGGTGGATAGTTGTATATAGTAGAAGAGAGAGCGGTGTGCGTTGTTACGTCTCTTCATGATTTGTTCATAGATACTACCGTACAACAAGCTTCTCGGTTAAACCTGATACTACCTAGGACCTCAGATGCAATATTGCGAAGCCTTGATCGCCAGTGGCGAGTCCGGATGACAACCTGCATTTTCTAAACCTGTCGATCGCTACTGTTTGATGGTTCTTCTCGCTATGGTCATGCCCGGTCGGAGTTTTTATCGAAATTCTATTTTTGTCGCCTGCGAATACTGGCATGACAGCAATACCTCGTTCCCTCATGCAAGAAACCATATCGAAAATCGTATGCACCTCGCAATGGGGGCCGAAGAAAGTCCGCTTATTCTTGAAAGCTCCGCTGACACTGGGTTTACAGATGTTACGTTGCACATGGAGCATCGCAGCTGTCTACGATATATAAAATATGCTGACTAACGACTCAACACTACTTGATCTGAATAGACGATTAATTCTTTTATCTGTGAGACGGAAGTTCTCCATGACATCTCGGTTAACTTCCATCCCAGGACCGTTTCCATAACCGATGTCCGCCACGTCTCGGGGTTGTTTGATCATCGTTTCTGCTACTGCATGACAGCGGGGAAGCGGAAGTTGTCCGATTGAAACCGATAGAAGAAATAAATACAACGGCACACTATTGACAAAGTCGTCACGATCACCCCGCGCTTTGGTCTCGAGTCACTAACTAATCCTCGCTTGGTCTGAAGAAAACCCTAAAAGGCACCTCTGAGCTCTTATTCGAAGGAGAACTGTCCGACTCGAGAACCCTCCGATCACCATGCCATTTGCCTCCGCTTTTTTTCACATTATCCTTGCTGGCGCGTGGAGACAAGACTAGCCTGGCTTGGCGAGGCCCGATGGCCTGAGAAAATGATTCAATGAACGGGAAGTGATTCTCTGTCTGCAAAGCGGGGTCGCCTAGACGCATCTCGGCAGTGTCTGAAGCCGAAGACCGTGTACAAGAACATCCCTGACTCGCTTTTCTTGTCAACCAGGTGTACAGCCTGATGAAATAAAGTATAGTTCTGCAGAACAAGTGATTTCTATCTCGAATTCGAAATTAATTATTTTGTCTACTATTATTATCTACATGACTCGTTTTCGGGATTATCCACTACCCACACGGAAGGCAGCGGCCCGCTGATCATACGCAGCCAAATGCAGACACTCTGGCATCAAAAGACAACTACCAGCACCGTTGTACAAAGGTCCGGTTTACTTCTTTTTTTCCTGTGTCAGGCGGGCCTGGACTCACCCCCCACATCCCCTGAAACCAGTGGAAGTCTCGACCCTGTCGAAAATCCAGTCCTTGTCTCAAGAGCTGCACCAAATAGCCTCAATGTGAGAGTAAGTCGGGCCACTGCAGGGCCAGCTGCACTCGATCAAGATTTCGAATATGTGCACAAAACACATGTTCATGTACTTACCCTAGCGGAAACGAGAATATTGATCTACAGCCTGCAGCTTGGGCTGGACAAATTCCCAACGGTGAGAGATTGGAGCTAGGACTAGATAGGGAAGGTCGGGGGAGTTGAGTGAGGTGGTTTGCATATCAACGCCATGCGAATGTTGCAGGATTGTGGAGTCTAAGAGTCTAAGACCTCTCAATCATTTCTTTAGCTTCGACTTGACTTCTCTTATTATGCAACTTGTTGATCCTCGAGTCGAGGTACATTGATGAAGTTATTGCACTTATGCTTTTTACCGCATACATTTGCATTCGATATTCGATTAATCAGACCACTGAAAAACAGTCCATTATGGCATGATACAAATCTCAAAACTTCATATATCCCCTACGATTTTCCAACTAGTAGAACAAATAAAGTCTGACAATGATTTGCAATACCTGTATGCAGATTTCACATGGTACCCCAGTAATGCAAAGTAATCAATGCAGCTAAATACCGCCCTGCCAAATCTGGTCAACGGCAGGAGAATCAGACAGGTCATTTTTCACACATGGCGAGCCACATGCACATATATACCGCGTGTTTTGCACAAAAATGCATGGTTTGGCGTACAATATGTAATATGTTTACTATGTATCTTGAGGATTTGCCATTGCTATCTACATATGTAAAATACATATTGTGCTCACAGACATGTACTTAGGTAGGTATACCAGCCAGGCAGCGATATTTGAAAATCCCCTAGCATTGCCACATTACTTTTGAGTAGTACTGTAGAGTAAGAAAGAAAACCAGCTTCACCCCGGGCCTTTCTTCCCACACTAGTACCTTGTTCATGACATGCCTTGCCTTTCCTCCGAAAGATAAATCAGTCGGTTTCGAAACCTGGATGGGATCCATATTCAACACTATCGCCACCCTACACTAATCTAGACACGAAGTGCCGATCATATGACATCCCCAGGATCGTCTCAAGAGATGTAATCAGCAACGAGCAAACAAACGAACAAACAAGCCACATTACACCGCGTGCGCACGGGAGCATGCATACAGCAGAGGCGAGGTAAGGGTGTGATCGACTACCCTCGATTGCCATGGGGGATTGGCGATCGGCATGTTTGGATAGTCTAGGTTTGGGGCTAGCGGTGTTTGCCAATAGCTTAAACAAGGGAGATGGGGATGCTTGGCGCTCTGTGCATGTATGCAGGTTATGCATGTGGTTCGGGGTACAGGTTTATTTGTGATATATCTGATACCGGATGCTGGGTTCGGGGCATACACGGGTGGAATGGTATATATCTCAAGGTTTGGGGGGTTGAGATATGTATGATTTGTTGTTAGTTGTCTTCAAGGTTGGGTGCTTGGATGTTTCCGTTTTCTGCATGCCAGTACGGATGCTCGAAACTTGGGTATTCGTTCTAATCACACTCTGTGTTGGGAAGTAATTAGTGATCAAGTGAGAATGGATGGATATTTATATTCATGTTGAATCTAATCCAGAAATCTAGGTGACGTGGTTGTCAACGGCAAATAATGCAACACATTAAGTTATACTCGCAATATATTCCAAAGCAAGAGCCGAATACTGACAAGATTATTCGCGCCACCACTGGCCCAAAGAACCTCCCGAGCCAGCCATCTCAATAACCTCCTCGAAACTGATTTCCACACGGAACATTTGACCGTCAGCAGTGCCATTACCACTGCCGACAGGAGTCACAAGACCCCAACTGAGCAGCTTCTCCCAAGACTCGCGGGCGACGTCCCGGCCCCAGACACGACCCGGTGTGGCAGTAGCTCCAGACACCGAGGCAGATGTTTTGGCAGATGTCAGAAGACGCACATATTCTGCATATGCGGCGGGGAAGGAAAGCGCGAGAGGTCCCATGCTCTGTGCCTGGGTTCCGTCGTTGCCAGGGTCGAAGAGAGCTGCTAAACGAGTTGCCGCTACCAACAAAGCTAGTGGCAGCGATGAGGGACTGGATGATGTGATGGATGTAGAGAATGGGAGGGGCGGTGGGTCGGGGCATGATAGGGTTTGGGAGGCGAAGCTTTTTGGGGTTGGGATTTGGGGGATTGGTGCATCGGCGACCAATACGCTTTGTAGGAAGTCGCTCATGGGGAGCAACGCGCTGGCGAAAAACTCTTTCACGGACTTGGTTTGACTATAGATCTGCTTGAGATGGAATTGGAAGTCTTTGTCGTTCCACAGGTGCTATTTTCACACGAGAGTCAATATCATAGAACTGTCATCAATGAGTTTCACGTCTTACCTTCAAATACTCCTTCCATCCTTCAAGTAGCGTCTTCCATCTGTTCGACTGCACAAGACCGCGCTCATCGCCCAGCTCAACTGCAATATCTGCCATTTCGGCATCATTAAGGTCTAAACTGGCTAGGCAGATGTCCGAAAAGTCTTCAAATGATCGAGGCAGGGGCACATAAGTATAACGATGACTGAATCGACTCTTCACACGCTTCTCAAGCATTTCGGTTACGTCGACCTTCGTTGTAAGCCCAATCACCGCAATGGGCGCTTTGCGGGCCTGGGCAATATCAAAGAGGTTATACAACAAAGTCTGTCGTGGGTGAGTGACGAACAGATCGAACTCGTCCAACAAAATTACAATGGATTTCGCAGCAGTCTTTGAGCCTGCATCTCCAGAAGCTCCAAACAACTCTTCAGGGTGGGACAGCAAAGCCAAAAGCGTCGCCATTGTATCGGCATATGAACTGACCTTGGCCGCGTCATCCTCAGTATGCATCTCGCGACCGAGCTGGCGCCACATATCTCGCAAAGCCAGACGGTCATCAGTGTGCAAAAATCCGTTGAGACGAACGACGTGGAAATCGTTATGGTGCTCCTTTCTAAGCGAAGAAATTATAGTTTCCACAATCGCGGTCTTGCCGCACCCTCTGGATCCAAGAAGAAGCATAGAATTACCCTCGCCGACTGAAACTGTCTGTTCAATGAGCTGGTGAACTTTCTGGTATTCAGGTTCGAGCCCTCGGATTGGAACTTGTCGTTTCCCTGCTAATTTTTCAAGAACAACGTTCGCGAGAAAGCGGACCTCGTTTCCGAAACCCATCTGACAGAGTGATTGGAGTGCTTCAGCGTATTCCGGCAACTGCTCAATAATCTCAGCTGTCTCATGCGCCTCCGCTTCATCCTGGGGAAGACCCTGTTGGAGTTGCAATGCAACAAGGTCATCTAAGCCATCTTGATAATCAGGCGAGGGGGAATTTTCTTTTCTTTGTTCGGGCGCCTTTCGGCTGGCTCTCGGTTTCGGTTTCGCGGTGCTTCTCTTGGACCTGGTCCTTGCTACCGAACGGGGAGCGGGCTCTGGAGATGGTTCATCCACATCCATCTCATCGTCATCCTCGTCATCGTCCTCGTCCTCGAAATCAGGTTCATCGTCCTCGTCTTCTTCATCGTCGACCGGTGACTGTTTCAGCTTTCGCGCGCTTCGGGTCGCACGAGCACTTCTTGAGGGCGTAGTCGCTGGTTTTCTCTTTGAGGCGGGCGTGACGACTTCCTCTTCGAATCTTTTTGGCGTTCTGCGCGTTCTCCCGCTGGACCGCGTTCCCCGAGCTGGCGTTTCCACTTCCTGATCTGGTTCGCCATTCTGGTCCACTGATTTCTCGTTGGGGTTATCTCCGCCTCGGGTAGATCGGCGTCGGGATGCGCTTTTTGCTGGCGTAGGGGATGTTCTGTGGTTTTCCGGAGATGATGGAACGGAGTATACGTCCTGGTCATCGGTTCCCATCTCGATGTCTCCGTCTGCGTCCCCGGAGACTCTTCTCCTCTTTGATGCACGGGGATCCCTCATAATTGTGATTTGGAAAAATCGAGTCGCTGGTATCGGAGTTGCCGGTGGTAAGAAAAAAGGGCTCGTCGGATGAATTGACAGTGAAATTATTCTGCAATTGTCTCGTCAAGCATGTCTATGAGACTGCGCCGATTAGCAAACATAACATCAGATTAAAGCTGAGTTCTGTTTCGCTCAAATCCATAAGCTTTCATCCGAAATAGTTACTCACAATTGCAGGCCGAAAATCCAATGGCGCATTTGCTAAAAAGGTGCAAGCCCAGCTTACAAGCTTGGAGAAAGAAAGCAGGTGAATTGCGGAAGAGATGCGGCCAATTATTTTGGCCTCAGGCCCCAAGCCGAGACGCGTGACGCGAAGTACAGTAAGGAGTCTTTCCTTGCGCTCGTCTTGTATTCAATATGCATTCAATGTTGCTAAATCTTGGATTTTTAAACTGAAGTGAAATATGAATATGCAAAAATCGACATCGTCATAGCTTGCTCTGCAACCTGTCCAGGCATTTAACACCTACACTAAGTAAATTATGTCGACTGAAAACCAGAAAAGACCAAAGATGAGAACTGATCTAAAACCTGAACTGGAAAGAGGGACTGTCTAGTCACCAGTGATTCTCAATTGGTATCTTCAGATATGGTCTGTTCGAAGTACCGACAACCACGCAGGCCGGTTTCGCCGCAACCGAGGTCCAATTCAAGCCCGAGCTGCGCCTGTGGGGTACACCTACTTCAGCTTAACATTTCTCCCCCTATACCCTGATACCAAAAACATTTCATATTCATACCAGCAATGTCAGATCACGCAATAGGAGCACCAGCCAGGAAACTGGACGAGTTCGAGGAACTTGTCTACGAGTATACAGGCCGCATGGGCCTAGGCAATGAAGGAGTAAGTGCGCATGCGCAACCCTGACATACAAACCGCATACAATACATCCCATGCGAACTGCTAGATCATTCATGCTAACGCTTGACTTAACAGCACTGGGGTGTCGATGCTCGCAGCTGTAATCTCCGATTCGAATCCGCAACGCGTGGGCCGCCGGCCACGGTCTCATTTCTTTTCAAGATCACGCCTGCAATGAGCAACTATATGGGCAATTTGCACGGCGGCTGTGCTGCTACGCTGATTGATGTGCTGTCGACTACTATTTTGTTGGGACTTTCCGAGCCCGGCAGGTTCGCTCTTGGGGGCGTGAGCCGCAACTTGAAAGTTACTTATTTGCGTCCTGTGCCTACGGATACGGAGGTGCGGCTTGTTTGTGAGGTTGTTCATGTTGGGAAGCGGTTGGCTTTGTTGAGAGCTGAGATCCAGAGGGCTGAGAGTGGCGACGTTTGTGTTGTTGGGGAACATGAGAAGGCGAACACGGATCCGGAGGTTAACCAGAGGATTTGATTTGAGTGTTGTTGGAAGCTGCTGATAGACGGTGCATAAGATGTTGCTTGAATATAAATGTATAGATTTTTGGTTGCGTCATATGACCGAGTCGTCCAATTCCATGCCTTGTACAAATCAAAGGCAGTTACTATGGCAGCGGTAGTAAGATGTATTCTGTTTGATTTGTTATGATACGGGAAAACGCAAAGGAACAGAAAGACGTCGCAAATGTCCAAAAGTAATATAGTCAACCAATCTAAGCAATCATAGATTAACCGATTGTCAAGGCGAGTGAGACCCTTTACTCTGCGGCCAGTTGCTGGTCCTCACGGAGACCCTCAACCTTCAACTCCTCACCAGTGGCACGGCGGTAAAGATCGCGAACATCATCTTTATTCGGATCAGTAAAAGGTTAATATAATTTTGATTGTGAGAGATGACTTACCAGTAGTAGTTTCGAAGTGTGATGTGGAGTCGTAGCTCTTGGATATGAAAATGTTGGACTCTTCGCCGCTGTCGGTGGGCTCGTAGAGGGGAATGGGGGGACCCATGAACTTCTCTTCGATTTTGCCCAGACGCTCGAAACCGGTCTCGAGCTCGAGGTGGGGGTTGGCATCGTTCTCAGCGATGGTAGAGACAATGGCGATATAGTAACCCTTGGGGCAAACATTATGCGCGGACGAGACCATAGCAATGTAGATGTCTAAAAAGTCAGTAGTCAATTCAACGAAAAGGAATATATAGACTGACCGTGCTTGCGTCCAACCTGTGATTGGGGAATAATCAGTTGCAGGGAGTCGCTGCCGTCAGTCTTATCAATGGGGTGGTTCAGAATGCAGATAGCCTTGAGCAAGTATCCGGTGACCTTAGTCTTGCTTTGGAAGTAGGAAGGATCAGCGATGATCTTCTTTGTCTTAGTCTCGAACTTCATGGCATCGGATTGATCATCGCGGTCCTTCATGGTGGCTTTGATGCCGGAGACCTTGCCGTTCTCGTAAAGCACCTCGTCGACGTCGGTGTTAAGCATGTATGTACCACCGTAGATGGCAGAAAGACGAGCAAAGCCCTGGGGAAGTTCGCCGAGGCCGTAGAGAGGGTAGATGTATGGCGACTTTCCGTAACGAGCCATGGAGTTGACATACAGGCGGATACGGTTAATGGTTTCGACAGCGACGCCGTTCTGGTTGATGTATCCGTCCGATGGGTACAAAGCCATGGAGTGGCCGATGAAATCACGAGTGTTATCCTCGAGGCCAAACTTATCGTAAACTTCCTTCATGGTGCAATTGCGGATGTTGAGTCCTGCTCTTTGTTAACCACCCGTACTGAGCTACCCCACCATCATATTTCAAAGTGTAAACTCACCTTGGTGGCTGGCCGAATCGTCCTCCTTGAAGTCACCGACCCACTCGAGGAACTTCTTGGCGCGGCGCTTTTCGAACATGCCCATCAGAGATGAGCGCAGAGCTTCGCCTGCATCCGAGGGCACCTTGGCCACAGTCGCCTTGGGGCCCTTGCCTTGCTGGACATAGCTTCCAGCAATCTGCTTGAATTCGAGGTACCGAGTAACGTCCGTGGAGACCAAAATGTTGGTCAACTCTCCGTTAGACATCAGCAACTTGGGGACCAAATCGATGTTCCAGTCATTGACCCTCCCGTATTTCTTCCATGGCTCCTCGCCGGGTTGGACGTTGCCGTACTTCTTGAACAGCTACAGAAGAAGTCAGTATCGTAAATGCGTAAATAAATTATAGCACATACAGCTTCGATATTGATAGAAGCTGCCTCTCTTTGGTTATTGTTAGCTGTTTTGATCGTGCCGTCATAGTGAGCTCTCCTCACTTACCCTCCATAATGATCATTGCGGTCGATGTGAAGAACCTTGTTACCCTTGACACTGAGGACACTGTAAAAATATGAGAGCAATGAGTAATGTATCACTTTAAACTCTGGAAGCTCGATAATCATACCCAGACAACACACACTCGGTCAAACCTGAAAGAGTGGTCAGTTTGGGTTGGGTAATTGGCGGGGTAGTAGTAACATACCAGTGCCGAGCACCACAACATCATATTCTGGGGCAATCTCGTCCATGGCTTAATATGAACAAATGTTGGAAAATAGAATAGAAGAAAGAAAAGAAGAAGAGAAAGTTATCTCCCCGCGGATCAACGAAGCGGTAAGAAAGGGGAACTATTTGACGGATCCGCCACTAGTGAATTACCTCACAACATATGAACCCGCGACCTTTTAGTCCCTAGACAATATGAACACCCCCTGAAGCTCTGGAAATCTTTGATTTATTTTAAATTTCAGGGGTAAATGTAGAAAATATGACTGATAGCATTCGCAACTACATGCGTAATATGTATTTAAGTAATTAAATTAGACAGAAATTGAGGATTATGGCCTTTCCATATGTATAATTTGACAAAGCGCAATACTCAAAATACTCTAGAAAGTTAATGTTACATACTAATGTGAATCTTCAAGACTTGGCTCAAGTCTTCTTGGACAATCTCCGTTCAAGCCCATCCTTGCGGGGTTTGTCGTTCGCTTTATTGGGCTTTTCCATTATCCTTGTGCTCCACGTCCTCAAGTCCCCAAAAGTTCTCAGGGCGGTATCCGCTTTCGTACAATCGTGTAGCGTCCTCGTAGGCGTACCAGCGTTCACGTAGAACGTGCTTAATGTTCTTCATGGTACTTTTGATCTAGTGCCACCAAGTGTGTTAGTCAAGGTCTGACAATTGTAAACTCAAATATCGGTTACTCGGGAGCAACGTGATGATCTCCAAAGCTCTGTTCTTGATAAACAATGAGAGGATAATAACTCACCACCTTGTCACGTCCCTCAGATTCATAGTCACCGTAACCGGCCTTGAGTCGGCTTCGCTCCAGGTCCGATGTAGCAATGCGGTTGCGTTCCCGGACACACACATGCCACAATCCGTGGAGGTCTTCCCAACTTCTCTCGCGGAGTTCTTGGATGCCCCACGAACGACCTAGGTTACAAACAATTAGCACCGTCAACCAAGAGATTGACATCCCTGATTATGACTCCTCAAACTAACCATGTGCGCCGTCGTATTCTGGCAGTGACAATGCGTTCCGGCTAGGAGGGAAAAAGGCCCAGAGTCCGTGGTTAGGATTTGTCTCCCGACGCTCCATTTCGGATGGTGACACAGGCTTGGGCAATGGCCATCTTGACACGTGGAGTGGAGTTCTGGGACCAGTTCTGTGAATAGCTGATACACCGCGGTATTTGCTCTTGTCGCGTCGAGGATTAGCGCTGACGGGGGCAGTTGAAGAAAAGCTCGAAGATTGGACGGGTGACAGGGTCACGGAGCGATGAAGTGAGGGCGCGAGATATGTAGGAGGCAGTTCAGCCATAGCCAGCCCTCTCAGGCGGTTAGCAATGCGTTGGACCTGCATGGTTGTGATGTTTGGCTCCCCCGGGAAAGTCGAGTGTCGGAGGTTGATGGCCTTTCTTTTCGTAGCGGCAAGCCGGGTCACGTGGCCAGGCGGCAATCTCAATAACTATTATTCAGGTTTGTCGGGTCTTTGCTTCAAGGTCTTTTCTCTAAATCCTTGCGAGATTGTTTTCAGATATCTCTAATCATCTTCTACCCTGGAAAGACATCCATTAAATCTATATCCCAGCTAACTTTCATACTGAATATCCGCGATTAAACGACCGCGCGTTTAATCGGCCAATCAACTCACTCGTAGCCTCATCGGAGCAGCGCCGCATCAAGCGTGATCAAGAGAGGGCCTTTTGTGGATTGCACTCCCCTCCACAGATTCAACCTTCGAAGTACTGCTCGATCGATCTACTTTTCTACCATTTTCAGCAGTCCTTCGAATTCTCACAAACTAGCTTCTCGCCGGAAGCATTGACTATGAATAGGCCAGGTCAGTTTTCTTAGCCTAAATCCTACCTTGGTGCATTATCATGTACACCTCCGCGGGCCGTCCTTGATACTCAGACTTGATGCTTGGCTGAGTTATACTTTTAAAAGTGTCGTTCAGTCATAGTCATGAGCGCAGGGGAGTTTCATTCTCCAATGGCAACCTGTCAACCTTGGTGCGAACAGTTTCTGTCTTTGCGACCGAGACATTCTTGCAAGGAGATGCACCATACATTCCAGTGGTGTTGATCCAAGCAGTGTGCCTTAGAACCTTAGAAGCGACGATCGTGCTGACTTGTCACGCCTGTATCAGGACAATGCCCGCACTGAGCATCTCTGAATTCCCCAAGCACCACCTCAACCTCCATCATTCATCACCCACTTGCCAAACGGAAAAGTTGGTGCGCACTGAATGCACTTTCTGAGCACTCAGTCTAATTTACAGAGAGAAGCTAACTTGAGATTAAATAGGCGGCGCTGCGAATTGGAGCTTTAATTTACCTGGCGGATCAACTGGCCTACCGGGCAGTCAACGCACAATGGGAACAATGGGGAGCTTTGCGCAAAGTCTTGGGGGATCTCAATCGTCTTCGACGCCACTAGACCTCTCGTAAGTGCCATTACGTCCGTGATTTGTGGTGGTGTCCTGTCTTTGGTACTTCGTTCATGTCTCCGAACTGACAAGGTCGGTGATTCTAGGGAGTTTCCTTCGCTATCAGGAGCATCGCAACAATCACAGTCTCAAACTCCCGGTCAGCTAATGTGGGCCAACGCAAGTCAACGCGCTGCTCAACAAACACCCGTCCAAAGACAACAGCACCCCTCGACATCGCAAACCCCTTCTCGATCCTCCCAAACGCAAGGTCTTCCTACACCGCAACAGTCTCAACCACCACATGATGACATGTTTCCTTCCGGTGCGCAGTTTGCCAACCGACTCGATGACTTCAGAAACGGTGGACAGGGCATCAGCAGCCAACTCGGTGCGGGTGGACAGCCCCAGACAGGCAATATTGAAGAGTTCCCTCCTTTGGGCCGAAATGCTGCTGCAGACCTCCCTCTGGGCCGAACTGGTGCTCTCATGCAAGGTGGGGGGTTTGGAAACTATGGATCCGGTATGTCAAGATGTGCCCGCGACGAGCCCTTCTCCGCACTCAACATTACGAGGACATCCATTGTTGCTTGCACGAGAACGCTTTATTGCCACACATTCAACAATAGACTACTTACTGATCCCGTTGCTCCAGGTTTAGGGCCATCTCGGTCACCAGTCAGCCAAGCGCCGAATGGTATTTCGGGACAAGAGAAAGAAGTGGGTTTCGCAGCTGCAATTCAATACTTGGGGAGATACTAATCTTACAATAGAATTTGGGACACAATGTGCTCTCAAGTCAAAGAAACTTCAGCGACCCACAACAGCTCCAACAAAGGCAGCAAGAAACCAGTGACAGCCAAGAAGTCGGTGCACCCCAAACCGAGCAGCCACCTCTCGCTCAGATGAGCGACCTTGAAAGATTCGGGCTGTCCGGTTTGCTGCGCATGATTCATAGTGAAAGCCCTGATGTGGCGAGTCTCGCGGTTGGCCAGGATCTAATGACACTCGGGTTGGATTTGAATCAGGCCGAGTATGGCAATCTTTTCTCTGATCTAATCAATGTGTACTAATATCTTTCAGACCCTTACATACGTCATTTGCTTCACCATTTGTCTCCTCAATGTCAGCAGTCCCTCTGGAGCAAGATTTTTCCCTTCCAGCCTGCTACAACGTTGCCAATATCCAACCTCTCCAGTCTCGAATCCCGGGCTTCAGCGACGAAACGCTCTTCTTCATCTTCTACAGCCTGCCTCGGGATATCATGCAGGAACTTGTAGCTGAGGAATTGATGGGCCGCAAATGGCGATATCACAAGCTTGAGCGCTGTTGGTTGACTCGCGACGAGACATATCCCGGACCCGTCGATGTGGAGCGTGGTGTAACAGAGCGCGGCGTGTATCTCCTCTGGGATCCTGCTACCTGGAAGAAGATCCGAGTATGTATATGCCCGTTGATTGTTTGAGTTATGCTAATTACCCTTGTTTCGCAGCGTGAGTTCATCCTTCGATATGAGGACTTGGACAACCGGTTAGATCCCAATCGAGGTGTTGCTCGGCCAGTTGGCGTGACGCATCACGCTTCATGATCGAAGATTGTAAGACCACGGTGTGGCGCTTAAAGTTCATGAAGCAATGGTGTTTGTTCTCTTCTGTAATATTGCTCGGTTGATCAATAGTACATTGCCGTTCGGTATTATGGTGTGATGATTTCTCGAAACTTATAACGTAATAATGTTGACAGTGACATTGCCGCTTCAAGTATTCTCCATTGATATATAACACGAGACGTAGGAAACACAATCACATAGACAAGTGTAGCTTGTCGCACTAGCCATGGACGCACTCGGTTGCAGCGCTATATTTATATCTAACGTGGACTATTGATTCGAGTCGCTCACTGGATAGACCTGGGGAATTGCGGCATGTCTCAGCCCTAGTCTAGCAAGATGTGTGGGTTTAGAGCCGAGTTTCAATCAATTCGTCTTCTGCAGGACAGTCCATATAGAGATCACTGTGCCAAGGTTCATGATACTAATAGAAATCCTAACATTTGATTTCCAGGCATCCCTTCTTCCTTTAGTACATGTATCGATGATTCTGAGATAGGTACGTTGTATGTTCCAGGCTTCTTCACTCTGGACAATATTGGTATGGTAATTAGCATGCCTCTTTGTGGGCCAGATCGACAAGCGCGATCAAATTTTTATGCGAAGCCCTTCTACTGACGAGAAGTCATATCCCCAGTTGAGAGTTGAGTTGAGAGAATGAAAGGCAGTGAGAAGGACTTTTACATAAAAAAGCAGAGATGGGAGCCATTGAGGGTTCAACCGTATATAAGTGTGGTAGGTATATATCTATGTGACAGAATTGATAGTACTTCTAGGTTGATACAACTGCCCAGGTGGACATTTGCTGCAAGAAGATACCTTTAGCTATTCTATATCCTTTCGACTCTGTTATGCGCGAGACAATCATATGAGGGAATGGTCAGAAGTATAATGATATCAGATTGAAAATAAAGTCCAACGTTGGTATTCATTTACCGAAGCATACACATTCAAGTTCTGTAAGGACCACTCCCCAGAATTCCAACTGCGATCAAGAACACAAGTCGGGGGAAAGAGCCGGATCAAGTTTAATTCACTCAACCTGTTGATCGGCTGAATAGCACTGCTCTCCTATGTTGGAGACGCCTCCTTGACCCTCCCTTCTAGCTAGCCTTGCGCGCGGTAGAAATAATAGCCACCCAATTCGTTTCCACATCTCTATCGCTCCCGTATGTTTCTTCCACGTGTTGTTTTATAGCCACACGAACCTTCTTTTCGTTGTTCTTAAGTTGATAGTCATCCCACAAAGTCTTCATCATGGTCGGAAGGACCAACATAATCATATCCACAAAGAGTGAGGACTCGAGGGCAATGTGGTTTGTTTCAACGCGGACATTGATGTCTTGGAAACCTCGCTGTTTCAGCTGTGACTCAATCCAAGGTACCGAGTTCCATTTTCCATCACTCATGAGTGCCATGAGCTCAGAGGTCTCCGGGAACGGCAGGTTACCAGGTATCTTTTGAATTGCTTGTCGAGCCACGGAAACCCAACCAGCTAGTAGCATGTCAGCCAATTTTATATTTGATAGATTTCAGTAGCTCGGGACTTACGTTCTATCCAAGTTGAAAATGCGATTGTTCCACCAGGTTTCAACATTCGGACAGTTTCTAAACAGGTCGATATTGGATATCAGTTGCCAAAACCAGTAGTGAAGACTGCTTACCATCAAGACCCTTGAGGGATTCAGGTAGTGCCATATAGGCTGCATATAGAACATCGTCAGTTGAAATCAGACTGAGTGGAAGTATATCCAGAAAGAAACCTACCAAAAGCCGTGAAAATGTGAGTGTAAAAAGCACTGGGTAAATCAGATTCCTGTGCATCCACAATCTTTGTCTCTGCGTTCTGCCAGTCCTCGGTTTCCATCCGATGCTGAGTGTACTGGAGCACTGCCGGCGAGATATCTCCACAGGTCAGCTTCCACCCCTTTTTGGCAAGAGGATCAAGCTTCTGGTTGATAATACTTGAAACAACACCAGTACCGCAAGCATTGTCAAGGACTACAAGAGGTTGATTGGGCTGGGCTTTGGAATCGGTGGCCAACTTGCTCTGCTCAATCAACATTTGAGCGAATGGATAGGTGACCATTTCTCCACGTTTGAACGAGTCAGCATAAGCTTCGCTCTTGAAAAGAGTTTCATATTCAAGCTTGGAAACCATAGTGGATGACAGTAAGCAGCAAGCTAATGTTGTTGTTGTGAATATGATGGATATGGTAAAGGTTTGAAAGATACTGAGTACTGAGACAGATTTGGATGAAGTATGGACTAGATATGGTCAAATTGAGGTATTGGGTTACCCATTTATATACCTGTTGATGACTTGAAAGTGTCCGACAATGTCTCCGAGGTGGTTTTTACTTGGCTCGATTTCACAAAAAGCAAATTCACCCCACTAATTCTCTTAATGCACATGAGTCAAGAGTTTCTGATGACATTAATTGGTTGGCAGCAACGTTAATGCAGCAAGTACCCTTGGGGTAGGCCACAATCATTGGCACGAGAGGAGCTATCATCATTGTACCAATGTCAGGACAACAAGTTCGCATTCCACAGGAGAATTTGGAAGTTCGAGTCTGTCATTAAAAGAACGAACCAGCAAATATTCGAAGTAGATACAGAGACTTAACTACTACATATGTATAAATCACATCCGTGGATGTCGCGTGAAGACCGCGGGTGATAACTCGTATTACGTAATTTTACAGCTTTATGCACGTGACAAGGCCCCGCGCTGACATCAGCAACAGCACTAGACCAAAATGGGCAAAGCATAAACAGCCCTGGAGCTCTTGCGGCAAAACAATCGCGCAACTCCCCCGACTTTCCTGGCCCCTCAATTTACTCTGCGAGCGGAAAGCCGTTTCGGAGCAACCATGAGGATTACCGAAATTGTCATAGATGTGAGTCTTTATTTTCAGCCTCATTGACTGCGCTAACTGTATCGCCAGGGCTTCAAATCGTACGCTGTGCGTACGGTTATCTCGGGATGGTATGCAATTCTCCGCATCCAAGCATGGCCGGTCAAAGGCTTCCACTGCCTATGCGGTATCTCAGAAGTGATGGAATTTACTGACCGCGCAATGTAGGGACGAAGCATTCAATTCGATCACTGGCCTGAACGGTAGTGGTAAATCCAACATCCTTGATGCCATTTGCTTCGTGCTTGGTATCACCAACATGACTACAGTTCGCGCGCAAAACCTCCAAGATCTCATCTATAAACGCGGCCAAGCGGGTGTCACCAAAGCGAGTGTCACGATTGTCTTCGACAACCGAGACACAGCGAAATCGCCGATCGGATTCGAGGAATATGCGAACATCTCGGTCACCCGACAGATTGTGCTGGGCGGCACAAGCAAATACCTGATCAACGGACACCGCGCGCAACAGCAGACCGTCCAGAACTTGTTTCAAAGTGTCCAGTTGAACATCAACAACCCGAACTTCCTGATTATGCAAGGTCGAATTACGAAAGTCCTAAACATGAAATCGGTCGAAATTCTATCAATGATTGAGGAGGCAGCAGGCACACGAATGTTCGAGGACCGGAGGGAAAAGGCGAACCGCACAATGGGAAAGAAAGAGCTGAAGTTGCGCGAGATCGAAGAGCTTCTTAAAGAAGAAATTGAACCCAAGCTCGAGAAGCTTCGGTCTGAGAAGCGAGCTTTCCTCGATTTCCAACAAACACAAAACGATCTCGAACGCTTGACTCGCCTTGTTGTTGCGCATGATTACATTCGTGGCGGTGAACGGTTACGGGTCGCAGGGGAAGAGTGCGAAAGTAAACGGAACAAGGCACAGGCACTCGAAGACAATGCGAATAAGCTCAAAGGCGAAATTGCTCACCTGGAGGAAGATGTGAAACGGGTACGAACAGCACGCGACAAGGAACTTCGGAAGGGCGGCAAATTCCAGGGGCTGGAAGATGAGGTCAAGAACTACTCGCACGAGTTAGTTCGCTTGACTACGGTTTTTGATCTCAAGAACGCCAGCATGGACGAAGAGAAAGAAAAACGACAGACCATCAAACATACTGTCGCTGATCTTGAGAAGGCCTTGAAAGAGAAGCGCAAGATCTACGAAAAGATACAGGCCCAATACGATACCGCCAAAGCCGAGCTAGACGCGCAGACATTAGAAGTGGAACAGAAGGAAGAACTTCTGCAGACATTGCAGACTGGTGTTGCTTCAAAGGAAGGCCAGGAGAGTGGATACCAGGGTCAGTTGCAAGATGCCCGCAACCGTGCAAGCAATGCTGCCACAGAGCAAGAGCAGGGCAAGCTCAAGATCGGCCATCTGGAAAAGCGAATCAAAGAAGAGGAACCCCGCGCAAAGAGGGCCAAGGAGCAAAACTCAGACCTTCTGCGTGATTTAGAAGGGTTGAAGTCACAAGCCGGCAAGCTAGAGTCAGAGCTGAGCCGGCTTGGCTTTGAGCCCGGCAAAGAGGAGCAGATCTATCAAGAGCAGACAGGCCTCCAAAGAGATATTCGGGAACTTCGCCAACAGGCTGATGGTCTCAGGAGAAAAGCAGCGAACATCGATTTCAACTACGTTGATCCCCATCCTAACTTTGACCGCTCTAGGGTCAAGGGGTTGGTTGCCCAACTTTTCACCCTCAACAAGGATCGAGTGCCAGCCGCAACGGCTTTAGAGATTTGTGCCGGTGGCCGCCTCTACAACGTTGTAGTAGACAGCGCAGAGACTGGTACTCAGCTACTTCAAAAAGGCAAGCTGCGCAAGCGTGTGACCATTATCCCCCTTAATAAAATCTCTGCTTTCAAGGCTTCTGCCGAAAAAATCGGAGCTGCACAAAACCTTGCCCCAGGAAAGGTGGACCTCGCTTTGTCCTTGGTAGGGTACGATGAGGAAGTACTTGCTGCGATGAACTATGTCTTCGGCAATACGCTCATCTGTGAGGATGCCGAAACAGCCAAGAGAGTAACCTTCGATCCCTCAGTTCGAATGAAGAGTGTCACGCTTGAGGGTGATGTTTATGATCCGTCCGGAACACTTTCTGGTGGAAGCTCTCCCAATTCCAGCGGTGTTCTCGTCACTTTGCAGAAGCTCAATGAAATTACCAAGGAGCTGCGAAGCAAGGAGCGACAACTTGCGACTTTGGAGGACAACATGAACAAGGAAAAAAGAAGCTCGATGCAGTCCGCTCCGTCAAGCAAAAGTTGGATCTCAAGACCCATGAGATCAAGCTCACTGAAGAGCAGATCAACAGCAACTCTTCATCATCGGTATGTATTGCCTCTACTACTTCTCCTTATTGTTACTAACGTAAATTAGATCATTCAAGCTGTAGAAGAAATGAAAGCGAACATTGAACAGCTCAAGAAAGACATCATCGACGCCAAGTCGCGCCAAGCTGACGCATCCAAGGATATCAAGCAGATCGAAAAGGATATGAGCGAATTCACCGACAACAAGGATAGCAAGTTGGCGGAACTCCAGGCTTCGCTTGACAAACTTAAGAAGAGTCTCACCAAGAACTCAAGCTCCGTCAAAGAGCTGCAGAAGGAACTGCAGACCTCCAGGCTTGATTCCGAACAAGCTGGAAGCGATTTGTCTGCAGCCGAGGAGCAGTTGGTGGAATCAGACACCACCCTCAAAGCCCAGGCCGAAGAGATCGAATTACAGAAACGCGAGCAGGCGCGAATCAAGGTATGTGGCCTCCGCATCAAATTTGCAGTAACATCTAACTCACGATGGTAGGATGCTCATGATATCGCTCAAGCTCAACTTGATGATGAGAGGGCCAAGCTGACTGGCTTTGACGAGGAGCTGCGAGAATTAGAATCTGCGATGAAGAGCAAATCCTCTCAAATCACTGAGGATGGCCTAGAGGCGCAAAAGCTTGGTCACCAGCTTGAAAAACTTCAAAAGGACCAGCATACCGCTAGCCAAGCTGTTGCTCATATGGAGCAGGAACATGAGTGGATCGCCGACGAGAAGGAGAATTTTGGTCGCGCCAACACCCCGTACCACTTCGAGGGCCAGAACATTGCTGAATGCAAATCTACCCTACGGAATTTGACAGAACGATCCCAAGGCATGAAGAAGAAGATCAACCCCAAGGTCATGAACATGATTGACAGTGTTGAGAAGAAGGAGGCCGCCCTAAAGAACATGATGAAGACGGTCATCCGCGATAAGCGGAAGATCGAGGAGACTATCATGAACCTCAACGAATACAAGAAAGAGGCCCTCCACAAGACTTGGGTCAAGGTCAATGGCGACTTTGGACAGATCTTCAACGAGCTTTTACCGGGCAGTTTCGCCAAACTCGACCCTCCAGAGGGCAAAGACATTACCGATGGTCTAGAAGTGAAGGTCTCTCTGGGCAAGGTCTGGAAGCAGAGCTTGACGGAATTGAGTGGTGGCCAACGTTCTCTTATTGCTCTTTCCTTGATCATGGCACTGCTGCAATTTAAGCCCGCGCCGATGTACATTCTTGACGAAGTCGATGCCGCTTTGGATCTGTCTCACACGCAGAACATTGGTCGATTGATCAAGACCCGCTTCAAGGGGTCCCAGTTCATCGTTGTTTCACTCAAGGATGGTATGTTCCAGAATGCCAACCGCATTTTCCGCACACGCTTCAGCGAAGGTACAAGTATTGTACAAGCTTTGACGCCTGCGGATCTGAAATAAGCATGAACATGAGCTCGATTGTCTATAGTTGTTTCCTTTCGGTGTGTCGTTTCAGTGTACGGCATTAGGTTTGGTCGGTGTTGGATTGCTTTCTGGATGGATATGGAATTTCTGTTATGACTTATGCAATATGAAGACTCTTTAAGCCTTGAATTACTTGATCTAGAGTTGTAAATGTTGAAAAGTGTTGTAGCCCTGGAGATCTCCATGTTGATAAACCTCCGATTTCCGATATGCCTGTCAGGCACGTGCCCAGTTCCCGGCCTGACCCTCCGTGCCACTTTCCATTGCGATTTCATTGATCTTCTGCGCATTGCGCTCTCCTTAATAACGAATTTGCCTAAACATCACATTCTCCCACGGAATTATATCAATTCCCGTCCCACACGACACCTGACCCTTTTCTCGGAATCGTTCCGCCGACTTACATCCACAACCTCGGAGACCCTGAACAGCTCGTTGCGCACCGCAGATCAAAATGACAGACGACGAACCCTCTCTCAACATACCATCGCTTCTTACCCTGGCGGTCGTATCATATTTTGTGTTCCGATGGTTCTTCAACCGCGATGACAATTCCACGACAGGCGGCCGAGGCCGGGGGCGTGGCAACGCCGTAGACCCTGCGTCAGTCGCTCAGATTGCGCAGATGTTCCCTCAGATGAGCACCCGGGATATAATGTGGGATCTGCAGCGGAATGGAGGCAGTGTCGCAGCAACTACTGAACGGATCTTGACCGGACGGGGACTTGAAACGGTTCGTGTTTCGCCTATGTTGTCATTAATTCCCGCTTGCTCTGTCAACCAATTTTGTTACAGGCCTACAAGACTGCCTTCACTCTGAACACGTAGCATTGACTAATCATTTTCTATAGCCCCCTCCTTCCTTCCAACCTCAGGTCGCAATCCCCCCGACAAACATACAACCGGTGCAGACTGCCTCCGCTCCATCAGCCCTCAAGGCAGACGGACAGGACTTGATATCTCGCTACAATCTGAGCGAGAAGGCTTCCAGTCCTCACGCGGAAGCGGAAGATCAGCCGGCAACATCATCAAAGGCTTCCTGGGCCCAAAATAAGGAAGAGCGCCAGCGGCTGTTGCAGAAACGCCGGGATGACATGATTTTGGCGGCGCGGAGGAGGATGATGCAGAAGGACCAGAACGGTGCTCAATGATGCTAAAATTGTGACGCTTGGCGTGTCGCCATACTGCTTCTGTTTCTCATTCAACCCCGGCACCGAGGCTCTCCTGGTGCCGTTATACCCTCTCCGTTCTTTCGGTCCTGTCTTATGGCATTCATTTCTGCCTCTTCGTTTGTATTAGCGCATTCGCATGCTATGGTGTTAGGTAAATTGAAATAAAAGCCTTGGCTATAACCGTTGGTCATCATCAGATCAGGAAGTAGGGTATATCGAACTATATACATGAAGTCGTTTTTGAGAGACAATGATCTGCGTCTCATATGCACCGTTTGAACGCCGAATGAAAGATACCCCGAAGCAAGAAAACTGTCAAACGCTTAGAACTCCATATAGTCCTCTTCCTCGTCGTCATCTTGGGTGCCATCATATCCGCCATTCGCTCTTTGCTCAGCCATTTGTTCGCGCCGAGCCTGTTCTTTGGAAGACCCGATTCTCCTTTAAGCAAGTCAGTAACAGAATCAACGCAAGTCTACAATATTGTATTTCAACATACCTAAGACCGTCCACTACTCCAGCGACAAACCCACGCTCTTCGCCAAGTTCCATAGACCCAACACCAGTCAAAGCAATACCGCCACCACCAATCGCTGCGGCATCCAGGATATCAACACCAGATCTCATCTTCGCCATGCGCACCTCCCGTAAATCCTTAAGTGTTCTCCGTATCTGATCCGGATTCACAAGATCATCACTCGCAGACTCAAGCAGCAAATTCCCAACCTCAACCCAATGAAAAGGCAGGGAGGGTGGATCGCGGTCAGACGTCGTAAGCTGAGCTGTATTTTGCGGTAGGAACGGCGGCGCGGCATAATATCGGTTCCCATCTGGTGTATACTGCGGTCTAGCAGCGGGTGTGCCATCACGGTCGAAGACGCTAGGCTGGCCGGGCAGTGGGGGAGGCGGGGAGAATGCGTTTTGATAATCCTGGTGTCCGGACTCAATTTCTAGAATGAGATCCAAGGGCTCTGGGTGTAGCCATGGTGGGGGTATGATGTTGGCGCGGCGTTGGCGTTTCAGGAGGAGGGCGAGCCAGAGAGGTAGAGATGCGCGCCGCGGGGGCACGAGTGGTTCAACGGGGCCCTGGTGTGATCAGCTTAATGATTGCGAGTGCGAAGAGAGTGTGTATTTACTCCAAGTAGTTCTAGGCCTTCTAAACGTTGGCGAGGCACAACTGTCACTGTTTCCATCTCCGCCAGGAAGGCGATCTCCGAGGCTGTAACGCCTCTGGGAAGAGGGAAAGCCATTGTTTTAACAGCGAGATGATTTGATTGTCAATAGCGTCCGATCTCAATCTCTCATTGTTGGTGTTGGTGTTCTTGCTCGTCCTTAAATATTGTTTCCCTTTGGCCTCTTTGCTCGCCGTCGCTGCTTATGCTTTCGTGATAATTGTTGAGAATACTCTTGTATTCTCTTTTCGGCTGTGTTCAACTCTTTTCAACTATTTTTCAACTCCTTTGAAATTATTCCAAGTCGTGTTGCTTGAATCTGGTGAATTCGCATGGAGATGGCGCGTTTGAAACGTTTGCATCGGCGGCGATCCTCCGAATGGGATCCCGTCGCCGAAGAAGCTAAACTCACTTGGCAGATTTACATGAACTCTGCACAAGAGTACTTGTTCAGCATGTCAAATCCCGCAGAGTCAGATCTCAGCCGGACGGCAAGATGGCTCGTTCCATTCTGTCTGATCTTGGCTCCATTCTACTGGGTGAACCGCGTCAATACGGTAGTCCCGGAACCCTACCTCGACGAAGTGTTCCATGTTCCCCAAGCGCAGGCATATTGGGCGCATAAATGGACACAATGGGATCCGAAGCTCACCACGCCGCCGGGCCTCTATCTAGTCTCATATTTGATCTTCACCCTCCGTACCCCGACTGCGCTTACTACGGAGGTTCTGCGCATGACGAACATTGGCGCGATATCAGTCTTGCTCCCGTGGAGACTGCAAACGCTACTTGATACCATACAGAGGACTACAAATACAAGACCGTTGGGTGCTAATTTGTCGCATACTGTGCTAAACATCTGCTTATTCCCGCCGCTGTTTTTCTTTTCGGGTCTGTACTACACAGACGTTCTTGCTTTGCTGTTCGTAGTGGAGGCGTACAACTGGGATCTGAGAAGAGACACGAAAAGAGCGTCTATCAATGGCAAGGGAAATACTCTGCTGGACACCCTAGGGTTCCTGGCTTTCGCGTTGGCTGCTTTGACCTGTCGTCAGACCAATATCTTCTGGGTTTCGGTGTTCCTAGGTGGACTTCAGGTTGTCCGCAAAATCCGCCAGTCTACAAAGCCTTGCATGTCATCTAAATGGGCGAATGTCGTTAAGCAAGGTCGGCAGAATGAGGTCTATGATCCTCTCGTTTCGGAAGCTTCCTTGGAAGGTGAGCTCATTAAGTGGATATGTCTGCGGGAAATGATACTGACTCTTGTGAATTAGACTATGTCAAGACCGCTATCTCTCTCGCAACCGTTGGTCTGAAGAAGCCTTTCCCCATTCTCGCTTCTCTCTTTCCTCATTTCATCGTTCTTGGGGCCTTTGGTGCATTTGTACTCTGGAACAACGGTGTCGTCCTAGGTAAGGATGCCTTTTGCCCCGTCTGTTCGACTGCAAATGAATATATTGACTAAAGGTTGTCGCTCCCAGGTCATAAGGAGTTCCACACTGCTGGCATCCACCTGTCTCAGATGCTTTACATCTGGCCTTACTTTGCCTTCTTCTCGTGGCCACTTTTCGTCATTCCATTGATCAACATCCTCGCTCTCAACCCTCTCCCCGAATGGATCAACCTTGGCTTGCCGTCCAAGCAGCGAAAGTACCCAAAGCTCATGGCAGCTTTGATCGTCATCCCGCTTATGCTTGCTGTGGTTCACTTCAACACCATCGTGCACCCATTTACCCTCGCCGACAATCGACACTATGTATTCTATGTTTTTCGCCTTCTTCTAGGCATCCACCCAGCCGTCAAGTATGCTGCGGTACCAGTCTACTTCCTCTGCGGATGGGCCGTAATTTCCGCTTTCGGATTCACTACAATCCAACGCCCGCCCAGAACTTTGCGGGTTCAACAGCCACCTGCTCCCGATCCGGTTCCGTCCCCGACTCCAGCTCCCGTCCCTTCGCCCCCTGCGTCTAAACCCAAGTCCAAGCCTAAACCTCAGGTACACGAGCAGCCACCCAAGGGATCGAAAAAGTCTAGCAAGCCCAACAGAACGAACAACCCGAAGCCAGTGTCAGAGAAGTCCACCGATCCTTCCAATCCCGAAGTTCTGGCCAAGGTGCAGCAGCATATCTTCACCCGCCAGAGGGAATTGCTAGAGGCCCCACGTGTCAGTTTTGTCCTTATCTGGCTGGTCGCGACCTCGCTCTCCCTGATTACAGCACCGCTCGTCGAACCACGCTACTTCATCATTCCCTGGGTTATGTGGCGTCTGCATCTTCCTCCGCTACCCTCTCTTTTCAAGCACCGGGAGACGCGCCCTCGCACCGAGCCAGCTAAGCGCAACTCTGATTTCATTATCAACTCACCCAAGTTCGTGGAGATGGCTTGGTTCTTGACCATTAACCTAGTCACTGGCTATGTCTTCTTGTACAAGGGCTTTGAGTGGCCGCAAGAGCCTGGTAAGATCCAGCGTTTTATGTGGTGATCTGTCTTTCATTTCGCTTTGCTCAAGCTAGGCTTGGGAACTGCTTGTACAGCATCATTGTAATATTATTCTATGCATACTTTGACAAAAAGTTGTGGTTGCTCCGGATCTGTCTTGCTTGCTCAACAGAAGGCCAAATAATTTTCAAAAAATATTTCAAAGCAATGAATTCCCAGATCTTCCAAGGTTAAAATGTACATGGAACCTTGGAAGGGACCACTTGTAGAGCAGTTTCGATGAGATTAGTTCCTTTCTCTCTGTGCAAAATTCATAGCGATCATCTATCAATTAGGATTCTGCTCCTTTTTCCACGCATTGTACTTGTAGTAAATATTGTGCCGGAAGACCTGTTTCAGCTCCGAAACCAACTTTCCATCAACCGGCAACGCAGCCTGAATAGCGCCAACACCACAAAGGCCATTCTTCCGGTCAATGAACCAAGCAAGCGTCAAACCACCACCCCAAGTCAATGTCCGTTCACCATACCACCCGTCAACATCCTCAAGCATCAACAATCCACCCAACCCATGTCCAACCTTGGTCCCGGGCTCAGTCCCAACCCGGAAGAACACCCCAAGGGGACTATCGAGAGCAGCCTGCTGACTCGCCGTAGCCTCGGGGCCAAGATGGTGTTCAAACATATTATCAACAGTATCCAGTTTAAGCAACTTCCCATCACTAACCAGCAAAGAATGCAAAATCTTGACATAATCCGTCCCGGGCAAAAACAACCCATGGCCGCCGAAATCACCCTTGGTGCGCGTGTTCATATCGCCACTACCGCCAACAACCGCAAGGCCAAGACCATCGGGATCATTCGGATTAAGATCGACGAGACGGTCTCGTAACTCGGAACGGGTGACAGGGAAAAACTGACCATCCGAGATACCGAGTGGATCAAAGATGCGTTTTTGCATGAATTCAATCAACGTGCCATGGGTAACACGCTCGATTACACGGCCCGCCCAGTCAAGTCCCGAGCCGTACATCCAGCCATCACCAGGTTGGAAACTGAGCGGGTAATTGAAGAGTTCTTCGACAGGTCGAAGGCCCGTTCCGGTACTGGCGTTTTGTTCGCGCCATTTGCCGACGAGTGGGTTCATAAAGTGGTAGCATGTTCCTGCACTGTGAGTGAGGAGCATTTTGAGGGTAATTGGGCGGATTGGCGCGTCGAGTTGAGGACTTCCATCTTCGTCCGAAAAGCCGGTGATGATTTGCTTGCTTGCTAGCTCTGGGGCAATGGCCGATAGATCACCGTCGAGGGTGAGGAGGCCGTCTTCAACGCACTGGAGGGCGGCGATGGTGGTGACCAATTTTGTTGCTGAGGCAAGAAATAAGATGTCATCCAGTTTTTGGGGCTGTTTTTCGCCTGATAGAAGAGTACGCGAGCCGAAGGCTTTGTTGTAGGTGAAGGTGCCATCGGCGTTGGTGGCACAGACTACGGCACCATTAATCTTGCCGGTATTGATGGCGGCATGGAAGGAGGTTTCCATCTTGGCCAAGGTTGGATGGTAATAGTAGTTCAGAACTAAGGAATAAGAGCATATGTTTACACAAGAGTTAAATATATAGTCGGTTGGCAGCCATACTCACGTCAGCTCGGAGTCTCTTTTGGGATAAGCGGGCGGGGGTATAGGATTGTTGAACTTTGAACGCAAGTAACTCATGCATCTATGTCTCAACTTATCTTATATAAAAAGCAATTAGCCTCCTTATCATTGACGAGACTCATATATCCTGTCGATCATAATTGCTGGCTTCCAAGGAAAATTGACTATTGAAAGAGGATGAAGATATAGACCTATGGAATTGCATTTCTTGTCTTTTCATAATGAACAGATATACCTACCTAGGTAGGTAATCGTTAATATAATCGAGAACAGGACATTGGACACAATATATGGACCTAGGTACTTATGTACTTCGGGCAAGTCTCACACCCTAATCCTCATCTCAACTAAATTCATATCCGCTGAATCCCTCATAGTAGTTAGGCAATCTATGGGAGAATTCATACAAGTACTGATAGGATTGGCCTTTTTGAGAATACTCATGCTAGAAAGTTTATTTATTCTCATAAAATCATGATACGCTGCGTGATGGTAAGATTCAACGAATCGGTTTAAACTAAGTCAACGCAAAACCCAGAGCTGAAAGAACTGCGAGTACAAGCAGGTATGAAGCACCGATTCTCGAAGCCGAACTTTTAGCCATAATGGGGATAGGCTCATAAGACGCTGATTCTGTGTTGTTCAAAGTTCCATCCCAGCAATATTTCTCAAAGCAAGCTTTGCAAACCGAGGGTACATCAGTCCCCGTGCGATCAAAAGATCGACTGAGAATTGCACAGCCCACACATTTGGACCATCCAATATGCCCCTCTCTAGTTCCATTACCCATCGTGACAACATTGTAGCCATTGGCAATCATGTCGTCTCGTTCTGCAATGGAATATTCCATTTGGAAGGTCGATGTGTTGGAATGTGTCGTGTAAGGAAAGTTAGGGAGGTAGACCACTAGCGGTGCAGTACCGGTCATATTTGACCTGTTGCAACCGAAGAAAGTTGGTCGTGTGTTTAAGCCCAGGTTGATGAATGTGTTTGTGTCCGGAATGCTCGGAAACAGTCCCATTTCCTACTCCGGATGAATTGAGACTTCGCTCATAAGTGGCCACTAGAGGACTGCCGCTTGGCCAATTATATTTTGTGCTTGCTGACGAGTCAACAGCAAATATCACATCCACCTGGCGAGTGGTTTGAATGAGTGGATGAAGTGGTATATTCTGCTTGTCCTCGCCCCCATCAACAACATTGAGGTATGGGGTTTTCGCATAGGCAGGAGTTGCTTGTCCGTAGTAAAAGAATGGATTGGGGGATTAGACCGCAATTTCATCATTGCGGTCGCCAAGATCCTGGAGTAAGCTGGCAAATATTGACTTCAAATTTGAAGGGAGGTCTGTTGTGTTCAGTCTGAGGATGAATTGATTGAAAAGACTGGACGATGTGCCCATAATGAATCCAGCGTTGTCGAATCCTCGAACACAGATGTCTTCCGTCACCACGCCGTTCTCGAAATGAGACCCGAGATTTTGCAACGGTGCAAATCCAAATATGGATGGATCAAAAGTGCCGAATTCCCAAGGATTGAATCCATAAACGGTGGAATTGCTTCCCACCAAGGTTTCCTCAGGATTTCGTCCATCGGCAAGTAACAACGGCAGAGGCATCTTTCCATTTTTGAAGTCTTCAGTCAAAGCAATTGAAGACCAGGTATATTCAAGTCCTCCGTCAGGTGCATCGATGAGCTGGTATGAGAGCGCGCAGCCCCAGAAATCTGCGAAAGAAGTATTGAAACCAGCATTCTTCTTTCCGATGACCGCATCAGCCAGATCATGGAAATAAGTTGCAGTGTTCCAAGCTCCCAGTCCTTTCTTTTCCGGTCCCTTCATGATTGAGTTTTGAAACTGCCAAAGACTCCTGTGTGACTGAAGACTGGAGACGGTTGTAAAGTTATTGAGGTAGATGGAACCCAACAACCAGCCACCTCCGGACAAGCCCGACACGTATGTTGCTGACTGAAGCAGACCACCCAGATGTCCCGTTGCATTTGATCCTGCGGTGCGGCTATCAAATGCCTTCAGGGCTCCGGCTCCATCCGTCAATGCCCTGTAACCTCCACCCGACACGGCAATCGCGATGTTGGGAAGATCAGTAATGTTGGAAGAGTACTGGTTGATATACGACAATGCATCGAACGAGCTCATGTCGAGGGTTTTAAATAGATCTTTCATGGCGGAAACAGTCTCTTGTCTCCGGGCTCCCAGCCAGGATGTTTCATCGGGAGATAGTGTTCCCGCATTGCGAATGGCTGGTTTGTTGACTGAGCAGCTAAAATTAACTGGTACATACCCATTGGGGGCATTTGGAAGGGCACGGGTAGTTCCGTGATGGTTCATTGCAGAAGCGGCATTGTTTCCTACCGGGTGATCGCCAAATTGTCAGCACTGGATGTGTTTTGTTCCAACCGTGCTTACCAATGACACATAGATAAAGCCAAGCAAAAATATAGTATTCAGAGTCGTTATGTATCTCAGAAATCTTTGCCGGGAAGTGGCGTGAGAATGAGATCGAGGAGGAGTGCAAAGATGAGTGACAGATGCTGAGATAATTGCTATAAGCACCATGAGAAACCCTTCACTCGAAGAAACTATTGAGGTTGCACGGCCTTGGTATATCTCACCAAAATATAGTACAAGATCGATAATGTCTTTGTGCGACCTGAGTATCATCAGTTATGGAAAGAACATAAGACTGGATTTTTTGAGCTAAAGCCAGCCTTCCCCTTCAGTTGGAATACAAGCCCTAGGTAGCTACGAGCATTGAGTTAAGGGTTGAAATGTTGTCCTGCGCAATACATTATCAAAATTGGAATTCCTTGTATCTCTTTTTTACCTCCTTTTACTTATAGTGTATACACTGATAAAGTGATATCTAAATATACTTGAGCGGTATAACTGGATAAGATATATGAACATAACATTTGATCAACGTTTCCTGCAGTGGTCTCTATATAACAAAAGCAGACCTCAAGTCCAGCTCTGGCCTCTCCAGTCCGGAAGTTCATACTCAGCAGTCGCACACCAAGGCTCATCAGAAGCACCATAAGGAGTCAAAGGAAGATCATACGGCATGCGGAAACCGACCACCATGGAGTCTTTCTCGTCTCCGGAAAAACGAGGAGTATCTTCTTTAAAACAAGGGACCATCACCGCGTCCGGTGATTTCTCATCCTCCAATCCACTTCGAAAAAGATCAGGCCATATGAGGACGCCAATCTCCCAACTGCAAACTCTAACTTCGCCATTACCATTCGTCGCCGCGCCCCAGGCCTGCGTGGATAGGTTTGCCGATGACACCATTGCCCAATCTATAGTTTTCTTATCTTTGTTTGCAAAGCAGATATAGGTTTTGATGTGAGGCGCTGCCCTGCGGCGACCTGCTTCGCGTTTTGACTCGTCTAATAAGTTGATTTGAGCACCTGGCATAAGGGTGTCTCCTGCCCATTGGCAGAGATGAGGTCGCAGGTATTGGACTTGCTTTTGCTGTGCGGCGCTTTGGGTCTTCATATGAATCGATCCGCCTGAACCGTAGCCATCCAGTGAGCGACGGATCTCATCTGGGGTTGGGAAGACGATGGAGTAGTTGGGGGTGGTGCTTGATTTTGGAGCGAGAGCTTTGAAGAAGACATCTCTGAGCCATTTGTTGGTTTGACCCAAGGTTGCGACCGAAGAGATCTAGACACCGGGTTAAAATGTAGCCATGGCCAGTTAGTGAGCTTAGACACACGTACCTGAATCACTATATGTGGTTGAATTGTGTTACCCTTTTGCAATTCGTCGCCTTTCTGGGCTGTAGGTATACGGCTCGTCGCATCTTTCAGAGCAAGCCAACCCCAGAGTGTATCCTCATCTGAGTTAGAGTTACTAGCATGTTGTCTAGACGGAACACTAGCTACCAGGGCAGCGCGAACAGCTTTGAAATCAAAGTCATTCAACTGTCGGACTAAAGCGCCAGTTTTCGAGGGCCCGTATGCTTTCAGATATGCGAGAAGGTCCCTTTTGAAACGTGCACCTGAGCCAAACTTTAGACACTTTGCTTGCGATTCTGTTGATGGTTTTGGTTTCTCCAGAGGGAGAAGAGGAGAACGCCAGACCGCTTGGGTCATATTGGTCCAGTCACCTTGGATCATGTTTGCGGTATGAATTATAATCCTATCGCGTGGGATTAGATTTTGCGACAGACAAATGAGACCAAGGTCTTACTGGGCTAGGTCATCATGTCGAAGAAGAATCATCATCTTGGAATGATGTGTCCCGAAAGGCTCAGGCATGTAGGCCACAATAGGTTCGACGTTAGGATATCGCGAACAGGCCTCCTGAGCACACATTAGTATTTTTCAAAAGTATACCATCGAGACAGTCATATAATCAGCAAAAAAAATCACTAGTACAAACTCACTTCAATGCGAATCCGATTAGCGGCCTCCTTCTGCCACGACCCATGCACGACCTTGACTTGCACGAGACTTCGGACATCTTCATCAAAATAAGACATCAAGAAATCGACATCAAAGAGGTAATTGAATTGCCAGCACTCGCGAATCATTGGATCCCCGAGGATATCACGCAGTTTCACGGTGTCGACATTGTTTGTGGTGGGGAGATCCCGGATATGCGTGAGTTGAATAGGGGAGCTGATACATTCTATCCTTGGAAAGGGCTCTATAGCTCCAGGGCCAGTCAAATCATCCGTGTCCTCATTCCGTGCAGTAGAGCATGTAGACTGGGATGATGGACCTGGCTTCTGAGATCGCGCCGGCGGTGGGCTGATCTGCCTATGAAGAGATGTTAGAGGCGTGGTCACGCTCAAATTCTCCGCGAGTTCAGGCTCTGAGGAGACCTTGGCCCTTTTTGAGGGGCGCTCCATTGGAATTGGCCGAGGTTGGTTATTGGCTCAATTGAGATGAAAGGCGGTCGAGATGATCGCGAGACATGACATCGATCAAAAAATGTTTTTCTCTTGCCGAATGCAAACAAGAGCATTAGGTAGTACTTTTAGAAGAAAAATGAGATACTAGTTGGGTTTAATGCTGTTTTATGCTGGGTTGAATTCAACATTATAATTGAATCGTTCAAATCCAATGCCATGTAGCATTTGTATGTGTCGTCCATACAAAATGTACTTCCATATATGTACAGGTCTGGTGAACACTGGTTCATGCAAAGTACATAGCCATCTGTATTCGTGTAGTTCGTATCAAAAGCTAAGAGCATCGATTTTATATTATAGCCCCATCTTTCCAACATCACTTCTTTGCAAGACCATCACCCGGGCGATATTCATTCATGATACCGCATTCAATCCGAGTCGATCTCCAAGAGCCCGCCGGGTGTTATTTATTGTTCAACGGTGTTGTACTTGACCATCAAGGCGGTAACGTGGTCGATGTAGAGCTGGTTAGCCTTGGGGACGCTGTAATCCTTAACGTTCTCCCAAGCACTGTAGAGCTGCTTCTTCTATACAGGAAAAGAGTGTTAGTAACCAATTACCAACTGCAACCTCTGCGTTGCATTGCTTTTGTAAATCTGAGCGCAACTAACTTACCTGGAAGTCGAAAGTGCCTGGCTTCTCCATGGTCTCGCCCTTGCTGACCTTGAAGTAGATGTAGAGATCCTTCTTCTCCAAAAGGCCGGGTTGCTTCTGCAGCAGCATGACGGCCTTGGCGGCAAACTCGAAACCCTTTTGGAGGGCCTCAGCTTCAGCGGCATCGTCGAGCTTCTCGAACTTGCCCTGCTCGGAGACCTTCTCGTGAGCGGCCTTCAGGACATCGATGTCGATGCCTTCGGCGGCTGCTTGGACTTCCGGGGTGTACTTCTCCTTCTTCTGGGCGGCTTCCAGGACGGCGATGAAGGGAGCGATGTCGACGGTAGTAGTAGCCATTTTGGATGTGTGAGTGAGGTGTGCAGGTGAAATTGAAAGCGGGACTTTGTGTTGAGGAAGTTGGAGATGGTTGAGGAGGGGTATGTTTGGTGGGGTCGCTGACACACTCACCAGTTTGCCCGGGCAGCGTGATGTCCAGGTGGATTGTTTACAACGTACAAAGTACATCCTCGGTAATTAATTAGTACTTTGTACACAAACTTTTTACATCTTGAACTGTACAATTTCCTTTCGGATCAATTGTGCATCTCTATCAATGTATCTAAAAAGCCGACGCCATATGCATATTCACACGCGACCCAGAACTCACTCGCTATGCAAAAAGAACCAGGAAGAGATACAAACAGAAAGATAATCAATCACCAATCAACCGCCCATCCATTTTTTGTGAGGAACTCCTCACAAGCCGCCTTGAGAGCATAATTGTTCCTTAAATCCCCAACAGACATAGGAGCCCGAGTCAAAGGATCAACGCCCGCCTTCTCAACATACTTGGTAATGCCGATGCGATCGAAACTCGCCCCAGAAGGCGTAATAACAGGATCATGCATAATCTCAAAAGTAATGCCATCAACGAGATGATCAGGAACAATCTAGAAAGAAAAACAGTCAATAATCAAACCCCAATCACCAATTCAAAAGCAACATACCCGCTCCGCAATATCCCCCTTAGACGCAATCCGAAAAGCCTCCCTCAAATTCCTAATCTTCCCCTCCGCATCCTCTCTCAGCGCCCTCTCATCCTCCCCAAACCCAATCTCCCCAATCTCCCCACGCTCAAGCCGGCCTTTCAGCTCTCCAAGCGCCCGCTCAGCGTCAGCCTGCACAAGCACCTCCACAGCGCCGAGGGTCTCATCCAATTCCCTGATACGGGATGTCTCCTTCGCAGCCCAGATCTGCTGTTTTGCGCGCAGCACGGTCCGCGACAAATTCTCCGTCTGGGCGTTTTTCGTAGATAGGCTCTGTGTGTACGCGTTGGACGCGACGTCATATGCTTCTTGATGGCGTTGGAGACCGAGGAGCGCTTGCGCGAGGTAATAGTGGCTCTTTAGGGCGGCCGGGTTCTTCAGCCCGTATATTTCGATTGCGGCGCGGGCGTCATGTTCCACGTCGGCCCATTTGGCTAGTTTGATACGGGTTATGGCGCGGTTTGTGAAGAATGTTGCGTCGTTGGGGTCCTTTGCGATTCTGGGATTGTCAATGGCATTGTTGTTGAGGTTGGTGGGTGAGGGATCTCGTGGGGGGAACCGCGGAGAGGGAGTCGGAGAAGTCGGCTTTGGTGACTTACGCTTGGGAGAAGAAATCTTCAGCACCGCTGTAATCGCCTGCTTTGAAGAGCTCGTTGCCTTTTGTTTTAAGTTGCTGGGCCATGGTGTACAATGTGAGTCAATGTAGAATAGCAAGTTGCGGAGGTTGTTGATCTGCTCTCAAAGGTGCCCAGGTGGGTCTTATAGAGTCAACGACAGGTAGGAATATTGTTGTACAATATTGTAGTTCAGTGGACTTTTGCGTCTAAACTGAAACCTAGTTGAAAATAAAGTGTGCAAAATTGTCCAAAATTGTACAACACACGCCGATTCATATACACATATATGTATGTAGAAAGCCATCGATCCCCGCAGAAATTATGAGTCAGCTATATATAATGCCCAGGTGGAGGTGCCCACCTGAGCATGTTTATGTTGCAAATTGGGATACTCTTTGGTTGTTTTCAACATTGGAATAAGACTTAATGGAATTATTTCATTGTTATGTACAGATGCTAATTCATAGACCGTACATATCTATCTGATCTATTCCAATCTGAGTCAAAATAACATTTGGATGGTGGTATCATGCGCTGAGAACAAACAAGATGTAAAAATCGTGCACAAGACAGCCAAAGAGAGAAATGAAACTACAAATAGTGCCACAGAGTTCGGCACCAAAGGGTCAAAGATTTCCCAACTGAGTCTCGGACTGAGGTCTACACGCAACCAAAGCCACAAGTCTAAGCAGCAGCCCGGAATTGAGTCTCATAGTCGGTAATAGCCTGGATCTTAGCCGCAGAAGCGCTCTTAGGATCGAAGCGATAATTGAGCCAATCCGAAACAAGCTTCTTAGCCAACTCGACGCCGATGACACGCTGACCCATGCACAGGACCTGGGCGTCGTTGCTCAAGATTGAGCGCTCAACAGAGAAGGGATCGTGAGCAGTCACAGCTCGGATGCCGGGCACTTTGTTGGCAGCAATGGCAACGCCCAGGCCAGTGCCACAGATGAAGAGGCCACGGTCTGCTTTGCCGTCTTTGATGAGCTTGGCGCCTTCGACGGCTGGGTGGGGGTAGGCTGTTTTGTCGGATGATGAGTTGACGCCGACGTCGATAACCTCAGCGACGAGGGGGTTATTCTCAAGGGTGGCTTTAATGGCGTCTTTGTATGGGACGCCGGCTTCGTCGCAGGCCATGACAATGCGGAGGGGAGGAGCAGACATTATGTATAGATATATATGAGGTGAGGAATGAGGAATGAGGAATGTTCCAGGATGGAATGGAATAAAGATCTGAGAGATTCTGATACAAAGAAATCTAAAGTACTCGAGGGGGGTCTTTATATCTTTTTTCCCCCCTTCCCCTCTAATGTAACACACCTATATGCAATCATATACGGAGTACTTTCCCCACTAAATCGAATTAGGATCGAGAAAGGCTGGAACTTTGATATGACGCGTATTTCTACTTAGCCCGAGCGTTATAGTGTCCAATGACAGGGATTGAATGGCCACTACGTCGGAAACTCCAAGTCTTGTTTTGGTCGATACATGCATCGTACCTCGTATTACACGGGATGTATGTATCGCCCTCGTTGGCGCTGTCTTGGAACATTAATACGCCCAGTCTTACTTTCTACCCTATTGATGTCAATTACTATGGTTCTATTGAAACGGCTGTGGCTTGCACTGCACAGATAGGGTTGCTCAACTTTTATATCGACTTTGGCTTTGTGATGTAGGTAAAAGCCCGACGAAGGACCGGGTTGTGGCTTTGTTTCCCGGCTCTATTTCCCGTGGTTATGGCCTGGGCACCTCGTATGCATAGATGCCTAGAATACCAGCCGTGACGAGCCATCCGGGTTTCTGCGGGGAGGATTTTCGGATTGTTGAAAGATCGGAAGATGGTTGACCTCATATTCTACTCTCGTTGCCTCAAAACTTGGCAGGTACTGATAAGGCATGTGAAAAGTCTCAATTCCTAAAATTGAATGCGAAGGAGAGCCCACATCCAATATTAAGTCTAGTTCTGAATTATGAACATTCAATCTAGGCCATCTTATGATTCCCCACTACAACTCCACTATTCTGGGGGTGGATGACAGTCCGTCGCATTGCCGGCTGAAATATGTACTCCGGATTTTCAATTGGATCTACACTATGTTCAGGCATGAAGTTGTGTATGTATTAGTGTTCACTTTTAATAATAATGAAACTTGAATCGAACACCAAAAAGTACAAAAATGGGAAACTCATTTGTGACAGGTTCTTGGTTGGACCCCTCTTTTGTGGCTTTTCTTCGAGTTTCCATCCTATATTATTTACCTTCCTTCTTTCTCAGATTGCTTAACAATGGCCCACTTCCATGTAATCGACAAGATGGCCGAGTTGGTCTAAGGCGCCAGACTCAAGAGTTATCTCTTCGCTGAACTCAGTGAGCATTCTGGTCTCGAAAGGGGCGCGGGTTCGAATCCCGTTCTTGTCATATCTTTTTTATATCTTTTTTTTTGTCCCGGCGTATAGAGTTTACGAAAGACATATTTTTCCATACAGTCTATCAAATGTAGCAGTTAGTTAGCTGCTGCCTGAATAACAAATATCTATACTCCGTCTCAATATGATTCTAGGTATAATATCATAATTACGGTTATACGCGCTAGGTGGGTGAATTTTGGATCTGCAGTATGTCTGGTATTGTTAGTATTGTTCGCTTCAATAATGAAACTTGAATCAAATGGTGAAAAGTATAAACAAAATGAGAAATCAATTAGAACAGGTTTTTGCTCAGCCCCTCTTCTGTACCTGCTTTCTTCTACTTTCTATCCTGTTTTGAATGCACTACGTTGTAAAGTTTGCCTAATCCTTGTCTCAAGTATCAGCATTGACATCATTTCCAGAATACTAATCGCATTGAAAAGCATTACTTTCAGGCACATACATACATATGTAACTATTTTCCCATGTACGTTGTATGTTAAGGTCTCCTTCCTAGCGCAACCTCGGAACCTCGCGAATTGAGCATTGACACCCGTAGACCATGTAAATTACCCCAACCCTTGTTAATATTACCTACAAGGAAAATCCAAGAAAGTACTCGCTCCAATTCCCTCGAGTCCCCTCCAAAGCAAGTTTGCCGAACACGCTAAACACAAACGGAAATCAAACAACCCCTCCATAAACAATTGAACTCACAACTTCACATCGTCACGAACTCAACCCTAACAACCTTCAAAATGACCTACCTAGTCCTCCCAGAGAAACTCCTCCTCATCTCCCTAAAGATGTACTTCACCCCCGACGAAACCCTAACATACCTGAATAACCTCCTAAACACATCGAACAAAATCATCCCCAAAACACCCAAACTCCAGCTAGGCCTAATCCCGGATTTCCTAACAATCCACCCTTGCGCACAACTCCTCACGCAGAACAAAAACCCCCTCCTCCTCGGCGCACAGGACTGTTTTTGGGAGTCCGCAGGCGCATACACAGGCGAAGTGTCCCCCGCCTCACTGCACAGTCTCGGCGTCTCAATCGTCGAGCTAGGCCATGCCGAGCGCCGCGCTATCTTCAAAGAATCAGACGAAGAGACGGCGCGCAAGGCCGCCGCCACCTGCAAGCACGGCATGATACCCCTAGTTTGCATTGGGGAGGTTAGTGCGCCTGGCGCTGTGGCTTCGGCCGCTGTTGGGTTGGCGGTGAATGAGTGTGCTGTTTTGGTGAAAGCTGTGCTGGATGCAATTCCAGTAGATGCGCCTGTTATCTTTGCCTACGAGCCTGTTTGGGCAATTGGAAAGCCTAAACCTGCGGGCGTGGATCATGTTGCTGCTGTTGTGGAGGGGATTCGGGGTGTCATTGGGACTCGGGATGGGGATGTCAGGGTTCTCTACGGGGGAAGTGCGGGGCCTGGGCTTTGGGGGGATGGGGGGTTTGGGGAAGGCTGTTGATGGGATGTTTTTGGGACGCTTTGCGCATAAGATTGAGGGGGTGCGCGAGGTTGTCAGGGAGGTTGAAGAGTCGCTGTCTGCCTAGTCTGTGTGCTCTTCTTGTCTTGCATTTCTAGATGCACCCAAGCAAGGTATCTACATTCTTCCCTATATGCTTTATACATTAGGTTCATATTTTACATTACGGTATGTTTCGCATCATACGGACCCTTGTTATGGTTTTACGGAAAAGTACAAAACATTGAAGACAGGTGCATCTAGACTGTTCAAGAGGAAGAAGAGAAAAAATACACCAAAACAAAAAAGTGGGAATGCCCATTGAAGGCCCGGAAGCCTATGTCGGGAACACCTTTCTGGGGAAACCGAACCCACAGAGCAGTGGAGAACCTGGAATAAGCCGCAATTCCCCAGTTTTAGCTCATCACGCGCCGAAGATCAGCTCAGATGACCTTAAAGCTTTTTTTTAGTCTCCGCTTCTGCATATCGGTTCTCGGCTTTGCTAATGACTTTGCTTAGTCCAGGTACAATTTTGTAAACTAACATGCAGCCCTCTCCACTAGGTGGGTTTATTGTTGGCACTGAAGCTATCTCGTACTGATCGAGTAATCCGAGCTGTTGATATCACTCCCGAACTTGAAGAAAAGTGTCAATTCTTACCGACAATTATGAATGCCCGTTTTTCTCCTTCTTTCGCCCGCCCGGGACTTCCTCAATCGGTTGATCTATTGCATATGTTTCTAAATCCACCCCTGCTACACGGTATGCGCCATGCTGCCGGTCGACTAAACTCGGTCGAGATGCAAGAATGCAAGTCAAATGCAACAAGTCAGGAGATATAAGAATGTAAAATGAATTTTTTTTCCATATCCACCTGTGCATGCTATTTACATTATCTATCAAAGACCGGAAAAAAGAAAAAACCTTCACACCGCTCATTTCTTCAGCTCCTCACGTAGCTCTTTCTTGACCCGCGTGACTGTGCCAATTCCACCATAGACAATACCAGTGTACATCATAGCGACGGAGGCACCGGCATTAAGAGCCGCCTGCGCCTCTCGGCCGGTGGTAATACCACCGGAAGCGAAGATGACCTTCCGCGGCGAGTTCGACGCCTTCTCAACGGCCTGCTCGGATTCAGGGGCATCGGACTTGGCATCAGAAGCCGACGGCGGACCCTGGTCGAGCAGGGTGCGGTAGCGAGCGACTAGGGCCACGGAGCGGTCGAAGAGCTGAGGCCCGGAGTAACCACCTGTCTCTTTGAGGGTCTTCTGCTCTTCCTCTGGGAGTACGAAGCCCTTGGGAAGGGCGTCGGGGCGACGGTTGGTGGTGTTTCCGACGATGACACCGTCAACGCCAGAGTTCCAGACGGCTTCACAGATACCTGAGATCTGCTCGGTGGAGTCCTCATCCGGGCTGACCTTGACCATCACGTAAGGCTTGGTCTTGCGTTCAACGTTCTTGGCGGAGCCGACAACGGCCGTCAAGATTGCTGTCAGGGGAGCTGCGGCTTGAAGATCACGTAGGCCGGGGGTGTTGGGGCTGGAGACGTTCACGACGAGAATGTCGGCGTACCGGGCGACGCGTTCGACGCAGTAGACGTAGTCGCGCTTGATGGCTTCGATGTCGGAGTCTGGGGTGAGCTTGTTCTTGGCGACCTGAACGGCAAGAAGCTTGCCGGGGACGAGACTGCCAGGGGGAACGTTTGCCTCACCGTCCAAGACACGCTGCGAGGACTCATCTTGGAGACCGAATCCGGCGGCGTAGGCGAAGTCAGCGACACGCTGCTTCAGCACGGCTGCCATGTGGTCGGCGCCCTTAGAGTTGAGGCCGTAGCGGTTGATCATGGCGTGTTGAGAGGGCAAGCGAAAGACCCGGGGCTTCGGATTTCCATCCTGGGGCAGAGGAGTGGTGCCGCCGACTTCGACAATGGCGGGACCAAGGTCGAACAGTGCATCGGGCACGTCGGCGTGCTTATCCAAACCGGCGGAGATACCAATGGGGTTGGAAAGATTGTATCCAAAGACCTGAAGGAATTCGGTCAGCAATTGGGTACTAAACGGGTTATGAGAGTCCTTACCTCAGTTGAAAGGGCACCATCGCTATCTGGCTCTCCGCGCTCACGCGGGTGAAGACCATACGGGTAGAGCAGCTTCAGCATGTCCACGCCCATGTGATGCGCATCCTCCGCATCAGGGTACAACAAGCGGATCAGAGGCACAATTCCATACTGGTGGATACTGGCCCTAGTATCGGTTCCGTAGATGTAGCCCACCAGCAGCGTCAAGGCCAAAGAGGTACCGTACAGTAGCTTCTTAGAGCCACGGCCAGCCTTGCGGGGGATCTCCTTCGCAGTGTCCTTAACTGCCTCCTTCGCAGCCTCGGTGGCAGGTGCAGCGGAATCTGAAGCATATCTCGAGGCACCGAGCCGCTCGGCCCGCTGTCCAAATACCGAAGGCCGTTGGGCCCAGCGGGAGGTGGGAAGGGCACGAGCCCGGACGCTGGCTCTCCAAGCCATTGCTGTAGAGCTGAAGGCCATTTTTACTGTGGAGGGTGTGCGGATCTAATCTTCTCCGGCGTCGCAACGCCCGAACCTATACAGCGGTTAGTTCTTCCGAACGTATTGGATTAATGAACGTAGATCGTTGAGTGCGACCAGCTCATATACATTTGGCTAGCCAATTGGTGTTGCATATATAAGTCAATATGCATATGCATTGAGTTAACTTACAATTGCAATTGAGCACGATCCAAAGTTCCTCGCACGTCCCTTGCAATGCTCAAGGGCGCATTCGGGTTCTTTTGTTGTCCGGGCGGTGATGATAAATACTTGCAGAATATCCATTCCAAGGCGGTCGAGTTCAATGCAGTTTTGCCAGTTGATTCAACATTTTGAAGATGGTTTTCGTTCTTTTTTCTTATAAATGATAGTCTTTGAGACAAAGCTCCCTCTATACCTCTATCTATTTCTAGGAGTCTCCCAGCCCACAGGGACTTATAGACACAATGAAAAATCTCTTGGCAGACGATCATATCTTCAATAGTCACGCTCGTATCCGGCAAGCGATGCTATGACCAACTTTACTTCCACCGCACATCTCGCAAGAGGTCTAGCTAACTCCTGAATCTGAAACAAAGAAATAAATAGCATACCCCCCTCTTGTTTCAATCTTGTCTCCACAGTATTGACCTACAGTTCACAATATCATAATCCCACTGAATACCCAGAGATGCATAGAAGAACAACATCATCAACATCCGTGGGATTTGACCATGTCTGTTTCGACAACGACGATTCTCTAGACCAGGAGAATGAATCATCGCAGCAAGATTCCACAACTTCAAACACAGCAGCCCGAAACCAGTCACATCGTGCAGTGAAACCTTACCGCTCGTTCAATGTCTTCAAAGATGTATGCTAAGAACTCAATACCAACAAACACATATATCCTACATCAAACCAAGCTTATGGCTCCATCCAGGTAGCACTCGGCACGAATGCATTCAGCTTCTGCCTCCAAGTCCACCCATCCGGAGGACTAGCTCAATCTCCAAGTCCAGTATACCACACATTGCGCATTCCCTGGTACCGTCAGGGCCTATATCTCCCAGCATCATTCGATTTGTACACCGGCGGCAATGCCGTGCGCAGTCGCAAAGAACCAACTCCCGAGCCTGGGGATCATCGCGCGCACATCCATTACCGCGGTTTCGAGGGCCTGCTGGGTCTTCGTGTGAACATTGATATATTTCGTCAATCGGGGGCCTCATCGCCAAATGAGGCACTCGGCTCCTCAAATCTTGCTAAACATTGTTCGGTGGATATTTTTCGGAAGGGAATTGGAAGGACATATCGTGTTGACATTACACACGCTGAGTCTGTTAGGACGTTCTATTGGAAGGGATCAAAGACTGCATTATCCTTAATCGATACCGAGGATCAAAGTTCAAGTTCCCGTTTCAATGGAAACGGAAATCTGAAGTTCTTTGCTGCGGATAACCCGGGTGATATCATTGCGGTTTGGGGGAACAGGACCGATCAACGGATTCTTGGTTCTTTGAGTGTTATCACTGAGTTGGATGCTGACTCTGATGGGGTACTTGAGGGATTGATGGCTAGCTGCCTGGCTGTGGTCGTTGCAGAAAGGGTTTCTGGGCGCGGATGGCTAGGTGGGTTGGGGAAGTCCAGGGACTCTTAAAAGTCGATTCGATATTGAAATTTGTTGGAAATTTCAATCAACTATATCCTTTTAGCTATAGCAAACAGCCTAGTGAAGTTGGATTTGGTATTTTGTTTGGGAATGAAAGATTTCAATCAAGGCTCGAAAGAAGTTCCACCTGGAGATGAGCTGCTAGTTTGGTCTTTGATTACCTTCAGTCTAGCGGACAGCAAAAATTGACATTTGATTAGTTGATTATTTGCTGGGTATCATATTATGCCGTCACTCTATGTAGTTCTTAGATCTACAGAATTACAAGTCTCTATTGTAATCTTCACTCCTCTCTGTTCTCGGCGTACCTCTCAGCGCTCTTATCATCGATATCTCAGATACACGATATCCCCTAGATCATCACAAGATTATAGACTCTTCAACTCTGACGACTTGTCCACTCGAACTAGGTCCTCTGCCAGAGGCCTTGAGATGCATGCAGTTGAGTACATGATACTTGAAATAAACCTGTAGGGAAAGAACGCTAGAATCGTTATAGTTTATTGAATCTACTACCAGTTGAGACCTTAGACGCTAGTGATAGCTGGAGCAAGTTTAAGAAGGCTACATACAATGTAAATCGCTTGAATGTGAATATTAAGAGTCCAAGATTGCAAAGTAAATATAGACTAGTACAATCTTGAAAATATAAAGCTTCGCGCCCGGGCTTTCGTTTCTAGGAATAGCCTCCAGGGCATAGCGCTTCAATGACGTAATCTAACTGGATTGAGGGGAATCACTAGGGACACAACAGCTTTCTCTACGGGCACAACAAATTATGAAATACCCGCATTATATAATCAATTTTCTCTGAGATCGTTACCATACATTACCGCAGCAACTGCATTGCTTACTACTATAGCAACTACATTCTATATCATCATGCACTATAAGAACTCGCTCTCTTCCTAAATCTCTCTATACTCTTTATCTAATCCTGTCTTTCATCTTATCATGGAGCCACCAACTGAGCAAGTCTTTGAAACCAGAGAGCTACTGCTTACTTCTATACAAGAACATGCCTTATCTCGTGGGTATGCTATTACTACTATCTCATCTAATCCACATAGGAATATCACCCTTGGTTGTGATAGAGGCGGTATCTACCATGATAGAATTGGTGCTCTAGATGGGGCAAAACGCCGGAAAACTAGCACGAAGCGAATAGGCTGTCCCTTCCGTCTCTATGGGAAAAAGCTTGCTAATAATCAATGGCAAATTCAGGTCAGAAATCCTACCCATAATCATCAACCGGATGATAATATGATAGGGCACTCTCTAGCACGACGTCGGCAATTAACCAGAGATCAAAACGACACTATTAATCATCTATCAGAAATCGGATCAACGCCACGACAGATCATTAGCCTCCTACGAGTAGAGCAGCCTACTACCTTACTTAAAGCTTATGATCTCTATAATATTCGCGGCGAATTAAGACGAAAGAAACTCGGCAATTATACACCGCTTGAATTCCTTAGAGAGACACTTTAAAAGGATAATTGGAGATATTCATTTAAGCAAGATACTGAAGGCCATATCCTTTTCTTTATGTTTGCTCACCCTGAATCAATTAGATATGCTAATCAATATCATAGGGTCTTTTTATTAGACTGTACCTATAAGACAAATCGGTATAAGATGCCTCTTTTACATATTATTGGTCTCTCACCATCGAATTCATCCTATAGTATTGCTTTCTGCTTCATGCAAAATGAGCAGGAGCAAAGCTATAAATGGACTCTACAGACCTTATTTTCATGGCTAGACCCTCTACCCTCCCCCCCGTTCTTTGCACTGATAGAGATCTTGCTCTACTAGGTGCAATTAAAGCGATTTGTCCAAAAAGCCCACACTTACTATGCGTTTGGCATATTAATAAGAATGTGCTTGCAAAGACTAAGCAGTACTTCTCTTCAAACGAGGAGTTTGAGGCTTTTATTAAGTCATGGAAAGAGCTTATTAACTCATCTACTATAGGTGAATACGAAGCTCAACTAGCTAAGTTCGAGACTAGATTCAGTCTTAATCCTGCTGCTCTTCGATATGTGAAAGGGACCTGGCTAACCTATAAAGAGATGTTTATTAGGGCTTGGATAGGGCAGTACCTTCACCTTGGTAATTGGGCTACCTCACGAGTAGAAGGCTCTCATGCTTTTCTAAAAAAGTATATCGGGGCATCAACTGGTGATATGCTCTTCGTTTTTGAGCGAATCAAAAGTGCTATACAAGCTCAGCACTACGCCCTTTCATCTAATCTTGCTGAAGATCAGATTAAGACGCTTAATTTCAGCTCCCACTTTCTCTATTCGAATATTACAAAGAGAACATCACGATATTCAATTTCTTTAATCTCTAAGCAAGCTGCTATAGCTAAGAGAGCTACTCCCGAAGCCCCTTTATCTAACTGTACTAATATATTCACTAGGACAATGGGTCTTCCATGTGCCCATAGAATTGCTCCCTTATTAATGAATCACCAACCAATTCCACTAAGCGATATTCATCAATTCTGGAGGACGGGCCTTAGTAATAAGCTATCAGAGTATCTGCCAATACTTGATCCCTTATTACTAGGACCCCCGATACCAAAGAGAACAAACCAACATAATAAATCATATCAAAGCAATGAATCATCAGACCAAAGGATTATCAAGAAGAAAGCGCCATCAAAGTGCTCAAATTGTGGGGAAATCGGTCATACAATCCGTTCCTGCAAGGTATAACAGGCTGTATATAACATTAGAGACATCAGATTGATTTTAGATGATAGGAATTGAAGGAAGAGAGCGAGTTCTTATAGTGCATGATGATATAGAATGTAGTTGCTATAGTAGTAAGCAATGCAGTTGCTGCGGTAATGTATGGTAACGATCTCAGAGAAAATTGATTATATAATGCGGGTATTACATAATGTGTTGTGCCCGTAGAGAAAGCTGTTGTGTCCCTAGTGATTCCCGGATTGAGGTCGTTTCTCGAGAAGAATCTACTACTACTGCTATATGTAACAATTATTGAAATTTGGCACAACAATTGGGGTTCCATAGGCCGGTTGGTTAGAGTGTGGTGCTAATAACCAGAGTCGAGAGTTGATCCCATCTGGAATCATTTCATTTAGTATTTTTTGTCGTTTGTCGCTGTCCTAATTTCAGACTCATCATTCCAATAAACACAAGCCTATGTCCAAAGTCGAGGGTTATGAATGGAGAATTATGAAATGGAAATAGCTAGGTAGGTGAACTAGACACATGGGATTCACTAGCTTACCCCGAAGAATCTCATCAAGCCTATATCTCATGGCATGAATCAGATATCACGGGTATATATGTGCCTTGAAACTACTCGGGGATTCTCAATACCACTCTTCCATCAATATCGGAGCGTTCCAGACGGCCCAGAACATCATTGATCTGATCCAATTCAAATACGTTAACATGGGCTTTGACATCACCAGCAACTGCCATAGCCAACAGCTCATCCATTTCAATTGATGTTCCTGCCGAGTTTCCAACAATAGTGAGACCTTTAGCAGCATGTTAGTTCAATCTGCGTAAACCCAAATATCTCATAAGTACGGAATGAGACACTAACCCTTGACAATCATATCAAATGGCGTAGCTGGAAGTCTGAATGGATTACTAGGAATACCGACGCAGACAAGAGTCCCAAGAGGCCGCAGCATTTGCATGCTTTGCTCATATGCCCGCTCGCCATTGGCGGTGCAGATGACAGCATGTACACCGAAGCCAGTCTTGGCTTTGATTGCCTGGACGATGTCGACTTCTCGGTAGTCAAGGTAGTCGGTAGCCCCAAGAGATAGACAGAGTTGTTTTTTTATATCTCCGCTTTGAATTGTCCTGAGTTTAGTTGATGTCCAATTAGTATTTTCAGTTTCGATCATCACATACCTATCAATTGCAAAGACTTTGAGGTCTTTCTTGACAGCAATTTGGATTCCCCTGTATGAAATATTGTAAGAAAAATCACGTTGTAGCTTTGGAAATTGAGATGAAGTACATATGACCCAGCCCACCTCCTGCACCAATGATGGCAACATAATCTCCTGGGCGGGTTTTTGTCTTCATAATAGAAGAGTACATAGCAATCCCGGCTGGGAATAGATATTAGTTTTGACAATCCTATTATTAAGATAGTTTAAACATACCACAAAGGAGAGGTGCTGCACTGTCGGGGGATAGTTTCTCGGGAATCTTCGTCACATGGAGCGCCGGACTGACGATATATTCTTATAAATGGATTAGAAGTGAACTGTTTAGTTTGACTGACCAACAGGATGGGACATTCTCACGTTGAAATGTACCAGGCACATTCTGTAGAGTAACAAGGTAAATATCAATGAATATGTGTGATAGATGGAAAAAATTGAGATGCTCAACTTACTGCGCCGGAGTTTTTCTGATTCGGACATGCGGTATGGTTTATATCACATATCTCACACTGACGGCAAGAGCTATAGAGCCACCTAACCGCTCAAATTGACCTAGCGTTAGTAACTATGGTTTTCAAGAACAGCCGAATGAAAAAGGCGCAGACCTGATGCCAACCCTAATCCCCATCCATTCATTCTCGTCGACACCTGGTCCCACTGAAGTTTACAAAGATGAATTAACAGCTGTTCTGAGCCAATCACAAGCTAGACGTGAACCATACCTTCGACAACTCGTCCAATACCTTCATGACCCGCCACATCTGTCGACATAGGCGTTTCGCCACGGATGCTGTGCACATCTGAATGGCATACACCAGAAAATTCAAGCTTCACGAGGATTTCTCCCATTGTTGGAGTCGGGACGAGGCGATCACATTTTATCTCCACCCGTGAGGAAACGGACGTTTTGGCAGATGCGACAACCGCAGCAATTTGGATCTTAGGGACTACCATTTTGATTTGGGAAAAAGGTATAGAGGTAGTCACTTCGGATGTTAGTCGATCAGGAAGAGAATCCGGGTTGTATGAGATGGGAAGTTCGCAAGTTGTTATGATGGGCGCTTGACTAGTCATATCGCAGGTGCGGGGATGAGGTACGCCCAGGTGGGCAAGATAAGCATTGCATAAGTGACATAAATGCCCAGGTGGCATAGAGTAATTATAACCACATATAGCAAGGTATGTAGCCCACAGCTAGAGATTTACAATGCGGGAGAATGCCATACAGGCTTCTTTACGGCCTGAAAGATTCAATTAAAAATTTATTGGTAGGCTGCAGGAATCAGGAACCAGCAAAATCATGAAGCGATATAAGACAAGAACTCCACAAGCCTCAGTAGAGTCGAAGGGAAAAGGCGGTACAGTACCTCGAATGCAACAGAAGGTATCCAAGTCGTCAAGAGAAACTCGAACACCAAGGTATATGAAAGATAAAATCTAGAACCCGACACAAAACGCCTAAAACTCATGCGTTCTCCGACTGGATTGTTTGCTGCAAGTGGATGTTTTATTAGTTCAAGAAACAATCCTTCAGGGGAGGGAGTAACATACCACTAGCCAATCCATTCCTTCGTTGATACCCTTGCCATCGATGGCAGAGCAAGCAACAATGCTCCAGTTCCGGTCCCGCAGTTCCCCCAGTTTCAAAGCCTCTGAGATTTCGCCAGCGCCCTTGGCACCGGGCTGATCCTGTTTGTTGGCAAATACCAGCAAAGCCGCATCGTGAAGTTCCTCCTCGTTCAACATGGCTGCCAGTTCATCTGCCGCGGTCCCCAGCCGCTCGATATCTGTGGAGTCGATGACGAAGACCACTGCGGCGGTGTTGGCATAGTAGCATCGCCAGTATGGGCGAATGGAGGTTTGGCCACCAAGATCCTATATCCAAGGTATATTAGCAAAACTCGAGCGATTTTTGAACTTGATGGTACCCACCCAGACGTTGAGATTCAGATTCTTATATGTGACCGATTCGACATTGAAACCAATTGTAGGTATCGTGGTGACAACCTCACCAATCTGTGGATGTGAAAGTTAACCCCATGAGCCCTAAATGCGCTGAAGTATCGATATCCCAGATGCAATGACTCACCTTCAATCTGTACAGTAGAGTGGTCTTACCAGCATTATCCTAAATCATTAGAACAATGACAATCAGCTTCGGCCCTTGTCATCGTATCCTGCCTTCCCCGCTTAGTGGGACAACATGTAGGAGGTGACATACAAGTCCCAAAATGAGAATTCTGATTTCCTTCTTGGACCAAAGAAGGGACCAAATGCGTGATAGCGAGCCTCCCATGATGGAGTGTAGTGATGCGCGTGTGTTCGTTGATTCGGTGAGTATGTAACTGGGGTAATTGGGGATAATGTGCCCGGATGACGTTGCACGTAAATCGTAAAAAGCTATTCAGCAGGAAACAAGCCCGCTATGGTTATGGTACAAAGTAGATGGGAGTGAAAGAGAAGAGACGCTGGTGGCAACCGCATTGGATTCTTTGGTCGGCCTGTGCGGTGGGCGGTCAATCGGGGGATCATCGTTGCGCGGGATTGGAGCTCCTCAATTCGAAAACCCTTGCGATTGTTCATACCCATCTGTTTGATCAGAACTTGGTTTAATTTTCTATATTCTTCAACTACCACATCCTACCATCAGAAGCGTAACCCCAGCTTTGCGATCATTCCCGGCGCCCTCCCTAGATTGGCTGTCGTCAGTCCCAATTGCAGATAGCTGATCACCAACCGGTATACATCATGGTCGGAAAGAAGTCGGGCAAGGCCCTTCGGGATGAAGGTAAGATTGCTTAATGACGCTGGTGAGTCCTGCGAGCGCACGACAATAGCTAACACGAGACCTAGGCCTGGAGCGGACCGACAATAACATGGAACTATCCAGTTGGCCACAGATCCCAGCAATCAATCAGAAGAACTACTACACGTATGTGTTGATACTAATCCAAACAGTTAGACAGACATGGTTTCGGAGGGACATCAATACTGACTGCGCGGCTTGTAGTGACTACCTGAAAAGAGACGACCAGAACCTCGCATTTCGACTCCAAAATGAAGAAGCAAGGACAAGGATGACCAAGAAAGCAAAGGATCACGATCGCGATCAGGCGCTTCCCAAGACTGAGAACGCGGAGGGCGATGCCGAAGTAGATGCTGATGCCAATATGGAAGATGCGGAGGAGACTCCAGCTGAGGTAATTGGCTCAAAGGTCATTGTCATTCATATGGGCAGTCAAAACCTTCGCATTGGCCTTGCCAGCGATGCACTGCCCAAGACCCTACCCATGGTGATTGCGAGGAAGTCGGCGACCAGCGAGTACGAGGATCATCCGGAGCCCAAGCCCAAACGATTCAAGCATGATGATGGTTCGGAAATGGAGCCGGAGAAGGAATTCGGAGCCGAGGTATTTCTATTTTATATTGTTTAATATTGCACTGGCTGATTTACTTACAGTGGTCGTCTCATTTCGGTCGGATGTCTGCAGATTTGAAGGTGCACATGCGACAGAACAAGCGAAGGATGCTTCCAAACTCGAAGGAGATGGTGGTGAACTATAACCGCAGGACTGTGCCCGAAATCATTTCTGAACACAACGACCCAATGCGTGCTGAATGGACCGAGTTGTCCAATCCTCCCCCCGAGTATATCGTCGGGCAACCAGCTTTAAGGGTACCGGACGATTCAAAACCTCGATACAAGCTCTACTGGCCGATCCAGAATGGGTGGTGCAATGAGAAGGACTACGCAAGCAAGAGAGCACTTTTCCTGGATATCTCGTTGATCGTTGAAGATGCGATCAAGAATCAACTCCACTTGACAAGCAAGAAGGATTGGACTCAATACTCGTGTGTCTTCGTTATCCCAGATCTCTACGACAAATCATACGTCACTCAAATCCTGGAGATGTTGATGCGAGAGTTTGCGTTCGCTCGGGTCTGTTTCATTCAAGAGAGTCTTGCAGCCACTTTCGGTGCCGGATTCACCTCAGCCTGCGTGGTCGACATCGGAGCGCAGAAGACCTCCATCTGCTGCGTGGAAGAAGGCATGTGCATCGAGAATTCGCGAGTTAACCTGAAATATGGCGGTCAAGATATAACTGAAACGTTTGTCAAAATGATGCTACACGACCACTTCCCATATTCCGACATCAACCTGCGGCGCAGACACGATTTCCTTTTGGCCGAAGAGCTGAAGAAGAATATATGTACCATGGTCGAAGCGAGTGTCTCTCCACAAGTGTTCGACTTCCACCTTCGCGTAGCAGGAAAAGACACGCGAAAGTATACTTTCAAGGCATTTGACGAAGTCCACCTTGCACCAATGGGTGTTTTCGAACCTGCAATTTTCGACAACGAGAACAAAATCGAAGGAAGACGCACATTGATCGACGGCTCAGTCGACATCTACGAAGGATCCCCCAATGACCCTACTTCTGCAGCCCAATCAGAGATCTTGACTGCAATTGCTCCTCCGCTGCCCAGTAATGGTAAGACGAACGGGGAATCTAATTCGGGCGCACCAGACGTTCAAGCCACACCAAGCCGCCCCCAGCATCCGAACGCCTTGAGCAAAGTCCAGGATCTAGAGGGTACTCCGCGCTCCTCCGTCGCCGGCTCTCCGGTGCCCGAAACCACCGGAACACCCCAAGCAGTGGGTACAAGCACTCCTGCTGTTCCATCCGCTGCCACTCTGCCTCCACGCCCACCCGCCGTGGAATATCGCGATGATATCATGCCAATTTTCGGCCTGGACAATGCCATCTTGACCTCCATCGCTCATGCTGCTCGTTCTGACGATAAGAAGATGCGAGACTTCATTGGCGGTATCATGGTCGTTGGTGGTGGAAGTCTGACTCCCGGATTCCATGCATTTCTCGAAGAGAGACTGCAGACCCTTCGCCCTAGCTTTGCGAAGGAAATCATGATCGGGACCCCTCCCAGAGAACTGGATCCACAGGTCGTCGTGTGGAAGGGAGCCAGTATCTTTGGCAAACTGAACACCACCAATGACAGTTGGATCGGAAGATTAGAGTATGATCGGCTTGGTCCTCGTTTGATGGCATACAAGTGCATGTGGGCCTATTAATTAGCCTTCTATTTTCGGAGATTCCGTGATGTTATTATGAAAATTAGGTGTGGGAGTTGCTTGTTTTGTTTTCTTGATCGAAAAGATTTTAAATAGCTTTTTAATTCAATGGAGTACTCTGAACACGGAAACAAATCCGAATAACAGTTGTAGTCAATAGTAGTCAATAGTAGGCTATTCTCGCTATTTGTAGTGCGTCAATAGCAATTCAACCTTTGTACCCACGCACTCTCACAACGTAAAAGATATATCCACGCACCGCTGTCACGGCGGTACATATGGGCAAAATGTTCAATTAGCTCGACTCCGGAGCCATGGCAGCTTCGCATATCTCAATTTCGCGCCAGTTTGAATAAAACTCCCCTCGTGGAGATTTACGCAATTAATCACAACACTGCGAGCTTTTCAATCACCTCGCCGAATTCCCGCCACACTTCGAGCCTCATACGTGTGTTTGCGATCCATCCACTTGGACTCAATTCATATCGAGCTTTTGTACTGACTGGATACTGAAGTCACCCCCTCTTTTCGTGCGCTCTGATTGATACTGAAACGATAAATCTCTGATATATTCTGGTGAGTCTACCTTATTTACCAATGCGCACCGAGTTGCTAAGCGTATCTGACCGATCAGCATCACCGACAACCGCGAGAACAATTAAACAGACAATGTCTTCCAAGTCCAAGGAAGGACAGTCCTCCGGTGGCTTCCACCAGGAATACATTGCCTCTCTACGTTACCGCAATGATCTGCCTCCCCCAGATATGCCCCCGAAACTCCTCGACATCCCCCACGAGGGCTTGAGCCGGTTCCTCACCCCCGGGTTCGCATCGAACCTGGCCCGTCGCGAGGAGCCCAACATTGAAGCCGATGCCGAGGGCGGAATGCCGATTGACCTAGTTGGTATTCCAGGATTGCACCTGGGCGACGAGAGCGGTGCGCCAACGCCTCATCCTTTCCAATTGTATAACTCTAGCTTATATCTTCACTAGCTATCATGGCCCCCGAGAACCCTCAGCCCATCGACCCCGCGGACCTACCACTTCTGATGACCATTGAACAACTCCGTAACCCCGCCCCGAAGAATGCCAACGTCAGTTTCCTTCGGCGTACACAGCATATCGGAGTCGACCGCGGTGCGGGAAGTGAATCCCACGCTGCGCCCGTGAAGCCACAACCGCGCAATACCAGGAAAAAGCCCACCGTCGATGATCCGAAATACGTTAAAAAGTTCATTCAAAAGGGCTTCGACATTGCTTATCCGCAGAGCAAGCACACCGGGGAGGACACTGACAGCCACATCCGAGGACTTGCTCCTACGAAGGCAGAAGTGGACGCCTGGGCTAATCCCGTTCACCCCGAAAACGCGAAAAGGAAGCCTGTAGGATTCTTCCCTGTCTTGCCTGATCTGGAGGGATTCCCAGACCCCGGTGGCTATCTTCAATTCAAGTTTGACAAGGCGCCACTGGCAGCCGTCGGAGGCAAACGAGACAAGCGCATGGATGTCGGACTTATGGCCCCAATCGCTCCCGAGCAGCGCATCTGCCAGGAACATGACAACAAAATGAAACTCCACCAAAAGAATCCCAATCTTTACCCCGACCCAGGACCGCTTCCCTATGATTACCAACTTTTCCTCCCAGAGAAGCAACAACACGTCAAAAACATCTATGCAAACATGGATCTGGTCAATCCAAACCGCGACAGCGAGGATCTCTACAACAGCGAGACTGCCGAGGGCAGCAAGTTCCACCGTTACGATCGTGTTCGCACGTATGCTACAAGCAATCAGACCTTCAACCAAGAACAAAAGGACCTTGCATTGACGCTATTCGAGCCGAAGGATGGCGACACCAGACAATTGGCCGCTTACTACTATTCAATTATTGGTAAGACCCGTCTCAAGCCCGAGCGCGCTCGTACCATTGCGCAGGCCGGCCTTGCTCCCACCTCTACCCAACAAGAGGAGCGAGAGGAGCAAGTCGACCAGATGCAAGTCGTTGTTCGGGACCCCAATGATGCAGAGGTATATAAGCGCGCTTTGTCACGTCTGCGCATTGATCCCAAATTTGAAAGCGATATGCCGCCTGAGCCAGTCATTCAAGACGAAGAGCAACATGAGGATGACGAGAAGCCGGCTGAAGAGGATACTCACATGAGCGATGATGAGTAGGCTCTACTAGGTGTTTTTATGTAGTATGGATTTCTTGAACATTTAAATCTCGAGGTTTCTGCTCGGTAGATTATCATGGGCTTGGCGTCTGAGCAATGGAAAATGGCGTTGCGCATTAATTAAAAGATATACACACAAACTTCATATTCCTCAAACCTCCATCCATAAGTACTGTTAAATTCCGATTAGAACCTCTCGCTGCAGTAGTAAGTACATATGTTTTTCTAGGAAATCTGGTCCTTTTGATGATCTTCCACCACGTTCCTGAAAGTCTTTTCGATATGCTTCAAACATAGCTATTCCTTTTCAATCGCGAATATGTTTAGCAGCCGAGAGAAACGTCATATCGACTTTTTTCAGACACCGCTTGGAATCTATGGGTTATCCTCCAGACCAATAAGAATCCGTGGCCGCAGGCTTGACATGAACTGATGCATAGGTGCAAAAACAGAGTTCTCACATAGAGACAGTAGATAATCGCGCTCAGTGGGTAACTTCGGCGGCTGAACCGCCTTCAGATACAGAGCCGCTGCCATCAATGGGAAAGGAACGAGGTGTTGACGAAAAGCTCCAGTAGACGGATGCAGAAACACTGGGATACAGTGTATAATACTGCGACAACAATCATCTGCATCGATGCTCACACCGTCGGGTTCCTCCGAGAAGTCACGGTAGAGACTGTATGCCAGGAGACTGGTGGCCCAGTAGAGTGTCATTATGTGGGCATCCGCAATTCTATCCGTTGACATGCTGACAGGAAACCGCCAATCTTGCACTGAGGAAGACAATGTAACACCGAACTTCGAATTCCAGGTTGCAAGTCTGCCTATCACAGCAGACACTCTTTTCTGTATGTTGTGACGTTGGCTTGGCTGTGTCAGGATCGTGTTGTCAATATCTTCATAGAGTGAGGGAATCTCTAGAAGAATGTCTATTAAGAAGTCTTTCCGTGTCTTTCGATGTTGACTCCAAGGGATGGTCATCCAAGCTGCCTCGTTGAGAACCAGCTTTTTTCGTTCACTGAGTGCGCATTGTACCTACAGACAGATTAGTATCAATTTCAATATTCGAAGCCGACGATTTACATGATTAAGTCGTCCGTCAACAAATAACCTATGAGCTGGGCCGGTGATATAGAAAGATGGTGGATTGGATACGATAAGAGCGAGATCTCCAGAATGATGAACTCTCCAACTGCGGGATTGCGTTTCCTGGTTCCTCCAGTCGCCGCCATACAGCGCCTGAATAAAGATTAGCCGAAGGCGAGATGGAAAGTATACAAACAAGAAAAATATTTAATATCATGTACCTCATAGAGACTAAATACTCGTGCAGCACCCAGAAGCTCAAGCCCGTGTTTCCTATGCGAGCTCAATGCCATTCTCATTTGTTGCAAAGCGGTAACATGCAGCTTTGTAGCCTGCTGCTTCATCCAACCAGGGTCATCATTATTGATTGCCGCAGCTCGAAGCGCCATTGCACCAAGCGCTATCCGGAGTAGGTTATTGCCTGATGGGATCTCTCGAATTACGCTAATCGACCCGCCCAAAGCCCGCTGAGTGTCGTCAAACAGTGAAGAGAATTGACTGTTCGGCAGGTAAGTCTCCCAGAACAGGCCTTCGAAGCCGGATTCACGGGCAGCGCGAGATAATGTGACGGATTTTATCAAGTTGAATGAAGATGAAGACGAAGATGCAAATGATTGACTCTGGGAGTTTGTGGGCAATACCATTGTCGTGACAAGGTGATTGGTGTGATGAGAGTCACAAGGGAGAACTTTCAATTGGCCATTTTCATAGTATCGATGTACAACCAGTTCGGTATAACCTTCGCAAGGAATGCAAGCCTTTCTGCACTGACCGCAGGAGGGTTGTTGTAGATCGCACTAGTCTCGTTACTAATGCCTCTTCAACGATATTGTTCTGGACTGCTCCCAAAAGCTGTGAGAAACGCCACTTACACCTTTCTTGCGCCGCCTGCAGGTCCGACATGCCTTGGAACGCCCCGGAACCCCGACCATTGGAGATTGGGCTGATACAATAGAAGGAAGTGCTTTGGTCCCACTTCAGCTACGTTTAAAATTAGTACTTCTATTTAGGCAAGGATCTGACTGCATATAACAGTGCTGTCAGTCGATCAGAAGAATCGGTCAACAATATTGAGGTGAACTTGTGTAGATCAAAAGTGAGGTTGTGTCAGACTTGCACCCCCACATCAGTTAAAGCCTGTGGGGAAGTACTTAGTGCCCGAGCTAAGCCTAAATGGGAACATTTCGCGCGAGGTACAGCACATTTGGGGGCCGAAGTATCTACTGCCATCTACTCTAGCCTCCTTTGATGTCGAATTAATTCCGATAGCAGATTGTACTATCTCAATTTGCCAGAATGAAGTTCACCTCTCGTATCTCCAGATCCACTCACCGACCCGATATCTGCCGTTGTATGGTATCTGGAGAGCTATAAAGGGAGGTGTTATCCCAAGGGTAGAAGAGAAACAAAACCAACCTGAAAGCTTTCTCTCAAATAAACCTCTAACCCTCACTTGCATGATATGAGACTCAATGATATCTTCTTGCACATTTATGTTTGCCTGCTGGGCGTCCCCATTGCTCTTGCTGGACCCTCCTGCTGTGGAACAGACTTTACAAGCAGAGCCTACCATGACAACCTCTTGAAGGACTACATTGCCGTCTGGGGTGGTGACATATCTCTCATTGAGGGTACCTTCCACCCCGATGTTGTGCTTTATGTCGACCGGTTCCCTTCAGCAAGTGGCAAAGGTAGCTCGGTCACCAACGTGACAAACAAAAGGGATTTTACTGCTTTGTTGAGCGATCTCAAGATCGGCAGAAACAGTATTATTTTGAGCCTATCTGATCAGTCACGGCAGAGCACTTGATTGCTGTGCGGTGAAAAATGAATGGTATTCTTGGGTCAAACTTCACGCTGTTTCCAATGTAAGTTTGAGAGGACTTCAATATTTGATATGCAAGAGCTGACCATAAATTTTGAGCAGACCCTTGAAAGCAGGAGATGGTGTGACCTATGATGGGACTAAATTCCTTGTCGAAGAAGATTGTACTGGCAAAATTTGGGAAGCCTATATTGCTGGGGACAGCATTTCATATTCCCATGCCATGGGATTGGAGACCGTGACCGTATAGCAAAGATTGAGATCATGACTGGGTCGATTGAGATTTGGGTCGTTGACTAGATGTCCGCTCGCCACATTTGATTATCCAGGCTAGCTTGAAATGCCACGGTCAAGATGCATAACCTATTCCCAGATAGCTCAAGTGAGTACAACTAATAGCAGAAATTGAGTTTTCATTGGGCCTCCATGGCGTCTTTGCCCGCGCTATATCTTCGAAAGTTTGAGTCCATTTGAACAGAAATTCCAAATGCTACATAATCTTGCGGCTTCCACTATGCTCTCTTCTTAACTTTCACTTGGAAATCTATGGGTTTCACAAACCATCTTGCCTTTGTCGCCCAGTCTGCTTGTTCAATGTTCTGGCTTAATTCGAAGTCAAAGTCCCTCACCAAAACGGGAATTAACTTGCTCATTTCTAGCAAGGAGATGTTCTTTCCAATACATGTCCTGGAGCCCGCTCCAAAGGGCATGAAGCTCTGCTCCATGACTTTCAGTTGTTCTTTGCTTGTTTCGAGCCACCTTTCTGGCCTGAAAGTAGCCGCATCTGGGCCATAGATATCTTCGTCGTAGTGGGAGACCCAGCTGTTTATCCCGACATTGACCTATAGAACTTTCTTAGCTAATAACATATACACACAAAATTGAGGATTTCTTACTCCTTCTGGAAAGAATTGCCCAGCAAGGAATGCGCCACCTTTAGGAACGACCCTGAAAAGGGGATACCCTGTTCCAGGATGGATTCGCAATGCCTCCTTCAGAACAGCCTGAAGATAGGGCATCGCCTGTGTCTCTTTGAATGTTGGATTGGAGCCAATTCCAGAATCTTGGATCTCGCTTCGCAACTTAGCCAAACAAAGCGGAGTTCTAAGGAGGTGGTATAAAGTCGAACTCAAACTTATAGCGGTAGTGTCACTCCCGGCTCCAACGTTTGCACCTGCAGTAGTCAGAATATCCCAATCAGAGATGCCATGTGGATCTTGTGCCTGCTTTTGGACAAGTTTCATAACAATATAGGACGGCAGGTCGACACGATGATTTTTCATTGTTTGCTTGGATTTTTGGATGTGCCGAAAACTGAACTTAGTGATGTAGGTCTGGTCCATGCCTAGAAGCTTCGAAACCCGTAGAAAAATTGGATACATCCAGACGTATAGTCCAATATAGGAGGAGACAGTGAAACCCGTGTCAAGAGCTTTCATCATCCCCTCTATATCTCTACCAGCTTCGAGAAATCCAAACCGACTACCAAACTATTCTTCGTTAGTAGAGCTTCCACTCAGGATTCAGCGGATAAATAGAAGTACCGTGATTTCACCAATCACATCAAACGCGTAGCATTGGAACCAATGAGCCATGTCAATCCAAGTGCCTTCCTTCGAGGACTCATCAAGTCGCTGCTTGAAGATTTCAATGCAATTGTCCACAAATGGCTCATAAGCCATCAGTGAAGTCATCGAGTACATTGAAGCAACCTTCTTACGGCTCTCCGCGTGCTTTTTGGACTTTCGCTCCGAGAATAAATTTGTCAAGCTGGAATCGGTGCTGAAGGTCCATGCATCGTACCAAGTGGACTTTTCAAACTTGGTACTGTGGCCGTATATAGTCTTCAATGCGGAGGAGTCGGAGATACTGTAATAATTTGGGGCTATGCGGATGATTTTTCCTGTAGTCGTGAGGTGATATCAGAATATGCCCTAAGAGGAATGAAATCCTTGGATATACTTACCACTTTTTTGGTGGAGTTTTATGTTTTGATAGTGGAAGTCACCGCATTTCATCTGCCATAGATACCACAAATTGGTGACTCGAGCAAGAGCTGGCCCTGGTATAACGAGAGCCGCGGAATTTCTCAAAGAAATGAGGAAACGAATTAAAAGTACTGCGACGCCAAGGTAGATGAGATCTACAAGAGAGATTGACGACAGAGGCATAGTGATCTATGAGGATAGAATAAGATAATCGATAGCGACTGACTGATTCAAGGAACTGATTTGACATTTAAGTAATGTCTCGAGGCCCAAAGTTCTCGGAGCTAGGTCATCGGAGCTTCCATTTTCTGACTGAACCCGTTACTAGGCTTTTAGTCAATACTCTTGTCCCATGGTAGCACGAAAACTCCGCTTAGAAGCAAACTACAACGAGCATAATTTGCTGAGTTTCTCATCTGCAGACTCAATTTGGCGCTTGATCTGCACACTTTCTTACTCGGGATATAGATATTTCCGCTTACTCAGCGGAACGTCCCCTCAGATCCGTTCCGAGATGAAGTCTAACGGAGCCAACTTACTTACAGTAGTTGTGTTGAAACTTGAGACAGTTGGTAAAAAGGGGACAGACTTAATAATCGAAGAATTTAATATTAGGTGGAGGCTAAAATACATTCTTTCATGCGAGGGAGACTTCTACAAATTTATACAACTAAGGATAGAAAAAAAGAGCAGAGTAACATAGCTGCTGTCAATTAAGCATATCTCTGGGTTACATCTCGGGAGGACTTAGTGTCTCAGGGTTTCCATATCTCTGCACAAAATCCCTCGTGATATCAATGACACTGTAAAGCTCATTAGCCGCCAGACTAGATGGAAGGTTGAGAATTACCCCACTGTGTGCGAAGCGCCCCATTATCGACAAAGAGCGCTGATACCTGTCAAACCTCCTAGCATGATATTAGCTACAAACTTCAGGGAATAAAAAGACTTGATGAGTATCATACAGCCTATAGAGGTCTAGACGACCTTCGAAGTTCTCTTCCAGCGGCAAAATATTGACGAGCTTCTTGTAGGCAGTAATACACTCAGGCCCAAACCAATTGCAAGCTGGACGCCACTGGCCAAACTCATCTCCAAATTCCAAAAAAAAAAGAGAATTGGTCTCCGAACACTTTTGGAAGGAGAACTTACATTCGTTGTGTGCAAAGAAGGAGCACGCATCAAAGACAAAAGGCTGGCCGTTGTCCACGACCCTGTGTTTCCGTACCAAAGGCCTCCATGGACAAGGGAATGTTTCATTTTTCGACCACCACTCCCGAGAGGCCTTAGCAGCCTCGGGATGACTGTTTTGAATAGAACATCGGAGAGGGTATCTAGCTCTTTACTCAAACAACCCCTTTCTTTCGATCTCTAGGTCAAGCGCCTTCCTCATGCTCTTGTTGAAAAATACCTCCCAGCTACCTTCCTAACCCACGAATTGGGGTAGGTTTCCTGCGTATGTTTGTAATGGGGAACCCGAACTTGTTGTCATTGGGCGACACGCTATTCTGATGCAGTGTTGACAGAAGAAGGGCAAGCTTGTCAGGGTCAGGCATATGGTTGGTCATCTTCAGAACTCGCACGGGAGGAAGTGGGTGTCTGGTATCGTTACGTAGGTACCAGAAGCGATGGGTCTTAGGGCGAATTCTGGCAGAACAGCACGTACCTCGTTCATTGAACCGAACTCACTCTTGATCATGTTAACTCCGCCTTCTTTCGAATAGACCTTGATGAAGAAGAACTGTGTTGTTCCATTGGGAAGCAAAACCTCGACGCAGCCCGTCTATCCTCTCAAAGCTTGTTCCGTGCTTCTTGGTGGATGTGACTTGTCCTTCCGGCAGTTCTTGAAAAGCAGTCAAAATGAATATGATCTCACAAGTCTCCCTTATAGCTTACTTCCTCATACGGTCGGGTCGAGTCTAATTTTCCTCCCCCAAATACAAGGTTCTTTGCGTCGCTACCCTCCATTTTATGTTCCGTGTTCCGCTGGTTGGATATGAGAGAGGCTTTTCGAGAAGCGGGGTTTAGTTATTGGTGGTGTTTCTGTACGATTCAACCACCATGCCCGAGTAAAAATTGAAGCAGCCGACCTCCCACACAGTCGAGCGGCTAGAGTACTATCTTTAACTGTTGGTAAAAGAACGTGGAATATAAATGATTCACCGAAAAGGTGCACACCTACGTAATTAGGCTAGATATGGTTTATTTGGGTGAGATTATGATTTGAAATTAACTCTCGTCAACACCAATTTAGGTGTTGCTCGGGATGTTGGCCCTTCCACTTGTAAATTATTTTGCTCTACATTCATTTGACTAGACAGACTGCTCCGAAGCCTGCAGTGTCCTGTCCACGAGAGAGCGCCACCGCGAAGGACTAAAGCATGACTTGATGCAATCTAATTAGGCCATAAATCTTTCACATAAGTGTTCAAAAAAAGCACAAACAAGATTGCGCAAAGCAGTGTACTACAAAAGGAAGCTGTGGCGTAAAATATAAGCACACAGGCCAGCCAGCTCAATATTAGTCAGGAGAATTTCCGGGGCCATTCATTGAGATCTCGGTGATCCTGTCCTGCATCTGTTCAAAAAGGAACTTAACTTTGACACCATCTTTCTCGAGCTTCGACTGCCCTCGGGTTTCTCCACAAAAGACAGCTCTCTGATTTCCACGTAGACAGCCTTGATGCTCTTCATGTCCAAGATCTCTTCTGCACAGGTCGTTTTGCCTCTGAGTCTCTTATCGCATGACTCCATAGTTATTTAGAGCACTGTATTGGGCGAAAGGACGCCGCGGACGTTTTCTTGTGGGATATTATTCTTCTTGGCGATCTTCGTTAAACAACAGTGCTCTGCATGGGTCGGGCCTGGATGCACTGGGTCTTCCTTGTCAATTTTCCTTGTCAATTTTCCCGAACCTAAGTGAATACCCTGTCGATAGAACCTCGCGGGTGTGCTCGTCGACGAGTACGGCTTCGACACAAAATTATGTGGATGATGGCGGTAATGTTTCGGCCTCAGCGAGAGCTAACTCCATGGAAGTCTCATGAACCTCCAACAGGATTGGATTCAACTGGAAAGCCATAACGAATGGCTCACTGAAATATGAATTACCATACAATGCGCGGAAAATCTCCGTTCAAGGAATGAGGAAGAAGGTGAAAGTCAATGGGGGTATTATGAAATCCTGAGTGCGCAGTTTTCTGGGAAAATCTATGCCATGGTAGATCACCATAAAGGCCTAATCTAGTTGGCCTCGGGTCAGTCGGGGTGTTCCATTTCGCTGCTTCATATTCTTGAATCCATTTTCCCTACTTGGACGAGGGGAATACGAGATTGGCTGTTAAAAAAACCAATTGATTGGCGGTTCGAAGTGATGGAGAGCATGGGCCGTCTTGGACATCAATGACAAGTACAATTCTCTGCTCAAATTGTTCTACTAATCTCTTTGACGACATGGACTATCAATCTAGTTTCTATTTCAGTTGAGCACAATCCCTACTAATCACAAGTTCTAAAATTATAATAAGAGTCCAGTCACATGGTATTCCGCCAGTTGAAGCTGGAATGCTGAATATACGGAACCCTAATAGCCCAAATATGAAGTCATGAATGTGTAATGTGAAATGTGATTCGACTTGCAGAATTGCAGTCTTTCTCGACTATTTGACAACGGCCAACACCAAAGCATCGTGACCCATCGCCCCAACAATTTGCATAACCACAGAGTCGACTCTCTTATCCTCTTCTATCTTGAAATAATACCGTAATTCTGGATCGCACTGCATTGAATCCCCGACGCCTCTTCAGCCAAGTTCTTCGCCATCGCCTTTACTCCCTTTCTCTACTCGACTGGCTGTCTTATCGTCGATTACTTCAACTATTATATTCTCAAAGTCTCGGTAAGTATAATCCCTCCGAGGGGCCCTCTGAGGTCGTGAGCTACCTAGCTCGAGACTTGGAAATTCCTCTCCATCGGCTAACATGATCGTATTAAAATGGCTTACTATCGTGGTCTTAGTCGCTACAGGGAAAGAAATCGCCTTTCAGAACTGGTCGAGGGCAGCATATAGTTATCTCTTCTGGAATATTCTGCAAGCAGAACAGAGCTGTATAAGTTAATCTCTTCTCCCAGTCCCTTCTTTCCATAAAGGGACTAGAAATAGAGGAAAGAGGGGGAACAAAAATCATTAAGTACTACATACAAAACCCAAAAAATGAAACCCGCCCTGATACGTGTCCTAGGGCAAGTACATTACCGTTTATCTTGAAACAGCTAGGCCGAGACTCGACAGGAAGCCACAGAACTCTTCTGCCGTTTAATGCTATCCACTGGCAGTTGTCGATAGAGATGTCTGGAGTCGTATGAGGTGGATGCGACGTAGAAATGTCACACCTAGCTTGGATGTAAAGGGCATCTAAGTTGGTGTGGAGATATAAGCCACTATGGGAAAATTGGAGCGTAATGACTTTTTCTTTAACTTCGAGGGTCCGGGTGAGCGCGCCCGTCAACGGGTCCCAGAGCCGCACTGTCTTATCACTAGAGCCGGACGCCAGTAGGCGGCCGTTGGGTGAGAAGGCCACCGATCGAACTGAGCCTGAATGGCCTTCGAGGGTCTGTATGAGCGCGCCCGTCACCGGGTCCCAGAGCCGCACTGTCTTATCACCAGAACCGGATGACAGCAGACGGCCGTCGGGTGAGAAAGCTACCGATCGAACCCAGCCTAATTGGCCTCCGAGGGTCTGGGTGAGCGCGCCCGTCACCGGGTCCCAGAGCCGCACTGTCTGATCATCGGAGCCGGACGCCAGTAGGCGGCCATCAGGCGAGAAGGCCACCGATTGAACAGAGCCAGAATGGCCTTCGAAGGTCTGGGTGAGCGCGCCCGTCACCGGGTCCCAGAGCCGCACTGTATTGTCCTCGGAGCCGGACGCCAGTAGGCGGCTGTCGGGCGAGAAGGCCACCGATTCAACCCAGCTCGAATGGCCTTCGAGGGTATGAGTGAGCGCGCCCGTTGCCGGGTCCCAGAGCCGCACTGTCTGGTCGTTAGAGCTGGATGCCAGCAGATGGCCGTTGGGCGAGAAGGCCACCGATTGAACCCAGCCTGAATGGCCTTCGAGGGTCTCGGTGAGCGCGTCCGTTGGATTCCAGAGCCGCACAACATCATCGGAGCCGGACGCCAGTAGGCGGCCGTCGGGTGAGAAGGCTACTGATTCAAGTGAGCCAGAGTGGCCTTCGAGGGTCCGGGTTAGCGCGCCCGTCGCCAGGTCCCAGAGCCGCACTTTATTGTCCTCGGAGCCTGAAGCCAGTAGGTGGCCGTCGGGTGAGAAGGCTACCGATTCAACCGAGCCAGAATGGCCTTCGAGGGTCCGAGTGAGCGTACCCGTTGCCGGATCCCAGAGCCGCACTGTATCATCGGTACCGGACGCCAGCAGGCGGCCGTCGGGCGAGAAGGCCACCGATTCAACCGAGCCTAAATGGCCTTCGAGGGTCTGGGTGAGCGCGCCCGTTACCGGGTCCCAGAGCCGCACAGTACCATTCTTAGAGCCGGTGCCGGATGCCAGCAGGCGCCCGTCAGGCGAGAAGGCCACCGATCGAACTGGGCCTAAATGGCCTTCGAGGGTCTGGAGGAGCACGCCGGTCACCGGGTCCCAGAGCTGCACTGTCCGATCACTAGAGCCGGACGCCAGTAGGCGGCCGTCAGGCGAGAAGGCCACCGATTGAACCGAACTTGAATGGCCCTTGAGGGTGTGGGTGAGCGCGCCCGTCACCGGGTCCCACAACCGCACTGTCCAATCATTAGAGCCGGACGCCAGTAGGCGGCCTTTGGGCGAGAAGACCACCGATTGAACCGAGCCTGAATGGCCTTCGAGGGTCTGGGTGAGCGCGCCCGTCACTGGGTCCCAGAGCCGCACTGTCCGATCAGTAGAGCCGGACGCTAGCAGCTGGCCGTTGGGTGAGAAGGCCACCGATTGAACCCAGCCTAGATGGCCTTCGAGAGTCTGGGTGAGCGCGCTCCATCCTTCGTCGACTTGTGGTAACTGACATATCCAAGTAGGAAGTGACCGCTTGAAAACTCTACGGATCATCCCGGTTCGGGGTGCAAATACAAGTCCTGCACAATAAACTTGAAGGGGGGCCTGATCAACTATCTGGCGATTCTTCAGAACAAAGCGCTTTGCATCGTGAAGGAAATCCGAAATTAGGGAAGAGTCGTTACCCTAAAGCTGTTAGTGCAAATCATGTATGATCATCTTCCGAACTTACCGATATGGCCGTTTGGAGGCGATCAAGAACAACTGATATTTCTGAGGTAAGGCCTAGCAGGCTCATTGCTTCCACCCAGTGCAAAAAGTGCACCTGGAGAAATAAATAAGCATTGTGCATCATGCTAGACAAGTCCGTGCATTGTAATAGATGATGCGCCCAGTATCGACAGGCATATTTCAGTTCGGGAGGTATATAATGCTGAATCGAATCATCGCTAATTTCATTCCTTTGCATGCCTTCGCTTGGCAGTTTGCAGATGTTTTTCTCTAGTCTGTCCTGCATGATTTGACGGCATCGTTCTGTAAGACGCTGGTTTGTATGCTTTTCATCGATCCAGAATTTGCTTTTCTCTTTGTGGTGATCTAAAAGAAAATCTCGGAATGATAGATGGAGGAGCCTAACGGGTGTGTCGAAATTATTTGGTACACTGAGCACCGAATGGAGCTGGTCTAATCGACATTTGACATCATCTGACTCTCTGCCTATTAGATGGCTAAGGGAATTGATCGAGAGCGGAGTAGTAAGAATAATGATTACCCCGACAATCTCCTTAAATTCTTCGAGTAATTCCCGTGACTCTGTTTCATTCTGGCCAGTGAGAAGTTGCTCTAGCACAGGAATATATGTGCTGTCCATCTTAGACACATAGGTTGATTGGTCTGCCAATATCGCTTTAAGTCGCTTTTGGGGACTCCATTTTGCATCACCAATAAACCGACATACGGTAGCAGCTGCAATGAACAAAGGGACGGCCCTATTAACCAATTCCTTAGTAGCTGCGTCTCCGGGCCAGTCTGGTGGAAGCGAGCGCCTCTGTTTTAGGCGTAGCAATTGATCCTTAAAATATAAGGATATATCATGCTCTATCACTGGCTTTTCAATCTCATGGAGGACCAAATCCTGATGGGCATCGCTGATCTCTTCGAAGCCTAGCCTGATCGGCAACTCAGGTCTGCTTGTTAACAAAAACCGTAGTCGCACGGAAGGTGACTTTCGAACTTGTGGTAAGAGTCGGAGAATAATCCCTATATCGTCTTCTAAGTCGCATTCATCTAGAGCATCAATTAGGATCACTCTTATAGTCTCTTCGCGTTGCTCAATTCCAACTAGTGGATCTAGTAAAAGCTTTTCGAATTGCTCTCTTAACACCTTTTCCGAAATATTAGGGTCATCGTCGATTGCCTTTTGAACTGGAGGCAGCATTTGAGGTATGCAGATGCGGAGTTGATCGGTTAATGTCGGGAACAGATATTTTGCTGTTCCTCTGTCCTCTTCGCCTCTCTGAAAGAAGAAGCTCGCCCCGAGAAGCTGCTGCTCTTGAAGACGGCTTGCAACTGTTTTGGAGATTGTTGATTTCCCTGTCCCTGCCATGCCGTTTAACCAAAATATGCATTTTCCGTGCGGAGATTTTGCCCACTCTTCGATCTCTCGAAGCAGGTTGATTCGGGTCCCCGGGAGACATTCACTATGTTGATTGTCGTAGGAGTCGAATGCTGCTTGTTTTGCAGTGCGTAGTCTGCTGAGGTCTATCTTTCTGTGGATCGAATTGGTAGTTCTCCTAGGTTGACCTTAGAGTTAGCCCTTGAGTTAAGAGATCGGATTAAGGTATGGACCCTACGTTTGATTAACCTGTAAGAACAAAGTAAATGTTGATTTATAGCACTCGAGCTCCTTGATAGCAGTTTCTACCTCCGACCGTGCTAGCGGCCATTTCAAGGCTCGAAGGCCCCATTTCGTCATCCGTTTTTGCGTCGTTTCCGGATTGATCTTCTCTTTTAAATTTGCAAGTGCTGAAGAACAGTTGGTAATATTATGGACCAGGTCTTTCGTAGCAGTAAGATTGTTGCCATCAGATCCACGGATTAGCTCATCGAGGGATTGAAGAACTTCGGTAAGGGCGGTGATCTTCTCTTGAAAGCGCTGAATATCGTGCGTCGCGTTCTTGACGTTATTGAGATATTTTCCACATATTAGCATGATACCTCCGGTTAACTGGATGACTGCGATAACACTTGTCGCACCCGAAAGAGGATCCATGATCAACAAGCCTTCCACGGTATAAATAATATCAAAAGTAAAACGGAATGTCTCGCAAAAGGATTATAGACAAAATTGGAGCCTATGCCCCTCAGGAGGGGTAGGCTTTAACGCGAGGCTAAGAGCAAACTAGACCCTAATTGGCGCTCGCCCAATCCATTGAGCCACATGCCTACCACAAGCGGCCGACCATTTCTGCCCAAGAAGACCCATCCAATCATTGGCCTCGCCAGGAATAACTCAATTGAAAATGAAGCCGGCACTGAATAGAATATTACGAATAAGAGACACTCGAGGGAGCAAAAAGATCAGTGCGGGGGCCTGTGGGTGCGTATTGGGGACTGGCTATAGACCAAGGCGTCCCCCGGAATGATTTCCAGAGGCCCACTATCGGCTTCCATGAAATCCCACACACTCAGGGCATCTTACGGCATCCCCTCAATTTACCTACCTAGGTAGGTAATGCGGCCTGCTCAATGATTGATCTACATACGCTAAGGCCTTGGCGGTGGGGCCAGAAAGAGTGATGATGTATCTGTCTAGCCCATTTTGAGAACGACAGTACAGTAATTTACACTTTGGACTTAAAAACAAATCGGTGTATCCTCGGGCTTAAAGACTGTGGCTGTGATTAAAGAGCATCTACCTAAGTAGGAGATGGATCACTAGCACAAAGCGTATCAATTATAATGCTTGACTTCGATGATATTTTTTTAAATTGATCAGCCCGTCTGACCATATACTTTTGGCATCTCTTCCAACTTTGAGCAGGGACCACCTAATGCGCATTAGCCAGACGATGATAGATGACATGTTGAGTACTTCTCTGGAACCTGAAAACTAAGTGGTGGGTGAACTCGTCTCATTTACTGATATGGTTTTGACGCTATGTATTTGCATTTTAGCTGATCGGGGATCTTTTGTAACCCTTTTTTGAGATGATGCTTCCCCTGAATTTATCATATTCGATGGATTAGTCCATTACTGCGAGAAGACACCGCATCCATTCGTTCCTCAGTCACTTGCCACTGAACCTCCTTGACAATGTGGGACTGACTGTGCGTACTTTCGACATTTTCTGCCAAAGCGATGTCGTCTTGAAGACGGCTGAGCCCCTGCTTGCGACGGCTGCGTGATAGGCCGGTGCTGGAATTGTATTCATGGAAGTAGCGTCGACCGCTTTCGCCGATCCAGGCGGGTGAGTACCGGCGCAGAAATTGGCGAAGGAAGGGGAGGCAGGGACATATGATGATGAGGTTGGCTTCGACGTAGCTGTAGATGTGAAAACGTTGGCTTTGGCTACAATCCAGGTAGGCGAAGTGATACTTACATCCAAAGCTGGGATGGAGCTAACTGGTATGTCAAGTCAGTTGTCTTTAGATAATCGATCAAAGTTGCGAGTCGTAGAATACTCGTGATGAGCGTGCTGTTTCGTAATTAGCGGCTACGCCTATCTTATACCCAGCAATCTTGCCGGATGGATTATGGAGTACTCACGCGCAGCCAACGATGAACATCACGAGAAGTCCAAATTTCTGAATGCGCGGCATTTGTAGGCCTAGCACGAGAGGAACAGGCAACACCATGAGGGCGATGTCGGTGATAATATTTGTCACCGCAGTTGCGATGTACAAGCCACTGCGATTAACGCAATAACCCGTTTTAATGGAACTGTTCCATCCTCTTTCAATCGGATTGCATGCGAAAATCAAGGCGAAGACGATGGCAATGCTGTATCCACAAATGACGGCGGCAATAATGTGAAGGGACCACACATATATGGATTGTCTGTTGACAATGCGGTGGTAGAGAATAATGAGGGCAACTTTGGCGAATGCGAGGGCTGGCACGTAGATGACGGCGGCGGCGAGGATAACCTTGCGACGGAAATGTTAGTCGATTTTGTTTAGTTCATTAATCTCTACAAGTATGTACCTTTTGGAAGACATCGAACATTTCTGGAGTCACGTTCCACATGTGGATTCCTGTTCCGCCAAATCGATACCCGTCTGCAAGTGAAAGTCAGCAAGATAGTGTTGGTGGCATGTGAATAATGGGAGAACATACGTATACACACGACTTGCGTCCCCAAAGAGAATACCTATTAGGATTGTAAGTCGCTGAGACCGCATTGTCATATTGATCTTTCCTACCCAAGCTAAAATCATTGATACTATTCAAGAGAGTTAGCAATGCGCCCAATCTATTGATTCAGAGACATCGACACACCATCGTCCCATCCAAATTTTGATAGCAAGCACACTCGAGTATAAATTCGCATAGCCAAAAAGAGCGTGCTTAGAGTCAACCCAACGCTCACAATGATGATATTTTCCTTGTATTCCCAGGGATTGGAATAGTCGAAATTAAGCGTCTCCCCGGCTGGTACAGGAACCACGCCGACTTTCTCCCCCATGTCGATTGCTATGAAATAATTATGTATGAAGCGAAAAAGAGCGTAGAAATAGGCAAATGTCATGAAGGCAACATCCACTTTAAAATTTGGATGTAGAAATGTGATAATATTCAAAAATTAAGGAGTACTATCTTGATTTTCATATGAAGCCACCATCTTTGGGCCGTTCCTGTGGGCTTCCAAGGTTCAGCTTGTGGTGGAGAGTTTGGCGCTATGGCCCACATTCATACTAGTTGGATCCGGGGTCGGGGAATCCGGGCTATGCGGCTCTAGCGCATCCTTCGGATATGATCAGCGGGTCGTCTTGCGTCGGAGTTCCGCCGAAAGAAATTCTCGCAACACAGTCGCTAATGGCCCGATTATTTAGATCGGCTATTTTTAATGCTAGCACGGCTTTGGAAAAAGGCGTGTTTCCACCCTTCATACGTCCGGGCGTAGTGATAATTTCGGTCGACGATGCAAGTGGGCTATGAGTTGATGTTCTTGCAGTACGGAGAAAAGACCGCATGTAATCAGTTTTCGTGGTGCAAAATACTAGGTGAACATTACATTGGACCCCTAGACGCTCTGCACCTTCGTAGTACGGCAAGAAACAAATTCCTTATCGCATTTGAAACCAGATCGATTAAATGGATTACAATTCATTATATCGAAGAAATTTATCCCAACCCCCATGGTTTCTGAGGGCTGAAATTTAGCCTTCGCAATTATCTACATACCGGCAGGCAACACCGGAAGGCAAGGAAGAGGTGATAGCATCATCGTGCCGAGACCCGGTCAAATGGCCTGCACATGGCGTATTTTTGAGTTCTAATGCTGAAACACAAGAGACTTGTCATGATCCCTGACAATGTATAGTTCAAAATTGGGATCTTAAGCGAACAAAGTGTCGTTCCGACCCGCGGTGGGTCTGAAGGATTCACGCCAGCAGATCTGAATCTCGTTAAGGAGGTCTGAGCATCCCTACCCTCCACGCTATTATGGCTTGTGCATTAGCTTGTAATAGCTTTAAAATAGATGCGTGCGAGATCGGCCTGTCAGCCCGCCGAGGAAATAAGTACCAAAAGGTTAATGCTCCCCTGTCCCGGCACAGGAATATGAGGTGAGACGATTATCCGTGATGCTGTCTCTCAAGATCTTCAATATTGGGGCCTTCTTTGGTCTTGCTGCAGTTGCGCCTACATTTGCGGCATCTGAGAGCGCTTCATGCCGTTGTCTCCCAGAAGATGATTGCTGGCCCTCAGTTTCGACCTGGAACGCCTTCAACCAGTCTGTTGACGGACGTCTTGTCGCCACTGTCCCTCTTGCAACGCCCTGCCATGTCCCCACATACAACGAAAAGACGTGTGCTGCCTTGAAGGAGGGCTGGTTGCTGCCAGAGGAGCAGTAAGTTTCTGGAATCTGGAATCGCGTATATTGTGCGTTGAAAGGGAACTGATCGACTTTCAGCTATGAATCCTCATCTTCTTTCATGGCCCCCTTCTTTACCAATGGAACATGCGATCCATACCACCCCGTTTCCAAGCCATGCACCCTTGGCAACTTTGTCAAATACGCAGTCAATGTCTCTTCGCCCGTCCATGTTGCCAAGACCTTGAAATTCGCCAACAAGCACAACATCCGATTTATCATTCGCAACACTGGTCATGAGTAATACCACCCTTTCAACCGATATATTTGATTTAATAATGACTGAATTTTATCAGCTATATTGGAAAGTCCACTGGTGCTGGCGCTCTTTCGGTCTGGACGCATCACCTTAAGGATATTGAGTTCAAAGACTGGAAGGACGAGCATTACGCCGGAAAGGCTGCTAAGCTCGGTGCCGGTGTGCAGGGAATCGAGGCTTATGAGGCAGCCCGCAAGCTTGGTCTTCGCATGGTAGGTGGGGAGTGCCCTACTGTCGGCATTGCAGGCGGATACAGCCAAGGAGGAGGCCACTCTTCTTTGGCTTCAAAGTACGGACTTGCGGCAGACCAGGTCCTCGAGTGGGAAGTCATCGACGGTACTGGCCGATTCCTCACCGCGAACCGTGACCAAAACAGTGATATTTACTGGGCTCTGACTGGTGGCGGTGGTGGTACCTACGGTGTCGTCTGGTCCATGACCTCCAAGGCTCATCAAGATAGCTATGTGTCTGGTATGAACCTTACTTTTACTACCGATGGTATCTCTGACGACACCTTCTTCAAGGCTGTCGAGCTTTACAATACCCACCTACCCTCCTACGTGGATAAGGGTATCATGAGTCTGAACTTCCTGACCAACAGCTCTTTCTCTATCACCCCCATGACTGCACCCGGCCTTACCTTGACGGAGCTCGAGAGCCTTGTCCAGCCGTTCCGCGATGGACTCGAAAAACTTGGCATCAAGTATGAGGTCTATGGCGAGGAATTTAGCAACTATCTTGACCAATTCAATGCCCAGACCCCGCTCGTCACGATCGCAGTCGCCCAGTATGGTAGCTGGCTTCTTCCCCGCTCCATTGTCGAAAACCCCGAGTCTAGACACGAGCTGACCAAGTCAGCTCGCACTGTTCTTTCCCACGGCGCTACCTTCACAACTGTCGGTATCAAGGTCACGGAGGACGTGACTGGCGACGTTTACAACTCTGTCAATCCGGCGTGGCGCGGCGCAATTGCCCACGTTCTCATGTCTACCCCGTGGGAGTTTAACAAGCCGGAAAAGATGCTCGAGAAACAGAAGCTGATGACCGATATCTTGGTTCCTAGCCTGAGTAACTTGTCTCCTGAGTCGGGAGCCTATCTCAACGAGGTATGCTATGGAATACATATGGAAGTTGTATGAAATCTTGCTAATCTCACCTTTAGGCTGACTTCCGCCAGCCCGACTTCAAAAAGGCTTTCTATGGCGAGAACTACTATAAGCTGCGCGCTATCAAGGCCAAGTACGATCCTCACCATCTCTTCTATGGCTTGACTGCCGTGGGATCAGATGAGTGGACCGTCTCAGAGAGTGGACGCATGTGCCGAAGCTCTCCCCGCCACTGAACAGGGGCGAAATTACAGGTTTTCTTATCTTGCTCACGACTCCTCCTTCGCATGAACTTGGTGAAGCGCTTATTATGTATTGAGATGGGTGCGGATCATGAACCAAGCCGCATCATCGGAAATATATCCCGAGGTGGTGTCTATAGGAAGATTCAGGTTCATTGGAATTCAATCTTCTCCTGGCAGATATAGCGTCACATATCCTCCGAGAAACAAACAACTCAATCAATTAAGTAACAACAGGTTATACTAAATATACCATAGAAACTTAGTTACGACCAAAGAATTATAGTCCATTCCATAGCCCATCTCATAGTCCATAATAGGATGCGATGCCCGAAGGATCGCCTACTATAGCCAGTAAATAGAATTATTCTAACCGGAATTACCTATGCGCTGTATCCAACGTTCTAGAGGTGTGATAAGCAAACATAGTGTTCTCAATCAAAGCTGACAAGATCCAAGACCAGGGATTTACTGAGAGCATATAACTGATAGCGGACTGAGTGTTGTCTGTGGTGAACTGTTAGAGAGGAAAGCCACAGGGTCCTTTTTAACAAACATACTGGCGCAAGATGTTGTCCACGCTGTTATCCTCCACCGTGCCACAATTAACCGACGAGCCATCCAAGCCTCTTGTCTCCTGCCTCTATAGCCTAGATGTATATCAAGCCGGCAGATGGAGATGCTGAACATGCCTCAGCAATCCCAAGTTTTTCTTGTAAATGTGGATACGCATTTGACAGTATGTCTTGTCCTATGGGAGATATGGGAAGAAGGAGTTAGAAAGTACCTCCAGGGCTTTCTCTGAGAAAGAGATCATCCATGGATGGATTCTTACCACTATGCCAGCGATCCTCCAGCTGCAATACACGGTGTAAAAATCACTCGAACTCCAACAACAAAATACAAAGCGGCTGATTAAAGAATTGCCTAGGTACTGGTAAAGCTCTACAAAATATAAAGAGCGAAAAAAATATGGCAGTAAATAAAGAACAAAGTAGAAGAGTTTTCGAACAGAGAATAAATGCGATGAAGAACCTGTCTATTTAAATATATCTCCAATGGATAATAAGGATTTACAGTTCCACAGTAACTATGGCTTATATGTTCATACCACAAACGCTCCTATCGTAATGAGAAATTGCTTCAGCCACTATTCCCATTTTTTCTAGAGATGCCTGGACAGGATAGTCGAATAATGTATGTCGGAATTCATGAACACCCGTGTGTATTCTGTGTTTGATCGAAAGATTCCAGTCGACGAAGGTTTCATGCCATGTGTTTTGAACGATGGGGAAGTGGGTCCGGTTAACACGTGCATTTGCGCCTTTTGCCACGAGGCCGTTCCACTCTTGGGGAAAATTAGTAAATTTCATCATTTTGGTCAGCCTTAGCTTGGAGCAATTCGATTTATTGTCCGTTCCATTGATTGGCAATTGAATTAGGAGAGTGTTTTGGAATACCTTTGAGATTTCCGCATTAGGATGTTTATGACACACACGGTTATTTGTGTATATTGACGACTACTTCAACGAGGTCTGAACACACAAAGCTCTCGCCTACCAGACTTCTAAACTCGGCGAATACTATAAACCAAAAAGTATACAAGATAGTCCGAGTGCTCTCTCACAATTATAAACACGTAATTACATATATACGAGTACGAGCAAGTCTTAGCATTATATTGCGTTTTGATGAATAGGCAACCTAGGAAAATCAGAAGTTGAAACCACAGCAAATCACTTTCCATATTTGAAATCAAATTTCAGAAGCAAATGGAAGGAAGAAAGCGAGAAACGTACTTCGTAGATCTCAGGGGTTGAGTGGAACACCTTAGGCAGAAATTTCAATCCGCATCTTCCGAAATATCAGATCAACGAACCCCTACAGATATAAGGGACTAATGGCATTAATGGAAACATAAGTAAACATTCAAAATGCCTCGAAGGGTACAAAAATCAGTCATTCAACTCAGTTTCTTCCTCGCCATCCTATTCGTTATATTATACCTAAATCGGCCCCAATCAGCGAGCAACAGAATCTTCTCCTGGACCAAAATTCGCTACAAAACTTCCTCCTCCATCATTCCCGAAGCCCGCGGCATATGTCCAGGCCTAGCGGGAACAACCAAACCAGCGCTTATCGTGTCGCACGTGGCTGCCGACGGCGACACCTCGTGGCTGAAACCTCTCTCCGCCCACTACCATCTCTGCATATACAATGTCGACGCCCCAGCAGATAAATCCTCCAAAATCCTGCAAGTGCCCGCCAACCGCGGCCATGAAGCAATGGCTTACTTAACTTTCTTAATCGACAACTATGCCGACATCCCATCTGCAGGCGCCGTCTTTGTCCACGGTACTCGGTTCGCTTGGCACAATGACAGCCCCGATTATGACAATGCGAAGCTCCTGCGCGCACTGGATGTTCGGCGCGCGCTCCAGCCAGCGGGTTACCATAACCTGCGCTGCGACTGGAGCGCCGGGACGTGTCCATCTTCCGTTCCCGCGCAGGGAAGTCTGGAAATGAGGCTTTCGTCTGCGGTCTCACCTTGGAGTGCGCGTGCCGCGTCTGATCTTGCTCTTCCACATGCGCTGGGCCACATCTTTGGTGGGGACGATGAGGCTGTTGCTCAGCGCGTCGTAGAAGACGTCGTGCAGCTTGGTCGCAATGATGCCGTGCGCGCGCAGTGCTGTGCGCAGTTTGCCGTGGCGCAGGAGCGCGTCTGGCAGCATAGTCGGGCGGAGTATATTGCGCTCCGGCAGTGGTTGCTTGATGGGAGCGACGATGGGGTTGCGAGGAATCCACAGGGCGGTTCCAAGGCTGCGCCTGGGGATGATGTTGTTGCTGGGCGGATTGTTTCTTATATTTGGCATATTCTGTTTGCGCGGTATGGGGATGATGGGGGTATTAATCTTGAAGGGTTGAATCGGGATTCTTGCCCTACTGCCGAGGAATGCTATTGCCGGTTGTATGGGAGGTGTACCCTAACCTGTAAGGGTCCGGGTACCTGTAAGGGGCAGTACGCGGTGCCAAAGTATTACAAGCTTCCTGAGGATTGGGAAAAGACGCATTTGTGATTGCATGGGATTGGGCTTTGTATATAAATCGGCATATAGACTGTAAGGTATAGACAAAAATTGGATATCGTGTAATTTCATGGCTTGTTATTTATATACAATTTCGTGAGAAATTTGCTACGTCTAGAATCTGGCAAGAACCCGCTCCTCCGTGTCAGACAGGGCGTACGCAACGCTGTGCTTCTTGCTGACGACAGACTTGGCCTGCTCAGCGGTGAAACCCTTAGCTTCGACAGCCGGGTTGTAACCCAGGCCGTTGATCTTACCAACGACGTCAGAAGGCACAGCGGCGGCAACTTTACCATCAGCGCGCTTGTATACAGTGACTACCACAGCACCGCCAAGACCAAGATTGTGCTGCAATGCCGCGGAGGTACCATCGATCAGACGGTTGTTCGCCCAGCCACGTAGATGCCAGACCAGCTCCGCACACTGGGCAATTCCAGTCGCACCAAGCGGGTGGCCCTTGGAAATGAGACCACCAGACGGGTTGATAACCATCTTGCCGCCGTAGGTGATATCACCACGACGAACCATCTCATGCGCCTTGCCAGGCTCACATAGCTCAAGCGCATCGATGGTGATCATCTCATTGGCAGAGAAGCAATCGTGCAGTTCGCAAACCTTGATATCCTTGACGTTAACGCCGGCCTCAGCGACGGCAGACCGGCAGGCCTGGCGCGACATGCCAAAGCCCATCAGATCAATCGAGCTCTTGTTGTAGACAGTGTCCGTGTCAGTAGCAAGAGTCTGACCCGCGATGAGAATGGCATGCTCCTTCAAGTGGGGTCGTGCGTCAAGGAAGTCCTGCGAGACAATGACAGCGGCGGCACCGCCGTCCGAGGTCGGGCAGCATTGCAGCTTGGTCAGGGGCTCGTGAATCATGGGCGCATTCATGATCTGCTCGTGTGTATACTCGGTTTGGAATTGCGAGTAGGGATTGCGCTTGGAATGCTCGTGGTTGATGCGGGCGATCTCAGCGAAGTCTTCGTTCTTGGCTCCGTACCTGGTTTCCACCTGTTAGCTGGATATCCCTTGATTCAATGTGGGTGAGCGTGCAAGAGTCCACTTACTTCTCTTTATATTCCACGCCGGCATTTCCGAACATCTGCGCAGCCCCAGGGGCGTTCGTCACGCCCCTTGTTTCGGCCATCATCATGCCAAACAATCCCGTGGGATTCTCGCGGTCATTGTACATGGACTGCAAGCTACCAGGGTTCATTTTCTCGAAACCAACAACCAAAACGCAGTCCGCGGCACCGTAGGAGACCATTTGGCGGGCCATGGCGAGACCAGTGGATCCGGTAGAGCAGTTGTTGTTGACATTGTAGATAGGGATGCTGGTTTGGCCGAACTGATAGAAGACGCGCTGGCCACAGGTGCTGTCACCATAGACGTAACAGGCCACACCCTGATCAACATCATCATAGGTGACCTTCGCGTCAAGCATGGCTTTGATGCCAGCCTCGTATCCTAGCTCATGGTAGTCTACTTTGCCGCGCGGCTTGATAAACTTGGTCATGCCTACGCCTAGGACGTAGGCAGGACTCGCTTGCTTCTTACCCATGATTTCTGTGTTGTGTTAAGAATAAAGATATGTGGAGTAAAGTTGAAGGAGATCGTTTTATAAATAGGGCGGTAGAACATGTGGAGGAGCCAGCTCAGTGTGAAATTGCGGGGAGAGGCCGAGGTCCCGAAACCTCGGCTGCACAATTTTGCATAATGTCATTTCTGATATTATTCACCTTAGAGGTCTAAAGATTCCCCTTGATAAATCATGTCGATGAATGAAGAAAAGGAAAACTAAGCACGTGTACTTTTGGTATGTCTCACGTGAATAGACAATTGCCACGGCCTCAATCCCTTAACTCCTTGTTTGCATAGGGAGTATAGCGTCATAAATATATATATCAAGAACAATATTTCCAATGTTCATATTTCATATCTAAATCACCTTCCGTTATTCCAACCTTGGAATGTTCCTGACCAAAGCGGGCATTGACCCTTTGAGCTCTTTACACCATCATCTTTTGCCTGCCTGTATGGCTCCTTTTCTACATAATTTTCTACATCTTTTGCGACCGCTTCTTACCTCTCTAGTGTCCAAACGTGTTATTTTACGTACATATATGGGAATAGCTTTGATTTACTTCGATGAATGTAGGTTTATCAAGTTCCATGGCCATGGAAAGGTGAAGGAGGCTGCGCAGAGCGAGGCTTAGAAACCTTGTAGAAAGTTGTCTCAGACTGGCACGTGTTTGGTCATTCAACTTGTGTTATATTTTCAACTTGTAGTATACCCTGCATTTCATTACCTTCTATGATGAAATGGTCTCCAGGGTAGTCCCACATTCCAAATGGTCTCTTTAAACGGAGAATGGAGGCTGGCCCAGTTGCAAGTGGTCACCGCAATGCCTTGCATGCTACAATATAGCATTAATCTTAGAAACGATTGACCTGACAGCTGTGATGCATAAAGTAACGTTAGATATGCGTATTTTCTAGCTTAATAATCAGCCACTGCTAGGGCGGGCACAAAGCTGCCGGGAAAGCGGATGGTTGCTGAATGATCTGCATATCTCCCAATTAAAAAAGACCCTTAAGACTGGTATCTCAGTTTAAAACAAGGTTGTTTCATCTCATTCCATGGTTTGAATAGAGGTTAGCTAGTTGCAGACGGAGAGCCTTGCGTAGGTCCGATAGGTTACCCCGGAGTACTGTCCTCCACATATGAGTTGGTTTAACTTTGGACCATACCACCACTTCTTTGGATTAACATTTTTTGTCATGGAATTCGACCGGTAATATCATAATGATGCTAAGGCTATCTATCGATATTGTCTTTCCGGGTTTGGCACATATGGATTGTATAAATCATATCAAAGCGTAACTAATTTCACTCGAGGGTCCAATGGTTTGTGCTGAAATAGTGAGATGATGTCTAGATTATATCTATATAAGGCATATCTTAGGTAGTTTCTACTTCATACCCCGTAGTAATCGCTAAGTATTCTTGAAAGGGGTCTATGCAAAAGGAAAGCCATAAGGCAGATCATTCGAAGATAAAAGCTATGAGACATGTATACAAAGCACTACATTTGATACTCATTCCCTTCCGTGACATGGTCCATATAAGTATATAGCTTGTATTTTTCAAACAATATGAATTCAAAATATATCACGAAAGTATGGCCGTAAATGTATGGTGCACGATAAATACGAATGTTCACGACGTCACCCAATTTCACCCTAACCCGCATTGGGACGAGCTCGGTCCACATGCCTGTTTGCTACTCCGTACTTCCCTTCCCTTTCTTAACCTCACATGTGCATGTTTCTGAGTTGATCAGGATCCTGTTGTCTTCGTTGTAAGTGTTTGTCAGATCTCACTATTTATTGTGCTCCACTGTTCCGCCGTTGCGCCGCTGTAACAAAATCACTCTTGGCAGTGACAACACCAAAAATCGATGCTAATGATCACCTCACAGCTCCAGGATTGCTGCCAATAACCCATTGCTGTGAAGAATAGACCTAGGACAAGGCTAAATCACCTGTCTGAAACAGGGAATCCTTGAAATCTATCGCTTGAATCGCTCAATCCCCTGCCATAAACCCCATAGCACCTGTTCGGAAACGCGGGGTTAATCCATTGCCGGGGCCGTTCAGCTGCTTCGGCCACGAAAAACGATCCGATATCCCTCAACCGCCAATACAGAACCAAACGTGATCCCTTTCACTGCGAGAACCTCCCGGGGGTGTTTTTAGCGGACTGAACATATAACTGGGTTGGTCGGGCCCATTTAATGGAAAATTGTGGGACGCCGAACGGTCTACTCGGGCTCTGAGAGACCGCTTTGCGTTCCATCGGGTTCCCCAGCCTGCAAGTACAAACGTCCAACCAGAATACACGTTCTGTCGGGACTTCAAGAACCAGTCATAGTTCTCTTCCCCCAACGCCAATGGAGAACGTTCAAGTATGACTATTGATAAACGATCTGAACATGCGCCAATTCCCTCGACTACTCCAATAAGATCAACTAGTATGCCAGACCGCGCTTGGAATATGGATGATGCAACGCGCAATCGACTTCTCAAAAAGTACAAAACACAGGTAGCCTCGGCAACGTCAACCGTTTGCGCGACGCTCTCGGTGGTGAGTGCTCTTTGATGTGGGGGTTTGCAGCCTCCAAAGTCTTTGCCGGGTCCTAGTGGTCGCAATGCTGATTGATATGATCTACACAGACCCCTTTGGAGAATATCAAGACTCGAATGCAGACGTAAGAATTCTCCATACCTTATGAAGTAGGAAAAATGCGCTAATTGAATCCGAAGACACAACTTTAAGAATGTCTGGCAATGTGTTCGCTATCTCTGGCGCACCGAAGGGCCTCGGGGTTATGTAGCTGGTGAGTTAACCTATCTGAATCGTACGTATGCACGGTAAACTGACCGTACAGGTGCGCTTCCACCTTTGGCAAGTGTAACGGCGGTCCGGGTCGTCAATTTTACCACATACAACGCCTTCAAGGAAATCATTTCAGATAATGTCGAACGCGCCACTGGGTTCAACCCCCTCACCGATTATCAACGGGCTGGGAGCATGCCCTCCGTGTCGGGGGTGATGACCTTTACTGCCGCAGGCATGATCGCTGGTTTGGTATCCTCGCCTCTTGCTTGTAAGTATTGGTCTCATATTTGGTTGGCACCCAACAAAACGTCCTAACATTGAAGCAGGTCCTTTCGAATTAGCGAAGAACGTCGTTCAGACTTCCGTTTTGGTATCAAATCGCGCAATGGCTGCTCCAGATGCTGCGCGGGACAGTTCCCTGCGCCACAAGCCCCGTCTGGGTACCATTGAAGCCATCAATCAGATTGTCAAGCGACATGGACTCCGAGGTCTATATACCGGCTTCCGCCTACATGCTATGCGTGATACGCTGGGCACCGGTGTTTATTTTAGCGTCTATGAGACCGCAAAGCAAGTAGCGGCGAAGGAGTTGGGCCAGGACAAGAATCCATTTGGAGCCCCAATGATTGCCGGTGCAATTTGCAGCACTGTACCTTGGTTCTGCGTATGTGATATGCTTATGCTTCCGACTGGGGGGATTCATGCGCTGACCTTTTGACCACAGACGTACCCCCTCGATACCCGCAAGACTCGTGCCCAAAGTGTTCTGCTTGGAAAAACCAGCGAGATTGGCCAGGCTTCACAAGCCGTCGCCAAATCCAGCATGTACAAGGGTTTGTCTATCATTCTCATCCGGACCGGCGTCAACAACATGATTTTGCTCAGCATTTTTGAATATATTAAGATGCGAATTGATGAGCTTCCGAATTAAACTCACAGGGCCCGGCCACGATGATGGCTACGGCGCTCCACTGAACATTTTGTGTCATCTATGTGTTTCTAACAGGTGTTTCTTCATACTCATTATCCACGTACATACATGGGTGAGCTTAAGCTCAGCAAATATCAGAATGGATTTAACTTGAAAATCTGCGAATGTATAGAGTAGAAATCATCTCTGCCTGAGGCCAACAACACGTCACTCCCGTTGCCCGGCGGGGGAGCAACTTCTCGTCCGTCAAAACAAACCAAGTCTTCCGCAACCCCGCCTCAAGCGACAATGGCGTCGTGAGTATTCCCCAGAGGCAAACAGCCTTTGAGAAATCTTTCTTTCGATTCAAAATGCTAATTTGAATCCCTATAGTAATATTCTCCAGCTCCCGTTCCGGCGCTCTCACACCGTCTCGCTGTCCGATGCAATCACCCAATACATTTCTTCCAAATATGATCAGCGCCCGGATATGTTCGCGGAGGATCTGATGATCATTGATCGTCTAAGATCTGAGGCTATCAATGTCCAGGAACCGCATTTTAGCGGGGTCACTCGCTTGGTTACATATGCGGCACAGCTGAAATGGTTGGGTGGGAAGTTTCCAATCGATGTGCGCTGTCTTCCTTTATGGGCTTGGGGTTTATCTTGGGGACTGAAGCTGATGGATCATGTTTCTAGGTTGGAGTGGAATTCTCCTGGTATCCTGCGTTTGGCTTTAATGCTTCGCGGCCAAGTAAGTTGCTCTTTGGGCCCAGACCTCCGTGTCTGAGCATTTGAGATGGATATATACATTCTACTAACTGAGTGTCCCTTGCATTTTAGTCTTGCAGAATAACCTCCGTTTCGAATTAGCGAATATCATATTCAACCTCGCTGCCTTATACTCGCAACTTGCGTATGCGACCAACCGTACTACGTCAGATGGACTCAAGCAGGCGTGTAACTACCTCTGCTCAGCCGCTGGAGTATTGAGTCATCTGCGAACCGATATCATCCCGGACCTGCGCGCCTCGCCGCCGGAGGACATGGACGACGCGACACTGCAGAGCTTGGAAATGCTGCTGCTTGGACAAGGCCAAGAATGCTTCTGGCAGAAGGCCGTCAAAGATGGACTTAAAGACGTTTCTATCGCAAAGCTGGCTGCCAAGGTATCTGACTTTTATGGGGATGCAGGTGACTTGGCCGTGAAGTCTAATGCGATCAGCACCGACTGGATCCATCATATGACTGCAAAGCACCATCACTTTGCGGCAGCGGCGCAGTTCCGACAGTCGCTTGACTGTTTGGAGAAGCGGAAGTATGGAGAGGAGGTTGCGCGGCTGCGTGATAGTTTGCTTTGCGTCAATGAAGGTCTGAAAGAACAGCGCTGGATTAACCGCACTGTTCTCGGCGACTTAAATGGACTGAAGAGCCGTGTTGCAGAGGACTTGAAGCGTGCCGAGAAGGATAATGATGTTATCTATCTGAGCCCCGTGCCGCCGAAATCAGAACTTAAGACGATTGAACGTGCTAGCATGGTGCTTGCGAGAGCGCCTTCCCAAGTCACGGATGCTGTGTCTATGCTCGGCGATAACGGTCCACTGGGCCAGCCGCTGTTTTCGAAATTGGTACCGTATGCGGTTCACATTGCGGCTAGCATTTATACCGACCGTCGTGACCGACTGGTCAATGAAACTCTCATCGGAGAGTTGGAGTCGATGACGGACAAGCTACGGGAGTATGTTCTTGAAAACCGACCACGCTGCTTTTCAGAATGTTTGCTAATCTCAATGTTCAGCTTACTTTCGTCGCTAAATCTACCAGGATCCCTTCAAGCCCTCGAAAAACCACTCGGTCTCCCGCCAACGCTCGTTTCACATGCCGAGGAAATGCGACAACAGGATGGCTTGAACCGGTTACACCGGTGTATTGAAGACACCGCCAAAGTCAAAGGTAATGACATGGCCGTTTACAACGAAGGTGTCGAGCTCCTAGCGGCCGAGAAAGCAGAAGACCTCGCCGCTCGTAATAAATACGGCACCGATCGCTGGACCCGCGAAACATCGGAATCAGCTGCGCCTAAGCTGTACAAAACCTTGAATGAGATCAGCGGCTATTTCACTTCTGCCCAGAGCAGCGACGATCTCGTACAGCGTAAGCTGCGAGATTTTCGATCGATCTTCCTCGTTCTTACCGGCACAAATCGGGATTTGGAATCTTATGTGCCCAGTAGTCGGAGGGCTGCTATTCCGGTCGAGGTTGAACGCGAGTCAAATCGACTGCGCGGCTGCTTGAGTGAAGTGACGCGAATGGAGAACCGCCGACGGCGACGCATCCAGACGCTGAAGGATAAAGCTCGCGGGGACGATATCCGTATGTATACTTTATCTTTACTTGGCTCTTACGGATGCTAATCCATTTTTATAGACCCGGCGCTTCTGAGACAGACCGCTCGGCTTGAACGAGAATTCCCAATGCAGGCCATTCAGGCCAGTCAGTTTGAGGAATTATTCGAAGAGGAGCTCAAGCTGTATGATACCGACCGCGAGATGCTTGCTCAAGAGCGCAGAGATCAGGACCATCTTTCGGACCAGGTCCGAGAAGCAAATCGCGCTTTCACTGGTGCTCGTACGGGCGATGCGTCCACAAAGGAACGCGAGACTGCCCTGCAAGATTTAGAAAATGGATACTTGAAGTATAAGGAGATTATCTCCAACATCGATGTTGGGAGAAAGTTCTACAATGATCTTGCGAAGATCGTCGGCCGCTTTCGTGATGACGCAAAATCATTTGTTCACCAGCGTCGCATGGAGGCCAGCCAACTGGAAACGTATGTCAGCGCACTCGAACACGAATATGAGTATCCAGATCCAAGAATACCTGACACTGACTCCCACCGCAGAGATATCTCTAACGCCGCAGCAATGGCCTCATTACACATCTCCCAACCTCATCTCCGCCAACAGCCTCAACAACCAGCTCGTACACACCACTCACCATCCCCCTACTCGGCTGCTCCCCCCTCACAGCCACCCACACAACCTCTGCCGCCCATCCACGCCCCACGGCCAGTCGAGACTGCACCCCCTCTCACAGCACCGCAACCAGTGCGCGCGCCTGTCGCCCCGCCGCCGGTCTCCCCGTCAGCAATGCCGGGCGGCATGCCAGGCATGTGGGCCCCTGAAATGGGGATTCGGTTCGGCGCCGCTGCTATCCCTCCAGGCGCTGCACCCGCTGCGCCCACTGCACCCGCACCGGCGCCGAATCAGCCCACTCGTGCTCCCCAGCACGGCACCTGGGATCCTAGCCAGGGACTGCGTTTCTCCTGACTTCGTAGCATGACCCAATATATCACAGAGCCAACACTTTTGTACATACTTTAGAGCTGGGTGCTTACTTGTCTTGCTGCATAATATACGGAGGCCCATCGGTGTAAGCATTGCCTAATGTCTACTGCATATATGATTGTCACAAATCGAAAACATTGTGGCTAAATCCAGTTCATCAATGTTAGTGAGTGTTCGTTGACATATTCTTTCCGGCTATGGTAATTGCTAAAGAATTCCGAGGTCATAAAGACATAAGTTATTACTATCACCAAGTGAGGGAATGTAGAAGGTCGCACGATAGCTGCGATGGAATCCTCAAGCAGTATATCCAAATTAATTAGAAGTATAAGTTGAACACTTTGATACCTCCTCTTTTACCGCTTGCCGTCCACTATTATATAAGCCGTCCTTCCGATTTTGTCGCACATGCCGTAAAGAGCGTGGCATCCAAGTCCCCATCACCATTCTCATCCCAACGGATTGCAAAGGCCTGGTCCCCAATGACAAATGTCTAGGAAGACCACACAACCTTTCCCATAACCCAAAATTATATTACTAAAGCTATCACCGACATTCAGAGCACTCTTTTCTCATGTTAGGGTATGATACATGCAGTCATAAAATTACATCATTCAGCTGGTATAGCCATGAGCGAGCTGTTTGAAATCAAAACGAAGAGGCTGCACTGATGCACCGCTGCCTGTTGCAATAGATGGGGACAAACATCCAAATTGTTGTTCATTGGTCCAACCAAAATCAACTTTTCATCTTCGCCGGATGAGCGCCAATAGACCCATGAGCGCTAGCGGGCACCGTTAATTTTCACAGAAACTGCTGCGTTGGAGTCCTTTAGTGACCCATTGACGTTAACGTAGCCATTCACATGGCCATTGAGACCATTTGCTTTCAGAGCGTGAACTTCAGGCTCGATCTCAGACTCATTTGTCTCAGAGCGATCGTCCTTCTTTTCACCGGTAGCTAGGAACCTGAAAGCACTGCGCAGTAAGCAGTACAGCCAGAACAAGTTCAGAGCTTGAAGAACAGCCAGCAAGGAGAAGGTGATGATGTTCGAGATCCAGCATTTGTACTGCTGCGTTTCCCAGTTGAGTTCGTAGGGTCCGACGGTGCGGAACTCAGTGAGCAGGGAGTAGAGGATGCGCAGATTTAGTACATGACGGAGATAGATCCAGGAGCCGATCGAGGCTGCGTAAAAGGGGATCAAAATATCCGGGGCGTAGTAGTGGAGGGATTTCGAGACCTAGTAGAGATTTAGCATGTCGAAACAGAGGGCGGATTGAGGGAAATAACCTTACAGCAAGGAAGAAATCACTGATATCATGTGTGATATAAACAGCAATGCCCATATATGTGAAATGGAACCTGTAACTTAGAGCAATAAGAGCCAAAGTCACAATGTGATGCGTAACAAGCTCCTTAAAGTCCTTCCTCGGCTTCTCCATTCCCAACAACATAACAATCGCTTGCTGAGCCCAGTACGCTGCCTCAAGCAAGTAATAGAACTTGAATTCAGCTGCATGAGTTCGATGCGGGAATGATTCATACATGCCATGTGTATTGAAGTACCAAACCGGCGTCTGACGCATAACATACAGACCTGCCGGACCGAGAACACCGAAGTAAATAGCGGTGTACGCCTGCTCCATGAACCGCGACTGCTTGCCACGAGATTTGATGCGCAGTTTCGCTAAAGGGCGCAGAATCTCTTGCATTATGAATTCCCGTGTGAAAGATAGCACAATCACATAGAAGGACACGAACGCTACATCCCACAGACCCTTTCCATACTGGGTAGGGAGGGTGGGATCATCGCTTTCCTGTTTATAGGAAAGGAATACAAAATGATGGAGGATGTTAGACTCGGATGGATTCTGAGCATATAGAGAGAGAATCGCGAGCACGAGAGCTAAGGGGAGTGACCACGTGTGCTTAACCGCGAAGCGCTTACAGCGGCGGAGGAGAGAGCGCTTTTTGCGTTTTGGATCTTTGACTTGACGGTTTCCAATTGTTGGGGATTCGGACACGTTGAGTCTACGCCTCAGGCCTTCTTTGGTCATTGTTGGTGGTTTGTGGACCCCATTTAAGGGTGAAGGGCTAATGGCCATGTTTTAGATGTGAGGCTGAGATGGAAAATTAGACTGAGCTAAAGAATCAGAGATAATAAGAACTGTTAGCGGCGCTAATCGCGCCCCTTTTTCATTGGACTTCATAACTCGTCGTCGTGGCTTTTCCCCTTTGGGTTAGCACATCGTGTGTTGGAATATCGGGTTTAGCGTCGGGGCTCGGAGTCCCGCTTCCGATTCTATACTTGATAGTCGGGAAAGATTGCATATAAATGGGATACAATGCTTCATTTAAGAGTGTTTCGTAGATTAAAATGAAGCCTTTAAACCCATGTCATCGGAATCTGTGTAAATTACGACCGATTGTTACCTACGTAAGTACGTCATTGGCCAAATCACATACACAATTTGAACTCGCCTTTGTTTTTGGTGTCCACATACCTCTAAAATTTGGGTCTCACGCTATTTTGACGTGCGCTTTTTAGTGTAACCTGGGGTCCTACTACCGGTTTTTAATGTAACACAGGAAGAAAGCAAGGGCAAGATGATCTTTTAGGACGCGAGTGACGGTCTCACATACTACAACCCCTCATATGCAGTGTAACAAATATGCTACTGGCTAAATCAACACACCAATTATCTATGACGTTAATCTTGAACGTTCGTAAACTGTTTGTCGTACAGTATCTGATACCCATTCCAAATTCTTTCTCAAAACTTGCTTTCACTGTCGCAGGCCACAATAGGAAATTTCGTGATCTTATGACCTGAGGAACTTATCGAGGTCATCATTGGCTGTTCAGCGATGCATAAATGGCTATATCGGGATCCTTGGTGTGATCGGTAACAAGCCAGAAAAAGCTATTGGATGGCACGAGGCGATATAGTCCTCGATTTGAGATCAACCTTCCTTGACCAACAAATGAAATGTTCTGGAAATATGTATGCTCTGAAAAGGCAAAATTTGGATATACACAGGTATGCTCCAAGAATGACACATTTCTGCATTTTTCTAACTGCGGTAGGAGCGATGCAAAAGGCGATCGACATGTTAGAAGCAAGAGACAATACTTAAAGAAGGTTGAGCCTTTGAAGGGACCAGAAAATCCTGAATCCAACCTTTCTACTTCAAGTTATAACAAATCAAGACTGAAATTCAACAATACATTATGGGCTCGACAGAAGTCACTGGCCCGCTCCTTACCCAGCTGCTAGATGAGCAGGCAGAAGAAATACCAGAACAGCTGTATTGCATTCATCCAATATCACAAGATTCCGACCAAGGATGGCATCATATAACTACGAAAGACATGGCCAGGGCAGTTGATCGCCTGGCTTGGTGGATCGAAAAGAAACTTGGTGCAAAGGGAGAGAAGCATGTGTTAGCTTATATCGGCACAAACGACTTGCGGTACGCAACCTTTATACTGGCCTGTATGAAAACCGGCCATGCAGTAAGTAGTATATGCTCCAATCTGAAGAACGTGTGATATGAAGTGATAAGCTAACGGTTCCAACTAGGCCTTACTGCTTTCGACAAGGAACTCCCAAGTAGCAAACCAACAGTTACTGAGAACCACAAAATGTTCAGTTCTGGTGGATGGCTCTGAGAGAGCGAATCTCCGCAATAGGATGAATGAACTCCATAAATATTGCCCAGAGATAGAAAGGTGGCATATGGATCCCATTTGGGACATTTTCTCTGCCGACTCTGTCCAACGCTACCCCCAAAAAGAGCCGTTCGATGAGATCGAAGATCGGACCGCTGTTATAATCCATAGCTCAGGAACAACCGGTCTCCCAAAGCCTGTTCGCATCAGCCACGGATATCTAGCCACGTTATTTTACATGCAAGAATTGCCTGTACCCGAAGGCCGTGAGACTACACAACTCTTCATCCACGAGAAGGGACACCTTCGTTTCCAATCCTCGCCAATGTTTCATTTCATGGGCCTTGTCTGTATATCAGAATGCATTTTCTTTCGAACCCCATTTCTCCTCGCGCCAGACAGGCCCTTGACGACTGACTTATTCTCCCAAATTATGTCATTGGAAAATCCGCCAAAATGGGGATTGATCGCGCCTTTTATATTGGAACAGCTTTGTGCGTCTGAAAAGGGCAGAAAGGCATTGTCGAAACTCTCCTCTGTCAACTTCGGGAGCGCTCCGCTCTCAGCTGATGCTGGGAAAACACTTTCAAGCTTGGTTCAGTTGCAGCAACTGTTTGGGAGCAGCGAGACTGGTTATGCGGCGAATTTGCGATGCGAGGATCCAGAGGACTGGAATTATCTGGAATGGGTTCCCGCATTCGGGACGAGGATGGATGACGCGGGCGATGGGTTATTCGAGCTGGTGCTAACTCGGACGAAATCGCGCCGTTGCCATGGGATCTTCCATACTGATCCTGATTTGACCGAGTATAAAACGGGGGATTTGTTTCGAGCGCATGATTCCAAGTCTGGATTGTGGCTTTACCAAGGTCGCGGTGACGACATCATTGTATTGACGAATGGGGAGAAGTTCAACCCTACTGAAGCCGAGAAAGTAATCGAATCTCACTCCTTGGTCAATCACGCGGCTATTCTCGGTCAAGACAAATTCCAGCCATCGCTGCTCGTTGAACCCAACTGGAGAGACTTGCCGGATGATTGGACAATTGAATGGCTGCAGCAAGCTTTACAGTCAAAGATTGACGATGCAAATGCTCTCTTACCAGGTCATGGAAAAATATTTCACAGTCATGTTGCGTTTGCATCTGAGGATAAGCCGTTCGCACTGTCGCCCAAGGGAACACTCCGTCGTCGAGAAATCACAAAAACATATGAATTTGTGATTGATCAACTGTATACTCATGATAATCAGTCTGCTAAAGGCCTTTCTGAGGCCCAAATTCCAAAGTTGGGGGGATCAAGTCTCAATGAAATCGAACAATGGATCCAAGATGTAATTTCGAACATCATCTCCTTGAAAACTGTCAATCTCGATGATGAGGTTGTGGCACTAGGAATGGATTCTCTTCAAGTGGTCCGACTGATCCAAGTCCTGCAGGATACGGTTGATGCAATGAAAGCCCCAACTGATCAACGGTGGACAAATGCGCTCATTTATGATCTTCAAACGCCACGGCGAATCGCAAATTCACTTCATCACCAACTCAATGGAGCCACCGCGGGGAGTGACGAAGCAGAACCGCACCAAAATGCCGTGTCACGAGAAAATATGTTAGTCAGATATACCTGGGAGCAATCTCAATACCTCAGCTGCGGAGGAACAAGAGTCATATTGACCGGGTCAACTGGTGAGCTCGGAAGCTTCCTGTTAGACAGATTGCTACGTGACCCATCAATCACTCAAATAACTTGCCTAAATCGCTCGGCGGATGCCGCCGAAAGACAGTTGCAAAGTTTCCGGCAGAAGCAACTATCCAGCTTCTGGCTCACCGATACCACACGTGTAACATTCAAACAGGCCAAACTGCACGAGCCGCATCTCGGCCTTGATCCGAACACATACAAGAGACTGGAGAAGGATACCTCCGTCATTATCCACAATGCTTGGCCGGTAAACTTCAACCAAAATCTCGCGAGCTTTGAGCCACATCTTGCTGGTGTTCGAAGACTTTTGAACCTTGCCGAGCATTCGGCTCTTCAACCAGAATTCCATTTTGTGTCGTCTATCTCGACAGTGGCCGCTCAGTCCGGCGATGCAGGACAGCGTATTTTGGAGAGACCTCAAGACCCTTCCAGTGTTCTTCCGCAAGGGTACGCCGAGTCCAAATTTGTGGCGGAGCGTCTTTGTGAGATTTCCAGTAAACGGAGTGGAGCTAAGATTGCTATTCACCGTGTTGGTCAACTTAGTGGTCCTTCAAGTCTCTCAGCTGGCATGTGGAACATGCGAGATTGGTTTCCGTCTCTTGTACGGTCTTCATTGACGATGGAAAAGTTGCCGGATAGTTTAGGGTCAATGCAGGTGGACTGGCTTCCAATCGTAAGTTTGGCTCTGATTTGATCCCTCAGGTCAAACATTCGACTAACGTGATTCTAGGACACTGCCGCCCAGATTATTTCACAAATAATTGATACTCGAAGGGCTAACCAGGCTTCGCCGTTCACAGTGTATCATATCACGAATCCAAATGCCGTCGAATGGATGAGTATCGCGCCTTTAGTGGCCAAAGCATGCCGCGCAGAATTGGTGCCATTAAATGAATGGCTGCAGAGTGTGAAAAGCCGCGCATTTGGATCCGAGTCCGATGGAACTGATCTGCATGATCTACCAGCAACACAGCTTCTGGACTTCTTCACCGGACTGGCCAGTGCCAACAACCGAGCTCCACCACCGATAGATGTGAGCAACTCGACGCGCGAGTCGGAGACGCTGGCTGTACTGGGATCAGTAGGCCCGGAGTTGATGAAGATTTGGTTGAAACAATGGAAAGATCGGATGCCGGGGCTAGCTCTCGAGGAGCTGGACGGAGCAATGTGACAGGGATGGGAGTTTAGCTATGTGGTATTTAGTCTCTGACTCGAGACTGCAGTCCGGTATATTGGATGAAGTCGGGGCGGATTGGATGAAGTCGGGGTGGATTGGATCAAGTCGGGGTAGATTGGATGCGCAGCCGACTCCAATTCCAAGATTCCAATTAGGCTTTATGCATATGTGCTTTTGATAAGAAAGTACGCAGCTATAAATATGAACCAATATACTGGGTTGGATAGAAAAGCTTGGCCACCGGTATCTGGTCTTATTTTAGTCTTCGAGTGTCTTGGTACTACTTTCTAGGTCATCCTCCTTATCTTTATTTCATTACCATCACAAAGTACACTAGGCCTTATCAACCCTTTCATTTTACTTCATTATGGTTGCGCCACCACGTTACTATGATCTTTCTGAGTACATCTGTTCCGAAATTTTATTGATCTTCATTCGTCATTTGCGTATCAAAACTTCTTATTATTCTATATCTTTAGCATTGAGTATTGGAAAGTGTAGCCCTTGATCCAAATCAATGTGTTGAATTTGGTCGGAATGTAACTGTATGCTGGCGAGATCAGATCACTGTCGGCTCAACAAACCAGTTTTTCGCTATAGGACAGCCGACAGAATCTCCAAGGGCATAAAACATGTCCTAATCGTAATCAGGACACGACTGATTGCGAATATCGCACTATCATGTCGAAATTGCATGCAATTCTTCGGAGGAGATGCCCTGTGGGCCATTAATGCGCCAGAAAGGCGTCAAATGACGCCAATGGTGGATGATGTTACATACATGACATGCGGGACAAATGCGTCTACGTTAAACGTCGAGTTTCCGCCCTTGTGGTGATTCTAAGCAAAGACCTTTTTTCTCTGCTCATCGCTATTCGAAGGACGAGAATTGGCACGGTCGCAAAGGTATCATTCCGAGAAAAAGCGCCAATTGCGCTCAGTATGGGTATGTATTGAACATTGGATATATGCATGCGCTCTTTTTGGACTTTCTAATTTGGAACCTGTAGCCGTAACGAATTCTGGCATTGAGAATCACTCCGATGTGGTCGTGGAGTCATCTCTTATTGTGACAAACGACTCCAAACATTTCCAGAAATGGGAGCGCGAAGTGACTTCAGACGATGAATATCCGCTTCCCACGGTAGAGGAAGGCAAAACACTTCGCAAGGTTGCAGGTTCTTTGCCAATGGTTTCGTTCGCTTTGTGTCTTGTTGAATTCGCTGAGCGCGCATCCTACTACGGTGCCAAAGCTGTTTTCAGCAACTTCATTCAGTTTCCACTCCCCGAAGGTATTTATTTCTCGAACGCAATGGCTTGTGAAATCTACTAATGCGATCAAAGGTGGCAATGGAGCGGGTGCTCCCCCACGGGGCACTCAGAAGACAGCTGGCGCCTTGGGGATGGGCCTACAAGCGTCGTCCGGACTAACACTGTTGTTCCTCTTTCTTTCATACGTGATCCCAATTTTTGGTGGTTGGTGGGCCGATGTACATGTCGGTAGATATAAGGCAATCTGTGTGGGCGTCCTGATTTGCGGAGTTGCTCATGTTATTCAAGTTTTCGGTGCTATTCCCTCTGTTCTCCAGAAGGGCACAGCTCACGCCGCTCCACCATTCATCATTGGGCTAATTCTTCTGTCTTTTGGCGCGGGTATATTCAAGCCTAACGTTTCACCTTTGATCCTCGATCAGAATCCCCACAAGAAAGCTTATACTAAAACGCTGAAGTCTGGAGAAAAGGTCATCGTGGATCCCGAAGCTACGACAAACAGAATCATGCTTCTCTTTTATGGCTTCGTGAATCTCGGTGCATTCTTTGTGCTTGCGACTACATACTCCGAGAAATATGTTGGATTCTGGCTCTCCTTTTTGCTGGCAGGCCTTATCTATCTCTTGCTACCTATTCTTCTGCTGGTTATGTATAAGAGAACATATAAAAGGCCACCGGCTGGGAGCTCAGAGGTTTCCCAGGCCTTCAAAATTCTCGGCACTGCTCTTCGTCTGAGCAATTTTCAATTCTGGCGCGAGGACTTCTGGGACATGGTAACGTCCGCCAGCCTTCAGAAGAAAGGAATCACTGCGAGCTGGACAGATAAGAACGTCAAGGATGTTGCCAGAACAGTCGGTATGTTGCATTCACTTTTCAAAGTCTTTATATTGCTTCGATATCCTAATGCATTGTAGCTGCTTGCGATATTTTCTGGTTCTACCCAATCTGGAACCTCAACGACGGCGGCATCGGATCCGTATCGACGAACCAAGGCGCTTCAATGACCACCAACGGCGCACCAAACGATGTTCTGGGCAATTTCAACGCCTTGACAATCATATTCACCGTTCCAATCCTTACTTTCGTGATTTACCCCACACTCCGTCGCTACAAAATCAACTTCGGCCCAATCAGCCGAATCACATTCGGCTTTGTCCTAGCAACCCTTGCCGGCCTCGCTGGTGCTCTAGTTCAGTGGCGAGTCTACTCGCTGTCTCCTTGTGGCAACCGAGCATCGACTTGTGATGAGGTCGCCGCGATCAGCATCTGGTGGCAGCTTGCCAATACTATTTTGAGTGCTTTAAGTGAATGTTTCTGCAATGTCACTGCTTATGAGCTCGCTTACGCACGTGCCCCGGATGGCATGAAGGGTCTGGTAGTAGCTTTTTTCCTCTTTATGAATGCTTTGTCGAGTGCAATTGGTGAGATTTTGCTGCCGGCGACTGCTGATCCGTGGTTGGTCTGGATTTGGGGTGCGCCAGCTGTGGCGCTTGCTTTGCAGACTATCATTTTCTGGTTCAGATTCAAGCACCTAAACAATGAATCCTGGACAGGAGAAGAGGATGATACCATTCTCGTGACCCAGAGGGAAGAAAAAGCGTAATTCAATCGACAATCAGTTATACTTGCGAGCTCGCCACAGTGTGCAGCATGCATATCGGTTGAGCTATTCAATTATATTGCGTACGTCAATGAACAAAACAATATCTCCTTCTCATCCGCTTTATATCCTATGAAAGTTAGAGTTCCTTATATCTCTTTTGACGTCTCTTTTACTTGTTATCATGCTTCTGTTCAGAGTACAAAGGTGCCATTCTACGCAAAAATAGTATTAATGTGGACTCCTCCATATATGATTTATTTGAACTTGTGAGTTTTGATTCACCAAGTTCCATCGCTACGAAAAGGTGAAGGAGGTTGCGCAGGGTGCCGTCAGCAAATTTTCGAATAATGATTTGTACAATGCTATCAATTACGGATTTCCAGATCATCACGCGCTGTCGATGCCCTCCCCCGATGACAAAGAAGTAGAGCCAAATTGAGCGAGGCATTCCAGGGGGTCATCTTGCTAATAACATCCGCAGCAGCGAAAAGAACATGGTTTGTCTCAGAGGTGTTCTTTCTGGAGTTTCCTTGTTGGTCAGGACCTCCAGCAAGAGCCTCCTTGACTGCAGAAAAGAACCCTTCGCAAACCCCAAAGCCTTCCAGCCGCGCACGCAACGACTCAATCTTGCTAAGGTTTGCACAACGGACAATAGTCCAAACGAACACCTCACTGAGAAAGCAGGCTATTATTTCAGGAGGCTGTATCGTCCTTGATGATGTGTTATACTCCACGCTGGGCTGTACCCGAAGATCGGCAATGATTAGAAGACAGTGCATGAACATCGATATTGTCTCTTCAGGATGTGCTTCAAGCATACCGCCTATCATCTTCATAGCGGGAGATATAGCCGAGGCACCTGATTTTCCAAGTGCGTTTTGAAGGTCAAGAAGAGGTATATAAAGCATAAGACGTGAGAGCCGGAGATGGACCAGTGATGTTTTGTGGAAGTGCTTCGATGTTTCGTAAACTGTACCGTCGGGTGGGGGAGAACATGCATAAGCCTGATCCCAGGCTGATAGCATTTCTTCTGTCTGGTTAGAGAGATGTTGACAAGGGTCACAAATATGAATAGGGAGATTCATGACATACTTTCAACACACGCCTTTCGCTTAGCGAGCGACTGAATAACTTCCACTTCGGGTACCGAAGGCTTCGAACCTGGAACCCGCAATGAAGAGCATCTTGTCACCAAATGCCTGTAATGAGGTTGAATTTCGGGGCTTATGTGGATGTTCAAACCATTATCCAGAACTTGTGAAGGACTGTTCGTCATCTCCCCGGGTGACTGCCACATTTCAGAATCAAGAGTCGCTTCTGAAACCATAGTGATCTGCTGAGACAGCTCAAATATTTGCACCATGATCGTAATGAGCACCAGATAACGAGTCCATGAGTTTAGTCCAATTAAAGAAGAAACAGAAGTCTTTCCCTGTTTTTCGGGTGACTCGCTATCTGCAGGATAGCCTAAGTTCAACGGTCCCAGAAATGGGCTCACTGCGGAGGCAAATGTTCTGCCTGGAGGTACTGAAGCCGACCCAATCAGACTCTTCCAGCGGTAGGAATTTGTAGCTTGCCAGAAGTCTTCGTCACAAGGACATTCGTTTCTCATAAATTCCGCCAGGTTTATTGATGGCGGGAGAAATAATAAACATGGAAACATACAGTCAAGGCTGTAGACCGTCCACAAAAGTCTCTTTCTTGACTCTTTTAGAATCCATCTTCGCCATTCTCCATCTGGAGTGTGACCAAATCTTTTCAATTCTTCCCTGGCTAAGATATGTTCATTGTTGTGGATCTGGCGACAATAAGTGACGACCGCGCCACGCAGGACTTCTGATAATTCAAATAGTCGCTTATTGCCGCACCAAAGGCCCGCATAGCAAAGAATCACCAGGGCGTATACAAACAAGGGATCACGCATAAATCTATTGTTAAGCTCGATAGCCAGCTGCGCACTAAGTCTTACCATGTCAAGTAAGACAATCGAGAATCGACAAGTATGTCTTTCGCGGCTATAGATCGCTCCGACCGCTATCATCGCAGCGAGTAGTGAATCTGGTAGATCATCAGACGAGGACAAAGATGGGCGATGAATGATTGGCATTTGAGGCTCGAAATGGACGAAGAACAGTCGAATGAAGATGTTCGCAATTTCCAAGTCTGGCAATTGAATGGAGTGGAAGCCTAGGCCTCTACGTGCAGGCTCTAAAAGAAATTCCTTCACCCTTTCATAACGGGCCTCAGATATGTCAAAGCCAATATCATGGTTCTGTCTCAATGGGTGACCTTCTGATATATCGATTGGCTTTGCGGCAGTAATGGCTCGTGATCCCGGGTCCCATCTATATGGCCACTTGTCTTCCTCGGAAGCTTCGTTTGGAGGCGATGAAGGTCGACTGATGTTTTGGCTGTTATCAAGATTGGGGGCAGCGATCATATTACTAGAAATTATTGCCATGGGGTTCTGATCTAATTCCACGGTCACGATGGGTGCAGCATTGAAAGGTGGCATTGACCCTGATTCCAAGAGCACAGACATAATGTCATCATCAAAACATAGATCTTCGAACAGACATGGCTCTTGCATCCATCGCAGTAGTTGATCGTCATATGTGCTATCTGTTGCTGTAGATTCCCAAGGGAGATGCAGGCTGTCGGTATTCATCTCAAAGGAATTTATTGCATCCTCACAATGGGTGCTGGGAGCATCATAATGACTGTGAGCGGATGGATTCTGGCCGACATCATGTGAATATGTTGAGCTATCGGGGAGTGGTTGTGCTATTGGTGAGGTGACAATTGGAACTTCAACTGCACCGATCTGCGATGGTCCAGCCAAGTGGACTCCAGGCGACGCAGTGATTATCTGCGCCAATGAATCCGATGCCAGCGAGGCGCTTGTTTTATGAATCTCTTCATGGCGTTGGCGCACATCACTTCTTGTGAACTCCTTTCCACAAACGGGACATCGATGTAGCTTTTTCGATTTATCTATTTTGGGAATGATAAGCGGGTGCAATAAGTCGAAAGATTGATCGGATACTTACGAATTCGAGCATGCCGAGCAAGGTTCTCGCGCCGAGAAAACTCCTTGGGACAAGCCGAGCACCGAAAACGCGATGGTATGTCAGATGGACTTACCGACATAAGTGAAAAGTGGACAGTGGACAGTGGATAAAGTGGACACAAGCTTCGACTTAAATACGAAGGGGTGGTCAGGTGGGCCAAGTCATAAGAACTGCGTATAAACCAATTAAAGTGATTTATGTGCTTCATCCGTGAATTCAGCCGGTGATTTGCCGTGTGTTTGTTCAACCCCGTGGGGATCGGGGTAAAGACTTCCGGTCGGGATATCCGAGTTTCTTCATCACCCGCATATTCGCTATATGGGCAACATCACTTCGTGAATTCACTGCCTTCTCTCTATTTCGCCTATTCTCAAGCACATTTTCTGTCATGGCTTTTCCCGACTGGAAAAAAACAGCCCCGTGGATTTGGCTACCGACACACCAAGAAGATGAGCGCCGACCGGGCCGATATTTTCTTTTTCGCAAAAGTTTTCAATGGACCAGGCCGTATGGTCTTCGTGACTTTAAAATCCATGTTTCTGCTGATAGCCGATATCGACTTTTCGTCAATGACCATCGAGTGAGCTTTGGCCCTTGCAAGAGTTATCCCGAGCGGTGGTACTATGAGACCGTGGATATTCTCCCTTTTCTCACAGAAGGCAACAATGTTATTAGCGCACGCGTGTTACGATATTCGTGTGTTCATGCTGGATCCTCGTCTATAATTAGTACTGAGCTTCCTGGATTTCTCGTGCATGGCGAGATTGAAGTATGTGGCGGCGCTTCCAATTGAACAAATATATAAGCTAACCTTTCTAAGGGCTTCTCACTTTCTACAGATTCATCATGGAAATGTGCAGAAGAGACTACCCGGCAAATTATCCCACATTCCGATTGGAATTTTATCTTAGGTCCACCTTTCATGTCCAACAATGAAAGAGTGTCAGAGACCAAAGCACTTTCAGGATGGAAAAGGCCAGCTTTCGATGACTCTTCCTGGGAGAACGCGGCTTTAGCATTTCACCCTGTCAAGATGCTTCCAATTCAAAGTCCATGGAAACTGACCGAGCGCCCTATCCCAATCCTTCCTGAGAATTCACGAAATTTCGATGGTGTTATGAAATGCGATGGATCAATTACTCGCGATCAATGGATTGGGTTCATCAACGGGGACGCCTCTGTCATGATCCCTGCCGGAGAGACTGTCAGTGTTGACATTGAATGCTCATCGTTGACGACAGCATTCGTGAACCTTCAATGCGGAGGAGGACCGGGGTCAGTCATTGAGTTACTCTACGCTGAATGCTATGAGAAAGATCTTGGCGTCGAAATTGCTCCTTTCCCCATGCCAAGAACTAAATCTGTCCGATCAGACAGCAACGGGCGGCTTTACGGCGTGAAAGATATATACAAAGTGGTTGATGGCGAGCCCGAACAAATATTCGAACCATTCTGGTTCCGGGCATTCCGATATGTCCAACTCCATATTAAGACCTCTTCTCAGCCCTTGACACTTAAGAGCTTCACACTACGAGAAACATCTTACCCACTCGAAATCACAACTGAGATCCAAGCCGGACCAGAACTTGACAAGATTTGGGACGTCAGTCTTCGTACCTTAGAAAATTGCCGACATGAAACATACGAAGACTGCCCATTCTACGAACAAAACCAGTTCGCCTCCGATTCCCGACTGCAGATGCTCTTCACCTATCAGATCTCGTCGGATGACCGATTAGCCCGAAAGACGCTAGAAGAATTCCACGCAAGTCGTTGCTCAGATGGGCTCATCAAGGCCCAATTCCCAGCTGGCTTTCGAAGTAAACAAATCCCTCAGTTCTCACTCTACTGGGTTGCCATGGTCTGGGATCACATGCGGTATTTCGCGGATGTGTCGCTCGTGCGTCGCTATCTGAGCACCGTTGACGGAATTCTCAATCACTTTGACGAGCGCGTTAATGAAATCGGCCTAGTTGGTCAGTTTGATGACGACACGTGGCCGTTCATAGATTGGGTGCCTGGGTGGAATGTGCCCGGAAAAATCTTCCAATCCTGCATGCCCCAATCATATCATGCTAAGGGAGCGGCAACGTTCAATAGTCTTCTTTACATCATTGCATTGATGCAGGCAGCCGAGCTGTGTGATTTCATGGAGCGAAAAGATACGGCGACTGAATACCGGAGGCGGGGGGCAGGCTCTCCGAAACGCCGTAAACAAACATTGTTTCGAAGATGACCGGTACCTCGACGGGCCTGCCTCAAAAGAGTACAGCCAACACAGTCAGGTATTTGCCGTTCTCTCCGAGACCGTGACAGGCACTTTGGCACGGCAACTGATGGTGCGCGTTATGTACGATTCATCATTGGTGCAGTGCTCTAGCGCCCTGCAATTTTACGTCTTTCGGGCAGTGGAGAAAGTGGGCCTTTACAACAAAATGTTCCCGGCCTTATTGGATCCATGGAGACGGATGCTCGCGGATGACCTGACTACATGGGCGGAGTTTGAGCACAATCCCCGGAGCGACTGTCACGGGTGGAGCGCCTGTCCAATCAACGAAATCGTTACCCAAGTTTTTGGCGTCAAGCCTGCTAGCTATGGGTCTAAACGTCTTCGGATCGAGCCTCAGGTGGAACTGCTGAAAAAGGCGGAGGGAAAGTTTATTACTCCTGTAGGTGAAATCAAATTGAAATGGGAGGAGAATGGGAAGCTGGAAGTGGAAATTTCCTCGGATGCTGAAGCAGAGGTTGTATTCTGCGGGTCCGTGTATTTTGTTCAGTTTGTGGGTGGGAGACCATTAAAATTTGTCAAGGCGAACTCCGAGATCCTCTAGCGTATGATGGTATATAGTGAAAGGATCACATCTACAACGTACAGCATGTTTTTTTTTTTCCTTTTGTAAGATCTTTTTCCAAGAGGAGGTTTGTATTAACAAATCTGACTCCACTTTTTACGAGATTAGCTTTGCGGTTAACTTTTGCCTATTTGAAAATCCCGAAAAGCCCTAATTTCTGCTATCCCTGCTGTTATGCCCTCGGGTACTCGTACTTCAATAAAAATTTCGGGAGGATTTTGGCCCTTTCGGTTGTAAACACCAAATCGAAATGATCTTCCGGTTTGTTTTCGGGAAGATTATTTTATTACCCCAGTTCTACCGGTGAAAAGATCTAAACAGCAACTCGGTGTGCGTCTAAGAGAGTGGATCTTCAAATAAGCTCATCGAATCCCAACGTACCATTTACCTAATTTATTCCGTAGAATTGGAGACAATTGGAGTAACTCGTCATATTTTGTTCCTGAGACAATCCTTTTAAGCCTTTTTTATTATTCATATGAATTCCTGTCAGCTTTCGCAAATTGGTCTTTTACATAACTTTTTTTGAGAATCCTGCTCGAAGCAAGTATGGGGAAATTATTTTAGTTAGCAGTGCACCCAGAAATGAAATCTTCCCATTTACATCTTCCATAACAAATTAGTACTATTTTTTCCACTATGGTTCACCACATCCACATTGCCGTCCTGGACGTCGACATTCCAGCTCGTCAACTGTACGAAGCCCGTGGTCTTTGCAGCGCCCACTTCCGCACCGTTCTCCGCGAAACCGCAACCCGCCTAAATGAAACCTTTTTCTCCGAGAAAGAGCAGCTTGATATCAAAATCACCCCATACGATATCCGTGGCGGCCACTATCCCGACCTTTATAAGCTTCGCGGCCATACGGGCGAGAACCAACCACCCGTTGCGTTCCCCGTAGACGCAGTCCTAATCACCGGTGGCTCGCCCGGCGTATACGAAATGGACCGATCACCCTGGATGCAGGAACTTAAGACCTTCGTCCGAACCGTTTTCAAGGACTACCCGCAAGTGCGGATTCTGGGCACTTGCTTCGGGCATCAGCTCATTTCGCACGCTCTTGTGCGTAACGTCGAGGATCCTGTCCGCGACGTGTGGGTTGAGAAGTGCCCGCTCGGCCGCGAGGTCGGAATTCATAATGTTCAATTAAACAAGGGTTTCCTGGAGGCTTTCCCGGCCGCCCTTGGCGATCTTCCTAACGGACAATTGCGCATTCAGATGTTCCACGGCGACCGTGTCATGGCTGTTGAGAAGGGAACCCCTGTTACTTTGGCTGAGTCGCCGCCTGTGTCTTTGCCTGCGCCTTGGATTAATATTGGAAGTACTGATATCTGCCCTATTCAGGGACTTTACCACCCTGGTCGAGTTCTGACTGTGCAGGGTCATTACGAGATGGATGCTTTCGGCTTGACTAAGATGTGCCTGGAGGCTGCTCCTGTCATGGGTTGGAAGGAGTCGAAGCTTGCTTTGTTCTTGGAGCAGGTTGGTGATGATTTGAAGGAGGATCAATGCGATCGCAGGACTTTTGCTTCCGCGGTTGTCTCGTTCTTGGCTGGCTTTGAGCAATGACATCCACAGGATGAATCAATTAAGGATAAAAAGTTCGTTTTGGCATTTTCTTTACCATGTCTTTCCTGCTCGGTGTTTGGCGCATACTCATTGCAGTCTTTCAATATATCGCATCTTATTCTAAAAAGGAGCGTCTGTCTCATTTTCATTTGCATCGTAAAGCATTAACAGCTTTCTGGGCAACAAAAGCCTCGACCGCTGAATAAAATACTGGCCTTCTCTCGCGAAGATGTTATTCCCATGCGTCACTCTGGAGGTCGTAGGCGACTCCGGCGATGGATATGCCAAAGCTCAAAATCGACACAATGCAGCAAACGCGCTATATAACCTCCGCCGACTATCATCCCGGGCAAGGGGTGACAATTACACACAAGAATCGTTCGACGGGACCATTCGTTTCCCATCTGCAACTGTGTCCCAGGAATTGTTTACAATCAGTGCGCACTGGACTGCGTTGTCTAGCGCCTCTGGTGATGTGTTCTTCTACTCATACCTACTGAAGTGTTTTGCAGTCCAATGTATATCACTTTCTGAATGGAATGAGGCCTCGAGATGGATTAAAAATGCCATCGAATTTGTTGTGAATCTGACTGAAACTCCAATCAAAGCTGATCTGAAAGCCATCCAGGACAACGTCGCTAATCCACCCAGACCAAAGTTATTACCACTGCTCCGACCATCGCCAATACCGGTCATTCTTCCTCCCCAACCAATCTTCATCCTGCAAAAGGCGGTATGTAGGACTTCAAAAGTTGTGCTCTCTCTCTATGACATGGATCTTCTGTTTTGCTGAGCCTACCAATTACATTGTTCATTTACCTTTCCATAAAAATACCACCAGCTAAGTTCACTCTCCCCTTTGACCTGAAAGTTCAATTTAATGTCTAAGTAGATCATATATATTTTAACCACCAAGAGGGACCTTAGCCATCCTTGGATTTGGAAAAGGATGTTGCATGACCGCTGTATGTAGTTGGGAAATTTTAACCAAAGAAACCGGGCTCTATACATTTTCATAATTTGTGCCTCGCGGCAACCAATGCATGTCCTTGTTCTATTCACAGTGATAATCATGTACAAATCATTCTAATCGCCTCCCGCCAACGTCGATGTTCACTTTATAATACTTAAACTTGCGACTCGGGACTTTGCGCTCGAAAAGAATATCAAGCTCTTCAAACGTCCGACCCTTAGTCTCTGGCATGCACAAGAAACAATACACAGTGCAAAGAACGCTAAGCCCAGAGAATAGGAAACCAATCTTGCCGCGCCAGTTTCCCTGATCCTCGTTCATCGCATACGGAATTACCACTGCAAAGACGACCGACCAGAAAAAACAAGTCACTGTAGAAAGTGCAATTGTGAGTCCACGAAGTTTGGCCGACGAAACCTCTGCCAGCAGCACATAACAGAAAGGGCCAAGGCTCAGGTCATATACGAAGGTGCAGGCTAACATCAAGCCGCATTGCGCCCACTTAGTGGATGTCTGTCGCGGAGCAAGGTCGACGGCTCCGATGATGAACTGCACGATGGCGAGCGAGGTACATCCGAACAGATACATCGTTCGTCTACCGATATATGAAAGGAGAAACCACGATATGCATGTCCCCAGAAGGCCGAGTGCCGTCAGCCCGATGTTCATCGAAAATGCATCAGATGCATCCAAACCAGCCAACTCCATGAAATGCACTGCGTAGGTAAGAAAGAAAACGTTGCCGGTAAAGGCCTGCATGTCATATGCCATGACGCAGACCACCAGGCGGCGGAAGTTGGTTCCCCGAAAACAGTCGAGATAGGTAGGTCGCTCACCCTGGTAGCTTTCTTCTAGACGCAGGGTCTCCTTGATATGTGCCAGCTTTTGCGATACATCAACAGTGGGAGTAGCAAGACGGCGTAGTGATACTGCGGCTTCCTCATAGCGACCCTTGCGACACAACCAGTATGGTGGGTCGGGACAGAAGCCAACAAGGATCAGCATGATGCAGGGTAAAGCCCATTGCGTTGCGATAGGAATCTTATACGACCACTGACTATCCATTGACTCTGTTCCTTTGAGAATACCCGAGGCGATCAGAGAGCCGATCGAGAAAGCAAGATTGGTCATGGTGGCTGCGAACCCACGTAGCACTAGTGGGGTTACTTCGCCGACGTATGCCGACGCACAAATGGGGTAAAAGGCGATGATGCACCCATTGATGAGTTCGCCGACGAACAGCTGCGCCGGTGTGTGGCTGAAAAATTGGATGAAAATGAATGCGATCGATAGGACGCAGCATCCGGCAGTCATTCGCCGCGGTCCTAAGCGCTCATATGCAATGCCGGAACAGAGGGCGCCTACAATTGCACCGATGAGATTGGCGTACCCAAAAGCCGAGAGCCATTGCGCGGCGATGATGTATTTGCCGTCATGGTTGTAGCCGAATGTTTCCTTGAAGACGGGAAGGCCAACCAGGCTGCGGACGATGCCACCATCAATGCCTTTCAATACGGTTGCCTAACAGAATGAGTATGGAGCCACAGTCTGAAAATTTTTGACTGACTGTATTCATGAAAAGTCCCCAGCCAATGGCGGGGTAGTGTAGACGCATGGCATCCCACCAACCGAGGGCATGTTCCTGCTTCGTGAACTGGAAAGAAAGCTCGGCCTCTTCTGTGACCTCTGCAGGAAGACTTTGGACCAGCGCGGTCCCCTTCTCTGCTTCCATATTATTCTTCACGGAATTCAATTGCGGGATTCCAAAAGAAAAAAGTTGAAATTATATCTAAACGCCAAGGCTTGGCATACGGTCACAGCGGAGGATGCCGCGGAGTGGAGCCCTTTCGGGGGACCTTGGTGGTTATGTTTGGGCAGGATCGGCTTGCGCAGATTGTGCCGCTGGCTAGGCATAGGGTTCGGCCTCTAAGCCCATCACCCGTCTCATGATGCCAAAACACGTCATCTCAGAAGGGTGAAAAGAGGTATGCAGACAAATCTTTGTTATCATTGAAGGCTATTTAAACATCTCGAGTTGCCTCTTCAATCTCTGATTCAAGAGCCACCTTATGCTTTGCAAATTGTCTCGCTGGCACCTTCGCTTCATAGAGGTTGTCAATATCTTCTGTCGACAACCCAGTTGTATCTGGGACTATTGACCAAACTCCGCAGATAAGCAGCACCGAAGCGCCTGCAAACACAAAGCCAGTTCGGGCACCCAGGTTACCAGAGTCGACATTATACATATATGGCACAACAAAAGTCACGAGCCAAGTTGTGAATGTTTGAGCCATCATTCCAAGTGACATGGATTTTGCACGCAGTCGGTAACTCGAGATCTCCGCTGCAATTGACCACCCTGGAGCTTGCATTAGACTCGCCTGCAGGGAAATGAGAACGTTCCTGGATGTTGTCAGCTTTTAATTGTAAAATGAACACGGGCATTTCGTACATGAATATAGCAATAGCCCACTTGGGCCCTGTTCCATGTGCAAAGTACAGAGCGCCCACGATCAGGTTAAAGAAGAAGTTGATAACACATCCCCAGAGGAGAGTGTTTCTTCTCCTCACATTATTCAATACGAAGCCACTTGCAATAATGATGATGATTGCTAATCCAAATCCTCCAATCGAGATGTCGAATACGTGAATGGTAGGTAGTCCCACGGAGATGAGGAAGTATATCGACTGCGAGAGGAATGGCCCGCCGCCCAGGTTGACAAGACCAAATAGCAACATCATCGTGATCGTTCTTTTGAAATTAACACCCTGGAAGCATTCAATATAGCTGGCTTGATTGGCCTCCCGGTGCGAGTTTTCTTCTTCGATCGTCTTGACGAGATGGTTGTATCGCTCTTGGCGATCAGTCTCATCGGGGTAGAGCCACTTGAATAGTTTCTTGGCGCTTTCTTGTCGCTTGTCAATGATGCAGTAAACAGGGGACCTGGGAAAAAATTCAGTTGAAATCAATTGTTTGGTTATTTGGAGCACGTACTCTGGAGCGAGAGCGTACGCAATCGTCACTAGCCCGCCAACTGCCCACTGGATAGCAAAAACAGTACGGAAGGCCTCCTCGGCAACGTTAGGGACAAAAATGCGGATGACGCCCATAGCCACGGCCTGCATAATGAGAATAAATACCACCATCGCCTGCTGAACAGCGGGAACCAGTTTAACCGGGACGACCTCCGACGCGTAAGTCATACCAGATGCCATCGCCATTCCGATCCCTAGTCCTCCGACAATTTTGCCTCCAAGCAACGAACTTCGTGTTTGTGCCGTGTATTGTACCGAAGCACCAGCTAGGGAAATCACACCAGCGATGACACCTGTCCATTTCCGTCCAATGCGATCGGCCAGAAAACCTGTTCCAGTGGCTGAGAGAGCTTGGGCGAGAGCGGACATGGATGTCCAAAGAGCAGTCCATAATGAGGGTAAATACAAGCCTGCGGCGTTTGTATCTCCAAAATACATCATGAACGCGGGCATGGAAATCGAGGCACCGTTAACGATCGTGTCATAGCCGAACATGGCGCCTGATGTAAAGGAGACGCTACCTGCATCGGGGGTAAGTGAATGATCGATATAATTGATAATATAAAATATCTTACATATCAATAGCGCTCTCCAGTGAGTTCTGATCGTGTCTATGAGGCTCAAATCGTTGTCTGATTGAAGGAAACGTGGCTGCTCTTCCTCCCACTCGATGTGAGAAGACGATGATTTTGCACCTTCCATGATGGATAATATTGATTAGATCGATGGACAAGTGGACAGCCCTTACATTTTAACGGATCCTAATCATCTTAAATGTATTAAGATCTCCACCAGAGTACGAATCTGGGGAAAGTCCGGGGTGTACGACAGCTTGCCCCACAAAGGCGAAGTGGACAGTGGACAGTCGGATATCCCGAAGATGGACATTGCCCCATTACCGTGGACAGGCGTCCAATTAAAAGATCGACCTCAACATTTTTTCCCATGATTTGTGCATATTCGGTCAGCATAACAACGAGAGATAAATGATAATGTCTGTTCAATCGGTAATTGCTTCGCTCTCCTTGGAGGAAAAGGTTTCCCTATTGGCGGGTCAGTCTTATTGGCGGACCGCAAGCTTGCCTCAACATGGCATCAATGCGATCAAGGTATGGAACGTGTTGAAAATGAACAAAAACACAATTTCATGCTGATTTCTCCTTAGTATAGCGATGGACCAAACGGTGTTCGTGGAGAATCCATCCATGCATCAACAAAAGCTACTTGTTTCCCGTGCGCGGCCTGTGTCGGTTCAACATTCAATCCCGAATTAGCGTTGAGAATGGGCCGAGTTATCGGCAAAGAATGCAAAGCAAAGAATGTCGGTCTTTTGCTCGGGCCGACAGTGAACTTGCACCGGTCCCCGCTAGGTCAGAATGGGAGACTTAATCAGTGCGACAAATGAAAACTAATTCTTTTCTTGTAGGTGGTCGGAACTTCGAATCGTATTCTGAAGATCCAACATTATCAGGCATATTAGGAGCCGAGTTTGTAAATGGAGTCCAATCGGAGGGAGTCTCAGCCTGCCCGAAGCATTTCGTAGGAAATGAGTGCGAGACTAATCGGAAAACATCGAATACAATTGTGGATGAAAAGACGCTTCGCGAACTTTATGCATTCGCGTTTCAGATTCTTCTGAAAAACTGCAATCCTTGGTCTATAATGACTTCGTCAGTGTATCGAGTATAGGATGAAGTCTGGGATGCTAACTATGGCACAGGTACAACCTTGTCAATGGCATCTTCATGTCAGAAAACACAAGCCTGTTGCAAGACGTACTACGCAAAGAGTGGGGGTTTCAAGGAGCAATCGTTTCCGATTTTGAGGGTATTTATTCAACTGTTCCTTCGGTCCGTGCGGGAGTCGCTCTCGAACTTCCGGGTCCTGCCCGGTTCCGTGGGCATCACCTTCTCGAGGCTGTCAAAGAGGGCAAAATTACCGAGAGGCACATTGATTCTTTGGCGGCAGATGTCATCAACCTCGCATCAAAGATTGGGGTGCAAGATGATGGTAGACCAGAGCAAGACATCCCTAAAAGTGAAAGTACTTCCGCACTTTTACGGGAAATTGCAGGGGAAGGCATCGTTCTACTCAAAAACAAGGATAACACCTTGCCCCTGTCACCATCAAATAACCTCAAAATTGTCGTGTTTGGCTCACCGGCCACCATGCCTATCATCCACGGCGGCGGAAGTGCATCACTTACGCCTTCATACATTGTCTCGCCCCTTGAAGCACTTGGAAGGAAATTCGGCAGTGATCGCATTCACTACCATCCCGGGGTGCCAGTATTCAAAAAAATCCCTTCTGCTCCGCTCTCTGTTATAACAACAAAGAGTGATGGCCGGCCTGGTCTTAACTGCTATTGGTACAATGGATGGGTGTTTGGAGAGAATCACGTTCACCAAGAAATTCTGGAATCGACACAAACCCTAGTGATTGATGCCCGTATCGCAGGTCTTGAACCCAAACACTGCAATCGCATGGAATTTATTTTGCGACCGAAAACATCTGGCACCCATGTCTTCGGAGTGACTGCATGTGGAAAGTGCATCCTACGGGTAGATGACAACGTCATCTTACAGCATGAGGGATTCGATGACTGCCGAGTGGAATATGTTATGCAGCCTGGTCTTTTTGAAGTTCGGGCCAGTCTTGAAATGGAAGCCCATTGTGAGTATCATGTCACAGTGGACACACTTTCAACAACAGCACCGCTTCCATCTCCGATTTTCAAGATAACGCCCCAAGCTACCCGGGTTGGCTTTTACGAAAATCTCTACAATACCATTGGTGATGACTTGCTCAAACTAGCTACGGATAGTGACGTCTCTATCATATTCACGGCAAACAACAAAGAATATGAATCGGAATCATTCGATCGTTCCGAGTTAACATTGTCACCTCTACAAAATGAGTTTATTGATAAGGTATCTGCCGTAGCGCCGAAGTCTATCTTGGTCAACCAAACTGGATCCCCGATATCCATGCCTTGGATTGAAAATGTCGATGCCATCCTACAATCCTGGTATGGGGGTCAAGAGACTGGCAATGCACTGGTGGACATCATCAGCGGCGATGTAAACCCTTCAGGCAAGCTTCCGGTCACATTTCCAAGATGCATCGAAGACACTCCGTCATTTGGGAACTTTCCTACCGACAATAATATGGAAATTCGCTATGAAGAGAAGCTTGACGTGGGATACCGTGCTCGAAGCAAGCCTCCTCCGCTGTTTCCTTTTGGCTTTGGGCTGTCCTATACAAACTTTCAGTTCTCTGCGCTTTCTATTGTGCATGTACCTTCAAAATCGGCTGTGGAATTGATTGTCCGAACTACCGTCACGAATTTAGGATCCGTCCCTGGTAAAGAGGTTATACAGATATATGTCGACGGAGTCTTAAAAGGCTGGGAAAAGGTAATGCTCAGGCCCGGAGAGAATAAGCGAGTGAATATTGCGTTGGATAAATACGCTTTCAGTGAGTGGAATCCAGACAAGCGCTCATGGATTGTTGCCAAGCGAAAATTCGAGGTTGAGCTACGACAAGATGCCAATACCGTGATCTCTTCGGTGATGCATGAGGTCAACAATGCTATCCTTTGGAGTGGACTTTAAGCTATCTTGATTCGAATTCATAATTTGGTACACAAAGTCATTTAGCTCCTCGAGATATATTTCTATCTTCCGTTTTCATTTACAATTTTCTTTCATTCCTTTCATTTTCAACGTCCATTCTTAAACTAGGCACTGTCAATTTCTATATACAATGGGGGGGCGTCTTTCTATATACATCTGGTGGTAATAGAACCACCATCCGTCCCACATCAAACCCTGTAGACACCCACGATTTCGTGTAATATCCTCCGCGAACACTTCCAACAAAACATCAACATGGGAAGATCGCTCATCGATCCAATTTCTTTGGTTCAGGTGGAGTCGGCTCGTTGGCGACGGTGTGTGCCTGGATAACATGCGGCATCGACTCTTCGGTATTCAAATAAGTCCGACTGCCTTGAATAAACCAGAACGACACAGCAATGACAAGCATAACGCCAAAGACACCAATGGCGTAGTTCATATCGCCGCCAGATGGATTAGGTGCACTGGGGAAGAAGAAGAACACGGTCGTCACACAGCAGTAGACCAGAGAAACCCAGTTTGCGGGGGCTCCAAATCTACCAAGATGGAACTGACCACCGTGCGGAAGCTTGTCGCGACCCATCAATAGCAATGTCATAATGGGTAGACCGTATGAAATCGTCAGCGCAATAGTGCTCACGCTGAGAATAGCGTTGAGTACGGTTTGCGCAAACAAAAAGAGGACTCCTACCAGAGCGATGATCGCTCCTTGGAACCATAATGCGCGAACGGGAGCTTTCCAATATGGGCTGACTTCGGTCAGATATGTGCTAAATGGAAGTCCGCCGTCGCGAGCGAAGCCCCACGTCAACCGGGAGGCCGTGGTCACAATGCTGATTCCTTGACCAAGGCCATTTGTAATGAACAAAGCAATGAGTACTGCGCCGCCCGTTTGGCCGACAGTTTGCTGAACAAGTTCCATGAATGGTAAGCCGCTGGCGGAATTCACCACTGAGTTTACATCTTGGATACAGAAAAGGCAGACCATCATCAAAATAAATCCACTTACGGCTCCGGAAATAACGGCCAGATAGATTACCTTCGGAGCATTCTTGCGAGGAGCCGGGATTTCCTCCACCAAGTGGATCACAGCATCGAAAGCAGTGAGGCCGTAAGCAGCCTGCACGAGTCCAATGAACCAGACAACGGCGTCAGGCCATCCGGTTTGGTTGATCCATTTTCCGAACGAGAAGTTGGCAGGCTGGAAAGCAAGGCCGTCTTTTGTGCCCACAGAGATAAGCAAGGCAAGACAAAAGACGAAAAAGAGTCCGAAAAACCAAACTCCAACAAAATTGTTAAGCCATGGCAGGAACTTCTCTCTTCGACAACCCAAAACATTGATCAAAGTGAGGACGAAAACGCACCCGACATAGACAACAAATTCCAGCCATCCAGTCGACGCACCTGTCCAATCGGGATAGAACATGACTTTCATACCCAAGAGGAAATTTGTCATAAATGCCACCTGGGATGCCGCCAATGTCCACCATCCAAACACATTGATCCAGGCACACATGTACGACAAAAATCGACCAAAGCGAGAGTCCCACAAGCGGTAGACCCAATATGCCTGGCCAAGGGCGGTTGGCATACTGCTACAGATCTCGCCCAGCGAGACAGCGACACAGGTGTTGCAGAATGTGACGAGGCATAAGCCCCAAAGAATTGAAACCGGCCCACCATTGATCAATCCGTCAGAAAGGTCCTGTGCAAAAGTTGACCATGTTCCCAGCACACAGAATGCTAACGCTAGCATGCTCCAGATATTGAATTTGCGAGCGAGCAACTGCTCATGTCCGAATTCGGCGAGGTCGTCTGCATCTTGGGCGTTTTGGTCGGTTGGTTTGAGATTTGTGTCGGTTTCCACGTCCATAACTGGGTTTGAGGAAATTGAAGAAAAAGACCTGGGGCTTGAAAAGTTTGCTTCAAGGTCATGCCCAATGCTGAGGAAAATAACGATGCTGGCAATTGAAGCACTTCACACTCGTGGTTGGTATACTTCTTTAACCAGGGCTGTATCTTGGATTCAGCAACCAGGATCTCTGAGACAATTGTATGAAATCGAGGTTCCGCACCCCCATTCACAAGACCCGGGGCTTTCTGACATTTTTCTGGGGAACCCCATGGGCGTCGGCATTTGTGGCCATAGAGAGGGGCACATACCCTGGAGATTCACCGAGAGTGGCCCACATAGTGGAAACCAAGACATCAAGACAACTCAGCCACTTAGGCGACGCATAAAGGCACTCTTGTAGAGATCCAGTTTTTCTCTGCTGTCATACTCCACATCATAGCTGTGAAGGCTGAAGATTCCCTCTCTGGCAGGTAGATGCGGGGTGTTGAACACATAGCTGGTAATGATATCAATGGTGCCTGGCGATCTACTTGATCTCTTGGGGGTTTCCCGAACTCTTGATTGCCCGATTTTGTGACACACAAATATCGGAATCATGGATTGACCGGAACAAGGCGCAGTGGCGACTTTGAAGGTATCGGGTTGAATCGCATAATTTGGACCTATTTCCAACGTTATTCCCGTTTCATAATTGATGATTGGATTTCAATAGACTTGTTGATACAAAATATCTCTGCCTTCGAAAAACTTCAGCGGCTCCAAGCGCATGCTTGTTTCGTGGATGTACCTGCCCGAAAAGTACAAGCGCGGAATCCCCACGAGACTTAAAGTGAAGAGCTCACTGCAACATATCATCACAGAGCAGATTTTGGACTTGCCTGAAATGCGAGGGAATTTGCGAAAAATATAGTCTTGAGTCTTCTTTTTGTGAATGCCGGCAAACACTCCCTATAGGAGAAAAATGCCCGTTATTTCGCTCACTGAGATCTTTGTTCGGCCAATCAGAGACCGGGAATGTGTATAGCACTACCCTTGCGCAACATATATGAATTCAAGCACTTCAGTTCGTCTTTGCTTTTTTTACTTTTTCGTTGTATGAACTCTTGACTTTCTTCAATCATGTCTCCAACCGACAAAAATAAAGATACCAATTCTCGTCACCGATCCTTCAAGGGTTGCTGGACCTGTAAGAAAAAGCGGATACAATGTGACGAAATACGTCCTGCATGCACCAAATGCACTTCACGGGGAATAATTTGCGAGGGATACGAGATCCGCCTGCGGTGGGGTGCTGGTATCGCGTCTAGGGGGAAATACTCGGGCGCTGAGAAACCGGTCAAAGAATCTATACCCCCTCGGTCAAAACGGCGGTGGGACATGCGTGGCAAGGGTGAACATTTCCCTCAAGGTGACGGCCAAGGTCAACCTATACTCGTTCCCCAGCACACTTTGAAAGGTAACATCATTCGGCTTTTAGGGTTCTCAAAGCTTACTTGCAGTTATAGGTCAAGACCCGCCGCATTTAGTTGCGCAGCGAGCAACGGTGAATATACTCAACTCGCCGTGGGAGCCGGACTCCCCGGAGCATATTACCGCAATCCACAAGCATTTTGAGATTCCTGTATCTTTAGCCACGTTGGCAGAAGCGACTGCGCACATGCATAGTCCGGGGAAGGTTCAACAGGCCAATATATCAGGGCGTCAGGCCGACGGAGTATCTTGGCTTGAACCAACTCTAAATCTCGATTCTTCAATATTTTAGCACTACAAACTAATTTTTCCATGAATTTATGAGATAGAAGTTCAGAGAAGAAGTAGTTGATTCCATTCTTGCTCTAAAAAGATGGACGGACATCTAGGTAGGCATAAATTCCTATTCATTTGCCAATAGACAAAATCCCTAGTTATATACTTTGTTAATTCGACCCCCCTTTTGTTATTAACGTACAAACATATGTAGTCAATCGCACCGAACCCGTCTTGTGCAGTCGTGGCGGTGAAAATTAAGGCGTCCACTTTCGAGAACTTTCTCCCTTGCATCTCCAATCAAAACAAACTTCAATCGAAATCCATTCCTGCAACTCATTTACCTCTGTTAATCACCTAACCGCAACAGATGAGATATCTGAGAAGAGTTGTATCGTATGTGGCTGGACATTCGACAAACAAAACGGCGCCATCATTCTTGCCACCTTAAACTTTAGTATGGTGCATTAAACGAAGCGTTTGGTCCATTGGCTCTGATGTGGTTTTGGAAGACCACCCGGAAGAGGGTCCAAAAGCAAAAGTTGAAGTCAAAGCACTAAATCACCAGACAAACTACACCGACATTACCGTTTTGAAGGTTCTGCGTGACTGGGTTGATCGCGATGGGTGATACTTTGTAATGAACGAACCCACAGATGGCCACACACTCAAGAAGGCATGGCCTTCATTGTCAGAACCTCAAGAAACAGCTGTCGCGGATCAAGTTGTTCAAGTGCGTAAGCAGCCTCGATTTGTTCCGTCAGCTTCCATCCAATGTGTCAACCATAGCCCATGCTATCCAGGTTTGATAGTTTTTGATCTTGAACCACGTGGGCCGTTTCACGCTGATCAAGAACTCTGGGATGCTCTCAGCCTCCACCTTCATCATATCCCTCAAAAAGTGCTGGACAACTTAAAGAAGCGCCTACCGAAACACGAGCCCTATGTGCTCACTCTTTGTGAACTCAATGTAGGGAATATCATGATTCAAGATGCGAATTTTGTTGGTATACTCAACTGGGAATATGCCGCCTTGTTTCTATCTGGTATGAATATGCCTCTGTCGCTTTTGGATTCACAGATATAGATATCGAATGGTAAATGTTGCTCCGAGAGTGCTTAGGCGTACATGATGAGGCACATGAAGATGCCAAGGTAATTTGGACGAATTTGTGTAATGTAAAACAGTATTCGGATTTGGATGAGGAAGGACATGTTACGTTCAAAAAATTATCTCAAATTAATGATAAAGAATTGCAAGGTAGGGACAATATTTACAGACGCGCTCGAAATCCGATAGTCTCGGATAATCCAATGATCCGTCAACATATCCACTTATCGCATTTCACGTATCGCATTGTGAAAGAATAACAGCAGATGGATACAGTTTAAGGTCCACATTGATTGCTTTGAGTGCCCTGAACCCACAATGTCGCCTGGAAATGACCCCAAGCACGTGGCCAGTATCATGCTGTCATGGCACTCACTCGACCTCGTCTCGTGCACCAACCTACAGACCCTGTGGGCAGGATACGGACAAATCTGCGCCATCACCGCCCGGGCTTCTACTGATACAGCGGCGGAGCATTTGAGCAAGCTTTGTGGCGTGGAACCCGGGGCCGCTGGAGCCACCTATCCTCTTATTTTGAAACTTATTTCACCCTCAAAGAAGAGCATCAGCAATTCGGATGAGGGTCATCTGCGAAAGATGATCAGCTATGAGGTAGAGCAGAATTTTTACAGCAATGTGGTCCCCTTGCTAGACGACGACATTGGCATTGCGAAATGCCTTGCGTCGACCAGGGGCATGGGTGGCCGGAAGGACGAGGAGGAGCTCAAAAATCTCATGGCCACCATCATGGTGGATTTGCGTCCAAAATTTCCCGTGGCAGGCGGAAAGAGAAGTTCACTGAGCCGCACACAAGTTTATGGGTCTCTGGACTGGCTAGCCAGGTTCCACAGTCGGTCATGGGGCTTACTTCCAAAGAGCTTTGACGGATTCGCGATGCCTCCCTTGGAAGAATCCCTTCGAAGACAGACCGCGAGCAAAGATGCTGGCAATGGGTTGTGGCTCAACGGAGGATACACTTATCTTGCGACACGACGTAAAGAATATGCATCACTGGTCGAAGACACCTGCTCGGAGTGGTCAACAGCCTTGTGCGAGCCTTCAAACAAATCCTCACTATCTGTCGCTGAGATGGTGGCACGTGAGTTAACGCCTTGTGGAAGAAGCGTCGAATCTTATATCCACGGCGATGTCAAATCAGAGAATCTCTTCACCACAGATAGTGGGGCTGAGGTGGCGTTCTTTGATTTTCAATACGTCGGGCTAGGTCTGGGGGTCTGTGACCTCGCCAAATTGTTCACCTGCTCGGTTCCATTACATCTGCTCACGGATGACTTGCCTGAGAAATTGACCATGCAAGATGGAGAAAGAAAACTGCTAGAGCGGTACCGCACGACCCTTCTCCAGGGTCAAGATGCGGCCATGTATGAATGGGAAACATTCAAACGACACTGGGAGACCTCACTGGTTGACTGGTGTAGATTCCAGGCTTCATGGGGCTTCTGGGGAAACACAGAGTGGCTTGAGGCTCGTGTAAGATCAATCTTGGATGACCGACAGTGGAGAGACTGGCTGCATGAGAATATCAACGATCGCCAAGATTGACATAACGAAGCACTATATATATAGAACCATGAAAATGAAATTTTGAGTAGACCAACACCTGACGACATAGAAGTGTTTGAGCCGCTTCGCTGTCAACCCACTGCCATTCTTACGTTTTTTTAAAGCTCACTACTACCTACCAACAACCTGTTCGGACAACCTATAACCTTGAAAATCCGAGTCTTTCAATACTCCAGCCAAAAGATTCGCTAGTAGTTTCTGTCATGTGACAGTAAATTGTTGGACCACAGACCGAACGACCAAGCGACCGAACAACCTGACGACCCAAAGACCTAAGAAACTTCGAGAGTTTTGAGATCTGGTAGTCTAAAATCCGGTTGTTGCTTATTCTATACTAGTGACAATCTTAGCCACATATACCAACTGAACCTGTCTTAGCTTGAGAATGTTCAACGATCCAGCTTCAAACTTCTTTGATATATTGCTTGTATGGGCTTACTCATTTCTATCAATCGATGCACTCAATCTTCAATTTTGCTATATACAATACATCAGGTTCCAATAACATAGCTGTCCTGGCAATCCTTCAAAGCTTGGACTTCATGTTCACATGAATGGCCTTGATATTGGAATAAGCCGACAGACCAGCCTCGCCAAGCTCACGACCAATACCTGACTGCTTGACGCCACCGAAAGGAATGCGCCAATCGCTATCATTGCTCGAGTTAATCCAGACCATGCCAGCCTCAATCTTCTTCGCAACACGGTGCGCACGCGTCAGGTTAGTCGTGAACAGCGCACTTCCGAGGCCATAAGTCGAGTCATTAGCCATTTCAATAGCCTGCTGCTCATCGCTGAACCGCGCAATGACTACGAAAGGTCCGAAAACCTCTTCTTGGTAAATCCGCATCTTGGGATTAACGTCTGTGAAAATAGTAGGCTCAACGAAGAAGCCCTTTCCATTACCAATGTTCGCCGGCTTTCCACCGGACACAAGGGTTGCCTTCTCAGATTTGCCGACATCAATGTACGACAGGATGCGGTCATACTGAGCCTGCGTCACCTGGGGACCCTGGAAAGTAGATTCCTCGAAAGGATCGCCAACCTTGGAGACATTCTTCACTTGGGCCTTGAAGGCTTCCAAGAATCGATCGTAGATCTCATCCTGTACCAAAATTCGCGAAGTAGCAGTACAGATCTGGCCCTGGTTGTACATGATACCAATGTGGGCCCATTCAACTGCCTGCTCGAGATCAGCATCATTGAAGACGATGAGCGGGCTCTTGCCGCCCGTTTCGAGAGTGATGTTCTTCAGGTTCACACTGGCCATCTTCATAATTTGCTTTGCTGTTGCCGTGCTACCTGTGAATGCGACCTTGTCGACGTCCATGTGAGAGGCAATTGCGGCGCCTGCTACGGCGCCGTGTCCGTTGACAATGTTTACGACACCGGGTGGGAAGCCGGCTTCCACGATAAGGTTCGCGAGGAAAAGGATTGAAAGAGGGGTTTGCTCTGCTGGCTTGAGAACCACGGTGTTACCGCATGCAAGGGCCGGTCCGAGTTTCCAGGCGGCCATAGCGAGAGGAAAGTTCCATCTGGGTTTGGTGAGCGGGTGATCTCTGATACTGTACGGTACTTGGTGCTACTTACGGAATAATCTGTCCGCATACGCCGACCGGCTCGCGGACAGTGTATGCGAATTTCTCTGGAGTCGTGTCGATAACTTGGCCGAAGACCTTGTCGGCGAATCCGCCGTAGTACCGGATTGTCTCGGCGGTCTCGGTGAGGTCATCGTTGAAGGAAACGGAGTAGGGCTTTCCGTTATCAATAGTCTCGATTGTGGCGAGCGTCGTACGGTTGTCTTCGATAAGCTGGGCGAGACGATTCATCAACTTGCCGCGATCAATACCAGGGAGATCTCTCCAACAGGGATTATTTAAAGCAGCGCGGGCTGCTTTGACGGCTTTGTCGACATCTTCTGTGGAAGCTGCATGGATGGACGTGATTTCCTTTGCCGTTCTAGTTTTAAGGTTAGTGATGCATCCAAAGCGTAGGATTATGATGTAGTGTGTCGTACGCAGGATTGATGGTCGCAATCTTCTCGCCGGTGGAGGATTTGACCCATTGGTTGTTGATGAACAGACCAGTAGGCTGAGTCCAAGTGTGGCCATTGGGGGCTGTGAGCTGAACTGATGTATCGGCCATGCTGTTGCGAAAGTGGGTATAGGTAGTTTGGAAGAGGAGAAGGTAAAAAGGCTTGGAATAAATCACATAGATCTTAAGGCATAAGAGCAACAGCTATCGTAGCACGTTATCTCGATAAGCCGGCAGGACATTCCATTTCGAGGACCCATGAACTGCATGTCATCGAATCCACTGTATATCCACCTTTACTCCAGATTTCTGAACATTTTTGGAAAAGATGGGGTTCGGACGCGGAGGCCGAATCACGGCGGTTGATGTAGCCGCTAACCCTGATTAGGCAAGTCCAAGCAACAGCGGTTTTGGGCCTTCGGTGTCGCGGTATCCCGCCAAAGCACAAGGCGTTATTCAGACATTGTTAGATATTTGGTAAAAGAAAATTGAGTAGAACATACTACAATTTTCCTAGATTGTAGATATTGAGAATAGGCAGAATGTGACCATCTATTCATGTTCAACAAAAGCTTACATAACACCACGTGCATCAAATTAAGCTTGAATTAACGTCTTGGCATCGCATCCCTGTTTCTCCTAAGTCTATCCTGATTCGCGTACAATGTCAGATATTGTCGTTTTGAGCAGGTCGTGCCTAGCGCAATCAAATGCAATGCACGTTCATCTATACAGATAAGACTTGCCTTATTAGGTGGACCACTAGCAGAATTATGCCAACACATATCTTCCCGAGCCGTTTCAACGCGATTGGCTGAGCTTTTTCGATGGCAAACCGTTTACGAAACAGATATTATGGCATAGAATCAAGTGACACGCAAATCATTTGCAAGACACATCGCTTCTCCAGACTCTACCCAAAACCGAATAATGACGGGAGAACCCACTTTCGGGTCCAGTCGCAGACCGGTCCCCCGACTTTTTTTTGGATAACAGAAAGATCCCGATTACCCGAATGGGAAGGTATATGCGGATAAATTCGATCTTGATATCGAAGGTCCATTGTCTATATAAGGGCTATGGCCTCTGTGGACTGAAGCTTTTCTCAACTTTCTAACTCCCTGCTCCCTCTTGATACCCTCATCTTCATCATGGCGTCCGCACCAGATACAGAGTCAATTCCCGGCTACACAATCTTCCGCGAGGGAGATTATGACAGTGTCGCTGCTGCTGCTATGATGCCCGAGGGCATCCCTCACCCTTTAGGTACGAATGCATTAAATTGTTAAATCCGATGAAATGTTAACACCAAGCTCCAGATCAACTTTCTATCAAGGAAATTCCGGAGGCGGCAAAGATCATCCGGGACTATGCCGGCACTAAGGCTATCAAGTTCAACTGCCTCACACTCCGGGAACCCCGGAAAGCTGAGTACCAGGCATTCCGTGCTGGCACAGTTCCTGCCCCGGATCGTCGCGCTTTCGCTATTGTCATTGTGCTCGAAACCACCCAGGTCGCTGAGGTAGTGGCCAATCTCGCCACCGGCAAGGTCGAGGAATGGAAAGAAGTTTCCGAAGTCATGCCAACCCTCACCCTCGAGGATTTGGATGTGATGGAGCGCATTGCTCGCAAGGACGCTCGTGTGATCCGTGCCTGCAAGGAAATCGGCATTACCGACATGAACAAGGTCTTCCTGGACGCATGGGCCATTGGAATCGACGAGCGCTGGGGCTACGAGCGCCGTCTCCAGCAGGGTCTGGCTTACTACCGTAACTCTGAGTTTGACAACCAGTACGCCCACCCTCTGGACTTCAGTGTTGTCGCAGATACCGAGACCGAAGAGGTTCTAAGTGTCGACGTCCGCTATGTCAACGGCGAGCGTACCGCCATTCCCATCAAGGAGCACAACTACCTCCCCGAGTTCATCGGTGACAAGTACAACCATGATCGCCTCAAGCCAATTGATATCACCCAGCCCCAGGGCGTCTCTTTCAAGGTTCGCGGCAACGAATTGACCTGGGCCAACTTCAAGATGCACATTGGCTTCAACTACCGTGAAGGTATTGTCATTTCCGATGTGCGCACTCACGACATGTATGAGGACCGCGAGCGCACTCTCTTCAATCGTATCTCCGTCGTCGAGATGGTCGTCCCCTATGGCTGCCCTGAGAAGCCCCACCACAAGAAGCACGCCTTCGATGTCGGCGAGTACGGCACCGGTCTTATGACCAACTCCCTCAAGCTAGGCTGTGATTGCAAGGGTGCAATTCACTACATGGACGGTGTGATGTCCACTTCTAAGGGTGAAGCCGCTGTGATCAAGAACGCCATCTGCATTCACGAGGAGGACAACGGCCTCCTCTACAAGCACACTGACTACCGTGATGGTACTGTCATCTCCGCCCGCGATCGCAAGTTGATCGTCTCCCAAATCATCACCGCCGCCAACTACGAATACGGCTTCTACCATACCTTTACCCTGGATGGCACCTACAAGCTCGAAATGAAGCTCACCGGTATGCTCAACACCTACTGCATGCACCCTACCGAAACAGCCGCCCCCTACGGCACAGAGGTTGCCCCTTCAATCAACGCCCACAACCACCAGCACCTGTTCTCTCTCCGCATCGACCCCGAAATCGACGGCACAAACAACTCCATCATCCAAAACGATGCTGTCTCCGCTGAAGCTGCCGTTGGCTCCCCAGAAAACTTCTACGGAAACGGCTTCTACAGCAAAAAGACTCCCCTCCGCACATCTCTCGAGGGCGCAGCAGACTACTGCTACGAAACCAATCGCAGCTGGGATATCATCAACCCCAACCGTATGAACGCCATCGCCAAAAAGCCCGTCGCCTACAAGATCCTCAACAACAACTGCCCCCCGATGCTCGCCAAGCCCGGCTCAACAGTCTGGAAGCGTGCTGCCTTCGCTCGCCACCCCCTCTGGGTCACCCCTTACAAGGACTACGAGCTCTTCCCTGCTGGTGACTACGTGTGCCAGTCCAACGGCGAGGACGGACACCCCCACAACTCCACGATTGCTGACTGGGCGGCCCGTGATGAGAACATCGAAAACACCGATATCGTCTGCTACTTGCAGTTCGGCCTAACGCATTTCCCACGTACGGAAGATTTCCCTATCATGCCTGCCGAGCCGGTCAGCATCATGCTGCGGGCTTCGAACTTCTTCGAGAAGAACCCTGGTCTGTGGGTGCCTCCTTCTGCTATCTGTGTTGATACGCAAAGTAAGAGTGCTTTCCCTTCTTCTTGCTGTGCGCCGAGTAAATCGCGCATGTAAGGGTTGGCATTGTGTTTGAAAATGGGTTTAGTTTTGTACATAGTAAATAGTAAATAGTCCTGCCCTCTTGTTCATATAAGATTGATTTGATCAAATTGTCCTCTTTCTTTGTTGTCTTAGTATCCGGTATGCGAATATGTCTTTCCATCTCTTTAATCATCCTGATACATCTTCCTTCAATAAACACTGTCTAGAAGAGGCAAGCCGACAAAATAACCCTCTTCTCTCACTGCGCCTAGCCCTACCGACATTGGCGAGAAAACTTGACATGAGAGGCAACGGCCCATGTGAAACGCTGAGTATCGCAATACCATGGCTCTTTTACGAACAGTATAATTGTGAAAGGACAGCTTCTGACAAAGGGAATCATACACAGATAGGAGGGTGAACGTCAAAGATACAATCTTAATCCCTCTATATACATTTCAAAATCTATGCACAAAGCGCTGAAAGACCCTCTAAATAACATTCTTCAGTTCCTGCCCAGCAAGCAAGCGTCTCAAGTTATACCCAATGAGAGCCTCGGCCTCACGAGGCCGACCACCAGCCGCATGAGGCGAAAGCACCAAATTAGGCGCAGCATAAAGCTTGGACTCCTTAGGCAGCGGCTCAACAGAGAAAACATCCAACGCAGCACCACCAATGCGGCCCTCCTCAAGCGCACTAACAAGCGCGTCCTCGTCAACAGAAGTGCCACGACCAACATTCACAACCCAAGCATGCTTGGGCAGCAACTTCAAGCGCTCAGCACTCAAAGCACCATTAGTACTCGCAGACCCAGGCAAGATCATAACAAGCGCATCGGTCTTAGGCAAAATGTCCGGCAACGAATCCTCGCTGACAACGTGGTACCCATCACGCACGCCAGCGGAGCGCGCAACACCCGTAACATTCGACCCGAGAGCCGTGAGGACAGGCGCGAGTTTCTTGGCGATGTTGCCGAATCCCCAGATGGTGATGTTGGCACTCTTGAGTGTTTTGAAAGTTCCCGGCTCGCGATCTCCCTGCGGCCCACCAAGATGAGCGGGCCAGACGCCCTTGTTTTGGTAGTCGCGCATTTCATAGAATCGGCGCGCAGAATTGAGTAGCAGGCCGAGTGTGTGTTCGGCGACTGTTTCGTCGTGTAGGCCAGAGCCGGTGGTGATTACGATGCGGGAGGCGTCGAAGCCGGCGGCGAGGACGTCATTGGGTCCAGCCGCGAGGGATTGGATCCAGCGGAGGTTTTTCATGCGCTTGGCTGCGTCTTGCAGGTTGGTGGCTTTGTTGGCCCATGTTACGAGGAAGTCGGCGTCGATGAGAGATTCCGGGATTGGGACGGTGACGTCGTAGGGGTGCAGGGTGACGGAGAAGCCTTCGAGGAGCTTTGTGTCGAGGTGGAGAGAGGTTGGGTAGAGGAGCTTCATTTTGGGGGTTATTTGTTTGGTGAGGCTTGTTAGGCGGGTGAGTGGTGACATTGGGAGTGAGGGGTGTCTTATGGTGAATGTTCAATTGCCGCGGGGATGTCGGCGGAGCTCCGCCATCGCCGACCGGGGGACCTCCGGTTACGTGGGGGTGGCATTCGTTACATGTGGGATTCAATGTGGGATCAATTGAGAGAATTTGATTGCACTGAATGGAATATATTCGGTATTTAATATGTTTATTTGTTTATTATCCGAGGAAAGGGTATCAGTCAATTAGGCATCGCCTATAAGCAACAAGCACATAGCTAAATGAGAAAAATATACAAACAAAAAAGAATATAGTAATGTACGGGACAGAACATAAGAAGCCGGAAACCCATCTCCGATTTTTCCACCTATCAAGAGGCGTCTTTCTCGATCTCATCATCATCAACAGCACCAGTCCCCGTCAAAAAGAAATCAAGCTCACTAGGCCCGCCCTGGGAGTTTTCATTCTCGGCAAGCTGTTCGAGTAAACTAAGGAAAGGATCTTTCTCAAGAGACCCGCCCTCGCTACCGGCTGTCGTGTGGGTACCACTAGTCTGGGACTGAGCACCTGGCGTAAGGGCGGTGGGACCTTGCGTCATTCCATTTAGAGTTGCGTGAGCGGCGTCGAAGGGGAAGGTTGCATATTGGGGATTCGAGGGGGGTGTTGGGGCTATGGCTAGGGCGGATTCGGATAGGAAGGCGGGTGGAGAGAGACCGAAGGTTGAAGGCGAGAAGCCGGTTGGGAGGGAGAGGTGATTTTCTGAGAGGTCTCCGCCTGGGAGCGAGAAGAGTGATGGAAGAGAGGGGGATTGGTGGTTGGGTGGTGGGTGGAATTGAAGGCCTGGGGAGAGAGAGGCTGCATGAGGGGGTTTCTGGGAAATCGATTGAGAATGGGAGTTTCGACGGTCGGTGTCCGGGCTGTGTATTGTTGCCAGTGGAGTCGATGGTGCTGGTCTTGTACTTGAGTAGTAGGAAGATGGGGTTTGGTAGGAAGGTGCTCCCATCGGGCGTTGGTAGTAGTGATCTTGACGGTCGATGTAGTTTATAGTGCTGATGTAAGGGTCAGTAACTAGCGAGGGTGGAGCAATCTAGCCATGAGCACTTACTCCGGTGCCAGGTCATCTCCTGTGTCTACCAGCCGGACATGGGATCCATCCAATGTCAAACCGGGGTATCGGTCGAGGAAATCTTCAAGATGGAAAACCGGCGAGAATCGCATGGGACTACTCGCAAGGTTGCGGACCAATTCAGAGTGACAGGTGTAGATGGTCTGAAGCAATTCGCGCTGGTGTTGCACACCAGTCCAAATTCCTCTCAACCATGCAAGTTGGTGCATCTCGCGAGTCAAAAATTCTGCGCTGGAGGAAAAGACTTCACCCTCACGGCCCTTGTAATGCACACCGTGAACATGAACCGTGCCGGCGGTGCACACACAGTAACCGACAAAGGCAGGCCACTCAACCAGCGGAGAGTTGCGACCCAGTTCAACTAGCTCGGCAATGGCATTGGAGTGTGAGAAGCACAGATTAGTAGCCTCGATTTGCCAGGACTGATGCTGGCCTGTGCCTCGCAACTCTACCAAATCAATTGGCAGGAATGGGCGATATATCAAACAATGCACAAGATGGTAGATCAATTTGCTCAGCAGAAGAGTTGTGCTCTCGGGGTGGCCGAACAATGCGTCAATTGATGCGAAGACGTCCTGCGTACCAGCTGCCCAGATATCCAATTCTTGTCTGATTTTGGAAAGATTAGAAAGAGCGTGCCATGGGAAATGAGAATCGCCCTTGACTCCGCCAGCGGCGAGATACTTGTTGGTCACCCCAAGAATGCGCGTTATATCGATCAGCAAGGAGGCAGCGCTCGGTGACTTGCGACGGGAGTCTGCTGAGTATTGAATGTTCGGTCCAACATGAAAGAGCTCCCCTTCCATGTTCAGACCTGCTGCGTGGGGTGACCATGACGGCAGACGCAGGACAACCGAGTGGTCGGAGATGAGACATGGGCGCCGAGATCCGCAGTTGATGAATCGATCCATCAAATAGACGGACCAGAACAGCCGGCGCCTCATTTCGCGCTCAGCAGGTGCAACGTTCATCTTAGAGGGAGCTTCGCGATACAAATCTAGCGCGACAATCATTGCAACGCAATTTGCTGTTTATCGTTAGCGGGCTTCATTCGATCGCGAGAGAAAACATACAGAAAGTCATGTAGGCTTTCTTTCCAAGGCCATAACCGTAGAAAGCCTGCGAAAGTAACAGTAGCGTCTGCAACCCTTCTACCGTGGGGTTATCGACATCAATCATGCGCCTAGCCTGTAATGCTGTGTCAAGTCCTGTGCGCAGCGACTGCTCCACTTGGCCTAGTGAAGTGGTGTATCTGAGCAGCGTTAGCAAAGAGCGCAAAGGTTCCAGCCGGATCGTTTTACCTCGACGCTATTGCCGAAATAGCCATGGCCAGAAATGTAGGTAATTGATTTGATTGATGACGCTGTCGCGTTGTCGCCTCATCCAAAATGTAAAACGGCTTCCCATGCAGTCGCACAAAATATAGGTCCAGGAGCGCATCCGACAGAACGCCATTATGTGTTGGCGATGGCTGAACATTTGCGGAGGAATGAGCAATCGGCCTGGGAAAAGGATCCACCTGCGACAAGTGATTCTGCTGCGATCGCGAGTCCGAATAATTGAAAGATGTATCAATGGTATTGCGACGAGTGGGGAAGGTCGGAGGTTCGTCGGGAGTATCGGGGGAAGTAGGCGACAAAGGATTCTTTTCATCGTGCAGTCTTTTTTCGAGGCCATCAACTCGTTTCAAAAGCGCTTCTAATACATCGGTCTTTGGTCCCCGCTTCTTGGGAACGGCATCTGCACTAAATTAGCAAATTAATCGTATGATGTGGACTGTTGGACTCACCATATACACAAGGGCACTGGAAGACCTTACATGCCTCGCAGCTCGGTCGCAAGCGATTGCATTTGATCTGAAGCGAGTTAGAGACTTCGGGTTGCAGGAATCCAGATAATCCTGACCTTGCGCTTGCGACAGGATTTGCAGTTCATTGTTTCGCGTGGCTCGACCGTCGCACGGCGGGGTGTGAGACGGTCGATGCTGACCTGAGGACGAGACATGGCACCTACATGGAATTGAATGACAGGAGGAGAAAGAGAAGAAAAGAAAAAGACCTCGGCCAAGAGGGACAAGAAATCAAGAGCATGGCTGTGGCGTTTGGGTCTATACCATTTCCGACTTTTTGCGGAGGAAAGAAATGCGGAGAAGTGAAGTGATGTGCCGCCGGACTTCCCGAATTTGGTTACTTACGTTTCTACTGCAGTCTATATACATTTGGATGTCTTCTGTTCTTTGAATTGGATTATAGCCACCATATACTACTCTATTCACAACCAGATATTCCAATATACTTTCAACTCCTTAATTTACTTATGCTATAAATTCCTAAACTATCCCACTTAGTGAACGCCCAGACTCCGGGGAATTTGCTTCTTTCACACCATCTCCGTTAGGGCTTCGACACTAACATCCGAGACGATCCAGGTACCCTAACTGGTAGTTTAACTGGTCTAACTGGCCTAATAAATAACTTGAAAGCCTCATGACCATCACGGGGTACTTAAATCCCGCTTGGACCCTTTTTTCTTTCGCAATTTACCCGACCACTTATGTTTACCATGCTAACTTGGTGCTAGTTGTAAGCCTAGTCTGAGTTAGTGCCTTCAAAACCCCCCGGATTCCACTGCGGCATTTACATTAATTAGTTCCCAGGAGCCTGCTAAGCGCTACTACTGTTTTGGATACGGAACATGGCTAATCCTGGTACATTTTGACTTTCTTCAGAGTCGATATCACATACTAAGTAGGAAAAATCCCTGCAAGTCCTGGCATTCAGTGAATTATTTCCTGCATATTCTGTGACATAGAATTTATCCAACCGAAATCTTAAACTAATGCACGTTCTATACACTTAATTTACAGAATGTCTAATCTGGCCTTTTTAGGGAGTACAAAATATAGAATCTACAATACTGGAAAACTAAGCCAAACCCCTCCCCCTCCTAACAAACTCCGCCATATCCTTCGCCGACGCGGACCCCATTCCCTCCAATCCCTCAACAACCCCACCGCGATCCTTAACCCCCTTCTCCTGACTAACCTTAAAACGACCCTCGATTCGGGTAATGTCAATGCGCATACCGACGAGATTCTTCAACAAAGTAGCAATGTACTCCAGTGGCGCATCGGCGATTTTCCAAGGCGTCGGCGATGCCGTGCCGCTACCGCTACCGCTAGTGTCCTTCCCCTGATTCACCCCATCCCCAGAGTCCATGCTCCCGGTTTGAGAACCCGAACCCGAGCCAGAAGCATTTTCTTGGAACCCCATAATACCCTCCTCGCCCAGCTTTGCTAGATCGCTAAGCTGCTGTCGCAGGAAAATTTCCGTTTGTGGGTCTTTAGTGTCGTGGTAGATTGTTGCGCGACCGTAGACTTGTACAGCAGCGTAATTCCATGTTGGCGCGACACGCCCTGCTGGTTTTGTCTCGGGGTAGAAATTAGGTGTGATGTAGTGATCGACTGGGCTTGTGAAGACGATCAAGACTTCGCCGGGGAGGATATGGCCAACGGGTTCTGGGTTCGTGGCCGGGGTCTCGTCAGTTGGGAATGCCCCTGGGATACTGCTTGTTTTGGGACTCTCCGAGGCCTCGACCATCGCTTTGGCTTGTGGATTTTGGCGGGCGATATGGCCGCGCATAGTGCCTAATGAATGTGGTGGCGCGCCGGCTTCATTTTTCCTGGCGAAATCTGAGACTTCACTGTCTAGGACCCAAGGAATGTGGCTGCATTGAAGGGTGGGGTGGTTTTCTGAGGGAAGGGAGGTGGTGAGGACGCCGAGAGGGTGTTGTTTGATGAAGGCGTGGAGGGTCGGAAGGTCCCTGATCGCATGGTCTGGGCGAAGATGCATTTGTTCTTTTCAAAATGAAGGCCAATAAGCTCAATGTATAAGGAAAAGAAAAGGCTGGGGTATCAAATTCAAAATAAGTTTGGCCCCGGATTTTCCGATAGCTTATCTATGCCAAGTAGTGTATACAATGCATTGTATACCGGGGCACACCTAGGCCTGCAGCCTCAACATACCGCTATTTATGTTTTCTGTGGTTTCTATTTCTCCAAGAGAATCGATGAAACTTATACCGATCCATCACGAAGTCCCATGTTTGTCCCACCTACCGATCTATATATTGAGCCCTTCACTAACCCGTTCACTTTAACGTGTCCAATTGACTTCCTTGCGACTTCAAAAGATCGGGATGACTGTCAGGAACAGCAAGGGTGACGAAGGTGGCCCCTTGCCAGGAATTAGCGGTCCGTTTGGCACAGCTGCCGTATTGTTCGAAGCGTGGGCCGACAGCGTCAAGCTCAAGCTGGATAGAGAGGAGATCGCAGCCGTGATGCCGAGAACATCATTCCCAGCAGAACGGACGGTCTCAATTATCGAGAACTTCCCATTGCAGATTAAGCGATAGCTAGCCGGCTGACTCTGCATAACGAAGGGTCATTCCCTCTAGACCATGATGACTTACTTCACAATAACATCATGGGAGATCAGAATAGCTTCGAGGTGACCGGGATTATCGACTGGGAGGGCGCATGCACGGTTCCCTTGAAGCTCATCAGCTTCCCTGAGTTCCTTGCCTCATTGCCAGTTGCCTTAGGCTCCCCTGAGAGCTATAATCTAGATGGATAGCCGCTTGATGAGGAAGAACGAGAAAGGTGGTGCTAGCGAGCGGAGTATATTAAAATGATAAGATCGGCCGAGCTTAAAGATAACCTGCTCTCAGACTGCCTCAGTGGTAGGAGGAGCCAGACTTTAGCTTATACGTATGGGGCGTATACTTTTATTGAAAAGATGGATCTATATGATCGAGCCCTGGAGTCATTCAAGAGTTGGACAGTGAGAAATAGACTTCAAGCAGCGAAGGAGAAAGTTGGGCTGAACAGCAGATGTAGTAGTGCGTCAACATGCATAGGGAGTGTTGATCTCCTTGCCACCTATTTTTCCTAAATAAGACTGATAGCTAGCTTATTAATATGTTACAGAATTCTAGCCTTCTAGTTGAGTCGAAGACATATCGCCCTCAAGAGCATGCTTATTTTTCACAGAATGGGCAAGGAGACAATGCCACCAACATTGTACCAAACACAGCAAACGCAATGCATTTCTAGTAGAGAACCCAAAGAAACATAAAACTCCGACCCAAACACCGTCCCAATCAAATCTATTGCATAAACAACAGACAAGAAAAGGAATCGAGACATGGAACCAGCCACCAACTAAGCTAAAACAAAGGCCTCCCAGATGCCATGCGCACAAAGTCAAATGGCACATTCTGCCCAACAAGCAGCCTAAGTGTCTCAACCGTCGTCCATGCACTAACATCCTCCGCCCCATATGCCGTCCACCCAGCCCCAGTAGCAACAGCAAGGGGATCACCCTTCCTCGGCCCACTAGTAAGATCCAGATAAACCTTTCCACGGGAAGAAGGCGACGACCGACCATTCACACCGTAATGCCGTAATAACGGCTGCACGAGCAGCGATTTCTCAGGTGGCAGCGCAGAGACAATGACAAAAGGCTGCTCGACCAGTTTGACGGACTGGATGGAAGTGAAGGGTTCCAAGCCCGCAGACAATGGACCAGAGGCTTTGAAGCCGACTGTATAAATCGTGCCAACGTCCAAGGAGCGGAGAGCGAAGATCGCAGGCGAAGCGTCTGCCTCGGAGCCGGCGAGGATAATCGCCGCCCGGGTGCTGTAGGCTGAGGGTACGTATTCACGCGTCAGAGTCGCGCGAATACCCTTCCAAGCGGCGTTTTCTCCAATGAACCGGGATTTACCCGCTGCATCACCGACCATGGCGATGGTGTCGACTAAGCCGATTGCGCGGGCTGCGTCGCTCACTGCTGGGATGTAGGAGGTAGCGCTTGTTACTGGGGGGTTGAGGTAGGCGCCGCCAAAGTGTGGGTGCGAGAGGATGGATTCCATGGAACCTTTGGGGCCTCTATCAACAGATGAGAGGTTGTGCGGAAGGCCAAGCTCGTTCAGGCATTTTTCCATAAACATTGATTGTGGGGTTGAGCGGAAGGATCCAATTGCGTAGAGATCACGCTTAGGGAGCTGGCCCATTATGTGCAGGGCTTCGTTGATCTCAGCTGCGGTTAGTTGGCCCGGGGCTGCAATCATGGGAAGGAGGGGGTGAGTGATTGGCGAAAAGACAGTGTTCAGGGCTCTGGAAAGCTGGCCCATCTGGCCCATGTTCACTGCTGAGAGGAGAGGGCCGGTGCCGCGACTTTTGACTGTTGAGCGGAAGTATTCTAGCTCGTAGTTTTCCTCAATTGTGTGGACCATGGCAATCATTTTGACGATATCAGCGTATTTGGCGCTTTCATTGAAGATGCGCTGTGCTTCTTCCGAAGTCCATTTCCAGTTTCCGGAGAAGTCATGGAACGCTGAAAGAATCATGCTGTGGCCCTTCTTCTCAAACAGTTGTCGTCTGATATCTTCCGGCAGCCACAATTCAACATCAATATACTCGACTCCCCACCGAATCGCCCGCCGCAAGTACTTGTAGAAGAGCGCAGGATCGTCAACCGGAAACTTCCCGTTCTCCCGCGTACACCTCACAGTAAAGATAATCGGTAACTCAGTATGCTGCCTCAACAGCATCAACTGCTGTCCAACATACTTAAGACTCGGAACAGGCGGAGCGACCCCCTCAGCCGGCTCAACTAGCAAATCAACACGGATCTCCACAGCATCCGACCCAACAGACAAAATATCTAAGTTCGGCAAAGCAGCATGCACATCGGGGAAAGTAGTCGAGATAAAGTTGGTGCGGGTCTTCGTGCGCAAGTCATCATGTGGCCTGGTCTGGCCAAGAACCAGCGACAAGAAGCGAGAGAGATCACGCCGCAGGAACGGACTCTGCGAATATAAAAACTCATAGTCGCAACTCTCGCTCAGCGAGTCCTCCGGCGCAGACCCATCTTCCACACAGTATGTGTTCACGAGGACTAACGACGATCGCTCACATCCTTGCAAGCCCCGCGCTAGATCGCACGCTAGAATTCCGATAACTGCGTCGCGCGCGCGAATGTCCCTCGTCCATGGCTTCCCCAGTACCTCCGCAACCAGCTGCACGATATGTTCCTGGTTCGCGCCGTGGACTATAACCACTGTGCTAGTGGGTTGCTGTGGGATTGGCGGTGTGGGCTGGTCTTCTTTGGGGGTGGGCGCTGGAGCGGGGAGGATAGCGACGTTTGAAATGGAGACATTGCTTTCTGGGCCCTGGGCCTTGAGAGGCGGGACGGGATCGAGGAGCGGCGTCGGCGTCGCCATGTGCGGGATGGCAGTCGGAATCATCGCATGCCAGTGTGCGTTTTCATACTTGATGAGGGAGATTCTGTGATTGATTTCGTTTGTCTGGGCGAAGTCAAAGGGGGCAGGCAGGTTTCAGAACAATATCACGGGAATGCGTTACAGGTATCCGCGCACCGGATATTTAGTGAAATCGGAAAAGGAGAGAACACCGAAACGGACTAGCTTGCTATGGGGTAAAGGGCTGGGCAATTGGGCAATTGGGTAAAGGCTGCCACTTAATAGCCAAACAGGAAGGGTTATGCATTTGAGGCGACATTCGATGGAAGAACTTGCGGAAGTTCTAATGCGCAGCACTGGATCGACGGACGACGGACGCGGGGAAAAGTGGGAGCGGCTTTTGGTTTCTCCGCCAATCAGAGCAGAGCATTGAAGTATACTACTTTATCACTAAGTACAACTTTAGAAGGTGACATTGTTTTTATTTGTACATTGTTATAGTATTACATATATACATATTGTGTATATATATACTGTGTAGGTTATGGCGATTAACTTTCATTTGCCGTATTAGCCTGCCGTGGAATATCAGCCTATATAAAACTCAATACCCACTGCAGCCTCAGATCCTGATTGCTGACAAGGGCTCTATGCTACCCTAAGAATGGGCTGAATTGGCTAAAATGGCTGAAAGGATCTGATACGAGGGAAAACAAAAGAGTTACACCCTCGGTCAGAGCCAATTATCGGCTCCGAGAACGATACTACCTAATGTGTCATGCAATCTCCCGTCTGTTGGAGGACAAGCCAACGAATCAGACATCTAGATTTCCAAGGCATATCACTGTAGAGTTACAGAGCGAGGACTACAAGGACGGCAAGGACTGCCAAGGGCAAGATCTCAAATATAGTACCATGTTCAAAGCATATACATCACATCTTGATCGTCCTGTCAAGCATAATTAAGTGTTGTAAAAGAGGATCACAAGCATAGACTCAAATTTACTCAGGCACAAAAGAGCAAGAGAAATCAAAGATCCGCCCAATGTATTTCAAACAGATAATGAGAGGAGAATACCAGCCAAATCAACGGGAGGGTATTGGGCAGCAGGAAAAAATCCGAAACAGATGAAAAGCAAAAAAAAGTATTGTGGAAAATCAGGTATGTATTCCACAAATAATCACCACAGATGGAATCGCGCTTTTTTTCGTTCACGATTCCGAGCATCAAGCCGGAGTCAAAAACACTAACACTATGTACGACAGACACGACGGCGCGACTGTTTGACGTGAAGACGTCAGCCTGAAAGGCAATAAGGTTCGGAGAAGAGAAGGGTGTGGCTATCCAAGTGTACCGGTTGAGACCGAGACGCAATGTCGAACAAACGAGGTTCCTGCGAGGTGGAGGCGAGAGGCAGCCGAGCCAGCGGCGATAACTCTTGTCACCCGAAACCAACGCAATAATCTGTCTGCGAATGGACGAAGCAATCAAAGCGGGTCAGGCCGAGCCGACTCGGAAGAAAAGTTTCAGGTTCAAGAGAGACGTATTGGGGAAGCCGTGCAGGACCCACCCACAGGGTAGATAACGATGGAAAGACGGAGTACGTTGAATCGCACCAATTAACTCGGGGGAGAGATAGCGAGTCCATTCATGAGTTTAGGTAGGGGCTTTCTACGGGCAGTGTTGGCCGTCTTAGAGACTCGTGGTGCGCCGTGGATCATGCGGGGTTCGGTCATTAGACTTGTGTCTAGTTTGGCCGGTGCTACAAAATCGTCAGTTGGGAAGAAATTTAGTGATTGGGCTTTGCATACCTCGTGTGACAACCCTGCCGTAATCGGCTGAGAGATTGTGCTGGCTGCGGCTACTTGGGGCGAAGAAGGTGGCGTTGGCTGTGCGCCAGAGGTGATTGGAGGTGTCAGATAGGAAGTCTGTTGTTGAACGGCCGGAGAAGATGGAGGTGCGGCCGCGATTACGCTTTGAGAGGACAATCTCGTCGAACAAGGCCATTCGAGGTTCTTTAGACTTTGGACTTGTTCGCTCTCGGTCACTAATAAACTCGTTGAAGCCTGTGAAAGGGTCAGTATCTCTGTGGCAATTTGATAGAGAGATGGCATAGCTTACCTTGTGTTTGTTGCAGAATTGCAATGTAGTCAGCATGCTCACTTGGAAGACTCTTCATGAAAGCCTCAATGTTGAAAGCATAAAACATGCCCGATTTTTTCTTATCGCTACTAGCAGGCGCAAGGAACTTCTTGTACGTGTAGAATAAGCTAGCGAAGCACCTAACAAATGCAGCGCGAATCTGATCGGGATGGAAAGCAGCATCACATGGCAGACAGACCATAGATGCACAGCGGTTGTGAACAGTGAGCTTACACGCGGAACACTTGTACATGCCTTCCTCTGCCTGCTCATCACAGATAGCACATGTCAATTTCTCATCCCAAATCTGGACCTGGAAGAAGTGGCCCTCAACCCAGCAAGTGCCCTCGTTGTTTCCGATTGGTTGCATGTTGGCCTGTGGGACAATCGTGGACGCAGCAATAGTAGACTGCGCATAAACGGATGGGGCGTATGTGGATCCACCACCATACTCGGTGTTGAGTGTGGTGACCGAAAGATTCGATGCGTGACCCAAGAATGGAGCGCTTGGTCGACGAGTCATTCCCATTCCGTGTGACGAGCTTCGGCGCGAAGCGGCATCAAAGTGACCAGACCGCTTCTCGCGCAAAGAGGCCTGTAATGCCATACCAGAATCATTACGTGATGAGGGAGTAGGTGGAGGGGGAGGGAAGTAGCCGGAGGTAGGCGAGCATTCTCGTGGGGATGGCGGGGATGCAGCAGCTCTGGTAGTCGAGCTAGTCCCAGGACGTTCGTTGCCTCGGGAGGAATATCCACGCGATGGACCAGCCTCATTGCGGGCATGCGCGAAGACATTGAAGATCGGGGGTGAGTAAGTGCCTGGGAGCACGGCTGTTGCGCCGAATGCGCTGGAGTTCAAGGCGACATATTTGGCGAGATTGGTTGCTGGAGCTTTAGAAGTAAAAGTAGCCTTGCTCTCAGTCATGAAGGAGTCCCATGGGTATGTCTCGATTGCATATGCCGGGGGTCCTGTGGGAACGTGACATCGACCGTGGTGAGGAGCTGCTAGTTGCAACAAGGACAACAGCTTTCTGCGTTGATGACGCGGGAGAGCAGTGGGTTGAATGGTGCTCTCGATCATGTTGTTATCCAAATCAATGAGAACAAAGTCGTCAGAGGGCAGTTCCACCTTCTCATACCGACGCTCGATACCCACGATGTACGGACAAGGCGCCTCGAGGGCTTGAATCAAGCGGGCTGGAAGAACAGGAATGAGAACGCCCGTCCATTCCAGAGGGAACAGGAGATCGACTAATGCCCTTGTCGCGAGATACAGCATGGATGTGTGGGAAGACAGGAAGATGATACGGGACTCGGTGAGAGCATACTATATCCGATCAGCTCTGCAAGATTGATCCAAAACAAGCAAAAAACTCACCTCGAAGAGAATAATGATGTTCGGAACCGATAAAGTTCGGAACAAGGCATACAGGTCCGTCTAGGAAACAGTCAGTAAGAGTTTCGGTCAAGGAACTCAAATCAAAATTGCAAAGCACATACGTTCCGAGAGCCCGGAATCTCATTTGGGGCCTCTTTCCGTGCAAATAACCGCAGCTCACGGATCGCAAGTTCGACCTGTGTCTTGGAAGATATGGGGGCGAACGCTTCTGTGCAGAGATTCATCACGTATCGCTCCAGCGGCTGCCATACTCCCATCCGCGGTGAGGGCGGAGGCACATGCTGCACAGTGCCTTCCGTCATGGGAACCACAATAGCCTTCAGCCACTCCTTCCAGAAGCTCGTCATGGTGCTCTCTCGGCCCAGGATACCGTACGCGCGGGGGATCCAGAATCCAGTATCACCATCGGTCAGGCCTTCGATTTTCGAGGCTGCGCCGTGGCGAACGGGACGCAGGAGGTCAGTCATCAGTCCGATCTTTTCTTCCACAGCACTGATTTCATCCTCGAGTTGTTCGCGAGATTCGGACCCTGATGGGACTGTCGGTAGCTGGGCTAGGAGCCTGGATAGCTTGGCCCGCTCCGATGCCAATCGTTCACCTAAACTTGCAGCAAGTTCACGCTCCTCGTCTGTCATGTTGTCTTTCCGCCATTCCTCACAACGCTTCTCGAGCTCATCCGCGGCATTCTGGTTCAGTGGGATCCAGATGATCACGCAGATGGCGTGTAACCTGGACCCATTATCCGTTGTCATGGCAAACCCATGCCAAGTGGATCGCGGTCGCTGGTCGGAGGATACGATGTTGATATCATTCGGGAAAGCGAACATGGGAACGTAATCGGGGAAGTTACCACGCTGCTTCAGCTCATCCGGCATGCTTCGTGTGGGGTATCGGTCGAGGAGGACAGGCTCGAATCGCCGTTTCAAGGGGTGCATTGTAGGGGAGATCTCGAGAGGTTGAGGGACAGGGATAACCGAATTATAATTGCTAAGTCGACGGGAGGTTCGCACCGAAGCTGGCAGAGCTGGTCAGCCCAAAAAAGTCCCGAGTATCATATCCAACTCAGATAAGGCCTCATATCAATTCTTACCTTGACGAGCAACGGACGGTTGTCGTTTCATGCTATTCATATCGCGAAAGGCCATGTGTCGCCGTACGCTGCCAATGCCGGACCGGAGCAGGTTCCCACCGGGGGAGGATGAATCCTCCGGGACAATCTTCTGTGTACGAACCCGGGATCGCGGGCGGGTATTCGGGGTAATAGCGCCAGCACTCAGGCTCAAGTCTGTCAGAAAGGAGTCGCGCTCATTGGCAAACTTATACAACGCGGAGTCGAAATCGAAGTCTTCCGTGAACAGGGCCGAGGCGCGCAGGGGCGAGGAGGTGCCTTTGACGGTCATGCTGCTGCGGTTGCTGTTGCTACCGCCATTTGCTCCTTCTGATGTCTTGGAAAGGGTGGAGAGTCGTTGGAATGAGCCCCGGCGACTGGCGCCATTGAAGAGCATGGAGTTTGGGCGCGAGGCATCGGGGTTGTGTTCCTCTTCTGCATCGGCATCCTCCTGGATTGTGTCTGCGAGAGCAGGACCGGGTGATACAGCAACATTGGTTCGGTAGTCTTCTCCCAATCTTTTGAATGTATCCAAGATCTCCGTGCCATCTACGCCGGCAATCCAGAAGTAATCGGCGAGGGGGGCGCCCTCCGAAGAGGAGCTTGAAGGCATTGTAGAGTCGCGGAGGACTGTAAATTAGTATCTTAATTGTCGCCACATCAGAGGATCAAGGTGAAGGGGGTAGGTAAAAATGGGGGAACGGGAGGGAGGGGCAGTTGAGAGCGAAGATCAATTTCGGGTTGAACTTCTTAACGTTGTATTGAAAAAAGGAGTTGCACTTTTTTTTCTTTCCTCTTTTTTATTACTTTGTTTTTTTTCGCAATTCCTCTGTTTCATTGTTTTATCATTCTTTTACTTAGTAGGTTTTTCTATTTATTCTTTAATAGTAGGCTATGTCAACATAAGTACCAATTTCTTTTCTTTTTCTACCGGGTAGTTGCGTGTTAAAAACCTACAAATATTCGTGCACTTATCCCGAGTGTGCGGTTACTCCAGACTTTAACAATAACAAATCAGAGAATCTAATGATCCATTATGGTACAATCAAATATATAACATCAATATAATATTCAATATTCAATTCTCTCTTCAAGGAACCTTTCACAGCCCTAGCCATACACAAGAGTCTGACACCGTAACGACCTGCAGGCCTTCTGCAGGACAAGCTCCAGACTTCCGGGTTATCGAATCATAATACAGACTTGTTATACATTTTATATTACTTTTTGTAGCTTATTATAATTGCATGGCAAGACTTCTATCTTGTATACGGTGTGGATATATCATCATACTTACATAAAGTTATGTAGGTTTCATACAGTCGCGATATAGGATATATACGGCTCCACAGATTAAACATCTTTTGTAGAGGTTCGGTGGAGCGCAATGAGAATTGCTTTCTTTCGGATATTCCGCAAATCCATGCCCAAGGATCAGGAATTTTTTGATCCATGGTTGTAGGGGCTCATTTATCATCGGGCGGGTCTTCTTCAGTCGTCTTGATATATGATAGATTATTTCAGAGAATCTTCAGGTCAACAACGTTCGTGCTTTGTACTCTTCGGCTTTATTGATATTGCGCTATGATACTTGGGGGTAACTAGCGGGATATTTTAGTTCTTCGACGTCGGGGGTGAGACATGGCGTTTGATCAATTTCTCTTTTAGGGGTCTAAGTCGGAAACGCCACAATGTCATTCTTTTATAGACTGGGAGTTCCTGGCGCATTTTCAGGTCTCTTTTGACTTTCAGGGGGTGAAATGATCGGGAAGTGCCGTTATTTAAGACCTCGGCTTGACATAGTGGCGTATATAGTTAGGGCTTTTTATAGATTAGAGCAAAAAAAGAAAACCATCAGTATTGTACACGTATATCTGTTCTTGATTAGGCATTTGTCTTCCTTTTTTGTATTCAGCTTTCTCAACCCGAGGTCGGATCTTTGACTTTCTCTACGGACATATTGGATTTGGAGCCAGGAGTCCAAGTGGAGTGGACTGCCCCCCGGGGAGACGATCCATACTGCTGTAGGAAAAGTGGAGAGTACTAAGGGTATCAGTTCCCACAGGTATTATCTATCTACAGAGTATCCTTCCAAGGTTGATTAACTTGATCGGAGCATTGTTAGACATAGCTGAACTATGAATTATGTATCTGGTCTAAAAGCGTCAAGATTAACATACATATGTATGCACATATGTAATAAGAAGAAGAATACTGAGATAACAGGAATTAAAAAGAATCCATTGGTTTAGACACCTCGGCTGACACCCGGACCTTACGTAGACCTCGCACCGGTAGCCATTTTCGTACAATTGCAAGGATTTCAAGGGTATCAACCGCACCTCCCCGTGCTTTACACATTAGTACAATATTGTAATGCTTACTCCGTACATGTGTACACATGCAGGATATTTGGATCCTCGACACGAGAACAAGCGGTGGATCTTAGCCCCAAACTCAGCTATCACATCGCGAACAAAGTAAAAAGATAAGCAATTCATCATCTACAACGAACTCTCTATAAACCTGATCACATACAGTATGCAGAAATATAGTTAGTAGAAGATACCGATATCTCAGATCGGGCAGAACCCAATTACCAGCCCAAGTCTAGACTCTTCGATTCCACAATGCCTAGATCTGGACTCCAAAAGACTCTGTATACATGCCCAAAATAACTATTTTCGATATGTGACATACCGTGCACTACGTGGCCTTGGGCCCGGGGAGAAATTCTTTTCTTTTTCTGCCCTAAAAAAATACCCGTCGGGACATCGGTAAGCACTGTGCGACAAACTTAAGCATGGGCTGCATCCTTTCCCCAAGTGGCGGCAGGGGCATGCGCGACTCGGCTGATAGATCGGAGCCTCAGGACTCATTTAAAGACTATATACCTATTCTATATGGGATATGGGATATGGGATATCCTAACAATTACCATGTACACCCATTGTACGGTAGGGAGAAACTGCCGACAAATTGATACCGTGTACCAGTGGGTCCCAGACAAACCGCCCTTGCGGCAAGCCATGCAACCCGCCGAAGGAACAATCGTAGGACAGCAGCGGAAAAGAACCAGTACACACCGCGTTTCAGGTGCGTTTCCGGCTCATCAAGTTGCCCGTCGTTAGGAATCCCTTGTCCCCCATTGCACCGCGCCATTCGATCGATAACTGGCCCAGCGTGGCACGTCCGTCCCGCTTCAAATCCTTTTGTAGGATTTCGAGGCCCTCGTTTTGGCCTTCTTCTTGTTCCACCAAGAATGCCACTTGCAGGACATCCCGTGGGTTAAGCGTGGGCAATGCCTGTAGGTCGGGATTTGTGCTGTCCCCGTTCAGCGATTTTGATTGGAACGGTGGCTTGGGATTTAGTTTCGTTTGCTTTCCATCCCCAGTTAGCGAATTTGCGCCCGGTCTGGTTTTACAGGTTTCAAGAGGTTTTTATTCTCACCTTGATTACCACGGCGCCTTCGCCCACGTTTTCCAGCTGTGCCTCCAGGGCAAATCGGAGTAATTTTGTTTTTCCATACGGACCGAGCGACTTGTTATCGACTTCCAGCGGCGGAAGCTCGGAAGCTTTAGTCCGCACGCTCAAACATGGCTGTGCCACAAATTGGTATAATTTGCGAAAAGTCCGTACCCGGCCACTAGCTGCCTGGGAATCTGAGCCGATTTTTGTCTCTGTATAGCTGACGCTGACGGCTAGCACGTGGTTCCCTTCCTCTTTCAGATCGAACTTCACGATCTTTTGTAATGACTCGCCGCTCTTTAGGCCGTCTGTTGATGCTGTGTCTGTGGGGGGGTCGAGCTCTAACGCGGCAACTGATGAAGGGGTTGTCATTTCCGCAACTATGCGCACGGCTGTAAGTACTCGTTCCTCGTCATCATCGTCTATCTCGTTATTCGCGCTGAGTGTGCATCCGAAGGTTTCCCCAACGTAGACGGATCCAAAGGATGGGGGCAGGGTGAGCTGTTGGGGTTAGCCTTGGGTTTCCTGTAAGAAATTCATAGTTGGGCTCACAAGAGGGGATAAAATAAATTGATCATCGGAGTCGCCCGATGGGTAACTTAGAGATGCTTTGGTTGAGATTGTGGTGTTCGACGTGGGGAGGGGGTACTGATAAGAGAGCGATGGCCGCGCAAGCCTATAGAGAGTCAGGACCTGGCATCGATGTCGATATGAATGGTGATGTTTACCGCAAGACTAATCAATCCACGATCAGCATATCCCTCTGACTGTGGGTTGTTTGTGGCGTACCTTTGAGAGACACAGCATGGGGTTCTTTCGGGGCATCGGCACCCGACAGAGCACGTGGACGTGCCATCGAGCGGAGGTTTGAGTATCAGCAGTATCAGTAGTAATTGAGTGGAAAATTAGATGCGTTTCTTGTGGACTTTGGAATATGAAGTCATATTGAAAGTCGAGATAGCGATAGGAAGCTCTTGAACAAACAATGCAAACATATTTCCAAATGGACCAATAGAATGAGAGGATCAATAGAACAAAGAGATAGACCCACCTTCCCGACTAGGCCAACCCCACAGGTGTAAACACTTCCTTCCCTTCCTTCCCAACTCTCCTTTCTTCCTTCCCCAAGGACTGTGCTGGGCTATGGAATAGGTTGTAGATACGAGGCATATCTGCTCGCGCTAAACAAGCGTGGGTAGACCTCTGTGGATACAATTTTAGGACACGAACATGGCTTGTCTACCGATCCTGCGTCGGAGAGTATCCTCTGGGCATCATACTGTGACTACACTTCTTGGCTCCAGACTTCGCTACGGTCCTGGATACGCTGGTTGTGGCTCCGCTGCCCGGATAGAGATTTGGCCATCGTGCTCTCGAGAATTCGAAGTGGTGCTGGCATCTACTCAAGGGGATGCTGTCTTATGACGAACACGATTCCGAGGACCATTTTTTGCCTGCATGAAGAGGACTCTGAGGGCATTCCAATAAACTCTTTTTATATTCTACGATGTTTTTTTGAGACTAGAAAAGATAATGGACAGTGATCGGATAAGAAACATGAATAGAAACAGTACATGTGTACAATGTGCACACACAATTAGTTTTCTTTGGTTGATATTCTATTTGATCATGGTGTATTTCAATAAAGCAGTTGGAAAATCCGTAGTTTAACTGTACATGCATTGCCTCGATAAGAAATTTAATCTACTTAGGTACCAGGTAGAATCCAACTAATTCAGTATCTATATGCATCCACTGCCCTTTTGAGAGCTTGTAACTGATCTGGGCTTTGTTTCAATGTATGCATGCGTTGAGTAACTTATTGTACAATAAGTAATTTTGTTCCATTGTATTCTTTATTGTCCTTCTGAACCAAAGGTGAAGTATTAGGAAGCGAATCAAACAGATGGTCTTAGGTCTTCAGATCCTTCCTTTACAGAACGTAAAATTCCCACGACCATAAAGAGCCCCTCAATTCCCTTTGCTTCTATTTTCCACTTCACTGCCCAAACGTCTGTCCACTCTTTTGATTCATTGCCCATGGTTCAACCACGGAAACCGAAGGCCAATCCAAAGGCCAGTCCACAGGACCACACCGACCCTCCTCAACTTTATCCAACAACCCCCCGGATACTCAGGAAGAGAGGGGTGGTCGACGAGCCCTCTGGCACTGAAAACAACCCAGCTGAGTCGCCAGTTACACCAAAAAAGCCACAGACGGCTGAAATGCCAACGCCTAAACTTCCACCAGATTTCCAGAAAATGCTCGGCAAGCGACGTACGCCAAAGACCGATCCGGACAAGGCAAATCAAGGACGACTCTCACGCTCGAAGGAGCAACGGTAAGTTACATGATAGAATCTCTGCTAGACTCTTTGGGTTTAATTTTGCGTCGTTAGGATGGTCATCCTTCACCACAACATTGATGAGGACTCCTGGAGTGCCAGCCCTATAATCACCTTCAAGATCGCAGGTAGTGTAGGGAACGTTTATACCACACTGATCAAAAAGGTCCCCAGTTGCGACTGTCCGGATAATACGTTTCGTCGTGCTCGCTGCAAGCATATCCTTTATGGTACGTTTTAGCCATGTCAGCTTCATCTTGACAAAGCTATATAGGTCCATACACATGGGCTTTCTTTTCGGTTTGTCATGTTAATGGTTCAAGAAGCGTTGGTGAATGCTCTCTCGGTGACTGAAGACGCCGTGTTTCAAAAGTCATTCTCCGAAGGCGTGAGTATAACCAAACCCCAAACCAAAGATGCCGCCTTTTAACTCTGTTTCGACGCAATTAGGACCTCGCCCAGATGATTAAATCATCAGCCTTGTCGCGAGTGGATAGGCTTGTTGCCGAAGCTTTCAAGGTTACCCCCAGCACTCGTCGAACCATCGAGGGTGAATGTGCGATCTGTTTTATGGAGATGGCGCAGACTGAAGACATCATCTGGTGCGAGAGGCTCTGTGGGAACAACCTGCATGACTCATGTTTCAAGCAATGGGCGGGGACATGCCACGGTACGGTAACCTGCGTGTACTGGTAATTGCTAACTGCTCCTTTCAACACCTATTCGAAGATGCTAACAGCTACCTGCAGCCGTGCTCCTTGGGGCCAACAAGATTATGATGCTCAAGTCGAATCAATCCTAGCTGCTGGCGTGCCGTCTGGCCAATATGTTAATGTGGCTAGCCAGCTTGGGATGTCCACTCAACGCGGTATGTGCCCAGTGATTACAACTTGATAATACCTCAATTGGCCTTTATCTCGAGGTCCTTTGTGAAATTATTGCTAAAATCTCCTGTTGTCTAGATCATTCGTTTTACCGTTTCCCTCGTCGCCCCAGTGGCCCTGAGGGCGAGGGCGAGGGCAAGGGCCCAGAGGCTGAGCCCTCTTCCCAGGTATCCCAATGATTTTATTTGGTTATCGATGATTTGTTCAACTGACTCTCCCTGCGCATGGTATTGTTTCGTTTCGAGAAGAAACAGTCTGTTGCCGGCAAGATTCGTTGTACGGGTGCAAGCCCTACAATACCAACAAGGGCGTTACCAAATTGTGGCATCTTATCGAAGCAATTTCTTAACAGCTCGAATATTTGGCGTTCAAATTCCTCATCGACATTCTGAATAGAATTTGAACACTAGCTCTGCAAGTTTACCTCACTGCAGTGCCACACATGGGCAGCATTATTGATAACCTAAAGATAAATTGATGGGATTTCATACACGTCCTGAACCAATTTGACTTCTTCCTCTAGCTATGAAATAGAATATGTATGCAATGAACAGGGAAAGCTGGAGAATATCTTCAGGAAAAGCTGTTAACGTGCCGGTTGAGTTCGACTACAAACCACAAGAACCAAAGCACACATTTCGAAGACACCATTGCGAAACTCACCATCTTATGCCCGAGATCTTGAAGAAGTATTTTGCAATATGCAGATGCCAATGCAACAAGACAAAACAATTCATTATCTGAATATGGGTATCATGCAAACCCCCAAAAGGCAACAAAACCAAGGGTACTACCCACAGTGCCTATAACGCCAAAAACCCTAATTAAACAAAATTCTTCTATATATCCCTTCGAACCGATCGACCTCGCCTCACAGTCGCAACGCTGACACCCTCTTCGCCAGTCATCCACGAGGGCATGCGCTCCGGATCAACGATACCCAACTCGGCAAGTTTACGAATCCCACTGACAACATCCGAACCAGCAAATGTAAGCGAGACAGCAGGGAGCGTGGAGTTCGGATCATCATCCTCGTCATCTCCAGAGCCAGGTTTATCAAGAAGTCGAATATCAAGACGGTCGAGTGGTGCCGGCGCAAGTGCCGATCCCGTGCCGAACCGGGAATGGATTGCCAAACGACGTTGCTTCGATACCGGCGATAGTGGGCCATTTTCAAGCCCACTGGATTTGCGTTTCGCGCTATCCAGAATTAGGTTTTCCTTTTCGGCCAAATGACTCGTTGCAATGTGCTCTTCGGGCGTGACTGTATTGGACGGTCGAGGATCTAACGGACTTCCCTCGAGAGCTGCATCAGAAAAGATGCTAAAAGCGCCATTGGCTGCTGTTGATCGGCCCGGGCCGCGGAGAGCGAGGAGGGTAGGTAGATTCCTTGCTGCGAGGGACGTTGCCGTGAGCGAGAATCTTTCCTGCGGACGCGAAAGTGCTTTCGGTATTGCGTCGCGCACCAGGCGCTGGAGCGTCCGGGTATCTGTAGCCACGGAGCTGGTGGCGGGGGCGATTTTTGAACCGGGAGATGCAGTGATGGATGTGTATACGAAAGGACAACTATCTGGGAAAGCGACGTAAATGACGCGCGAGGAATCGGTGAAGACCTCGGCGGCTTGTCGGGGGGATTGGTATGGTGAGTCGACGACAAAAATGCGCAGGAATGTCAATGGGAGTGTTGCAGAGCGGGCGAGATGGTAGTGCGCCTTGACGAGTGGGGAGATCTCTCGTTGGAGGGCCTGTACAAATGTTGACGCTTGCATGCGCGGCACAGAGCCGGACCAATCGGCTGGTGGCTGGGTCTTGCTGCTTTTGTGCTTATCAATGCGGGTGAGCTCCAACGCTGTCCATCGCAGGCTGGCGGGGCGGTCGTCCATATAGCGAAGGTCTGCCATGGCTAGCTGGCGCAGTGTGATTCCATTGCGCCAATCGCCTTCTAGGATTCGTTCGAGAACTTCGCGCTTTCCACCTTTTCGGTCTTGGAGATCTTCGTAGACCTGGCGGACCTCTTGAACTGTCTCTGCGGCGGGGTAGGGGAGGGCTTCATCGTCATCGGGCCCAACTTCTTCGTCTTGTTGTAAATATGGTGGGAAAGAAGTGATATTGCGGTCTTCAAGCCACAAGAAGGCGAGGTCTAGGAGCGCTTGCCTGGACAACTTGCCGAGGGCTTTTGTGAGGGATGGGGTGGCCGAGGGAATGCGAAGGTTGTTTGGTAGGCTGGCCGTTGTCGGGGCGCGTACTGTTTTTGAACGCGCCATCGCTGAACTATAGAGTGTCTTTGTCACAGAGCTTCAAGGACGAGATGGCCTATTGTCTCGATAGCATGCGCATGATTTCAGGCTCAGATTTTGGTCTGTAAGCATTGACTCGGTGGTTTCGCGTCTAAATTCCCTGTCAACAAACATGCACGTGCTGATAAGGTAAGATTAGTTAAATTGACTACCTCGACGCCTGATATTTCAGGTGCCAATTATGTGTCCATGGCTGTACTTCTCTTCACCAAAGCACTTGTAAGCTGCTACTACACTGATTACTCTTCTATGGACTCAGTGCTCAACTAGCTTCCAATGTTGGGCTCGGCGGACATGCTCAGTCAATCAAATCTAAATTCGAGCAGATTTACCACTAACATTGTACCCAACTCTCGAGCTAACAGTGCAAGTCTGGTGATCTCACATATAACATGGGACTTGGTATTAGAATGCGACAATATTTGAGCAATCAGATCAATATGTTCCAGCTTCAGGCGAGGGTGTTCACCGTCATTCAACGAAGCAATAAAACAAGGAAAACAAAACCTCTATCCAATGATATTCAGCGTGTTATGAGATATTATAGTGCTGACCGGATTAATTAATGCATAGTCAAATCCACAACTAGTTATGTAACCATGTATTTCTTCACACTGTACCCTGGTCAAGCCGAGGCAAAGATGCTGACAAAGGTGGGCCCAGCCCTGAAGATCGGTCGAGTCGAATGATCCAAATAGACTCTAGTCACTTTCTTGCTTTTTTATGCGCAAATAAAACATCCCCTTTGTTCTTGTCTGTGAAAATGACAAGAATTTACCCTCGCCTCTGTGAATAAGTTATTGGCATCTACATTATGACAGAACCACAGCGCAAAAGTGTTGCCGTGATCGGCACAGGGATGGCTGGACTTGTGATCGCATACATACTCAGGAACGACCCTCGAGGGAGGTTTGACGTGGAAGTATTTGAAAAGGTAAATCCAAACTCTACTGCAACGTCATTACCTAGTTTAGAGAAGAAAGAGAAAGACAAACAAACTAGAGCTGATTCCACAACCAGCAAGACAAACTTTCTCTCGACTCAGCATCCCACACACTCACAGATGAAAAGAGCGGCGAAAAGTCAGAACGCCTGGATCTCCCCATGCGCGCATTCGCCGACGGGTACTATGAGAGCTTAAAGCGTATGTACGACTATCTCGGTATCACATACGGCTCCCCACGATTTATTTACGCCCTCTCAACATTATCGAACACCGCCCAACAAGTCTCACCGTACTACATTCACTCCTCAAATAACCACCAAATACCGCCTCTCCGCCCGAATGGTTTCTCATGGGCCAGTTGGCTGGTTGAGCTATGCTACCTGGCTGTGTGTTACTATTGGTTCACGGCTTGTTGCTTTTTTGTAACGCCCAAAACGTTGGAGTCGTCTGGCACAGAGGAATCTCTTCGTCATTATGTTGAGAGAATTAGATTGCCTGTATATTACGTGAAAAACTACCTCTTACCGCTCATGTCGAGTGTCACAACCTGCTCACATGACGCGTTAATGGACTTCCCTGCTATTGATCTGGTGGACTACGAGAGGAGAACCTTCCGCAGGAAACACTACACCGTCCTCGGCGGTGTCCATCGCGTGCAGACCAAGTTGGCTAAGGGCCAGACGCCTAGACTCGGTGCGAAGGTCACGGCTGTTGAGAACGTCGGGACACAAGTCCAAGTTAGCTGGACAGATTCCCGTGATGGCCAGAGCAGCTCGCGTCTATTTGACCATGTCATTTTGGGCGTGACACCTGATGTGGTTGGTACGATCTTCCAGCCCCTTCGGAGCGCAATGGCAGCGGTGCCCACGACGACAGTTCAATGTATTGTTCACCGCGACTTCTCCAAGATCATCGATGCTAGCAGGTCTCTCTGGACGCAAATGTCTCTAAAGACTGGCGAATCAGCACCTCAGCCAATCCACATGTGCTCGAATGATCACGCAACAGAGTCGATCCACGAGCATCCCTCATCTGCTCTCATCACCACATATCCCATTGCTCCCATTGACCCCGAAAAGGTCGTGTACACAGCCACATTTACCCGAGTTCTCCGATCATCAGCTAGCAGACAGATCGTGAACCAAATCTTCGGCCAGAAAAGATCTATTGATGAAAAGAGTCAGCTTTGGCGAAATGGCGACGGCAATGTATGGCTCGTCGGTGGTTGGTGCTGGGATGGAATGGTCATGCTCGAGGGGTGTCTTGCCTCCGCGACCAGGGTGGCAAATGCCCTCGATGTTGAGGTGCCTTGGATGAAGAGGTCTTAATGACCAGTCTATACGATAATATTTTGTTAATATTGCTTTCCGATCCACGATTGCTAATACGTGCATTGCACATAGCATCTACAATGTCAATACACGCACTTCATGAATAAAGAACCTTGATCTGATACACTGATTGGCGTTGAACTCGCCTCGTTATTCATTTGGTCAACTATTCTCTCGCACTTTCTCTCCTCTCCTTCTCCCTCACCATGCCTCCATGAAGTCCAGCTCAGAACCCTATGCAAACGAGATGAACGAGGATTAGACTGCATGGCAATGGGCACTGTATGTACAAGTCAGAAAGCCGAATTAGACAAGCTCCATGCACAACTTACACAAATAGGATCGCCCAGATGATTGGAGACCGGTGGACAGGTGTTCAAAGGTCCGCAGCATCCAGGAAGTGGGCCACTATTGATACACGTGAAGCCCGGTGAACACTTATTGGGTCAGCCAAAGCAACAACCATACGTAACATTTATGAGCTTACACATGTGGTCGAAGATTGACAGAATGGCTGGCTTATGGGACATGTGATACATTGACCTGCAACACAGCCTCCGCCTCCCGGCCCGAAATCACACTATGAAAGCAAGTTAGCATCTCAACACACAGATAGAATGCGACCAATAGAAGAGGAAACGAAAAAGGACATACAGCTGTATTACACGATCCGCAGTGATTCACATCAGTCGTCAGATCCTTGCAGGTCCCACCACAACAAGCAGGCAACACACCCGTACAAGGTGCCGCACTGCAAGAACCACAATGTTGCAAATTCGTCGCCAATTCCGTACATTGGCCATCACAACAGTCCGGCTGGGTGCCAGTGCACGGTAAAGCAAGACAAGAGCCACAGCGATTAGCATCCGAATTCAAATCCACACATGTCCCGGAACAACAAGCTGGTTTAACACCAACACACGGCGTCTTCGAGCAAGAACCACAGTGGTTGACGTCTGTGGAGAGATCTGTGCACGCGCCATTACAGCACGCCGGATTCAGCCCTACGCATGGGAGAGCTGTGCACGAGCCGCAGTGTCCCAAGTCTACGCTGAGATCTATGCAGGTACCACCACAACATGCTGGTCTGGTGCCCGTACACTAGTTTGTTATAACCGATGAGTATGGGGGCTCAGTAGCAGTGGGGAGGAGCTGACTTACACCGTGGTTGCAAGATCCGCAATTGCTGACACTAGTGGAAAGATCTGTGCATGAACCCGAGCAACAGGCAGGATCAAGTCCCAGGCAGGGGAGGGCTCCACAAGCGCCGCAGTTAAGAGGGTCGCTGCTGAGATCTTTGCATGTTCCAGAACAGCAGGATGGTGTAGCTCCAGAACACTGCAAAGTATTTTAGCAAGACTGTGGCTGGGGAATGTTCACTGGGGTCACTCAATACCCTATTACTGCATGCACCACAGTTATTGATATTGCTGTTGAGATCAGTACATGCACTCGAACAGCAGGCTGGTTTAGTCCCAGTGCACTATCCAGAACGGACTTGTCAGACTTGAATGTATGCAATTGGAGACATAACGAAGACATACCACTGATGCATCACATGCCCCGCAATTGCTAACGCTGGAGTTCAGATCCGTACATACTCCGTTACAACAGGCCGGTGATGGGCCAAGCACACACTATAAGTATGATAAATTAGAGATGAGAGACCAATGAAAGGAATGTAGCAATGGCTTACAGCTGCACCACAATCCCCACAATTTCCAGTGTTCGTCTCTGTATCTGTACACAAGAAGAAACAGCATTGTAGCCCTCTCTCGCACTATTCGGTGATATATAACTGTCAGCTACCATTGCACAGCTATATATATGAATCATTGGTCACCATATTGAACTCACAGTAGAAACCCATGGCACACAGAAAATACTATTACGCTGTGGGACGATATCGAGTGAGGTAACATTGGTAGCGTTCAAGAGAGTAGTTTTGACATGCTGGAATAGAGAAAGTAGTATCCCTGATATAAGGTGAGAATCTAATATACCTACCACAGTAAGCAAGAAAGGTCTGACCTAAAAACAGCAATGGAAACATCTGTAAAGATGGCAAAATTGGATATTGATCGACGATATCAGCACTACCGTTAGTCAGGCACTCGACTTTGAGACGTTAGATGAACGAAACATAGGGCAGATAGAAGAGAAGAATATGATAGGCCTTATATCGCGCAATTGATACGAGACGCCGCATCATTCTCTCGCTGAAGTGGTGTGTGGGGGACCGAGAAGTACAATCGAGACTTATTGAGCGTGTGTGCTACCCAAGATGTTACAAAAGGTCTATATGGGCTGTTTACAACATTCATGCCATAGGCACTAGGTGTATTGTTCTTTCCAAGGTTGAGGAGATCCCATCGGAGGTCTTCATAATGGTGTGAGTCAATGTATAATGGAAATGGACGAAACTTGCAGTGGACACATTCGACTTGTTTGCTTCTAGTCTTGTCTCTAGTAAAAAGTATGTGTTCAAAATTGGTAAGTACATGATTTCACTAAAATCTTGGCTAAATGTCACAGTAGCAGGGAACACTGGCATGCAACCCGACTTAGAGACGGAACCTCCCGCGAGGGGCTTGGTGTCACCAACATATATAGAGCTCGACATTACTGGAAGGAAGTGATACTTTTCTAGAAATATTAATATTACTGAACAGCGCCGGTTTAAGCGATAAGATTGACCCGCAGCTTTTTGATGAGTGTAATGTACGTCTTGGGGATGGTAGTAACAGGCTATATCACGTAGATTATACAGAAGTCAAGTTCAGATATAATATCTCAGCCTACATGCCTAGCTTATTTCTGTCCTGAAAACCTACAGATACTTTCAACTATCCCCTACCTAGATAGCGTCATACTATACTTCTATCCATACAGAACTTTTTGCATCTTTCTTAAGAAGCTATTTGAAGACTCTTTCTAGTTCACTTTCAACAGTGAATCAAGAACTGACTACGTGCGTCCAAAAAAGCTGGAAACAACTTATTTCAAAAGGCTTACCTTTCAATACAATGATTTAAAGAAGAAGGTAGCCACTATATGTTCATGAGTCAAGGAAAGGCCTAAAACAAGATGTATGGAAAAAGGCTTGAGAATGACATATGGAAGAACATACAGAAAGTCCTGAGAAGCATATCCAAATGACATGTCGCCAAAGTTTCTAGAAGAAGCTTAGCTGCTGGATATTCTGCCATTTTTACTCAGCAGATTTAACTTCGAAAGAGTCGACCATAGCTGTTTCAAAGTCACATAAAACACCAATTGGACTTTGCGTATATACCTTGTGAAGCTTAGGCTACTACGTCTGTCACCTGGAATAGAACAGGGCGCTAAACGGACTGGAACAATGGGAGCTCCAAGCTCGACACCATGGTATTTTGTATCAGCCCCAACAAGAGCAGTCTAATTCTGTATAGACCCCTAATGCGGAGCCCGAACAATCAAAATTCCACACTCACTAGGGCTTGACCGGTCTAGTATCCAGAGATCGGAAACAGAATTGAAAAGCCCGATCGTATAACGCCAGATGAGGCTTACCACATCGATTCAAAGCTCTTGATCAGCAGAAGGGCATAAAGTAGGTGATCTTTCTCAAAGCCTAGGTCGGGCAGGTGATACGGTGCGTAGGCTATAGTGCGTCCTTGATTTATGAACAGGCAGGCTTAGCCCGCACTTGCCAAGACGCGGATGTCCAACGGGGTGGCTATAATTTGAGCCAAACAATCCATCGCTCATTGTTTCCAGTAAAACAGGGATATCAGTAGTAGGGCGAGGGGTGGAGGGGATATAGGAATGAGACTGTTATTTAGACGAGCTGGAAGATGGGGGTTGAGATTATTGCTTCATCTTTCTGATTTCTGTTTTAGACCGTGATAGTTGATTTTAGTTTGCGAGTTGAGTTTTGTTTGAAGTTCCTGAATATTAACGTCCTACGACATCGATGATTTTCTTGTAACAGGCCAGGCTTGTGGCAACGGTAAGACCAGAAGCTCGACGAGAGATAGACATATCACAAACATAGGCGCTAAATATTCACTTTTTAAACATTATGTATCCCTAATGGGAATATGATTATGTACAAGAGCACTCATATGTTCACTGGTGCTGAGACTGTTGTGGCTCACCAACAGTCTCCTCAGCACGGGCATCGTCTTCACCAGAATGTCCTTCCTGAACAGCTTCATAGAAAGGCGCAAACTTGCTCTTCATTCTCAGCCTCCTGCCAAAGAAGTAGAACCCAACAGGAATGGGAACCAACACGGCCGCCACGCAGCCAAGGAGTGTAGAAGCCCACTGAATGCCCATATGGTTGAACATCTGACGGGAGAAGAGCGGGAAACTGGCTGCTACCATTGATCGGCAAAAGGTGTTTGCGGCAATAGCCGAGGCAGCGCTAAGTATGGGTTAGACAACGCATCACTTGTTGAGGACACTGGGTTATAACTTACAACATGAGATATGTATCAATCAGATAGTTGAACAACTGAATGAAGATGATCAAAAGACCGAAGCCGGTGAAAAGACCACTCAATGTTGGCACAATCCAGTGGATAGAGCCGTTGAAGCCGGTCCAGCCAAACCAGAAAAGGCCAGCAGCGAAAAGAGCTCCACCGACCATCACGGGAGGAAGACGCCATTCGGGAATAGGGACACCGCCATTGGCGTCGAGTTTCTTGTTGTACCATCTGCTTGAGATGATGATGTATGACGCAGCAATGAATAGACCAACGACCATACCAAACAAGGGAAGACCCCCAACGCCAGCATTCATGCCATAAACTCCCTGGAAGACCAGAGTGTACGCCGTCAAGAAGCAGTAAAGCAAACCGTAGATAAAGCTGAGATAAAGTGTAACAGCCAGAATCAACGGTTCATTGAACAATAGCTTGAGCGGGCGGGAGAAATTGTTGACAATCAGTTCACGAAGATCTACTTCAATTTCTTCCTGCTTCGCGTGGATGCCCCAGTTCTTTGTCCTACGACGAAGCTCTGCTGCCTTCGCAACAAGAACAACAGGCGGGTACGATTCTTGCAGAACGAAAACATTCAACAGGAACGCAGCGAATCCCATGAAGGCAGGTATATAGGCAGTCCAGCGCCAACCGAGATAGGACATGTTGATGAAACCACCAATGAAAGGCGCAAGGAGTGGGCCCAGGAAGACAGTGCCGGAGAAACAGGCAATGGCAGTACCACGACTACGATTATCCCAGATATCAGAGAACACAGCCGCCACAACGGCAAGCGGACAACTGCCGAAAATACCGCAGAAGAAACGGCAGATCATGAGAGTTTGTAAGTCCTTAGCGACTGCAACAGCGATATTAAAAATGCCGAAACCGAACATGGCGATAACAATAGGGAGGCGACGGCCCTGAAGTTCGGAGAGAGGCGCCCAGATGAGGGGACCGGAGGCATAACCGATGATATAGAGAGAACTAGATAGAATGGCGACTTCAAGGCCGACACCAAAATGGTTCGCGACGTGACTAGATGAGGCGCTGAAAATGGCGGAGTCAAAAGTCGAGCAAATACTAGTGAATGCGAGGATAGCACTGATAATGACTCTAGAAAAGTGGTTAGGTTATACAACATAAGCGGTCTCAGAGAAAGAACTTACTTTCTCTTCACGGGCCAATTCAACGGATACAGGGGGTCATCGGGCCCATCGAATTCTACAACATAGTCCTCGCGCGCGGGCAGAGGCGGCGGGTAAGGCTTACCACCACCGAACGCTGGTAAAGGCTTCCGTGAAGGTCTCGACGTAAGACTCTCACCAACGGTAAGGGCATGCTGAGCGCGCTGTGTCTCTGTCCTGCTCAATGCGCGGGAAGCACTAGTTTGACGGCGTTCGAGGTCGAGTTCGGTATTTCGCGATTGCAGTCGGTGGACCTGGGGGTCATATTCAAAAGAGCTGCTCGAGCCAGTCGATGATCCGTACGAGCCAGAGGTATTTGGTCTTTCGGGTTCGACCGAATTCCTGGGTTTCTCGCCATGCGACGCCAGATCGGCCATATTGCCTATGGTGACCGCTCTACTGGTTCCAGGTAGATCGTGCAGATCCTGTCTTGGCTTGCAGCTGCTTTTCACCGTTGAGGTACAACTTGCAGCGTGAGGAACGTGGGCAGGGGCCTGAAATATGGAGGTGCTTGAAATTGGAAAAGACTTTTTTTGCCCTTTCTTGAGCGACTAGTGGCTTATAAAAAAAGGAGGGCCGAAAGCAACATGATCCGACTAGCCGTTTTAGACCCACAGCCTCGCGGCTTCGGCGTTGGATGCCGAACTGCCGAGATTTTGGAATGCAACGTGCTTCGCAATGATGGAATTATGAATAGATATACAGACGAAGTGCAATTCATGATAAGGCTACAGATATTGGACAGTCACAGCATTAGAATGTCTCCCAGTGTCGAAAGTGGCAATCAGATAGTTAATTTTTCTATTTATGCCTTAGGCAGCAATCAACAACATCATTACGTCACCATGATTCAGCGAACGTCAAAGTCTTGAAAAGCCTCGTGGCGACTTATACGAGGTACCTAGGTACCTTGTTGATTCAAAAACAAGCTTAATATGATGTTTTCTACTTTGTATATGTGCGATACTTTAGTAGGCATACTTGTATTGGCAATGGGCCATGATGAGAGCTTGGTGTATACAACGGTGTGTACATTTTGAAGCATACGTGAGTACAATCGTCATGAACTCTTTAGCAAAAGGTAGATGTGATAAATTTCCATATAAGGGTATTTCTTTCATAGATCTCAGTATCTTTTGCAATAAATTGCAGGTATATAGGTCATCAAGGCTCCCCGCCATTATTGTTAATTGGTAACCAGGATACTCCACAGCTACCGGCGAAAAGCGAGTGGGTCACCCTTTTTGCCGGCGCTTTATTGATTGCACTATTAGTGACTATCTAAAATACCTAGACATAACTATATCCTATAACACAATATAGCTTATTTTGATGGGTATACATCTTTTGTCTGCTTTCATAAATATGCACCCTTCGTCTGCATTGTTTGCCATCTCCATGTGCTCTCGTATATAGGCATTCCATCATAGATGGATCTGTTCCCTGCGTGCATGCTTTCAGTAAACTTCATAGTTTCATCATGTCATGAGGCCCTGCACGAATATTGACCATTGATTTTAGTCTTTCCACCAGGAAGCCCACCAAGTCTATTGATTAAACATCTCGCTCTTTTCCTAGCAACTTCATCATCGTTGTTGTGCCGTAGAAAGCACATTTTTCATCATCATTCTGTCTTCGCTATCCCCAAATTAAGGGAGTGAAGCAAGTCTCTCAGCAAGCCCATGGTCAACAACCCCAAGAAGAAGCCGAGATCGACTGGATGAATATGTGTTTGGGCACAGGGGGATTGGGAATCCCGACTTCTCAAGAGATAGGTCTGCTGGCGAGTGGTTCAAGCGCCCTGTTTCAAATCACACCAGCCTTAGGGGGCGATAACTGGGAGATTTGGCACGCCCAGGTCAAGGTAACCCTCCATTGCTAACCTTCAACACCTCATTAGCTCGCTACTTAAACCAGCACGCATCGATGCTCAAAGCACGAACTGGTATTATTGCTCGCTGCAAGTGAGACTATGGCTACTCAGTAGCGTGGATCCTGATTTCGTGGGGCTGCTAAATGCTTGCGATAAGCCCACAAAATTGCTGATGACTTCATGAACGGGCTGAAATGTCTCATTAAGATTGAAGCAAAGGCAGCGATGCATGGTGCATTCCTTGATATCTCGCGACATCGTCATGATGACTATAGCACTATCATTGAATTCATTTATTCAGGTCGTCAGAAGCTGCTCAGCGCCATTGAACTGGGAGCCATGTTGACACTCTGGGCAGGAATAACCTGCCTACTCGACGAGCTCATTCGAATTCCCAGTTTGAATTGCTACATTGAGAATAGATTGAAGGAAATTGAGTGAATAGGGTCCCCCGGGGAGTTCACTATGGAAGATCTTTTCAATATCACTGTTAAAATTCTGGGTTTTGTGAGGGAACACAACCTTGATAATGACAATTATACCGCGGCAGTAAGGTCTGGAAGACGACATTAGCAGACTTGTTCGTCTTCATTCTCTACCCATTCAGTCAACTATGAAATCCAAGGAGCTCACCAAATTCCAATTCAGGTGTGAAGAATGCCCTTTTACCAAAAGTTGAAAAGTGCATATCTGGGGTCACTTTTACTATGCAATGCAGAATGATGGTGGATTTCATTTGGGATGTCAATTTTTTGATCCTCCAAATTGTATTCGTGTTCCATTTTGTTAGGGATCGGCCATATTGCGAGGAACATTGCTTTGATTTTGAGCATTCAAGACCTGGATCAGAGATAGAGGGGTGGTTGAGAGATGGATGACAAAAGCAATGATCCCATAAGAAAGCAAGTTCCCCAATGTAAACTTTCAAACCTGACGATCTTATCGAAATGTCCAATTCTTACCGAAACAATTAATATACAGTCCAAAACCTACCTCCTAGCAACAACAACAGCCCCCCTAACAACCCCTCGAGTAGCCCACCACGCGAAAACCCACCTCGCAACTTTATACTTCCCGAGACTCAACCCATAATCCCTCCCAACCCTAACTCTTTCCTCAATAAACCCCGCCAAACCCCCAAAGACAAACCGACTAACATCCCGCACCTCAATCTCCTCCCGCGCATACCCAACCCCAACAAGCATATCCAAATACTGATTCTCAGTAACGAAATTCCCAAACGGCGCATTCGTCCCCAAGCACACAATTCTCAGAATCAGTTTCTCCCACCAGCGAACATTATCGCCGAGGAGAAGATCAAAGGCCATAAATGATGCCTTTAGATTCACTGCGTGGGTGAGGAGGGGGATTCGTGAGGGTCGGAAATGGTACATTGTATCTAGAGCTAAGAGCCAGGTTGATTCTGACTGTGAGTCTGTTGAGGCAGATTCTGTGAGAGAGGAAAGCTCTGCCGGCCAGTTTGTGGGGAGGGATGCATCTGCGCAGAAAACTTTTGCTGGGATTGAGGCGTTTTCGCTTTGTTTGATTCGACGTTCTGCGAGGTCGGCTTGCGCCGGCTCCAGTGTTATGCCGATATATGAGGTTAAAGCTGGGAGAGACTGAGGCTTTTGTTTGATGGAGCGGTGTCGAATATTCTGATCTGAATTTGGTGCTTGAGGCTTGGTTGTTTGGTGGCTCAGGGTTTTGAGTAGATGTAGTGATTGATCGCCACAACCGCAGCCGACATCTAGGATTTTGATGGGCATTGTCTCTTTTGAGAGGGCGATTTTCAAGACTTGGTCTAGGAGAGCTTCGCATGCTTCTGGGAAGTCATTCGTGTGCTGGGATATGGTTGGAATGCTGATTGGATATCTGTTTTGTTGGGTTGACTTACCTCCCAATACCCCATGTTCATCCACATTGTCTGTGGTGGCAGCTGGATGTTGAGGACGGCATGGTCAAGGCCGTATAATTTTGGAGTTGGATTGCGCAGAGCGCGTTTTAGGAAGTCTAGCATTTTATAGCAGGGGTTTGAGTTGGAATTGCGGATTTGAATGTGGAGGGTGGTGGAGTGATGTGCCAAGACATTTTATCTGGAGCTGTTATTAATGCCAAGATGGGTTTAAATACAAGTTAGCTATAGATCTTTGAATATAGATTAGATCAATCAGATCGAGTTTGTTTAGTCTGTGGGCTACTGATGAAGATTTGAGGATATAGAGGATTAAACGTGGGCACATCTATTTTGTTGGATAAACCAGTAAAACCGAGAAAACTGTTGAATTGGAATCATCGCTCATCCACCACCCCCGGGCCGGCAGAAATAAATCTGAAGCTCTGGCTGCTACCAATAAAAGCGCGATCGCTGGGAAACAGAAACATTATGAACATGAAAGCAAAGGTGATGAAGGGAGAACCCCCAAGTCACCACTAAGCAGCAGAACAGAGTAGCAGGGAAATCAATGAAGACTGGGGCTCGATTCTTTTTTTTTTGCTTTTTTTGCGCTTTTTTTGGATCTTGTAGCTATCAGCTTACGCAGTGGTACCCACACCGTGCTTCAAGTCAGAAGTACTTGAAGTATCGGCCTTCTGTGAAGCAAGGAACTTCTTGAACATATCAGAGATATCCTGCTCAGACTGCTCATCCGCACCGTTCTTCTCCATGATCAAGCCACGGAGCCAGTGGTTCTCAAGCTCGAGCTGGGATACACGCGCCTCAAGAATATCATTCTTGTGAGTGGTCTCCTTGACAGTCTGCTCGAGAGCAGCCTCACGCTGCTTCTTCTTGACACGGAAACGAGCACTGGCAGCAGTGTTGCGGCGACGCTTGTCCTCCTCCGCCATGTGGCGACCAGCCTCCTCGGCACTCTCCTGAGTCGACTTGGCAGAGTTTTTGCGCTTCATGCCGGTCACCTGAGTGGGCGGCGACATCGAGTGGGCGGGTGGGGCCGGAGTGACCTTTGGAACGCTGATTGGAGCGGGCTGAATGGGGGCCTGATGGCTAGTGACCGGCGCAGGCACGGGGGGAACCGCGTAATGCGCATTGTGCATGGGCACCTGGGCATTCTGGTTCAGCTCGGGCTGGTAGTCAGGGATGGAGTTCAAGCCCTCTGTAAAAAGCCATTAGCGTTCATCCAATTTGCAAGTATCCACCACCGATGTTCTGAAGGGTGGTTGAGTTCCGAGTGTTTTTCATGTTTCCTGATCACGTGGAATGGCGTAATAGCGGAGAGAATTCACGACAGCCACAATCAAATTTTAAATGAAAACTTTGCTTGGGGCTGATGTGCAGGGCAGATTTTGGGAGGTCAAAGCATATGGGAAAATATGGCATGAAAGGGAAAAGTTGGGATGAAAAGAAATTTTGACATGATATCAAGTTTGAAGCGCACGAAGCGCACAAAAATGCAATATCACGCCAAGAAAATGTATCAGGCAGGGATGACGAGCTCAGCAAGGCCACCAATGAAACCAGTCAAGATTGTAGACAATTGGTCTCATGGTCATGCCGACGGACATCAAAGTTATGGTGTGATCAGGGGAAAACTCATGCAGCTACTGATGCAGCTAGAACTCCAACCATCCAACCAGAAACCACCGGGAATCAACAGTCACTCACCATTGTTCAAGAAATCCAAAAAGTTGTCCGCAGTATGGGGAGACTGGCTCACAGAATGAGGCTTCTCATCGACAGAGTCGAAAGTAGGCAGACCGAGGTCGTTGAACTTATCGAAATCGAAGAACTCAGTGTTGGTGAACAAAGCGAGCTCAGTATCGAGGTTGTATGAAGTCTGCTGCTGCTGCTGTTGCTGCTGCAGAGCCTGGTCGTAGGGCGAAGGAATCGCATTCAAGTCATCGATGTACTGCGAGAAGTTGGGCGCGCGACGCCCATTGTAGCTGGCCATGTCGTTGGATCAGTTGAGACTAAACTCTGGAACTGTTATCCGATTTGACTGCAGTGAAATAGAAGTAATGCGCGTTGCGCAGGTTCAGTGACGTTGACTCAATTCGTAGGTCGGATGCCGAATGCGGCTCGTTGCGGATTCAGTTGGATAGGATATCGACGCGGATTCGAGTCGATGAACGATTTGTGATCAAACCGTGAAATTCGGATGGTGAGTTGTAGGATGGAGATAGAATCTGGAGAGTAGGACTTGGGGCCACAAGTGGGTTTTTTCTTTGAACGTTTCGGTGGGGGAAGCCCGGAGGGGGTGATGATTAATCCCCCGATTTGCCTCCAAAGGCTCCCGATCCCCAATAACGATTCTATCGATTCTATTGATTATACTGTTCTACTTCCTTTTGTTCTTCAATTGTTCATTCTGTGGCTCTATTCAAAATCACTCTATTCATTTCTTGTCATATTCCCATTTACCCTATCTTTCTCCCCCTTCCCAGTATTCATTCAGGGTATTCAAAAAAAATAAATGATCAACGACCGAGGATCGGAGCCCGCCGAGTTTAATTGGGGGTCCCACGTTCGTCTTTCTTTAATTTAGGGTAAATGTAATGAACATCCCACTTACGGAGTACATTTTCCCATTTTGTATGATATGAAGTCTGCATGAATCACGCATTTTTCAATGTTTCTATTTTGCTCTTTGTCTTGAATTATGAGGACATCAACTTATAATTTCAATTATTCTCGACAAACGCGGCTGCCAGCAAACACCGAATTCGCCCCCCCGAAACGGGTCTCAACGGTGATTGGTGAACCGGTCAGTAAGCACACCTAATTGGGAAAGTCAGGAACCACCACAATCAAATCATCGTGAAATCATTTCTTGTAATTTTCTCAATCGTGTTCTTAATCGTTCCTTGCTTTCCGAGTTCGCTCTGAATTATTAATCAACTTGTTCCACTCTCTATATAACGAGGTTGTGGAAATCCTACCCTGTACGAGGTTAGAGAGTGCGGGGATCTGCTTCTTTGTTACAGATCATAAATCTAACAATCCTAGTCATTTATTCCTTATTAGATAGTACTTATACAATAGTGATTGTATGCCCAGATCTATACATCGAGAGCACAGACTTGTTCAAGGGTTCTGCCGGGACCGTTGCCGATTGACCGGAAAGGGTTTAGCGTCCTTATCTTTGAGAAAACCATGTGCAGCTTCAACGAGTGTACATGTATATATTGTGTGCGTTGATTTTATAGAATATATATGAGCGAATTTTTAGGAATCAATAATCATAACAACATGCCATCGTTTCAGCAGTGGGTACGCAAATTAGAACGTACCTACAACGTAACTAATGTATGTACTGTACTGTAGGTAGGAATCATTTTGTTAGTGGCTCCACAATGGACTCATTCTCCATACAACGTTAGAAAACCCGCACTTGGGCATACATTGCACGTATTGATTTGGATTTAGTTCCGCTATGGACTTTATCTTATGAGAAATAGATACATGTGCTGATTCTGTTTAATCCGAAGCCTTTAATTGCGATTGGCGATTTATTGCCGCATACAACGAAACACCTCTTTACTGTGAACATATTTTTCTTTCTATCCCAACTATAGATCTTTTTCTATACATCACTATCAACCCCCACTACCCCTACAATCCAAGGAGAACCCCTTTCACCTCCCTAAAATGTACACTAAAGCATCTCCGTAGCCTGCTTAGCGCTTTCAACAGCACCCACATACCCACGCCGTCTCGAAACAAACAGTTCCGCCATAATCTTGATATCGGTATCAATGAGACTGCCCGTCTTGATCAAAGTAGTTCCAGGCATAGCCTCCGGGCGGGAAAATAGGCTGCTGCCACATTCTAGTACTATCAGCGAACCTAGCTAGTAGAGCCCATATCTCTAAAATGTCGACCTACCATCACAAAAGAACTGCACATTTTCCTTTCCGGAACAGAGCCCGATTCGTGACCAGGACTTGGGAGTCCCGTGCAGAGTGAAGTTTGCTGTTGGGACAGCGACGTTGGAAGAGAATGCGCTGCCGCTAAACTTCTGACAGTCTATGCAATGGCATAGGGCGGTTAAAGCTGGTTCTCCTATATTTTGAGATTGTTAGTGAATTCAGTACTAAAGACAGCTCATGTTGGATGGTTCACTTGCCAGTGTATTCGAAGGCAATTTTGCCGCACGCACAGCTTCCTGATCCAGGCATTTTGAACGAGCGGATTTCTTTTTTGGCGTGTTGAAGATGTTGTGAGACGGACAATTGCAAGATGGCTTTGAAATTGAGGAGAGTCTACATGCTGGAAAAGACTTGATATTTATCTCTGCTCGTAAATTCGTTCGGTGAAAGCGACTTTTGTGTACAAAATGATTCCAACTGGAATGATTCCATATGTTTTCGGATGATGAGGAATCAATTCAAAGAGTACATATGTATCTAACACCGAGTTTCTGAAGCCATAGAGACTATGTGGGGTGGTGGGGAAGTAAACATTTAGGAAGGTGGCTTTGGAATCATTCTGCGGGCTGATACGACCACGGTAACACAAGTCAGCATTACGTACGAACCGTTCACGCTGACCACCGTGCAACTTGTAGCATCTCACTACGGATGATATGCAACTGTGATGGGAACCTGGTTCTACGTTAGACACCGTTGGCCCACCAGCTTTCAACAATTAATAACAGACAATCATCTGCGCTGCCTGGTAGGTTCAAGCAACCTCTGATCTCCACTTTGTTAACAGCAAAGCGGAAATTTCACAGTTCACCTTCTGGTATTCCTTTCACTTCAACTTGCACAAATGGCAAACAAAGGTCCGATCTTCCATCCTGTTGCGACGGGAGCGGCGGCAAGAACCGTCAAGGCTCATGAGGATGAACAAAAGTTGATTTTCTGGGCTGGATGGGTACAACTTCTCTCAAATACCTAGTAGTGTTTAATCGCTGGTTGACCTTACAGTTCTGTCCTTTTACCCAAGTACGTAGCGTCAACCCAATACTCACACACGCCCTTTAAATCTCACGTTATCCCCAGAGGAGCTGGATTGTTCTGGAAGAAAAGAGCATTCCATACACATACCTCGAAGTAAATACCCCAAAAGTCCCTAATGTCTTATCGCCACTGACAGTAAGATTAAAGGTTAATCCATACCTCAAAGAGCCCGAGTTCCTAGGTAAGCATTCAACCCGTTCCAGAAAACATATTCTGACAACAGCCAGCGATAAGTCCAAATGGAACAGTACCCGCCATCCAAGACAAAGGCATGACGATTCACGATTCAACCAGGATCAACAATTATCTCGAGAATACGTACTGGGTCTCCCGCAACGCATCGATAATCTGGCTCCTCCCTGCAGAGGAAAAAGCCCGGTCCACGGCATTCCAGTGGATAGCTTACATCAATGAAACGGTAGTTCCCGCATTCTTCCATTTGCTACAGGCTCAACCGGACGAGCCCGAAAAGACAAAGGTCGCATTGAGGGAGTTGAAAGTCGCCTTGACAACTATATCCTCGTTGCGGAAGGGACCTTTCTCTTTTTGGACCCACGTTTGGTTTAGTTGATGCTACTATTGCTCCTTGGGCAGTAAGAGATTTCATCGCTCGTGATCATCGCGGATTCAAACGTGAGGATATTTCTGCTTGGAAGGAGTGGGCTGAGGAGTTGGAGAAGAGGGAGAGCGTTGTTAATACCACCAGTGTTAGTATTCCGTGGGAATAATGGTTTTTTCTAGCTTTGCTAACTCCTTACGTGCTAGGACCTCGACAAGTACGTTGAGTTCAATGGTACGTTTCTTCGGAATGAGCAACATAGTCTTGTTGGGATAGCTACGAGTCATGGTCAGGCCATTATTTGAGTATCAAGTTATTGAATTCATAGGCAATATTAGCAAATTCTGTGCTAGCAACGTATGAGCAAATAATTTTCAGTGAAAATGACCGATACTAAATTTTGCTTAAGCAATGGAATTCAAGTATTCATTGTTGAGTCAACACAAGAGAATTATTCGGAGATGTCGATGCGCGATGACGGCGAGTTTGGGGGCCAACATCACCAATGCTCAGGCCCGATTTGCGCCTCATCAACATCAACCCCATCAACGAACCACCGTCCAGATCCATCTCCATCCGGTCCCAAAATCAAATCATTGCCAGACATCATCCGCTTTTCCATTTTCCCATCCTTGTCAAAGGTCCAATCCTCCAGACCGTAACATCTCGTCCATCTATTTCCATTTTCGGCGTCCTGGAACTCATACCAGAACTGCACGGCGATGCGATTATCGGTAAAGGAAAATAGCTCTTTCCGTAACCGGTATGATTTCTCTCTATTCCATTTTGCGGTCAGGAATTTTATGATATCCTCTGTGCCGCGTAGAAATGAAGTACGGTTGCGCCAGATGCAGTCTGCGGTGTAAGCCCTGGCTATCTGCTCAGGATTTCTGGAATGGATGAGCAAAGGACAGAGATATGAGCTATCCAATAAACTCACCGAGTGTTCCACAGGTTCTGGGCGGCTTTAACCTTGCTCGTTGCCGACTCGAAGGTGAAAGGCGGTTTTAGTGTTGCCATAGTTCCGTACACAGTGCGATGTGATTTGTGTGCGGAGATTGGCATTTAATGGATTGAAAATATGTGGCAACCGCTCCAATTCATAGTCCAAGCCAAGACAATGAAACTAGTGAGTTAGTTGCAGCGGATATATACGCACCTCGTGCCGGTTTAGCGGGCACCAGTACACCGCCGTCCGCCCCGAAGACCTGTCAACTGTCAACTCTTCCGTAACTCGGGAAACAATGATCTGATATTGTACCCACAATCTTCCTGACTTTTTACATATTCTCAGTCGATGACTCAAAGATCAAATACGTGGAGAAATTTCCTTCACGCTTCGCTTAGACATACGTGTTAAGCCGGCCGAAGATTCAAAAATCGGAGCAATGGACATTCCACCAAAATCCAGACCTCAAGGTAAGAAAGTAACCAAGAATACCTTGTTTCGGCGGGAATTTGAAGTTTGGTATTACCATGGGAGATGTGACAGTGCGACAGCATTGGGGTTTATGTTCTCACTTCACATCTCACAAGATGAGAATCGCCTCTATGAACACCGATGCCAACCGACGGGACATTGCTCCGGCTGGCCGAATGCTCAAGGGCGTTGAAGGTTGAATCATAAAACCAAAGCAACGCCAAGAGCATTTTATTGGATAATGGAGCTAAATGTTCATGCCAGGGGGTTCGCATAAAGCAAATGGCCCAAAAGCGACATACTATAAACGACGCGAACAAGTTAGACAAGCACAAAGGTGAGCGAGAAGATTTCTAGATCCTTTCATCCCCACTGATGTATCTATCCTGCCAGAAAGCATCGTGACAAGAACGAAAAGTATATACAATCTCTAGAAGAGGAAGTCCACCTGTTATACAATCTTATTACAGCCACCGATGCGCTCCAAGAGGTTCATCGGGACAATGGTATCCTCCGGGACATCATTGCTGAGCATTCAATCTCTCTTCCACAGGCACTGTTAACCCCGAAGTCGTACTTAGCAAAGGTAACCGTGATTGGAGACCATGGTTCCTTACAAAGTCTTCGGGTTGAATTGCCTTCTCAATATCTTCCTTGTTACGGCAATTCCCATGCGAATGAGACTATGCAAACGATAAATCAACCATCGAGTCAGCAAGTTCGGTCGTCTATCTCGAGTCCCCTCAACTGGTCAGCTTCCAGTCCTTCCAACAATTATATCGACAAGAGCAAACGGAACAACGTGGAAAACACGGTCGAAATAGACAGAGGAATTTCCTCCTTATCCGATCAAGAATGCTTCCAGATGGGAGTTGATTTCGTATTGTCGTAAGTTTCTAGCTATATTATCGACGACTTCATGCTGATCGACTGGCTAGATTGGAGCGACCATGTCTCTCACATACCCAGTTCGCACAGCCTAGCGGCCATGCATTGTCTATGCAGGGCACTTTGCTTCAATACGCACCCTCAACTCTCGCCACGGATACCCGGTGGGAGGTTTCAGCCGAGGTATTCCAACAGCTATTCGAGATGGCAGGCAGGCTAGATCTCGATGGATACATTACTCCTGTGCAGGCGTGGAATCGGATCAGAGATCACGACAAGTTCCTGCGGTTAACGCGTGAAAAGCTGAAAAAGTTGGAGAATGCTATGAGGCCCAATATCAAGTGTCAAGGGTGATTAGGTGGTGTTGTTATTTATTGTGTGGTTGCATACTAACGTTTTGGCAGATTCGCTGCAATCATGGAGGAAGCCATATTCGAAATTTTGTTGAGTCAGGCTCTTCATGATTGATTGATAGTTTTTAACATTATTCCTGGTCCGACTTGGGTTCTTGTCAGTGTGAAGGGCTGCGGCTATCTTGGGTGCTTGTTGTTTTATGCGCGGATTCGCCCACAGAAAACAGGATTGTCCATCTACCACGAACGAAACGCTTGCTGAGCTGTTTCGAATGGGTTCTTAGAGTTCAATCGCAATATAGATTCAATCGGTGGATCCAGAACATTAGTGGCAATATCAACACGCCTGGTTTGTATACCAGTATGATATGTCTATGATCATTTGACACCCATGAATGGTCTCATTTTGGCAGAGCGTACATGGTCAGAGTCTTACAAGTACCTAGTACGAGACATCTGGAGCTGCAACCATGTAATATGAATTTGGGAAGTAGAAACAAGTTTGTGCATACCGCATAGGGTATCGAAAGTTCCAGCCTTAAACGCCACCATACCATTAAGAATAACCAAATCCTCGAGTTCCATGCATCAAGTCATTATGTAAAAAAGGATCGCTGTTACTTCGCTCATATTTCCGAACTGTTCCATGCGTAACTTCATTCAAGCAAACCTTGCCTTTCAATCGTGCAAGAGGATGCGAGGTGTGTAGTGAAATTATTTCTTCGGTGTCTCATCGAGAGTACCGTTTTCATAATTGGCTCCGAGGTCTTCCTCACCCTTCTTCTCGTCCGGCTTCTCCTCGTTGTTGTCTTCCTCGCCAGTGATTTCGCCCCAGCCGGAGCTCCTGCGGCTGATGCGACCAGTCATGGCAAGAGGACTACTCACACCTCCTGCAGTACTGGCAGCGGTGCTATCATTGCGGCTGTGGGATTGTGCGCCACTGCGAATACTTGTCGCTTCACCAGCAGTTTGTTTGGTGTACAGGCTGCCCCGCTCTGCGGTGGTTGCTGCGAGCGGTGTTGCGCCAGTGGCTGAATAGACACTAATGCGCTCGGCGCTAGCAAGACCGACAATGCTCGGTCGGCTTAATACACCAGAGGCATTGAATATGGAGGTATTTGATGCTTCAGCTGTGTTTCCACTCAATACACTCAGTGGCAAGCTTTCACGGCTACCGCCGAAAACCGAGGATGGGGCCAACCCGCGCACAGATGCGTTGGTATCCAGAGAATTACGGCGGCGGCGCTTAGATGAGCTCGCCAGGGTAAGCACAGAAGCGTTATCGGTCAAGACATTGTTCGCAATTGCTGCGCTGTAGGTCATGCCATGATTTTGGGGGACCAAGTGTGAGGGAACTGCTGTAGCCGGAGACGAATTTGAAGGAAATTGGTGGGAGAATTGAACGCCCTGGTTCGAGGAGCCTTGGTTTGAGTTGCCGTGGTGGTGTCCATGGCTGTTCTGTGCATTGTACAATTGGGTCGAGGGCGCCGCGGAGTGCACGGTCGTCAGGGTAGTGGCCAACGAGCGGACGCTGGGCGCAGGTGACGAGAAAGTACTGCCTTCACCTCCTCCATGTGTACTAAATCCTTCTGTGCCAGTTGTCACCGTCCCTGCCTTTGAATACGCGGCCTCGGAGAATGCGGCGTCGCCGTTGGTTGAAATGGTTGGTGCGGCGGATTTTGCGCTTGTCAGGGGGGCGGGGTTTTCATATCCTGAAGAAATCAAGGACGGATCGCTCCTTGAGTGAGAATCTTCGCCATAACGTTCATCTGTGTATGACTCAGTCGGTGTCTGACTTGCTGTGTGACGATTGATTGTTCCTGAGAGCGGGTATGGGTTATTGGCTTGGTCGCCTTTCTTGCCCTTGATACCAGTGTAGCGCTTGTGAGACCATCGATTCGAAGTAGAGTCAGAAGAGCTCTTGAGATTTGCCAGACGTTTCATCCAAGTTGAGAATGGGCGACGTCGGGCATTGCGGTCTGCTTTTGGGTGTTAGCAGTGGGTTCAACAGCTGGGCAATACCAACACTCACCATGCACCCTAGCAGGACCTTCAGTGGTAGCCATGCTTTGTAAAGGCCTTGTCACAACCCACTCTGGCTTGCAAAAGGTCAACGGCAGACAAGGGATCAGAGCGCTAAGGGTTGAAATGCGCCGAGGCAGCGAACGCGAGCGGGGCGACTGTTTATCCGTGCACGTCATGTGCTTTCCTTGCCTCTGGGACTTTACTTCACTCAAGTCACTCATGATAATTAAGTCATTCATTGATGATTGAAAGTGAGAATTAGGCATCAAAATGAAAGCATACAGCTCAGTGGCAATTTGATGGGTTTTCTCAGCTTCAACATTTGATTTTGATGATGCCTTGTTGAATGACAATCCGGCTAAACAGCTACATCAATGCCTTTGTCTCAACCAATAATACAAGCACTACCTTCTGATGTGATTGCAAAGATCAAATCATCCACGTCTATTGTTCATCTGACTGGTGTCATTCTGGAGTTAGTGAAGAATGCTTTGGACGCCAATGCACATACTGTCTTCATCACTGTCGATTTCAAACGTGGTGGATGTATAGTTGAAGATGATGGCGATGGGATTCCTCCCATCGAGTTCGGGGCTGCAGGAGGACTTGGCAAAGCTCACTGTATGTACTCAGGTCTCCAGACTCTTCCACATCTGCTAACATATGTGATAGATACATCCAAATTGAAACTAAGTGACTCGTATGGACATCGAGGCTTGTTCTTGGCATCTTTGGCATCCTTGTCTCTGTTGACTTTGACGTCTCATCATATTGATTATGAGTCTCCAAATTCAATCATGTTTCATCATGCAAAACCAGTAGCGCGGCTCATTCCTGCACCGCCACAGCAGATGCTTCGTTTTGCCAATCATGGCACATCTGTGACAGTGAATGATCTTTTTGGCAATATGCCAGTCCGTGTCAAGAGTCGAGCACTGGCTCTTCAAAAGCCGAGTGAGCTAGAACGAGAGTGGGAAAATCTGAGAAATGCCCTCGTGTCACTTTTGCTGGCTAATTCTCAAATTTCGAAATTGGTTCTCCTCGATGTGGAAAAGACCAAACGGATATCTGTTCGACCTGATACCTCTTATATGCCAAAACCACATTCTCCTGCTGAATATTTGTTCGACCTAAAACGCATCGGATCCATTTTCACACAATCCGGGCTTATCAGTCCTCGCAACTGGGGCTATTGGCACGAACTATCAGCATCAGTTCCGGACCTCACGATCCGAGGATCAATCTCGCTACAGGCTGCTCCGACTCGAAAATTGCAGTTCATCTCTTTGGGCAAGGAACCAGTGCTATCGCGCAATAACTCCAATATTCTCTATAACGAGATTAACCGCCTATTTTCTCTGTCCGATTTTGGCAAATTTGAAATGCTCCCTGACTACAGCTCTACTTCCAACGCCGTCAGTTTGGTGGATCGCAACGAAGCTCCAAGTAACGCTAGCACAAGGAGCTGGACAAAGCCTATCAATAAATGGCCAATGTTTTATCTCCGCGTCGACACGAGATCTCTTTTCCGACTTGATGATGATGTACAGGAGCATCTTCCTGAATCACAAAAGTCATTCCAACGTATAGTCGATGTCCTTGGAGCCTTAGTCTTTGAATTTTTGAAACAACATGACATGCGACCTCGCAGTGCCAAGCGACAAATGTTGTCGCCGGATCGAACCCAGAGCCTACTTTCCCAAAGCTCTAAGGCAGCCGAAAGTTATCCAGGGCCCTTGCGACCACCTCGCTCAGATTTGAGCACTGAAGAAGCCTTCAGTAGTCGGCTGAAAATGCCATCTATTCCGAGATCTCAGTCTGTTAATGATGGTCAGATTTTCAGCAATTGGTCACGGGTGAAAGCAGCAAAGGAGCTTAAAGAGCACTATCCGACCCATCGACCCTGGCGCTCTAATGTTGATGATTCCAATACCAGTCGTGGGGAGAAGGTTTTCCCTACCCACAACGAACATGAGTCAGGCAGCTTGAATTACGGTCGAGATTTCACACTTCCTCCAAAGCCGCTGAAGATGAATGTTTCTGGCGATGAAACAAACGGAACAGAACATCAGGCCGGACACGCATCACCAGACAAGTTGATCACTTGGATCGATCCACACACGAAGCTGGCCTACTTGATCAATCCTCGGACTGGTCAAACAATGAATTCTAAAAAATCTTTGGCTATACAGAGACCCCGTTTGGCCAATGACGACGATGGCCCACATAATCATCCAACACAAGGCATCTGGGTTGAAAGTTTGTTGGAAACATGGGACAACCCCTCCTTCCATCGAACAGAAATGCCCATATCGAATTTGGGCGCAGATCCTGTGGATCACCAGACTGTGAACGATTCTCATGGCTGCTTCAAGGGAATCGGATCCTTGGAATCCGCACAGGTTGCTAAGTATCGAGGAAAACTTCGGCGTCGCGGCCTCCAAACTGCCGAAGTAATAGCTCAAGTCGACAAGAAGTTTATTCTGGCTAAGGTCCCCACGGCTGAGATGAAGATTTCTGCAGGTCTAAAATCCGACAGTGTGCTACTCTTGATTGACCAGCACGCGGCGGATGAACGATGTCGAACTGAACAATTGTTTGAAGAGATGTTTTTCCCTCTTGATGGGACTTCTGAGGCGGGTGGTGGAGTCCGAACTGTTCAGGTTCATATGAATTTTGAGGTTTCTGAGACAGAGGGTAGCCTCTTCCATAAATATACGACTCTCTTCTCGGTCTGGGGTGTTCAGTATGATACTGAGGTCAAGACCAGATCCACCGTTTTGGTCACGGTCCACACCCTTCCTGTACTCATAGCTGAACGATGTCGGGTCGAGCCACACGTCTTGATTGGCTTGATGAGGCGTGAGATATGGTCAAGTGAGGAAGATGGAAGGAAGCCATTGCAACCAAATAAAGGGCTTGGATCCGAATCTGACGATCAGGCCCTCGATCTGTCAGACATAGAACTGACACACAGACAACCTACATTACCCGCTTCCCGTTCTTGGGTTCGTAAAATGAACGGATGTCCTCAGGGTATCGTTGATCTTCTCAACTCTCGCGCCTGTCGCACTGCCATCATGTTTAACGACCCTTTGAACATCGAAGAGTGTCAAGCTCTAGTCTCTCGGTTGGCGCGCTGTGCATTCCCGTTCCAGTGCGCCCATGGGCGGCCTTCCATGGTTCCTATACTTGATTTGCGATCTCTGTCTGACACCGCAATCTCATTGCCCTTAGATCTGGACCCCTCGAAATCCCCAGATGATGAAAATGATGGCACAAATTTGAATTTCATGGACGCGTTTCGGAAGCGCTATATAACATAGATGGGTGGGTCATCGTATATAGGAAAGACTGGGCGCATTCATTTTAGGTAATTATGCCATTCGAGCTAACATGTACAAAAGTCGATGATCATCATGGGCTTTGGGCCATTCTACAGATCGTCCATTCCTTAATTCGGTTATGTAGAAATTGTATGAACATGACAAATACTTCATCGCCTATTCTTTCACCAAAAGCATCCTTGTCTTCCGCTGAGAGTTCAACATGGGTGCTCAAGCTTGTTTCGAAATTTTTATCTGTGTGACATGTCACTTCTACCCCCTCCAGCACAAGTTTACAAGAAAATACCAAACAATACAAGTTTCTAATTTGATACGAAAGCACAACTGTGGAGCGGTTTAAACTAAGGCGAGCATGGCAACCAATATATGATCGGGTGATCTGTAGCGAGGTGCATCTTTAGTTTGTTCCATTGCATACAACGGAGTTCTTCAGCTACATAAACTTGAATTAGCCTGACAAATCATGTATTGACGTCCATAGATTCCAATTCATTCTGGGCTTGCATGAGCTTGACGCCCATTGGCAGCCGCAATACTCAAATACTATGATTTGATGACAGTACTGGAGTGGACTTTTCGCCCAAACATATTATAGTTGATAGGTTCTCTTGTCAGACGTATCCCTTGCATGACTGCAGTGGACCTTGGGTAAGATCCTTCACAAACTGGTGGGAATCTGGCGTGTGGGCTCATGCAAGGATCAGCCACTAACGAAAATTGTCAACAACATGGCACTTTGACTATGGGTTGAGTTTTTAAGCACAATGTGCCACCATATTATTAGAGATATAAAGTTCTTCGACCCGTATGGAGTGCACATATGACGCATAGGGCTTCGTTTGGTAAAATCTAAAGCAACGGCATGAACCATCGAACTCGACACCTCTAGTCGTAAGTGTAAATCATGACTACTATACTCCACAATGTCGATATTTACGTATCTATCTGATTTCCTGGAACTCAAACGGCTACTAAAATCATGATCAATTCTTATTTCATGCAAAAAACGTAGAATTATCTAGGGAGTAGGGCAACTCCGTTTGGTAGTGGTCTATTTTGACATTTGGTACTCTATAATCCATCAGGAACATGCATGGTAGTTAATTATGTGCTTTTAAATCTACTCCGTATATAATTACATATTGCCACGCGAACTTGAATATTAATGATCAATATATCGAAGTTCCGCTATGACGATGCTGATTAGACGGCACTTCAATTTCAGAGCACACTCTGGTACGGCCTTGGGTCTTTTCATACCATTCACCATGCTCATATAACGACTACAAGATACACTACACCGGCATTTAACCACGGTTGATTTGAATACGATAAATGTATTATAAGTCAAACTAGCTAAACAAATTACGCTAGTTAATGTACTCGCGGTCTAGCTGATGACTGGAAAGCCTGTCAATAAATAGCCATATCATAGATATTGACATCAAATCGGGCAAACCTATTAGAAAAGCTTACACATCATCTTCTAAGGTCAAGGTGATACAGAGATATCAATAAGAAAATGTGGCCTCAGCGTCACTGTTAGAATTTATTGACGGCATACGACCGACTTCTTAACTCCCCCATACAAGGAACGGTAGGACTTGTAGTTACCTCGCCTCACCCACAGGAAGTCTGATGTTTCTGTCCTTAACGGAGTCTATTGAATGAGTGAATTCATATTAGCATAGAGTGTGGTCAGCTCTCTTTCTATAATCATGCTCCTTCTATTGCTCTTAGCTCTAACAAGGTCTCGCTCTACTTTGCTTAACCGATTCAAAAACAAACCGTAAATACTATCTCTGGCCAGCGGTTAAACTTAATAAGATACTTATAGAGTATTGTAAGATATTATACGATGAAACCCAATTGTAATACGAGATCCTTGTCCGGTATGTGCAATGAATGTGATTGGTACTCACGCCAGAGTTGATCTGCGAATTCCAAATGCTTACTGACAACCTAAGCCTATCACGAGCGTTTGGCTTGCATGATTGAACAAGATACGAGCTAAAGATACAGAAGTATGAAGTAAGCGTATTGCATTTCAGGCAGCTCTAAGAGTTGCACCTGTACAGAAGCCGCGAGGCAAAACAATCCTGTCTAGATCTCATCTGGAGCCCAGACGACAGGGAATAACCCTTTTCCCAGTCCTTTTCCCCAGCCCGACCAAAATAACCAGACAAGATATAAATAAAACCACAAAAAGCAAGGCCATTGGTAAACTCCGTGTATCCGAAGCCCGGACCCCAAACCATACATAGCCGCTTTTCAAATGCGTTCTCGAAAGAGAATCCGCGCAAACAACAAGTAAAACAAATAACCGCCCAATAATAAAAGAGATAGAAGTGTAGATGTAAATAGGTAAGATGTTAATAAATGGGACATGGACACGAAAAAGAGAAAAAATGATGATGCATAGAAGAACATGGTGAGAAGGCGGAAGATAATGAAGATATGAGAAGATGTCGTGAGTCATTAGGTGGAAGGATAGAGATATGGTGGCGTATAAATTAGCCATGTGTGGGTACAGACTTGGCTTTGGACTGAGTAGTCCAGGAGAGGAAGTCGAACTTGTCCTTTGCATTGTCGAGGATAGAGGGGGGATTCGACTCGGATTGGGCTGCCAAGTTTGTTGCGCTGCGACACTGTTCTCTTGGTTCAAGGACCAGGGAGCGGCGGTAAAATATTTGAGTGGTTTCATCACCGTTAGAGCGCACGCGAACAAGCTCGTTTTGCATCCAAGCTTGCAGTTCAGGGACCTCGGTGAGACGGTAGGGTATCTGGAACCGTTGGAGTTCGCTGATGATGCGGGCTGTCTTCATGTGCTTGTCGAAGTTGATAACGGTCATCTCGCTCTCGTCGGTGCAAAGTGTTCGAAGAGATTGGTTGCCGTGGTCAACGAAGGTGAGATCCGTCAGATAAGTTCCGACGAAGGGGAGGCAAGGGGGCACGTGGTTCTGGAGGCGCTGTCGGAGAACCGCGTAATTGCGAGAGACATCAACGATGCTGCGGAGGTGCTCAAGCGCGATCTTGGTCTTTTGAGAGACGATGTCCCAAGACTTCTTAAGACGCGAGATCATGGAGAGGTTCAGTGAGCAGATGATCGCCATAAGAGAGTCGTAGTTGTTCAGCTCCAGGCACTTGGTGGCAATCTTAACCCAGTGCTTAATAGTGGCAGCACGCTTCTTGGGTTCCTCAAGGAATAAGATTGAATCGGCAACAAGGTGAGCGAGATCGGTCGAGAGAGTCGACATCGCGCGCACATTGACAGCCAAGGAACCAGACCCTTTGGTCCATTCTGCGTCCAGGAGCTCCTCTGGAAGGATGGAGCAGAAGATGCGCGACTCCTTGATGGTCAGTTGACGGGCGAGTTCCAAGGGATCGAAGTCAAGAATAGTGATCGACGCTTCATTGTTCTTCCATTGCTTGAGCAGATTGTGCTCCTTCTTACCGAGGATAGGAGGAGGAAGAGGGGTGTCGGGGTGAACATATTGGGCAATAGAAGTGTTGGTCTTGCCCATAGACGAGACCAAGCGAGGCACGACTGGACCACCAACTGCAGACACCTTCTCTGCCAAATCAAGCAAACGCTTGCCAGCAGTGGGAAGATCAACTCCAAGTCTGGTCTTTGCGAAGTTCACGATGAACTCCAAAGCAGTGTTATCGCGGTCATGTCGCCAGTGGGACTCGAGCCAGCCCTTGAAGATGTTGTACACACGAAGACGGACGGGACCAGCAGCATGGGGGGTATCGCCGATATACTCGAAGCGCGCAGCGAGGGCCGAGGCAAATTCGAGAGGCGAGGCAAACAACCGGAAGGTGAGATAGAAGGTTGACACAAACATGGCATCGGGAGTGGACTGGTGTGCAGTCAACTTCTCAATGAGAGCACGGAGGCTTCCACCCATCACGGAGCCTTCCTTGTAAATAAGTTCATGGGCGTAAGTCTTCTCCAGAATGTTTGCCTCAGTCTCTTCATTCTCCTCGGCGAGAGTAGAGTGACTGATACTCTCCTTCAGTGAGGGAACCTTGAAGCTTCCTCGGAAGCTTCCACCAATATCGGGGGAAGTAGCCCGAGTAGACGACTGCGAGACACCACTCATCTCAGAGTCGCGCGTGTGGCTGTTGTATGTGAAACTGCTGCCATTGCTGGTGACACCGCGTCCAAACGACTCACTCATCTCTGCTTTATGAGAATGATAACCACTGTCGGTAGAGGAAAAAGAAGAAATGTTCTCAAGATGGGTGGGAAGGATGGCGGAATTAGGAAGAGAAGACAGGGCGGAAAGGTTGCCGGGGGAATTGCTGATGTGTGACTGGAAGGATGAAGGTGTTGTGGCGTCGGTGAGAGCGGGTGTGGGAGGAGAACAAGTTGTGCTGGGAATCTGAAGAGGGGGTGGGGGAAGACGACGTTCGCGTTCTACAGGAGCCTCTGACTGTTCTGGTGATGCAATACGAGGAAGATCTTGTTCTGTCTGTTCAGACTCTTCAGGATCAAGCTCAATATCTCCAATTTGCTCGAGCACCAGGCGAGCCTTCGCTAAACAGTTACCAGCTGCTCGAACACATTCTGTCGCAGCACTAACGAGGCGTTTCCCTTCATCTGGCATAACTACCAGATCATCTTCAGGAAGATGGGCAGGTCGGAACACGTCGCGCGCAGCGTGAACAAGCTCGGATAGCTTTTCGCACATGGACTCCCGTGCCTGTTCAAGCAACACACCACGCTGGTTGTCATGCTCGCAAACTGCTTCGACAACATTGAGTAAAGCCCGGCAAGACTGAACAGCCTGTTGAGTAGTGACGACTAATTCAGTCGAGGAGCGGGACTGCATGTGAAGCCCAATGAATGAGCCGAGCACGCCGAGGAACGCGTCGTAGGTAATTCCAAGTCGCTCGGACGCCAAATTTTGAGCACAGATGGCAGACGAGGGACCGGAGAATGACATGCGGTGTGATACTGAAACTCGTTTTGTGGAAACGGAGACCGGTCTGGGTTGGTTTTCGAGTGTCTCGGTGCGCATCGATGATCTGCTCATCATGTCCATGCGGCTGCGGCTCATTTGTCGTGACTCCATCTGGCGTGATTCTAGGATCCGTGAGTCGCTCCGTTCAGGGTCGGTCTCACTCAAGTTGAAACTTTCGGACGCAGGTGTCGGCGGCATGTCGTATTGGCTCTCGCCAGGTCCGTCCATCTCAGCGATAGTCCTGCTCAGGCCAACCTCTTCGTTCCATACATCAAGGAATCGAACTCCACGAGTGACGATCTTGAAAGCCTTGAGGAGCATCTCATCCAAAATACTCTCAACCTCGTCCTCCGACGGTGTTCCGTTGGCGACCTCCTGAAATTTCTTCGCAGTTTTCACCAGCGAAGAAAGATCAGACAGCAAAGCCTTGCGAATTCTTCGTAGTCCATCGAACCTCCTTACTAAAGACGACTCCCGAGTAAGACATTCCGATTTTTCCTGTGGAATAATGAGCCCTGCGGTATAAATCCCCTCTAGTTGGTACTTACCAGCAGAAAGCGAACACCAGCAATAGGGCCTCTCATCAAGTCTTGGTTGCCAAAATCCTTTAATGATGACCCGCATCCTCCTCGAATGATATCCCAGAAATCAGTCAAGGCCTTCAATAAAGGGCGCATAGGCAATTGATCGTATGCTTCGCAGTAATTCGTGGGGAGCCAGCCTCGATTCCCAGAATCTAATAATGTACCATCGGCCCAGCCATTGGTGTGAACGGAGTGAACCAAAATGATGTCGCCCTGGTCTAGAGGAAGAGTAACGGTTGACGGGGAGACATTTCCAGCCGGGTGAAAAGGATAGAACGCGCGCAGATAGTTGTGAAAGACAGGCCTTGGAGCCTCTAGTTGATCCATACGTGTGTCCTGAGTCTGTGGTGTTAACGGAGGTGACATCTCAGATGAATCCCAGGCGGAATAGAATCGACTCTGTATATGTTGAGAATCGTTGATCGAGCGATGCAAGTTCGAGTTGGATTTCGATATCTTTAATGGGGGGATGTGTGGCTTCATTGATTCCATCTCTTGTCGATATAACTGATTGTTTTGTTTTCCAAGCCACTGAGGTCACTGACCGAAGGCGTTTATTCGATGATAGGTGCAATTGACATGGTTCAATGAATTCAGAAGACGAGATAGGGTATCGAAGAACAAGTGGCGTTATGGATAATCAAGGATGGAGGGGAGGAATCGGATGTTCGAAGGCTGGGGTTGATCCTACACAATCTAGGTCAATTGGCGCTGTTCAAGGGCTAATGACAGTATAGAGGAGTATAGGGATTTTGTTTGGAATGCGCAATGCCCAAGGAGTCCGAGGGGAGGCTTGGAATGCCAGGAGAGGGGAAGTATAATGAACTTTAGCACATACACGACAAGTATCAGGTAATCAGAGGTAATCAAAACTATAAACAGAGCCAAACAAACTTCCTATCGAGGAGTTCGGAACATCCAAGGTCCAGCCAGAGGGGATGAAGAGTCGCAAATTAACCCTATATACCAAGATAGGGATGGAACGAATCAACGTGTGGTTGTCAAATAGTAATATGACAATTGCTTCTAAGGGAAATTGAAGCAAGTGATACACTATTGAAGATCGCAGCAAGGACTGCAGAGATCCACGAACTGACAAGTGACGAAGGAGAAAGTTCCCCAATGAGGTCGGGGTACGCAAGGGCGGAAGGGATAATAAGAAATGCTAAGAATAGCTTTGCAATTGCCACCGGCAGCAATTATAATGGGTATAGCAAAGAGTGGAATATATAATTTCAAAATCGCTGAAGCAAAGAGAAAATCATGGAGAAGATGGAAAAAGAGGGAATTAAGTGGAATAACAGCTCTCTTCTAAGGTTGAATCTTCTTAGGACTCGATCGGGACGATCCACGCTCCACCATGTAATGGACCCGTATGGGTACTTATGATATAATGTGACGGGTATAATACAGAAAAGTACCTAAAAATGCTTTTTATTTATTTTGACATTTTTTCCTTTTTTATTTTTCTCTTTTTGGGGGGATTTATGAACTATCGGACTTATACTTCATGGATTTGCCCTAATTGAATGTTCATTACTATTTCATACATTTATATCTCATAACATATGACATTTGTGTTAATAGAAGACTATAAGATTACTTTATGACTTACAACATAGGAAAGAAAAGTATACCTTTTAAAAAAGAAAGGGGAAATGGGAAATGCCCCCCCATCTCCCGAGCAATTGGCCTGTGTACAATACTACAGGCCGTGAGCACCTACCACTAGTACCGACAAAGAAGGTACCTTAGTCACCTTGATTCAGGCTAGCAGGTACATCCTTCAAAGGTACCAAACTGGGTCTAGCACATCCACCTTGCATCTACCGAACGCACTTCGTTCCAGACCTCTCACTAAATATCCCCTCCCAAAGCGCAATGAATTCTCTATTTTAATTTGTTTAAAAATGAAAACCGCTTTCTATTTCAAACCAATCATATCACTGATCTAAAATAAATTCTGTGGGGTTAAACAGGCCATGTCTTAAGGCATTGACCGTCCTAATTGTGTTGTAGCCTGCAGGGGGGCGACTCGATCAATCATTAATATTAATTAATATATTAAAAGTGGCGAGGGGCAGAAAAATGAGGACTTTTACTCCTGTCAAAGCAATATCTCTCCGGGATGGGATCGACAGCGCAGCGACCGGCCCCCCAAACTGACAGCAGCCAAAAGTCTTTTTTACTATGACCGTTATGGTTTAATTTCGCCTTGTGATTTAATAGTCTCCCTCGGTACCTACAGTAGTTCCATATAATTTCAAAGCTATCTCGGAAATTCTCTGCTACCTCCCCCTCTTGTCCCCCTCCTCCCCTCCCCCGGGCTCCATCGCGAATTGCCAACCAGACCAACCTGAACTTCGTAACGAGATCCCCTCCATTTCGTTCTTTTTTTCCCGCGTGGGGCAGCCAAGGAAATAGATTCGCGTTGGCAAATAGGATCCACAGACGCGCCGGAGCTGTCAACTCCAACAAACACAGAGGCTACACGAGGCCTGCATATATAGTAGCGAGGCATTGGTGTACAATTGTAACAGAATGTACCAGAATGCAAACTTCAACCGATTTTCTAGACCCGCTCTTGTCTAAGACCTGAATGGAATAAAGATAGGTGCGAGGAAAAACCGCGAGATTGCTTGGCGAATGAAAAAGTTTTATGTACTTTTGCCCAAGATCCAGAATAGAACAGACTCCAACATGCAGCTACTATCTGCGAATAGTTTGAACCTTTATAAAAGTATAACTATATTTTACAAATGAGAGATTGACCAGTTCCCATTCAATGCAACAAGAGAGTCCATATTAGATCACTTAGATCATAGGCGAAGTCCCAAAAATGAAAATATGGATAATAGGGCTATTCCACCCACTACCACGATCTAGATTTGGAGTAATAGAGCAATTAGTAGTCCCAAAACGGGTATTGCGCAAAAAATGATCACTGTAGTTGCCCTCATGGTCATTCGCACGTCCTCCCGGCGCATCGACCAACAGTCTCGCAGAACTGCATGGCCTCGGTGATTCTGCAGTCGCCAGTCGAAATCCCAATGTCTGAAAACCCATACTTATTTCTCCTACGCATGCATCGCTCAATCGTCACATGTTCTGGAATATTTTCCTCGTCAGGGAAATACAGAACTACTAGTTTCTACCAACTAATGTGTGACTAATGTACGTCAGCAAACAAACCCCTCCAAATAGCCAACGAGAGGTCGACGTAGCGTTCTGTCAGCTCTTACGAATGCAACAATAAGCAAGAAGAAAACCCTCCGATGTCCCCTCGTGGCGATCCAATAGCTGTGGTTATATCTAATGCAAGCCCCCTCCGCCTTATCACATCGGGACGGGCGAGCATCCATAAAGTGCCAAATGCGATCTGCAGACCAAACAATGAATTGGTGGGAATTCCGTGCCGGCAAGTTCGAACCATGGACCAAGTCTCATATTACTTTACTTCTATTTGATTGTGTTTGATTGAAACTAATTGCTTTTCACGGTCGCATGGAAGTACTCCGTAGCTTGTCATGGTAATGCGATTGCTCAAATTTTAGGTTATGTTATGTGCTAAGTTGTATCTACAATTACTTAACCCTCGATGGAAAAGAAAGAGAGAGAAAAAAAACTAGAAAATGGGAGGAATGTCGCACAATGCAACCTGTAAAGTGATACCATTGACGGGCCAGCCCGCCAGTCTATCGGAAGCAAGTCTGTTTGCTTTTCTCATCGACATGGCCTACATACAAACAAACTTAGTGCCTTTCCCTGCTTCTCCCAATTCGCTTGGCTGTAAATCTCCTCGTCTGCGGCACACAAGCACATCGCGGCAAACCTGGAAACTCGTGCCCAAGGAGTGGGGCATGCACGTCCATTCTCCCAAAGGACTTTGGTCAAATATCTTTGTGACCATCATGCTGCAGGGCCCATCAACTTGACAAGAGATCGGCAGGAACGTGTGATTGTCACGTTTCGTTCATGCGCTCACCGCGGTTGAGAATGAAGCGTGCAAATTCCGTATTTGGTAGGAAATTCGCTAGGTCGAGACTTGGGCTGGATCGTCGACGTTGGCGATCGTGTGATAATTATGGGTTGGGCTTCTCGGAAGTGTCACTGATATCCTTTTGCTCAGAAATTAGGCATTATCCCTCGGATAATGCTCCAGCTGAAGATGTTTTCTTCTTCCTGAGGTTTTCAACACACACTAGTGTTCTAGCGGTAGCCATAGGTAGGGATACACGGCTCACCCGCGGGGTAGAGTGAACGAGACACCAAATTTTGGGTTGTTAGTGATGTACTCCGTACGGCATATCATTCAGTCTCATGTTGGCTTCAAATGCCGACCCAAGACAGGGAAAGCGAGCTGAAGATCTGAGCCGATGTCTTGAACTCGGGCCTTGGGTCAAGAAGACCGAGGTTGCTATCCGGGAGTCAGTAGAACGTGATGAGTAGCAGAGTATGCAGGAGACTTACCCAAAATACAGGCTTATTCTTGACTTTACATTTTCTTGGATATAGATTATGTCACAAGGAGGCGTGGTTGTGAGGCCAGTAAATATATCCACGAACACACGGTGATCTCGTGATTGGATACTGCGAATTACATGAAGCCTTGTATTAAACTCCGAATTATCGATCTCGTGCTGCTTAGCAATATGGTGAATATTTCTCTGGAGCATGTCTTCAAATTTCAAGACCATGCGGCTGTACGATATGAATTTCCAATGGCATGGGATTGGGCTATGCAGAACGTGGAAATATCAAAATGGAGAATCAAGGTGTCTATTCTAGCCAAGTCTTGGGTTCACGTTGTGTAGCCTCGTGGGCTTGATCTTGAAGTTTGATGCGGTGCGGTGTAGGTGAGGCTGATTTAAAACCGCAGGATTAGGTGCATATGCCAGCTCCGATTAGACCCCGGTAGCTTTGGTACCTGCATCGGCTGCAAGATCGCGCTCCGGTGCTAGGAACTCTAGGCTTTATCTCAATAAAGTCGGTCTGTTAAATCTGTGATTCAAGCTGCAGACGAATCCTTTATGTAATTCTCTGTATTATTTCCCTCACCGAGTCTTTAGTTTGAGTTGAATTTCAAACCTGCTGCTTGGTTCCTGGTGCCTGGTGCCTGGGTCTTCTTCCCCACGAGAGCGATCGTGTAACCACATTATTACACCATTCCAAACTCATAGCGTGAAGCTCGCCACATATCTGGTGTATAAGGTAACTATAAAAAATATTTTCACCATAGACTTTGACTTCAGTTCTTGTTCTGTGCAGTATATACTTACACATTTGCATATGTAATTTTACATGATATCCCGACTCTAAGCTTTCATTAAAATAATTGTCATAGTAGCATATAGAGTCGTGTTTTCTTTGGCCTCGAAGACAGTATACGTCATTCTATTGCGACACGTAGTAGAATGATATGGAAACCTGGAAAGAATTTTGGAAATTGAATATACATAGTGCAAGTTCATCCACGAAAATCACAGCAGCAG